AATGACTGATAATAATGGGCAGATGCGGATGGAGCACAGTGGAGGTGGGTTCCAATTGGGGAAACCCCACGATCAACGGGCAGGACAAGGCTCTCACGCATCATCACTCAAAATCCTTCCGCGGTGGGCGGAAGGAAAACGACGCTGTGCCGGGATGGCAGGGGAGGGAGTGCGTTCAAGGAGAGAGAGCGAGAGAGAGAAGTGGGCAGTGTTGTTGGATGAGTGGTCCCCCGTCGCGCGGGAGCATGGATATCATGAAGTTGAGGTTCCGCAGACGGGACCTGGATCTGCCATGATGGGATATTTCGAGAGCAGGGAGATTTGACACGACGATGAACAGGGTCTCGAGGGATTGACGCCAGCAGGTGCAGGGCTTCTACGAACGGGCCAGTCAGAGGAAACAAGCTTGTCCCGATGCAGGCATAGTAGACGAATGTGCAGCTGGGCTAGTCCTCTTCCAGACTGAAGCCATCTCGCTGGCACTGGGAGTCGGACAAGGGTGCCATCTCCGGGACTAGGACAGGGGGATGCGGGAGGGTGACTAAGACGACTCGTACCGTGCAAAGATACAGTGTTGAGGCGGGGGGTGTAAACTGTGTCCTTGGCTTTGGGGGCCGATGGGTGACTAAGCCCCCTGAAACCACCATGCCCGAAAAGGCTCGAGAGATCCCTGTTTGCCACATGTCTGCCTCCCTGCACATCTTTCTCGGCCGACAGCCTAGGCACATCCGCAAGGCAGATTTGCATGGCCGCAGTTACAACCCCCAGCATCAGTCACGATGATCCGAGCGATCGTCGCGCTGCACTTCGGATTCGTCAACAAGACAAGACTGGGGCGCAGAACCGCCCTGACTCGTCGACCAGACCAGGTCCTGGAAGGGGTTCACGATGGCGGAATTGTCCCGACAGGGGATGCTTATGGCCTCCCCGACGGTTGTGTCATGATGATGGGCGGGTGCGATCTGCCCGCCACCGTTTAGAGCCGGGTACCGTTCCCGTCCTTTTACGAGGCCCCTTGTCAGCAACCAAGAAGCAGCATGCACACGCTAGCAGAACGATCTCCATGGGTGAATGTGTGCCCGCGCCGGCCCGGCCTGCATCATCGACATACAGTACAACACGCACCCTTCTGCTTGCCATATCGAGCCGGTCCTCTTTCGGATCCCTGGGCCGCAGCCTGCCGCCGCCCTGGCGCATAGCTCGCACCGCTATGCTTCTGTCCACGAGGCACCGAGAATCCTTCCCGAGCCTTGCAGCTAGGTAGTTCCTCGCCCCTGCCCCTGCCCTGGAGGCATGCATGCGCTGCACCTCCAAACCATAGTTCGCCATGCCTGCCAGTGGCACGCCCCGAGCTTGCCGCATCTCACACAAGGGAAAAGGCCTGCGGGAAATTGACAGCTCATTTTGGTAGGTTGTGTGGGTGTTCTAACCTCCAAGGACTGGTCATTGGCCCAGGATGAGGCCGGACTCTGCGACTCTGCCCAAACAGGAAAGGACGGCGTGCACCGTGGCAGCTGAGCTTATATGAAGGCGGCCAATCACTATCCATAATTGGTTTCACAACGTTTCGCCCGGTAGGTGCCGGTCGAGCGCCAGTCTCGTCTTGGAATCCGAATGTCCTACTGATCCATGCGAGCAGTGTCAATGCGGATGCAGACCCAACGCGGAAGGTTTCTGACGGTCAACAGTCTGGCCAAATCACCCAGCAGATCATGGTAGGTAGGACCCGTGTTGGAGGACTGGACCACCCCATGGTTGCACTTCTCGGACAACTCGTACTCGTGGCATCTCAACCCTCGCCATTATTCGCTTTTACAGGTCAGGCATACAGGCCTTGGCAAGGATTCGTTGGCCTTTCTTCGTCGGCACTCTGCGGGATCCCCAGGTATATGCCATGCCGCCTGTCGCCTTCTTTCCGCAAAGGGGAATTTTAAGAGAATAATCGATGTGCCCACATGTATGCCCTGCCACGATGTCACCGTCCTCCAAGGGTGGCGGCAACGGGGCGCCATTGTCTTTGTCTCAGATGGGGCTCGTGGCCCTTTCAGCCTGTGGAGTCGAAAGTGCACTTTTCCTCCCCCCGTTGATCCCTATTAGGCCAAGGACCCCAACACTCGCACCAGGCTGCATAGGACACGGACGGACAGAGCCCTTCCCGTGCTTGATCCCAACGGTCGGTCAGCCCAGACCGCCGCTGGAGAAGAGCGACGCCGTGGCAATTTTCGGAGTTCTTCGTCTTACCGTTCTCGAAGCGGGCCGCCCTGACCTGAGAGGCACCAACATCCCAAGCCGGCATCGCGCGGGCTGTCGTCGTCAAAGGGCCTTGCATAGTGATCACCTCGACAGGGATATGCGTCCCATATTATCTCGCTGAAGATCTCCTCAATAGGCATTACCGGGTGGCTGGATCCCCTCCGACGATTTGACAGGGCGCTTGCGGTAGGCGCCCACTGCGATGACAACATGCCCATGCCTATAACAAGGGAGCCTCGCCATGCACCAAGACGTCAATGATAGGCGAAGAGCAGGGCCACTCCTTGCGGACTTTTGCAACAAACCTGTGGTGACAACATGGGCTGTGGGCATGCCCCCCCGTGCTGGCAAAGAGCAAGCCCTTGCAACATCACCCCTGCTGGTGCTGGGAAGGCGCTGTGTCCCTCGGCACCGAAGCCGCCCTTCACCCTGGGCTGGATTGGCTAATCACAAATGCTTCCGCAGCCCCCTCAGACGAGATGACGGGCGCCTGGGGCGGGTAGCAGCCGAGCCCCTGGTCTGGTTAGGCGGGTGTGAGCCTGGGCCTGGGGTTTGGCTCAAGTTCCAAGGCTTCGCAGGCTGTGATGACGATGCTGTGTTATTTGAAATCATTTGTTGACTTGCACAAAAGTATGTTTAGCATTTGGCCGTAAATGATGCTGCGACATGAAGCGTCCCGGCGTCTGCAATGGACCGCCAGCACGGCAGCTCGTTTTCAGCCTTATCCTACGCCTCTGGCATCGTTAGGCGTGCAGCTAGCTAGCCCTGGACCAAGCGCTGAATGCACGCAGCACCAGAGAATTCATGAGAAGCTTTGTGTCATCTCAACTTGCAGCAACCCCCCTAACGCATACCGGAGCGTATTCGGGCACTACGAAGAAAAATGAAAAAAGCAACGCTCGGGCAAAAGCCAAGCCAATGCATCCCTAGGATCCCGACCGTCTGGATCACCAGGACATTGGAGCGACACACAAGAGGGGGAGGGAGTGCATCCACTCCTCCCCCCCCCCGTCCCACAGAGGAGGACCCTTAAAGAAAGCAAATATCAAGCCACGGGGGGGCCAGCATTCTTTGTGTAACCAAGTTTCCGGGTCCCGGGAGAGGCGTCACTTAGCTGCCTGTCACTATTGATCTGTGCTTGGTCTGGTACGCTTATGTTGCAAGGGGGGTGGGACGCTTGGAGCAGTCTTAAGCGGTGGCTTATCGAGTCGTCGAGCGAGGGAGGGGTTAAGCGCTTTAGGAATTGGAACCTTTTTTTTTAATATGGGACGATTGGGAAAGACGCGTCGAGAACAAGAGAGATGAGTATTTTAGAGTTTTCCTTAAGCGATGGGATGCAACTCTGTGATGGAACTTTGGCCTTATTACTTTTGCTTTTTCCCCTCACCCCATCGCCGATGACACACTCGCTCTGATATTACCCAGTCGCCTCAGGCGGCTCGCTGTGCCTTTTTGATGATACATGGCCTGTGTTATCCTTGTTCTGGATGACTTCTAGCGGCAATAGGCACGGTATGGCTCTCTCTCACACACTCTCTCTCGCAGGTGGAAATTATTGTGACCTCCGTGCCATGCCAGCCCCCCGCCGTCAAAGGGAGCAGCGCACTGGCACTGCGGCGATCAAAAACTCTTTGTATGAGCAAGGGACGATAAGAAGAAAGTCCTCTCTTTTAATGCCAGGCGAAAGGATCTAACCCCGATACTCTCCCCCCTGCTCTGGTGTTTGCTTCTTCTTCTTCTCCCTGGGCCAGTCCTGAGGATGTTCAAGTGATATGTAACCTCACCGCTGATCATCGTTCATGCCGGACTTTTTGCTGCTGCGATGAGGGGAGGGGGATGCGGACACGACAGGAAGAACCGTGCTCGTCGTCGTCAGCGTCAGCGTCGTCGCCGTCGCCGTCGTCATCCCCCCGGCCCCCCTCCTCCTCTCTCTTCCCTGCAGGGTGAAGGAAAAGAACGAATATGGTGGGCGGTGGAGGGTTTTTGATCCACGACAGGGCTGAAGAACAAGAGGGGGGGGTCTAGGCCCCAAGTCCCGGTGGGGCGCGCGGCGGTGGGCAGGACCCGGGAGACTGGTTTGAGTATGAGTGCTCCCTTCTCCTCCTCCTGCTGGCTGGGGGCTGTCTTTGCATGGTTTCAGTCCAGCCAGGGACGAAGCAAAAAGAAGAAAGCTACTACCTACTTACTTACTGCCCATGCGCCATGACCTCGAGGAGTAGTGAGCTTTCCTCAGGTGGTTTTTTCTTCGCCATGGGGATAGAGAGTTTTGCAAAAGCATAAGCGGTTTGGATCTCCACCGTCGGGGCTTTTCTTTGCTGGCTGCCGCCGCCACGCCACCACATACATGGTCTTGTGGTCCCCCGTGGTGGTAAAATGTGATGAATCGGACAGACCACGAATTAGGGCCATCATCATTAAGGATGGATGCATGGCCTCGTCACGCATTGCCTCTTTGAGTACGACGGGTGGTTATCACATAGACCCGAGAGCCTGGGTCTCGGCTCGGGAAGATGCCGCGCTTGGTATGGCTTTATTGTTTGCTTCCCACGGAACATTTGTTAGCCTTGGCTGGGCGTGCCTGCTGTGTGCATGTGTAATATAATCACGAGGCTTGCAGGCACAGATACACACACACGGACACACACCTACCTGCAAAGTCAGGAACGGTCAATGTCTCGGTCTGCGTGCACAGCGATTAGAACAACGTGTGCAGGCCCAAGCAACGTGGCGCAACACCGTGGTGGCGTGCATGAAGAAACTGCGTCTCTTGTCTCTCTACCTACGTCTGTCTACTCAGGCTATCTTTGTCCGTTTCTTCTTTTCGCTGGGCATGTATGTCTTGACGAACCAGTGCTCTTGCCTTTTGGTCGCCAGAGTGCTTAATGGACTTGGGGCGGCGGGAAGTTCAGATGGACGGGTATATCGTCAACGCAACTACGATTGGCCCCCATCTTCCGCACGCCGGGACGTTTTTCTTCTCAATCAAGCAAAGCCATGCAATGCAAATCATGGCAAGGACACGGCTCGGACTCTGCGGGGCCAAAATAAAACGCCAAAACCAATTGACAGTGCTTGTTTTTGTCTCGCTCCCCCAGTCCCCGCTCGCAGTGCCTCGCCTAAACAAAACTGTCCAAAAAAAAGGTGAGCGGTCCCTCTCTTTGTGTGGTTGGACTATCCGGCTGTCTCTCCGTGACGCTTGAGCGGATGAGGCTTAAGCAATAACTCGTTGCCCTGGCCTTATCATCGCCCATCGAACTTTTGCTCGTCGTATTCGCTGGGGGTGCTTGGAAAAGTCCCCCCCCCCCCTTTTACCAGGCCAGGCCAGGCCAGGCCTACCTGCCGGCCGCCCGCGTCTGCGGACTGGCTTCGAGGTTTCAATAGTCTCCCGGGCTTTTTGTGATTTCCGAAGAGCTGCAGGCATCCCATCGACTGCTCTGGGGAGAGAGCCTGGGCCTGGATGTGTGTGCATACGTGCACGCGGGGGGCGCGCGCGTGGGCGATACTGGGCATGGCCGCTCTGCCTCCCATGGTGATGGTGATGAGGTACTGGCTGCTTTCCCCCTTCGCGCGCGCCTGGACCAGTCACTGCAGTAGGCGAGAGAAGAATGAGGGGGGGGGGGGGTTGATCATGCGGCCGATGGCCGTAGGCTTTGAGTCTAGACAGAGTCGCGGGCCTGATGACGGGGCCGCTCACCATTGGCTGCTGAGGCCATACAAGAGTCTGTCTAGGCTTTTCAAAGACAAGGACCAGGGCCCGACGAAGTTCTGGAAATGTCTGGCCTGCTTGCTAGACGCCCGTGATGACCTGCCTGCTTGCTGCTGGATCCCCAGGACTTGGGGAAGGGGGAAGGGGGAAGGGGGGGCCTCGTGGAGGGGCCTTTCCTCGCTTACAGAGAACCAACCAGCGGCAGGGCGTTTCTGCAAGCCCCCTCCTCGGCGGCCACATTCACTGGGGCGCTCGCAATGGTCGGTTTTGGTGCGACTGGCTGCAACTGCAGGGACTAGAGGACAACAGAGTGTGTGCCTGTGGCGTTTTTTGTCGTGTGGATGGTGGTGGTGGTGGTGGAGGCGTGGCAGGGTCAGTCATGTGTCGTAAGCCAAACCACGCTGCTGGGTCGGGCTGTCAGGCCACGGGCAAGGCAAAAAAGTGAGTCTGGTGGCGTCGTCTTGTCTTTGGGGGCCTCGATGTATGGTTTCATCGCGGGGGAGGCGCGAACACACGACAAATTCCTTGTGATTCACATTCGCTTAAACCTCTTGCTTCTCCTTGCCTGTGGATCATGGGTGCTGTGCTTCATGCACGCGGGTTGGCTACATTGGAAAATGTTTAAACTCGTGGGCTAGACCGGCCTCCCATCCATCCAGATGGCTTGGGGGCTCCAGGCTATGCTTCTTTCCCCTCAAGGAGCAGATATCCAAGATACACAGAATCTCGGCGAGGAGGAGGAGACCACCAAACATGGCGGGGATTTTTGGCTCTCGGGCCGTGATGGAGCTCCCGTCGAGTCGGCTGTGGATTGCTAGTCGCGTCCGGGAGGTTGACGCCATCGCCTGATGTGACCAAGCAGTGAGTTTGGGGGCGGCACTCTGTGCAAGACGTGGGCTCATGTTGGCGCTGTTTGGGTCGTGTAAGTAGTTGGCCCTCGAAGGGGCCTAGACGACTCTGGCTCCTCTTGGTATGTGATTTTTGAGTTGGCTGCCCACTCGGGGGTGTTGCAAGAACGTTGGTGGAGGAGGGAGACGACGCTAGTCTAGGCGCCCGCTAGCCGGGGCAGACAAGACGATGGAGAACGGGAACAATTGGCCGGCAGCACCCAGCAAGACCGGCCGGGCGGCGGCGGCCACGGAGGATTCCCTTGGTGGAGGTTGATTGTGGTGGTGGTGGCTGTCGCTTCCGAGTGGAGTTGCCCTGCGCCGGGCGGCGGACCCTATCGAGGCGTCTCCTCCGCCCGGCTCAGGCGAGAACGGCGTCGGCGAAGACCGATACACTATCGAATGTGGCTTTGGAGGGCGGGGAGCCCACTGGAGCAACCACCTCCTGGTCGTAGTGGTGGTGACCATGATGGGTTTGGTCCGTCTCCGTCATGGCACCACTTGCCCCGAATCTGCGCTTTACTTTGCCAAGGCAAGCTCGACTTGCACATGCGTACCGAGGATATGGTTTTCCTGCTCTGGGACTCTAATCCACGGCGAGATCGTGATGGCATGGTTTTCTGCAGCTGCAGGTGCTATGTACAGTCATAGGGCAACTCGCTCCCACAGTTTCATCTCGATTTCTTCTCGTCAGACAATGAGGCACTTTACACTGTTGTCTGTGTTTGTTTCCCCACCGCCTGGCTGTCGCCAAGCGGCCGAGTCTGCACCATCTCTGATTGCCTCTCCGTCTTCGCTAATGACCTGTGGACGATGCACCGGCCAAACGCCTCTGGCTAGCAAAAGACACTTTGTAATTAGTGCCTGGGCGAGAACTCGTCTTTGCACTAGCCCTGCCCGAAGCTCGCGGCCCGAGATGTGTGGACTCTAAAGTCGGCAGCTAGAGAAGGCCAAGTTCTGCTCACTGGATAGAGGCTTTGCGTGAGCGGAGTGTCTTGTCTGTATATTCACGACGGTGCTCGTCCGTTGCAGAAAGGTAGCGTGGCTTTATTCTCGCCTTGCCCAGACGAGATCGACGCTTTAAAGTTTTGGAGGTTGACGACGCGACAGCCATCTTGAGAGTGCTCGATCATGAGACACTGTTGCGAGGAAGTGGAAGCAAGGACAGTCCCGGCATCGTTTACTGCCGTGTCGCGAGCTACATGTTGGTGGCAGTACTTAGACGCCTCGAAAATGCCTTAAGCGCAGACGAGATAAGGGAGAAATAGTGTACAGTGAGGACACCGATGTTGTGTCGGGCGGTGCCGCTTAGGTGTCAACGAAGCAATAGCTGAAGGGGAGAAATTATCGTGGGCCATAAGCCGTCTGCTTGACAGAAGTCGAAATTTCCAGCAAACCAAGACTCATCCAAAGGAGAAAAGAAGCAAAAGAGCAAACCCAGCCGCGACTTGCCTACAAGTCTTACACCGGCACGAATGCCATCTGAGGGGAATATAATCGTTCTGGCGTAGGTACATATGTCCGGCATTATTATTTAAACATGATTTATTAATTCATGGATAAGTGAAGGTCATACCGAGCGTAGATACAATGGTCCGAGAACTGATTTTCCATGAAATACACAACTACTCGGTGATGTTCGGTGATAGCACGCATGTTGGTAACTGCTGTAATGAGCTTTGTCTTTAAAATGTGTATGGCTTCACTTTTGGCATCTTGCAAATAGTAGACTTCATTGCCCGGAAGCAGACACGGTCGAGCATACCAACTGCATTGCCTTAAAAATGGCACCCAGCTAATAGCCCAGGGCTCAGATCAGACAGACTCCGAATTGTGATATATGTCTGCCAGTAAAACACAGCGCGTGCCACGAGTGGTCAAAAGTCAGCGAGGGAGGGCAGTTCACATTTGTTTGGTAAGTCGGATATTCACCAGTCCGTGGTGCCGCTACGGGTGTAACCACTCCAGCGAGTCTGGTTTTCTTATTCAATTGTTGTATGAATTACTTAGAAAGGATGTCGAGATGAAACCTCACAAGGCTATTTCAACATGGTCACCACAAGATGCCTTGTTCAGGCTCCTGCGCCGAGACAAGACACACCGTGTGGAGGCATGAGATGGCAAGCCATCTCATACTCGAACATACACACGCGCGCCCCGTCTAGCAGCAAGAAGCCATCAATTAGTGATTGGCCGTTCTCGGAGGTCTGTGCGGGAGACGTGGCACTTGCGAGCATGTCTCGTCTCGGCGCTCAAGACCGAAGCCGGCGAGAACTTGGACCGCTCGAACGGGACGCATCCCCGGGGCTGTATGAGACACTTGTCTTGGGATGGCTCACTTCTCTGTGGAAGCATCGTGGTAGTCTGAGACAAAAAGCCGGTAGAGATGCGTGTGGCAGGTCAAGCCAGTGGTGAGTTAGCCTCCCTGTCGTGGAGTGGACACTCTGCGAGGAACGACGAGAGCATGCACAGCAGCATCCTAGTTCAACCCCCTGGACCAGGAATCGAGTGCCGATGAGAGGCAAACAGCGTGGCCCTACGAGCCACTAGGGTCCGAAGGGAAAAGGCATACAAGAGTACATAGATAAGGCGGCCCATTCGTCCAACTTCCTTTTGCTGAGACCCTTCATGCAGTGGAGTTTAGAGGGAGAAGACAGTGAGTTCCTCGACAGTGCCCTGCTAATTAAGCCCCTTCCCGAAAGCATGGCCCCCACAAGCTTACACGTTACTGTCCGTGTGCCCAAAGCTAGGTGCCGCCACAGAAACGACATCTCCCAGTCATGATCTTCAGGGTCCAAAGGCCCAGTAACTTGGCATGCACACCACGCCTCTGGTATTAGGGTTCAGGCCATTGCGAAGGCCGCGGAGCGGAGTTGTCTGCCCGGGCGCAGCCTATCTTGTCTGAGACCGGAGTCTCGCCCGCCAGACAGATCTTTGACACGTTGGGGGCGGTGCTCCGAGACCTGGAGTCTCTCTTGCTTCCCCAAGTGAGACATGATCTCTGCCCTAGAGGGGACGAGACATCAATCAATCTCGCATGGCAGTGGGGAAGTATCGACATCTCCACTTGCTCGGCTCCGAATAGTGGAAACCATCTCCGTGCACAAGTCGCGATCAGGCCTCCTCACCATATTCGAGGAACACAGAGTCATATTAGTGTGTACGGCAAAGCTTTGTCAGTGCGATGCTCCACATCCCGGAGGTGTAGATCTAGGAAGCCATGTTGGATGATGGACGCTCTAGTCAAGAGGGGCAATGCTCCTATTAGCCTTGATCCGACCCCCGGGCCGGAACTCAATTCAGAGCTAGTACTTGGCTTGAGAGCTCCCCTCTCGTGTACAGGAAGAGCCCATTAGTGGTAGTCCAACCACTATACCGAAAATCCGAAGCTTGTTCTCCTCTCGGCATAGTGCTGCGTTAGTCAAGGTCGAACGGGTCATCAGATGGTCTTGCATGTGTTTCGCCAAAATGTGCCTTGTCAGGAGAGCCATGAGCCCTCTCTTGTTTCCTGCGAGGCAAATTGCGGCCGAACAGGGTTTCCTCCTTCCGACCCCGTCGCGAACCTGTTGTGTGTGGTCCTGTCACGGGTGTTTCGACCATCCCAACAGAGAGCCAGGATTTAAAGAGTCAATGCAGGGCCAGCATCAAGCGCGGTATTCCAGTTGCTAGTGTTATCAAGCCCGACCTCCAAGACCGAACACGGACACCCCTTTCCTCTGAGTCCTGTCTGCGAGCCCTATGGACACTGGCTAGTTGACACAAAAGTCTGGCCCAGGCGGAGTGATCGTCAGGCCACAATCCTGTTATGGCAAGGCTCTCCCGCGACTATGCGTCGGCCGAGCTTATTGTCCAACTGCCTCCACATGCCCGAGTGTGATACTTGGCGACCAGCAGTCGCGGCTGTGGCCCCCATGACCACGATTAGGCTTCCGGACTACACTGGCTTTTTATGATTACATCTCGGTACCATGCTCTCCGCGGCCCTTGCGGTTTCGATTCGGAAGCTCAACCCTCATCAATGAGCGAGAAGTCCAATGGACGTCAAATTGGTTTCTTGCCCGTGTGAGGAGCAGCAGCTCTAGCGGGCACAACCGGGCCTCGAGTCGCGAGCCACTCGAACAGTTCTGCGACCCCGAGACGGCCCTGTACCCATAGCCCCCAAAGGCGTGAGCTAAGCCTACGGTGCTCCGCCTGGCTTCGAGGGCACATGCAACAACACGTGCCACTTTCATTGTCAAGGTTTAAACCAAGCCCTGTGACCTCCAGGCTGCTGCCATGAAGAGGGGAGCTGCACAGTGTACGGCCCTGCTCCCCCGCTCCAGCGCCGAGTCCGGCCGTTTAGAGGTGGGAAGCTACTCGCTACCCGTCAATTTTAAATGTTTGGCGTGGTGTGCCAGAGTTGGAGTGCTCCTTGGCATTTCGACTCTTCCCCCGCTAAGCTCCTGTACTGTGCGATCTCTCTCTCAAGCCCCCTCCTGGACCTTCCGGTGTGAAGTCTCTTGTGAAGCCCATGCCGGCAAAACTTGTGGTGTGCTGGATGCGATCCCCGCTCTGCCTTACAAGACACACACCCTCAATCCTTGCAAGCGGTCAATCTGAGGTCAACAGCTTTTTTCTTGTGAGACCCTGGACCCGTCAACCAGAAGAATGAGAGACGGCCTCCTCCACAGTCTGAGACAGCACCGGAGAGACGCCCGCGCGTTTTCTTGGCTATTCTGGAATGGGGGCATGAGTGGAATCTGTCTCGGAGAATTCCCAATCGGTTGGTAGAGCGTGATCCAAGCCCTTGGAGAAAAGCTTGGATAATGAGGCTCGTGAAGAAGGACAAATTACTCTTGCCAAGTGAGAATCATCCCATCCTCGAGCCCCGTCAAGGTCACTAACCTGTCGGAGGCGCTTCTCCATCCACGGCACCCCGTCCAGAGATGCTACAAACGGACCCAGCAAGGTCAAAACTTATAGCAAGCCTTTCGTCTCCGATGCTTGGCGGGAAAGATTCACCGATACAGACGTGCACTAAGCCCTGTACCGAGAAGGTTCATTCGCCTGCACCCAAGTCGGGCACCAAGATAGAAATTATCACGCCAAAGGGACGGACACGGACTCGCAATCAATCATCATTCCCGAAATTCGATGCCGCACCCTTCCTTGACTCGGAGGAAATTGCTGAAAGCCATAGGACACCCTGCAACTGCCAGGGGCTCAGGAGTAGCCCACTCCTCGAATGCCCCATAGACGAAGCACGACATCTACTATTACAGGTTGTCAGACACAAGTCATTTCGACCGTCCCTGGTGTTGAGACTAACGACGCCATACGGTTTGAAGCAGTGTTGTGGCGCAGGCTTGTAGAGACCGTACCCCTGAAATACGGCCATGTTACACAAACGCACCAGGTATGAGGCCAAGCCTACCAAGACTTGAGGCAACCCAGCGCCGGGATCCAGGACCGCGCCACTGGATGCCGTCTCACGTCTGGAGAGCAGTTGAGATTGCTGCTGCAGCTCGTCTCATGCATCCAGTTTTCACTGTGCTCCAACATGCAGGGCCGGCACCAACCCTGATCCAATTTCCCCCCGCTGAGGGAACAGAGTTGGTGCCCGCTGCTTGTCCGTAGGCGTGCAGGTGGAGAACAAGACCTTCCCAACCTCGAAGCAATGGGGAACTTTCACGGGTAACAGGTACTGCAAGCTCGCTGAAGTAGGGGAGCGTATCTTCGATAAATCCGGAATGAAGATGCAGCTGGTTCGCAAGTGTTTTCCCCAACGGAGCTAGGAGGCCGCAAGATGGTCCTGCACTAGCCACGGAAGGCTTTCGCCTTTCGGGAAACACGATCCTGGTGTCTTCAATTCTCACTATCTTTAGCCCTGCATCGTGACCCAGCTTTACTGCTTGACTTCGTGGGGGGTTCAGCAGCTACCGAGGCAGACATTGCTGCCTCGTAGGGCTAGCCACATGCCATTGCCATTAAGGATGGCGGCGGGAGGAGGAGGCGTGGCTATATGGCTGCAGCCACCTCCAACCGCCTCCAAACCGTCACTGCTGTGGTTGCATTGCTCTGCAGGCGGGAGAACAAGTCCATGCATGAGGACCAAGCCCTGTAGAGAGCCATGATACTAGAGAAGCCTCGACCAACCAGGTACTGGCATGTCTGCGCCATGAGCATCCTTCATTTGACCTAGGGCTGTGGCAGTGAGGAATGCTGTGTAGCAAGAGGCGTAACTCTGGTAGAACAACGCTGCTCAGGCATGAGGGCTGCTGCACGGCGCTGCTGGCTAGGTGGCTATGTGAGACCAACAATAAACCGCGGAACGGCGACCCCGAGACTCAAAGTAACGTTCCCGATGCCATCACCATAGCCGACCCCCAAGCTTGTCAAAGTCCCACTCCTTCTAGATGTATTTGTCGAACAACGACCGTGCTCCCTCGTATGCCTCCAGCTATCTTTAGACATGTAAGCAGGATTACGATGGGGTGACCACGCTCCTGCGCCGAGACAATGACACGAGGCCGTAGAGGATACGTTGCTTGGTGTCGTGCTGGTCTCGTAGGCCAGTCCTGCATCTGCATGACGCAGCCCTACAGCCGCAGCTGGCTGCTGCCTCGTGGGGGCTGAGAAAGGGGCCCGTCGACCATGACAATACGATCTGTACGTAAGCGCTGAGCTGGAATAGTGTGACTGCAGGAGACTTTCTCGGTATGACTCGAGGCTCTTTGAGTTGCGTGCATAGTGACGCGGCCTCGGGGGTCGTCAGATGTCGGCAATCTCGTCGCGCCATCCGTGTTTTGCCACTGAGTCGTCGTCACGCAGACGCTTCATGCCGCAGGCCTCGCAGACCTTGATCGATGCTGCCCGCACCGCCCGCACTTGCTCGACGCTTGCCCCGAGGTTTATGGCGCCTCTGAGATGGCCTTTCAGTTGCGGGTTCACCTTGAAAAGTGATGGTTAGCTGGGCTTGGTGCCATTGAATGCTTCTCGCCATGAAAACAAGCCTTTACATCTTGTGGTATGAGACCTGCGATAAGGACAAATGAAGTCTCCATTGGCGTCAAAATGCTCGTGTTACTGAGCACATGGCCGTATGCCAGTCTCGCTATCACGCCGAGATCTCGTGTCCCGCATTGATCCATCTGCCTCACTGGAGGAAAAGCTGCGTCAGTCTCGTGAACGAATATAGAGCTCGACAATCTCCTTGATCCAGTGACTATTCGAGCCAAAGTTCGTGTCAGGTCAGTGCAAGCCTGCAATAAGCTACGGACAGGTCATGCTCTCTTTCTCGATTGCTTGGACTTCCGAGAAGAACTTTCCACATTAGAGGCGTGCTGAGTTGTCAATATCACCTGTGCCACAAAAGATGTTTCCAGATATGGGGGTAAGTCCCAAGCGCTGAAGTATCGCATTCCCCTCCTAGGCAGCCCACGTTCGAAGTGCAATACAGCTTGGGGCAAAGCACTGTCCACAATAGATGAGTAGTCGCCAAGGAGGTTGGACCAAGTTTCCAACTGTCGAGTTGGCGAGAATAAACTGGAGCGATCACTCTCGATCCACACGACGACAGTGGCACTTACTAACTCTTCTTGACAATTTCCCGTACAGCTTGTCAAAGAAAGATTGTCCGCGATACAAGATCTGCTCCTGTGATATCCGGCTGAGATCTTGAAGCCTCGAACCAGATGAGTAGACCGCTTCATCGTCCAGGAGTTGTTGTGGAGTGACTTGTTTGAGGCTCATGAGAGCGTTTATGCTCTGTTGTGGATCATCCAACATCAATATCAAGTTCCAAGCGGATTCATGTATCGCCCGGGGTATGGTCACCTTTGGTAGTCCAGCAATGGCCGAGGTTTTGACAAGACTCTCACGAATCCGCCTTGAGACTTCGAGCTTTTCCTTGTGGGCCCCTGGTCCGTCGCGAGAATGCTCCAGGTCAGATAAAGCATATGTGAACACCTGCTGTATTTCTCGAGGGCGGTTGAGGACGGCCAAGGTAGCGGATGCGACGAGATACCAAGCTCCATGCGGCATCGCCACATCTTTGGCAAGGGACGTCCAAAGTGCTTGCTTCAACATCGGCAGAGCACCCATGGAACTTGTGACCATTTTGGCGTGTCTGAATATCAGCAGGCCATAGTCAAGCCTCGTCTGAGGAGCGTGCGTCTAAAGGTACATCTCTCTCACAACCTAGCGACTAGTCAGGTCGAGACATTCCCAGCTCGGCAATAGATTATACAACCTACAATGATCATGTTCCGAAGTTCTGGGTGTCGTTGGATGTTGTGGTCAGAAGAGCCAATCAGCGCAGGCCGAAAAGTGGCTTGGACGTTGCGTGCAGGGTGGGCCGCCCGGTGGGGCGTCCGGCCGGAACGGGCAACCTTATTAACCTCTGGAAATCTGGCATCAATCACCTACCCTGGCTTACCTAAGGGCCTGCTGCGCAACGCATGGTGATCTACGTCAACTGCCCACCCGAGCTCGCACGACCAGGCCAGCTCCCAGCTTGACACGCCAACAAGCCCTCCTGCTGTGTTTACCATCGATCGCGACACGCCCTGCGAGACGACACCTGTACGGTGTATAGACGAACGATTGCGACAGCTTGTTCGGCCAGAGCAGCTCCGTCCCGGCACGGTTCTGCAGCAAACCACGCTGCGCCTGCCATCATCTACTGCGTCCCCAATCACTCCAAGAACACCCGATCACGGAAGCATGGCAACCTAAGACCACCTCATTCACTCGGCTCCTTCCGAATCGCAAAAACATACTTCAATACCGCACACGAATCGCAGCATTCAGGAAAGGATGAGGCTCATGTGGTATACGGGGGTAAGCTCCACCCTTGCGCCATCGCCGTAGCTCAATCGCTGCGTGTCGATTATGCCTTGGGAACTCGCGGAAGAGAAGCCAAGAGACCCTGCCGGTGCCGAGTACTGACCGAGATGTCATTATAGGCCTCGGCCGCCCTTGCGACAGGCGTGGTCGCCTATGCCTTCAACCAGCGAGCCAACTTTTACTCTGCCATGGTTTACTTGTCGCAGAACAACCTCAGTCTCATGGTATGTCGGTCAGGCTGCTCAACATTATCACTCTACCTCTGACATTCATTTGTTTCTTTCGTGGGCTAGGTGCTCATCAATCTGATCCTCTTGGTCTACGGATCATTCGTATGGGGACTACAACGCCTCTGCTACGGCCGCCTCCGGCCTATCGAGATCGAGCAACTGTACGAAAAGGCCTGGTTCGCCGTCACCGAGACATGCCTGGCGATGACGATCTTCCGTGAAGAAATCGGCGCGTGGTTCCTTGTCATGTTCACATCTCTCGTGACTGGCAAGGTATGGGAGTGGATAGGCGAGGGACGAGTCGAAGTTCTTGAGCAACAACCGCCGACCAACCCGCGGCTCTTCCACATCCGCCTCTGTACCTCGCTCGCGATCAGCATAGTCTACGACCTCTGGCTGCTTCGTTACACTGTCAACTCAGTCATCCAGCAGGCGAAGCCGACAATGATGGTCATGTTTCTCTTCGAATTCGCCATCCTCACCACTTGTACCTGCCGTACAGGATCCCGCTACATATTGTCGCTGGTCGAAGCGTCCATCGTCAAGAAGCAGACAAAGGAAAGGCTAGAGGCTCGACGCTGCGAAGTGAAAGAGCAGCGGATCGATATCCTTCGGCGCCGAGAATCCGATGATCCAACGGTCGCCGAAGCTGCTGCTCAAGAGGAACTCCTCAACGAGGACGACATCGATGAGATGGACATTGAGGTTCCCGGCTGGGAGAACAAGGGCCAATGGGTTCTCGCCCTTGACCTCTTCGCTGGTATGTTCCCGTGTGAGATATTGACTGGAAGGTGCCATCCTCTCACACTGACTTTGTGCATAGATTTCGTCAAGCTTGGCGTGTACTCTGCTTTCTTCGCCATTCTTATGATGTTCTACGGCCTCCCCATACATATCATGCGGGATCTCTTTATGACGGCCCGCTCCTTCATAAAGCGCCTTGGTGCATTGATCAAATACCGCAAGGCCTTGCAGGATATGAACAAGTATCCAGATGCGACGGCGGAGGATCTCCAGAGAGAAGACACCTGCATCATCTGCCGTGAGGAGATGCATCCCTGGGATCCTGCGGGTGGTGCTGTCGAAAGATCTCGACCGAAGAAGTTGCCTTGCGGCCACATTTTGCATCTTGGCTGTCTCAAGGGCTGGCTCGAGAGACAACAAGTATGCCCAACATGCCGACGATCGGTTGTCATAGACGGCCAGCCCCCCAATGGACGAGCTGTGGCGGCACCAAACAACAATAATGGCCCTGCTGCTAACAATGCGGGTGCAAATGCCCCGCAAGCTGCCAGGCCTGCCGGCAGGGACAACATGCGGGTGTTCCAGTTTGGACCTCTGCGGCTTGGCTTTGCGCAAGGCAATCCTCGCGACCTAAACATTCAGGACATGGCACAGCGTATGGCGATGCCACAGAACGCCGCCAACGCCCCCCCAACACCGGCTGCCGGTGCGGTTCCGGTCCAAACGCCAGCCATCACAATTCCAGGACACGAGTCTGCGCAAAGCCTGGCCGGTAGTCTCACCGATGTGCAAGCACAGCTCAACACTATATCGCAACGCTTGCAGCAAGAAGTGCAGTCTCTGCAACACACGCAAGCAGAATTGCAAACGTTGTATGCCTTGACGTCAGAACTTGCGCGCCTCCAGGAAGTCCGGAGGATCTCCCAACAACCGGGCACATCATCGCAAGCAGGCATTGCCATCACGAATCCTGCGGCCTTCCAAATGTCGCAGCAATTGCCCCTCCCAAACGCCTTCCCTCCGACATTTGCCAGTGCTCCGCCACACCTGGGCATGTCTAGCATTGTATCACGACATGGTGGAGCTTCATATTCGGCTGCAATTCCTGCTGGTAGCCCGGAGTTACCGGAAGGTGTCGTCATTCCGGCTGGTTGGTCACTGCTCCCATTACAGCGTCTTGATGGGCAGGCGGCCGCGGGCTCGTCGCAGGATGCACAGCACGGAGTCGGTCCAGTCGACACCCCAACGACCATGAACTCATCTGCAATCTTCCCGTCACATCTCCAGCAGCGTCTAGTAGCTGAAGGTGCTGGAATGCCGAGGAGCAGAGACGCGTCCCCGACTCCGGGCCACTCAGGTGTGTCTCGACAGGCAGAGCCGCCTGTGGTAGCAGCGCCAACGCCGCTGGTGCCAAACTGGGGCGGTGCGGCGCAGCTTTTTGCAAATAACGGTGGTCGGTTTGCCCAACCACCTTCCCGATCACCCTCGCGGTCTGCCTCGGAGCGAGTCCCGGAGAGTCACATTGCACCTGCTCCTGTCTCGCATCCTGTGCCACCTGTACCCGCTACTGCCCCGGCGCCGCAAAGCGAGAGCGAGAGTGAGGAAGACTCGGATGAGGAGAGGGACCAAGCAGGAAGCGGCCGCGAATCCACAAAAGGAGCTGCCAAACCTGTGACGGTCGAGGATGCCGAAGACGATAGTGACGACGAATGAGAAGCAGCCAAGGACATCATGGGTATTCTGTCGTATATGGATTGTAGTATGGTTAAGCAAATAGCATTCAGCAATAAAGGGCGGTTCCACTGTTCTCACGACGATTCACCTATAAATAATCAGGAGCATGTATGGTGAAATGCTCAGAAGGGATCCCTTCATTGCGTGAAGTGGGTGAGCATCACAGAGAGCCAGGCAGCCGAAGCCACGCTTATGTCAGCAGCCGACAGCCCATCGCCGCGATCATGGTGCTTGATGCCGTTCGACAGCCTCTGGCTGATTCGAGCCTCTGGCTGAACATGGCCGGTGCCCGGCAGAACCTATGAACTGTCCGGACTCTGATTTCACGAACTGCATAAGATCCTGAAGATGACCTGCTCCTCGACTCAAAGAGGAGAGACGCTCAGCGACGTCGGGAATCTATTATCGATTAGCGGCGTCGCCACCCTTGGAGGTGCCGTCGAGGGGTCTTCTGTTGGTGGGGTCGTGTAAGTGGCGGTGGGGACAATGGAAGGCAGGCTGATCACATTGATAGAGCACGACTCATTGGCCCAGAGTTCACGACCTCAAGCCTGACGCTGTCAATGGAGATTGCAAGGCGCCAATGCACGACTATGGGGACGCGCCGTGGGATCAGCAGCAGGTTCTGGCTTGGAGATGCCTCAATCTCATGATCTCATGAGAAGGCAGCAGTTGGTTGCTATGGCGGCGGCGCGCGGGATGCAGGAGGGCAGACAAGGCAGACCTCGGGAAGGTACATTGGCGGGCGGGCTGGGGGCGGGCTGTGAGTGGCTGGCTCTGGGCAGTTCCAGCAGGTTCCAGCGGCGGGCCCCTGCAGGCGGGATGTACCTGTCTGCCCAGGCACCCCACACGGCCAGTCCAGTGCCTGCGGAGCCTGAGCCGCCCGTGGAATCGCATCGAATTCCACCTCCTCCAGTCCACCACCAGCCCAGGGCCTGGCCTGTCTGTCTGCCTGCCTGGCCTGCTGCCTCGCCCGCGCCGCCGCTGTCTCATGAGTGCGCTCCCCGCCTTGCCGTGCCCGTTCGACTTACACTGCCTGCACCCCAGCAACCGCCGCAGCCCGGCCCTTCTTTTTCTACTTTTCGAGACCGCGACAGCACAACTTCTCCCCTCTTCCCTCTCCTTCCTCACTCCTCATCCTTAACAGCTTCACTGTCAAAGGCCTCTTGTGCATCTTCAAGAACTCTCTGGTAAGTTCCTGCCCCGTGCCCGCGCCGGGCTTCATCCTCCTCCTCCCGCTCAAGCCACCTCCCAACGCCCGCACAAGGACCAGGACGAGGGCAGCTTCCCCGCCGTCAGCCTTGCTCCTCCAACTGTGCCTGTGTCCCGCAGCCAGTCGCCTTCCACGGCCTTCTACACTAGCACCACGGAATTTTCTGGTCTTCCTCCAGCACCAGCCGAAATTCTCTGCCCGCTCCAAGCTATTTAGCTGTTTGGCCTCTCTTCTACCATCACCCAATCGTCACCTCCTCTCATCATCACCATCAACAATAATAACGACAACAACCATTCCCCTTCTTTGTGATACCCTCCATCCCTTCTCCTTCACATTGTTTTCTCTTTCGTGCCCAGCGACAAGAGACCATCAGGCCACACCCGTCTCGCTCCCTGGCAAGCCACTGACCGAGCGACCATCCCAACCAGGCCCAGATTCACACATATACCCACAGCCAAGATGTCGGAGACCTTCGAGTTTCAGGCTGAGATTTCTCAGCTCCTGTCTCTCATCATCAACACTGTCTACTCCAACAAGGAGATCTTCCTCAGAGAATTGGTGTCCAACGCCTCCGATGCGCTCGACAAGATCCGCTACGAGGCCCTGTCGGACCCCAGCAAGCTGGACTCCGGCAAGGACCTCCGCATCGACATCATCCCCGACAAGGAGAACAAGACCCTCACCATCCGGGATACCGGTATCGGTATGACCAAGGCTGTAAGTTGCCCAATTAGCCTCACGGCTCCCTCACCTGCGTAGCACAACTAACAATTGTTCAAATAGGACCTTGTCAACAACCTGGGTACGATTGCCCGCTCCGGCACCAAGCAGTTCATGGAGGCCCTCAGCGCCGGTGCTGATGTTTCCATGATTGGTCAATTCGGTGTCGGTTTCTACTCGGCGTACCTTGTCGCCGACAGAGTCACTGTCATTTCCAAGCACAACGATGACGAGCAGTACATCTGGGAGTCGTCTGCTGGCGGCACCTTCAGCGTCATTCCCGACACTGAGGGCGAGCCCCTCGGCCGCGGCACCAAGCTGATCCTCCACCTGAAGGAGGAGCAGACCGAGTACCTCAACGAGGCCAAGATCAAGGAGGTCATCAAGAAGCACTCCGAGTTCATCTCGTACCCCATCTACCTCCACGTCACCAAGGAGGTCGAGAAGGAGGTCCCCGATGAGGAGGCCGAGGAGACCACCGAGGAGGGCGACGACAAGAAGCCCAAGGTCGAGGAGGTTGATGATGAGGAGGAGGAGAAGAAGCCCAAGACCAAGAAGGTCAAGGAGACCTCCGTTGAGGAGGAGGAGCTCAACAAGCAGAAGCCCATCTGGACTCGCAACCCCCAGGACATCACCCAGGAGGAGTACGCTGCCTTTTACAAGTCCCTCTCCAACGACTGGGAGGACCACCTCGGTGTCAAGCACTTCTCCGTCGAGGGTCAGCTCGAGTTCCGTGCCATCCTCTTCGTGCCCAAGCGTGCCCCCTTCGACCTCTTCGAGACCAAGAAGACCAAGAACAACATCAAGCTCTACGTCCGCCGCGTCTTCATCACTGATGACGCCACTGACCTCATCCCCGAGTGGCTCAGCTTCGTCAAGGGTGTTGTCGACTCTGAGGATCTCCCCCTCAACTTGTCTCGTGAGACTCTTCAGCAGAACAAGATCATGAAGGTCATCAAGAAGAACATTGTCAAGAAGGCTCTTGAGCTCTTCAACGAGATCGCCGAGGACAAGGAGCAGTTCGACAAGTTCTACAGCGCCTTCAGCAAGAACCTCAAGCTCGGCATCCACGAGGACTCCCAGAACCGCGGCACTCTTGCCAAGCTCCTCCGCTTCAACTCGACCAAGTCTGGCGACGAGATGACCTCGCTCACCGACTACGTCACCCGCATGCCCGAGCACCAGAAGAACATCTACTACATCACTGGCGAGTCCCTCAAGGCCGTCCAGAAGTCTCCCTTCCTTGACGCCCTCAAGGAGAAGAACTTCGAGGTTCTCTTCCTCGTCGACCCCATTGATGAGTACGCCATGACTCAGCTCAAGGAGTTTGAGGGCAAGAAGCTCGTCGACATCACCAAGGACTTCGACCTCGAGGAGACTGACGAGGAGAAGGCTGCCCGTGAGGCCGAGGAGAAGGAGTACGAGGCTGTCGCCAAGGCTCTCAAGAACGTTCTCGGCGACAAGGTCGAGAAGGTCGTCGTCTCCCACAAGCTTGTCGGCTCTCCTTGCGCCATCCGCACTGGCCAGTTCGGTTGGTCTGCCAACATGGAGCGTATCATGAAGGCCCAGGCTCTCCGTGACACCTCCATGTCCAGCTACATGAGCTCCAAGAAGACCTTTGAGATCTCTCCCAAGTCTCCCATCATCAAGGAGCTCAAGAAGAAGATCGAGAGCGACGGCGAGAACGACAAGACTGTCAAGTCGATTGTCCAGCTTCTCTTCGAGACCTCGCTCCTCGTCTCTGGCTTCACCATTGACGAGCCCGCCAGCTTCGCCGAGCGCATCCACAAGCTCGTCTCTCTGGGTCTCAACCTCGACGAGGACATTGAGGCCGAGGAGGCTCCTGCCACCGAGGAGACCGCCGCCGCCGAGACTGGCGACAGCGCCATGGAGGAGGTCGACTAAGCGACTTGATTGAATTGGGCAAGCTTTGGGTCATGACGAAAAGTTCATATGGAGTTGGATGGTTTCGGGTCTCCACCTTTGTTTCCGGTTCACCCGTCTCATGGCATCGCATAATACCTCATACCCTCTAGAGATCAATGAGGTGTGATTGTCTCTTGGGCACTTGCATCTCGCACAGATTTCTCTCTCGTGTATTCTAGTTCTGATGCCTTTATGATTGATACACAAACAGCCAGGTGGTTGTTTAGACGAATGAAATGTTTAGATGAGACAACCCTTTGATTTCTTCCGAGTGTGACTGTTGTCTGAAATGTGACTTCCTAACTGCGACTGACTGCTCTACCTTGGAATGGGCAAGTCGCTGTGACGTGCCTCAATCACGAAGGGTGGTATACCTTGCACCGATCCAATAACTGCTGACTTTGAACGTCATGTCATCCGGGGGACCTTGTTACTTTGCCATATTTCCCAACGATATATCGTGGCCAACCTCTGTGCCGCTTTCGCTGCTGCCGCTGCTAGTGACTGGGCGCTTGCCATTCTCTCTCCTCTTGCCCCAGCAGAACAGCTTCCAGAACCATTTGTATCGCCACTTGTCCTCCCTGGCGCGTGGAGGTTGGCCTGTGTACCCGCCCTATATGTTTTCAATTGTGGTTAGCCAGCCAGCCACATAGCGCGTCATTTCTTTTTCTTTTGCCTGAGCTTTCCGCCCCATGCTGTACATTGTCCTTCGTGGGCGAAATTTTCCGATAAAAGAAAACAGTAAAAAGGAGGAAAAGAAAGGGAGAAAAGAGAGGTCGAAACGGAAAGAATTTTTTTTGACTCACCGAAGCAGCTTCTTCCATGTAGACAAAGGGGAACAGGAAGCCCTTGAGCATGTCGCCGTGGTTGAGCATCATCCACCATGCCTTCAGACCGAAGGGGCCTCCTTGATAATGGCGGCGTTGTTGTTGTTCGTGGTGGTGGTGGTTCGTTCCTTGGTAGGTGGTTGCTTCGATCTTGCCGAATTCTGCTGGTGGTGGTGATGATGATGATGCAGTAGTCGTGGCGGTCGTCGTGGGAGGAGCCGGGGAAGAAGGGATCCTGTACGGCGTCACGCTGTACGCCCAGCAGAAGAAGACGGCGAAGAGGACTAGCTCGCACGACGTCGCCATCAGAGGGACGCCGACCTCGATGTCGGCGGCGCTGAGCAGCGCTGTAGGCTCGAGGGGCGAGGGCCTGACGGCGTCGAGAAACATGTATATCACCTTTTTTTTTGTTGGGCTGACAGTCAGCGGGGGAAGGATCAGGGAATGCTTGATTGAACAAGACAGAAACCACCCAAGGAACGGGGTGAAGGGGGATTGGTTTCTCCGGGACGAACAGAGGAGAAAGACAGACACATACCTCGAGAATGATATAAAGGCCTAGAATGAGCTTGAACGAGAGCATCTTGAACATGGCGCGGTGCGGCCACAGCTCTGAGCGCAGGGTGCCGCAGTGGCGGATGGCCGTCCACATGCTCATGACCATGCTGGCGATGGTGGTGCAGCTGAGGGCCATGCGCAGCGCCCGCTCGTGCCGCAGCTTGCACGTGTAGGCGAGGGGCTCGACAATGTTGGTACACACTGCCACCAGCAGCGTCACCAGGGGCCCCTGCATGATGTACACCCAGTGCCGCCGGTACCGCTTCAGGGTCAGAGGCCGGCGGCGCTGTTTGCGGGAGAGGGCGACCAAGGGTGCAAAGAACAGGTCCCGGGTCTCTTGGGGGTGGTCGTGCCTCTCGCTGTTGCACGGCAGCCGCGCGGTGAAGCGGCAGATGAGGATCCAAAAGTTGGCGAGGGCGTAGCCCTGGCACACCTCGATCCAGGGCTTGACAAAGGGCCAGGCGTTGGCGTCGTAGACGGCCGCGAGGGTGAGGATCGCGTAGCACGGGATCAGGAGGGCTATCCTCATTATGCTGCCGAGTGGGCGTGTCAGTAGGCCTCTGCTCTCATCCAAACGGTTGTTTCTAACTCCACCATTATGAGCCCTTGGGAGAAGGCCCGGGAGACGGAGACGGGCTCTGTGGACGTACTCGAGCTGTTCTTTTGGGTTGCTCATGTGCGTGGCGTGGCACCACATGAGGCCCGACACGAGCAGGAACGCAAAGACGTTGCATGACCCCGAGACCATCAGGTTGAGCCTGTGGAACTGGATGTCGCCAATGATGGGCTCGGTCGGTGCTAGATGAGCGGCAGAACCCGAGGCGTCAGTGTTTGGTTACTGGACAGCGATGATGGCGAGAAGCTCCAACTCGTGGTAGATGATGATATGGTTCTAGAGCATGGCAGCTTTGGGGGCGCGGGATCGATCGAGGCGAGCAAGACTCACTCTGCACATAGCGCACCGTCAGGTTGCACTTTTGGCCCGAGTTGTTACCAAACATTGTGGCGGGCTGCTTCGTTTCAGTGGTTTTTGAGTTCTGCTCAAGATTGTCTCCTCGTCACTTTGACGATGAGTTTCCTGTCATGCCTCGAATCCGTCGTCCGATGCAAAAATCCAGAGTCTCTTCGCTGTCATCAAGGCGGACCCCTGTGGCTCGCGTCGTCGTGCTCGTTGTAGATGTAGTTGTGATCGTGGTGGTGGTGGTGGTGGTGGCCTGCTAAAGCTCAAAACATATATCGGACCGCCGAAATCAGGAAACAGTGGCAAATGGCTAAACGCAAGGAATGCAAGCCGAGACTCGTCCAAGAACGCTGGGCGAGTCGTCCGCTGCTGCTATTGCTTTCTGCTCCCGTGGACAAGAGGGTGTTAGAATGGAGAAGAATAAAACAAAAGAAACCCACAGTCAAGATTCCCAGAGAGACGGGAGGAGCCAACACAATGCCACGCCAAGTCGGCGCAGGCGCACACATCTTACTTGTTCTTCCAACCGGAACCGAAAGCGACAGCCGTATGGCTGCCCTTCACTCGAACGAGGGCGGGCGCTTAATCGCCGGGACCTCAGCCACAGGCACAGACCTGGAGGGGACGCCCAACACAGCCAGCAAACAGAGGCCGTGGCCCTTGAAAGGGGTTGTGCTGCCAACAGGAGAAAATGCTCGGCCAGGGTGGTGACAAGGTCCATCTTACTATCCGCAGCACTGCGAGCATAAGATCGGCTTACAATGGCAAACCCCGTGGCTGACTTGGGCGCTCCTTTGGTCATTAGGTACATACCGGTATATATCACCACGCATACCGAGTGGCGCAGCCACAAGGCACCCCCAACGACTCCTTGCCATTCCCACCAGCCTCGCCTGGGGACAACTTGGAGAACCTTGAGCCAGGCGCTCAACTTGTGCTTGGCTCGCGCGGGTGCGCGGGTGCCCGTTCGGTGTCATAGTAAGCCTGACGCTCGGCCATCCATCATTCCCCGTTTCGGCCATGTGGGCCGCCATTGCAGCCACTCACTCGACGCCCTGCATTCGCCTGTAATGTCTGCCATACAATGCAGAGCAAAGTGCTTGGAAACCACACTCCCTGCTAGAGATGCTTCATCATTTACTAGTACACGCTAACAATCTGTTTCTGCGCCTACCAACACGCGTTGGCTGTCATGCAGGCTAAAGCAGACAGCGGGACAACAACCACAAGTGGGCCAACGAGCCCAACTCAAAAGTCATCAAAGCCAAACCTGATGCGTCCCGCCGTGTCATGCCCGCACCCGGTCCCTCCCCAAAGTCTGCCGCCAGCCGTCGCTCTTTGCCATCGTGTGCAAGAGCATACGCTCATGCTTTGAATGCTTTGCTCCCAGTCACCAGACCCTTGCCAAACTTTGTCAAAGCTGCCCACGTGGGTGCGTACTGCAGCCCCTCATCGTACGCTGGTATAGTACCAGGTGTGTTGACGTCGGCCCAGTAGCATACAAGCCGCCCGTCCATGCCTGTGGTCTCGTCACCCCCCTCACCATCCCATCTCACATCAACCTCCCATGGCGTCTTCCAGTCTCGGCGATACAGGCCAATCGAGTTGACGCCATCCTCGGGCATCGCGGCGAAACGCTCATCGGGCTTGTTCGCACCTTGGATGCGGAATGTGGTAATGCGCTTGTCGAATGTCATGAGGCATGACTTCGTCTCCTTGGCATCCACCACAAAACGCGCTTTCGAGTCGCCCTCCGCTCGCGTAATGTTGACCGAAATCCAGTCGGCAAAGCCTTTCTCCGGAGGAATGCCATCGGACGCTCCAGGCACGACGTTAGGTGGGACGGCAGATCCGTCGTACGCACAGCTCGTGAGTCCGGCTCGCCCGCTTTGCGTGTAGTTGCGTGGCTTGCCCGCAGCAGAGGGCAGCTCGTCCACCACCATATCGACATACTCGCGGATGCCATTGTAAGTAACCTCGGAAGCGCCAGTATCAAGGTCGATGATTTGCTGAAAGTAGATCTTGGCCCGACTGTCCTCCGTGAACGGGAAGACCAGGAGGTTGTAGATCAGGGTTGCCACGAATACGAGGAGAAGTACGAGCGGAACATGATGCGAGATACGGTGGGTGAATGGGGTCACAGGCAGCACTAGCATGATGCTGAAGAACGCTGTCATGACATACGGTACGAGGAGGCTGGATCCGTCAACACCAGTCTGGCTCACCGAAGAAACAAGTAGCAAGCCACTCTGACCGATGATGATCACGAGGAATGGGCCCAGCAGCAGAAATTGCACGAACCACAGCCAGCTCGGGAGATTTGCTGACCAGGGCTGCTCGTGCTCGTACGGCTCCTTGCCATAGGCATTGTGTTCCTCGTCTGCAGCCGAGGGTGTGTGTCGCTGTCTGTACCCACCGCCAAACGTTGTCCCATGGTGGTTGTCGTTGTTGCCTCGAATCAAAGGACTACTTTCCGTGGGCTCGCTGGCATCTTCGGTGTCCTGATTGCCATCGGATGAACGCGGGTAATCACCGGCGTGTGGAACAGACTCCAAATGGTCGTCACTAACGTGATGGTCAGGATGGGATTGTAGTGCCCAGATCAACTTAGTGGGGAGCCCGAGTTGTTCCAGGAGAGCGAGTAGTACAGCCAAGAAAGCCGCTGAGTTCAGGAACACGAAGACGTATCCGCTGCCGATGTTGAACCTGTCCTCAAAGACAGTGTTGACGACCAAGAGCAGCCAGCTGATTGCGTATATCCACATAATGGCGTAACCGCGGGATAGTGCACTGGGTCGTGCAAAGTTGGCTCCAGCCATTATCGTCCAGAAGGCGAAGTAGAAGAGAGAAAGCATCATCGCCCATCTGCAGAGGTTAGCAGATTAGCAGTGGTTCTAACAAACTGTATAATGAGTCTAGACTTACACGGTGTATTCGTTGCTGTATACAACCAATGGATTGATCTTAGCAAGCAAGTACGCAGATGCCACTGTCAAAGCGCTAGCAACAATCAAAGCAAATGGGAACCTGACAATGCCCTTGAGGCCTCCAAGCTTGATCGGATCGGGAACTGAACCCTCATAGGCTAGAATTCGCGAGGAGAAGAAATAATATCTGTCGGAGCGAGCAATGGCATATGTCGTGACCATAAGGATGACAGGCCCCGCCACGAGCAGCGACACCGACCACGCGAAGAACGACTTGAGGTCAAACACTGCGAAAGCCCGACCGAGGATATCGAACCAGACTCCAGTAGTGCCCTGGCCATTGTCGACTTTGCCGGTGCCCTCTTCATTCCGCTCACCAATGAAGGTGTCGCCTGTGTCTCCCGAAAGAGCTTTCATGGTTTCCAGGGCATTGCTCATCATATGCCAAAGGCTGGCCCGCGAAGCGTGCCTGGCATCATCCTGGTTTGTATGATATCTCGCTCTTGGCTTGTAGAATGCCATATCCAGACCTCGAAGTCCGTAAGCGTCGACGAAGATGGAGAAGTCCGTGCCGCTCTTGATGACGCCGAGCCCGAAAGCGTCGGAGGATATGACCGTGCCAAAAGGATGCCGGACATTTTTGTAGGCGCTGGTCACTTCGGCATCTGTGGTCCGGAAAATGGTCGCCCGGCCGCCGGCGCCGGCTCCTTCGAGGTTCAAGAATGTATGGCAGAAGGGCATCATAGGGTGGTAGGCAAAGGCTTGCGCGCCCCACAGCCAATCCTCTTCGTTGTTGTTGAGCAACGCAACAATGCCATGCTGAGGCTGGTTCTCAGGGCGCGAAAAATAGTCGACCAGCGCAAGGACGGTAGCACAGCCCATGCCATCATCAGTCGCTCCAAAGCCAGTAGAAACGCTGCATACATTGTGAGGAGCTGCACATCAGACAATAAAATTGATGTTGTTGAGCGGATCACCACTTACGAGTCATAATGAGCGTTGAGAAGCACGCCACCTTTGCCGATCGTCTTGACCTCGGCAGACCTGGACACCTCCCACCAGGAACCCTCGGGGTCATCCTTGCCGCGAATGTAGACAATGATGTTGGTACCTTCAAAGTATGTCGCGCCACCCACTGTCGAGCCAACAGTGCGTTGGTAGGCCGTTACGTTGGACACGATGTCGTCGAAGATGACGAAGTCGGACTTTGCGGCGCCATTCCTCGCCTGAATAGCCTCGAGCTCCAAGAGGAGCCAATCGTGGAGTCTATCATTCTCGCGGCTATTATAGGGATGATACGCACGGGTCAGTTCGAGCAGGTCAGACCATGCTTTCGTCAGGTTCAGACCAGCGTATGCAACAGTGTCCTCTGGAGGCGAGGGCACTGTCTCATGGACAAAGATGAGCGGCACCAAGGCGGCAATGTAGACAATGGTCGTCCAGAAAGAGACCTGGAAGGGCCTAAAGCTGAGCGGGTTGTGCAATCTCATGGCTGTGTCAGAGGCTGAAGGCCTATGGATGCTGGCGGAAATGCTTCTTGAGAGCGCGCTGATGGACACTACTAGCCTCAACCCAAGAGGAGAGTGCAGGCCGCGTCGGCTGCGCAGTTCCGGCGAAGACTCACAACTGCAGATGAATGCAGAGGTGGATTTCACCTACGTCCATGGGCCGTCTGTGGAGAGGGAAGAGTCCGGACGAGGGCGGAAATGATGAGCAAGGCAGCAGGCCGAGTGATGCAAATGAAGGAGGAGGTGGTGCAGCCTAGGAGCTCAATCTCCAACGCGGGCAGGATTGGGGAAGCTGCATCGCGCCCGCAGGCGCGCTGCAGCTGTGACCAATGACGGCTCGACCCTGCTGCGGAGTCGTAATCCGCATTGTCGCAATGACAGCATTCCTGCCAAGTTCACAACTCACGTGAGATCATGCTGGATGCTCTGCATCAACCGAAGATGCTTCAAATCGAGAATGCACATTACAAATATCAGCCCCGGAGCGTTTTCGGCTGTTAGATAATCGCCAGGGGCAGCCATGTCAGCAGCTTTCGTACATGCGCACCGTCGTGTAGCAAGGACGTGGAGCAATAGTTAGTAAGCACGAGCACCTGAGCGAAATCTCCCTGTCACGAGGCGCCGAACATGTCTGGTATAAGACCTTCAATTTCTGTACACAACTATCTAAGTGCCTAGAAGTAGTAACATATCAATGATGGCATAGCTGCGCAGATAAATCAAATGTACCAGGACACGACCTGGTTATTATGCTACTACAAATGCCTTCGGTTAGTAGCCAGTGGTCAAGATTACCTTTTGTGACAGCCTAACGGCGATATGGTCGTCACAAGCAGTATTTGACATGTTCCCTCCTTTCTTCTGTTAGTGTAGATCCCTGGAGTCAACGTCGGTAGCCGTTGCACGGTCGGAAGTTGTCGCCGGGCTGTCTTCAAGCACCAGGAGGAGGGGGGGGAGGAGGTTGATCGCTCGGAGGCGGAGGAGGCGCGCCGTCGGCTGGCGGAGGTGGCGGCGGGGGCACGGCGCCATATCCGGGAGGCATCATACCGGCCATTGAACCTGGCAGACCGGGCGGTGCACCGAGACCAGGCGCGCCAGGAAGTCCTGGAGGAGCACCCATACCAGGGGGAGCACTGTATCCGCCATAACTGCCGTAGCCTGGATAGCTTGGGTAGGCAGGCTGTGCAGGAGGAGCTTGGTTCCAAGGGGCGCTGCCGGCGCCAGCAGAGGCACCATTGCTGCCGTTGTCGCGACCGCCGTTGTAGCCGCCATTGCCGTAACTCTGGCCACCACCGCCGTAGTAGCTGTCACCGCCGCGGTCGCGATTGCCTCCACCATAGTGGTCATTACCACCACGATTGCGCCAGGGTGCTGGACCGCCGCCGCCGCCGCCACCACCTTCGTTGTTCTGGTCACCGCCTTGATCGTTGTCGCGGCCACGAGTTCTCCAGGGCGCGGCAGCGCCGGTTGGACCACGTTGCCATGGCTTGGCCTCACGGTCACCATTGCTAGGAGCGGAGCCAGGCCCGGCCTCGATACGCGCGGGCGGACCGCCAGAGCCGCCGCCGAGTTCTTGCATGAATTGCTGGGAACATAATTAGTATATGTAAAGAAGGAATGGAGGGGATCCAATGCTACTCACATCGTACTCGCGGTCGGCATCATCGCCAGCACCGATACGGCCGGCGGTGCGCGGTGGACCGTCATTACGCCAGCTGGCACCCTTCTGCCGATCAGGACAGTCCCTCGCCATGTGACCAGCGTTACCGCAGACACGGCAGATGATGTTTGCGGTGAAGTTTTGTCGTTCGGGGCAGTCGTATTTCCTGTGGCCGATCATACCGCAGTTCTGGCAGGCTTGGTTCTCGTCGTCACGGAGCGTACCGTTGAGGGCTGCGAGCTCTCGTAACTGGTTACGCTTGAGTTCGTTCTGGCCTTCGGGGATGGAGGCGGCCTAAAGAGAGCGGATATTAGCAGAATGTTCAGGCAATAAACAGGAAAGGTGCGCTAGACTTACAGTCTCAATGACGTTGTGAATGAGCTTCTTGGCCTTGTTGACCTTCTCCTCAGTGTCCGCCATGATGAGGCAGTGCAGATCCTCCTCCTGGTTGCTAGCATGCGCAGCATCAGACCGGCCTTTACCCTCCTTGACGGAGCCCTTTCCACGAATGGCGATCTTGGCACCCGATTCTGTTTCCATCTTCTTTAGAGTGTTTCCACGGGGTCCGATCAGCAGACCGACTTGATTAGAGAGAGGTTAGTGTTAGTGCACGGCAATTTCATCACGAGCTTGGCAATGGTGGTTAGACAGCTTGCGGCCAGCCTGTTTGCACCATCTATCGCAGAACGACGTTGGTACTTCCCAGCTAGCTTCTGGATGTGGGGAGGGGAGGTGGTTAGAAAGGTTAGAGGGTTAGCAATCTCACTGAAGTTAATCTCCGGGTAGTCGTTCACCGGCACGTAGACCTTCTCCTGGGTCTTGGTCGGTCGGCGGTAGTCCTGAGGAGGGTGGTAGTTAGGAATGGTCTTCATCGCCTTCTCGATCAGTTTGTGGCGTTCGTCTTCAAGGCGCTTGCGGTAGCGGTATTCGCGTGTGTTGACACGTCGGCCGTGGTTATCATATTGGGGTGGCGGCGAAGGCGATCTGGGGGGAAGCACGTTGTGATTAGCATTAATGAGGCGCGAAAGAGGGCAGAACCAAGTCACTCACCTGTCGCCGTCCGCCGGCACAACATCGTTGATCCTCAGCTTCTGGCTGATCTCTTCGATACGCAGGTGGAGCGTGTATGCTTCGAGCTGTTCGCTAGTCATGTTGGCCATGATCGCGGTCGGGAGTCCCATCAGGCCAGCGGCCTTGTTCTCGGAGGCATCGCCCCATCTGTTGCGCTTCTTGCGCTGTCGAGGGCCACTAGAATCAGTGCCTGGATGAGTCGCAGTTGCGCGCGTTAGCGAGAGATCATATGATACACAAGTGTGCTGTTCGCGACGGCGTTCAGGCGACTCACGAGGCTCGGGGCTGCGACCACGCTTGAGGTCGCGGTCCTCGGACGTGAAAGTGCGAGCAGGCGACTCGTCTTTCACGGCTGGCTCATCACCACCAAAGCGGCGCCGGTTGCCGAGTGGGATGTTGTTGGATCCCGTGATCCCCTGGTTTCTCCACGACATGGCGACGGTGTTTGCGCGACTCTTGATGGAATTTGCGCCTGACGTGATGCCACTCAGAAAGGAGTTGTTGGTGTGTTCGTCGCAGGCACTTTTATCGAGTGGAGCGCGACAGGCGGCCCTGCATTTGCAGGTGGGCTCTGGAGTGGGGATCCACTAAAGCGACCTGCGACCTGGTGGCGTCCAAGGCTAGCGTCTAGGCTACAGTTCCAGATGACTCCCTTCGGCCTCTACTTGGGTTTGATTGAAATATCCTTCTGGTTGTCATTCAATCTTGATTTTGAGCCAGATGGTCAACAGCAGCGGTCAAAGTGGCAGACGCTTCAATCAACACAAGACACCAGTACAACGATTCCGTAAGTGCCCTTCATATGCATATGCGCGTTCAACTCCATTCATGCCTGCATGTGCCAAGACGCCAGAGTACTGGGATAGGCATTGGGCAATTCTTGACGGACTAGATCACAGATTCCGGTCTCGCGGTTTGGAACGCTGCTCGTCTCACTTGGCCTCCTCCTTCATCGCAGCCTGAATCCAGTTCCTCGTGGCCGCCGCCTTTGCGTCGAGCTCCTCTTCCGTCAGCTTGTACTGCTCAAGCGCACCATGCTTTGAGGGCACATTGCGGCCCTTTTCGAAACCGGGACGCTTGACGAGGTCGAACAGCCATTTCTTCAGCGTGGGGTACTCCTCGATGTCGACACCAGCCCACTCTAAAGGAAGTGTGTTAGCACAAATGCGTGGCATGATTCCCCGACATGCCCGACGTGAGACTTACTCGAAGCAGCCACCCAGCCCCAGCAAGAGATATCGGCAATTGTGCACCGGTCGCCGACGAGGAAGCCAGTCTTGTTGGCCTGTAGCTGCGTCTCCATGGTGCGGTAGAGGCGGCGGACCTCGCCCTTGTAGCGGTTGATGCCATACTGGATCTTCTCTGGGGCGTAACCTGTGATCGTTTGTCAGCATTCATCTGACCAATTGCAGTTGCTGAGGGCGTGGTCAAGAACTCACGATTAAAGTGGTTGAGCTGGCCCTGCATGGGACCAAGACCGCCCATTTGCCAATGGAGCTTGAGCAATGGTTAGCAATAAGGCCCGGATTATCCGGACCAGGTTTACGGCGTGGCATGAACTCACCCAGTTGTTGACCTCTATGTACTCCCGCGAATCCTTGGGGTAGGAAACCTTGTGTTCCGTGTCATAGCGATCCACCAAGTATTGGAGGATGGAGCCACTCTCAAAGACGCGGATGGGCTTGCCATCAGTGAAAGTGTCAGTCAGCGCCGGGATGCGGCCATTGGGGTTGATCTCCAGGAACCAAGGCTCCTTCTGGGTGTTTTTGCTGATTTCAATGTTTGTCGTCTTTGATCACCACGTCTCGAGTCAGATGCATGCTCGACACAATCAGGACTGCAGGATATGAGACGCACCTCGTACTTGAGGCCAAGCTCCTCCAGCAAGATGGAGACCTTGATGCCGTTGGGGGTCTGCGCCGTGTAGAGGTGGATATTGGAGTTGTCGGCGGCCATGGTTTTCGTTACTTGCGTTGCGATCTGGGCAATTCGATGGGTCATTGGGTGTAATCTGCTCTGTATATTCGAGGACTCCCCATCCAAAGGTGAGGCAGGTCTTAGCGGGGGTTTTTATGTTCGCTGCCGTCCGCGACTGACGCGCACAAGGGTGGGGAACGCGGAGGTGCGCATGCCGGTGGGTGTGTGGCTTAGGAATCAAACGTTAAGGCATCACGATGACAAAACGAGGCTGCGATCTGGCTACAGGTCCCCCTGCAACGGCCGGGGCCTCTATTGCCCCGGCTGATTCTATGCATTAGGGAAGTCACACGCGGTCTCCCCATGCAACGGCCGTCGAGTTGCTTTCATTCCGGAAAGCTGAGGACTTCAAAACGTGGACGTGGCGGGCTGGTTCGACGATGTTCGCTGTACCCACTCCGAGCTTGGAAACTGCGTGCGTGCCCACGCGGAGGTGGGACTTCTTCAGCCGAGGCCAGCTGGAGGCGACGCCCATTGTCCTCGAAAATGGCCTGACCCCAACATTGGCTGGCACGAGGGGGATCGTCATTGACCGAACTCAGTCACCCAACTCACTTGTACAAGTGCACCAAGCCTACAGGCAGATCTCACATCCAGCGTCTCAGTCATGCAACTCTGCGGACTCTCCCGGCACATCTGCCGGTTGCCTGCAAGGTACAGGAGCCACTCACAGCCAGCGCCCGCCATGCGTGTACCGCTATGCGTGTTGATCGTTGAGCGACAGGATATAGACCTCAAGTATAATGGCTGACGGTCCAGAAGAACACGAGTCGCTGCTGGTGCGGCCCGACTACAAACCTGCAGGATCAATATAACCAGCCAGCACTTCCACCGTGCGAGGGGTTTGGCAACTGCCTTCAAATCGGCTCTACCCAAGGCATCAGCAAATAAGCAGGCTGTCGAGTTTGCATTCCCTACATCGACTGCCGCTTCGAAGCCTGTCAAGCGGAACTCCCTGTAAGGACGGATGACGGGACAAATCTCGGTGACCAGATATAAAGAACAGCATGACTGACGAACCAATTCTTTGTTTTCATGGCTGAAGACCAAATGTATGGCTGAGGTATGTGCTCTGGTCATGCCTTAGCATGAAAATGAGCCAGTAACAGAGTGCTTGTCCTTTACATCTGGCTGACACCACGCCACTGGCAATACAGGGACAACTGCCGCTGCAGCTTCTGTATCAACCAAGATACCATGCAGAAGGACCTCGATACATTCGAGGTGCGTCCAATCGGCGAAAATCGTCGAGTGATTTGTCCACGGGACGCCAGACTAACGCAGATGGAAATCAATTCAGATACCACAAGACATCCAAGCTTCAAGCGTCGAGGAGACTGCAGACGGCCTCAAGATACGATGTAAAGCCCCTATAGATTGTACTTCACCAAAGGACACACGCGCAGAGCTGACGAATGGAGCCGAGAACATAAGGGTCTGGCACTGATGGTCATGAGAGTTTCTATCCTTGGGACTTTTTGAACTTCTATCTGGAGAATGACCGACGGCAGCCAGAGGCCGTAAGGTGAGACTCCCGAGCCCACACACTTCCAGTTGATAGACGGGCGTTATTCACATCCACATTAGACTCGAGAACTTCGGCTCCGATGGCCCCAAGAGCGTCAGACTCTCCTACGAGGATTTCTACCCTGGTCACAACGAGCTCAGGGGCGAAGAAGCGGACCGCGTCGTCGGCCGTCTGACTGGTCTCATTGTATGTCTCCACTCGTCGAATCGGCCAAATGGTTGAGCGACCACCTCACAGAAATTGTATTCGCTGATTATCAAACTCGTCATTGTGAATGAGCAAAGGCTCGCCACGGCCTCGCCTTCATCGACAACGTGCCCACCTCGTCAGCTGAGCCAACACAGAAACTCCTTGAGAAAATTGCCTTTATCCGCGAGACGCACTATGGGGGCTTCTACGACTTTATTCCGGACCTGGCCATGGCGGACACGGCGTACACCAACATCGCCCTGCCTGCTCACACGGACAATACGTACTTCAGCGACCCGGCAGGCCTGCAGGCATTCCACATGCTGTCGCACACGGGAGCTCCGGAAGGGTCAGCATCCACTGTCGATCTTGGAGGGCAGTCACTCCTCGTAGACGGATTCCACGCCGCCGAGATACTGAGGCGCGAGGATGCAGAGGCCTTTGAGGTGCTCTGCGCAGTCAAACTCCCGTGGCACGCAAGCGGGAACAGGGGCATCACGATTGCGCCGCACAAGCGGTATCCGGTGTTGGAACTAGCCAGTGAAGAGGATGGAGGGAGTGGTGGTGCAGGGCAGTTGCACCGGGTTAGGTGGAACACGGCAGATCGCGGTGTGGTGCCCTTCTCTGGCGATGGAGATGGCAAGACGTCGCCCGAAGCCTGGTATGCGGCTGCCCGCAAGTTTGATGGCATCTTGAGGAGGAAGGATGTCGAGTACTGGGTCCAACTTAAGCCTGGGACCCTGCTTGGTAAGGCAACCACTCCGTTGCAGCGCCCTGATCAAGTTTCAGCGAGGCTAACACGGGTCTACTCGCAGTCTTCGACAACTGGCGAGTCCTGCATGGCAGAGCCGCATTCACAGGCGTGAGGAGGATGTGCGGCGGGTACAGTAAGTCCCTTCGATAGGCATTGTGGATCTGATCCTGTGCTCACTATCCGTGCTATATACAGTCAACCGCGACGACTATATTTCGAGGTGGCGAAACACCAACTTTTCTCGGCAGGAGATCATGGATAGAATCGTGGGCTGAACGTCGATGCCACACCGCATGAGATGCGGCGACATCATTCTTTCCGCCAGTATTACCATGTCATAACACGTGATGCAGCTGGGTCCGAGTAACCGCAATCTCGGTTTGGCTCCTGACAGCAGAATCAAGAAGGATTTGCGTCCCACTTGGCTTGGGCGATTTGGTGTCGTCATGACTGCCCAGTCTTGAAGCACTGTCCTGACGACATTACTGAGCTTTCGACAGCAACCCTCGGGAGTATTGAGGTTGAAAGAGACTCCCAGGTAAGGCGAATACAGTTCATAGGAACATGCCTTCAACAAAAGATAGTTAGCTCATCATCATCTTCCTGACCTCCCATGGGATGCGCACTGCGTAGAACATTGTTTGATTTCTGGAAGCTCCAAACCGTTGCGGGGCCGCTAGGACGTCGCTGTCGACTTTGGTGGGCGGCCTCCTTTTTCCCATATGGACTTCAACAACGACTGTTTGGAAGCAATCCAGGTCGGCGCCCTGACACATCATCCTCGGGAGGGACAGGGTCTGTATACGAGCGCCTTTCTACTCGAAGCTCATGGCACAAATGCGTCACCGAAATTAGACCCTGCGCGCACATGCGCCAAGCGACGGCAAGCAGGTGAGAAGAAGAGGTACATGGAGGTACAAGATTTCGAGGACGAGCTGCCCCGCGCCAAGGACGTAGGACCTGGCTAGGCCGGGAGGGGCAGCTGGGATGCTGGCAAGAAGCAGGGCCCCTGTGGGGGGGAAGCTCCTCCACTGCCCCTCGCCAGGCCAATCTGGTCCCTCGAGCACAAGGGGCCCGAAGTCGTCCCAAGTACCCTGACCCGACCTGCGGTGTGTTTGATGGCCTGGCGTGAGCAGCGAGCAACCCAGACTGCCTGCAGGCGGCCCCCTGACCAATGGCTGTAGCCACTGTGCCGGTTTGCCTCCAGCGGCCCTTCGAGCGAAGTGCCCGCACTCCTGCACTCATCAGCTCTGCCTCCCATCCCCCATCAACTCTGGCCGCCGCCACCATATCTTTTACCCTGACCTCGTGCCCAACCTGCGCCGCCTTTGCTCCACGACAACCGCCCTGGTGCCAGCACTCCGTAGACAAGGTCCTTTTTCTTCGCAGCACTTTTACCAACGGTACGCTCCGACTTTGCTCCCTCGACTGCGTCGCCGCTTCCTCCCTCGCCCGCTTGACCCCCTCGCGGCTGACCACCGCCCCCCGCCACCATGGACAACGACGAGGGCACCGAGCCTTTCCCCTCAATGGAGGAGCAGACCACCGGCCAGAGCGACAATGCCACCCGCGCGATCAAGCAGAAGAAGCCTCGGCCTGAGATTGACTTTACAATCCACACCATGGAGGACGGCGCTCAGGTTAACACCCAGGAGCGCGTCTGCAAAGGTACATCAATACTTGTTCCTCTAGTTATTGCTTTGGCTTTGCGGACAAGATTCACCAGTCAGAGGCATCATGCTGCGGTGCTGCGTGATCTGTCTAGCTTCTTGCGCAGTGCGAAACTGCTTCAACAAGAGGCGACACTTGCAAAGACAAATTACCACGTTGACCATCCCGACGGGTTGTGCGACAGTCTTCTTACACACCATGCCTGAGCGTGCTGACCATTTCCCACTTCACAGATGTCCAGGCGCCAGCCATGTACAAGCCCACAGATGAACAGTTCTTCACCGACGAGACTCATACCAAGCCCGACATAGCGTTCCTTAAGCAGCACTTCTACCGCGAGGGCCGCCTGACCGAGGAGCAGGCCCTGTGGATCCTCAAGACCGGCACAGAAGTCCTTAGGCAAGAGCCTAACCTGCTTGAGATGGATGCACCCATCACAGTTTGCGGTGACGTGCACGGACAGTACTATGATCTGATGAAGCTCTTCGAGGTCGGCGGCGACCCGGCGGAGACCCGGTACCTCTTCCTCGGTGACTATGTCGACCGCGGTTACTTCAGTATCGAGTGTGTGTTGTACCTGTGGTGTCTCAAGATCCACTACCCCAAGACACTCTGGCTCCTCCGCGGAAACCACGAATGTCGCCACTTGACCGACTACTTCACATTCAAGCTCGAATGCAAGCACAAGTACTCCGAGGCCATCTACGATGCTTGCATGGACTCTTTCTGCTGCCTGCCGCTTGCGGCTGTCATGAACAAGCAGTTCCTATGTATCCATGGAGGCCTGAGCCCTGAGCTTCACACCCTGGACGATATCAGAAATGTACGTGGCGGGGAGTGCTGAGTCTGGTTCGCATGGGGGTACGAGTGACTGATTTGAAACCACAGATTGACCGCTTCCGCGAGCCACCGACGCAGGGTCTCATGTGCGATATTCTTTGGGCCGATCCGCTGGAAGACTTCGGGCAGGAGAAGACAAACGAGTTCTTCATGCACAACCACGTCCGCGGCTGTTCATACTTCTTCTCTTACCCGGCAGCGTGCTCCTTCCTGGAGAAGAACAACCTGCTCTCCATCATCCGAGCTCACGAGGCCCAGGATGCGGGCTACCGTATGTACCGTAAGACGCGGACAACAGGCTTTCCCAGTGTCATGACCATTTTCTCGGCCCCGAACTACCTCGACGTCTACAACAACAAGGCGGCTGTGCTTAAATACGAGAACAACGTTATGAACATCAGACAGTTCAACTGCACACCGCACCCTTACTGGCTGCCCAACTTCATGGACGTCTTCACCTGGTCCCTGCCCTTCGTCTGCGAGAAGATCACGGATATGCTCATCGCCATTCTTCACACATGCTCTGAGGAGGAGCTGCAGCAAGATACTCCGATGACCAACTCACCAGGCCCGGTCTCGCCGCCCCTGAGCAGTCCCAGCTCCACAAACCCACTCAACGACCCAGATTCGATCGAGTATAAGCGCCGGGCGCTCAAGAACAAGATCCTTGCCATCGGTCGCATGTCGCGAGTGTTTGGTGTTCTGCGCGAGGAGTCTGAGAAGATTGCCGAGTTCAAGACAGTTTCTGGTGGCCGTCTGCCCGCCGGCACCCTCATGCTTGGTGCCGAAGGCATTAAGAGCGCCATCACCAACTTTGAGGACGCCAGGAAGGTCGATCTTCAGAACGAGAGGCTGCCGCCCAGCCACGAGGAGGTGCAGCGGCACCGCACAGAGGAGCACCAGCAGGCTCTGGAAAAGGCCACCCGGGAAGCGGAGAACGATAAGAAGCTTCAGACTCTTTCTCGACGGTTGAGCCAGTCGTAAGTTTTGATGCCGAGGTTCACGTCTGCGCAACGTGACGCTGACGCGTGCATGCGATTTAGGGAGCGTGGACCGCGCAAGCCGTAAGAGCTCACAAAAGTGGACAATCTGGGTCTGGCGGGGCGGTGTGAATGGGACGAGTCTGGCGTTCTCTGCTACGGAAATCACAAGCAGTCTGAAGTTAGGCAATGACACCAAAGAGGATGGTGCTCTTGATAATCAGGACTGGCATTAGCGATCCGAATAGACACAGCCGTGACGTTGCGTGGAAGGCACTGCGTGGAGGGAGTAGGACACACGTACCGGAAGGATATACAGCCGTCCTAGGCTAAGCTCATGAAATACACAGGATACCGTCGACATTCTGCTCGACTGCCATGATAAAGGTTCTCTATGCGTGTTTGAATGTTGCTCGCAGGTCGTTGAACAGCGACAACCAGGGGAGCCAAAAGAAATTTCCCCCGTTTTCCAGGCCCGGCTCGATCTGTGCGCATACGTCATTGGCATTCTAAAATGATGCGCTGCTCAGGGTGCCTTGCCTCGTGGAAGGAGCCACAGACACGCCTCGATGTCTGCTTTACCAAGACACGGCTCCGCTTAGAGGAACGACTCCTCCGAACAAGAGGCATTGGAGAATATTTGACGACGCCACGAGTACGACTGTGCTGGATACCAAAGAGTAGACTAGGCGAGGGAAAGCACCGCCAGAGGTCCTCAGAAGTCCCAACATGAAACTGAAATGAGAAACAGCTGATTTAATAATGTCCTCAAAGGGGCGAAATTGTATTCGCCATTGTGTGCTTTCTTCGATTTTGCGCAAGAAAGTTCTAAAAAGAAAACATGTACCTGCGCGGCTGCTCATTGACTCGCAAAAAGTTATATTCCCGACACTCGGGAAAATGAATGTCAGGAGCCGTAGACGAGCGCTGGACCCCGGGGACTACAAGGGCCCGACTGAAAAATGGGAACCGAGGCAGGAATCGCAGCCAACGACCACCATTCATCCCTACGTACTTGGGGTATCCAGACAAGCGACCGAGCATCATCCCGAGAAAAAAAAGTTACAAGCCACCACCCATCATCACAAAAGAATACCAACTCGTCCGTCGTCAGCAGACTCCAAAAAGAACATCTCTCCAAGAGGGAGGGAACCAACAACAAAAAGGAAAAAAGTATCAATGATGATGAGGACGAGACTCGAACTCGCGCGGGTTGCCCCATCAGGAAGTAACTTGTTAAGGTAACCTTAACCTGACGCCATAACCAACTCGGCCACCTCACCCGATTGTTGAAAACGAGATGGCTTATGAAAATACATGTATGCTCTCATCCTCCCTGAATGCTTCCGTGAGTGAAAGTCCGGGACAAGTCAGAGAAGCTTCCCAGTATCCATAGACACAACTGAAGTAGCTATCATAAGTCCCAGAGAATCGGGTACTTTGGAAAGGTCTGCGGGGTTCAGAAGTCTAAATGCCGTCAGAACAAAAAAGCAACAATCCAGAGCTACCACCGACGAGGCTTGGTCAGCCCGACTCATAGAGAAAATATGTGTGAGGCTTGCTTACTTCTATTGGGGGTCTTTGTAGATGCCGGGAGATATCTATAATTCTGAACTCCACGCCACAACATGAACAACTTCTGGCTGCCTTGGTGTTGGAACAACCTGTGCCTACCGCTTCCAGTTCTAAGGAAGCTGGTGCGCGCCCAATAGAGCGGATGACAAGGCGTGGTTCAGGAGACAAGGGCTCGCAACCCAGTCGACCCGTCTCATATGAATGAAGCAACAGGGATCTCGAGGCGATATGACAAGCAAGACCGTGCAGATCATTCAAAAGGAACATCACTCTTTAGCAAAGATAAATGCAGGGTATCTCATTTTATTTCGTTCCATGTGCCGGGCAAAATTTAAATGCCATCTCTGCACTGCCACCGCTGTCATCACGACGCCCTCTTCTTCCCTGCCTTCGGCTCTCTCCGGCGCTCCCATATCTGCAGGTACGACTCGCCGAGGTACAGCAGCTCCTTCTGCGCCTGCTCAACAAACAGGTCCTGGCACACCACCCACGAGTCCGTCCCCTTGTCGCGCAGCTGGACCTTCCACGTCTTGCGCTCCTCGCCAGTGTCGCCGACGTCCTCTTTTGCCCGGACCGCCTCGTGCACCACGTTTGCGACAAGGTCATACATGATCGGCTCTCCGGGGGAGTGTTCCGCCGGGTTGGGCTCCACGTAAGGGGCCATGTCTAGCCCTACGCGCGCGTCAAAGGTGACAATGGTTGGGTTGCGCTCGGCAACAAACTTGTTGGTCGAGAAGCGCTTGATGTGGAAGATAAGGTACGGCGGCAATGGGTGGACGAGGCGATACCGCTTGCGCTGGGCGAGGTGTTCTTGCGCTTTCACGCCGTCGTATTTCGACAAGATCGTGGTCAGCGGGACCTGGGGAATAATGTTGCGCTCGAGCTCGTCCTGAAAGAGGGGCGTGGCCGGCAGGTCGAGTGTCAGCAGGAGAAATCGGCTCATGTCGGTCTTGACCTCGGCGGCTTCTTCAAAGCGCAGGCGGTCGTTGGCGTCGGCTTTGGCTGTGATGGCCTGCGACTCGACCTTGAGCTTGCCCTGGAAGATGCGCTGGACCATGCTAGACCCGGGCTTTGTCTTGCTCCCGCCCAGGCCCAGATGCAGGTTGTTAAGGAACCAGGACAAGAACTCTACAGGGTCTGACTGCGCCGTCAGAGTGAAGCGCTTATTGGACAGAAGTGCAATCTCCTGGAGCAGCTCGTGCGGGGAGACGTGGTTCTTGAACGCGCGCGGGTTCCATATCTTGCGGAACAGGATGCTGCACCGCCGCACCAGCTCCGTCCGCGACGAGAGATCCTCGAGCAGGAGATAGTTCCGCAGCGGCGCCACGTGGGACAGCGCCTGCACCACGACGTTGAGGTAGTCGTTTTCCTTGATGTTGTTCATCCCCACGTACCCGGGCGTGTACTCTTTCCCTTGAAATGTGAACGCCTTGCGCGGCTTGCGGTCGAGCTCCATGACCTCCTCGCGTGTATACCGGGGGTCCGACACGTACTTGATGTCGTCCAGCGATTTGCTCTTGACCTCGTAGCCCTCGGGCAGCACGTACACCTTTTGCGTTTGCATGTTGATGAAGACGTGGTGGCCCTCATCCAGCGCGTGGAAGTAGGCGTGTGATTTCGGCCCGCGCCCCTGGAAGTACTTGCCGCACACGAGGCACGCGTACACGTTGATGTTGGACAGGCTGATGGAGCAAAGCTTCTCAAAGTCAAAGTCGAGCACGTTGCGGTCGATCGTGTCGAGGTACAGGTCGTCGTAGCCCGCCGTGGGCGCGGCTTGTCGTATCGGCGCCTTGGCTGGCTCTAGCTCGTCGTCGTCGTCGTCCAGCATCGCTTCGCCCGAGCCCCCCGGCGCTATCGTGTGGTTGCCTTCGGGCGCGAAGCCATTGCTGAAGTGCCCGTCAGGCGTTGCGGAGCCGTTGAGGCTGTCTTCATATCGTGAGCGCTTCGAGGCCGGGGAGCCTATGCCGTGCAGCTCGTCCAGGGCTTCGGACGCAGGGCGTTTGGACATGGTTGTTTGCTAGTGGTGCCGCCTGCAACCGTCGCGCGTCTCTACACACAGTGCTCTGGTGGTCGATAGGCTCGAGTGGGCGAATTGAGGCTGCTATGGGTCCTGCTTGCTTCGCTGTGCGACCCTGCGTGTGCTGCGTCTGTGGTTGTCGTGAAGGCGTGCGGCTCAAATGACGAAAGTTGAAAAGCTCAGGTCGAAGCTCGACCGAAGCCTACAGCGAAAAGTGGGGCGCATGTGGTGGTGCCTCTTGACAGCAAGGCGAATCTCCCACTAACAATGCTACCACGAGGTTGACTTGATGCATTTCCTGGGCGTTGAACTAGTGTATATTTCATTCGCGAAGCTCGCCGGCCTCGTTGGGTATCATGTATCGCTATCTGTAAATCAAAATCTCGGTCCAGCCACCATTCCAGTCTGCAAGAACCTCACTTGGCTACCTGCTTCAGCTTCGATCCCTTGTGCCTCGGCGTCGTGTCGCCAAAGGGCGTCCTAGGCGTCATTCCACTTTTGCTTCCAATCTTGCCCCAGAGCCTCTGTGCGGCCGGTGTAAAATTACTGCCAACCCGAGGGCTGCTCGGAAACTTGGGCACGGGCGTCTTATCCACCTTGCCCGTCATGCCGGCCGTTGACGCGCTGCGTTTCGACTGGGAAATCCTGTCCACCATGCGGTGATGCAGTGCCTCACGGCGCGGTTGCGCCTTGATCATGAATGGGTTTGGTGTGTCATCGCCCGGTCCAAGATCAATCTTTGGGAGCGGTTTCTGCTCGTGAACAGGCTCCTCGTCGTCTACAAACGAATATCCGTTGACTCTGGGCGTCTCGCTCCCCACTGCCGTAGACGTGTTCCCCCGCGGCTCAGTCCTCTTCCCTGCAATCGCATCTCGCACTGCTGACAGCGACGGCGAGGACGGGACCGACTCCCCCTCTGTACTACTGATGTCTGGCTGCGGTAGCCGCGTATTCTGGTAGTTGATTGCTCGCGGTGGCGCACGAGATTCAGCCTCGGCTTTCTGAAACGTTGTAGTGGCGACAGTGTCCTCTACGCCGGCCGGCGCGAACATGAGCGCATTGTCCGGGGCAGTCTTCCACGTGTCGCACTGCGCAGGGCGATCGTCCCCGTCTTTGATAGCCAGGCGATCTCTCTTGAACCCATCGTCCACGAGACTACCGCGTGCCTCGAGCAACCGGACCTCGACTTCTCGTTGCTTCAGCTGCATCCGGGACGGCAGCTTGTTCCCCATCCACAGCCAGGCATACTTTTCTACCTTTTTCGAGTTTTGCCGGTCGAGCAACTTGTAGAAGCTCTCGTTGTCCTCGCTTGTGTACTTGGCCTGGAATGCCCCTAGGCTCATCGCAGTGTCTACATCAACCTTGTCTGCACTCGTCATCGTGGTTGACGCGGCAGAGACGGCAGACACAACAGACACTGGCGTGTCCCCAACGAATGTCCTCGGCGTCTGCCCAGATATGGGCGTCAGACCCAGCGACGTGCCCCTGCGCCCATGATTGCGCTTCCTGCCAGGTGTCATGACATGTTGCAGCCGCCTCCCCGCGCTGGCGATCCATGCTTCGTCCTTTGACTCGAGCGCGTCAAGATACTCCTGCTGCGTCTCGCTCTCAAGCAGCCCCGGGAAAAAGTCCCGCGCGATGATGTGCGACAGCGCCTCGGTGTAGCTGTCCTCGTCGATGACTGTCTTGGGCCGTTTGATCCGTTTCGTCGGTGGGGGAGGGGGCATCAGTTCGAGATCGGTCGTCCGTTTGCGCACGAGGGATGTCGATACAGCCTGCGGCGGCGCAGGGCCGGTGCTGGGACCTGCGCCAGTGTTTTCCGCCATGATGTGTCGCGGGGAGATGTGGAGTCCGAATGTTGTTCTTGTCGCGGAGCGACTCGAGCTTCTGATAGGGGCAAGGGCGGCCTTCGAAGTTTGAAGTTGGTGGAAGGTCGCTCTGGCAAACCGATGCAGAAGGTCGACGTCAGGCAGATGCAGGGCCTAAGAGACTGGGTCCACTTTTTCTCATACCGGCGACAACGACGCCAACAACCTTATTTGCTCCGGCCTGGTAATATCGCAGGAACTAGCACTTGGAACGCTGGGACCATGAATTGAAGAAGTCAAAAGTGTATTGTCCATGTGTTACAGCAGAGGCCCAAGGACCGTCTTTACGGTTGAAAAATCTGTACGGTGGGCAACCTGATTGTCAGCTCGTCATAACTGTCAATTCCCCTCCGACAATAGGTCAACTTGTCCACCCTGATGCATCTGACACAAGGAATACTTCTTTGTGCTCCGGTACTCGTCCCAGACCAAGCATGTCCGCGTTCTTGAGGAAACTGGAGATCAAATAGTGCATAGTAATGGTCGGCCTTCACAAACCGACCATGGAAAATGACCAGATCATGCTTTCATCAGCACCCGACGTCTGCACGTGCATCAACGTCGCCCAGTACCCAGTCGCTAGTATCCTGTCCTTCCACAGTTAAGCTCACCATAAAGAGGCGAGAGAAAGAATGACTGTGGACTCGAGGTCACGAGCTAAATGAATTTCGAACTTCAATCAATCCATTGTGAGATGCTGCTCTAACTTGTTGGACGGTCCCACCAGCACAAAGGTCCAGTGGATGCACAAGACAAAGAGCATTGTTGGCGGCCTGTACACACCGACACTGTGGACGGTTGAGATTGTGCAGGGAGTGAGATGGACCACAGTTTCTTCACCAACACCCAATCTGCTCATCACTTCACACTCACTTTGAAATCACGGCACAGACACAGACTCGTTTTTGGAAGAAGTTCTTTTTTGAGAATGCCCTTCTTCTCGATGCACAAATACCCAAGATATTTGTACATGGCGATCCACGGGCAAGAATATGTATGTGCATCAAGAAGCGTAACCCGCAGAGCGGTCATACAAAACCCTAAACGCCAGAGGCCGGTCCTCTTATTCCCGGTGAAACCAAATCTTTTGTCCTACGTCAATCCCATTTTGTACAATTGATCATGATGAGTGAAGCACCATCTAAGCACGGAAGGCGCGGACAACGCGCTTGCCATTGATGGCGGCGATCGAGAGTGCTGAGGACTGGCCCGTCTGGCAGGTCGTGCCGCCAGCCACGGCCATGGCAACTGACCAGGTGCCAGAAGCGCACTGCTGGAAGGACTTGCCATCAATGCAGTTCCACTCACCCTCAGTGCTGCAAGCACCAGTGAGAGCAGATCCTGCGGCCGGGGGAAGGAGACCACCAACGGGAGGGTTGGAGGGGGCAGTAGGCGTAGCGGCAGGGGGCTCGACAATGGTCGAAGTCGGGACGGCAGCCGGGGCGGAGGGAGTAGGGGCAGAGGGAGCCGAGGGCTGAGGAGCGGGAGAGCCGGCGCTCGGAGGCACGGTGATGAAGACGCCACCGGGCAGGGTCGCAGTAGGCTGGGAAGCAGCAGGGGAAGACGGCACAGGCGCAGGAGCGCCGCCAGAGCCGCCATCGGTACGCTTGCAGACAGAGTCGCCACAGCCAGCATCGCAGCAAAGCTCGTGGGGGAAGCCGAAAGCGCCAATGTTGTTCTCGACGGACGCACCGGGGTTGGCGAACTCGACATCGTTGCTCTCGACGGTCTTGGCCTTGCCCATGATGTTGAGAACAACCATGTCAGGAAGAGCATCGAAGTTGGCCTGGGAACCGCCAGTGCCGGTCAGAGTGATGGGCGAGCAGAACTGGTAGAACTCGCGGTTGCCGATACGGTTGACCCACGACCAGGAGAAGATGGCATCACCAGCGGGGATGTCGGTCGGGATGGTGAAGTCGTAAGTGTCGGGGTTGGTGGCGGATGCACTGTTGCCTTCGCGGTTGCCGTTGAGGCCACGGGCGGGCATGCCACCCTGAACAGTGTGGATGACCTTCCACTTGGTATCCTTGGAAGGGCTGAGGTCGTAGGTCATGGAGAACTGAGCAGAACCGCCACCGTGGACGGCAGTGCCCGCAGTCTTGAGCGTCTGCTTCGAGCCAAGGGCCCAGGTGGTGCCAGCACCACCAGTGAAGAACTGGGCATTGGTGGCCTGGCAAGGGAAGTTGCTACCAGAGTCCTCAAGCGGAGAGGAGATGGTGCCCGGGAAGGGAGGAGGGTTGACCATGTTCTGGTGGGCCGATGCAAAGGCGACGAGGCCAGCGAAGACGGTAATAGCCTTGGCGAACATGTTGACTGTTTGTGATGAAGAAAGAGTGCAGAGACTTTGAAATCGTTCCAGACGAGATGAAAATCTGAATAGGTGACAAGACCTGGTTTTTGGTGCGCGTTTGCAGTGCAGAAGAAGCCGTCAGAGTCAATCTGAGTGGCTTGTGATGTCGTAGGAGACGGTGGTATGTCTAGGAGTGGTAGTTGGTCAGTTGTGTGTTCAGAATGCTGGAGCGAGACTGGCAGTGCAGTCTTGCAATAGGCCTGATATACGGCGAGCAGCGTGGAAGGCACGGCCTGAGGAACGAAACTCGGAGTGGGAAGGAAGCCAGAGCTCGCTCTGGACTTGGACACTCCGCTCGGAACCATCGCAGTTTGATCATGGACAAGTCCATTCATTCTCTTTCGGACCTCGTTCCTCATGCCGAAAGAATCCAACAGATTTGATCAGACATTTTACTCACCGGATGGCTGGCTTTGATGGGACGAGAGGACAAAGCGAGCTATGCACGACAGCGGTCTGGGACGAGAGTGATTCTTGTCTTTGTGAGGTGAGTGAAGACTCGAAAGATGGTACTGCGCCAGGCGGATGATGGAGCTTGTCAAAAGATTGGAAGCAAGAATGACTGAGAAGGACCAGGCCTTTTTGATGATGATGTTTCAGTGAATGAATGAGATGACTCTTTGTCTTCTTCGTGCAAACGATTGTCGTCGAGACTGAACTGCCGCAGGCGGGTGGAGGAGAGAAGGAGGAGGGCAGGAAACGAAACACCAGCACGACCAGCGACGAGCATCTTATAACCAGACATTCAGACGACAGGCAGCACATGCAGAGACAAGCGTGCCAAGGGGCCTGGTCGAGGGGCCGCCGACAGGCTGGCGAGCGCCCGTCCAGCGCGGGCACCGTCACAAGGGGGGGCTGCTGCAGGGACAGCCGCGCGATGCGGCACCCTCATTGGGCGCAGCCCCTGGGCGCGAGCTGCAGGGCCCTCTTGCTGGGCCCTTGGATGCCTCCAAAACCTCCAAGACAGGGGGAGGTTGGAGGGATGGACAAGGCCGTCCGCGATGGTGAAGCGAGATCGCCTGCTGTGGTCCGTACGCCCTCCCAGGAGCGGGCGCGACAGGGGGGCCAATGGGGAGGCCTAAGCGACGATCTCCCACGCGGTGGCTTTTTCGCTCCTCCGCCCCTTGCCCATTGTCCTCCCGCCTCTCGCCCGGAGCACGAGCCCTGGCGCCCTCCTGGCGCCCTTGTCCCCAGCCAGTCAGGTGCTGGCCCCGGGATGCGCCGCGCGTGGCACGAAGCATAGCGGCTCACTGACATGTTGCCGGACTGGCCTTGGCAGGGATCCTCCGCCAGGCAGGTCGGTGGCCCCGCCATCCGGAGGCGACGCTCGCGACGCTACACTGCTCGTACTCGAGCCTGTCTGCTCGTGGCCTGACCTCCGGGGCACGTCTGACAATAGCCCGTCGCTGAGGTGCCGATACTCAGACGAAAGAAAGGGCTTTCTTTCAGGCTCATGCGTAACCACACCCGGCTCCAGATGATTTGGCATCGGCGACAAAAATACGACATGGTCATACCACCTGAGCACACAGGCATTGTCGGAAGAGGCGCAGCTGTGAGGTGCACGACAAAGTCGCCTTGCGCATTGACTCCATGGATCGTGTTGACGAGCTGGCAGGGAACTCCCCTGCCGCCCACCTACCTAGGCCGTGGGTTCATGCGGAGGCAGCCTCAGCCCTCTGCTCGCCGTGTCATACCGTATTCACAAGTCGATGTCGATCTTCCGTGAAGGACTCCTTCATCACGAGCAAGCCTCGTCTTCGGCAGCGCAGCCGCGCGCTCGGCTGATGGCGTTGGTGTACCGCCACTGGCTCGAAAACCCGGCCAGTGCAACGATCATGCCCTCAACTATCGCATTGATGTGGACTATGCCCTGTCGCCACTTGTACCACCATGGAGCTTTGTGCCTTAGTGCCACCTGCTATACGGTTGCACTGCAAAGAGACTGGGCGGAGCCAGACAATGGCAGCGGGGAGGACCTGCTTTTTCCCCGTTGGCCTCCACCGCCGGTCCACGAAGGTGGTTGGGACAATTGGTGTCCTTGACTGCGAACGAGCCACGTCCCGAGCCCTCATATCGCCAGAAGACAATGGAAATGCCGCATGGGTGCTTGCCTGTGGATTGCACATCATCTCCTGGTCGCGAAGATCACTGCTCGACCCAAGGCCTTTGTCCGAAGCTTGGCCTTGGGCGGAGCCAACCAGACTTCGCAAGGACAGAGTCTCTCTCACGCGGCCCGCCCGTGATCGTCAGGGGGGCCTGGCGGCCGTTTGCGCGTACACAGTCATGGCTGGCCATTGTGCATGAGACCACAGCTGCCGGTCTTGAATCGCTGCACCAAATGCATGGAAAAGAAAGAGTCAGGACCTGAGACCAAAGCATCCGGTCTTCCTGGCGCGCGCATCACTAGTGGGATCTGGCAACTCGCCTATTGTTCTGGCGCCCTTTGTCCACATCAGCTGTCCTCCCCAGATCGCTTGCGCGAGCTAACAACGGGCCTATCCAAGCTGACTTGAGCACTCTGAACTTCCTATTCTCGACGGACGGCGTGGCAGAAGTGGTCTCGGACAGGCCTCCCATTGGCAGCAACGCGAGACCCAATGAGAAGACGTAGACGGGTTCTCCTGCAGGGGCACTCGGGCGCCATCCCTGCTGCGCTGGACGTTCCCCTGCCGCGACGCTCTCTGACGTCCGCGCTTGTGGCTTCGTGGTGGGGTCTCGACTGGCTCTGGCCCTGTGGCCCGGCGCCGTCGAAAGTTCTGAAACGAGCCAAGTCTGAGAACCCATCCAGGGGGTCAGGAGTGCTTTTCCTCATGCGCTGCTCAAAGTGGGTTAACAAAGTGCCTGCCGCTCCGTCTTGTCTTGCCAGCCAACCATGTCTGAACTCTGCAGCTGGTCCAGACGTTCAAGACTCGCCTAGTCGCTTCGTCACGACACTTTCCTCACCCGAAGCGACGCAACACCACGGCCGAATTCGGTGTCCGCTGCTGGCGCGGTCCTCCTCTTTGTGCTGTTTCGAGAAGTAGCCATGTGACGAAACTTTGCGCCAATAGCCTGGCCATCGTCCGAAAGGCGCTGCCGGAAGCTGGGGCTGATCTCCATTGCGCGCTTCCATGTCGCAGGCACACCGTCAGACCGCGCGAGGTTTGTCCCGCAACCAGTTGTCAGTCATATCCACGGGCGTTGTCAAAGTTGAGACCACCAGTTATCGTTGCAAATGCAGTTTAGATTGAGTAAAAACAATCTCCCTGCGCGTGGGATAAGTGATAGTTCATCCCATCGCCAGCACTCGCTAGAAAGATCACAAGACGGGGGGCGGGTTTACGTTGCCTTGCATGCATGAAACGAAACATCCCAAGTCTCTCCGTACGGCCTCCTCCACGCCCATGCAACCCTGCTTCTCTCGTCGTTCCTCGAGGTAAAAATCAGTACCGGGAAGGAGAAGGTGTGAACACCAATAACATATCTTGAAACAAGACCATATTGTCCTTTGTTCCCTGCTTGCTTGTTCTCAGGTCGGGCGCTGGGGAAAGCAGGGGTTGGAGAGATCGCCATCGGCGGCGGCGGCGGCTACAGGACCAGCAGCCCCGTGCACTCGAGTACAGTCTGCGGGGACACTTACGCATGCAGGCATGCCATTCAAGGCAGGCATCCTTCGTGTGCCTTTCCCACTTGTATGAGTCTGGGGGAGGAAGGGGTTTCGAAATCACGAGAAGCTTAGCTCGGTGAGACCTCGCGATTGGACAGACCATTGTCGCTGCCAACAGCCTGTGCCTAGTTTACGCTGGCTACGAGTCTTCCCTTACTGCGCACGCGGGTCCACGGAATCATGCAACTATCAATAAAGCGGACAACAGCGAGGCAAGACGAAGACATGTTGCTAACCCGTCATGGGCGGACTTGGTCTCAGCCTTTGTCGAGAGAGGGCTGCTCTATTAAAGGCCCTGAAAAGACCTGTTTCCTGATCAGGAAATCACATGTTTTGGCACAACTTGTGACATGCTTAATCTCCGAGCCGTCGCCAGATCTCCCAGGATTTCGTTCCTTTCGAGTATTTAGCTATTTGCGGCCACTCTCACATGACGATTTGATTCGGTGAAAATCCCCCCCGCTCTAATATTAAGAAGAATGCGTAATATCCTGATCGGCTACAGAGCGTCTGTGCTGAGTCTCTTAGCGAGGGATGACGACGGAGCAGCAGCTTGGCGACCAGCTCGTCGCAGGTAGATCGCCGTGATCCACTCTTTCCTTCGTGCTGTATATTGCCATGTTCATGATCTTGGCTGAGCCCCTCGAGACCTGAAGAATGGCATGTGACGCTATGCTTGAGGCTCGTTTGTCCTTGCGGCCGTATTGCCTAGGAGCTATTGCTGATGAAGAAAAGCAACTTTTTACTGTCCGGTCCGAGACTTTGGACGGTAATGGCGATGGCTGTTGGTCTATGCTCGGATTTTCTCTGAAAATCTGAGTTGTGTCGAGGATCACGAGAAATTGGGCAAGAACACCTTGGCGGTTGGAGTTCCTGATTCTCATTTTCACCTAGTCATCCAGAATCGTTGTGGCTGGCCCAAGACAATCATTATCTACGGGACAATGGCATAGTTGCACCAAGCCCTTCAGTCAAATAGGCAGGGATAGGCCCCAGAGGATTGTGAAGAAGGCATGCCATTCACGCGACAAGTCCATGTTGATGACAAGTCCAGACTTCTCTCGTTGAAAAGAAATCGAAGTCAAGAACGCAGATGCCGCAGCAAGGCAAACTAGAGCCTCGGCAAAACCCATGGCCTTCTTTCCACGAGACTAGCGTTCCACTTACCCAGTCCAGACCAGGTGCCGCCAACTGAACGAGTTGGCCATTGCAAGAAAGTCGACTCCCATATGAGTCCTTACGGCACCAAGTCCATGGCCACCATAATCGGATGCAACCCGGGACCATCGTGAATTTTCCGTGCAGCGTGCCACTGCGACTCGGGCAGCGTGCCGGAGTAGTGTCAGAGCGTAGTGATATGCGCAGAGTTCAGGCAAAGTCGGATCACGGAGCCTATACAAGACAATACTGTTGGCTCATTGACCATCCTACACTCCTGAACAGTAGTGGCGGGAACACTGTTGCAATCAGGTCGATTTCTGCACCTTTTCGGCCAGAGCGCACACGTCTCGTGATGACTTAGGCACGAGCCGCCCTGTACGCGCGCAGATGGCTGGTTGCTTAGGTCTGTGCCGAGAAGAGCATGGACCTCGGATATATGGTTGTTTCCGTCTTGCTACTAAGCATGGCAAGCTATTGATTTACATGATTATAATTGCCGGTATCACAACAAGCGTAACATCAAATGATGTGCATGTACTGAATGAGTTGATTCAGGAACCATGCAATACAATCGCTCTCATCTAGAACTAGTCTACCGGGAGTGACGAATGGGGATGGTTGCCTGATCATCATGATCTCGGTAGCAAATATTTCTCAATAGCTATTTATACATGCAGGTATGAGGCTGTTCTGTCGACACCTCGATAGCTTCGATATCATTCGAGGTCGACTGACTAGATGGCAGTGATGCCCTGTGTTAAGACTGGGAACCCGCATGCGTTTGTACAACTTATACAGCTAACGGTCGGTGGTGAGTCTCGAGTTTCTATCGTATTCTAAGCAGTAACAAAACATCTAATGACAACCTCTACAGCTGAAGTACCACCGACGAGAAGCTTAGTCTGTGCACTTGATGTGGGTAGCAGCAGGTCAAACAGCCGCGGCCACAGCCTCGTCCTCAACCTCCTTGGGAGCAAAGTGGTCGGTATCCTCAAAGCCGTAGTCCTCGCGCGTCCACAGCTTCATCCGCTGCGTGCGGAACTCTTCAAAATCCCACTCCCGGTCCTCGAGATGCGCAGGGTCCTTGTAGACATATACCTCGGTCTCCACCACCTCATCCTCCGCCTTGCCGTTTGACTCGCCCTCCTGGCCCTTACTGCCACCGGGCTTAGGCAGGAGGCGGACTTTCACGGTCTCACGGACGTATCTGGTTTTCCGAGAACGGCTCGATTAGTGACATGCCGAGCAAACATCATCCTTTTCTAATTGGCAAGAGCATGGGAAGCGATGTTCGGGATGACAAAGACGAAGCAAACTTACTCGTCTCCCTCAAACTGATCGAGCTTGTACATGTTGGCCGCCGTCAGGCCGGTCACGTACATGCCGCGTACCTCGTGATCCGCATCTGCTGTAATGCCAGGGTAGTCGGCATATTTGACTCTCCTACGGTAGCGTGTTAATTGCAGGGTCTCAGGCGATCAGGCCCCGAAACCGCTCTTGATCTAAGCTATAATCACAGCTGTCTTTCCGGTCCGCGGAGAAATGGGCTCATGATAGACACGTACCGTCTGCTGTAGCCGGGCAGTATCGCCGGGTGGAAGTCATGAAGGCTCTTCAGAACGGCGACATCTTGGGTGGCAGAGCGGTAGCACACAGTGAAGAACACCTCGGGTGCCATCTGTAAAGAAGTGAGGTGAGCGGCCTGTCTCACTGAGCCCTTGACAGCGGCCGAGCATGACCGTGTAGGAACGTGGAACGTACCAAAGTACCTGTTGCACTGTCAGGATTGATAAAGTAGTATGTGGACGAGGTCATGCCGGAGCTCCACTGCGAGTAGGACTTACCGTAGAAGAAGGCCGTGTGCGTCTCGTCAGAACCCATTGTGTGTGTGAGTTTCGACAGATGGTCCTTATCGCGGTTGCGTCACACTACCTCAACGACCAGAATACGGGCGGCGTTCAGAATCACCACACGAACAAGCCTGAAGAGATTCGATGCGCTGGGACAGTGGTTGGCATCACGCAAGGCAGACTGACCCAGGGGACCGACCGTTGGGAGGGAGTGACGCCCACCGAGCCGTTATCAGATCGGCCTGACCCCACCTTTAGGGGTGCCCGCTCCGTCTTCGGCTTGGGGGACTTGCAACACACTCAAAGTCTGGAGCCAGGCACATGGCATGTTCTGCTGAGGCTCACAATGGACGTCAAGAACACCTGCCAGGCCGCGCCTCTTTCTTTTTCCATTTAACATGCCAGCTTCACACGGTTGGATGTAAATGTCACCGTATCCGTCCCTTCCCTTTCGCGTGCAGCTACGACGATAAGACGACGGGCTAAAGTAACGACTGGGCGCGTGCGACACTCATGACACCGACAAAACTTCATCATTCACGCACAACTCGCCTCTCGTGGCAAATGATGGGATCTTTGCATCACAGCTATCTGATACGCATCTCAGCCGGAGGCGCGAATGCCCGCCTCTAACTGTCGGGGGCAGACTTGCAGTACTCAACTAGCTGCAAAGAACTTACCATGCGAGTGCTGCTCGTGGAGCTACTTTTTTGGTCGAAACCAAGTGATCTGGATCTGTCGATTGTCTTGCTGCCCCAGTGGAAACGCCAGATGCAGCGATGGCTGACTACAACAGTACGATGCGTGTGACTCCGTAGCTGTCAGGATAGGCGGACGGGGCAGCTCCGATCATGAAAATCCCCGAATGCCACGCGGTATATGCACAGTCGTCGGATGCGACGTCACCTGGGGAAGTCCTTTGGTCGGGAGCGTCTTTCGCGTCAACCACAACGCGCCCAGCACTGGGGGCGGCTCTGCGACAACTGGACACTTAAGCACCAAAAGAGTTTAGCGCAGGGACATGGGCCCGGCCGGGGTGCGGCGGGCCCCTGAGCCAGACAAAGGCTTTGATTGGCCCAGTGGCTGGGGGAAGGCGGCCCTAGAGCTAGACAGATATGGCCTAGCGCCAAATGATTTCGCGACGGCAGGCCCCAGCGACTCGAGCTTTCGAGGTTTCTGTCCGTTCTCTGGTCTTCGAAGGCTTCCCTGTTGGTCGCAGGCTAATTATCTCCATCCCCCCAAAGCACCTGGGTCTACACTTCGACGTCGTCGTCGTTCTTGCCGAATTCCACGATACCCCCAGCAGTTTTTCTGCATTAATCAACCTCGGCTCACCCGGCGACGGCGCTTCCACCCTGCGTGATAACCTCAGCACCACCACGATACCCACCAAGCTGAACGTGTTTCTCCCTGCGTGCCGTGCCCCTTCGAATAATCGCATCGCCATCCCACCTTTCCCCCGGACGCGATTCCCTCCAGACGACTAGACCACACAACCACGTCTACGCAACCGACACAGCGTTTTCGAAGCATCCGCCCGCACCCTCGACACCAGCTTGCGACCGCGACATGCTTTCAAACGGATCGGCACACAGATAGCGCTCCTTCCCGGCACTTCGACTCTTGCTAGTGGTGCTCGTGGCGCGCATGCGCACCCGCCATCGCCATGTCGGGGGCCGCGCTCGAAGATATAGTCAAGCGGCTGACTATATCTGAATTCGGTACGCAACATCCCGCTCGAGCCATGCAAGACCCTCGCTGCGATTCGTGTCCAGCGCTGGCCATCCCTCTTGCTCGAGCTTGTACCGATTTGCTTGGAGGATAAACTGACACCGTTCGCAGAGCCCAAATCGAAACTCGAAGCGGCCATTTCCCTTCGGGACAGCCTCGACCACTACACAAATGGCCCTAATTATGCCATATTCCTGAAGAGGGTGATGCCCACATTCATCAACACTCTAAGAGGGCCATGCGTGTTCCAGAGCACGTCGCCGGAGCAGGTATGTTGGCATCATTGTACGTTTGAGACTTCCTGTGCTGACGAGCGCCTCGCCCTAGAAACTCCGGAACTGCACACTCGAGATCCTCCATAGATTGCCGACACACCAGACACCGACAGAACCCTTCGAGCCGTATGCCGAGGAGATCGTGGAGCTTCTCATGGGTCTCGTGCGCAACGACAACGAGGACAATGCGACGCTATGCGTGAAGATCGTGTCCGACATTATGAGGCACCAGCCCAAGGTCCTCCACACCAAGGTGCAGGCGTTCTTGAACCTGATCCAGGAGCTGTTTGAGCAAATGGAGAAGGTCGTCCGCGAACAGCTCGATAACACGTCGACCACGAATTCTACAGGCCCGCCGTCTACACCAAACAGCACGCAGCCGAACTTCCAGTCTCCGCGCCCAGGGTCGCCGGTGGCATCCGTGACTGAGCTCGGGCAGGATCCGCAACAGCAAAACCGACCTCTTCTCAAAGGCATGCAGTCCTTCAAGGTGCTGTCTGAATGCCCCATCATTGTCGTCTCAGTCTTCCAGACCTACCGCACGATAATACAGACCAATGTCAAGGCGTTTGTACCACTCATCAAATCAGTCCTGTGCCTCCAAGCCAAGGCGCAGGAGCAGGCGCACGCAGAGGCCAAGGCCAAGGGCACGATATTCGCCGGTGTTAGTCCGAACATCAAGAATCGTGCGGCCTTTGGCGAGTTCATCACTGCACAGGTGAAGACGATGAGCTTCCTCGCGTACCTGTTGCGGCAATACTCGAGTCAGCTTGCGGACTTCCTCCCGACCCTGCCGGAAATCGTCGTGAGACTGCTCCAGGACTGTCCTAGGGAAAAATCTGCGGCTCGCAAGGAGCTTCTGGTTGCCATTCGCCACATTATCAATTTCAACTTCAGAAAGATCTTTCTTCCGAAAATCGACGAGCTGCTGGAGGAAAAGACACTGATTGGCGATGGCTTGACTGTGTACGATACTATGCGGCCTCTGGCGTACAGCATGCTCGCTGATCTGATCCACCATGTCCGGGACTCTCTGTCTCCCGAACAGATCCGGAAAACGGTCGAGGTTTACACGAAGAACTTGCAGGACAACTTTCCCGGGACTAGTTTCCAGACGATGAGCGCAAAGCTGTTGCTCAACATGGCCGAGTGCATCGCCAAAATGCAGAACAAGATGGACGCACGCCATTACTTACTAATGATACTTAATGCCATCGGCGACAAGTTCGCGGCCATGAACAGGCAATATCCTAATGCCGTCAAGCTCTCGAAGCTTTACGCTCAACAAGCTGAGAACCAGGTCCAGGAGACTTACTTGGCAGACAAAGAGCACCCACCGGAGTGGGACGAGACCGACATCTTCACGGCGATGCCCATCAAGACGTCGAATCCTAGAGATCGAGGCGCTGATCCCGTGGTGGACAACAAGTTTCTCTTCAAGAACCTCATGAACGGCCTTAAGAACACCTTCTACCAGCTTCGCTCGTGCAATGCGGCGCTTCAGATCGAGCCACAGAACGCGCCACCACACTGGCAGGACGTCTCGTACGGCTTCTCGGCAGAAGAGGTAAAAGTCATAGTCAAGCTTTTCCGCGAAGGTGCCTACGTCTTCCGCTACTACGAGATCGAGAAACCGGCGGCCGAGTCCCAGTACGCCTCGCCCGTTGAGTATATGGCCAACTTCTACATGGTTTCTAGTAGCAAGGAGGAGAAGGACCTGCTCGAGACGTTTGCGACCGTCTTCCACTGCATCGACCCCGCCACCTTCCATGAGGTTTTCCAGCAGGAGATTCCGCGCCTGTATGAGATGATTTTTGAGCACACGGGATTGCTGCACATCCCGCAGTTCTTCTTGGCTAGTGAAGCTACGTCACCCAGCTTCTGCGGCATGCTGCTGAAGTTCTTGATGGAGCGCATCGACGATGTGGGTTCAGCAGATGTCAAGAAGGCCTCCATCCTGCTGCGACTTTTCAAGCTCGCGTTCATGGCCGTCACACTATTTGCCAACCAGAACGAACAGGTCTTGCTCCCACATGTCGTCGATATCGTCACCAAGTCCATTGAGTTGTCTACCAAGGCCGAAGAGCCGATGAACTACTTTCTCCTGCTGCGTTCCTTGTTCAGGAGTATCGGCGGTGGCAAGTTCGAGCATTTGTACAAGCAGATTCTGCCACTCCTCGAGATGCTTCTCGATGTCCTCAACAGTCTGCTCATGGCAGCCAGAAAACCGGCCGAGCGCGACCTGTACGTCGAACTCTGTCTGACAGTACCAGCTCGTCTCAGCAACCTTCTACCACACCTAAACTTCCTCATGCGGCCCCTTGTCGTTGCGCTTCGTGCAGGAACGGATCTGGTGGGCCAGGGCCTGCGGACACTTGAGCTTTGCGTGGACAATCTTACGGCAGACTACCTGGACCCCATCATGGCGCCTGTCATTGAGGAGCTGATGAATGCGCTGTTCGAGCACCTCAAACCACACCCCTACAGCCACTTCCACGCACACACTACGATGCGCATCCTTGGCAAACTGGGAGGGCGCAACCGCAAGTTCATGACCGAGTCTCTACCCGTCAGCTACCAGAAGTATGCCGACGACCCCTCAAGCTTCGATATGCGCTTGATAGGATCGAAGAAGGACCGCGCCTTCCCGGCCGAGCTTGGCATCGATCTGTGCATTCGTAAGCTCATGGAACAGCCTAAGCTCACAAAGCCTAATGCACCAAAGACGCACGACGCCTTCTACAAGAAGCACGCACTGCATTTCATCAAGGCTCAAATCAAGATTCGTATTGGCCTCGACAATCTCCCCGATGACCTGCCTCGTCTTGTCCGTCTGCAATCTCAAGACTTGCTGGCTCGTAAGCCGGCTGCTGACTTCCCATTGTTCGAGAAGTCGATGCGCCAAAAGTCAGTCGTCAAGAAGGACGAGCAGGACGAGATTATGAAGCGCCTACTCAAAGCCATCATGTTTGCACAGTCCATTGAGGAGTTCCGGGACGACGCCGATGTTTTCTTGATGAATATCTGCCGCCACTTCGTGATCCTTGAGATCGGGCGGTCTCTGGTCGACCTCAAGAAAGAGATGAGTCCCTTCGATCCCAAAGCTGGCGAAGGTCCGCTGTTCGTGGATGCTCGCGTCCTCGCAGACGCGATCCTAGAAAGCCTGGCGTCAGACCTGGCCGAAGTTCGAGATGCCGCCTTCCGCGCTATCCGTGCCGTCTACGACTCCACCGCCACGATCTTTGGCTCTGAGACGCATGTTGGCCGTCTCCCTTTCTTCAACCACTTGAGCAAGACGTTCTGCCACGCCTGCCACGAGGAAGAGTGGTTTACCAAGACTGGAGGAAGTCTTGGTATCAACTATCTCCTCAGCGGCGTCGATATGGGCGATGCTTGGGTCACAGCCAAACAGATGGACTTTATGCGCGCTCTCATGTATGTTGTCAAGGACATGCCCCAAGACCTGCCAGAGAAGACGAGGAATGCTGCACAGCAAACACTCGAGTCTCTTTTGAAGCGAGTCACAAAGAACGCGAAGAAGGAAGACGCGCTGTACGTGCCAGCCCCACCTGGTCAACCGCAGGCAAAGGCGCCACGCCTGGCCCAGATCTGCGTCTTCTTCAACGACGAGCTTTCACACATGAACAGGCATGTTCGCATCACGGCGAGACGCTCGTTGGAGATCGTTGCGGGCGCGACCAACGCCGAGATACATGAGCTTCTCGAACCTTACAAGGACAGGCTGCTGTCGCCTATCTACGCCAAGCCGCTGCGTGCTTTGCCGTTCTCTACTCAGATCGGCTACATCGATGCCATCACCTACTACATGGGCCTCAAGGCGGATTTTGTTTCGTTCGATGATCACCTGAACCGTCTGCTTATGGAGTCGCTGGCTCTTGCTGATGCTCAAGACGAATCACTGGCAAACAAGCCAGGCGAGTTCCGGACGCATGAATCCATTGTTAGCCTCAGAGTCGCCTGCATCAAGATCCTGAGCAAGGCGATGAGCTTCGACGATTTCCAGAAGGGTCCGAGCAATCCTACGAGGACGAAAATCGTCTCGGTGTTCTTCAAATGCCTCTACTCCGAATCAAAGCCCACAATCGAGGCCGCCAACGAGTCGCTAAAGGGAGTCTTGTCTCACACCACGAAGTTGCCCAAAGACCTGCTTCAGCAAGGCTTGCGTCCCGTCCTAGCAAATCTTCAGGATGCCAAGCGTCTCAGCACGCACGGCCTCGATAATCTCGCCAGGCTCTTGCGTCTGCTCACCTCCTACTTCAAAGTAGAGATCGGTGCGAGACTGCTTGACCACATCAAAGTCCTCGCAGAGCCAAACCTGCTGCAGCAGTTGTCATTCACATTCTTCGAGCAGAACAGCCAAATGAAGGTTATCGCTGCTGTCTTCAACATCTTTCATTTGTTGCCGCCGCAAGCGGAGCAGTTCAAGGAGCGCCTTATTGACACTTGTCTCGAGCTGGAGGACAAGCTCCGGCGCACTCATCAAAGCCCGTTCCGCCCACCCCTATACAAGTATCTCAACAGGTACCCAGCGGAGGTTTGGACCTTCCTCGTCAGCAAGCTTGAAGACCTGAGATACGGCCGTTTCTTGTCCCAGGTTCTGCTGCACCCAGACAGCAAGGTACTGCGAGATTTTGGTTCCGCCAATGTGGAAGCACTCATCGCTGCCTGCATCCAGATCATCGGTGCTGGCAAAGAGACACGCTTCATTGCTGTGGTCAACACTGTCAACATCCTCAACTCTCTGAGCCAGCATGCGCACTCCCAAGGCTGGATGGAGCGAAAGGACACCGTGGGCTGGCTACGGTCCGTTTCAAAAGACCTGGAGCGTCAGTTGAGGACGGGCCAGATGCCTCCGAACTTGCGTCTAGCTGCCGACCAAGCTGCTGAGCAGATCATGGGCATCTTCACTCGGTCACTCGCCCTTGCACCAAAGGACCTGGACTCCTTCTTCACACTCATCGAAACTGTCTCCCGAGATGAGTTCCGCGCTACTCCCGAGCTTTTCTCATACATCTATGAGCACGTTATCTGCAAGGAGTCCATAGAGGACTGGAAGGCTATCGTGCTTCGCTGCTTTGACGTCTACGTTGCAAAGAATACATCGCAGAAGACCAAGTGCTTCATCCTGCGCTACATTGTCAATCCGATCGTGGCCAAGGACATCATGTGCCACTGGAACCGCCCAGGCAAGACACAGAAGTTGATGGATCGCTCGATAATCGAGGCTATTAACAACAAGATCTGGAAAATCAACTCTGGAGACCAGCAAGAAGATCTCGCTCAGCCTGGTATCGACCACACACGCATGGAAGTTTTGCAGCTGTCTGCAATGCTAGTCAAGTACCACCATGCCATGCTTCAAGATGCCAGGAAGGACATCATCAAGTTTGGCTGGACTAACATCCGACTTGACGACGTGATTAACAAGCATGCGGCTTATGTCGTCCTGGCATACTTTATCGCTCACTACGAGACACCGCCAAAGATCGTCACCCAGGTCTACTACTCGCTACTTCGGACCAGCCAGAATGAAGGACGAGCGCTGGTGACGCAGGCACTTGAGCTCATGGCGCCAGTGCTCCCAATCCGTTGCAATGCTCCTCCTGGAGACCGTAATGCCGTGTGGGCGATCGCACCCCGGCGCATCCTTGCAGAAGAAGGACAGAATGTGCAGCAGATGACAAGCATATTTCACTTCCTTGTTAGGCATCCGGATCTGTTCTTCGAGTCTCGCGATAAATTCGCCCTCCTCATCATCACGTCTCTTAGAAAGGTTTCCTCGCCGACGACGACATCCAACAACGAGAGTAAGAGGCTAGCCTTGAACATGATGTGGCTCATCTGGCGGTGGGAGCAACGACGCGTGGAGGGCAAGCTGGCCAGTTCGCCACGGGCACTTTCAGCGTCACCCAACTCGAAGAAGCGCAGGTTGGACGGCGAGATGGTCACCTCATCACCTCCCGCAGTCCGTCAAGGTGCAGCAGGCGACAAAGCGGAGTTCCAGATTCCTGCTGCGTTCCGCCTTAAGATGATTAAGTACCTAGTCGAGTTCATTGCCCAGTTGAACGAAAGGTATCAGCTGCCCTCGGCAAAGCCGCGCGACAATGCCACGCCTGCTGGTCCAGCCCTGCCAGCTCAGCCCTCTGAACTCTGCAAGAAGGCTATGACTCTCTTCTACAATCTGATCCAGCCTCAGTACTGGGGCGACCTGGACGTTGATCTCTTCCCAAACATCACAGACGTCGTGCTGGCGAGCGAGAAGACCACAAAGATCTTGAACGCCGACCCATCCGATAAGGACAATTATGATGAGAAATTCATCACCAACATCATCAACACTCTCCAGGTCGTGCGTATCGTACTCAACTTCAAGTCAGATGACTGGATTGTAAAGAACATCTCTTCCATCCAGAAGATTTTAGAGAAGTCGCTCAGATCCGAGAACGCCGAGCTGCAGGACTGCCTGCATTACTCGGGTTCTGAGACAGACATCGAACGTGGGCTCAAGTCGACTGTGCAGAGAATTCTGGAGGCTGCACCGGAGGACGTGCCGATGGAGGATGCTGATGCGGAAGGAGAGTCCGAGGTGACGACATCCGAGATTATCACGTTCCTATCGAACGTAGCAACCGAGACACTGGCCGCTTCGAATTATGTCTCTGGAGTCAACATTCTGTGGTCTCTCGGCCAGCGACAACCATCCACAATCGATCCTCATGTCCCTGCTCTCATGAAGGCACTTCAGACAAAGCTCGCACGTGAGCATGTGCAGCACTACACTAGTGTCGCAGCACACCAAATGGCCATGACTGGGGTGAGATCTCAGGATCCCAATGCACAAGCTGGCGAGATGTCTCCATATGACCTCACGGTGCAGACTGATCTCATGATCAAGGCGATCCAAGTCACCGCTATGCGCATGGAGATCCTCGGCGACAACCGCAGGCCCTTCTTGAGCGTGCTCGCCACCCTCGTGGAGAAGTCGCACCACGTCGCACTCTGTGAGAAGATTCTCGAGATGGTGGAGGCATGGGTATTCCGATCCGAAGGCACCTGGCCCACGTTGAAGGAAAAGACGGCAGTGCTCCACAAGATGCTGTCTTTCGAGCACCGCAGCGATCAGACAATGCTTATGAAGTTCCTTGATCTGGTTCTTCGCATCTATGAGGACCCCAAGATCACTCGCACAGAACTCACTGTCCGAATGGAGCATGCGTTCTTGATCGGAACGCGCGCACAGGATGTTGATAGACGCAACCGCTTCCTGGCAATCTTCGACAAGAGTCTCTCCAAGACGGCAGTTGCCCGCCTGCAGTACGTCATTACAGCTCAGAACTGGGACACGCTTGCCGACTCGTTCTGGCTCGCACAGGCCTCGCAGCTTCTTCTTGGAGGAGTCGAGCTCAACGCCAATATATCGCTGCACAAAGAAGACATCCAGACACTCCGTCCCTCGCAGCTCTTTGGCCCATATGCAGAGGACACAAGGGAGCCTGCAGCCATCATTGATGACAAGTACGAGACGTTCATGTCCAATCATCGCCGTTTCGTGGCCGAGCTTGGCGACGTCAAGGTGCGCGACCTGATTGATCCGCTGGTCCAGCTTCAACACGTCGACAACAACCTCGCTCAAGAACTCTGGGTCACACTTTTCCCAATGTACTGGGCTGCGGCAGCCAAGGACGAGAGATCCGAGCTTGAGAAGGGAATGGTCATTCTGCTCACGAAGGACTTCCATTCGCGACAGATTGACAAGCGGCCAAATGTTGTGCAGGCTCTGTTGGCAGGCGCTGCCAAGGCTTGGCCCGAGTGCAAAATACCACCGCATGTGCTCAAGTTCGAAGCTAAGACGTACGATGCTTGGTACACGGCTATGGTGCAACTTGAGAACGCTGCCATCAAACCCGATGTCGACTCTGCGAACGTTCGGGAAAGCAACTTAGATGCCCTTGTCGACCTGTACGCGAGCCTGAAGGAAGACGATCTCTTCTACGGCACGTGGCGCCGTCGGTGCCAGTTCGTCGAAACCAATGCCGGCCTGTCCTATGAGCAGATGGGCATGTGGGACAAGGCGCAGAAGATGTATGAGGCGGCGCAGATCAAGGCCCGCACTGGAGTCATTCCTTTCTCACAGGGCGAGTACATGCTGTGGGAAGACCACTGGGTTCACTGTGCAGAGAAGCTGCAGCAGTGGGACATTCTTCAGGACTTTGCAAAACACGAAAACCTGCAAGATCTTTTGCTCGAGTGCGCCTGGCGCAACATCGAGATGTGGCAGACTGCGGAGCACCGTGAAAGCTTGGACATGCTCATCAAGGGTGTCATGGACGCGCCTACACCTCGCCGCGCTTTCTTCCAGGGCTTCATGTCCCTGCTCAAGTTCCACAACAAGCAAGAAACTCCTCAGGATTTCCAGCGAGTATGCGATGAGGCGATCCAGCTCTCGATCCGGAAGTGGCACCAGCTGCCGAAGCAGCTTACGACCGCCCACATTCCTCTCCTGCACAACTTCCAGCAGCTTGTGGAGCTCCACGATGCCAGCGTGATCTGCCAGAGCCTGGCGACCACGACACAGAACAACCTTGACGTGAAGTCCGGCGAGCTCAAGCTGCTCCTTGGCTCTTGGCGTGACAGGCTCCCCAACACGTGGGACGACATCACCGACTGGCAGGATCTCGTCACGTGGCGCCAGCACATCTTTGGTCTTATCAACTCGACGTACTTGCAACTGCTGCCGCAGCAGGGGCAGAATGCCAATGGTGCCTCTTTCGCATATCGCGGATATCACGAGACTGCCTGGATCATCAACCGATTCGCGCATGTAGCACGCAAGCACAGCCTGCCCGATGTCTGCATTGCTCAACTTAGCAGGATCTACACGCTTCCCAATATTGAGATCCAGGAGGCGTTCTTGAAGCTGCGCGAGCAGGCACGCTGCCACTACGAGAACCCGGATGAGCTGACGAGCGGCCTCGACGTCATCAACAACACCAACTTGAACTACTTCAACAACCAGCAAAAGGCAGAGTTCTATACGCTCAAGGGCATGTTCCTGGAAAAGCTCAAGCAGAACCCTGAAGCCGATTCAGCATTTGGCACCGCGCTGTACTACGACATTAGTAAGGCTAAGGCGTGGGCGGAGTGGGGCTACTTCAACGATCGGAAATTCAAGGAGGATCCGACGGACTGGAACTCTGCTCGCCAGGCCTTGACATCGTATCTGCAAGCCATTGGTAGCTACAAGAGTGGCAAGGCGCGCAAACTGATTGCTCGTGTGCTCTGGCTTCTCAGCTTGGATGACTCTAAGGGCACCATCGCAGCGGGCTTTGATGACTACAAGGGCGAGACGCCCGTCTGGTACTGGATCACCTTCATACCTCAGCTTCTTACGGGACTTGGCCACAAGGAGGCTCCCAAGGTACACGCTATCCTGCTCAAGATCGCCAAGGCCTATCCGCAGTCTTTGTACTTCCAGCTGCGTACCACGCGCGAGGACATGCTGTCTATCAAGAAGAACCAGGAAGCCAAGGAGAAGGCTCGCCAGCAACGAGAGCGGGCACAGTCTGCGGCGTCAGCAAACAAGCCGAGTTCTTCCCCATCCGCGGTCAAGCAAGAGAACCCGCAAGCCGCCAAGTCCGAGTCGAGCTCACGCCCACAGACCGCAAATGGCGAGGCGAGCGCTCAGCCCAAGACCGAAGGCACGGAGGGTGCTGCCAACGGCAGTGCCAATGGCGCATCGGGCATGCCTGCCCCTGCAAATGCCACTACACCGGCAGCTACGGGTGAGGCTGCAACAACGACGCCTGCTCCTGCTGCTGCTGCCGCCACAGCCTCGACCACGACCACGGCCGCGGCAGCTACACCTGCAGCAGCCACCGCCGCCAAGGAAGGCTCCGCTCCAGCTGCTGGGCAGAAGAAGCCGCCGTGGGAGCTATCTGAAGAGATTATGTCTGTCCTGAAGACGGCATTCCCCCTACTGGCCCTGTCCATGGAGACGATGGTTGATCAGATTCAGAAGTACTTCAAGTGCCCACCAGACGAGGATGCTTACAGACTCATCGTCGCTCTGCTCAACGACGGTCTAGCATATGTTAGCAGGATGCCATCCTCTTATGCGAAGGATGTCAAGCTGCCGTCTGCGACCGAGACTAACATTACTCGGTTCGCCGAGACGATACTTCCTGCGCACATCAAGTCCTCGTTTGAGGCCGACTTTGTCGCAGTCAAGCCTACAATGTATGAGTACATTCACAAGCTGAGAAAGTGGCGTGACAAATTCGAGGAGAAGCTCGACCGGCGAAACCCGAGAGCATCACTTGAGACTTACTCTAAGCACCTGAGCGAGTTCCGCTACCAGAAATTTGATGACGTGGAGGTGCCCGGACAGTACCTGCAGCACAAGGACAAGAACCAGGACTTCATCCGCATCGACCGGTTCTTGCCCAACGTGGATCTCGTCCGGACAATCGGCGTGTCGCACAGACGACTGAAGATCCGCGGCCATGACGGCAGCGTGCACAGCTTCGCCATCCAACACCCAGCTGCTCGCCACTGCCGCAGAGAAGAGCGGATTCTGCAGCTGTTCCGCCACCTCAACCAGACACTTGCAAAGAAGAAGGAGAGCCGAAGACGTGATCTGCAGTTCACCCTGCCGCTGATGGTGCCGCTTGCACCGCACATAAGAATCGTGCAAGAGGATACCTCATACATCACGCTCCAGGGGATATACGAAGATCATTGCCGCCGCAACGATTTCCTCAAGGACGAGCCTGTGCTGTTTACTATGGACAAGCTTCGCGGGTTGATTGAGCCTAAGGGATCTGTAAGTAGCATAAGCTCTCTGTCTTCGTGTGCACCAACTAATCGTCGTCCACAGAAACAACCTGATCAGGCAGCCTCGGCGCGCCTTGAGGTCTTTTCCGCCATCCAGGCCAAGTGGGTTCCTCACACCGTGGCACTCGACTACTTCCAAGCCACCTTCCCCGAGTTCTCGGACTTCTGGCTCTTCCGCCGGCGCTTCTCGTACCAGCTGTCGGCACTCACCTTCATGACATACATCCTGTACATGACTGGGCGTTATCCGCACAAGATTAACATTGCCCGAGGTTCCGGCAAGGTTTGGGGCTCAGAGCTCATGTCCTTCATGGCGCCCCAGAAGCCATACTTCCACAACCCGGAGCCGGTGCCCTTCCGCCTGACGCCGAACCTGCAGACCCTCATGGGGCCGCTAGCTACTGAAGGCATCTTCAGCCCGGCTATCATGGCGATTGCGCGGTGCCTCGCGGACCCGGAGTTTGAACTTGAGCACGCTCTGACGCTGTTCGTCCGCGACGAGATGATCTTCTGGTTTACCTCGTCCCACCGCGCCGTGCATCTCAACGAGAATCAGCTCCGCGAATCGGTCCAGATGAACTGCGACATGATTGTGAAGCGCGCCGTCAGCCTCGCACAGAGTCCCGTGGGATACCTGCCTGCGTGCCAGACCGTCATCGATCTCATCGCCAAGGCCGTGAACCCCGTCAACCTGGCACAGTGCGATGCATTATGGATGCCGTATCTGTAGAAAAAGCGTAGGGAAGAAGGACTTGGCAGATCGGAATCCCGCAGGGCCCAGGGTCCTTGCAAAGCGCCGACGCTGAAGTGCGATCTCATGCGGGGGAAGCATCGATGATGCATGTTACAACATCAAGACCAACAGGTTTCACAAAGGAGAACCAAGGCACTGGCTTCGATCTTCATCATAAGGCGGCGTTATCTATATGTGATTCTATCTTTGGAAAGCAGTGTGATGGATCAGAGAGCGGAAGCGGGGGCATTACACGATTTGTTTCCTTCTTTTTTTTTTCTGACACCGCACTGAGGCGCGGCAATTTTTTTGTATCGTTATACCATGCCTGAATATATTCATATGGCTATTTCACATCCCTTGACGATGCAAAAGTTGAATGCCAAGCACGAGGGGAGAAGGACTCGTACGCCACGACGACTGACTAGGGTATGGTCACGTCTATACAACGAATGGTTCTGGATGGGACAGTCGCATGCCGTACACTAGAGTCATGTTTGAAGCCCTGCTTTCACACTTTAATCCAGTGCTGTCCACACGCTTTCATCACGATTGTCCGAGGCGCACCTCTTGTCTTGGGGATGACAGCTTGCTTGGCTCTTCATTCATTTGGACTCGTCCTCCTCCGCCCGAGCCTGCACGACACCCTTCTTGACGAGCGGGCTGTGCTGCACCTTGTCCCAGTCGTGCAGCATGCGCGTGTTCATCTCGCTCAGCCGGACCTCCTCGCCTGCCCGCGTGCGCATCTCGGCTTCGTACGCATCGATCAGTTCTTTCTGCTGCTGCTGCGATCCACCTTCTCCTGCTGCTGCTGCGGTAGCAGACGACGACGACGACGACAGAAGCTTGCACAGCTCAGCTGCATCGGCAATGGCGTGGTTGAGACCTTGGCCACGGTCTGGAGAGAATAAAAAGCCACGTTGGGGGTCCCGAGTCAGCACGTGCCCCCGAAACGACGAATTTGTGAGAAGACGGACAGGGCAAAGCCATAGAAGAAAGTGAAGAGGGAAGATAGAGAGAGAGAGAGAGACTCACGGTAGGTCATAGGATGCGCAGCGTCGCCAACAAGAGTGACGAGGCCGCCACGGTTATCCCAGACGTGGCCCTCGGCGCTGGGGTCCCAGTTGGACACACCGCCGTAGAATACGCCAACGCTGTCGTCGCCCTGCCCGTCCTGCATGCGCTCCTGGAGCCAGTCGAACGCGCTGCGCAGGGGCTGGCCGTACACGGCGCTCTTGGCCATGACCTGCTCCCACCGCGCCTTCTTGGTCGCCATACCCTGCTGGGCCGCCTCGGCGTCCTGCTCTTCAGGGCTCGAGGCCCAGGAGATGTAGAACTGGAACACCCAGTCCTCTGGCTTGTCCGGGTCGGGCGCGTCGAGCAGGGCCAGCATGCCCACCATGCCGTGCGGGTGCAGCACCACGTTGAACAGCGGGTGGTACGAGCGCAGGAAGAGAGCCTGCTCGCGAGTATACGAGGCGGCGATGAAGGTCGCGGCAAAGGGGAGCCGGTTGTTCCTGGAGGCCTGCGGGGAGGAAAGGAGCAGGCTGCCGCGCACGAGGCTCTTGCTGCCGTCGGCGCCGACAAGGAGACGTCCCTCGACAGCTGTGCCGTCGTCAAAGATGGCCGTCACGGTGTTGCTGCTGCTGCTGGTGCCGCTCTGGTCTGCGCTCTTGTCGTTGATGTCGAAGCGCACGAGAGTCTTGCCGTGCTCGACCACGACCGGCTCGGCCAGGAAGGCCCTGAGCTTGCTGCGGAGAAACCGGTAGATGCCGTGGAAGGGGAACTCGTTGACCGTCTCTCCCGTCGCGCCGTCGAGGATCTTGACGTAGTCGGCGCCCGGCACGGGCAGCGTCGGGTCTGCCTGGGCCTTGAGGACGTGCGGCCAGCGGTCGGGGCCGACCAGCTGCTCGAGCATGGGAGCCGCCCAGTGACAGGCTAGCGCCCAGTCACGGCCATGCCGTAGGGTCCCGGGGGCTTCCCTCTCAAAGATACGGTAGGGAATTCCAGCCTGGTTGTATTTGGTCCGTTAGTGGGGGGAGCCTGGCTTGTGGAAATGTATGATGGATAGCAGATCTTGTCTCGAGGAAAGGAAAGAGAGAGCCCTCGGGATGTGGCCTCGCCAGTCCACTCACGTTCTTGAGACCGTTCGCCAGAGCCAGGCCACAGCTGCCTTTGTGTTGTAAGTGGCAGATTGCTTGTCAGATTCACAGGGCCATTATTTTCGAGTGACTGGTGGTGGTGTTGAAGGGGGCCACATGCAGGGTCTGGAAATGCCAAAGAGGGGGGCCTTATTCCAACGTACCTGCACCGATGATGAGGACCGGGAGCTGCTTCCCGTCACGCTGACTGGCGATTGAGCTGCTCATGTTGGCGGGCTGACGCTTAGCACAACTTCTCTCAGGCGATCTCGGTGGTCAACGATCCACCGCCAGGGTCTGAAATGATTGACGGAGAGAGTTCGGGTTGATGTTAATGCTGAATCGTGCCGACCTCCCTTCTTTTTTCAGTGTTGTGCACCTTCTCACGCGCCTCGGATCAAGTCTGGGTTAGAGCTAGGCAGTCAGGGCATGGAAAGCGACGGGAGGCTCGTATCTACAAGTCCGAGAGTTTGGCACTTGGGCAAGGGGTACCAAAGCAACTCAAGGAAAAGTCCCTGAACGCATCGAGCCTATCTGCAGGTGCTGTAGTAGCCCCCGTAGCTGGCTGCCTGGGAAACAGCCCCAAACCTGGAGCCAAAAGCCCCCTCGTCAGAAGATGAGCGCCAACTAGAGGAGTGGCGTTGGGGGAGGCTTGGCCTGGCCTTGACCCTTGCGGGCCGATCCGTGTTCTTCCTGTTCGAAACTCTTAATCAGCCTCTTCCTTTACTTTTCGCTCGACGAGCGGGGCAGCATATGTACAAGTTGTATTAGTCCTCCTGGCTGGGCTGCCACTTGAGCTTCTATCTATTTGCGGATATGTGTAGCCGCAGCGGTTGGTGGCGGTGATTATGGCTCCTTCCAGGGTTGTCTGGGGCTGGTCGTATCATGTCACACGCCCAGCCTGCAGGCCGGCAAGTTACCTGGAGCCACCCCCTCAATTCGCGGCAGGCAATATCGCTCAAGTGGACCACGTGGCTGGGGGCCTTCTCTTTGGGTAACGTCCCGGCAACTCGGTATCCGGGACGGCCCCGACGACCTCAGTTCACATGCCATCAAATCATCCTCTCTCATTGTCAACCACTACGGCGGCTGTGCAATCCCCGTCTATTGTCCAGCTTGCAAGACCAGTGTAAGTACAGGTTTGGGAGTCTCTTCTACAAAACACCTTCCGTCATCGTCTACAGACCTCATCGCTCTCTGTACGGCGGCGGAGCTCCTGCTGCTGCTGGCCCGGCACCTGAGCCGGCCGCAGCCATCCCCGCCGACATCACGTACTCATTCGCCTTGGCCATCATGCGCGGGAAGTACTGCTGCACAAACGACTCACTGTAGTGTCCCATGTTAGTGGTCCGTCTTCGCAAGGATGATCAGGCGTCCAATGGCCAACAAAACTTACGTGTAAAAACTGTGGTCTGAATTGTGCGGCTTGACAATGTTGTGCGAAAGCTCGTGCGCCAGCACAACCCACCAGTACACGGCCGCCTCGGCCCGCCCGGGTCCACTCCCCGCCTTGGGGCCGTGAAGCTGCAGGTAGAAGCGCAGGTTGCAGAATACACTGCCATCACGGTTAAAGGCAATCGTGTTGCCCGTCTCGTCGTAGAAAATATGCAGCGAGGATGCAGGGATCGCGTACACATCGCCCACATCCCGCAGCAGCACAGCAAACGCGTTGATGTCCCGATGGTGCGCCTTGAGCAGCTCGCCAATGCTGATCGTCACATCCCGCGACACAAACACCCGCATGTTGTTGGACGACTCGGCGGCAAACTCGAGATCCTTCCCTGCCGTGTCGTCGCAGTACGTCGCCTGCTCCTTAACCTCTTGCGTCGTCGGCGGCGAAAACAGCTGGGACGAGTCATGTGCTCGTGTCGATTTGATGGCATTGAGGAGGTTTTGTTGCACCACCGCCGGGTTGGTCACCTTACCGTCCGGTGGAGGCTTGATTCCAGAGCCAGAGGGTCCAGCGGGTGGCAGCTTGGCGGGCTCTGGCGCAGAGTCGACAAACTTGTTAAGGCTGTCTTGTGCATCGCTAGAGGTGTCGAAGCCGAAACGTTTCGAAAAGCTCTGAAAAAGCCCTTTTCCTTTCGGCCCCGAGGTAGAAGGTGCTAGCATTGGTGGCGGCGCCGAATGCAACAGGTCGTCTGGTGAATTGTGGAATCCGCCGGGCATGCGAGGGGGCGGCGTCTTGTTCTGCTCCCTTGACACAGGAGGGGCACTTTGGGTCTGCTGTCTGAACTCTTGCTCTCTCTCACGAATACGAGCCTGTTCTTCGTCAAGCGCCTTGCGTCTCTCTTCCTCGGCGATTCTAGCTTCGGCTGCCTTAGCCCGCAGGATACGGTCGACGTTGTATCCACGACTCCGAAGGTCCAGGAGATCGAGCTTCAAAAACGGCTCGAAGAAGAAATAGGCTTGCTGGCCGGGACGATTCAGAATAAGCATGCAGATTGCCTGTCCGACTTGGTACATGTCTGGGCGAGACGTTTCGGCTGCCACGTATAAGACATAGCCATTCTGGCTCTTAGCGCTGGCGGCAGATCGCTTCTCTGTGTGTGTTTGCCCTTGTCCACGAAGCGATCTGCGGAGAGCAATTGACCGCACGACTTCCACGCTCAAGTTCTTCTCAAGCCATTTTGCGTCCCGCCTGATAGCATCGGGCGTGTGTCTGGAATACTCGTGGATGAACAGCTTGGCACGTTCAAGGACGTGCTTACGAAGCCAAACGGCCCCGTCCTGCTTCTGGCTCAGACCACCGATCTTGAGGTCCTCCTGAACTGTGCTTGAAAGAGCAGGACAGCCTAGGGCGGCATAAAATGACTCCAGCTTGTCCTCCTCAGGCGCACACATGAGGTGGTCCTTGAATAAGCGGTAGCTGATGTAGTCGTCGAGGATCACAATCTGCGGTGCAGACGCAAGCTGATAATGACGGATCGGGGCCTCCTCTTCCTCAGCCTCAGCCTCCTTCTCCTTGGACACGACATTGATCTCCTTGAACGCAAGCAAGAATTGAGCCGATTTCATCTTCCTCCACAGGTCCTTGTCTCGCTTGATGGTTGCCATATCCTCAGCCAAGAATCTCAACAAGTTGAGATATTTCTCTGGGCTCTGAAGAACACTGAGCAACTTGGCCGGCTCTTCAGCTGCCAAATGGGCAATCTCTAGCTTGGTCGGCTCCGTCTTCGAACCGCACTTGTAGAGAAAAGTGTTCGCCGTCGATCCAAAGTCCACGAAATCAAAGATCTCGCCATAGACCACGGAATTGCCAAGGTAGCAATTTCGGGGGCTAAGGTGCTGGACATCCGCCGCCTTCGTGGCGGCACCTCCGTCTGAGAGTCGGTTCCGTCGAGCGACGGGGACAATGGGAGCATCACGCAGCCTCACAACGAGGTTGTCACTCAGTTCGTTGAGCCTTGTGGAAAAGTAAGTGAAGAGCACGGTCGCATCTCCCTGGGTCTGCGGGGGGCTTCGCAGTAGTCTGCCACAACATTCGGCAATCGGGGGATCTGTCGCCACCCCGAATTTCTGTTGAACCTGTCAATACGTGTCCATGTGTGGATCACACGGATCTCGATATTCGGCTTACAAGAGCATGGGGTAGTAAGTCCCGCTTTAAAATATCGAAGCCTAGGACAGCCGCATTTGCGTTTGAAAAGCAGGCAGAAGGCGCCGCCACCTTCTTTGGGTTCCCCTCAATAGGTAAGAATGCCTTCGTGCTCGAACCGATGTTGAATGAAGCATAGCCATTCGTGACATGAAATTTGATGAAATAGTTCATCGCTCGCTCGCGAAGTGACAAGTCCGATGACGCCATCATGTCAACGAGTTCCGCAGCTGTGGGATACGGCCGCAGTCCTAGGCGGGTTAGAAACCTCGCCTCGGAAGAGCCTGGTCGTAGACCACCACTCGGCCACTGCAAGATCTTGACGTCCAGCTCTCGCAGGGGCGCACGTGGTTCAAAGAGCTCAGAGACTCTGTAAAGGCGAGCTCCAGGTTTTGCAGACTCGCCACCCACTGCCTCGCCTTCAGCTGGGCAGATGCGCGACTCTGTAAGCTTCTTTAGGTCATCGCTGGGAATGTCGGCTTGCACGGATGCAAGGTATTTGATCAGCTCCACATGACTCCAGCGTGCTTGGCCGGCGCCGTCGGCGTCTTGAGATGGATTAAGCAGCCTTTTGAAGATGGTATCAAGGTCCACTGTCTTGCGAACACCAAGCGCAGTCAGGAACTTGTCCTTCAGGCTTGAACATCCCTCAATAGTGGGAAGATCGTCGAACAGTTTCACCGACTGGAAGAAGGACTCCGTCGGTCTTCTCATGCCGAGCTTGGTCGGCATGACTGTGTTGGCCTGCAGCAAAGACACAACTGTTGCCTTGGAGCTCTGACTTAGGTTGTCCCAGCCTTTGGACAAGACGTTGAGAATCTGGATAGCGAACTTGGGCGATTGCGTGAGATCTTGATCTACTGAACGGCCTGATCTAGTCTCGATGAGAAATCTAAGCCACGGGACCACTTCCAGTGATTCCCAGCCGAGGGCTTGAAGCTCAGTAGTTGTGCATTTGCTTGTAAACTCGTAGGGGATCGTGGTCGGAGGTATTGGGAGCCCTGCAGGGATTTTGGTAGGGCTCAAGTAGTTTCTGATGCTGCCGAGCGCGATGATATCGCCTTGGGAACCTTCACCATCACTTATCACAGCGACAGCAACATCAAGCAATCTGTCTTTGCTCCCCGGATCCAATTCGCCCACGATTGCCTTGCGTGCTGCCCATTGAACAAAGTTGACTAGCTGTGCTCCGTTGAGAGGCTTGTCGGCCAGCTCCAAACGTACATCATCGACTGTGATATGTGTAAGCAGTGCGAATTCGGTCAGCTTGTGCACAAAGCCACTGTCTCTGAGCTCGGTCGGAATGATAGGAATGCCGTCCACAAATGAAGCCAGCTCAGGCGTCCCCAACCGGACCTTTGTGGTATAAAGTACACCTTGAGTACTATAGACTTCAATATAGGGCTTCTTGTATGACGTCCAGAACGCCTCCTCGATGATTTGCGAAACGTGGCCACTTGGTGTAGAGTCCCCAAAGGTGAAAGCATTCAGGATATGCTGCGCTTCAGGCATATACTTGGCGATAATATCTGCGCTGAATTTTGACTTGGTGGTAGCTTTGAGCGCCCTTTGCAGCTTGTGATTGAGCTCATCCATCTCATTCGCGAAGGCAAGACGAGTCATGATTCCAGCTGCACGGAGCATTTCAATATTCCACGTACGAACCCAGCGTGCGTTGAGGTCGATAGCTTCTCTCTCGACTGTAGGGATGACCGAAGGAGCCGAAATGTGCATACCAGCTCCAGTCGTCTGCGTAGTAGGAAATCCGATGAAAATGCGTCCGCCGGGCTTCTTGCTTGGCAATACGGAGGCGAAGACATCAGTAGCTTTAGCCACCGCAACTGAGTTATCAGACTTAGCAGAGGCTTGTGTCTCGTCGTACGAGGACGTCAATATGGACAACTTGGCGACCTTGGGCGGTGGCTTTTTGGTGGCCCGCTCAAGCTCGGCAGAGAAGCTTGATGTTACAGATGTCTTGATGGCTGCAGTAGTCACCCGAAGGAAGATCGTGGCGGTAGAAAGCTTTGTGATGTCTTCTGCAATAGCTTCCTGGACAGCCTTCTCCTCCTTCGCTACTTTGCTCGACTTGGAACTCGCTGAATTCGTAGTCAACCGCGAGAAGAAACTTCTGAGTGATGGCATGTCTGAATTGCCAAAGCCGTAGGATTCGTTGCCCTTCGCAGCAGAAGCCACCTGCGGCTTCCATCCGATCGCGCTCATGTACGATGCATCAATCTGAGCACTCGAGCGACTCACGCTCTGGACCTTCATGAGCCTGTCTTTCGTCGTGGTTTCCACATCTCTCGAAAGTGTCACGTCGCTACTTGGACTGGCCTTCTTGTCGAGCCCAAGGATTTGGTAGTCATCTATCCAGAACTCTATCCTCTCCAACGAAACAAAGGTGAGACTTGTTGCGAGAAACTGGCTGACGGACAGCAGGTTCGGCAAGGTGGTTGTCGTGTTTCTGTAGTCGAGGACAAAGGCTGTGTTCGGCGTGCACTCTTCGGGCGGGAGTTGCAGCTTTCTTGTGAATAGAGCATTGCCCTTCCAGTAGAACGCCATAGCCTCGCTTCCTGAGCTGACAAACGGATCTTCGCAGTCGGCAAACACGCTGTAAAAACCGACACCAAATGCTCCGATCTTGGTCTCATCAGGGTTTCCCTCGGCGATCCTCTTGAGTCGGCCCCAGTCCGTCTTCGTGAACGGCTGGCCATTATTTTGCACGACCAGTCGTCGCAGAGTGTGGTGTGTAAGGATGTGCTTGAGCAGTTCGGACCTTTCTGTCGTGGCCGGGAGAGGAACCTGTGTCGATGGGAGGGTCTCCCACTTGATCTTGACTGTTGTTGCCTGGGCGTCGGCGGCGTTCTGTATGAGCTCTCTGAGAGTAGTCCATTCTCCAGAATAGCGGGCAAGGACCTTGTCGATCAAGGCACGAGTGTCGACTGTCACAGCTTCCTCATCTTCGCCGCTACGGAGGGCCGCAGCCCGGAGCTTGGCGTAGTCCATGGCGGGCTTCCGCAAAAGTACCGTTGCGACTGCGACCGGATGGTAGTCGATTCACTTGACAATCAGACGAGAAGACAAGACTTTCGTTGCTTGAATGGTAGACCAGTTGCTGAGTTGGGCGTTGAGAGAGAGAGGCGATCGCTCTGGCTAATGCACCGACGTGAGTCGAAGGTGATCTTTGGGGATGTCTAGCTGTCGAGCTGTTGGCGGAGCCTGGAGAGGCGTCGAAACAAAACCGAAAACCAGTCGCTTGCAGTATGCCGTGTTGAGAAACCAGAAAGGGAAGCTGTAGGCAGCCGGATGGCGGCGTGTTGTGGCGTGGAAGCCGGTCGACGGCGATGGTTGTCCGTGGGGCGGTGATGGGGGATGATGATGTCGAGCTAGCTCCTAGATGCTGGACCCTGCTCCAGTCCAGGCAGGCACGCCAGGGGTGCTTCAGGGCGGCGTGGTGGCGGCTCAGGGCCGGCTTGATGGGGCCTCCTGCCTTAACTCCGGCAGCAGCCCCGCGATCGGCTCTGAGCAACCTTGGCGGCGCCCACAAGCCACTCCCTGTGGCAAGTGAGGACAATGTGCCTCGCTCGGTGAAACATTTGACATGTGTTGCTGTTGACCTCAAGGTAGTGATTACAAGCCCCCTGCTGGCACGATTCCTCGATCTGGGCTATAGATGTTGCCGTTGGGACTGCATTCGCGCATCCAAGCAATAGCACATGCTGCTATTGAGTCTTCATGCCTTATAAGCTATGCCAAAGTACGAGCACACGTGCGTTTAGGTACTTCTAGGGAGAACCCATCTATTACAGTATCATTATATGGCCGAGACTGCAGCTCGACGTTGTGTTATTTCTCGCGACGATCATGATGACTGTGTCCAGTCCAGGGACTGCTAGCCTGAAAGGAACTCCAGCTTTTCCGTCTTAATCGCGACCGCCTGTTCTATCGCCTGTTCTGCGCTCTGGCCGCTCCCGCTCCCGGTCATGGTCCCTAGGGCCGCGTCGCCTTTCCTCTCCGTGCCGGTGGTTGCGGTCTTCTCGACTTCGGCTTCGTCTTCTTCGGTGATCCCTTCCGTCGTCTCTGTGTCTATGAGAGCCACGCCCATCGCGGTGGTCGCGCCTCCTTGGAGACCGTTCCCGGTCTCGGTCGCGATCTCTGTCCCTACTGCGACTCCTATCCCTATGTCTCCTGCGGTGCCGCCTTTCGCTGTCCTCGTGGTGTCTGCGGGATGGTCGGTCGGCCCGATCGTTCTCCGCCGATTGCGTTTTGGATGTTGCATCCGCAGCTCCAGATGTGTCGCGACTGCCTGGTACACTTATGGCATTGGCGCCCGTTGCGTTCCGCGGTGCTACAGGGAGTCCCAACGCCTTGGCTAGAGCATCCTCCTCGGCTTCTTTGATCCGCTTGATCTCCTCTTTCCGTTCGCGTGCCGCCTTCTCTTCTGGCGTCTCAGAACCGTCGCCTTCTGTAGTCTCGCCTTTGGCATACCAAGAAAGGTCGCGGCCTTGTTGCCATCGTCCGACGGGGGCCTTCAGACTGTGTCCCAGGTAATTCTCCCGATGCTGGGAGGTGGCGACGTCATCCCAGCTGAAATTGACACCGCCTCGAGATCCGGACTTGCGGATGCTCGACACCAAATCCATCGTGCCGCAAGTACAAGGCGCTACAGGAAAGGCGCTTCAGATGCAAATCGGTGAAAAGTGGCGATGGCGAATGTTTTGGGTAAAAGCTGGCGCAAATTGGTGACTGGGCGGCGTTAGGTTGTTGTTGAAATGGAAAAGGACGGAAGCCCCCTGCTGATGCAACCGCGCTAAGGTGCCTTTGACTACCCCTGTCGTGTGGGCCACAGCTCTCCACAGCACTGACGACAGGCTTCCAAGCGCGGAATTTGGTGCGACACGCGCAACCTTTGGCCAACCACCATCTGTACCTCCCATGTCCGCCGTCACTCATCGCACCGACCCCAGCTCAGCATCGATTGGCGTATCAGGCCACAACTAGCTGCCTACGGTGTTCCTTAGACCTGTTCGCTTAGCGATCAGTGTCCCCACCGGCATTCAAGTCTCACTGTCCAGCGCCTTGGTCAGAGGGAATCTCGTGCTGTTCCTTGGGAGGCCATTGCTTCGAGACCGCAATGTCAAACCAACCTCTCGACGAGATACAATGGCGAGCACCGCAGATAGTTGCAGCCATGCCCGGCGGTATCCACTCGAACACGGTTCTCTATTACTTTGCGGAATCGCCCTTCTTCGACAGAACCTCCAATAACGCCGTACTCGTCAGCCAAGGCAACTACATGCCCAACATCCACAAGGCGCTCCAGTCGCGCGACACCTTCGAGGCTCGTCTGAAGACAATGTCTGGGCTCGAGTTCATCGTCGCCCAGGAACCAGCCGAGACGAGTCCACACGCAGGCACGGGTGTCTGGGTGATACACAAACAGACGAGAAGGAAGCGGCCAAAGCACGAAGACGAAGTGACGATCCATGCCGCCTACTACATTGTTGGCGATTCAGTCTTTATGGCGCCGACCATGGCCGACATCCTCACCTATCGCATGTCCTCGATTGCCGCCGGGCTCAGCAAGATGTTCCCAGCTGCCAACTCGGCCCGGACATGGTCGCCATCCGTAGGACACAAATACCGGCAACCAGCGCCAACCAACCAAGTATCAAAGAAAGCCTTTGAGTCACGCGGTGCGACTCCTCTCCCAGAATCTCAAAGTCAGACAGCCAAGAACGGCACTTCTATAGAGCAGAAGAAGAGTACAACAGACGCGGCATTGGAAGCCAGGTTACTAGAGAGGACGATTGGCGTACATATGCAATTTGGTGGAGAATACATGGACGACAACCCAATTGCTGGAGTGCCAGGCAACTTCCACCTGTCGTCCACGGGCAGACGGGATATGAGCAAGCTTCAACTGCCACTAAGTACATCGACAGCGAGAAATCCCGTCTCGAGCACCGGCTCAACGGCAGGCTCCACACCAGCAGGCAAGAAGGATGAGAAGGGCCCGAAGACACCAAAGACGCCTTCTGGAATGCCCTCGAAGCCGAAGCGGAAAAAGACAAAAAGTGCAGCTGCAACCCCGACAGCCTCGTGACTTGTGACTTTGCCAACAGGGATAGTTTCAGCCCACTTGCTACAAATGATACAGCCGATGCGGGCATATTGATCACGGACCGACGATGTCCACGAGCTGGTTGCGGAAGTATCGCTCTCTTCGATCTGCCGCCATGCGTGCTAGAAGTCCTCACAATTAGATAGAGCAATGATACCCCGAGGAACCGCCGAGCTTTGGCCGCCCTGCTTGCGTGCACGTTTGGGTTGGAAGCATATTTACATCCAGACTGGATGATTGTGCATCATCATAGGTCAAGCACTGAAACGCCACAGGGTCACGACCACCGCGACCATACGTTACGGCCCAGCACTGCAGACAGCCAAAATCAAAAGCCAATAGCGACTGCATGTGAAGTAATCTGCTTTGATTTTTTTCGTGAAATGAAGTCCAACGCCGTAGTATATTGACATAATCTGTGCCTCGATCGGATGACCTGAGCCGAGCCCTTCTATCTGTCTTCTGCGATTTCGCCTGCTGTAATAGATACCCCGTCGTCATCGACAGGCCTTGTTGTTGACTAGACCTCGCTCGGGAGTCGCAAACGGTACAGTCGTCGTATTCAGTGGTCCCAAGGGTGCTTCCAGCCCATAAGGACGGCACCTGAAAGTCAATGTCAGTAGTCGCCCTGGTTGTAATTGTGTCGCTGCGGACTGTCATACCATCCTTCTTCGCCCGGTACATCAGCTGCAGACATTGGTTAGCGCCCAGCGTTCCAACGTCGAGTTTATCACCAATCTACTCACGAAGAACCACATGCTCGCACCGAGGGCGGTAGCAGTGTATCTGTAGATGCCAGGGACGTGAGGCCGGAGGCCGTTGCCGATAGGTCCGCCAGCCATTTTATCTGTTCTGAGCACGCCGGGACGGGTGTCAATGCGACGGGTCGCAGGTGGGTGGTAACTCGGCTTCGAAGTCGAAAGCAGTCTCACCTGTGGGAGTCGCTGTCGAAACGGAGCAGTGGACGTCGTCGATTGAGCCGCTCAATGCTGGTCGAGCGCGGTTCTGCAAGCTTGAGCTTGGTTGGTCGTGATGTCGACTGCGTGGAGTTGACGCCGCTACTGCACCCACCGAGGATTACCCAGTCCAATACCGGCAGCATCATTGGACGCCACACTAGAGTTCTTGAGCTGATGAGTCAGCCACAGCCTCGACCTCAGCCACTCCTGCTTCGAACCCTGGGAGAGCTGGAGGCGCCAAGAAATAATTTATTGAATGCCTTGCGCATCAGGCACCAACTTCTTTCGACGCCATAGCGGAGCAGCTCGACCCCAGTCAATCGCGAAGCTCTGTCACGCAGCACGAGCGTTCCAAGAGCGGACGCCGTGACGAGCAGCCCAGGCTCAACTCCCTCCATTTCATCACAAGCATTTCCCACCCGATGCGTCCATCGTCGACGACCTAGCAGCTTCTATATGGAAGTTCTCGGCATCGATACTACGAAACCCTACCCGTTTACCAAAGCGTCTGCCATCATCCGCTGCTGCAGATGGTTGCCATCGAGACTGTTCACTTAACGGATCGGCTCTGGCTTGAAGGACTGCCGGGAATTATACGAAAGGGCTGCTCAGCCAAGGCCCTACGAGCCATTCACTAGCGACAAAAATGGCGTACTCGACCAGCAGCAGGGCGCCTTCCCCACGGTCATTTGCCATTCAGCACCAACGGCCGAAGGATAGCTTCACGGGTTGCTCCAGAATACACGACTATGAGCTACTCCAGAAACTTGGCGAAGGAACCTTCGGGTACGTTACGGACAGGACCACACTACAGAAGTAGGATAGCCGAGCCTAATACGCAGCACAACCACAGTGAGGTTCACAAGGCACGGTCGAAGAGGACTGGTGCCCTGGTCGCCTTGAAGAAGATTATCATGCATAACGAAAAGGACGGGGTAAGTGGTAAGAGCAACTACGTTCGGCGTAGCTAGCGTACTAACCTGACTTTGCTCTCAGTTCCCGATCACCGCCCTACGCGAAATCAAGCTTCTCAAGCTGTTGTCACATCGAAATGTCCTAAGGTTAGAGGATATGGCTGTTGAGCACCACAGCAAGTCGAGTGAGTCCCCATCGGTGCTCCGTCCAAGAAAACGCACACGTGCTCACAGCCGAGCTTTCTTTCCCAACAGCCGACAAGCGGAAACGACCAATCATGTACATGGTTATGCCGTACATGGACCACGACCTGTCAGGCCTGCTGGACAATCCCTCGGTACAATTCACAGTGCCGCAAATCAAATGCTACCTCCTTCAACTCCTTGAGGGTCTGCGCTACCTGCACGATAACCACATTCTACATCGAGACATGAAGGCAGCCAACCTGCTCATCAACAACAAGGGCAACCTCCAGATTGCCGACTTTGGTCTTGCCCGGCACTATGATGGCCCCGTGCCAAAGCCAGGCCAAGGTGGTGGAGACGGTCGTCGGGAATATACGAGTCTCGTCGTGACAAGATGGTACCGACCGCCAGAGCTGCTCCTACATCTGAAGAGATATACCACGGCTATTGATATGTGGGGTGTGGGGTGAGTTCTGATCCGTGTCGCGCTGCTCGGAAGCCACAGCTGACCATTAGATAGGTGCGTCTTTGGTGAGATGCTTACAGGAAAGCCGATCCTGGCTGGAGAGAGCGACACCCATCAATTGGAAATCATCTTCGACTTGGTCGGCACCCCGACCGAGCAGTCAATGCCAGGCTGGAAACAATTGCCAGGCGCTGAAGGCCTCATACCTCGGCCACGACCGCCATCGCTTCCCCAACGATTTAGAGAACACGGCCCCCAGGCCGTCTCTTTGCTTACGGAGCTAATGCTGTTGGACTGGCGCGCTCGTCTTAATGCGCATGATGCCCTGGAGCACCCTTACTTCAAGACTGCGCCGTACCCTGCTCGTCCAGAAGACATCCCAACATTCGAAGACAGCCACGAATTAGATCGCAGGAAGTTCCATGACCGCAGAGCGGCTTTGCCACCGGCTCCACAGGGAGGTACCGTTGGTGTAGCAGGGTTCGAGGGCTCGAATGCCTCGTTTGGCGCTGGCGATGGATACGGTCACAGAGGTAGCGGGCGCCATCACAATAACCACCACAGAGATCGCCGGGATATGGACGACGGCGGGCGACGGCCGACCTGGGCTCGCGAGCAGCCTCGACACGAACACCGCCTCCCACCGCGCCCGCCGCCACCAGAGAACGGGTGGGACTCGCACGGTGACAGTAGGGGGCTCCCACCACGGAGTCGCGGCCCTGGCGCGGGACCTCCGCCGTCCTCGATGGGTCCAAGACCAGGGGCCGACGTGGACACCTATATACCGGCATACGGCGACCGGCCGCCTCCGCGGGCGGACCGTCCTCCACGTGGAGGAGGGCCAGGCGATCCGCCACCTAGGAAACGGGACGACCGGGATGATATGCGACGGCACGACTGGGACCGCCGGGACCGAGATCGCGATCGCGATCGCGATAGGGATAGGGATAGAGACAGAGACAGGGAGATGCGGGATTACGATAGCGGTGGCCGCAGCCGTGCCAGCAGGACGCGTAGCAGGAGTCGCTCGCCGCCAAGAGGTGGAGACTCAAGGGACCGGGATGTATACCGCAGATAGCATCGATGGGACCATCGCCGGCACTGAAGTACATATGGAGCTTGTGTTACTGGTATAAAGCTATCGCTCGAGGCAGCCGCTCACGTTGTGTGGTTCCTTGTGCAGGTTCCCGTGCTATCATCGCCTTGACGAGAATGAACAGGCCATCAGATTGTCAGATGATGTCTGGCTTCCCTTTAAGTGCGGCAACTTTCGACACCACTTATTCCATTCACTATGATAGGGGGTGCTCCCTTTTTTTCTCACTCGTTTGCCGGGTCTCCTCCAGAAGTTGAAGCATACCACGCAATGGCCTTGGCTCAAAGAGACTCGGTTTCACTGCTCTCCTCATGGATGGTCTGGCTGAGCAACATTCCTCTGCGACTACCTCCTGTGCCAGGGACACCACTGCTCCCGCCGCCGCCGCCGATGCGTTGCTTGGCCGCGCGGTCGAGCGAACGTATGCGCTTCCACTGCGTGTCGAGGAGATCTCTGTGTTCCTGGAGGGGGTCTCTCATGTCTCTCTTTTGTTGTTGTTGTTGCTGCTGCTGCTGCTGCTGCTGCTGCTTTTGGGAGTGTATCGAATCGTTCCTCTTTTTGGATTTGCTCTTGCCTTTGCCCTGACCATGGGACGGGTTGGGACCCGTGGCGATGACGGACGAAGAGGACGACAACCAATCCTTCATCGCGGACTCACGGTAGCTCTGCTCGTCCTGGGGTGGCAGGTCGCTGAGCTCTTGTTCGTCTTCTTCATCGTCCTCGTCGTCGACTTCGTCATCGAGGATGAGTTTGCCGCTCCTCTGGCGCAATAGGTCTTCTCCACCCGAAGAGCCGCCGCCGCCGCCTCCTCTGCCGCCTGACGGAGAGAGGGCTTGCGTGGTGCGATACGATGGCGGAGGACCGGGCCAGAGGAATGACGATGACGAGCCGCCAAACCCGCCGAGGGCGCGGCCGAGGAACGATCCCTTAGCAGTAGCAGCTGCCGAGCCTGACGCCGAGGACGAGGTCGGTCCGCCGCGGGGGAATCGGTTCCCGGCGCCGGTGTCGCTGTAGTTTGTGGAGGCGCCGCCCAGGCTGAGAAGCCGGAAGATGCGGCTCGGTTGCCGTTGCCGCTGGAGCTTGCTGTGTAGGAGGCGATGCTGGCGGCGACGCTCGGCCTCCAGGGCGGCCTGCTGGTCACGCGCAGGCTCGATGCCGAGCAGGATGAAGACGAAAGCGCTGGTGCCGTAGAGCATGCAACCTGTGGCGATTCCTATAAAGGCAGCACACGCGAGCTACGGTCATGGTCAAGGAAATCAGCAATAGCTCGTTTGCCATGATCTGCGGCGCTCTGACGCAAATGCAGAGAATCTGGATAAAGGAACGTCTGCCTTACATATATATACAGGAACTACAGGGCACGTTCAAACTCCAGTCAGTCCGGGAGTCGTCTTCGGGGAGTCGGCGGAGACGGGGAGGCGTAGACTTACCTTGAGCTTCGCGACCAGGGCAAACGCGAGGCCAAGGACGGAGCGAATGCCTGCAAATACATACCACACTGGCGAAAGGAGGGCAGCAACAAGTCTGAGGATGTAATAGGCCGGATAATGGAGAGGTATGGTGAGATAGTATGTCGCAGTCCAAGCAAAGGCAGCCGTCCAGGACAGGGCTGTGGCAGCGCCTACAAGAACTGGCCACACCTTGTCCATTGCAGCAAGCCTGGAGTACACTAAATACTTCGCAATTGGGGAAAGTTGCTGGGTTGACGCGCCGTCTGAAAGCCGCAGGCGACGAGGAGCGGTTGTTCACGACATGGTCCCTTCGTGATGCGAGGTCGCAGGTTTCACGGACACCACTGAAGATGAAGTTGTTGGGGAGCGTGTCATTGCTGACTCTCCCTCACGTCACAGCTGCAGTGCAGGGAGCCAATCACAAGGGCCGTGGAGACCAGTCAGGCATGTGGTGCGGGACGCACCAAAGCCACAGCTGCCAGAGACGTGCTCAGCCCTGCACACTTGGTCCTCCATGACTTAGGTAATGACTTCCGGTCGAACCTGGAAGCTAGGAGTATGCAGAAGTGTAGATCGCAGCATTTCCAGCTATATGCTGGTCGGCCACCAGTCTGCGGACGTTGGACCCAGATCAAAGATGCAGGTACCCTACTCGGGCTCACAAGTACGTTAGCGTACGCAGGTGCCTACAGGGGATGTGGGTGCTTCTTGGTGTACATGCCCAGCTGCAGCTTCCACAGCTGTCCTAGCATGGGCGACAGCGGCAGCAAAACGAGGATGATGAATTCCGCTTGCGACAGGCAGACCCTGCAGATGCACGTGGGAGGTGAACATCTGACCAGGCCCGTGAGGTGATTTGATTCGAGTTGCGACAACCAGGCAGGCCTGGCCCTGTGCCCTGCAGGGCTGCCCAAGAGACTGCGCCGGTGGTGGCTGGCCGGGCCTCGCACAGCGGGGGCCCCCCACTGGAGCTGGAGCACCTGGAGCACCTGGCCGGGCCCCGCCCCCCGCCGCCAGCGAGACCCCACGTGAGCGACCCGCATCCCACGCTCGCTCACTCACTCGGCACGGCTCCTGCTTGCGTGCGACCAGCAGAGACCACCACCAACCACCATCCCACACCCGCTCATCGACCGGCTCCGCGTCGCGACGCTCCCTGGCCTGCCGCCCATCCTTATTCTGACAGCTCCGCCGCGTCACGCGAGGATCCAGCGCCGCCGCCTAGGGGTCTGTCCCTTTCCCTTCCCTCCGTGCCCGGTCACCCCACGCCGCACGCACGCTCGCCTCGCCTCGCCTCGTCCCCGACCCCTCCCCGCCACGGACGGGCGGTCGTCTCGTCAAGATGGGCAACTCCCCCAGCAGCAGCCGCGGCGCCACGCCGACCTCTGCCTCCCATCACGGCCACCAACACACGCCCTCGTCCGGCGCCGCCTCCGTCGCCGACTCGCCCCGTGCCTCCAAGAAGGAGCCAAAGAGCCTCACCTCCCTCCAGCACACCCAACGCTCCGCTGCCTCCCCCGAAGCCTCCGTCGTCCAGGCCACCGGCTCGACCATCTCCAGCAGGACATCCCAGTCCCGCCCGCTCTCCATCCTCACATCCTCCTCCCCCTCGACAAGTGTAAACCACACCCCGGCCAGCTCCGGCGCCCCGTCCCGCTCGTCAGAGTCAAAGTCGCGGCCCGTCTCCGAGTTCCGCGCCGAACCCTCAAAGCCGGTAGACGTGCCTGCCGCCCACTCAGACGCCGTGGCTTTTACCGCCCACGAGAGCCACTTCGGCGATAGTGGTCTCATCTCTGGGCTGGGGTCGAGTAGTGTCCAAGACATGTCATATATCCAGCGCCCACCTCGATTGCCGCTGCCCATCGAGGAAGAGATACATACCCCGGGGTCACCCATCATTGCTGCCGAAGACATCAGAGACGACATCGATGCGGCCCCTCTCGACAAGGAGGTGAATTTGCCGCGCCGGGCGTCTGGCTTGAGCAATGCTACCGATGAGGACGACTCTGAGGAGCTGCGTGTGGACAAGACACGGCCAACTGTGCCGACGAGGGTGGAGTGGCTTGGTGGTGGTCAAAAGGTCTATGTCACAGGAACGCCGTTCCAATGGAGCCGCAAGCAGAGACTGAACCCGGTGTAAGTGTTGATATGGCCAATGCGACCGATCCATCATTACATAATGCTGACCATCCTATCGCTGGCAGGCCTGGGCGTGAAGGCGTGCTCGAGACAGTCATCCCCGTGTTTCCTGGTACACATCACCTCAAGTTCCTCGTCGATGGCAATATGCAGACCTCCCCGGACCTGCCCACGACAGTCGACTTTGGCAACAACCTCGTGAATTATATCGAAGTCAGCGGCGAAGACGCTGCTGCAAACGACGTGGTGGTGGATTTGTCCGTCCCCAAATCGAGCAAAGAAGCCGCAGACCTGCCCAGTCGGTCCGGCTCCACCGAAGGCCTCAAGAGCGGTACTGGGGCCGGCGAGAAGAAGCCACAGCTCAAAGTCATCGAGCCAGCCGACGTGTTCACGCCAGCCCTTCCCAGTTATCTCACGGACTTTGACCAGCCCGAAGAGAGCGCGGCATACACCCTAGCCATGGCGGCGCTTGACAAGCTGCCTATGCCGCCCGCGCTGCCCGGTTTCCTGAGCAAGCCCATCCTCAACAACACGACGCTCATCAAGGACGACAACAGCGTGCTCAACATGCCCAATCACACCGTGCTCAACCACCTCGGGACTTGCAGCATCAAGAACAACGTCCTGGCCGTGTCGGCGACGACGAGGTATCGGAATAAGGTGAGTCATGCTGCCCAGGGGCCCTTCCTTTCGACTGACCACCACTTGGGGCTGTATCGTTCGCTGACACAACGAATGCAGTATGTCACAACAATAATATACAAGCCGACAGACTGATGTGCGGAATGAAGAGGAATGGCGGAAGAGGGAGACGAAAACGGAGATGGGCAAATATGTCAAATCAGGAAAGAGATCATCTCTCGAGTCGTGGCTGTCCCAGGCGGAACCCCACACACAGGAAATAATGTAAAAGCCGAGCCCAGCGGCCAGGTACGAGCTTGAAAGTGAACGCACAGGTAGCATTTAGTCGCAAAGCACGGAACTGTGGCCACACTGAGCCTTTCAGCCCTCTGGCATCTATGAAGTCTCTGGCACTTATAACATATCTGCCGCCTCGTGGTTGACCACAATAATGTGCTCAACCGTGAGCAGAAATCAGAGAGGCATGGTTCCAGAGGACAAGGTTGAAGGCGTGTTGGAAATCTGCAATCAAGATTGCCAGTCTTGGATTATATCAATGTCTGTTCATGTATATTACTGCGTGACATAAGTATGTTATGTGCTCTAATGATGTGTGTGGTGCTCGAGGTCCATGCCACAAGATGAGTGAGCGCAGGGGACGCGGAGTCGTCGTCGTCGTCGCATCTCGAGCCATGTCAAAACGCTCGCTCCCCCTTGTACACGATTTCCTCAAAAGCCACGAACGAACTGTATTTTCACTTTTCTTGCTAAACCCCGAGTTTCCCTCCATCCCTCCAAGGGGATCGGAAAGCTTCCCCACGTCTGCTGGTTTGCTGTAGCATGTAAGCCTTTCCACAAGTTTTGACCCCCACACGAAAATTGTCCTTCTCGACTGTAGCGTTGTCCTCGGCTTCCAGTCCTCATTTTTCTCTACTGCCCTTCCCCATTTATCTCGAGGGGAAAATCGCGAAAGCGCAGAAATTTGAATGGAGGAAGTTCGATATTCCGTAGCTGCTCCCCACAGTATTGTTATTTGCTGGTGTTGAAATGGCGCTCTGGAGGTTTGCCCGGTGTAGCCTGTGTTCCTGGCTGCGGCTAGCTGACCTGCCAGCCCGCCGTGCAGAGCAGGGATGGCCGTTGCCTGCCACACGACCCTGGATAATCTGGGTTGTTACCTCTAAAGGATTGAGTGTGTGCAGCATCACAAAAACCCATTGCAGCTTCGAATCTCTCAGAGAGAGCTTGGCGTGCGCGGTTTGGACCCGGCCTTTGCACCTCGTGTCAGGGGATGAAGCAATGATCGGATTGCGCCCTGCGGCCTTGAGTCTTTCATTCCTGTGCCAGACCGAGCCGCCCGAAATGCTTCATGTGTTGATGCTTTCGCTCGCCTGGAGAAGCCGAGAGACAGTCCAGGATCAAACACCGGGACGCTTCATGGGGCATGTCCTCGTTCATCGCTGTTCAGTCCCGCCATTTCACCCACACCTCGTCTGTCCGGAAGCGCTGCGTGCACGTGCTCTCCTCGAGCGGCGTCGTGCAGCCAGTTTCGTAGGCAAGCAGACCCGCGTGCGCAATCATGATGCCGTTGTCGATGCAGAACCGCTCGTCCGTGGCGTACACACTGCCACCGCGCTCCGCAGCCATGGCTCCCATCATGTCCTGCAGCCGCTCGTTGCAGCCCACGCCACCGACAATGAGCACCTGGCTGGTCCCGACGTGGGCCATGGCGCGCTCCGTAATCTCCACGAGCATGGCAAACACGGTCTCCTGGAGCGTGAAACACAGGTCCTCGGGCGTGATGATTTCCGACTCGGGCACGTCGACGCCGTCGGCGATCTGCGCGTGCTGTGCGCGCATCGCAACCGCAAGGAGGTCTGCGGCCCCCAGGATCCCGCTGAAGGAGCAGTCCATGCCCTTGACTGTGTACGGCAAGTCCAACAGCTTGCTCCCCTTCTTGGCCAGCTGCTCGATATTGTAACCGGGTGCAGGGTCGTTGCTGATCTCGAGGGTGCGCGCGAAGCGGTCGAGGCAGTTTCCTACGGCTATGTCGAGCGTCTCGCCGAAGATGCGATATCGCTGCTCGGCATAGGCAATAACTTGGGTGTTGCCGCCAGAGACGTAGAGGACAACAGGGTTGTCGGCGCCCGTGATCTCACGACCCATCTCGATGTGCCCGACGCAATGGTTCACACCGACTAGGGGCTTATCCCACAGAAGGCTGAGTGTGCGGGCCGCCACCGCGACGCTTTGTAAAGGCGCGCCCATGCCGGGGCCTTTGGTGTAGCAGACACATGATAGCTGGGATGGCGAAATACCAGCGTCTTTCAGAGCCTGGACGGCGATTCTTGTGAAGTAGGAGCGGTGGTGCTTCGCCGTGTCCTTTGGAAGGAAGCCTGTGCCGGGCGGGGAGACGAAGGTGTGTCTGATGTTGGAGAGGATGGTCGAGGCACCGGTTGCCGGATCGTGGGCGATGATGCCGATGCCCAGCTTGTTGGCGCTGCCCTCGCAGCCCAGAGCATAGAGTGGTTTCGCCATTGCAAGACTGCCGTCGTTTGTCGAGCTTCCACGAGGGCCTTGGTGATCAAGCCGCGCCGATCAGCTATGAGGTTAGTCGTGGGGTAGAGATGTCGTCTCGACGATAAGAAATGACGATAACGGCGGGGTAGATTTTTGGGAGCCAAAATTTCCGACGATAGTGTTGAACCCGCCCAGCTCCAGCCGCCTGCCCGCTAGGGGTCGCTGACCTCACTGACCAGCGGGAGTCTCCACAAACGCTGAGAGGACCCTGGAGGCTACTCCCGAACTGACAAGGGCTTCCCGCCGTGATGTGGATGCTTCACAGCCACCCGCGGGCATGCCTTTCTGGCAGCAAGATGCGCCGCCATGTTTTGCTTCCCTGCTATGGAGTGCTGCCATCTACGAGGCTGCTGACAAGTTGTGGGAGACGTCGAGACTATCCTTCACTCTTTCAATGTCTTTAAAGAAAAGGTCAGTAATCTCAGTGAAAAGAGGCACACATAGACGGGTCCCCATCAAATGCAGCGAGTATCAACAGACACAGCAATCCCAGCTCTGGCTAGTTCGCAGTCGTCTTATGCCAGTGTGCATTGGCACACATCTGAAATAGCATGGCAGATCATCATGGTAGGTAGGAATAGAGTCAGCCTGTCCGCGGGAGGACGACAAGGTGACCTTGGAAGGAATGCTGACAGGGCCTCGCGCCCAACGTTACAGTGCAGGGCGGGAGGTGTTGCTTTGTTGCCAGAGTGTCCGCTCGCTGAGCCTCACGCATCACAACTCCTGGCAGCCGCATCGTCACAGTCGAATTCGCGTTGGAGGAGTTGAGGAGGTTGATCTCTGCAGTTCTCACAATGTCGAGGTATGCGACAAGAAAAATATGTGGATGTGCCCACCTGCGACCCCACACGTCCGGGCACCATGTGACTGCCGCCTTAGACACGATTGCCCTGCTACGAGCAAAAGTGAAGCGGCAGACCTGAGCGGTCAGAACAGAGGATCTGCTGAAAGATCGCCGATGTGCAGATCCGTTGCGTGAGCTGGTCATGGTGTGCCAACTGTCAGATTGCCAGTCTGCGATGCGCCAGTATACATGGATGGTCCAACGCCCAAAGTCTCCTGAACGGCTGGAAGCGCCAATGATTTCAGGGGCCCTGTAGCCGTTGCCAGGACTGGGCTCAAGAGACCTTTGGGGGTTTTCCAAAGCACACAATAGCAGCAACGGCCGTGTGCACCAGAGCATAGCATCTCTGCCTCATGACCGGACCACGGAAGGACGACGGATGAATCCCAAAAAGGCACGTGGGAAGTCGGGATGAGGAGTTTTGGAGCCGAAACCCAGCGTCCCCGCTTCGACGTCGTCCCTTGGGTGGGTCCACCAAACCGAGCATCGGGACGCAATTAATATTGCCTGTCTCGTCTGGTTGCGCCTGCCGCCGCCGCCCGCCAGCCCAGCCCAGCCCAGCCATATCACTGCTCGGCACTTTGCCTGCGGCTCATCCGTCTTGCGACAACACACGCACTCTCTCACTCCCCCTCTCCTCTCCACTCTGGCATCATGCTGAGCTCAGATACGCCGCTCCATCTGTCTCCGGCTCTGGTATTATACCGTCCATTAAACGCCGGAGACGCCTCTCATCATCCTCTCCCATCTGACATCACTTCTGCGTATCCTGCCGCCCTTGCGCCATCGCCGCCGCTACGCAGTCAGGCTCGTCTGACGATTGCACCTCTGGGAGACAAGACGAGACAGAGTAGCAATCTATTTGCTTCATACCATCTTCCTTTTCTCGCGGGCGAGAATGATCCCCAAACCCCGTTCTCATCCAGCAAGCCCGTCGTGGCCCCGCCCCAATTCTATGCCATGTCAGCCAGCGCTCGCCATATAAGGTTCTCGGTCGGCGCCCATGGACCTTCGTTTCAGCGATCCGTCGCACGACATGTCGCAGACTGCACGGATGGTCGGCTTACCGCACTTGCGATGATGTCTATGGCGTCTATTGCCAGATATTTCTACGCCGCAGCAAGACTATGAGCTCGGAGCTCTGACTCAGCCTCATATCAACCCCACAGTGCTTCGGCAGAGATTTGACGCAGTCGCCAAACGTCTACCTACATCACCTGTCTACGGCCTCTCTCGGACTCTACCTTTTTGCAGGCAACTGCGCAGACGAGACCTTTCGACTTACGCTGGTGTCGCGCTTTTCTCCAGGTCCGACAAAGGCAAGCCCTGCTGAGGCGTGGGAAATGTTGCCGACTCTGGCCCATATCGACACCGAACCACAGTCAGACAACAGCTGCCTGGGCGATTTGCACAGATCATCCGAGAAAGGGGCATGGCGGATCTACAGATTATATCCTCTGTGCGGCATGCGATCCGAGACGTCTTCGCATTGCCGCTATCCTTCCCGAACGATCACCCAGTCCGCCGCCACGCACGCACAACTCAGCTCGACGGAAGATAATATGAAGAGTGTTTAACATTTTTATTATTATTTTCAGGGTGACTCTGGTCGCCCTCGAGTCTGAATTCCGAATCGACAAAACCGCCCAGCCCAACTCCACTGCTATGCATATGACCGTCCTGGTATACATCGTACAACAAACACCCCGAGCAAATATATATCAAAAAAGCAACGCTCCTACTTTCGCCGCTCGCTACATTTTGTTCACCCATATGTGCGGGCTAAAGTATATACAAGATTATGCGGCAAGGGGGGTTATCGACCCAAGGATGTCATGGGCGAGCCCGGCAGTTTTCTCGCCAGGATCTGTCTTCAGGTGGATGACTTGACGGCCGGCGCCGGAGGAGATTGAGCGGAGATGGATTTCGGTGGAGATGAGGCTTGCCCATGTGCTACCTGAGCAGCATGCGCTTTGGCTGCGATCAGTTGCGCAGACGACTGGCCTTGTGCGAGAGCCTGTCTGTTGTTTGCGGCGGACTGCAGAGCGGCAGGATCAACCTGTCTTCGGGAGAAGAGCGGAAGAGGGATGGGAATGATGGACCTGTACTTCATCTGGCGCAAACTATACGCGTCAATGTCGTACGTGGGAACATCACCCTCTTCGTCATCGTCCTGGTCATACTTCCATTGGTCACTGTTGCCAAAACTCGCCTCTCTTGGTGGACTCTTGAGTCCAGTACGGAGAGGCCGGCGGTCTACCCACAGACGACCGCCACGACCAACACGACGGCGGAAGGCATAAGATTCTTCTTCTTCCGAGTCGGAATCGGAAGGTATGCCAGTAAAGACGAAGGGTGTCGTCTCCTTCACCGCTTGAGGCTTGGGAGCTTCGTCAATTTCCATCGAGTCAGAAGCAGAAGCAGGAGGAGTCATGAGCTGCTGGGTCTTGGCTGGCCTGAAAGCGGCAGCCTGCTCGACTTGGGGAGGTGGTGGCAGCGGTCTCGCAGTCAAGTCGACGTGATTCAGATTCCACTTCTTGTGGTTCTGCATCTTCGTCTCGATGTCTGCCTTCAACTCGTTCTCCTTTTCGGCAAGCTTGTCAGACAGCAGAGTGAGATCAGGCTGCTCCACAGTCTTGCCATCGGGCCTGACCTGGATGCGCAACTGCGTCTGAGGTCCAGCACGAGGTTGAGAGGCATCTGTACGGGGGCGTTTCTGCGGCTTGGAATTGATGAGGTCATCATCATCACCTTTGATGTTGAGGCGGACCTTGGCCTGCTTCAACCACGCGCGCTTCTCGAAAACGGCACGGTCTTGCTTGAGCATGTCTCGCTTCAGTTCTTCACGGCGGAGAGCGAAGTGGACGAGGCGCCGACCGTCTTCCAACTCTGATCGCAGCTTCTTGAGCTTCTCAGCGACCTGGTTGTCGCGAGCTCTTGTCTTGCGAGTCTGCCGGACTTCACGTCTCCGAAAGCAGACATACGGGTCCATGTCATCTCGCTCCTGGTGTGTCTCAAACTTGAGCTGTGGTTGCAATGGTTTACTGCCAGCTTCCGCCCGCCGCGCTTTCCAGTACTCGTAAGTGTTCTTTCCGTGTGCCTGGATCACCTTTGTGTTTATGATGCCTTTCAGCCTCTCGAACTCGACCAGCATCGGCTCGTACGCAACAGCTGTGCCGTCGACAGCGGCAAAGGGTGCTTGCTCTTTGGAGGTGTATTCAAACACCTCCATGATGAGTTCAAAGTCATCCTCCGAGAGCTGGTCGCGCTTTGGCTTTTTTGTGTTGTAAGTCTTGAGGAATTCGTCATCCTCGGTGGTCATGTAGTAGGGCGCATCCGGCCCCAATGTCCCGAGGGTGTCCTCTACCGTTTCCGAGAACTTGAGATAGTTTCGCGGCTCTACGTAAGTATTGGGGTACAGCTCGTCGTAGCTAGCCTCACTCTTTTGCGGCGGTGGCACCGGGATCTCGTTTGTGACCGCGACGCCATTGCCCTTAAGAGCTGCTTGGAGATGGACTTCCTGTGATGTTGAAGACTCGAGTTAGTCACGTGCTACTTCCCAAAGGAGGCAAGATCCAAATTTGGACTAGCGCCAAAATGGTGAGCAGGAGAGAGTGCGGCACCGCGGTGGCACGCGGTGTGCACGGGCCACATCTCAGGAAAGAGCGGTCACATCAGACTCACGTTTTCCTCGGCCTGCTCGACGCCAGTCGCGATCTGGGACTCGGTGGTGAGAGACTCATATTCGCTCGGGTCGACCTGATCTTCGCGAAGGATTGGTAGGAGGGTTTTTGCGTTGAGTTTCTTGACCCTCACGCGTCTGTTGGCCGCGATGACTGCAGCCATAGCGGTGCCTGGGCGGGGGCGAGAGGAGATGGGAAGAAGGGGGGGGGTGACGAGGTGAAAGGAGGCCAAAATCGCCCGAAAAAATCCGGGGACCCGAGAAATCAGATCATGAATAAACGATTTACGCAGTTTTCGGGGATGAAAACGCGTGGTTTGGGGGTGATCTGTGATGGTGATATCTGGGCGTTGTTTTGGCCGTGCTGCGAAAATTCTGCTCGGTATGCGCTCTGGAGGCTGATGCGCAGAGCGGTGCCCGGAGAAAAGTCTGCCTGCTTGGGTGGGAGCGGAGCGGAGCCTGGAGCATGGCATGCACACGCACTGAGCAGGCAGGAGTGGTGCAGTGGTATGGGCGGCGGGCAGTTGTGCTGTGCGCGTGCAGGCGTCAGAGGTTCACGCTGGGGCAAATGAGATTGCGCCGCCGCTGGGCAAAAGGAGGGGCCAGCCAGCCAGCCAGCCAGCCTCTGAAGGGCGGGGGGTCGAGCACGCCTCTAGCTAGCTGCACTCGCACCAACAGTAGCAGCGTGCGCTATTTCTTGTGGGCACGCACAGCCACCGCCCCCCCTCTCCTCTCTAGAGAGGACCGCGATCACGTAAGCGCAGCACTTTAGCAGGCCAGGCTCTGCTATCTCGGAAAAAAGGGGCAAAAGCCAGGCCGCTGGGCCTGATGCGACCATCAAGGCATGGCCAGGAGCAGGACTGCACTCCTCGAGATGCGCGGTGTTAGATCTACAAAAGCGAAAACCTGATTTCTCCAAATCTGCATGCACACTCTTGCATTCAGATGATTTTCAGCATCTCTTAGAGATCGAAAAGCCTGTGTCTCGCAGTGTTTCGTTGGAATGTAAAACCCCCAGGTATGCTCATCTTCTTGTTTGTTCCTCATGTGCATGCATACCAGGTTCTTCCAAGAGCGGCTTCCTGGTGTCTCACCCCATGAAACTTACCTGGGTCTCACCTTGGGAAGTGCCCGTGATACTACTACCTCAGCTTAGCACAGGTGCACACCAATGCCGAAGACACTACGAGCATCGCCCACTAGGAAACACGAAGTGACCCCACAAATCAACCTCGAGACCTGGACACGGACACGGTGTCGTCTTGCTCGTCCAAGAAGCAGAAGATGGCAATGGCCCAATAGTAACGACCCCGGAGGCCTTGCGCAGATAAGACGGCGCAAATTCAGACCAGCCTTTGAAGTCCACCGGCGAGCTCCAAGGGCGACAAGGCTAGGACGAGAGCTTGCTAGTGGGAAGCTGTCTTGACATCATGACCATGGATAGGCGTCGGCGCCATGTCCTGAATGTCCAGTCCTAGTAGTGGCTGGCGTGGTGGCTTGCAGCAGAATGCGATTCTTCTTCTCAAAACCCCAGACACCTCCATCAGGGCGAGTCATGGTCACCCCTGTCAAACATGTGCATGGCGCTGCATGCCGATGTCGTGCCTTGTTGATTGGCCGATTGCGATTCATGGACTTGGCGATTTATCTCTGTGAGAGGGACAAATGGATCGCTTTCAAGACTTCTGTTGATAAGAGATTCGGTTGGTAGAACCTGAGTAGACACCACGTCTGTATCACACATTTGGTGCTGCTGGAAAGGAGATCAGAAGAAGCGGGTATGCTCAGAGGCAGCTGTGTTTCTTCTTGTCCCGAGCTCTACTTGGCTGTTCTCATTCTCCTCAAAGCTCCCCAAGGCAATTCTTAAGCACAATCTCGAAAGAGTGAACGCAGCGAGCCATTAGGCAATCATTGTCCTATGGATCCTCGTCGGCCGAGATGCAAAGCTCCGGATCGTGTAAGTGAAATAGCTAGGCCTGTGGCTGTCACTGTGGCTGTAATTGTGGCTTTCATGTAGCCGGCTGCCTCACGATTTCCATGTCATGGCAAGGTCGGGTGACGAGTGGCTTATGTAATGAAGAACCCAGGATCCTCCAGGACTGCTTGGGCGGCGGCCCCACAAATGCAACTGACCCGTTCCTCGAGTCCCTACCCCACCATGCCAGAGAAGGGGTCACTTCTGGTCACCTCTACCACTGCTTCACCATCTCGACAGCGACGACCACCTGACCCGGCCCTACCGAGCAGAATATTTCACGGTATCCTATTTTGAAAGGAGGCTTCGAAGCTCGTCGAACTCTGGAGGAAACATCGACAGCTCTCGACGGCACTTTTTCGCTCCAGCATTTGCGATCGTTGTTACTTGTGACCCACGCGCCACACGACATCCGCCAGAATGGATAACATTGTCTCTGCCACGAACTGTACGACGAACCCCCACGAAGAGTCTTCAGGGCCATGCTTACCATGTGAATAGTCGACCGCGAAGAGGTTGACCGGTTGAGAAAGAGGTTTATGAAGTTGGACAAGGTACACTCGAAACATTTCTTGACGGACGTGGATTGAGATGAGCTGTTCGCTAACTCGGCGTCGTCTTTTAGGACAACTCTGGAACAATCGAGCGCGAAGAGTTCCTGAGCCTGCCTCAGATTTCTTCGAACCCCCTGGCGACGCGGTACGCACGAGCACTCCTGGCCTCGGAGCCCTGTTGGGACGCAACACGACACTGACCATAGCAATTTTTGCCTTCCCACAGAATGATCGCCATCTTCGACGAGGACGGCGGTGGCGACGTTGACTTTGAGGAGTTCGTCTCTGGGCTTAGCGCGTTCAGCAGCAAGGGCAACAAGGAGCAGAAGCTCCAATTCGCCTTCAAGGTATACGACATTGACCGCGATGGCTACATCAGCAACGGCGAGCTCTTCATCGTGCTCAAGATGATGGTCGGCAGCAACCTCAAGGACCAGCAGCTCCAGCAGATTGTCGACAAGACGATCATGGAGGCCGACCTCGACGGCGACGGAAAGATCAGCTTCCAGGAGTTCCAGAAGATGGTGGAGAACACCGACGTTAGCATGAGCATGACCCTGGGTGAGTCTTTTGCCAGTTTTGAGGCGTGGATTTTGAGTGTCACGAGCGGCCACATACTGACTTCCGTGATCTAGACCAATTTTAGAGAACTGCATACATACTGTGGCAGGATACCGTATATAATGAATCATGAGACATCACACGCAGCTCGCTCTATGTTTTGTATCAGTGGAGGTTGGGTTCTTTGTATTCTTGAGTGACGAGAGAGATGCCGCGGTACCCTTTGCGTGTGATTTTGCTCATGTTTCGTCGACGGTTCCACTGCTGTTAACCTTGATCAGGCAATTTCAACACACATTCTCGACTTCTGGGCATGTTCCGCTCCAGAAGCTCATTTGTTGCAGATAACGAAATGGCATCAGGATCGCCTTGCCAATATCTGCGCACCTGATGACCGGCACCCCAAATCAAGTCGTTCAGGAGACGAACATGCCGTAACGGGCGTAAGGGAAGTTCTCGAGCGACGGTAATTGTTGCGCCCAGCCATCGCCTGGCTGCCCGAGCTGCTCTTCGTCTCCGATCGGGACCAAACCGATTCTCCCCGCAAGGACCTCAGACTCTTGACCGTGGTACTGCGCTGCGATTTCTGCGTGCGGTACCCAGACGACTTGCATACCCGCCCTCCTGCCAGCCTCGACACCAATGACGCTGTCTTCAAAGACGAGACACTCTGCCGGGGTGATTTGTGGGACATCGCTGGGAAGAGTGTCGTTGATAGCCTGCAGAGCCACGAGATAGATGTCTGGGGACGGCTTGCCTCTACCCTTCGGGACCCTGGGATCATCCCCGAGTACTCGGTGCCGCAGCTCAATCAGGTCCAAGACTGCTCTGGTGGTCGGGTTCGACGTCTTGAGATTGAAGTTGTACGTCTCGCTACTAGTCGCAAGGGCCATCTGCATAGGATACCGGCCATCCGTGCCGCTCTTAGCCGTGCGCAGGGTGGCGAGCAGTTTCTCAACGCCCGGTAGCGGTCGGCACTCGGGAAAGTGCTGTTCTTGCTGCTCGCGCTGCTCGGCGGCGAACTGCTCGCGTGAGATTGGTAGCTGCGCCCACGCGTGGAAGAGGTCGCCGTTGGACGAGCCCGGCACTCCCATCATCTTGGCTTTCAGGGACCAGGGTAAAGGTGGGCGACCGTGGCGAAGGAGCACCGTGGACGAACATAGCGTGTACAGGTCTTCTGTGTTGAGGAGCAGGCCGTCCATGTCGAACAGACAGGCTCTGATTGGGGGCTTTGTGCTCATGGTGATTCCTGATGATGCTACCACAATCGTTCCTTTTCAGACTACGGGGGGCATGTGCATTTGTTGCCTTGTTGCTGGGGTTGATTTTGGTGAAACGTGGACGTGTCGGTCAACGGGCAATTCTCACGAGCAGAATGAAGCCGACTAGATTGTGGAACCTCCGTCAAAGCGGAAAGTTGTCAACGCTAACTGGCTGGCACTTTCCCATTGGCTCATTGGAGTCCCACGTGGAGAGATCCATATCTCCCAGGTTGAGTCCATCCGGGGCAGTTCCACAGTCGTCCCTCTCTGGGGTTCAGTACTTGTCACTTGCACAGTCGAGCAACTAATATTAATTGCTCGCGTACCGGCCCGGCGTGAGTCATACCAAGCTTGTACAAGACAATTCTGTAGCCGCTCACCTCTGCAGCATGCTGGATGTTGTTCCGTGTCTACCAAGGTGTAATCATCTCCGCCGATAGCCGTAGGCATCGGAGCTCTGCCGGAGCTCCCAGCTCTGCCGGAGCTCCCAGCTCTCCTAGGTGTAACGACGGCTTCCGCTGTGTCCTGCGGGGTTGAACTTGTATCTCCGCATCGGTCAAGTGCGCAAGTGCAGATGATGCTCGTTATGGTATCGTATTGCTGTCGTGGCTGGATAATTTGAAAAAGAAAGTACGTCGCTATCACAATAGAGCGCCAGCGTACATTCGATAGGGACACCCCGCTTTCCAAGGTTGTCTTGATATAAGTGCAGCCAGACCCGAACAGAAGCTCCCGCAACTTTCGTCTTACCGACATAAGTTTTATCGGCTTCCATATAAGCGCTCTCCTGAGTAGTCACAAAGCCCCAAATATTTCCTCCTTCCACTATAAGCTACCGATATCGTGCGTTCTATTATCTTCTACTGGATCGCCATGTCTGCTACGAAACTCGAGCTCCGCACCGCGTTGGGCCCAGTATACCGCGATGTCCTGCCCCATCCGCCTCGTGACTGCACGGCCGAAGAGATCCCCATCATCGACCTCGCGCCCATGTTCTCGAACGACTTGGCCGACCGCAAGATCGTCTCGGACCAGATCAGAGCCGCGGCAGTGAACAATGGTTTCTTCTACGTTAAGAATCACGGCATCGCCCATGCCACCATCAGCACCTGCAAGCAGCAGGTCCTCGACTTTATGCGGCAGCCCCAGCACCTCAAGGACCAGGTCGCCACGAGGGTCCACAGCAAGTACCACAACGGCTACCACGGCGCCAAGACGACGCAGATATCACCCAGCGAGACCGCCGACGTCCGAGAGTCCTTCTCGTTCCGGTACTCTCCTGAGCTCGACCCGGACCACCCCATGCCGCTGTCCAGCGTGCCCGAGGAGGTGAAGCCGTGGATCCGCGGCGAGGAGTTTGTCTGGGATGGCACGGCGCACCTGCCGGGCTTCAAGAGGGACTGTCTCGCTTACTGGGCGGCGTGTCTGCAGCTGTCGAGAAGGCTGGTGCGCATGTTTGCCCTCTCGCTCGACCTGCCCGAGGACTACTGGGACGACAAGGTCACTTTCCCTGGAGCCGACGGGGTGTTTAACTACTATCCGCCGCGCACGGAACACGAAATCGAAGGAGGGTTTGTTGGGCTGGGGAGTCACACGGACCTCCAGCTTTTTACGCTTCTCTGGCAAGACACCGTTGGTGGATTGCAGGTTCTCAGCAAGGAAGGGCAGTGGATCAAGGTGAGTACAGAATGGACGTCCGCCTTCGGGTGAAGAATGTCGTGGCTGATCTTGTTGTCACCTTGGTGATTAACACAGGCGCCTCCCATCGAAGACACAATCGTTGTCAATATCGGCGACTTCCTCATGAGGCTGTGCAACGACATGTACAAGTCCACGGTGCACCGAGTCACCAATGAGTCTGCAGTAGAGCGGGTGTCAATGCCGTTCTTTTTTGGTGTGTTCCGTGCTTCTTTTCCCCCCTCCATTCTTGGTCTTGGTTGAGACACGAAACCTGTCATTGCCCCGCAGTAAACCATATCTAGTTCTTCAACTAATATATTCAGGTCTCAACTTCAACTGCGTCGAGGGCGTTGTGCCGACATGCGCATCCGAAGCAAATCCTCCGAAATACGAGCCGATCTCGTGTGGTGACTGTGAGTGGTACCCTGGTACATATGTACCGTGAAGTGATCATGCCTTTGACTAACGCTGGTGCAGGGTGCCAAATGCGGTTCGATCAGGCACAACAGGACTTCTTAAAGAAGCAGGAAATGGAGCGACTTGCGCCCAGCGGCAAGGTCGTGAAGGCATAGACCGTCACAAGCCTACGTACTCAATGACTGTACAATATCTCCAGCCTAGCTGTACCTTCTGGGTAAAATATGACCACCGAACGCGTATCGCCAAAAATAGCTGTGCAAGGACAGTGCTGGCGGATGTCTTATAGCCCTGACGGCGCACCTCCCCACGAAGCTCTCATACCATGACTTTTTGCACAAGCTCTATCACGTCAAAGAAGGCCTCGCGCTCTGGCTTGAGCTGTGGTATGCCCAGCCCGACGACGAGCATCCGCTTCTCTGTGCTGTCTCGTCGAACGATGTGGCTGGCTATCTGCACAGCATAGAGCTGCCCCAGAGACTCGCGGTCCTCACCTCCGCCACCGAGCAGAGTCTTTGGCGTAAGATGGGTCAGGGGCAGCAGACTCGCATCCGCAAGGGCCATGTCCACGCTGGCTGCTGACGGCGCGGAGAGCGGTACTTGGATCTGTTCACAGTTTGTCAGCATGCCGGTGGCTCGTATGATTTCAAGTGCGGCTAAAGCTTTGGAACTCACCCATTGTGAGAGGCTGCCGCCTTGTGATAGAGTTACCAAAATTTTGTCTTCGAAGTAAAGAACTGCAGCTTCCGTTGGGATCCCGTCGATGTTGCCCTGCACCTGATTGGACTGAGCCGGGAAAGCTTCCGGGATGACTTGCGGTTCTTCCATGGTTGTTTTTCCTGGTTCCCAGCGTCTACAAAGTTGCCAGGAAGTGTTTGAGCGGAGTCAGAGGAGACGGACGGCGGATACTTCTGCTTCGCCCTTTCGCTTGTGGTTGAAGGCCGAGATCAAAGTGCTAATGCCGATTGATTTGGCTGAGTACTCTCGCTGCAGGTGAGCAGAGTTGGAAAGGATACGGTGAAGCAAGTCCCGCTGGTTTCGTCCCGTCAAAGTAATGCTCATGACCGGAGATCGGTCGCTGGAGAGTCTCGGGCGTCGGACAATGGGAGCGCCGTTCAGTGGGGGGTGCCCGGGCGGGTGGGGCTGCCTGCTCCGGATGAGGTACATCGGCATGGCGCAGCAAAGGTGCATAACCCAAGGTATCCTGGCCCGTGTGGACCCGGCCTGCCGCGCCCGCACCCCGCGCTAGCTCACATCGGGCTTATCGCAGAAAGTTCTGCCAGGGCGGTCAATTTTTGAAAGAGATCCAGGGTCGCTCTCACACACACACTATGCTACGCTGAGCGCCAGGCGCATCGATAATTGGGAGCTTGTGCCGTCGCATCTCTGCCTCGTCGGAGCTTTTTCTTTGACGCGCCAATCCACACAGAGAGTCAAGATGGCCAAGAAGTTCGTGCCCCGGCAGAGGAAGCACAAGGTCCTCGCCCGGCAAAAGGCACAGCACGAGTCCACCTCTACCGCTGAGGACGGAGCGACGCTCGATCCGCATGCCGCTGCGGCCGCCGAAAAGCAGCCTGGCGACAGCAATGCGCTGGAGGTCCTCCCGGAGGTGCAAAAGGCCGCGCAGGAGGCCCGGCGGGCCCAGCTGAGACAGCAGCTCCAGGGCGACGCCAAGATCAGCAGCAAGAAGGCCAAGAGGCTCGAAAAGTACATCGACACGAAGCTCAAGAAGGACGAGAACCGCGTGCTCCTCGCAAAGCTCGCCGACCAGAAGATCGATACTAGCCTGTACGCCAGCAGCAGGAGCCTGGGACAGACCAAGGAGACGAAGCGCCAGGCTCTCAGCCGGGCGTTGCGGGAGCGCCAGGCAGGCATCGCAGGCGAAGGGAATGACGAGCTGCTCTTCGAGACTCGTGATGAGGCTCCGTCCGACTTGTCCGAGGAGGAGGAGCAAGGGGACGAACTTCAGGGCACCGTGACATTGAAGAACAATAAACCGGTGGTATCGCAACAAACCAAGGCCCCAGGAGCTGAGAAAGCTACGGTCGAAGAGCCCCAAGCAGACCCGTCTGTGGCAACGGCACCATCACTAGGATCTGGCCTGAAGCGGCCCCTAGACCTAGACGATGAAGGTCGGCCGGTACTTCAGAAGCGTCAGAAGAGAGGCGGCGTCAAGTCAAAGGTGTCCTTGCGATCCCAACCCACACCGCCCGTGGTGGTCACCCAAGCTGTGGCCCGACCAGAGCAGTCAGCTTCTGAGTCCGAGGAGGAAGAGTGGGGTGGCTTCAGCTCCGCTGAAGAAGAAGAGGATGTGGATATGTCAGAACATAGCGGCTCAGACGATGCCTCGGATGCTGAGGCTGGCTCATCCGCCGAGGGGGACACATCTAGTGAAGAAGACGACTCATCTGGTGAAGATGATGACGAAGACGAAGACGAGGACGAGGCCCCAGACACAAAACAACGATCGTCCGCATTCAAGGCGTGGGCGCATGAGCAGCGCAACGAAGCGCTCGGCTACCAACCTGTAGAGAACGGCGCTGGTGTGCTAGATATTCCGGTGCCGAAAGACTTCAAGCCGCGACCAATCGAGCAGGACCCCCTACCACAAGAACTTTTGCCAACTCAGAACACTGCGAGAAAGGCATACAGCGTCCCTGTCGTGAGAACGCCGGAGATTCAAGCTGCGCGCCTCGAGCTTCCCGTGGTCGGCGAGGAACAGAAGCTCATGGAAGCGATTCACAACAACAATGTCGTCGTCGTGTGTGGTGCGACCGGTTCTGGCAAGACGACACAAGTGCCGCAGTTTCTGTTCGAAGCTGGATATGGATCTCCAAACTCCCCTACACCCGGTCTGATTGGTGTCACTCAGCCCAGGAAAGTCGCCGCGGTCAGTATGTCCAAACGTGTTGGACAGGAACTCGGAGACAGATCCGATACTGTCGCTTACCAGATCCGTTTCGAGGGAACGACGGACGACAAGACCGCCATCAAGTTCATGACAGATGGTGTCTTGCTCAGGGAAGTGGCGAGCGACATCTCGCTCATCAAGTACTCAGCCATCATCATCGACGAAGCCCACGAACGGAGCGTTAACACGGATATCCTCATTGGCATGTTGAGCAGGGTTGTAAAGTTAAGAGAGGAGATGGCGGAAGAGAACCCCAAGATCAGCCCCCTCAAGCTCATCGTCATGTCTGCCACCTTCAGGGTAGACGATGTTACGAAAAACCCCATGTTGTTCCAAACTCCACCTCCGATATTGAACGTGGAAGGCAGGCAGCATCCTGTCACTGTCCACTTCGCACGCCAGACGAAGCACGACTACGTGGAGGAGGCTTTCAGGAAGATCACAAGGGGACACCAGAAGCTTCCCCCGGGAGGTTTCCTTGTGTTCCTGACTGGCCACGACGAGATTGTGAGACTGAGCAAGAAGCTGAAGCAAGCATCCGGCGGACTCAATCCAGTGGCATATCCGAAGGTCCGTATCTCTGCGACGGAGGCGCCGCTCGAGGTAGAAGACATTGATTTCGGCGAGGTCAACGACTTCACCGGCGCGGATGACGATGGCGTTCCGTTCGACTCTGATGCAGAGGATGAGGACGAAGACGACGGCATGTTTGACATTCCAGACGAGACCAGTGGTGGTCCTCTCAAGATGCACATCCTGCCTCTATACTCGTTACTCCCGACACGAGAGCAAATGAGGGTGTTTGAGGAGCCACCAGAGGGTAGTCGGCAGATCATTCTCGCCACAAACGTTGCGGAGACGAGTTTGACAATACCCGGCATACGCTACGTCTTTGACTGTGGCAGGGCCAAAGAGCGCAAGTACAACCGGGACAATGGAGTGCAAAGCTACGAGATTGGCTGGATCAGCAAAGCCAGCGCCAACCAACGGTCTGGTCGTGCTGGTCGTACAGGACCTGGTCACTGCTACAGACTGTACTCATCCGCAGTCTACGAGCGTGACTTTGCGCCCTTTGCCGAGCCAGAACTCTTGCGCATGCCCATTGAGGGTGTTGTGCTCCAGCTGAAGGCCATGCGCCTCCAGCACGTCGTAAACTTCCCGTTCCCGACTCCACCGGACCGCCACAGCATTGCGAAAGCCGAGCAATTACTACAATACCTGTCTGCGATCACAGATACCGGAAGTGTAACACAGATTGGCACGACCATGTCCAAGTTCCCGCTGCCACCGCGCTTCGCGCGGATACTGCTGATCGGGCACTTGCACGACTGTCTGCCTTACACTGTTGCGCTTGTTGCTGGCCTTTCCGTGGCAGAGGTCTTCATCCCGGAAAGCCAGGCCATTCCAGCTATCGCGCAAACCGAGGATCGCCTGCGCACAAATGAGGACATTGCGGCAGAGAACCGCCAAAGCCTTGCCCGCAAGAAGTTCAATGAAGTACACCGCAACTTCAAGTCGCTGGACGACGCATCAGATGCTATCAAGCTTCTCCAGGTTGTCGGCGAGTTTGCGCACGATCCGACCGAGCAGTGGTGCGAGGACCACTTTGTGCGGTTCAAATCGCTCCAGGAGACGCAGAAACTTCGCAAGCAAATCACCAGCCTCTTGCAAAAGGACATCCCCGCATTCGCAAACCTCACCTACAGGGACAAGCTCGACCGGCCGTCCTCCAAGCAGATCACGGCGCTCAAGCAGATGGTCGCGGCGGGCTTCATAGACCAGGTCGCGATCCGCGCCGACCTGGCGCCCGTGCCGCCCGAGGTCCACCGCAAGCCGAAGCGCGCCATCGATGTCCCCTACCTGCCCCTGAAGCCGCTCGAGGGCAGCTCCCGCAGCGACGACATTGTCGACAAGGCCGTCTTCATCCACCCGTCCTCGTGCCTCGCGCACCAGAGCCTGCAGGAGCTCCCGGACTACATCATCTACTCGAACCTGCAGCGCGCGGCGCCGTCGCCGGAGATGCTCAAGAAGCCCAAGACGCGCATGATTGCGCTGACGGACATTACGGGCGCGCAGCTCGCGGCGCTGGCCAAGGGCACGCCGCTCATCGAGTACGGCAAGCCGATCAAGGAGGTCAAGGTGGAGCCTGGGCAGACGACGCGCGAGTGCTGGGTCGTGCCGTACCTGCGGTCGGAGAGCGCGGGCGGCGGTATGGGCTGGCCGTTGCCGGCGAGGAAAGTCAGGCAGAAGAAGGTCCCTGGGAAGGGTTGGGTTGTGGAGTAGTTGTAGACACTTTTTGAAGGCAGGACGTTAATGATATAAGTGATACCACATATTTTGACATCGATTGTTTGACCCATATATGAGGACAGCATTTTGTCCATACCGTGTGCGACATGAACGGAGCTGGGATATGAGGATGCATGATGGTTGTACTCGGAACAAAAGCTCGTGCAGTGTCCGGCTCTGCATTTTTGTGTTACCTCCACCACAAGCACAAGCGTGTATCCCCTCGGTTTTATTTTCCTTAAAATTTCTTCAATGTACGCATGTATGTCTCCAGCATCACTGTCGTAATGGCATAAATGAAACATGGTTCTCCCTCATAGTGACTTCATTCTTCACGCTGTGGTATAAGTCGGCAACATGAATGTAACAAATACCCTTTTTCGCCTTGCCTGCCTGCCTTTGGACTGGCGAGTTGCTTCTGTTCTTCTCTTCCTCCGTCATATCTGAAGATATGGCTATTTGAAAAATATCTCATTCAAGCATATTTACATAACGGTGTAAGCACATGAAAAGCGCTAGTTAGTCGAGAATTGATCGTTGCCCAGTGCGCCACAATTAGAGACTGGACAGTCTGGAGTCCGTCCATTGTGTCATTCCGAAAGGCAATTCACAATTCCATACTGAGTGTATGCATCCCCACAGGGCTTACTCGGGACTGGGCCAGCCTCCGCAATCACATAGTTCTGGACAACTCGGCCGGACGACCGGAAGACGGGAATAGAGTATCAACGCAGTCCCACATGTCAAAAAGAGAGAGTTTGCTAGTATGCAGCTAGGAGTTGCGGCTACATTGGCACTAAGAGTTAGAGGCAGCAAGCCACGATAGACGAAGAAACCAGCCCGCTGTGAGTCACAAGCAAGCAGCCCCCCGATATCGTAGACTTACCAGCGTGCTCGACTCGAGAATGACGCGAGGAATCCCCAGAGTAAACAGGCCGCAAAACCATGCCCACATAGTCTTGACGGCACGAGCATGCCGCAGTGCCATTCGCAATCCACGGCCCGAGAACCGGCCATGTAAGCCGAGGTGAAAGCCCACAAGCAAGCCAGACACAGACGTCTCATCACACATCATGCATGCACGTCCGAGACCTAGGCAGCCTAATTACATCAGACATCCTGTACCATGCCGTTTTGTCCCATCATCTTTCCTAGAGAATTTCAGCCCGTGTAATTCCGTGAATTAAACATCTCATACCTCGGCTATGCATGAACACCACCAGTCATCATATCATATCACAAAAACGCACAGCAGTTGGCGCTCCCACCACACACACACACACACACACACACAGCGGATAAAAGGGAGTCAATGGTTCCACAAAAGTACCGCCCGAACTTCAGAAGCACGACGACCCCGGAACCGCGTAAGTAGCCTGCCATCGAGCCGAGGAGTTTCCCCCCCTCGGTCATCTGGGCACGTGCAAGACACATACAGCTCCAACACCCGGCACACAATGTGAGCTTCGTACCCAAGCTGCCGCGCCACCAACAATCCTGCCGAACGGGCATAAGGCACAACGATAAAGGGGTAAGGCAAGTAAGCTCTTGCCCGAGAGCCCAGCATTGTGATTGGGGCCTGCCAAATGCCGAGCTGTGTGTGTCCTTCCCCCCCTTATCCACCTGGCCGGCACATGCTACCCCCCCCCCCCCGCCCTCCAAGAAATTCAGTCCTATCCTAGCATCATCCTCTGAAAGGGGGGGCCACTCCCCAGAGCCGGCTGCCGAAAAGCTGGGGTAGCCGAGAGACCATGCATGCATAGCCGAGTGACGGACCGCCGGGCCCCAAGTGGAGCAGCTTCTTCCCCTGTGACAAGGGGGAGAAGGGATGCGTCACACCAGACAGCAGCCTCAGCTGGGAGCGCATGTGTTCCCCGGACCCGCCGCCTCCTGGCCCCGGTTCTCCAAACTGGCGGCGGCGGTGGTGGTGGTGTTGCTTGTGCGAAAGGCCCGAGGTCGGCTTGGCGAGCCGAAAGGCACAGGGAAGCTTCTTGCCGTGTTACCATTGGCTGCAGAGGCCCTTGCCCGGACTATTCCGGAAGGTTGGGACTGCCGGGGTGTGGGGCAAGTTCGTCCCCCCACATTCACTAGATCACCAGATAGATGGTGTCGATAATCCAGCCGTGTGCTCACTGGTAGACGACTTCACGGCGAGATTGACACAAAGACGGGGAAGCAATCAAGGAAGCAATCAAGGATTTGAAAGGGAAAAGATCCCAAGATGGCCAGCTTCGATTGAAAAGGCTAAGATTAATATGTATATCGAATTGGGCTGCTTGAGCCCGTCGCGTCCGGCAGCAGATCGCGTGAACCCTCTATGCTCCCATCTATCCAACACCTGAAAAGCCTCCCCTCTCTATAACGCTGCGCGCGGTTCGCGCGTCACCCCCTTTGGCCTAATAAACGTGTCAAACGTTAACAACTGGGATATCGTAAAGTGGCCAAGCGGTGAATCATGTCTCGCCCTCGGCCGTCGTGTGAAGTTGCACAACCGAAGTGCCACCCTTTCCTCAAACAGACTTTTCCCCATCCAAATACAAAAAGCCGACGCCGTGAACAGCAATTAAAAGCCACCGCGCAGAGGACGGGTAGGCACAAACACAAAAGAAGCGCTTGCTAGGCGGATTGGCTTACTTGAGAGGGTCGTAGATTCTGTCCTTGATGAACTTGGTCAAGGCCACATCACCCCACTCTTCCCACTCAATCCACTGTTCTTCCGGAAGCTCGCTGACACCTTCTCTGCGGGCGGCCTTCATCACTTCACGGGCGACAATGACGCTGGCGTCGCGCACGCGGTCAATGTTGGGGTAGATGAGGCCCTTCTGGATCTCCTGAGCGTTCAAGGTTTCGGCGAGTGCGGCAGCCGAGGTGTAGACCATCTCGTCAGTGATGCGAGTAGCCTTGGCAAGGATGGCACCCAGGCCGAGACCAGGGAAGACGTAGACGTTGTTGCCCTGGTTAGGCCAGTAGGTGATGGCCTGGTCGCCAGCCTTGACGGCGAAGGGAGCAAAGGGAGAACCCGAGGCAAAGATGACGGTACCATCAGTCCATTGGACAGCCTGCTCAAAGGTACACTCAGCCTTGGTCAGGGGGTTGCTGAGAGGGAAGAGAATGGGGCGGCGGTTGTTGCCACCAGCATCCACAGAAGCCTTAAGCGCGCGGACAACGGACTCGGTGAAGACACCAAAGGTGGCAGTCAAACCAACGAGGGCCGACGGCCGGACGTACTCGATGACCTCCTCCAGAGTGCGGAACTGGTGGCCACCGTTGTCGGTCCGGGCAAAGTACTTCTTGTGCTCGGCGAGCTTGTCACCACGGTCCAGGGTCACAAGACCCTTGGTGTCAACCAGCCAGAACTTATCCTTGGCCTCCCTCTCGGTCAGGCCACGGCGAGTGTAGTACTCGACAAGTTGCTTGGCAACACCAACGCCGGCGGAGCCAGCACCCATGAAGACAAGACGCTGCTCCTCGAGGGGAACGCCGGAGAGGTTGACGGCACCAATGTAACCACCCAGGACGACAGCACCAGTGCCCTGGATGTCGTCGTTGAAGCACTTGTACTTGTTGCGGTAGCGAGCAAGGTAGTTGAAGGCCTTCTCGGTCTCGAAATCCTCAAACTGAACAAACATGTTGGGGAAGACGTCGGCAGCAGCCTCCATGAACTCGTCCATGAACTCCTGCTGAGTGGCGACAGAGGGGCGCTTGGAGCGCAGGCCGAGGTACAGAGGGTCCTTGAGGTTGGTCTCGTTGGCGGTGCCACAGTCGAGCACAATGGGGAGCGTCTTCTCGGGGTTGATGCCGGCAGCGCCAGTGTAAAGAGCAAGCTTGCCGATCGAGATGCCAACACCGTTGACACCAAGGTCTCCGAGGCCAAGGATACGAGAGCCGTCAGTGACGACACAGATCTCCGGGTTGGGGTATGGCCAATTCCTCAGAATAGTGCGAATCGACTTGCGCTGCTTGATGGAGATGTAGAGGGCCTCGGGGCGGGTGTAGAGGGTCGAGTACTGGAGACAAACATCGCCGATTGTAGGGGTGTAGACGAGGGGCATCAGCTCGCGGACGTTGTCGATGAGGACACGGTAGAAGAGGTCCATGTTCTGGCTCTTCAGGTTCGACAGGTACAGGTACTTGTCGATGGGTGTTTGTCTGGTGTTGATCATCTTCATGCAGCGGGCAACCTGAGTCTCGACGTCCTCCATGGCGTGTGGTATTAAGCCGGTGAGGTTCTTGCTGACACGCTCCTCTGGGGTGAAGGAGAGGCCCTTGTTCCACGCAGGCTCACGCAGAACCTGGTAACCTCCAGCGGCGTCGCTGGGGACGTAGGCGGTAGGGTGGTCTTGGTGGACTTCACCATAGTGATCCTGGGCATAGCCTCTGAGGCCGTCAAGGGCAGCCATTTTCATGCGTTCTTCGATAGCGGCGATGTCGACCGAGGACATTGGGTTGAGAGAGGAAGCTCTACGGCTGATGGAGAGGGACAGGCGCTTGGAGGTGGCCGAGGAGTGAGAGGAGCGAGAAGTATGACCAAAGGCAGAAGGGGAGGAGCGTGGAGTTGAGGGATCAGAGCTAATTGACGAGCCCGTGCTATAAGTACTGTTATACGCCATTGGACGGCGGGTGGCAGCAGAGCGGAGGGGGGCGGCCGCAGAGCCTAGGCCGGAGAGGGATGCGAGGGTCGGGCTCCAACTGGCGGAGGTCGCGTGGCCGGGGTGGTTTAGCTGCGGGTTCTGGACGGAACTAGAGGGCAGGGTTGGGGAGGCGCTGGTGGTGCTGTAGCCACTAACAGACCGGCTGCTAGCTCTGCTAGAGAAAGTCTCGGAAGGCCACCTGCAAGGTTCGGGGGAGGGTGCAAAGTCGACGAGGTCCCGGCTGCTGCGATCCTGCGCAGGTATGCTGTACGGGGTGGAGGGGGAGCTCGCGGCGCTGCTGCTGCTCATAATCTCACAACCAATTTGCCGGCTCGTACGACGAGAACCCAAGAGCGTTGCAGTAGGTGCGGATGCGGTAGAAGCTGCCCGAATCAGTCCCAGTGCCGCCGAGGGCGGCGGTGGCCTCTTTAATAGGCAGGACGAGCAAGAGGCCAGGAGCTGCGATGCTGGAAGACGGGACGAAACCCGGAGCGTGGCAATCTTGGTGATGCTGGCAGCCATGGCGAGACAGGGTCTGAAGGGGGCTTCAGGAGACCTGTGTGCGCGTGGGCAGTGGAGGACGGCGGCGGTGGTGATGGCGACTGCTGTTTCGGGGCGGTTTCAGCACACAGCTGGGCCTGGGCAGGGCAGGGTTGCGGGCTTCCGCGGGATGTTTGGACTCCTGGGACCAGGCTGATCCCTCCTGGGTAAGATTCGACGTTGTATCGGAAGTGCTGCCCGGCAGTTTGGGATGGGCCGTCCTGGTCATGCAAGTTGTTGAGGAAGCACCGTGCTCAGTCAGGCCAGGGCGTTGTTGTTGTTGCTGCTGCTGCGTAGCGCAGACTTTTTTCTCTGGCCCTGGGAGTTGTGTTTGGCGCTTGCGTGCTCCTTCCTCAGCTCAGGCGGATTGTTTGTGCTGGACGGGATGTGCCTTCCCACAGCGGCTAAGCGGACGAGGGCAGTGGCAAGCAATCTCGAGCTTCGACAAAAACCTTGGACGGCACCGTCCTGCACCCAACACGACGGGTTTCCCAGTATGTACCCGTGCCAGTACGCCGGCATCGCAGGTGAGCAGCCCATGCGACAACCGACAATCGCCCTAGCTGTGACTCGACCCCCTGTGCGACGGACGGAGGCAGGCCCCGGTCTTGCCCTGCCTTGCAGCGTCCGCGCAAGGGCCGCCATCCGGCCCCCATGCAGGACGGTTAGGGATCCCTAGAAGGGGCTTAGGGGCCCCCCATGCAAGACATTCTCACCCGGTCCTGCCCGACTGTCCCCTCCTTCGATCATCGCCGTTTCCTTTGCGACCCACGACGGCGGCATGCTCCTGGAGGACACGGGAGCATCGCGTTGAGACCACTGCATCTCAAGCCCGGCTGGAATATGGCTGTGGCCTATGAGCCTGCCAGGCGGATTGACAGCATCACAACCTGCGCCCTCAAGGAGCCTGGAAGACCTTCCTGGTGCGCAACCCCAACTCTCACCCGTTGCGGGCCTGCGGGTTGGGGAAAATTGGAGACGCTGTTTGCTTTGCTCCAGTCCACGCATCGCTTGGCTGTCCCATCTCATCCATGTATCATGGGGAAGCCCGGCCGGTTCTGTATTGGCGAGACTCGACATGACAGGCCTCGCACTCAGTCCCGCATTCGAGGCTCCCAGTCTCAAAGGAGAGACAATTCTTCACACGTGATATCGGCACAAGCATTGGCATCAGGCATATGATGCCACGCGACTGATCTGCAATCACATGGAGACGTTCTGTTGGGGCAGTTTGGGGGCGTCGCCAGCAGTTGCGGAGAGACATGCAGAGAACTGGTCGGGCTCACTGTTCTGACGACCACATCAGAGCGTCAATTTGGAACGGCTGGACAGGACTGGAGCGCGTGCTGCACTTCGAGTCACCTCAAGGTCCATGGGCATAGAGTGAGCTCTCTTCAACACTTCACCGACAGCAAGCCACATTCCCCGGCCAAGACAAGCTGCGCCGATCACGCTAAGCATGGCCAACCAATTCCCCAAACCCTGATAACCATTACATGAGAAAAGCCGTTGGGGTAGGTGGCCAGGCACACCAAGCTTGCGATAGCGCAAATGGACGGAGCTGCTTGCGGTCGGGCCAGGATGGGTCCTTGTTGAGCTGACGACTCTGTCTCTTGGTCTGCTCACTGGGCCTACGAGGATTGGCCGGAACCCATCGGACCATGCAGCAGCTCGTAGGGCTCAGGGCGGTGCTCACGCGACACGGCACAAGAGCAAAGGATGATCACAGCTAAAGCTCCCTACCTGGAATACTCTACTTTCCGAGACGACCGTACCCAATCCAACGGGGTCAAACAAAGATCATCTTGAAACAATGTTTGAGCGCAATCGGCCAACAGGCCACGACTGCGCATGTTCAGACGAAATCGATCTGACTGTGGTCCATGACCCTGCCAGTCCAGGACAGTATGGCCTCATGACCCTCGCGCATCACGAAAAAGGCATGGCGAAAATTTCTGTTCCGCATTGGAGTCAGGCGTGGAGAGGACCCCCGGCGGCTCCACGTGCGAGAAGTCCCACTATGATCGGGACTTCTCTTACTACCGATACGTACTCTGTCAACACGACTCGGAGGTGAGACGGAACAAGGAGTCATCTGAGATAAGATGCTGGAGAGGGGCAAGTCACCAACGACCAGAACACGTTTTAGCATTGCCACAACCAGTGCAGACCGGATCTCCCAAAGCATTCGCCTCTGCCGCAGCATTTTGACGACTCAAATGCCTGACCATCGGGTATTTGCTTAAGAGGTTGTGGGACTCATGTGGATCCTTCAGGTAATGACCAGTGCCCTATCCCGAACGAGTCTGACGGGACAAAGTCTTGGTTTGCGGAGCAGCCGTGGTGCGCGTGCCGGGTCCTGTCTCTCGGTTTGTTAGCTTTGATCCTGGGTTGCCAGGAACCGAACCGACGACGATCGAAGGCCGACCAAATCGTGCGAGGCGTGGCTAAGAGCCCGTGGTGTTGAGCAAAGGCGGCACGTCCGACCACGGAAAATCGTTTCTCAAACCCCCACTGAATGGGTCCGAAGATTGAGCAAGCCCCGAGGTCTGGGTGCTTGCCTATGGTCCAAATCGTGGTATCACTTCCACGCACGTCTCGGTCACTAGTCTTCCTGCCCGCCACGGGCCTCGATCTCGTTCACGAGCATGGAAGCAGCAGATACAGACCGACCCGAACATCTTTGCCCCCGCGGCGCAGCCGCCTGAATGTCAGACAAGAGAGTCCCGGTACGAGGCATACAAACCCGCAGGACCCGTTCAAGCTTAGGCTAGAGGACTGCGCGGCGGAGCACAAAGGGGCTCCAAGCTCCAACAACCCAAGCCACTCCGTGTCTCGCAGAAGCTCCGACTTCACCCGGCCTCCACATGGGATAGACAGCGGGCCCTTCAAGGTTGGCATTTCTGGGGCCGCCCTCCGATCAGGGGTCGGTCGGGTCGGGTGGTCCAGCCGTGGACCCCAATCAGGCAGTCCCATAGAACAATCAAGCCCCCCTGCTGCCGTGCTATGGAACCGCCCACCTCACGATGAAATTGGCCGCTGACCGAGAGCACGACAACTTGCAAGGTTTTTTCCACATCCAAGCTCCCGGGCGGCCCGAACAGCTGCAAGTTTCAAATTGCATGACAAGGGCCTTCTCTTTGCTTTTGTGCTCCTGACGCGGCCCCTCGTTTCGATACGTCCCCGATCGTTGCTGCCCAAGAGCGGTGGGTTCTCGGTGAACGGCAGGATTACTCCGTCAAGGTCTGCAAGACTCGCTGTCCGTGTAGGTCGGCCCAGGCGGCGGTTCCCCAACCCAGGCCCCACTGCCTCAAGGTCAGACAATAGATAGCAAACTCCGGGCTAGCGTTGCCGGAACTCCACCACCACTCTGGCTTGCTTGCCATGGCCACACAGCATTACAACTGTTGCTGGTAAGATTGATAATTGATAGGAGGATGGATGTGACCTCACCTTTTGGTTGAGTGTTCCAATCTTGTCAAAAATGCCCAACCACGTGATATGATCGGCCTGTGGCGTACTCCATATTAATCATACAGCCGAGCCGAATCCGGATGTGATTCCTTTTCTGTCGTATGCCGTCTTCGACATCAGGCCGACGTAAAAGACAAATGGGCAGACACGCACGCACCTCCTTGACTGCGTGGTCCCTTCTCCTGGCACAGCACTCGTGTGACAGACATGCCTCATGGCGCCTAAATGGTGGAGTATAACCACTAATTGAATCGTGGAGTTTGGCAACAATGTGTTCCGCTCACTAGCATGCTTGGCATAGCCGATTGCCTGGGTCGTCTCCCTGCTTGCTAAGTCGATCAGACCGGCCCCCATCATCTGATCGCAAGTCAATCTGAAACACGTTGGCTGTGTGGCCTCTTAGACAGAATAGGACAGAATAGGGTGGAGGGGGTGGTGCAGTGCAGGATCGACATTTGTGAAGTTCGTCACTCATCGTTGGCCATGGTTAAATTCAGCCCCGTCCTGAAACGCATCTTGCCTACCAGAAAGAATGAAATACGTCCGCGAACATGTGTTTTCTGTCTCGCTGTCGTGACGCGCCGCGCTTGAAACCGAACCACACGCTGATCATCCCGATCAATACAAGTTTCAAGCGCGAACAATGTCCCGTCTCGCCAAGAATACCGGGAGCACGGCCAAGGTTGATGCCCAGATCGTTAACGGCTCACTTCTGGAGCAGGTGATCCTTTTGTTGTTGGCCTTTGGTTTTCTGTTCCCTCTTTTTTTTCTTTTTCTTTTTACCTCCTTTGTTACACAGGGCTTGGTACCTGGTGCTCGGTGCTTGCCGTTATCCTGCGTTCAAGCCAGCCAGTACGATGAGCCATATCCTCTGAGCTACCACACAACAAAGGCACGCATCCAGACTCAGTCGCCAGCCTCAACTTTACGACCACCCTTCATATGTAACCCGGCAGTGGATCTGGAAAAGAGCAGTTGCAAAAGCTGAGATTTCATTTCCATAACTTCCTGATCTGTTCATGTCCCTTCGCTATGATTCACGGTATAATGCAAAACAACAAGATTGATAGGTCCCTGATCCGGCCGTGCCCATTTCTTCCCCATCCACCCAGCCAGCTTGCTAGCGCTCCTAGAACAACAGTTTGTCAGGGGCGATTCTGATGACCTCGCGCTCATCCTCCACACGGCAAAGGCGAGTCCTTGCTCCACTCCGGAATCATGGCGCTCATTCGTCATCACTGCTGTCGTCCACGATGAAGCCAGCCCGCGTCCTAGCTCTTCTCTTACTAGCCGCGGCGGGGATGACTGGCACGTCTTCATCGTCGTCCTCGTCGCGCATGGCCACATCCTCATCACCAGGCGGCAAGACCGCTGGTGATGAAGTACCTTCGCCATGCTCGTCATCCTCGTCTACTCCTGCAGTATGAGCGGACAGGGTCTCAGGCAGCTTGGCTTTCGCTGCCTCAAGCATGAGTCGACGGCGCTTTGCGCCGCCGTCGCTGCCTACGGATCCTACACGCGCTGAGTCCGAGGATGAGAGCGGTGTCTCGCCTGTCTCGGACGGTGACGAGGAAGACATGTTATCGTCATCCTCATCGTCCGAAATCTGCCGTCGGCGGCTCTTCTTGGTCTTCTCCCTGTTCGAGCGCACCCGCGGGCTCGAAGCTTGCGAGTCCTGAGACGCGAGCATGGCATCCTCTTCCGCAAGACTCTCATTGGTATCGTCATCATCATCATCGGATAGCACCGTCGTGGCCTTGCGCTTCTTCTTGCCGACATCTGCCGTCGTGGTGGTGGTGGTCGTTGAAGCAGCCGCCGTTGTGGGATTTGATATCCCAAGGACCGTATTGGTTTGCCGTTTCCGGATAGCCTCTTCGTTGGCGTAGAACTCGGCCCAGCGCTCATCGTCCGACTCGTCATCGCTCGCGTGCACATAAATGTCACTCTTGAACCGGCGCGCCTTCTCTTTTTCCTTCTCTCTCCGGATTCGCGCCTTCTCTGCTAGCTCTTCCTCGGTCGGCTCTTCGGCGTTGCTGTCGCGTCTCCGTCTTCGGCGTATTATCTGCTTCTTTGCCTCCTTCTCCTCGGCAGTAGACTTCCTCGCTGTTGGCCCGCCAGCAGGAAACAAGAGATCGTCATCGTTGTCTGGTAGCACATCGTCCTCGTCATCGAATGCAGCCTTCTTACGTGGGGCTGTCTTGCGGCGCAGCTGGTGTTCTGCAAGCAGACCATTTTCGAATGTCGGAGGCTCGAATTCTGCTTGGCTGATATAATCCAACGAGTCTTGCAAGTGGTCCGTTTCGACTGCACCCGGAATAATCCAGGCCGACCCAAGTGTCTCGTCGACCAGTGGTGCAAGCCGCTCCATACCGACCAATTTCATCAAGAGTCGCAAGTGGCCATTTTTGAAGACTGCTGTTTGCCGAGCGTCGTCTCCAGGTTGCACGGCTTTGGCGAAAGTCAGCAAAATCCAGCAGAGAATGAGCATGGGATAACTTACTGAATAAAGGTGCCTCTTTCTTTGTGGCGCTCTCTGCTGGCTGTGTTCCTTCTTCTACGCCTTCCACTGCTGCTGAAGGTGTTTCTGTAGAAGCCATGGCTTTATCTGCAGCCTCCCAAGCCTGCCGCTCGCTAAGCGCGCTGGACAACTGCTCCTTCACCCATTTGATGTGGTGTGCCAAGTTCTTGTCGAGTAATGTCCCTACCACAATCCCAATCTGCTTATCGCGTTCGGAAGCTGTCTTGAACTCGAGCTCTGCAGCAGGCTTCACTTGTGACGTCGATATCGTCTGCTTTTCATGGCCAAATTCGAGATAATGCACAGTGGCGTTGATCTTGGAGAAGAGCATCTCGATGATGAGCTGCGGACGATCCTCGATCTTGCGCATACACTTCCTCAATATCTGCTTCACCAACTCCTCCCATTCCTTGTATGTGCTGTTGCCCTTGTCTAAGGGCTCCGGGCCTTTGATCATGTTGTAGAGCATGTGTATAATATCCACACGGAAGAGCATCACGCTCATCTCTTGCTTGAAAGCCACTCTGTAAAAGTACCGATGCGCGCGTTTGAGTTGCGACTCGTTGAGGTCGTGATAGAATTTCGTGAAGCTGACAAAGGTGTCGACAACACCCTGGGTGACGAATCGATTCGCGAATCTGGCGAATTCGAACTTTCGTTCTTTTGTCTGACGCTCCGCGTGCGCTCCGTCGTTCTCAGAATCATCCTCCACGTCCGGCGCGATGTCATCAGCGCCGTCCTCACCCGCAGCTTTGGCCGCCTTCTTCTTCTTCCGTACTCTCCGCCGAGATCGTATCTGCAAGTCTGTGTTTTGCTTCGAATAGGCTTCGAGCACGCGCATATAAGTATGTGTAAGCTCGATGCATGCGTCGAGGTACTCGAAGTCCTGATCCTTGTAGCTCCGCGCGAGTTGTGCTACTCTGTCGTGGGTTTCTTCTTCATAGAAGATGCGGTTCAGAATATTGTCTGCGATCTCCTCGTCGTCTTCATTGCCTGACTCGGACATGTCTTGAACGGTAAGGAGAATCTGCGTGAAGCATCTCATGGCTGCACTGAGTTCATGCCATCGCTTGCCTTCAATTGCGTCAGACATCGATCGGTTCAGCATGACAAAGGTCTCCTGGTTGAGGACACTGGCCACTAGGTTGTAACTCCTGACGTCGGACTCTCCTTGAGTCGGTTGGCTCGATTTAGAAGCCTTCTTGCGGACTCGCTCAGCCTCGAGGAACCAAGAGATCAGGTAGAAAAACTGGCGGTAGTGATACTCGAGAATGTATTCCCGCTGTTCCTCCATCCTCTTCCTTATGAGATGGAATAATGGGTTAAAGCCGGAGTCTAGGAAGTCTTCGACGAAACCACGAAGCTGCGTGCGCGCCCGAGTGTTCAAAGATACTGGCGGGCCAAGCTCACGGGGCTCCATCTCGTCTTTGCGTGCTCGCCTCGGAGGTCGGAACACCTTTGCACTATCCATTTTTTGCTGCCTCGTTGCCGCGTCAAGGAGTGCGTCTTGGCCTGAGACGACCGACATTTTGCCATCGCCTCGGTCCATCCATATCATGGTGCCCCACCGGTTGTGCCTGGACGGTGCTCTCCGGTTGTAAGGTCGATGCATCGCGGCCTCTTTACTCATCATGCTAGCAAGCTCGTTCGCCTTGGTCTTGCTGAGCTCCTTCTCCTCCATAAACAGCTTTGTCACGTCGACACGCTTCACAAGATGAAAGATGATTTCCATCACGATCACGCACTCCTGGTTGAAGTCTTCGCCCATATTGGAGGCCAGAGTGAGAATTGTGAGCAGGATGTCCTGGTACGAAAAGGCGTCGAGAAGCGCTGATCGCGATATCTGTGATTCGTCGCCGTCGTACTTGACGTTGGGCGGTGGAGCAATCATTGCAATGTTCCGAAGGAAGAGGAGTACGAGCTTGATGATGCCCTCATCACGCGGGGTCCGCTCGGTTCGAGGCAAAGCCATGGACGGAAGCGCCGTCCTGACGGCGGTATGGAGGATCTGGGCGGCGTCGAAGTTTATGATAAGCCGCTTGTAGTTGATCTGAGCGAGTTGCAGGACAGGCATGTGTCGATGGTGGTTGACAGTCATTATCTCAACGTCGCGATCGAGGGGCCAGGTCATTGGCACGAGGATTTCGATGCAGGCCAATGCTGCTCTGGACTTGAACTTGTTGTCTGTTGCGCTTTCCGGCCATGACGCCAGGATGTGCAGGAGGTCGCCTTCGAGGACATTCGCGTCGTAGAGGCATCGGGCGACGTCCATCCGGTTCGTCTTCTCATCGTAGAATCGTATCCATTTTTTCAGGTCGCGGAGGACCTCCAGGGCAGAATCACCCAGGACGTAACGTCCATCTTCGAAGGTACTAAAGCCTCCGAGCTGTCGACAGGACAAGTCAGCGACGAGCTCCAAGGTCCTGGGCTGTGAGCACTTACCGCAGAGACGAGACTGTTGATGTGTGCCCGCACCTCCGGGTGCACAATATCTTGAGACTCGTCCATGGCGTCGGGGTTGCGCACTCTGCTTGTGGCTCAGATGTCCATAAAGACTCGGCAGGACTGTCGGCGGCTGCTTCAAAACATCGAGTCCTACCAACTGTTTGGAGGGTCGAGCGGTGGCATAGCCAATTAACGCGGTGTCGACAGGCGCGTCTCAGGTTAGGTCCAACGCGTCTCGCAGGGCCCGCCCAAAGGGGCAGCCATTGAACAGGTACGGAGGTACCTGATAAACCCCACACACAGCTCTTATCGGGGCACGCCGCTCGCGCCTGAGGTCCCCCACACTGAGCTATGTAGGACCCCACATCTTGCACTCCGAGGTTAACCGTCCCGGCCGGCTCTTCGGCCCTCTGGTGGCTGCAGACCAGACGCAACCCTTTCTGCGTGGACTCCGCTGCTTCCACATTCTGAGCAGACACACAACTTTGATCACAACGACAACAATGGCCAGCCAACTCGGTAGGAAGGCGGCCGCGCAGCTTGCGGGCCAAACCCGGCTGTTCAGCTCGAGTGCAGCCCGCAATGCCTCGCAGGTCAAGAGTCTCGGTGTAATCGGCGCCGGGCAGATGGTGAGCTGCTTTGACATGTGATACTCGCTCAGAACCACGAGGCAACACCATCTAACCATCCTGCTGCTGCTCCCAGGGCTTGGGCATCGCGCTGGTCGCTGCGCAGAAGGCTGGCGTGCCCGTCACGCTCGTCGACTCGTCGCAGGCATCGCTGGACAAGGGCCTCGGCTTCGCAGGTTAGATTTTCCAAGCACAATCCAAGGGTTCGCCAAACGCCCAGCAGATCCACTGACTTCTGGCACAGACAAACTTCTCTCCAAGGACGTGTCGAAATCGCGCATCACCCAGGAGCAGGCCGACAAGGCCCGCGGCCTTCTCAGGCCAACGACCTCCATTGAGGAGCTCGGCGGTGTCGATTTCGTCATCGAAGCGGTACCCGAGATCCCCCAGCTCAAGTTTGACATCTTCGCCAAGCTGGCCGAGGTCTGCCCCAAGCATGCCATTCTGGCAACCAACACCTCTTCAATCTCCATCACCAAGATCGCCGCTGCCACGACCAAAGACCCCAAGGACACGTCTGCCAGCTCCCGCGTGGTCTCGACGCACTTCATGAACCCGGTCCCCGTGCAAAAGGGTGTCGAGATCATCAGCGGTCTGCAGACCAGCGCAGAGACGCTCGAAACGGCCGTCGAGTTCTGCAAGGCCATGGGCAAAGTCACATCAGTCTCGGCTGATTCGCCAGGCTTCCTTGCCAACCGCATCCTGATGCCATACATCAATGAGGCGGTCATCTGTCTCGAGACGAACGTTGGCGACCGCGACTCCATCGACGCTATCATGAAGAATGGAACAAATGTTCCCATGGGCCCTCTCCAGCTCGCCGACTTCATTGGCCTGGACACTTGCTTGGCCATCATGAAGGTCCTCCACCAGGAGACGGGTGACTCCAAGTACCGGCCCAGTGTCCTCCTTGCCAAAATGGTTGACGCTGGTTGGCTCGGCAAGAAGAGCGGCAAGGGCTTCTACGACTACTAGACATAGATGCGCAAGCTATTCTGAACATTTACTGCCCATGAGCCCATCGGGTAGCGAAAAGTTAAAACCGTGGCCCGTACGCAACAAGTCTCCCTGACAGATCTGATGAACCTCCCAAGCACAATCCACAGCAGAAACAATATGAACCAAACAATTATACATTCAAAGGTGTTTGGACAATTTTAAAGACCCGGCCATGGCAGTAATAACGCACAAGGAGCAGGGTCTGTGAATGGACATCAACACGAATCAAGATTGCCAAGCTACGCGCCACTACTCACGTCTCCAAAACTCCATCACCTCCTTGACCAAAATTGTCAATATGCCTTGGTCAGCCTTACCAACACGGCTAACTGCCTCAAACCTAAGACATGGACCGATGTTGCAGCCAGACAAAGCTCCGAGGCCGCGCTTATTGTTTGTGCTTGTGTCACCAATGTCACACTAGAACTTGGCACTGTGCTGGTGTCCAAGCTTGTCGTGATAGTGACACGCCTCATGCCCGCCTCCCTGGGTCACGGGCCGCCAGGGCACCAATAGCGAGTACTAGCATTAGCCAGGCGGGTAGACTAGCTGAATGTTTCATGAAATGTACCCAGCCTTGTCTCCAACAATATCAGGCCACGCGGATGCACGTATGCGATGCGCAATTAGTTGCAGCCTGTCAGGGCTGGGAAATTTGTCCGGGCTTGGGCTGTTGACCTATCATTGACTTTGGAGGGCGGCGACAATGAAACTGGCTTCGCTCGCCAGATATGAGGAAACTGCAAGACAATGCGGCTGCGCTGCCGCTTGCCGCTGTCCCGGTATTTCAGCTCTCGTCCTCAAAATAGTCACAGTGTCGGCGAGTCACCCTTCAGAAGAAAGCACAACACGGTCTGGTCACATCACCACCCATGTATCATCCGCAAGGCATACTCGAAGCTGGCGGATGCGTGGTGCCTCCTTGTGGCAGCTGCCCGTCGAATGCATGCTTCCGTTGGAGACCTTTTCGCGGTGCGACGGACATGGATGATAAGATAATGACGCTTCTAGACTCATGAGCTACTTCTTCAAAGTAATTATGCAATGGTCAATCGCCATGGCTTAGCCAGTATATCGCCATCATTGGCGTCGACCAAAGTTCTGCTCATCGAGGAGTACAACTTAGTATACCTCACCTAGGTCCGACAGGCTCTTCACACCAACCATTTCCATTCTGACTTCCCAAGTCTTACTGTCAGCCCAGCGACACATCCTGCCCCAGTCTGGTCGCACAGTCACTCAAGCCGCTCGCCTGGAGCTCAGCCACTCCACGTTGACCACGATATCCCTGCTTGACGGACAGCTCCTCATGCGCCCTCCTGGCCCCCAGCCCGGCCTCTAGCCACCCCCCTTCCCATATGCATACACACATACACCGATGGCGCCTTCAGAGCTGGATGCATGCAAGACCGTTATCTGACATATTTTAAGAAATCTCGCGGTCTGCGGCCTACCGAAATATATGTTTGCTGGCGGCTCGGCAGTGCTCATGCGGGGGTGGCCTCTCACCCCCATGCCGACGGGAAAAAGCGAGGGTTCGTCTCAATGACAGGTTTGATGCGTCCAAAGAAGGCCGGTGGTTGATTCGCCCAGAGCTCTGCCAAGAAGGAAACCGACGTGAATTACGCAGCTCATGTGGTAAAAGCTGCCAAGTGTACTTTCTGTTCAAACAAGGTTGTTGTTGTTTTCTCCCGGCTGAACGTGGACGGGGGCTATTGCCACCACCCACAGTGCTCTCACACCTTGGACTTCATGAGACAACACCTGCCCTCCCGAGACCCTCGATGTCTAGTGTAACTCAACTGCACTCCGCAAGCAATGCCATTCCGGGGGGGGAGCTTGCACCGGCGTTCCTCCCTTCTCAGGCCCAGTCTCCGTATACTGATTTCTGCCAAAACCCTAGAATACCGCCCTGCCATCATACCTGTGTGGATGACGAGTCTTGCCATGAGATGCAACAAACTCATACTGCCTCCGGGTGGCGGGCGTCCTTGTCGTGCACGGAGGCGTTTCTCCTTGGCAGTGACAACAGAAACCAGGATTACCGTCCAGGGTCGATCGATGGCTCGTAATCGCCCTTGCATGGTGGCGTACCCGCAGCAGCAGCAGCACCACCACCACCACCATCAATATGTCGTGCAACTACATGTGCCTGCCCATGTCCCTGAATATCAAGATGAGCACGCCACTGAGGGAGAGCAGCACTGACATGGAGCCACTGTGAGGACGTGCTTCCCAACCTGTGGCCCCGTCAACTCCCCCACACGCAGCCAGTCACGACGCGTTTTGTGTCCTTGAGAAATATGCACGCGGCAAAGAGAAATGTTATGTATTGCTCGAGTCCAAGGATGAACCGTCCCTCAAAGACTATCCCTAGCGGCAAAGTCTTGGAGCAATGTAGATATAGCTCTGTAATGTGCTGCAAAGTGCAATAAACCCCTGAAACTATCGGAAGAAGAGACACAAGAAGTGAAGAAGGGCACAATCCGCAAGCTGCACGCACACCGCCCCTGCACAGGAAACGAGACACGAAATGTTCGCAAAGCGCTCGAACCCGAAAGATGAATGGAAAAAGTCCCGCCTTCCCAAGAATTTTCGATGTAAGGTGTGATAAGAAAAATGCGATGGCTCTCTTCGGAAAAGAGAAAAGACCTCGCTTTTGGTTGACTTCTTTTTTTTGTCGTCTTGCTGTATTGATGCTGTACGACTCTGCGTGTGATGACCAGATACTTGCGGTGCTCCAACGTGGGATACAACCTACATAGCCACCTCCGAATGAGTCGCAAGCTGTAGAAATGAAAGAGTTCCAGCCCAAGAAAAATATGTGCATGCGAAAACCGAGTGGTACCAGCGGCCGGCAAACTGGGAAACCCCGAAAAGTTCAAACGAAAAAGGAGTCGACAAGACCTGGTTGTGCGCCAAGAGGGATGAACGTAAACAGTCCGCGCCGTGAGAAATGGATTTGAAGGAGCAGCTTGGCTCTACTTGAACGCGTGCGGCCAAAAGCGCAATGGAGTATTTGTGAACGGTGCTGCCTGTACAGCCAAATGTTGCTAGACGGCATAGAGAAGTGCCTGTTGTATAACACAAGGGCTGTGTATGTGCCAGCCTATCTGTGTAACACCTTGAAATCAGACGTGAGTCTTGGCAAAATCGTCGGAAGCTGCAGCAGTGTGCTGACCACCGCTAAGATGGCTGTGATTGTCAAAGGAATCCCTCATAGGGGTTCTGGTGCTCGCCGCAAAACCACTGCCAGAGTGCATCGCTTGGCCGAAATCGGGCGGCGGAGCAATCGGCGCGCTCATCTGGGGAAAGGAGTAGCTGTCAGCACCAGACGTGCGGATTCCCGGCGTTCTCGGCTGAGTATAGTCGACCGGGGCAGTCAATGGCGCAGATGGGAAGCTGCTAGAGCTGCCGTAAGGAGCAGTCGAGCTTGATCGCTGAATCATGGCAGAGTGCGGCGGCTGCACACCCTGGTTCCCAGCCATGGACCTGTACTGGTTGCGAAGATCCAGGCCAAGCGGAATAGACGCTGTTGCAGCCCGTAGTCGAGTCGACCGACTTCGCTGCGGCTGGTGCAGCGACGGGGGTGGAACGCTCGAGTAGTTGATGTTTGTGGAAGATGCTGTCAGGTTCACGATGGTCAGCACAATTTCATTGAGATCTTCGCACCGGATTCGCTCAACTCACGAAGATAGGAGCTAGTCTCGTAGTGATCCGCTTGGTACAGTGGCTGCTGGCGATTGGGGCCACTAGGGCTACCGGGCCCGACAGAATACGCGTTATAGTCGATCGAATCCCCTTTCCACGACATGCTCGACCGAAGAGGGGACTGGATGGACTCAGATCTCGCTCGGGACAGAGTTTCGCGTAGATGAAGTGGTTGCAGCGAGCGCATCGATTGAGGACTAGTCTGCAAGTGGCCCTCGCTTTCGGGGCCAGCGGCACGTCCGTATGGATTTGAAGTTCTTTGCCCTGCGCTCAAGGGGCTTGTCATCTGGCTGGAGAAGTATCTACGTTCGTTGGGTGAAGTCGACAGAGGCGAGGGCAAATCTGCCGGGGGTAGCGGCGTAGTCGATTGGTATGCACCAAGGGCACCGAAGCTGGAGCCTAGTGCTCCTGGAGATAGTCCAGTATCTCCTTCAATCCGGCGGCTGGGATCGGCCAGGATTGGCCGCATCATGGCGTGATCTCCATACGATGGAGTAGCAAAGGTGTTTGGAGATACCATCGGCGTTCCCAAGCCATGCACCGCTCCATATGGCGAATGCAGTGCTTGAACATTGTCGAAGTCATCGGGCACTGCGCGCATCTTGATCATACGGTCCCGATCGTCCGCTGTGAGCCTCTTGATCTTGGCTCGCCTTTCAGAAGGTCAGCAAAATCAGCACATTGCATGAGTCGGTAAGGAAATGTGGAAACATACCTATTCTGAAACCAAACTTGGACTTGTCGGGGGCTCAGGCCCGGGATCTCGCGCGAAAGTCTTTCTCGGTGGGCAGCATCAGGGTGGGGTTGTTTTGCGAACTCGCTCATGAGGAAACGTGTTTGCTGGTGCGTCAACCTGGTAAATGTCAATATCCAGCGGCAGGAACGCAGATAGAGAGGTTCGGTGTACTGACCGGAACCGCTTCATCTTCCTCCGGGCTGCGGTACGCTCAGCTGCAGTCATCGGTCGACCAGAGACTTCGCCCTCCACATCGAGCATATCATCGTCGTCATCCTCACCAGCGTCCCCATCTTCCTTGGCACGAGCCATCTCACTTTCGTCGTCTCTCCTCGATGACGAAGCCATTGGAGGGGCATGAGTGCCGGGGGTGCCATGTGGAGCAAATGTGCTCGGCATGGTGGTCGGATGGCGCCTCGCAGAGCTCTCGTTTGACGACTGAACGTCGACGGTTAAGCCATGCATGTCCCGCTCTGGTCGTCTTAAGTCTTGCATGTCAGCTCGCGGCTGCGACACGCCTAGTGCAGTAATTCCTTGCGCTTCCGCGGCTGTACCGACGGAGCGTGTAGGCTCTGCAATCGTAATTTGGGGCAAAGCGCCGAATTGGTTGGCATTTTGCATTCGTGAAGTCGTGACATCGTGAATACTTCCTCTGGTGGCTGGCTCGCCAGTCGGACCGTAGAGATCGTTCTCAGTGTTGGTGACAGTCGAGATGTGACCGCTCCAGCTGGACTGCAACGACGGAGAGCCGTTGTAGTTCGACATGCGTGAGTAGTTCGATTTGCCGGACAAAGGATCAAACTTGCTGGACCAGCGATCCTGATCTGATGCGTATTGCCTGGCCACGAGCATTGGAAATATTGACCTTGTACTGCGTTGGTAAAATTCGCCGACTTGGTCAACCAGGCGGTTTCGAGGGACAATAACAAGGCAGCTGCAAGATCAGATTGATGGTGCCGATCTTTGGGGCCAAGCCAGAAGAAACAGTGTGATGTGTGTGGTCCGGCAAGCAAGACGGCTGTAAAGGATCCGGCAGGCGAGAAGTGTATAGTGAAGGAAAGAAGCAAAGGAGTGTGTATGTAACAAAAGAATGACGATGCGGTCGACGCCCGTGTGCCTGTTGATAAATTTGGACTGACAAGAAGGTCAACCTAGTGAAAGGAAGGAAGGTTCAGAACGGAGGATGGAAGCAAAGCAGCCGCACTGATAGATGCAGACTGGTGGTGTAGTGGTCGGATGGGGCCAAGTCGCTCCCGGCAGTTTTGAAACTCACTGACAGGAGCCCACCCTTGCAAATTGGCGGAGACAGTCTTGGTAGGGACAGCTCTACACGGCATTCAAGGGCCCAGGGAGGAAACAAGCGCGAGAGGACCGAGTTGCTCAAAGGTTGCGAATCAGTGGACCTGCTGCCTCACGGTGCCTTGGTTATTATGGGTGATCTATCTGGACTGGGTCCTCGTCGAACCATTCCCGTGTTGCCAGCCGTGGACGGACCCCTGTAGGCCACTTTTTGGTGGTGTTTCTTGTCGCTGCGTTGCTGCCGCCCTGGGAAGAATCTGGATCACGGACGATGACCAAAACGCGCTGGTGGAACCGATCGGAAACGGCCTGCGGATAACGAAAGATTGCTATAGCGGAACTTGCCTGGTAACAGCGCCAGGAACAGCAAAGCAGCCTTACAGCATGGATCAGAAACGTACTGTGGGTGTGCGGGGATAACGACACGGGGGTTTGACATTATCCAGAAGGATGACAAGTGATCTCCACTGGGGCGTAGAGCTTCCGTGAATGTGATGAGATCTTGGGAAGGGACAGTCGGAAGCGCAGTTGCTTTGTTCGATGATTCCTGCTGCATGCGAGGTTTTCAGACTGCGGATACCCTTTGAAGTCCGCGTTTATATGTCGTCAAGCGAGGCGAAAAGCCCAAAGCATGCCTTGTGGCACTGTCCTCGCCTCGGACATCATCAGCATGGGGGGTTACATGGACTGGTTGAGCCGTCGAGGTACTTGGAAGAGCGGATACCCGCTGGTACCGCTGTCCACAAAGGGTGGTGGGCTATGTCTACGCAGAACAGACAAGTCACTTGGAGGGCGAGACTGTAGCTCTACAAGCATCGCGACGGCTTATGCAGCAGGATCTGGAAGGGGGGTTGATATGACGATGCAGGTGTTCCTGGGCGTGGTGAGCTCCACGATTCCACTAGCCTCAAAGAAGCCGCCGGTCCTTCGGAACATCGTATGGCCGTCTTCACCACGCTTGCCTTCGAAGTGCTCGCGGCAGGGCCAAGCTGCTCTCGAGGACGCGCTACATGAGGAAAATGAGTAACCGGCAGAAAGACGGGTTACACACCTTGCCAAGTTGACAGCAGTGGTGAGGAGGATGGCGTCGAGCAAGAAGGCGCGCGTCCACAGACACAGGGTTGTATGATTGCTGCTGGGGGTCCCCTGGGAGTAGGGGGTGTGTGGAAGATCACAAAGATCTTGCTTGTCGGGCAGTCCTTGTCACTTTCCTCTGGTCTTGGCGGAGGACCTGGAGGAGCCTGGCTGATCCGATTAGTCCGCTGCCCAAGCATGATTTACCGTGCGCCCGCGGGATCCACCTGCCCCAGCAAAACCGCATTCTCAGACAACGGCGGCTCACTGTCGAGTCGAATCTCGCCAATGGCTTGGGCCCAGACCCCGCTCGTCATGGCCATTGAAACCAAAGAAGGACGGTTTCAACACCGAGTGTTCTGGCAGGGAAGAGGAGGCAGGCCCGCTGGCCCGGATCCTGTACTGCCATTCGAACTTTGACGGACCTCGAACCGGTATCGCATTGTGCAGTAACAAGCTGTACCTGACAAGCGGCGCCCAACGAGCCCGTCGCGAGTACCTCAAGGGCCAGAATTGCAAAAGAATCGCACGAGGAGTGTACACTCGCCAGGACTGTCGTTTTCGTTGTCCTGTTGGCGGACAGCCAGCATCTTGAAACGGTCGGGTCGAGGCAGATGCCTGACCGTTGCTGGTCCGCAGGAGCAATGTGTGGCTCGGTCAGGTCTGGCCATTGCGCGTCAGGCAGCTGGCGAGAGGGTGCCAGCACTGTGCCCGACCGAGCGTGTGGCCCCCTCCCCTCCAGGTCGGCGAGTGGTGTTGTCGAGGCATTTGAGTCTTGTCCAGACTGGAGGTGGTCAGGCCGGGACGAGCTGGCTGATGTCCTGGTGAGGCAGGTGTAGGAGCAGGTGGCGCGATGCGACAGGTCTGCGGCAGGCGCATCCATGATCCATGGCTGTGGGGTGGAAACACACTCCCAGCCCATGGTGCGGTGGGGCCACGCAGGTCCCCTTTCATCAAAGCTTCAATGCTTGACATGTTGCAGGCTGTCACTCGTCCCAGCCAGTCTCTGCGTCCGTGCTGTGCCGTGCCGTGCTGTGCTGCGCTGTGCTGTGCTGCTGGCGGCATGGCGCTTTTCGAAGTGGGCGGATTCGTTCGTGGCGGCGACTAATTAGGTACGCGTACTCCCCCGGCCCGATCACCAGCTCCCCGAGAGAGCGACGGCCAGGATGAAGGCTCGTTGTGCCCCAGAAGTCGAGCTTATTCCTACGGCGCATGGGTTCATTACTCGCGCCCCTACATGTTCCGCGGCATATGCTAGTCCGCCCTTCTGAAAGTCCCAGCACATCAAGGGCAGAAGATTCGGGCGGGACTGCCGCGACTCCCACACAGCTTTGCTCACCTACGAGCAGGCCATCCTCAACGGTGTTCTGGGGTTTCCAGAATCACGATACATGATGTTCAAAGGCCTCGATACCTGTCAAAAGTGCAAGATGCCTATTCTGGCCAGCGGAGATCACCATCCAGGAACGCCGCCCCTCTTTGCCGGCGTGGCCTACCCGAATGTAACCCTGGCTCCGCCATGCCACGCCATGTCATCACAGCCGTCATCACCAGCAGCCGACCTGCGCCTCGCGTCATGGGCGTCACATCACATTCAGCGAGTAGCTGCTGCGGTATCCTAGACAATGACTTTTCCTGCATCGCACGGCCACGCGCGCAGCCAAAGGTGCTATCACCCGAAGCTGAGCCAGAGATTCATCGTCCTTCTAGCGCATGCCATAATTAGGACCACGCTTCGACAATCATGCTCGGCTGCATACCACCCAGCCTATCCTGATGTCCAAGTGATTCGAGCGACTCAAACTCGAATACGAATCGTCCAGAAAAAAGCAGACCCAACAGGCGAGGGATGGCCATTGAGTGCCATGTCTACATTTGCTAAGCCACGCAATTTGCCAGCGGCCTGTCAGGCCACAGACCCCACACGCAATAAGCGTACCTTCAGGTACTTTGCACTTCCCGTGCTCCCGGTTAATCTATTCACTCGACATTTGGTACGCATTTTGAGGTGGAGAAGCACGTTCTGGGCCAGCAGCGACAACGAGCGAGGGTCCTTGGGTGCTCATTCTACGGTTCTTGAGTACGTAGAGTACACCGGGAAGCAGATTCGCTTTGCAGCTTACCAAGAAAGAAATGAACACCAGGATCCTCGACGCCCCACTATTCCAGGTACCGATCAGCGCAGTTCACGAAGCTGGGTCTGGAGTTTCAACTGGAGCATGTGGGGCCGCTGTTTCGTAACATCCTCGTGGTTTCTCTGTCTGTGCACCTGCTCTCACTCCTGTCATGTATCCTTACCTTGGCTGAGTCGTCGAAGGTCAGTGCGCTGACGAGCAAGAGTTCGTGCGCTTTCCAAACGGGTATCGCGAGGATGGACCAGAGAGGACAGAGCTATTCAGAGTAATGCCGGTTGAACATCACAAATGCTGGCTGATGGTGAAGGAGCGACAGGAAAGTTGCACCAGCGCTTCGACCTCGACGCGTGGTTGCGCCAAACTCGCCATGGCTTGGAGTTCTCATGAACGAGTCTCGGCTCTCCAATTCTGCTAGATCGGCAATAGCAGGATCAGCGTCGGCCGGCTGATCCCATGGTGAACATGCGGATTGACACTGATCGGGACACGACTAAGGTGGCCGATTTCAGCCTCAAATCAGGCCTGACTAGAGATGGCGGTCAGCCGGCATATTTGGTGCACGTCAGAGCCTGCCATCATCCATCTGCCTTTGCATTTGGGCTCAACGAGTGGCTGTGCTGAGCAGATGCAAGCCCACAGCGGCCGATTTCGAAAAAGTCGCCGGCGAGTGCGGCAGGTAAACCTCCGAGCTGCAGGAATCAGATCGAGACACTGATGCCGCCGTCAGCGGATCTGACAAGCACCACCAGTCCCCCGCCGGATCTCGAGATCGTCGAGCACGCATACAGAACAGCCGGACAAGCACGCGGCTTGCTATTGCAACTGCCGGAAAAGGCATGCTCAGATTCATTTTACCCCGCGTAGCATCCTACGTCAACTCTAATCGAGCACACATGACGCTATCTATAGGCAAGGTACATGCAGCATACATGCAGCCTGCTGGGGGCATGGACACACCTGGCTCACTTGCTGAAGAAGCGGCCCGTCTATGCCGGCTGGTGGTGGCGACGCCGTCAATGTTGATGCCAGGTCTGGCAAACGACTGCCCCTGCCACGGAGTAGTGCAGTTGGATGCTTGACCAAAGACTTCAGGACATCTGGCGCCGCCTCTCGAATACGATCCGAGCACAGCCTAGTGTCGCATCCGAGGAACAGGGAGCTTGACGTCAGTGCCGCTACTTGGTCTTGTCGCTTGAAGAGAATTGGAACATGTCCCTGATGTGGAGGCGAGTATGCTGGAGAGGTTGGTCTTGGTTCTCCAAGCCGGAGTGGCTAAACTGGGAATGCTTGCTTGATTGCGATGCATATTATGGCGATGGCAGCTTACGTCAACAAGGGTCTTGTTGCCTCTGCACCTTGGCATGGCCCCCATGGTAACCCTGATCCCCCCAGGCGCAACATTGCTTCGATTGGGCCCATGAGCCAGCTAGATCCCAACATGCCGAACGGACTATCGAGGTGTCATGCTCTGGCATAATGAAGGGCATCGCCGTCGGCGGGTATCACATGAAAACAAACATGGGACGAGATACACGAGACCGCTCAGCCGGGCACTTAGACCGTCTTGGAGGAAGGCAAGCGGCGACGCAGGGCAGACGGGACAGCGTGCTGGTGTGGCCTGGTAGCGGCGTGGATGAGACGTACCAAGTCTCATCCAGCAGCCTGTGCGGCATGCATTTCATGCGCGTGTCTCTCTCCAATGCCCTGGCCTCTGGGTAGGATTTGGGGGCATGATTTAAGGTATTCTGCTGTCTGAGCACCCGCGCCCTGCCCGTCGCGGCGCCACCCCACCCACCCATCCGTGCCAGCGACTAAAAGCTTCGCCCAGGCACCACACGAGGCCAAAGGAACGCCTACCGAGAGGTAATTGTCAGTGCCCTGACCCGCAAGCCTCCTTGGGGGCCGATTTCCTCGCTCAAAATAGCTTCTCGTAGCTAGTGGCCCATAACCTACGCGTACCGAGTGTACCCTAACGTACCTAAGCGCACACAGGTGGCCGGGATAACCAGTGACGGGCCGTACCAAGCTTGCCAAGGTCGCGGAAGACGCCCGCACCCACACCGGGTCCGTGGCAGTTCTGCATCGCCTCCAACTTGAGCTCCCGCATCTGGCCACTCCAGCAACACGGCTGCATTACAGAGTGTGGGCGGCAGTTCCCTTAGTCGGGCCCGTTGAAACAACCCCAGAACCTCCCCTCTTCGCTCAATCGAGGAACCGCTCGATATGGTTGCACCCTGCTCGATGACAGACGCTCTGTGCATTCCGAGCAGAAGCTGGCGAGTTCTCGGGAGCCCCGCCCATGAGTGACCGCCGTGGCCCTTCTCATCTAAACGGCAGTCCAACAGATCGGCCTGTGCTTCGACCGGACCAGCCCAGCTTCCGCGCCATTGTGGCATCCCGGGACAGCACAGATGGAGATTTCCGGAATGACAGAAGATGCGAGGGCATGCTGACAGCTTTGTGCAGCCATTTACACCGATGGGATCCGGGGCGAGCGAGTCCGGTGGAAGCAAGAGCGTTGTGGGATGGTGGTTTTCGAGGGTGCTCTCTTTGCAGATTTGCCCTTTTCTCGGCATGTGGTATGTCGTGCCAATGATAGTTGATTGCTGGTGAAATGCACGAAACCCTCGGAAGGGGAGCAGCATCTCGCAATGCCTACTGTGCAAGTTATGATAACAAGCGATGTCCTGCGTGATTGTGCGTGCTTTGTGACACGCGTGAACTGTCACATGAAGCACGCCAAACGGCCGTGGTTATGCCGACATCTTAGTCCCTGTTACTCATCACCACTCCAGGCAGAATCTTGGGAGCTGTGATATGTGTCAAAACATGTCACAGAAGGGCATCAGGTTCCTGCGGATTTAGCCGAGCTAGCACATCCCATAGCCCGTTCCATCCGCCGTCCAGAGTTCTGTGGCTTGGGACAGAGTCGAAAGTTCATCCCGATTGGCAAGCCTTAAGCAAGGTCCTGTGTTGTCGGATGGGAAGACCAAAGGTTTTCCACCTGTAGCTCTTTCACTCGAAGCGGTGTGAAAAGACGACGAATAATCTAGCTCTCTCTCTCTCTCTCAGTCCAGACTCTTGGCCCTTTTCCCAAGAACAATTGTCTCCTGACCAGTTTCTCCTGGTGAACCTCAGTGTCAACTCCCACGTCTGTTGTAAACTCGTGACGGAAAAATGTGACTGGTGCGGCAGGGTTTCTGTGGGTTTCAACGCCTCCTGTGTTAGCAAAACACGATATAGCGGTCACGAAGGTTGGTTGACGAAACAGGTTCTTCTATATAAGCCGTGGTCTGTTCGCGTCAGTAATGGTGTGGCCTACGCTCATGTCGTCCCAGTGAGCTTGTCGAGATCAGGGAGACGTTGTTGTCATAGCCCGGTGAATACTCTCGTTACCGTGACGCCACAAAAGCCGATTCAAGTGGGATTCTCACCATTTTCCGATCAGCCCGGGCATTACAATGGATGTCATCTTCATAACGGCGCCAGCCGTAGAGTTACAAGCAGTAGCGTATTTGTCTACTCGTATTGTTCAAATCTTACCCTAGGCATGTGACGAAATCGTGCTCTGTTCAACAAATTTTTTTTTTATTTTTTTTTATTGAAAAATTAGGAAATTTGAAAGAAAATGGGATTGTAAATAGTTTGTTAGACCCTTTATCTTTATTTTCGTTTGGCAGCAGTCTCGAGCTGTACTTCATGTCGTGGCCTAGACTTGATTTCGTAATCTATCGCACGCTGGCGTCCCGCGATCAAGCCTGGCACTCTTTTCAACGAACCATGAGCCATTCCCTATGCCAACATGCCCAATTCCCCTCAGGCTCCGCGACATCGCGGCCTGCCACTCATACATGAAACTGTCGGGTGCTGAGAGCCTCAGCGTTGTGTCCGGGCCGCATTCGACACTGAACATCGGGAGGAATCGGTCTAAGCGTTGGGTAATTCGCACTTCTCTACCAAAAGCTGCTGCTGTAGTGGAGATGGCCTCGTGTGCCTGGCAGAAGACCCTCCTCTTCCTCATATCATGGATGGTTCATGACGTTAACGGATCAGCGACAAACAGGCCAATGGCGAACCTCGCAGATCGCGGCGAGAGGACGCGTGCCGAGACATCTTGATCCACAGGACAAGTCCTGAACAAGGACGAAGGCACCCGACCTATATCAGATTCGTCCTTCACTTGCCTTGCGCTCGATTGATGCAGCCAAATTGGCCTTGTGAATATGTCCTGATATGGCTATCACACGGGGGGTATATTGCGTGCTATCGACAATTTCATGCACGGGCTTCAACCGACATTGTACATGCCGGCTCAAGTCTCCTTCTTCCCTTTCCTTGTCTGCAGCTGAGCTGTTCTGCGATCGTCCCACTTCTCCCAGCCAGCTTGGCAGAGGTCCTCCTCCAAACACAAGTCGCGCACGCGAAGCCAGCGCGCGGGTGGCGAGTCCACGAGCCAAGCCACCCATCCTGTCCGGCGGGCAATCTCGGTGATCAGAAACCAGGCCACGGCGCTGACGGCACCAGCAGCACTGCCGACGACGACCTGCAGCTCCGTGTGGTAGTTGAGGTACACGCGGCTCCACGCGACGGACGCGGCCATGAGGAGGCACAGGAAGCCGCCGATGGCGCGCTCGGAGAGGGTCATGGGCGTGTGGTTGCGGCGGGAGACGCCCGGGTGCGGGGGCTGGTGGCGGACGAGGAGGAAGAGGCACATGGACACGGCGAAGAAGGCGACAAACTGCGCGTGGCTGCTGGGCATGCCGTAGCCCTTGCCCTGCATGCGGACCGGCCGCTCTTGCTTGAGGATGCGCTTGAGGACAAAGTTGAGCGCCTCGCAGGCCAGCTGGCCCGCGAAGAGCAGGGCGACCTCGATCTCGCGCGTCGACCAGATGAGCGTGACGTAGACGATACAGAGCCCTTGCGGGATCAGGGCCAGCCAGGCGCAGAGGTACGAGAGAGGGTCGGTCGGATCCTACGGAGGCGGGTGGTCGCGATGGGTCAGTGGAGTGGTCGTCGACGAAAGCTCGATGGCGGCAACCTCACATAATGGACATGCGTCAAGGACAGAGATGCCAGAGGTCTCGGGTCGTCAGCCATGGCTGCTGGTGGTGATTGGGGGCCAGGCGCTGGTTGGGCGCGACCAAGGTTCTGGGAAAGGTGTTGTCGTGTCGTGGGGCAGCCCGAGTCAAGGTTGTCGATGCTGCGAATATTCCATGAAGCTTTGTCTCAATGTATTATGTAAGCATCATTGTCTGAATGTTGTCTGAGTGCGTTTTAACAATCTAGCATCCAAGATATGACAACTGGCACAGTATATATTCATTATACAAGGAACTAACCACAACCTTTCGCACGCCATGCATACCATGGAATTTCTCGTGGTCCATTGCCGTGGATGATGCGCCGGTACGGCAGTCTGTACCCAACCAGAAGTCGAGGATAGCGAGGTTCTCTACGTCCAAACAGTCTGCACAGGGGTGAATCTCCATGGATAGCCACCGGAATGGTGATCCACGACAAATAGTGACAGCTTGGTTGGACGTTCGTTCCTTCCAGGCCTCGAGATGGTTGACGTTGACGTGCTGGCCAGGCCAGCTGAGTCACCCCGCCACTACGCCACCCGGCAGGACCCCACAGCTTGTGTCAAATGCTCGGGACCATCACCACGAACAGATCAAAAAACTTTCCCGGCGTCTACATTTGTCCAGGCTCTGCGTGGCACTTGCATACTTGGAACGAAGCGTGCTCTTCAAAGCATCCAGCTCCTAGGGACACGAGGCCCGTCGCAGCCATTTGCCAGCTGTATCGCCTATCTCATATCCAGCTTACGAGACCAGCCATCACCATGACCCCAAGCTCATAGCAACAGCGTCTGCAGTACACGACTGCGACCAGGCTCTTGCTTCGCAATATTACACATCGCCTTGCAGCGTCCGTGACTGATGAGCCTCGGCAAGACCTCGGCCTGTGGCACTCTTTCACATGAAGGTTCAAATATTAATAGTCAGATTGCACATCTTTCGCCATGGACGACGATGACCCAAGAACCCTCGAGCTGGAGACAATCACAGCCATCTATCCGGAGCTCCAAGTCGACGACAAGGACCAGTTCACAGTGTCCATAGATATCCCAGTCAGCCTCGACAATCCGCTGACGGTCTTTTTCCCGGCCTCCGGCGTTGGTGCGCCTATAGGCACAACGTCACATGCTCCGGAAGCATCTTCGTCAGTGGCAGTTGACTCGCAAGCTCTGTCCAATCTCCCTCCGCTGCAGGTCAAGATCACCCTCCCGCCTGGGTATCCGCAGGACAAGCCCCCAGCCGCCAAGGTATCTACAACACCACCTTGGCTCGCTCCTGGCATCCTCCGCAAACTCGAGCATGATGCCGAAAGGCTGTGGGAAGAGATCGGTCACGACCAGGTCATCTTCACTTACATAGATGACCTTCAGCAGTCGACAGCCGACATTTTTGGCCTCGTCAGCGAGAAGGGTACCCTGGAAGTCAGTCCCGAGCATAAGATCGCCATTCTCGACTATGATAGTGCAGCTAAGCGGAGAGCTTTTGAACGGGAGACGTTTGATTGTGGTATCTGTCTAGGTAAGTCTGCAATTTAGTCCCTCCTCCCTTGCAAAATAAAGTGATTAATCCAATTCCTTAGAACCCAAGAAAGGATCTGCTTGCCACAAGATGCTGGATTGCGGTCATGTGTTCTGTGTACAGTGCCTGCAGGACTTTTACAACAATGCCATCACAGAAGGCGATATAGCGGCCGTGCAGTGCCTCGAGCCGAGCTGTGCGAAAGAGCGTGGCACGGCTCAGATGCAAGCGGCGAATGCAACAAAGAAAAAGAAGCCGAAAACATTCATCAGCCCCAGCGAGCTCTTGCAGATTCCTCTCGAGACAGAAATGGTCAAGCGCTACGTGAAGCTGAAGCACAAGACCGAGCTGGAGTCGGATAAGAACACTGTATATTGTCCAAGATCATGGTGCCAGGGCGCTGCCCGGTCGAAGAAGCACAGGAAGCCTGAGGGCCTCGAGTTCTCGAACCAATCTGACGACGAGTCTGAGACAGAGGAGACGACGGGTACCGCCAAGAATAAAACTGCCGCAGACTATAGGAATGATTTGTTGGCAATATGCGAGGACTGTGGCTTTGCTTTCTGCAGCCGGTGTGGGCAGTCATGGCACGGCGAGTTCAAGTACTGCATCCCAAAAGAACGCAAGGAGGCCATTACAGAGGAAGAGAAGGCGTCTCTCGAATACGTCAAGATGCACACGACGCCGTGCCCGACGTGCGCAGCGCCGGCCCAGAAGACCCAAGGATGCAACCACATGCTGTGCTTCCGCTGTCAGACGCACTTCTGCTACCTATGCTCTTCGTGGCTCGACCCCTCTAACCCGTATGGTCACTTTAACACCCAGGCCGACGGCAAGGTCAACAGCTGCTACATGCGATTGTGGGAACTCGAAGGAGGAGATGGTCAAGATGTGGGAATCGGCTACGCGGGCGGCAACGCTCTCAATGTTCCCAACGGGGAGCCTGCCCTTGAGCCTCACGAGGTGGCGGCCCTGATGGAAGCAGAGGAGCGCATCGTCGGAGACCGACCGGCTGCCAATATCCTGCCTGCGATCAATGATGTCCAGGGTAACCAGGCACAGCGGGCTCCGCAAGAACGAGTGGAGGTTGCGCGCGAAGGGCCTCTCGTGCTTCGCATAGGAGGGGATGCACCAGGGGCCGCGCCTCGTAACGCATTTGGGGCGGAACCTGCTGCCCACCTTGGGCCAGCTCGGATTCAGCACGGCGGCAGAGGAGCCGCACCACCAGCTCAAAGGGGAGTAGGCCGCGGAAGAGGGAGAGGTCCTGAGCGGGGAAACCGTGGAAATAACAGAGGGGGGGGAGCAGTAGGCGGAGGGGCCATAAATGCCAACCGACAGCAGGCCGGAGCGGCCGGGCGTGGACGAGGAAGACATGCGAGGAATCAGCCACGAGGTGCTAACGATCAAGCTGCCGCGAACCGTGAGCCGCACATGGAAATTGGCAATATACTCAGGCAGCAGGGTGAGCTTGATGAGGCCCAGCAGGCGTGGATCCGCCAATTTGTGCAGCTTGCGCTCAATGATCAGGAGGACCTGGTCGACTGGGATAGTGGTGACGAGATTTAAGGAAGCATATAGCAGAAGATCTCATTCTCAAGATCAACGTGATTGTCGGATTCCGACATGGAGCATCGGCAGCGGCGTTTTCTACAAGGTTTTTCAAGTTTATTTTATTCTCGAGATTGCATTCCTCAAAGAGCATTAATTGAAATATCACCCAGGCAGTTCTTTGCCAATAGACAGTGCTGCTGATTCTTGCTTGACGACGAAATGGATGTCTTCATGATCAGGAGCTTGTGTGCCCTGAATAGTTGAATTTTGTCGACTCAGCACAGTCTGGCACGATACCTGCCAGTAAAGTCAGACTTACGAGCGTAAGTCGATGTACCCAACAGTCACAAACCATGGCAGAGTGACCCTCATTTCTCTACAGGCACCACGTCATACAGGCCGTGTTGGCCTGGGAAATGCTACTTCAACCGCCCAGCAAGTAATCTCCTGAACGCCTCTCTCCTCATCAGCAATACCGTAGACCAAAAAGCCACAGCCTGCAAAAGGCAGTGTAGGTAACTCGCAGTGCTTTACAAAGCTCCAGTTGATCTACGACCTCAGCAGCAGCGCACAAATCCAGACGCCCAACACGCAATCTGAGCACTGACATGCGGTGATTTGAAAGGATTTCTTGGGGGAGGACAGGCACGTGCATCCTACGAGATAAGCGAGCAACCAAGCCCCCAGGAGCTCACTCGCAGCAGCAGTGGCAGCAACAGTGGCAGCAGCACCTCATCACCCTCTGTCGTGCATAATGACCGGCAGTCCTCTTTTCGATGAAGATGTTTCACCAACGTACTTTTGGGTCGTGAAGGGCGACGACGTGCAGTACCAGATGGCACCGGGGGGGCTTCGATGTCACGTAATTACCAGACACATTTTGTCAGAGCAAGGGACCGACCGACCCGTTAGCAATACCACCGGGCGGGCTCACACACACAGGGTACGAGGCGGAGCCAGCCAGCCAGAGAGACAGAGAGACCGCCGTGGAAGAGACATTTACCGCAGGGACCTACGTTGCCCTACGAGCTCTGGTTCCACGAGTGGCGAACGGGTAAAGTGTCCTTCGAACGGGGAGCCGGTTGCTGCCCAATGCGGACACCATCTCGTGTGCACGCGAGCCGGATGACTCGTTGTTATCCGAACCATACACGCACACACACACACACAGTTCAGACAGAAACATGCCACGATGGTCGGATGTTTCGACCAGGCTCTTCTGCTCGGGAGGTGTGTGCCCGGTACAGAGCCCCGACGCAGGCAGTGTGTCGCGTCCCCCCCTTGGCTGCTGCCGGTGCCCTCTCTTGTTTTGCCCCCGGCGAATCAAGAAACAAAGCCATGAGTGCGAGGAACCCACAGTCCACGTAGCCATCGCCGAGGCCAGTCCTGCCAGATGTGATCCGAGGTTGGTAAAACACCCCCCGTCCCCTATAACGGCCCACACTCCTCCTCCTCCTCCTGTCCCCTTACCCAAGAGGCCGGGCCCGAAAGTCGACGATATCTGTGCGCCCACACCTGCCGGGGGAGCTTTGAGCCCGCAGATGTATAAGTTGCCATCGCTATTTACTGCGCGAGCAGTCTATATAAGAATGATCTTCGGCCGGCACATCCCGGACCTATATGTTCCCCCACGCAAAGAGCCGGGATTCTTTCGTTTGACACATTGGGCCTCTCTCCTCGTCTGTCCTTGTCTCTGTATCTCTCTCTATCTATTTGTCTCTCCGCCTCCACGTACGAGTCCAGACGAAGCTTGAAACACGGGCTGGCAAGGAAGCCGGACGCAACCCATTGTGGCTGCTGTCAGAGCTGGCCTTGCTGACGGGAGGGTGCCAAACACGCCCAGACGATGCGAAACATTGAATCACTAGATCTCCCCCTCGCCTCGCGCCACACACAAGGCCTCATACCACTGTATAAGTTCCTCCCTGTTTGACATGATGATGGTTATGCTGAGGACGCCCGTGAAAACGAGGGCAGGCAGGACAAAATCTCAGGGCGTGAAGTGTAGGAATGGGCTGGCAAGTGGCTGACAACGACGACCGCCGGCGAGACTGTGCCCTTTGCAAAAGGCCCACACCACTCACTCGCTCACTCCCTTCCTTTTGTTCACCGCCATCAAAAGAGTTTCCGGCTCATGTTTTGCAAGTGTTTCTGCATGTCCGATACTCTGCTTGCTGCCCATGTTCCGTGATTAGTTGTTGCGTGCGGCGGAGACTACCATAACTCCGTGCGGTATATCGGCCGCAGAAACAACCACAACAATAATAATCACAACAAAAAGCAACAATCAGCATCCTAGACCACGCGCAGAAATTAATGAAAGGCATCGGAAATCAGGCGTTGGGCCGAATATCCCCCGTCCTTTCTCTGCCTTAGCTCTCTTCCTATCAGTCTCGTTCGTGCATTGGGGGAAATCGCATTGCGTGGAATCTTCTGCTTCCTCCATGTCCTTCTGTTATTATTTGCGTCCCCCTCCGAGGACCCAGAGTCGTGAGAGAGAGAGAGAGATAAGTCCTTATCAGTGATGGCATGACATGTGAAGAGTGCCCACGCCATGAAGGTGAAAGGCACATGAATGGGACATTTTATTAGCATGAACGGACAAGGAACAGTAAAAGTGGGCTCTTATATTGTCAAGCAAATGCACAGTCTGCTCCAGGCGGGGACGAGGCAGTGAGTGAGTGAGTGGTAAACAAAGGGACCGAAACGGGTCCCCGGAGACTCCTCCGCCCGACGTCCCCAGCTCTCGGCAGCGAAGAACGCGTTCCGCCATGGTCCCCAAGCATGAAACAGGCCAGGTCAAGAGCCCAGACCGAGAGACTGGCGTTTTTGTGTGGTGCCGCTCGGAAAGCGCAACCGCTTATTAATGGAGGTGCTGGCACATAACAAAAAATCCCCGAAGGCAACGGTATAGTGAGGAGCAAGTAAGACCCTCATTCATTTCCTCTATCAGGCGGGGTGTTCCAGGCTTGGCGATTGTGTCGTTGTGAGCGTCTCGCAAGGCGGCAGTCCGCCCGCCGCAGCCACCACCGCCGGCCCGCCGCCTCCACTTTCCGCGCCGCTCCCCTTTGAATGCAGGTCCTTTCCCCTCGCCCCTGGATGACTTGACGATGCTCTCGTCAGGATGGGAAACCGTTACGTTCCTCACCCCCACAAAGCAGCAGGGGAGCTCAAAGCCCCCCACTACTGCGACAGAAAGCCCTTCCGAGTGAATCCTGGACGTGGATCTTCTTTCCTCGTCTGGTCTCGACGACCACGACGAGACTTCACGCGACGCGGTGGTGATCACTAACGGGCGGCAGTGGGCCAGGGCGTGGGCTACCATAGTAGGGTGGACACAAGGGCATCGCACCAGTGTATATGTTATAGGAGGCGCTTACGCAGTATGGTCGTTGAAGAGGACACAGAGCCAGGTGATATACGTAGTCATGGCAGGGGCGTACGTGTAGAGATTGTCCCTCCTCGAGGACCGCCTGCAATGTACAGTGTGCGCGGCGCTCGGGATACCCTCAAAGACCACACCACGTTAGGTAAACACTTCGGTGGACCACATTGACTTTCGCGGCGCAAGCTTGGACTGCTCGTGAAAGCTGGACCAGCAGTTCCGGTCATTATCGCCCAGCTCTGTAGGAATGACGGTCAACTGAATGATCCGAGACCACGGTCAGGCCTCAGGTTATCGCAGCCTAAGCCAACCATAAGACGACGCACGGAGGAAATGGCTGACCCGGCCGTTGCGTGCACCCGGGGGCACGGGTCACCCATGCATCCGCTTGTTCCTGTCTTGCCAAGCTCGCGCTGGGCGGAGTGATCCTCGTCGACGTTACGACGTGGTGATCTGTCAGTTGTGAGGCGACGATACACGGCGATGACGAGTCTTGGTTCCCGCCGTTACAATCGCGCCACACTCGAAGCGACATCATGCCTGTGATTGTGCGTCAACTCAAGTTTTGGGTCGTTTCGGCCGATGACAGGCCACCGTCGATCCGGCTGGTGTTCCGCAGCCATGGAGCATGATGATCGAAGTGGGTTGTCATAGTAGCTCACTTCAATTACGGCACGCTCGCATGATTAGAGGCCACGCGAAGCAATCTTCCGAGAGTAGCAGAAAACATGCTGGCTACCTGCCTGGATACCATAGTTCTGGTATTAAAACTGGACGCTGTCGTGAAGCGGAAATACTGTTTATCGCATCTCAACAACCACCGACGCCCTTCTGGGAAGGATGATCGCACCAAGCGGTGATCCATCACATGGGTGTGCAGAAAGGCCAGGAACTTCACGCTGGCAAAGTACGCTAACTAGCGCTGGGGCCAGCCTTGCCAGCAGATGAGCGACGGCATGGATCCGTCTTTGGCACACGATCTGAGTAGCCATGGCCCTGGTCCACGTAGCATTTCCCACGACAGTGCATGCTGCATTGGGCGTTTGGCTGTGCGGAGCAAGGTTGCGTGGTGTGAACAAACACGCAAGTACCGGTAGATCAGGGGTAGGCAGTGCTTTGCCAGCTGCGAAGATGCCCCTTGCGAGACTCGACCACCTTGAATGACCTACTCGCCAGGAAGCCTGTTCAGATCCTTGTTCATAAAAACAGGCAGGATCCTGGCTGCGATAATCGGCTTGAACTAAGGCCTGTTTAGCAAGCGTTTTAGCGTGTGGTGGAGGCTTAGAAGATCCCATTGGACCCCTGGTTTTTGCGCCTTCACATGTTCGCTCACATGAGGTGGTGCCATTTAGGAGACATCCTCTTGTCGAATGTACAACTTGTTGACTGGGACTTTTTGATCGGATCTCTTCATGTAGCATGTCTTGTATGTCGTCCGCCTGCTCGGATTGTCAACACGTCCGCGAGTCGAGAACAAATGCCTGGGAAGTGGAATGGTGGGGACAGACGCGTGTTGCAGACTTCGTCGTTGGGGAGTCAAGAACGCGCTTGGGCCTAGTTCAGGATTGTAGTGTCAACCTCTCGCACAGTTGTCGGCCTCTTTTGTGGTTTGGTGAGCAGATCTCGCGGGCTTGCAAGGGCCAAATCCGCCAGGGATATCTGGAGGATTGACACGCTGGGCGGAAAGGCTCGATGCAGCCACGTTCGGGGAGCTTGTTGTGCCGTCAATCGTAGACTCCCGGCCACAACCTGGATCTATGCAAGACACGTCATAGTGCAATCATGGCGGTGGATGTCTCATTCGACTGATGGATTTCTTGTAGACTTGACGAGGCTTGATTGAGAATTATGCTGCTTCAGCAGCATGTCAAGTGTCATTTGGTCCGACTTTTGTCACAGGTTTTGCCCGGCCAGACAACAGACAACAGTTTGCGAGAAACACCCAATAGGTTGGCCCCATCTGTCCATCAGGCAGTTACCTGGATTGTGCGGCAAAGACAGACCATAGAGCGCGTGCTGGTGACTCGTACAGATTTCTTGCGAGACGTTGAGCTTAATTGCCAGGAAACAGGCTCCGATTCTTTCGCCATGTCATAGTAGGCTGAACCCCACCCCCCCTTATGCCTTGTTCGGATCATGCAAGGTTGATCGCCGTTGCGGAGGTATACTTCGCTGAACTATTGCAGCTGCTCATTTCACCAGAGTGTGGAGGCCACACTCGATGCCAGAGCGAGCGCTAACCAACGTGCGTAATTCGGATCCGAGACTGTACGTTGACCAGCCATAGCGCAGACATTTCGCACTGACCACGAGGGGAGTGCTGGCAGTGAGTCGCGGGTTGTGGGAATGGAGACATTCATGATTCGCGCCGACTGGCGCTTGTTCAGCAATGCATCTATGCATGAGCCATGGTCTTGAGCTTTGTCGGTAACAATATTTCGGCTTGAGGTACTTTTGCGGGATAACCAAAGCCCCACAAGCTGCCGCACTGAAGCCAGGAAATTGCAAGGTCGACGTCAGTTTCTTGACTTGACACATGTGTCGTGAAGACTAGAACTACTCAAATGTTCAGGTACTGTCAATGACGTTCTTGTCGATCGACAGCTGCTCACGCGATGCAGTCCGGTCGCAGAAAGTGATAGGTGGTGATTCTAACGACAAGCGCCATCGTAAACTGGTCGGGTGTTAAAGAGACGATCCCAACCCCTGCGTTCAGAGCTGTGGAGAGCCAGCCACGCTGCACGTCGGCTTGTTTTTCGGTCGAAGTTGCCTGTCGCTGTGAGCAGACAGCGCAGCTAGCCTATCATCTTCCTGCAATCATGCTGCATGCAGTCCAGGACAGGGGGGGTGAGCCCAGTACACCCATGCGTCACGTTACATCCAGCCCCGGGAGTTCTCAAGGCACTGAGGGATCAAGTGAGATACACACACGCCATGTGCGCAGAGAGCGAGATGCCAATGTCGTTGCTGCCGTCACACGTGGTTATGTTGCTGAGCGGTGTGCTGAAAGTCATCCTTCATGATGATCTTATTGAGTGTGTGAGCCTCTCATCTGTGCTGCAACATAACGTAAAGTTGGGCCTCCGTGGCGGGTAAATATGACCAGCATGACTGGACTCACCCAGAGCTTTCGATGATGCGGCGACAGGTCAGGGTTGATTACTGACGACTCTCATGGGGGATCAGTTTCAGACATGTGAGAGCAGTTAATCTTCGGCCTGAAATCTGTCCAAACATGCTACGTGCAGTAAGCATGACTGCGTGAGATGTTGTTGCTAATTGGGAAGCTCAAAAGACGGCAGCTTGATAGCAGCATATCGGCAGGATAAGACAAGACCACTATCTGTAGCGACTGCTCAATTCGTTTTTGCGACAAGGGCAAGCACCAGACCAGCGACAGGGATCGTGATCGGAGGGTGGTAACCCGCACCTGGCAGGCGTTGAAAGGCTGGGGAAGTGGGAAGACGTTCCTGTGACTTCGATACGTAGAGACGGCAGCCCTGCGCCGCCGATGCATCTCATTAGTAAGTGCTGTGTAAAAAGTTCTAGGCCAGGAAGAACCTCGTGACGTTGCTGTCTCCCAAAGAGAGAGGCTGTCGATATTTGCGGGCCATCGTTTCCTGGGGTGGTGGCAGCTTGTGAGCAACGAGGTTCTGTCGCAAGTGATGCTTTTGCAAACCCGTCTGAATTGTTGCCTACTACGCTGCGTTTCCACTCGCATTGCACAGAGCCAAAAAGGCAAACAGCTCGCGTCTCGCTGGAAGTATGGGAAGCCAAGTAAGAGCCCACGGCCGCCGCCGAGAGCCCTGGCGAGCCTGGCTGTGGAGGTAGCTTAGGAGCCACGGGTAAGTCGCGGGACCTTGTGCCCCGATCTCACAAAAGTTCCCGGCTGCAACTAGACCTGACAGGGTTGTGAATGGCCTGATCACGACATCATTGAGATGATTGAGCGAAATACGTGGCGCTCTTGCCATCCGTCCTAAACATTCAGATATGGCGATGGTTTTGCTGAAGAAGCCTGGCCTTGCTGAATGCCCAGCTCCTCGCCATCTTGTGGTTTGAATATGCGTCGTTGCCACTCCTTCATCGAGCCGGGCAGTGTAGCTTTTTGCACGTTTCAGTCATGATCGATGCTTTAATGTCTTGACTCTGTCGAACCTAAACTTCGTGATGCGACAGCAAAGTCAACGGCAGGGCGGCCACTTTATGAAACGTAGAGAGTCCTTCCCCATCTCTAAGAGTCTCTTGTTGCTGAAAGATGTGCCTCGTGAGCCATTGGTACCGTGGGGCTCATCCAACGGGTTCTCGGCCCTGGTGCTGGGGCCTGCTGGGGGTGCTTATTCAACAGCGACCAGGAGGGCAGGAAGAAGCCAATCAAGTCAAATTGCCTTCGGGCGGCGCTTCTATACGGAGTATGGTGTGATGAGCCCCTGCCAGGAGTGTGGAGATCATGAGCCGGGGGTGTTGTGACTGCCGTACAAATCAACGGATTTGCGTCTTCTGAGCAGCAGCACCTGAGGCATGGGTGGCCGGCTGTTGGCCGCACCAGGATGGCCACCTGGACAGTTGGAGCCCAACTTGGCCAGGCGCCGAGGGAGCCGCGCAGGGCTCCTGGTTGTTGATCTTCAGAGCAGAGTTGCACTGGCGGCCTTGGAGGGCGATCTCAAAATTGTCCGGTCCGACAACCTGGCAGGGAGATCCATGTACCCTGATGAGCATTAGACGTTGAGTGGCGCCTGAAGCTCGCCGGCTCTCAAGCAGCTTCACTCTTGCCTGGCAAGACGGTGGCCAGCGATGGGAGAGTAGACAGCTGGGCTACGCGAATGCCGAGTGTGGTGAGCCATGGCCTATGGAGACCGAACAAGCCATAGAGGCATGCCCCCCTCGCGTGACAGGCGTGAAGCTGCAGCTCGTAGGTTTGTTCAGGGTGGCTGGCGGTGGTCAGTCACATGGCAGCCTGACGCCAGCGCTTGAGGTGACAGAGCTGTGCGATGGCTCTGAGGAGAACCACAATGTCTCAGATGTGGTTGTTGTCGTCGTTGCTCGGCCCTGTGTGAAAGACAGTTAGTCAGCTCAGAGAGTGAGACTGGTTGATCCTGCCTGTGCGTGTGTGCGGGACCTCAGGCGGGAGGACTGGAGCTCCCGGGGTACGAGGTACCTCCCTTGACTCGACGCCGCTGCATCCTTGGAATTCTTCAGAGGCAATCGCGGCTCGAGGGGCAGGAACCCTCGCCTTCGCGCTCGCCCTCACCTTCAACGGCAGTCTCCACGCCATCCTCCCGCATCCACGCCAGACCGGCACTTTGCCCATTCGCGCGCCGGTACTTGGCTTGAATGTCACGCCACGGTGCCATTGGTCTCGTGTCCCCCAGGGCATGCCTCGCAGCCCGGGCGGTACTCGTCCGCCCTGGGCTTATCAACACTACCGCCCGCCCTAGGGGCACTCCGGAGGGCGGCAACCACCACCTCTGCCGCCCGCGCGACCAGATGCTCCAGAACAACCCCTGCCCGAGGCACCTCAACGGCTTCGTCGACTTGGCGATTCATGGACAAGGATCGTCTGACGGTGGACCTGGCCGCCAAGACACTTGCCCCAAATTAGGCAAGTCGTCCTCAGAGGCAACCATGGTGCGTCGACTGATTGATGCAGCAGCAGCCCGGTGCATCCTTGAGGCACCTCGACACACTGCGCGCTCCTTGCGCTGACAGCGGCGCGACGCCAGGCGAGGCTAGGATGGAGTTAAGCGATCTCCCGCTCACCCAGGAGCCTGCCCGCCTAGGCCGAATTAGCACAGCGGGAGCAACAATGCGATTGTCTCGACGATGACTCCCGAGCCAGATGTGACCGGCTCAGGCGACCCCGGTCCCGACTTAGGCCAAACGTTTCTCAATTGTCCAACCTCGGATCAGCATGCCTATCCGATGGACCCTCGGGTTCCGCTTCCTCAACTAATGCTCTGTGCAGGATTGTCCTAGTTACGCATGAGCGTCGTCGATCGACTGAAATTGTCCTTCACGTGCGGCGATGTCTGTACAATGCGTAGGTGGCCGTTGCTGGCCTCTCCGTTGTGACTTTATGCATAGTCTCTGTGCCGGGCATCCCTTCCCACAAAGCAAGTAAATCTCCGACGGGTAGCGCATGTTGTACGTGCGCAGGTCGCACACAGCTATGCGCGCTGCGTTCGGTCGCGCTGCAGGGCTCTAATCTAAATCCCCATTCTTCGAGCTAATTTGCCCAGAGGATAGCTTGAAGAGCCAACCCCTAATCATCTTATCACGATCATGCTTGAAGCGACGACGGGAATCGCAAATCCAGTCCAACGCCCGGGAGGGGACTGTCCAAGGAGGGTGGGGTGGACGAAATGCTCGTGAGTGTATTGGCTCGGCACTTGATCTCTCTTAGCGTCGTTGCATGCAGCGCGACAGAGAGGATTCGCAGGCGCCTCCGTGTTGTATGGCCCGCCAGACCTTCCCTTCGACTTACCGGTCGACACAATCACGGGCTATGTAGTAGAAAGTCTCCCACAAGCCGACAGGACAAAGGACAAAGAACCCTGTTGGGGGCCAGGGCGCTAAACATACACCACACCGTAAGGGGCACAGCAAGGACAAGTTTCCGAGTGGATTTTACCAGCAGCTACTCCATAAAGTCCACCCCCTGTTGCTGACCCCCGTGTGTCTAAACAACCTCTGGTCGACCTGCCTTTCGCGTCGTTTTACCCGCACTGCCCGCAGAAGGCCACAGAGAGGGGCCTTTGCCATGAAGACCCTGCCAAAAGTTCAAGGCCGTGACCTTTTTGTTCCCCGCTCCATTCGACTGCCACCCCCCCAAAGCCTGTTCTGATGGATATGCATACGGGTAGACCAGGGTCTGATGATGAGCCGGCAGATGAAGAAGGTTGCCCACGGGCAGCCCATGGTGTGCAACGGCGCCCTTGAACCCCCCAGATCCTCACTGCTGGCATTCATCACTGTCACCAGAGTGTTATACCAACAAGAAGCGAGCGCCTGTGCTAATGGCGAGATTGCCCTCATTCGGCTCAGCGACTGAGCAGTGGCCTCGTGCAAGGCTAGGCTCGTCTTACCGAGCTCTCGCAATTCCAAGAGCTACACTTTAGCCTACGAAACAGGGATTGTAATAGTTGAGCTTGTGGATTGATGGAACTTCTGAATGCTAGGTATCCCCTCCTGTCCAAAGGACCTCCACTCCGGCCACTTCCTAGTTCGGCGGCGCATATCATAACAAGACCAGTATCACTGGGCACCTGCCAGCGGTACTTGGCCAGGCTCGCTCACTTATGGCCAGGATCTTCGGTGCCATACTCGTTCATTGTGTTTCCCCCCATTCCTGCAGGGATCGAGCAGCACTGATCCTGGCAAGCACTTCTCCCTCTGACTGGCCACACAAGCTCGCTTCACGTGCGTATATACAAGTACTTGCGTTTGCCGCGCATTCTTTACGAGTGTCCTGCCCTCTGCCTGTACCATCACGAACCATCCAACAGCTTGAGCATTCCCCAGCGACTTGGTGCAACACAGCTGGAACGCGCAAGCGATACCTCACAAGTGCGACGGGACTTCTTGCAGTTGGAGTGCAGCACCAGAAGCGAATCGCTTACGAAAGGCACCTCGAGGTTCGAGTCGCAACCTGACCATCGACACACGAAACCCTGCGACAGAGTTGCTCCATGTCAGCCACGGCAGTTTTGACGGCGACCATGGCAGAGTTGAAGCCAGAGTCCACCCAAGGTGGCCTCTGGTCCAACTACGGTGCCTCTGTTCCTTTATCAGCTCGTTTTCCAAGCGCCGTAGACAATTTGTTGACGCATCCATCGTCCAACCCATCCCAACATGTTGGCCGCTCGAGAGCCCATCAGGGCTCGATAGACCACTCCTATCCCTACTCGAGATATCAGCCAGAAGAGCACGACACCTATGCGAGACAACAGCAACCACAGCATACATTGGCCCCGCAGCACGGCTATCACAACTTGAAACGCCCCTATGATCATGTCGACCAGCCAGCGTACCAGGAAATCGTTCAGGACCTCAGAGACGACGGCTCCAAATTGACAGTCAACCACGACCAAAAACTCTTGTCCTTCCGCAAAGTGCAAGACAAGCATACCATCGTGGACCAGCACGGAAGAATGCAACAACTCGAGTTGTCGGCGCAACTGCACGGCATGTTCTTTCTCTCAGAGATGCCTGCTTCCACAGGCGAAGGGTCGATGCTGCAGCCCGAGTTGACATGCTATCGGAGGAATCTGTTTCAGATCAGCGGCTCTCTAGTCACCCCGAGAGGCCAGTTGTCCGTGATCTTGGCCGAAAGTGGCGAGACTGTCGCAGTCACCAGCACCGAGGTCACCATCTCGGCGATAGAGTCTGTCGATGGCAACCCCGTCCGACTGATTGTTATTCCTTGGAAAACCCCGCCACCAAACTCTCAGGATCTACCTCAATCCTCAGACCAGGAACCGCCGCCTCTTCCCCTTATTCCCTTCTCGGACGAGGGCCAGGAGATCGAAGGCGAGTTGGCGATGTATCCAATTGGTTGGCGACGACTACAGTTTCGCATGTAAGTTGTGCCAACAAGGCTTCGTGCCAGGCTCAGACAGGAAATGAACCATGCCTCTAACAATGAACTGTAGTGCAACCGCGAATAATGGACGAAGGAAGGAGCTCCAGCAACATTTCGTGCTGCACCTGAAGGTGGTCGGGACCCTAGCCAATGGGACCAAGGCCGTGCTCACGGAGTCGCACACAGCCCCTATTGTAGTTCGCGGTCGTAGTCCGCGCAACTTTCAAGCCAGAAAGGAGATTCCACTATTAGGATCGAGTGCGGGCTCTCGAGGACAAGCGTTGGTCGAGTCAGGCATTGGCATCGTCGCCGGTCCTCTGCCGCTGAAGCCACAAGATCCGAAAGCGCGAGGCTTGAACCTTGAACTACCTCGCACAGCCTTCACATTCAACGCCTCAAAGCTTCCTGGAAGCCCTATGAATATGAGATCAAAGTAAGTAACATTCGAAGTCATAGATCGGGAGCTTCCTCGGGCCAGCAGAATCTAACAGACAATGTTAGCTCCTATCCCAGCTGGAACCCCTCCAGTCACTTGCCACTATCACAAGGACCGGTGCCGGCAAGCACGGCCTACCCGACGTCGTCCGCGGACTCTTACCACAAACTACCTCTCTCGGCTGCGCCCGCATACTCTGCAGAACAGCAGGAGCTTCCTTTGCAATCACCCTTGCAGCCAGTCGGTTTGAACATGGCTGCTAGCGATCACAATTCGCAGCAACAGCCTCACACGACCATGAGAGCAGCATACAATTACACCCACGCTACTTCGGCACCGCCTCCGCTTTCGATAGCTACGACGGCTCTGAGCGGCTCAGACCACGGCCTAAATGTGCCGCGGTACGTTGATTCGAGCTCCCGACCAGCCAAGAGCCCTCGGCATCCAAATCAACAATCCGTACACAGCATACACAGCAGTGGTGCACTGAACAACGACAGCAGCTCCGAGTATCGCTTCGGCCCTTCATCTTATGTCCAAGTCAGCACCGGCAGCGCCGCCGCCGAGTCTTACGGATCTACCGACAACTCGCACACGCCCAGCCCAGCTGTCCCCCATCCTCCAAGCAGGGACTTCTATCCCCCCACTGCCACATGGACGACATCTGCCGGCGAAGCAAACAACACAACTGTTTCTTCGTACACCAATGTCTTGAGCGAAGCGGCAAGACCCTATGGATTCACCGCCGATCCATACAAGTCCAGTACGTCTGCACAAAACAAGAACGACCACGCCAGCAGTAGTCACTACAGTGCCGGCATGCACAACTACTCATGGAGTCCCACTCATTAAAATGGTTCGCGAGCCTCTTTATCGCTATTGGGACCGTCGCGCATTCGGAATATACCCCTACCGTAATTGTTAAAGTTGGTCATCTGGAGGGTTCTGGATCGAGACACTGGCGAAAGTAACAACGATCTCGACAACATGATCATCGCCCGCACCACGTACATATCGAATAATTCTCCCCACAGGCTCGGGCTCTTCTTCTTTTTTTCTCCTTTTAAATCATCGAACGGACAAGGTTGGTGGTCCCATGCAGGAGGAGCGGGTGCAATTTTGGAGCGGGAGTTGTTGGCACTCGTCTTTTCATTACAATGGAGGTGTTCCCATTTTTTTTTGGATCTTTTTTACTGGGTTCTTCTTCATCAGAAGTGCATCCTTGGAGTCGGTCTTGTCGTCATCTAGTTATTGTTGTTGTCGAGATATGATCGGTGGAGTGTTGGGTTTGTCCATGCATGGTACGGTGCGGTGCTGGGTCCTGTAGGCTGGTGCACATATACAGAAGAATGAGTCAATGAAGAACAGTAGAATAACGACAACCATCGAGACCATCCTTGTGCCGCGCTTCTTTTGTGCATGTATTTATGTACAGTTCGTGAGGGATCCAGTCATGCCCTTGTATCAGAATTCACCATGATCCGCGGATTGGCAGTCGTGAGGCTGGTGGTGTTCGAAAGCTCTGGAGTCTTACTAAGATGGCAGCTTGCTTGTGCGCCTGTGCCGTCTGTTCTGCCCCACATTCGGAAGAGGACAGGAGCGTGCGTGCAACTTGGCGAGCTCCACTGGAAAAATAGACGATGCGTTTCCTGTGGAGCCTCCATCGTCTCCATGCTTGCTTGCTTGATCTTGACCTCATGATTGATACATTGGAGTGATTCCCAGCAGGTACACATTCAACGACACGGTTGGCTCGTGTTCGTCCTGTTCCATTCCACCCCCGACCCAGCCTCCAAGATCTCCCAACAGAGCCTGGGACAAGTGATACCGTGGTACTACGACGTCGGTGGTGGCGCAAGAGCCCGGAGCATTCTGGACAATCGGGGAACCCTATCGATACAACAGGCGCGCGTGCACGCGTGTGTGCTCGTAAAAGCATGTTTGAGATCCCGGACGCCAAGCGGTAAGTAAAACCCAGCTGATCTTTATAGACGCAGTCGAGGATTCGTACTTGGAGCTGATCGCTTTTGTTCTCCCCACCTCCAAAGGGTGCGTCGGGAGGACCTGTACGAGTCATCTGCCGGCGGCAGCAGTGACGGCGAGGATGGGGCGAGGGACGTGGAGATGGATGCGGCCCTGCGCAGCAAGTTGAATGCCCAGCTCGCGGACCTCCTGGACGTGGACTTCTCGGTACCAGGGCCAGCTTCAGGCGGAGCCGCAGAAGCCGAGCGGAAGCGAGGGCGGCAACCACGGCAACAACAATCGCACGAAGCCGGTAGTGATGATGACGATGATGATGATGATCACCACGAAGACGAGACTATGAGCGATGGCGACCGGCAGCGTGGAGAGCAGGATGAAGACGACGACGAGCCAGTCGAGTTTGCGTTCCGGCTGTTCAGCGGTGAGGATCCCGCTGCGCACAAGGTGGTGCTCGAGAAACAGGACGATGCCGCCGACGCGGCTGGCGACGGCGGAGGGTTTGTGGTGAGCAGGAGGCCGGCGTCATACTACATCGCAGCTGAGCCCTCGCCGGATGACCGCGAGAGGTATAGAGCGGCCGCAGTCAGCCACGAGTACCTCCTCGCAGACGCTGGACGGAGCAGGTGGGGGATCGAGAAGCCCTGGAAAGTCACAACCATCACAATCACCACGAAGAAGACCAAGGACGGCAAGGAGAAGCTGATGGGGACGGTGGCTGGGAACCAGCCCAGGACAGGCCGCAGGACGCGGCCGGGCAAGAAGCGGCGAATCATCCTGCGGACACGGGAGAAGGCGAAGAAGGAAAAGGAGGTTGTGGCTAAGCAGCAGGCTGTGGATAGGGAACAACATCTGCTCGAGAAGAAGAAGAGGCTCAATCGACAGAAGAAGTTAAAGAGACGGGCCAAGGCTAAAGGGCAGAAGAAGGAGGGTGTAGACGCCGGTGGTGAGGGAGATTCCGACGATGAGGAGAACGGAAAGAGTGTTGCGTCTGATTGAATGCTGAGATAGGGCTTCTGCATACAGATCAAGGTATGGCCACAGCCACCATTTGGGCGGACGTACTTGTCTGGAAGGTGATCTCCTGTGAATACCCTAAGTGGAATTGTCCTATTCAGCATTTACTCTCGTGTCTACTAGCGCAATCAGCCGATCCATAAAGTACCGATGTGTAAGGCAAGGTATATGTAGGTCGCGACCTGGAGAATGAAGCAGAGCCGCGCCTACTGCACATCTCTAGCGCAGGTCTTTAGCGCCCTCAGCGCGGCAGACCGCTCCGCGCAACACGACCCCTGCCAATCTGCACCATGTTGGAGCTGGGCACCGCCATCCCACTTCACCACCTGCAGCCTTGCTGTTGGCGAATAGCTTCACCTCTGGGCATCCCACGCTCTCTGCCGACAACCACGTACCGAGCATACTCGCCAGCCCCGGCTTCGCCATCGCCACGCACCAAGCCATCGTACTTGACACGCTATCTTTTCGTCTGCAGCATCAAAGCCCAGTCGATACCGCTATCGATAATGCTCTCGTAGCTCCTGCGACACCCCGCCGCCCCGTCGATGAAGACAACATGAACTCGCTCTGGCCGTCCAAGGCCGCTCCCGACGGAGCAGAGACCTCCAGTGCCGCGCCCACCTGCCCAAACGATGCCATAGACAATGGCATAGCCGATGTCGGTCCCAGCGCCGGCGCCGGCACGGGCATCGAGGCCACACCCATTGCAGAAGGGTCTCAACCTGGGCCGCCCCAATCTTCTGCCTCACGACCTTCCCTACAGCGCGACCAGGCGACGACAGGTACGCCTGGGACACAAACGCAACCATCAGCCGGCCAGCCTGCCGACTCACTCTCCCTCGCTCAGCTCAGACGGCTAGTCTCTGAGCTGCCACGAACCGAGACCGCTGCCTACGACTTCGAGTACACAGACACAGGACCGCACGCGGAAGAAATCGACGAGTGGTTTCAGTATCAACTGAGGCAATGGATGCGGCTAGACGCTGCGCAAAAAGATTTCGAATCGAATTGGGACGATGAGATCAGTGCCAAGTACGACGAGGTGACATGGGAAGAGGCGGCCCCAGAATTACGCCTGCAATATGTCAGAGGACTTCTCGCAGCTGTCAACTCATCTCCGAGCACCGCGGCTCGTGCTCAAGCCATCGCTCGCGTGCTGTACATCGTTCTCGGGAGATGGTCGGAGACAGCGCGCTCTCCCACGGGCGACAAATCCAGGCTTCGAAGCGTGGCGTCCCAAGGTCAGCTTGCCGCCATCAAGTCTGGCGTGCAGATCCTGCACGAGGCTGGGGGCTTGCCTGTGGTGTGGGAAGCCTTTCAGACTGCCGTTGCTGCTATCTGGTATGTTTCCTGTTCGACAAGTTCCAGTATCAAATTTGATCCTGACTATACCCGTGCTAGGGTCGATGAGCCTCTACGAATACAACCGCCAAACGTGGCGCAAGAGGCTCAGGATGTGCTGATGAACCTGATGACAATCATTTACATGTGTGTACAAGAGACGATTAACGATCGCGAAGAGATGGAAATGGTGGCCGACACACTCGGTAAGTTGAGTTGTCTAGCAGAGTTCTCCCACGCGACTAACAATGGGCGTAGTGTCTTTGGAGCCAAGTATCGCAACGTATATGGTCGGGGTATGTGCCAAGATCAGGTGGCAGGAAGCGCCATCACTGCCGATCACACAGGTCAGTCATACAGTGCTGCTAGGTGGTGGCCGAGCTGCGTTTCTGACCTCTTCTACAGACTCTGCTTTTAACGTGGAAATCCATTCTGCTCGTGTTCGGCGGCACTGAAGATATCGAAGAGGCCAAGCGTGCCCTCAAGGAGAAGGCAGACAACAAGGACAAGGACCTAATTATGGCTTCGCCCCTGGACTACCATGTCTTCCGACAAGAGATCACGTCAAAATATCCATCGTATGTACCACCGCGACCACCGATACCTCTGGAAGCAGACAACAGTTCATTGCTGCCTCACCTCCGAAACCACCCCACACGAGACAACGGATCAAATGGTATCATACCTGCACCTCCCGGATCGCAGACCGGAGGGGCATCCATTTTGCACCAACCAGTTCATATCGCTACGCCGGCACCATCGCCTCCACCCTCCCCAGCTGCTGGTGGCAAAGGCGGTAAGAAGCAGAACTACCAGACCAACCAGAACTTTCCGTTCATGTACCCGCCGCTCGATGCGACGAGCAACAGCGCTGGCGGTAAAGGCGGCGCCGGCCTCCAGGAGCTTCTTGTTGGACGCAAGTGGGAGGGCAGCGACGTGCCGGCATCTGTGCTTGAGGCCGGAGAGCTTTTCTCAAGACGTGTCAGGATGACTCGAGCCACACGGCAGCTCTGGGAGGAGCGCGAGAAATTTCTCAAGTTCGAAAGAGGATGGGATACATCATATGACGACATAGATGCTTTGGATCTGGATGCGCTTGAGGTCGAGGATGAGGTGGACGACGACAAACTCCTTGAAGCGATCGAGCAGAGGAGAAGGGAGGAACAGCAGAAGGAGATTGACTTTGGCCCTGATCCCAACCTGGATGAACGATTCAAGCAGCGTTTACAGACTGTTGAGATGTTCTACGTAAGTCTCCAAACTCATTTGTCCTGGACGTCAGTGTTAGCCTGCTCACCAGCTTCATTACAGGAGTCGACGTTACCACAACTTCAGTCTATGATCATAGTGCTCATGAAGGGCGTCCTGAACCATGTCACTGCCTGCCTTTCTCCTCCCAATGGCCAGCAACATCCAGGTGTTCCTGGTGCGAATGGTCGCGTCAATGGTGGCCCCATGCCGAACCGGCTGCACGATAATGGCGTAGGCATTAACGGGACTGGTAATGGCGATTACCACGAGCTTTCATCGCTGGAGGACCTCGACAGCATACGGGCGCGAGAAATTGAGTCGAAAGCCACGACAGGAATCATACTCTTGCTGCTGAAATGGCTAAAGATATCTCGTGCGTCTCTCATATCCCATAGTCACTCTTGCCGAGCCCAATTTCCACTGACACACCCTTTTAGATGTCCTGAAGTTCGAATATCTCACTCAGCTACTCCTCGATTCTAATTACTTGCCACTGGTGCTGAAGCTGTTCGCGCACCAGGATGTGCAGCAGGTTGTCGACAGCAAGACCGATCGCCTGGAGCACAGGTAAGTTTGTACCGAACGCCGGTTTCTAATGCGTGCGGCGCTAATTGCGATAGCTTCTTCCACTTCTGCAACTCCCGAGCATTCCCTGGCGATCGCATGCTGGTTGAGCCCACGGAGATCGACGGACTAGACGACGACAGTGAGGACGATGCAGCACCTCCGCCGATCAGACGACGAAGATCCCCAACAAGGACGGCAGCAGAAATGGTTCCCTTGCCAGATGCCTCGCAGAGGCAGGACAACCAGCTTGCCATGCGTCCAGAAGTCGATGAGCTGGGCTACCCAATCAACCCGCTTCCGAAGGAGCCCATCACCGACTTCTCCCGGCGGAACTTCTTCTCACTCATCAACTACCTGCGCATCATGCAAAAGATTTGCAAGAACAAGGCGCACCGCAATTTGCTATTGGTGCAGTACAAGTCGTCCAACATTATAAGAAAATCATTAAAGATACCCCAACCAGAACTGCGACTCTACACGCTCAAGCTCTTCAAGAACCAGGTACCTTACTGCGGCAGAAAATGGCGACAGAGCAACATGCGTGTCATCACCGCGGTGTACCTGCACTGCCGCCCCGAGCTCCGAGACGAGTGGCTGGCGGGCAGCGATGTTGACGCAGAGGTTGAGGAGGCATTGCCACTCGAGCAGGCCCTCCGTAGTCTGACGCACTGGTTCAATGTCAGGCGGTACCCGGATCAGATGGCGGTCGAGGTCCGCGAGGCCCTGAGGGAAGAGCAGGACTTTTTCAAGCGCGAGCTGGATAAGCTTGACTGGGATGAGATGCCAGGTGAGAGTGTCAATGGAGACTGGGAGCAACAGGCTGGAGGTATGGCAGGATGGTGAGCGAGTTTGGGTCCAGGTGATGTCGATGTTGATACTGCATAATCATGCCACCGTAGCGAGCGGCGAGGCTTTCGACCACGACCCAGCAGTGACTGGTCACCTGTGATCGGATTGCATTGCTCAAAGTCCAGGGCTGAGCGCTCACAGCCACGACTTCATGCTTGTTTGACTGTATCTACCTTGTGCGAGGACGCATGATCGTCTGGAATAAACAAGACCTTTGTCACAATGGATTGGCGGCGTCTTCTTGTTCGGGAAGCTTTGTGCTGCGCAAAACTGTTGTTTGGTGTGTTTTGTCGCAGTCAACGTGGTGAATCTGTCAACCATTGGACAGATTCAAGACTTTGGCAAGCGACACACTCTATTGCATGTTTGCACGGCCCTCTCTCCCTCATTGTGTAGGCGTCAGTATCGATGATAACACTTCCAAGACTGTCTCCCCCCCCCCCCCATGGAAGCGACCTGCGCGAGGTGTGTGTGTGTGTGTGTGTGTGTGTCGCACAGACCCGCAGTGGTCGTTCTGTTCCGAATATATTGCTCAGCAGTCTGCGCGCGCAAGAGAGAGAGACAGAAACGGATAGGTATGTGTGTGTGTGTGGGGCAGTGGATTCGTCTGAGGTTGTGTCCCAAAGTTGACCCCAAAACTCTTGGCTTTTTGTTTTAATGCGTGTGGTGCTGTGTGCTGTGTGCTGTGTGTCTGTGTGTGTGTTCCCTAACTATCCCGTCTCTTGTCCTGCACTGCCAGCTACGTTTCTTTATCCACACACACATACACACAAAACACTTTTTGTCTATACTCGAGACACGGGAGAGCAAGAAAAAAAGAAAGTTTCCGGCGGTTTTTAAATCAGACGACCCAACATGGCGTGGACGGTGGCATGACGGCATGAACAGGAGCTCCCGCCCCTCCCCCCCATCTCGTCACTTTCGGGGAGTTTCCAGGTAATTAAGCCTTTTCTGGAAGAACATTAGCATTGCTGTGCTATGATGCGTTCTCGTTCATTACCCCTCTCTCTGTCCCTGGCGCTGGCGCCGACGGCGGCGGTGTAAGTTGGGTTGGGTCGGTGGCGGGGAGTTTTCGTCTGGTCAGTTCAGCTGAGGGGCGCGCGGGGGCAGTGATGGTTAGTTTGTCTGGGATTAGGTAGGATGAACCCAATGATTATGCGGGAGGAGAGTCTATGTTCTTGGTTTTCTGGAACTGAGTGCTTTGCTGGGGCGATATGGGTGGTGGTGGTGGTGGTCTTTGCTTCATTATGGCCAGAGAGTGTCCCTTTTGACTTTTCCTCACAACACGCAGACATTCCTAGGTCTGTAGTGAGTTGAGCAGTCCACTGCGCACGAGGTCCAAAGATGAACAAGACAAAGCACCCGAGACTGGCCAGACAGACGCAGCAGCAGCACTGTGAGATGACCTCCTGTCGCCGCGATAACCCTGCAACCAGGAACGAGGGAATGCGAGGTTTTCCCCGGATGTCGTATGGTGTAGTTTCTAAACCAGAAGACGACGTTGAGCATGGCCCTGGATGTCATATCACAGTGTTCCCCTCGACCCCTCGACGCTTTCTGATGGGATGTGTGCGTTGCGTGTTGTCTCCCGCCACGAGATGATGATTATTCATGATGGCCCCAGCGCCAAGAATTGCTCAAGGACAAAGCCGGCAGTTGCAAGGACGTTGCGTGCCGTGCTGTGCCTCCTTTTCACTTGTCCATCTAATCATCATAATTATACAATAATCTGTGCTTTTCGTGAGTGAGCTGGACCTTGAAAGGGGGAGAGAGGGCGGGGGCCTTGGTTCAGATAGAGTGTGTGGCCTGCCAAGTTTTCCCCCCTAAGGGTCCTTTTATGTCGTCGTCTGTCGTCGTCGTCGATGAAGGTTTGCGCGCGCCACCCGCGCCACCTCCCGCCGCCCAGTGACACAAGCCCTCATTATCATGCGGGACTGCAGCCTCGCCCGTTGAGAAAAAGAGGAGTGCCCTATCTCTCGCTGGTTCGCAGTATGCCCTCCTCCATGGTGATTATCAAGATGATCAAGGAGCAGGGTGGAGGGAGGGAGGAATGGGCCAAAGGCTCAGAAGAAGAAGGAGTGGATAAGGTCTCGGGAGGACCCTTGTCCGCCCCGAAACACGTGGCTGGCGGGGCTGGTTCTGCAGTTCCATCTTCAGGTACCCGCGATTCAGCTGCATTAGCTCCCACGCACGCACTCTCGCGGAGCATCAGCCGGTGTTTGTCAGCACTGAGGCATCAGCGGGGAGAGGGAGGAGGGGGCACAGGCGAACCCACCATGACCAGACCATGGTGGTGGGAGGTGGGAGGCCCATGGCAAGCAAAGAAGAGGCGTTACGTAGATCGATCCAGCCACCACCACCAGTACAGCACCGTCTTCTGGCCCGCACGGAAAGAGCCACTCCCGACTTGGATCCCAAATTGGCCATGAACCCCTGTAGGATGCAGATACCAGCTGCAAGTCATGGCATTCTCTGTCCAACCTGGCCTTCCCTCCCGCCTTCCCGCATGGCCACTACATGGTGGACGAGGTAAATATCTCGTGCTATATTCGTTTAACGGTAGCAAGCAAGCAAGCAGCACAGTTACCCATCATCATCATTATCTTCTCCTTCATCATCGTCATCATCACCATAGCAAAGTCGACCAAGGACTCTCGGCCGTATCGGACTGCTGCTCAAGTGTACCAGGGGCCGCACCCTACAAGGCGTGGACTATCTTCAAAAAGCCCGTCAGCCAAGTCTTATCCCGCCCTCCTCCCCCCGGTTCGTACTGTTCTTGGCCTTTCCAGTTTCAGGTTCCCACCGCGTCGTCGTCGCGCCGCCCACTTTCCCCCCAAATCCATGACCAGCTAGGGCTGATATGACGAAAAAAGTGTTGAAACAGTGGCGACTGATACTACTCACTTTAGGGGGGGGGGGGGGGGAGGAAGATAGAGAGAGAGAGGGAGAGAGATAGGCCAAGTCCAACGTGTCTCGGCTCCTCGTCCCAAGTGTCGCCCGCCTCGTCACATTTCGTGGCTTTGCACGAGACATTCTCTTGTGTGGGTGGTTCCCTTTCATCCCTCCTTTCCCCCTCCAACCCCTCCATTTCAGCTGGGAACATGCCTGCTCATGCTGCATGCATGTATGCATGTGTGCAAATCTTGTCGGATGGGAAATATGGTCATTTGAAGGTCTGATATGAAGGAGGAGTAGGAGGAGGTGGTGGTGGTGGTGGTGGAGAGGAAGGGTTCATCTGATTCCCCGGTTCCCGTCCTTTCTGTCTGATTGTGCAACTGCCTACACGGGGTGTGGTCCAGCCCCTTGTGTGTGTGTGTGTGTAAGGCTTGGCTTGGTCCATCAGACATATCTCTTTTCTTCAATCTGCCAAGGTCGTCATGGGTGTCTATCTCGCGCTTGCCCCTTGAGCGCATGCATTTTTGGGTCAGTGGAATATGGTTCGTGACATGATAATGAATTACTACGTCCTATCAGATCCCCTGTGACTCCTCCATTATTCACTGCGCCGTGCTCAGTTCCTCATACAGCCACAACCCCGGAGCCCCCTACCAGGGTATTCTCTGGGCGGCTGTGTGCTGCTACATACATGTCCCTACTATGGAAGGGGAAGTTACTGCACATGGAAAGAGATGAGTAACAAGAGAGAAGTAAAAAGGATGAATGACAACGATTCTCTGTCTACACGTGCGCTCCCAAAGTCCTCGCGGGGACTTGCCATAAAAGTGAAACCGGGACGGCCAGGCCAGGCAAACAAGGACTCCCTCAAAGGCCATGATCTGTACACAATGAAAGTTCCACTAGGAGGACGTCCATATACACGCGAAGCGAGTAGCCCACCAGCTCTCTTCACTCGCTGATTTTACCACAAAAGAAATCCGCTAGTACAGTGCTGAAAGGCCGGCACGTGACGAAAGAAATGTTCAAAGGCAAAAAGACACCTGCCGCTCTCAGATCCAGGCACTGGTCAGCGATCGGCTTTCTGAGCCGCCCCGAACACGCAAGGGTGCCGGCACAGCTGTCTCCTCGACAGGAGAAGGTCCTCGCCGTGGCAGGTTGAAACCAACTCCACGAGGGCTGACTGTCTTTGTCGGACTGGCAGGCTTGCGTGTAGGGCTCACTACCACGGGAACAGGAGGCAGCACCTTGTCGGTGTTGGTGGCGGCGGAGCTTCGGTTCGCATCTCGCGAAGATGCCAATGGGCTAGGGCGCATAGCACTGTTTGTTGGCATGGCAGGCATAGCAAATTGCTCCGCTACTGCCGAGTCCCTTGTCTGGCGGTCGGCGATGGCTCGCATGTCGTCCACGTTGGATATGCGGAGGCCTATCCTCACGGTCGCCGACGAAGCTAATGATGACGCACGGCGATGGCCGATAACACTTGGCGGCGGTCGCAGGAAGTCGAAGCCTGGTGTCACGGGAGACACCACCGCCTGTTCCTGGTTCGGGTCATAGGTCGTGGAAGGGAGCAGGCCGAACGACTGTGTGCTCTCGATCCTGTTCGAAGGATAGGTGGGATATGCAACCGACTGCTGTTGCTGGACTAGCTCCGGCTCTTTCGGGGGGACAACGTAGGATACTGGAGCCGTGGTCTGGGCAGCCACAGCCGCGGGCTGAGCATTGTGTACTGGTGCTACGATGTATGTCGCGGGCGGGTTGTCAGAGGTGGGAAGTGGGGCCTTCTTGATACTGTTCAAGCTATCCGAGCTCTCCATCCACCTCATGTTGGCGAAGCCGGGTACAGGCTGCTTCAGGTGGTCGTTGAAATCGACTTGCTGGGGTGATCGCGCTTGAATTTTGTAGATCTGGTCATCGACATCCACAAATCGGTGGCCTCGGGGGCTGATAGTCGCAAGACTGCCGCGTCGGAGGAAGAGGTAAAGGGCTCCATTGAGCACGCCCGAGAGATTGACAACAACCATGACGACCATGGCGAGGGTGTTGCCAGGTTCCGTCTGAGCCGCTGAGCCAAAGGTCAGGTTGAAAAAGAATGGAATCATAAAAGCCTAGCCATCTTTCGTTAGTAAACATGCTGGAAGATAACCGTGCGGCCAACACTCACATTGGAAACAGCTCCAAGAGCGAGGAAGTACACCATGCGCGATCCTTCGATGCGTTGGTCGTTTTCAATAAGGAGATGTCTCGAAAGTTGACGAAAGAGGGTCACAGCCGAGATGGCTAGAACGACGGTAACAGTTGTGAGGATCACAAACGCTCCCACTGCCCACCTCGCAATAAACCAGGGCATGGAAGCAAAGCAGATTGGCTGAGCTGGGAGGATGACTGATACACTGCCTGTGCCGACAACAAGGACGAGGATCAAGACGATGCACTTCAAGGCAGCGAACTTTCCCTTTGGCCTGAAGTTGGAACTTCTTACAGCACGGCCGGCCGCTTCGAGGCCCAGCACCATCTGGGTGTACGGGACGATGAACCAAGCTAGGAGAGAGGGTTAGAATATCGCTTTGGAGCAGGGCCTTGTATTCGTGCACTCACCCAACCATACCACACCAGACAGTTCGGGGCACTTCTGCGCCAGGTAGACGCCGTTGAGCCCCTGCGCCTGAACGACTGCGAGCATGACTGCTTGGCATATGATGCTGATGGAGAGGACGAATGGGTAGAGCTCTGGCCCTCGAATGCAGTGCAGCACAGCAATCCTGTTCCAAGTCAGCATACCGGGCTTGCGACAAAACGTCCCTGGCCACGCTCGGGAATCTCGGACTCACTTGGGAGCCATCACTTCTCTCCTCCTGGCCGCCGCCATGTAGCAGTGTACAAGGATGCCGATGATGACGATAAGGCCCGCTGCGCCATTGAATGCCGACAAGATGATGGTCGATTGTCGCATAGACTTGGCGGCGAGAAGCTTGAACTCGTTGATGACGCTCAGAGTCGAGTTTGTGAGGACCATTTGGTTCGTCATGTTTATCGGCAAGCCGGCTTGGGCGCCGTTTGGCATGATGTAGAAACCATTCTCGCCATTGTAGCCGGGGATGCCACTCATTTTGATGTTTGAGTCCTGGACAAGACGCGCTCGAATGAAGCAGGGCGGGACACTGGCGCCGAGCCGAGACGTTGGTCGTCTTTACTGTCGGACCATCTAGTCGTCGATTGTCTGTTGGCGAAATCGGGTTGGATGCGAGAAAGACGTGAGCGCGCACCGGGCGAAGGCGGGTATTTGGAAAAGCTCGACCAGCAAGAGCAGCGGACAAGAAGCGAAAAGCAGCGATCGAGGTACCAGACCCAGACGTGCTTGCAACACAAGAAGGACGGCAAGAAGTCTGAGCCAGCAGATGGGGTGAAGAAGGGAAAGGTAGCGTCGCTCACGAGACGAAACGAAATGGTTGGACAAGGAAACCAACCCAGCGGCAAACGAAAAGAGCAGGTGTGAAGACACCGGCTGGCCGGTCTGGTCTGAGTAATGGGTGGAGGAGGGGAGTAGTCGTGAAGAGTCTGGGGCTGGTCTGCTCCTGCCAAGCAGGGCAGGGCCCTGGGCTCGATAGTCTGGGCCGTGGTTTCGTGACGACGAGGTCCAGGGTGTGTGTGCCCGCTGGGGCGTCAGCCAGTCGTGCCGTCTACCGTCTCGCGTCCACACATACATGCCTGGCTCTGCTCCCTGTCGGTGGCCCGGCCAGGTCGCCGGTCTCCCCGTCCGTCAGTCAGCTACGCAGTAGACATGTTCCCTACATGGCTAGCAGCATCCCCTTGTGGGGTTCAGTGCAGCAGGTAGGCAGGCAGACCAGCGCGGAGGACGGACTGAGGAGGTCTCTTGGTGAGCAGGCAGGCACGCCACGGGGAAGGGCGTTTGGCGATGGAGGTGTGGTGATGCAAGTGGGCAGGGGCAAGGGTGCGGACCAGGCTCGAAGCACATGTGTAACAACTCCTGGTTTCGGGACATCGAATGATGCCGGGCGGGGCCCCGGCGGCCGGGAAAAGGTGGGGCCCGTCCCTGGTGGGTGGCCGGCAGAGGGCGGGCGCCCTTCAGGTACCGGTAGCACCTGCACACTTGGGGATCTGGGCACCTAAGGTACATACGTAGGTACGTACCTGCGCAAGTTCAGACGTTTCTGGCAAACTCTACGCAGAGCTAAGTCCACACTACCGGCAGTCCAACACGAATGGTTTCGCCATCAAGACACGCCTCTAGGCACCATTGGCCTGTCTGTGGCCCTCGCCCGGGGGCACGGTGGGTGGTCGGAGCCATTCATTCGCTGCTTCGGCTGAAGAAGGAAAAGTGTCCAGGTACACTCCTGCCTCTGGTGCGACGAAACAACATCGTCAAAGAGGCAGGCCATGGATGCCGCTCTAGAAAAAAGTAACTCGCTCTACATTCACCATGTCCTGGGTCCATTGGTCCACCTACACTTGTATACTTAACGACGAAGAAAGTCGTGTCTGCGCCGGATAGTCCTATCGCAGGAGCATACGTAAGGTTCAGCGCTTGCAGCCTTGCGCATTGAACTATGCATCGGCACCAAGAGCAGCAGAATCCAAGCCACTGGGCAGCTTGGGCTCTTTGCAGTCACCGAGAGCAATGCCGACGCATTTTGAGCCAGTGAACGTCATGGCTGTAGGGTCTTCAGGGTTGGCCAGGGTTGGCCAGGGTTGGCCAAAAAAGAAATCCCGGTACTTCTCTTGTACGCGAGTGTGAAAAGATCGACCGCACAGGGGAAGCACGGAAACTTCCGATTTCAAGCAGAAGCATCCAAAGGAAAGCATCCGAACCTGTCACTAAATAATGCTTTTGCTTCTTCTGTTACAGCCAGTACTATAGCCAAGTACAATCCATGCAGGGCAGGGTTGTCGTTGATCCTGTGAGCCCCATATACACGCCATCAATGGAACCCTTAGACCATATGGACACATCCTGCCAGTGGTGGTATATGGCGCGAAGACATATCACCCGCATTTGTCCCTGAGTGTCGCGTATAAACGTTTGGATATGCTTCGAAGCTCGTGCAAACTTGTCGATCGCAACCTTGCCCGATTTCGCGCGAGCTTTGGTCAGTTCGCTGAACAACCTGAGAGAAGAAGCGGGCCAGTTACGAACCCTTAGTCAAGAACTCCCGATCATCCAGCATCTGAGACGCCAGAGCAAAGGAAGTGAGTGTCTCTTCACCATGTTTCTTTTTTAGCAACCCATATTTGTTACCAGGCACGAGGGTCTGCGCACTTCGATCAAAAGCGCAATGGCGGTATTCGACTCCACCTTTAGTAGTTGAAATTTCTCGGTACACCTCGTGGTGGAAGTAATTGTGCCTTTTTGAAGATCTTGTTGGACGTTTAGTCAGTATCGTTTCAGCAAGAATGATGGAGTCCGCCTGGGTACAATCAGAGAGGCGATTGAGAGTTCTACGTTGGTAGGATAGAATAAGACTGTAAAGCTCATTATAACGAGTCGGCCAATGTCACTCCTTCCTCCTGAGTCTCATGGAGCAAATAAGTGTGTCCTGGATATTCAAGATAAAGAGCTACGCTGTGAGGCAATATTCGACATTCCATCTAGCAGCATGTGGATGAGTTTGCCCCCAAAACTTGATTACTTCGAGCACATGAAGTGTTGACTAGTTAACGTTTTGCTTGCCAGAACTGGTGGTACGTTTCTATTAACCATAGGGGCCTCAGACCACCAGAAGGTAGCCTCCTTACTTCGGCTACTGATTTCGACTCTGCATTAGTCGCTCTGCTGCCGGGTCTTGAGTCCACGCATTAAGCTCCTAGCCACAACCTCGTTAAAATATTTGCTAAATGCACATCGACTACTGAACTTGATATTAGCCATCTCAACACGCCTTCGTCTCGGGGAGAGCAACGTTCAGTTTGCACTTACGGATCATCAAAAAAAAAAAGGTACAGTGGATGTTTGCGAGTTTGCCAACCGCCTAATGATTAGAACATTTGGACCATGCTTGGGCCTCTAGTCCGGCTCCCCGGTGAGAGAGTCTCAATGATCTATGAGAGCATGAAAGAGCTTCCTCTCGAAGCATACAGCGGGGCCTGACGCTCATTTTCTCAATCATTTAGCCGGACAGGAGTAGAGAAGACATGCTAGATCGCAGACCAATGACGCCTCTGCCAAATCCTATGGGGAAACTATCAGTCTAATGTTCGCCTCTAACCTCAATCTCGAAGGATCCGTAGAGAAGCTTCTCCAGTGCTCTCAGCATGGAAAGACGAGGCGCCACTCTGGTTGGCGAATTATGATGATATTTGAATTGTTCCATTGTTTCCGAATGCTAGGGCACATCCAGAGAAACGCGGCGAGAAGAGGCAGACTACCCTCTTGGCATCTGCAATCGGTGGGCAGCTTGAAAGTGTCAAGCAGCTTGTGGTCAATGGACGCTATAACGTGTATGTCAAAGGCAAACGAGGTAGAAAGGCTTTTACCTGAGCAGCTGGGAATGGCTACGCTGAAGTCTGATACTTGCACGCTGAAACCTAAAGACAACTATCGATCAAATCATAGTCTGGGGGGTAAGGACACGAATGATTGAATCCGGATAGAGCAGGCAACTCGGCAAGACGCCCCATGCATGATTGAAGTATTGTACAACGCGAGTGCCAGAAATCTGGAGAAGAATTTTCCCGATCCGTGCCGTCATGGACCGTGGAGCACGGTCATTGAGTGGTAGTCAGGGTGCTCTAAGAGCATCCATCCAAGGACTACTGAAGATAGATCACCCTCTGCACAGTCCTAGGTAAGGATTGATCTCGTCAACGAGCTTTCATATGCTCTGAGCAGGAGGGGTCCTCCAAGCTGGTTCTGTACAACGAGGCGAGGGTGCAGGACTTGAGGCGGCCTGAGCAAGACAATCAAGACGAGACTAAAAGAGCTTTCTGACTATACTTCCCAGTCACACTGAATACCGCACGAGCACGTTTGTGCAGTTGGGTTTGTTTCGCTTGGGCATGTGATCCTACCTAGATTGCCATCGAGGCACTATGGCGGGTGGTGTCAGAATATCGCTGGTCAACTCTGGCTGTGCACCTATTTTCTCTTCTCTTCTTGTTCATTTGATTGTTTTCTTTTCTTTCCAGAACTACACCATAGCCATTGACACATATGGGCATGTAAGCGACTCCGGACGGGCGAGTCATTGAGAACGTACGTCAGGTTGTTGCTGATTGCAGTGTCCATTTTAAGTTGGAGCTGACCCACCCGGCACTGGGTGGGCTTGTCTTAAGTGGCCCGTGCCCACTGTCATGTGGCTGGTCCAGATGCACACCTCTGGCGATCATTCCAACCATTCTCTAAACCACTCGATGCGCAACCGCAATACCCCGACCTCGCTCGGTTACGCATCAACAACGTCGTCGCCTGGTCAATCTTGCATCAATCGCCAGCCATGTATACCTGAAAGAACGGCGTACCCGCCATATCACGGCAGAATTTCGACCCCTCGCAGCCATGATCGCCCCGCAAAGTCGCGCACCTACGCCACGGCCAATACCGCGCGTATAAGGAGCGAGGGCTTTTTCCCCCTTCGGACTGTCTAGCTACCAGAGTGCTTGGTTCAGCTGGCGGTGTACGCATGCCGAACACCAACGTCACCTGAGCAAATGCTCTCACCTGCGCACAGGCAGAGGTCTCGGCTCCTCGAGATATTCGGCGCATGCGTATGAGGCAGTGGATTTGAGGAGCATACGCACCATACCACGACCGCGCTTGACCATGGCAAGTCCGTGAGCAGCATGAACAAACCCCCTTCCTTTGGGACATGTTAGTTGCTGAAAAGCAAGCCTGGCACGATCTCAATACTCATAGGCTGCCATCATGAAAGGAAGGTGGGCTGTCCGAGGTCATGGCTCTATAGCACTTGTCTGCTTCGATACACATGGCTGAGAGTTTGCTTACCGCTTCTCTGGCGGTCGAGTCCTGGCGCGACATTTGCACCAACCTGGAGCCTTACGGCGTCGCATGCATGGGCATATGCCTGCTTCTTCTAGTTCTTTCCGGCCTGGGCACACTCAGCAGTGTTTAGAGCGTCTGGCTCACTACAGGTACTTGACTTGGACGATTACCAAGAGCAAAAACATCGACACTCGCGATCGGGCTGGTCAGGATTACCTCGTGGTTGTCGTCTGTTGCTGGTTGGATCTACATAAAGGGTCGATAATGCGAGCCGACGGTCGTCAGCTGAAGGCAACCTTTAAAGCTCACAACCGTGTGCCGCACGAAGGGCGCGTTGCGTTTGTCACGCGATTCTGCGGAATGCGGTGCAAGCGCATTCCATCCAGCGACTCGAGCGCTTATTGCCCAACCACAAATCTCGTGGCATCCGGAAGTACCATCTCACCAACTTTGACTGGCACGTTGGGGCAGAGCAGTGCGGATGCGTTCTCTGAGTGGGCGCCACAACTTGCATGGGAGGGTCATGGTTTAGATAGATTCTTGAGATAGTCGTTGCACGTCGGGACGTGTCTGTCCTTGGAGTATGCTCATCGTCCTCCACTCTCCGAAGACATGGATGGCTGCTGGTCAACTTAGAGACTCAGCGGCGAGCAGAGGCAGACGGGAATGCTAGGGCCTGACCCAAGCTCACGTTCGAGGGTATATCGACGGCGCTATGGAGGTGAGAAGGGACGACCTCCAAGCTAGCTGTTGTTGAGCCGCGTCTGCTTCTTGTCCAACAGCGTGGCTTTTGGTCGGAGGAGCTGGGGTGAGAGGAGCTCTACGACGGGATGGGTTGGCTTTTGTGGGGCCGGCACGATGCACGACCAGTGAGAGTCGCAGTCGCCTACTGTTCTTGCCAAGGGACCTACGGCACCGCAGTACCCACCTCCCAGGTAGCCACGCCAGACCAACGAGGAAATCGTCGCCGCGCCCCGAGCCGCTAGCATCACCACGACGCACCGACGACGTACTGGAGAGCAACCAGAAGCAGCAGCAGCAGCCGCAGCAGAAGCAGCAACACCACGTCTGCGGTCTCGACCTAGCAGCCCCCTTGCCACCGCAGAAAGCAATCACTGCCCAGCTTCCAGAGACAGGCCCGAACACTCTCCGCGACCAGCACTGCGAGCTGTCCATGTCGCGGCAAGCGAGACTTCATGCCTCCGAGAGGTACTGACGCCAAAATGAGTGGCTCACGGCAAGACTATCGGCACGACACTTCGCCTCGACGCAGGGGCTCGCCATCTCGCTCCAGCACGCTTCCCTCCCGATCCGCAGCGTCGCGAGACTCAGGCACCAAGCGCGACAGAAGCCCACGCATGGAAGATCGCAGAGGCCGTGGCCATCGAGGAGATCATGCTCGGCGAGGCTCTCCCCGAGGCTCGTATCATCATCGGGGTCGATCACCGTCGCCTCCACCCCGGCCGAACAGAGATAATCGCGGGCGGGAGCTGTTTGAGGACAAGCTGAAACAGCCATCAGCAGAAGCACCACCTGGCCGACCAGGAGATCTGCCAGAACGACCGCGTGGACGTGGTGATGGCCGACCCTCAAGTCCGCGCCGACCATTGCGATCGCCGCGACGAGATTTTGACGACTTCGATGCTTCCCACACCCGACAAGGCGGTCGGTCAATCTCGCCCGTTTCCTCAGCATCGAAACGCCAACGGAGTAGAAGTCCGCTACCATATCCGGATTCGAGGTCTAAGCGATCGAAGCGCGAACAGGACCGTGATCGCGATCGCAGTCGTCGGCATCGCGCCGAGAGGCATGGCGGCCAGCGTGTGGAGCCAGGTTCATCACGGCATGAACATCCACGTTCACCACGCAGCTTCCGGTCGCCCTCCCCTCGAGAACGTGGGACCCGCGGGGATCCAGCCGTTCGGGAAGATCTGTTCGATGGTCCCCGCTCGCGCCGATACAGCCAATCTCCCAGGAGAGCGCCAGAGCGGCGGCGAAGCCGCTCACCACCTGCAGGCTCTCGCCGGTCTTCACGGGATCCAGGGGTCCGTGCCCAGGGGGGCTCTCGCGAGCGTGCGCACTCATCCCGTCGCTTTTCACCCTCTCGTGGAGATTCCCGCAAAGACTATCCTCCACCTTCACCAAATGGCAGCAGGTCAGGCCGGTCTCGACCCGGCAACAGGGAGCGTGAAGGCCCGAATTCCGGATACCCATCCTCGATGACTGGTGCCAATAGCATCAATGTGAACCCAGCCAGACGAGCCCTGGATAGGGGGCATAGCCAGGAACGTACATCAGAGTTTCCTGGTGGGGGCAGAGGTCAGGGCAGAGGTCATTCGCCGTACCATCAAGTCACGGGTTCGTCAAAACTTGGATCGCCACGCTCACGCTCGCCATATGGTAGCGATATTGGTAGTCATGGACCCAGACGTCGACAGTCGCCGCACAAGTAAGCTACTGATCCATGGTTGTGTAAAGCTAGTGAGTGCCCTGACAATGCTAACATGCAATTTGTTCTGCAGTGCCCAAAACGTAATTGAAAGGCGGAGTGGTGGAACGGAACAGCCGTCTCGTATAGACAGGTCCCCACCACCACCACTATCTCGGGGCTTTTCCAAGAGTGCCTTTAGCGGTGGAACAAGGTCTCCCGGTGGCGCTGGCGGTCGCCAGCGCGGAGACGAACTGCCCCGGAAAAGCACACTTCAGCCTGACAGTGGAGAGGCACGACCGCATGGTGACCACGATGATTCACACACGACATCACTGCCGATGAACGCTGGACCCCCTTTGGCTCGCGACGATGATGGAGCCAGTGCTTTGAGGGGCGAGAATGAGGTTGGAGGTGCTGAAACACAGGCCAGCGTTGAGAACAGGGCGCAACCACCAGCTAGTAGTCCTGCCACTTCGACTTCAAACTCCAAGTTCAGCTTCGCCTTCAAGGCCACGAGCAAAGCTCCAGTGACGGCACCGAAACTGGAAATATCTCAGAAGCTTAGCGCCCCTGCTAAGAAAGAGCAGCCGCCTTCGTTAGCCGATGAGCGGTATCGAGAGCGCGATCAAGGTCGACTCCACGAGCGAGAGCGCGAACGGGACCGTTATAGAGATCGGGAGAGAGAGCGCGATCGGGATCGCGAGCGAGAACGCGAACGCGAACGTTTCCGTGAGCGGGAATCAGACCGAGCTGTCGACAGGTCACGCGACATACCACGGGACGCTCCCCGGGGACCAGCTTCGTCCAGGCCACAACCGCCGTTGCAACCTGAGAGACCGCGCACACGGATGGTGAAGAAGATCGAGCGCAGACTCAAGCCGAAACCTCAACTACCAGAGGATCTGCGCACCTCGTGGTCGATTTTCTTCCGCAAGCAGGGCAACGAGTCTGTCATCGGCTCTGGCACGTATGGAAAAGTTTACAAAGGTGTGCATGTCTACACGAAGAAGCTTGTCGCCCTGAAGAAGATCCGCATGGAGGGAGAGCGGGATGGATTTCCTGTCACCGCCATCCGCGAAATTAAGCTTCTTCAATCGCTCAAGCATAAGAACATCGTCGACCTGCAAGAGGTCATGATTGAGAAGAATGACTGCTATATGGTCTTCGAATATCTCTCACATGACCTGACTGGCCTGCTCAACCATCCATCCTACACACTTGATCCTGCACAGAGAAAGCATCTGGCAATGCAGCTATTCGAAGGGCTCGACTATTTACATCAACGCGGCGTGCTCCACCGCGATATCAAGGCAGCCAACATCCTAGTCAGCAGCAGTGGCATCCTCAAGTTTGCCGATTTCGGCCTCGCTCGGTTCTACGCCAAACGGCATCAATACGACTATACCAATCGTGTCGTGACAATTTGGTATCGCTCGCCCGAGCTCTTGCTCGGCGAGACCCAGTATGGAGCAGCCGTCGACATTTGGAGTGCTGCTTGTGTCATGGTTGAGATATTCACCAGGCACGCGATTTTTCCTGGCGATGGGAGTGAGATCAACCAGCTGGACACCATCTATGCCGTTCTGGGCACGCCGAACAAGCAGGAGTGGCCTAATCTGCCTGAGATGCCCTGGTTTGAGCTCCTCAGACCGGGCTACAGGCGTCCCAGCGCCTTTGTTGAGAAGTACCAAGAGAAGCTGCCCGCTGCAGCATTTGATCTTTTATCTCAAATGTTCCAGTACGACCCTGCGAAGCGTCCATCGGCGGCTGAAGTTTTGCAACACGCTTACTTTACCACCGAGCTCCCGAAAGCCAGGCAGGCCATCGAGTATGTTGTAACTTTCACGCCCTCCCATTTTGTGCACCACGTACTGACATCAACGCAGACTTGAGAACATTCAGGGTGATTGGCACGAACTTGAGTCCAAAGCCCTGCGACGGGAAAAGGAGCGCCAGGACCGTGAGGCGCGAAAAGCCGCTGCTGCTGCCAAAGACGCCGCCAACAGCATCGCCAGCGCTGGCAACATGCCAAGCAAACACAAGGAGCGCAAGAGGCCACCAGACGGCCATGATGCGCAGCGCGAGCCGAAGAGACATCACGTGCAGCAGCAGTTGAGTGGTAATGGCGGCGCTCCTGCAGCCGGCGCAGCAGAGGAGGGACTCGCTTCTGCAATTTGAGACTAAGCGCTTCGAGTAGCAGGGCCAATTCTGTGTGTGCAGGTAGCCATCTGAGCAGGAACCAGCGGGCAGCTCATTATCCAGGCTTATCCAGCCAGGAATGCGGCGTTGGAGATCAACTTATATAGTATCAGGCATGGTCCATACAATCAAAAAGACACGACGTTGTCGGCCACGAAGATTCGCGATTCTCTGTGGGCGCTATTGATTGCTATGTAATGTTTCTCGACATTGCTGTCCGCGGTTGGGCCGGTGCATAATGCATAACGCACGGCGCTTTGCGTTAATCGTCACCAGTGAGCGTTTGTCTATAGCTGAACAAGGAGTGGCCATGACAGGATTCTTTCATCCGCATCTGCATCTGCTCATGTCGACTTGAAGTTGTCCGTGCCCGACTCCGATTACCATCATCTGAGAAATGGCACGATCGAGAACAGAAGGCAAAGTGCAGCGTGTTAACTAGCTGCTATCGGGCTCCCAAAACACCATCGGAAAAATACCGTGTTTGCGGTGATTAGAATTCCGTGCTGCGGACTAGGCGCCTTTGTCCACATGATCACGAGCCGTCCAAGACATGATCCACTTCTCAGAGATCAGGTATAGCTTTTGTGTCTCTTCAAAATGACTGCGATGATCTCGGCGAGCTAAGACATCCCGCTGGACGCAAGGCCGGGCCTGCACGACACAACCTTGAATCGACAATCATGTGATACCTGCGTCACCGCCTGCGCGCGCCCGTGTCGCAGGTGGATATCTGTTGATCCGGTTGTCACGTCACGTCACGCCAGAATCGCGGGCTGGAGTCCAGTCCCCCGCAAGGTACGAACGACCGCCACCACCGCCAGAAGTTCCAATCGATGCCGCGCATCGCAACCACCCGCAGACATTTCGCACCTGTGGTGGTGGACTTCGCGTGGGATTTCCCCCAAGAGGTGCATCCGCCTCATGCCCGCGACTAGTCAACAAAGTCTGTGTACATACACACACACACACCTCTCCTGGCCGCGTGGGCGTGAATCTGACCACACACCCCCTTAAACCCCTGGTGCTTTTCTTTTTCTTGGGCCATGGCTGAACCTCCTCCCCCAGCTTCAGGGAACCTGTGTGAGGCTGTGTGGTGGCGCCTGTCACGGGACAATTCCATCCTGGCTTCGCATTTCCCAAAAGCCCCCAACCTTGGGAAAGTTTAGAATCTGCTTATTCTTCAGCTGCCCATCCTTGTGCGCGGCTCACAGCCACACCGCCGCGGCAAAGGTGCCTACCTGTCCACCCTCGCTCGGTAGTAACCCCCAAACTGGCCATATGATCTCCTTTTTAAGACAAGCTTGACGATGGCTGACGTCTATTTGACAGCCTGGGAGTCCCTTGTCGTCTTGGAAGTCCCCTTGTCACCTTGGAGGCATCATGAATGAGTTTGTTCTTTCGCGACCTGGGGAACCACCCCCCACCCCCGTGGTGGTGGTGGTGGCGCAGCTACAGTACTATCTATCTATCCCTGCATGGGAGATCCGGCAGGCTGGATCTTCTGCAGATCAAGCCGGCACTTGGGGGGGCGCGGGCATCGGCCTTGTTTTGTCTTGCCTAGTGGCATCTCTGAGTTGGTTGCGCAGAGCACAACGCTTGAACCGCGCGGTCCCGTTTTTGTCCGGCTCTCGACCAGCAGGCTGGGGCCCGAGGTTCTGACGGGGGGTTTCACGCTCTTGGACGGTCTCTGCTCTATGATGAGAGTCGGCATGTACTCTCTTTGCGCGGCTCGGCTTTATGAAAGGAAAAAGGGCCGCACGAAGCGGCGCAATGGCAGCTTCCGTTGCATCACAGGGGAGGGGGGGCTCACACTGACTGACCACTAAGGTTTACACATCGGACGAGGCCTGCTGTGTGATCGCTGTCCAGGATGCCCGTGGGTAAGTCAGGCGGGCTGACCTGACTGACATCGCCCCGGGGGTCCGGAATTACAACACGATCCCCTGGTGTGGCATGATGGCGGCACGGCGGGTGCGGTCGGCAAAAAGTGATATGTCACCGAACATTCATTCCTTCACCAACCTCCATGTGCGTGTCCGGTGTTGGAGAGAAAAGAGAGCAAAAGGCTGGCAAGGTCTGCTTTTGGAGGTCATGGGACGACCGGGCTGCGCCGTGTGCTCAGCCAATCTGGTACTTCGAAGAAAAGAAAAAAACAATTAAACCCCCCAGGAAGTCGGACGTATCTGCTTTTTTTTCGTCCCTCGCAAACAGGGATAGCAAGAACCACCGCAACGGGAAGGACACATGACTCATTCACTCAGAAGGTTCCGAACGATAGTGTTCATGCTCCCCTCCCCCCCCTGCGCTGAGGTACTAGCTGGATTGCTTGTTCGTGAGTCTATTGACAGATAGAAAGGCTCACTGCAGCCGTCCCTTTGGCGACTTATGCTGCCGTGTGTGCGTAAAAGATGCCCCATTGGTGAGTAGAGCCGCTAGAGAGTGTGCGCGACCAATCAGAACTGCCGTGTCAAGGTTGGCAGGTTGGCCTCGCCAATCAGCGCAACCCTGGCAACCTACAAAGGGCAACTCGAAAAATAGCAACCTGATTGGCGCGCAATTGTAGCTTACACGCCTCCGAGTCTGGCGTTGCTGTGGTTTAACGACGTAATTGACACTACATTCATGAATGAGCTGAGAACCCAATTAATGATGCACAATCAAATGGCCCAAGGAACATATCTGCACGACCAGGCCCGTAATTACTGTCACTGCGACTGTGGGGGCTCGTATCCCAGTCACCCCCCCAAGCTTTGGGCTCATTATTGGATTTCGGGTGCTTATGACATGTCGGACTAAGTGAGGGCAGGCTCGTGCCCGAACTCTTGGAAGACAAGCGCAGATGATAGCAACGGCGCAATTCATTTGTAATCATGTGATCCTGTCAGTATCACGTAGCATCAGGAAGAAGAGCCTGATCTGGGTCGTGGGGCCTGCTCTTGTCGTTGAGGCTCATTGGTGCCCAAGGAGGCGAAACCCGATCCTACTTGGTGTAGTCCAACCCCAACCATGACAAGCTCGCAGTGCAACAACAACAAGACTTCGCCACAATCCACAGACTTGGGCACTCCTTAGAACGCCTTTCTCATGACTGATGACGCACTTAAAAGTACGTTGACGCGCTCGCCTTCGTTGCTGCCCAAAATCCTGTGCTTGATCTTGTTCACACTCTGCACACACACACACACACTGCATGTCAGCCAGAACAAGTCCGCTTTCCAGCAGCTAAGCATCTGCAGAACAGTGTAGCACCCTCAATGAGATACCCTGTCGTCGATCACACCGCCAGGCATGACATTTTGACACGGCGCGCGCATGCATGGCAGCTTGCTTGCTTGCTTTGGGTAGCACGCGGAGTTGCCGCCGACGTACAGCCAGAGGTCGTCCCAGCCTCCTCGCGCAACCCACCAAAACCAAGCAAGCGAAACCAGCAAAAAACCCCTGTCACAAAGCACTCAACCCCCCCCCTTCTCTCTCCCTTACCCCCCCTTGACCCTACATGCATCACACACAGACACACACATGCAGGAGAGGAAATCCGATCAAACCATCCCCTTGTCTTGTGTCCACGTCGTGACGACATTGTGCCTGGGTGCTGGGTTTGACCAAGCTGTTGGTTGACAGGGTGTGGTGCCATGTCGCACAGGATCCTGGGTCGGGTAACTTGCCGGGTGGGTGGGCTTCTAGGCCGGGGTTATTTCATATGTGCACAACCTAGCTAAGGGGGCAAGACGCCCAACACTCACTACTCACAAGCAATCCACTGGCAACAAAAGGACTTTTGTATGTTTGGCAAAAGTGAAGAGAGTGGAAAACCACATATGTCTCCTCCATTCGCCAATTCCTGCCCAAGCCTCGCCACTTTTAACCAAAAAGTGGACCTTGATCAGGCGCCGGCTGGAAAGGACTAGCTGACCTGTCTTGTCTGTCTGTCGAGTGCAACCGTGAGGGGAAAGACATTCTTCCGCCGGCTGGTGCTTGGTGCTTGGTCGGGCCTCAACATGGCTGTGCCCACACAAGCGACAACACCCTGGCGCTCCTTGCTGTGGGGAGAGACTTTCGCTTTCAAAAGGATCGCGCTCGGGGGGGGGGGGGGGGGGATTTTGGAGGACGTGTTGTTTCCGAAAATGGCCCTCTCAGCAGCCCGGCTCGGCCAAGTCAATATTGGTCTGTTGAAAGCCAAAAAAACCTGGGCCATTCCACATCATCATCGCGCTCCAATGAGAGACTGCGAAAAGTCCGCCCAGCGACAACGCAATAATTTAGGGTTGCCGGGGCCCGGTTATGTCCCTTTGTTCCGTGGCCGCCTACTTGCCTGTCCGGCAGTGGTTGTTGCCCCGGTGGGGGGGGGGGGAGCTCCAAGGCTCAGGGTCCAGCCCGTAGCCCAGCCAGCCGCAAGCTAGCCAGCCTCGCCAAACCATCCACCCTTGCCACCTACAGGGTCCAAAGGGAAAAGGCTTCCGGGCTCGGCTCGCCCGAAGTTTTCTGAACCACTGGCCAACAACCAGGGCAGGGTGTGCGGCATCAAGGGTAAAAAGGAAAGGACAAGAGCTAAACAAAGTAACAGCAAGCAGGCCGGGGTAACTTGAGCACAGGTCCCGTCTGGGCCCCCGGCAAGGGTTCATGACGCGGTGACGGCGCGTGCCCGCCCAGGCCTGTCCTGTGCCGGAGCATCCGGCGACAAACTAGGGCAGACATGCGTGCGTCTCGTTATCCAACCATGCTTAGCCACAGGGATCAGGCAGACCCGCCTATGAATCGACAACAGTAGAGAGCCATGGTCATGTCTATTCCCCTAGTCCATGTCCAGACCCGACCATGCATCCTTTCTATGCTGATAAACATTATGTTTCGTTCGCCCGTCATGTCTGACTCCAAATGGGGTATCCGTAAAGAGAAGCCATCACATCAATCCGTCCGTGCAACCGTGCACGCCATCCACCCAAGCTCCCAAAACACCCTTGTCCCTGTCAATTGAGCAGCCCTTCCGCCTCGTTTCGCCCATTCATGTCCACCCTGTCTAGTAAACATTGAGCCCCATGACCCCGTCCCGATTCCCAGAAAAAACAACGCTCGCTGGTTCCCCAGCGTAAAGACCTCTCACCATGACTGGACATTACTCCGTCCAAGGCTCATTCGGAGTATCGCCCGGGTCGAACTCAGTGTTTTGGATCCAGTCGTGCAAATACTGTGTCCACCCGGGAATGCCAAATCGTATATGAATGCTGATTGGGGCGTACTGCATGGAATGTTTGCGGCCTTGGGAAAACTTTGACGCCGTCTGAAGTGCCGATAATGTTGTACATGAACCAAGATTTGATCAAAGTTCGTGGTTTCGAGGACCGGCTTTTGTACAAATGTGTAGTTCAGATTAGGTCCCGCTTGTCTCAGCGGGTTGCTTGTGTAGGCGAGGCGCCTGGATCGGCGTCCTCAACGTCGCCCTCAAGTAAGTCGAGGCAATCTTCGAGGGCTATATGAATCGCAATTGTCAGCAGTTTGTCATGTGCGGTGCTTGGTGCGAACGGTGACATGCTTACCCTCGACAATCCTATCCTCCCATACTCCATATTCATAGTCAACAAGGCCGTGTCGTTCTATGCCATCGCACAGTCGAATAAGCTCTCTACCCATACGCTTCAGCCCATCGACCGTCAGTTTGGACTGTTCTTGCTGCAATGTATCGTCGGCCTTCGTCATATCTTTTTGTTTTTGTAAAAGGGCAAGCCAGGCATGGTTGAATTCGTGCCAAAGCTTTATCCTGTCATTGTGCAACGACTGATTGTCTGAAGCGAGTCCTAGACAGGAGGAAAGCATTGTCAGTCCTGCTTGAGCAGAGGAGCACCAGAAGATAAGAAATCATAGCCAGGTGCTTCGAGGAAGAACTTACCAAGCTCAATGACTTTGGTCAGCAGCCAGTCCGAGACATTGAGTAGAGACTCGCTTGCCGCTTTTAAGTTTTCACGCTGGACGTTGGTGAAAATCTCCTTGAGGGCAGTCTGATACTGTTCGTAGGCCTCGCCCATCTCTGCCGAGCCAGAATAGTCCTGTTCCTCCAGTGACTGGTCCCCCGCGGAGCCCTGGGCCATTCCCCCCATCGACGCCATGCCAGAAGGGTAGCCTGGCATCAGAGATCGCTGGTCTCCAGAACCTTGCTGATATATGTTGGAAGCACCTGCTGAAGACTGCTGCGCCTGAATCCCGGAAGGCCCCGCACCTGGCCCAGCCGCCTCGTTCGGAAAGTACGACGTCGCGACCTCGGCACCCATCATGGGTATACCTGCACCCTGCCGCGGCTGGAATGGCTGGCTTGCATCGTAAACGGCTCCTTGTGCATTTGATTGCGGGACGTTGTACATCATGGATGGGTTGTAGGTTCCAAAGCCTTGTGTTTGCCGCCCGTCTTGTGCGTACTCGGACTGGTATGGCAATGCACTTTGTGGGAGATTGGTCGCAAATGCCGCGGATGGCTCCTGGTAGTACCCACTGTAGGCTGCCGCGCTCGCCATGCCTCTTCCCGCCGAAGGAGAGGAACCGAGAGACGTTGGCCGGTACCTATCAGAGGCGGGCTCGGGATATGACCGCCGTGGTGCCGTCGTGTCTTGTGCAGGATATCTGGGAAGCGCCATCGCATTGTAAGGCGCTTCATTCTGCCTCCTCCGACGAGCGTTATCATCCATGTTCTGAGCAGCCGAGATGTGCAACGGCGGGCCCAGTCTCTGCGCGCTCGGATGAGCCACTGAGTTCGAGATGAGTAGGGCCACTTTGTCTCGTGAGGCCGTCTTGAGCAGCGGCCTCTTCTTGAATGTGGTCAGGAGTCGAAATCCTTTGCGCCGAGCCAAGTCGTGACGCGAACGGCCGCCTGTTGCGGTACCCGATGCTTGCTAGAGAAGTCTACGTGTGACGGGGACACCTGAACACGAGATCGAATGGCGCCTGGCGCGGAGAACACACTGGTGGCCGACTTGTTGGTTTTGATCACTGGTATACTTCGCGTAATAGGCGCTGCTGCTGGGATGGATAAGTGACGTTGCGCAAGGTGGAGGCAGAGGCGGGTTCAAGTAGTTGGGTATAAGCCAAAGCTCGGCTTCTGCGTCGGAGCCCGGGGGGTGTGGTTGGCTTTAAAGGGCGTGAAGAATCACGATGTAAGAAGCTAAGTACTTTCGTTGCACGAGCTTAGCCACTTACACAAGAGGAAGCCCACTCCACGTTGACGCCGGCCCGACGTAATGAACGGCCCTTTGGCGGGTAAGAGCCTGGAGAATAGCTGCCAAGCTGCGCGCTAAAGTGCTTTGTTAGATACCGTGCTCAATGCAGACGCGGCCCAGGTGCGGCGACCACTGCTGCTTGGACTATCACGCCTCGTCTGACAGGGCCTGGAGGGGTGTGGGAATGTCATGGGGTCCTGAACCGACCTTGGTTTCCCCTTAGCCCGACGGCTCTGGCTGGATCTGGCGTCCGTGGCTAGTGGCGTTGGTGCCAAATGGGGGAGCCGAGATACCAAACGGTCTTGAGGGGGGATCTGAAGAATTCTAGCTCGGACGTGGTGCATGGGTCCCTGACCCAACAAGTCCAAGCCAATGGTTGGACCGCTGAGGTGGCTGTCCCGCTACTAGACGACAACCGAATCCCGCATGACTGAGTGATTGAGCCTGAACCGAGGGGTTTGGTAGCTTTGTGGAGGCTACGAATGTGCAGAGTAGGAGGGAAAGTCGACAGTGGCCGTCGCTGACGAGTGTCCTCCTGGATTGCTTGGGCCAGGTTGCACGCTGCTGCTTTGACGTGCAAACAGTAGGCGTCCAAGTGCTCGTGTTCGAGCCTCCTGCAGCAGCTGCAGTAAGCCAGGGTTCCAGTGACAGAGCGCGGGATTGGACATGTTCGGCGTGTGCGATATAAGTGTGGGTGCGCGTAGGATGACTTGGTCAGGGCGCCACGTGCATGGGCAAAGTAAGGCTCTGAGGATAAGCTGGAATAGGAAATGACATCTTGCTGCCAGATCGTGGAGGATCTGGCACCAGGACCCATGGTACGCCAAGCACCTCACCACCATATGCTCGGTTTTCTGCATCTTCTTGTTATTGACGGAGCACCTGCACGTCAAGTCGGGGTTTGCCCAAGGCGCAGCTGTACATTCTCTGCTGCCAGGCATTGCGAATCATGGTCAATCCTGCGCCCTGCGCCGGCGTCATCAACCAGTCCTTGCTGGAAGCGCGGCGGGGTGCAAGCACGCCCGCGCACCGACAAGATTTCTCCGTGCCTCGTGTGCATGCATGATGCCAGATATTGCAGGGGCCAGCTAGTTCGAGCTGAGATCGGGCCTTGGTGGAGAGCAAGAATGAAGAACCCCTGTCCGGCCTACCTCATGAACCTTGCCTTGTGGTCCCACCAACCATCCCTGCAGGTATGCATGCACGCCTAGCTTTCTTTTCTGGACCTGCATCAGCCCTGGGGGAAAGTGGTCGGGGTCTGTGTTGCTCGCAGCCATGTACCAGGCAGTCGCGTCGAAGCAGAATGGCTCGAGTCCAGTCTCCTTGGTGGGAAGGATAGCTCCAGTCGTGTTGCGATGATACGGCCTCTCCTCCAATGTCTCGTTATGTTGACTTCTGTGGACCGTTGCACAGACACAGATGCACCGCTCCTGATCTCTGCCAGAGAATTGGACGCGCCATGTCTCGAGGCATCGTGTATGCCCGGTGGGCAGCATAGCAGTGGACGGGTCGGGCGGCGCAGTGCGTGTCGCGCATGGAGAACAGGATGACACATGCTGCTTAGCGGCCCTTGGAACGCAACAGGCCCCAGAGATTGGGTATCGAAACCCTCGTGTGGGAGAACCAAGCACGGCACGCTAAAAGGACGCACAGGCCCAGCTGCAAAAAACAGACAGAGGGCGTCGACATAGCGAGGCCTAGCCGAACGAAAGGGCGGAGAGTTTTGGGGTCCGTCTGCATGGCGGCGAATGGCGTTGCACATGCCGCCTTCTTCTCCTCATCATTTGGTGTGTCGCATGTGTGCAGGGCGCTCGCGGCTTGTGCTACCCCAAGGCACCCGCGGGACCCTGTTTCTTGCTCAAGCACGTACGATGCAGGAGAGCTGCACGCCCGCCACTAAGCTATTCCTAGGTGCCGAGCCTCCTCCAGAACGCACCTGGTGGTTTCGAAACCAGCGTGCTTGGCTGTGAGCAATTTCGCTTTTAGTTTTCCGCACTCGTTCGAGACTTGCAGATGGAACAAATCGAATTCGTCGTGACCAGAGCATCCCTAGTGCAAATCGCATGCGGTGGCCCACTGCCAGGTGATTGACGTGGTGAGGAGGGGTACCTCATCCTGGCCGGTTAGGGTAAGCTGGGTCATGGCTGCGAAGTGTCTGGCTTCGAGCCTGCAGTGTCCTTGATCGGACGAAATGTTGTTCATGGGACAAATGGCGTGTGCCGGGAACATGGTAGTGGCCTCGAGAGATCGGGGGGTGCCCAATCTCCAGGATCTTGAAGATCGCCCACGATTGGGCTTTGGCTCGCGAACGAGGAGAAAGTCTCTACGCCGCCAATGAGGATTGACATGTGCTGGATGACTATACAGTGGGATCGTGTGGTGCGAGTGTTGGAGCCTTGAGGAAGACAGCTGATTGCAACGAGTACTGTTGGGTGTCATTGTCTCCCCGCTGGATTTTCCTGGTAATGTGTAGCCGAACCTTGTGGTAGCAAGTCGGCCAAGTGGTGCGGGGACTGTTGGGCATTCTTGCCACCACGATCGCGCCTGCTGCGCCTTCAATCCAACGCTCCTTCCTTGTTAGCTCAGACAGATGTTGCGGCCCAAGGCAGCATAACGATCGGTCTCTGGAAAGAGACAGAGAGCGAGAGAACGAGATAAAAGCATCATTGGTTTGCCACGTCCTTCCTCATGTGAAGATCAGGTTGCGGTCGTGCCGATCAATGCGTTTGCCTAATATGCAAAATGCGAAGTACAGTGCGGTGGCCCACGATCTTCCGGACCCTACTCAACGCCGGGAGTGGGCATCACCATCAAATACCGCCTTCACCATTCCACGTGCCCCAAGCGGGAGAAGCCGACGTATCGCAGAATCAGGGGCGCGTTCGGAGCATGCGGCTCAACTTCATCTCCAGTTCGTTTCGTCAGAGAGTGCAGGTTACATCCCTGAGGTACAGCGACACGGAATGCACGTAACCTTACGTGCATCATGGGTGATCGTCAGCAGGATGTATGCCGCTCACCCGGCCTACAGCAGCGAATCTTGCAGGTGTCGTCTCTTGCTTTGGGCGAAATACTGTTGGTGCAGCTGCTAAGATTGCGGGGTCCTCCCAAGTCAGAGCTGGGCTGTCAAAAGCTGTGGCTGGGGTTTGTTGGCGACAGAGGTCGTTGAAATAAGAACCCTGAACCATGCGCAAGAGGAGTCTTTTGGCAAGGGCAGGCTGCGTTGCCGGGGATGGATGCTTGACGATGTCGTCAAGGCGACCTGCAGGCGACCCGCTTCTGCGCACTCTGGTCCTGCTCCAGGCTCCAGAAGCTCGACGGACGGTCTGCCTTCAGGTAGAGGTCTTAGTCGACGGGCTGGAGTCTCTGCACAGCATTCCAAGTTCGCCGGAGCCATGAAGAACTTGCCCAAGCCACCTCGTGTGGGCCACATGTGCTCGAATGCTCCAGCATTACCAGCATATTCCTTGAAACCCTAGAGGGCCTTTCAGGAACATCCGGCTAGGGCATTCCGGGTAGAAATCGACACTTCCGATGAAGATGGCGCAGCTCCGCTCCCATGTGAAGACACCATAATCGGGATTTTCGGGGCACTTGTTCGGAACAATAAGGTCGGAGACTGGGATATGCCGGCAACGAAAACAACTGGCGAGCAGGATCTCTTTTCCACACGCCAGCGCACTGTATCGACAGCCCGCAGGGCCACACCCGCCCTGACGACACAGTTCGCCCTCAAACCTCCTGCTCACGCCATCCTGCAAAGAGCTGCAGTCTTGGAGATGCAGGAGACGAGCATGCATCACGGCCCAATTAAGGTTTGAAGTCGAGGCTGTCTCGCGATCGACTAGTTCGTCCTACCACTTTCTCGACACCAGCAAGTTCCGTCTTGTCTTGCATGTGCATGGGCAGTCAGACCACTATTGTGGGGGCGTCCTCTGGTCTCATTCTAGTACAGGTGCTGTACTTTTGCTGGGTTGAAGCCTGTTGGCCACTTCGCTGGCGCTTCCTTAGCCTAACGGTTTGACCAAGATCCCCGTGACCCAAACAGTGGGTGCACCTAGCATCACACAAAGCTGACCAACCTGGCAGATGGCCCAATCATCCAGAGCGTGGCAGACGACAACGCGCTCAGCGCAGAGTCGTCCATTCCTCCGTCGCCGAGGAGAGGCAGGCTGGGCCTCGTCCTTGCTGATTGCATACGTGAGGATCACAATGGCATTGTCGACGACTGCACGCAGGGCGGTGCGCGTGCTAAGCCGGGACAAGCAGCCAATGGGTTTCGCATACATACGTCCACCTCGCGACATGTGTGTCTTGGAGGCACCTGTTGGGTGCGCGGCAAGACCATCGTGCTCTGGGAACCGTGCGCCGCCAAGGTCGCCGACAGGCCAAAAGTACGGCATGCCACTGCGCTTGCGACTCCCGTGGCCGGCGGCCGGCGATGCTGAAACGGCCATGGTCTTCTGGAAGTCTGCAGGAGTGCCGGACCGCGTCATTGTGCAGCGCGCCAAGTGGGTGCCCATTTCCCAACCGCGCCAGAAGGGCGCTAGAAGCGTCACGAAGACCACCAAGTCTGTGCGCCGCCGTCGAGGCACAGGCTCGCAGCTTTCGCCCTTTCTGGAAGCTGGCCGCCTCAGCGTGCAAGCCTGCCCTAAACCAGACCTCTCATGCGTGCCTCCAGCGCACCACTGGCCGATGGACGCTTGTGCGTGTCCTTGCTACACACCGCAACACTTTGTCTGGGTCAATTACTAACCTTCTCAGCCTAGGCGACAGGCTTACAGTCATTGCGGAGCTGGGCATGACCACTGTCCCCATCCAAGACCACTTTTCATTCCACTCGCCCCTGGCCGTGGTGCGGCTGTTTGACATTTCCCCACCAACAACAGCTCGTCCCCAGAGCGAGCACTGTCACACGCAGAGCCGACCCGGAAAGGGCCTTGACGCTATTTTGGCGTTGAATGTTGGCTATTTGGCATTTAATGCAAGGCCTGCCACCATCGGAAGTGCCGAGAGTGTCAGGATAATGCAGGCAGGTCTCGGATGATCATGTGGTGTTTGCTCTGTTCCTTCAATGTCGGCCTGCTGCAGAGTACGTCGCCCACGGTCCGCTGGACAACCAGCGGCCTACTTCTGAGCTCTACGATTCAATCTTGCTGAATATCTCTCGCTGGTACGAAGGACCGGTGCGTCCCCGCACAGCTTCTTAGCAGGAAAATCCCGTGATGGCATGTGATATTGTGGGCGTGCTCTCTTTGCTCGACCCCGCTGTTGTGAGATGAGATCGAGTGGCTGAGCAATCATTGACCACTGCTTGTCGCAGCGAAGACGAGCCAGATCGCTCGTCTAACTGATACCTGCAGAGTCTGTCGTCTCTTTCAGTGATGACGTGCGGTGCAGACGGCTGAGTTCCTCAGTGCATTTGCAAAATGCAGGCCTGGTCGACCGAGACAACTACTTCATTACCACGGAACAAATAAACGGACAGAAAACAAGAATGCGGAAGAATATTTCAGGTTCAAGTCACATTGCAATGTGAAATTGTGAAAGAATTCTTGATTGGAATTTCGAAAGGAGCACTCGACAACTGATATGATATTGGTGGCTGGCAAGAAGCCGATACTTTCTCAGGAACGCCTGATCCCGAATCGTCAGATGATAAGTAACTTAGAGCCATGGAGTCTCAAGTTGATCCCCTGGTCGTCGCCCCGTTTCGTTGAAGATCATTGCAGGTTGGCTACTGCCCCCCCCCCCCGAGAACGACGGTCTTCCCGGCATATGCTCTGTACGACTGGATGTGACTGTTTGCAGGTTATTGGGCTGGTGTTGCGTCCCAGCAAGATGCATGCAGGTCTGTCCAGGTCACTCCATGATCCCGCCTGGGGATCTGGAGCTGGGGATTGGAAGGCATGATCCCTGCGGCTGTATCTGCAGGTCATAGTCTGCATGAACCGGGATGGATCCTTCACGATGGACAGTTGCGTCCCGCGGTGTTCGAGATGTCAAGCGCGGGGTGAGCTGGGATGCTCCCGGTGCGTGCAAACCTAACTACTCCACGATTCCGTGGCTGGCATGCATGCTTAAGCATGTAACATGCATACCCAGGCATATATAGTGTCCGCTGTGGTGGAGAGGTGCCTTCAGTCCTGGATCGTCTGCTTCATCGAACAAGTGTCGATCAGGCACAATGGCAACCATGTCCCCCGCAGGGTCTTGGCGACCTGTGACGGAGGAAGCGACGGCAAAAGCAGAAGGGTGTTCCACTCGTGCGTCTTGTGCTCGCCCCTTTCATTCCTGGACGGGTATATTCAAAACGATCTCTGATCCCGGAGGCTTTTTCGGAATGTCAAAGGGTAGTGGATACGGTGCTGCGGTGTCTGACTTATTGCTGTCAAATGTCCCGCCAATGTCTACTGACAGTGGTAATTCACGTTCTTCACAGGGAGAGCGTATCCGCGTCGGATCCCTCTCAAACAATTTTGTAACAAAAGAACAGTCGAACGCAGTAAAAGGTATGTTCGACGGCGGCCTCAGCCGCCTAGTGGACAATCACATCTGTTACATCTCGTACAGGCGGCGTTGTGTTAATGGCAGCGAGAGGAGAGCTTGTTAGTTGAGAACAAGCTGTTTTTTTCTCTCTCGACCTAGCCGACAGTCAGAACCCGACCAGCCAGCTGCGTGCGATGGAAATGCAGTGTTGTGTGTTTCTCCAGCTCGAGCTGTCCATAACTTGTGCGGGCTGTGGCAGAGTTATAAATGGTCGTCGGCGGACGATATGGTGCGCGCACTGGAGCAATGGACATTTACTTGGCCTTGTGATGTCTTGAAACGAGGTTTTCTGCGTGGTCCATGGCTGCTGTCTAGTATGACATGAATACGGCAGAGTCAGCGTTGTTCTATCCTCTTATGGCGCTCTCAACATTGACTTTCGGCCGCATCTTTCAATAACTCCGGCGTTAAGTATAGGCATAAATTTATTTCAAAGATGTTGCAAATGTGTGACAATCTCACCTAGCGAACGCAATTTACAAGCCAGGAACCCGCATGCATTGACGACCAGTATCGTCTACGATGCGTGTTAGATAAGAACGACATTCTTGGCACGAATCATTGAGGCTTTCCCTGTCTCAAGATGAGGAGCAGGCCATACGGTGAATTTGTGATCTAATAAAAGCGAACAGGCCAACGCACTCCACGTGTCCATACGAGCTGGACGATGATCTGCATACCTCTAGAGGGGACTTGTTATCCAGAAAATCGACATGCCTAGGCTCTCAACAAAGTTGCGCATCTTGCAAACAGCGACACGAGTCATGGAATGAAGGATATCACGCTACTTTATTCTGAAATACGGTCCTGATATGCAGGATGCTCACCAACATACTAGTACATTGTATACATTGTGGAGGTTTGTACAGTAAATTCTGCTCTCTCCAGTTGGCCATACGGCACATTGGACATGACACTCGCCAGCGCCACGAGACGGCCTCCTCCTGTCCCGAAGTGGCCAACATCGTGCCAATATGACCGACAAAAAACCACGAAATGTCGTTCGCCCTCGTCTATCTGGGCTGCCACGGAGTCATCTTTCTGGCCTTGAGATGACCAGCCTTCTTTCTCTCGACGGCACGGTAATCGCGTGTAATGCATCCAGCTGCAAAATAATCAGTATGGCAACCAAGAAATATTGTGATAAAGCATGCACAATGCGCTCAATTGGGGAAATGGAACTCACCTTTCCTCAGCCGTGTCTTGAGCGCAGGCTCGTGGCCAGTAATGGCATAGGCGATGGCCATTGCCAGAGCCTCGGCCTGTCCCGTGCTGCCACCACCCTCCACGCGCGCCCAGACGTTGTACTTGTCCATCCTCTCTGTGGACTTGAGCGCCCAGAGGGCGCTCTCGCGGTCGTGGAGGCGGCCAAAGGCCTCGTTGACGGGCTTGCCGTTGATCAGGACCTCGCCGGTGCCCTCGACGACCCACGCCCGCGCGGTCGACGTCTTGCGCCTGCCCACGCCCATTGTCCTGCCAAACTTGTCGACGGGGATCTCCCGCTCGATCTTCTCGTGGAAGTTGATGTCGCGGGTGAAGGGCTGCAGGCCGTCAATCACCTCCTGGGGCATGAGGTCCGGGTGGATAAGGTTGAGGCGCTTGACGATGGCCATGCAGGCGGAGAAGTCGCGACCCTTGATGTGCTCGCCAATGACGAGGCGGTACTCGGCCTTGCCGCGCCAGGCGACCCTGCGCGCATCGGCGGCAGGGACCACGGGGAGGTGGCGGTATTTGAGGTAGAGCTCCTGGATCTGGACGTAGCTGTCGTAGAAGTTTGTGAAGCGGGCAAAGTACGAGGGCGACGCGGGCTTGGGCCGGGCGTGCGGGTGTGCCACTTGGGTCTCTGACCTCTCGTATGAAATGAGGCCTTCTGCTTTGTTGCTGGGTGTCGTCGAGATGGTCCGGCGGGCCAGGCCGAGTGACGGGGCTGGCGGCGTCGTCGTTGTGGCACGCGAGAGGACTGAGCATGCTGGGGCGAGGGAGGACGGGGTCTTGGAGCCGAGCTGGAGGTCCCGCAGGCCCCTGAGGGCGAGTCTCATTGTCGACATGTTGGGCTACTGTGACGCCTGCACCGCCTGGAGCCGGCGGAATGGGAATTGCGGGCTGAGGTCGTGGTCTGCGAGAAGTGACGCCGTCGGCGATGCGTGCAGTTGGATGGTCGTCTGCCTCAAGTTTTCGGTGGGCCCAGCAGCAGCCCTCGGCCAGTCACGGGCCGCAGCGCACTCTGCCCGTGGAGGTGGTTGTGGATGCAGCACGGCTTGCCTCACCTTGTTGCTTGCTGGTGGTGGACCCCTGGCCTGGCACCCAAGAGCCCCAAGAGAGCCCAGCCCAGGGTCCCGGGTATCCTGCCCCAACCTAGGTGAGAGAGACGCGAGACCTCCGAGCCGCCAGCACCCCGCCACTCCATGCCGCGAAATTTGTCGTCGGGTTGCCCCGCCACTGCACGTTGCGCCCGCGCCGGCCACAGTTGGGCTGCCGCCCGCAGGCCGCTCGACTACCCCGCCTGAAATTTCCTGCAATCCCTAAAAGTTCGGGCGCCCTCTGCCAAAGTTGCACGATCTTCCTCCCTCACACACACCCTCATCACCACAGCACGACCGCAAAAATGGCTGGCCCCTTCGGCACTATTTTTACTAAAGATGTAAGTAGAGCCCAGTCATGCCCACGAGAGACAGGAATCGAGGTTCTGTCGAAAACCAGCATGTCCACTAACACCACCATCTTCACAGCGCAACCCGCGCACCACCGCGATCCTCGCGGTTGCGAAGGCCAACGGCATCGACCTCGATGTCAAGATTGTCGACACCCTCAACCCGACCCCCGAGTTCCTTGCTGCCAACCCCATCAGCAAGGTCCCCGCCTTTGTCGGTGCTGACGGCTATGGCCTGACCGAGTGCATTGCCATCGCCATCTACAGTACGTCTCGACCCCTCCATATCTCGCGTTCCCAAAACACACGAACAAACATCCTCCTCGACACACGACTCCCAAAAATGATGAATTAGACATTTCATTTACAGTTATCCCTGTCTGAAACATATTTCCATGTTGATAACGTTCTACTTTCTGATACACCCACCTCAACCATTTTGTCACTGCATCGGGGTCATTTTTAATTGGGTTTCGACCAGAATACTGACATCCTGGACAGTCACCTCCCAGAATGAGAAGACCACCCTTCTCGGCAAGACCAAGCAGGAGTAAGCTCTACCTGACATTGAGAAGCAATACCTCGTGTGGACATGCCGCTGACGTGTGAAAAACAGCTACGCCTCCATCCTCAAGTGGCTGTCCTTCTTCAACATGGAGGTCCTCCCCAAGCTCGGTGCCTGGTACCGCCCTCTCCTCGGCTGGGACCCCTACAACAAGAAGGCCGTTGACGAGGCTGCCGCTGGCGCCGCCAAGGTCCTTGACGTTGTCGAGAAGCACCTGACCAACCACACCTACTTCGTTGGCGAGCGCATCACGCTTGCCGACCTGTTCGCCACCAGCATCATCTCTCGTGGCTTCCAGTTCTTCTTCGGCAAGAAGTGGCGCTCGGAGCACCCCGCCATCTCGCGGTGGTACGAGACCGTCTACAACCAGCCCATCTACAGCGATGTCGCTGTCCCCTTCGAGCTCCTCGCCGAGCCCGCCCTGACCAACGTCGCCCCCAAGAAGGAGGAGAAGCCCAAGGCTGCCAAGGCCCCCAAGCCCGCCGCTGCTGCTGCTCCCGCCGAGGAGGAGGCTGCCCCGGCCCCCAAGCCCAAGCACCCTCTCGAGTCCCTGCCCCGCTCCGAGTACTCTCTCGATGAGTGGAAGCGCACCTACTCCAACAACGACTACGCTGTTGCCTTCGAGTACCTGTGGAAGACTATCCCCTGGACCGACTACTCCATCTGGAAGGTCGACTACAAGTACAACGACGAGCTGACCATGACCTTCATGTCCAACAACCTCATTGGCGGCTTCAACAACCGTCTCGAGGCCTCCCGCAAGTACATCTTCGGCTGCGAGTCCGTCTACGGTGTCAACAACGACTCCGTCATCACCGGTGCCTTCATCATCCGTGGCGACGACTTCAAGCCCGTCTTCGACGTTGCCCCCGACTACGAGAGCTACTCGTACACCAAGCTCGACCCCTCCAAGCCCGAGGACCGCGAGTTCGTCGAGTCCATGTTCACCGGCGAGAAGCCCATCACCGTCAACGGCAAGGAGTACACCTACGCCGACGGCAAGGTCTTCAAGTAAGCGCGCGTTTGCACGACACAGTAGCGGGCTTGCTTGCATGACTATTCGGAGGCTATGATCATGCAGTGACGAGGTTTACACGACAACTCAAAAAACAGTAAAACTTTAGGAGAAACGGAGGCCGGGAGTGAGCATTGCTACGCTTACCAAAACGTGGCAATGGTAGAAACGCAGGTAGATACTGTGGAGCTAGACCAAAACATTCACTTTGTCCTCTCTAAATATCGCTGATGCTGGTGAATGGTGTGAAGCTGGATGGACCATCTCTCTCTCTCTCTCTGTACATTGTATTCTCATTCTGTACGACGTTTCCCAGAGAGTGCGAAATTGCCCAGATATCACGTCCGTGACCTCGGAGAGCAGGAGCTTCTCACGATATATTACCGACACCTCTGCTGCCAAAACTTGGAAGCGATCACAGACCTCACCACAAACATGCAACTGAGGCAGAGCCATTGAAACATATCTGCCATACTTGTGTGTCGTAGTAATCATGGAGGGGAACAAAGAGCAGCACGAGTTAATTCCCCAAAAAATATATCTCAGAACAGCTAGCGAATACCACTTTTCAGCGCCCGCCCCAGAGTAAATATTGCACTGAGAGAGAGTCCTTTTCCCCGTACCATCCTTTCAGAAGTTTTTGTAGTTCACTCCGGCAATTCCTTTTTGCGCAAGGCTTGAGCGGTACGTCTATTGAACTGTGATGGGACACAAGATAGTTTTCACAAATGAAGAACTCCTCTCACGCAGGGTCAGGCATGGAAACACAACACTCTGAGCTTGGACGTCTTCTAATCGTCCCATAACACCGATTGATGGAAATCCTATTTTCCGTTGCTTCAATCAAGTCCTCAGCCAGCCCGGGACACTATTTACTCACATTCTCCTCGTTCCGCTCACCTGCTGTCTCGACGAACGAGCCTTCAGGTTATCTTGCAGCGGCTCTTCGCTTTCTCAATGCCTTGCCAGGTCACTGTTCTCCACCACACAACACAAGGACTGTTAACCGACAATAACGATGGCTCATCTCCCATCAACACCCGCTCACTCCTCGCAGCGAGCGGGTCCGAGTAGCCAGCGGGCATCACTCAACACAAACGCCGGTCTGATGGTCTAGTGGTATGATTCTCGCTTAGGGTCCACCCTGAGATGGATCGTGAACAACGATTCAGATTGATTGCGAGAGGTCCCGTGTTCGATCCACGGTCAGACCCATGATGTGTTGTTCTCTTTTGCTCGCGGTGGCTTCTCTGATGGCTTTTCTTTTTGAGCAACGTCACCGTGGGTGACTGACTGATGCTGCTTATGGCCGCGAGATCAGGTACAGGAGTGCTGCTGTTGCAATGCTGTCTGTCGAGGTGGAATCACTTGATGGTAGTGCTCGATCGTCTCTGCTCGTTCTTCGAAATGGTTCGTTCATCTGACAACATTCTTGCGCTTCAATCTTATTCCTCCACCATGAATGAGTACTCTCTGCAAACGCGCGAGACGTAAAGGGGGTATGAGAATTCCAGAAATAGCAGATATAATCAACGACAACCAGGCCTTGCCTTGGACCAACTTGAGTTCAAACTAAATTGGTATTGATGTTTTCCCCAGCCTCATAAAATTCGTAATGTCGCATATAAACTCGTCCGGGCCGGGCTTTGCCTACTCCCACCTCTTCCACTCGTCCATGATTCGAGCGACCTCTTGATCGGTATACTCGGCCCCGAGGGCATTCCGGTCAAGACTCTTCAAGCGGGCATACATTTCCTGCTCCTTGCCTTGGCGTTCATAGAGCTTGTCCTCAAGGTAGTCAAAGTCCTTGCGCCGCATCGCTCGGCCGAAGATCTCCCGCATGCGGTTTGAGTAGAGTTGGCATGCACCAAGCTGCAGTTGAACCGGGTCGCTGTGAAAGTTGCCTACAAAGGACAGTGCTTGGCCTCTTTCTAGGACCGGTTCCACCACATCCTCAAAACACTCCTCGCACACTGTGAAGTTGGGTAGTCTCTTCATGATGTGCCACCTGCCGTCCTTCACTGGCATGTGTCCGCGACATTCCGGCACGCGGGACAACTCACGGATCTTGCTTGCCAGCCGGCGGATGTCCGGAGCAGTCTTTGTAGCCAGAGCACGATCCGAGGCTGTTTCCATAATGTCAAAGTAAAGCAAGAACCGCCTTCTTTCTGGTGAGGGGTGCATCAGGCAGACTCCTGCGGACGAGTCTCCAGAGGCTTCCACAAACACACCCGACAAGTTTGGCAGTAGAACTGCGATCGTCTGTGCACAGTGGCCGCACACCTTGAAACTCGAGATTGCGCGTTGAGAGCTCGGGTCTCTGATGGAGTACCACTTCCGATAGGTTTCGCGAAATCCCGTGCAGGGCTGATTGTTGGCGCCGATGGCGGCAATGTTGTGTATCAGAGTCATGTCTGCATTGCGGTACTTCAAGATGAGGAGCCATGCAATATGATACCACTGCGAAGTCCCAAAATCGCACTTGATTGGCCGGGTGGCCGGGCGGAAGGGGGCAGGCGTGAAGTGCGTCGCAAACTCAGTGTTTGCAAAAACGTTCTGATAGCACGTTGGGCAGATGTTGAAGTTGTCGCTCTTCGGCAGAGTCAGCCAGTCCATGTGCCCGGCCGTCTCTACGGTTCGTGGACAATCCGCAATATCGGGAAGCTCGCCACTTCTCACATCCTCGGAGAGTCTTCGATGGTAAGATGCAGGCTTCTCCAGCCCCGAGCCATTCAGGACCGGATCGAACTTTGGAGGTTGGTAGGACTGCTTGGGCGGGCTCGAGGATAACGTAGAGCTGGACGATCGAGCGGAGCTCGTTGATTTTGGTGGCGGCGGTGGTGGCAGAACGCCAGGATTCCGACGGTCGATAGGCGTGCCAGCATCACGTCCAGAACTCGTCGCGGCCGCGGTAGCAGCTGCAACGATGGCTGGGATGGCAATAGAGGCGGCTTGCCCCATGGTGGTCCTGGCCGTGGAGGCACGAGGTGGTGGAGCAGGCGCTCGTCGTTCGTCATCAGACGACCTTGGCTCTCTCGGAAATGTCGAGCTCCGGGAACCCATGGGGTCGGCCTCGAATGGTTGTGGCTGAGAGGGCCGTGAGGAATGGATAGGCACGTCCCGCGACCGATATCGTCCCTTTTCGGCGGGCGGCCGAGTCTCGGGTCGCGGTCCGACAAACTCGCTGCGGTCCACTCTCTCGTCCACAATGACTGGTTTTTGTCGTCTCCGTGCATCTAGGCGGCGCCTCGAGTCGTCCTCGCTAGTGTCCCAATCGCGCGACGATGGGATTTCACGCTCGCTTCTCTGCTCGGATGGTCTCTCGAAAGACGAGTCGCGTGATGACCGCTTCGCCGGCGGCATCGTTGATGACCGGTCGCCATTTGCAGCTTTCCGTTCGGGGCTCTCTCGGACCATTGACTTCGGCCTGGATGAAGGCACTTCGTTGGCGGAATGTCTCTTTTCAAGGGATGGATGGACTGGAAGAGCTGGTCTGAGAGTTTCCGATGTGGAGTCCTCCCGAGTCCGAGGTCCCTTTGGTGCCCTGCGGGTGTAGACATCCTCTTCCTGTCGGGTCCGGCGCTCATAAGTGCGATCGTTCGGTTCTTCATATCTGCGCTCGGCTCGGTCTCGCGATTTTGTGGCCGGTCGGGGCACGTCAGGCGAGAGCTTACTGTCTTCTCTTTCCCGTGCTGAAGCATGGTTGTTGTTTTCCGGATTTGACCCGGCTGCCGACTTTGGTCTCTTCACCTGGTGCAGCGGTGGTTCGGGACCGACATCGGTTACGATGGGTGGCAGATGGTCACGCCGATAATCGCGGTCGCCAGGAGATGCCTGCTGGGAAGTCGGCTTCTTCTCAGGCTCACTGTTGCGAGGCGCATCTCGTTTTAGGTCGTCGCTGCCGACGTTCTGAGCCGTACCACGGTCGTAGGGCTGCACAGACGGTAAGGAGTCCTTGCGAGTAGAGTTGCGCTTGGATTCCGGGACTTTTTCCGGCTGGGATGCATCGGCCTGGGCTGTGGCCGGCGTGACAATCGTGAAGCGCCGCTCGGGGTTGTGCTCATGAACCTCAAGGATGATCGGCCACTGATCAAGGTCGCCCCGACTTGGGGTGGAGTCAGCTAGATCAGAAGAGACTGACGAGCCATGCTCCCGGGCAAGGGAGTCGGCTTCTTCTTCGACACTAGGTGGCGGTGGTGGAGTGCGCTGCCGGCGTGCAACTGTTGACGGCAGCCATCGTGGAGCCGTAGGATCTCTGTATACTAGAGCGTTGGGGGCGGCCTCGGGAAGCTCTGGGAGGAAGCTGGAAGGTCTTTGTTCATGTCAGTGTTTGCTTATGCTAGGTATGGCAGCCACCGAGGGGGGGGGGGGGAGTGTGTTGAGTTCTGTCTGGCAAGAACGTACGATCGCGTGTCGGGGCTCTTAGCACGGCTGTTTTGCCAGTAGCCCTGCTGGAGGAACGAGTCGACATCGATTCTAGACATGTTCTGGTTGCACGGAGGGGGCCTTTGTTTATCGCTCGGTCTGGTGGCACGCTTTCAGGACATGGTCAAGGCCTGGCCCGGGAGGCAGTCGTGGCTAGCAAACAGAACAAACACCGTCAGAAGCGGAGAAGCCTGTCGGTGAGGACCCAGGTGTGTTGGGGAGGGCAAAGCGCTGCGCCCGCGTTGAAGATGTTGGCTGTTGGTATGGTGCTGGCTATGTCGTGCTGGCGACTGGACTGGGAGACAGGCAGGTCAAGGGCAGATGCTGACAGGCCTGGGGATGAGGACGCTGTTGTTGTTGTGCTGTTTTGTGGTTGTGAGGTGGGGGGGATTGGGTCGCAGTTATCATCAGCCAGCAGGCTGGGGGTCCCCGGCTCCGGCAAACAAGGCGCGATGGGGCAGGCTTCCCAAGGGTTGGGCGGTGCTGTTGCAGGGGACAAACCTGAACGGCAAGGTGCAGGTGCGGGCATGCCTATTAGGCACAAGGCAACAGGCAGGAGGCGCTGCTCTGCTCTGCTCTGCTCTGCTCTGCTCTGCTCGCTTCCGAGGCTGTCGCCTTGCTGCGCGCATCCACCAGACACGATGCATGCATCCTCCAACCTGCATCCTCATCTGTGGCCATGACCCGACTCGACACCACCACGCCGGGGCCGGCTGCGCGCGTGGGAGTGGACTTGGCCTTGGGCAGCTGCCCCACGGATGACGCTGGCTGCATATGGACACCACCACCGCGACTGTGGCGGGCCCATGCGCATCGTATTTCACCCTCCCAAGACCTTCTATCACGATTCTTCGCCTGGTCTCCCGGCGAATGGTTCTCGAATGCTCGGCCTCGCTTTCTCGTATGGCCCTGGCCACCTCGCCTTCCACTGCATATTGAGGAGGGACCGCGATGGCAAGCGGCCCGACCTCGAATCCCCCAAGCATGCTTCACCCTTGGAATTCACGTCTTTGGGCACCGAGGCTTCGCCAGTGCTGTCCCAGTCAGTCCTCCTGCAAGCGTGAGGGGAGCAGACACGACAACGAGAGGGGCAACAGCCAGGGTGTTGTGGCGCTAGGCATGGATCAGCCCAGCAGGGGTCGCTGCGGCGACACCACCGCACGACAATGCGGATGAGCCACAACAATGCCCGGCTCCTTCCCCACCTCCGGCTCGGCGACGTCCGGCGCCCACGGCTCTCTGTGCCGTGTAGGACAAAACCAAAGCATCTTCCACACCTGGCCAGAATCTGTATGCCACAGCGTCACTCGCCAGCGCCCAAGCGACATTCAAGACGCATCTACGCGCTCCTGCAGGCCCCCACCATGGCGGGTGTGCCCCGGGCCAAGGACGGCCACGGTCATGGCAGTTCGGCACGCTTCTGCAGCATCAGCAATGGGACTCTCGGCAGCGGCGGCAATCTTCAGATGCGCTGACTTGTCTGTGCCTATTCAAGAAGCCCTTCGCACCAGCTGTTGTTTTTGATATACAGACATCTCCCCGCCTGCAGAATGCCAACCGGAAGTACGCGTCCGAGAACACCACGCCGAGCCTCAATGCGGGAGGTAGTCAGCAGACGCCTAGGCTTAGTGCTCGATGACCCAGCTCCACGCCGCCCACGGCTATTACCATAAGTCTTAGGAGAGGTTTTACGTTTTTTCGTGATTACAAGGTCAGCTGATGTGTCGAGGCAGTGAGAATGACAGCATGCAGACCCGCCACTGTCGCTGTTGTGTCGCCTTGGCTAGCACTCTCCATCTGGCGTGACGGATACACGCATGCTATTCACCGGATTGAACCTCCAGGTCACACTGACCAGCGTGCCGGAGTAGCGGGTGTAACTTCCTGGGCCTGATGACTAGAATCGATGGGTCATATGCCTGCCGCGTCTGCTTGAAGAGGCAGCCACCATCCTACAGTACCACCATCACTTGCTGTTCGCACAATTCCGCCTCAAGTCGAGTCAGTTGACGAGACTCGAGATGATTGGCTTGGATATCATCCCATCGTTACGCCAGCCAGCGTGCCTACTTCCTGTGACTCTTGCTTACACGGCCTTCAGTCGCACGACCAGAGCAACCGCCTTGTTTTTCCACGCGGACTGCACCGCGATAGTGCCACAGCACGCGAGACGGAGCAAAAGTGAAAAAGCGGTGACGAGGCGCCAAGTGCACGACGAAATTCTCAACGATGTATGGTACTCAACAGTGTGCGGTAAAAAGTCAGCTCGTGAAATGAGTCCTAGACAAGGCAAATCTTGTATGGCGGTCCTGAGCCGTGCCTGGTGAGCTCTCACAAATAGTGTCATGCAGGATAGAGGAGCTCCTGCATGTCTCGTCGAGTTTCAAGACATGACGTGTAGCCGCGCGGGCCACGGCGGTGATGGACAGAGTCACGAAAGATTGCATTATTGTTCATGGCCATTCGATTCCTCTTCGGAAGACGACGCACTCAATGTAGATAACGCCAATGGGGAGATGATACCATTGGACAAAGAGGCACATACAGAGCAATTCTATGTATTGATTATCAAATGGCAAACGGCGACGATCCGGGCATGCGCCTTCTGAAGAAAACCCTTCAGTCTATCTCGTTCCTGGGCGAGATTGTCCCTCGCACTCCATCGAAGGTTTACGGGGTGTGACAGCAGGTGCGTCTGTCTACTCCATCTCAATGGTTCCTATAGCCATTGATCCGTTAGCGAACCTGATACCGAAACGCGCGGAAGGATATATATGATTGACGCTCTTGAAATGCCAAGGTTCACAAGGGGGGGAGGGTAACATACCAGGGGGCTTGCTGGTGATATCGTACGTGACGCGGGCGATGCCGTCGACCTCGTTGACGATGCGCGTCGAGATGCGCTTGAGAAGGGCAAAGTCAAAGTCGTATGGCTTTGTTTGGTCGAAAAGGTCAGTCTAGTTTCACTGAGGAACAAACGAAAAGGAACCAGGTTTACCTCTGCGGACATGAAGTCGAGAGTCTTGACGGCGCGCAGACTATTTTCGGGCCCAGATATGATTAACGACGGTGCGTCTTTTGCTTCAGAGGGCACGTGAAAAAGTTTTGACTGGTGAAGGGGTTACGACTTACATGGCAATGTAGCCGTACACTCTGGCATCACCCTGGACGCCGACCGCGCGGTCCTTGCTGATGGCGACATAAGCCTGGCTCATCTGTTGTCCGCCGGCAAGCGGGCTATGTTAGCCGATCTGGGTTTCTGCTAGCAAGAAGGCCAGGGTATGGCAGTTGTGAAACGGTGGGAAACGACTTGCCTCGTCATAAACACCCGCGTTGCGGATTTCAGAGATGAAGATGTGGTCGGCGGTGCGGGTGATGCGCACTCTCTCGGGAGTAACCTCGCCGAGAATGCGGATGGCAATACCAGGTCTTTTGTTGGTAGATAGCATGTCAGCATAAGAGAGAAACAGGTCGACGCGGGGTTCGATATAAAGGATACATACCCAGGGAACGGGTGGCGCATGACCAGGTCTCTGTGGATGCCCAACTCCTGGCCGAACTTGCGGACCTCGTCCTTGAACATCTCGCGCAGAGGCTCAATGAGTTTCAGCTAGTTCACGAAGTCAGAATCTGTACCACCGTATAGGACGCAAGTATCGTGAATCCAGGTAAGTAATGCCTTGGTTTCGATAAACGTACCTTGAGAGTCTCCGGCAATCCTCCAACGTTGTGGTGTGTCTTGATCGTAGCACTGGGCCCTGTGCGAGTGTTAGTCACTTCTTTGCGACACAAAATGCATCTATAGCTTGGGCTTACCCTTGTATGATACACTCTCGATGCTTCAGGAATACGTCAGTAATTATGCAGCTTAAGTGGTCGCGAACTGCTATCATGCTTACACATCGGGGTACAGCTAAAAGGTTGATGGTTAGCGACGAACAAGCTAATTAGAAGTGGTTGACTTACTGTGCCTTGCAAAAACCATGTGACAGGACCGGCATTTGGTGTGTTCTCGGCCTCCTTCTCAATCCGGATAGCCTCCTTCTGGAAGAGGTCGATAACTGAGAGGTATGAGCATCACTGAGCTGGACATCATTATTGAACTCGGTCTTACATGTGCCGCCAATAATCTTGCGCTTCTTCTCCGGCTCGTGGACATCCTTAAGACGGCTCAGGAAGAGCTCGGCGCCATCAACAACTGTTAGGTTGATACCAAGGTGGTGCTCAAGAGTTTCCTTGACCTGCTCGCACTCATTCAATCGCATGACACCTGTGTCATCTTGTGATTAGTGCTCATAACGATGCCAGGCAATATAAGAGTGATACGAACCGTTGTCGACAAGAATGGCGTGGAAGCGATCACCTGGACGGATATTAGTGGGGGGGGAAATAATGATTATAGTTGGGCGGACATACCGATAGCCTCCTTCATGAGCTTCGCGGCAACTGTCGAGTCGACACCACCGGAGACGGCACCAATGACTTGCGCAGTCTCACCGACAAGATGCCTTATCCGGACGATCTCCTTTTGGATGAAGTCCTTCATGACCCAGCTGTCCTGGGCACCGCAGATGTCGATGGCGAAGTTGCGGAGGATCTCCGAACCGCGAGGGGTCTATACACGATGTGTGAGAATTTACTCCAGAAGCACAAATTGAGGTTGACTAACGTGCTCGAGTTCGGGGTGAAATTGGACTCCTGAAAACGAAAACGACGTCAGCTCGATCAAACCACCGTCTTGCATATTGCACAATACGGCCACCTCAACAGAAGAACATACCGTAGATAGGCTTCGTCTCGTGAGCGATACCAGCGAACTCGGAGTTTGTCGTGCTAGCAACGACGACGAAACCAGCAGGCAGCTTGACGAGCTTATCGAAATGACTCATGTAGGCTGGAATAAATGTCAGAGCGTTTGTACCGCGTGCCGTTCCTGCTCTAAGGTGTAGACATACCGTGCATAGAGTCTCCCAGGCCCTTGAAGAGGCTATCTGTGTGGGCGTTTCCAGTGTTGAGAATGTTCACGTCGGCGTGGCCGTACTCTATCGAGTTGTCAGTCATGGTCGCATGCTGCGCATGCCAGATGGACAACTAACCGCGGATAGTGCCACCAGCTACATTGCTGGCATCAGCCCTCCAGGCAAGTTCCTAAAGTGAGCAGCTGTCAGCTCTATCGAGGGCTGGCAAGCAAGCCTCAACTTTCATCACGAAGCCGGTGATTTCAATTTCGCATAGACTTGGGACAATGGGGAAGAAGTCCACCGTCACGCAAAGGTGGCCGACAGTAATTCCTGGTCAGGAGGAGGGTTATGTACCTGGCAACCATAGCTATATGTCGTGATCAGCACATGGACAGTGAGTGACAGACATGATCTGGGGGGCACTCATACCAGATACCGAGAATTGGCACGCCAAGATCGAAAACAGCAGGATCGACATCTACAACAACATCAGCACAATGCCCGCAGGAGGCATTCAAAGGGGGGTAATTTACGAGGCGCGTCCTTATCATAGACGGAAGAGGGACCTGCGAGGTGTCAACTCATGCACTGCATATTGTCACAGCTCAATTTTCAATGCCAATCACGCAGAGACTGTGTGAAGACCCAGAGTGACTACGCACCTCCCGAGAACACAATGCCCTTGGGCTTGAACGGCAGCTCGGCAATGTTGGTGTTGCAAGGCAGCATCTCAGCATAGACCTTCAGACTCCGCAGCCGGCGCAAGATCAAGTGGCTCGTCTGGCTGCCAAAGTCCAACACCAAAATGGTCTGCAAGAGTAATTGGGTCAGCCTATGTCTGGATTGACCAGTAAAGCACAGCTACATTAAAATCCGATTTTGGCGTCGAATGGCAGGTGGTCAAGTTTATGTCGTGATTCTGGAATGCAATGGTCGCACGCGACTTTCGATGTTGGAGACGGGGTCGATAGCTCTCGAATGTTTCTTAATCGAAGCTCAGGTGCCTCTCTGGTCGCATGGAATCATGCAAACAGAGCTCATTGTGGCGACAGTCACATGGTGAGTTACACCCATATCTGCCTCTGTATGTGCATGCAGCAGTCGAACAGCGAAGGACCCCATCTCGAATGCCGTTGTCTGGTCGAAGAGGACGATTCGTTCGTGGATGTGGTCGAGAGCATCGTGTTCGCTTGGGCGTATATCGCGGTATACAAAAGCTGGCAGATCGCTGAGATTCTCGCGACAAGGGGAAAAGACCTACGTCGAAGTTGTTGTGCGGCGCCTCGGCCTCCTGGATGTCAGTCATCTTGATGTAGGCTTAGAGAAGGTCTTTCGTATGAAGAGATAGCAGTTGTTGGACAGTGGTCTTGCCCGCCGTTTGTTGCGGACAGCTGTCGGCAGGATCAAGACGGGGACAAAAAGTTTTGAGAGCAGATCTCCCTAGCCGTGAGGGTCACAGGCAGGCACCGATCGCCGGAGCGCCGGCCTAGCGGTACGGCGGACGGCACGACTCATACCAAAAAACACACGGAAATGTCTGGTGCAGCACATGCACAGTGGGGGCGGGGCTCGAGGAATAATTTCTTATCTTGCTTATCGGCCTGCATTTCTCAGGGTCCCCATCCTGGCGCTGCGCCTTATCAGAGCCAGCTATTAGGAGATGCTTTAGGTTGTTTAGGAAGACCGATTGCGATTCCAGGCCCAGCTGTCGGTCGTTCGAGACGGGAATGAATCGGAGTTGGCCGTTCTGCTTCATTGATTGAAGACAGTTCCAGAAATCACACTCTAGCTCGAGTCACTGGCGACTGTGCAGGGGCTGCGACAGTGCTGAGATTGGATCCATGAAACTCGGCGAAGGTCATGTCCATACTATGGGACCATTCCTACCATCCCTACGTCGATGGGAAACACGTGCAAACGCCATGCTGACCACCTGGTGGCGGAGAAACGATGTCTATGATGCTGGATCACAGACAGCCCCGAGAGATTACTCAACCAGGAACTCCTGAATGTCCTTGTCCTCCTCGTCCTCCTGCAGTTGCCGCAGCCGCTCCTCCTCGGCATCCAGAAGCTTCTTGATCGCGTTCCTCTGCCTTCTCCGGGCCTTCTTGCCAAACTGCAGGACCGAGCCACTCGCCGCGGCGCCCTCGTCTTCGCTGTCCGTGTCTTCGGGGATGCCGGCAGCACCGCGTAAATCGTTCGGCGACATTTCAGCGTTGCGCTTCTCCTTCTCGGCCTTCTCCTCGGCCTCGCGCTTCTCCATCTGCCGCTGCTGGTACTTGGCGCCGTGGACGATGACGTACTTGCGGAACAGCATGTATGCGCCAACAATCATGACGAGACGGATATACTGCTGCGGCGTCATGTCCTTGAACGAGCCGGCCACGTTGACAGTCGTGCGCTCGTACAAGAGGCTGCCGAGCTTGGAGCACGTGTCGAACAAGTGCTCAAAGAGGCCGATGAGCTCGTCCATGATGTCTGGTATGGGATGATTTCGATTATTGGATATGTGAATTTGCGAAGAACTTCCGAAGGGTGTTGTTTCTCGCGGCGTTCAGACTGATTGCGCGTTTGGATCGTGCGGTAGTGATTATGAAGGATATTGCCAAAGTAGTAAGTTTCAAGGAGGGACAGCTGACGCGTCGCCTGTTGTGTGAATTGAATAGGAAAGGAAGGGATAGACTGAATGGCACAGAGCTGGACGATTCCCTGGAGCGCAGAGGGATGGAGGTCGATCTCGGTGAGGGAATAAATGCACGTTGCTGAGAAATGCGAGAATTAAAGGGAGCCGGAGAGACCGAGAGAAGATCGCGGACTCGAGCTTTGGCGCCAATTGGACAGCGCGCCATAAAAAATCGCAGCGCGGGCCCTTTATGCGTCCAAGGCTATCATTTGCAGCCTTCCAATTGCCAGTGGGTGCAATCGCAACGGCTTGCCCCACTTGCTCGCCCTCCTGCTTGGTCGCGGCGCGCGCAAACGACCTCCAGGGCTGATGTTGCTTGCCCCCATGGATCCATGCTCCGCCCAAAACAAACAAACACAGACCTCACCACTACCAACCCTGCACTCTGACAGAGATCTTCTATCATCATCTCTGCGATAACCCAGAGGCAGACAGACGGGATGGCCGATGATGCTCAGGAGGACGTTCGTGAGGTGAGTCGATTGACCAGGACCAGCTCAGCGGCCACACGAGACGCCCTGGCTTACACCCAAAATGCAGCGTCTCAAAGCCGCGCTGTGGTTTGCGGTTGGCAAAATGGTCGACGAAGAAATGTTGAAGCGAAACCGCAATGTCACCCCACAGTTCATCGGTGCCTTGACCGAGATGGTCTGGGCACAGATCGGTGCGTTGGACGATTCCAGCTCCTATGCGTCCTTGACTTTGCAGGCTTCACTGGCTTACCATATCTACATATCTCGTTGTCGATCCACAGAGAATGTTGCAATCGATCTCGAGAGCTTCAGCAGGCACGCTGGAAGGTCCACCATTACTACGGATGATGTCCTCCTACTCACCCGGAGAAACCAAGATCTCCACGACATCGTAAAGGACTTCGTGAACGAAAGAAAGGCAGCCAAGGCGCAGTCCAAGCCTAAGAGATGAGGTAACCAAGGCACTCCCTGATGCAGACGAAAGCATCAACCAGATTCTCGTCGCAGAGCAAGATGCATGCCTGTTACTGAAAACAGGTCATCCTCACAGGCGTTGGTCGTCACCGCCCCTCGGGCCTGCCGCTAGGTAAAGCCAATTCGCGCACACCACAACGTAACTAGCTTGGTGACCGATGATCTTTGTGACGCGACAAGCGTGTCATTGTGGTGTGGGGAAGCAGGCTCGCATCGTTCATTCTGAGCTCGGCGAGCACGGCCACGGCTCTTGAAACAAGGCAGACGGCCGACGATGCAAGCATTCTGGCTGCAGTTTCCGTGCTGGAAATACAGAAACTACAACGCAGTCCCACGGGGGCGGCGAGGTGGTGAGCCACTGGCTTTCAACCTCCTAAACTCTACACGGCAACTCGGCACCATGCCTGTATATACCATCAAGCTTCACCACCGCAGACCGGGTTGGTTGACGACGTACGATGTTTACATCACTTTTGGTAGCCAGTTCTTCTGTTTCGGTACCAAATTGCAATCAATTTGTTGCACTTGCTTCGATGCTATGACAACAGGGCATACATGATCCATTTAAACGAAGTACTCAGCAAAGACGTGTTGGACTTCCATGTTAAACGTTGTCCACGTCCGAGCGAGGCACTGCCACAGGGAATGACGATACAGAAGTGGCTTGACCCAGTGCGTGGGTCCTTTTGCACAGGCATCCTGGAGACCTCAGCCACTGAACGCATGCAACCACTACCGTCCCCTGCACGGACCCCTACCTGCGGCGACGTCATTGCAGCCATCGATGGATCTCTCGGCACATCCAGCAGGTGGGGGTGAACCCTTCAAAAGAATCCTCCGCCTGCAGGCAGGGAAGGACGGCAGGCTGGAAGCAAGATCGGTAGCGGGAAACCCCTGCCGAATCTTGAAGGCTAGCCGCGTGCAATTCCTGTCCCGAAAGGTTGACGAAGCGGCAAGGCCAGGATTTCGGCATCAACCGTTCAACAACAAATCTGGGTGTTGTGTAGATGACCTCCACGAACAGTAGTCCAGACTACAGGTACTCTAGACTGGTGGACAAAACAGGGCAGCCTTTGGCACAACGTGGGATGCGGTCATAGATGTGCCGATAGAGTTAAGACCAGTCAGCTAGAGCCCGATCCGTCGTCGGCACTATCGTCATCCTTCATCAGTAGCCCGCCAGCCCAGTGCCGCCCATTCCCACTTCTGCACGCAATCACTCGTGCGGAAGGCTCCGCAGTGGTGAGCCCAGATGTTCCTAGCCTGGACCTTAGGTCTCACCGGAGGCTCTTTGGTGGATGAAGTCCCGGTGTCTCTCGACACACCAGGGGCTTGGAGGGCCTCGCCCACCATTGTCCAAGCCAAGACCGAGCGCCCGGTGGGGATGGTTTTCGTCATACCCTGTGATCGACCGGCAGACATGATGCCCCTGCACAGAGGGTCTTGCTCTGCCTGCGCCATGACACCAGGAGGCAGCCCACCCCAGGATATGTGAACGACTTGTCGTCATGCAGGCAGACAAGAAACATATTTAGACATCCATTCCCCGCCCCTTCCGTTCATCGCACCCGCCGAATTGTTCAGGCTCAGTCATCGCTATTGTCCACACGCCAGGCAGCACGCTGTTCTAAGCCAACCCACCTCCCACAAACACTTTTCTACACAGACACAACCTCAATTCACACGTACATAGACACGACTCCAGTGCCGCCAAGATGGGTGCCAAATCTGGGTTCGCCCTCAAATTCCTGCAGTGGTTCATCCGCGGCATCCAGTTCTGCTGCTGCGCCCTCACCCTCGCCCTCTTTTCCTACTTCCTGGCCAGCGCCTCCAGACACAATGAAGGCATCCCTATCTGGGCCAGAGCCGTTGAGGGTATCTCTGGCATCGGCGTCATCCACACAGCCGTAGGCTTGCTCCTCCTATGCTGCCTCGCCGGCCACCCAGCCACATCCTTCATCGCCATTGTCCTTGACATTGCCTTTGTCGGAGCCTTCATCTACGTTGCTCAGGCCAACCGTGGCGGCGCTGGGAGCTGCCGTGGCTATGTTGACACCGTCTTCGGAAGCGGTTACGATAACACGTATCGGAATGGTCTGCCCACGTTCGGCACTCTCTGCAGAATGCAGACTGCCGTCTTCGCCGTCTCCATTGTTGCCATGTAAGTGCCCTTGATCTGAACTCCGTCTCTATTTGCACACCACTAATACGACCTAGCATCTTCTTCATCTTGTCCGCTCTCATGGAGTTCGTTCTCGTCCGCCACCGCCGCAAGGAGAAGGCTTTTGGTCCCAGCCCTGGCAACAACTACACTTCAGGTTACGCCAAGAAGCGCGGCGGTCTCTTCGGCAAGTTCGGTCGCAAGAAGCACGCCAATGCCACTGCCGAGAACCCCAACCAGCTGCCCACCCACACCACCCCCGACCAGATGCGTCAGAGCTACGCCACGGACGCCACGGCTGTCGGCAACAACCCCGACACTCTCCCCAAGCACAGCTACGATCCCAATGGCGTCAACTGCTACCGCCAGGAGCCGCTTGTGGCCGATCACCTCCACGGCCACCACCACGATGGCCAGACTGCGTACCCTGACCAAGGCTACCGCGTCTAAAGTCCGATATCGTAGCTGGATTACGACGCACACTATGCCAGCCACTCGCCTTGCCGCAAGAGCATAGTCGTGGGTGGGGTGAGATGAGCATGATACTTGCACACGCCACGCACACTTACGATCCTTATGTGCGATAATGATAATATGAATGAGGATTACCAGATAGCAGGAAGTTAATGAGACGTTACTGATCGTTTGCGTCACTATGATCAAATGAGATTGTACTTATTGCAGATAAATGCTCAAATATATGAAAGTTGAAATTAGTATCAATGAAGCTTTCAACGATAAGAAGTTGGTATCACTGCAGAGCGAGTCGAGCTGCTGAAACTTGATTTATTGTGCCGCCAGCACTGTGCTATTAAGAAACTTACGCCAGAGTCAGGTCACGGCAAGTTTCGCCGAGTGATGACCAATTGACGATTGTTTATTTCTTGTGTGCATGCACTTGCTTAAAGCATGTGCCTGACTGTGCGGTCCAATTGAATAGATATGGAAATACACTTTCCAGTCTCATGACTGCTCAGATTTCCCAGCCTCGTCGGTTCGCGAACGCGCCACCAAGGAACAGGGTTGTGCGTGTTCCAGCTCTTGACGTGCTCGCTGCAACCAGCAGCACCACTCCAGAATGGATTGATGCCTTTGAGCCACCCACACATAGACCATTTTCTCACACAGGATGGGTGCCAGGAGGCATCCCAGACTGGCGCCGACGCAGAGCACAGAGGGCACTATGGGTTGGAAACACAATCAGTGCTTAGCCTGGCAGCCAATGGCGGACCCTGGCCGGACGCGGGATTGTGAGAATGACCAACAGACTTTGTTTGTGTGACCTCTCGCGAAATGCAGCATATGGAGCACGCGGATGAGAATCTCTTGACGTTCAAACTCTTTACTTGTTGTGATTTGTTGTGTATTTTTTTGTCCTTCCCTGTCTTATTTTGTACAAGCCTCTTTCGTCGGTTTTTTTTTTCATGCACAACCTACACGCGCACACATTCAGGCCACAGGGTTCAAGTACAAACAGAGAAAAATCAAACGCTCAAAGTCCCCTTGGTACTAGGCACTTCGCCCTCCCTGCCCTTTACCCGGGTGGTGGCATGCCGCACGGCGACGGCGAGGGCCTTGAACGCGCTCTCGGCGCGGTGGTGGTCGTTGTCGCCCCGGAGGCAGTCGACGTGGAGGGTGATGCGGCCGGCCTGGGCGAAGCTCTGCAGGCAGTGGGGGATCATCTCGCAGCTGAGGTCGCCAATCTTTTCGCGGCGGAGGCCCAGGTCGATGACGCTGTAGGGGCGGTTGGAGAGGTCGACGACGGCGCGGGAGAGGGCCTCGTCGAGCGGGCAGTAGGCGTGGCCGAAGCGGGCGAGGCCCGTGGCGCTGCCGAGCGCGGTGGCAAAGGCGTAGCCGAGGGCGATGCAGACGTCTTCGGCGGTGTGGTGGTCGTCGACTGTGTGTGTGGTTCTTGTTAGTCCTCTTTTTACTATTGTCTCTGCTTGTCTTTTTTGCTTTGTCCCGTGGGGTCTCTTTTGACAGTAGGGTTTATCTTGGGTCTTGAGATGGGATATCTCTCGAAAGCCTCCTACCCACCCACTCCTCTCTTTACTTCCCTCTCCTTTTCTCTCTCTTTTTCTCTCCTTGGCCATGAATGAATATAGGAAAAAGACGTACTGTGCAGGTCGCCCTTGCAGGCAATGGCCAGACTCCAGCCGGCGTGCTTGGCGAGGGCGTGGAGCATGTGGTCGAGGAAGCCGATGCCGGTGTTGACGCTGATGGTCTGCGACTTGCTGGCCTGGCTGGCGTGGCTGTCGTCGGCGCTCGAGAGCAGCCGCGAGTCCGTGTCGGGCGGGAAGGCGCCGCCGTCGAGGTTGAGGGCGAGCTGGATCTTGGTCTCGTTGGTGTCGCGGGCGAGGGCGGCCCAGCGCTGGGCAGTGGGTTGTTCAGAGCCCATGTGTGTGTGTGTGTGTGTGTGTGTGTGTGTGTGTTATACTGCTGCAAGCGGTGTTGAAGAAAGAAAGGGAGCCTGCAAGACCAGTGGGATGTGCCAGACAGAGGTGGGTGTGTTGAATTGGGGACTTGGGTTGTCGTTCCGGTGGTGTTTGTTTGTGGCGAAGACGCTCCTAAGGCCAATATTTTGGCCGTCCTACGGTTGGAGCGAGAAATGTCCGTTCCTGCATCGGCGGGCTCGGCTTGGTGGGGGTGTTCTGCTTTTTGCTGGGGTCCATAACGTCACACTCTGGACCAAGCAGTGACAAACAGCCGCAGTTCCACCTCAAGTCGGCATGGAATATTCACCTTGTGGTAGGCGCTGAATATACCATGGTGCTTTTCCAGTTTGTAATGGCCCAATTGCCCTTGTCACTTGCGGGCGAAAGTCCCAGTCAGGGTTGGTGGCCGCTCCCCACGATCAAACTGGCTGTTAAAGGACTGAGAGGGAAACTCTGTACCATCTTACGGACCGACCCGAGGCGCCACCATGAGAGGTAAAAGGACTGGTTTGAGATACAGAGACCAGATCCATAAGACGATTATCAAATCGCCATGCAGTCAACGATGAGTAAACGCAACCACGCTGTAGAGCCGGGACATTACAGCACCTCTCTCCTAGAGACAGCCTGCTGTAGCCCACTCCGCTTGAGCATCCGCACTTGGAGAGCACAAGGGCTTGCTTGCGGCGCCCCCCACCCACGCTTTATCGATAGCACCCCAAGACCCTGTCGGCCCCCGATTTGCCGCAGCAGCAAGCGGCAGCAGCGCAGTCCCAAAAATTTATTGCTGTTAGCTCTAGCGCCCACCCGCAGCATTGTATCTTGGCCCTCGAAGGGCGAACCAGACTCGAGCACTCGAGGCAAGCACACGACGAGGCGCACTTCATACACGGCTAGATACAGAATCCTCGGGCAATCGCAAAGGCCGCGCGACTGATTTAGACACCACCTCTCTCTCTCCCCAATACCTTCCGTCGCGAACGAACAAAAGGCGCGCGCCGCCCAGCCGAGCAACACCCAGCTCGCCCACCCTCCAAGATGCCGCCCTCCCGGACGAAGACGGTCAAGAACAAGCATGCGGGCGCAAAGTCCGGCATCAGCGGGAGCAAGTCGTCAAAGTCCTCGGGACCGCCCGACGGCATCGTCAGGCAGCGCTCGTCGAGCAGCAAAGGCAAAGCTCCCACAACCACGGCCAAGCAGGTCAAGGGCCGCAGCGCCACGTCACTGCTGAACAAGAAGAGGAAGAAGGTCTACACGGAAAAGGAGCTGGGCCTGCCGCAGCTCAACATGATTACGCCGATTGGCGTCACCAAGCCCAAGGGCAAAAAGAAAGGCAAGGTTTTCGTGGATGATCGGGTACGTCGTTGTTCTTCTTGTTCCCTCTCCCTATCCTCGTCTTACCAATCCTCGCCATGATAATGCTGCAAAAGGTTCTCTGTTTTCTGGAGAGAAAACGGTTTGCGCTAACGTCTCATTGATTCACAAACAGGAGAGCATGTCCACGATCCTAGCGCTCGTGCAGGCGGACAAGGAGGGTCAGATCGAGAGCAAAATGATCAAGGCGCGGCAGATGGAGGACATCCGCGAGGCGCGGCGTCTCGAGGCCGAGAAGAAGGAGGAGGAGCGCAAGGGAAAGCTCGACGAGACCAAGGAGTCCCTGCGGAGGAAGCGCAAGCGGCCGTCCGCAACAGGCGATGCCGTCGACGAGTTCGCCGTCAAGGATGTCGCGTCCGCGGGCTCCCGCGCCAGCAAGGCCAAGAAGAAGAAGGTCGCTTTCGCTTGAGCAGCGTCAGACGGCAAGTAGCTCTGTTGTCTGTGTGGGGGAACGTGGTTCGGCGATGTCAAGTCTTGTCGCCAAGTCGTGGTTGTCGAGTTGGGCTGTGGTGGGTTCCATGGCGGATATCCATCAGTTTTGGCTCTTGCATTGTTGTGAGCAAGTCAAGGCGTTCTACGATTTGTTTTTCTGCACATCCTACACATATCTGTTATGGGCAAGGTCGGCGTTGAATTCATTCAGTACTTACTTGGTTTTCAGACATGCACACATAGTATCTGCTTGACCATCTCCCGTGCTCTCGTTGATGCGTCTCTCAATGGAGCAGGTGCTGGAGCTGCGGACTAATTTCTCGACGCCTCATGTAAATTGTGACCGCCTGGCGCCAATCTACAGCCCTGGTAGTTCTGAGCGGTGCAGGTTGTCCCTGGACGCATCGCAGCGATTCAGTGCCAGGCCAGTGATTGATAAGTCCTTCATCCTGGCCACAGTCAGGTACACGGACGGTCGATCATGACGCACGCAGAGACGAGGAAGATTGGCACCACGTTGTTTCGCCAAGGGCCAGAATAACGCACGGCCTGAAACACGATCCACAGGAAGAAGAGTTGGACTCGGCTACGTGATCGCAGGTGGCCGAGACCTTGTTGCCCGTTGCACGAATAATTCAGATGTGGATACTCAGTCACCAAAGACCCTGGTCCTAGGGTCCTGGCACCCATGTCGTCGGGCCCAGTCTTGCTGTTTGATATAGACGACGGGGAAACAAACATCTGGCCAAAGCTCGGATATGACTTCTTGATTGCGCTAGTCATATTTCAAAGTTGCCTTGGGCATGGGTAAATGAGTCGCCCAGGTTCCCTTTTGAACGAGTCGAAGTCGACTTTTGCACGTGTCTCCGATTTGCGGTCGCTCTGCCCAGCTCTGCATGGCAGAGTCAATAGGACCCTTGCGGGTGCCAGTCGCGTGGCGTCGCCTCGATAGGTCCTTGGATGTGCAACGTTGCTCGGACCAGCTGTAGGCCCGTTGACTCTGGCGGGAGCAAACCACCATCAGCGATCCTGCCGGTGGCTTGCGGCGAGCCAACACATAGATACATGCACGTCAGCTCTGGATGGGAGAAATGTGACCCAAGTCGGCCTGATCTGGACCCTCGTGCTTTGGCAGATTGCTGAATCAGGAAGCTTGTTCGGCCAAGAATGATTGACGTGCATACGACTTGTGGACGAGAGCTGGAATACGAGACTTGGCTGCGTAGCGTCAACTGCACAACCACCCACGCTCGAGGTGGAACGCATGAGCCTTTGTGGGATGGCTGGATTTGGGCTCAGGGTATTACTGCGTATGTTCTTTGCGATTTGGACCCTCTTGATTGTCTGGCCCCAAATATGTGTCCGTCAGGCAATGGCTCTGCATGCCAGAGGTCTCCCTGCTGCCAATGAGCATCTGCGTCGGCGAGCATCTGCGTCGGCCAGCAATCAGCTGCAGAGCACAGGCCGTCGACCTGATCTGATGGTCTCAACAGTTCCCGTGGTCAGACATGAAAAATGCGTACCTGCAGCCACCAGCCGCGCGCTGCCATTGGAGTTTGAGGTCCGGGCCGGTCGGTGCCTTGCATTTCGCGCTTGTGGCTGCTACTGGGCGTTGCCGTCCCCCCCACTGAAGGCCTGGGCTAATTGCATTAAGCTCGTGATCGTCCGGCGGAAGTGACCGAGTCGGGCAACGTCGGTCGTGACCCGTCGCTGCAAGGATAACAAAGAGATCCCTGCTTGTGTAATCTGCAGCCTCATGTGTAACAGCATCGTAATGGTTGCGTGTCGCCCTGTTGTCGACGACAAGACGGCTCGAACGAGGCTTCCACGAGAGCTGGGGAGAACGCGAGACTGTGATCTCAATCTGAGCACGAGTCCTCGGCTGGCCAAGTAATGTGTTGTCTCTCTGCGTCAAAGGGTTGCGAGGAGCTCTGGAGGAGAGCAGACCCCTGCGGCTTGGCGGCAGACGACTGGACGAGAGGACATGGTGGCAGCGGGCACCGACCCGTGTAGCGAAATGAAGTCTGCAGGCGGGCTGCTCAATGGGCAATACCAGAGCAGGGGGCCCACGGCGAGAGCGTTGGGTCTGCGCAGGGCAGCGTGGTAGCTCAAGCAGCCCGCCTTACTGCTTTCGACGCCGCTAATCTTAGACGCATCCGCCGCCCTGGAGGGCCCAGCCAGTGGGCGGCCACCGTGCCCAGCGGCGATGGAGACGGCAGAGATGGAGATGGGCAGCTCCTCTTGCCAGGCACAAACAGACAAAGCGGAGTGGGCGAGAAGCAGTGAGCCACGAGACAACCGTGGAGGGCCGATCCATGGGCCACCCCCGTCCTCGCCGGTCATTGCATCACAGTACGAGCAACTTCCCGCCGAGACGAGGGTGCATGTTGATGGAGGCTTTCCCGTCTCTTCTCCTTCACCTCCTCTCTCTCTCCCTTCTGCTTCTACGCCCTCAGCAGAGTGCCGGTCCATCCATTGCTGTCGACCAGCGTCCCAAGCGGTGCTGCTTCGTCCGGATCACGACATCGGTATCGACGTTCGACATTCGACTTCGACATCGCCCGCGCCAAAGACGAGCCATCCCGCAGCGACCACGATTGCAACAGTCCCTCCTTTACACGGCCGGCCGGCAGCACAACGCGGAATCACAGGTTGCAGTGCAGCATCACGACAGGACAGGGTAGCGATTTCCCTGGTGCAGCAGCAGTGTCCAGCAGAAGAAGTACAGCGAAAGGCCACCGGCTCGACTACATTCGAACGCATCAGGCCGGCATTTCCACATTGACGCAGGAGATACGTTGCAGCATCCCTTTGGCTTCTGTCGTGTGCACTTGGGCAATGTTGCAAGGTCTTGCCATGCAAGTGAGCAGACAACGAACTCTGAGCCCGCACCCAAGGCGTCCTGGGCACCTGGTCAAGACCCTTGAATTCTAGAGACCCCATCTCGTCCATTCCTTCACCCCAGTCGTCTTCCTGCGCAAGGTTGTCCTTCTCGAACCTGTTTCCGTCCGACAGTGCCTGGCCAGAAACAGCCAGGCAAACAAGGCACAAGGCACCTTGCCTGCAGGCACGTATCGCGCCCGGGCCGCCCCACCCACCACTGCGCTGGCGGACCCGTTCCAGCAGCCCGCCCGCACGCAGCAAACCGCACCAAACCTCGTATTCCATCCCTCCGCCACCGGGACACGTCGCAATGACCCAGTCCAAGGCTGGGCCTTCACTCCCTCAGGCCCAGGACACGACCGACACCGACGACGATCGCCAGCACGGTCTTGACAGCTCCGATTCCCACATCCACAGCCACCCACGCAATGGGCACCTCTCTCGTTCCTCCTCCGCCATCAGCAAACACAACCACAATCACGGTCGTTTCCACAACCATCGCCATCTGCACAACCACCACCACCACGCTCGCTCAGAACAACAACAGCAACAGCAACAACCCAAGCACCTCCAGCCCCGTGCAGACTCAGACCAGGTGATCGTCATCGAGACAATCTCTGTGATCCATATCGTCGACGCTCACGGCTCTACGATCGCTTTCTCCACGCTCCCACCTGCCAAGCCACGCACCACGACCATCACTGGCAACCTTTCGCTGCCAACGAAAGTTGGTACCGCACCGGACCTGCCTGCGCCGCTAGTCCCGTCCGGCATTGAAGGCTCTCCCAGTCTTGGTCTTCCGACGGACACCAGCAATGGCGATATCATCATTTCGCTTCCCCCACTAGACCCGACCGTGAAACCGTCGGATATCTCGATGCCGACCGTATTCCCTTCCTTATCGTACTCGCCCTTGACTTCAACTCCTTTGTCGGGCGGGCCCCATTATCCCTCTTTTGGCGGTGTCACGAATTCTACGACGACCCAAGGTAGGCAAACATTGCTATCCCAGTCTGCTGCTATCAACTATCTCCACTGTCAGAGAACGATTCATGTCCAAGCTGCAGCCTATCTAATATTGCTCCTCTTCATCTAGCCGTCGCGACATCACTTCTTCCCAACAATGGAACTGGCTCCATTAACGGCACGGCAATTTTTTCAGCCACTTTGACCTCTTCACTTCACGCCGCAGGCCTGACGACAGACTCGGCCTCTGTTACGTCTTCGACGCGGACTCCCTCTTCCTGGAGCTCTACCACCGGCACCTCCACTTCGACGACGAATGGCGGCGCCGTCGTCCCTACTGGAGGCGGATTCACGGACGACAGCAGCGACCCATCGGTGGCACCGCCACAGGCTACCGACTCCTCGACGCCACCTGCAGCGACAGTCGCAGGCAGCGTCATCGGCGGTATTGCGGGTCTTGCCATGCTTATCTTCCTGGCGCTAGCGCTGATGAGATTCAAGCGGCGGCAGGCGCAACAATCCCTGGAGAGTGGAAGCACAGCCAGGGGGGGACTTGATTCTTCTGCAGCAGCACGATCCGGTGGTGGTGATGATGGTGGCAGGGGAGGTCCCGCCATGTCACAACGGCCCCGGTCCGTGCCATTCGCTATCCCAGCCGCACTCGCGGCATTGAGTGGCATGCGCAGGTCTGCTCTACGGTCGGGCACTCCACCAGCTTCAGCAGGGACCGGAACTGGGGAGCGGGGATTCTCCAAGATATCAGGCCGGAAACTGCCTCCGGTGATTCAGTTTGGCGGCGATGGTTATTCAGATCCACGTGATACCATGATGACCATGGATTCAAGCCAGGTCTCGTACCGCGACTCAGCGGGCATCTTAGCTGGTGGGAACCAGAAGTTTGCCGTAGGAGCCCCGATGCGTCCGGAGAGCGGGATACCAGTATTCCACGAGGGGCCTTCGCGATCACCAATGATTGACCAGGGCCCGTTCAGCGACCACGGGCCATACGTCAGGTCTGAGTCGCCTACCTCGACACTAACGCCACCACGGCCACCGAGGACTCTGGACCCTGTGGGCAGATCACATATCTCAAACGACGGGTCGAATCGATCGACCCTGTCAGTGTCTCGGTTTACGGAGGAGCTCTAACGAGAGCGAGGGAAGAACCCAAGAGAAAGTGAACCAGCCGGACAACAATGCTCAACGCTTGTTTCCTGTTCACACACGCCCGTTTGAGCTGTTCGCTTCCACCATACCTCTCTTCACTTGTGTGGTCATATCTTCCAAAACTTTTGTATTGCTGCTTGCTCATGTGGATATTAGCGAGTTCTCTGTTGATTACACATACCACACAATATACAGGCCTGGCCGAGGCCGATATGACGACGATGTACCCTTGCCCACGATTGGTTTCGACCATCTCGTAGTCTGTGTCATATGCTCATTGCGTGATCTGATAATTGTCAGCACTTATAGGTGGTGCTTGCGCAGCTATTATCCCACCAGAAAAGGGACAGCGCCTTGCCCGGGCATGGCGACAGGCGAGATGAAGAGTAGATCCTTACCCCACCCATCCAAGGTGAAAGACTGACGTTCCGCAATTCCAATAATATATGTGGGCGCGCGTTGTCAGAGAGGAACAATTGCGGATCAAGAGAAGACGCTGGACCGACCATGAGACGACTTGGAGTAGTTGAGCCCGGCAGATGCGCATCCCTTCCATCCCCACCTAGTTGATGTACGGAGCAACAAACGGTCCGGCACACCTAGCGTGGTGTGTCGGCTGCAGGACAGGACCCCCAAGATGCCATTGGATGACCACCCCCGCCAGCGTGCCTGGTGTGATGCATTTGTGCAGCAGCGCCTAGGCAGTAACGGCCGATCGCTGAAATCGCAGAGCTAAGCCTCACTCAACAGGGTCAGATTCACACGTTTTGTGTCACCGGCCTGCATCTCCACGAGGGCTATCATCTTTTGTCAATGCGAAGTTGCACTCGGAACCGTTGTGTCCTGCTTCAGATTGTGCTTGGCGCGTGACTCGGCGCCCTGGCGGCGGAGCCTGACCATCGTGCCTGAGCCTTGTATGTGTTTCATCCCTGTCTCAAACCTACCCAACGGGGGTGGTGGATTGAAACATTTCCGCCGCACTCATGCCACATCGTGGAGGAGGCCTCGCTCTCTCTCTTGCTGGGCCAGACTCGCCTGTGTCCAGGCTGTGGTTTTGTTTCCCTGAGCAAGCAGGCGAGGCAGGCATTGAGCCGCTGGGCGAGGTGAGTTCGGCGTGCGGCCGGCTCGGCCGGCAGCCATGGGGATCGGCGACATGTTTCAACCGGCATGGGACGAATCCGTTCATGCCCAAGTGAAAATGACACCAGCGACGTGATGCATCTGAAGGGCGCTAAAGAATCTTCGTGGGGTTCAAGTTTGCAACCGTTGCTGTTCGCCGTCGTGCCAGAATGATGTGAGATCGGCCGTCTTAGTGATGGGCAGCTGATCTTTGGGTGTCTCCTGCTAATTATACCCAGAGCTGGCAGAAAAGTTTCCCAGACGAGGCAATGATTCAGACGCAGTTTGTGGCTGAGTTGATGACGGCCAAGCCCTCTCTAGCTTTACATGGTCTAGATCCCGTGGCGGTCGACTGCACTAGTGCGAGTTAATCGTCCTAGGGGTCTAGACAGCACCCGTGGCACACAAAGATGGGGGCGTGCGCCGTGCTGTTGTTGCTCAGTGAAGGAGTCGGAGCTCGTGCAGAGACTGGAAACTCTCGAACCATGGAATCGCAACGGTCGGCCGTTGCTGACCTTGACCAGGTGTGTCGTGCCGTGCCGGCACGGAAGTCGATCTTGAGAGGTGCCGGTGTGACCGTGACACCTGAACCAGCAGGGCCCGCGTCATGGGGGGTTTTGTGCACTCAATGCCAAGCAAGGGAGTGCGGCGGCCACATCCCAGGGACGAGCCCCGTCTCTGACCCTAGCTCATATCAGCGATGTTCTTGTCGGATTGCATCATGCACTGGCAACCCTCACGAGGCCCGTCGGGGGTTCTGCATGTGTTCAACGGGAGATGCAGTCTGAGTGACACAGCTCGAGCTCTGCTGCAGCTTGAATAGCAATGTCTCGGGCGTGTTCTTGTCGAGCGGCATATGAAGGGGCCTGGCGGCAGAAGGTTGATAGAGACAGAGACAGGCTTCGTCGAGGCCCAGGGCTTGGCTTGTCAGTGCCGGGCAAGCCTCGTCGATGTTGCATTGGGAGGGCGGGAGCTGCCTGTGAAGGACTTCAGTGTCGGACTTTTACAGCACCCTGGACGCTGCGTGGTGCAGGTGGGGCTTCTGGCACTTGCAGTTTGAGGCAGGCACATGTGCGCTAGAGAGAACGGTGGCCCACCTGCTGGCGTCGAAGCTCCCCAGCAGGCAAAGGGCCCGGCCAGGACACGCACGATCGCAGCACCCGCCCACATGGAGGCGTCAGCAGCAATTGGTAATCCCTGGGGTTGATCGCGGCGCTGGCTTAGACAGCGTCAGCCCACTGCTGCTGCCGCTGCTCCTCCCACGCGGCTCCCCCGCGTCTTCCGTGCTCCAGCAGGGTCTCGGCTCAGTGGCCTGGCACACCTGCATCGCATTTCCTCGTCCCCAGCTCCCTTTTTGCGTCTTCATGACCTCAACACCACACTCCTCCCGCCTCCTGCCAGGTTGCAGGCCCGCCCCGAATACGCGCACGCCACCATTCTGAGTGCCTCCTGCTGCTGCCGAGACCAGCTCGCTTCTGACGACGAACCTCCAAGGGACTTGCTCGCTGCCGGCATCCACTGCCGCAGCCCCAGAACACCCCCAGGCAGTAGTAGTGCTGCCATCCACGACAGTCAGGTCGTGCGCCTCCACAACACTGCACAACGACAACGAACCTACACAGCGATGGAACACTTGAACTCTGCGTCCTTTCACATGCAGGGCATGGCCCCGCCGCCGCTTCTCAACCAGCCGCCCCAGATCTTTGGGGGCTACGGCCACGAGAGCATGCCCATGCTGCCACCGGATATTGCAGCGCAGCTCGGCTTCGACCCCTCACTCTTTGACGATGTCAACGATCCCAAGAGGAGAAGGATTGCGAGGGTGAGTCTGCGTAGCCGGTCCCGGTCCTGAGAGGGTTCAGCAGCACACTAACTGCTGCGTAGGCCTGCGACATGTGTCGCAAGAAGAAGATCAAGTGTGACGGCAAGATGCCTTCATGTACTCACTGTATCAATTACAAGACGGAATGTGTCTTCACACAGGTGGAAAAGAAGAGGACGCCTCCAAAAGGGTACGAAACCACTCCGTGGACAACGAATCCGCACAGCCGGATCGGGAGCCTCAGCTTCCAGCAGTGCAGCTGATCTTTCTTCGTCGTGACCAGTGCCAAGTATATCGAAGGTATAGAAAACAGGCTTCAGCGCATGGAAAACATCCTGCGATTGTCAGGTTAGTCTCGTGATCGCCCACTGCTCAAGCCAAGTCGTACCCTGCCCTGCACAGCAGGTCTTGATGAAGACATGACTGACACCGAACCTACCAAGGCCTTCTCGAGGATGAGGATGGTGAAATCGACCTGGCTACTTTGGAGAAGCGGCTCGAGGAGAAACATGGCCATACGCGGCAGGAGTCGCATCTTACGACAGACTCGCATACTCCTTCAAGAACGCCGTCCTTGCACGACAGCAATGCCATCACGCCACAGAGTACTTTGGCATCGCCAGAGCACACTGCCGAGCATGAGCAGAGCCGGAGAAACTCGGTCCAGCCCATCAAGAAGGAGTCCGCAGAGAGCGTGGAGGCCTTGTCAGAGATGATGTGTTCGCTGGTAACAAACAATGCTGGCGAAACTAGATATATAGGTATGCTATTTGTCTGCGTGCCACAAATGGCGGCTGATCACTGACTGTGCTCCACAGGATCATCCTCTGGCTTTTCCATATTCTCACCGAAGGGAATCCAATGGGTGAACGAGCGCACAGGCGATTGCTCCTTCCAAGAAATGATCTCGGAAGTCTCTATCGACGATCACAAATGGACCCATTGGAAGCCAGATGTCTTTGCCGACCTCTTCCGGCGGCCGGTTTATCGCCCGCTGCCTCCCAAGGCAGAAGCAGTGTCACTCCTCACAGACTTTTTCGAGAACTTCAACTGCATCTTTCCCCTTTTCCACCAACCAACTTTCATGCATCTTGTCGAAAGACAATACTCGAGTGACCCATACCAAGGATCTGGGTGGTGGGCCAGTCTCAACTGTGCCTTGGCCATTGCGCATCGTCTTCGTGTGATGAGCAATCTTGTGCCGAAAGAGGACGACGACAAAGCTTGGGCGTATTTGAAGAACGCCATGGGAGTGTTCGCGGAACTGACGATGCGGAACGGCGACCTGCTGTCCGTCCAGGCCCTCCTGGGCATGGCCCTGTTCATGCAAGGCACTCCGAATCCGCAGCCGTCCTTCGTGCTCATCGCCGCTGCGATTCGACTCTCACACAGTATCGGTCTCCACAAGAAAGGCAGCGGTTTCAATTTGAACCCCATCGAGACAGAGCAGCGGAAGCGAGTCTACTGGATTGCGTATCTGCTCGACAAGGACCTATGTCTCAGGTCTGGGAGACCACCAGCACAAGACGACGACGATACGAATGTCGATCTCCCCGATGCTGACCCTGCCGACAACATTGGCAATATCCCTCTCGCCGATGGCAAAGGCAAGATGAACATTTTCCGCACCATGTGCGAAATGACTGTAATCGAGAGCAAGGTCTACAGAAGACTTTACTCTGCTAAAGCGACTAAGCTGTCTGAAGGCGAGATTCTGCAGACAATCAGCGAGCTCGACAAGGAACTGGAAGACTGGAAAGACAGCATACCCATCGACTTTCGACCGGAACACGAGATCAAGGCTTCGCATACACCTCTGATGCTCCACGTGGTGATGCTGCATCTATCATACTACAATGCATTGACCACCATCCATCGGATGACGGTACATCGTGGCTATTTCACGAGCCGGCTCTCCGAATACGCGCTCAAAGGCATGAACTCGAGACCATTGAGCCCCCGCATTTTCGCATCGGCAGCACTGTGCGCGTCCGCAGCTCGTGCTTCTATATCCCTCTTGAAATACATCCCACAGGCTGACTGTCAGGTAGTGTGGTAAGTGATTGCGTCCGCTAGTCAGCCCCTGTGCATATGGCTGATTCCTGTTGCCAGGCTTGTCCTCTATTTCCCCGTCACTGCCCTTGTGACCTTATTCGGCAATGTCCTCCAGAACCCACTAGACCCGCGGGCCAGATCCGACACCAAGCTTATGAATGTGGTCGTTACTTTCTTGGCCACTCTTGGGCAGGAGGCAGAGACCGGCGGCGTCCACCGTATGCTGGCAGTGTGCTCCGAGTTTGAGCGTATTGCAAAAGTTGTCATTGACAAGGCCGAAAAGGAACAAGCTGCAAAGAAGAAACGCAAGAACCACAGTCAGCTTGATCCGCCTCCAGGTACAACAACGACGACGCAAAGTCCGGCGGCCAAGGTGACGACGCCTAAGCCGAGCACAGAATACAACTCTGACTCTGGCAGGGAGTTCCGGTCCTCATTGTCGCCTCGTTTCAATGGCAAAGCTAATGCCGAGCTCAACCGGGGTAGTCCAGCAGCGAGCGTGGGTACAGCGGTCAGCCACGATCCATCACACCAAGAGAGCCCTGGACAGTGGATCGAGCCGTTCAACGAGAGCGACATGCCGGACTTTGCAAACTTCTCAGATCTCACAGGTTTTGGCCAGCCAATGCCCACCATCCCGCCATTTTCAAACCCGATGATGGGCAATCCGCAACAACCAATCCTACCGCAGGACATCTGGCAGGTGCCCAGCATGGCGCTAGACTGGGACTGGGCGGAGAAGTTTGGCGGAGCATATCCTGGCTTCGAAAATGGCTCCACGATGCGCTAAAAAGTGGTGTAACCCACCTGTTGCGGCAAAGAATTCACTTCTGTGACAATGGCCTCTTGTTGTCACGCTCTTACGTTTTTATCTTTTTCTAATCTCTGCAATGATTGACGGCCGTCGCTTTGGTTTGGATACGGCTTGGTGGCCGAGAAAGCGCATATACACTGCTGCGATTTGTATACAAGGATAGAATTCATCCGTAACAAATATTGTTTTTGGTCTTTTGCGTAGCCCATTTTCTTGCATATGTGACCTAGATAGTGACTTGTATCGATCAAGTCATCGCCCATCGTTCCAGCAGACAGCCAGATCAGACTTGAAAGTGGGTGCAATTTGATGTACACGGCCGCCCCAGTGGTTCCGGCCGAGGTCACTCTGACGATGTGGTGCCGAGTCCAGGCAGATTCGAAGACGTCAGCAGTCGACTAGGAAAAAGCCCAGGGAATTCTGGACCCATATTGTGTGGCGTCCGGCGTTTGCGGACATGTCGGGAGACAACCCTTGAGACAGCAAAAGGGACTGCACTGCGCCAGGCCCTTCGGCAAAAGGCGCTAACCCTCATTGGGCTAGACCGAGCATGGGAAAGCTTTCGACGGATCACCATCAACGTCTCCTCGTCCTCACTAATCCAGTCCCGTCCACCTATGCCCTAGCCAGGCGAAATCGAGTCACCACCGAGGCCACAACGCAAAGCACCAGCCCACGATTTGCACCACGGCGAGGCTGCGACATAGCACGACGACACTCCGTCCTTTGGACCACGACGCCACGCGCCTGCCACTGCCGGTGTTTCGCACGTCAGCCGCGCCCGCATCCGCCTCACCCGGCGCACCACATCACACCACGCCGCCGGCCGCAGTGGAAGCATCCTTCCCAACCACAACCCGACCCTCGAAAGGCTGGTTGTTCCTCACCACCTCGCTCTTTGCCGTCCTCGGCACCGGCCCTCAGCACATCCTTAGCCATGTCGGCCGCGCTGCGGCGGTCGCTCGCCCTCGGTCGGCTCGCCAACTATTCTCTCAGCTCCCCGGCTCGATCCAGCCTAAGAGTTGCGAGGACACTGCGCGCTAGCCCGTCTGCTGTCTGGTTGACCCAAAGACCTCGCTTCTATTCCGATAACAAATCGACGGAGCCCAATAATGCGCCCGGCAAGCAAAACCCAAAGGGTCCGGAAGTCCAGAACTCAGCCTCGCCGGGTCCCACAGAAGGCAAGGCTCCTTCGCCAAAAGAGCTTCAAAACTGGGAAGATGGCAGGATCGAACTGCCCCCGGGTTGGGTCTACCTCAGTGAGAGCGAGTACAAAACCGTCATGGATCTTCTCAACGCACCCAATAACGTTTCCTGGCTGCCAACGAGGCCACCAGCAGAAGCAACCGGGTTTGCCATTATCAGGTTCACTGGCATCCCGAAGGAGCTCAAGGAGCTCGCTGAGCAGCACGCTGAAGGGGAGCTCGGCTTTGCGGGCACCGCCAAGCTTCTGAAAGCCATGAACTCGATGACCAAGCACATCACCGACCCGAAGGTGCACGAACTGGTCCAGCGCAACCAGGGTAAAGGATTCGAGGCCGCATGGGACAAGGACCACGCGGCGCCGCCCAAATCGAACGAGGGCTCCAAGGAGGAGGCCAAGGATGACATGTTTACTCAGAATGCCCAGAAGAAGGCGGGCGACCAGCAAAACTCTGCGAAACCGCCCCCACCTCCCGAGGGGCCCAACAGAAACAACGACTGGATGACGACCGTGGTTGGCACGATTGTGGCTTACTGGCTGTACAATTCCTTGTTTGAGGACAGCGGCCGGGAAATCACGTGGCAGGAGCTGCGGAAGAATTTCCTTGACAAGGGCCTGGTCGACAAGATGATTGTGCAGGGTGATCGCGTGCGCGTCGAGCTCAACAAGGAAGCGACACAGTCGGCCTACCCCGACTCCCCTGCTACGCGTCCTGGCTTCTTCTACTACTTCTCGATTGGTTCCAAGGACAGCTTCGAGAGGCATCTTGAGGAGGCTCAGCAGGAGCTGGGTATCCCCTCCAGCGAGATGATTCCGGTCAGCTATGCTGGCACTGGCATGGCGACGCAGCTCCTGTTTGCCTTTGGCCCCACCCTGGCCCTCGTCGGTATGCTCATCTGGATCAGCCGCCGCGGCCCTGGAGGTGGTGGTGCGGGGGTTTTCGGCATGGGCAAGAGCAAGGCCAAGCGCTTCAACCACGAGACGTCTGTCAAGATCAAATTCTCAGACGTCGCAGGCATGGATGAGGCCAAGCAGGAGATTATGGAGTTTGTCAGTTTCCTCAAGAAGCCAGAGAAGTTTGTCAGGCTGGGTGCCAAGATTCCCCGCGGCGCCATCCTGGCTGGTCCTCCCGGAACTGGTAAGACCATGCTCGCCAAGGCGACTGCCGGCGAGTCTGGTGTTCCTTTCTTCAGTGTGAGCGGTTCCGAGTTTGTGGAGATGTTTGTTGGTGTTGGCGCCTCCAGAGTACGTGACCTCTTTGCCAACGCCAGGAAGAGCGCCCCCTGTATCATCTTCATCGATGAGATCGACGCCATCGGTAAGGCTCGTGCGGAGGGCAAGAACATTGGAGGCGGTCACGACGAGCGTGAGGCGACACTAAACCAGATCCTCACGGAGATGGACGGTTTCAACACATCCGAGCAGGTTGTCGTGCTTGCTGGCACCAACCGAGTTGACATTCTCGACAAGGCACTGATGCGCCCTGGCCGTTTTGATCGTCACATCAACATCGACAGGCCGACAATGAAGGGCCGTCAGGACATCTTCAAGGTCTACCTGCCCAAGATTGTGACCAAGGAGGATACCGAGTACCTGTCTGGCCGCCTTGCCGCGCTGACCCCTGGATTCGCCGGTGCCGATATTGCCAACTGTGTCAATGAAGCTGCCTTGATTGGTGAGTCGAGAATATATTTGCGTGATGCTGAACTAGTGCTGACGATCCATGTTGTTTAGCTGCGCGAACCAACGCTACATCGGTGACTATGCTGCACTTTGAGCAAGCCATCGAGCGTGTCATTGGAGGACTCGAGCGCAAGTCTCTTGTTCTCAATCCCATTGAGAAGCGGACTGTAGCCTACCACGAAGCGGGCCACGCCATTTGTGGATGGTACTTCCGCTATGCCGATCCTCTTCTCAAGGTGTCCATCATTCCCCGCGGCCAGGGAGCGCTTGGATACGCGCAGTACCTGCCTGGTGACGCGTACTTGATGTCTTACAACCAGCTCATGGACCGTATGGCCATGACTCTGGGTGGCCGCATCTCGGAAGAGCTGCACTTCCCCACCGTGACAACTGGGGCGAGCGACGACTTCCAGAAGGTGACGCGCATGGCGACAGCCATGGTCACGGAGTGGGGCATGTCTGAGAAGGTCGGCACCATCAACTTCCGCAAGGACGAGAACTCGTTCCTCAAGCCCTTCTCCGAGATTACTGGCCAGACCATCGACGAGGAGATCAAGCGGATAGTTGCCGAGGCGTACAAGCAGTGCAAGGACCTGCTGACGGAGAAGAAGGCCGAGGTCGGGCTGATTGCTGAGGAGCTCCTGAAGAAGGAGGTGCTCGTGCGTGACGACATGATCCGGATTCTTGGCAAGCGGCCGTTCGACGACCGTGAGGAGTTCAACAAGTACTTTGGTGGCGAGGCGAGCAAGGGCCCCAGCAGTGCACCGCCCCCGCCGCCAGGCGAGATCACCAACGAGCCTCCGGCACCGGACGCGCCGACGCCTACGATGTATGAGAAGCTCGACGGCAAGGATTTCAGGTAGCACTGAAAGGCATGTCCGCGACATTTGCTCCAGCGTGAGCGGCTTGTCGTGGCGGTGGTGGTGGCTCCCGGGGCTTTCCCTTGTCACTCACTATCTGTATATATGTATGCATATCCGGGGGGGTTTTGGGGCAGATCTCAAAACATATGACGAGAGATCATTTGTTTCCCGCCGAGACACGAGATCGGCGGGCGCGCCGTGGGATGGGAGTGACCAGAAAGGGTGCATATTAGACGAGATCAACGAGGCAGCGAGGAGGTGGATCAGGCCCAGATATAGGCTCTCTCTCTCTCTCTCTCTCCTCTTTCGAAACCGAAAACAGCATTCCGCAAGGTTTCTCCACCCCAAAAAATGTATTCATAAACTCACGTCTCTACTATTTTTCTTTTTTTACTTGTCTACAGCATTGGCTGGAGAGGAGAGAGAGCTTGGAGTGGTGGGTGCTGGGATGACAAGGCGACATTGTACAATACAGAATAAGAAGACAAACAAACAACCTGGAAATCAAATATAAGTGAAAGCAGAACAAAAACAAGAAATGGCCTAACAGTTTGGAACGAACCGGAGGGGAGAAACAGCGCGCCTGGGGGAGCCTGTGAGTAAGCGCGGTTCCGGTGATGTGACGTTATGGGCAGGAAAGAAAAGAAAAGCAGAAGAAAACACGAGATCATCCGTCTGTCTGTGTACCTGTCTGTCTGTCTGTCTGCTTGAGATTGAGCGGCGAGGAGAGGTGGGACGGGGTACGCACGTGTCATGAGGGCAGCATGTGTTGCAGAGTCGAGGTGATCTTTTGGTTTTGTCTGCCCGAGCAGCAGAAGCGGCAGGACCAGCAGCAGCAATAGCAGAATGAGCATAAAGGGCGGCCCCGGGACTGGGTCCGGTGTGGAGATGTCGAGAGATGATTGCTTGCTTAAACGCCCCATTGTACTGCACAGAACCGCTACCTCGCGGAGCTGTTTCTGTCCGTTGTGGGGCATTTCTCCCACGATGCCTGCCGGAAAGGGGAATGAATGAAGACTTGACATGGATGGGGAGACGTCACGACACATTTGATTGTGCATGGTGCAGGTGGTGGTGGTGCACTTGCATGTGCCATGCGGGCCCTGGGCCGACTTGGCATTCTGCTTGGTTGGCCGTGTCCTGAGGCTCTTGGCGGCGAGGAGAGCGACATCGGGTGCTGTGTTCTTGCATCCGTTTTCTTTTTCCCTCTCCATAGGGGCATTTGAGCTGTGATCAAGTGAAGCTCCCTCACCTCAGTAAAGTAAGTTTTGCCTTGAGCTGCTTGACTCCATAGCCGGATGTGGATGCTTGTATTCTGCCGGGATTGCGCCGGCTTGCCATGACGCGGAGAGCTCTCTCTCTCTCTCATCAGCCTAATTAGCGCCAGTACGGTATTCTGTGCCAAACAGTCGGCGCGCGCAGAATGATGATACGATGAAGCGTGGGGGTAACGTGTTGATCATGGTCCGACTTTTCACAGGATCACAAGACCCCGGCAGCTGGGGCATCCCGAGAGCCCTCCTCGCCCGGCGTGCGACTTGTGGCCCATGATTAGTTGACAGCGCCCAGGCGGAGCCGCAGGAGACGACAGCGGCCCATCAGTCTCACAACAAACATCTCGAGTCAACAAGGCGGCGGCCATCCATTGCAAGGTGCAGACAGAGCTGGCAACGCAGCCGACCCGGAGGAGCGCTTTCCCCGCCAGCCGGGCTGTCCTTGCCTCCCCTGCCCTGCCCTGTCGAATCTGGCCTTGCATCTCGTGTGTGCAACTTCATTACGTAGTCAAAAGTTCAAAGCACATGGAGTCCACCCACTGCCTCCGTGTCGTCTGCATCACGACCGACACGCCCGTCCGAGTCAGTCGACGCCCGCGGCCGAGTCCTGCTCCCCGTCATGCCTGCTCGCCGCCCACTGATCCACCCTCCGTCCGTCCCTCTTCGCGGCCGGCCTCCCGATCGCCGGACCCTGTGCCCGATACATGTAGCCGGGATCACCTGCCTTGTGTAGTCGATCCAGCGCCGCCCACCGTTCGTCCGCGGCCTTGGCTTTAACTTATACACACTCGTTTGGCTGGCCTCCCGCGCCGGACTGCTATTACTACTACTACGACTGCCGCCGCCACCACCACCGCCTCCCTCCTCCTCCTCCTCATCCACCTCCTTCTCCACTCCTTACCCCCGTTTTATTTCCATCCCTCTATACAGCATTGGCCCAATATCGATCGGCGGACAAGGCATTGCCGCTTCTTCACCATCCGTACTGCGCCTTTGGTGCCGTCCATGCCATCACAGCTCGGCGGTCAACGATGATTCCTTCGACGTAGTAGCCCGCACCCATCATTTCTTGTTTGCCGACCTCGACATCCACCATCAAACTAGGGAGGTCGACTTCGCGTTACAATTGCAATAACCGCCCGCCATGGCGCTTTCAGGCGCTGGCGACCGCACCGGCTCCGACCGTTGGTGGAAGATCCATCTCTTCAGGGGCATCATCAACGACATCCGCCGCCGCGGCCCCTACTACGCCAGCGACTGGCGAGATGCCTGGGACTATCGCGTCGTCCCGGCCACCGTGTACATGTACTTTGCAAAGTCAGTAGCGCTGCCTGTGCCAAGTTATCAAAGACAAAACGCATTTCATTGTATGCCACGCAGCTGACAACGTCCCAAAAAACAGCATCATGCCTGCGCTGGCCTTCTCTCTAGACATGTTCACCAAGACCGGCATGCAGTATGGCGTCAACGAGGTCCTCCTCGCCTCCGTGCTCGGTGCCATCGTCTTCTCGCTACTCGCATGTCAGCCGATCACCATCGCGGGCGTGACTGGCCCCATTACCGTCTTCAACTAGTATGTTTTCATCGTTGTGTCCCTTTCAGGTCTGTGTGGCCATCTAATTGTTGTCTTCGAACAGCACCGTCTACGACATCATGGTTCCGACAGGCACCAACTATATTGCCTTCATGGGCTGGATTGGCATCTGGGCACTCGTATTCCACTGGATCCTCGCCGTTACAAACAGCTGCAACTGGCTGCGCTACGTGACCCGCTTCCCCTGCGACATTTTCGGGTTCTACGTCGCCTTCATCTACCTGCAGAAGGGCATCCAGGTCCTCGAGCGCTTCCCTGAGGATGCGCCGCTATACCTCTCCGTCATGGTCGCCCTCCTTGTCTTCATGCTGGCTTACACCTGCGGTGCCCTCGGCGCCAGCACCTTGTTCACACATCCCGTCCGCGTGTTCCTCAAGGACTACGGCACCCCTCTCACCGTCATCTTCTTCACGGGGTTTGTCCACTTTGGGCGCATGAACAGCGTAGAGCTCGAGAGGTTGCCCACCAGCACGTCATTCTTGCCTACATCTGGTCGCCAGTGGCTTGTCGATCTGTGGAATATCCCCGTGGGCGACGTTTTCCTTGCGATTCCCTTTGCCCTGCTGCTGACGATTCTATTCTGGTTTGACCACAACGGTGAGTCCTCTAGGCCCCATCTAGACCTGGATTTCCCAGGCTGATCCGTCTGAAACTCTCCATAGTGTCATCTTTGATGGCCCAGGGCACTGAGTTCCCCCTGGTCAAGCCCGCTGGCTTCCACTGGGACATTTTCCTGTTGGGCCTGACGACTGGCGTTGCCGGCATCTTGGGCCTCCCGTTCCCGAACGGTCTGATCCCCCAGGCCCCGTTCCACACCGAGTCGCTGTGCGTCACCGTGCCGGTGACCGAGGAGGACGCGGACGGCAAGCGAAAGCACTACTTCAAGCGCACCCACGTCGTGGAGCAGCGCCTCTCCAACCTGGCTCAGGGCTTGCTCACGCTCGTGACAATGTCCCCGCCCTTGCTCGTCGTCCTGCACCTGATCCCGCAGGCCGTCCTCGCGGGCCTCTTCTTCATCATGGGGTACCAGGCCCTCGAGGCCAACGGCATCACCGCGAAGCTCCTGTTCCTCGTGCGGGAGAGGTCGATGACGTCCTCGGCAGACCCGCTCCACGGGGTCGAGCGCCGCGCCGCCGTCTGGGCGTTTGTCGCCATCGAGCTGCTCGGGTTCGGCGCCACTTTTGCGGTGACCCAGACCGTGGCCGCCGTCGGCTTCCCCGTCATCATCTTCATGCTCATCCCCGTGCGTGTCCTGGTGCTGCCCCATTTCTTTTCTCCCGAGGAACTGGGCGTGCTTGATGGGCCGACCGCCGCGCCGCATGTCATGGAGTCTGTGGGCGGGAGTCTGGATGATATAGAGAAGAAGCACGGTGATGGTGGTGGTGGTGTTGGTGGTGAAGAAGGTCTGAGCTCGGCATCGACGCGTGGCATGGACGGGGTGCAGGACGTCGAGGCTAGACGGCGGGGGACGCCTGGGATGATGGAGAGGGGCGCTGCTGCTGCTGACGACGACGACGGCACGGGGGGTGCCATTGTTGGTGGTGCTGGTGGGGGAGGTGGTGACGCCAGGGCTGAGATGAGGAAAAGACTTAGGGGGTGAGAAGTAGCAGTCATGACGGCTTTTTATATAGAACCATGTGCGCGCCCGAGGAGCGATGACATGCGGTTCCTTTTACACCAATTTGAGGGACCACACACGGATTATCTTGGTTCAGGGGAATGGGTGTAGATGGGGGCGCCAGTCGAGGCGATACTCGAGGCAGGTATGAGATGTCTCATGCGGGAATAGAGACGGCCGGGGAAGTGGAAAGGTCGTGGGGAGGTGAAGAACCAGCACAAAGTGCGAAGTGGACTGCTCGTCAGCGGGCTGTAACCATGGGAACCTCGTGGAATAATGATACCCCCCTCCGCTTTATAACCCCTTTTACACCATTTGTTATATTTCTTGTGGTTGGCAGGACCAGACCATAATAGACTCTGGAAAGCTGTGTTTGTGGGCAAATGGTATTTTATTCGGTAGCCTTTATTAGAAAATGCTAGTGTTGAGTGTTTTTTGAACAACTTGGCGTTTCCGGGTGAGAGAGAGCATGGACCGTGGAGAGAAAGGGCGGCAGGTCACATAGTCGTAACAACCCAAGTATACCACGAACACTAAGGGGCCGGGTTTCAAAGGAGTGTCGTGAGTTTATTATTATCTACAACTACCGTGTAACATCAAGCGAGGTTGTGTGTCAATCTGTGACCTTTCGCTGTTGGTCATTGTCCCTTCCCCGGAAGTTGTATCTGTGCGTGTAGGTGGACAGACAGCATGATGCCCGGGAAGACCATATAACCATCGTCCTCCATACCCTTTTTTGGTTTTCTTTTTTTCTTTTCATCCCTTTCGGTGGAGTTTCTGTTGCAGTTCCCCAAAAGTCCAGCGTTTTTTTTTTTTTTTTTTTTTTTTTTTAGGGGGGAAAAAATGGGAGAGAAGCAGAAGAAGGAGAACAGCTTTCCCCATCAATCATCAGTTTGTCATCGTCACACGTACGACGTCCTCGATTTTCTCTCTCGGCAACACTTTCATCGTCGGTTGCACACCTCCGTCGTCATCATCACACTTCACAGAGTCGTCTCTCTTCTCTACTCAAAGTTTCATACCTCGATCCACGATTCCTATTGCTGCTCTCCTTTTTTCCACGAAGTCTGCCGCATCTGAAAGCCGAAGAGGGTCGTGTGCGGGCGCGCGTTTGGCGATTAGTCCTTCTTCTTAAAGAACGAAATAAATGTCAGCCCACAGTCCCTTCTCTGGGCATGTCTAACCGGGAAATACAACGACGGACAGTCGAACAAGGCTGAAGAGAGAAGGACGAGGCGGGTGGGGAGGGGACGACACCGACGACGATGACGACGGCGGCGAAAAGACAAAAAAAAACACAAAGTGACATGGAATGAGATAGAAAGAGAGTACACGTACCGGGCAGTTTGTGCACTGGCAGTCCTTCTCGCACTTGCACGACCCGGCGCTCGCGCACGAGCACGCTCCGCCGGACGAGTTGCACGAGCAGGCCATTTTTCCCTTTTCGATGAATTCCGACTTTTTATAAGAAGAGGTTGTTGTGATAGGCTTTTCTTTCTGATTGTGACGTTTTGCAGGTGTTGGTGTGGTTGTGGATTTCTTCACAGTGAAAAGGAGAGGGCTATGGCTTAGTTCAAAGGAGACTGGACACCAGGTTATATACGCTCCCCCCTTCGTCATACAACCATACTCGATCGAAAAGCCCCCCATACCAGCAGGGCACTCCCGGGTCCCGAAGATAGATACCGTAGAAAGTCTAAAACAGTCCCACGGCCTGGACTGGGCGGCGGCACCGCGCGGTCCGGTCCACCTCCCTCCCTCCCTCACTCTTCTCTACACAACACACACACACCAACATCATGTCACTCATGTGACTGGCCCAGTGCCCGCGCGGCACAGGACCAGCCCCGACAGCCGCGCCGTCATCGTCGCTGTGGTTCCCAGTGCGTCACCATGTTATCATTCTCCCATTGAGCTACGCCCCGCAACCGCCCCCCCCCCCCTTCCCCCAAGAAGTCCATGACGCCGCAAAAAGCCTAACAAGGGCAAATGGCACACGACTGGCTCTCCAATTCATCAAGCTAGGTAGGTTGGGGGGGGAGAGCTATACGTCAAAGTCACGGAGCTCTCCGAGCTCTCTTCCCCCAAGCTCCAAGCTTCCCCGCACTTTGTCACACACATGGTGGTGGTCCGACCCAATCCTGCAGCAGCAGCAGCAGCAGAACAGGAAGGGTACTGATACTGTAGCTCAACCCTGGAAATGGAGAATTGGGTTTCGCTTGCGGAAACTCAAGACATTGGCGGTCGGCTCGGGAGGGCCCCCGACTGCCGGCCTTGGGATTGGTAACTAGGCCACTTGGACCGACACGGATTCTGCGCTGAGGATGATAATTTACTACTTTTTTTTCATGTCTTTTAAATCCATTTCAAAGATTATCAAGGAAGTCCCTAAGCCCTCTGCCCCATGCCATGTACTGGGTGAATCCCTCAAACAATGCTAAAAGTCCCGTACAAAAAAACATAAAAGTCTCAAGTGTGTCAACTCTGCACAACATCCCAACACCTCGCAGCTTCACCACCCAGATTATGAGGGGGGAGCAGCGGCCTTCGTCCGCTGGCCGTAGGCGCGAGTGACGTAGTCACCATCCTTGACGATCAGATCCTCAGGGCGGTAGTCGTGACGTCCGGAAAGGTAGCTGTCGAGAATAGCCTTGGTGCCGTCCGCGTACCGCTTCTGGGCATCGAGAGAAGTTCCCGACATGTGGGGGACCATGGCGTTGCCGCCGCCGAAGGGGTTCTTGGCGGTCCGCAGAGGGTGCTCGCGGGGGGCGGGTTGAGGGAACCACACATCACCACCGTATCCGCGGAGGTGGCCAGATTTGAGAGCCTCGGCAACGTCCTCCTTGACGACGATGGCACCACGAGCAGTGTTGACGAGCCATGAGCCTATTGATGTTTGTTAGCACTGCGACATTTCGCCGATCCATCGAACGACCACGGGTTCTTGGAACGTACCGGGCTTCATCTTGGAGATGAGCTCCTTGTTGAACATCCCGCGGGTCTTCTCGTGGAGCGGGCAGTTGATGGTGACGACGTCGCACTGGGCGAGCATCTCCTCGAGATTCTCGACACGGCGGCAGCCAATCTCCTTCTCGACCTCGGCGCTCAGGGGTTGGTAGTCAAAGTAGAGGAGCTCCTTGCAGTCGAAAGGCTTGAGGCGGCGCAGGACGCGCTCGCCGATGCGGCCAACAGCGACGGTGCCGACAACCTTGCCCTCGAGGTCGTACTCGTTCTTGGCGACTCCAGCGACGTCCCACTCGCCAGCCTCGATCATCTCGTGGGCCGGGACGAAGTTGCGGACGAGGACGAGGATGGTCATGACGACGTGCTCGGCTACGGAGACGACGTTGGAGCCAGTCACCTCTGCGACGGTCACACCGCCGTTGGTCTTGTTGGCAGCGTTGAGGTCGACATGGTCAGAGCCGATGCCTGCGGTGATGGCGAGCTTGAGGTTATTGGCCTTGGCGAGGCGCTCTGCGGTGAGGTAGCCAGGGTGGAAGCTGTGGCCTGTCTGTCAGTGGGCTGGGTGGTGATGTAATGCAGTTTCAGAAGCGAGGAAACGTACGGGGTTGTGATGATGACCTCTGCATCGACGAGCTCCTGGTCGAATTTTGAGTTCTCGCCCTCCTTGTCGGAAGTGGTAACGAGTGTGTGGCCCTGGTCCTCGAGCCACTTGCGGATGCCCAGCTCGTTTTCTGTTGTGCCCAGCAGCTCCGGGACCTGTTGAGTGTGAGATTAGTATCAGGAGTCGCAGACAGGAAATGGGAGGGGTTTCGTTGACACATACCTGCTCGGCGTGCTTGCCGCCGTCGTAGAGGACGAGGAGAACTTTGACCTTTTCACGTTGCGTAGTCAGCATGCGAGTCGCAGAGGGGCCGGTGAGGCGCATGGTCGGTGAGCGGAGAGCGGAGGGCCGGGCAGCTGTGGTGGCGCGGAGGGCGGAGGCAGCTTTGAATGAGGAGGATGAAGAGGGAGAAACTGAGGAAGAATGGAGGGCACGGGCAGCAGCGGCCACGGGGGACACACCGCGAAGCCCGGACCTGGGCGCCGAGCGGGCGAGGGAGGAAGAGAGGGTTCTCATTACCATTTTGAAAGTCTTTGTAGAAGAGGAGTCTGGTGGTGTCTGTGCCGGGTGAAGCAGCGGCAGCGAAGAGAGATGAGTGGTGGTTGTGAGATGAGGAGGAGAGGTCGAGAGAGGAGGACGAGCAGAGGGAGACGTTGTCGCGGGGGGCCTTTAAATTCAAAGCAGAGACTACATTATGGTACATACGGTACTCCCACAGCCAGCCGGACCGAAGGACTGACTGACGGACGTGGCCAGTGAGGCCAAGCAAGTGAGGGGAAGCGGTGCCGGAGTGAGACTGACGGTGCTGCGGACGGGAAGGAGCGAGCACCCGCGCGGCTGGTGTGAGCGCCTTCCTGCCCGGCCCATCTCATCGCACCCGCATCATCCGCATTGCGTTGCCTGCAGGCGCTGCAACGCCCATTGGCGCGCAGAATCCCCGTGGCTGTCGCAGTGCAAAGCAAATGCAATGCCGCCATCCACTGCGTTCCGTTCGGCCTGCCCCGGCGCTGCTCGGGGATGGCTCGGGATCGCAGGGTGCCCCGCTGTCCCGCTGCCGCCGCGTCCGGCCCCGCACGGCAACTGAAGTGGGGGCTCCCCGCAGTGGACAGCTCGATCTCGTCACTCTGCGCTCAGGCTGGAGCGGTTGCTCCTAGGTACTCGGCCTGTCGTCTAGGATGAGAGACTCCGAGCTGAGAATGCTGTAGTGTGCAGGTCCTATGTGTAGCAGCAGGCTTTTCCTGGTGGGTGTGAGCGTGTATATGTGTGTGTGTGCAAGTGTGCAATGTGACTAACTATTACTGCTGCATTGCCGGCCAAGGACGCGGAATGCGGGGAGGGCGCGATGGGACGACGCACGGCAGCGCGGGCGCTGCAGGCCAAGCATCGAGGCAGGCGCAGCCCTCCACCCGCTCTTGCCCTTTTGGGCTCTGGAGGCCAGGGCCCGCGAACCTTGCCGCCAGCCATGACTACGAGAAACCATCTGGGCCATCACGGCTCATCCTCGACGCCTTTTCCGATTCTCCGAGGCGACTCCAAAAGGAACCCCTCCCTCGCCAGACCCCACAAATAAACACAATGGCTCAACGACAAACAGCTGTCACGGCCTCAATATTAGACGACGAAACCCCCAAATGTCTACGGCGCAGGCCCGGGTCACCGCTCCGGCCGCGACGGCTACATTCACAATTCCGCTTTGCGAGCTCGGGATGACAGGCTGTGTGCTCTTTTCCAACATCGCGTGCTATCTTACAATGTCCAGCATGCCGCAGCCACGACTCCCAGTCCCAGGGCCATCAGACTCGCCTGCGCGTGAGCAGCCCCCGCGATGGGTACTGTCGTGGGCTTCGGCCCACCGCCCGTCCCGCCCGTCCCCTGCGCATTGCTCGGCTTCGGGTTCGCCGTCGAGTTGCCAGATCCAAAAGGTGCCGACTGCTGGTTGGTGACGCGGAAGAAGTTGCCAGCCACCACCTTGTCCGAGAGTCCTGCCGCCTGAAGTGCGCTCGCCACGTCGAAGCCCTTCTGCTTGGCCTTGACGGCTTGCTGCAGCTTGGCCAGGTTCGCCGCACTCGCCCCCGTCGTGTCCACCAGAATCTGCGTGTAGCGGTGCGTCAGGGGCACCTTGGCCGGCGGGTTGGGTCCAAAGTACGGCACCAGCGCCGCCTCGCCAGCCGCCGCCGTCAGCAGGAACGCGTTCGTTCCACCCAGGTTGGACGGCGACGCACTTTGCGCCAACCCCGTCTGCGCCCAGTGCAGCAGCGTGTCTGTGGCCGGGGGATTGGCGGTGGGGATGTCGAGATCAATCATGAACACGGCGAACGACGTGCCGTCCAACTTGCTCAGTGTCCCAATCTGCGGCTGAGTGCGGGTCACTGTAGTTGTGGTGTCGAGAAACCGTCAGTCACATTGGCCGGCCTCAGACTTCGCCTTTCTTCCAGTAGCTGAGACTCACCTGACTGCTGCAGTTCCGCTCCGTCAGTGCCCAGTTCATTGCCAAAGGCAACCAAGAGGCTGTTTTGCGAGGCCGGCACGAACCCTGGCGGCGTCAACGCGAGCGCCATGGACGCAGCCGCCGACAGGAGAGTAAGGGCCTTGAACGCCATTTTGTCGGTAGTCGAGTATTATCACGGTGGGCGTATTATCAGGTGTAAGTGGATGATACGTCGTCAACTGACCAGCAGCGAAACAAGGACCAGCCTGTTATTTAGTGGGTGGATGGGAAGATGGGTTGCCTAGGACAATCCGTACCGAAAACAAATTGACTTTGTCTCTCCTTTTAAGTATGGACTCAGGAGATTGGGATGCAGGCTTGGTACTCGTCTCGTCTAAACGTCATCCATTCAACAATCGAGGCTGCGACGAGTCCATTTCCGGCCGCCTCTAGCCCGGACATGAAACATGGACGCGCAACGTCTGCGAGCCGCTCCACACCATGCCCGACTATCGAACGACGACCTCGCAATAGCCAAAAACCGTCAGAATCGCGACACACTCGAGACGATCCCAACAGCGAGCCCCGGAATAAGCTTATTCCCACCCGGCCCCTCCTGCCTAGGCACGCAATAACCACAAAACACACAACCATGCACATGCTCCACGATCCTGCAGGGTTCCGCATCGCACCAAGGTGGGGCCACGGCCGTTTCGGCGCAACAAGGTGAGGCTCTACCCAGGTACCCCACAGGCGCAACCCTGCCACCGATGCTCGTTTCGTGCGTTCGTGTGAGAGGCTTGTGTCAAGTGGTTCCAACACCACACAATGGGCGCCTGGCGATCCGTCTTGGCTGTGACGCCAGACGTGTTGACTGACTGCTCCTCCCAGTCCCAAGCCAGGGTGCCTAGCCATTCCCGCAGTCACCCAACTCTCAGACGACGAACCCGCATCATGCGAAACCAGACTACACCCATTGTTGGCGTTGTATTTATAGGTGCTGCGGGGGTTTCTTGACATCGGGCGCGCTTTTTTGTTTTGTTCTTCTGGCGTCGACGACCCTCTCGCGGCCACGCCAGTCGCATCTGTCTAAACACGATGGTGTGGATGGTGTGTGTGTGTGTTTTGGGCCCGTTCGGACTTCTTTTGTTTTCTTGTCGTGTTACACACTCTTGTCTGATGTGATGGTCAGAGAATTGTGCAAAGCTTTTTTTGGTCGTCCCCGATTTGTAAAGGCGGACACAGGCGAGCAAAGCAGCAGATTCGATGACACTGGGACGTGAAGACCATGCATGCTCTTTTTTTCATCTCAGGAAATATTGGCTAAGCACATGAGCCTGCTTGCTGGTGATGCTCGTCCCACCCATAAAAAAAGGAGGTACTACTACTCTGACCTGTAACAGGTACCAAAGACACAAGGAAAAATAAAAAAATAAAAGAGCAAGGCCGTGCGAGGCCGCCGCTATGCATGTTATCTTTGCAAATGCGCCGCCGCATGTCTGCGTGTGTGAGGGGGTATTTCCAGCCATTCCCGAACAGCAAAACAAAACCACAAAGAAAAGGAAATAAAATGTGTGACCCAATCACTCCGTTGTCATGATTGCGCGCGACCACATCCCGTAGTGGTGCTCTCCCCCACAGAACAATGCACATCCCAGTACAGCTTTGAAACAAGCGCTTTACTTGCGAAAGAGCCTCCCCTACTTCTTCCGGAACAGCCTGGTCGTGCCTCCAACCTTGTCGATTGTGCCAAAGCTCCCGCTGTGGGAACGTTGGGTGGGGATGCGCTCGCCGCTAACAAGTCGCACCTTCTCCTTGACGCTCTCGACCCAGGCTCGGCTCTCGTCGCTCATCTCCTTTCTGGCGGGCTTGGGCCCAGCGAGGCCCAGCGAGCTGCTCTCCTCGTCAAAGTCGCTCCGCATCGACATCCTCGACGACTCAAAGTCCGGCGACGGCGACTTGGTGCCCTGTCTCGAGATTGGGGTCCGCAGAGGTCGTCGTGCATCGTGCTCGCCCACGCTTCTCCTGGTTTTGCGGACCGCCAGCGGCGTCGAAGGTGTCTCCAAGGCTGAGGCCGGTCGACTGGAGGGGCTAGACCCAATGCGAGAGGTGCTGCCGGGCTGCGGCGAGTCTCGCACCTCGACCTTGCCTTCACCTTTGGACTTGCGCCCGTGGTGCGCGGCATACTCCTTCAGATACTCTCCCAGGTCAGACCACCCACCACCCACGCGAACCATGACTCTCTCCCCATTCTCTCCGACACATCGGATGAAGAGCTTGATGGGCGCCTCGCCTGTGGATCTTGAGAGATGATATGTCTTGATCTCTTGGCTGCTCTTCGGGCGCTGCCGCGGTTCCCTGACTGGTGCAAGCATGAATGACGGTGTGCCGCTGCGCGAGTAGGATGACGGAGTGCCGGCCCGTGAGGACATGGCAGAGCCACTTCGCCGGAAAGGTTCTGATGTCCGAGGCCTGGCCTTACCAGGAACCTGGAAGTCGGGCGGATTCAGGTTAATGGGAGGCTTGAAAGTTCTAGAGAGCTTGATCTTAGCAGGGATGTTCTGCAACACCTCTTTGATCTGTTGATGCAAGTGATCTTCTTCGCTCGTCATGCTGACCATGCTCATACGGCTGTGGCTCCCCATTTGAGCCTCGTAGTCAAACGATGCGTCAGGATCAAAAACGGCAGATGAATTCAAGTTCTCTAGAGTCAAAGGCGGCCCAAGCTCCCTGATAGGGAAGACCCGAGGCATCTCCTCAAAAGAGACCGAGGTGGTTCTCGGTTGATATCTCAATGGCGGAGAACTGGGTGGGCTGACGGCGTCACTAGAGAAGGGCTGATCCGGATCCGGCAGTGGCGGCAGCTCGGGTTCCATCGAATCCTCGCGGAATGAATCGCTGGCATCGAGCTCTGTCAAACGGGATGTGTCGTGGACGACGGTTGAGGCGACAGAGATGCTGCTGGCCATCCTTCGCGGGAATCGTGGCAGATCGGGTTCTGAATGTGTGTCTTCCTCCTCTACTGTTTCGAGAATTGATGGCTCCATGAAGGAACCATCCAAGGTAGGGCTCTCTTGTTCCGAACTGTCCCACTCGTCTTCGTTTTCTTCGTGCACGGTTCTTTGCGCTCCAACAGGCTCCTTTTCGGATTCCGGGGGTGCCGCCCTGACTATGTTGCGATTGACCTCGGATAGGATGATGTTGTTGTTTGCACGTGACTCCTTGAGCTGCGGAACCTTAGGGAGGTTCTCTTCGCTGAACTTTCTCATAAGCATCTGAACTTTTGAACCCTTAGTTCGTGATTCCTTGTTGGGTTGTATCTTTCGCCTTGGCTCGCTGGCTCCATCGACTTGTCTCTGCGCTTTTTCTCGTGTAGCCGATTTGTTAGGGATTGCTCGTGTAGGCTTCGAGAGTGCACTGCCAGGCTTTACCACCTGGGTGTTGCGCTTGGGAAGTTTGATCGGGCTCCCGATCGTGGTAGGAGGACGCTCTAGCTCAACACCACCCTCCTCCTCTTCCTCCTGTGAGCTCGTGGGCGAGTCATCAACTATCGAGGAGTGGTCAAATGGCAGTGGAGGAGACGACGAGAACTCCTCCTCCTCCTCCTCCATCATTTGATCTCTAACAGGACTGGGTGCATGGACTTGAATGGTCAAGTTGGATGCTCGTGGAGATAACAAGGCCGCTGGCCTGGAGGCCTTTGTCCAGGTACCACCATTGACCCGGTGCTCGCCAGCCATCACCCACTGCCTCCAGCTCCGCTCGACCTTATCGACGCGATCTATCCAGGTGTCAGGCACGGTATCCGGCGTGGCCTCCAACGAGTCAAGCATGAAATCCATCAGCTTGCACACCTTGGTAACCTTGGGTTCCAATGTCTGGCGCATGATGTCAAATGTGCCACGAGACAGTCGCGACACGGGCTCGTCCCCCCCAGAGCTGGACGGGGGTGTGACGACGTCCCAACCGGCTTTGAGGGCTGCTTCGACATCCTCCAACGACAGGAGCAATTCTGGTATTTTGTCGAGTACTGAAAGCCGTACGCTCCACGCATTCATCAGCTTCCTCAGCCTTGAAAGAATCGGCAGACAATATAAAATGATCGCAGTGATGACCGCTGTCAGATCTTCCATCTTGACATATGACAGGGCCGAGGTCATAGACCGCCCAGTGTCCGAGTAGGGTGTGCCGGGCCGTGAAAGCGGCAAGATGTGGGTGTGGAGGACTGTCGCCTTCATCTCGTCGATATCCATGGCCTCCATCTCCTCGATGATCTTGTCAACGCGGCTCTGGTACCGAAGCACATCCTCTGAAGCGATACTGCCGCGCCATTCATCGTCTGCCGCTACCGTATCCTTGGTGTCCTCGCCAGATGCATTGCTCCCATTGACCGACACACGACGTGCCGATCTGGGAGGCTCAAATCCTGCACTGCCACCCTCCCGTGGCCACGGCCAGTCGCAAAGCTCCTCGTACCAATCGTGAATATGTTTGGAGGCCACCGCTGCCCTCATTGCAAACGCCTGCTCGGAGGAGGAGGCTTCGTCCAGGCATGTCTTCAGCGCTCCGATGGGAGTGCGCAGCGACTCGATGACACAGAACGGCTTGAGCGAATAGAGGAGGTCGTCAGTGTCGTCGCTGTAGCTGTGGTTGCGCGTCGGAGATCTGGAAGCGGTTCGGAGGTGGCGCGGTGCTCGTATGGTGGTGACGCCCGAAGGCGTGATGGAGCGGTGGATGTCGGCCATGGCTTGGAACTAAATGTTAGTATTGTCGAGCTGGTGCTCGGAACGCCGGTTCATGAAGAGTGCATGTCTCGCGTCTGGCCGAGTGCTCTGCCTTGGGTGCGCTTATGGCGTTTCTTGCGGTCGGTGACGATCTAAATGAGCTGGGCCGCCATGGTCCTTGCGTGAACGACCGAGATCCGATGTATGGAGTATGAAGCAAGCCCTAGCGAGAGGTGCTCCTGTCGGGAAGCAGGCTTGCGGTCTAAGCTCCTTCCTCGCGAGATGCGTTGAGATAAAGCCTTGGAAAGAGCCTTGAAGCCAAGGGACGCGAAAAGCAGCTGTCGTTGTCTCTTTTGTGGACGGGTATGAAGGCAGATTTCCAGCAGCTTGGGATTGTGGCGTACTCGCAAGCAGGGGGATAAGGACCACGAGCGAGCAAGACAGCCAACAGACGATGTGTCGAGAGAAAAGAGCGAGAGCGTGCGATGGCAGCAGACTTGACCGAACCGGTGTGGATGTGGGGCTGGCGATCGCGATACACGAGGTTGGCCGTTCTGATTTGATGCGAAGAGGAGGGGATCGCTGTCAAGCGAGTGAGGTGAGTGGACGGGAATTCCAGAAAAGCGGTTGATTGCGCTCGAGGAGGACGCGGGTTGAGGGCGGCGCTTCGCGGGTGGGGAATGCTGGAGCTCCAGGCGCTCGCTCGGGCTGCCTGGGCTCAAGGTGCACACTTGGCAGATTGTGTGGCCTTGCTTGTCTCACCACGCTTACGTGGCGAAACTGGCAAAGAATGCGCAACGCGTGCAGTCAGCCGAGCCGTGTTTCTGGTCCGCAAACACAGAGAGGAGGAAAGGACGGGAGGCAGACAGGGAAAAGGGAATCAACCACAGATGCTCGAGGCTTGAGGCAGATTTGGCAGCTCGAGCTGAGGCTCGCGCGGCAGGGACAGGGATCGACGGACGGGGGGACCCGCTCCCGTATCTTGTGTTAATTACTGCCAGGTGTGCGACCACATCGATGGACCCAGGGGGTCATCATCAAGCCAACACCATGGAATGTCAACGGCCGCCGCTCGTTTCCACGCCCGGGGATTCGAGGGGTCACTTGAGGCCATTCTCGGCCATCTTGACGTGTTTCGACTGCAGGCCACTGACGTGCGGCGTGCAGTACTGCATGAAACATTGCAGCGCTTGGGACCCCAATGAAGCGCCAACCAGATCTCGTCTGTTTCACATAGATCGACGCCCAAGCGCGGTCGAGGCTCGTCAGAGAGGTCGCATCCAGACGTAGAGTAATCACTTGCAGCGAACCTTAGTACGTAGACATATTATCATCCATCAAAAAAAAAAAAAAAAGATTGACACCGGGTGACTTTGATGCTCGACAGCGGCCGGCTTCCCCCAGCATCCTAGCCTGTTCTCGAAATTTCCAAGGCAAGCCCAGGCTCGCGGGCCAAAACAATCTCCATCCCTCGTCGACACACCCATGTCCAGCCTCAGGGTCCCCGGCCTCGATGACTGTTCTGTAGCACGCTGTATCCTCAGCAACGAGCACCACTCGCCGAGCCGCAACTCCCTCCCGGCCTGTCCGTCGTCACCCCCGGAACACGCGATCGCAGCCCCAGTGATCAATAGTCTCGTCTTCTCCTCGCCCCCAGGCTGCGCACCATCACAGCCTATTATGGACTGAAATCCAGCGCCGGCCAAACTCAATTGGCGCTGCGAGCTCTCTTAGTCCAAGTCCTCACCACCCGCTGAACCTTCTCAGTTGCCCTCGAGCCTTCCGCGGGCTCCCAATGACGACCTGGTTAGTGACTGATCTATTGGTCCAGGCGGCCGGTCCGGGGAAGGCCCGCACCACGCTAGCACTGGACACAGCGCGCGCGGCCGTCGAGCGCCGTCACCACATGGTTGGGGACATTTGGGGGGACGACGGGTCAGCGAGCAGGTATTATGCCCTTTTGCCATGGTAAACAAAGACAAAAAAGCACACGTCCTTTGTAAGCAGACTGCTGGACTACTCCGGAGACGGTGCACATTGGCGGATGACTCGCAGGCCTAGGTCCGGTGTAAAACGTCCATTTTTCTCATGTCTCCTGACCCTAACTATAATCGTGGCGCGCGCGTCCGCAAGGACTGTAGTCTCTAATTAATCGACTTCTGATGTTGAATTGAAAACCGAGCTCTGGGGTATCTCATCGAACTTGTATAGAATCAAACGGGTAGTGATGGACAAAATACTAAAGTCAAAAGTGCTTTTCCCTCACCCAGTGAACGCCGCCCAGGGTTCGTAAGACCCCAAAAAGTAATCATAACTTCGTTACGAGTTGACCAAGTGCCAAAAAGAAAGAGAAACCAAATCAAGCCTGCCAGCAAAGTAGGAGACCATCGTTAAGCTGTCGTTTCCGGCGCATCAAGCATCCCAAGGAAGCTCGTTGGGCCATCCGCGTCAGCCATGCTCATCGTGCCTACGGCCATGGCATCTTTACCATCGGCCTGGGGATAGTGCAGCCACTGGTCGAAATCGATGTTGGTGCCCGTAAGTGCATTCCAGTCGAACTCGTCCTGGTTGTCCATGGCATCAAAGTCCATGTCGATGTCCAGCGGTGCCTCGTTCTCGTCAGACGAGCCACTCGCACTGGGAGTAAGCATGTCCTTATCCGAGTGAGGTGGCGAGACACCTTCGTGAGCCGGTGCCATGAGATCAGCTGGTGGAACGAACTGCTGCTGCTGATGCTGCTGGAGCATGACTGGACTGGCGAAGTCTTGAACGTGGCTACTATTCTCAACAACAAACGCCTGCTGGGATTCCGGTGGTGGCGTTGTGACATCGTCCATTGCTGTGGGTGGTGGCACCGTAAACTGTGGTCGAAGCGTTTTCAGATCGGCGATATTGTGCGTCGCCACGCCTTGGTTTGCCCTGGCGAGGGCCATGGTCTCAACCTGAGCTTTGCGCAGAGCGGCATCAAGGAAAGCCACAGCATAGTCGGCGGCTGCGTAGATGTCGCGGAGCTTCTCCATGACCCTCATGCACTTGCGGAATCCCCTCGTCGCAGCATCGCGAGCCTGTGGAACAGGACTCTTCATGTCCAACAGATGGATGATCAAAGCCGGGAGAATGACCGTGACGCCCGTCGTGGGGAGGAACTTCTCAAGGCGGAGGCTGTGAAGCTCTGCCACCATGCGGGTGATGTGCATGGCGGCATCACGGACCCGCATGCGAGAGAAGTCTTGCATCTGTATCGAGACCTGAGGTACCTGATGAGGTGATGACGGAAGGAATTGCGGTCTGTGGAGTGCCGAGATCGTCGTGTAGAAAACCATGTGCAGCAGATTACGCTGCACCGCAATTGTCGCCCGCCCGTTTTGCAAATCAGCCGGCGTCAAAGGTTGGTACTGGCAGCAAGCGGGTAGCGATTGTTGCCAGGCCATGAGCTCCGCATCGCAAGCATTGACTTTCTCAAAGCTGTTGAGCTGTTTGTTTGGAAACAGCATCATCGTGCTATTTGTCGTGTTTTCCGGCTTGGTCGTATCGCGAATGAGGACCGAATACTGTGCGCGCAGCATATGACTGACGCAGAGGCACAGCTTCGCCTTGGCGATACACATCAATGCAAGCTCTTGCTGAATCGCAGTGTCGCGGACCATGCAGCACTCCGGACCAATGATTTCGATCTCGTCGGGTAGTGTCGCGATCTCAAAGTCGGATACTTCGAGCATCGGCACATCAAAGTCTTCGTCTTTGATCCGAGTGGGTCTGCGCATGCCGAGAGCGACCAGGCGGTCACGCATAAAGCATGACCACCATATCCGCTTCCATAGTTTTTGCTTGTGAACTGGCATGCTGGTTCGTGCCGGATTGCGGTGGAGTCCAATGGTGTGGGCAAGTGATATAGCTACGCCCATCCAATGCCACGTATCTTTCTGGTCATCCGGAGTTTCGTACCAGTACGTCATGAGCAACAAAGACTGCACTAGGATGAGACGATCGCTCTCGTAATCAAAATCGTACAGCAGCTGTTCAAAACGGTCAGCCATTTCCCTAACTTGATGCAGCACCGTTCGATACGTACCCTGGTCTTGTTGAAGTATGACTTTCGAGCTGCCTTACGACTTGGATATCCAGCGCCGTGGAGCCACTTGACGTCAACGTAGGCTGTGGCAGCAAACATCACAGCTTGGTATAGCAGCAGACTGGTTTGTCCCGACATGCCATCGGACGAGTTGATGACACTCAAAAAATCCCGAATTTCGAGTAAGGGCATGTACGGATGTACATACTCGATGTAAGCCTGCAGCAGAGCATTCTGCAGCGGAGCTGCGGGCAAGGTCAAGGCCCCTTTGGTCTGCAGATATGCGACATCCTCGGGGACAATCTTGCTTGGAAGCGGCCGGATAAAAGGAGCCAGGAACGGCGAATGATTACTTGTCTCAAAGCGGCTGCCAAACTGCGCCGCTCTGCTTTCGCTGGATAACGCTGGAATCGAAGCTTGGCTGGCGGTGCGCAGGTTTGGCCAGATGCTGGGGTACTTGGTGCCCTGGTTGCCCGCGGCCTGGAGTCTGGCCAACATGACTGGATCGAGCGGCATGGCACTTTGCTGGTCTGTAGGCACGTGTCAGTGACCTTCACCGTGAGTCCAAGGGGCTTAGCGGCAGAGATGTTTGTGCCAGACAATGTCGTAGCGAGCACGAGGGGAAAGGGGTTTGACATGTGAATGCGATGTGGGGTGGTGGTCTTGGCCGATCGGCCCCAGGAGCCACTTACGGAGCGCTTGTGGGAGGCGCGTGTCAGCCCCTGCTGGCAGGCCCGCGTCATTGTGACTGCTGCCGATCGTCTGAGCATTGTTGGACGAGATCTGTGAGACAGTGCTGGCTCGGCGCAGCGGTGTGATGCTGACGCTGCTGTTGACTGGTGCCTTGGCCTTGAGTGGTGGCTGTTGTTGCTGTACCTCGGCACTTTGAGGGGCAGTGCCATTGGCACTCCCGGACGCCTTCGAGTCGAAAATGTTCTTCCTGCATGACGGAAATTGATGACAGGGGTCAGCAAGACCTACGTTCACGAGACCGGGTAATGCAGGGCACGAGGCTGATGGCGGCTCAGAGCGGCACACCAGTGACGCACATGGCCACAATTGCCAGTTTGTGTGTCTGATGCTCGCCTCCAGGTCGGTTTTGCAGAGATGTAGCGCGAAGTGCCTGCTCGCGTGAGCACCATGCCAGAGCTGGAGATACTCACTTTCTGCGACGGCTTTCTTGTACCACGCATTCAACGTTATCCCATCTGCAGTTGCCGCAAGGCGCGCCTTCGACGACGTCGCAACGAACCTATTATTGGCAGCAGTTAGTGATGAGGTTGCCGCGATATCGTCGACGCGGCACTGGAAAGGCAGTGCCTCCACAGGAAATTCCGCTGTCAACTTGCCTTTCTGGCTCTGCACGAAACACATGCTCTTGCAGCACGCCTTTTCGTGGCTTTTGCTGCACCGCTGGGGTCCGGGGAGACGGCTCGCTTTTTCGACGAAGAAGGCTCTGGCGAGGAGGCTTTGCCCTCGGCATCAGAATGCTGACTTGAATCCATGCTGGATGTTGAAAGAGCCTTTTGGATCCGAATCTCGCTTGCGGCTGCTAATGTAGGAGAATCCATGCTGTCGTTCGGAATGACTAGGCCGGTGGCCTGCTGTGTGCTTTGCACGTGGTGGCGTCTTGCCGGAAGGCGATGTATGATAGTGGGAGATATCGAAAACGCCTTTTCAATGGTGAGCTCCTTCGTCAGAGAAATCCTTGGGCTGTCCGAATGGCAAGATGTTGGCGTGTGATGGTCAAGGAGTGCTCGTGATCGTGCAAGGCATCTGATTGGATTCGACTGAAGTATTGTAAGGCACCAGAACTAAGAACACGACGAGGAATTCGTTTGATACCACGCCTGAGAGACTTGAAGAAAAGATGGAAATGCCACACCGAACCTGAATCACACGAACTTGACAAGCACAGGACGGGGTCCTGGGGGCGGGGATGGTGGGGAGGAAACGTGAAGACTTATAAGACACGGGTTGGGGCCAGAGCCGCCACGCTTCACCTGGTGAAGAGCGTTCGCTTCTGGGTCTCTTCTCCACAGACGGAGAGTGGGCTGGGGCCACGCCCCCCGGGGTCTCCACAGCAGGCGAGCTAGTGGAGGCGCCGCTGCGATCGTGACTGCCTCGAGGCGTCCAGCTGCTCAGGAGTTGCAAGTGTGGAGAGCGCTGGGTTTTCTGGAGGGGCGCTGCCACGGGGATCCCAGGCAACCTGGAGACTTCAGGACTGACCAGGACACACACCCTCATCCACCTTCGTCCACACCGGCGCGGCGCCCCTGGGCACGCGCAATTCCTTCTCCGGTCTCGTGGCATGGCGGAGCCCCATGGCTGCAAATGAAATGCGGGTGATCTCCAGTTTTCACATCCACTGCCTCCCGCGGCGCTCCTTGTGTGCTGCCCTATCGCAAGACACGGCTTCCAAGCCATCGTGAGCAACACAAACATCAAGTCCACCCTTCTGCCGGCCACCCATGTGCTCCGGCAGGCAGACCCGTCGGCTTGTTCTGCCAGTCGAGCATGTAGGAAAACGCAGCTCCCCCCGAGCAAGACAGTGTCACGCATACACACAGGCCCCGCTGATTTCGTCAACACCAGCCACACCTCTATGCAGCCCTGCAGACTACGACGTAATAACTGTTCTGCGGTAACTTGTCCAGGATGTCATGGTTACAGGGCTCAATCAGCACGCGAGCGTTGTCATGTCGAGCGGTATACACCGTTCACCACCTCTGTGAGCAAAACGGCTGCACGCGACTTTGCTATCTGTCCCGCGGGATCTCGAACCAGCCAAAGAGGAATGGTGCCTTCCCGACAACATGACCCGGGCTCGTTTGCTGGCTGATGTGCATCTTTGAGAGGGCAAAACCGGCAATGGCATCAAGGCAACGCGCATGTGCAAATTCGGTCTCCATCATGAACATCCACGGAGGTTCTGTGCCTCATCGTGAGGGGCAGCGGGCCGAGGTCGAATCGAGGCAGGAGACGGAGAAAGGTTCGGATGAGAGTGATTGACAGGCGTAAGGACAGGGGGTTGTCAGCACTCGCGAACGGGCCTCTGAACAGGTTCGCTGGTGGGTTCCGGCAAGCACAACATCCCGGCACGGGACGGCGACCACATCGGGCACCGTCCGAGAAAGGGACGACCGCATTTTGAAGCTCCAAGCGCCACGCATGATCTGCGACACTCATTCCACAGGAATGGCAACTGTTTCCGTTCGCCCCCCCAGCTTGAGGAAGCCTCTCTCAGACTCGAGCATTACAGAGTATATAAACTGGGAACAGCCTTTACGGACGTCCAGACCAGACATTTCCTTTTTCTCGACTCAGAGCGGATGATAGTCCACAGCTGACTCAACCTCGGTGTGTCCAGTGCGCACCCAGTCCGAGGATGGATTGACAATATCGCATGTGCATGCGGTCATCATACACTTTAGGGGTTTTCGACATGATTTGAGCACAATCTAAGCCCCGTTCGAGAGACCCCTGGAAAAGGCGTATGGCTTCGCAAGAGCTTGTAATGAGCGTCGTCCCGTGCGGGAAATCCCGGCAGCATGCGCCAAACCACACGCGCTCTTTTGTAACAATCACGCAACCTCAGCATTCCAATCGCTGCGGCCTACAGCTGGGAGGCGAGTTCTGTCGACTGTCGGCTGAATCCGTTATCGCTGCGATGCAACCCCCAGAGACGGAAGAAGGCGAGGTTTTCCAATACAGCCAGCCCTTGAGAAATGGTGTAACAGTCTGCAACTCAGGCCACAGGCCTGGATGACCGCAATTAGCAAAGATTGAATTCTAGGTGACGCATGGTCGAGTCATTGCCAGGCTTAACACGTTTAGCAAGTTTAGCACCACCCCAAGCCATCTACCCCTCCTTCTCCAAGACCCCAACTTATGGATGTGCTTCCCCGCACAACACCATCCATTCTGCGGACGAATGGAGCCGTGCTCGCACGAGAGGAAAATGTTTTCACAGCTGACTGTTTCTGTTCTTGCCTTGGCTCACCAACTTTGAAAGCTACGCGCCCGGCGAGTTTTATTAGTAGTGCATGCCGTCGTGCAGGACCGCCTGAGGAGACGCATCGGCAATGGGTATCACCCAGGTACCTGTACCCACGTGTCCTCGTCGAGATCGACAGCTGCCCGTTCAGGGTGATCCTTGACATGTGGACGAGTGTGCCAAGGTTGCGCTGCTGATACGACGCCATCATGCGCAAGGCTGAGAAAGGAGGCTCGTTTATTTCCAGAGCACCGTAGACGACGTGCTACGAAAATGATCCGGCACTGCATATCGCAATCGATAGATTGCCGTGGGCTGCTTCATCAACAGCTGCAGTAGCAGTCGTGGCTCCCCTCTGCGCCTCGATCTTATCGCTACTGGCGCCTTGGGCATCCATGCTCGCCGTGGATGGGCAGACTTTCTGGGTGCGGTGGCGCCTCTCGCAGCCCGTTCGTTAGCTCTAATGGCGGAGAAAGATCTAGATCCCGTACCATGACCAGACCCCTGGTGACCGTCCAAGCTGGCTTGGAACTTCAGTTTCTGGAGACCTTGGTGCTTGGCTGACGCTATGATAATATGTCAGCCCGTATTGGTCTCCTCGCGAGGGGGTGAAGGCGAGAGCACTTGCTCACCTTGACACCACACGAAAGACTGGCCGACAATTGCAGGAGAGGCTGGTGGGTAGGATTAGTCACACGCCTGCGGCTTCGCTCGCATATCCGGGTACCGATATTCCGGGATCCGTTTGCCCGTTCCACTCAGAATCACCAACAACGCAACCATGCCTGCTTGGCCAATCCGCACCTGATACGAATCACGATCGAGCAGCAACGAGACGAGCAAAGCACTAGGCTTCCTTGCAAGAATTGATGCACTACACCGCCATTGGCAGACAGGTCTCGAAACACAGCCATGTGTGCGTCCACCCAAGATGTCGTTCACTAGGGCCACTCCTCCGCCTGCCTAGAGGCAGAGGTGGGGATATACTTTTACACGGGGAAGAACGTGTGGAGAAGGCGCTGTGCTCCGCGCGGTCGCTGCGAGCTCAGGTTTTTTCTTGCCCATCCCCCTGTCGGCCAAGCGGCTCCGGCATTCTTTCCTGTGCAGACCCGGGGGCTTCCAGACATCGGACACTTTCCGCAGCTACCACGACAATGAAGGTCGGACAAATGCCGAAATCTCTGTGGGCCGAGACTGTCGAATCTTTGCAACAGGTCATTGGCTTCACTGCTGCGGCATCTCTTTCGTCGTTCCACTAATACCACAAGCAACGTGCAGAATGCGGCAGTCTGTCCTGTCGGCACGCGCTCTTTTTCAATCTTGCCCATTACGGCATGAAGGGGTGTGGGCAGGCGAGGCAGGCGAGCGTTGCCCTCGGCTCGCTCGCGCGCTCGGCTTTGGCACTGCAGCACTTCGGAATACCGGTCGGAGCTAGACACAAGCCAAGACTGGGGAAGGGGAGCCCTGCTAGCCCCCCTGCAACCAGCAAGAGTCTTCATCCTGACACATCCATACGGTGTATGCACACATAAGGCGGCGTCGTGGTTGACAGCCAGTCTTGCTTTATGTACAGAGAGCGGCCATCCAGCGCGATTGTGTTTGATGAGAGAAGGCGTCGCCGCCGAGGTTCAGGCTCTGTCTGAAAGTCCGCTCTCGAGAAACCACGGACTAACGACAAGAGCCACCGCTGTGGTCGTGAGCCGTTGCAGCTTAGCGCAACAACGGATCGCCAAAGTCTTCTTGAAAGCCACCAACAACAGATAACTCCACTGGCCCACCTTCAGCTGGTCCTGCAGCCGCCCTCAAGGTCACCAAAACCCCTGGTCCTGAATCCAAACCATAGCGGTCGAGGCAGTCTCTCACTCGCTCGTGATCTGTACGGGCCTCCTCGCAGAAAGAGAGAGAAAAAAAAGCCACAGAATCCGTGCCTCATCGTACGTAAGCGAAGCTGCAGGCAACATCCTAAAACACCCGATCCACATGTCCCAGGATTGGGCTCGCGTGTTCTCGCGATCCAAGGATGGCAAACGTTCAGGCACCGGCACCTTCTCCGGCACTTGGGACCGCGCATCCAGATGACGCTACGCATGCCACGCACAATACACGCAACGCAAACTTCCCAAATCGCAAGGACCCATCATCGTGGCAGTGCCTACGCTATGCAGCCTAACCTGATCCATATCCCGCGTCGGAATCGTGCTGCCGCTGCTCACTTGACCTGAACAGCAGCAATCGTTGGTGGACTCGTAGACTAGTGCTTAATTTGGTGTTGCCAAGAACATGGAGCGTTCCCGAAGTGTCATGCACGGGGCCTCGCCGAGCAATTTGGTGTGGGCCTCCGTTAGCATATTTTCGAGCGCATCACGACCCTCTTCCCTGCTTCCCCGTTGGTTGTTACCGGCCGGGGGAGGGGTTGTCTTCCTTGTCCTCAAGCGGTGTTATACATGCATTCTGGTTGGTTGAAAGGTGTGGGTAGTCCCTTTCGTGGAGAAATTGACCCGGGTGAGGGAGTGGGAAAAAAAGATAGGACTTCTTGGGGGAATAACTCGATCCGAGGAGGAGAGAAAAGGAGGATTTGGGCATAGAGGCAAAGGTTTGGTGTGTATGATGGTTTCAGAGCACGGAGCGAGTCCCAGGGCACGCCAGCCACGGCTGTATGACAAGGACCCGCCGGGTTAAAAAAAACACTTTGGACATACGGAACGGACCACGACGTGACGGAGGAGCTCAAAGTCAAGTCGTGTTCAATGTGCTTTCATCCTCTTCGCTCAGTAGTCGTCAGTCACACGAAAGCCCGCTCTGTTGCAAATTCAACGAGAGGGGAAAATGAATGAAACAGAAGCGAAGTTCAACCGTCGCGATTGCCTCACTCGGTATCCGGGATACCTCGCCCGCTTTCTCCTTTCGCCTTTTTCCAATGTTGCGTTGCTGAATGACTTGATGATGTACAAATACATTTGTTTTACGTAAATAACTTTGTACAGACGCGATCTTATGCCTCGGTCATCGTGGTACACATGTTCTGCAGTATGTGAGGCGCCATCTCAATCATATTGTCCTCTCGCGTTCACGCATCCAGAAGCGCATCATCATCGTCCATGACCTGCGCACCCGCCGCCGCGTCAGCATGATGGATGTCCTTCCATTCCTCCTCAGAGACATGTAGCCACTGCGACACGACTGTCGCCACAGCCCAAACCTCGCCGGAGATGATGAGCCGCAGGAGTTCCAGCCCGACAATATTCACCACGCCCCGCATAGACACTGTCGAGGTCCACGGGCCGGCAAGCATGTGGTGCGTCGGGATGCCGCGCTTCGCGGCGAACGCATGAGCGACGCTTCGCAACGCCAAGGCGTCCATGGGTGTGCAGAGCAGGTATGCGGCGAAATTGCTCAGGATGTCGGCTGCCAGGATTGAAGGGAGTCGGGTGAGCGCATTGACGAGATACGTTGGCGGCGGCAGGCCTTGATCCTGTCCGCGTGCGTCGCCGGCGAAGCTGGGACGCAGCTCCGCGGACCATACGCCTGCCGGAGGCTCTGCAGTGTCGCTCGTGTCCACGTCGAAGCTGATTAGCGTCGGGTTGACCATCTCCGAGTCCTCCTCGTCGGAGCCGTAGTCCTCCATCATTATGCCACCACCCCCTCGGCTGGAAAATGTGCTCTGCCGCCTGATAGCCTGTACGGGAAGTGCTCCGGTGTCGTCGTCTCCAGACAGCTGCTGCCCATCGAGGGCCATTAGGGTTGGCACATCAGCGTCTGGAGTCTGCGCGTGGCGGATTTCGCGGTCCCCTGCACCAAGCGTGGGGGACTCGGGTATTGATTGCCAGGTGGAATTCATGGCATTGGCTTGCATCAGGCCGCGATGAGCTTGAAGTTCGGGCTGCGTCGGCCGAGGCAGCGCCCGCAGAATGTGAGGCCACAGTTGAATGTGCAGAAAATTCCATACTCGGCCGCACAGGTAAAAGGCTGCATACGGCGCCAGATTGACCGCAAGCTTGCCGAGCCATGACGATAGACTAGCGATGCTGAGATCCGCGGGAGATGGAGGTGCGGCAAAAGGCGAAGACTCGCTGAAAGGGACGAAGAAACGAAGTCCAGGTAGCAATTGCGAAGAGGGTATCAAGTCTAGACGTTGCATGGTGAGAAAGACATGGAAGTGGAATCGGAGATATGCCATAGCGGCCCGTAGGCTTTTACAACGGATTAGCATTCGTGATGATTGCCAGTCGCATACACGGAATGCTCACCTGCGTCGCTCGTTGATTGCAGGAAGAGATAGCGAGCACCACCTAAGCACTTGCATCGAAATGAAAGATGGAACACCGGCCAAATAGAGCTGTAGTCGAGAGTGGTTCTCCCGTTCCGCCCGGTAAAGATCATGAAAGGGAACATCTGCATAGCGTTTGTATAGCTGTCTGCAAGTTAGTAAGATTCCACAACTGGCCACGTACCATGGGTGCTGTTTGTACCAATATGCGCTGCCGAGCCCCGTGGACACCCCAGATACCAAGAATACCAAGAGATCTGCCCAAGTTCAGCAGCGTCTTGCCAGTCTCGGTCTCGTACATTTGGTGGTCTCGCGCGATGGCCAGCTGTGCCTGCGTGGCGCTGTCATTCTCTGGTTCAGCAACACCAATAACGAGCATCACTTCATTGTGAGCACGGATGACATCCTTGATGATCTGTTTCGTCTGCGGATTGACTACGCGGCCTCTTTCATCGTATTGCTTCTCTGGCTCACCAGGCGTTGGCTCTCCATTACCCTCTACGACATCATCGTATGGAGAACGGCCCTGCAAAATGCTTAGCATGCTGGAGAACTTTGAGGTCCCAAAGCGGATTCTTACCAATGCCTGCGAGGTGAGGGGACCGAGTCTACCCATGGCTGAGGGGTGGTTTCGCGACGTTGACTTGTTATCCGGGATTTCGCCCTTGGGAGGTCATGCTGGACTGTCAAATGACCTTTGCCAACCCATAGAAGATAAGCAGCGTCGATGGGCACATGCAGTCCGGTGATGAGGTATTCAGATCTTGGGCCCCTGTTTGGTCACACCGTAAGCGATGAGACAGACTCCGTAGTAGCCCAAGCTGCCTTTCCAGACGATCAGGCTTGGTGTTTAGCTGTGGATGGAAGCCAAGTTAAAGCCAGGGTGGATCTCGGGCCTGGAACCAGCAAAGCGCAGGACAGTCGCATGCGGGAAGCTCGAAAGACCCACTTTCGATAAGCCAGAGGCCCTGCTTATCGTGCGATCTCCAAACAAAAATTCCCAAGGCCCGGGTCGTCTCAACGGCGCAGTGCCAGACAACCCACCCAAGCGAATTTCAGTCAGTTTGTGTCTCTCCGCTCGACCCCAGGCAGACAATCCTGCGGCAAGATGGCCAACAAATCGCCTTACAAGACGACTTTCGAGGTCGCCGAGGTCATTCGCCCAATCTACACCGGAGGTGCTGTCTCGTTTGAGAGTGGCGCAAGAATCCTTGCGACAACCCTTGGCGAAGATGCAGTCCTCACGGACCTCAAGTCGGGGAAGCACCTGACCAAGGTTGAAGGTGATGGCGAGCTTATATCAACACTCACATGTAAGTGTATTCTCGTTCTTGGCTCACTCCGTGAATCTGGCTGACCCAAAGCTTGCGACGTTCAGTGACACCCTCGGGCTCCCACCTCATCATCTGCTCACGCTCGCTTTCAATGAGAATTTACGCTCTCCAGAAAACTGCCTCCAGCGACGCAATCGAGCCCCGACTTATACGTACCGTCAAACCGCACTCGACACCAGTGGTCGTTCTCGCAGTCGACCGCACAAGCACACTACTTGCGACCGGCGGCACGGACGGATCGATCAAGGTATGGGACATTGCCGGCGGATACGTCACCCATACCTTCCGGGGACCCAGCGTGCTTGTTTCTGCGCTGCACTTCTTCGAAGTTGCTGCGAGTTCCGCAAAGGCAGATGCACAGAGCGCAGACAAGCGCAAACGGAGGAAGTCCAAGGGCGAACGCGACGACAATGACGACGACGAAGTGTCGACCGCGGCCAACTTTAGGCTAGCCTCCGGCAGCCAAGACGGCAAAGTTCGAGTATGGGACCTGCACAAGCGAAGCGTCGTGGCGAACCTCGATTCCCACGTATCGGATGTCCAAGGGATTGAGTTCTCTTCCAAGCAAAACACCCTTGTTACTGCTGGCAGGGATAAGACCATAAGATGGTGGGACGCCAGATCATGGAAGCCGAGAAGGGTCACGCCCTGTATGGAGCTCGTTGAGGCTGTGGGCTTTCTCGAAGACGGTCGCCTTACGTATTCTGCTGGTTCAAATGGTTGCTTCCGGCTCTGGGACACCGACACAGGGCGGGAGATCACAAAGGACCAAGCGCCAAAGTCCGAGACCGAGGGGTTCGTTGGAGCGGCGCACACTCCCGACTCGTCCCTGGTCATCTGTGTACAGGTCGACCATACGTTGGCGTTCTTCCAGGCCCCGGACAACACGCTCACTCAAGCGACAGTGGACGCTCCAGAACCGTTCCGCCGCATCACAGGCACTCATGACGACATCATCGACCTCTGCTATCTGTTGCCAGACCAGTCAGCCATGGCATTGGCCACCAACTCGGAAGACATTCGCATCGTATCTGCGACAGACTCCACTGGCTCCGGCGATGACTCTTTCGGCCAGGACATCGCGGTTCTGAAGGGGCACGACGATATCATTATCGCCCTCGACGTAGATTGGTCCGGTCATTGGGTCGCCACGGGAGCCAAGGATAACACTGCTCGGTTGTGGCGCGTGGACGCCGCGAATAACTCATACACATGCTACGCCACATTCAAAGGCCATGCCGAGTCTGTCAGTGCTGTATCTTTGCCCCGGACCCGACCTGTCGAGGGCTCAAAGGCGTTTAGCAACCCGCTAGAACACCCACCGCAGTTCTTGATTACAGGCTCATCCGACCAGACTATCAAGCGCTGGGATGTCCCCCGGGAAGCGCAGCAGGGCTCGAAGACGGGAAGCACTCGCGCCTTGTACACTCGGAAAGCTCACGACAAGGATATCAATGCGATCGACGCCAGCCAGTCTGCACAGCTCTTTGCTTCGGCGTCTCAAGACAAGACGGTCAAGATCTGGTCCATTGAGGAGGGAGAAGTGCAGGGTATTCTGCGCGGTCACCGGAGAGGTGTTTGGTCGGTCAGCTTTGCCCCACCGAATACGCCCATCATCCAAGGCGAGCAGGGTCCTGTCGCCGGCAAGGGCGCCGTCATTACTGGAAGTGGTGACAAAACCATCAAACTGTGGAACCTCAACGACTACACTTGCTTGAGGACATTCGAGGGCCACTCACACAGCGTTCTCAAGGTATCATGGCTGGGCATCCCTCCACAAGAAGAGCTCAGCAAGAAGCCCATCCTCTTTGCCAGTGCCGGTGGTGACGGCCTCGTCAAGATCTGGAACGTGAACCTGGGTGAGACCGAGTGCACACTAGACAACCACGAAGACCGCGTTTGGGCATTGGCGGTGCACCCCAAGACCAACACGGTCGTGTCTGGAAGTGCAGACTCTACGGTCACTTTCTGGAAAGATACGTCCAGGGAGACGCAAGCGGCCTCGACCGAGGCTGCTCTACAGCTCGTCGAAAAGGAGCAGGAGCTCCAAAATCACATTCACTCTGGATCCTATCGTGAAGCTATCACCTTGGCACTCCAGCTCAACCATCCTGGCAGACTGCTCTCGCTCTTCACGACTGTCATCAACACCAAGACTCCGGATGCTGGCAGTCTGACAGGCCTCGTCGCTGTGGATCAGGTGCTTGCAACCTTGTCCGACGAACAGCTCTTCCTACTGCTCCTGAGGTTGCGTGACTGGAATACCAATGCAAGGACTGCGCCCGTTGCCCAGCGTATTCTCTGGGCCTTGGTCCGCAGTTATCCGGCATCCAAGTTCTCGACGTTGTCAGTCAAAGGTGCAAGAGGACAGAAGAGCCTCAAAGAAGTGCTCAATGCCCTCAAGGTGTATACCGAGAGGCACTATAAGAGGATAGAAGAGTTGGTGGACGAGAGTTTCTTGGTGGAATATACCCTGAAAGAGATGGATAGCTTGGCTCCAGCCGTGGCGTTACTGGGCGAAGTGGATGGTGACGTGGCAATGTCCTAGACAGTGCTCAGTGAATTGTATATAGAGCCTTGTAGTAAATACCACCATCTGCATAGACTTGAGCGATCTCTGTAGGATACCCGCTTGCTGTAAGATCGATTATGCTGTAAGAGGTCGTTGTTGCGCACAGTGTGCGAGGCGGCACACTGTGGGGCCGGATCATGACATCGACATCTCAAAATTTCCGTCAGGCAACGGCGTGAGACACATCGATATCTCACCTTTACTATTCACACCTGCGCCATTGATTCTCAGCGCGCCGTGTGGTCGAATTTGCAGCATGTTATGAGATGATATAGGGCACACAGCAACACCCGCGTCGAGGTTTCGTCGCGATGCGCTTTGCGGACATCCTCATCGACTTGGCCTCGGTGGCTCAGGCCACCAAGGGTGTGGCCTCGCGGCACTGGGAGCTCCGGGCGCGGCAGATCGACCGGTATAGCCGGACTTCCAGCATCGCGAGGTCACTAAGGAACCAGCAGGCAGGCCGAGATGCTCGCACCACTCCTGCGGCCGCACCGGCGGGTGCTGAATCGGGGACACCTCCAGCCTCGCCAGCCTCGACTTCTGCAACAGCAACAACGTCAAAATCAGCGTCGGCACCGTCCGCGGTGGCCACCGCCCCAGCAGATCATGCCTCTGTGAGAGTCGGAATTACGGACGCCAGGTCGCCACAGAAAGAGCCTGCGGCTGTACAACAATCGCAGACGGCGAGCCTGCCGGGCTACATGCGGCACATCTCGGCTGAGCAGCAGAAAGCCTACGACAGCTTGTTCCGGAGCAGCGCCGCTGGACAGAGCCCCGTGGTTCCGCCCGTGGTTCCGCCCGTGCAGTCCGACCGGTCTCTGATCATGGAGCAGATCAAGAAGGCGGCTTCTGCAAATTCGGCCGCCATAAATGCAACAACCTCTTCGCCCAGCGAGGCACAGCCGTTGAAGGAGCTCAAGTGGCAGCAGCCTGTGAAGGAGAACAAGCTGGAAGATGATGCACCACCAGGCGTGAACCTCGATGTTTTCCACACCACGCGTGGATCGCAGCTGCGCGATGGAAAGAACGATTCTGCGGCGCTGAAGCGTCCGATCACACCACCACCATCGCCGAGCTGGTTCAAAGACTTCGGTCATGGCAAGGGAGAATCGGTCGAGGTGAAGAATGAGCCCGTCAAGGAAACGACAGTCCCGTCGCAGGCACCGCCTTCACAACCGTCCCCATCGTCACAGGAAGTCAATCCTCAGACAGACACCGCGACAAGTCCAGCAACACCACCAAGAAAAGATATTGAGCCAAAAGCACCTCAGACTAAGGCTGTTGAGGAGAACACAGAGAAGCTCGAGAAGATTCTAGCGGAATCCGGAGCACAGCAGGCGGCCTCACCAGCCGCACCCCTGCCGCCTTCGAACACAGAGTCTGATAATACTCGGTCAAGGCATGCTTTGAGAGAATCAAAAGTCCCAGCCTCTCGCTTCAGCCGGATGTGGAATTACGGTGGCCTTGCTGCCGGCATGTTGGGCGGTGCCATTACGGAAACTTTCAGTCGAGGCCTCGGTGGTGGCGGCTCGGGATCTGTCATGCTCAGCGCTGGGAACATGGAAAGATTGGTGGCCAAACTATCCAGAATGCGTGGCGCCGCCTTGAAATTGGGGCAGATGATGAGCTTCCAGGACGCAAAAATGCTTCCTGCACCAATACAGGAGGTGCTCCAGCGTGTCCAGGATCGGGCAGACTATATGCCATCGTGGCAACGAGATCGCGTTTTGACGGCCAGTCTTGGGCCTCAATGGCGAGATCTGTTCGAAGAGTTCAGCGAGACGCCAATCGCCGCAGCCTCAATCGGGCAAGTCCACACAGGAGTTCTGAAGGCTACTGGGGAGAAGGTGGCCATCAAAATCCAGTTTCCTGGCGTGGCAGATTCGATAACCAGCGACCTTGACAACTTGTCTATGCTGCTGACTGCGTCGAAACTGCTGCCCAAAGGCCTATATCTTAACAAGACCATTGACAACATGCGCACAGAGCTCGGATGGGAGTGCGACTACATACGCGAGGCCGAATGCGCCGCGCGGTACCGGGAACTCCTTGTCGACGAGCCTGATGTCTTTGTCGTGCCCAAGATGTACGCTGAGGCATGTGGCAAGCACGTGCTCACGATGGAGTTCATGCAGGGCGTTGGCGTGACACGGGTCAAGTCGTTCACCCAGGAGCAGCGCGACTGGATCGGGACACAGATCCTACGCCTGTGCTTGCGCGAGCTCACAGAGTTCCGCTTCATGCAGACGGATCCGAACTGGACCAACTTCCAGTACAATGCGGCCACCAACAAGCTCGAGCTGCTCGACTTCGGCGCGAGCCGCGAGTTCCCTCTCGAGTTCGTCGAGCAGTATGTCAACCTTCTTGCGGCGGCCGCCCGTTCCGACAGGCCGCGCGTCAAGGAGCTCTCTGAGTCCCTGGGCTACCTGACGGGCCACGAGAGCACGACCATGGTCGACGCGCACATCACCTCGGTGCTCACCCTGGCCGAGCCGTTCCTGGGCTCCGCACCCGAAGTGTACGACTTCCAAGACCAGACCATCACCGAGCGTGTCAAGGCCCTGATACCGGTGATGATCAACGAGCGCCTCGCGCCGCCGCCGGAGGAGACGTATAGTTTGCACCGCAAGCTTAGTGGTGCATTCCTCTTGTGTGCACGGCTTGGCAGCCGCGTAGCGTGCCGCGAGTTGTTTGATGATGCGATCAAGCGGGCTCCTTTCCCGGTGGAGAGGTAAGCGTTGGAGGTGGACTGGGGCCAGGGGCGGATGATGAGCATTCGACAGCCCCAAGAACTGTATTGAGTACGAAGTTGTGAGCCAGAGGGCTACGCCACCAAGCGTAGATATTTGGTTTGATGGATGTACGCTATTAACACATGTGTAATCTTATGTATCTAGTAGACTTAGACAAAGACAGCCGAACGAGATGGAATAAACAGCAGCTCTTCACAACACTTTAACAACGAGGTATGTTTACTTGCATGCGAGCACCGGGCGATGTGCGGAAGCATGGCCTTTAGTGCTCGAGTTGCGAGGGTGCTTGGAATTTATATGATTGGTTCAACAAGACACGTATAACAGCTACCCTTCCATAGCCGACCTGCGAGCCCAGGGCATATCCCTCCTCTCCTTGGCAACGACCTTCTTGCGCTTGCGCTCGATGGCCTTGTCGACCTGGCCCTTCTTCATGCCCGCGAAGCGGTCCACGAGGACCTGCTTCTTCTGCTCGGCCTTCTTGAGGTAGAACGGCGTCTTGCCCTGCTTGACGAGCTCCTTCTCCTGCTTGCGGTGCTGGTCGAGCAGCTCCCTGTGCCGGTCCTTGGCCGCCTGCGCGGCCTTGCGCGACTCGATCGACGCAATCTCCCGCTTCAGCTTCTCCCGCTCGTGCTCGGACAGGACGGGGGCGTCCTTGAGCTTCTTGTTGCGCTTGGTGGCGCCGGGCTTCGCGGCCGCCGTGGCGTCCCGCAGCGTGCGCTTCATCGCCGCGAGCTCGTCGTCCCGGTACGCGTCGAGAAAACCGTAGGCCCTGCGGAACTTGTCGCTGTCGACGGCGCCCGCGGTCGGGTCGAACCGCGGGTCCCGCGCCTTGACGACCGTCTGGGGCACCACCTCGCGCTTCCGCGTGACGGCGCGCTTGCTGGACTGCTCCGTGGGCGCGTGCTTGTGTGCTCGTGACGGGATCGGAGGGCGGCGGGCCTTGGAGGGGTCTTCTTTTGTGCGCCGGCCGGCGCCGTCGGAGTCGTCTGAGGAGTTCTGATCGTCGTCTGATGAGGCCTTGGCCTGCCGGCTGCCCTTCTTTTTCTTATTTGTGCTGGGAAGTGAGGCTTGGGCTTTGGCGAGCGCACCGAAGGAGATCTGCGCAGCGGCCAGGGACGGCTCCGGTTCAGAGTCGTCGTCCTCTTCGTCCTCGTCATCGTCTTGCCCATCGTCTGCCTCAGCCGAATCCGAATCCGACTCGGTTGAGTCATGCTCCCGCTTTGGTCGTTTCGAAGCAGGCATTTCCGTTGGCCCTTCATCATCGTCTTCCTCCTCCTCCCCGTTGGATTGGGAGTCGTAGAATCCCTCGGGTTCTGGCTCCTCCCTCCGCGCCCGGACTCGTCGGTTGAGGCCGCCTCCGAGGGGCGTTTTCCTCTTCGCAGTAGCTGATCTCTGCATCTTGTCGTCCTGGGTGAGATGTCAAGCCCTGTGGCGGTGACTCTGTGCTCTGTTGTCTTGCTCGAGCTTAGATTCGCGAGACAGGCCGGGTCGCAGCGCTGCCAAAAAGTTGTTATCATGAGCTCAGCGGCCTGCGATAAGGAAATGCGGGCTCTAAAGGACCCTGGGGGCCCCCACTAAATAATGCCAGGTACGAGCGTAAATAAATAGGCCCCCGCCCACTCCCCACCTGGCTAGACTGAAGCGCTTGTGATTTCGAGACAAGAGGGATCGCGGGACGGCGACTCGCTCGCGCCTGCCTCTCGTTTCTTCTTCTCTCAAGCCGCCCGTCCTTTCTCATCCATGTCTGCCGCTGTGCGCCCGCTCCGCCAGCCATTGACGCATCTTGCCAGGTCTTTAAGAACGCTACACACCCCGGCTTTGACAAGCAGCAGCACTAGGCGCATTTCGACTGCCTCGAGCACTGCCCCACGAACATTTACGCACCGATATGATAGCGACACAAAGGCCTTCCCAGCAACGCATAATACGAGAAACGCGGATCAGAATATACAGAAAAACGGCAGCCTCGAGAACAAAATCACGAGATTCTCACACAGCTCTCAGCTGTACGACTCCGGCCAAGGGCCAGACATAGTCAACATGAACTTTACCCGCACCCACCACACGCGGCCGAACCCAGATGCGCCTTGGGAATGGCGACAGCCTCCGCTCATGCAGCAGCAGCAGCGAGGACCTGCTGTTGCCGCCACAGCCTCGCCAGCCCTGCCAAAGATGCAGCAGCAGAATAAGGACAAGAAGAAAAAGAAGGACGAACGAGACCTGCGGACGCCACCGTCGCTCGCCTCCGGCGGCATCCCAGACCCGACGCCGGCGTACCAGCAGCTCTCTGCGCTGCCGCCCCTGGCGCTCAAGGAGCCGCGCAAGCTGCTCGTCGTCATCGACCTCAACGGCACGCTGCTGCACCGGCCCAACAAGCGGCACCCGAGCCGGTTCGTCGAGCGGCCCCACGCGCGCCAGTTCCTCGCCTACTGCATCGACGTGTTCCACGTCGTCATTTGGTCGTCCGCCAAGCCCGCCAACGTCGCCAGCATGTGCAACCAGCTCCTGACGGGCGAGCAGCGCTCCAGGGTCGTCGCCATCTGGGCCAGGGACAAGTTCGGCCTCACGCCCACCGACTTTGTCGCGCGCACCCAGTGCTACAAGCGCCTGCACGTGCTCTGGGCCGACCCGGCCGTCGCCGCCAGCCACCCCGACGCGGCCCGCGGCGTGCGCTGGAGCCAGCAGGACACGGTGCTCATCGACGACTCGCTCGAAAAGGCCCGCAGCGAGCGGCACAACCTCGTCGAGATCCCCGAGTTTGTCAGCAGCAGCGACAATGACGGCGCCGTAGCAACAGAGGTCGCGGATATCCTGCCCCAGGTGCACGACTACATCAACGAGTGTGCCAGCCAGGCCAACGTCAGCGCCTTCATCCGCGAGAGGCCCTTCAGGGCGCTGCCTACGTCGCAGCTGCTGCTGGGCATGGCGAGTAGGCCCGAGAGATGAGTTGAGAGAGAGAGAGAGAGAAGGGGAGGACTATCCAAGAAAGTCCTCGTCAACCGCTCGCGGACTTCAACAATTGCTGCCAGTCAAACTCCAACTCTGTTGGTTTTGACATCCGCTCACATAAATCCTCGTGGCTTCGACAGTTGTGCAACATCGATGTGATGATTCGAGGCCCAATCGCGCACTCGGCGACGCCTAGGCAGTGGGGCTCACCGCAAAAGCTTTGTCGTCATGGAAGAAATGGGATGGTTCGCTCAGAGCGAACACCTTCCAGGGATTGTCACGCCGCCCGCGTCGTTGAGCAGCAGGAGGTCAGAAGTTGGAGCGAGTTCATTAGAGCCAGTCGCCATGAAAGCCCACAGGCACAAAAACCTCTGATGACGCCGTCAGGGCCGAGCCGACTGGAGTCAAGCCACATGCATGTACAGCGGTGTTTATATCCACTTTAGCTACTCGGGCTACCTCCAAGGAGAGGAAGTCGCTTGCCGTTGAGGGTTGTTAGACCAGCCGCAACCCATAATGTATGATGCTACGAGACTGTCTGATCTATTTGTCTAAGTCTACTCTAGTCTTTGCGCTATTATATCTGTACCCTTACTTCCCTGTGAGCAGCTTCAACATCTTGAGCGCCTGCTCGTTCGCCGTGAACAAAATGCCGCCGGCCAGAACCGTCCTTCCGAGCCTCATCACCGTGCCCCTCCACAAGCCCTTGACGCCTTCCTGCGCGAGCATTTCTCGAAGCACCTCCATCGTGCTGACCTGCTTAGCCTGCTGCGCCATCGTCTTGATCGTGTCAAACGGCTGCGTGGCGAGTGTCGTCACCGTGCCCGCGACCGCACCGTTGGCAAAGCTCACGACAGGGGTGTCAACGTTGATCCCCTTCTTCCTCTCCCAGTCCTTGATCGTCGAGTAACTGCCCAGCCGGAACCCTGTTGTGCCCACCTGCTTGAGTGTCGTCGTCGTATAGCCCCTCCACAGCGCGCCGAGCAAGCCTTGCTCTTTCGTCAGGGTGACGATGCAGTCCACGGCGCCCTTGAACCGCCTACTCGTCTTGGCATCGTCAATCAGCACCGTCTTGATCCGCTCGCTCGGCGTGACCACCAGGGTACTCGCCACGACCCCGGCCACCATGCCGGACAGGATACTCCTGCCGGGCCCCAGGGTCTTCGTTTCGGGGTCCTCAAACACGGCGCGGATGCTGTCGAACGCGAGGAACCGCACGGCGTCCTTGCCGACGGACCCCACAATCATGGTCGAGCAGCCCTTGTACAGCGCCCGGGCGCCCTCCTCGCGCGCGACCGTCGCCACGATGGCGAACGGGTTCCGCGTGGTATGGCCGGCCCGCTTGTCGTGCCCGTACAGCTGCACGCGCGTCTTGGCGAACTCGAACGGGTACGTGCACGCCGCCTCCACGCCGCCGGCGATGCCGCCCGCGCAGAGGGACATGAGCGGCGAGGTGGCCGCGTTGTCGCCGCCGCCGACCATCTTTGGTTTCTGTGCTGCTTCCGACTCTCTCGCACTCTTCGTTTCTTGCTGTCGAGTTGTAAAGGTCCAGAGGTCTAGAGGTCCAGAGGGTGTCGGGGGCTGGTAGCAGGAGAACTTATCCCAGATGCAGCCACGACAACAGCAGGCCTCGCTCTTGCCACTTTTTTCTTCGAGGCCCGGGCTTGGTCCTCTGTTGCTCGTGCTTCGACTCGGTCCGGTCTGGTCCGGACTATATGCGGCACGAGCTTTGTGATGCGCTCGCACACACGAGTGCAGTCGTTCCCAGTTTCCAAGCTCGGGCGAAGGCGAAGAGGAGGGCCGACGATGCGATACGGTCTCAGACGTGAAGAGGTCCGCAATTGGGACTGCCCGGGCGGGTCGTTCGTGGCTTGTGTGTGTGTGTGTGTGTGTGTGTGTGTCGGCTCAAGATATCCGGGCCGCCCCCCGTTGCGTTGTGGACGCCGAGGTATTCGCGTGTTGATGCACGACAACTGCTTTTTTTGGCCGCTCTCTGAATATGACGTAAAAGTTACTTCCACCCCGGGGGGATACGGCCAACAGATCCCGATCGCGCGGCAGGGTTTTGTGGATGCGAGGCTCGTTTCAATCAAGATGTTTCGAACATGTACGTGAAAACGCACGAGGACAGAAAATGGACCCGATGTCGGAGTTTGTTTTTTGAGAAGCTGCAGAAGGACTGGGAAGGGAAGGAAAGACGCAAAGAGTGCTGAGAATAATAGCCTCGGATCTCGCAGCATCTCTTTTTTTGGTCACTCGGCATATCCCAGCCAATGACGTTGGCAACCCCGCGTACTACTTGCTCCGGTCCGGGGGGGTGTCTACGCTAATTAACAGCTGGACAGCGCTTGTGTGGGGAAATGCCGAAATAGGTGGGATCCCGTCAGAACTGGTGAGATGTGCCCTCAGATAAACAGTGGTGCATTGGATGGACACTTTAGGAAACAAGCGAGTCTCCCTGTGCAAGAAATCAGTGGGATACAAAACAAATTCGAAGCACACGTACATCTTGGCTGCGGAACATGTCGACTGGGTGAGGAGGGTACAACCAATGTCCAAACAACAATTGCAGGGATATCTTGCCACGACGCCATCGCCATATGATAGATACAGGAAAATGACCGAAGGATGCTTTTGAGAAAATGCGAGAGTTGGACCAAGACAGTGCACACCATATCTGCAACATCACCACAGTCCAAAGCTCTACTACCCCTCCTGAGTGAGATGACTTTTCAGCACTTCTAAAGCCTTGGCCGCAGTCTCGCCAGACAGAATGACAGTGCCCGCTCGTGCCGTTGACAAGTACACCAGCTCCCGGCCAATCTCGGTCCCCAGCTGGTTCATCTCAATGACGAGCTTCCCAGCAACTCCAGACACAATACCCGTCGCCTCGAGAGGCAAGTCAACCAGGTCGAGCACAATGGGGACCAGGTTCCCCTCGACATCCCCGTTCAGAGAGTTGCCAAAGATCGGAACCAGGGTCTTGTCCATTAGCAACGATGGCGGGTCCTCCTGGGCCAAGGTGAACGACAGAAACTTTGGCTGCATGGCGAGGACAGCGATCAGGCTGGTGTATAGCCGAGTGTCGATGCTGTCGAGCCACGTGCTCTTGAAGCCATTGCCAGTAGCAGACCGGTTGAATGTAGGGCGGTGGGTGTAGTCTACGTAGTGCGACTCCTCGCGCCCAGCACATTGCACCAGAGCCAGACCGTCCACTATGTATGGCACAACCTTGCGCTTCTTGAGGAGTGCAAATGTGCGTACCTGCAGCTCGGCGACCGTGGACGGCGGCGGCGTAGACGGAGGTTTGCCGTTCGTCCGCGGGCTGTGGACGGCGGGCCCTGCCGACACATAGGCCGCGCCGTCCTCGGAAAACTCAAAGTTCCTAGCTATCAGTGCCTGGAGCACGCTTTCTCGATCCTTGCTTGGTACCAGGATGAAATCAGAGTAGTAGGTGGTGATGAAGAAGATGGGGATGTTGGCCATGGCCAAGGGCGACGTCAGTTCGGATACCCGGCTGCCGGCGTCCATGCCGGCGTTGATGACCGACAGGATCAGATATGTGTCTTTAGATATCGTGACCCGGCTTGCCACGGCGGCAGGAAGGCGCCGGAGTGCAGGCTCAAAGACATCCTTTGTCAGCGCGCTGTGGCATACCACGGAGCACTCGACAGGGGTTATGCTGATGTTCAAGAAGCTATGCTTGCCGTCGATGGTGAGATTGTCGAATCCCTCTGCGGGATCATCCGCGGCATCGTGAGGCAATAGGACTTGCAGTATAGGCTGGAGGAGTGCGCCGTAGATGTCCAATGGGATGTGGATGAGGCTGTAAGTGCCATCCTGGTAGATGTCAAAAACGTGAGTTAGCCCCCGATCTTCGGCACTTCTGCATTAGGGCAAAACGGGGATGGTGGAGCACCAATGCACCGCGCCAACGAATGACACAGCTACAGCGTCGTGGGAACCGCTACCGGTACCGCAAACAAGCCGTGTCTCGCGGCCACGCCCAACGCTGAACGTTCCACCAGAACATTTCGGGCCCTTTGTCTCCCGAGGATAGGTGTCGACTTACCAGGAAGGAAATCGACGCGTTCATGATGCCGGGCTGCGAGTTGTACCCTCGACTGCGCTTGGGCCGGCAGGGGCTCCGGACTTCGATCTGCTCCGGGGCTCCCAATCGAGGCAGGACCCCTAAGAAGCACAGACAAAGGTTGTCGCACCAGGTTGGCAGGATTGCACGCAACTGGCCAGCTGGAGGTGTTATTCGCGGGCCAGACGTGAATCAAACGGCGGCGTATGGCGATTTCTGAGGCACACGATCCTCGGGTCCCCCGCCGACAAGTTTTGTCCACTGCCAGAAAATAAAAAAAAATCGGAACGGCCAGAGTGTGTGGAAAGGGCGAGTATGGCGAGCTGGGACGACGTCCTTATCTCGAACGCAAGGTGACGGAATAGAAAAGTCTAAAGGGCCGTCAGGAGTGACCCACGAGCGTGATAGGGTCGGGGCGGGTCGCGGACGAACCGTTTCTATACCAAACGGAGCTGACGTGCGTGGTGAAGGCAGAGTGGTTCCCTGGCGATAGCGCGGCGCCTAGTGGATCTGGCAGGGGCTTGGCCGAGATCCAGGACGATGCTCTGTCGCGAGTCGCGACCGAGTAGGATGGTGGGATTGAGGTTCTCGTCAGGATTCCGCGAAGAGGCAGGTCGGCCCGGAAGAGCAAACGATGAGGTTCAAGGGTGTGCGAGCAGCCTGGGGTCTGCGTTCAGGGTAATGCACAATGTCTGGCAATGGTTAGGGCGCGACATCATGACCTCGCCTCCGGTGCTGAGGGACAAACAGGTCTTGGTTCCATTTAAGTATCGCAGGCAGCACGGGCAGCCGAAGTATTACGACTCTGCCAGCTCAGCGGGAAGCCACGCCGTCGGCCCTGAGCGAAGATGGAGGTGAGCTGACGGCGGCGTGCGTGTGTCAGGCTCCCACACCATCCGCCAGTCTGCCTGCCTCGTGCCAGCCAGGGCTCCGTGGGAGGGTCGACCTGACGGTGACGTTGCTGGAGCCAGAGCCATTGCCTAACCTCAGCACAGTAGCCTCGTGCTAGGCACGCCGGCGGCAAAAGCAGGGTGGAAGAGGGCTAGATCGCTTCGGGTGCATTCTGCAGGTGTTGGCCAGCCGGACCCCTTGGTGCGGCGTGGGGGTTCATGTCGTGCCCATCCCGATGGTGCGTGCGAACCATGGCATGGCGATGCTGCTGCTGCTGCTGCTGCGACTGCAGGGCGACTCGTGCGTGCGTGCTCTGTCTGCACCCGCACCAGCGCCCGCGACATTGTACTGTACTGTACGGTGGTGGCTCCTCAAGTGGTGGTTCTGCAGGACGAGCGGGGGACAAAAGACATTCATCCATTCGTCTTGACTGAAAGCACCCGTTGCCTGCATACACAGCACACGCTACATGATGTCTCGGCTGCGGCCCTTTTTCCTCCGCCGAGAGGAAGAGCCCCCCGCGTTTTTGTGCACACGAGCCGTGCCGGCTGGCCAGAAAGCGCTCACAACGCCAGGCCAGAGCAAGGGACGCAGCGGACAACCGCCCGACCTGCAGCAAGCAAGGACTCTGCGTTTATGCAGGGCTGGCCGCCTCGTCAACGTCTCCCCCGCACTATGCCATCATGCCGCCCCCGCAGGCACCGCCGTGCCCGTGCCCGTGCCTCGCTCCCTCGACATTTCTTGCCAAGCAGCACACACACTCTCTCTCACCCTCCCAACCTCGTCACGCTCCCTGGCCCTCTACCAATGACGTGCAGACCCGTGCTCAAAACGAGTCAACACCCATGCGATACCCTGCTCCCAAGTGGCAGACACTAAGGTACGCACATCACGATGGGCAACAGGAGCTCCACACGTCAAAGCCGCATCTACCCGTCGTGTAGTCCTTTCCATCATCACCAATCCACAATCCAACCCCTATTGTTCAGTCAGTCAGCCACAACTCGAGAGCCTCGCCAGCTTCTCAGCGAGCCTTGACTGAGACGGTAATGGTCCAATGTTTCACTTGTGTTGGTGCTGCTCCTGTCTGAGGGCGGAGGGTTCTGCTAACCTGGGCGCATCTCATTGTTCACAGCACAATCCAACATGAAAGAAACGGCGAGGGATTTCTTTTGCCGTCCGCTTCGTGTCTAAGACATGCCCACAAAGTCGGGCCACGCATCATAGCCAGGGCCGAGGCCCGTCTGGTTTTCTTCACCGGTCTCAATTTGCAGGCGTGACTTACACCACATATCTGTTTATCCCTCAGGCTATATCCCCCCGCGCCGTTGGGGATCACAAAGTCCCACGGGCACCCAGGCTCGGCTCGTCATGGATATCAGCCATGCTTTGACAGGAACTGACATCACTCCGTTGTCAGCCCCGTTACAGTCCAAGTAGACACGTGCCCACAGAAAACATGTGCCCAGACATGGCGTGAGGTTGACCCGTAAGCCATAGTCGTCTGATCTGATGACCGTAGTTGGTGGATCGAATGCTCCTGGGCTGGGCTCGTTGTTTCACAGCCATAAAGCCTCCGCGGTACTTCATCGTGCTTATACCAGCCAGCAAGGTGCAAGCTCCGCGCGGCTGTGTCTCACATTTGCCGTGAGGTTGGGTCATTATCGACCCGATGGGCTTTGGTCCGTGACAGCCCGACGCAAGAGTGAGTACAAGGGTCAAAGTACGCATCATTGTCTGGAAGTCGCAGCCTGATTCAGCCTCTTTTTTTTTTGTGATGAGCATATCCACACCGATAGAGTCACATTGCCATCTCAGGACAGGAAGTCAGCGTGCACGCACGAATGGTTGGCCACCCCGAAGGCTCCATCGAGCCGCCGTGGCTCCTCTCATCCTGGGACGCGCTTTACTGCGGTACGAAGGTGGAGCACTGTCATTCGTCATGATCAACTGCAAGGCGCTTTATTTTCCCATCATCGTACCAGGGATGCTCGCTTTACGCCCACGACGACCAGATTCCTCGGGCTCTGCTGGTAATCGAAGACAGGCTCCACCCAGCAGTCCTGCACGAGCTCCCCGTGCTGCTTGAGGAAGAGGTACCGGTCCGTCACAATCAGGGACTCGACCACCACGGCGCTGAAAGCCATCAGGCTCCAGATGGCACTCAGCTCGCGCTTCCGCGGCATGTACTCGGCCTCGTACCGCGCAATCTCCTCGTCCGTGATGTCGCCCATCTTCTCCCTCACGACGTCGCAGTACTCGTGGTACTCGTCGTTCGTGGTGAGCTTGTCCACGGCGCCGCGCACATACGCGTTGAACGACTTGTAGCACGCCTTGCGCAGCGACCCGATGATGACAGGGTTTGTGCTGGTGTTGAAGGGCGTCTCGGCCTCGGTGGTCGAGGTCGAGGTCGCGCTCTCACCATGGTCCGTGTAGTAGACCTTGTTGATCACGCCCCTGTCGAGGAAGAGCTTTTGCAGTACAGCGCGGTAGAAATGCCGCGTGAAGAAGCTGTCGCTCTCCGCGTCGGTCCAGTTCTGGGGCGCCTGGCACGCCATCATGCGCGCCGTGATGTTGAGCCTGATGCCGACGTCCTTGTAGTCGCAGAGCTTCTGGCTCATGGGAAAGCCTTGGGGGTCTTTCTTGGCCGACTCTCTGACCACACGCCCGTTCAGGGCCTGCAGGGACGGCCTCATGTATGGGTGCTTGTACGTTGGAGGGCCAAGCTTCTCGGTGACCAGGTTGTAGCAGCAGCCGACAATGGCAATAGCCTCCACCCGAGGGTTCATGATGAGCGAGCGGATGCCGTGGTGCGAGAGATTGCCACACGAGTGTATGGATATAGCCATCAACCGGAGCTGTTTCTGCTGCTCGCTCTCTGCCTTTGCCACCGCGTCAGCATCAGCCTCGCCACCCGCCTCGTCATTCTCAAGCTGTGTGATCACATCCGTCAAGTCTCCCGACTCCAACCTGCCCTCGATATACCGGATGTGCCCCTTTCCCTCCTCAGGCTCGTAGCTCGCCCCGATCTCCCTGAGGGGCCGGAAGTCCGCCACGTAGTCGTCGGATATCTTGAGATCCTTGAGCTTCTCGGCGCGCCTCTGCGCCTTGGCGTCGAGCTCGCCCTCGGGCACCAGGCTGTCGAGCTTCTGCATCCACAGCTTCTTGTTGCGCATGACCTTGGGCTTCTCTACCACGCCCGCGAAGAGGTCCAGCGTCTTGGCCCCCGCAATGTTGTGCTCCCGCCCTTCCACGGCGACAATCTGCCGATTGTACGGCGCGCTGGCGAGCGCCCGGCCCAGGTAGTTTTGCCCGCTGCCAAAGTCGACAAAGTGCGTGATCTCGCCGCCCAGGTCGGCTGAGATCTCGCCCGCGAGCCGGTCCACGTAGTGCGCAAAGTTGCACACCTCGTGGACCTTTTTCGGCTTCATCCCGACCGACACCGGTCGGGTGAGCTTCGGTAGCTTGTCCTGCCGCGCAGAAAAGTCCCGGGCGAGCGAGAACTTGCGGATCTGACGTATGTATGTGACCAGGCTTTCGGGCGGTGCATTGCTCGTGTTGCTGCTGTCTGGCTCGCCTATGGCCTTGTCAAGGTCGTCTCTCATGAGCAGATCCAGAAACCGCATAGGGTCTTCCTCGAGTAGGTACGCCCGCCATTCTTCCGGGATGACCGTGTGGAAGAGGCCTGGGTCGCTGGTGAAGAAGTCTAGGATGTGCACGCCTCCGCAGAGAATCTGAAAGAGGTCGGATGAAGTGGCGAAGTCGAGGAGGTTCTCGACGTAGTCTTCCGTGCTGGACCAGCAATCCGGGAAAGGAATTGGCTTTTGAGGTCTCATGTTGGAATTGATCTTGAATTTTTTTTAACTTTTTAATTCTTCGGTTTTTTATTGCAAAGACATGGGCTGGGCAAGACTCCTGGCAGATGCCAGTCTAGAGAGAGACTCGGCCTGAGCGTTGGTGTTGGTCAAGGCAATTTCTGCGTCGCATTATTGGTGAGGCTGAACGTGTAAGTCGAACACTTTTTGACAGTACAGCACAACTTTTTTTCATTATCGGCATCCCGCATTCCCATCTCCTAGGGTGGAGGGGCAGAGCTCGAACTGCCTGCTGACTACAAGCTACCCGGCATACACCCCCGGCTCAGGGGTGTGGCTGTAATGATTGCATGCGGAGGTGGCCCACGTTGACCTGCGATCTGCCAGGCGGCACTCTTGGGGAGCTTGACGTCCATCCCCAACCAGCAAGTGAACACATTCTCCGACGACAGGAGGTACAGCCTCCATTTTCACTTAGCTCTGGTTATCCGACACGAACCTCTACCGAAAAGACAGCACGATCAGATCCAGGTCGCCGCAGCCATCAGAGCGCTCTACGTGGTGCTACGCAGCTTCGACAACGAGCGCAGCAGCCATCAACGACGACTGACACAGCCAATGGCATATCCCGCGATCTCGAGGTGACCCTTACCGAGCACACGCCTGGAGCCAGGATGATGTCCTCAACCAACGAGGAGGACCCATTCCTCCAGGTCCAACAGTCAGTCAGCTTCCAGCTTCTACCTCCCCAACCATCTCGTCTCGTGTCCTCTATCGCATCACCGCCGCCTCTTCCCGCCCGCGCCGGTTAAACTGACGCAAACTCGCGCGCGTGCGCACAAACACACACGTTTACAGAGACGTCCTCGCACAGCTCCAGAACGCCCGGCCGCTGTTCGCATCATACCTGCGCATCCGCAGCCTCAGCAGCAACAGCGCCTCCCCCGAGCTCGCGTCCGCGCGGTCCGACCTCGAAGCCGCGCTCGAGACCCTCGACGAGGATCTCGCGGACCTCAACGATGCCGTGCGCGCCGTCGAGTCGAACCCGGCCCAGTTCGGCCTCAGCGCCGCCGAGGTGACGCGGCGCAAGCGCTTCGTGGCCGAGGTCGGCAACGAGATCGAGGACATGCAGGACGAGGTCTCCAAGGCGCCCGGGGGGGCGTCGTCGACAACAACAACATCGGCGGCGGCGCGGGCAGCAAAGGCCGCGGCCAACGGGGATCTGCCGGACCCTAATGCCTTTGCGATTCCGGGGGACGATAACGGCAACGATGACCCGTACGCCGCCGAATTTGAGCAGCGGCAGCAGATGCAGATCATGCGGGAGCAGGACGACATGATGGACACGACGCTGCGCGTCACCGTGGGCAACCTCCGGCGGCAGGCCGACGAGATGGGCCGCGAGCTCGAGGAGCAGCGCGAGATGCTCGAGGTCGTGGACACCCTCGCCGACCGGGTCGGCGGGCGGCTGCAGAGCGGCGTCGCCAAGCTCAACCACATTGTCAGGCAGAACGAGGACAAGTATAGCAGCTGCTGCATTGCGATGCTCATACTTGTGCTCATCGTGCTGCTGGTCTTGCTGCTGATATTGTAGTTGGTGACAGACAGACAGACAGACAGGCAGACAGCAAGGGAACTCTCGGTTGGCTGGCGAATCGTAGATAGCGGAGGTGGCCGGGGGGGGGGGGCTGTCTCTCCCGGCTTTGAGTTTTTAATGTCTTGATACGGAAGCATGCATGTCAGTTTGTTTTTTCGAGATAAAATGTTTACATTACATCAATGAGCACTAGAACACATCCCAACCTCCATTCTGTTGAAGCTATGGATATCTGCATGCTCGTTGCAAAGAAGGGAGCCTTGCGGATCAGCCCTCGATCCGGATGCAAGCAGCTTTTCGCTGCCTTATCAGGCATACTGCTCCCTATATGGACGTCTGTTCAAAGGCCGTTTGAAAATCAATAGGGTCATGCCCTCAAAAGATGCCACGTAGGTTGACATTGAGGAAGAGGCAACGCAAAAAAGTTTGTTACATTCATGCAGTCCAGCAAGGTAGAGCCTCTCTATACAATAAATACCAGCTATAATCGGCCGTCGAATCGGCGTTCTCGCCATTTGCTGATAAATACATGTCATTCAAAAGACGAACCGCTGGTATACCAGATCACAAGATGACTACTCCCAAAAGACAATGAGTAATGCCTGAAACGCCTGGCGACAGCCATCGAGCTCGGCGTAAGCGCCTGCCCTCTCCCAATATCTGATTGTGATAGTACGGAAAATAAAAAATCTAGATGCTATGATGGCATGATATAACATGAGAACGGGCCCTTTTTGGGGGTTTACTTGAAAAAGTTACACAGATTCCTTCCCATGCAGCAGGTCACGACAGATCTATCCCGAGATCACGCTTTAGGATATCGGGCAGGACCTGCAGGGCCAAGACTCCGGGGGACTTGCCCGCTGCAGGGATTCGGGCAGGGAACTCGATGAGTGCCTTGCGCATGGCGGCAATGGCCTGGCTGCCATAAAATCCGATAAAGCGCTCCTCATACGTCTCGAGCATGGCGCGGACCACGACGCACTGCGTGTTGGATATCTCGTCCGGCGGCGTGTTGAGGATCCGCGCAAGGCTTGTCCAGTAGTTTCTCGGAGGCCAGGGGTTTGTGTTGGCTGACCGCGAAAAGTCGCGCATCGAGATGGCGGCGTAGCCTACGCCCAGGCCCTTCATGCGGTCAATGTGCGCCTGCTCGGGAATCCAGCCGGGGCCGTCCTTTTTCCAGCCTAGTCGTAGCCGGCCTTGTTCTGTCTTTTCGCTGCCCCGGTAGCCAAATAGCACGGGGCATCCTACGCGCAACTTGGCCATCAGGATGTCCACGAGAGATTTGCCTCGCCACAGATATAAGGGATTCGAGAAGATCATGGCGGCAACCACGCCGACGGGATCGGCCGATTTGGGCTGCGCGCCACACTCGTTGACAAATTGGTTTATGATAGCCTTGGAGAATTGATTCAGAAGATAGAGGAAGAGTGACGGCAACTGCGGCTCGTTCCACTGCGCTCCTTGTACCGGTTCCCTGCGGTCGGTGATGTAGTCGTGTGGATCTACCAGTTCGCTAGGCACCGAGCCGGCTAGGGACTCTTTCAGAATGTTCTGGATCGCGGCAACCTTGAACGTGGTACATGTTAGTGACTGGCCGCCGCATATGTCAGAGGCTTCTTCGATGTACGTACCTGTGTCTTGTTTCCTCCCTTCCCACTGACCAGTTGACCCATATTCTTCCTCAACTCCCTACGCATGTCTCCTAGGCGCGTCTTGAGTGCAGGAGACGCTTTCGCCTGCTGTGCGATGGACGCCCGCAGTTTCTTTAGGTTCTGGTGTATGGTGACATATCGGTCGGGCGCTGCTGGTTGCGCCACCTGCGCAGGTCGAGCAGCAGCTGCGGTTGTCAGAGTGCCATTGGTCTGGAGCGCTTGAGGTTTGGATGCGCCGCCAAACGGATTGGGCTTCGGTTGAGTGAATGGCGAATTTGTAGTCGTGTTGAAGGGATTTGAACCTGCTGCCTCCTTCAAGCCTGAAGCGGGTTGTTTCACGATACTCGCCACTCCATTCAGGCCGGACGTGTTGTTCGCAGGTACCACTGCAGTTGCTTGCGGCTCTTCCTTGTGAGGTTGGGACGTGACTGGGGCCGCGGAGGCTGCCTTTGGTGGTTCAGCCTGTGCAGACGGCGGCGGCGCTGCGGGCTTCGCTGCAGCTGGGGGTGCCGGCGCTGGTGCTGGCGGATCTGGCTGTGGAGGGAGCGGTGGTACTGTCTTTGCTTTCAAGGCTCGTAACCGCTCCTGCTCAGCTCGAAGCTGTTCCTCCTGCCTAATCCGCTGCTCCTCGGCCCGCTGCTGTTCACGGATCGTCCTCTGTTGCTCTTGTAACCGCTTTGTTTCTTCTTGCAGCTCATACGAGTGGTAGACCCGGATCGCGGCTTCTCGTACACGGTCGTGCTCGGCTTGCGCTGCTGTAAGCGCATCTTTGTGGCTTAGCTCGGTGTTTCGGTCGGTGTTTCGGTTGTCGGTGAGGAAGCTTGGCACCGGGCTTGTCCATTGAGCCCGAGTGCGCTGCGCGGGGGGGGTTCCAGCCATTGCAGTAAGTCTTGTTGGCCTCAAGCCATGTCCCTGACGTCAATGATGCCTGCGCCCGGCTGATGCTTGCTACGAATTCGAATCGTGGCAGGCCGAGGCCGTGTTCGCCCTGCTGATCTGGCAAGGCCCAAAGGTGTGATCGAAGATGCCGGGGTCCGTTGGCTCAAAGCTAGAGTGAAGCTTGAGACTGGCGTTGCAAGCTCGTGGCTTTTACTGGGAGCTCGCGTTAATGTTTGGTGGTGGTTTGGCGCAAAGAGCTTCGCTTTTTGGGCTTATCGACGAGGCTGGACGTTCAAGACAGGAGGCTGAGATTGGCTGCCGCGTCGTCGAGGTTGGGGTCTGCTGGGTCCACAATCGCGTTATCGGCCATTAAAGCCACACCATGTCCGGCAAATTCACACCCTACATTCCTGGCGGATGGAGGGCACTGACCTCACCAAGCTGAAGACCTTGCTCCAGGTGCAAGTGCGAGAAAAGCTCCGGACGTTTGGCGTGCTGTATTGCGAGTCAACAGTCGAAAGGGTTCTCCCTGGCACTAATCACTTGATAATGATATCACACCTCGCAGAAGGCTTTCTTGCGCTCAGGTTCGCGGCCACGAGCCCCTAAGAGGGGGCAGCTCAAGCTTTTCAGCGAGGTGACAAGTCTGGAACAAGCCGATTGACTTCTGGTGCAGCTCAGACTATCTTTGCCCAATAGGTGCGGCTTGAGTCTTTCCAGCTCGGAACATCACCTTATTAGCTGTCTGTGATATCATGATCGGACGACTCCCATTCAATGCTGCCTTCGTCTTTGGTTGTCGGGCAGAGGCCTTCTGATGCGGCACGCATTCCTTTAGATAGTAAAGAAGCAGTCGAATGCGCACCTGAGGTCGCTTTCCCAAAATCCAGACGTGGCAGTCCTGGATTCTCGTCGTCGATGAGAACTGACGTCGATCTAAGTTGTATGGGTTTGTCCGGCCCACCGAGCTTGGATCCTTGACATGTCTGTTGTCTCAGCTTCGAGTTTTGTTTGAACGCTAATCCATCAGGGCCCAAAATTTCATTAAGACGGGGTTCGTCCCTCCTGGTGGTTGAGCACCCACTCAAGGGTCTCATGGCTTCCTATCAAGTCGGACTACGAGACCACCAGCATGCTCACCAGGTCATAATGCGGAACAGCTGGCAAGACGCAGACCTGCCGGGCCGAGCCGAATGAGAACCCCCCCGGTAACATGGGAAGCGTAAGTTTATTGCCCATTTCACGAGAAGCGCCAAGCGAGGATGTGCTACCACCATTCTCTGCACGATATACAGTCATGGACGGCGATACTGTTTGATTTCGGGATTAGCCAGCCAGGTCAGACAACTTACGAGAATCCAACCCAATCTTTTTAGCCCTTTTCAGAACAAGTGGCCGGGCGTCCCTCCCAGTTCAGTTTCGCAGCTGCAGTCGAGCATGATGTCCACGAGGTTTAGCTTGCAAGGCCAGTCAGTGACGTGAAGTCACCGACAGCTTGGTCCCGATTGTGCTCAACTCTTCACGCCAAGCAGAATAGCCACTCGAAGGATGCCATCATAGCCACGCTCAACACAGAGTCATTGCCATCAGGCGACGTTGCTGGGCGACATTGGGTCCCACGTTCTTGATGTGAGGAAGCTAACACACCTGACTCTCGTGTTGCCTTGCCCGAGTGGGGCGAGAAACCTAGCCCCTGAGAGCCACCACCTCAACAGCCCCTGCCCAGCGTGCCATCCGCCGCCACATGGGTAGGGTCGAGACAGGGGCTCGAGCTGTCCCCTGGCGGATCTCCCACGTCGGCGCTGCGTAACTACCTGACGAGGCCTGTTCACTTTGTGCCGCGCACCCTAGGAACTGTATCAAACAGGAAACCCAGGGCCCTCGTTGGTGTGTTACAGAACACCACTGTTCTGCCCGAGTCGCCACTCATGTACGAGCCGAAATGGGCCAGATGGCACCAGAGATGTTGCCTCGTCATACCATGTTTCGATAGTGTCTGGCGAAGTCCACGGCAACTGTGGTTGTGACCCATTCCAAATCTGCTAGAACGGCCGGTCCGGGCTTTTGGGCCGAACTCGGTGGGCTGACAGTCGAGACGCCGTGTCAGCACATCGGCAGAGTCGACCTGTACGAAGGTGTCGTCATGGTGCAGCAGGATTGCATCCGAGGAGGCCTGGATGCGGGCAAGAAGAGCAGGATCAGCCAGCTCCATTTCTGGGCTCCTGAGGGACGAGACGAGGCATGCTTGATTCGTTTCGAGAGACTGGTGGGTGAGGAGATGGCTCGGCCCCCATGAGAGCGGGGGGACGGTGGCGTGGAGAGACAGTCGTGAGCTGCGGAACAAGTCGTTGCCCAGCGGCGGCGCTAGGCCAGCATCCTGGGTCGTGGAGGCCAGCTCGAGACCAATGACAGCACCCTGCCAAGTGCGTTCTGGACATCCACTTGCCCCTCGACGTCTGGTGCGGGAGATGCTCTCGTGGGGCGGGCCACCTCGAGGAGCTGGGACAGCTAGAGCTGTCGTTGCTGCTGCTCCCTGGAAGGCCCCGTCCGGGAGAATGGGGGGGGGTTGCTTGCCCAGGTGGCCCGGACCGCCTGGCAACCCACTTGCTCGCACTCTAAGCCGTACGTCGTCACCACTAAGAGGACCGCCAGCTGCTACCTACAGTGCTCGCCCCGGGGAGAGCTGCTCGGTTGTCCACCTACCAAAGGGCCCCCCTGTCAGACCTGCTCGTGCTGTGTGCTGTGCTGTGCTGTGCTCTGCCATTGTCCCAGCTTCCCCTCCTTTCCTCTTCTTGGTGAAGACATCACTTTCTCGTCTGCACCAATCTCTCCCCTTTCCCTCACATCCATCCATCACCCTCTCTCCCACACAAGCCCTCCGCGCCATCTTTGACGTTCCTTCCGTCGAGGCTGCCTTGCTCCTTCATCTGAGCATCGAGCTAGACACATTGCTCCGCACCCTCCTTATCACGCACGCAGCCTGTTTTTGACACGCACGCAACTCCAATCACCTCTACTCACACATCCACACACACACACACCACCTCAAGGCCTACCGCTTCGAAAGCAATTTCCATCACAGCCTTCTACCAACCGGGTACAACTTGTCTCTGAGACCTTCCAAAGTATAACACGCACTGCACGTGCACCCCTGACAGCTTGAGCTAGCCCATCATGGACCAGCAACAGCAACAGCAGCCTCCGGCGGCGGCGGGCCAGCAGCAGGCTCCGGCCCAGGCTCCTCAACAAGCACCACCTACCGGTGGTGTCCATGGTCCTGCTGGTCGGCGCCTCCATATTGCTCATAGGAGAAGTCCTTCAGAGCTCACGCCGCTCATGAGCATGTTTGCCAATCCCGGAAGTGAGTCCACCAGTTTCCCATTGGGTCCTTTCGTGGTTTGATCAGAGCTGACATCCCTCTTTTATTGGATGAACAGTGGAACAGCTAGCTATCCAGCAACAAATCGAGCTCCTACAGCAGCAACAGCAACAGCTTCAAGCTACTCATCAGCAATATATGAACATGGGCATGATTGCCCCTGGTCAGATCGCTCCGGGCAATCAGTTCAACCCGTTGCAACCCAACATGGGCAACATCGCGCCGCAAAACGCATTCCAGTTTCCGCCTCAGCAGCAGAACATCCCCATGGGTGGCACTCCAAGCCAGCCAATGACACATCGCCGTAATCAGTCGGCAATTCCTAACATGAACGTGGGACCGCCCCCTGCCCCATCTTCGGGAGCATCCGGCTCAGCCTTTGGCCAGTTCGAAAGTCCTGCAGGCCAAGGGCGCGGCGAGAATGCTACTCGTGGCGGTCGGGGTGGCTCTGGTGGTGGTCATCAGCGCCGGCACTCCTTGGCTCTGGCCGACGCAAAGAAGGCTGCCGAGCTCGCGCAGCAGAAGAAAACCACCTCTGGTTTCTCGTTCCCCGCCGCTCCCGACCCGAATGCCGAAGAGACGAAACCTGCTCCCGTCGATACCCCCATCGCTCAAGGCTCGACTACTCGTGGTGGCCGCGGTGGGCATGGCAGAAGTCAGAGCATGGCTGTAGGCAGCGGCACGCGGGGTGGCGGTGCTGGCCGTGGTGATAGTGACGCCAACCGTCGTGGAGGTCATGGCCGAACAGCGTCGCGCAACTTTGAGGGCAACTGGCGCAACCAAGCTCAGACTCAGGGTGGCGAGCAGCAGGGCCAGCAAGGTAGTTTCCAACCAGGCCACCGCTCTCGTGGCTCAGTCAACCAGTCCATCTCAGGCATGGGCGCCTTCCAGTTCCCGGCGCAGCCACAGCTCATGCAAATGCCCGGCCAGATCCCCCTGATGCCTCAGATGTATCCCGGTGGACAGCTCAACCCCATGCAGATTAGCCAGCTGCAAGCTCTGCAGGCTGCACAGATGGGCGGTCAGCAGTTTGTTGGCCTCCAAGGCAGCCAGCACGCTGCGCAGATGGGCGGCCAGCAGTCACAGCAGCAACAGCGCAAGACACTTTTTACACCATACCTACCGCAAGCCACGCTCCCTGCGCTGCTCGGGGACGGCCAGTTGGTTTCTGGTATCCTCCGTGTCAACAAGAAGAACCGTAGTGATGCCTACGTCACCACATCTGATGGACTCCTAGACGCCGATATCTTCATTTGCGGTAGCAAAGACCGCAACAGAGCTCTGGAAGGCGATCTCGTCGCAGTCGAGCTTCTTGATGTCGATGAGGTTTGGTCGCAGAAGCGCGAGAAGGAGGAGAAGAAGAAACGCAAAGATATTACCGACACCCGCTCCGGATCAGTTAGTGGCACTGCCCCTTCCACCTCGGCCAATGGTGACGATAACAATGCGTCCGAGGGTGGTCTGCGCCGCCGTGGAAGTCTCCGCCAGAGGCCCACACAGAAGAAGAATGACGATGTCGAAGTGGAGGGCCAAAGCCTACTGCTTGTCGAAGAGGAGGAAATCAACGACGAGTCGAAGCCTCTCTATGCTGGCCACATTGTAGCTGTCGTTGAACGTGTACCTGGTCAGATGTTCTCCGGAACCCTCGGTCTTCTCCGACCCAGCAGTCAAGCTACCAAGGAGAAGCAGGAGGCGGAGCGTGCCGCTCGCGATGGTGGTCGCGCCCAGGAGAGCCGGCAACAGGACAAGCCCAAGATTGTGTGGTTTAAGCCGACCGATAAGCGTGTGCCTCTGATTGCTATTCCTACGGAGCAGGCACCGCGTGACTTTGTCGAGAAACACCAGGACTATGCCGACAGAATCTTCGTCGCCTGCATCAAGCGCTGGCCCATTACCTCGCTGCATCCCTTCGGCACGTTGGTGGAGCAGCTTGGCAAGATGGGTGACCTCAAGGTCGAGACGGATGCGCTGCTCAGGGACAACAACTTCTCCTCTGAGGAGTTCTCCGAAGCTGTCCTCCGCAGCGTTGGTCTCCAGGATTGGTCCCTCGAGAAGGAGGACGAAGCAGCGGTCGGTAATCGCCGCGACTTCCGCGACGAGACTACCTTCACTCTCGACATTGCTGGCAACGGCACCTTGAGCAATGCTGTTCACTTGAAGACCGAGGCCGATGGCAAGATTGAGATTGGTATTCACGTTCCAGACGTCTCGCACTTCGTCAAGCCCAACTCGCTCGTGGACCGTGAGGCCAAGAAGCGTGGTACCGCTGTGCAGTTGGTCAACCGTGTGTGTGCTCTGCTACCCCCGAAGATTGCCTCCGAGCTCTGCACTCTTACCCCCGGCGAGGACAGGCTGACTGTTAGCGTTGTCTTCCGGGTCAACCCCCACACTGGTGCGGTCGCCGAAGGAGACACTTGGGTCGGCAAGAGTATCACGAAGAGTGCCGCGAAGCTCTCGCTCGCCGAGCTTGACGCTGGCCTTGAGGCAGGCGCGGAGTTCAAGCATGACGCCGTTTCCGCGAAAGATCTTCAGATCCTCAACGTAAGTTTGACCGGAGCTTGGCATCGAAAGCCTTCGTTGCTACCGCGAAACCATCAATACAATATGAAATACTAATTAGACGAACAGGTTGTCGCCCAGAAACTGCGAGAATCGCGTCTGGGAAGTGATGGAGAACCCATTGCACCCCTTCGCCTGCTGCATGGACTCGACGATGAAATCATTCCGATTCAGCAGAACATTTTCGACTGTACAACCGGCACTGAGCTGGTGGAGGAGCTCTTCCACAAGGCCAACGTCGCTGTTGCTCAGAAACTCGCAGAAGGTCTACCCGAGAAGGCCCTTCTCCGTCGCCAGGCTGCGCCGAATGCTCGCCGCCTGCAGACCTTTGTCGACCGCATGAGAGCTCTTGGATACGACATGGATACCACCAGCAGTGGTACACTTCAGAACAGCCTGTTCAAGGTCGAAGATGCTGATTTCCGCAAGGGCATGGAGACGCTCTTGATCAAGAGCATGAACCGTGCCAAGTACTTCATTGGTGGTAAGACCAATAAGCAGCTCTGGCCCCACTATGCTCTGAACGCGCCGCTATACACTCATTTCACTGCGCCTACTCGGCGCTATGCTGACATCATTGTCCATCGCCAACTTGAGTCTGTCCTTTCCGAAGGCGCCATCGAGTACAACGAGGACATTGAGAATCTTGTCAAGACCATCGAGTCTTGTAACACGAAGAAGGACTCTGCACAAAATGCCCAGGAGCAGAGCATCCACATTGAGTCCTGCCGGGCAATGGACCAGAAGCGTCAGGAGGCTAACGGAGATCTGATTGCCGAGGGCATTGTGCTCTGCGTTTACGAGTCCGCGTTCGATGTTCTCATTCCCGAATGGGGCTTCGAGAAGCGGGTGCACTGCGACCAGCTGCCTCTGAAAAAGGCCGAATTCCGCAAGGAGAAGCGCGTGCTGGAGCTGTACTGGGAGAAGGGCGTTCCCAGCTCTGCGTACGTCCCCGAGGATGAGAGGCCAAAGGCCCAGGCATCACAGAGAATGACCAACGCCATGGCCGCTGCACGCCACGCTGAGCAAGCGGAGCGGGCCAAGAAGGAACGTGAGGAGGCGACCCGCAAGCAGACCGAGACCGGTACCATGTCGACTGACGACGTCGACGCCCTGTTTGATGACGATGACGAGGACAACGCATCTGACATCACGGAGGCCATGGCCGGTGCTTCGTTGGCTGAGCGGCCAACCCAGAGTGTTCCCGGGTCGCCTACTCGTGGCACCGCCGACGCCTCTGGCAACCTTCACCGTACTCGCTCAGACTCGAAGGTGCCTGTTGCCGAGCCTGTCGAGGGTCGTCTGACGAACAAGGAAAAGTACCTCAAGTTCTTCTCGCTGAGAGAGGAGGGTGGCGAGTACATCCAGGATGTCACTGAGATGACTCGTGTGCCCGTCATCCTCAAGACTGACCTCTCAAAGAGCCCACCGTAAGTTGCGACCCTGCTCGCGTCCCTTTGATTATATCAGCAGATCCACTGACAATCAACAGTTGCTTGACGATCCGGTCGCTGAACCCTTACGCCTTGTAAATTCGAGATTCACCATGGGATGTGGAGTGTGTCCAGCCTGATGGCTTTGGCATGCCTGCAAGAGATGGAGATGGGATGAAGCGCCATCCATTGTCCACGCCAATGCTTGGCGACTGGGAGGCGACGGGCTACACCGCTACAGATAACATGAGAAACTGAGGGCCGTGCTCCACTAGGACCGCTGGCCATGCGACAGGGTAGAGAAAATGGGGAGCTGAACTGTAAGCATATGCTATGCAGGGGAATGCTGAGGGGTCTGGGACTATAATATCAACAAAGACTGTGGCATGCAGAGGCTACGAGCTCGAAGGATTAGCTAGGAACAAGAAAAAGCGACATGTATTTGATTCAAAGCCACCACGATTCAGATATTGCGGGACGTTTGGAACGTGCCTGGCCGAGCTCGGGACCTAGATCCGAGCGTTTCGAGCCATCTGAAGACGCAGGCCGTATGCGGCGGCCATGGAAGACTGGTCCAGAGAGAGAGTGTGTGTCCTCGGCTAGTCCAAACTTTGCAATTGACCCACCGTGCGGTCCTGTCCATGATGAGCCTACGAGAACGGGGCAGCGAGGATGCCGGGTGAGGTTGCACCGGAGGCCATAAGAAGGGGCTGCTATGAGGAAAGGAGGCGGCTGCACCGGGGTTTCAAGGCGGCCGGCTGACAGAGGCCCCGGGGTGGTGAGCCGGGGGATGCTAGAGCATACGGCGGGCCACAGAGGGCAGCCCCCTGGCAGGCGAGAGCGCCGAGAGGGCTGAAACCGGCTCCTGCGTCAAGGGGTGTCGGAACACCCTGCCTGGGGCGCCCTTCTGCACAAGTGCTGCACATGTGCACGCGAGCTGCTCTCTTAGGTAAGCACGCAGAAGGTCTGCCTGGAGGCGGCCAGCAACACCTTCTCGCATCTGCGGTCGAACCCTGCCATCTCGCCATGTTTCGTGTTTCGCCAGGAGACACCTCCGTGAGCACCACTCCTCGGCTCCGCCAAGGCGGTCCTGTGTCGAGGCTGGCGCCCATGGCCAGCCACATATACCCCGTGGTCGCCATGCCCACCACTCAGGAGCAGCGCCCACCGCCGGCGATGGGTCCTGATCTGATATGAGATGGCCCCTCCGACGGGGAACCCTCTGCGGATGGCGCACTGGACCTACACCAGGCCGGCAGAGCTCCAGCCCGGCAGGAGAACGAAGCCCTGTCACCACTTTCCCCCCCTAGAGATGCCCGTTAGGCTCTGCCCTGCAGGGGATGACCCCGTTGCCATGGGCTCGTTATTGGCCAGCCAGCCCCCCAGCACGGCCGACGACTCTTCCGTCCATCTAAACGTCCCAAGTCTGTCGAGCCTCGTCCCGGCCCCGGGGGGTGGGGTTGCCGTTGCTACGCCAGAGAGCCGTGGTGCCTGGCTGCCCACCCTTGGTTCCAACGTTGTCTTTAAGTTGCCGCGCCCCTCGTCTATCGTTGTCTCTGGTTTCTGTTTCCCCTCCTCATCCCGTCTACTTCTCTCTCTCACTTGTGTGCGGTCCGTCTTTCGTCTTCAAGCACTGGTTTGCTTATCTTCCCGGGATCGACTCCTATACTATCCTTAACGACTACTTGGTTGTGTATACAGCGATTCTCCCAATCCTAATCCGCCTAATACCAACCTCTCTCTCCTCGGCTTCATTGTCCCTCTTTCTCTCGGTATAGCCAGGCTGGTCTTTGCTATCTACGACGACGAAACGACAAACTCGACTTTTATATACTTAATACTTTTTTCCAATAACTTTGGAATATCATTCGCCGACGCTGTCGCTACCTTCGGACCAGCACCCGCACGATCTTGGACACCTGAGATCAATATTCGCAAAGTAGAAAAAGGACTTTTGGATATATCCGCAAGACAACAGAAGCAGCAGAAGAAACCAAAAAAAACACCACCAAAATGCCTTCCTTCAGCAAGATCGCGACCCTCGTGGCTGGCTTCGCCGCCGCCGTCTCTGCCGCCCCGGCTGCTCCCCAGCTCACGGCCCGCCAGACCAAGATGTACGAGATGGCCAAGCGCCAGAACGCCGGTGCTGCCGCCCTCGGCATCTCTGACGTCGACATTGCCCAGTTGTAAGTTCCTCTTCTGGTGGCGGTCATAAACTTGTAGGCGCAAACAAAAAGACTGACACACGACCTACAGCGCCTTGACTCTGGAGTGGCTCGAGAACGAGTTCTACAGACAGGGTTTCCTCAAGTTTGGCGACGACGCCTTCCGCGCGCTCGGCCTCAACGACCAGCAGCTCTCCGACCTCAAGTCGATTGGCAAGTCGGAGGAGACGCACGTCGTGACCCTGACGTCGGCCATTGCTGCCGCCGGTGTCCAGCCCGTCCAGCCCTGCACGTACAACTTTGGCTTCACCGACGCGGCCGGCATGGTCGCCACTGCCGCGGTGCTCGAGAGCGTCGGTGTCTCTGCCTACCTCGGCGCGGCGACGCTCATCTTCGACCCCAAGATCCTCGCCCTCGCGGGCTCTATCTTGACCGTCGAGGCGCGCCACCAGTCTTTCATCCGCGCCGCCTCGGGTATCGTCGCCAGCCCGTCGCCCTTTGACACCCCACTGGGCCCCAAGGCCGTCTTCTCCCTCGCTGCCCCCTTCATCCAGTCCTGCCCCGAGGGCTCCAACCTCATCCTCACTGCCTTCCCCACCCTCGCCCTCGCCAGCCCCCAGGCCGCCGAGGTGAAGACCCTCGTCGCCGGCAGCATGCTCAACTTCCAGAGCGACGCCGCCGCCGGTGCCACCTTCTGCGGCTTCACCAACTCTGGCGCGGCCGGCGGCACCTCCTTCACCCCGTTCACTGCCGGCACCGGCTGCGCGCTTCCCCCCAACTTGTCCGGCCTCGTGTACGTGTCGCTCACCAACGCCGCGCCCAAGACTGGTGTCATCACCGATGCCATTACGATGGCTGGTCCTACTGTTCTCCAGCTGTCTTAAGCGGGAGAACCTGGGAGGGGTGTCTTTGAGTTCAAGTTACGAATAGCGTGTATGTGTGTGTAATGCATGTGAGAAGGGGTTCAATGGGTCTTCGATTCTTTTTGTACTAGGAGAGGAGGGTGTCCCCTGACAGTGGAAGGAAGGGGGAGCCAAAAGAAGGAAGCAGCGATTTTTTATACCCTGGTGTTATTTTTTTTTTTAGTCCTTTCGGAAAGACAAAATAAGAGCCTACAGCATCTTGTTCCTCCACCTCTCTCTCATTATCTCTCTCCCTCTCTCGAATCCCAAGGTTCGGATGTCTCGTGAGCTTGTAGATCAAACGCACGGGGCACTCTGGATTTTGAGTCGAGGGTTGTCTGAGAGCTGTGAGAAAGGAAGGATGCTGTGGGTTTTTATAGACTTTTGTTCGGACTACATGTCAGTCTTCAATTCTCTGGTGTGTTTGTGTTATACTATGTGTCTTGTATTGTGGTCGTGGGATGGACGAATGCCAACAAAGAACAGTAATGCATGTAGGCTTGGAAGGACTGGCTTGGAAGTATAACATGAGGGCACAAAAGCTCTCTTGAAACAGACAAAAATCCTTTTATTATTCTCAAGAACCCTCCTACGACCACCTCTATGCTGTGATGGGAGCTCGCAAGGCCAAACATATTTGCTTGTATAAGTCTCCTTGTCAGCCTTTTCTTCTGATCCTGTCCATGCCTTATTGTTGAGGTCTGTTGACGAGCTTGATGGGAGTGAGAGTGGTCAAGTGTGTGCTATTAAAGTGACAAGGCTCTCTCCCTCGTGGGCACTCCGTCGGCATCTTATTGGCCCGCAGCTTCTCCTCCCGTCCACTCAAGCATTCCCGTGCGGAGAAGGCCAAGTCCTGTCGCTCATGCATACTTTGTATGTGCGGGGAGAAGCTTTGGCCGTTGTCATTGGACAGAATCTGCGACCTAGGCGCAGTCTAGTTGTCCTCGGACCGGCGCGAATGGGGGCGGGCGGCGCACGCGGAAACCAAAGGTTGGTGGTGGTGGTGGTGACCTTGCGCCCCCCATTGTGCTGCTCACCACTTGACGTGCGTGTGCGGGGGGCGGCCGACGTCGTCATAGGCTCTGGAGGTGTGTGTGTGCGTGGAGTGAATGCCTGGAATCGGTTTCTGGTTCTGCCGTTCCCAACCATCTCATCTGATGATGACCTTGGCAAGGCTTTGTTTGCAACTTCTGGCGTGCAGCTACTTACACTGCCATCCATCTTCGTGGTCTGCTGGTCAGTGTCGTCACTCTTAAACAGCACACAACCGCTTAGACCAACTTTGTCTCGCACAGCGCCTCGTTGTCCTCAGAGTCTGAGCACCGGTGCGACTTCTTTCCCCCCCGTTCTCTGAAGGGGCCACAGCAGCATCACCGGTCTAATCCTACGAGACACCACCACCCCCTTCCCCACTGATTTTGTGTTCTTCTACAGTCGGCAACGGCCCAGCCAGTTGCAGCAAGTTGGCGTCGCACATTGCCCACTGCATTCTGGATCTGATTGCTGCTGCTGCCCGTTCAAACACGTAGCGAGGCGCGACGCGCAATAGTCACCGTTTGCTCGACTAAGAGTCTCCTGCCTTCTTCAGCAAACGGTGCAAACCAACATTTCTGTGCACCTATTGTTTTGTTCCGGGAAACATACTTGATATCGTTCCCTGCCCGCCTGGGGAAAGAAAACGATGCGAGTCTCCGCGCTCAAGTCGGCGGTGCTCCTCGTCGCCGCTGCCACCGCTCCGAGATTATCCACCGCGGACGGATCGGCTAGCCAAGCCTTTGAACAAGACAGGATTGACCAAATCCGCGGCAGCGGCGATGCTGATTTACTAAGTGCTGTAACGCGAGCACATGACGTCCTGAGCCAGCTCCTAGGAGACAGGTTGGGGTCAGAGCCCTTGTTCAAAGCGTTCGATGGGGATTTCGCAGCGGGTCGGCAGCGGCCGCTGGAGGAGGACGACGGCAAGGGCCGGACTACTTGGGAGGACGAGATCTGGCTCGATGCTGCCGGGCCGGTTGGCTGTGCTGCGTGCGAGGTGAGTTTCTCCAGCGTTCATGCTTGGGTCTAGATCGGAGTCGGTGGTTGTGAGACAATATGATTTCATGGCATCTGGGGATGTAGTGTAGGCGGCGATGACGATCCGGCCATCACACGTTGGAAACACGCATTTACTGATATGTCTCTGGACAGGTCATCCTCGCACAGCTCAAAGTCATCGCCGCAGCGGGCGATGCCTTCTTCATCGGCTTCCTCTCGGAGCTGTGCAAGCGGACCGGTGTAAGTCATCCCGCCCTCCCAGTTTACTTTGTTTGACAAGGCATGCCAGCTTCGATGAGCAAAGTCAAAAGCTTCGAGAACACCTACTTACAGCACTTCCCCACAAAATAGGTCCAAGACGCCGATGTCTGCGAAGGCTCGATAGCCCTTGAAGGCCCCATCGTGGCTCGTGGGATTAGAAGTATCACGGTGGGTTCCAGAGTGTCCAGGCTCTTCTGCGCCTATTCGGTGGGCTTGTGCTCGTTCCCGGAGGTGGAGTCCTGGCAAGTCCCTTTTCCTTCACCTAAACCGCCGCCTGAGCCATCGACGGCGTCAAGACTGGCTGGTGCGACGGGCCAAAAGGAACGGAGAGAACCGCTGCGGATCGTGCACTACTCGGATATCCATGTCGACCCGTTCTATGAGCAGGGCACAAATGCGAACTGCACAAAGCCGATATGCTGCAGGTATTGTCCCTCTGTTGATAGTTCGAGTCGATGAGTTCGTTCGAGAGCTGACTGGAACAAACCCCCTAGAGACTATCCAGACTCTGTCACCGACGGCAGCTTCCTGCCTGCTGGCCCGCATGGCGACCACCAATGCGACTCTCCGCTAAGCCTCGAGAAGAGCATGTATATGGCGATCAAGGATCTCGTCCTGGATGCGGCATTCAGCATCTTCACAGGCGACATTGTGGACCACGCCGTGTGGAACACGACGCAGGCGCAGAATACAATCAATATCGGCGCGTCCTATGTCCGTATGGCCGACGTCGGGCTCACTGTGTACGGCACCGCGGGCAACCACGAGTCATCTCCCACAAACTCGTTTCCTCCAGAAGGGTCTAGCGATAGCGCGCAGTGGTTGTACAACCTGCTGTCGCTGGCCTGGATGCGATGGGTTGGTTCCGACGCCGCGGACACGGCGCGGAAGATTGGCGCCTACTCGACGAAGCATCGCGACCTTAACCTGCGCATACTTTCGCTCAACACGAACTTGCACTATGCTCACAACTACTGGCTCTACGAAGACCCGATGCAACGAGATCCAAGTGGACAGCTGACCTGGCTGGTCAGGGAGCTCGACGCCGCAGAGAAGAACGGAGAACGCGTCTACATCATCGGGCACATGCCGATGGGCTCTGGAGATGCTTTCCACGACGGATCCAACTACTTTGACCAGATAGTCGGGCGGTACTCGCCTGGGACAATTGCCGGGCTCTTCTTTGGTCACACGCATCTGGACGAGTTTGAGCTGGCCTACCACAACTACAGCAGCCGCTCCCACAGCGGTGCATTTGCCACGACTTACGTGGCGCCCAGCTTGACCCCTACCTCGGGCCATCCCTCGTTCCGCGTCTACACGGTAGACCCGGAGACCTTTGGTGTCCTCGACATCACCACGTACCGAGCGAACATGGACACGCCTGACTATCAAGCTGGCGGTGCCCTCCCAAAATGGGAGAAGTACTACTCTGCTCGCGACGCGTACGGACCCCTGGTGACGACGCCGCCTCTGGGCGCCGAACAGGAGCTCACGCCGGCGTTCTGGCACAATGTGACCGAGGTCCTCGAGCGCAATGCCACTGCCTTTGGGGAGTATCTCGTCCGCAAGCGGAGAGGCTGGCAGGCCGAGGAGGCCGTGGCTGCGTGCGACGACGAGTGTGCCAGGCTTGAGATTTGCAAGCTGCGAGCGGCCAGGGCGCAGGACAACTGCATGACGCCCGGCTCGCGGGTCAACCTGGGCAGGAGAGAGCCGCCGTTCGGGGACGACTGCGAGTCATCTGTCGTGAGAAATACGCTCTCGAATGTCGCCGTGCAACGAGAGCTGCTGGTGCTGGCTGCTCAGAAGGCCGTGGAGCGCGGGCCAGGGGTGGACAGGATCAGTGAGGTTGGAGAGCTTTGAGGCAAGGTAGAGACCTGGTTCAAACATATAGTCGATTAACTATCCTCCCATCCAAGCACTTCTGGACCAAGTGAAGCCAGCAAGAGACGTGCGAGTGTCAAGTATCTAGCCGCGATGTGGGGCGGCTGGGCGAGGCGGCCTTAGGTTGGCCTAATTCATGCGAGCTGATGCATGAGGAGGAGCTCCCCCTGGCGCAGGCAGCTGCTGCACTCGAGCAGCAGCCACCACTGCACGGCAGCAAGCCAAGTACCTGCACCAAACAACACGCCCATCATCACGCATCCTGACAGTCTTTTGGACATTATTGTTGTTATCCTGCTGCCTGGCTTTGCTCTCTCGTGTGGGCTTAGATGCTTGGCCTGCGCCCGCGGCTCAAGCCTCGCCCGTCCCTGGTCGAGCTGCTGGCGAGATCCGCCCAGCAGCAGCAGCAGCAGCAACCACATCAACAACAGCAGCAGCAGCCTGCGTCACTCGCACCACAACCTAGAGGCGACCCCACTGTTGCTACCAAGGACGACGCTGCGCTGCTTCCCCTGCCGGCCGACTCCAGCACCACCGCCAGTGACATTCCGGATCCACTCGACCTCCAAGCTTCGCCGCCACTGCTGGTGCTGCCTCCATCTCCCTCCTCACCTTCTGCCTCGACTGCATCGGCGCCGCCCTCCCCATCCTCGCCGTCGCCGTCGCCCCCTCGACAATCTCCATCGGCAACCCGTTCACCAGTCATCCCACTCCACCAGACGCCTCTCCCGCAAGCTACGACAGCACCCGCTGCTGCACCGCCCAACATCATGGCTCCGGTAAGCTCGCACCGATGATGATGATGATGATCCTGATGCATACACCCAGACCTTCACCGACCATACTGCGCCAGGTCGGCGCTATGCATCTGCGCGCTGATTTGTCCGTCAATGCCATTCTCTCGCTACCGCAGCTAACCTCGCCCTGCTCTCCAGTCGGCCAAGGCCGCCGCCAATGGCGACAAGGATGGCTTCCACACAGGTATGTTCTTCCACCTCGGCGACGACGCCGACGACGCAATTACCGAACCGCATCGCAGATGAACTGACTTGTGTGTGCGCGGGACAGGCAAGGTCTACTCCATCTCTGGGTACGTCATACCACTTCGCCAGTCCACAATCTCCAGCCACCAGCCCCTTGGTCCTATCCGTCGTCGCATCATCGTCCACGACTAATCCCTCACCAGACCTGTCGTTGTCGCCGAAGACATGCTTGGCGTTGCCATGTACGAGCTTGTAAGCAGCACTCCAGTAGCTCTGGGCCTATATCAGAGGAGTTCATTCACTGACCTGGTTCGCACAGGTCCAAGTTGGCCACGACAACCTCGCCGGTGAAGTCATTCGAATCAATGGCGACCAGGCCACCATCCAGGTCTACGAGGAGACTGGTACGTAGACCTTTGAAAAGGCAACTGCCGCGTTCTTTGGACGAAATGTCGCTGACAAAGTCTTGTGTCGTAGCTGGTGTCACTGTTGGCGACCCCGTCAACCGAACTGGCAAGCCTCTGTCCGTCGAGCTTGGCCCTGGTCTGCTGAACAACATCTACGACGGTATCCAGCGTCCCCTCGAGAAGATTTCGGAAGCCTCGAAGAGCATTTACATCCCCCGCGGTATCGCCATCCCTGCGCTCGACCGCACCAAGAAGTGGGAGTTTACGCCCACCGCCAAGGTCGGTGACCACATCTCTGGTGGTGACGTCTTTGGCACGGTCTTCGAGAACTCCTTCATCAAGGTCCACAAGGTCCTCCTGCCACCCCGCGCTCGCGGTGTCATCACCAAGATCGCGTCCAAGGGCGAATATACCGTGGCCGAGAAGATCCTCGAGGTCGAGTTCAACGGCACCAAGACCGAGTACCCCATGATGCAGTCATGGCCCGTCCGTGTCCCCAGACCCACCACCGAGAAGCTCTCTGCCGAGTCGCCGTTTATCGTCGGCCAGCGCGTCCTGGATGCCCTCTTCCCCAGTGTCCTGGGTGGCACCGTCGCCATCCCAGGTGCTTTCGGTTGTGGCAAGACTGTCATTTCCCAGTCGGTTTCCAAGTTCTCTAACTCTGATGTGATTGTATACGTCGGATGTGGTATGTGCATGCTTGCCCCCATCTCTCTTGGAGGTGCTCGATCGCTAACTGTCGCAAACAGGCGAGCGTGGTAACGAGATGGCCGAAGTCTTGAAGGATTTCCCCGAGCTGTCCATCGAGGTCGACGGCCGCAAGGAGCCCATTATGAAGCGCACAACTCTGATCGCCAACACATCCAACATGCCTGTCGCCGCTCGTGAGGCTTCCATCTACACGGGAATTACGGTGGCTGAATATTTCCGCGACCAGGGCATGGACGTCGCCATGATGGCCGACTCGTCTTCCCGCTGGGCCGAGGCTCTGCGTGAGTTGTCTGGTCGTCTCGGAGAAATGCCTGCTGACCAGGGTTTCCCTGCCTACCTTGGTGCCAAGCTGGCCAGTTTCTACGAGCGTGCCGGCAAGACCGTCTGTCTTGGCTCGCCCGAGCGTAACGGCAGTATCAGCATTGTCGGTGCCGTCAGTCCCCCGGGTGGTGATTTCTCGGATCCCGTCACAACCTCGACCCTCGGTATCGTGCAGGTGTTCTGGGGTCTCGACAAGAAGCTTGCTCAGCGCAAGCATTTCCCCTCGATCAACACGTCCGTCTCTTACAGCAAGTACACGAACGCCCTCGCCAAGTGGTACGAGAAGGACTATCCCGAGTTCCCCAAGAACCGCGATCGGATCAAGACGATTCTCTCCGACGCTGAAGAGAAGGAGCAGGTCGTCCAGCTGGTCGGCAAGTCTGCGCTGTCGGACCCTGACAAGATCATTCTCGATGTGGCTACGCTGCTCAAGGAGGATTTCCTCCAGCAGAACGGCTACTCCGACTATGACCAGTTCTGCCCCATCTGGAAGACTGACTGGATGATGAGACTGATGGTCGGGTTTTATGACGAGGCTCAGAATGCCATCGCTCAGGGACAAAGCTGGGCCAAGGTCCGTGAGGCCACATCAGACTTGCAGGCCAAGCTGCGTAGTCTCAAGTTTGAGGTGCCCAGCGAGGGAGAGGAGACGATCACAAAGAAGTATGAGGGAATTCAACAGGAAATGTTGGACAAGTTCGCATCGGTCACCGATGAATAGAGCACATTGTTCGGCGTCGGTTATGATAGCACTCCTGTTTCAGGCGCGAGAATCGCAGACCTGAGTTTTTATAGATACTACTCAAGTACCAAGCATATATTCTGTATTGAGACGTTGCCGTTTGAATTGCAGATGCCGCGGGCGGATGATCACCACACAAGCTGGAACCCTGGAATCCACAATCATCCACAGAATGTCGTGCCCCGAGACGTTGCCATCTCGAGGGAGGGCGCTGGGGTCTGGCTGAATCAGGGTTTTTATAACCACCTGGGAGGCTGAATTCAGCATGTTCACGACTAGTCACCTCCCTGGAGATCTCGGACAGACACGAGGCAAAGCGGTATTCCTAAAGCCCCCCCCCCCCCCAAGCCACAAATCAAGCATGGCATGATGGCCATCGCAACGTCCAAACATCACAATCTCCTGCACAAGTGGGTGTGTTTTAATAGTTGAATATAAAATCAAGTGATTGACTCTAGTCTAGTTTTTTCAGGCATATCTATGCAAGAAACAAAGCTGTCATTATCTTTGGCGGCTGGACAGCCAGATGGGGGGGCATAACATTCGTTAGAACAAAACAACATTGTGGTATGCTAAGCCAAAAACTAATTCCAGCCACGCCAAAGGAAGAATGAAATTCCGCCGCGAAATGAGAGCATAAAAGCAAAGATCCAAGTAGATGTGTTTCCGGGGTCGTGGATCATAAGAGAAGAGAATGCTCTGTTGCGATATCGAGCACCAAGGACCACATCTGCGCGCGACGCACGAAAATATGTCAGTGGCCAAGATTGTTACAACCTTTCTTTATGCAACTGAGAATATCGAAAGGTCGCTAGACGAGCGCGAAAATGACCACCCGCTAAAGAATATTGTTGCTATGCCCGAACAAATCGAAAAACTGGTGTGGGGGGTATCTTCGTGATCATGTCGATTGCATTTACTGAGTGACGGCGTGGATATCACGGCAGCTGGCCTCAAAAGTGTTTGGGTCGGTCGGGGAAGATAGACTTCGCTCCCAGTCCTTCATGAATTGCGAGGGCAAACCCTTCAATCCGCTCGGGGTTAAGCGGTTGAGAATGGCCTGGGGTAGCTCTTCGAGCTTGCTGGTAGATGGAGGCGTAGAGGCTCGAACCTCAGATCCGGACTGACGTTGACCACTGTGACAGAAACCATGTTAGCGGAAAGCCATGATGACCTCAGATGTCATGTCCGCGTAAGCACAACTTACCCTGCTCCTTCGCCTTCATCATTCTTTTCAGGAATCGCCGAGATGATATCCCCATTGGCGGTGCTTCCGCTCCATCTAGAGGTTTTGACGGTTGGAGAGTCCCAGTTCGACCAGTCGTCATCGTCAAGGTTATCGAAGGTAGGGGGAGTCCAGGAGAATCGCTTGCGGGACTTGGGCTCGGGGCGCGAAAGGGATCTCCGGTGCTGTACACGAGAGCCAGTATCCCCAGTGTCGGACTTGTTTGGTGTACTACTCCCGGACTTGTCATCGCTGGCGAAAGGGACCCGCGGCCGGTTGACTGTGGACGCACGAATTGTGTCTTGGTCTCCCGAGTCCATTTTGTGAGGCCTCGCAGCCATGTCAGTCGTCCTATTGGAGGTTCCCGAGATGGCTTCATCCCCAACGGTGGCTTGTCGCAGATCCTCCACAAAGGTCCAAAGACCTTGACGAAAATCGCTGGCAATTTGCTTCATGCCGGAGGGAGGCTGGGTTTGCCGTGGAGTCCAGGTAGCTCGCTTGTTCAGGCGAGCGAGATTCGGTTGCCAATCGGGCTGGAACTCCGAAGTCGCCGACGCCGGAGAAAGTAGCGCATCGTTGTCTATTGGGAGTGGCGTGTCTGGTGTCGACCTGGTTGGAGAAAGCAATGAAAGTGTGCGGGTATGCCCGCCCCGCATGACTCGTCTCTTCGAGTCCTTGGGAGGAGCCTGGCTTTGGGCCAGAAGGATAGCTTTCCTCCTGTCCATTTCCGACTTGTGTTTTGCCGCGATCGGGTCTTCAATGTCTGGACCATTGTCTCTTGAAGGTGTCATTGCGCGCAGCGGCTCAGTTGCACGGACAGAAGCCCTCTTGCGGCGGCCCTCCGAAGCAGTAAACTGTTTCTTGAGCTTCGACAAGTCGCCTTCAGCCCGAGAGAGCTCCTCGCGCAGCTCCAGGACGCGGCGCTCCTGCGCGGCAATGGCAACAATGATCTCATTCGGGTCTGAATTTCGGTCAAGCACCGGGGTTTCCAGAGGGGTTGGCGGGACAGACGAGCTCGGGGTAGGTCGCGAGGACATACTATTGGGCAAAGCCACGGGTAGCGTGATGGATAAACGATTTGTGTTCCGCGATGCTGAAGACATGGAGCGAATGGACCGTGTCTCGCATGTCTCACTTTGAGGAGCTGGCGACGGGGGCACGCTTTGGTCCCAGTGCTCGCCGTCGACGGACTTCGTGTCGTACATATCGTAGTCTCTCGACCAACGGGTGGACGAGACAGCAGTGGTGGATGGAGAGGGTGGTCGCACAGGTGTGCTGGGCGGTTCGGGGAAGACGGCGTCTCGACGAGATGTCAGTTGTTCGGGGTCGCCAAAGAGGTCGTTACGGTCGCTGTCAACAGGCTGGGTGGGTGCATGCAGCCGGCTCGTCCAGGGGAGGGTGAATGGTGGTTGGCGCAATGGGCGGGTAGAGGACGAAGCCTGCGTGCTCTGTGGACAAGGCGGTCGCCGGCGCCAAGGAGTAAAAGGAGTGGTTGGAGAAGCCCTCTGGGCACGCCGGTGGCGAAGTCTCCAAGAACTGGAACGGCGGTAGAACGACGCGCGAGTTGTGGTGTAGAACGGCTTTTCGGGTAAAGGAGTGTACGAAGAGGAGGACGAGGTGACAAGGCAAATGCGCGCAATGAGCCCTGTGGTCATGAAGGGTGGCAACGGAGAAAGGAAGTATTAGAATGGTGATGGCGATGCACGAAGTGCTACCTACAGGATGCGCCTCCTGAGCTGGCACGGCGGTGTGCTGGGTAGCAGCAGTGCGAAACCCTTCCGATGCTTCTGGGCACAGGGGCAACGGCGGGAAATTGGCCTTCGACAAGCAGCTGGGATGAAAGAGCCAGCAGCAAAGAGGGTCCGGCTGGGTCCTGGGTCGACGGGGCGGGCTGTTTCAATGCAGGCCACAGGCTCCAGTAAGCTGCAAGGCCACAGAGCTGACAGCTAATTATTCAAGGGCTTGAGCCGGGGTCGGATTGCGATGACGCCGGCACAGGGTCCTTGTGATTGCAGGGCGTGGCTTGCAGCACTCGAAGCACAGGCCGTTGCTAAAAGATTGCCGTCGTCCTCGAGAGGTGGGAATAAAAATGAGCGATTGATGTCGTTTAAGAGTAAAGGTGTTGCGACTAGCAGCGAACAAAGAACAAAGGAAACTCAAATGTGTTGAGGACGCGAAGATAGTAGGCGGTAGTGAATCTGGTTGGCTGGCCACCACGGGTTCCTGGCGCTGGACCTGGTGCTAGAGAGCTCTACTATGGTAGGCTTTGGTGACTAGCAGTAGCTGGGGCTGTGTGGAGTAGTCTGTAACTCAGCGAGAGCTTCGGGTGGAGAGTCTAGTCTGGCCTGGCAGACGAAACAAAGCGCGGGAAAGGGACAGTCTCGGTCGTGTAGGCTCAAAAAGATAAACCCAACAAGGTGCTTGGTATGCAGTGTGATTGCAGTGGTCCAGGGTCGAAGTGGCACTCGGTTCGTCAAGCCCGGCGAGAGCACAGCAGCGGCGATGGTGGGAAATGACGAGGAAGCGTGGAGTGGGAAATGATTACAGTCGTTGTCGTGGGATCGTAAGAGTGGTCATCCAAGGTCGTAAGAGGCGTGGGTGTAGAGCCGGTGCTGTCGCGGGCGAGATGAAGACTGGAGGGTCGACGGGGACAGGACGCAGCATCTGGATCGTGCGAGATGAGGCCAACGGGGTTATGTATATGGGATCCAGGCTGCATGAAGGCTGCTCATCTCAATGTGTGATTGCTGCCAGCGTTGAATGTTTTTGGCCCATCAACAATGCGGGGGGCAATTGCGTCCACTCGCACTTGCTGGGCTCCAAGGTTGTTCCTTCCTGCACGGCACGACCCCACCAGCGCTGCTCGATGTCTGCAAGCCCCGGTGGTTCGCAGCCTGGTCACTGTTGGCTGTTTTCTTCTCTGTCTTTCTCGAAGCACCACCCGCTCCAACAACAAGCAACCGATTTCGTCTGTCCTGTCCGGGGAGCGCCTGCTGGGCCGGGCGCCAACACAACGTCCAATGCGGCCGACCAGGGGCCATCCCGCCACGCCATCGCCCAAGATCATGCGCCGGCGCGCAGAACACGGCCGGATGATGCGCTCTGGCCAGGATGCGGCCTCGCCAGCAGGGTAGCCCGGCCGCGTCCCAGGGTGGTCCCTGGGCCCGAATCCATATCGGATTGCGCTAACTCGCCTTTGTGGGCAGACGGGTACAAGGCCACTTGCTCGATCCTCATCAACAGTAGCTGAGAGGAAGTTACCGACCTTAAGTAGGTATAAACACCATGAGTCACGATGGGCCGCGTCCTCTCAAAACAAGTCGCCCGTGCCTTAGAGCTCGGAGGAACCAGGGGTAACCAAGTCATCAATGGAGCTGGGCAGCAAAACCCGCTGTGACCAAGATCGCGATATTTAGTAGGGCTGTGCAGTCTCTGGAGATGCTCTGGGCCAAGGTTTCCTGGTGAACAGCAATGTCAACAATGACCAAGATCGGCAGGCACCGAGGCCCAATTCGAGGCTGTCCAACCTGGTGCAAACACCCACACAAACTGGCCACGGATTAGCCTGATGACTGAGCCGGTTAAGACATGATGATGCAGGAGGCAATCCTGTCCAAGACACCTACATGTCTTGGGACCCAGATTCACGGCCTGGCTGGGCATGGCCGGCACGATTGGACCTTGTCCCGGGCCAGTGCCCCGGCGGAGTGGCGTGATTGGCTTGTTTTTATATGCAGAGCATGCTCCGCCTGTGGGAACGGGTAAATGACGAGATCACAGGCTGTGGAGTGGTCTGTCCTTGTGCGACAACGACGACGACGATTGTGGTGTGTTCTCTATTGATAACATGGACATCGCATGCGCATCGCCTTGCACATGTGTTGCATTGGCTCGACTAGATCGCTCATCAGAGAAATTGATTAATGGAAGATTCTCTCGTGTACGAGCCTCCAGGGTCCCTCTGCCGCACAGCGAATTAACAACCTGTGCATGTCCACCTTTGAGTTTCCAGGAGGATCACGTGAGATCGTGCACCAGGCGCGTTCCGGCATCAGCTCGCGGATGCACTACCAGCGGGGTCCACGCGACTATTGCACACGATCGGATGCCCTAAACGCTGCGGGACGGTGTCACTGGCGCCCACAGCATCGCGCCGTGGACCTTCCCACAAGCGGCTCCAGGCACGCGCTTCTGTCCGTAGCCATTTCCAGGGTTGTCCTGGTCGCCGGCCTTCAACAAGTCCCCACGTCGGCTGCCAGCGACCATTGACATGAGTGCTGCCTACACCTCGACTCAAGCCGGGCGCTGGATCCCATGCTCGCCCATGACTTTGACTGCAACGAAGCACAGCGAATCATGACTTGCTCCAAGCTCCAGCCCCGATCCTCCCTCTTGGTCGTTTTCCCGAGTCTTAAGCCGCCTCAAAAAGGTCTCTGAGTGCCGCCCTGGGCCCCGTCAAGCACATGCCCTTCCCGTTCCGTCTTATCGGTGACCTTTTGGAGTCACTAGACAATGTGAGGCATGGTCCAGCACAAAATGGAGCTCCGTATCATGTCGTCGTGGCCGACTGGTTTCGACTTCATCGCCAGAGACTTCACGCACCTGAGACGGACGCCTGCGCTGTATTGTCGACCCTCCTGCCCGAGAGGAGGACAGACCGCGTCTTCTTCATACAGACGACGAAACTTGAGGGCATCATTGGCCAGGCCTTGACCTTAGGCGCCTCTCGGGTCAAGGAATTGCGTCGGCATCGAGAACCAGGCCTTGGTATTGACCTTGCCGATTGCGTCGAGAAACTTCTATTCGTGACTGTATGTCATACCTTCTACTCCAGCCCAGCTGTCTGAAGCCCGGCACTTTGGCATTAACAACCTTTGCAGCCGAACCCGGTATCAGACGGCGTGACTGTCGAGGCCATTGATGTTGCGCTCGGAGAAGTCGCGTCGAGATGCAAATTCAGCTCGCCCGCCGTACGTGCTGCGCGGAAGCGCACTGACGGCTGGTCCACACAAGAAGCCTTGGGTGACATATATCGCCAGCTGAGTGCACGCGATGCGAAATGGTTTACTCGGCTCGTATTGAAGGACTTTCAAGGTGCTGCTCTCGATCACGACCAGATTTTGCGCCACTACCACCCCTTGCTTCCCCAAATGCTCAAAATCAGAGACGATCTAGGCTTGACCACGGCATTCTTAAGACAGATCAGGCACAAGCAAGACGATTATGGTCACATCGGTAGCATCTTGAAGCCAAAATTAGGTGTCAAGGTCGGGCGACAGCCTTGGTACAAAGGGAGGAGTATCAAGCACTGCGTGGATATGTGCAGACGTCGCACCGTCAGCTGCGAGCAGAAACTAGACGGCGAATACTGCCAGATTCACGTTGACCGCAGCAAAGGTCGACAATGTATCCAGATATTCTCCAAGAGTGGCAAAGATAGCACTGCCGACAGGATAGGAGTGCACGACGCGATTAGAGAGTCACTGCGAATCGGCAAGTCGGATTGTCCATTCAAGTATGGATGCATACTGGAGGGCGAACTTCTTGTGTACAGTACAAAGGTGCGGTGATTCATCTCCATGGCTGCTGACGAAACCCTGTGCTAAGCAAGTAACAACAGGATCAAGCCATACTTCCCTTTCACAAAGTTCGGAAACATGTCTCAAGATCAGGAGCCTTCCTTGGGACAGAATATGATTCACAGTGGGTGTCCGCATGAAGATCTGGCTTTACAGGAAGCTGCTGACTCCAATTTCCCAGACCGCATGACTACGAGCAGCTTATGATTGTCTATTTCGATGTCCTTCTCATCGACAATGAATCCATGTTGCCTGTTCGCCAGACAGAGCGGCGCAAACGCCTCGCTGAACTGGTCACCTGCTTACCTGGAACGTCTGATCTTGTCCCCCACGAGCTAATACCATTCACCAAAAGTACGGCACCAGCACAACTACGAACAGCCTTTGCTGCCTCCATTGTCAGCCGAACGGAGGGCTTGGTGCTCAAACCGGATGGGCCTTACTTCGATTTTTCTTCTGTCCCTAGACCCCACGCCAGCGGCAATATCAAGCTCAAGAAGGAGTATGTTCAGGGCTGGGGTGATGTTGGGGACTTCGCCGTGGTCGGCGCCTCATATGATGCCACGAAGGCCAAGTCGTACCCCCTACCACCTCCGAGGTGGACACATTTCTACATTGCATGCTTGAAAAACAGAATCCAGGTTCTCGCAAAGAACGAGAAGCCTCAGTTCTGGCATATCAATGTCGTCGAGCTCAATAATACCCTCATGAGTAGCTTCCAAAGATATTGCCGACCAGTTGAGGTCGCCTTCCACGAGAACGATGTGTTTGACATAGACGCCAAGAGCTTTGGCGGATCAAACAAGCCCGCTGTCATCTTTGTAGAGCCACTTGTCTTTGACATGCGGTGCTTCTCCTTTGACAAGAATTCGAATAGCCCTTTTTGGAGCATGCGGTTTCCGATGGTATCCAAGATCCATTTTGATCGTTCGTTCTTGGATACAATGACTTTTGAAGAGCTTCAAGCTACAGCAGAAGAGAGCGCAGCTGTGGTTGAGCAGGAGGACAGCCAAGAACTCCGGCGATGGATCTCAGGTCTGGAGGAAGCTGACCCGCGAGGGGTGGCGGTCGACGCCATCAGCTCTCAGGGCACCTTTTCAGAAGCGTGCCTGACACCGTCACCTGTGCGGCGAAGAAACCTCAAAGTCAGTAGGGCCCTGGGGGCCATAGTCGAAGAGCCACCCACCGCTCCGGACGCCACAACACGTTCTGGGGGAAATATCCGCGGCCGACTGCCCATGACTCCACCTCGATCGTCGGCGGTCCAAGTCACTGAAGCGTGTGCAGAGACGCCTGATCAACGGGAGGACGACTCTTCCGAAGCTCGAAAGTGTGCCGCAGAGCCTAGCATGCCTAGCTTATCGCGCAAGAAGTCATGCAGCAAGCCTTCGGCAAGACAGAGCAGACAGACCAGCGCGCCTGGTGGACTGCCAGGGCCAAGCCAAGCAAGATCCCACGGACGTTCACCTTTGAGTGAAGTTGGTCTCAACATCTCATTTCATGACCATCGGCTATCGCAGACCCGTCCCGGTGACCAGTCACCACCTGTGCACGATGCTGATTCGCCACAGGCTCTTTGCCGCAGCTCGCCTAACCCGCAACATGATGGTAGCAATAGCAGAGACCAGCAGATGAGAACTGAGTCGCGATCGCGAGTACAAAAACAAGCCGATGTGGCCGTCAGCCCTGGAGCCAGCCAGGCGTCAGCTTGTCCGCACAGAGGGTCCGGCTGTGCTTTGGCTGGACGGTCTGTTTTGCTGTCGCCTTGTATTGCATCCTATGCTTTCGTGTCCGAGACACTGCTTCATGCTCACGGCATAGATCACTGGACGACAGATCCTACCCACTGGAGCCCCTGCAGTAGGCTCGGAGTAGTGACACGTGGTTTACCAGCTTCCAGCGCTCCTGCTCACAGCAGTGCTCCTGCCATAGTGGCCTCGTCGAATCAGGAACATCAAAGCAGCAGGCACAGTCACGATGTCAGTGCCCGCAGGACCTCTGAACATTTACGAGGTCCCAAGACGCGCAAGATATGCTTCGTCGAGTCCCGACGAAAGGAGGCAACTGCTGCTTTCCTCAAGGTCATTGAAGAGACAAACCTGCGAAAGGATGCGTCGTCTCGGAAATCCCGGAAGAGAAGACGAGGAAGCCCGCGCAGAACGAGTCAAGACCAGACAACGGAGGCTGTCGGGCGGAGGGACTGGGTAGCCGTATATGACTGGCACGTGCTCGAGGTGCTCACAGATGTCGAGATGGGCAAGATACCCATGCCCAAGACTGACCCGTGGCGCAGGTTCTGGGTTGGCCTGGCTTGAGGTTTGATTCTTCTTGTATATTTTGGGTGTTGGGCTTCTAACGAGCCGCACACCACTCGGAAGCAGTGCCTTCAATATCGCCAATTTGGGAAAGGGGGGGTTGGTTCATACATATATCACCGCTTACATAGACACGCAGATGAATCAGTGAGCGCCTGGAAAAAAAGTATTGATCTTTCGTTTGTTATCCTTGTTAGTTCTGCTCGCCACTAGACCAGGAGCAGTACTGATAGAGTAGTGTGGTATATTCTGCATCCCGCGTGGTCTGGTTACCGACGGGCTTTCTTCTGTCTATGCTCGTCTTGATATATTTTCCTCTCTCGCCTCCTCCTCCCGCAGAAGCTCTGTGTGTTTACTGGTGCTATGGTGCCGCTACAACTCCAGGCAGTTCCTCCTCCAGACAGGAAAAAGGGCTCATCGGCACTGGTTCAAATGATAAGTGCGCTGGCCGGCTCCAGTTTTGTCTCCTTTCCTTCTAAAGAACTTTCATCATAATGCTGATGATGGTGGTGGTGAAGACGGTGGTGGTGGCCGGTGCCGAACGCCTTGCCTTGGCGTGGCCCGCGTAAATCCCTTTGGCCAGAAAACCGAGTCTGACACTTTTCCTTCTGGACGGAAAGCTGCAGACACGCGCGCGTGTGTAAAACGTGCGTGCGTGCCCTGTGATGAGGATGCTCTTATGGCGATCTCTCAATCTGATCCTCCGTTCTGATGCAGGAGTGCCACCTCTTTGTGACCTGCCTTCTATGGGGTGTGTTTTCAGGCGTTTCCCGCCTGCGCGGAAATTTGTGTAGCACACGTGGAGGAGTCTTTGCTCATGACCCGGTTCGAGCTTTCCTGGGCGAGTTGATTGAATGCCTCTTGCGGCGTGGATCCGGCGTAGAGGAGGTCGGCGCTCTTTAGTCGTCGTCGTCGTCGTCGTCGTCGCCGCTGAGGGCTGCATGGTCGATCCACCCACTACTTGTCTCCTTGCGACACGGCTGTGACGACGTATGTTGAGCCGTCGCGTCTGCGTTGTGTGCGTGTGTATGCGACCCCGTGCTGGTGTTGCTTGTCGCAATATCAAAAAAAAGGGGGGGGGGGGTCTCAACCAGGACTGGCCCGATCGGTGGGTTTCTGGTCTTTGAAGATGATGCGACATTCCCGCGAATCCGCTGCCACACTTGTGCTTCATTCCTCGAGCGAACGTCAGGCCATGACCATCGCCCTCCTTGACCCCGTCCATGTACCCCTCGGGCGGCGCGGCAGCTCTTTTATCCAGCAGTACCAGCAGCACCAGCAGCACCAGCAGCACCAGCACCGCCAGCACCGCCACTACCATCAGCCCCCTTGTCCCCAAGCAGCGCCCGGACCCGATCGAGGCGGCTCATCGCGCCCTCGAGCCGGTCGAGCCTCACGCGCTTCTCGACGTCGCGCTGCTCGAGCACGCTGACGCGCTCCTCGAGCTTGGCGCGGGCCCGCCGCTCCGTGGCCACCATCTCGTTGGCCTGCTCGAACAGCGTCACGCTGAGCTCCTCGACCTCCTTGCTCGTGTTGTCGACCCGGGCCTCGGCCGCCGCGCGCAGCTTCTTCTCCCGCAGGAGCTCCTTGAGGAGCTCGTCGGCATTGCTGTTGTGGTTGCCGGGACCTCCCGGGGTAGCGGCTGCGGTAGTCGTGCCTGTTGCGGGAGTGGTAGGCCGGTCTTTGGCTGGTGGCGGAGGCGGAGTGCTGGTTGCTGTTGCTGTTGTTGCGCCAGAAGAGGCCGACTCGGCCGACTGCGAAGAATTGCTGGACCTCGCGCCGCCCAGAAGCTGGGATATCCGGCCCGTGCCGAGGAAGCTCGAGCGTGGGCTGGCCGAGTTCGAGTTTGAGCTTGGTGGTCGCGCACTAACAGCCGCAGCAGTGGTGTTGGTGGTGGCCGCAGTGGTGCCCGATGAGGCGGAGGCAGCGACCTTCTGGTTGAGCACGCGGAGCTGGGCCTGCAGCTCTGCGATCTGGCGCTGCGCCTGAAGCAGGGCAGCTTGGGCCTCGGGCAGCGGCGGCAGGTCGAGGGCCAGCCCGCAGCTGGGGCAGGCGCAGATGGTCGAGTCCGGGACCGTGGCGGACGACGCCGTCGCCGTCGCCAGCACTGTCGTTGCAGCCATGGCTCGTGTGGTGTGCGTTGCGAGGTCCTGGTTGTTGTCGGCGCAAAACAGATGTCCTGGGCAGGCTGAGGCTGAGGTTGTCGTGACTCGGGACCTGGCCCACAGCACACCAACACAAACTTTATGCGTAACAAGCAAGCAAGCCCCAAGACGCCCGCAAAAGTCAATGTACACGCTCTGCAAGTCTCGATGCAGCCAAGCGGTCGTCGCACCAGTAACAGGCGCAACAATGGCCAGCAACAAGACCGGCAATGTCGAAAATAACAAGGCTGCAGAGAGAAATGGTGGGGGGTGGAAGCCGACGAGAGTTGTTCCCCAGGGTCCACGTTTTCGTGCTGGGGTGTAGCCCTGGGCTGGCAGGCGGACATGAACGCTAAATGCAGCCAGCCCCAGAAGGCTAACCAAGAGCCGCTGCCCTGGCATGCAGCTAAATCTCGCCGCCCCCACGTTCAGCGGGCCTCCCCGTCCCGGCCATTCCACCAGGACTGGTCTGCCGGTCCACTCACACACGTCTTCGTTCAGTCTTCACGCTACAGCCATGTGGCGACCGGGTTCGAACTGGACTTCTACATTTAGGTCCTCTTTTAACGACCTCCCTCTTTCACGTATTCAAAACGGCACAAATACTTTTCCATTACTGCGCGAGTCAACAAGTGCCGCGCGGCATTGAGATTGGTATGGTTCTAATCGTCGCTCACAATCCTGACCGTTGTCCCACACATACATATCGTCAATTGAACAAGACCCCTCCGAGCAGAGGTGACATAATCTGGTGAATCTTTACAATCTTCACACATTCTTGACATATCCTCACTAGACTGCGCATTCCACCTGCCAACCCTCGGAGCCTTCAATGTCTCTGTGGGGGGTCGAGGTGTCTTGGAATGTTTGCAACCAGCTGTCCCTCGACTGCTTCCATCCGCCGCCCTAAACCACTATTCTACCTGCCCAGCTCATCGAGCGGGATATCCGCCTCGTCCTTGCCCACTATCGAGCTGGCAACCTTCCAGATCTGCAGCATGTTGTCCTCCGCCGCACTCGCCACCAGCCAAGGGTCGTTCTGGTTCCAGCTGAAGTCGGCCAGATGGTTCGTGTGTCCGCCGTGCATAAAGAGCCTGTAGCGTGTTAGTCGGTAGTTCTTGCATGTAGACGTTGGTTCATCATGTTCCGATGACTTACAGCTCCGGCGGTCCGTCCTCCTGGTCGTCTGGCTGCTGCTCGTCGCCCACCCTGCTGAGGTCCCAGAAGATGACGCGGCGGTCGTAGCTAGCGGTGCCGAGGATTCCAGCTTCGTGGGGGTGCCACGCCAGACTTGTCACAGCATCCTGGTGGCCCTCCAGAGTGTGCACCTTCTCCTTGACGTTGCGCAGATCCCAGATGCCGACAGTCTTATCCGCAGACGCTGTAGCAACCAGCACCTCCGTCGACGGGTTGAACGCGAGCGCATTGATGGCGTCGCTGTGGCCGTCCTTGGCCACCAACGCGGCGTGCGTGTAAGTGCTTTGCCTCGTGTCGAGGATCTGCAATGTCAGGTCGTCACTGACTGTGCCGATAAAGTTCTTCGATATCGGGTGGTATTGCACGTCGTTGACCACGTTGGTGTGGTGCGTGTACTGTCGCGCAGGCTGCAGGGTGCTGCTGCCAGCCGCCAGGCTCGTGAGATCCCACAAGCAGACGGTCTGGTCCTCGCTGCCGGAAGCAAGGTGGCCCTCCACGTGAGGGTTCCAATTCAGGCCAAAACCCTCCTGCTTGTGGCCAACCAGAGTTATCTGTGGGTTGATCTTTCCATTCGGCTCGAAGCTGTGCTTGGTGCGGTCAAAGATGAGAATCTTGCCGTCGACGGCGAGCGTGGCGATGAGGTCCGGGTTCTGGGGGCAGTATCGTGCCTTGTTGACCTCGCCCGGGTGGTCGATCCGCTGGACGACGTTGAACTTCATGGCGGCAGGCTCGCCAGAGGCAGACTTGCCATAGCCACCAATCTCGCCCCGCTCCTCGTCGTAGTCGCGCGCGTTGGGCTTGATGGCCTTGGGCACCTCAACCTCGGCAATCTGGACATGGTTGGGCTGGTCGTCGGACGTGTGCGTGCCGATAAGGAGGCGGTGAATGCGGCAGTTCTTGCCTTCAGGCTCCTTGACGTCGGGGAACCATTGGACGGTAAGTGTCGGCCAGGGCAGGGCAGTGCTGCGCGATCTTGTAAGCGCCCCATCGCGTGGGTTGGGTAATCAGAGACCTTACCTCAAAATCATGTCATAGAGAAAGGGGGAGTTTTTCTTCCACGTCTTGTACTCTGGTCACGAGCATTCATGTTAGCCGCCGTGACACCGTGGTGCCAGCGCCGGGGCCAAGACTCTTACCCTCGTTGATCAATCTCTGCTCGTCGACCTCGTCATACTCCTGGCCGCCCATATCGGCTGTGGTTTTGTCAGTAATGAGAGACCGTTTGCGCCTGGGCCTGCCTTTGCGGGAGCTTACCGTCACCGTCGTCGACGACCTGGGCGGGCGCCATGCTTGCGACTCTGGACACGCCGGGTGCTGCAATTGATCGGTAGCTGTTGTCCGTATCAGAGCTTGTATTAGCAGTTGCGAGGGCTCGCGGTTGCGGCGATGATGTGTGTGGCGGATGGCTGGGTGTGGCAGCATCCAGAGATCCAGAGTTGTCGAGAAGCAGGTGGAGATGCCAGCCGCCTGGTTTGCGACACGGCTGTGATGCGCTGCAGCAAACGCGGTCTGCTGCGCGTAAAGTGGCATGGGTCAAACAAGCAAGCGGGCGGCGGCAGCTCCACGGCCGGGCGGGTGGGGCCCAGGCACGCACCGCTCAGCCTGCCCAGTCGTTGGCAGTGCAGCCTCGTGTGGCTCGAGCCCCCCCCCCCTGTTGTCGAGCTCTGGTCTGCCTGACTGGGTTGCCCCTCCAGCTGGTGAGTCGCCATGCCGATCCAGTCATCACCACTGCTCAAGTGGCCAGCCAGCAGCCCACCAGCCAGTGCGACTGACTGACTGCCGCCACAAAGGTCTCGTCACCACCACATTTCCACTTCTCCATCTGCCAACGCCCACAACCCGGCCCCCGAGTCGTCGCAGTTCCCGCTCCCTTCTCTTGTTGTCGTCGCAACAAAAGTCTTGTTTGTCACGAGGCGCCCGTTTGGACGTCTGTTCGTTCTGGTTTCTTTTTTCTTATCCCCGACCTGCCTAGGCTTGTCTATATTCGGCGCATCCTCTATTGGGCTGTGAGGAGTTCTTCGAATCACTCTGCCGCCACCATACCAACGACACCTGCAACCGCGACGCAAGCCCTCTGCGCATGCAGTTTACCTCTCGATCTCGACCGCAACATAAATCTCATCATCTCATCAGACTAGACCACCGCAGCCATGGGGTAAGTACTTCTTCTGAACCCCCGCCGCGTTGTCTGGACCTATCCACGCCGCCGTTCATCGAAGAGACGCTGACTTGAAAAAGTGTTCCCAAATTCTTTCGGTGGCTCTCCGAGCGCTACCCTGCCATATCACAGGTCATTGCCGAGAACAGGATACCCGAGTTCGACAACCTGTACCTTGACATGAACGGTATCATCCACAACTGCACGCACAAGGACTCGGACGATGCAACTTTCCGCCTCAGCGAGGATGAAATGTTTATTCGCATCTTCAACTACATCGAGCATCTCTTCGGCAAGATCAAGCCAAAGAAGCTGTTCTTCATGGCCATCGACGGTGTTGCGCCCCGAGCCAAGATGAACCAGCAGCGCTCGCGTCGTTTCCGGACCGCTCGTGACGCTGAAGAGGCCAGAGACAAGGCCATCAGGGAAGGCCAGGAAATGCCCAAAGAGCCGCCCTTTGACAGCAACTGCATCACCCCCGGCACCGAGTTCATGGCCAAGCTTACGCAGCAGCTCAAGTACTTTATCAACAAGAAGATCTCGGAAGACAGCGATTGGCAAGGATGCGACATCGTCCTGTCCGGCCACGAGGTGCCTGGAGAAGGAGAGCACAAGATCATGGAGTACATCAGGAACGCCAAGGCGCAGCCTGATTACCCCCCGAATGTACGCCACTGTCTCTACGGTCTCGACGCCGATCTCATCATGCTGGGCCTGCTCAGTCACGACCCGCATTTCTGCTTGCTGCGTGAGGAAGTCACATTTGGCCGGGCTTCCAAGACGAAATCCAAAGATCTCGAGCACCAAAACTTCTACCTCCTCCACCTCTGTATTGTCCGAGAGTATCTGGAGCTGGAATTCCAGGACCTCAAGACGGATAACACATTGAAGTTTCCCTTCGATTTAGAGAGGGTCATAGACGATTTCATCCTCATGGCGTTCTTTGTGGGTAACGATTTCTTGCCGAATTTGCCCTTTTTGCATATCAACGAGGGTGCTTTGTCGACCATGTTCAGGCTATACAAGCAGGTGTTGCCTCAATGCGAGGGGTACATCAACGAAGGTGGTGTCATCAATTTCCCGAGGCTGGGCCTCTTGCTAGATGAGCTGTCGAAGGAGGAAAAGCGGCATTTCGAGCATGAGAACGCCGATAGCAAGTGGATGCGGAGCAAGCAGCTGTCGGAGACGAATGGCAGACAACCTATCCGACAGAAGGGAAACTCTGTGGTCATCACCACCTCGCAAAAGGAGATTTGGAAAACGATACGCAAGTTCCTCACTAAGAAGGCTACCGAGCCTCTCGATTTGGGTCATCAACTCAACGCTGAGGACCGGAAGTTTGTCCAAGATGTTGCGAGCAACCTGAACCTGGAGTGGACCACTACATCGGACGACGATGGGCTTCGGCACCTTGTCGTGTCTCCTCCGCCAAAGCCTGAAGCTGATGGTGAGGACGATGACGAAGAGGAGGACGAAGAGGGCCAGCTTGCTCTGATGCGAGCTATGCGGAAGTATGATAATGCTCAGGTTGTCGACGTCTCCAATGAGGAGGCCCAGGAGGCCATGGCTGTGAAGTACAAGGAGAAATTCCTGGAATGGAAGGACTCGTACTACGCAGGCAAGTTCGAATGGGCTCCAGAGGAGAAGGTTGCCGGCCTCAAGGGCCTGGCTGAAAACTACGTCCAGGGCTTGCAATGGGTGTTGTTCTACTACTACCGAGGCGTGGCCTCGTGGCCCTGGTATTATGCCTACCACTACTCTCCCATGACTTCTGGTAAGCGATGGTCACCACGCTGAATCATGCAGTCACAATGCTTACCACTTTGCAGACATTTCAAAGGGATTCGGAGCAGACCTTGACTTCAAACTCGGCCAGCCTTTCAGGCCATTTGAACAGCTCATGGGCGTGCTTCCGGATCGAAGCAAGTCTATTGTTCCTACTGTCTACCACGATCTGATGACAAACCCCAAATCCCCCATCGTCGACTTTTATCCGAGAGACTTTGAGCTTGACATGAACGGCAAGAAACAGGATTGGGAAGCTGTTGTTAAGATTCCGTTCATTGATGAGAAGCGACTCCTCGAAGCAATGGCCGCCGTCAACGACAAGCTCTCGCCCGACGAAAAAGCTCGCAACGGTTATGGTGTCTCGTTGAAGTTCACCTACGACAACAATGTCAACTTCACGTACCCGTCATCCATGGTTGGCATCTTCCCTGATATCCCCAGCTGCAAATGTGTCGAGAACATCTTCGACTTGCCCACTGCAGACGGGCTTGAGCTCTACGTCGGTCTTCCCAAGGACGCCAAGATTGGCGTCGACGCATTAGCCGGCTTCCCAAGCTTGGCCACCTTGCCCTACAACGCAACTCTCGGCTTCCACGGCGTGACAGTCTTCCAGCAGGAGAGTCGTAACGAGAGCATGGTGGTCACTCTTGCCGACGTGGAGGAGCGCAGCAAGGTCAGCGCTGCCAAGCTTAAGCTCGGGAAGAGATGCTTTGTGGGCTACCCGTTCCTGCAGGAGGCAAAGATTGTTCAGGTTTCCGACGAGTTGCATGACTATATCCTGGCGCCCGATGGTCAGATCATTGCCAAAGAGCACTCACACAGGGACATTGAGGAGTTCGGCAAGAAGTCCAACCGAACCGAGAACTTCTACAGCAAACGCCTTGGTGTTATCACTGGCCCCGTTGAGGCTATGGTGAAGGTCGACATGTTAAAGGGTCTCATCAAGATGGATGATGGTGCCATGGTCAAAGAGTATGGCGATATTCCCGGAATGGAGACGGACTACGCAGCCCAAGTGATCGTGGACTCAGTTATCAGCGAAGACGAGCGATTCATCGAGCGAGCCGCTATCCCTATCGAGGAGGAATTCCCACCAGGGAGCCGTGCCTTCTTCCTCGGCGAATATGCTTATGGGCGGCCCCTCGAGGTGGCCGCCGCTGGCAACAACAAGGCGGACATTGCGCTCTCGATTCCTACCGCGAAAGACATCGATTTTGCAGGTCCCATCATCAAGAATGCCATACGACAAAACCCGTACAGGCCTTCGTATGCCGTGGCCAAGGATCTTGGAATTCACCCGCTGGTTCTTAGCAAGATCACATCGTCATTTTTCATCAACACGATCGGTGGTAGCATGAAGGTCAACCTTGGCCTCAACCTCAAGTTTGACGGCAGGAAGCAGAAGGTGCTTGGATACTCTCGCAAGTCTCAGACTGGCTGGGAATTCAGCCCGGCTGCCATCCGCCTTCTGGTGGAGTACATGACCAACTTCCCCGACTTCTTTGCCGCTATTCTCCGCAACCCGCAGGGCAAGGAGTTCGACGATGTGGACCTCTGGCCGGATCAGGAGACTGCTACCACGAGGGTCAAGGCCATTGGACAGTGGCTCAAGACCAAGGAGACGAGCAAGTTCGAGCGCGTCCCCCTTGATGCAGAGCAGCTCGACTCCGATGTGGTGATTCAGCTACAGGCAAAGATTGACGAGCTGCGTGATACACTTCAAAAGGCAGAGGTGAGGCGTATGAAGGGCGTGCCACGGGCAGCGCTGCTCCACCCCAGAGACGCCGAGCAGCGTCTCGGTAACCAGACTTTTGGATTGGGAGACCGCGTCATCTATGTGGCCGATTCTGGCAAGGTCCCGATTGCGTCCACCGGCACGGTTGTGGGTATCAGTGAGATTGGTGCTCACCGCATGCTGGATGTCCTTTGCGACCGGCCGTTTATGAACGGCACCACCCTCGGCGGCCGTTGTGAGGCCTTCCGCGGCCAGACGGTTTCCGCGAACGCGGTGCTTAACCTCAGCTACAAGCAAGTTGTCTGGCACTCGTCGAAGAGCGCACAGAAGCAGCAGCCCCAGAGACAGACGCCGCAGTACGTGTCCGGATACGGGTCCTCGTCCACCCAGTATCGCGATGCCAATGCACCGGCACCTCTCCGGGGCACCTGGCGCGGTGCGGTCAACGGCAGCCGTGATGGGCAGCCTGGTAGAGGCCGGGGTGGGTCCAATGGTGTGCCGAACCTGCAGCACAGCTCACTCGTGTACCGCCCTCTTCCAGAGGGTCATCAGAACCACCCGCAACAGCAGCAGCAGCAGGTGAACGGGCGTGCTCGTGGTGGCGGTGCACCGAGAGGTGGTGGTCGCGGTGGACGCGGCGCTGGCAGTGGGCAGCCGAACGGGCAGCCGCATGCCACTCCCAACGGCACTGCTGGCTACACCGCGGTGCCGCCGCCGGCGGGCTTGGATGCTCCTGGACGTGGCGGTGGCCGCGGTGGCCGTGGAGGACGTGGACGCGGCGGCCGGGGCCGTGGCGGTGGTGGTCGTGGAGGACGGGGTGAGAGCAGCCAGGGCCAGCAGGCTGCTTAAGTACGTAGTCCCAAGCACGCTGTCGTGTAGACCTCAATGGCTTGAGGGCGAAATGTTTATGAGTCTGAGCATTTCGGTCGATGTCTACTATCTCGCCTGCTTCATGCTGGACAGAGCTTGTGCAGTTGACGAGTGATTGCAGAGAAACGTGGTGGCTATTATGGCCCTGCAATATACACTGTCAAACCAACAAATGACTTTCTCCCTACTCAAAAGTCCCAATTGCAAGCCGGCTTTAAGTGAATGATGTGATTATGTCCCCCTTATTGCATGAGGCGCGAGCTTTGAGATTCCCAGCTTTTCTGTTAGCAGTACATTGTAGACCAGCTCTATCAGCTTTATCATTGCTGGACAGGCGATCGCTGGACCCGACCTGGGTCGTGCACGTCTTACTCAATGGCGGAGCTTACCCTGCAGCTGCTGCTGTGAGTACAGTAGTACATGAACACTCTCAGCCCCCCCTGCCAGGCACCACGGACCCGAGTACTGCCCAGGTGTGCACTGGGACCTTGTCCCGGGGAACTTACCCACTGGTGCATTGAGCTTCGGCCCAATCAGCCTTGGGCCATGCGCAGGCAGGCAGGCAAAGCTCGCCCTGTAGGCTCCCTTTTGTGGACGAAGCGATTGATTGACTGACAGGACTGCGGCACCACGGACACCACACACAGTTGCGCACACACACACCCCCCGGTCACCCAGCTAACGCGTCTGCGTACCCCCGTAGCGTGGCAAGCTCCATTTGGCGGCGCATTCAGTCCCTGTCGTCCTCCCCGTCGCAAGGCCCAGTCGCATTTCCCTTGGTGGTACGCACCCATCGTCCGCGCGCCCAAAACCTTGACAAACATCCACGAAAACAAACCCTCAACACAGTCATTGAGAGTCGTCGTCGCGTTCGCTTGCAACATATAGAGACAATTTTGCACGCAACGGGGGAAAATCATTTTCACGGTCCCATCATCATCCTGCGCGGATCAAAGGACTCCAGAGCAAACGCCGACCCGAGACGAGCTGGCCCAACACCAATAACCACATCCAGTCGCGAGGCCATCGCGCTCACTACGTTCACACGCACATCGTCTGTGTGCCCATAAAGTCCACGCCGCAACGTGAACCCGGTAACCCAGAAGCGATACTCTGGACATCATGACCGACTACGCCTCCCTCAAGGTCCCGGAGCTCAAGAAGCTGTTGCAGGAGAAGTCGTTGAGCGCGACGGGCAACAAGGCCGACCTAATCGCGCGCCTCAAGGAGCACGACGAGGCCCAAGGAGGATCCAAGCCAGCCGGTACGTCTGCTCATTCGATCCATTGACAAAACGTCCTCTTTGCGACACCAACAACAACAAAGACGGTTAACACATGGTGATGTAGGCGGCGCCGAGGACGAAATTGATTGGGACGACGATGAGCCCTCGAAACCCGCAGCTGCTACGGAGCCCGCGCCTGTGCCTGCAGCTGCGCCTGCCCCCGTCGCCCCAGAGGAACCCAAGGCCGAAACAGAATCTGCGCAGGCTCCCGAGTCAACAGCGACGGGTCAAGAGGCCGGTGCGGAAGCCTCAGGAGAACAGCCTGCCGTTTCGGAGACGGCTGCGCCCAAGACAGACTTCAGTGCTGGTCTAGCGTCGTCGTCGGTTGATGACGAGGCGCGGAAGCGTGCCGAGCGGGCAAAGCGCTTTGGCATCACAGCCACTGAACAGACGGATGCGGAAAAGAAGAAAGCTGAGCGTGCCCAGCGATTCGGCATTGAAGAGCCACAACAGAGCTCGATTATCAAGGGCCTGGACGCACCCCTCCCAGAGCGAAGAGAGCGGAAGCGTGGGCGCGAAGGTGCCGAGACAACTAGCGGTGGTGGTGACAGGGGCGCCAAGAGACAGCAAGGAGCTGGCGGTCGGAATGACCGCAACCGCGGGAGGAATGGTCGTCGGGGAGGTGGTGGTGGTGGCGGCGGCGGCAACACGGCTGCCAACGGCAACACAAAGAAGGCCGCAGCAATCCTTGCGGATCCATCAGAAAAGGCCAAGGCTGAGGCCCGAGCGAAGCGTTTCGCGTGAGCGATTGTACACAGCCGTGTAATATTATGCCGACCATCCAGGCTGAGATCTTCTATTGTCTTCCTTCCTCGTCAATCGAAGTAGTCGACGGGCTTCGCTGGTTCTGGTACCCATCGATGCCGCCCCTTGTCAAATAAAGGCGTTATAATCATGAAATTTTGGAATCCATCGTCCAGTATGTCGAAATGTTTCTCAGGAATCCGTACCGTGAGTTCGTCGGACAGCGGATTGGTTACTCGGCAAATCTCTGTCTTTAGACAACCGCAAATGGCGGAAGCGCCAGCATATGGCACTTGGACAAATCAACCATGTTTCCCTTAAGCGTGCCACGGTAGAGTCCTGCTTTGTGTGCAAACGATTCAGAGAGGTATACCGTGAGCCCAACATACGAGGTGCGGGAGGAATAGGGGTCATCTTGTGGGCATCGCTTATGATGCGCGTTACCCTGGCGCGACCATGCTCAGCGCAAATCTGCCCTGAAGAGGCTGTGCCGGGAGTTGTATATTGACAGTCCATTGGTGCGTGCCTGGGCGGCGCGAGGCTGTTTCCGTGATCTAATGTAGCACCAGCAACGCCATGAAACTCAATTCGTCTTGAGCTCGTGCTGGTCCGTCCGGAGGAGCATCAGTGCCGGCGTATGCTGAGGCCGATCATCTCTGGACCCAAACCACAGAATGCCCATGAGCGTGAGGCTGCTGGGACCACCACAAAAGAGCCGCAGGCATTTATTTGCATGAGGGATGAGACACGACGAGACATTCGCCATCGTCGTCCTTTTCGAAGCAGCGTTCAGCCTTGACGCGTCAGCCCTCCCTGTAAATGCATACTTACATCACGGTGCAGTCAGGGATGAAGTATCGGTGAGTACATACATACATGGGCACAGCCGCCAAGATGCTGGCCGGCCGACAAGCATGCTTGCACGGCTCCCAACCCGACCTCGGAAGACTCGACGATTCGGGGTGTGCCCATGCACGACGGCGGATGCGTGCGGTCGCCGTCGCACAGACAGTGCTGTGAGGCGGCATGCATACGCCGCTCGAGGCTGAAGCCGTCTTCTTGTTGCCCAGCACACGGTGGTCGACAGTCAACCAGCCAAGTCGTGAGTTGAGGCCATCGGCGGACGGTCCCGAATCACGGCCCAGGCCGCAGAGGGTCTTCTAGTGTCCAGGAAAGGAGTTTCAGGAGGAGTTGCCATGACATGGAAGGTTTGGAAGCGTGGTGGAAGGAACACCCCCTAACCTGGAAATCCCTAGCGCCTTCCTCGTCGCACGTTGTGCATGTGTCATGATACATAGTTGTTATTGTACCTACGCGGCCCTGCACAAAACGCTCTGAAAGTGCCCAGGCAAAGTCAGACATGGGCACTTTGATGACTCGTTGCTGTCCGCTGAAGAAGTGTCAACTCAGCAAAGACAAAACATGCGGCAACTCGTGGACAAGCGATTAAACCTTGGCCACTTAGTGTACCAGCCTTCCTTACCTTAAAAGAAGACAACTGCGCCGGCAACAGCCCCCAAGTTGCCGCCAATCAACCCGGAGTCGTTCCTTGAGGGGTGCAAAGGGCAACGCGGTCCATTGCCCAGCACGAGGAGCCCGCCGGCCCGCGGCGGCCCCAATTGGCTGCGCACGACACCAAGACTGGGGGCACTTTCTTGTCCTCTCCACCACATCATCTCCTCGCTACCCGCTCGCGCATTTTCTCCCGCGCTCGTTCGGCCCAGCACACGCCGCTGCTGCTCCTCCCACAGTATCCCTACTCACCCTGCTTCGCTGCCGCCGCCGCCCTCCTCCTCGCCTCTCTTTGCCTCCCGCCAGCCCACCACGCTGCTGTTGTCGAAGAGAACCGCACCGGGCATCACACAGGCCCTCGAGCAGCTGCTACCACAAGCTGTCGTCCCCCACTAGCGAGTCGCCCGCCCCAAAACCCTGCCGAGCCATAATTTTGCTGTTCGGAGCGCCGCACGCCGGCCCGCCCGCAAGCCAGACCCCCCGATACCCCCTTGGGCTGCTGTGCCTACATCACCGTGGGTTCACGTCACGTCCCACCGCCAACGGAGGCTCTGTCTCCTCGTTTCTATTAGATTCAAGCTGTAGGTAGCACCTCCAGACCCTGTATCTCTGACGGTCCAGCCAGCCTCGACGAGAGCATCTACCCCCACCCCCAGGCTACCCATACAGGAGACGGTCAACAACAACGACACCGACCTACCCTGCCCGTCCGACACCACCAGACCCCTGGGCCCCCTGGGTCCCGAGTCCACCATTCCCGCTCCACGGTTCCGCCTTGACCTGTCGAAGCACCTTTTCTCGAGTCCCAGTCCGAAAGCCCCCTGATTGCCTCTACTGCTCCCGATACGTCGCTGAAACCAACCACTCTTCCATCTCTCGACTGACTTCTCTCAAGGTGGACAGCAGCTCCTTTTCGGCATCCTCTCTCCAGCCCGTTTCTGTAGGCTGGTAGCTCCTGCAACGAGCAAACCATCATGTCGAACCCTCCGTCCGCACAGCCGCACGCAGACCGGTACGTGGTCATCCACGTAGCCACCACCTGTGACGAGCACGGCGTCTACGTTACAAAGGACTCCGCCGAGGTCATTGAGCTTGGCTGGATCCTCTTGGATGCCAAGTCGCTGGACGAAGTAGGTTCCTCTGCGGCCGCATGCTGCAAAAGTTGCATTCTCAAGCTTCGACCCGCTAACCAGCTTCCCTGTCACAGCTTCACCGAGAAAGCGTGCTTGTCAAGCCCATCAACACGCCCATCACGCCATTGTGCAGTATGCATGCCCTTCAATCCATCCCCTCTTCCCTCGTCGGCATTGGACTTTTCACTAATGGCCGTTACCGTGCAACAGCTAGTCTCACTACTCTGACATGGGAACATGTCCGAAACGCCGGTACCTTCCGTGACGCCATCAACCGTTTCGATGCTTTCGCTTCCGAACACTTGACCTCACAAAACCTCGACTTTGTCTTTGTAACGCTCGATGCCTGGGATCTTCGGGTACAGCTCCCCCGTGAGGCGCGGGACAAGTCTACCGTGCTGCCGCCTTACCTGCAGCACTCTCGCACATTTGACCTCCGTACCGAATACCAGCGCTGGCAGCAACATCACCCCGAGTCGCTACCCTTTGGTCCTTCCATGCTGAGCAACATCTGCGCCGCGCTCGAAGTTGAGCCCGTCCAGTCTAGCGCCCCGATCAAGCACAACCTGCCCTTCCACTTGCAAGCCCTGGCACCCGCTTCGCCAAGACGCGCCATGGAAGAGGCAGTCACCCTCGCACGTGTCCTGCGCGGACTGATTCGCAAGTCGCAGCCGGCCCAGGATCACCCGGATGTCCTGACCCGCCCCATGGATGCGCGTGCCGATGTTCGTGCATTCTTGTCCGAGAGAAGCAAGGTCCTGCACATGTCCGGCCTCCCCCACGATACTACCCAGTCCGAGCTGGAGAGCTGGTTCACGCAGTTCGGCGGACGGCCCATTGCATTCTGGACCCTGCGTACACCCGAGCAGCATAAGCCAACTGGCACGGGCTTCGCGGTCTTTTCGTCTCACGAAGAGGTAAGTACCCTCGCACCTGGCTGAGCAATTTCCTTCCTCTCCTTACGGCCGACCTGCTTCCCGAATACTGACCGGCCTATCCAGGCTGCCGAGAGTTTGTGCATGAACGGCCGTGCATTGAACGAGAAGGCTATCGAAGTGTCGCCATCTTCCAGCCGGGTCCTTGACCGTGCCGCCGAGATCCTCACGCCATTCCCTCCCAGCAAGAACAGACCTCGTCCCGGTGACTGGACGTGCCCTTCTTGTGGCTTCTCCAACTTCCAGCGTCGGACAGCTTGCTTCAGATGTTCCTTCCCGGCTATGAACGCAGGACCTCAGGGCGGCGAGGCCGGTAGTGGCGGCGGCTATGGTGGGGGCGGCGGTGGTGGCGGCGGATATGGTGGTGGTGGTGGCGGCGGCGGTGGTGGTTACGGCCAGCCTCCTATGATGCCGCCCCCGCATCACGGCGGACATCACAACAACATGGGCCACGGTGGGGGCCGTATGGGCGGCAGTGGAGTTGTCCCGTTCCGTGCCGGCGACTGGAAGTGCGGCAATGAAGTTTGTGGCTACCACAACTTTGCTAAGAACGTCTGCTGTCTCCGTTGCGGTGCTAGTCGTGCGGGCGCCGCGGTCGTGGCTGACTCTGGATATCCGTCTCCGATGAACAGCGGCTCCAACTACGGCATGGACAACAACTCGATGGGCGGCACGCCCGGCCCTGGTGGTCCTTTCAACCAGGCCCCTGGTCCCGGTCCCGGCCATGGTCCCTTCGGAGGCTCGGGTGGGTACGGTCAGCACTTTGGCGGCCCTCCGAGCACCTATGCCTTGCCCTCCGGGATCGGTGGTGGTGCCGCGCCATATCCGTCGCTGAACACTCATTTCGGTCCTGCTCCGGGTGCACACTCGGCCGGTCCTTTCGACAGCCGTGCCGCGGAGGCTGCGTTTCAGTCGGCAGGCAACGGACCCGCGTCGGCCGGACCATCGGGCGGCTTCTACTCGTCCCAGTCGGAGAGCGATCCCTTCGCATTCCTGTCTTCGGGCATGGGAGGGCTCTCTGTGAGCGGCAACGACGCCCGCCAGAACGGGGCCAGCGCTCCTCCAAGCAAGTCTCCGGCGTAAGCAGCCTCGTTGCTTACACCGTTGACCACATCTTGATTGTTTGTCATTGTCGAAAAACAAAAGCGGATCTATTCAAAAGGGGCCACTCTGGTGGCGTGGAGAGCGCACAAAACATAGACTGCAGAAATGTCTTTTCCCCCCCCCCACGACTGGAAATACCCATCGGGACTCGGCGAGCTCTAATACATGGAGAAAAGGTTTTGGAGATCTGTTTCTTGTTTTTCCGAGGAGTCACTGGCTGCAATGTACGGACTGGCGGGTGTTGCGCGGTATATCAGATTTTACATATGGTGGTGTTTGATCTTTGGGTCGTTGGGGTCAAGGCAAGACAAAACATGGATTCATATCGTTATTCGAGACTCTGGGGGACGTCGACGTTGTACATGGAAGGGACGGAGCTTATTCTATATTCGAGGCTGTTGTGTTTTCTGGCCAGATACGCACAAGGGACGGGAAACATCGTTAGGTGCATAGCCATAGGGGTGTCTTGTGTATACAAAATTGGGGGTTTCGTATAAGCCCGGGGCTGCTGCAGCCTTTTGTCATCATCTCTCAACCCGGCATTGCCGGTCTGTTCTTGATCCAGATTCTCCATTGGTTCGGACTTGTATCTCGTGCAAGCGAGTGGCCAGCGATTGACAGGTCATGCCCCGTTGCTTGAACGAGGAGAAAGCTAAGGTGTTAAGTCGTCGCGTGCGTTGCTTATCCGGCTGCGCCACCTGGGGCTCGATGAACAGAGCTGCGTGTCGCTCGGCGACCTTGGAAACTTAAAACCTTCGCCTTAGCCTCTCTCTACTAGGGAATAGGGAATGTGCCCCTTGGACGCGAGCGGCGGCACCCCGGGGGGGGGACTAGAGACGTGCTTTCTGTTCAAACACGGGGCCCACGGCAGCTTCGGGACAGGGACATTTGCGATGTGCCAATTCGGGCACGCAGACGGCGACTTTGGCCGCTGGCGCAGCGGTCAGCTGGAGTCCATTGGTCAGAGTGGTGCGAATCCAAGCGTGCGGAGTCTTTTCTTGGGGTAGGAACGACAAAATAGCGTTAGGGAAAGACGAGGAAGGGCCTATGTGTACTGTTGAACTATATAAAAGCCTCGATTTCCTCTGATGGCTGTCCGGGTCTAGAACATAGACTAAGTTTCTCTCTCAGCACTCTCTTGTGGTCTTTTATTACTTTGAAGGTCCCCTGCAGCAGGAGCGAGCCTCGATTCCTTCACGTTCAATCAAATCCCTGCCACTACCCCAACCTTTGCACGTCGAGCAACCGCATCCATCGCCTGGTGGCCGGCCCGCTGCTCCATATCGAACGAAGCTTGTGAGTCTTCTTGCAACTATTGGATCCGGCGGTAGCAGGGGAACAAAAGTCCTTGCTCCACCGGCCGCCATTGAGGACATCTCGGGGACACCCATTTGAAATATTAGAGATAAAAAGATTATTCAAGAAAGGAAAGGGGGAAAGAGAGAGAGAGAGCAGGTCTTCTGGCTGCCTTTACACGAACCACACTGACTTTCTTCTTGCTCAGCAATCCTTTGGTGTCTTGTCCAGTCTGGCTAGCGTTCCGCGTTACCGGCGACAGCAAAGACCAGGTGTGTGTGAGAATATCACAAGGAGGGGGAAGAACAACCGGCACGTTTGAAGAAGGAAACAGAATGGCCTCCAACACCACCACCACCACCACTAATACTGCGGCTCCTATGCCGGTGGTCACTTGCGGTGCGCACGAGGCCGTGGGGAAGGCCGTCATCGCGGGGCTCAAGCCCGAGTATGAAGGTTCGTCCGTTCGTCCGTTCCGTTTGCATGCCCGCGCGAGCCAAAACCCCTCTTCTTCGTTGCTCAGCACACGAGGGAGAGATGCTGACAAAAAGTAATAGTGATTCTATTCTGCCAAGGCGCCACAGCCCTGGCAAAGGAACTCCCACTCCTGCTCTCCTCCCCCGCGACTTTTACTCCGGAGAGCAGCACCATCGGCTCGGGCAACTTCTCCTCGCCACCCCGGGCGGTAATCTTTGGCGGGGCCTGGGGACCCGAGGACATTGCGCAGGTCCAGGGAGCGCTTGCTGCTGCTGCTGCCAGTGGTGGTGGTGGTGGTGGTGGTGGTGCTGAGGCTACCACCATCGGCCAGCTGCTGGACGAGCTCGTCATCCTCCGCAACGACACGGGCATAAAGCCAGCGCCCGTCACGCAGCCGGACGGCACGGTCGTGCCCGTGGTGCCGGGCTCTCCGGAGTACAGCGAGCACGTCACCGGGCGGGTGAGGGCGGCGCTGGGAAAGTTGGCCAGCGAGGGGAAAGGGGCGCTGGCAAAGGTCGAGGGGAGCAATGGGGTCTATTGGTACTGAAGCGATTTCCCCGCCTCGGTAGATGGGCTGACCGCCATCCAGAATATCGAGCGTGGGCTTATTTTATTCCTTATACTTTTTATTTCATTTTTTTCAACGCATGGGCAACAAGAGTTGAGTCATGGCTGGTGGAATATTGTTGGATCCCTTGTAGTTAGGCCATGGGTTTGCGGGAAACAAAAGACCAACTTGCAAGGACGACAAGGTCAATCAAGCCCGCCAGGTCAATAAGAGTCATCTCAAGTATTAGCGCCAGATACAGTCGGATCACAAGATGTTTGGAATTGTTGCCTACAACTTCTAACATGCAGTTTGATTATGTGCAATGCGTCGTGTCTCATGGCTACCTGGGTGATTATCCTACCCGCAGATCTGACATCGCAAAATGTACCAGCATATTCATGCTTTACAAAACCACAACCTTGGCCGGTCTCCCCACCGGGCCCCAACACCCTGACGCCTGAAATCAAGGACTCGTTCGAGTCCTGAACCTTGCCTGACAGTCTATCCATGTGCCATGATTATACCCCGTCCAGGTACGCTAGTATATGCATACATGCCCCAACGCTATGCGAGAAAATCCCTTGATGTACAAAGAAGAAATAAAAGTAAAGGCTGATGTGGCTCTAGAAACAAGAGACGCCGTGGGGGAAAAAAAGTGAAAAGCCGAACTGGGGGTATCTTATGTGACAAAAGAAAGATGAAATCAAATGCCAACCAACCAAATGCTCAAGCCTGATGAAAGAAAGGTGGCAGATTCTTCAGAAACATAACATGGTCTCGTGCTTACAGAGTCGCGATCTACCAAATCGTGACCTCTTGCGTGACGAGCCCGAAAATCCAGCTGGCCTCCGTGACGGAAGCGCACTGGAAACACCACTTGTTGACCTGGCCGCCGCTGCCGCCATCTTTGGGCGCCATGCCAGCGACGCCGGTCTCGTCCTTGACCTCCTCCCAGACGTTGAGGAGGATGCCGCGGCTTCCAAGGCGGGTGAAGCAGCGACTGCCAAGGACGACGTCGAGCACCACGACACTCTCTTCGGTGCTCTTCCTGGGACACGTCTTGATTACGATGCGCTTCTCCATACCCTGCGGTGTCCGGAGTTTCTGGTGCACACCCTGATCCGGTCGCATGACCTCCAGTAGACAGTTGCCGTAGTCTTCCCACTTCGTGGAGCTCACAAGCAAGTGCAGCCGGATCTTGAGGTTGTTTGTCGTCAGACTCATCTTCGCAGGCCCGCTGTTAGCAGCGCTGATGGAGGGCGATCTGGGCGGCGTTGCTGAAGATGCTGAGGAGCCATATTGCGAGGGGCTCCCGCTGCCGCTGCGGCCTTGTCTATCGACGGACGACATTTCAATGTCGAAAGAGTGGCTTGCACCACCCATAAGTCTCTTCAAGAATGACGATGCAGACACACCCGACTGCTGCGAGACACTACCCTGAGATTGCGACGGCGCACGCGCCGATGCGCGGTAGCTGTTCTTTCGCCCAAACCAGCTGCGACGCCGGCTGCTGTTCGCGTCTTCTTGTGTGTTGGCAAACCGGTTCTGACCAAAAGCTCGCACGCGCGACTCCTCTGCCAGCGCCTTATACTTGGCATTATCCATCCGCGCGCGGTGGACGGCGAGGTACAGCTTCTCGCTATCGAGGTATGTAGGGTTGCGGAAGCGGAAGATGGAGGCATCCGCCTTGGTCATCTTGGCATAAAGCCTTGCGTAGCTCAAGGCTGGTGATCGAATCTCGAGGTCGAGGACTGTGCTGTTGCGTAGCGAGACCAGTGGAGTCAAGTCGAGTGCAATCAGTGGCTGGTCGCCTCCGTAGTGAGCCCCTTCGGGCGAGACCGGGTAGACCTCAATGAGGCCGGGGGTGGTGATGACCGAGCACGAGTCTGGCCACAAGTCCTTCCATGCTCCGTGTTTTGTGTCCCAGTAGGAGATGGTGGCCGTGGCATAAAAAATGTACTCTGGATCCGGACGTCTCAGCTCTTGTGGTTGTAGAGGTAGTGTCGAGATCATAGGCTCTTCAGCTGCCACTTCTACGCGCTCAGCCCAGTGTCGTTGTGCCGGCGCCTGGTCAGTGTGATGTTGATGCTTGATACTAATCGCTGGTGTCGTCTCCGGCATCTCAATGGCCTCCAACTCGTCATCAGAAGACTCGTAACTGCTGGCATCGCCCTCAGTCTCTGTGTCTGATCCCGAGTCCGATTCTGAGCTGTACTCGGACGACTCTACGGACGACAAATCAGACGGCTGATATTCATGTTTCAGCGGCGACGATCCGCGTCGCTTGAGCCGCCCATCGTCCGCTGGAGGGGCAAGATGATGCTGCTGCTGCTTTCTGGGGTTGATCGTCCGGTGAGCTGGAGGAGGCGGTGGCACATCTGCCACTGGTTCGTCGTCTGGTTGCGTCACCACGAACATGGCCGGGTCTGGGCGCATAGACTCGCTCAGCGGCCTGCTCCGCTCCTGACTGTCACTCGGCCCAGGGTTAGAAGGTAAGGAGTGTCGGGATCTGCTGTGTGTACGCTGTAAAGACTCAGGGTGTGTAGGCAGGCTCGGCTCATGAACCGGCAGAGCTTGCAGATGCGCCATCGGCACACTTGCATTACGAGTGTGGTACCTTTCTGGCGTTCTTGACTTCATCGCCGGTGACATCGAGCCAAAAGATTGTGTTTGAGGCACTCCACGTCGATTTCTTCGTTCACCGATGGGCACATCGCCCACTTCTGATCCCGCCAGAAGAGACCGTGACTGAGCCTCCGTGAATTCAGCACTGGGCAATGGTGGCGGCACAGGAGTGGTACCCAGAATATCAAGCCAGTCAGCGATTTGCTCCTCGTCTTCAGCTGAGAGAATGAGGAGCTCCGTCCACTCTTCTCTGTGACCCCTGACCATCACGACAAGCTGGTTTTTGTCGTCACCAATTCTTGCCGAAAGGTGGCTGCCAAGGACCGGGGCAAACAGCAGCCAGTTCCGTCCCTCGTGGCCAATCTCTCTGATGAGCAGATCTCCTGGATCTGACTTGAAGAGCTGGTTGTCACGGTACACAAGCTCTACTTGGCAACCGAGTCGCTGACCTTGGGAATGTCGCAGCTCTAGTCTGAAGGTGTCCTTGGCGTACACCTGGCGGGAATGATCAATGCGGACATAGTCCAAGGCCGACAGTGTTCTTAAGTCTCGGCACCGTGTCGTGTCCGTATTGATAGCTTCCTCATCAGTCGCGCGGGCTTGTTCCTCCTTGTGCCGCCTGCGGGCTTTGTCCTGCAGTTCCTCCCAATTGGCACAGAGCGAGGCGTAGTCATCTGTGGCCGCGATCTTGCGGTAGCCTTGAATGAACTTGGTGATCCACTTGATTCTGACCAGCGGTCGCTTGAGAAGATGTGCCACGTCGATGCGCTCTCCTGCTTGGTTCACGACGTCCCCATCTTCATTCTGAGGCATGGCATTGACGAGGGAATCGTTGTCATCAAGAGAATTGACTCTGAGGTTAACAATGACTCCCTGGAAAGTAAGTCGCCACACATCTAGGTAGTTGTTGTAGATGGCGTGCGTGCTTTCAAGCCACTGTGGTAGCAGTTTGACATTACCCAACGGGCACTTCTTGTGTGCATTCCTCAATTTCTCTAATGCCATGCCCATGTCGACAACCGATTTCGAGAGTGTCTCGCTCTTGCTTTGTGAGGCACGTGGCGACAACGGCTCCTTGACATCTTTGTCACTCTTGACGACCTGCGTCAGTAGGACGGGTAGAACTCCATCAACCAGGGTTTTCAGCTCCCTCTGGTACAGGTTCTCATCCTTGGCAAAATCTCGAAGGAGATTGTCGACCGACCTCCCGCCCCTGTTGCTGGGTGCCCGGCTTACACTCCGGGATGATCGCAGGCTTCGGCTTCGGCTTGGCGCAGGTCCCTCGTCAGGCAGGGACAGAACAGAGACAAGATCGGAATGTTTGGTGAGCCGTCTTTTGAGGCTGCCATTGCGGCTCTGGTGACTGCGCTGTCTCGACACCTTGGCATTGGAGCCGGTAGATTTCGTAAGTCCGGTCGTCTGTGTAAATGTCGAGTCCGAGAGCATGGACTCAATGTCCGAGCTAAGTGTGCTGAAAGTATCGGCTTCCGAAAGGATCGTAGACAGTTCGTGCCGGCCGTTTGTAGGTGGCCGGCGTTTTGCGTTGTCGGCTGAGGACTTGGAAAGGTACGAGGAATCATCGGTAACGGAAGAGCGCTCGTCACTGGTGGCTGTGATGACAGTCGGGCTTCGAGAGCCCGAAGATCGACGATTCTGCGAGTACGTCACATCTGTCTCTGTTTGGTCATCGTAGTAGCTGTCATAGCTGTCGTAGCTGTCGTAGCTTATCACAGTAGAACAACTCGGATACTCTAGAGGAGGGGGCGCGTGTCCGGCGGATTCGCCACGAAAAGCATCACGAAGCCGGTCGGCGAATCCCTTCTTGCCTCCATTCTTGACTGGTGATGAAGTGCTTCGTGTTGCGGTCCTTCTCTTCAATCCAGATGAAGGAGGTGTAGCGGACACTTCCTGAGACGATTGGCTGGTCTTGAGGCGCTCACCTGACTGAGGGCGCACCTTCAGCGGTCTCGGCGTTGTTATAGTTTCGTCGCTGGCTTTAGTGGAGGCAGTAAAGTTCAACTCTGGAGCGGGTTTTGTGCTGCGCTGAACGGGTCGTGTCGGCGTGGTCTCTTTCTTTGGCATTTCTCGGCTCTTTGGCGGCTCGAGCTCGGTTTCGGTGGCCTTGCTACTCGCAGTCTCGACAAAGGGGTCGACCGTTCCGCTCAGCCAGTTCTCGATATTCGGAGGCTGATTGACTACTGGCTTGGGGGGGTCAACTTTCTCGGCGATGATTTTCTTGCCACCCTCCAAGGCCTTTTTCAAAACGTGTGTTGCTCCTTTGAAGCTGGACTCCCGCTTCGCGATGGGTCGTCTTCGAGGCGCTCGTGGCAGATCGAGTTCACTGAAAGCCGAGTACCCGACCGGGATCTCAGCTAGATTCCTCGGAAGGATCGTTGAGGGCATATCTGACCGAAGATCGGAGTCATCAGACGCTGAGCCGCTGTCAGATACATCTTCGGTCGCCGTAGTACCTGTGACTTGCGTCTGCTGCTCAGTGGACTCGGTGATTGATGTCTGAGTGTCTGTCGTTTCCGTGATGATTGTTTCTGTGCCGGTAGTGCCGCTCACCATTGTGGCAGGCTTTGACTCCTTCCTTTCTGGAGCCTTTTGGCGGGCCTTTGGCAAGGGCTTCGCGTCCTTTCGGGTCGGTGTACGTTGGCCATCCGAATCTGAGTCTGGATCCTCAATGACCTCAATCACGTCCCTGCGACTCGGAGGGGACGGAGTCTCGTCTCTTTGCGCGCTGGTCTGGCGGGCTCGGACTGGCCGCTCCGACGCTCGTGGCGTCCTAGCACGGTCGCTTTTCGTGTCTGACTTGCTAGGAAAGACCCGTATGCCGTCGTCGGGTAAAGTCTTCTTCAGTGGTGTAACCCGAATGCCATCATCATCCGCCGGTTTTTTAAAACTCGGCTCACTCTTCTTTGCCGAGGACACGTCCGAAGACTGTTGACGAGCGTGAGACGGGGCAGATCTGGCAGACGACTTTGATCTTTGCGTTGACTCTGTCGGCGCTGAGGAGACTGCAACCTCACTTGACATTGGCGTGACGCGGATCCCGTCATCGTCTCGCGCCGACCTTGCTGCGCTTCGGGATCGGCTCGTCGTCAGGGAGTCTTCTGGTATCTCGACTTTCGCTGCCCATGCTTTTACCCTGTTGGCCACATTCGGTTGTGGAGTCGGGCGTTGGAGAAATCCTTTGGGAAGAGGCGAACCGTTACTGTCTAGCTTATTGTTTGCCTTGGGGGAGCGACTCCTGGGCGGGCTCTTCTTCTTGGTGACTTTGTGGGTGTTGTTCTTCATCCAGTTCGTGTCACTGACCACCCGCTTCTTAGGTGGGCCGGCCGGTTTCGCTGCCTCCTCGTTTTCTTTCTCGTCACCTTCCGTGCTCTTTACTACTCTCTCAACTACCACGACAGCTGGTGGTGGTTTCTTCTTCTGGCGCAGTTTTATCCTAACCCGATCCTCCTCGGTCACGCTCTGGTCGTCGACTTGTATGTGGACCTCGCTGGGCTCTGAGGGCGTCGCAAACGGGTCCTCGCCGACCATGGCAGCCGCATTAGCCTTCTGCCACTTCTTGACTCTCTCCTGGACACCCCCGGGGGCTTGGACTCGGCGGACGGCAGCCTGGCGCATCTCCTGTTTGACAATGTCCAGACTGGCTCGTCGTTTCCGTTCCGCCGCCACTCTGGCGGGCGATGGGCGGCCCAAGAGGAAGTCTGTGAGAAGTGTAGGTTGCTGTTTGGTGGTGGCCGCCCGGGTCCGCGCCGGCGCGGTCTTGGGCGTGCCTCCTCCATCTGAAGTCGAGGTTGTGTTGAGGGGCGTCGAGGGTTTCGCCGCACTGGACTTCCGCCGCGCCTTGACAGTGGCAGGTCTGCGGGGTGTCTGTGGCGTGGCCGCGGGCTCGGGCGTGGGGACATCCTCGTCCTCGTCCGCAGACTTGGCGACGGTCATGATGGCACTAATGTGATCTGCCTTGTAACCATCACAACGGCCTTGATGCTGAGGATGTCGGCAACAGGTTGGCTAGGCGGTGTTTGTACGTTTGACCAGAGACGCCGAGCTGTGTGCTGTTTGCGAAGCAGTCCAAATGATCGTATGCTAGGCGCGGGATACGCTATGGTTGTTGATGGGACCTATGCTCGAAGTTGCTATGGCGGTCAAGTTGGGTGGTGTTGATGACGCTGTTGTTTTGCTGACAGCTGGGCAGTGTGTAAGTGAGATAAGGAGGGGAAAAGGCAGCGGAAGAAGTGCCTAGCGGGAATGTTTTGGCATGCCAAAAGGAGGCCAGAGAACAATGGGAGGACGTAGCCGGCGGATGCGCTGGTGGAGGGCAATGAGCAGTGCCGTAGCGGCAACCTAAAGGCCAAGGTGTGCGTGCTCCAGCCTTGTTTTGGCCGAGTTAAGGCTGCATCACGATGTGCAGCCCCCTTCCGGCACACCCTTCGGCCTGCCAATATGGGTGCAGCACTGCGACATGGCCGCGTTCACCACAGTAACCGCAGGTGGGGCGGCCCCGCCCAAAGTAAACAATGGACACCCCGGCACACCTCCAGCTGCTTGGCCACACAGCTCCCTCACCCTTGGGCGGCAGTCCTGAGAAGTTCCCGCCCGCCAGCGGCTCGTCTGGCAGGGGCTGCCAACCTAAAATCGCGACAGTGGGACCTGGTTCCCTGCCAGTCGACATCATCAGATGCCAGCCCAGTTGTTCCAAGCTCAACAAGCCCGCGCTGGGCGGCAGGGACTCAGCTGGATGTTGTTGCACAAGCTGGTTACCCCCCCCTCTCGACTCAGGCTGGTTCCAAAGCCTGCAGTCAATGCCTGCATGGGAGAGAACACTTGCAGTGTGGTCAGCCGCCCCTCTGCAGAAACACACCCAACAGACTTCGTAGACTGCCACTGGTGGCCGCAGATGGCCTGGCTAAGCGCCACCATCCATCATCCGAACGTCAAGGTGAGCCCACAGACGGCAGCATGGTTCGAAGGCCAGGATGGCTGGTTCATGGCGACCGCGCTGTGCTGCCGGATCACACCCCCCAACGTATTCGCTGATGCCCACTGGCCTGTGATTAGACTGCGTCGCAGTTGTCGGGAGGGCAACCTCTTGGCTATATGACTTCCGACGAGTTCTCGGGGACTGGCCTGGCCTCGCTGATTCCAGCCTGCCGCAGTGTCGAGCTGCCAGCCATGCTCACCTTCTAGGCCCCCAAGGCGGTTAGCGCGCTCACTCTTGTCAGATCAATCCTCGAGCATGTCGCATCTGATAGCGGGTCTGCCGAGGCATGTCGGGGCTTCACGTCAGCTATGTACGATCGCCGCAAGGGTTCAGCCAGCATTGCGTGCCTCGGGTGTGAGCACTGAACCACGCATGCCAAAGACAGAAGACCCTGATATTCCTCACCTCCACTAGCTGAGCAATTCTTCCTTCATCATACAAGTGCACCAAAACATCACAATGTCTGGCCAGCAACTCTTCACCGTGCCCATCCCGGCGCTCAAGAACCACCCCGGTGGCGCAATCGTCTGCACCACGCCCGCGCCCAAGGTCTACCTCCTGTCATGGACTTCACCTCCCGACAATCGCCTCACGGACGCATTCTGCCAGGCCCTGCTCACGGCCCTTGACGAGCTCGAGTACGCCCGCGTCGAAGACACCGCCAGCAAGGACAAAGATCCAGCCGCCAGCACCAAGAAGCCAAAGTACCCCCCAGGAGTCGTCATCACAACCTCGGCCATCACAAAGTTCTACTCCAACGGCCTGGACCTGACCCTCCTCCTCAACCAGCCCGGCTTCGCGCAGGAAAACATATACCCGCTGTGGCGCCGCTTCCTCACCTACCCCATGCCCACAGTGGCCCTGCTCAACGGGCACACCTTTGCTGGCGGCGCCATGCTCGCCATGCACCAGGACTACCGCGTCTTCTCCGAGCCCAAAGGCTACCTGTGCCTGAACGAGCTCGAGTTTGGCGCGCCACTGCTGCCACCCATGGCGTCCGTGTTCCGCGAGAAGCTGCCGGCTCCGACGTTCCGGAAGCTCATCCTAGAGGCGCACCGCTTTGGTGCCAAAGAGGCGCTCGACGCGGGCATCGTGGACAAGGTCGGCGGGCTGGACGCCGCCCTGGAGCTCATCAGGGATCTCAAGCTCACGACCAAGGCGGCGACTGGTGCGTATGGGATGCTCAAGGAGGAAATGTACCGCGAGAGCGTCGCGCTGTTGGATGCGCGAGGCGCGGACTTTGTCGAGCCGAACATGCGGTTCGGGGCGGCGAAGAGGAAGGTCGAGGAGGGGGTCAAGCGGGTGGAGGGCAAGGAGCACAAGGCGAAGCTGTAGGATCGGTCAAACGGGCCCCACGATGTGGTCTTTTGTGCTTGTATTTTGCTCTTGGTCGAGAAGGACCTGCTCGAGAAGTATCGGCGCTGGATTTACAGCGATCTCCAGACTTTGAATCTCAAGTATGGTTGACGACAAAGACCTCCACTTTGAAGGATGGGAATTAACTGAACATGATAATGAAGACAAAATCCAATTCCAGACAAGAAACATCCTCGACATCCAACGCCTCGCTGAAACGAAGACCAATCACCAGCTATCCCACCCAAATCAGTTCTCAGGATCTTGTTGCTTCAGACGAGGTCCGGCTGAAAACATCCTCTACCCCAGCATGCTCAAAGTCTATGCAGCCAGAGCAGATCGTGTGAATACTCCTGCGACCTGGCCCAGCAACACGCGCCAAACCTCCTATCTTGCTACGCAAAGCAGAAAAACCTCCCGATGCCGCTCCCGACCACCGCCCTCTCTCCCGCCATCGACAACAAACTAGTTCCGCCACCATGATGACGATAATCACCACTGTCGACAGTCGATTCTCCGTAGCTGCTACCACCACCACCACCACCACCGTTTCGCCCGCGCTGACGCTGAAACTTCTGGCGCAGACGCTGCCTGTGGCCGCTCGAATCGCCACCGCGGCCGCCGCGACAGCACCGCATGGTCATCCTCAGCGCCTCCTCGTCGGCCGCGCGCTCGTCAAACACTGTGCGCACCCCCTCGTCGAGGATCTCGGCCACCCCCTCGCCCGTGAGGGCCGAGCACTCCATGTATCGCACCGCACCGGTCGTGTGGGCAGCCAGGCAGGCCTGTGTGTGTACAGGATGGTCACTTTTGGTTAGCCGTCTGGGAAGCGATTATGATGATGATGATGCACCCCCTTGCGAAGGGTGGGGAGAAAAAACAGATGTTGCCGGTCTGTATAGTGCAAGCAGAGTGGGTTTGAAGAATTGGGGTGAGGGACGGGGGGTTTACCTCGGTCGCTGCTACCCGCGAGCTCAGCCGCGTCGTTGTCGTCGTCGTCGTCGTCGTGAGGTCTGGTGTGGGTGATGTTCTTGTTGTTGTCGTCGTTACCGGTGACGTGGACGACACCAGCAAGCTCTGGCTGCACAGCGGCTGCCAGACTCCCGACCCGGCGCGGAGGTCCTTCTTGCAGCCGACCAGGATGACGGGGGCGTCGCGGCAGTTCATCCGGATCTCTCTGAGCCACTGTTCACGGAGGTTTAGTCAGTCACGCAGTCCACCACTTATATCCCTCTCTCTCTCTCTTGCGTGGCTTGGCTCCATCAACGTGCGTCCTCGTACTTCCAACGAAGTAAGAGTACAACGGCGGCCATGGGAGAATTGGACAAAACCACGAGCTAGATGGGCAAACAAGGGGCCCGGGCCGGGACATACCTGAGTCTGCGTCCGGTCAAACTGCTTCTGACTGTTGACGCTGAAGCAGAGGAACACGGCGTCCCAGGCGAGATACGACAGCAGCCGCAGCTGGTGCAGCTGGATGTCCCCAGAGGTGTCCCAGAGCTCGAGCTCGACGTCCTGCGAGTCGACGAGGGTTGTCTTGGTGAAGAGCTCGTACTGCGTGGGGACGTATGCCTGTTTTATGCATCGAGGAGAGGGCCCGAGGTCAGCCAGAGCTCTCGATGTGCGGCACTTGATCGTTTATGGATGAAACCGATCGCAACACATGACCTGGAACGAATTGCGGTAATACAGATCAGGGGGAAAAAAGAAAACTGACCTCAGTGAAAGTATCGCGATAGTACCGACTGCGCAGAAATAAAGCCAAGGTCAGCGACAATCATCGCAGTAATCATCAGCCGTACGAGAAAGAAAACTCACAGGAGCAAGCTAGACTTGCCACACCCGGAGTCCCCGACAAAAGCGAACCTCATCCTGGCTCGGCCGGGAATCGTGAGCGGCGTGCCAGGCGGCGAGTTGGAAATCACGGAGCCGCGCGCGGTCGTCCCCGCCATTGTCGAGGACGCACGTCTCGACGAGGTGTTGTCCTTGGCGTACCGGTGCTGTCCCTGCTGCTGGTCGTCCCCATGGTGGTGGTGATGGTGGTAGTAGTCACTCTGCTGGTAGACGACCGTATAGTTCGAGGCTGCGGTCTCGCTGCGTGAGACTGGTTGTTCCTGGTGTTGGTCTTGGCGGCGATGGCGGCTGGTGCTGGTGAAGGTGCTTGAGATGCTCGCGACAGCGCGATGTCCTCTGGTAAAGAGGCTGGTCTGTTGCTGCATCTGGTCATGAGACTTGGTAAAGCTTGCTGCCGAGAAGCGTCTCGTGCGCTTGTTGCGGTGGTCTTCCGAGGTCGGCGTCTTCTCATTGTCCGGTTCCTGTTTGGACGACGAAAAAGAGTCACTATCAGCTCACGATCCCGTCACTTCGTCGCCTTCTCCCGATGGTTGGAAAGTACAAGGAATACCGCGCTGATACGTACCAGGTCATGCTTCTGGCCAAGCATTGGTGTTGGCTCCAATGGCTCCTCTCTTGCCTTAGGCCCAGGCAGCTCGTTGATCCAGCGCACGATTCCGCCCTTTGGCCTCCACGTCTCCGGAATGGTGAACGAGAAGCTCGAGCTGATGGTATGCCGAGGGTTGTGTGACCGATGAGCTAATGCCGTGGGAACAGCAAAGTGATCTGGGCTTATTGGCCGCATGATTGCTTCACGGCCGTGCGTTTCGTGATCCGAACGTGTAGTGTCGGCCAGTATTTAGACAGTGTACAAGTATGCTTCCTTCGTCAACAACGCTGGTGCGCTGACGAAGACACGGCACTGGGTGTGCAGCAGGACGAAATGCGAGGAGCCTGCTGTAGAGAGCGACGGGTGGTTGCCGTGGTTATACGCAACAGCCAGTATGACAGTGGATGGTGAATGTTTGCAAGCTTTCAGAGAACCAACAAGAACTAGAAACAATCACACATCTCGATGAGAACGGGCAGAGTATATATCACTATCGGATGGCCAGCGGAAAGATTGCTTTTGCCATGAAAAGCAGACTTGGCGGGCACCGCGGGGGAGGTTCGTCAGTTTTAGCATCTGCAACCTATTACTACTTTGTCCTCAGGTTACGCATGGGGATCCGAAATGTCGCACCAGTGTCAGTCGCCGGTTCCTGACTTGTAGAGCCAGCTCGACCGAAAGAGAGCTGCTGATTGGTTCCAAGTAGCTGCTAGTCGTGTTCATTGGCTAAGACATACATTGCAAGTCTTGACAATGGTCTCACCAGCCAAGTCGCTGTCTGAGCTCCAGGTTCCCAGAATTGATGGGTGCAGAAGCAAAACGGTACGGGAGTCATGATCCGCTGGGGACGGTAGCAAATCGGGGATTACCGACTATCAGCGGGTATCGGGCCTCGAAAAGGAAAGGGTGTCGAAGAAAAAGCAATGTTGCAAAGTGGGATTGGGTGTAATGCCTGCGCCACTGTTCCAGAAGGCTGTCTCAGCTGTGCTTCTGAACTGTTCATACTACTTCGGCACTATTTCTTTTCCCCCAATCAAATGTCTCATTAAAGCCTGAGGACGACTCGCCTGCTGCAAGTGAGCGAGGGCAGCTATTGATTAACCTCCCCCACCAAGGACAGCGTCAAGCGTCAAGCGTTAAGGACAAGACAGTTCGTGGGTGGATCATGCAAGGTCAGGTCATCAAGGCCTCCACATAAACTGCACCCAAACCACGTTTTGTCTCTGTGAACAACGGATGGACGTGCTCAGTCATCGTCATGCTTTATATTTGTTGTTGAGGTTTGCGCTCAGTTGCACACCAATCTTGACCGTTTTGCCACATTTTGTTTCGATCCAGCCTCAAGCCTGCGTAACGCCGATTTATTCCAGAACAGAAGTCCAGTTTACTTGCACCCTATGCGCCGCGAAGCTTCTCCCACAGCGATCTGGAGGCCTTGTCCGCTGGCGTCACTAGAGGAGATAATAGCTCAACGTCCCACACAAGCTTGTCGTCAAGGTACAGATTGTATGTGAGACTGCTCTGATCGCCGCCAGCGTGGTTCTCGATGGTGATGGCTCCAAACTTGGTGTTGCCAGAGTTGATGTACCTGTTCGACGTCAGTGTTCAGTATCGACCCCTGCTTGATCCTGTGCTGGCGTTCATATCAACTTACTTGAGCTCAACATCTTCACCATCAGTCTGCTTATAAGTTCCGATGGGCGAGTAGAACTGGTTAAGAGGGCTCGCGGAGAACTCATGTACAGTTGCACTTTCTGGCCAAGCGCTGTCCTTGGGCGGAGGGAAGGCGGTCGCACCGAACTCGTGGCGATCACCCGACAGAATGACGATGCCAACTCCCAGCTTGTGACTGGCTTCCCACATTGCCTCGAGTACCTTCTTGCGCTCGACAAGGAAGCCGCCCCACGTGTCCCTAGTGTTGACGCGCCAGTTCTTTGTGAATGGGATCGAGCTGGCAATGATCTTCCACTTGACGCCCTTGGGTACTGGCTCACGAAGCCATTCCAGGAAGTCTTCCAGCTGGGCTTCTCCAAGCATAGTCTTTGCCGCGTCGTCGAACGGTTCAGAATTCGATGACCGATACGACCGTGTATCCCACATGAAAAAGCTTGCAGGTCCCTGCATAAAGGAGAAGTAGGTGGGCTCGCCCCTAAGCGTGGCAGATGCTGCCTTGGCTCTTCTCGCTGTCGGGGGGTTTGCAGCCGTCTGGTAATGATGCCAGGGGTCCACGGCATTCTCGTATACACCAGTATCCTGGGAGTCCCAGTCGTTGAGAATTTCATGGTCGTCGAGCACATGAATCCAGCTAAGATTTTGTCCAACAGCAGGCCAGTCAGGAGAGGCGTATACTTGGCGATACTTCTGGCGGTAGTTCTCAGTGCGATCGCCGAATCGTCTTGGGACGTCAATATAGATGAAGTCGCCAAGGAACAGCATGAACTGAGCCCCAAGAGTGGGGAGTACTTTGGCCAAGTGCTTCATGCCCGGGAACGACAGAGGGTGATCGAGCGGGTTGTAGGGAAGACGGGGCACAATGCAGGATGTGGATAAGAAGGTGAACTTCCCGTCATGCAAGTCGGGCATCCTGCCTGGCTTCGGGGCCGACGTGAACTCTCCGGAGTGGTTGTTTGATGTCCGCCACTCATACGTCCGCTGATCTGGGTGGCCCAAGGGAATGCTAACGACGGCAGTATAGTCAGTGTCGTTCGACGTCCAGTGCACTCCACCAGCGGTCTGCCATAGGGCATTGTCAAATGGCGCGACGGCATCCTTGATGTGGACTTCGACAGTGACGGGCATTTTCGCCTGGTCCGGCTCTCTGATCAGCAGCTTGGCTTCCGAGTTGGAGACGTAGCCAACACGAGCAAAAGAAAGGTCATGGCTCGGGTGAGTCCACCGTGGCGTGAAGACCATGTCGGTGACCATTGCGACACAAGCGGCGTTAATAAGAAATGTCATGGCCGAAGAAAGCAGGCTGGTCGGATTGGGCGTGCCCAAGAGCAGCGTCTCTAGAGGCGAGATGTGCCTCTTGACGGGGGCAATTGTCTCCTGGACAACGACATCTTCGACCACAATGGCTTCGTCTGTTTCTCCACGGACGATTTCGTCCTCGTTCTCTATGCTGGTCGCAACTGCAATGTCGACCTCGTCAACGAGCTCGTATTCCGGCTCGTCGATATAGTTTGAGAAGAATGCGGGGATGTAGATGGCGAACAGTGTGTAGACGATCGTCATAAGCGGCTGCGGGCGGTGTCAGAACGGATAGCCACGCAGCGGGCACGAAGAGAACCTACAGGGAGCGCGACCTATACGGAATATACAGGTTAGTAAGTCATGGCCGACTATCGCGGTGGCTGTGGTTGTCATATCGCAGGAAGCCACTCACCATGCGCAGGAAGATGAAGGACACGACTCGCAGGGCAACAGTAGCAGCTGCGGCAACCGTCCTCGAATGGAACACCATATTGAGAAGAGCTATGTCCACGATATGGACTGCCTGACTACCGAGGGTGGTGCATGAAGAGAAGGCAGAAAGACAAATGGTTGCCAAGAGGGATCGTGATAAAGACCCAGCTCCACGGGCAGCTCGTTCGTACGCATTACATCACTGCTAGTATGTTCGCGTCAATTGTCCTGACATGCCGATCTGCGTGCCCCACATGCCCAATGACCAACGATAGCTGATTGGACAGAGGAACGGTAGCTCCGGAAACGTAACTCAGATCTAATACAAAGGGCTGTGCCAGAAAGCCTGTGAGCGCGAACCAGGATTCTGCAACTGAGCCATGAGACGTTTGTCTTTTTCCATGCTGCCAGACAGAGCCATAGAGCCAGTATGGTTGGACCCCGTCTTGCATGGTCGAGCTTGACTCTTATGTATTTGCCCATAGAGCTTCCACAAAGACAACAGCTGCCATTGGTGGCTCGATATAGTCCCAAAACGTACCAGAGACCCTCGATGTAGCAGAATTGTCTACCTCCTTGACTTTGCTGAGCCTGACCCCGCGTCGTGGAAATGTGAAGGTTGATGAGCTGGACTTCCGACAATGGGGTGGTGCTTACTTAAGCGCAGGGGGTAGCGTGGACTGAGAGACGAGACGGGACCACCTACGAAACAGGACCCACTTGCAAGCTGGCACATGTGGCATCTGGACACTCCTGTCGCGAGACCTCGCCGGGCCATCATCGAGAACCACTGCGACCTCCGTTCCGACTTCGACCTCGTCCCGCCCGCCCGTCTTCACTCGTCACCCCGCGCAGCATGAAGTTGTCATTCATGTCCGTCGGCCTCACGGCCTGGCTGGCTTCAGCAGTCTCCGCCACCGCCCTCACATACAAGCTCTCCCCTCACGAGGAGGCCTGCTTCTACGCCTCCACCGAGAAGACTGGCACCAAGATGGCCTTCTACTTCGCTGTACGACAATTCCTGAGATCCGGCCCGATATAACCTGCACAACCCCGGCTAACGCAGACCCATTGCTCTACAGGTCCAATCCGGTGGCTCATTCGACGTCAACTACGAAGTTACCGGCCCTGGCGGCAGGATCATCATTGAGGGCGAGAAGGAGCGCCAGGGAGACTTTGTGTTTACGGCCAACGATGCCGGAGAGTACAAATTCTGCTTCGCAAACGACATGAGCACGTACTCTGAGAAGTTTGTCGACTTTGAGATCGCGGTACGCACCCTTACTCGAAGGCTCTTTTGCGCATTTCGGCCGCAAATTGAGGCACCGGACTAATCTTTCTACTTGCTGCTGCATCTTAGGTCGAGGACGAAGTACGAGCCACACTGCCTGCCAAGCAGGGCACATCCCCCGAGCAGACGACTCAGCTCGAGGAGTCAATCTACAAGATTTCTGGCCAGCTGTCAACTATTACTAGAAGCCAGAAGTACTTCAGGACGAGAGAGAACCGAAACTTTGCGACTGTGCGGAGTACGGAGGGCCGCATCTTCAAGTTCAGCCTGATTCAGTGCATCATGGTGGTTGCCATGGGTGGTCTCCAGGTCTTCGTTGTGCGGTTCTTCTTCCAGGTATGTGAACAAGATTACCAGCTGGTCACTCTTAAGAACAAGTCGAGTGACAGATGCTAACCAACAACGGCTGCAGGGTGCTCGCAAGGGTTACGTATGAACCAGTCGCGGCGATCTGAGGTCCTTCTTCCTGTCTGCAGCAGGCTCGGGCTCTGCATGGGGCATGCCACTGCGTCCATGCTGAAGTTGCTGTAAAAAATAGCAATGAATAGTTGATGAAGTGTCGGATTTCCAAGACTATATGAAGAGCATTTATATGATGGCGGCATGTTATGGGATAAGCAAGCGAACACCGGAGTTCCTGCAAGGATCAGAACACGCAGCTTGGCCCTGCCAAGTTGTGAATACATGACATTCAAACCACTGCCACTATTTTGGAACGGTGATACAAAATGAAGTGACCCTCCAACTTTTTTCTTCCTTGATAATGGGACACCTTGGTCGACCTTTGTCCTGGTGTGATTGCTGCAAGTGGTGCCTGTGATGAAGCTCGAAAACGGGACTCGCGATTTCATACAGGGGTCGGCGTACGCTCTGGTACAGTGTGCACTGTGCTGGTTGACGCCAAGCTGTGATCCACTGCCGGCACGCCAAAAGTTCGAGGCGCCAGCCAGCAACCTTCTGTTCGGTTGCACGACAACAACCAACGGCTGCTCTCTCGACCTGACACCCCAGAGCGCGCATCACGGCAGCAGCATCATCAAGTCTCCTATCCGTCCGATACTCCATACGAAGCTTTCGACAGCCGCGCCGCCTTAGGGGCGCACCACAGCATCCATGGCGTCCATAGCTGCCTCTCTTGCGCAGGCTCTCCCAAAGCCGAAATACACGGGCGAGGAGGAGGAGATCCCCCAGCATGCCCAGCAGCGCGGACCGCGGATTGTCGGCGCCGGCCAAATCGATGAGTCTCAGATCGTGCTTCGAAGGTCGGGGCCTCCACCTTATGGCCAGCGATCAGGATGGCGTCCAAGGGGCCAGGAAGATTTCGGCGACGGTGGCGCATTCCCCGAGATCCCGGTTGCGCAGTATCCTCTCGAGATGGGAAAGAAGGGCTCCAGCACTAGCAATGCGCTCGCAATTCAGGTCGATGCCGAAGGCAAGGTCAAATACGACGCGATCGCGCGACAGGGCCATGCCGAGAACCGAATCGTGCAGGCCTCTTTCAAGGATCTGATCCCGCTCCGACAACGCGCCAACGCTGGCGAGATTGATCTCGCGAGACCGAGCGAGGAAGAAGTGGCCGCGACGGCTGAGAAGACCAAGAACGCGCTCGCTGCGCTGGTGAGCGGCGCAGTCGCGGCCCAGAAACCCAAGAACGTCAATGTTGGCTCCCGCAAGGACCCGACATTTGTGCGGTATACCCCGGCAAACCAGATGGGCGACAACTCGAAGAAGCAGGACCGCATCATGAAGATTGTGGAGAGGCAGAGAGACCCCTTGGAGCCTCCCAAGTTCAAGCACAAGAAGATCCCCAGGGGGCCCCCGAGTCCGCCGCCGCCTGTGCTGCGCTCGCCTCCACGCAAACTCACGGCCGAAGATCAGGAGATGTGGAAGATCCCGCCGCCTGTCTCGAACTGGAAGAACCCCAAAGGTTTTACGGTTCCTCTCGACAAGCGCCTGGCGGCAGACGGACGGGGTCTGCAAGATGTCACCATCAACGACAAATTTGCGCAATTCAGCGAGGCTCTCTTCATGGCCGACAGGCATGCGCGTGAGGAAGTCAAGCAACGTGCAATCATGCAGCAGAGGTTGGCGGAGAAGGAGAAGCAGGCCAAGGAGGATAATCTTCGAAACTTGGCCCAAAAGGCGCGCGAAGAGCGCGCGGCTGCCGCAAGAGGTCGCCGGGCGTCATCCCGGGACTCGAGAGACTCTCGGGATTCTCGTGACTCCAGGTCTCGGTCTCGATCTCGATCTCGCAGCTACAGCTATTCCGGGTCCGGATCCGAGAGTGACTCTTCAGTGCGCCAAAGAGAGAAGGCGCGTGCCGATAGGAGACGTGAGGAGGAGCGAAAGCTGCGACAGTCGAGAATGGGCGCTGAGAGGAGGGTGCAGGTCATGGCACGTGAGCAGAACCGCGACATCTCAGAGAAGATTGCGCTGGGTCTGGCCAAGCCTACACAGCAGGCCGAGACCATGTACGACTCGCGACTTTTCAACCAGACCAGTGGTTTTGACAGTGGCTTCAACGAGGACAACCCATACGACAAGCCACTTTTCCAGGCACAAGACGCCATCAGCAGCATCTACAGGCCAAGTGCCGCGAATGATGACTATGAAGATGAGGAGGCTGGAGATCGGGAGATGGCCAAGATTCAGAGACAAAGCCGGTATGGTGAAGTGTTGGGCAAGGGCACTTTCAAGGGAGCTGGTGATGCCGAGGTAAGCTATACTGTCCGCTTATAGTTATTTTGATTTGCCCAGATGACTAACGAGATTGCACATCCAGGCACGAGAAGGCCCGGTCCAGTTCGAAAAGGATGGCGGCATGGATCCTTTTAACGTTGACAAGTTCCTGACCGAGGTCGACCAGAGCTCTTCGTCAAAGAGAGGTTACGGGCTGCAGGAGGAGGACTCGCGGCAGCAAAAGAGGGCGAGAGTCGACGAGGATGAGGACTGAGTTGACAGGCCGCGTCCCTGGACTAGGCAACCAACTATTAGCATAATCTGAACATCGCATGAGCAGGCCAGCTCGTCTTTTGGGGAACAAGTCTCGCCAGAATCTGATATTGACCTTTACAAGGTGCATTCTGAGCATTGCTGATCGTTCCCTCGTGCCTGTCTTTGGATGGAGCACCTTTTTGCAGCACAGCCTCAAGCCTCTCTTTCTTTCACGTGCCAATGAGTTCTCGGGGGCAATCACAGGTGTCTGGGCCGTGGCTGCTTCGGAAGTCCCCCGTGTTTCCGATCCTGTTCTGGCGCAGAGCATCGACCATGCTGATAAGGCACCTTCCGTGCCAGCGTAGTGAGCTGCATGCACGTGTCCGCACGTGTTTCCTTTGTTGTGTTGCTTACTTACTTATAAGTTGCACGGACCTGCTTTACGAGCATCCGGCATCTGTCCTGGCGAGAGGCTTCAACAGGTCATCACGTTGCCCAACTCTATTGATTACACATATACATCCGTAACCCGCTCGTTCCGGCTTGATTCATCTGAGAGTCCAGCCCAGTTGCACCCCGGAGGACGCAGCACGATGCCGTCCCCAAATGATGGCATGTACGAGTTGTCAGACTTTTTAGGCGAGGCTGGCGAAGCTGGCGAGCGAGTCCCTCCACCCGCCCACGCCCGGGTGACCGGCCGCGTTCGTGCCAGGCAACGAGTCCGCTTCCGAGAACCGATTTGCAGCTACGCCCCCTCTCCAACCGTGCCTGCGAGGAAACATCCATACATGTTCTGTGTATGGCTGACTCTCTTCACTGCAGCAATTGCTTTGATCATCATGGCTTTCGCGCTCGGAGTAATACATCCCAGGCCCAGTTCCATCCGCAAGCCTGCGTACGAGCTCGAGAGCGAATGTATGTGCCTCCCCGTGGTCCAAGTGGCCTATTCGCTGTAGCTGACAGAAAATACTGGTAGATTCAGGGGGATCTTTCCTTGAGCAGTTTGACTCGTCCGTCGACTCCGAACCTGTGCTTGGACACGGTAGAGGAGCAGTATGTTGAAGCTCGCTATGAGTCATATTGGTTGCCTTACGAAGACTGACGGCCTCTTTTCAGGATATCAAGCTCACTCTTGCAAACACTATCATTATCAGCATGCGCCCTGTGTGGGATCCTGCCCGGAGCGGCTCGTCTGTCTGCCTGCAGTCGGGAAGACAGTTCACTAGTGGTCTGTCCGTCTTCGACGTCAAGCACATCCCGTTCGGATGCGGTGTCCGTCCATCCTTGTACTTGACGAGCGACATGAACTGGCCACAGCTTGGTCAGATAGACGCTCTGGGAACAACAAACTAGGGATTTGAGGGCAGCACGATGGCTTTGCATACTGATCCAGGGTGCAGCCTGGAGATGGTGACACAAGAGATGTCTGGAACAACGGCCACTTCGGATTGTAGCTCCCACAACGGCACGGCGCATTTTGGCTGCGCAGTCAAAGATGGCGCGGATGTTGTAGGCTTGTTATCTGGCGCTGGAGTCGCTTTCAATGGCACAGTCGCACTTGAGTGGCGACAAGACAGCATCAAGATTTGGCACTTTACAAGCGGGAACACACCCACCGATGTCTTCGAAGACAGACCCGACCCAGCATCCGAGTCGTGGGGTCCTGCAACAGCTCATTCCCCTGCCGACATCTGCGATCCCGGCAACTTCTTTGACAACCACACCATCTCGATCAGCATCAGCGTGTGCGATCCTAAAGCGCTCGCGCAATATCCTCAGCCAGGCCGTAGGTGGTCCTTTCTTTTTGCAGGCCTTGAATATTGCGCGTTGCTGATGAGAATGCGTGGACGAAGGTTCAATGACCTGCTCCGTGGACACAACAAACACTATGGAGGACGCCTTCTAGGAGATTGCGGAGATAAAGATCTATCGGCATTGTGAGTTTCCGAAAAAGCCTGAAATGTTCCACGAAGACTCCTACGTGGATATTAGCCCTTCACTGGCGGTACTTCAAGCATTTGCAATGTCCCAAGCTCTATCCAGGCGTAATCATAAGATCGACGAGTCCCTGAACGTGCAGCTCTACTAAATGAAGCACCGGATGAGACCCGCAATCGCACGTGGCCGAGAGTAGTTTTGGCCTACTTAGCACGACCATGAGCTAGACCATCACTTGCCAAGGCCAAAGCATGTCTAGATGATAGCTTTTCATGATCAGAAGGTCGTGTCTATTGCTATCTTACACTTAGCGACCCAATATGCCCGATCCATAAATATTCTATACAGCGAAAATACAGCCTGAACGCCTGTTGAGTAGATGGTGCAGAGATTCATGGTGAATATGGTTGTACAAGGACTCTGCCTCGTGTGTCCTCTTGAGATGCTAAAGGCTTTATACTTCGTTCTCCTCAGTCCCGGCGGATTTCGTTATCGGCTGTGGTATCATGTGTTGTACAATGCATGGTTATGCTCTCCCGGTATCGAGTCTAAGAAAAGGTTTCTGGCCGAGACGCAACTCGAGATGTTTATGTGGCTCATGGCATTCATGCGCAGCCTTTCGAGTTGGCAAGCGTTTGGTCGATGGGAGTCGAATAGTTCAGCCGCAGCCGGGTGTCCATAAAAAGTCGTGCGGCCTGTGCCTAGGTCGATTCCGATCACCTCTTTCTCCTTTCCTTTGCTGCTCGTTGGCGTTTCCCACTTGCGAATAGAGATGGGCTCTCTATACGCCAAAACCCAGCCCCTCACGTTTGTCGCAGCCGTCTCTAGCCGGCTCGGCAGCAGGCCCGCTCCGTTGTGGGTGCTGTTCTTTTCTTGGTGTTTGCGACAAACCGCGCTCTCTCTTCTGTCTACACGTCCTCCTTTGGCGGACTCCGCATATACGCATCGATGGCCGTGCTGAAGGCCGCGAAGGCAGCGCACCCGCCGGCCACGGCCGTGGGGCCGCCGCCCCTCGCGAGCACGCCGCCCGTCAGGCAACCCGCGGCGACGCTGTTGGTGAGGTCGTTTTTCGCGCGGAACCCCTCCACGCCGCACTCGATGCCCGAGTACAGGGCGCCGACTTTGCCAAAGTTGCGCGCCGACGACCACGCGCGGTTGCCCATGTCCTTGAAGCCGATCTTGATCTGCTGCCGCATGGGCAGCTCGGTGTATGGCTTGGCGGCGCCGCCGGGGCCCCCGGTGCCGGATGTGGCGCCCGCCGCGCCGTGGAAGGGGGTATCGTAGGACATCTAAAGTCGGGAACGGAACGGATAGTGAGATATGGTTAGTCTTTGTAAGAAAGAGGAATGAAGAGGAAAAGGGCCAGAGAGGGTGACGATGAGACTCACCGAAGCCATGAACAGACCAAACAGCCCACCCATGCCGAAACCCATGACTCCCGAGATGGCCGACTTGCCAAAACATGACTCCATCATGGCTTGCATCTGTTTGTTTTGCGAATACACACGCCCACACGTTAGTCCCTAACGACTGGACACACACGCACACACACACACACACACACACACATAGCGCAATGTCCAACACCTTGACACCGGGAGAAGAGGGGGGGGGCGTACAGCTTTGACATTGGGATCGTTGGGATCGTGTCCCGCGCCCGTCACGCCCGCCGCGGCATTGGCGCCGAGATCTCCGAGGCCGCTCATCTTTTTGGATTTATTCCGCCGCTTGTCGCTGTCCGGGGTTTCTTCTGATGTGATCCTCGTTCGTCGTCGTCGTCGTCGTCGTTGTCCGTCCCGCTTGTTTCAGACCGTGTGTCCTCCAAGTGGCTCAGTTGACGCGCGGCGCTTAATCGTGGTTATGCTGTAGAGCGGTACCGAAACGAGTCTCCGTGTCTCGGAGCAGGTCGTGGTCGTGATGTTCGTGAGTCTTTGTAGGTCTCGCGCCGGGTGATGGGAGGTCAACGCCGGGTGGGTTTTCGGCCTGAGGCGGGGCTGCGGCTCCCGTCTTTGATGCTGCTGCTAGGGGGCCGTGTAACTGCACGTCGTCTGAGGTCTCCCGGACTTGCCCAGATGTCCTTCGGGTTGCGCTTGTGCAAAGTTCTTTGTTGCAAAACAGGGCAAAGCGTCGGTCGGCAAGCTCTGAAGAAGTGCGACGCTCGACTTGCCAGGCCAGGCACGTGGGAAAATGTCGAGGGTCCTGCACAGTGGAGGCGGAAACTGCCGGGCTAGTCGCTGTGCAAGGCAAGCGACCGGGGTCGGTGGTGTCAAATCGCCGGAGCATTTTGTTTCTCGCCCGTCTTCACCGCCTGCCCACCACGACCACAGCAGAATCGTGACGCAACAGCTCAAGGAACCTCATACACGTTGACATCGACAAAGTTGGCCCAGTTCAGTGGTACAAAGCCTCGTTGTTCTTGGCATGCTCTATCAATGCATGGTAACTATGCTCAATGATCATACCGTGACAGCGCCAGAGCCAACTATATACGGCAGCGTGGACCGGCTACGTACATCATATGCCAGCCAAGGCCATGTCCGTGCCACGAATCTTTCAGCCTCACGATCTTATCGAACAATGCTTCCCGTCGAGTCTTGTGTATTCGCACTACCTCGCCTGCTCGTATACTTACTTCAGGAACATCTCTGTGCCATTGCGTGCTGATCTTGTACGGTCCGTGTGGTCCAGGCCAAGCACGGCATCTTCCTCAATGTTCCCAGACTCCTCAAGCAGTACGTCCTCGTCGGACAGGTACGCGGGCTTATTGTATCTGCGGAGAACCGCAAACTTGATCTTCTCAAAGGCCTTGCCCTTGATGCCCGTCCGCTTCTCAAGTCGTTTCTTCGTTTCTGAAAAGGGTTCGCCCTATAGCCGTGTTAGCCACGTTTGACTGGGGGCTGAAACGTTGCGAGACTCTTTGGACTTACTGGATGTAGGAGGAATTTGAAAGGCATCCCATGTGTCCGGGTCTGCTCTTTGTCGAAATGTTGCACCTTGATGAAATGCCTCTCCTCTGCCTCGAGCTCGTCTTCAGGGATGCGTTCCGCAATCACGTCGGTGTACTCATTAAGACTGATGACCGGATATGTCGGTGTCAGCTCCCGGAAGAATTTGTGGTGATGAATCTCATAGACTCGAATCTGGCCACCTTCCTCCTCATCTTGGATCTGCGCCTTCTTGGTGAATGCCTGGACGAGATCTTCGATATGGCCCTGCTTGTTGACAAGGACGTCAAAGGTCTCCTATTGATAATGGTGAGCATACGGATCAATGCAAAGCGCGCAGACCGGGGGAGCAAACTTACCTCCTTGGTGATGCCCTCGCTCAGCCAGGTCACCTTGACATTCTTCTTGGTGTCCAACTCAGCCAGGCTCATGTCCAGGACCTCGAAGAATAGCGAGTCGGCTCGAGTCTGCATGTTCTGATGGGCGTAGCTGTTTGTGCTCAGCATCATCCCAAGATTCGAGCTGGGACCACGCCGGATAGGTGTTTTGGGAGCGCCAGTGGCAGCATTCACGGTGAAGAGACGAAGATGCGTTGGCTCTACTCCCACCTGTTCGGCAATGCGTTCCGTTATCTGATCGTAGGTCGTCTTGACACTAAGGGTGAGCACAAAGCTGGTGAGCTCGGTGTTCTCACACCGCGGGTGAGGCAGAAACTGGACATCTCGCTTGTAGCAAAGAAAGTCGTAGAAGTCCCGCGCGTCGTCGAAGCGGTCCCACCTCCGCGGCGCATCTTCAGTGGTCTTGTCGCCTAGCCGAGACTTCTTTGCCACGCTCTCCCCTGAAGGCTTCTTCTCCGGTGCCTTCTGGAAACATATGATGTCGCCGTCCTGGAGCTCAGCAGCCTTTAGAGATTGCTTGGGCTTGAGGCCTTCAATCATGGTTGGCTTGATCTCCTCCCAGAGATGCAGCTGCTCGCCAGAAGGAACCTTGTCACCCCAGCCCATCTTCTTCGCGATGACCGGGGTCAGTTCTTCAACCTTCTTCTCGCGGCTCGCGTAGACGTGACCAACACCACGCAAGGTTTGCGCCTCCTGATCAAAGTACTTCAGGAACAGAAGTATCAGGTCATTTTTCACGACGACCCCATTCGCATTGCTTTGGTACGTTGGCCAGACGGCATTGCCCTGGGCGTCGACTTCCTCCGCGACCTCTGTCCATACTCGCAACGAATAATCTCTGCTAGAGTTTGCTGACCGCGCGTAGGTTTCTTCAATAGTCGGCCTCGTGTCCATGATCGGCTGGTCCGGTCTCGTGGTTTTGTTTTGGCGGTTCACCATGAGCCACAGCCGAATCCGCTTGGGATCTTGGCCGATATCCTGCGCAATGGTCTCCACGAGCTCTGCAACTGTGGCCTGCCTCTTCATACGGTACAGTCTTGGCGCAGCGGAGTCTTCCGTAGGACTGGCGTCGAAGTTTGTCAGATCGGTACCGGGGTGCTGCTTGAAAGTCTCTTCGGTGATGACCTTCACTGGCAAGTAAAGATGCTGTTCATCACGTTCCCGCTTCTTGATCTCACGCTGCAAGGCCTCTTGCTCCAGTTTCGTCTCTGCTTCGGCGTTAGCTTGCTGTGCTGCAAAGGTGTTTGGGGAGGAGGGAAAATTCAGTCTTACGCAGGTGGTGAGGACAATCGTCCTTTTCGACAGGTGTAAGAATATTGTCGAGCCGAGATTCACGAATGTACACTAACATGTAGGCATTCATTGTGCGCATAAAGGGACCCTTCTTTTGTGCGCCAGCGCGTGCCTGTGGCGATTGCGGATATTCTCCGCCGAATGCCTCCTCAAACACTTCTCTCATGGTTGCTTTGGTGACCTTGTCGTCGTCGAACCTGTGGAACCAGCCATCTTTGTTCGGCTTCAAAAACGCGTAATAGTGGCCTGCATCAAGACCTCCACTGTGAATGAGGACGCCATGGAGCTTGTACACCCAAGGCTCTGACTTGTCGGCGCCCTTCTCCAGGTATGGTTCCACATCAAGCGTCTCGGGAAACTCAAAACGGTCGTTGATCTTCATCATGGCGTCGCGCTGAATGTCGTATTCGAATCTCTTCAAGTGAAGGTGCAAGACGTCGGGGAAGCTGGTGAATATGACACCCTTGCGGGCGTCTTGATACTTGTGCTCATCGCCAGCCCAGTATTTGTTGTCGCCCTCCAGTGTCTCTTGCTGGATGTAGTCTTGGAAACTTTCCTGCAAGTTGGGGATGCCACGGACGTTCAGCTGGATATCCCAGAAATCCTCCAGGCGGCTGGATTCGTAGTCAACGTTGATGCACGAGATATAAGTCTTGTTCTTGCCGCTCAGCATTTTGGGCAGAGTATCTTCGGCAGCCGTGCCTTTCATCCTCTCCTCCATCCGCTCGATCAGCTTTCTCGAGAGCTCTTGTACGTCCTGTTGCTCAAAGACATGACGGGCATCCCACCCAAAAGACTTTGTGAGCTCGTTGGTGCCGACCGCAGAGTCTGATATCTGCAGCTGGTAAAACAACCTCTGCAAGGCGTAGGCACTGTTTGAACTGCTTTCATCATCGGCCGTTGGGATTTGATACACAGCCTGTTGAACAAGGTCAGTCAATGCGTCATGTGCAAGCTAAGATGCTCCTATCGCCAATATACCTTTCTGAAAGCATTTGTGAAGTATAATGACTGAAGCAAGGAGTTGAGGTAGCACGTAGCGCCCTGGTTCTTGAGACCGACGTAGCCCGTCTCCTTCTTCGAATCGTAGTTCGTCATGTTATGCCACAGGACACCGGTTTCATCTTCGACAACCCGGACGTACGCAGTGATGTTCACGGAGTCGTTTTCGACCAAGGGCCGCCCGGAGCCTTCCCACGGTGTTTGGAACATCCGCCGCAGCTCGAGATACCTGGTAAAGCCCCAGTCGGCTTCATCCCTGGTGAAGCGGTGGTGTGCGGTGTGCTGGTGTGAGTAGAGAGAAGGATCGTTGACGTTCCACATCACAAGTGTGAACTGGACGCAGCAACTCCAATCATTCGGGATCTGGGAGACATCAGGGAAACCATGCTCGAGATAGACAGAAGCTTGGTCCACACTGTTGCCGAACGGAAAGAGGAGAATCCGCCTGAAGAGCCTCAATGTCAGTCATGCCTAGTCTTGGTTTTGGTTCGACCTTTTCGTGGATTCACTGACCAAGGGAAACCACCGGCCTCAAAGATGGGCCCATGTTCTTTCTTATTCAATTGCCTCCAATTCTCGACTTTCCACGTGTGTACGACTGTCTCTTTGATCGGCGGTTCTTCGGCTAGTGGAGGGAGAACAAGCTCCTTCATGGCCTCATCTGGGGTTGAGAGAACGTTAATCCCCCTGTGTTTTCATTCTCGCATATGGCTGTGTACGTACAATCGTTCGCAAGTGTCACATTTTCCACCGCCAATGTGGCATCGCTGTCGAGGTTATCGGCTTCGATGTTGACCACCTGAGCGGCGTCGGACGGAGCAAGGAAGTCGTCTGGCTGCGAATCGATGGCCATTTCATTTGGCGAGTGAAGCTCTGAATCGTAGCTCTATCGGTGGCATATGCCTTGGTTAGCTTTTGGGGCACTGAAAGAGAGTGCCTGTTAAAGGCCGTTTTGGTGATTTGGTTCAATGCGCTTCCCGACGCTTCTGGCAAAATTGTAGGTGGTGTGTCGGCTTGCCAGGGCGGCGCCACGAGTCGGGGTTGGGCAGTCCCAGGTGCTTGGGTGCACGGGCAGGACCAAGGATATCAAAGGGTCGAGCGATTGGGGGAAGGCGCGTACCATGATTGCAACGGGGCGGCGTCGACCGCGCGTTGTCGCCTAGGAGCAGGCTGGGACACGATCGAGGACCGAGGCGCACGATGCAGGCGCAGAATGGTGAATGCGGCTATGTCGGCGGCGGGGTTTTGTGTGGAAGCCGGGTTGGAGATGCTGGCGTGGCCGGGAGGCACGAGCGAGGATGATGACGGAGGGGGAGCAGCTGAGCCAGTGACGGGAGCTAGCAGTCGGGGTCGGCAGCGCAGGCCAAGCTCTGCTGCCTCACTGGCGGATCCTGGGGGCTCGTAATGGCGGCGTATAGTGCAGCTTGGTCCGGGACCTTGGAGCGCTGCAGTCCGTATCTGTTGGGGTTGCGTGTAGAAGTGCTGGGCCAGGAGCGAGACAAGATCCTGACGTTGTCGAAAAGCTGCTTCGGCTGGAGAGGCAGGTGGTCACGACGGGCCAAGGCAACAATACTGGATGGGCCTGACTGCGGAGCTTGTGCTGCGAAAAGCTGGGAACGCGCGGTGGGCTGCTTGGGTGGAGCATGGACTTGATGCGCAGGTCTCAGACGGGCGGCGAGGCTCAGCCTGGCTGGCTGGCTGGCTGACTGGTGGCGGACCACGTACGCTACGCCTCCTCCTCCTCAAAGGCACTGACGCAGCATGAACGACATGGAACCGGCGCCCTCTCCTTGCCGATCTCAATTGCGGGCTGGTTGCCCACCCTGCAAATGGTCGCTGGCCTCACGCATGTATGTACTTATAGGTATCTAGTGGTCTCTTGGGAACGCAGACTTCTGTCTGTATTGGACGAGGGATGGAGCACGTCAAGACACAACTTCCACGGTCCTTGAGTAAGAGAAGCCTTGACGTGTATACAGTCGCCTCCGCAGACTCTGAGTTGTGGCCATGATGCAATGTCGGAGTGAGGCGATTGGTGACTCTGGCAGCCCGGCAAGTCAACCTACCCCGCCAACCCATGACGTGAGCCCCACCTGGCTCTTTCCCCAATCCTCAAGTTCATGATCGGCTTCACCAACATCCTCATCAGGGTACAATGTGCGACACTGGACAACAAGCATCCATGGATTATTTTTGGCACAATCGTGCTTCATCCCGTAATGGGTGCGTGTTGCTGTGCATGGAAATCCTCCACATGCATATTCGCACAACAGCAACCCTCTGCCGCACATCTGTACGACCCCAAATGGAGTACTGGCAATAACCCATGCCCCTGGCGTTCCCATTCGACATTGGACGTTCGGCAATAGACCCCAAGGGGAGCGGAGCCAATTGAAGCTCAGCCTCGCTACATTTCTTGAACAGAAACAATCAATAAAGGAGTGCTCCATGCGCATCAACAACGTTCGGATACAGCCATGACTACGAGCATGTCTGTAGAGCAGTGGACTGGTCTTTTGGTATTGATGAAGGGGGTTCGATTGATACTCCGGAGTCCAGACAGCTGCTTTAAATTCAATAAGCAAAACTCATCATCGCCGAGTCAGGCACGTTAGAGATACCCACAGCTGGCGACATTTGGACGCCCAACTGGCCACTGGATGTCGAGGGATACGCCGCTAGATCCAGCAATGAGTGAGTCTGAAGTGCGTATCAAGGTGGAAACTCCCTTTTCGCAGTGATGTGACATCATGGAAAACGATATTGCCGGCAAGGGGTATATATGCGAAAGGTCAGGCGGAGAAGATTGGGATGAGTTTTGCCGTGCCTGGACCCGTTGCGAATCTTGTCAAACTGACCGGGGCCATGACTGCAGCCTTCCGTGCCGAGGAGTGCTTAGCCGAGAGACCCATACTGAATGGAACAACAGGCTTCAAACCAATATTATAGATCAACCCTGAAAAGTGAACTACAGGAGAAGCCAAGACGCTCGTAGAGACGGGCAGCCATTTCGAGCCTCAACGTGGGCGGCTGATGCAGTTCCGCCGGTCCGAAAAGGAGCACAAAGAAGCACGTCTGAAAACTCCCGAGCCGGGGGTTTCCGCAGGCCAATGTTGCAAGCAGCAGGGATCAGCCCATTTGGTTGCAAGCAGGGAGGAATGTGATCAAATTTTCAAGGCTTGGCGGCATGGATGATTTCGGGCAGGAGGCCGCTGATGGATAAGATAAAATCCAGGATCTTATCAGATCCTCGAGGTGCAGAGACCCCAGACCCCTGACATCCCCACCATCGGGTCCCGCCTCGACCACAGACAAAGCAGCCACCAGCCGCTCTGTGTTGCCGCTAGCGCTAGACTGCATCTCGACGTCACTTGCAATGGCCCGGCACTTGCATCAGGGCCCCGTCCTTGCCCCTCTGCCCAGGCTTCGTGGATGGGGTCCAGGATGGAGCGTGTCAGTCTCATGGCCACACAGGACCAGCTGTCCATCTCCGAGACCGCACGATCGGCTCTTCTCTCGGGCATGTCAACCTCGAGTCAGCCCGCAAATGGCCGCATCCTTCTTGGCGCTTGGTCTGCCAGTAGTTCTACCTTGGGGTTATATAATGCCCTCGTCCCACCCGGAGACCCAGATCAGTTGGAGGTCCCTTGACTGACGTAAATCATCCATACGCCCATTCCCCAGTCTCAATTACTTCAGGCACACTATCGCGAGGTGTAACGCAAGTCTCATCCAGTCATCCGGTCCACAGCAGTCATCATGGGGGACGCAATAGAGAGCCAGCCTACGCTCAACGATCTTGCCGCCAAGATCAGCGAGCTGTCACAGACTTTTACAAAGTTCATGGACAAGAACAAGATCGCAGCGCCCACATTTGCTGCTGATAGCCCAACAAGCTACACTGGGCTAGATGCCGAGGCTTTTGTCCTCAAGGGCCAGCTCCTCGATGCTCTGTCGGATATGTGGATCCTCGCCCAGGGTCCCAGCGAGAGCATCTTCAATTACTGCCACAGCGTAAGGCTCCTCCTCCGAGTGCCAAGAAGGGAGGCCTAATGGGGAGTCTCATCGACTGACCATGCATGGAAATACTCACAGGCCATGCCTGACGCAAGCTGTCTGAGCGTTCTTAACCATTTTGACTTCTGGGCCGCAGTGCCAGTGGACCGGTCTGCCTCATACTCAGAGATATCCAAGAAGGTTGAGCTGCCAGAGGATGTGGTCCGCAGAGTGATTGAGCACGCCACAACACTACGCATCTTCGCTGAGACCGTTCCGGGCTCCCCCACCACACGAATCGTCCATACGTCGCGGTCCGCGGCACTAGCAAAGTCCCCCGGTCTCAAGGCTCTTGTGTCTACACTCCTCGACGATGCCGGTGCCCCTTCCATGGTGCTCAGCCAAGCGCTGGAGAAGTACACCAAGGGTAGACCGCAGCTGACAGAGAAGATGAGCGAGACATCCTTCGCCATGCTTCACAAAGGCGAATACGCCAACTCGTGGGACTACATTGAAAACGATGGTGAGGGAGAGCAGAAAGGATGGCGGCAGCGGAACTTTGTCACGTTCATGAGCTACCTCAAGGACATGTTTCACTTGGAGAATCTCGTGGCGGATTCTGTGGACTGGACATCCTTTGGAGAGGCTCATGTGGTTGATGTAAGTCGTGTGCCATTCTTGCAAAACATCCACGAGAACAGACGCTAATCAGCACATCTCATCCCAGATCGGAGGCTCAGCTGGTCACGACTCCTTTGTTCTGGCGCGCAAATTCCCCCAGCTCAGCTTCACAGTTCAGGACCTGCCTCAGGTAGCTCCCGTCTTTGACAAGATGCTCCCTGAAGATCTCAAGTCGCGTGTCTCGTTCTCCAAGCACGACATGTTCCAGCCGCAGCCGGTGCACGGCGCCGACATTTACATGCTCAAGCTCATCATGCACGACTACCCTGACTCGGAGGCCATCAAGATTATCCGCAGCCAGATCCCCGCGATGAAGCGCGGCAGCAAGCTGCTTATCATCGAGTATATCAAAGTCGAGGCGAGCGAGGACGCCGAGGGCAAGACTGCCAGCTCATCAGAGGCCAGTAAGCCGGCCGAGGCTGTCCCGCGCACGATCAAGAACTATGGCACTGCGACGGATCTGCGGATGATGACGCTGTTCAATGCCAAGGAGAGGGTGCCTGCGGAGTATCCCAAGCTCGTGAAGGCTGCGGACGAGCGCTTCGAGGTAACCAAGGTGATAGCCAACCCGATGACCTTTTTCGTGGTGGTAGAGGCCGAGTGGAGAGGTTAGAGTCTCATCTCTGCAACTTCACAACTGTGGAGGCCGCACGAGCGTATAGATTAAACGGGGGAAAATGCGCTACGTGGTGTGGTTCATAGCCATGAGAGGATTTCCACTTCACGCGTGAAGTTTCGATAACGTAGTAGCATAATACACCTGCGACCTAAGAAGGAACTGTTCATTGTGTTGAACGACAGAACAGGGTCTCCGACACGTGCTGATGCGAAGGGCTCAGGCCACCCCCTACCCCTGTCACACAGACCCAGCCTTTAAGCACGCACACATACGGGCAAGAGCGGCAGCAAAGGTGCTGGATTGGACTCCTTTGAGGTAGCACGCCAGCCTGCATAGAGGAGATCTGCTGATCATGCTGGCAAGCGTGTGAGATCCCCCCCGCCTCAAGAAAACTCGCCGAGTCGAAGGGCGTGTCACCCTCCTTTTCCCCTGCCTGGTGTGTTGACAGCCCGTCCAATTGACATCAGCCTAATGTTGCAAGCACCGGCTTGGGGTTACCTGGGGAAGCTTGTGATGCCGTGTCACCCTCCAGCGGCACGACCCCTCAGGACGCAGTGGGAAAAGCCCCAGGTCTGGAGCCCTGGACCAAGATGCAATGAGATACTAGAGCGGCAAGCCGAGCCGGCACTGGCGATGCAGCGTCTCCGCAGCAGCCTGCTTGAAGCCTGCAGGACGATGTCCAGAACAGTCATCACATGCGAGCAGGCAATTGCAGCCTCGAGTGAGGAACTGAACACACCCTGACGTGGCCAGTCACCCGATCAGCTGTGTGTCGATTGCCTGCGCTTCGGAGCAATGAGAAGCCACTGCGGGTTCGAGCACAAGCAGTGTCTCTTCATATATCTGCAGGCTCTCCGCGTTTCTAACACTGCACAACGGCCGTCTGTAGGTTGGTCGCGTTGCAACTTTGTAAGTCCCAGCTGGGCGTCTAAGGGTGGCTTCCCCTTCCGCGTCCCCGGCCTCGGAGCTCTCCACGCCCTGCGTCACTGGTGACTACATTATCGATAGCCTGCCCGCACCCTGTTCGCGTCCAAGCTGCCCCCCAGTAGCTCCCTCGACAGCTCCGATCTCAGGTGGAATGGGCCAGCCTTTTTGAGAAGCTCAAGCTTTAAGCTCTTTTACCCACCCTCCCCGACGAGAGTCGCGTTCCCTAGCTTCAGCTTCAGCTTCGAGTGAATACCTCGCATTTCCTGGCCCGTCGATACGCAAATCTGCAGCGCGAGGAGGAGAGAACAGCGAGACGGAGACGGCAACGGCCAGCACGAGCACCGTCCACACACCTGTACAGGACCCTTGCTGATGGACTTGTCGGCATGTCGTCAGCCCTCGTGACACGCAATGTCACCAAGACAACCTCCCAGCTGAGGTTTGCAGCTGCTCCCGCCATCATAGCAGGCAGGTCCATCTGTTCTGCTGCATCGCCTGCCGTAACCACATCCAAGGGTTTAAATAAATCCTCACCCAGAGCAGTCGGCGCTGCGCAGCAGGGACACTCCAGTGGTCTACAGGTCTCCAGCAGGCGTTGGTCCCAGGGGCCCGCGACCCAATGGCGTCCCGTCCAGGTGCTTGACGAGTAAGTTTTCTTGGGCGTCATGGGCCCGAGAACATGGCTGCCGCAGGTTCTGTCGTTGCGACCACCGCGGCTACTCTTCCTGAGCACATCACTGACATGGTGTTCCTTTCACTTATAGGTGGGTGGCCAAGGAGGCACGGCCGATTAGTCTACGGCAACTGATGGTCTTTGGCCGCTCCTTGACCGAGTCTCGCCTGCTCAGCTCCGCCAACTACGTCCGGACAGAGCTGCCGACGCGGTAAGCTACATTCGCCCAGGAATTCTGTTTTCCTTGGAAGGACTAAAGGGATGGCCCAAGGCCTTGGTGGGCTAACCAATTGCCTCGTTCAACCAGTATCGCACATCGCCTCCGAGATATGCAGCGCTTGCCATATGTCGTCGTCACCAACCCGCACGTGAGCGATGTGTACGAGCTTTACTACTCGGCCTTTGACACCCTGCGGCGGACGCGGGAGATCAAGACGCTCGAGGACAATGAGAAGTTCTGCGAGCAGCTCGGCCAGCTGCTGCGGGGCCACCTGAGCGTCATACCAAAGCTTACGATGGGCATGCTGGAGTGCAGTGGGCTCATGCCGGCTGACGAGCTCGACAAGTTCATGAACACGATTCTGCGATCGGTGAGTGCTCGAGAATAGTGTGTTTGGAGCCCCGTAGGTACTGGGGCCAGTGCCAGAGGACAAGACTAAACGGTTCCTTCTGTGCAGAGGATATCCCGACGGGTCATCGCAGAGCAGCACCTATCCCTCACGGAGACGTTTAACTCGGACTGGTACTCTCCTGGCTCGACGGTGGCAGAGGCGGACTACATCGGCGAGATCTTCCTCAAGTGCGTGGCCAAAGACGTCGTTGAGGGCTGCGGCAAGGCAGTCCAGGAACTAGCACGATCTGCGAACGGACCCGACGTACAGATCCCCGAGATCAAGGTCGACGGCCACCTCGACGCCACCTTTCCGTATATCCTGAGCCACCTTCAGTACATCATTGGCGAGCTGCTGCGCAATTCCGTGCAGGCCGTCATCGAGAACCACGCGAGCAAGAGCAAGGACCCATCTTCAAAGCCGCCCCCTATCGAAGTCACGCTCTGCGAAGCCCAGCAGCACGTAATCATCCGGATCTCCGACCAAGGCGGCGGCATCCCGCGAGATATCCTGCCCTATCTGTGGTCCTTTGGCAAGGGCCCCAGAAAGAGCCAGCGCCTAGAGCACCTCACGCAGGTGCCTCTGCTCGCGACAACCCTGCAGGAGCTGCGCGTGGACGGCAACTTCAGCGGCCTGCAGGACGGCGAAGGGCAGACGAACAACTCGCTCGCCTCGCTGTCCACGCGCTCGCCGAACCTGCGCCTGGGCATGGGCCTGCCGCTGAGCCGCGTGTACGCCGAGTACTGGGCCGGCGGGCTCGAGCTGCACAGCCTCGAAGGGTATGGCGTCGACGCGTTCCTGCAGATTTCGAAGCTCGGGAACAAGAACGAGCAGCTGGCCACGAGAGCTTCCATGGACGCTATATGAAAACAAGAACGCTAACCCCGAACCATTGTATACTGTTGCACAACGACACCATTGCTTCTACCTATTAGTACTTCGAAACAGCTACGCTTGAACCAAGCCTGGGCGGCTGGCGCTACAACCCGAGTTTGTAGCTAAGTTCGAAATTGCATAGCGAGAACCACCACTCGGTCTCAGCTTTCAACCCCCACTTGCAACCTCGGTCCAATTCAACGCTGTCAGCAGCGAAGCGACATAGATGAAATGATCACCCACTCCTGATACCCGACACACACAACTCTAGCACCTGCCTGCCTGCCGACCTGCTTACCCGAGCCAAACCTGGATCTCTGCTAAAGATATGCTCGGTCTCCAAGCAAAAGCATTCACAATGTACGATTGCTCCCAGACTGGCCATATTCTCTACCCACCTAGGCCAGGCAGGCGAAGCCGCTCAAAGCACTCGGGGAATGTCGGTCTCCATCAAGCTCCTACTTTAACGGCCCCCCGCTGCTTGGGCTTTTTGTGCACCTTGGAGGGGGGAAAAGGGGGCAGCCGTGTGTGTCTAAACTGGAGAAACCCTGCGTCCCGGGGCCACGATGCGACTTGCAACACACAAAGTTAACACTGATGGCGGCGAAATATGGCAGGCCCGCCCTCCACAAGAGGGGAGAGAGTGATTGGGTGGGCGGGGGGGGGGGGGGAGGAGGATAAGATTTCCCTGCGTCGATTAACGGCCAGGTCTACGAGAAGCGAGAGAGAGGAGGGATGAAAACACTCGTTGCGTGGGGATGTTGCCCTTGTCCATGTTGAGCTTCAGACGACCTTCGCTCGCTGTCAATGGATCGCAGCGACGACGCGCGCCAAAGATATATGCGGCTCCAAGCCAAGGACAGGAATGAGCATCATTAATTTTGTTCATGGGACGTTGTCGCGACTGTCTATCACCCGTTGTGCTTGGTGGGGACAGACAGTTTTTGGGCCACGGACAGCTGAGACGAGGATACAAACTGGCGTCATCACTGGGAAACATTCTCGGCGGGAAAGCTGTGAACTAGAGTAAAGGTTTAACTGGTATCATAAGAAAGCTTTGGATTACACCATGAACTAATAAACCTGACTGCTTCTTCGCGGGGCAATTGCAGGGAGACGAGGCCATCTCCCCTCCACGGGCATTCCCCGTTTGCCGGCTAAAATATAAAGGACAATAATCGCAGATTGTGGCTTTTTCATCCCTCCCACGGGCAGCAACCTCGAAAAAATGAAGAGTGGTCGTGCCTCCGTCTAGAACGTCTCCAGCGAGCAGTTCGCATGATTAGCTCTCTCAAGCATATATATCGCCGCAAGAGGAATGATAGATTTCCGAATCTCGTGCAAGACCAGTTGGCATAGGCAGCGCAGTCGCCACATTGTCGCCAAGTTTTCCCACGCAGGCTCCTGCTCAGACTCCCGTCCAACTCGGCTGAGTTTAGCGGCGACCGCTGCGCGCGACGCTGCCCTGCATCTGCTCGAGCTCGGTCTCGAGCTGCTTGATCTGGGCGTGTGTCTGCTCGAGGTCCTTGTTGAGACGATCGCGCTCGGCAATGAGCTTCTGCTCCCATTGCCGGAAGCGCTGCTCCTCGATCTTGACCTGCTCAGTGAACCGCTTGCGGAGCGCCTCCTCCTCCTCCTTGTACTTGGGGTTGTCGAGCTTGCGGGGACGAGCCTCGCCAAACTTGCGAGTCTCCATTTGCTGCGCACGGTACGCCTCGTAGTGGAGCTCCTCAGTGGTGTGGATGAGATCCAGCATGTGTGTGCGGATCAGAATCGAGCGAAGCTTCTTGAAGTCGCAGTGGTCCTCGTTCTCGACCTCGGCAACACCCCACGAGTACTGGCGACCCTTGACGATGCGGCCATCGCTGGTCTTGACGTCCTTCTCGGAGCCAATGACAGCGAAGGGCACGGCGGCCATCAGGCTGCGGGCATGCTGAGCAGCCGCCTCATCATCCTCCTCAATCGGGGGCTGGTAGATCTTGATGCTCTGAGCCTCGACAACGGCGCGGATCTGATGACAGGGGCAGTTAGCTTCATGCGGATCTGCATGAGTGATTGTAACTTGGGCGGACGTACCTTAGCCTTGAACTTGGCGAGGTCGACGGGGCTGAGAGTATCAGCCTTGGCGATGACGGGAATCAGGTTGACTCTGGAGCACAGTCTCTTCATGACCTCAATATCCAACGGCTTCAGGGTGTGGCCAGTGGGACGGATGAAGTACAAGCAAGCGTGGACGCGGAGGTCAATCTTGTCCTGGCGGCGGGGCTGTTGCTCCTGGAGCATGTAAGACTCGTGCTGGTCGTCGAGGAACTCGATAATGGGCATCCAGGAGTCGCGGTTGTTGACGTAGTCGCCGAAACCAGGGGTGTCGATGACAGTGAGGCGGACTGGATGATGGGTCAGTAAAGTGGACAGGCTGTTGCATTCGTAGGAAACCAGCTGGTTGCCTCGAGGCAGAACTTACCCTTGAAGAACTTCTCCTCGAGCTCGGCCTTTGTGATCTCGATCTCTACGGTCTTGTCGACCTGCTTCTGGTGGCGCCTCTTGTGGTCGGCATAGTTCTTGATGGTGGTCGAGAAGAGGGTGTTGATGAATGTTGTCTTTCCAAGGCCTGATTCACCCGCGACCTGATCCGTGCAAAGAAGTCCATGTCAGCGCTCGTTCGGCTCAATAGGAGCAGGGTAGGAACCGAATATGTTGACGCACCATGATCGTGAAGGCAGCACCACGCTTGGCAACAATCTTGTGCCGCTGGTTGGGCCTGGTGTAATCCCCTTGTCAGTATAACCATGCTACTACGAGCTTCTGCGTGGTAGGCGCGAGAATGATCACTGTCCATTGCAGCGCGACAGCGGACGCGGCCACCAGGGGCGAGGTTGAGCAAGCGCGACGAGGGAGGGGGCGGCTCGATGGCGGATCAAGGATTTGAGGAGCGGACTGACAGGTTGGCAATGCCAATGGGAGAAGCGGTCTCGGCCATTGTGACGACGGGTTTGTGGTTTGCGTCGGCTTGGTGAAGTGGTGTTGTTGGGGTGGATGGGTGATCAGGAGACGAACAGATGGACGACAGGTAGCTGGAGGTGGATGGGACGCAGTGGTTTAGCGGCAAGGGGACACACAGGCACAGGATGCGGAGAGTCGGCGGTCAACGAAGGGCGGGCAGGGACGAGCCAGGGCAGGACAGGGAGGCTCCTACTGGCAGATGGGCAGAGCGGCCGGGGGTCAAGTCACTATCTGCAGCAGGACGGACGACGGGAAGAAACCCAGTGAAGCACAACCACCGGGGGACACCCTCATGACAACAGACAGCGCCTGCACTCAGTCTTGCTACGGGAAGGCCATTGCCATTGCCTGACACTCGACGCCAGGTTTGTCGAGAGACACGCCAGCGAGGATGGAGCTTGCGCGGTGCTGGCTGGGAATCGAGGGCGGCGCCCGCTCTGGCTTGGGTACTTCTGGCTGGCTTGCGTGCCTGAAGGTGGAGGAGGTGACGGCCTTTAGCACCACAAGCTCACTCAGGGGCCTGCGCGGCCCGGGGCCCTCTGATTGGCCAGCCGCAGCTCTCTGCCCAAGCTCTCCCGCCTGCAGACAATGGAGTGTTTAATTTTGCGGCCCATGCCAGGGGAGCCAAAGGGACCACCTCCTCGTGTGGTGTTTTCCCACTGCCGGTCCCAATCAACCCGCCTTCTCCTATTCTCTGCTCGGGGCCAATCCAACCGGGGGGGCCAGAGTGCTCCCTCTCATTCCCCATGGACCCTGCACACCATCTCAACCTCATCAGTACACCAAGTACGTACATGGCTGCTTCCTGTCTGTTTCACGGTCGCCAGTGTTTTGTTTGACACAGCCGTAAACATTTAATTACCCGATGGTTCTCTGATTATCCCCGCAGCCGTGACACTGCTCGCGCAGCTCCAGGTTGCACCTACAACGTGTACCTAGGTAGTGCCTGATGGCCTAACCTGTGGTCTGCCATCTTGCGGCGCCATGGTCAACTGCTCATGTATCGGTGGATGATGACTGTCCCAGATTGTTGTGTCAAAACTCGAGGTCATGGACTGCTAGCTTTCTCACCCGCGAGCGAAACACGTCAAACAAGGGAGTCACGATATCAACACAAGTAGCACTTGAGAACCGTCTTGGCCCATATCAAATCCCGTCCTTGTCGCTGCGTCCCAGCTTCGGGAACTAGTTTCACAGGCGGGATACGTAGTCCATCCAGCTTTTAGTGGAGGGCCTCTTGCTGAAAGCTCGCCTGCTCGCCGTGGGGGGAGAGGCTAGACTGGCTGGGCAAGCCGGCCCGCTCTTATCAGCGATAAGACCCGCGAAAAAAAGTTTGGGCGCCGGGCAGCGTTGCAAGCTGCGTCGGCCAGTGAACTTGCGATCGCCGACCCATGCCTATGGCAGTGAATACTGCTACAGGATAACCCTCCTCACAACCGCCTCCCTCGTGACAACCGGCATAGTGCAGACTGCAAGCGGGCTGCTTTTGTGTGTACAGAGAGCCATTATTTTTGCGATCCATACACAACTGCAGCACAGCCGCGCTTGTAATCACCTTGCGAACGAATTGCTTGGACCAGTCCAGAGCTGCGCAGCACCTCGAGTTTGCGCCAACTCCAGCACAGCCTTCTCAGACATTGCCCCTCGCTGGGCATGGAGGTGTAGGGACAATGAAGACCGACTTCAAATTCTCCAACCTGCTTGGGACTGTCTACAGCCAAGGCAACCTCGTCTTCAGCCCAGACGGGACTGCCCTGTTCTCCCCCGTTGGCAACAGGGTCACCGTCTTCAACCTCGTCGAGTGAGCACTCCCCTCGCACTCTGTGTTGCGTGGCCTCCCACTAACCCGGCATTCTCAATTAGGAACACCTCACACACTCTGCCTTTTGCGCACCGAAAAAACATCTCCCGACTCGGACTCTCCCCGCGGGGCAACCTCTTGCTCACCGTCGACGAAGATGGCTTTGCAATCCTGACCAACGTACCTCGTCGGATATCCATATATCACTTCACCTTTAGATCAGCAGTCACGGCTCTGGCCTTCTCACCCTCGGGCAGGCATTTCGCTGTAGGGCTGGGCCGCAGAACCGAAGTATGGCAAGTCCCGTCGACTCCAGACTCAAACACCAATGGTGCGCTCGAGTTTGCGCCATTCGTACGCCACCACACACACATGGGTCACTTCGACGATGTTCAGCACATAGAGTGGTCCAGCGACTCGCGCTTCTTCATCACAGCATCCAAGGACTTGACCGCAAGGATATGGAGTCTGGACGCGACTGAGGGGTTCACTCCTACTGTGTTGTCCGGCCACAAACAAGCGCTGGTTGGTGCCTGGTTCTCCCGAGATCAAGAGACGATTTATACAGTCAGCAAGGATGGTGCGGTCTTTGATTGGCAGTACGTGCTGCCTCGCAAAGCTCGTGAACAGGGCGGCGACGACGACGAAATGGAGGACGCCGATGCGGCAGACATGAGGTGGCGCGTCGTCAAGCGCAACTACTTCATGCAAGGCAATGCAACTGTGCGCTGCGCGTCATACCACCCAGAGTCAAACCTCCTCGTTGCCGGGTTCTCCAACGGCGTCTTTGGCCTGTACGAGATGCCCGAGTTCAACCAGGTTCACACTCTCAGCATCTCACAAAACGAGATCGATTATGTCACGATAAACAAGAGCGGCGAGTGGCTCGCCTTCGGCGCGTCGAAACTTGGCCAGCTGCTGGTATGGGAGTGGCAGTCCGAATCATATATTCTCAAGCAGCAAGGCCACTTCGACTCCATGAACTCGTTAGTCTACTCACCAGACGGCCAGCGGATAGTAACGACTGCGGACGACGGCAAGATCAAGGTCTGGGATGTCAACTCGGGTTTCTGCATCGTGACATTCACAGAACACACAAGTGGCGTTACGGCCTGCGAGTTTGCGAAAAAGGGCAACGTCCTGTTCACATCCAGCCTGGACGGCTCAGTTCGCGCCTGGGACCTGATCCGGTACCGGAACTTCAGAACATTCACCGCACCTACGCGGTTGTCATTCTCGTGTATGGCTGTCGATCCCAGCGGCGAAGTCGTGGCAGCCGGCTCTCTCGACTCTTTCGACATTTATATTTGGTCCGTGCAAACGGGTCAACTGCTCGACCAACTTTCTGGCCACGAAGGCCCGGTCTGCTCACTGGCATTTGCGCCAAACGGGGACATCCTTGTCAGCGGCAGTTGGGATCGCACAGCCAGAATGTGGTCCATCTTCAACCGAACGCAGACGAGTGAGCCCCTGCAACTTCAGGCAGATGTGCTCGACATTGCCGTGCGTCCTGACTCGGCACAACTTGCCATCTCGACGCTGGATGGCCAATTGAGCTTCTGGTCTGTCACGGAAGCCGAACAGATCTCTGGCGTCGACGGGCGGAGAGACGCTTCTGGCGGCCGCAAGATCTCTGATCGGAGAACAGCGGCAAACGTTGCGGACACCAAGAGCTTTAGCACAATTAGATATTCCACGGACGGCAGCTGCCTGTTGGCAGCTGGTAGCAGCAAGTACATCTGCCTGTACTCTGTGAGCACAATGGTGCTGCTCAAGAAGTTCACTGTCAGCGTCAACCTCTCTTTATCTGGCACGCAGGAATTCCTGAACAGCAAGCTCCTCACCGAAGCTGGACCGGAGGGCCTCCTGGACGACGAGGCCGAGAACTCGGACTACGAAGGCCGGAAAGACAAGACCTTGCCAGGCTCCAAGCGTGGTGGTGACCCATCGGCTCGGAGCAAGCACCCGGAGGTCAAGGTCAACAGCGTGGGCTTTGCGCCGACGGGCACGTCCTTCTGTGCGGCGTCCACCGAGGGCCTCCTTATCTACAGTCTGGACAACCACCTGCAGTTTGACCCCTTTGATCTGAACATGGAGATCACCCCGGCGTCGACACTCGCCGTGCTCGAGAACGAGAGGGACTACCTCAAGGCCCTCGTCATGGCTTTCCGCCTGAACGAGGCCGGCCTAATCAAGCGCGTCTTCCAGGCGACGCCGCACGCCGAGATCCCCCTCGTCGTCGAGCAGTTTCCGACCGTGTACGCCTCGCGGCTGCTGCGGTTCGTGGCCGCGCAGACCGAGGAGAGCCCCCACATTGAGTTCTGCCTGCTGTGGATCAAGGCCCTCGTCGACAAGCACGGCGCGTGGCTGGCCGCGAACCGCAGCAAGGTTGACGTCGAGCTGCGCATCGTGGCGCGAGCGGTGGCCCGGATGCGCGACGACATCAGGCGGCTCGGCGAGGAGAACGTGTACATGGTGGAATACCTCCTCGGCCAGGCGGATTGCAAGGCGGCGGCGGCGGACGGCGAGGGCGGCGGCAAGTTCCTCACCACCAACGGCGGCAGCGATGTGTCGACGAAGCTGCTTCTTGCGGGCCAGGCAGAGGGGGCTATGCTGGACCTGGAGATGGAGTCTGAAGGCGAGGAGGAGTGGATTGGTTTGGATTGAGCATTAGCAGTTATAATGAATGGCATGTCCACATGTGAAGCCCAGAGAGAGAGATCCCCCCGATGCTTTGGGATTTGTGTCTGTATATAACTTTCTCCCTGGCGCATTGGCAAGAAAGGTCGAGTAGACTATCTGGATTAAAAAAAAGATGCAAGGTTCAAAAAGCATGCCTAAAGCAGTCCTCCTGATGTCCGTACACGATGAGACGGTTGTGTTTAGCATATAACCTGTAAAGTTCTGGCTGCTCTCAAATGACCAGCCCGCTGTGCTTCAGTACTTGCAGTAATTGTTCGGCATGGAATCGCCATGGAAAGGGCAAAATGTTTTTTTGGGCTGGTTGGCTGCCTCCCACGATCCCACTTTCACACCATGCCTTATCTTGAGGGACGTAGTGATGCAGACTGGAGAGTCAGTGGGACAGTAGTTGCCTGGCCGCCTGGATGACGTACCCGGAACCCACCTTGTAGGGGGGCGAACCACTTGAACCTGGCTGCCTCATCCATTTTGGCCACCCATTCACCCATTCAAATTCACCCATTCTCTCCGTCCATGCATACGTATGTGCATGCACGCTGCTACATCCCAGTGTTGGTCTGACCTCTACAAGCTGCTTTATCGTACGCTATTGGTCCCCCCCTCTCTCTGTCCGAGTTTTTTCGCGCGTGGTTAGAGTCACACGCGCATGGGCGGCGCAGGCAGGGTATTAGTCTAGAGTACTAAGAGATAGAGAGAGAGAGAGAGAGAGCCTTGCTCGCCACCCTACCTTACTACCACACCCATTCCATCATCCACTTTTAAGTGTTCGGGAACGGGCTTCGTACTAGGCAGCAGCTGCACCATCATACTCTTTCTCGAGTGTCAAGGCGCCAAGGCAACCAATGAGTACGTCTTAGCTGTCGGCTAAACGATTCAAGAGGAATTCTCGTTTCTTGTCTTTTATATGACTCTTTTTTTCTTTCTTTTTTTCTTTCTGGGCTGACATATAAAAGGTGCTCAGCATCTCCCCACCGAGAAACTCATCGATACTTTGCAGGCAGCCAGCGGTGGACTAGTTTGATTGTTGGACATCTGAGTCGTTCCCAGCAATTCCACACACGGCACGGCTTTGAAATTTTGGTCTTCAAAACTCACTCTGCATTTTCACTCTGGCCTGGAAATCAGTGGCATTTAGATACAATCAAGCACCGCAGCAACTCAACTCACACCTTAAGAGTAGGGAGAGACAGCACCAGAGAGATCGGTCGTTGGCAAGGTGCTTAAAAGTCAATCAGGCGACAGCAGGAGAGCTGTCCAACCCATAGCCCGCGAAGATGGACTTCGGCACGATATTGCGCGGGCTTCTTCAGCCTGCCATGACACACAACAACACGTCGAGCAGTGCCGGCGGGGCCTTCCCAAGCACGCAGACAAGACTCGCAGACTTCCATAGCAGTAGCCGTGGTGGCGATGCTATGCCTTCTTCATCGTCGGCGACGACAGACAGCACCCGCATGCTCGAGGGCTTGCTTCCGATGCTCGGCCTCCGTGGCTTCGCGCCTCTGTATAGCTTCGTCGGCAACTGGCTGGGGATCGACCCTGGGATGATGCTCACGGTGTTGGGCATCCTCTGGGCCGCGCAGAAGATTGGCCAGCAGCTTTACAGCCTGTGCCGGCTCATCATCACGTCATATCTCATGAGCAGCATCCACGTGGCCAGCACGGACGACATATACCTGCACCTGATGAAGTGGCTCGCCACGCAGCCGCGGATGACCAACTCGCGCTCGCTGACGGTCGAGACGTCGAGCAAGACGGCGTGGGAGGACGACGAAGACGCATCGAAGGTCGCCCGGGACCGGTCGGGCAAGTACCTTAACTTCTCGAACCAGGAGGCGCGCGCGCCGCCCTCGTTCGTGCCCGCAATGGGCCGGCACACCTTCTGGTGGCAGGGCCAGCTGTTCACGCTGCACCGCAAGCAGGAGTCAGTGTTCGACGACGGCGCCGCCTCCGGGGCCACGACGTTCCGCGACAAGGAGGACCTCGTCATCTCGTGCCTCTGGCGCAGCCCGGAGCCGATCAAGAAGCTCCTCCAGCACGCCAAAGACCAGTACTACAAGGACCACCAGGCACGCACGCTTGTCAAGCGGCCGTACCCGCACACCATGCGTCGCTTCGCCCGCAACGCGTGGCAGATCGTGGCCAACCGCCCTGTGCGCGACATGCGCACGGTAGTCCTGGACAGCCGCCAGAAGGTGCAGATCCTGGCGGACCTGAATGAATATCTGCACCCGAGCACGCCGCGGTGGTACGCAAACCGCGGAATCCCTCTGCGGAGAGGATATCTGTTCCACGGCCCGCCTGGGACGGGCAAAACCTCGTTGTCGTTTGCGCTGGCGGGAGTGTTTGGGCTGGATATCCACGTCATCTCCCTGCTAGAGCCGACCCTGACCGAGGAGGATCTGAGTTCGCTGCTCGGGTCACTCCCCAGACGCTGCATCGTGCTGCTTGAGGACATCGACACTGCCGGGCTAAAACGGCCCGAGAACGACCTCGAGAGGAACAAACAGGCCTCCCGACGACCAGGTGGTGGTGGCGGTGGACGAGGCGGCCGCCGCGGTGCTGGCGAGAACAAGAACAAGAAAGATGACGCTGAGGACAAGGACGGCCGGGAGAACAAGGACTCCAACAAGGAAGGGGCAGCTCCAGACACATCACCCGCCCCCAGCGACTGGAAAGTTAGCGACCTCGCGCGCGCCCTCAAGACGGACGCGGCCGCGGACGACAAGAAGCAGGGAATCTCGCTGTCTGGCCTGCTCAACGCGATCGACGGCGTGGCCTCGCACGAAGGGCGGGTGCTCATCATGACGACCAACGCGCCCGAGGCCCTCGACGAGGCGCTCATCCGCCCCGGCCGGGTGGACTTGCAGGTCGCCTTCGGCAATGCGACGACCAAGCAGGCCGAGGAGCTTTTCCTGAGGATGTACGAGAGCGACGAGAAAGTCGCCGCCTTGCTGAAAGAGGCTGGATCGCAGGAGAGCAAGAGTAACGGTGCCGCGTCCAAGCCCCCAGCAGCAGCAGCAGCAGCAGCAGCAGCAGCAGCAGCCACAAAAATGAACGGTCACGCCGAAAAACTGAGCGCATCTTCCAAGCTGGCTTTATCCAACGGACTCGGAGACCTCAAGGACAAAACTGCAGCGGACGACGCGGACGAGCGAGAGGAGGAAGAAGAAGAAGTTGAGCCCCTTCTTGACGACCATCAGCTCGTTCAGGTTGCCAAGGAGTTCGCAGCCAAAATCCCCGACGGTCAGTTCAGCCCGGCCGAGATCCAGGGCTTCCTGCTCAAGCGCAAGAAGCACCCACTCCGCGCGGTGCGCGAGGCCGGCAACTGGGTCGAGGCGCTGGTGCGGCAGAAGGAGAGCCACAGCAAAGTTCTCGAGGTGCAGTGAAGCGCTGTTTTGGTTGTCGTTTGTGGAGAAAGTGTGTGGAGCGGATTGGGGTTTCTGCAGTCCTGTTTCGAGGAGGTGATTTCGACTCTCCCGTTGTTTTTCTACAGCATATTGGCAAAGTTCAGGCGCCGGCTTGACTATAAGGAATCGTAACGCATAATCCGTCAGGATACGTGCCAAACAAGATATGGAAAATGCATGCTCGAGTCTTAGACCATGTAGACTATCGAAGCGAGAGACGAATGATAGAACTATTGGAGCAGAGCCATCGTATGCAGTCCAAATGAACGCTATGGCAGTCCATGTATGACCAGATCACGACGTTAGTGAACAAATCAGCTGTAAATAAGGCTTCGTGACGGTGATACTTGACCTCACGCTTACGCACGCGAGCCCATGGAATATCGGTCCTTACTAGCAACTAAGTGTGGTGACATATAGATCCTTGATATGGGGTCTGCGCCACCGTAATCAGGTCAGTGAATTCGCGCCGAGAGACTCCCGTGATGAGCCATTCACGGCATCGAGTTAACATGGACAGGCACGTCTGTGTCGCATCGCAAGGCAAGGCTGAGCACTGCCATCCGTTGGCGCACCCAAGGCGTACTTTGCTGCCAGCTTCTTTGTAGCATACCATCGAACAGCCACGCTAGCTCCAGGTTGCCGTGAGCAGAAAGAGAGTAAGACCCCGTCTGAAGTCTCTGTCTCTATGCAGTAGCTTCGACAGTTCTTCGACGGTCGATTTCGAGGCGCGGCTGGATGTGTTCAATAATACCTCGTTCAAGATTCCCGTCCACATCGTAGAGACGTAAGCTGCCTCGGAGATTACGGGCTGTACCTGATGTTTTGACTTGTTGTATTGCTAGCAAGCAATTTCGTGTTTGCGACCTGTCTTGGTGTGCAGCCGACGTTATGCCTGCCGAGGCTGTTCGGGCAGGCCGGAGCGGCGTCCACACAGCCACAGCCACGGCCGGATGCCCGGGGAAGCCCACCTGTCGGGCGCCGGAGGGACACTATGAGGGGCCACACCAGCGGCCCCACGTTGTACCAGCAGGGGTTGGGCCACGCCAGCAGCTTGGGTGCGCCGTGGACAGCTGGGTTGATTAGCCGATTTGGTGCTCGGGATGAATGCGAAGGCGGCTTGTGTGGCTCGAGGGGCGTGCATGCCTGCACCGTCCCGGGCCTTGCAACTCGTGGAATGCAAACGTGACGGCTCGCTTGCAGAAGCCCCCTTCGCTAGCCTCCACACCCCTGGAAAATCCATGGGCCTTAGCAATAGCCTATCTGTCACAGCTACCTACGTAGGTATCAGTCGAGCCCGTTAGTTCAGCCATGGAATGGGGGCACTCGAAGCCGTCGGATCTGAATGTCATGATGGCCACAGGCAAGGCCGGCCTTTGGCTCTGCTCGTCATCCTATGCAGGCACTGGACGCTTCCACAACTGCAGGAGAAAGGCTCTGGACAACTTACTCGGTGATGGTTCTTCCTGCGCCGAGGCGTGCAGAGACAGATTACAACCAGTGAGGGTATCTGCACCATAGGGCTGAAATTATCCTATGGTTGGCTTGCCTGCCGACCCGGAGCTAGAGGGTGGATGGATGACTGGCAGATCCTGCACCTAAGGGACTGCGCCTCCACGAGGTTAGGCCTGAAGGCGACGAGCGTGCATTCATGACGGGGGCTTTGAGTAGCCCATCTGCCGATAGGGCTGAACTGCATCGACAGAGAGTGTGCGCATGTGCGAGCAGCGCTGCCATGGATTGTGAATGGTGGAGATATATGGCTACCGTACTGATGAGGTTGTGACGCGACTTTCTTGAGGGCTTTAGTCCTGGGTCATTGGTTGACGAGGCCAGACCTGCCGAGGACGGCAGGCGCGACTGCCTCGCGTGCTGGCACTTGCAGATGCTTGATGGTCGTTGCGTCAACTGGTGTCACGGCGTGATACCATGACAACCTGTGTTCCAACGTACCTCAGGTATCGTGTGTGTGCATGGTGTCACGCCTATGTGTCCTTGCAGCAGCAGCAGCAGCATCATTGTTGGCTTGTCCGATGTCGCAGACCGGAGAGATGGCGAAGGTGCTGGCGCAGGGGTCCCGCAACTCCCGGCACTTGCTCTCCTTCACGTGCGCTAGCGCCCACCGCGCGGACCGATGGCTTTCTGTTCTGGGCCTAGTGATGCCGTATCGTGATGGCCCGCCGCTGCAGTTTTGAAGGCTAATTCTCAGCGGCACGCTCCGCACTCCAAGCTTCCAGCGAGGAATACCTACCACCTTAGCTGGCCCGTCCCGGCGGCGTCGTAGCGTCGGCCCCCCGCCCGTCCTCCCCCCGTGCTGCTCAAGTCAGGGTCCTTCTTCGTTAGCCCAAGCTGGAGGCCCGCCCCAGGTCTTTTTGTCGCCTGACGTCGCCACGGCAGCTCCTGCCAACCTCCACCAACACCCCCCCATCATCGTCTCCTTCCTGTCTTGCATGAGGTGTGCTGCGCCTCCCTGCAACTTCACCCAGCACAAAGCGTGCGCCCTTTCGTCGCTCGAGGCCTCTCGCTGGCATCACAGATGCAGCGTATATCAGCAGCGCGCCATACCGAGACCCGTTTCGTGCTTTCGCACGTGAGCCCCATTCACGACGTCAGGTTCACGAAGCATCCGCGCATAGATACCAGCTTGAACGGTTTGCGCAGCCGCTTCGTGACACACCTTTCGCCAGCTTCATAGTCGGCCTCGTCACCTCTCTGTCTTGAGGGCATCCAATCGACGAATCCGGAAGTTCCGCCGTGCCCGTAGTGCGAGTTTGGACTCATTGCGTGGGCCCGGCGCCCCCCATGGGCCAGCATAGCAACCGTCCTGCGCCCGAGGCCTTGTGTAATGAGTCTAGGATCCGAATTGGTTCATCTGGTCCACGCGAAGAACAGGTTTGAGCCTCAGTCTCGACATGGCTGCCGATGACCCCCAAGCATCTGCACAACCTGCCGATGGCGATCCACAGCAGTCGAGGCGAGTTCGCACTAGCAAGCCCAAGGTCAAGACAGGATGCAGCAACTGCAAGTATGGCACACCCATCAAGTCCCTCTCAATTATGTCATCTCCCTCCCACACAGATATCTGACCCATCTAAAGGAAGAGGCGCATCAAGTGCGATGAGAAGCGCCCGGCTTGCAGTCAATGCGTGCGCTCCAAAAAGGACTGCACGGGCTATCCACCACCAGCTCGGCTGAGCTCGCTTGTCAAGATTCAGCCGCGGCCTCTGGCGAATCCCGCATCCTCAGTTTCTCGAGGAGCCAGAGAGCTGCAGATTAAACAGAAGCCTCTTCCAGGCATGACGCAAGGCACGCTCACACCACCCCAATCGCCACCAGAGATCGCCTTATTGTACCAACGTCCTTCAATCATGACCTTCAACAATCACGAGGGCCTTTATTTCCAGCTATTTCGTGAGCACACAGCTAACGAACTGTCTGGCTTCTTTGACTCCTCGTTTTGGACGCGGAGTGTTCTGCAGGAGTGCCACTCCCAGGAGGCCGTTCGCTACGCGGTTGTGGCCCTCGGTGCCTTATACAAGACCCTCGAGAAGATGTCGGAGTCTCCACCTGGCTCCCCCGGCACGGCCTATGATCCCACCGACAATATCAGCAGACACTGGGAGGTCGCCTTCAAGAACTACTCGTACGCGTTGAAAACCATGGTCACTTCGACTTCACAGGACACGGCTTCTCAAAAGACCAGCTTGATGGCGACAGTGCTGCTTGCTTGCTTCGATTCCTTCATCGGGGACCACAAGCAGGCTATTGTCCAGATTCAGAGTGGATTAGGGCTTCTTGAAAAGCTGCGCGAGGAACGCCGGAGGGCCTTTCTACCACGGCCTGAGGAGCCAGTTGACCAAGACTTGATTCAAATGTTCACACGTCTGGCAATCCAGGCCAAGTCATACGACATGGCCTTCCACTTCCCACAACCCTACGTCATCCGCCTCACACAAAGCGCCGACGGCACATCTTCGACAGAAGGCGGATCGCCTGTTTCCACAACCTCACCGATTATTCCCGACACGTTTACATCGCTGCGAGAAGCCCGGCAAGCCTGGGATGCTCTTTGCGAGAGGATGATGCGCTTCACCGAAACAATGTTCAGCTATACTCAAGGCTCAAGCCCTATGGGTATCCTGCCAGAATCGCTCAAGCAATACGGTCTAAGTTTCAAGGGCCAAATTGAGGCTTGGGCGGTGGCGTTTGAGCCTATCCTGACAACCAGGACTGCCCCAGCAAGGACAAGTCAGGAGAAGACTGGCATTGCAGTCCTCAAGATGAATCAGATGATGGGACAGATTTTGTTCCTCATGACTTTCAGTGATAGCGAGGCGCGGTTCGACGCCTTTAATGCATACTTTCAGGCAATTGTCTCGTTGGCCACGGAAGTAATAGGAGACGAAGAGAGAAGGGCAGCAGCAAAGCGTTGCCCGGACGAGCGCCTTTGCCATCACGCCTCCCACGCCGACTCACCTGGTACCACTGACTACACAGCCCGTCATATCAAGCCCAGTTTCAGTGCCGATCTTGGCATTATCCCACCTCTGTTCGTGGTCGCCACAAAGTGCCGGGAGCGACGGATACGTCGCGCTGCCATTCAGCTTCTTGGAAGTAGTTCTCGACGTGAAGGCATGTGGGACAGCGAGCTCTCTGCCCGGATAGGTACCTATATTGCGTCCGTCGAGGAGGAGGACGATACTGCCGTCAGGCTTGAGCGCTCCATGTCAGATGCAGCAAGCCCCTACCCAGGCTCAACTGGTAGTCCGGACTCATGGCGGCATGGCTCCATCGACTCCAGTGCACACGCGTCTCTTGGGCCAGGGGGCAATGCGCGCTGGGGAAGTCGAAGCGAGGGAATGGGAGGCGTCGGGCTTGGCGATGAAGATTTGGGACCTATACCTGAAGAGAGACGCATCATGGTACGGGCTGTGGAATTTGACCTACGCGAACGGACCGCAACACTACGATGCGGCAGCCGGAACCTGATCCCTGGCATGCCGGATCAGCGAGCGCGAGTCACAAATTTGAGTTGGTGAATTTTCGGGATCCCACCAGCAGCAGCACATTCATGAGTAGCTGGTTTACGCGTCAACCTGCTATGGTCACTAGACAGTTTGTCCTCACGGAAAGCTAAAGCTCTTGTAGAGCAACATCATACCCACGGAGTCCTTTCCTGGATCGCCATGTTAGAATAGTAGGGGGAGACACATGTGGCCAACATGTTCGAATGACACGATTATGAGGCATGGACGCATTTCGTACAAAGTAGCAACGTTTTACAGATAAGGTGTCTTTTTGCAAACTTGTACCCCGAGCGACCAGTAGATTCTCGACAGCTAAGCGCGACAGTCACATGTGCGCACCCGACTAGATTAGATCGCGCGGAATCCCCTCATCTGAGGCAATCTACTCACGTCTAAGAAAGTCATTGAATTCCAAGAGAATCCACCGTGCCAGAGAAGAGCAAAAATAAGCAAGGCATGGCCCTCGGCTTGCTTCACGGTGCGGCGATCTCGGGAGATTTAGATTAGCCAAGACCGTCGCCGACGAGCTCGTTCAACATACATATACTGGTCTCCGGCTATGATAACGCTTGCAACCAGGCCTTGCTATCGACAAAGGCCGATAATGGACAAGATGTTGGCAGATTAGCGCCTTCTCGTCTGGTAAGGCGCTATGGCCTTGGGCTCTGCTTGAACCCTGGTGTCTTCTTGGAGACGGATATCTGCATACGATATTGGAGTCAGGGATGCTGAGAGAAGTGAGGCAGAGTTCCCCGGCTTCACAGCCGGAGCAATCCTCCGGGTAGGCCAGCCGCCTCCCGCCTCTGTGCAAAGACATACCACGCCTCTCGTGGTGTGGAGCGGTGGTGCGGTTATGGGGATGGCGCTATGAGCGCCTCCGCCGAGGGGTCTTGGAGACTTGCTCGAAAGGGGGGTGCCTTCTTGTGACGGGACTTGCTACTTGTAACATGAGACTACCACCTCTGCTGGCCCCGATCCGACACACTACCCGATGCCTTGACCGATGTGTGCACCTTTGGCGGATGCCAGACGTCGGGACTGCACCCGGCCGGTTCAGTCTTCTCGCCCGACAGTGCTCGTGGTGGGGTTTGGCAGGTCCCGGAGAATGCGGGGTGCATGCACAGAGGCTTATCTAATCTTGACTGTCCAGCTTCTGGAGCAGGCCCTCCCCTCCCTTCCTTCCAAGGTTTCCCGAGTGGGCGAGGAGGCTAATTACGGCTACGGCAGGGGGGTTCCTGTCTGAAAACGCATGCCTCCAAGGCTGCCTTGACGCAAAGTTGCACCATAATCGCACCGACACGTGCGCAAAGCCGAGGAATTGTCCGCGGAGATGCGGCAGTCCGTTGAATAGCCAGGGACCACCTTGTTGTCAAGGAAAAGGGTCCAGCGCGGCCGCGAACTGTTTCCTTGACTGTTTTGTACGTAATTAATCCTCCGCGCTGCCGACATGCGCGGGCTCGACACACAGTGGCTGGACCACGAAGCAGCGGCACAATCGTCAACCAGAGCACCAAGGCACGTAACACTGACGTGTCATGGATGGCCACTCTGCTACGGAGCTCGCCGTCTCGTTGCATGGGGTGTCAGTCAAGCCGGCCTTGGGGAAATCCTATCGGAGGAGTCGTGACGAACGACCAGCCACGTATCTCGCGTTTTGGTGTTCCATTTGCCCGCGAGTCCGTGTGCAGGATCAACTACAACGACGACAAACAGCGGGACCGGCTTGCGCGTTCAACCACCTTCCAACAACAGCCAGAAGCTCCGTCGCACGTTTCACGTTCGACCATGGCGGCGGCACTGTATGCAGCTGGTCCAGAACCACAGCTTGCTGCACCTTTATGGAATCATGGAATCATGGAATCATGGATTCTCCTCGCCGACCCACCACCTAGATCACGAGGTCCACCACCGGCCTCCACAAACCTCTAAATAAACACACCGTTGCAAGAACGTCGAAAAATTTCACGAACGACTGCACGCCGGTGGAGCCTTGAGTGACCAGAGCTCAGAGCCGTCGTCAGACTTAGGCGCAGCACGACCCTTGGAGCGGTGAAAAGGCATGGACACATGTCAGCGGCTCCCTGCCAGACGCTCTCCCTCCTGTTGGACAAATGATGGCGGTGCCCGCCTGTGGTTCCTACATGCATTCCAGTGTCTTCGCTTCCACCTTCTATATATGCCTTGGATCAGCAGACCTTATCGGCCAAGATATAAGACTCTCGGGGCAACCGTCTCAACGAGCCCAATTGTCTGAAGTCGGAATGGCATCACCAACGTCGTCTGAATGCCGGCCTGACCATGTTTTCTGCGGGCCACACGCAGCACAATGCCGCCAACCATCATTCTCTTACATAATAAATGCACGAGCTGGCGAAGGCGAAAAAACGTGCCAACATGGTTGTTCGTTGTGGAGATCGCAGCTCTCCACCCATGTCAGAAGAGAAAAAACCAGATCGTGAGTTTCATTCTCCAGCGGACCACTCTGCAGGCTCTGCTCTACAACGTGATTACGCCAACGCCAGCGGATGGGCGGCGCTCCGTCGGATGGTTCCACTTACCCTTTCGGACGGCTCCGAAGAGCGGAGCGCAGCAGAAACCACACACAGCATGGCAATACGCAGCCTGCAGCTTGTCCTCTCTCTCGCCTTTACGTTTGAGGTCATTCCAGTTGTGCTTTGACTGATGATGACGGTGATGGTGGACGTCGGCCGAGTCGTATGGTCTACTCCTGTTGACGCACGCTGTGATGACGCGTTGGCGGGCTGCAAAGGTCTCATTTGACAGCTCGACCTAGTTACAAAAGATACCGGCCATCTATCGCACGCAGGCCGCCTGCCCTGCACCACCACCGCCCCACCAAGGCGCCTCCCCCAGGTTCACGTGCTCAGTCGAGCCAGACTGGCTGGGCTAAGCAACTGCTGCCACAGGCTGGCGACCGCCTGACTGGGCATAGCGCAGCCAGTTGGCCTTGCGATGGTTGCGGGAGATAAGCCTGCCTGGCTCCAATCCTTCCGCTAGGCTCGCCCTTACGTTTCAAAACTGCGTACAAATGACAAAGTCATGGCCGCCGTCCTATGATGTCTTGCGCTCGAGGCTCGAGCAGGTGGGGCCGCGAACCGGCTTTCAATCCAAGGCACAGGTCCTCTGCCGGCAATTGCGACATGATCGCGATGCCAGCAAAGCAAACTTTTCAGGGTGACTACTAGGCTCTTTTTCTCCTCCTGGGTATTATGGATCTCGCTCCGCCACTTTTTGGCCAGTACGGCGGCGCGCAGCGGGCTTCAGGGGGCCCAGCTTGGCTGCTGGCGACTTTTCTACCGCATTCTACGACCTTTTGCAGCACGTTGTCAGAAGTTGGTCTTTGGCCGTGCTAGGCTGTCACTTGAGACCAGGGGCCATGAGATGATATCCATCCCGGACCGGCGTCCATCGTTCCAGACCGTGGACAATGATTGGTCTCCCACGACGATGACGGCGTATCAGATTGTGGCAGTTGTGCAGCACTTTGTGCGGCGGGCGGACGAGCACGACGTTTTTGTGTGCCATGTAATTACAACGAGAGGCTGAAAACAAAGGTCGGGGGCTTGTCCCTGCTTGGCCTGCCTATCGCAGTAATTCGACCCTGAATCACGACAGGAGCCCGTGTCACGGGGCGGAAACGCACGCGAGAGGTCGGTTGTTGCCATTGCGCGCCATGATTTGCGCATCAGCGGCGCGGGTAGGTATCAGCAGCGAGTCAAGGCTGGGCGGCCCTGGCAAGATCTCGCGGCAGGCAGAGGGAGGGGGACCGACTGGCTCGAGTCTGGTATTATGCAGAAGAGGGTCATTGTCGGCTACTGGGACCTCTCCGTGCTTGTAGTGATCCGTGTGAGTGCCCGCTCCGTTGCGCCATCTACCTGTCACGTTGCGACCATCCATCAGGGTGCATACCTCGTGCAACGAGCTCGCGAGGCATCGCTGACGGACCCTTGTGTATGGAACTTTGATTTCCGTCATCACCCCTTCCAGCTAGCCGAGTGCCTTGCACCGGGCGTCGCTCTGGCGTGCGGAGCTAGTCCTGCGATCGGAGGACGACGAGAAGAAGGGTAATTTAAATCGGGCTGGCGTGCCCGCACCCCTTAAGCTCTGGGTGTGTGCGCTCGCCCTATCCGGCGCCGGATTCGCAAGTACTCCCGGGATTTGCAGCGTGCATCATCAACACGACTTGCTGGTTCTCCTTTATGCTCCTCGTCGCCAGTTCTGCTGCTGCTGCTGCTGCTGCTCCTTGCCGTCCCTTTGATCCCTTTTCTGGACTTTGCTGTGGTTTGGCGCGTGCTGAGTAGGAGGACTGATTCTCGTCAACCCCCCCCCTCCTTCTTCCTTCCCGCTGGGCCGCTGCGCACCACCACCACGTCGGCCCCATCGTCAACGACATCACACTGTCCACTACGGCGCCACACGCTTGCAGCGTGCTTGTCATTCCCCGGATTATCGGTCCACCCTGGTCGGGCCTCGCAGTCCACAACGCGGCGCCCCTCCTTCCTGGACGGCCCCGTTGGCAAAAATTCTACAAGATCAAAGGTCCACGAGAATAATTAGCTGGGCACAGGCGAGGCGCACGCACACGCGCCCGAGTGAGGAGCAGCCCGGTGCGCCGCCCGGCTCAATATCACCACCCGCATCCCCAGCGTCTTCCGTTCCGCCAGACTGCTTCCACTCCTCCTTCCCTCGCCATTCATCCCTCGTCCCGCTTGCACGAAACGCAGAGATTAGAGAGTACTTGGTGCAGCCAGCCAGCCTCCAAACCTGGTCTGCCAGACTGCCCCTCTGTTTCCCTTTCGCTCTTCCCCTCCATCCGGCTCGCCAGCTCTGCGAACCTCGAGCTGCCCCAGCTACGCCCAGCGACTTACACGCCCCTCGCTGCAACCACCCGTCTGCAAGACGACAACCTCGCGTCGCCGCCAAACACCTTGATTGGCTGCTCGGTATCGAGCGCACGGTTGCGATTCGTCCTCAACCAAGCATTATCGTGCCCGGCCGTCCGTTCCCAGAACAGGCTGCGTAATCTGCCTGTCGTTACGACAAAGTCCCCGCTGGGCAAGAGTGCTCACACATTGCCGTGCAGGCCCTCCTCACCGACATCGCAGGGGCCTTGCTCGGATCGCCCTACCCCTGTTGCTGCTCCGTCGAACTCAAAGCCCGACAGGCACACACACACACACACACACACACACTCAGCAAACGACACATCACATAATACTGGGAGAAACAAAACACCGCCCTTTGTCCAAGAGTGACAGAGACTTCTGCAGTAGTGGGCATCACAGCATTTCAGGTCGAGCCTGTTTCGTTCACGAGACGCAGGGGTTCGTACGCTGAGAGAGAGGAGACCTGCGCTTGGCCACGGCAGGGTCCCTGATGGAGATGGCTGCTCCCCAACCTATCCCGATCCGGACGGATCTGGTCTTCCGCCCGGCTCCTGTCGACCACGCCACCTCGAACGGCTCGCCCAGGAATTCGGCAGTCTACCAGTCGCGGCACAAGCACACGAGATCCTCGTACTCGGAGTCTTCCCCGCTGACGGCCATTTCCAGGAATAACTCGCTGAGCTTCCGGCCTCTGAAGCGGGCAACTCCAACACCGGACAAGACGATTGCGGTCATCAATGCCAGTGGTCGGCAAGCAGCTTCGCTAATCAGAATCGCCACGGCTATTGGCTACAAGGTCCGCGCGCAGCTTCGCAATCTCGAAGGTGTCATCGCCACCGAGGTATCGACAAACCCAAACGTCACCTGCTTCGTGGGAGAGCTCTACCTGAGAAAGACGGCGGGCGACAACAGAGATGTCACCGTGGGCACGCACATCCCCGGCATCGCCGTCAATCACGACTTGATCAACCAGCTCTTCTCCGGCGCGCACCTGGCCTTTATCAACACGACTTTCTACGGCAATGAGACTGCAATTGGCGAGGCGATTGCCGACGCCGCGAAGAAGGCTCAGGTCCAGCACTTCATCTATTCCTCCATGCCCGACCACGCCGCGTACAACCCAGAGTGGCCATCCCCACCGCTGTGGGCTGCGAAGCACAAGATTGAGCAGTACATAAGAAAGATCGACCTGCCTGCTACTTTTGTCTACACTGGCATATACAACAACAATTTCACATCGCTCATCTACCCAATGTTCTGTATGGAGCTCCAAAAGGATGGTTCCTTTGAGTGGCGGGCCCCCTTCCACCCGGATGCCAAGTTGCCGTGGCTGGACGCGGAGCATGACGTCGGCCCTGCCATCATCCAACTTTTCAAGGACGGCCCGAAGAAGTGGAACGGAAAGCGGATCGCACTTGCATACGAATACCTCACACCCATTGAGGTCTGCGAGGCCTTTGAGAAGGGCTTGGATCGACCTGTCCACTACAAGCGCGGCCCTATCGAAGTCAAAGTCAAGATCCCGGAGGGCTACGCGGAGCAGCTGAAGGCGCTTGGTCAACTGTTCTCATGGGAGAACCCTGACGCCAAGAAGCAGCCACCATACTTTGGCGACATGGAAATCGAGCGCACCGTGCCCGAAGGCGCGCTGGGTCTGTGGGAAGGCCCGCGCGGCTTGGAGGAGTACGCTGGGGAGATATTCCCGCTGGAGGAGGAAGCCAATGGCATGACGTGGATGTTCGACGACGAGGAACAAGGCGAGCACGAGGCGGGCTACCGCACCGCCGAAGCTGATCTCGGCACGGCGCCAGCGCCCATTCCTGAGGCGAGCGACGAGGACGACGACTCGTCCGTCGACGAAGGTCTTGTCATGAGAGGTCTGAGACGTGACGAGGAGGCCTGGCTGGCGTAAAAGTGGTCAAGAAGTGGAGCATACACTGTGGCAGATTGCCATACTCTTGCCAACACTCACGGCACTGTGGAAAAGCCGCCCCCGCTTGACTCGTGGCTGCCACGAACCTGGCAAGCTACTCACATTCTGCGCAGCAGAGGACTTCTATCATTGCACTCTGAGCATTACACCAACTTATGATCATGAGGCACGGCGTTTCGGGTGGTAGCATAAAAGTTATTGAAAGGACAGCGTGTATTGGCCACAATTGTGGCCTGGGGGTCATAATTCTTGTTTGGCGAGGAAGAACCGGCATGAGACTGTTCGAGACCAAAACATTTTTTCTCTCGTCGTCTCCATGCTCCATCCAAGCTCTGAGCATTTACACAACGAGCATAGAAACGACATGACGATTATATGATAGGAAACGAGCCAAGCTCGTCGACCGACTCCAATCAGCTGCGCTTTCTGGCATGGCAAGCTTTCCACTTGAGAATTAACTGTGCGTTACTTTGTTGGCATGGCTGAAGTGCATCTTGAATAGGCCGTGCCGTTATTGTGGAATGTTTCATGGTCCTACTACTGCCCCTGTCACTGCTAATACTACTCCAAAAGGGCGGACTGGCGGCAACACGACTGCTTCCGAAAGTTCACCCCGTTGGGTTGACTGCCTAGATTGCACTAATCTCGACTTTGGCTTCCTGACAAGCCCGAGGCTGGGACGCCTGCATGGTCCGATTCCCCTACTGCCACAACATCATTCTCAACAAGTAACACTGTTCAGACCGGCACACATGCTTGATACTACCTGTGTTAGGGACAGCCGTCCAATCCTACTAAACCAGCTTGCTTTCTTTTGATGCCGGCTGACCAAAAAAACCCTTGGCTAGAGTTGTATTTTCTACATTCCCAAAACTGTGCCTGCCGGCAGAACGACAAGACAGACACACACGCACATGGTTTCACCGTCACCTCACGTGCTCAAACGACTTGGCCGGTGATTGACAGATAATTCCGATACGAGGTAGGACTTCCAGAGACACCTTTCAAGTCGATAGTCTCTGCTGCCATCAGCAAGATCTACAGCAAACAAACAGCGAAAGAACCCAAAGAAATCAACTGGCTATTCACCATGCCTCGCAAGAGCCGATGCCAACCAGTCGGAGTGTCCAAGGATATTGAGAAACCGGCACATCCAATCTACAGAGGCCGCTTCTATGCCGAGACGCAGCTGGTCGATCCTGAGCGACGAACGTCTGCATTCGACGACCTCACGCGCCGAGTGAGAGTTTATCGGCCATCGGCTGACGGCAAGAAGACTGGGCTCGGTAGGCCCTGGGATAGCGTCGCCCCAGAACAGGAGAAGCCGCTCCTGCCGCTCTATGTCGACCAGGCAAACTACCCCGAGCTCCAAGGTGGTTTGCCTCCTCCTCCTGCTGCTGCTGCTGCTACCGACAAGACCGCACAGGCAGCAGCAAAGCCAGCAAAGGTCTCGCCACTGCTATGTCGGCTCCCCTCAGAGCTACAGGACATGATCCTTCGCCACATCCTACTCTGGCCGCGCAGCATCAGCCTCTTCAAAGGATGGACCTTGGTCTACCCGCACAGCAAGCCCCGTCTCCATCCCGCAGTCCTGCGCACCTGCCGCGAACTCTACGCACGCGGCGCCGCCGTCCTGTACGGCGAGAACCGCTTCCTCTACGAGATCCGCGACCCGGCGGCCACGGACCTCCACGCGCGCGAGCTGCTCCTGCACCGCAAAGTGTACGCCCGGTGCGGTTTTCCCTTTTCCAAGCACGGCTGGCAGGTCCGGTTCGTCAGGATCAGCATCGACACGGGCCGCGTGGCTCTCGTGCATAACCGGCACGCGTTCATCACGGCGCTCGAAAAGTTCCTCCTGCCTTCTGTGGCCGCCGCACGGCAGCAGCAGCAGCAGCGAGGGGCCACGGGGTCGGGAATCCATACGCTGACGGTCGAGCTGGCGGCCGCTTCGGTTGAGCCAGGAGCCTGGTTCGCCTGTTCTTCCGCTGCTGCTGCCGATGCTTTCGACGGCAGAGGAGGCCTGAGAGAGACGGACGTCCCGATCTGTGCGTTGTTCGACAGGGGCTCGAGGTCCGTCGAGACCATCAAGATGCTCCAGCCATCGTTTCTGCAGCTGCGAGTGCCCGTGCCGATGCCGGTGGGCAGCCGCCACCACCACCACCACGACACCAATAACACTGCCAACGCTGCCGATGACGACGACGGCGGCGGCGGCGGTAGTGGCCAATACTTTTATGCCGTCGACGTCGATCTCCGCGGCTGCTGCGAGGAACAACAACAACAACAACAACAACAACAACAACAACAACAACAACAACAACAACAACAACAACAACAACAAGGCGGGCTCGCGCCGTCGTCGGCTCCAGATCATAGTACTCATCAGGGCGGCCTGAACTACACGAGTGAAGCTCGCCGGCGGCGGCAGCGGCGGGTGACGAGGTTCTACGCCACGCTGGCCAATCTCTCGCACCGGCTGTACTCCCTCGCCGTGGACCCGAACTCCAGTCTGAGCAGGGCCCTCTGGCGCGTGACGAGGGAAGAGACGCCGCGCGAGGCCCAGATGTCCTTGGACGACGACGACGATCATCTTTTCGAGGAGCATCGCAGGGCAAAAGCAGCAGCGGTAACAGTGGCAGCGGCAGGGGCAGCACACGAAGGCGGAGGCGGAGAAGCTATTTTGCAAGGCCAGCGTCTCAGGGAGCAGAGAGCGAGGAGAGGCGACGCACTGAGGAAGAGGAACATACAGAGACGACTGATCAAGCAGTGGATCGGCACGCTGCCAACTGCTCCCAGCCTGCAAGACCTTGAGGGCCGTGTGCCGCTACTACAGCAGCAGCAGCATCATCATCATCATCATCATCATCATCATCATCTCGCAGAAGACGAAGCAGCAGCCTCGCCACATTGCGCCTATGCACGAGCACAGACCGAAGGACCAGATACCGTGCTTCCATGCCAGATCCGCAAATTTCTCAGATACCACGCTGGTGGCAGCGGCGGTGTTGGTGGTATCGGCGGCCCCGTCCGGCCGGTCCACGACAAGCACGGCGTCCTGCGCTACCACCGGCTCACGCGGGAGCCGGACCTGGCCAGGATCCGCGCGCGCAACACCGAAGAGCGGTTCGCGCTCGGGAGGCAGCTCGAGCTGCTCGCCGACCTGCGAACCGACAAGAAGCCCATGCGGAAGGGGAAAGGTCACCTCCGTGCTTCGAATGCGAGGACGTCGCAGATGATAAGGGCGAAGATCAGGCGGAGAGAGCTCCGGCGACTGATAATGAGAGGTTGAGAAAGACTGAAGCGAGGATGGGAGGAGGGGTATTTCTACTTGTTGCTTTGGGTTGCGGTTGAATTTCTTTTTTTCTTTAGTTGCATAGCATCGAGGCCGGTGCCCAGGCGAAGAGGGCCAGAGGAGTCGAAAGGAGACACTGGTGGACTGTACCGATGATACGCAAAAGTCACACGAGCAATCATGTGTTGTTCCGTGGGATCAGCATGGACTGGCTCAAATGAAGTGATGGCAGCAGTTGATACTCCAAGCCAACGGATCTTCATTCTAGCCGGCACTGCTGAATCTCTTTCGACGGACTGGAACTAAGCTAATTTCACGTGGCTTGAATGCAGATGGCCTATTCAATGCTCAATGCTCAAGGCAATATAGAGACAAATGAAGCCATGAACGCATAGTTCGCCAACCCACCTACCAAGCGGTCATGAATCAGGCACATAGAACCACTAGAATGAGGAGTGTTATCTCATTTGCATCATCACTCGTGATGTCGTTATTGCCTGTTTTAGCTATGGAACCAAGTGCTGCTTGACAGCATAGTGCTATGCCCCCATGATCCTGACTCTCGAAACATCCAGCGTCTCCGTGTCCACGAGGACGATCTCGCCAGTGGCGGAGAAGGACGGCACAGTGATGAGCCGGACCATCTGGCCGTCGCTGCCGCCAGAGATCACCTTTGTGCCAAACTGGGGCTGGTTGCCGACAAAAAAGAGGTGCGGGCAGGTGTGCATGACGAAAGGGTCGTCATCTTGGAAGGGATAGGCCCCTGTGGTTCTTAGAGTCAGCGGACGTTGCTCGGAGACAGAGAAACGCGAAGAAGAAAAGGGGCTAGTGATGAAGAAATAAAAAAAGAACGCATGGAACACCTACACAATGTATCTGGTGCGGTGGGCGCGGAGCACCGCCACCGACACATCGCCTCCATCATGCCTAGCCGGTCGTCGCTGTCGACATACTTCCACACGTCGTCGACGTTCTGACCGCCAGTCCCGAGGACTCTCCAGCCATCAAGCTCGCCTTCCCACGGGTTCGTCACCGAGTCGAACCAGCCCGGCTCGTCGGATGCCGCGTTTGGCGCCGCGGCGTAAGCTCTCGAGGACGGGAACATTGCTGCGTGCACGGGCTGCTGCGGGTAGCTCGCGTTCGAAGGGTCCTGGGCGCCCGGCATCATTGTGACGGGTATCGTGGGGAGCAGGGTAGCCAGGAACTCGTCGAGAAGTTGGGAAGGCTGGGCATTGTACGTGCTGCTGTCGTAGCCGTACTTTTTCTGCTGCCCCGCCTTCTTGCCGCTGCTGTCTGTACGTTGGGCCTGTTCTTCCTCTGCGTGCCGCCTCTCATCGAGAGAGATGGAGTTGCCGGCTATGATGAGCCGGCTGATTTGGGATACTTCCTGCTGACTGATCGGGTCGAGAGTCTCGCCGAGCAAGTACTCCAGCAGCAGATTGAGCTCGAGCGAATGGGATGCATCGGTAGCTGAGAAGCTAAGACCTGACACTATCGCGATTTTGCTGTTGCTGTTACGCGCGACGCCGCCAGTCCCGTTCATCTCCGTGTCTTCATCCTTGGGCTTGGCGGACGGCTTTTTCGTCAGCGCCCACCGGTCAGGCTGAGGAGCGAGGTCGGGGAACTTTAGGTCAATGACCTCGAGCTCGCCGTTGACGTTTTCCGTGCCCATCACTGCTATGATGCAGCCCGTCACCAGGATCACCGACTTGAGAACGTCGCCGACAAGTCGTATCCGACCAGATTCGTCCTCCAGTGTCACCGCATCACCGTCAGAGTAGTACTTTCTGTCTGATAAGGGAGCCGAGATCCATCTCTGTTCTCGAGGTCAGCACTACCCAACATTGCCGTGGCTTCCGTCTCAGCGCGAAGACTTACGTCCTTGGAAACATCCTCCAAAATGTTCGGCTTGAGCGGCATATCCATGTATACGGTGCCGACCACCCAGCAGAGCTCGCCCTGGCGGATGTCAAGCACGCGATCTACCCTCCTCGCGGGCTCACCACCAATGACTGTGTTCCGCCAGGCTGACGAAGCAAGTTGCTCTACGGCGGGCTTGATCTTCGTCAGCCGCAGGAAATACATGTCGGCATATTGCTGTTTGTACGACTTCTCCTTATCCAGGCGGTACGTGTGCATGGACTTGTAGCTCGACGGGGCTCGCTGCAGCTCAGTTTGCTCCTCCGCCTTGCCCCTGCGGTGGTGAATGTCAGCTCCCCGGTTAAATGAGAGAGAAGTGCACGATGGACGTGGAGAATGTGTTCTTACGATGGCTTGCGGAGCAAATTGCCAGGAATGTTGTCAGGGATTGCCATGACTAGAGCTCGCTGCAGTCAGGCAGGACGTCGAGCGTGCTGTTGGCGAGCTGGGACGTTGACCGCTGCTGAGGTGAAGCCCGCTCCAGCATCGTCGACCAGCGGCGGAGCTAAGAGACGCGTCGAGACGCGCACAGTGGTGTAAAGAGCCTGTGGTGGGTGGAGGGGCAGCTCTCGACTTCCAGCTCGCAGGGACACCACAGTCTTGGCTTTAGCGCTAAGCGCCTGGAAGGTGCCTGCAGATAGGAGTGCAGGAGCGGTACTTCGGTGCTTGGTCTTATCGGAGTGGCGGCCAAAGTCACCACCCGGCTGGCAGGGGTCTCGATGCCCGTCTCCATATTTTTTTCCTTTGCGATTGTCGCAACCAGAAAAAAGTTGGAGGAGTCGCCAGCACCACTTTAGCTGGCAGATCACAAGCACCATCGCAGTGACTTCGGATCCCGCTCCTTTCTGCATACCCGCGGACACAATCTGACCTGGTCTTCGATCGTTACGTACTCCTCGAGTCTCGGAAACAGCTTGCGAGCATCTGCAATTCGCACATCCGACACACATCATGGCCACATCCGGCTTCGGTGCTGAGGCACAGCAGGTCCTCATCCACTTCACAACCAGCGCTGCCGACCTCCAGCTCCCAGAGGAGCAAAGACAGCTTCTCGTACCATCAGGTGTGACTGAGACTTCCCAGTGAGAAGTGGCAGGCTTGCTTACCATCTATGCTGCAGACATCAGACGCTATGGTCTTTCCAAGATCCTCAACTCCGAGTCGATGCTCGACACGGCGCAGACGATACCGTTCGACTTCCTTATAAACGGTCAATTTCTCCGAACCTCTCTCGAGGACTACTTTAAAGAGAACGGCCTGTCCTTTGAATCTACCATCACGCTAGAATACGTGCGGAGTCTGCTCCCACCCACATACCAGGCGAGCTTCGAGCACGAGGACTGGGTCAGCAGCGTCGACACTCTGTCACAGAACTCGCGAGCCGGGATCTGGTCCGGCGACAAGCTTGTGCCGGGACAGGATCGCGTCCTCTCGGCCTCATACGACGGCCTCTTGAGAATATGGAACAGCTCTGGCTCAGTCATTGCGACCTCACCGTCCGGTAGCCAGGGCGGACACAGCGCCAGCATCAAGACCGCCAAGTTCCTGTCCTCTTCCCAGATCGCCTCGGCCGGCCTTGACCGGACAGTGAGGTTATGGAAGTACAACGAGGCCGACGACCACCTCTCGGGCACCCTCAAGCCTACTCTAGAACTCTACGGCCACAAGGCCTGCGTTGAGTCCATCGACGTTCACACCCCAACTGGGCGCATCCTGTCCGCGGGCGCAGACGGCTGTGTCGGCCTATGGACAACTTCAAAGAGCTCGGCGCCTGCCGCGCCCGCGGAGCTTCTGCCCGGCGCGAACGCCACCAAGAAGCGCAAGGTCGCGACCTCTGTTGCGCCCCAGCGCGGTGCCCTGTCCTTGAACCAGCACCACTCGTCCCCCGTCTCGGCAGCCATCTTCCACCCGCACGACAGCTCCGTCGCGTACTCGGCCTCGCAGGACCACACGATCAAGACGCTCGATCTGACGACATCCCTGGTCGTCACGACGCTCACGACTGCACACCCTCTGCTCTCGCTGTGCTCTGTAAGTGGCAAGAACGGTCTCCTCGCCGCGGGCACCTCAGCCCGGCACATCACCCTCATCGACCCCCGCGTCTCGGCGGCCACGACGTCTGTCCTCACCCTCCGTGGACACCGGAACATGGTCACTTCGATATCGGCATCCCCCGAGGACGACCACTCGCTCGTGTCGGCCTCGCACGATGGCACATGTCGCGTGTGGGACTTGCGCAGCGTGCGGACGGGCACGGCCGCCGAGGGCCAGGGAAGTGTCGGCGAGTCCGTGTATGTCATCGAACGGGAAAGCCAGAAGGGCAAGAAGAAGAGTAGCGCAGCGGAGGTGCCTGGTCGTGGCAACAAGGTGTTCAGTGTGGTGTGGGACAAGTCTCTAGGAATAGTCAGTGGTGGCGAGGACAAGCAGGTCCAGATCAACAGGGGCCGTGACCTGTTGGCGTCGACGTGAGCAGTCAAACAGGTTTCTCGATAATGTGGAAAGAGCATATAATCATACCATGAGCACCTTGTACATTGAGGAAGCTGCAGCTTGTTTTCAGGAAATGCATTGCCGGCCAGTTTCAAAAAGACAGAAATGTATGAGGTGATATGTGTGGGTATCTAAGTAGTCATGGCAAATGTGCAGGTCATGAGTATTGTCATACAAGCCAACCGTCTTTCGAATCACGTGGACGTGTTCGCCGGACTGGTGCCGTTTTCTTGGGTTTGGTGTTGCCCGGAGTCTTTGTCTGCACTTCAACAAACACTTGCTCTTCTTCAATGGTTATGCTTTCCAACACGGAGCTCACGTACTCGGCCGAGACGGTTGTGTCCTTGCACACGGCATTGTCTTTGACATCATCATCCTGGAGCTCGTCACTGGTAGGGAGCTCAACATCCTTAGCAATGCGGATTGGCAGATTGCTCTCCGCCGGATGTGGCCGTGGTGGGCACGGGTCAAGCTCTACCCTCATGTGCTCCAGGGTTGCGAAGAGGTGGGGGCCTGCGTAAGCATCTGAAGCAGCATCTGTGGACCTCAATTAGTTTCACGCGGTCCGAGGTGAAGTTGACCAAGAGAGTGCTTCGCTGAATGCTTACATATAATTTGTTCCATGGAGAGTGGTTTCGACCAGTCGCTCCCGCGAACATCCTGCCCCTTGTACAGTGGAAGGTGGAGAATCTCCTCAACCTGGAGCGCCAACGGTACGAGCCTCCGGTTGATGGACTTGTACTCACCACGCGGGGAGAATGTGACCAGCTTGTACAAGTGACTGAGCTCCATGAGACCCCGAGAGTCGATGCCGAAGAAGTTGCGCAGTCTCGTGGCATCACCCTTGATCGCCACACCAGTCTTGAGGATATCCGGGCTCTCCATTATATGGCGAAAGTTGGGACCCAGTGAGGCAATGTCCTTGTCGCTGAAGATGGCCGTATGAAAAAGTGCAACGCGGCTCGGACTGGCGAGCTGGATGAGGGACACGTTCTTCCGCGGACCTTGGAACTTCATCGCTTCGGGTGCCCATTCGAGGTCGAACCCGATGACTTCCTCGTCCATGAAGTAATCTTGACATACGCGCTCCATGGTGTGCTTGCTGCGGCAGTAATGGATCTTGACCTTCTGTTCTTCGCCAGACTCATTGGGCGGACCACGGTACATATTGTACGACCAGAAGGACTCGGGAGTGCCCTTCATGGCCTTTTTGGCGGCATAGAAGGCATCCTCGCTTATCCTAAAGTCCAGCAAGGGTTGAGGTGGTCTTGACCGGGATTCATCCTTCGCATCGGACGGACCAGGCTGTTTAGACACTTCGTCCACAGTAGGCGCTTCGTCAGTTGTGACTGGCTGCACTTGCAATGTCGATGCCGTGCTCAAGACCACAGACTGACGCATTGGGGTCGCTGCTGCGACCTGCGATACTGGCGAAGCTGCTGGGAGGGTTGATGGAGCGCTAGCCGTAGCCGCGAAAGATATCCCTCTCGAGAAGTGCCACAGTTGCTGTTTTGGTGACGGGCTTGCCCTCAGTCCCAGTTTTGGGTCAAGTGGTGGCGGGGTGCCTCTATCGCCGTGCCTTGGACCAGCCATCTGTGGCGACGATGTCAGGGTTCTTCTCCTGACGATGCTGCTCTTGGTGGGAAGCGCCGCTCGCAGGGCTCCAAACGGCCGAGATCTCAGGACACAAGATGTAGCATCCGTGGTGACGAAACGGCTCATTGGGAAAGTTGGTAAAGCGGAGGATATACAGCCGCCATGCTGAAGACACGGGGAGAGTGCCTGGGGTGTGTTATTGATTCTAGGCAGACGCGAGGTCCTGGGTTCACCTTGTCTTGTTGTACATCAGCTTGCTTCATGACAGGCGCGATAGGCGCGCGCGTGGAGGACGCAGTGGGTGGCGGACTTCGGTGCAAGTGGGTCCCATCTGCAGAAGGCAGTGAACAGCAGTGCGACAGTCGTAAAAGTTAGCACTGTGCAGCCCATGCCAAGGCCCAAACTGCACGCCTGCTCGTGGGGTGGACGAGGCGAGGATCTAGAGAGACATCTCGGTAGCCCTCTCAGCACGACATTCTTCCAGCTCCAGGACGATAATTAAACGTAAGTCTGATGTTTGAAGCCCTTCATGTACTGTAGGCTCTGTATTGACTCTTTCACCGCAGCTCACTCGAAAGAATGGCGTCGCAACTACTGCCCCTCGGTGAGTCTCCTCAAGCTAGGCCGTCTTGCGTCGTCCCCTCGTCGCCGCCATGCGCAGGCTTCATACGGTACTGGCGAGCGAGGGTCCCGTGGCCCTGTACTGACGCTGAATTCAATGCAGAGCTCATCGACAAGTGCGTCGGCTCCCGGATATGGGTCGTCATGAAGGGCGACAAGGAGTTCAGCGGCACCCTGCTCGGCTTCGACGACTATGTCAACATGGTTCTCGAGGACGTCACAGAGTTGTAAGTAGATCCTGAGAATGAGGACCAAGTCTGGATAAGCACCCGAGCTGACCAAGGAATGTGGCTTTCGTCGCACAGTGACTACTCGGGCAACCACACCAAGTTGTCCAAGATTTTGCTCAATGGAAACAACATATGCATGGTACGTTAGGTTTCTTTCCCATTCGTAGTCTACCACTGGCAGAGCTGAAGCGCGCTTCAAGCTATGATACAAATCCTGGCCGCTGACACTTTGCTCAGCTGATTCCCGGCGGCGAGGGTCCCGTGGGGGTGTGAGCATGGCAATACGGATGGATGGACACTTCGTTGGAAAGATCCAAGGCGATGAGTTATGTAAAGTGATCAAGGGCGTCGGCGCTACCTGGATGGTCGTGACTGAGTTTATCATTGTCCCGCGAGGTTTTCTGGATCCTGTACTCCTCGACAAAGAGCACCTCATATCTAGGACAGTCCGGAATGAAATGTCCGGACATACTCTAGCAGCAAACAGCTCATCCTTCTAGCCACACACTCTCGAACACTGATAACTCGTGGCCGCCAAGATAGTTTCATGAGAAGTGCCAAATCTGAAAAATGAACAATAATTTACGCCTATCCATTGCTTGTTTTTCATCAATCTTGTCGTGCCCTTTTCAATCTGCCAGATCATGCTTCAACCTCAGCTGAATCTCATCCAACAGGTGGTAACGTGTTGACCACAAACCCACGTTGGAGTGCTACAACAATTACCCTAAACTGCAAACTCCACCTCATGGTCGACCGTTCATACCACCGTCTTGGTCTCCCGCCCCAACCATGCGGCGCAGCTCGTACTCGGCCGTCAGGTCGCGGCCAAGCTTGTTATACGCTGTAAGCAGGTTCGAGCAGACTTCGATCAGGATCTCGCGTGGCGTCTTTGTGCCGTCCGTCTGCAATCGGATCATGACCTCAGGCACGTTGGGGTGCGCGACTGTGCATTACAATTAGTGATTCTGGTTCTCGGAGACGTCTTCCGAATCATATCTCCAGCTCGGAGACAATCCAATGACGGAAGCATGGCGTCCTCGACGGATCCTCACATGCCTGTCACTTGTAACTTACCTTTGTATCCGGCCATCATGACGTTCCGGTGCATCTTGAGGTGCTCGCTGAGCAAGTTACCCAGGGTGTGATCCTCCTTGAGTAGGATGAAATCGGATGTATTTGACATGCCTATCATGAACACGCAGGTCAGAGGGGTTCCGGTGCTATACGCGCGCCCTGGAGACAGTGAGCAGTGAGCTGCTCCGGCGTGGCTTACCAGCAAAGGGCTTCTCAGTGATCTTCTTCTCCCCCTCCTCAACGAGGAAGAGCTCGAAGCTACATCAGGCAAGTGTCAGCGAGCGCACTGGAGTGAAGCTATACAACGTGAAGCTGGCTTGGAGAAAATGCAGACGTTTCCTGGACATTGTTGTGCTTGACGTTGGCCATTTCGGCGTTGCTAAATCTTGCTGTGGTCCTCTGGACGGTTGATTGCGGGATGGCTGATGGCAGGTCGGCAGAGCCAAATGGTTGAATCCGCCCGCATTGGTCGTTGTATCAGATGGAAGGTGCTCCCAGGTTGCGCCGTGTACTCGCAAAGATTCGCGATAAGTGTGGCCAAACACCATATGAGCTCCGGACAATGCCGCCTCAATGTTACTCCAGTTACGGAAGAGGGCACCATATCTTGAGGCATCCATGGCCCCGACACTTCCTTTCACCCAACACCGCAGTATGAATCTACATGGCACTTGTATAGACCCAGCCTGGCGCTGTCTAGCACACCGCGAGCCTCATCGTGTCCGCAAATTGCGATTTGTAAGGCGCAGTGGAAGCCTCGCCATGCGCACATTGACAAGCAGCACATGGTCCGTAGCATATCCTTGTGAAGCGTCTCCAGAATCCGAACGTTGGGAAAGACAAGATGGGTAAATAAAGGACAAGCAGAAACATAACAAGAGGGAAAGGGCTGACAAACCGATCTGGCGCGTTCATGGTGATTCGAACTGGGGGCGGCGCTCAAGGGCCCGCAGTGCTTCTGATTGAGCTGGAGCGAAGGGGGGTTGGAGCAGAGTGAACAAGTGAGTCGAAGCCGCTTCCTGCCAGCGAGACGTAGTCGGCCGTCAGGCAATGAGCAAAGGAAGCGACGAGCAAGGGGCTGCTGCTGCTGCTGCTGCAAGGAGCAATTCGAACTGATGAGGTGGCAAAAACGTGGCGGTGGCTGCCAAAGAGCCGATAGTCAGAGTGAAAGAGCGCGGACGGATGAGTGGCAATAATACGCGGCCTACGCCTGGTTCAGCTCTCTCCAGATTGTTGCGAATTTTCGTCGATGTTCGTCGTTGGGCGGAGCAATCGATGGCATATGGTAACCTGGAAGGTCCAGCTCATGGCGTCGACTTCTCGGATCCAGGTGAGGTCTACCATCTGACCCACTTCGTTCAACCGTGCTTGCGCCGCACAGGCGCTCTAATCGCACTGTCCCGGGACGGAGCTAGTCGGGCAGAGCACTTAAACACTCAACACAGGGGTGCAACGTGAAGCAAGCAAGCAAGCCAACTGGCACAAGCGGCAAAGTTTCAATTTAGGATATTAACTGCTAAGAGTTTTCCAGCGCCTGATATGCCTTGCCAATCGTCCAATCTAGCCCTGATATACTCAACACGGTCAGCTTCGAAGGCTGCCCAGCTGCCCGGTTCTATCCAAAACGAGAATCCCCGCGAAGCAATGCATCAAACATGCGAAAGAGGCACCCAAAGGACATCGGGAAACGAAACACGCTATGGCTGTGGGTGGTTTGCATGCACAGACTTATCATGCTTGCCACGTGGTAGTGGTAGTGTTACTGGCCGTGGCTGTCGCAATATTTGGGAAGGGGTGGACCACTATTGCCGTTAACCCAGCTCATGACCGTCAAGGTGGTGGTGTAGACCATGGCGATGACTCCAAAGATGCCAAGGGCAATATCGGAACCCTTCCAGAGTCGGCTGCGGGCGACGGCCTTGTAGTGGAGCATAGGCTATATACCACATCATTAGCATTACAAACGAGCACGACTGGTCGCGCAAGCGAGAGAACTTACCGGGTAGATGAAGACAAGCGGGATGCAAGCAAAGTTTCCGACCAGAGCGACGAACTTGTCCAGATCATCGGCACCACCCCAAGCGATCAGGGCGCACAAGAACACAACAAAGAAGCGATAGATGTTCTTCTGCCACTTGATGTACGGATTGTACTTGCCACTTCGCGTGAACAGAGCATTCTCCGTGATCTTAATGGCAGGGAAGATCTGCAGGGGCGTAGATAGCAGAATCGCGAGCGAGTACAGAAGCTGGACTCCATTGACCAGCTTGCTGTCTTGAGGCAGGTTCAACAGCACCACAGTCTCTGTGTGGGAGCCGTAAGCTGCGTAAGAGACACCACCCATTGTGACGAAGATAACGGTGATGATGATCATGACGTAGAACATGACCTTTGGGAACTTGGATGGCGTCTTCATCGACTCTTGGATGGGAATGATAAGACCAATACCCTCGAAGGTGAAGATGGCTGTACCGATAAACAAAGTCCAGTCTTTGTTGTTGAAGTAGATGATGTCTGCAAGACCCTTGGTGCTCAAGGTCAGAACATCATAGTAAAACAGATAGGCGAGACCAAGGACGATGAATGCATCTGCAATCAGCGCCGTGAAACCCAATTTGCCGATATCGCGAAATAGAGAAAAGGGCAGGAAGATGATCATCTGGAGCAGGATCAGCCAAGGTACTCCGATGTACGTGGTGCAGTCGGAGACAGCAAGGATGAATGCCTGCAGATTTTCGGCGGTGAAGACGATGTACGCTGCCACGAAGCCAATCTGGCTGATGACGATGGACGACAAGATGACGTTGCGCAACCATTTGCCATACAGAATGCCGCCCAGATCGCCAAAGGAACCCTCGACCTTCAGTCTTGTGGAAACCAAGAGCACGAAGCAGTAGTAGCTGAGGGCGGCCACTGCGAGCAAGATCAGGTTTGCGAAGACCATGCCGCCGTTCAAGTACGCACGTGGCAGGAAGAGCACGCCGGTGCCGACAAACGACTTGAGGAGGAGCAAAGCGCTGTTGATCGGACTGTTGTTGCCGCTCGTGCGTCTCGGCTTTCTTCTCCTCTTCCGTCTTGAAGGGGTCAGGAGCGCACTGTCCTCCATTGGCTCTCTGCTGTCATCGCTGTCGTAGGCGTCGCTATCGTCGGTGCTGGAGCCAAAGTACTCGCCAGGTAGCAGATCTTCGTCGTCCTCTTCCAGCTCCTCACCAGCAAAGTGGCCATATAAGGTCAAGAACTCGAGGAAGCTGTTGGTAAAGAGCTGGGGTTGGGCGCCGTGGCCCGGACTGGGGGCATTAGCACCTGATTCGAGATGCTGGGGGTTTGTAGAAGGGCTCCGAGCAGTCCTGCGCAGGTAGTTCCTTCGAAAGCCGCCTGGCGCCCGGATAGAGTTGATGTCGAGAACCTCATTCTCAGGTTCTTCACGGGCAGCGCTGAAGCTCTTGCTGCGCTGCATGCGATTGCGACTGTCCGCCTCTTCAGTCCAGCGGTATATCTGGCGCGTAATATCACCGCCTTGTAGCCTCAGACTCGAAAACTCGTCGTCGTCGTCTGCCACAACGTCGCCCTGCTTGCCCTTTGTGGCTTCGCCGTTGTTGGAGGCCGTGTCCGAGGCATCATTGGGTCGCACGAGATGGCGCTTGATGATCTCGGGGTCCTCGTAGGCGCCATAGCCGCCACTTTGCGCGGTCCGAGACAAGGCGTCGAAGGAGCCAAAGTTGGTCTGCACATCGGGGCCCTGGCCTGTTGAAGCCGCAGGCGAGGATGTGCGGACCGGAGGGGTGCCCAGGCGAGGTGTGGAACCAGACTCGGGCACCGCCAGTGCAGCAGCCAGCGCAGACACGCCAGGACCCTGCACCTTCTGGCCCGCACCCGGCAACGGGCTGTTGCGGCGAGAGTTTGTCGCGTCGGTCTGGCTGGTCGGCCGCCCACGCGGCGGTGTCGAGCCTAGGTAGCTGCCTGGCACGGGGGTCGCGAGGCGAGCCGTGGCATCAGATCGAGCATCGGTCGCGCCATAGCTGCGGCTGGCGAAGGAGCGCGGAGAAGAAGACAATTGCGACGCAAAATGCCCGCTGGGAGTCGACGGATTTGAGGCCTTGCGACCCGAGCCTGAGCCGCTCATCTTTCCCTGTGAGGCTGAAGTGTCTCGAAGAGTGCGTTATATACGAGACATGGATTGCTTGGAAGGAGTGTTGTTGCACGCGAGGCAGGTCTTCGTGTTTTCGCCTCCTGCTGCAGCTGCGAGTTGAAACGAGTCGAATGCAAGAGATAGGAGAGAGGAGGCTAGAGGTGGGAGGGAATGAGTCGTGTGCCTCTTGCGGGTCCGAGACCGTAAGAATGACGGCTTTGGAGAGGCAGGTCGGCGACCTCGTGATGGAGCCCTGGGCGATTGGGAACGGTGCTGTAAATCGACCCTGACCTGAGCTGCTGGGACGGAGCAGGTCTGATTCGAGACGGAGCCGGCCGGCCAGTCCACAGTGCCTGAGAATCGACCCTGAACCTGCACCTTCCTTCCTGAGCTGGGTACCCGCACATGCCGGTGACTCGACAGGCACGGGCTGGGGAGCAGTTGGCGGCCGCCTATCGACGACAGGGCAAAGGACTGAGTGTGCCGCTGATAAGCACCTTGGGCAGTTTGGGCGCCAGCCATTGGCAGGCTGATCAACTGACAACAAGAGAGCAACGCCGTGGTGGCCAATGGTGGATGCTGGAAATGCCCCCACGCCCGCTCTACACAGCACCCGGCTGATGACGTGTGTCACGGGGCTGGCCCTGGGGGGACCCTCTAAGCCTTAACCGACCAGGTCTCCAGTGCGCTATCGTCAGCGCCGCCCATGCAAGTCCAAGGCGCTGGAAGCTCGCCTTGTGAAAGCGCCTTGCCCTTGGGAATGCTGTTGTCTCACGTGCCACCGCGCACCACACAGCCCTCTCGCAGCATTGGTCGACAACACGGTCAGGAGACGGGGCATCTCGATCGGCTCAAGAGCACGGCCCAGCCGTCTAAGCTCCAGTACGTTGCATAGCAAGACCTGGGCTTCGCGGTGGACCTCCTGCAGGTGTGCTCTGAAGCTCCATTTCTAGCACATACTCGCTCCACTGCCACCGACCCCCTTGACAACATCTATGGTGGTGCAACCACATGCAGTGGACCCTCTGTGTGTCCACGATCTGCATCTTGGCTGCCGCCGCAGTGACCGCCTCTGGGCCAGGCTGCCCCGTCCCTGTGCTCCGGCCTTTTGCATGGCATTCACGGCAAACGCGGGGTGCCCCGGCTCCGGTGGCACTTGCCAGTCCTTGGCCACGCTGCGAGCTTGGCCGTTGCTCGTCCGAGTCTGGCAATAGTTCTCTGCGTTGTGATTCAACTGAACTGCTCTGTCTTCTCCCCGTCACTAGGCGCATATCATTGCTCGCCGGCCAGGACCTCACAATACTCTAGGCGTTGTAGCCCGCGCTGGCGTGCGCTGCTCATGGTCCTCCGCCATGGCACCTCCGACATCGACCAAGCTAGGCACCGCCTCAGGAGTCTACGTCCCTGTCGTACTCAACATTCTTAGCATCCTCATGTTTTTACGCTTTGGTTCTATCCTGGGAAGCATTGGTCTGTTTGGTTTTCTCGGTAAATCCCGCCTGTTCACAGTCTGCCTCCTTGGACCCAATCGACTAACACGCGGCTGCAGGACTGCTGGTGATTGCCTACCTCATCAACCTTGCAACGGCGCTCTCCTTGTCCGCCATCGCCTCCAATGGTGAGGTCAAAGGTGGCGGTGCCTACTATCTCATTTCCAGGTCTCTCGGCCCAGAATTTGGAGGCTCCATCGGCATCCTATTCTACCTCTCCCAGGTCTTGAATACGTCACTGAATATTGTTGGTCTCGTCGATTGCTTGCGGCTCAATCTGCCTGGACTGTTGCCACCCGGCTACTGGGCAAATTATGGCATACAGTCGTGTGCCATGGTGCTGTGTACGGCACTCTGTCTTGCTGGCAGCGCCATGTTCGCACGAGCCAGCAATGGACTGCTTCTGGTGCTCATTATCTCGATTGTCAGCATTCCGGTGACTGCTCTTGTTCAGGGCCCATATAACGACGTCGATAGCGGGATACACTTCACCGGACCCAGCCTCGCCACGCTACGCGGCAACCTATATCCGGCGCTTAAGGGCTCGGGTATCAGCAGTGCTGCCTCCTTCAGGTCGATGTTTGGCGTGCTCTTCCCTGCAACTTCTGGCATCTTCGCAGGCGCTTCCATGTCTGGCGACCTTCGAAATCCCAGCAAGAGCATTCCTCGGGGGACGCTGTGGGCAATGCTGACGACTCTATTGTGCTACTTGCTTGTGATCATGTCCTTGGCATTTAGCACGACCCAGCACTCATTCCTGCGCAACACCAACATCATATATGCCACAAATGTGTTTCCACCAGTGATCCTTGCTGGCGAATGTGCAACAACATTCTTCTCGGCCTTGATGGGCATTATGGGAGCTGCCAAACTCTTGCAAGCCCTCACGCGGGACAAGTTACTACCAGGTCTTTCCTTGTTCAGCAAAGGGACAAAAGGGTCAGATGATCCCATCTTCGCAGTACTAATCACCTTTACCATCGCTCAGCTGGCATTGTTTGCCGAGTTGAACCAGATCGCAACCCTGATTGCCATGGGTTACCAGGTGAGTTGGTGCTAGAATAACTCGTCATGTGGCTCAATCTGACAAATGAACTGTATTCTCACAGATGACATTCTTTGTCATGAATTTGGCATGTTTTCTACTCAAAATCGGGTCAGCGCCGAACTTTCGACCAGCGTTCAAATTCTTCAACTGGCAAACCGCCTTCATAGGCAGTATCTTGTCGGCTTTCGCTATGTTCTTCATTGACGAGACATATGCGACTTCGGCCATTTGTCTGCTGGTCCTGCTCTTCCTGCTTATCCACTATTTCAGCCCACCAAAGCATTGGGGTGATGTCTCTCAGAACCTTATCTATCATCAAGTACGCAAATATCTCCTTCGACTCAAGCCAGAGCACATCAAATTCTGGAGGCCACAAATCATACTGCTCGTCAACGATCCGCGGCATCATACACGTCTCATCCAGTTTTGCAACTCCCTGAAGAAGGGCTCGCTATACATATTAGGTCATGTCATCGTGACAGACAATTTCAACTCCGGCATACATGAAGCCAAGCTCCAACAATCCGCATGGACTCAGTACATCTCGGAGTATTCTCGTATCAAAGCGTTTGTGCAGCTCAACATGTCACCTAGTATCGTCTGGGGAGTCCGAAACCTGATATTATCAGCTGGCCTTGGCGGAATGCGACCCAATATTGCCGTTCTGGGCTTCTACAACCTCGATGACCTGAGACATGCTCGCCCCGAGCTGAATTTGCCCACGACGCAGTCTTTCCGTGACGAAATACAGTCGAAGTCTGGAATGGGAGCGAACCGACCTAAGCGGAGACGTCGTGGAGATACATCTGCGCGCTTACTGGAAAGCCTTCTGCCCACAGACACGATTAGGACAGAAAGCATGATGTCGCCGGTCCAGTATATGACTATATTGGAAGACCTTGCGCTGAGAAACAGACTCAATGTTGCTGTTGGCAAGGGCTTCCAGGCTCTCGAGACGCCGAGAGATGACGGCACGAATTCAAAGCGATTCATAGACCTGTGGCCGATCCAGATGTCTGCTGAGATTACGACTGGAGATAAGAGTTTCCTCACAACCAATTTTGATACCTGTGAGTTTCCAAGAATGGATGAAGCATTAATGGTCTATACTAAAGCTATTATACAGATACCCTCATCCTTCAGTTAGGATTTATACTCAAAAGCGTCGCTTCATGGAAAACCGTCTACCGCTTGAGAGTTCTGGTCTTCGTAGAATACGAGGTAGAAGTCGAAGAAGAGCGGAAACGGCTCAAAGCTCTACTGGACAAATTGAGAATTGATGCCGACGTGTCGGTCTTTGCCCTCGCTTCGGGAGAGCTCGAATGTTACGAGACTATCATCAACGGCAAACCCACAAGCGCCAGCGTTGAATCCCATATCGAGAACACGCTCAAAGGTGATGATTGGTGGCGGGAGCTTCAGCGTTTGCGCGGTCAAGGATCTCCAGAGCATCACGTTCCGCAAGCATTGAGCTTTGGAGATATGCTTGACAGGAATCGACGACGAGGTTCATCCCCTAGGATGGGAGCCGATCTGGCAGCCGAACGGAGAGCAAGTCACGGCGAACGGCCCAACCTACCAAAAAAGCCAACAGTTTCCGCGCTGTCTAAGATGGGCGTCAACATTGGCATGCACACGCACCAATTGGGCGCAACCACAGCAGATGGAAGACTACAGAACATCAACAACTTCTACGAGCCCAGTGAGCGCGATGAGGACGATGAGGATGTGATCGACAGCAGCGAGAGCGATTCTGACGCGTCAGATGCGGACTTCAATGATGAGGAGACCTTGCTTGGCCCTCACGAGCCACAAACACAACTTTCTGAGAGCGCGCCAATGAGGCGGCGCTTCTCTATACTCGCGGGATTGAGAAGGAGTAGCACGCCACTTCAGCGGCCTCTCCTAGCTGGCCAGAATCAGACTGTCGGAGGCCAAGAAGCTTCCAACAAGTCATCGAGTTATGGCACGATGACTGAACCTGCAAGGGACAATCGAGTCGCCGCAGCCGAGTATTTTCCGCCATATCACGCCCCGCCATTACAGACTACATCAAATGCCTCGGCTGCTGCGCCTCAACAGTCATTGCCAGCCAGGCCCGCACTATCTCGCCATGCATCTTCGTCCAGGTTTACTAGTAACCCCACACCAGATACCAAGATCAGCGTAGAGAATGGGGATCAGCCTGTGATCTCCTTTGCCGAATCAAAAAGGCCTACGGACAGGACGGCTGCCGATGTGGCGCAAGGACGGCCACCACGCCCAGGCTTGGCGAGAACAGCGTCAGCAGGTAACTTCTCAAGTGGTGTGGTGCCCGAGATGGTGGCTCTGGACAGTACTGGCGATGCATCACGCCTTGGATTCAGCCATGCAGCCACGACCAGTCACCAGCATACGAGAACCAGCAGTACGCCCAGATGGAGGACACCAGCTCATTCGCGCAGAAATTCTGGTGTGCTGCAACAAGACGGTGCGTCTGAGGAACCGATTCCCAAGAATGCGCTCTCTGACGTTTCAGAGCCTCGCAATGAGAGGAATCCGGAACAGCACGAGGCTGGTGGTACACCAGGATCTGTTTATACCACACAGGGACTGCCATTATCCTTCAACGATCTTCCGAGCACTGCTCAGCACCTAGTCCTCAATGAGCTAATGCGGAGGGAGAGCCGCGACACTGCGGTCATGTTCACAACACTGCCCATCCCAGAAGAAGGGACCTGTGAGGACGAGCACGCCAGTCTAGCGTACCTGTCAGATATTGAGGTACTCTGTGATGGGCTGCCGCCTGTATTGTTGGTGTTGAGCAACAATATGACGGTAACGGTGAGCTTGTAGGCGACGTGCCGTGTTCCCAACTCAGTTGTCGTCCTGTAGCTCAATGGCGGCGTGCACGACAAAGCCGCGTTGGAAGCTCGACAAACAATCGGAATTATGAATGCCGTGTCCAAATGGTGACGGCGCGATGGCGGATTAGCCTGCTCGCGTAAAAAGGAAACGTAGCTTGGGTGTTGGCCATGCAACTTTGAACATAGATATCACTCACATGCAAAACCACTTCATAAGCAAAAGCACACAGGCGCTCTTGCAGGCTCTATGAGTCCCGTCCTAACTTTTTGTGTTTCGTGACTGGCAAAAACACACGTCAGGACATGTTTGTGCTTATCATTCCTTTGTTCTGTCCGAGCCAACAACAACTCACAACTCATTGCACCTTGTTCCCCTCTCCTCCCTCATGTCACTTTCTTGGACACACGGAGTGCGATGTTCGCTTTATCTGTGCACCGAAGTGCTCCATGTTGCCTGCGCTGTCGTTTCCTGGATTAACAGTGGGTGACGACAGAAAACGGCTGAAGGCCGTGATAGGAAAGCAGGAGTCGAGCATTTGCATGGCAGAGTGTATTGTTTGCACAAGCGCAGTATTCGGCCCAGCGGTTCCCAGCCAGCGGCTTCCACCACCACACAAAGCCTCAGCCACTCCACGACTGCACCGAAGCATGTACCAGCTCTTCAATGTCACGGATGAAAGAGCTCATGTCGAGATCACCACGATCCACAAGGCCCTTTGTCAGTATCTGTCACGTCTGTTTTCATGACTGACACCAGCTACGTATGGAACTCACAATGAGTCGCGACATTGTCAGAGGGACAAAGGAGGTGACATGCTTTGTGCACCAGTCAAGAGTATGTGCCTCCCTTAACCATATCCTTGCCCACGCCCGTATGCAGCCTCCATAACCTCGAAATACATTTGTTGCCCAATGTCAGAAGGTCGCTTAGATCCTGAGATAGCGGACACAGAGGACACAGCAGCAGAATGCAGAGGAACGACACCACCAACACCACCGATCGGACAGCCCGTGTCCAGAAGAGACGTCCACCGCGAAGGCCGGGAAACTTGGACCTCACCCGACATGCAGACTTACTCTGTCGTCGAGATCCGAGCCGACAGCAGACTTTCTCGACACACCGACAGCGAACGACTCGCAGGAGTGTGGATGGAAAGTCTGCCTTGGCTGATATCAACAAGCCCTTGCCCCCGATCCAGCCGTGGATTTTCGACGAGCTCCAGTCAAGCAGGCATGAGTCTGACGAGTGTAGTCTCACCGATATTGTCCATCAGTACACACAAATGCAGCCTCATGAGCTGACTGGAGACGCTGCAGGCGAGCTCTACGGTGCATTGTGGGAGAATCCGGCCAAGACATCACACCCTGCCAGTCCCACGGGGGATCTTGACGATGAGCCAAACTCGGAAGACTCGATGGAGGTTCGTTTCTGCTACAAGCACTCGCCCAGTCATGAGCCTTCATCGCGAGCGCCTGGCCTGACGTGCAGAGCTTCTGGAGACAGCGATGAGTACAATGAGATCGAGTCTCACAAAACGGAACAGCGGGACGGAAACACAAGCCAGAGAGCTTACGGAGCATTTGCGGGACAGTCTATGAATGAGCACACTGTTCGATACAATGACGGCACAGTGGCGAACGGGACAGGCAGCCTCCCAGAGGCGGAGGTGACAAACAGGGCCAAGTGCCGCATAGCGGGGTGTCACCGCGAAGAAGCAGAGCCAGGAATCTGCGAGCCCTGCCGAAGGTCGTTGCAGCCACGCATGAGCGTTTTTGACACATCGCAAGGAGACTCAACTTTGGGGGAGATGATGATGATGATGACGGCTTTGGCGCCGCGAGACACGACGACACACGACGACCCGTCCCCGGCGAGCTGGGACGGCACAGATCGCGACCCTCTATTCAGCCGGTTGTGGGAGCAGGTGAGCAGGTCGGTGGTGGCCAGCCCAAAACCGCTCCCAAACGCCGTGTCTCGGGCATCGACATGTGCCAACGATCAACACCCCCCCTATTACCGCAGTCAAAGCGCCACCAACAGCGCCAGGAACAGTCCAACCGGCGCTGCTCCAAGCATAACGACTGAGCAGCATAGTCTGACAAGTCGCTTCAGCAGCGATGCGAGCCCGCGCGTGCTGCCACTGAGAATTGGACAGAGGCAACAGCACAGATTGGAAAGTATTGCGAGACAAAGAGATCGCCACCACCGTGTTGGTTCCAACTGGCATCCATCGGCTTACTCGCAACCAGCCACGGCGGTTTCATCTCCCACCTTCGTGCCATTGCCAGCAACCCGCACCCCTACTCCGACCTTCCCTCATCACCTGCCCCAGCACGACGAGCAACACCTGCTGCAGCCGAGGACATATAGCTCTGTACACAACCGCTCGGACTCCGCCTGCTCCTATGCCTTGTCGGAAACCGCTTCCCGGGGATACCACGAACGTAGACCAGCACCCAAGCGCAAAGAGTACGGCGCCAACGAGTCCTTTTTTGAATTCAGCAGCGCAGAGCCGTCACGCGCCCCATCCATAGAACTGCTCAATATTAACGGCGCGGGGTCAACTTCACATACCCAAGTCTATCCTTCTGGAGCAGCGATGGCCGAGCATATTCGTAGGCGTGCTGGTAGTGCTGAATTGCTTGAGCGGGCGAGGGTAGATAGGGTCGATACCGGCAACCGAGGAAACCAGAAACTGCCGCGCAATAACCACAGAAAGGGTGCGGGTGCCAATGGTGGAGAAGACGTCTGGATGGCCAAGGTTCCGCCCCCACGACCGGCAATGTACGACGTCTACTCCGGCGAAGAGTATCCGGGCCCGTGTCCGGACGGGTACTGGTTCTGAGATGGGCACGATAGGCTTGGCCGAGAACAGGGACCTGGTACAGCTTAATGGTTTAGATTTTGAGCACGATGCGTACATCGGCCGTCTGTATATCAAATTCCAAATAGTGTGAAGGCATAACTCCCTTGAACGCCTGCCATGCTGAACTCTTTTTCTTTCTCGAACGCTGAGTTGGCATCTCCCTTGACCCCGGCGTGCTCACCACCAGAAGCCATGTCAGTTCCCAGTCCTGCTCCGCCTTAGAATCTCTTGTCCGTGCTCACAGTCGCTAAGCGCTGCACTGTCCGCAACGCTCACATTGTCCAAAGACTGCTCAACGGGGTCGCTTTTGGCCCTCTGGTACACGCACGCGGACTAATCCATAGCAATCCCATCATCCCGGCACCTGCCACCCACCTAATCCTGCTCCGTAGCACTGCCATCCCTGGGGACATACGGATGGCCCTCGTCCTCGAGCATGCTCCGGATATCATCGGGCAGCGTCCCCGAGACCTTGATGGCGTACACGCCGTTGACGTAGTTGTCGAGCCGCTGCCACTTTGCGATCCACGACTGCCTGTTCTTGCCCATGGCGATGACGCCCTCGAAGACCTGGGACGTGCACGACTCGATCGACTCGGGGCTGTCTTTGAGTTGCAGGAACGGGCAGTTTGGGCAGCCGTAGAGCTTGAAGCGCTGGGAAATTCGGGGGGTCAGCACTCTGCCTTGTCTCTTTGTTTGCTCTGTGATTGGCAGGAGCTCTTGGTGAAAGGGGAAAAAAAAAACTCACCGAGTAGGTCATGATGATGGAGCAGACCATGCACGCGCGCGTGTAGCGCTGGTGGCTCGGCGCAACAAAGTTCTCTGACATGATGATGAATGATTGCTGTAAAGGTGCTGCTGCTGTGATGCGATGGAATTGGAGCAGGTGGTCGTCGCACTTCGCGCCGTCTATCTTCGCAGCGTCGGAGGTGTGTCGTCGTCGTCGTCGTCGTCGTCAATCAGCTGGTGGGAGTGAATGAAATGTGGTCGAGCTCCGGGATATGGTCGAAGGCCTGTAGCGCGTGCGCTTCAAGGGCTCTCGCTGTGGGCGGGCGCGGTGATGGATGGTCCAAGGCTCGAATCAGAAGAGTGTCGATGGCTGGGATTGCTGTCGTCAAAGCTCGGAGCAATTCCGCACTACCTAAAGCATGTACCTACAAGGAGCACCTTGGCAGGGCCCTTGCCGCGCGACGTTGACTTATCGGGCGCGGCTTGCTTATCGACGCACTCCGTTTTTGGCACTGTGTTGGAGGGTCTCGAGCACACTAACAGGAGCTTCCATTGCTTGCCTGGATAGGATAGCTGCAACTGGCTTGAACAATTCTTGCCCCAAGGGCGATCTCGACTCCGAGCAGCACAAGAATATCAAACACATCTCAGAAGAGATCCTGAAATAACCGCGCCCGGTTTTGTTCACAAATTATTCTCAGAAATAAACTTGGCCAAGACACAGGCCTCACCGCATCTCATATCAGACACAAAACTTTCAATAACACCTAAGCCATGCCATTGCCAGACAAGATGGACATATCAGCAACCACCATCCTCACCACAACCTCTGCCACCAGCTCGGCACCACCACCACCACCAAAGGCGTCAAAGACTCTCGAGCTCGCCTCCCGCACCATAAGAGCCCCGCCACACGCCTACATCCACCTCCAGCTGCTCACTTCTTCCGCTACCTCCTCCTCGTCCTCCGTCGCCCACGTCGTCGCCGAGGACGACGACGCTGGACAAGACGAGCAGCTAGACGCCCTGCAGGTAAAGTCGTACTGCTCCGCCGCCCTGAAGCAGTTCCTCGGCCTGCACGGCAGCGCGATCCCCTTTGACATCCTCAAGGTCGAGGGCAGCCACGGCTGGATCAGGGTGCCCAGGGACGACCTGGCTGCGTTCGCGGCGGCCATCACCGCGTGGTCGGGCACGTCGTCCGGCGGCCAGCATGTCACGCTCAGGCTCAAGGGGTGTTCGGACTGGCTGGGGACTCTGGTCGGCCGGGACGGTGAGGATCGCGTGTGGTCTGGGTAGGGGCTAGGATCACGCCAAAGGGAAGAAAAAGATGCGTAGCTGTTGGGAGAAATCATCAAAAGTTATGCGAGCCGCAGCTATTGAGCAGACATGTCTCAAGATGTCAGAAAGCAACAGCCAAGTAGCTCGCCCAACTCATCGGGCGCGTCAACAACGTTGTATCCACATACACACAACCTGGTAAGTACATCCAGCCCTGTATTTTTCCCCAGAACGCCCATGCTATTCAATGCCTTGGAGCAGCAATGTCATATGGTATATGGCTCGTTATGCAAGATAAGACACCCTTGTTTCCCATCCAATTATGCCGCTGTATGAAAAACATCCTCCTTACATCATCGATCCAAGCGAGTTGTTTGCGTAAGCCTGCGGGGAAAAGCGATTAGCTGACTATTACACAACAAAGCCAAGTAAGGCTGAGTTTTTACGTACCATTGGCCTGATCGGCGGGTGTGGGACAGCATCAAACTGGTGGAAGCTGAGCTTGTAGCTGGGGCTGACATTGATGTACGCTCCCCGGTTCTCGGTCTGGTCGCAGTACTTCGGTGCCGAAAACACTACACGCAGCTTTTAGTACGACGTGGCGCCAACTCAAGAGCACTGCTGCGGTTCTTACCTGTGATGCACTTGCCGTCGTGCTCCTCCTCGTAACCATCCATGCGCACCTCATGACTGCGAATGATGGCGTCCAGACCGTTCTTGTCGCAGAACCTCTTGGTCACGTCGGGTCCGAACTGCATGCCGACACCGCGCTTGCTGGGGCCACGGCCTGGCGCTGTCTGAGGGTCGGTCCAGAGCATCTCCATCATCAGACCAGACTGGCCAGGCTGTCTCTGAGCGTGTCTGTCGAGCTTCCGGATATCGTCGAGGGTGACGTTGTCATCTGAGAAAAGACCACCGTGGAGGACCAGGTATTTGGAACCTATCAGGGTGGCTAGAGGGAGTGCTGAGAAACTCTCAGAGAATAGCTTGAAGACACTGTTTTTGTGGTAGAAGCGGTTAGCACAGAGTTTGGGGTCACAGAATAGAAACATTCAAACGCACCGATCGTTGTACTTGGCCTTGCACTCGCCCTCGAAGCCATAGACCTTGTTCATGTCGTCCGTCTCATGGTTACCTCTGTTGAGGTACATGCCGTTGGGACGCAGCCACTTGTATGCGTAGAGAAGCAGGGCAATCTCCGAGGACCATGAACCTCTGTCGACGAAGTCACCGTTGAACAGGTACCAGTGCTTCTCCTCAGGACGTCCGTTCAGCCTGAAGAGCTCCATCAGATCAAAATATTGGCCTGCGCGAGTTGTCAGTCAGCATGTCTGGGGAGTAGGGAGAGAATTTTGACGCCAGGAAAGATACTGACCGTGGGTGTCACCACAAACAGTGAGCTGGACGTCGTCGGGTATTGTGACCTCGACCATTGTGGGCTCCTCGTATACAATCTTCTTCACGGCAATGACGATCTGGTACACAAACTTCTTGTGGATCTTCTTTCCGTTCTTGAAGCGCTCAATCATGTCGTCGATGAACTCTTGTGTCATCTCGTCCTTGATCTGGACGCCGTCGTAGTCGGGCTCGATGGCAATGGCGTCAATGTCCAGGCCCTCGGCGGCCGAGGGCTCGTCGCCCACCTCGATGGCGGCATAGAAGTTGAGCTGGCGGACAATCTTTTGGCAGTCGGCCAGCTTCAGCTTAGCGTCTTTGTTGTTGGGGTCGAGCTGGACGACCTGCTTGAAGTCCCGGACGGCATCTTTGGGCTTGAGGATGGCGGCGTATGCGACGGCACGTCGGAAATAGGCCTAGTAGAGAGGCGCTCAAACTCGCGATCAGCGTTTTGGTCCGAGGAATCAGCCAGGTGGACAAGACCATACCTTGACGAGCTTGGGATTGAGCTCTATCGCCTTGGTGGCGTCTGCTATGGCGTAACCGAAGGCTTCTGATTTGATGTGTGCCTATTGATGGTAGGTGTTAGCGGACATGGACATCCTGGGCACGCACGCGACAGCCTTTGGAGTGGAGGCGGGGCGGCGGCGACGGACCTGGGCCCTGTTTGTGTAGAACGTCGGTTCCTGGTCGTAGAGTTCGATCGCCTTGTCGTAGCATGCGACGGCCTTGTTCCAGTCGTGGGCAGCAAAAGCCTTGTTGCCCTCGTTCTTGGCCTCGATGGCCTGCTCCTTCGCAGTCGCCATTTGGGCAGTAGTCTATGGACGAGTTTGGTGGCGGGGCAGGTGTGGTGGAGGAGTGGAGGGTGGAATGGCCAGGCGGGTTCAGGCAGGGGCGCGCCGTAGGAAGAGTGACGGTAATGGTTGCTGGCCAGTCGATGTGGCAGAAGACAAAGACGAGCTGCAATCACGGGCGAGGTCGCAAAGGAGGGTGGACGGCGCTGGCGGAAGGGAAGACGTTTGGGTCTTGATGTTGGGATGCGGCGGGAGTCGTTAGCGCGTGTGCGCAGCGGGAGTGTGGGCAGCCCTGATCCATGACGGGCCACTATCGACGCCGCCCCTTGCTGCCACGCCACGTTCCTAGAGGTTCTATTCTTTCCCGCGCGGCAGATGCAGCAGCCAAGGCCTCGACTCTTCCAAGGTTCCGTAGGGCAGAGCTCCGACTCCGGCCGGCTCATCCCACCAAAGTGATCAACGTCCTGTCTCGGCACACCGAAGCAGTCTCAGACCCGATCCACACCTTGCTTGACTTTGGACGACCGCTGCAGTCGGCAAATTCCCAGCGCTCACTGAGGCACGGCTGTGCTGCCTAGGCTGGACCATGTCGGAAGAGCTCAAGGACGAAGTCGAGGCAATCAATTCCATCTACGGCGATGGCTGCCTCGTCGAGTCGCCGGATGGGCAGCATGTCTACATTCTTTCCCCTCCCGGAGAAGCCTCTTCTCTACGCATCGAGTTTCCTCCTTCTTACCCGGAGGAGCCTCCAGCCGTGATTGGCACAAACAGCAGTGGCGCGCAAAGTCGCAAGGGTGACGCCGCTCGCGAGCTGGCTCTCTTCCGCCAGGCCGTCGGCACAGTGTTCCAACCCGGCACTGTCTGTCTTTTTGATGCCATCGAGGAGCTCAGCAGGTTGCTCGAGGAGCTGGCGCCAGAGGAACCAGAATCGCCGATCCGAGCAGGGACAGCTGCCGAACTCCAGGATCTAGACCATCAGCAACAAGAAGCTACCGAGTTGTCACAGCCGCCTCCGTGGACCATTTCCGACCCCACGATCGAGCTCAAGTCTGTTTTTGTTGCGCGCTGTGCCAAGGTGTCTTCGACTGAGCAGGCAGCCGCCTTCGTCCAGCACCTGCTGGCCAGCGACAAGAAGATCCGGTCGGCCACGCATAACATTACCGCCTGGCGCATCAAGGGGGCCAAGGGCGCGACTTTCCAGGACTGTGACGATGACGGCGAGACGGCAGCGGGCGGGCGGCTACTGCACTTGATGCAGTTGATGGACCTCTGGGATGTCATGGTGGTCGTCACGCGCTGGTACGGCGGCCACCATTTGGGCCCACGGCGCTTTGCCCTCATCAACCAGGCCGCACGTGATGCTTTCGTCAAGGCCGGCTTTGTTGACGACAGCAAGACGTCTGGCGGCAGCAAGAAGGGGTCCGGCAAGTGAGCCAGAGAAACAAAACAGCTTCCCCGCCTGTGCGTCGCACTGTTAGTGGCACTGTCCTCCACCGCCGTGCAAGACGGTTTTGCCTAGGCGCGGCGGCCGGACCCCACGTTTTGCTTGGGGGACGGAGCGCATGCCTCGGCTCCCCACGCGGCACGGCCAAGTGCCCCCGGGCGGGTATCCTGTTCCGTTCGCCGGCCGTTCATAACTTCCTCGGACGCCATGCGATCCTCAAATCATTGGCTTCGTACTTGCTGTGCAATTCCAAGACCCCGACACGGAATTCTGCAAGTCCGACTGACAAATTGCACATTCCCGAGCGACGAGCCAGGCCAGCAACCTGTAGTCAAGTAGTCACCATGGCAGGCGAGGCCCCGTTGGCCGGCCTCAGGGTCCTCGAGTTTGCCGGATTGGCCCCTGGTATGTAGCCCACGAGCGATCGTCAAACATCACTGTCCCGATAGACAACAAGAACACAGCTTCTGACACTTCTGACCACGCATTCCAGGTCCCTTTGCTGGCGTCCTTCTGGCCGACGCGGGAGCCAATGTGCTGCGCATTGACCGAGCCGTCCCAGGCAAGACACATACCGCCGGCAAGCAGGGTCCACTCACCCCGGACATGCTCGCCCGCTTCAAGTCGTCCATTGCCGTGAATCTCAAGTCGCCCTCGGGCATCGCCCTGATCAAAGAGCTCGCCAAGACGGCCGACGTCATCATCGACCCCTTCCGCCCGGGGGTGCTCGAGAAGCTCGGCCTGGGGCCCGAGGTCCTCGGCGCCATCAACCCGCGCATCATCTACGGCCGCATGACGGGCTTCCGCCGCGACGGCAGGTACGCAGCCATGGCCGGCCACGACATCAACTACCTCGCCGTCTCTGGCGCGCTGTCCCTGCTCGGCCGCGACGGCGAGAAGCCTCACCCGCCGTGGAACATCCTCGCCGACTTTGCGGGCGGCGGCGCCGTGCTGTTCCAGGGCGTCCTGATGGCCGTGATTGCCCGCCAGCGCACGGGCAAGGGCCAGGTCGTGGAGGCCAACATGGTCGACGGCGCCGCATACCTCGCCTCGTTCCCGCGCATGGCCCTCAAGACGCCCCTCGGCGACCACGGCCGCGGCAGGAACCAGCTCGACGGCGGGTGTCCCTTCTACGACACCTACGAGACCAGGGACGGCAGGTACATGTCCGTCGGCGCCCTGGAGCCGCAGTTCTACAGCGTCCTCGTGGCAGGGCTCGGCCTGGCCTCGCACCCCTGGGCCGACGAGTCCCGGCGAAACGACCGCGCGACCTGGCCGGACATGCGGGCCGCCTTCGAGGCCGCCTTCAAGGCAAAGACCCGCGCCGAGTGGGAGGCCGTCTTTGACGGCACGGACGCCTGCTGCACCCCGGTCCTCGAGTTCCCGGAGCTCGAGTCCCAGGTCGGCCGCGAGGGCGACCAGCGGCCCGTCGTGACGCTGCGCGACACCCCGATGCTCGCGGTCGACCGGAAAGCCACGAGCCCGGCGTGGCAGGGTCAGGGCCCTGGTGTGCAAGGCGATGGGTACGAGGGCTCGCCGCTGGGCGCTGGGCAGGGCGGCGAGGAGGCGCTGGAGAAGTGGTTCGGCCTGAAGCGGGGCAGGGGTTATGATGTCGAGAATGGCGGGCTGGTGGTTTCAAAGAGGAAAGCGAAGCTATAGATGTGTCTGGTCTTTTTGGGGATAAGAAGAAACACATATATGGATAAGTTATGCTTGCCGTATTCCTTAAGACTTCAAGGTGAAGATGGAGATTCTCGCGAGGAGGTCCTTCTTGGCTCATCCATCGTTTCCAAATATCGCTACTTACTAGTGGGAGGGCAGCGTGTTTGTGAGATGTCCGTGAACGAGAACGCTGACTCCTACGGGCCAAGCCCCCCGTATAAGAGGTATTTTGTCATTTTCCCGGATTGTACCTCAGCATTCCAGGCTCGCTTCAGACTGCCAACTCAACCATAGTCATATTCTAATCATTATGTATTTGTGAAAAATAAGACAACTAGGGGTCCACAACCCGAGCTTACTACTCCGGCCGATAATGTCTAGCGCTCCCAACCCATGATCAGAGGTCTTGCGATGCTTCCCTGAAAAGGCCTCTTCCACCACGCGTGTAGACTGCGCTTACCGCGGGCTCTTCTGAACGTTTCACTGGAGCAGGTCAACTACACCATCCGTGATCTGACCGTTTCCAACAGTCCTAGTGGCTGCTAGCTGGCCAATCTATCAAGTCGACAATACTGTCGTGGGTATCGTGCTAGAATAAATGTGGCCCTGCCACTCTAGAAATCCGAAGAGCCAAGCAACGCGCCGTGCTATCGTGACGAGATCGTGGCTGGTCAAACACTTGTGAACTAAGCTGCCGAGTCGCTTGCTTGGCGTATCTACTGAACCTGCGCAACAATCTCGCTAGCCCTGCCGAGCGACTCAACCATCTGCTGACACTCCTTCCGCCGCCGGATGGTGTAGTCGCTCTCCTTGAGCAGATCGTCGAGCGTGTCAGACCGATACATGTTCTCGAGCAGCTCACGCTGCATCTCATCCTTGGTGAATCTGCAGAGTCACGTTAGCATTCATCATCCTTGCAGCTACTCATAATGAAATCACTTACTGAACCAGGTTCAGCATGATGGCCTTGGGGACCATGTCGATCATAGTCCGCCGAACAATGTTGAAGTAAGATTGGATCAGCAACTCTGCGATGCGTTGTCAGTAAAGATTTCGGTCGAATGTAACGGCTTCGGTGGAACATACTAATAACCTCGACCTCGATGTTCTCCCGTTCCGAAAGCGTGCCAGAGGCCTTAAGTGTAGGTGGAGGACCCTCCATGGCGGCGGCCTTCTTCTTGTTCTTGGCAGCAAAGAAGCTGCCAAAGAAGCCAGAATTGCTGTCGCCATCCAGCGTCGGGCTGACTGCACGAGCGGGTGTAGCAGAGGCCGGCAAGGGCTTGCCGGTCTTCGGATCAACCTGCACCGGCTTCGCGCCGTTGTGCCGCTCGTTAACCATAGCCATGGCACGGTGACCGTTGAGGAAGTCGGGGTGGCCAGTGTTGATATAGCAGGCCTCCATGGAGACGAGATCCTTGACGAGCTTATTGGTGGGCTCCATGGCCTTCTTGAAGAAGCCAATGACGACTGCGTGGACCTTCTCCTTGAGCGAGGGGTACCTCCGGTACAGCTGCTTGGACAGCAGCTGGGTCAGAATACGGACAAGCTCATCATAGACGAGCGAGACACACTTGAGACTAGGATCCTCGAGGCGCTTGATCTGCTGCTTGACGATCAACTCGAATGCAGTGGTGCCGACAAACAGCGCTGGTGAGGAACCAGAAGAGTTGTACAGAATTGTGCGAATGTCGACGTCCTTGACCATGTCAAACGGATCGACGGCCTTGACACCGTTTGAGTAGAGCTCATGGAACACAAAACTGATACGCGCACCGCCGGACAGCTCGGTACTCGAAAGCTCTGTGTTGTTGCCGTCCAAAACCGTCCTCCACTCGTTTGTGAACTCGGTGATGATGTTGAGTACGATGTTGCCGCTGTTGCCCAGCATGGAAGGGCCGAGACTCTCGAGCTCAGCAGCGTACTTCTGCAGCGAGCTAGAGATTCGGGCCTTGATGTCGGGCAGGGTCTGCTTGATGTGCATCATGAGGATAAGGTTGAGCTTCTTGGCGAGGTATGGTGTACCACAGTACGAGCTCTTGTTGCGGTAGGACTTGTGGTTCTCGAAGAAGGCGCGCTCGGCATCGAGTGAGGCAGCAATCGGCTTCTTGTTATCGATGTCGCGCTGGCCTCTGTTGACGACAGGAACGTAGCCCAAGCGCAGAGGAATGATGCGGCCGGCAAGAATGTCGACAACGTCGGTGCCCTCGTCCATGAGATCGACCTTGGTCAAGACACCGATTGTCCTCTGTCCCTCCGGGTCGACCTCGCGAGCCAGCTGCAGACCATCGGAGTTGGCAAGATCGATGTTTGCGGCTGTGACGGCAAGGACGATCGCATTCGACTTCTGGATATACTTGAGAACCATTTCGCGGATTTGGCGCTCGATATCGCGGGGCTGGTCACCAACCGGGACCCTCGTCAAGCCGGGCAGATCGACGAGGGTGAGGGTGAGGACGTTGGGCGAGTACACGCGCAGGTTGATCGGGGCCGGGGAGATGCCTGCATTCTTGCCAACCTTGGCCTCTGTCTCGCGGCTGATCTCCTCGCGGATCTTGTTGAAGTCGTAAAATTTCTGGCCGGGAATGTGAAGGAACTCGCCCCACTCGTCGACGTTGGCAGCCTTGTCTGTCGACTTCTCGACGGCCTCGTTGACGCCATTCTGTTGGCCGGCGGGGCGGTTGATGAGCTGGAGCACGAGGGGTCGTCTTGTTACGATGCCAGAACCACGAGGAAGGCTGCACGCAGAGGTCGCATGGTGTCAGTCGCTTCCCCAAGTAGAGTTGGGACGGGCCATCAAAGGGGAGGAAGGTGAACTATGGTACGTACAAGTCTCGGCCAACGATATTCTCGAGTACTGAACTCTTACCGCTAGACTGACTTCCGACGACGACGATCTGGGGCAGGTCGATGGGGTTGTTGACTCCGACAGTCGTGAAGACATCTTGGAGCTTGTTGACGGTCCTAAAAGGCACGCAACGTGTCAGTAAAGTTGTCTTCTGGCGATCCTCGAGACGGGCTGTGGCCCCTGGTGATGTCAGGGGGAAGAGTGGGCGGTGGGATGGAGGGCGGGCGGTTTACTTGATAAGGGCTGGGTCGGAGATGCCGCCCATGCCGGCGAGGGAGTCGCTCATGATGGTGGGCTGTGGTCTGACACCTCTGCGCTGTGTGTGGTGGTGCGCGATGCGATGCTGGTTGGCAAGGGAGGTGGTGGTTGTGGTTGTTGTGTCTGGAAGTGACGATGTGTCGCTTGGAGGTCGGCTTGAGAAGTTGCGGGAACGGTGCGTGGTTGGCCTAGGGGTGCAGCACAACCACGGCGGGCGGGCGGTATGGTATTGGGCGTGGATATGGTGGAGATGTGGGGTGCAAGCGGCGGGACAAGGCAAGGGGCGGCGGGCCAGCGACTGTCGTTGGGCTGTCACGGCACCAAGTCCTTTGCGGCTGTTGATTGAACGAGGTGGAGTTCCGGTGATAAACGCTGCAAGGGCTCGAGAGCGATGGGATTAAAGCGAGAGATGGCTGTTTGTCACAAGAAAAACTTGTATGTGAAAGGAGGTCATGTGGATGACCTCACATCCAGGTCCATGGGACCATTATTGCTGTGCTGCTTTTATCCTCCCTGATCCAGGGCTGGGCCGTTGTTGCAGCTGCCCAAGGCAGGCGATCATGTCCCAGCCAGGTCCAGGCAGGCATGTTTAAGGTACCTAGGTAGGGCTCGCAGGCCCGCCGCTTGGGCATGGGTGGGTGTCCTTGATGCAGACGCCTAGCGCAAAGATTACATTGGTTTGCTTGGTTGGAGTCCTCACTTTCCCATCCTCTATTCGCTGGGTGGCCGACGAACACAGCTCAAATTCGGCAACGGTGCTCAGACAAGCCGGGTGCGTGGCTAATCGCCCCATCATTTTCCGATGATGGTGGCTGCCTGCACGTGCTGGTCTCTCGGCCACCGCCACAGCGTTTTATGTCGCTGCCTGACCCTGCCGCGCGTACCAGCGTCCCACAGCGATGACCACAGATGCCGCAGCGCAATGGTGCAAGTTTAGACTCGTCTTGCCATTTTGCAACCATCTGTCGGGCCGCTATGCTGTTCTACGACTGTATGGATCTCCACTCGAGTTTGTCTATCATGCCATGTCCGTCTCGAGGTGCAGAAATCACTGCTTCGGATGTGCAAACCCATATAACGATAACGAAAACAAAGTAAAGACAACCCCAAGAACTTGCACCCGAACGCCACACCAAGTTGACAACCTGCACATAAAGAATGACTAAAGGGGTTAGTCCAGGCCCACCATCATGCAGGAACACTCCACTCGCGCCAGAAGCTCCCATGAACCTGTTTGGGAGTGGTCTAATATTCGTCCATCACTGCGCCTGCAGAAAAGACGAAGTCCAGGGAAACGGAGAAGAATCTCGACGGCCTCTCCTAAGAGCCGTTGAAGCTGTTGCCAGTCTCATGCTGTCGGTTCTGGAGGTCCGCCCTCATCTTTGGGAAATTGCTATTAGACCAGATCTTGACCTTGCCGTCGTCGCCGCATGATGCAAACAAGCACGGGTCAGTTGGGCTCCATGATACAGAGTTGCACCGCGGGGTGTGTCCGCTCAGCTTCTCCACGGCCTCCTCGCTTGCCTTATGCCAGATGAAAACGCAGCCATCTGTAAAAACTACCATTAGCACACGTGACCAGTTTTGGATACTTCGCTGTGAAGGAGATCTTACCCTCGCTTCCGCCTATGACGTAGCTCTCGTTGGCCCCGCCAAAGTCATTTCGAATCATGTACTCGCCGCCTCCGTGGCCGGTATACTTCTGCACCGTCTCTCGCTGGACGAGGTCGATCAACTGTGCTACTCCGTTGTTATGGTTGACAAGCAAGTGTCGACAGTCCTGGCTTATGTTGACGGAGGCAAGGCGGACTTGCAGATCCATTTCGTACTCGAGCTCTCGCGTATGCAGATTGAATGCTTGGATGTGGCTTGTATCGTCCATGGCTACGAGCCATCTTCCATCGCGGGACATGGCCAGGTCTTCCACTCGACGCTGGCTGGGCCAGTCGAAAATCTTGCCCATCGACAGGTCCCATTGCACAAGACTGCGGGTCTTGTCTAACGAGCCCGTGATGAAGCTCTGATTATCCGCAGCCCAGACGGCGCTACATACAGGCTCTTGGAAGCGCTCCGAAGTCTTGAGACAGAATCCGGTCTGTGTACAGGGCGTTAGTCACTTTGCCAACGCATTCAGCACGCCAAACCGCAATGAGTCGGACTCACATTCGTGTCCCATAACCGCGCGTACCGATCCTGGCAGCAGGTCACAATTAATGAGTCGTCCCAGCTCCACGCTACATTGCCGACCCCGTCGTTGTGGCCGCCCAGCACGTGCAGCTGCCTGAAGGATGGGACCTCCCATAAGATGACCTTTTTGTCACTGCCGCAAGTTGCTAGCCGTGTTCCATCGTGGGAGAAGACGACCTGCCAGACCTCCCCATCATGATCATCCAGCTCGGCAACATTCTCCGTGGGAAAGTTGCGGCGCTCACATCGGTGATCGGAGTAAAGCGAGGTGCTGGAGTTTGAGTGCCAAACGCAAGAGCCCACCTGACTTGCCTTGACCTGATGTAGCAGGATCGCAAGCCGGTGCTCAGGAAGCATCACCGATGGTGAGATGCATTCTAAAAAAGGATGTTAGTGGCACATAAGCATGATCACTTCAGCCACAGACTTACTGGACAACTCGGAAAGAAGAACTTGTCGAGATTTGCCATATGCGCCATCCCACTCGGCCTTTGTTCGAACCTCGTCCGCCGTCTGGCACATGAGCAGCCCGGACAGGAAGTGGAGCTTGCCGCTTTCCTGATACAGAGGGGTCAGCTCTGTCCGCAGAGTAGCAACTGCTTTGGCAGTGTCCCTTCTCTCGAGCTGTTCGAGATATTTCTGCTGTCGTATCCAGAATCGCATCATGTTTCGATCCGCTCCCGCCGCCAGCACAAGTCCATTTCCTGCTTCATTCGACCGCTCGCCTGTTATGGCTGCGCCACTCAGCAGCTGCTGCGCGGCGGCCCATTCGCCCTCTAGCACGGCATTCCTAAAGCTCGTGACTGCAGAGCTCTCGAGCTCGAATCCACTATCACGGCTGACACTATCGGCTGCAGACTGGTAGCCCATGTCGGATAGAGCTTGTATCAGCAGTCGTGTCACCTCTTCGCTATCGTGGCCAAAGTATGACTTGGGCGGTGCTCGTCGATGCGAGAATCCGTTTGTCGAGCCTGAGACCACCTTGTGGCTGCCATTAGCGTCTGGCCGCGGCTGAGAGTTGCCGTTGGCATGTGGCCGAGTCGAGCCGTTCGAGGCGGTTGGTGTGTCGGCGTCTGGGGACATTGTTGCGTCGATTCGCCTGCGTTTGTGTGATGGCCGGGCGGCAGGGCTTGATCGTGGAGAATCTGCTCCCGCAAGCTGGGCTGCGGAGCCTGCGACGCCAGTGTCACCACTCGGGCTCGAGTCTCGTCGTCGCCGTCGTCCTGGGGCTGCACGTGGGGCTGGACTGTGATTTGCTTCAGTCGTCAAGAAGGGCGACACGGCGGTACTTTGGGACTGATCGCCCAGTTCCAACGACGTCGAAGGGAGGGTGCTCGAGTTTGCTTGATGCAGGAGAGAAATAGGGCTGACAGGGCCGGCCGTGCCAGACGTGACACTGTGCGAGGGCGGTGACTCGAGTGAGGGTGCGGTTGTCTCGTTAGCACCAGGACTAAGCGTGTCGGCGGAACGAGAATGTTGTCGTTGGTCTGCCACTTCGACTCCGGCGCGGGATGTTGTTGTCCCGCAGATCTTGGAAAGGAGGTGCCGCACTGGATGCTCGATATTGGAAGGCAAGGTCGAGGGAATACGAAGGCAGCCGAACTCGCAAGGCTACAGAACCGAAGGAAAGCTGGTTGGTAGCATGCACGGGGTTGTCTTGAAGGACAAGCCCAGACGCTGAGTGGCTCGCGACGAGTGGACACGGCCGGCTGTGACTGGTCGTTCAGAGTCCGTGTGAAGCACAACGATAGAGCGTGACCTCATGTGAGCCGGGCTGGGTGGAAGCGGAGGGCCGTTGGCGTCGGTGGACAGCCTGGGACCACTTTAGGCTCGGAGGAGGCGGCGGCGAGTGGACGATTAGAGTTGGGACAGGCGCGGTGGGCCTGAGGCAGACGGCTATCGAGCAAGAGCAGGGCAGCAAGTAGCAGTTGGCGGGTTCGAGAAGGATCGTGGGCGGAGAAGGGCAGGCTTTGTCGGTGAAGAAGCTGTGAAGCATGGAGGACAAGAGAAGAACATGGCACAGCATCGGAGGATCTGGATAGAGGATGGAGGCTCTGGACACTCGAGTTGGGGCAGCAGCGCGTGCAGGGGCCCGAGCGATTGCGGGCGAGCTGCAGGCGGCCGGGATGGGGTTTGGGGCGAGCGAAGCAGGTGACCCCGGGGCGTTGATGTCAGCGCCCCAAGCCCAGGCACTGGGAGCCAGGCCAGGCCAGGGCCTCCACAGAGGGAGGGTGCCTGTCACGAGCGGTTCCGCGTCAAGCTCACTCACTCGCTCATCCGCTCGATTGTCCATCCGTACGTACATGAGACACACAGTCGCGAGCAGGACCGGCCCAGGCTTGCCACGTCTTGACTGCATCACCCTGCGTGGTGCTATATTGGCCATAGCCACGAGTCAACGCAAGGGCGACAGGCTAGCAATCAAGCGGCCCCGACAGGATGGATTCCTCCAGATAAGCTGCCCGACTTATCACGACTGCATCTGGGCCGATCACGTCAGGCCCGCCAGCAGATCTGGCGGTGCTGTGCACGTTATGCATGCGGACGATAAGCCAGGCTGCACAGCACATCTTAAGGACCCAGTTGTGTTCTGGTTGCTTACAGGATGGGACTCCGGGCATGGCCTTGTGATGGAGACTTGTGGAGCTAGACCGGAAGACCAGACCAGACCGCAGAGAGGCAAAGTAAAGGTATGGATTGATGTTGAGCCCAGCAGCTGCTTCTGAGACCCTGACTGCATCTGTGCCTGCCTGGGCCTGCAGGCCAAAAGCTGGGTGCCGCCGCCAACAAGCGAACTCGATACATGAGGTATAAGACCAATGCGAGACCGATATCTTGCCGAGAATGGGATTGCGAAGAAGATGCACCACACCACCACCCATGGTCGTCGCACTGTTTTAGTCGCACTCTCTGCTCGCACTCGCTCCCGGCTGTCGCCTTGCAGCTACTCAGCTTGGCCAGCACCAGAGGTGGTGACGCTAATATCCCCCTCCAAGAGAGGTCCAGCAGTAGAGCTTGTTGCGGCAGCCCCCTGTGCTCGTGTGCTAAACCTCGGCGAGGGAGTGCACCACGATGCAATACAAACTGCCAAAGGTCTGGTTGGCACAACCCAGTTTCCCCACGAGACATAAAATGTTCACGGCGCCACTGCCTGGGTGGCCGGATCATCTGAGCCTCTCGACCGACACCTGCCTCATCCAACCATCCACTTACGTCCAAACAGATCACTCCGCTATTACTTGACACCCAGGCATAGTCCCAATATTGAGCACGCAACCGGGAGTCAAGCACTTGAGAGCAGCCTGGCACAGTCGCAGCGACCCAGCCACTACAGGCAAACCGCACAGTGTTAGTTCAGTCCGACACAGCACCGCCCGCTACAATGTCACGATTCTTTCCCCACCCGGCGTACGCAGAGGACCAGCCCTACGCCAAGACAATCCTCACCACGCACGTCCTCACCCGCGGTGTCACGACCGGCACCGTCATTGGGGGCATCTTGTTCGGCAGCACAGCCCTCGCCGCGCAGTTGCGAGCCCGGAAGACGACCAGCGTGCGTGTGCCATCCACCGCGCCCGGGGCACAGCGCTTCCTCCGGGGCATAGGCGTCTCCACGCTCTGGACCCTGGGCTTCGTCGGGGTGGGCATGGTCGCCCGCATGTGGGGCCGCGACGACATCGAGTGGAGGGACCGGAGCTGGCGGCTGCTCGAGAACAAGGGCCAGCTAGAGTGCGACGATTGGACCTACGCAGGCATGGCCGTCGGGTTGGCCGCATCCGCCGTCATGCTAAGTAGGGGCCGCTTACCCCCGGGTGCGCTCGCGGGTGTTGGCGGCGCCAACAGCAGCGGTGCAGTCCGGGCCACAGAGATGCTCGGCACAGTCAGCCTCGGCAGCTTTGCTGGCATGCTCGGGTACATGGGCTGGAGGTATGGTGTACATGGTGGCAAGTTTCCGTCGGACTGAAGCACAAGGATTGAGTTGGATCCAAATGTAATTTGTCTCGCTTCTACAGCCTGTTTGGGGTGTGGTTGTGATCCCACGGTTTTGCGAGCTGAGATGGGATAATCATTCAATAGCATTGTGCAATTGTGCTTTCATCTAGTTTGAATCAAAAGCTCGATTTTCTTCGGTAAGCATCACCGCAAGCATAATCGAAGAAGTCTACATTCAAAACTCGATCGAGAATATCAAGAAAGTTCCAAGGAATCACAGCTTCGCTCTTGGAGGCACCAGCTCCTCCACTCGGGCGAACTGGTAGTAGTACTTGAGCGAGTCCGGGTTCGACACAGTACCACTGGGCTTGACCGTCTCGCCACAGACGATCTTCTTGACGGCAATTTCGATCTTTTTGCCGTTGATTGTGGTCTGCATGACAAGTCAGCTTGTGCTAGGAGAAGGCGAGAAAAGAAAATAGGAAAAAGAAATTAACACCCCAGGCCGGGCGCAATGAGCTGTCATAACCTGGACCGACCCAAGTAGAATTCGGGAGGAGCAGGAGGAAAGCCGAGGGACCAAGGAGTTTACTGACCGGAATCTCGGGCGTCTCAAAGATGTACTTCGGAACATGCCTCTTGCTCCGCTCCCTCGCAATCGCCTCCCTGACCCTCCGCACGAGGTCCTCGCCGAACTTCTTGCCCGGGCGCATCATCAGGAACAGCATGACGCTCTCGTCGCTGTCCACCCCGGGCCGCCTCTGCCCGACCACCACGCTGTCGGCAATCTCCTCGGCCAGCGCGCCCTGCTCCAGGACAGAGTATATCTCTGCGCTCCCGAACCGCACGCCGCTCGGGTTCAGCACGCCGTCGGCCCGCCCCAGGAAGGTGATCTGCTTCGTGACCGGGTGGACCACGACGTGGTCCCCGTGCGCCCAGACGTTGTTGCCGTACCGCGCAAAGTAGGCGCCGTGGTATTTCGACTTGTCGGCCCGCGCGGCGAGATCCGGATCGTTGGGCGCCGCGCCGTCGCCCCAGAGGAACACGGGCACGTTGGGGAACGACGCGGTGGCGACGAGCTCGCCCGGCGTGCCGTCGGGCACGGCGCTCCCCGGCCCGCCGGCCTCGACAAGGGAGTCGTAGACTGCAATGGGGACGCCGAGAGAGGGGCCCTGGATGCCGCCGACGCGGACTGGGGTGAGTGGGTTCCCTGCGGCAAAACAGCCGGCCTGGCGGTTTTCTTAACGTTAGTCGTAGAAATGAACGGGTTTGCTTGACGAGCGAAGTTCAAAGTACGGGCTCCAAGACTACTGGATGAGTAGGAGGAGGAGGAGGAGGAGCACTGCTTACGATATCTGTACCGCCAGAAATGTTTGACAGGTGAACTTGGGCGGGAAATCCTTTTTCATAAAACCACTCAAACAGCTCGTTGCTCAGGACCATGCCAGTGCTGGTGACGAGCTTCAAGTTAGACAAATTTGTCAACTCGCGCGGCGATATGCCGGCCTTGACGAGCTCCGCCATCCACCGCGGGCTGATCCCCAGCTTGGTCACCTTTTGCTCGCCGATGAGCCGCACAAACGCCTTCGCGTCGGGGATGAACGGCGACCCGTCATACAGGATCACCCGTGCACCGACGCACAGCTGCGCGGGGATCTGGAGCAGCATGATCCATCCGACCGTCGTGTACTGCAGGGCCACGTCTGACGGAGTGGCGTCGCTGTGCAGCCGGCCCTCTTTGAACAGGCTGACGAGCACGCCACCGACGGAGTGCACAATGGCTTTCGGGATGCCCGTCGTGCCAGAGGAGTAGCAGATCAGGAACGGGTCATGGAAGGCGAGGCGTTCAATGGGAGGAGGAGCTGCTGCTGCGGACGTGGACGAGAGAAAATTGTCCAGAGTCTGAGTCCTGGGAATCTTGCTGATGTCGAGTGGCTTTTGCTCAAAGCGAGGTATGGAGATAAGTCCTTGGAAGTTGGCGCAAGGCTCCATGCCTTTGAGAATCTCGCTCATCTTGTCACGAAGGTCGAGAGTCTTGCCATTGTACACTGCCGCATCGTCCATGAAGATGAACTGTTACAATCATGTCAGCGGCATCCCACGCCTGGAGACTCTGGTGTACAGCTACTCACCTTTGGGTCAATCTGGACCGTCCGCTGCAACACTCCCTGGGCTCCCATATCGCTCGAGCTGCTACTGAAGATGCCGCCCACCCAGGTCGTCGCAATGAGGATCAGCTGCGTCTCGACGCTGTTCGATCCAACGACGACGATCCTATCGCCACGGCCGACGCCAAGGGCTTTCAGTGCCGCGGCATAGTGAGCCGACCGAGCGCGCAGCTCACCCCAGGACACCTCCTTCAGCTCAGTGCAGCCCTCTCGGACAGCCGTAAGGGCAATCTTGCTGTCCTCCTTGCCAGTCGTCCCGTGGTAGTCCTCGGGGTCTGCTGCACTGCTGCGTGACCAGAGCACATTTTCGGCAAAGTTGAGGCGGACACCCTCGAACCAATGCGGAAGGTCGTTGATCGGTGCGCTCTCATCCACTACGCGGGTATAAGAGCCCTCGTGTATGATGTGGAGATAGTCGAACAGCTGGGCGTAGAATTTAGATCGGTGGTCGATGGACCATTGGTAGAGATCTTGGAAGGTCTGTCGCGAGTGTAAGCGAGCTTATCCCATCAGGAAGACATAGGAACGTGGGCTAGTGCCCTACCGAAAGCTTGAGGTGGTGATCTCTGTTGACAAGCTGCATGAATTTGTACATCTGTGTCGACTCTGGGTCGGGGTGAGACCAGAGCTCACGTGGCAAGGGTTCGGACGACATGCTAGCAGCTCTCCAAACAAATGACAAGAAATATCAACGTTCTGTTCTGGCTGAAAATCCGCATAGAAAATTTGACATGTCACAAAGGAAGAACGGATCGGAGGGCGGAACGAGATGGGTACGGTGCGTGTTGTAGCCGATGCAGGAGCCGCTTCCCCGCATCGTCCGGGGTGCAGCTCGGAACCCACCGCGGCATCTGCCGAGTGTGGAGTTGGCCGTGCGGAGTAGCATCAGTGCCGAGCAGATCAGATGGACAAGCAGGTCAGATCAAGCCTCGGGCAGTTGCATGCTTGGTGATGCACTTGACAGAGCTCCAGGTAATCTGAGGATGATCCAGAGTTGCTTCTGTACCTGAACTGTAAAACGCTCCCGCGAGGCAAACAAGGCGTTCTTGATATCAATATTATTACAGAGCCCCGGCGATGATTTCGGTCCGAGGTATATGCTAAGCCGATAAAGTTGATAAGCTTAGCTCGGTCCAAAGCATTCTCGATGAATTGCGACTTTGGGTGCACACTGTTGGGTGACCCGCCGACTTCCAGTATCGTTGCGCAGGGATAGGAAATTTGGTTTTTTGGTGGCTGTATCTCTACACTAAATATACTGCTGGGTGTATCGCCTCAAGAGTGCAATGAAGTGGTATCCAGAGCCTACTTCAATGTGCACTAGCAAGACATCAGACCTACCAAGAAATTCGAAATGACCTCAGCTCAGATGTTTCCGGTAACGCCGGGTTCAATCCTCTCAAGTACGTCCAAGAGTTCCTTGTAGACCTGCTTCTGCGTCTTGTCGCCCAGCTCGTTCGTGATACGAGGGCTCACCTCCATGGGCTTGCATTCGGAGATATAGGTACCGTGAGTTTCAGGCAGGAGACCAGCATATACAAAGTTCCGTGCGCCATACTCGCAAGTGCGCGCAAATACCAGCATGATGCCTGCCAGTATCCATGAGAAAGGTGCTGGCAAATCTCGAAAGAGTTGCGATGAGCATAGGCCTGGGTGTGCCGTGTTCACCACGACCTTGGGCTTGCCCGTGCGATCCATTGCTTGTGCCAGCTCCCGCACAAACAACACCTCGAGCAGCTTGCTGATGTTGTAGCGCTCGTGGAACATCTTGTCGGTGCGGAGCGCCTCGAAGAAGTTGTCCGATTGGCGCATGACCGGCCAAGTGACGAAGCGGTGTGCGTCAGACGAGACAATGACCAGATGAGGTTCCACATTGTACTTTGTGGACGTTTGGCGCAGGATAGTCAGGAGCTTGAGCGCCATGAGAGCGGTCGAGATGACGTTGACGGTGATCTGGCTCTCATATCCCTCGGCAAGCTGTGGCTTGGCAGGAGCTACGCCGGCATTCTCAATAACAATGTCGAGGCGGTCGAGCTCGGCGGCACGGGCGCAGAACTCCTTGACGCTGTCAAACGACGCGAGGTCCACGCTCCAAACCTCGACGACACCGGTCCTACCGGTTGTGGACTCGATGTCTGCTTTGGCGGTCTCGCCCTTTTCCAGGTTGCGGCAGGCGATGATCACACGGGCCGCATTGAGGCGAACAAAGTGGCGAGCAGTTTCGAGACCGAGGCCGACATTGCCGCCGGTCACAATGACGGTCTTGCCGGTGCAGTCGGTGGTCGGTAGGGGCAGCCGGTGAAACTGGCGCACTGCGACCCAGAAAACAGCACTGTTCCGCGACGCGACCAGCGGTCAGTGTTTGAGGGGCGACGAGGAGTCCTCGGCAGATACAAGACTCACCTGGGAATATCCATCTTCTTCTGCGTGGAGCGCGCCGCAGACTGCGTATGCACCAAGAGAGTTCCTCAGAGAGTAAGGACGGGAGTATGGGCTGCGCTTCAGTCCGAGGCGAGACATCAAGGCGCTTCAGACGGACGGCGCTACTTGTAGCCGCAGCGGGGCATGGACGGACCCCTGATGACGACAGCGGTTACGAGACATCCATTCTGTAGACCTTGGGGAGACCTAGTTTGTTACCAGGGGCGAACACAAGCCACTCATTCTGTCGCGAAGTCTCCGTCCTTGGGTACCCATCTACCTAGCTAGGAACCATAAGTAGACATGCGCGAGTTGGAGGCAGCATGGTTCAATTATCTCTCCATCATCGCAGAGTTGTGCCCAGGCCATCACGGCAGCCGGACGGACGGGTCTTGGAAAGAAGGCTCGTAGACTATGCTTGGAGACGGCCACGCATGTAATAATTATGTAGGAAGTTGAAATAAGGTCCCAGCGTGCGAGAGCCCGGGACGATGCGCGTCAGCACTTGTTCCTGGAGAGAGGCCGTTTCTGGGCAGCGTGGGCCTCGAGCTCCTTGGCAAGATTCGCCGGGACCAGACCTCATGCCTGCTCATGCCTGCCTGAGGCTGCTCGCGGAGCACTGTGCCGACAGCGGGGCAGGCCGACCATATTTCCCCACGAACCACCACAGCATCGGCTAAACTCGCCTCCGCACGCTTCCCCACCATCGCCAACACGGCGATGGCACTTATATCATGCCACCTGCTCGAGCCCTCGGGCCCTCACCACGACGAGCAGCAGTCATGCCACCAAGCACTAGCAGATTTCCCAGACTAGCCCGCACTCTTTGAACCCTCTCCCTAACCACACCATGGCTGCCACCACTGGCGTGCGTCTGGGGTACGACCCTAGCGAGCACCCTTTCTGCAAGGTCAAGCTCACGGATCGCTCCTCGGTCCAGCAACTCGCTCGTACCTTGCTCGACCCTTTGGAGCCTTTCTTCTCCCCAAAGAAGGCGACGATTAGATGTCCTGGTGCCACCGGTGTCCGTTTCGACCAGACGGCAACCGAGATAGAGGGTTTCGCACGCCCATTATGGGCACTGACGTTTCTTCTGGCAGGTGGTGGTGATTACAAAAATGCCGAGCTTTGGAGCCAGGTCAGTTCTGACTTTGCCACGTGTGCGTACATCAGTCTCTGACCATCTTCACTACACATCAGGGCCTCAAGGAAGGCATGGATCCGAGTTCCGACGAGTTTTGGGGCCAGGTCAGGGACAACGACCAAAGAATGGTCGAAATGTGTCCCCTGGGCACAGCTTTTGCCCTGGTGCCTTCCTTCTGGCAGTCCATGAGCGACGAGCAGAAAGCCAATGTCGAGACCTGGCTTGCTGGCAGCGTCAACGAGAAGCGGTACGCGAGACAGACAAAGCGTGTCGTCGTTCACATGTATCCAAACCCACTAACACACTTGTGCCGTCCTAGAATGCCCAACACCAACTGGCTCTGGTTCCGTGTCTTCGCCAACCTCGGACTCAAGAAGAATGGCGGCAAGTACTCGAAAGAGCGTCTAGAGAGTGACATCAAGCACTTGGAGACATTCTATCGTGCGAGCGGCTGGTCCAATGACGGGCCCGAGGGTATCCACCGTAGGTCGACATCGTATATCTGCTTGCAAGTTCTTTTAGCTAACTCATTTGGTTACCTGTCAGAGATGGACTACTATTCACACAGCTTTGCTATTCAGTTCTTGCAACTGCTATACGCCAAGATGAACGGGGATGAAGACCCCGAACGAGCAGCTGAGTTCAAGCAACGTGCAAAGGACATTGCCCTGGACCTGGTCCATTACTATGACGACGAAGGTGAGTGCCGGTGACGACGAACCCTGTCCTGGGGTTTTTTGCTGCAACTGAATGTGACGAGCTCACATTTTCGATAGGCCGCTCGATCCCTTTCGGCCGAAGCGTCATCTACCGCTTTGCGATGGTGTCGTTCTGGGGTGCCCTGGCTTTTGCCGACGTTGAGCTCCCAGAGCCTCTAACATGGGGTATGGTCAAGGGCATTGTCCTACGTCACCTCAGATGGTGGCAAACGCAGTCGGACATTTGGACGCCGGCTGGTACTCTATCTATTGGGTTTTCGTATCCCAATATGTATGTAAGTACAGTCACACTCCCAGACTATTTGGCAGGTGTGGCTGTAGCTGGTATGCTGACGAAATTCACAGATGGCCGAAAATTACAACAGCCCTGGCAGTCCGGTATGGCACGAACTCGCGAAGTGGAAAGAAACAAATTTGTAGTTGAACTAACTGACGCTCCTTGATAGTATTGGGCCTCTTTGGCATTTGTATGCCTCGCAGTGCCCGAGGACCACCCATTTTGGACTTCTGAAGAGCAACTGGCCACAGGCTCCATACCCAAGATCAGGGGCATGAAGCACCCGGGGCACATCACAAGGTTCGAAATCTCCTCGCACTTTATGCATTTCGAAGCAGCATGCTCACACATATACTCTGATCGCTTAGCTACCTTGGCGGACATTGCATGCTTCTGAACTCTGGCCAGGCCTGCGGCTATCCCATGAAGTCAACTCACGCCAAATATGGTGGCTTCGCATACAGCAGTGCTTTCGGCTACTCCGTCCCTTCGAGTTGCTTCACGCTTGAGCAGTACTCGTTGGCCTCACAGCTGGGTTTCTCTGATGATGGAGGCGAATACTGGAAGACACGTCGGTTGTGTGAGTATGCCGGACTGGAAACTCGCAGAGGCGGTGACGGTCAGGAAACACCCGTCCTGGTCTCGGTGTGGGTGCCCTACCCTGACGTCAAGGTCAAGACCATACTCGTCCCTCCACAGGAGGACACTCCCAACTGGCACCTGCGCGTACACCGGATAGAAGCTGGCCGAGAGGTCATGACTGCAGACGGTAGCTTCGCGATCGCCAACGAGAGAGGTAGCCACACAGACGCCGGGTCTGACAAGGGCCGAAACCTGGACTCCTACGATGCAGCCAGATGCGAGGGGACTTTCCCGAAGCTGATTGGCAATTACGACCTCAAAGTGCCCGAGGGTTGGGCGACTGGCAAGGAGGGTGCTTTCGCCGTTAGCAAGGGTTGCGTGGGTATCCGGGCGCTTGAGGGCGACTTGCTTGGGAGCGGCGTCGGCGAACGCTCGGCAAACATTGTCAACGCGGACCCCAACACGAACTTGATCGAGTCGCGAACGGTCATCCCGACGCTACAGCACACCATCCCCGCAGGCAGCATCGTGTGCTACATCTCGGCCGTGTATGCTAAGCCGGCCGGCAAGAAGGTTGCGCCGAGCACGTACCTGGATGGCTGGGATAAGCCGCCAAGTGTTCCGGACTGGCTTCTTGAGGAGATCAAGTCTGGGTAGGATTATCACTCGAGTTTAGTTGTGGCCGCCTATCATTTGCGGGAATAACAGTAATGCATGGCTGGTGGCACTTTAAAAACAGTTGTCCTGCCAGCTCTCTCTCTGATTTGTCACAGAGGATGATATTTAGTGGCGGAGCACTTGAAAGGCCAGTGAGCCACGTTTGTGGTCAATACAGAAGATCTACGTAGTTTCCATGTCCTCGTATTGCCGCTCGGCCCTGCCTCGAGGGTTCGAATGTGAAATTCACCAAAGCGACCCTCCATCCCAGTCCATGTGCTCGCCACCACCACCACCATAACCACCCATCATCCCATCCGCCGTTGTGGCTCTTCCTCCAGCTCCCACCGAAGCCCCCATTCCCCCACCTCCTCCTCCTCCTCCTCTCCTTTCATCAGAGAAACCAGCACCTCCCACGCCGCCCACACTCAATCTCCCACCACCACCACCACCACCACCAAAGTCCTCCGACTCCGTGATGTCGACAGCGATACTGGCCTCGACAAAGTCCTCCAGCTCCTCCGTCACAGTCCGGAGCTTCTCCTTGACCGCCTCTGCGCCTTCGAACCCGACAATGTGCCTCGCGGGCGGGTTCTCGTGGCCCCCGATGGCAATCAGCGCCGTGACCGTCTCGTTGACGAGCGTGTCGAGCGATGCCTCGGGGAGGCGCGGGTAGCGGTAGATTATGCTCTCGGAAGCGGTGGTGGTGTTGCTGGCATTTGTGCTGTTGCTGCTTGTGGTGGTGGTGGTGCTACTTTTCGAGCCAGAGGGTCGACTTGTGTTGGTTTGTGGTTGCGGTTGTGCAGCTTGTTGTCGTTGTGGTGCTGAGGAGGAGGAAGAGGAGGAGATTGACGACGAGGTGGCCTGTTGATGCTGTGACGGCTGTCCTTGTTGAGCAGTATTCTCGGACTCGGACAGCGGCGAGGCGGCGGCTGATGAAGTGTGCGACGGCGGGGTCCCGGCCGTGGCGGTTCCCTCATCATCGTCCTCGTCGTCGTTGTCGTCGTCACCGTCGTCGTCACCGCCATTCCCGGCAGAGGGAGATGGCAGTGCGGTCTCTGGGTCCAGATTCAGCACGCGTGTGAGCATGCTTCGAACACTAGGCACAGACATGTGCCCGTCCGTGTTGTGCTGGGAAGCTCTCGAGGACGTGGCGCGCAGCGGCGGCGCAAACACGATGCGGTTCGTCAACATGGAGATCTCTTTGTGCGGCTGGACGATGGTGAGGCGGATGTTGAACGGGGCAATCTCGTATGCGAGCGAGTCGCAGAAGCCCTCGATGGCCCAGGTGGCGGCCGTGTTGATGGACATTTCCGGCGTGCCAATGTGGCCGCCAATGCTGGTGAGGAGGATTACATGGCCATTGTGCTGAGCCCGCAGCGTCGGCAGGCAGGCCTTGATCAGGTTGACCTGGGAGAAGAAGATTGTCTCGAACTGGTCCTGGACGAGGTTGCGGGCTGCCGGGGACGCCGCGAGCTCCTCGACGGTGCCGATGATGGCCTCCGAGTTGCAGCACAGCAAAATGTCGATGCGGCCAAACATATCGATGGCCTCGGCAACCGCGGCGCCGCACTGGCCCATGCTACGCCCGTCGGCCTGGATGCTGCGGATGCGGTCCCTCCACCCGGCCCGGTCCTCGCGGTCGGAGCTCTTGCATTCTGCGACCAAGGTGCGGAAGTCGAGGCTCCGGATGGGATCTTCGAGCTCGTGCGACGGCAGACAGGCCGCGACATAGTCACCGTGGGCGAGCAGGCGGCGGATGAGGCGGACGACGAGCGGGGAGCATGCCGACGAAATGAACCAGACGCGTGGGCTGTTGTTTGTGGCTGTGGGGTCACGAGGAGGAACGGGTTGGTCTTGTTCTTGAAACTGGGACTCGGTTGTCGTCTGCGGCGGGCCCGTCGCGGCCGGCGGCGAAGACATGGGAGAGAGGGGGAAGAAGAGAAGGTGGTGATTGGCAGATGCACAGGATGTGGAGAGGAGGGAACACGGAGGACCGGGGCAGGTTCACTTACGGAAGAGGCGAAGGGACGAGGACCGGCCGGCCGGCCTGCCGGGGCCGGGCATTGCTTGCCGCACAGTGGGGACCTTGGGCGGGCAGGTGGGGGGCTGTGCCGTGGCACAACCAAGGCCGCGTGCGTGCTTTCACCAACAAGCAAGCTGATGCTATGCGGCGGAATGCGGGTGATTTGGGACACTCGGAATTGCTGGCACGCTGCGATTACAGTGTCAGGGCCTTGCCTGCAGCCTCTTGCCGAGGGAAGCAAGCCTCTGTGCCAGGCAAGACCTGACGACGGCCGGGCTGACGTCCATTATACATATCAAGGTCGGGTACCAGTCGGATGATCTGGATGGCTGCATGAACAAAACGAAACAGCGCTCCGGCTGACCCTTGGCGATCCCCAAGCTTGCATGAATTGCCGTGTTTCTGGGGTATTACAGCTTCCTCTAGCCCGAGAACTCTCTGGCCAGTCGACATGGCCAAGCCCAGCGGCTTGAAGCAATAGCCGGCTCGGTATATGGTGTGGAGTATAGGGCTGCCGTCAATGACCTTCCCCTTCCGCACCCAGAGCCGTGCCTGGTCCCAGAAGCTGTTTCGCGGCATGGCCTGGTGTATTGCTGACGAATCTTTGTAAGCCATACCAATGGCGCCATCTTTGGCCCTGTGCCTCGCGTGCTGAAAGGCTGCATCAAAGAGAGGAATTCCCCATGACAGAGGGCAATGGCAGCACAAAACGACAACGAGTCTGCTTGTTGTGCGGCGCCGCAGCAGATGCAGTTCTGCAAGGGGGGACGTGATTGTGGGGGCCTGCCTGAACCCCTGCGGGACAAAGTTTCCAGCGCCGCGAGCTCTGCAAGCGACATCGGCTAGCGGGGCACTGCAGGCGCGACTCCCCAGTCCTCGACCCGAGTGATGCACTTGCCTCCGTGACGCATCTGGACGCTGCTGCGTGCGCACTTTATGCCATCACGCACCCGCAGCTCCCCTCCTGCTTGATTTTGAAGCATTGGGCCGACTACCAGTCTCACCTTGCTGTCCTCACATAAACCCCACGGCATTGCCCAGACCTAATCCTACCCATCCCACCCATTCTCTCAGGCCAAGCCGGATCACACAGACCATGCCTTCTCGCGACAACGTCCACTATTTCGGCGCAGGACCGGCTCCGCTGCCCACGGCCGTCCTCGAGAACGCCTCGCAGGCCCTGCTCAACTTCAACGACACCGGGCTCGGCATTGCTGAGCACTCGCACCGTTCAGAGCTCGCCTCCAACATTCTCAACACCGCCAAGGCGGATCTCGCCTCTTTCCTCGACGTCCCCGACGACTATGACATCCTCTTCATGCAGGGCGGCGGGTCCGGTGAGTTCTCAGCAACTGTCTACAACCTCGTCGGCGCCTGGGTCACCCGCAAAAAGTCAGAGATCGCCAAGAGCCTCGGCCTCGATGCCGACAAGGATGCTACCAACGAAAAGCTTGTCGCGGCTCTCAAGTCTGCCGTCGACTCTGAGCTCAAGCTCGACTACCTCGTGACTGGCAGCTGGTCTCTCAAGGCTTACAAGGAGGCCGGCCGTCTCATCGGCGAGGAGTATGTCAACATGGCCACTGATTCGCGCAAGGTTAATGGTGGCAAGTTTGGCAAGATTCCCGAGGAGAGCTCATGGTCTGTCTCAAAAGACCCGGCCATGGTGTACTTCTGTGACAACGAGACTGTCGACGCCGTAGAGTTTCCGGCCTTCCCAGAATCGCTCAAGCCCAAGGCCGATGGGACTGGTCCCATCGTGGTGGCAGACATGTCTTCCAATATTCTCTCAAGACGCATCCCGGTCAAGAACTATTCCGCCATCTTCTTCGGCGCTCAGAAGAACCTTGGATCTACTGGAATCACGGTTGTGATAATCAAGAAGAGCCTCCTCCCTCCTGCGTGCCCTCAGCCACCAGCTTCGCTCATGAGAAAGCTTGGCCTCCCTGTCGCCCCGGTCGTCCTCTCCTATGAGACCATTGCTGCTAACAACAGCTTGTACAACACACTGAGCATTTTCGAGTAAGTTCCGCCTTGCACCATTGTCCAGTCGGATTACCCGGCAATGTCGCTCACCTATATAGTGTATATGTCGCCGGTCAAGTGCTCAAGCAGCTCCATGCCAAATACCCCGAGCAGAAGATTGCTGGACAGGAAGCCGAATCGAATCGCCGGGCGGAGGCCATTTACAATGTGTTAGAGAAGCACAGCAACATCTACAAGATTGTACCTGACAAGTCCGTAAGATCGAGGATGAACATCTGCTTCCGCGTATCTCGTAATGGCGAGACGGAACAAAGCGAGAAGGATTTCCTCAATGCCGCGGGCAGCTGGAAGAAGGATGTAAGCCTGACCGGCCTCAAGGGCCATCGCAGCGTGGGAGGCATCCGCATCAGCAACTACAACGCCATTCGAGACGGAGCCACCGAAGAGTTGGTCGAATTCCTCGAGACTTTCGCGCAGTCGTAGGTTGATTATGTGCGATTTGAGTTGAGCAAGGACTCCGCGTACAGTTCGGGCGACCAAGTCCCATCAGCTCAGAGTCCGTCATCATCTGGATCTGCGTATTACTCGAGTGACTGAGGTGGAACAGGAAGATGAAGCTCGCACTCACGCTGGTTATAAAAACAACAAAAGATATGGGGGAAGGACGAGAAACCACCAAAAAGTATTCATTGTATGTTAGCATTTTGGGAACAGAGAATTTCAACCAAAACCACTGAACCAGGACAAAAGCATGTGCGACCTTGCAGGATCGTTGAGAAATATTTGACATTGCCTAAAGAAAGTAGAGATATGGATATTCACGAGGCTGGTCCTGCACTCGTGGCTGTCTATGATCATACCGGGAAACAGCGAAGTCTGCCAAAGAACGTCTAAACACCAAACAAAGATGGAATGTGAACCAATGGACCCAATAAAGAGATGTAGTACCTCCCCCAACCAGGCAGAAAGCCTGTGCCCTTGCCCCGGAAAACTGACCACAGCCGCGGCGGTGGCTCAGCGGGCATAAGCTGAAAACGTACCAATCGACCTCGCGACATGGTTCTTGCAGCAACGAGGTAGAAAGACAACCTTAGGATCCGAAAGCCTCTGATGGTCAGTGTATTGGTCGTGCTTTGAAGGCAGGTCCGTCCTTGATATGATACGGCCTGTCCTGCTTGTAAATGCACCTTGTGCCTAGTCTCTGCAACACACGCTACCGCCCAAATTCTCGACATTGAGGTATATCCTCACCTCACCTGCCCACTCCTCACACAATTCTCCACACTTTCACATGATGTCGCACTTGCCGCCTGCCGGCGCCTCGTTGGGGTTCTGCGACTTTTCGATCTGCGCAATGAGCAGCTCAAACGCCTTGCCGACGTTCTCGTTGTACCGCGCCGAGGCCTCGGTCCAGCCGCAGTTGATCTTCTCGGCGAGCTTGCGGCCGTCCTCCTGGCTGACCTGGCGCTGCTCAGGGCGCAGGTCGCTCTTGTTGCCGACAATGACGATGGGTACCCAGTCGGTTCCCAGGTGGTTGAGGATCTTATCGTGGATGACCTGGACCATCTCAAAGGACGGGAGGGACGAGACCGAGTACGTGAGCATGTACCCGTGGATGCCGATGAAGTGCTTCGAGTTGAGGATGCTGTACTCATCCTGGCCCGCCGTGTCGACAATCTCGGTCGCGTAGTCCTGCCCCTTGTACCGGATCACCTTGCTGAACGTATTCTCGATCGTCGGGTAGTAGCTCTCGACAAAGTGCCCGTCGACGAACTGCACTGCGAGAGATGACTTGCCTGTTGTGCGGGGGACGCGGAGAAGAGCGAGCGGTTAGCTCAGGTCAAAGACGGGGGAGGTGTGCCCACCAGGGAGGAAGGGGGCGGGCATGTTGGATTTATATATGGCCGAGAAGCATGATCCAGGAGCAGGGACCAGAACATACCGACTGAGCGGCTGCCGACGATGGCGACCTTACGCTGCTTGGGCGGAGCAGGCATCGTATGGAGTCTTCGAAAGGGTGTTTGTGGATTGGCAATTTCAAAGGCAGTGAGCGTGCTACAGTCCTGCTGATGTCACGAAGGGTCCTTGTGTCGTCTTTGACGTGCCGAACTAGTGCGATAAGGTCTACGAAGCGAGGGAGGCGGTCGAGCGAATGCGACGGCCGGTGGATGTTTGATGCGGTCGAGAGGGGGGCGCTTCGCAGACTTGGCGACGTCGTGTACGGAGAGCGAGAGGACGTCGCGGCGGTGGCAACGATGCAGTCTTGTGATGATGCTGGGGGTGAACGGCGGGAAGGCGAGAGCGAGGGGGGACGTCGTGGCTGCAGACGAAGTGTACCTTGGTAGGTGCAGATGCAGATGCAGATAGATGCAGGCGGGCGCAAGTCTTCTTGATGCGGCTTCGGGCCGTCGTCACAGCAGGGTTCTCCCCGCCGCCTGCCCAGCCCAGGTGGGGCCGAGCGGGCGCGCAGGTCACATTCCCGGTTTCCTCATGCCCGCCTCGTGTTCTAGAACAAATCGCCTGCATCGTCGTCATGCTATGCAACACTGCTCGTCACCCGGCTCTTTATTCAAACAAGGTCTGCATATGTGCTGCTACATAGGCGCTGCACGCCCTCTCTCCGTCATCGTCGGCGAGGCATACTCCATGCGCTCGCCCGCCATCGTGGTCATCGTGGTTATCATCGCTGAAAAGTCATGCACCGTCCTGGTGCCGTCGGCCCGCCCGCCCCCTTCAATCCATCCTGGCTTCGTCTTCGATACTGTAAGCCAGCTTCTGCAGACTCTGCCACTCTGCATTCTTGGGCGCCTCATCCTCGTCTTCTCCTCCAGCCAGGCTCTCCATTTTCTTGTGATAGAACATGAACTCGCGGATCGACTCCAAGAGAGGTTCCATGTTCTTGCCTGGGTGGCTCCGCCGGAATTTCTCGCGTACAGGCTGATACAATGCCAAGTAGCCCAGCAGGATGGTCAAATACCCAAAAACCACATTGAGATGGCTTTTCTCCACCGAATCAGCCTGCGGGGGTGTCAGTGTCGCTTCGTCCAGTAGTCCTCGTTGTTCATGCTTGCTCACCTCAGAAGTCTTCCGGCGGTTATCCAGGAAGAGCCGTATGATCTGATCGATGGGGGCCTGATCCCCAAAGCCGCATTCAAACGTTGTCTTTCGAGCGAGTGGGCTGTGCTCGCAGAAGTTTATGAGAATGCCAAGTTCGAGAACAAGACTGTCGAGCAGCCCCTCCGTAGGCTGGTCTCCTATCACAAGCTCGAGCGCCTTCCCAAAATTCTCGCAAAGCGAGACCGCCAGCGGCTGGACAAGACCTCTTGAAACAAAGATGTCAGGTGCGGCTAGGTTGTGATTGACCATGTTGATGGTCAGCTTGAGCACAGATTTCTCCAGTGTCTTGTTCGGACGCCCCATAGTCACCCCGAAGAGGTCAGCGACTACAGGTAAGTGTGCAGTCGCCCATTGGCTGTCGTCTTCTGCCACAGTCGAGAGATAGGCAGCATGGTCATGCAATATCGAAACCGCAAGCTCAAGATCGGTAGTATCTACCTCGACCGGGTCCTCACTTGTCTTGACCTCGTCGACTGTGCTTTCCACGATCGAAAACAATGCTTCCGTCACCGAGGCAGGTAGCATGCTTGCATGGCTGGCCAGATCTTCGCCGGGTGCCACAAGATAGCGCAAGGCCTTCAGCCCTAAAGTGCATGGTGAGATGCGCAAAGGAGAGGTAGACTTCCACACGGCTGGTTGAGTGATCGTCTTCTGTATGTCCAAGATGGCTGTCTGGTTCCGCTTGGACAAGTTGCTCTTCCGGTCACGCACGACGTCCTTGAGAGTTTGTCTGGTGGCAAACAGACGTACCAGCATTGCAACTGGCTTCTCATCGTGGAGAACCTGCATAGTATGCGCACTTCGCTCCTTTGCAAGCACGATGATGAGAATACTGGCGAGTAGACACGCAGCAATAGTGTCCTCTTCGTGCTCAACTCCTCGGAAGATGGTTTGCTCTAGGCCGTGTGCACGATATTTGCGCACAAAAGACTTGTCATGGAGCTTTTCGGCTACTTGAATCAGGGCTGTCCGTCGCGAGGAGACAGCTGGCCCAGCAGTACCGATCTGATAGCTGAGGTCAGCCATTTCATCAGCATCGCGCGAGTCGGCACCCGCTTGTCGCAATTCGTGAATGTTCCGAATCATTCGTTTTGGTGAGTCCGTATCCAAGTCGTCGTCGTCCAGGCCCAGAGATGCGCTAGCCTTCTTCTTGTGATTGCCCAATTCGAGCCGTCGTCCCTTGAGGGGTGCTGAGCTCTCGCTCGGCATGGCTAGCGAATCAAACAGGTCTACTTCCTCCTCCAGGATCTTGTTCTGTTGGCCATATTGGAACTTGAGCGCGCTCGTGGAACGGGCAAAAGTCCTCACTTGCGAGGCTGGCGTTGCTTTTGGCTTTGCCAGTGGCGTCGCTGGTGGAGCGCCAGTGTTCTGAGAGCTTGAGCTGAATGAAGAGTTGGAGCTTAGTTGTGGCCGCATGCCTGGCATTACATCCTTCTCGTCGGTGTCGTCGCTGTTGTGCTCCTCGTCCTCAGCGCCAGTGCTCTGCTCTGCCAGAGTATCTATTAGGCGCTTCCTTTGTCTCTTAACAGGTGCTGTCTTGCTCATAGCTGCAGCAGTCGAAGCCGGAAGGCTGGTTGGCAGCTTTGTGCCGGAGGCAGCAGATGGTTGTGCTGGCGGAACGTTTAGGGCGTCGTCCGCTAGCCGGACGGGAATCTGGTGCCGTAATGTCTGTACCTCCTGGTCTGGGGAGGCATCTCGCCCCAATTTATCCCATGCTTGCATTGTGTTTGGCGAAAATGGAACCTCGTGGGCAATCGTGCGGCGCTTGTTCGCCTGTGAAGCTCTTGGCGGTGTTGGTGTCCGGGGCGGGCTGGCAGTGAAATGTTTTGACTGCTGCTGATCCAGTTCTGACGAGTCTGACGATTGAGCAGAGAGCACTCGTCGCGCCCTGAAATTTGCGCCATTGCTGGCACTAGTCTGTGGTAAAGTACGGGCAGGTTTCGCGGGCGCAATCTGAGTTGATGGTTTCGCCGGCGATACTTGTTGCAGCTTGCGCTTTCGAACTAGAGACGTTCCAAGAGCTTTCGGGTGTGCTTGAACACGCGCTTGGCCCGGTACTGTAGATGCTGGTATCGATGGGGAAGGTCGCCGAGATGGGTCGCTGCTGCTGGAAGTTGTATTGCGTGGCGCAGTTGAGAGTTCATCGTCGTCTGCGGGAAAGTCGTACGCGGAGGCCGAGACATTGGACGAGGGCACAGCCCGACGCTTTGCAAATTTTCCATACGTCGTCACCGTCCTCTTCCGCGCCGAGCTGTAGTCGGAGCTGGCATCCATGATCCTCTCTTCGGTTTTACCGTGGACGAACTATGCAACGTTGGACTGGATAGAGGGGGCATCGGGTGACGGCGCTTGGGGCACAACGGGCGAAACGCGATGTTCGCAGCGGTCTGCCTGGCCTGGAGCTGTACTGCGCAGTACTTGCACTTGAGACTTGAAGGCGTGCGCTCCTGAGTGGAAGCGTGTAGCTACAGGGAGTTGTCTAGGAGGGAGCGGCGATGCGCGTTTTCGATTCCATGCACTGCCCAAGGAAGGTGCGCATTAACGTGCGGTGGGGTGTCGGTTGACCGTAATGGTTGAGGATCTCTGTTGCGTCCGATGCGCGACGGAAAAGGAATGAGCGCGCAAAGACCAGATGAGTAAGTCAGCGAATCCGAGTATCGCTTGCGCGCGGGCAATCTGGTCGAGAGGTGCGATGCGCGGCAGTCTTGAACCTCTGGCGACTGCGATGCGACGCTCGGCAACATCAACAACAACAAAGATGCCCACCGGGGACAGTCTCCGGCAGGCGCTACAACCTGGGAAGGCTTAGGGCGGGTGCTCCGCAGGCCGTCCATGTCCAGGCGGGCGGGTTCTGGAGCAAGAGAGTACCTATGGACACAGTGCGGAACACGCCAGCGCATATCGGTCTTGTGCCCGCTACTGCACTGTATGAAGCTCCGTTTTCGCAAGAAAAAAACGGTCCGCCCCAGAGGCCGGGCTCGTGCGGAAACGGAGAGGGTCCCTGGGACTAGGTCCCTTGCATTTAGTCATTCGCATCACTTTTATCGTGCAGGCTGGGCAAGACCCTGGAGCGCCTCCGACTTCTGTGTACCACGGAGCGAAAACGCACGGCGACCGTCGGAGCTAGCCGCCTCAAAGTCTCACCTCCACGCTCTTGAGGGTCATTGCCGGCCACGACCTAAGCAGCAACTGCGCGCACAACCTGTCTTGTCACAAGCTTCTTGGTGGATGTTTCGCATTCGTTTCTGAAATCTGAGCAGGCTCAAGCATCTCGCCCGATCCAAGTTAACTTGAAGGTGTCCCTCTCCGCTCATAGAGATCTCAAGGTTTGTCCCGCTCTACCTCACCCCCACATTACTAGCCTGGGCGGGCTGTCAAAACCGCTCTTGCAGACAACCCAACTCAGTTTCCCTCGTCAATGCTCTGTTGTGCGACCTTCGCCATCAGAGCGCAGCTTACATCGCTTCACCAGTCCACTTCGCTCGGGCGTCTCATGAACTGTGGACTTCACTGACACTGCCTTTCATCCTTTCTACAACAGTAAGAACAGGCCGCCCTGGCCTCAAACTTTCAGCACCATTCTGTCGACAATGCCTCGTGTCTTTGCTAATACGAACCATCGTAGGCAATGTCTACCGAAGCTGGGGAACGGCCTCAGGCCGGCCCAACGCAGTGCGTTGGTCCGCCTTACCGGTCAGAGAGCCAAAAACCCTCAGCCACTGTCTCTAAGGAGGTCAACTATGACAATGTTGTCACTCTTCCTCAGACTCCTCAGCTCATCGCCTTGCTCACGTGAGTCCCTGCCCCATGCGGTTCTCCATCTTCAATCTCCCTGCTTCCAATACCGCGTCAAAAAGGAGCACATTTGGACTCACTGCGTTCGATGTGGACATTTTTGGGTCGAACAGGATGATTCGTGACAAAAACACCGATCGTGCCGACTTCATCTTCTACTCAAATCGCATCATCCGTCTGCTCGTCGAGGAAGGTCTCAACCACCTGCCCACAGTAGAGCACACCATCACTACACCTGTCGGTCGCACTTATGCCGGCCTGATGTTTCAGGGCAAGATATGCGGTGTCTCTATCATGCGCGCTGGCGAGGCCATGGAGCAAGGACTCAGAGATTGTTGTAGATCCGTCCGCATCGGCAAGATCCTCATCCAGCGGGACGAGGAGACCGCGATGCCCAAGCTCTTCTACGACAAGCTGCCCGAGGACATTGCGCAGAGATGGGTCCTTCTACTCGACCCTATGTTCGCCACAGGTTCGTGCTACCTCACAGCCCATGTCTGGACTGCCGATGGTCCTTGGACGTGTGAAACTGAAATCTCGTTATTCTTGTAGGGGGCTCTGCCATCATGGCCGTTGAGGTTCTGAAGTCCCGGGGCGTCCCGGAAGAGAGGATCATCTTTTTGAACCTCATCGCCAGTCCGGAGGGTGTCAACAGCTTCGCCACCAAATTCCCCAAGCTTCGGGTTGTTACTGCATTCATTGACCAGGTATGTACTCTAACATTCGAAGCAAGAACCGTTTTGGAAGCGGCGTTGGACTGGTTGACTGACGTGTGCATCTTGCGTCTTCTTAGGGTCTCGATGATAAGAAGTAAGTGTTCTCTTTGCATATGTGCTGTGTGGCCTCTACTAACTGGGCCTCTTCTGCAGCTACATCATCCCCGGGCTGGGAGATTTTGGCGATCGTTTCTACACTATGTAGGTTCGCGTAGCGTTCTGTAGAGACTGGCGAGGGCAGAAGCCAAGCCAGCCTGGTTCTCTCAAGGCCACTTCTTCGAGAAGCCTTGTAGTATTCAGGCTGTGCCTCGTGATCAACGTAGCAATGATATGTCGTTGGAAGCGTTCGTCGCATATGTAGTCTGTGAACGAACGGTCGGGCCGAGTGTATGCATCAAACGAATTAAACGGCGAGCGAGCTCAGTAGTCGTCCTCGTCATCGTCGCCTACAATGCCCTCTCCTTCGTAGCGTCGCTCATCTTCGTCGTCGTCGCCTCCCCTGCCAGCCCCTGATGACCGACCCCCTGGCCTTGAGAGGCTGCCCCTTCCAGCACCACCAGCGTCTTCTTTGGCGACCGCGTCTGGTTCCCACAATGTATCAGCACCCATGACTCTGTGCGTTTGCGGCACGATGAGCACTTACCAGCTGCGTCAACCCATTCACTATACACATCTACTGGCGCAGAGAGATCTATCCGTCCGCGCAAAGCCCTTGCAATTTAGTAGATGTTCTTCCCACCCACGACCGGACAAAAACATATTTGCAGCCCCAAACAAAAATTGAGACGTACAGTTGATTCCACACTGGAATTTCTGCCCGCAGACTTTGCAGTCAAGCTGACCGACGCCGGCCTTCTTGTCCATCTTTACCGCTACCGACTTCTCATGGTTGCAGAAGAGGCAGGTGAATGTCGTCGGGAGGGGTTCGGACTGTCGTGGCAATTTTCCTGGGCGATTAGCTATGGTGCTCGTTCAAGATGGGCTGCACGCAAAAACGATGGCAGGTGAGCAGCTCTGGCGCTTGCTCTGGGCACAGGCACGCGGGCGGGCGTAGCGCCGAGCCATCTGGCACGTCCCTCACGTCGGCAGTCGAAATTGGGCCATTGTGCAGTCGGCGCACAACGATGTGGAGGATGTGTTGGATCTCGAATCCAGGTATGTCGTACCTTTTTCGGGCCCTGGGGCTTGCTCGAACTCTTGCGCTTGCCCTATAGTAACAACAACAGGATTTCCGCGTCAGCCTGATTACCGTGCGGGAGGATGCCTCTGCAAAGAACGCGGAGGTTGCGCTTGGTCGTCGGGTGTAGGCGCATACCATGACGGCGAACGAATCCTGGTGGTTGTGATGCGGGAGTGTCGCGCGCGCAGTTGATGTTTTTAGCACGCCAGTTTCTGTTTCGAATGTTTGGGATGGGATTGTATGATGCGCCGAAATGCTGTTGGAGTGGGTGCCACGTTATCGCGAGTTCGTGAGTTTTCTTCCTTGGGGTTTGAGACAAAACGTATGCGCATATGGCATATGGCAGGCGCGCGCGTGCTGCATACGCGATAACGTGCAAACGAGCAAAGCGATATGCTGGAGTCGGTCGTGTGGCGCCCGTACCAGTACAGGCCCATGGTATGACGTTTTGGTTCGGGACGCTCGCGTACACAGAACATAGGCCACCCCTTCTGCACGGCTCTAAAGCACGCTGCCGCCCACCAAGCACAGTGCCCAGGACTTAAAAATGAGACATGTCAAATTCGGACACATGAAGGCCATGATCCACAGCTTCGACTTGGTCAGGGCAAGCCGGGACCAAGCTTGAGCACTTGTAGGTTCAGCATCACTCCTTTCGGGTCGTGATGGACCGCTCAGGCTAATGAGTATCGGCAGCGTCATGAAATCTTTGGCTGAAGAAGTTCTCTTTCCTCCACCTTGAAAATTGCGTGTTCGACGCGAGGAGCAACACAATGTATCCTTTGCTTCCAAGATTACAACAGCAGTACAAGCAGTCTTGTATATAGACAGCCACGGGAGCACATACACCACCACAAGGTCATCGGGCCACGCTGCTGTCAAAAACAAGATGCTGGGTCACTTCGGATCATCCTCGAAGAGAAAGGAAAAACAGGTTGTCAGCAACTCAGGAGCGCGGCGCAAGTCAAGCGGCTGAGTGTTGCCGGAAATCTATGATCGGCAGTTCCAGAACCTCGCTAAAATCTGGATGCTCCCCTCACGCCGGCTCGGCCGTCGAAAGATCGACAGGACACCCTGGGCGGGCAGGCAGGAGCTCGTGTGCTGATGTGGTTCGTTCGCTACAACCAGCGCTTGAACAGGTTGGCTCCGCATCTCGAAACGAGGGTGGAGGGAATGTGAATCAAGCGTTCCAGACTCGAAAGGACGTCTCCAGGTTCCCAGCTCGGGACAGAAATAGCACCAAGAAAATGGGTGAGCTGGTCGCCTTGCTGGAGTCGCAGAAATGGGTTCGTTCTTGCTGCAACATGAAACACGGCACCCGTGTCTGGTCTTGAAATTTTGCTGGGACCGGGATGGCGAGCTGAGGACGATCTGGGCACTCGCAACGAGCCTCGTCAATGCCGACGGAAGACTGAGGCATGAAAAGATAGACTTCCTAGAACAGACAAAGAAGAGAGGACTGCCTCTCGAGGACACACAGTCTGAAGGCCGGCGCCTTCCGATTTCTGAGCCGTTGGAAGGCTGTCACACCCTTGCACATTGATGTGCTGTAGGTAGGCTGCCAAGCCGAGGGCTGGGGTGCCGAGCCGTTGCGTCCCGCTCTGCACACACATGGAGAGTGGGCTGATGGGACGATCCACGGCGCATGCATGCCCTCCTCACTCATCGTCAAGTCGTGTGCGAACGTATGCAGGCGTTAAGGCAATCAGTGGGCGGCACCGGCCTCCGTAGCTGCTGCGGGGGCGGCTCCATCAACCTGCGCATCTTGAGCTGGAAGGATACGACAGACCACGAAAAAAAAAAAAGGAATCGGGATTGCGCGAGATACACGTCGAGGCTCCCCTCGTGCCGGACCGACGATCTCCAGCACCTGCAGTTTCTCGTGTTCCAAGGGCTAGGCTTATATCCGTCGGCCAGTGAAAGCTGCTCCCCAAAGCAGCTTCCGTCTGCAAATGGGGGATGGGATGGTGGCAGAAGGTGGAGGATATCAGGGAGGCATTATGCATCTGGCCCACGTCCGGCATGGTGCTTACGGGGGGCGACCGGTCAACCCGTCTTGTTGCGTCAACTGGTTTTTCGATTGGATACAGAGAGCTGTCCACGGATGCGACCCATCCTCACTGGCTGGCAAGTACATGCGCGGAGTGCGGAGTGGTGGCCTGTCTTGCCTGGCCTTTGCGACGACAAGCCTGGGCAATGTCGCCGCCATGCGCACTACGTAATTCGGCCGCTCTCCTCCCTGTTGCTCGCGGAAACACGTCTCCGGCCACCCGGGCGGGCGGACGCTCGGTTTGCCTGTTTGTGATCTGATGCATACGTCGTTACGCATCTCCTTGCTGCTGAAGCATTGGCAAAGTGGGAACCGCTACAGTATCTCCTGGAATGGCCCCCGTTGGTCATCTTGATGGCGCGGCGCTACTGGCAAAGTAAACCTTATGGACTATGCGGAGGTTGGTTGGCAGCACCTAATTTCTGCCAGGCCGGCTAACTGGGAGGGACTTAGTCGCACCATCTGATCAAATCGATTCAGTCGCTCGCCGCCACAGTCAGGGGCATAGCCAGGAGTTATTGGTCTGTGAGTCCGTGGTAGCCCTGCCTGCGTGACCACCCGCCGGTTCCTGTCGAGCCATCTGCAGCAGACCTGACTCCACCAACAGCGACACACCACAAAGCACCGGCCACCGGCGTGGCGGTCACAAGGAGAGCCACACGTACGGGGCGATGGGTTGCACCCTGCGCCCTGCACCTTCGGCAGCATGCTAATGTTAATTGGGAGATGGGTAGAGGGGACCCTGCTGTGTGCGTGAACCGTGAGGACTGTGGTGGGTGGAGCGAGCGTGAGGCGTGAATAGGCGCTTGAGCGCTGGGATGGGATCCAGCTGACTCCGACCCCGAGGGCAGCACGTACAGTGAAGCAGACGAGAGCGGAGAACAATAATGTCTGTTGACACACGTAAACCGCCCAGCCAGAGGGAATCGAGGCATGACATGACAGCACGCCCCGGCGGCGCGGATTGTACCTAGCGCTCCCGGGGAAAGCCAGGCCAGCCACTGGCAGCGACGCTCAGCGCGATGACAGCGATTTAGACTCTGGTCCGCGCGAGCGTCCGGCAGTGTGCCTGCCCAGCTGCCCAGTGCCATAACCGCCACGGCCATGCTCGCCCTGACGGAGTGGCTGTCGCGAGGTGGTGTCTTCGGGTCGCACGCGCGAGCGATGGCCGGGATGTTGCCCCTCCCCGCTCAGGGGATGCAGCGAGAGCGCTCTCTCTGGTAGGCCATGGCCGTGCCTGTATCTGCAGACGAGACGGCATCCTCCACACCACCGCCGGCGCACCAGTGCGTGCGACCAGCAAGGATGGCCGATGGTCTAGAGTTGGGACGCGCGCACGCGCTGTCCAGTATCGGCGCTGTGCGTCCGCTGTGATGGGAGCATGACAGGGTCGTGGCAGCGTGCTCCATGCCGAGTGTCAGCGGTCTTCGGTGCTCCACACGTTGTGGTTCCAGAGCTCGAGCGAGGACCTCGGGGCGGTTTGGGTTGGGCCGTCGTGCAGGCTGTAACACGCCCAAGAGGGCCTCGCGGCCATACAAGGACCACCACATCAGCCTGTTCCCCGTTTCTGACTGACATGTGGCACTGCGACAAATCCCCGGCGGTTTGGTGTGACCGGGGTGAGCAACCTCTGACCCTTGTCTGGCCTTGCTAGCCGGCCGGCCTGTCTGCCTGCCTGTCTGTGCTCCGCTCCTCACGCTGGCGTCGTTTGCTCAGTCCGGCTCCTTACTTAGGAGTCTTTGTGCCCGTCATCACATCCAGGTCAGAGCGTGGTTCCTGCTTTCATCTTAGTTTCATCCTCGGTATCTTTCCAGCTTCCTCTTCGCAACATTTCTCGAGGCCTTTAGCACTACTATAGTTTCTGTCGTGGTGCACATTCCCCGAACATCAAAGATCAAACATCACGCACAGCAATCATGGCATCAGGATCGACAGACTGTTACCGTGGATCACGCAGGGAGTCCACCGCGTCCACAAAGTCACGGAGCAGCAGCCGCCGCCCCAGGTTATTAAGAGCAGCCGCGACAGAGCCTTCCATCACCACCGTCCATTCGCCAAGTGGTTTACTTACCAACCCAAACACCAATCGCCGGGCGACTGATTTGCTCAACATGGTGGTCGTGTCAAAGACTTCGTACCCCCCTTCATCACCATCATCCAGTCAGAGCCTTTCCCTAGAGGCTCAGTTGAGAGCCGACCAGCAACTCTCGGGCGGGAACCTTCATCAATCACCATGTAAGTAGATGGGGTTTCTTGTCAGACACCGCAGACAGGTCATTAACCAAGGCAAACAGATTCCGCATGTTACTTCAGCTTTCCCAGTTTCGATACTTGGGAAGATGAAGAGGACAATGACGACGAAAAGTCGTCCAGTCGGACATGATGGGGTCCCGGCCGCGGCATCCAGCGCGCGGAGATGTATCATTAAGAGCTCTTGGGACCACCAGTGGACAGGCACGACATGCCTGGCTGCTGTGCCTGGTTTGAGCTATGTAATTGGTCTGCGTCCGAAATGGCACGATATGGGCTGCAGACGTGACACCGTGCGGGTCAAATAGCGGGCGGCGTTGATTCGAGCGGAGAGTATCAGCGTGGGTTGGCGTACACGGTATTGGTTTTTCATTGGTACGGCGTTTGAAAGGCTTGCGATATGCGCCTAGGTCTTGGCTTCATGATATCCCACTACTCTGCAACAGAGGCAGAACAGCGAAGTTCGAATATATTCTTCTCAGTCATGGGCATGATGATCTGCCTGCACACAATCCCGCTATTCGCTGCGGGTCCTTTGAATTGCTGCGGTGGTGCCTGAATAAAAAACAACCCCGTCACGAGAGCAGCACTGCTCCGCTTTCAGGCGGATTCGTGAAGCTGGACTGCCTAGAGTGGCGCTAGGGATGGGGTAGCACGTAGATTGGTCTTGCATTTCAAGCCAGGAATTAACCAGACGGAACTTCGATACTGCTTCAACGAGATCTTGGCGGTTGGTTGGCTGTCGAGACAAGACGTAATTGTAAAGCAGGGCATTGAGACGCCTGCTCCAGGAGTGATGGATTCTGCAGGTTTAGAATAGACGGCCTTATGCAGCCTTCCTCCTCTTCCGATGGCTAAAAAATGTGACCTGGGAAAGCCCACAGTATATAGGTGCTAGCTGGTCCTTGGTACCAGATCATACATCCCCCCTCGAAACTCTTGAGCAGTTGTTGCGCAGCAGAGCCGTGACGTCGACAAGACGATGCAGTGAGATGCACAACAACATTACTTGGTAGCTCTCATGCCAGCCGGCGCGTGAATGGCGGCGCATTCACACACGTTGGTCAACACTGATCTGGTTTGAAAGTCAAGGTGGACATTGCAAATGGAACGGGAGATTCCAACATGCGCGCAAAGGCGGACGGACCTGGTTGCGATGGTCGGTTGGGAACGGCAAGGACTGCGCAAGCTGGGCGCCCTCTGATTCGTGAACACTGGCCTGAGGTGGGGCAAGAGCCCCACACCCAGGTTCGCTCCTTCCTGTGGGCGCGGCTTTGGCGAGTGGTCCGTGCTGCACACACAATTCGAACAACCAGGGCAACAAAAAAAAAGGGCACTTTTCTCAGGCTTGTCACTTCCCTGGTCTAGGATTTGGATCACTGTGAAGCGCACGTTCGGCCTCTTTCCACAATACCTTAGACACGCCTTGACGACACCCTCGCAAACATGGCTGTAGGAAAGTGAGTGCTTCTTGCTGCCGCCCGATGACTCGACCGCCACGTCGCCCTCCGCCTGTCCAAGTTTTCTCGTTCTCCAGATGTCTTGATCGCACACCCGCCACGCCAAACCCGCGCAGCACCTGCCCGACGACTCGCATCGACTTTGCACCGAAAACAATCACCATGGCAGCATAGATAGAGGACTCTCGAGATTCAACACATCGATAAAGCGCCTGGGCAAAACGATATTTGACAAAACTTTGGACGGGCGGGACAGCGCACGAAATCGCAGCAGGAATTTTCGTTGCTGACCAGGTTATCTCTATAGGAACAAGAGACTGTCCAAGGGCAAGAAGGGCCTCAAGAAGAGGACCGTCGACCCCTTCACCCGCAAGGACTGGTACTCCCTCAAGGCTCCCTCGCCTTTCAACATCAGAGAGTATGTCTTCCAGCCCAACTACCAAGGCTCCTACCCGCACCGACCCGCCATAGCATTTTCTCGCAAAGATGTTGAAGACTCTATCTGACTGTGATCAACCATCAGTGTCGGCAAGACTCTCGTCAACCGGACGACCGGTCTCAAGAACGCCAACGACGCTCTGAAGGGCCGCATCTTCGAGGTCTCCCTCGCTGATCTCCAGAAGGATGAGGACCACGCTTTCCGCAAGGTCAAGCTCCGGATCGACGAGGTCCAGGGCAAGAACTGCCTGACCAACTTCCACGGCCTTGACTTCACCTCGGACAAGCTCCGGTCGCTCGTCCGCAAGTGGCAATCCCTGATTGAGGCCAACATCACCGTCAAGACTACCGACGACTACCTCCTCCGTGTTTTCGCCATTGCTTTCACCAAGCGCCGGCCCAACCAGGTCAAGAAGACCACCTACGCCGCCACTTCTCAGATCCGTGCCATCCGCAAGAAGATGACCGACATCATCCAGCGCGAGGCCACCACCTGCACTCTCCAGCAGCTCACCTCCAAGCTCATCCCCGAGGTCATTGGCCGTGAGATTGAGAAGGCTACCCAGGGCATCTACCCCCTCCAGAACGTAGGTCACCTCTATCCGTTGCTCGACTTCACGAGACTGCCCATCCAGTATCACTTACTGACGTGTCTCTTTCCAGGTCCACATCCGCAAGGTTAAGCTCCTGAAGGCGCCCAAGTTTGATCTTGGCTCCCTCATGGCTCTGCACGGCGAGTCTACAACAAACGAGGACGGCCAGAAGGTTGAGCGGGAGTTCAAGGAGCGGGTTCTCGAGACTGTTTAAATGCGACGATGACATGAGAAACTCTGGTCATGGAACGGCGTGGGGTCTTTTACGCAATGGCATTAGGTCTCATTTCTGATTTGCATTGGCGCGGTACGGTAGCCGCGAACACGGCATCCTCTCAGAGAAGATTAAAAAATGGGAATGGCTTGCTGAAACAGTAATCACTTGGTCTGGCGTTTTATCAAAACAATCTGTGAAATCATATCTTATCCTTGTTCCACGGTGAATTGGTATGCGTGAGAGAGCACTCAAACTCACTCATTCCAACCGTGGTTTGGTACGCCAAAAACGCCATCAGCAAAGCCATCACTGCGGTCTTCGCCAGCATGACACCCAGTAGCCTAGCATGAAAGCCACGTATAACATAGCCCTTTCCTGCGTCCTTTGCAGTCATCTCCACGGCCAGAGTGGGTGTCCCCGTTCTTATGACGAGACGGCAAGACGGAAGACAAAATCAACCTACGACTATCCAAGCGTGTATTGTCTGCGCTGAAGACTACCATTGGCACAGACCAAATTCTTTCGGCGTGACAAATGTTTGCAGTGAATTCAACAAAATGCCATCGCGTGCAACAGTATCTTGATCATCACTTCATCACTGTCCTGTCAATTGTAGATAAGAGCGGTTGTGGCGAAAACGCCCCCTGGGCGCCGTGAATTGGTGGGGTCTGCATTAGCGCTGCCTGGTGTCAGGTCGTTGTGCATGGGCTCTTGCGTGTGCAGCGCCTCCCTGCCATGGCTGGTCCTCAGCGATTGAGCCATCACTGATTGCACATGACCTCATCCACCACCGCCCAAGATCCGTCAGTTCCTAAGCTGATCCAATACTTGACTTATCTTTCTCATTTGCTCACACTCATGATACTGCAGTCTTGATCCCAGCGGAAGTTGCACATGAGTCGTCGGAATCCACAAATAGCACCAGAGTTGCGGTGCCCCATTCAGCCCGGAATCTGCTCTCGTTCCAGTTTGACGACAACGACGTCTTCACAGGCGTAGAGGACGGTGTCACGAGCCACCATTCATTGCGCAGGCCGTTTGCTATACTCTCGTGCAGAAACATGGCGTCAGAGGACTCCCTGCCGGTCCTCAAGATTCTCGTCATAGGGCCCTCCGGAGCTGGAAAATCTAGCCGTGAGTGCAGACAGCTCTCGCTGGAGGCAGACGGATGGATGACCTAACCAGGTGCTTAGTGCTATTACGGTACTGCGATGACCAGTTCGACCCAGAATCATCCACTGCGACGATAGGTATCGACTTCAAGGTCAGTACAGGGGCATGTACCGAGACCACACGGAAGCCAGCTGCTCTCTCACACACACTCTCTCTCTCTGTCTCTCTACATGTTCCCATCCGGGTCTCATCACTAACGAATCGGGGCAACCACGATAGACCAAGAAGCTTGCCGTCCACGGCAAAGGATACCGTCTCAATATATTTGACACAGCCGGCCAGGAGCGTTACCGGACATTGTCAACGAGCTACTACCGCGGAGCCCACGGGGTGATAGTGGTCTACGACATTTCAAACCGCAAAAGTTTCCTCAGTCTAGATCGGTGGATCGAGGAGGCACGATCAAATGCGTCGGAGAACGCGGTGATTTACCTTGTGAGAGCCCCTTCCCCCAAACTCCTCTTCCTCTTTCAGAAGCCCAGTCATGCCGAAGCCGGGGTAGTTGTGAATATTGACGGGTCCTGTGATAGGTTGGCACTAAGTTGGACAAGGTGGCTCCCGGCGGTACTCGTGCCGTGTCTTTGGAAGAGGCCAAGGCCTTCGCGGCATCCCAGGAAGCCGGGTATTGCGAGGTCAGCGCCAAGACCAGGACCAACATCAAGCAGCCGTTCGTTGACGTGGTAGGCGAGATTGTCCAGCGGCCACAGTTACTCTCAGGCGAGCTTGCCAAGAGGACTGCGTCAAGCCCACTGGATCTCAATGCTGGCGGTTCGCAAGCTAGTAGCTCGTACTGTTCTTGCTGAGAGTTGGGTTTCACGACGGCTGAACCTTTCTGGCCCATTCGGGTCCTGGCGTGTATATTGAGTTGTTGTTATACTAGATACCCTCAGTGTGGCGGCGTGTGCGCTGTTCTTTTCTATATAGATTTCTTGCTATTATACAGTCTATCTCTATGTGGTATCCTGCAACATGATTCTATTCTTGAGGCTTGAGGAACTCGATGACAGCTGCGAAGTTTGGAGTGCGTCAGTGACAAAGCGGTGGGTATACTCGACTACCGGTCACTAACCTTTGAGAAATTCCTGGGGCTTTTCGGACGTAACCCAGTGGCCGGCATCAACGTCAACCATCTGGAAGCGTGGAAAGAACTGCCCGATGATGGGAATAGCCTCGTCAGGCACGTATCTACTTTTGGTGCCGCGAACGAAGAGGGCGGGCTTCACGAATCGGGCCTGGTTCGGATCCTTGAAGGGAAAATCACCCAGGTTGTCCAGCGACTTGGCCAACGTGGCCAGAGGCACCCGAAATTTCTGGACGCCATCCTCGTTGCGGGCCAGGTTGCCAAGGAGGAATTGCCGTATCGTGAGGTCCTAAAGATAAGTAGGATTATCAGGCCATGCGACAACAGAACGATCCATGAAATCATATTGGACGAATAGCGCAATATCCGATCGGAAGGGTCAGTCATACCGATTCGTACTCGGCGAGGATTTTGTCGGCGTCCGACTGGCGAGTCACACCCGCGTCTTCGATCTTCCTCATGCCCTGAATGTACTTCGCGAAGCTACCGTTCAAAGCGGCGTCGAGCGGGGCGTTATCCACCGACACAAAGTCGCTGATGAGATCTGGCTGGTCGAGAGCGAGAGCCATGGCAGTCTTAGCACCCCTGTGGTCGACATGCTTGCGTCAGTATTTCCATTATCCAGGCGCTGCGAAGCGCAGCCTGGTGTCCTAGGAGGCATACATAGAGTGGCCGATCAGGGTTGGGTTCTCGATTCCATTCTGGTTAATGAAAGCAGCGACGTCCTCTGCCATGGCTGTGTAGTTGTGGATGGGGGCATGTGGCGATTCCCCGTGGTTTCGTAGGTCCTGCCGATGTCTGGTGTGTCAGGCCGAGTGGTTCTTAAAAACAAGCGATCCAGGAAACAAGACGTCTGGAAGGCTACTGACCACGGCAAAAACATGACGCTTGAGGTCCCTCGCTAGTACTCTGTCATCGTCATTAGCTTCAGTGCTTGCCTGAACGTGGCCGTCTCAAGCTGGGCAGGCTGGCAGATCGTGTGCGTGCTTCGTACTTTGAGACACTGCGGTTGTTCTTCTTGGAGCCAAAGAGGCCGTGCATGAAGATAATGGGTGCATCTTGGCGAGACCGGTCCGACTTTGGAGGCTCGTGCAGGTCGTACGCGAGGTCGATTGTGCCCGTCTGCGTTGCGAAGAAGCGTGGCGTCACGGGCGCCAGTCGTGACGCTGGCAGGCGCGCGAGGCCTGCCGTGGCTGTGCGACAGACAGCAGGAGACAACATTGACAGCTGGTACGTATCGACGTCGCAGAGTGCTGGAAGGAGAATGCTGCAATTGCCGGGCTCGGCTCCGGGCGAGGATGCATGGCAAAACAAGTTCAAGGGCGCGGGCCGATTCCGCCTGCCCCGCGCAGACACCCCTGTCTCCTCCCACATCCGCCTCACATTCCAAGTTCAACGTCATTCCACAAACTGATCCTCAGCAAATGCCTTGCAGTTGTTTCCGTAGAACATATAGCGAGTTGTCTGTTGAGCTGACTACCAACATACTTTCGGCTTGGCCGGCCTTGGGGAACAAAGCAATGAGGCCACTCAGACCGACCCAGCCTTCTCGACCCTGACAACTGGACTTAGCCAGCTCTCGTAGCTCTCGGCCTTGTTCACATCCTGCCCGAAGCGCAGAGCCCGGATCAAAATCCGGTAGTCGCCGTCAGGGACCGCGTACGTTGTCCCGTTCATCAACCCTACAACGCCGTCCGTCCACCACAGGCCGTAATCTCCATACCCCCTCCAGTACCACTCGTTGTAAGGGAACTTGGGCATGTTGTGGCCGCCGACAATTGTCTGGAGCGCTCCGTACGACCTCACCCCAATCTCGTTATCTAGTGTCTCCAGGTCCAGCCCTTTTGGCTGCCTTAGGTCGTGCACCTCCTCCTTGTCAAAGCCGGGATGTGTCGCGTTAAAGTCGACGTTGGCAGCGACCACGTCAATCCGCATGTATGCAGAAGGTTGGACGATCACTGCTCTCATGGCCACACCGTCGCCGCCTCCGAATGTGTATGTGTCTATGCCGATATTACGCTTGCGGCTATTCGAGTTGAAGAGGTACGGCAGCACCGGGACTCCGGCAGGCGGTTCGGGCTGGTCAACCGGTTTGAAAAGTGTCTCGTCGGTCGTGGCGAGCGTGTCCTGCTCGGCACGGCTGTAGGGCACCCCAATGTACGGGACGGACCACTCCTGTCCTTGTGACGACTTGATGGTGACATAGCCTCCGTAAAGCGGCATCTTTGATATCTCCAATCCCTTGGGAGGCGTGATGGTGACTTCGACGGTAGCCTTTGCTCCAGCGGCAATTTCCACGGACTTTGGCAACGCCTCAGACGACGCGTATGCTCCAGCCGCATTGGCTACCCATCTCCAGATGTTATTCTTATTCTCGACGTGGAACTGAGGCACCGCGTCGACTGCCGCGGCTCCCTTGTGTCCGATCACGTAGGTTTGTGTGTTGGCAGAGTGGTTCTCAATGGTAATCTTTCGCGTTGAAGCAGTGGCCGAGTCTCTGAGACTCAGCTCGGATGGCGAGACCGATGTTCCGATGGACTGTACCGCCCTCAAGGCATCAACCAGGCCCGCCCCTTGCTGAGCAGGGGTTGACAAGAGGCTCTGATCGGCCAGCTCTGAGAGTGGGCGCGAAGTCGTCTGCAATCTTTCCTTGATCTCTCGTGGGGAGAGGTGGGGGTTCGTCTCCTTGACCAGTGCGTAGATACCAGCCATCATTGGCGTCGACATTGACGTCCCGCTAATGATGGCATAACCCGTGCCGTCTGTAGTCGGCCAGGTACTGAGGATATTTCCACCAATGCCCGTAAGCTGGGGTTTCAGCGACATTTCCATGGTAGGGCCAAATGAGGAGAATGAACTCATTGTCCCCTTTGTTGGCTGCTCGGCATCGTGGACAGCCCTGTCCTTGAAAGACAGGGTGTAATTTCTCCCATCCTGGGCCACGCCTTCCATCATCATGTCTAGCGTTTTCGAACTGATGGGAGTAAGAGTGTACGCGGCCCCAGGAGGCTCAACACGAAAGTCAACTCCATCAGGAGTGTCTTGCCAGATTTGAGTCACACCAGTCTCCTTTGAGAACTGCGCAAAAGCATAGCAGCCAAGTCTGTTTGGTACAAGGAGTATCACATTCTTCTTGTCCGTGAACGGCTCGACCGCCTGCTTCATGTCATTGAGCGTACACTATACAAGCAGCATGCAGTTAGTCATCATTTTTGTCACCACCTGAGTACACAACGGAACCTCGAGGCCTCGCTCGCGTATAGGCACACCTCACCATGGACGGAGGGCAGCGGGTGGGGTGGGACGAATCTCATGGATGCTTACCCAAGATGGCTCTGGTGTGATGGTAGCCACGTGATGGACACCCGAGTCCTCGAGTGGAATGATGCTGGCATATTCGACTTCTTTCCCCTGCGAGTCCACAGCGTTGTATAGCGTCGCAAAGTTGATGTTACCAGCACTGCCCACGCTGATGACACTCGGATTCAGTGACGGTTCACTGGCGAAGTATGGGCCACGGCCGCCGGAGTTACCAGCAGCCACAACAGCGCCTACACCCTTGGCGGCTAGAGCGTTGAAGATAGGCTCGTACAGGCTGCCGGCCTCCCAAATAGAGTCGTAGCCAAGAGACATGCTGATGACGTCCACGCCATCTTCGCCGGCCCGCTGGAGGGCGGCCATGATGACATCGTCCGTGACGGAGCCAAAACAGCCAAAAACACGGTACATGTACAAGCCCGCTCCAGGCGCCACGCCGATCAAGCCAAAGCCGACCCCTTCTGGGTCCTCGGCGCCGATGATGCCTGCCACGTGTGTGCCGTGGCCACCCTCGAGACACTTGGCGAGAGGATCCGGATCTGGGACCGGCATGTTCATGCCAGTGTAATCGTCACCGACCAAGTCGGCGCCTCCCGCGACTTTGAAGCCTGGACCGAATCCAGAACCAAGTGCTGGATGAGTGTAGTCGATGCCAGTGTCCAAGATTCCAATCTTGACTCCCTTGCCAGTGATATTGAGCTTATGCAGTTCATCCACACCAACCATCTTGAGTGACGAGTTGACATCGCTGGTGCCACTGATGTGAGGCAGTGGAGTGGTTGTGGAGTTTCGCGGTTGTAAAAATCGAGATCTTGTTGGGTTCTCGAGCAGCGGTGATGACGAGGAGTTGGTGGCCTCCATTCCATATTGCATAGGTCGATCATGGACACGATTTGGCCAGATTCTCTTAACCTCGGGCAGTTCTTGAAGCGCAGAGATATCGGCTTCTTCCGCCCCTTCGATGGACAGCCCGAAGAAATAGTCTGTATTGGTGAACTCGTGACGGACGGTGTAAGTGTTCAGCAGTGACGCGGCACGACGGTGGAAGCTGGAATGCACTTCTGACATAACAGACGCGGCGGTTGTTTCAAGCTCGATGATGAAGCCAACAGTCTGTGCCGCCTCGGCCGAGCTGCCCGCAATACATGTTGCTGCGATGACGACAGCCGACTTTGTGGTCTTTGTTAGCCTCATGCTGGGAGAATTTACTTGCTCCTTTCGACCGTTTGAGGTGTTGTCAGAACACTGGCGGACTACCGTCTGTTCGTAGGGACAAAAGCGGCGTACTCTACATTAATATTAGGACGATCAAGAGCGACACGTAAACATATGATTACCAAGCCGAGCGGACGGCGCTCTCCCATGAAACCGAACATTGGAACGTCACATTTCATATCGCAGTATACAATCGCTGCCTGCACCCAGAACCGCGCAATGTGAACTGCCCCAACCACGGAAGTCAGGCGCAACGTCAAAGGGGAAGTGATCTTTCTGACTGCCTGACCGAAGGATTGGCGTTGGTCACTTCACTTGGAGACTTGGCACGCGAACGTGGGCTTGCCGATGTTGCGATGCTGGAGCTTGAGCGCAAGGATCTTGGCAGGCACAACTTCCAGGGGTGTGCTGCATCCTTCACGCAATGGGCAGTCGGCTAGCGGTTCGTACAGGTATGTAACGATCCCATCGACAGGGTTGTCAAAGACGAGCCCCTGGCAGCTCGGCCAGTTGTCGTAACACACGAGATCAAGCCGATTTGTAGTGATCTCGAGCTTTAGTAAATGCAGGCTTGCCTGCCTCGTCGCGAGGCGGCGGCAGGCACAAACCGCATGCTGCACTGTTGCATTAAACGCGCACGCTCGCCCTCGAAATGTCAACGTAATGGGGTCAGGCTCGCGACGGCGGGTGGCTGAGCGAAGTTCCAGTATGTGCTGTCTTCTCTTCTGTCATGAAAAGTCGAACACACCCAGGCCAACTTCAACCCGCGGGGTTCACATGCCCAAATCCATAAGATGAGCATTTTCAGCTGCATGGGGCTTTGAAAGAACGATGCCCTGCGCATTAGGCGGTACACTTCAAAGTCCGACTTTGCAGTGGTTGTTTACGCTTCATCGTGAGCGATCGAAGGTGTTGGCCTGAAGTCGAACCCAACCAAACTTCAAAGTCGTGGAGTGTTACTGGTAATTAGAGGCTCCAGCCAGTGCCAAGCCGTTCCACCCCGACCTCCACAAGGAGCAAGGGACGGAGAGGAGCCCGAGCCGCTTGATTGAAGTACCTCTGACTGGTTTCTGCTAGTTGGAGTTCCTAACTTTTGGTGTAGACTCTAGATGGCACACGTTTCACACATCAGTGCCCATTTTGAAGCGAGACTGCTTGCAGATCGGTGCGGGTGGGCCATGTATTGTGCACTCTACACGTAGTTCAATTTATTAGCATATGGTATGCCGGCGTTTCAGCATCAGAAAAAAGTTATCTGGACCTTGATGACGCAGAGTGGGGGGGCTTGAAGGGCGTAGTACTTGGTATGTATCGCGCTGTCAAGCAGCCCTGAGTGCGCCATCGATGGTCGATAGCCATAGCTAAGGTACTTGAGTTATGCCGTGCTTGAAGTGGCTAAAGACCCATCACTGCAAGGCCGTAATTGCTCCGTTCTTTGCGGTCGATCTGATGCAAGCATAATTGACTGAACTTTACAGCTTCCGTGAAGCTAGTTGGCATGACGTTGTGGGAAACCCAAGATCACCGTGCTCAACGCAAGGACCGGACGCTCGATGAACTGCTTGAAACGACGGGTAGGGCGTGAATCCTGACCTATCGGGAGGCAAGAATGCGTCACAGCCCAGGCTGGAGGCGATGCCGGAGGGGCGCTGGGCGCCGAAGCAGCACTACTATGTACGCTATCCAGCCTGTAGACGACCTGTGGGAGACTGCGAGGGAAGCGGGCGTGCTGCATTCATGAGTCAAGGGTGGCCTGCCTGCGAGATCCGCTCCCTGTCTGACTCTTTGCGCAGATTTGCGTGGACAGCAGCGGGACTGCAAGGACAGGCCTGGAGGCGTTGCGTTGTGGACCCTGAAGGGCGGGAGGCGTGCGCAGTGGGTTTCCATGACGCCCTGCCCACAGCGATATCGGGCCCTGAGTCTTAGGCCCCCGTCCACGCCTGGAGTCATCGATCCCTTCAGCCAAGATTTGACATCCAGCCAGCCGCGAGCAGGTTGACCCGGTCTGGGGGGTTGCTGAGCTTGCATGTCGTCCAGGCCTGAGCATAGGTCTGCCGCGCCCTTGCTTTGGTGCTCGATCGAGCAACGCTGAGCAGCCCAGATAGTGGGACTTGCGGATCACCCATTCCGCTTCGCAAGCCATGACGTTGCAAGGCCCGAGCCGTCCATCCATAGCACGAGTAGCCGAGCATGGGCTGGCAATTGACCTGAGCACAAGCGAGTGCCAGCTGGCACGCCGGGTCCCGCGGCCCGCAGTGTAGCAGATGAATGCCCGTCGACAGATGGCACTGAAGCCAGAGGCGGCGCCAGACGCTCCGATGCTCCGAAACTCGAGAGGAAAAAAAATTGCGGCCGCAGGAGCGACAACGGCAGGCCAGGGTCAACCCCGCCCCCGCTTCGATGCAGCACCACAAGCAAACCGCATCATCGCAGTGCCTTGCGTCGGCGGATGCTCGCCGCGCCCCAGTGGCAGCCATCAGAAAAAGTCGAATTGGTCGTCAGGCCCAGAGTCAATTGGCTGGGCGCATCCCCTCCCCCACTCAGAATTCAAGCCAGCCAGTGCAGTGCCTGACCGAGGGCGTGCTGCACGGCGTGTCGCCTCCCACGCACCGACCGCATCCAAGCTCAATGCAGATCCTGGCGCACCGAAGCAGCCCCAGATGCCCGCGCTTCTTTTTTTCTGGATATAATTCAAAGTGTCCGCTCCCAGTCCTGCTCTCGCTTCTGCCGCCCACTGCTCTCCACGAAATCTAACTCATCATCGTATGTCCAACCCTCTGTACCCTCCTATCTCATACACAGCATTGCCAGACCTCACCTTGCACCTTCTTTCGGCATATCCTCGTTCGCTAACGAGCTCGCTCTAGCTCTCAATCCCTGCCGAGGACGAAAGCAGAAAAGCAAACCCCCGATCACAACCTCCGACGACTTGAGCATTACAACCACCCCGAAAACAATCATGTGCCCGACAGAAGCTCCCAGCGCCACCAATGGCGTCGCCAACGAGGCCGACCGTGTCGAGATCCCCGTTGCCTCGGCTCCTCGCCAGAACCGCTCCAACCCTTACCAGCCCGTCGGTGACTATCTCTCAAATGTCGGCCGCTTCAAGATCATTGAGTCTACTCTGCGTGAGGGCGAGCAGTTCGCCAACGCCTACTTCGACCTTGATATGAAGATCAAGATGTAAGGCAACCTCTTGCAACCCCCTTCACCTCCATGTGTCACGTACGTAACGCTGACCGGTGCGAATTCAAACAGTGCCAAGGGTACGTCGTCATGTCACTGATCTCCTGCAAGCGGACATGCTCCAGGGGACCGGAAGTCCACAGAGAAGGGTTCCGTGCGGAATAGACACACTAACGACAAACTCAATCAAATACAGCTCTCGATGCTTTTGGCGTTGACTACATCGAGCTCACGTCTCCTGCGGCTTCTGAGCAATCGCGGCAGGACTGCGAGGCCATCTGCAAGCTTGGCCTCAAGGCAAAGATCCTGACTCGTACGTTTTCTCTCAGAGCTCCAAGCCCAACTCGACCGTGTTTGTCTCCCTGTGACTTTGTGGCTGATCCAGAAATGTCAAATTAGACGTTCGCTGCGACATGCGCGACGCCAAGATCGCTGTCGAGACTGGTGTTGATGGCCTCGACGTTGTCATTGGCACCTCCCACTTCCTCCGGGAACACAGCCACGGCAAGGATATGGCTTACATCACCAAGACCGCTATCGAGGTCATTGAATACGTCAAGTCTAAGGGACTGGAAGTCAGATGTAAGTGGGATCACGAGACTTCCTGCACAGACACGAGCTTGCTGACCCTTTGAAACATAGTCTCCTCTGAGGATTCGTTCCGCTCTGACCTCGTCGACCTGCTCTCTCTCTACAGCGCCGTCGACAAGGTCGGCGTCAACCGTGTTGGTATTGCCGACACTGTCGGTTGCGCGTCGCCCCGCCAAGTTTACGATGTATGTTCTTTTCTCGTCTCCTTTTACGTCATCAAATCACTGACGAGTTTATAGCTTGTGCGGACACTTAGAGGCGTTGTCTGTAAGTTACCGCATATCATTAAGGTGTCATGTTTCTCTGTCGACAACTCGTTGCGGCACCGCTCTCCACTCGACCGTTGTGCTGACCTCGGCTTGAAGCCTGTGACATCGAGACACATTTCCACAACGACACTGGCTGCGCTATCGCCAATGCGTAAGTGTTCTAGATTGCTCGTTGGGCTTTTTGCACAAGTGCTGACTCGACGTAGGTACTGCGCACTCGAGGCCGGCGCTACCCACATCGACACCAGTGTCCTAGGCAGTAAGTTCACGCACGTTCCAAACTTTTACTCACAAGATCGGCCAGCTAACGCCGCACTATAGTCGGCGAGCGTAATGGTATCACCCCTCTTGGTGGCTTGATGGCTCGCATGGTGGTCGGCGAACCCGAGTACGTCAAGAGCAAGTACAAGCTGCACATGATCAAGGAGGTAAGCTAGGCTCCCCTGTGAATCCCTCGTGTTTCGGAGCGCATTGCTGATCCCATACTGGCAGATTGAGGATCTCGTGGCTGAGGCTGTCGAGGTCAACACTCCATTCAACAACCCCATCACTGGATTCTGTGCCTTCACGCACAAGGCCGGTATTCACGCCAAGGCCATCCTCAACAACCCAAGCACATACGAGATTCTGAACCCCAGTGACTTCGGCTTGACCCGCTACGTGCACTTTGCGTCCCGTCTGACGGGCTGGAACGCTGTCAAGACGCGTACTGCACAGCTTGGTCTGACCATGACCGACGACCAGGTCAAGGAGGTGTACGTCATCCTTGTCTTGCTCTCCAAGGTGCTCCTCATGCTGACCAAACTTCATCTCAAACAGAACTGCCAAGATCAAGACCCTGGCTGACATCAGGCCGATCGCCATCGACGATGCGGACTCGATCATCCGGAGTTATCACTTGACACTGCAGGAGCAGAAGGTCCCTGCGCCCGATGCTGTCCCGACGGTCGTAGCGTAGGGACTCTTGAGGTTTTGGAGTTATGGCCCACGTTGGGTACCGCGGGGATCGCGATGGGCTCTACCGTGCGACGGCATTTCTTAGGTATCGGTCCGCGTGGAGTTCTGATGCGCTTCCGGTGCTGAAATGGTGCGGAAGCTGTGCATCTGATTTGATTTGAGGTGTTTCGCAAAAGCAAATGATTTTCCGGTGTTTATGTAGTCGCGTAAGCCAAGATTGAGAATCCACAATTGCACAAAATGTGCGCCATTGATGATTGGATGACTTGGTGTTGTCCAGGAGAGACGATGGTAGAAAGAATTGTGCCATGCGCTTGAAAAACAAGACGGGGAGGCTTCTTATTTGTCTGCCCGGCACGGGGCTTTGCGGATCTCGGATATGCAAGTGCATGATCCGAGCGGAACGGAACATGTGTAGGGTCGGATATCCACGGCTGATATGCCGCCTCGGTCGGGTCGCAAAGTGGTCGCCGTGGCCAGCTTTAAGTGACTGAATTATACAAGGACTATGCAGCCCAGCTGCAAATTCCGTGCGCGCGGCGTGAGATGCTCGCCCAACACTCTTGACATACAAAATCAAACGTGTGATGATAACCGGAGTATGCGAGTCCAACCCTCCACGTCTTGAGATTGGCTCCGATTGTGTGTGGCGTGACAAAACCGGCTGGCGTATTGTACTATGCAGACATTCGCTTCTGCTAGAGAAGTTTGCTTCTACCCAGGGACACAGGACCTTCTTGCCCTTGCCCGTGTAGGCAAACTTATCTCCCCCGGGGTTAGAAACTCATCTGGTGCCACTGTGGCTCAGGCAGCAGTACTTGACTAGGGTCGTTCCACTGCTGCGGTTGGCAACCAGACACTGTGTCAGCGCTTGCAGCTTCTCGCTGCGACAACTTTGGAATTTTGTCAGGCTTTGGCCGCAGAGACACTCATCGACTAAGGACATCCAGAAGCCCTGCGCTGTAACTCTCGCCTGCACCAGGTAGTGCAGTAATGCAATGGCGGATGTCGAACAAACATAAGTTCTGCTCCATGATGAGGCAGACTCTGCAGGATGCCTTTGCCAAAGTTCCAACTCGGACAAAGTCTCGAGTCACCGCACGAGACGGTTCCGAGAAGCAACTGGGGTCACAAGAAGAAGGTGGGTGCATCCCACACCACAAGGGTCCAAGCCGAGCGGGAGAGGCCGCAGGTGTGGTTGGACAGGACAAACAAGTGCCGGACCCGCATGAGAACCCTCAAGGGCTGCTGCTCGTAAGGGCGGATGTGTGACCCAATCGCATTGCACGCAAAGCACTTGCGCTCCTGGTCAGGCTGACTCGATCAAGTGCGTCTACCAACACGCACATTGTCCTTGTTGGTGGCGGGGCCTGCTCCTCGCATCCGTCCGGCAGCATTGCATTGGCTGATGATGGCGAAGTTGTTGGTGACTTTGCTGTGCAACACACCTGGGCAGGCTTGGAGGCATCTCCGCAACACCGCACAGAGGGGATCTGCACTCGACATTGTGTAAAGCACAACTTTTTGAAGAGCAATCCATGCTGCTGGATGGTATGCTGACGAGGCACGCAGGAGGAAGCCTGTGGGATGTAGGCGAGGGTGCCCAGCTGTGGTTTGGTTTGGTGGTGGGCGTGCTTGTCTCGGCAGGCCGTGATGGCCCCCACGTAGCCGCCGGTGTGGGCAGCCGGTGTGGAAGCTGTGTTGCTGGGCTTGCCGTCTCCCCTCAGCTGAGAGAAGCGTCTCCAAGAAGGCCTGAGAACAGGGCAGGAATCCTCCACCAACATGCAGTGCTCAGTCTGCGCCACTATCACAGACTGCGCGCCAAGAGCCCCCAACGGCATGCTGCCCCGGCGGCCGTTGGCCATTGCCATCGTCTGATTCACACCATGGACGTCAGCTAGCCACCGTCTTCCTCAACTCGCACCCTGTCTCTGCGAGCCACTTTGTCCATTTCGAGGGTGCTGCTCGTCATCAACCCCTGCTCCCTGCGCGCCTCTGCCCATCTGCATTGCCGCGCTGCTGTAACCATGCGCGCTTCGCCAGGCTGTCAAACTTGGCCGTGCAGTGCCGGCAACCTACCACCGTTCGGCGGTCCACTCACACAGCTGAGCACTGGTGGCCAGGCCGCATTTCAGCACAGGCGAGCTGATGCTTCTGGACATCTCGGTTGTCTCATTGCCACATCTGGAGGGATGACTTCAGCAAGGGTTGGCCACACTGTCTCATTGGGCCATTGTTGTTGGTGGCAACGCAAGCATGAGGCATGCTGCGCGTGATCATGCCCAGGCAGCCGAGCAAACAATGGATGGCATGAGCCTACTATGTCGGCCCCGAGAGGAAGTCGGTGGTATCCCTGGATGAGTATGGCTGGTCCCCCGGGGTCTCGAACCAGGACTGTTTGCTACCAAGCGTCACGATAAGAGGACCTTGATCTGCCTTGCGGCTGCTCAGAGAACTCTTCTGTCCCTCGTTGCAGCAGCAAACGATATCCACTGGTTTAAGACATTCGCAGAGCCTGACACGGCACTTGCCCAACGAAGATCAGGAAAACCCCCAGCTTCGACCTGAACCTCCCAAGCTTGACATAAGGAGCGGCTTTTGAACAATGGAAGCACAGAAGAACCCCCCGTTCCGGGTTGTCATTGCCGGAGCCGGCCTCGTGGGCTTGACAGCAGCACACATACTTACCAAGGCCGGTATCGACTTTGTCATTCTTGAAAAGCACAAGACCGTCGTTCCTGCGGTGGGCTCTGTGATGACCATCTGGCCTCAGACCTTTCGGATATTCGAACAACTCGGCTTGAACGACGTCCTCAGTCCACTTCTAGAGACTCTAAACACCAACACCGTCATCTCCGCCGATGATGCCAGCGAGCTTGACGTGTCAAGGTTCCCGGACCTCATTGAGAGGAAGTAAGTGTCCTTGTCAAGTGCAACACATGAATCAATCACTGACTAATTGACTCTCCAGCCATGGCTGGGCAGTCCGCGTGCTAGTTCGCACGAAGTTCATCGAAGCACTATATGACAGCCTACCCCAGGAAGCCAAGGCAAAGGTTCTCCTTGGCAGACATGTCGAGGACGTCGAGATGGACGACACTGGCGTGAAAATGACCTGTCGTGGTGGCTTCGTCGAGCGCGGTGATATGCTCATCGGGGCCGACGGTGTCCGCAGCCAGACTCGGCTCCATATGGAGTCGCTGCGCCAGAACAAGGCACCAAGCGACCTCGCCGACAAGTATCAGAAGCCGTATCTTTCGACTTACCGCGTGCTTGTTGCACAAGTGGACACCCTTCCGGATGTCTCAACCAACATCAAATATGACGGTGTGCGGTATGGGGTGACGACACAGTTCATGTATGGGAAACAAGTCTCCTGCATGGCGGTGTACGAGAAATTGGAGACGCCCACATCAGACCATCACAGATACACGGACGAGGACAAGATGGACATGCTCCGGCGCTGGGGCCATCTCATGGTTCTTCCGGGCTACTCAGTGCGCGACCTCCACGAGAAAAGCAAGACCAACATCGGGCTCTACGACTGCGAAGAGGGTCTGGTGGAGCGGTGGCACCACGGCCGTATTGTGCTGGTGGGTGATGCAGTGCGCAAGCTAGATCCTCACACCGGCCAAGGCTACAATGAAGGCGTGACTGACCTTGTGGTCCTGCTCAACAACGTGCGGAAGATGCTCCTCGCGTCGTCGCAGGGCGTGGAAAGTGCCCCCAGCACGGCCAGACTCGAGGCGGTCTTTGCGAAATACGAGGCGGAGCGGATGAAGCAGATGGGTGCGGTGCTGGAGATTTCAAAGGCGTTTGCAAGGATGGCAGCATGGCTGTCGTGGAAGGACATGGTCATGGCCAAGTATGTGCAGCCATACCTGCCTCTGAACTACCTCAGCATGACATATATCATCGGCCCCATGATTGCTGGGTCTCCAGTACTGGAATGGTTAGAAGAGCGGCGGTTGCCACCTGGAAAGATGGCGTGGAGGCACCACCCCAAGCTGGTAGAGGCACCACCGGGGAAGGAGCCAAGCAAGGAAGCAATGTCGGCCCCTGGCGTGGCAGTATTTACCAAGTGGGCGTGGGCCAAGGGGGCGAGAGCTTTATCTGCTGTGGCAGGTCATCGCTTCCAGTGGCGGTCGTGAGGAATCTGGGCAGAGGAGCTGGCCTGGACTCCAAGTAGCGTAGGTACCTGCCATAGGTAATTAGCATACAGAACGGATCGAAAGTCCCCTGGCGTCGGCGATGCTGGGTCTCAGTTCAGCTGCGCACGTGTTTTATCAACGCCCAGCCGCTTCGGCTGGGGCGTGGCGTGGTGGAAATCGAGTCCCGAGGGATCTCGGCTTGGCAAAGCGGACACACGGCCGTTTGGGGCATGCGGCGTTGCCGCGGCCCAATCAGCTCCAGCACATGGCCAGGTTTGGAGAACTACCCCACACGGAGCCTGCGATTTAGCGCAAGGGAGTTGGGGACCCAGGCGGGGGTGGGGGGGGGGGGCAGCAGCAGCGTTGCACCGAGATCACTGCGACCCCGGCGCAGCTACGCAGTTGATCTTGTCTGCTTCCCAACCCCTTACTCCGGCTTCCCTTCCGTGCAAGCACATCTCTTTTGGCAAAGCATCACGGCCGTCAATTGACAAACCACCTGCTCAGCGACAACAACCTCGCTGTCCTGGGCCGTCCTTGTCCGAGTACCATGGCACAACCGAGGTTCCAGGGCTGGATCGGCCATGACAAGGAGTCGGTCAATGGCAAGCTCGTCTGGGGCGACTTTGAGCCCAAGCGGTGGGAGGAGACCGACATTGACATCAAAATCACACACTGCGGCATGTGCGCCAGCGACCTGCACACTCTTTCCAGCGGGTGGTACAAGTCGCCCTACCCCATCGTCGTTGGCCATGAGATTGTCGGCCGCGTCGTGCGCGTGGGCTCCAAGGCCGTGGGCAACCACAAGGTCGGCGATCGCGTCGGCGTCGGCTGCCTCACAGACTGCTGCATGTCGGTGCAGGACAAGCCCTGTGACCGCTGCGCCGAGGGCCAGGAGAACTACTGCCTCAAGTCGCGCTGGACGTACCCGGGCCCGCACCACAATGGCGACAAGGGCTGGGGCGGCTATGCGACACACCACCGCTGCCCGGGCCGCTTCGCGTTCAAGATCCCAGACGCAATCGGCTCGGCGCAGGCCGCGACGCTCATGTGTGCCGGTATCACCATGTACGCACCCCTCAAACACAACAACATCGGGCCCGGCAAGTCCGTGGGCATCGTAGGCATCGGCGGGCTGGGCCACTACGGCGTCCTGCTCGCCAAGGCCATGGGTGCAGACCGCGTCGTGGCCATCTCCCGCAAGCGCTCAAAGAGGGATGAGGTCCTCGCCCTGGGTGCCGACGACTACATTGCGACAGATGAAGACGAGAAGTGGGACAGGAAATACCGAGGCAAGCTCGATCTCGTCGTTTCCACTATTGCTTCCAGCAAGGTCAGCAGCGCCACCAAACATCATGCATCGTGATCGAGACTTTGCGAAAAGGTGACTGACAAGTGCGCCACGTACATGCATAGGCACCAACCGGGTCATACCTCAAGATGCTCAAGTACAAAGGATCTTTAGTGCAGGTCGGCAATCCAGACGACGGGCAGATCAGCATTCCTCAGGGACTACTTATCGGTCAGAAACTCAGCTTTTCTGGCTCGACGATCGGCTCCGCTGGCGAGATTAGGGAGATGCTCCAACTTGCAGCCGACAAGGGCATCAAGGGCTGGGTGCAGGAGAGGCCAATGAAGGAGGCAAACCAGGCTCTACTTGATATCGAGGCTGGCAAGCCGCGGTATAGATACTGCTTGGTCAATGAGGATGCGAACAAGGCGTCACTTTAGAGGGTCAAGACTAGACGAATACACGGCACTTTTGATTCTTCGTCTTGACCCTCGCGTGCCGGAATCACGCGAGCTATTGCCAGGCTACGTGAGCAGGCGTGAGCGGTTCGTGCGATATGACTATTTTTGTCTGAGGCTGTACTGGTACGAGCAAAGGCACATGTGCCCAGCCCTCATTGGTGCAACACAAGCAAGGACGTGGATGCCTCGGCCGCTCCAGCTGCTGTCTGAAGAACGTGCAACACGAAAACATCTGGCATGACTTGGGTTGGACAAAGACCACGAACAGGCCCCGACTTCACTGCTCCACTCTACGCTGTCCGAGACATCGCTGGCATAGCAATACTGCAATCATGCCCCCCCCCCCCGAAAACAGTCCAAACAAAGCCGATGTCGCGTAGGGTGAGTACCGGGTTTCGGTCATCACAACGACTGTCCGGCCTGGCATTATGGCATTATACTCCGTACCCAATAAACGATCGTCGACTGTAGCCACCCGTGTCTCGTTACAGATTTAAATTGCCATCCCGCAGGAAATGGGGTCCTTGGCAGGGTCCAGGGTCCCCTCCACCAACCACACTGCACTGTCTGCCCACGGGTGTTGCATTGAATGCTTCCCCGATCCTAGTACCGCTCGCCGCCATAAATAATACTACGTTCTCTGCTAAACTTCATGCGGTGCAAAAAGGCACAATGACAACAATAATACTGCCGCGGTAGCGGCGTCCACGCATCCTTCTCCTTCACATTTTCCTCGGCCCTTCGATCGTGTCGAAGTTCGTGAATCTTGGCAAGCATCTCTTCTGCTCGTTTTCTTGGACCGAAACAATGCGAGTCGCTCGTGTAAGGTGGCTGGTCGGTGTCGCGGTGGTTGCCGCCCTGGTCAACGGACAGAGCCCTGAAATCGAACTGCCCATTCTCGCTCGCTCAGAAGAAGTCGAATCGGACTGGACTACCGTGGCGTACGGCCGCAATGTGCCACTGCTCGTTGGCAACGACGGCGGATCAGCATCAGGGGGTTTCCGCGTCTACGGCCTCAACGACAGCAACCTGCTAGCCGAAGTCAAGCATGTGACGCCTGGGCGGACTAAGCTTGTAACTGTCGCCCATGGCGTGGGTGGCAAAGACCTCATCCTTACTATTGCACAAACCGACTCATACTTCCGCATCTACGATGCTTTGACAGTGGAGCCTCTTGGGCAGCCAGGCACGTTGACTCTTGGCGACTGGGCTGCTCTGTGCACTTGGAAGAGCCGCTCTAGTGGGGAGACCTATGTGTATCTCTTTGGAAAGGTAATGCCCTATCTGTGGTAGATTGGGATCGTCTCTGTTCCGAACTATTGTGGCTTACCAACATCGCACAACCCTAGGGTCAAGCCAAGCAGTTCCTCTTGCGAGCCGTGGATGTTTCCTACGAGCTCATAGAAGTCCAAACCTTTGACGTTCCTGTTGAGGCGTCAGCCTGTGCCGTCTCCTTGGATACGAAGACGGTATATTTCAGCAACGATGACAGCCCGGCCGTCTTGTCCTTTGCCACAGCGGAGTCCACCACCACGCCTATCATCTCTACGCTGGGCGAGGCCGATGATGAAGTGACAGGTCTGGCTGCCTACATTGGCAATGGATCTGACTATTTGTTGATCGCTGTTAAGGACGCCGTGGCCATATACGACACGTCGTTCAAGCTGTTCGGCACCTTGAAGATGACTGGGAACGACGATATCGAGGTTCGGGGCCTCAGCATCTATCAGGGTGCAACTGCCAGCTTCCCAGCTGGAGCGCTGACATTTGCCGTGAAAAGCGACTCTGGCGCTGGGTTTGCTGCCTCCTCTCTTGAGATGGCCTTCGATAAGCTTAAACTCGAGGTCAACACCGCTTACGACCCTCACAAGTCTCCTAGCAGCCCTTACTCTCCAGTCTGTGACGAGTGCAACAAGAGCGGTTTCTGCGTTGGCGGCGGCAGGGGAGTCGGTGCTCCAAGCTGTGAGTGCTTCGCGGGCTTCATGGGCAGCAAATGTCAGGACTTTACATGCACGGACGATTGCTCTGGCCACGGTACCTGCGTAGGCGCGAACAGTTGCGAGTGTGAGACCGGCTGGGGAGGTCTGCATTGTGCCTTCAAGATCGTGACGGCCAGCATTGAGACTGACGCCAATGGTGGTGACGGTGACGATCCAGCGATATGGATCTCTCCCGTCGACCGTGCCGAGTCGAGAGTCGTGACGACAACCAAGTCGGAGGAAGGCGCGGGCCTCGCGGTTTTCGACCTGAGCGGCCATCTCCTGCAGACGATGCCTGGTGGACAGCCAAACAATGTTGACATCATCTACGGTTTCGTGGCTGGCGACCGCACCATTGATCTGGCTTATGCAGCCTGCCGATCCGATAATACTTTGTGGTAAGTCGAGACCGTCCTTGCCGAATCGGACATCAAATGTTTTAGCATCCATGCTTACATGCAGACACAGCCTCTGGGAAATGTCCGAGAGTGGGCAGCTCAAAGAGATCGCTGGTGGTTCACAGCCCACCAAGGAGGACTACAAGGTATACGGCAGCTGTGTTTACCGCTCGGAGTTGACCGGCAAACAGTACCTCTTCGTCAACGCCAAGACAGCCGAGTATCTCCAATTCGAGCTCACGTGGGCCGACAGCGCTCTGAGGACGACGCTCGTGCGAAGCTTCACCGGCGGCAGGTGGGGCCAAGTCGAAGGATGCGTGGCAGACAACGCAAACGGGTGGGTTATCATTGGCGAGGAGCCATATGGGCTCTGGCGGTACGGCGCCGAGCCTGAGGATGACCCCAGCCAGCGTGTCCTGATTGACAGCATCGAAGGCGGCATGTACGCTGATGTCGAGGGCGTCACGTTGGTCGAGGGCGCGACAAAGGAGGACGGCTTCATTATTGTCAGCCAGCAGGGCGTGAGTGCATACAACGTCTACCGCCGCGCTCCTCCGCACCAGTTTGTGGAGACTTTCACAATCGCCGAGAACAAGAGTCTTGGGATCGATGCTGTGACTAACACGGATGGTCTGACCGCGGTTGGAGGCGGGCTTGGGCAGGCTTTCCCAAGCGGGCTGGTGGTTGTGCATGACGATGCTAATCAGCTACCGGATGGCACCACTTCTAACGAAGCCAGCTACAAGTTCATTAGCCTCGCAGATGTTTTGTCTGGTCCACTGCTGACTGAGCTTGACGTCAACTGGGACCCAAGGGCAACTTTCAAGACCTAACTTCTTGTAGCTGGGTCGGGGTTTCTCAGTGTCAATTTCGGACTCACGTGTACATACTTTCCTGGCTGGGGATAATGCAAGTCTCGTTCGCTACGTACTGTACAGAAATACAACATGCCCACTGCTTGGGAATGATCATGGGCCAGACTACGGTAGGTCGTGTCTGGAAATGAACTATTTATGCCTTGCTCGAGGACCCCAGAACATCGAAAGGTGTGTTTCCGTCCGAGCTCTTTTTCTGCCTTGGTGCAGTCGACTCAGTTATGCCCACGCTTGCCCGCAGTGCAAAATTGTCCTCGGCCAGTCGTCCCGGATCAGCCTTGGTACCGAACTGGGAGAAACTCGCGTTTCTGTTCTTGTCCTCGGTCGCAATGGACTCGTCCTCCTTGATATTCTTGCCATGAGGGCCCTCGTGAGGATTGCGGTTGGTGCCAAGGACATTGTAGATATAAGTCGGGGCAGGATCTGCGTGGCTGTGGCTTTCTTTCGAGCCCTTGGTCTTGCTGCCTGTGCCAGTGTGGTCGTGGGCAGCATGCTGCTTGCCGCCTGATTTATTCTTGTCCTCGTGGCCGCTGCTGCCTAGGCCTTTGTGGTTGCCCTTGTTGTCCTTGTGCTTGTCGTTGTGGTGTCCATCGCCAACACTGCCGCTGGTAGATTCACTACCGGCACCGTGACGAGCCGAGTGAGATTTGTGGTGTGGGTGGGAGCCGGACTCGTGGTGCGATTGCGACCCAGATCCGAAATTCTCCTTGCCCTGGTGCGAGATTTGTTCCGCAGACACATCATTCGCCTCCGCGAAAGCGCGAGACTCTGCAGCCAGGGAGTCTGGAGCTATAGCCCCGGGGCCCTCTTTGGTCACGGGGGCGGCGGCGCCGAGGTCAACCTTTTGGCCGTGGGTTGGGTTTCTGGTGGAAGGTGCCATGATTGCAGGTGGGAATTACTATTTTGGAAAGTTGCGTGACTAGTTCTTGGTGTGAGAAATACGAAGAACATTGCCTTGTCACTGACAAATGGCTGATGAGTGTTTATATAGTCTTCCTGTTGAGATGAAATCAATGGCTTTGAGGGGCCCCGAGGGCGAGCATAACACCACGCAAACTCAAATCTCATGACGGCAACTCGTTCAGCACTAAGCTCTGTCTAGGCTTCGTCAAGGTTGACGCCCCGCGCTAAGAATGGTACACTCAGTTGGAAGCAAGTTTGTACCACTTATAATGCCTACCTCATTGTGCAGTAGTCTCTTTGTCATTTGCTTCCCATCGCGCCGATACACGAAATAGGTGACATCATGGCGGCACGTCAGCAAGCTCTCGCGCGATTCGAAAATGCTGTCATGTGACGCACTCAATACGCTGAATCTCTTCAACGTACGCAAGTTTTGGCGAGAACTGATCGGGTACCATGGTGGCGACGGCCTGGGCGAGAGTCTTTTGGCTGTGATTTCTGTCGAGTCTTTGCCGAGTTGGGAACAAACCCAAGACATCAAGTCTTGCGAGGCTACAGCGCGTGGACCGGGTCTCCAATGTTCTAGTCAACACCTGAAGTGTGGGGGAGGTCAGTTACTTTATGCATCAGCAACCACAGACAGACACTTAAGAGTGCCCCGGAGTTGTGCTGTGCAACCAGGGCTGGCCTTTCAATCTCGACTTCTCTACAGGCACGTGGCCCACAAAAGCGCTTGTGCCGTGCTGTTCTGCAGCCAATAGCGACGCTGCTCAAGGTCAGGACAAGGCCAGAGAAGCTCAGGCGCGGGGCAGGGAAGCAGGGGTGCCTGCTCACGTCGAGCTGCAGGTCCGGTCCCGGGGCGACAGTCCACGAAAAATAATTGAATGCTCGCCAGCTTGGTCCACTCGCACCGACGTCGCTTGTTCGACTCATGGACAACACTAACTGCTGCCAGCCATCTCCATGTCCTCGGTCGTGATCCTGGCATAATCAGCATCTCGATTGATCAATATTCTGCCTTTCAGGAAAACATTGATCCTTGACGCAATGGCGCTCTACAGTCTGCTCCGCGCCAGAGCTCCGGCGGCCTTTGCAAGGTCGGCTTCGGGTCACCATGCGTATGTCATACCCTCAAGCTTCCCGATGTGATAGATGGCCACGAGAACTGACCGACAAGCACATTGTGGCGGGTATAGGCGCCTCTTTTCCGCAACGTCTGTTGTTCGCCAGTCCTCAGACGTGTCCGAGCTGAACAAGGTGTCGCGCCACATTACACAGCCCAAGGCCCAGGGCGCCTCCCAAGCCATGCTCTACGCGACCGGTCTCAACGATGCCGACCTCGCCAAGCCTCAAGTTGGCATCTCGTCCGTCTGGTGGGAGGGCAACCCGTGCAACATGCACCTGCTCGATCTCTCCAAGATCGTCAAGGACTCGGTTGCCCGTGCCGGCCTAATCCCATACCGCTTCAACACCATTGGTGTCTCCGACGGTATCTCTATGGGCACGACTGGCATGCGCTATTCCCTTCAAAGCCGCGAGATCATTGCCGACAGCATCGAGACAGTCATGGAGGGTCAGTGGTACGACGCCAACATCTCCCTCCCCGGCTGCGACAAGAACATGCCCGGTGTCCTCATTGCACAGGCTCGTGTCAACCGTCCCAGCATCATGGTGTACGGAGGAACAATTCAGCCGGGCTGCACCAAGGCTGGCGAGTCCATCGACATCGTTAGTGCCTTCCAGGCTTACGGTCAGTACATCTCGGGCGAGATCACTGAGGAGCAGCGCTACGACATCATCCGCAACGCCTGCCCTGGTGGTGGTGCATGTGGAGGCATGTACACGGCCAACACCATGGCCACCGCTATCGAGACCCTCGGTATGACCCTTCCTGGCAGTAGCAGCAGTCCCGCCGAGGACCCCGCCAAGAAGCTTGAGTGCGAGAATGTCGGCGAGGCCATCAAGAACCTCATGAAGGAAGGCATTCGTCCTAGCGACATCCTCACTAGACAAGCTTTTGAGAACGCCATGATTGTCGTCAGCATTCTTGGAGGCAGCACCAATGCCGTCCTTCACCTTATCGCCATGGCCGATGCCATTGGTATAAAGCTCACCGTCGACGACTTCCAAGCTGTCTCGGACCGCACCCCTCTGCTTGCTGACCTCAAGCCCTCTGGCAAGTATGTCATGGCCGACATTCACAAGCTGGGTGGAACTCCTGCCTTGCTGAAATTCCTGCTCCAGGAGGGAGTACTCGATGGGTCCGGTATTACCGCAACTGGCAAGACCATGAAGCAGAACGCGGAGGCGGCGCCATCCTTCCCCTTGGACCAGAAGATAATCCGGCCCTTCTCGGATCCCATCAAGCCTACTGGACACATTCAGATCCTCCGTGGTGATCTGGCGCCTGGTGGCTCCGTTGGCAAAATCACAGGCAAGGAAGGCCTCGTATTTGAGGGCAAGGCTCGCTGCTTTGACCAGGAGGATGACTTCATTCAGGCTCTGGAACGTGGCGAGATCAAAAAGGGAGAGAAGACTGTGGTTATTATTCGATACGAAGGTCCCAAGGGGGGTCCTGGCATGCCCGAGATGCTCAAGCCCTCCTCGGCCATCATGGGTGCCGGTCTGGGTAATGACGTTGCCTTGCTCACCGATGGTCGTTTCTCTGGTGGCAGTCATGGCTTCCTGATCGGCCACATCACCCCAGAGGCTCGCGTCGGCGGCCCTATTGGGCTTGTGGAGGATGGCGACATAATCACCGTTGACGCGCAGAATCTTGTCATCAACACAAACGTCAGTACTGAAGAAATGGAGAGGAGGAAGAAGGCCTGGTCGCCACCATCACCGAGATATGCGCGGGGTACGTTGACCAAGTATGCCACCCTTGTCAGCGATGCTAGCTCGGGTTGTGTCACCACAAACACCATGATATAAGCATGAGCTGGGGGTGTCCCTTTTGTAGCTGGACATTTAGATTGTAAAATCTAATGTTGCCTACCCGCCTCTCCGAGGCGGGACGGTTGACAGCCGGCGTTTGACGTCTTGCGAGCAGTAATGACATATTTGTTTGATCTACATGGGTGGCCATGGCTTCCGCATATTCGTTCGGGTCGTGCTGTGAGATGACTTCTATATTCCTTGGGTTCGAACCACAACTTGGGGAAGTTCTTGGCTAGGCTTCTCCGCCAGGCGAACCCTTCAGGTTTCTGCTTGTACAGCGAGCGCCATCAAGAACAAAGAACTGAACATCGCTCAGCAGCCGCCTTTGTCCTCTTTGCTATCACAATCAACAAATGGTAGACCGTATTATTCTTGCAGAACCAGGGATATCACGAGAATGGGTGCTGAAATGAGGTTTTGCAAATGAGTGGTGATCATGCTGTTACTTGTTGACTCTAAGTGAGCATACTGGCAAGCCGTCCCTTCTTTGTCAATTTCTCTTTTGCCTCACCGAGACTTCTTCGTCCACGCATCCACGAAAGCGACCTTGTCGCGCAGGGTGAGCCCCACGCGCTTATTCCTCGCGAGACGGGCCAACGTCTCGCCAACGTGGTCCATGACGCGCTTCTCCTCAGGAGTCAGGTCTCTTGACTCTCCGTCGACGCCTTTCTCCATAGCACCATTCACCAGTCCATTGACAGCAGCTGCCGTGTTGGTCGTGCCCTCGGCAATCCTGACTCGAATACAATGTGTAGGCCGGCTGAGCAGATTCCACAGAAATGCCATATAGGCGCCAGGTACTGGGGTTGTGATGTCAGGGGGCGTATATCGCAGGCTGATGGGGAAGAGCTTGGCATCAGCTGGCGCTGAGAGCAGTGACGGGGACAGCGGAAGTATGCCCTTCCCGTTGGTTGTGCTCATCTCGGGAAACACGGCGATGACTCGATCAGGGTTCTGTTCGACAAGAGCCCGCAGTGTTGTCAGTCCGGCGGGCGTCGGAGGCGCAAGGACAGGCCCTTGGAGGGCAAGCATGACTGCCCGCCATAGACTAATGCGCTGCACTTTTTGCGTGTCCGGATACGAGATTGTGAAGATGGGGTCGAATATCGCAGCGAGGTATATGGGGTCGATAGGCGACGTGAACTGAGATGCGATGATGGAGCGGGGATGCGGGAAGCGTGAGGGCGGCTGTTGCGACAAGGAGCCACGTTTTACGTTGTCGAGCTGGAGGTCAACCCACCACACGCCGGGAATGGCAAGCAGCCCCCAGAGCAGCAGCTTGCGAGCCGCGAGGGGGAGAGGCAGCTGGGCGAGAAGCAGGAAGTAGATGGCGACGCATGTGAGGAAGAGCGGAAGGCGGAAGACAAAGATGACCCCGCGAAATATGTTGTAGATGGCCGATGTGGGTGTCGTCGTAGGGATGAAAGGCGATATGCCAGATCCTGCACGTGGCCGCTCATTTTCAGTCAGCCAACACGCTCAAGACGGCGACAAGGCAAGCTGTAAGAAGGAGTGCAGAGGGCGAACAAACCGCGGTCACGGAACTGGCTGTACTTCTCCATGGCTCGGTGCAGTCAGGAAAGGGTCCCCTCGGTGGGCGTGGAGAGGTGAAGAGTAATGACGATTTTGGAGTTGGATACCCGAATGGCGTAGTGGGGGGATTGAGCACAGCTAGCCAGTCTTATAGTGGAGTGGCAGATATGTTGCTTAGCCCTTCCTGGCTGCGACAGAGGGCTTGGAGGTGATTAGAGTCTGACGATTTATTACGGGTGAGGTGCTGGCGATTACTGGTGGGGAAATCTGCTCAGCTCATAACGTGGTCTTTTTGAAGTAATCAACCATGATAACAGGACGAGGTGCAGCCATTTGCAGCGCACGATCGATAAGGGTGCAAGCGACGGGTTGTTCGGACCCATTTGACATGTGAAGAGAGAGGAGGCGAGTGACACGGACGGTCGGCGGCGGAGCCCTCCTGCCGCATTATTCCATTTATGCATGCTGCACAAAGACCTTATTTTCCACAATTCGTTGCCGGGTCAACTCCTAACTTCTGGGACCCCCTCCACAACTAGTTTACCCCTGGTTGTTTATCGATGCCTCCACCTAAACATGCACTCTTAGCCGGCCTGGCGCTGAACTACCTCAAAGAGATGTGTCAGTCCGCGCGACGTTACCCACCTTATCGTGAAGGAGCGCCATCCGTTCCTTGAACGCCAGATTTCCATGTCTTAGCCGTCAAGACCTGACTGCTCCCAGCATCAACGATACCGACATCGACCCTCCTTACGCGAAGGCGTGCACAATCACCCACTACCTGTCTGCGCCATCACCTTCCTCAGATCGTCGTCATACAACTAGGACTGGCATATCGGAGCCCCGACGTCATGGACGCTGACGGAGTGGTACGTTTGATGGCGCATCCTTATGACGAATGGAGGTTATTCCAATGTACTGACACGGTGACTTTCACTCACAGACAATGCGTCGGACTGGCCTTCCCCAGCCTCGTCCTGTGTCTCGGCACCAGTTCTCGGCCTCAACCTCGCACGCCTCTTTGGCTTTACACGAGATTTCAGACTCTCAGTCAAACGCCCGATCGCATATTGCTCAACCATCATTCGGTACCAAACGAATCTTACAACCAGGTGCGGGCTTTTGACCCTCGCGCTTGACTACTGTGGCTTGACTGACCTTGCATATACGATTGCTAGCCGTCCAACCTGAAGCGAAGCGCCAGACTCTGGCAGAAAGAGCAGGTCACCCTCCTCGCCCACTAGGCGCTTCACTCCAAGCCTCCCGCTCGGTAAGGGCAGTTGCACTGAAGGATGTGGTAAGTCGGCGAGCAGTCCTCGCTTTGACAGTGTAACTGACACATTGTGGCACAAAGGGCAAAACAACAAGTGGGATGAACTCGTTCTCCAGCCTCCCAACATCTCGTGCCATCCCAACCACAAACTACTCGTCGAGCACCAGCATCTACGGCGCCAGCTCGGCCCGACCACCTTCCCGATCGCAGCACGCGCGATCTCGATCCAACACAAGGACGTTACAGATTGTTCCAAGCTCGCGCCCTACAACCTCCATGGGAACTCGGGAACGGGAAGAACCCAATAGCCGAAATGGTATGCCGCTAGTCTCACGATTCTCTACCTCTACCTCTACCACTAGTGTCTACACGCGTTCATCGCAGCATAACCACTCTACACAAAGACCGCTTGCACAAGAATGCCAGAATCTTTGCCGAATAGAGGACGAGAGTTTTCTCTGTGACAAGCTTGCATCAACGAGCCTTGAAAGCTTAGAACAAACTTCGGAGAAGAGTCAAGTGACTTCCGAGGCTAAGATTAGTGTCTGCTCGTCTCCTCGGCCGCCCTCCCCGGTACCAAAGTGGTTGCGCTCGCAACCATATTCACTTGTCCCAACAAGCAAAGCATTGTCTGCATCTACTGCAAGCTTTAAGCATCGCACGGCAGAGCGCGCAGAGTTGCGTGTAGTCGAAGAAGATGCGCAAGCGGTGCCAATGACGCCGGGTCGCATCCTATCACGCAGAAAATGGAATAGCTTCGAGAACACTACCAAAGCAACCATTCGCTCCATAGCGACCCCGTCGCCGAGCAAGGCGCCATTTCTAACGAAGTCTTCTAACACTATTGGGTTCATAGCCACCGATATCGATGAAAAGCTGGGCAAACTCGACAGTGACTTTGCCAGAATGAAAGAATTCATGGATTCTTCAGCTGTCGACAAAGACCGGCTTGTTGAGGAACTTGATCTCGCAAAGAGGAGAGGTACGCCACCATGTCGAATGACAATTGACACGCTGATCCTTCGCCGCTTGCAAGAATGCTGATGATAATTCGCCATAGCTGTCCAACTTGAGGCCAAGAAGGTCGAACTGCAAGACGACCTGGATGAAGCGAGGCGGGACTTCAAGAACGCCAGCCGCGAGGTTCAGTTCTTGACGGAGGACATCGAAAAGTTGAAGCAGAAGCATCAGGACGATTACGATCATATCCGCAGACGATTCGACCGGGAACTGGAAGAAGAGCGAAGACAACTCGAGGCCGAACGAGAAAAGCACAACGACCTCTTGCAGCAATTTGAAGAAAAATGCGGCCGAGACGCAGAGGCCCAAAAAGAGCAACTCGAAAGGGAGATACTCGAGCAAAGAGCCCGCGTCACATCCCTGCGCCATGAGAAAGACCTCGAAGTCCAAAAGCTCAATTTGCATGTACAGCAACGCGAAATGCAGCTCAAGAAAGCCGAGGAGGACCTTGCCAGGGCCCTCGATCAAGTCAGCGACCACGAGCGCTCCATAGCGAGGCTGTCGGCCAAAATAGAACAACTTGAGGAGAATGCCAAAAGCCTTCAAGAAGCCTACGGATCGAGCGAGAACCGCAAAGACCATCAGATCAGCGATTTGAGCCGGCAATTACAAGAGCTTACCCGGCGTGCTGAGGCAGCCGAGCGTGCTGCAGAGGAAGAAAAACGGGCCGCCAAGAAATTAATAGAAGCTTCAAACGAAGACTTCGAGCGGATGAAAATACAGGTCAAGGACAAATTGCTGCGCGAGGAAGAGAAGCGCCACAAGCTCTTTGAGCAAGTGCAGGACCTCAAGGGCAACATTCGCGTCATGTGCCGTATTCGCCCTGCCGGTTCGTCTCCGGATCTCCTCGATTTCGACTACTTCGAAAGCGAGTATGACGAGGACAAGTACGGAGGCCTCGTCGTGCCCACGGAAAGAGAGAATGCACTAGAAGAAGGCAAGAAGGTGATCAGCAAATCACAGCCGTTCAACTTCGAGCGCATCTTTGACCCGGCCTGCACCAACCAGGATGTGTTTGAAGAGATTAGTCAACTCGTTCAGTCTGTCATGGATGGGAAGAAGGTCTGCATTTTCTGCTACGGCCAGACCGGGTCTGGCAAGACGTATACAATGAGCAATCAGAAGCCAAAGCTCGATGGCACGTCTGACCACGGCATCATTCCTCGCGCCAAGGAGATGATCTTCGACGAAGTCTCGCGAATGAGGGACTTGGGCTGGGAGTATTCTCTCGAGGGTAGTTATCTCGAAGTCTATAAGAACAAGCTCTACGACCTCGTGACTCCACGGAGCGGCGAACCCAAGCCTTTGCAGATTATTCGGACTTCGGATGAGTTGGAGATCAGGGACCACGAGTTCGTTGGGCTGAACTCGGAAGACGATCTGGACTACCTGGTTCAGCAAGCCGAAGCGAATCGCCACACAGCAGAGACAAACATGAACCGTGCTTCGTCGCGGTCGCACTCTGTGCTGGTCATTAAGGTGCACGGCAGGAAGACGATGCCAGACGGGAAGGTCAAAGTTCGTCAGGGCACACTCAACTTGATCGACCTGGCTGGCTCAGAGAGCATTGGTCGATCTGGCGCGACCGGCGATGTGGCCGAGGAGGGACGGCAGATCAATATGTCGTTAACCCACCTTGGAACCGTGCTGAAGAAGCTGGGGGAAGGCACCAAGAAGGAATCAGTCGACTTCAGCAGCTTTACGCTCACACAGTTGCTGAAGCCTTCGTTGGGTGAAAAGTGCAGGACACTGATGTTCTGTATGGTGAGCCCGCTGAAGGAAAATGCCAAAGAAACGATCAACAGTCTCAAGTTCGCCGAGAATGTATGTTACCCCGCAAACCCCCTCCTGCACCTGTCGACACGGTTACTGACAAATGGTTCTTCAGGCTCAAAAAGTGAAGCAGAGCAACGCCGCCAAGGCAAACGGCACAAAAAAGCCTAGGTGATGATGAACCAGGTCGCTTGTAGCACTTTTCAAACGAGACAACGGTAGTGGCGTGGTTCTTGTCACCTGTGTGCGATGCTTGTCGAATTGGCGTATTCTGTGTTTGGCCTGGAGTTGGTATATTGACAAGGCATGAGCCTCCACGACGGTCAGATTGGCAGGCGTTTTGGTGTTTCTGCCCTTCTGAGATGGTACTTATACAAAGACGCGGGACATTCGGGTTTTTGTCAGCGTAAATGCTACGTAGCAATTCAAAAAAGTGAACAATTCACCAAAGTATAATAGTCTGCAGATCCGATACTGTTTCAATCAGCTGTTGCAATGCGTGTGTGTGATGATGTGTACAAACTCACAGTCGAGGTCATTATCAAGTTTGCATAAGTGCAGGCAACCATCTTGGTCGTCTGACTAGCCTGGTCAGCTGGACACACATCCAGCGCCTAGAGACACGCGGTTGCTGAGCTCAGCCTCCTGCCCCTGAACTACTAACTGGGGACCCGGCCACTTGCAACTGCAACCAGCTTGAGAGACTTAGCGTAGGCTCAGGTACAGTTTGTTGCGACCAACCACATTGTCTTCTACCACCTCTTCTCTCCTTATCACCGGCCATAAATCATGGCACCGTCCCTACGCTCTATCCTGTCCTACGCAGGCCACCTCGTCTCCCAGATTCCTATTTCACTAGAAGGGTTTACAGCAGGCGGCTTGGGCCATTCCTCTGCACCTCATGGCAGCAACTCGGCAGCCGCCGCCGGAGCTCCCAGCCCCCTGGCTCCCATGACGTCGCACTACTCTTCGCCGCTGACCGGCGCACCATCGTGTCCGATTGATGGGCCGACGAGCTGCAACAACGCGACGGAGGCCGGCTCATGCTGCTTCGTTTACCCAGGCGGCAGGCTGTTGCTCACTCAGTTCTGGGATCAGAAGCTGCACGTTGGTGGTGCAGAGGAGGACTGGACTGTTCACGGCCTCTGGTAAGGACTGCCCATCCAATGGAGCCGTATGCCACAACGCGAGCGTGGCGTAACGAGGACTGACTAGTCGCGATATCAGGCCCGATCTATGTGATGGCTCATATGACCAGTTCTGTGGCATGGCGCCGGCATTCAACAATATCACGGCCACGCTGGAACAACATGGCCAGGGCGATCTTGTCGAGTGGATGCATAGATATTGGGTCGCCAACTAGTGAGTTCATCCTCGCATATACCCTAGGGCGGTAGGACATGGCATGTTATCTGCGGCGTTGATGAGCCGTGTTAATGCCTCCACGCCGTCACAAGCTCAAGATGCGGAAAGGCGAACCATGGCAAGCTGACTGGAAACGTTCCGCGCAGCGGCACTAATGACCACCTCTGGGCGCACGAGTATAACAAGCACGGCACATGCATCAACACACTCGCACCAAGCTGCTATGGCGACGGCTACGCGGCGGGTGTCGAGGTCGTCGACTACTTCACGCGCGCAGCGGCTCTATTTCGCATGCTCGACACGTACCGAGCATTGGAGCGCGTTGGCATCGTGCCCGATTACAAGAAGACATATTCGCTATCTGAGCTGCAGGCGACGCTCGAGGCGTTTAGTGGCGGGCGAGTGATTCTACGGTGTACTGGCAGGCACCACAATGTCCTCCACGAGGCGTGGTATGTCTACTTCATCAAGGGCAGCCTGCAGAGTGGCGAGTTTGTCCCGGCCAAGGACAGCTTCAAGGGCGACCATGGCAACTGTGCTGCGCAGGTCAGATACTTGCCCAAGCGCAAGAGATGAAGCCTGGTCAAGCCTCTTTTTTTCTGACGGCATTTTCTTGCAATGCTGGCCCTCTGTCACTGGATCCACCAAGTGGGTGTAATAGTTCTTTGTGTCAACGCGATCGTTAGTTATAGAGCTTGAACATACCGTCTTATGAGAGTTGCCGTGGTTGGATATAATGTATTCGAACGCTCAAGGACGAATGGAACTCTGCATCCATTCCTCTACGAACTCCGGCAACCACGACAGCATGCAGCTAAGCGAGCTCTGAAACCGGGGTCCTTCATTTTACCAAACGCCTGTAACAAGACTCACGTTCTCATTAATGCGATTGTGACACAGTGGAGCTACGGAAATTGGGAGTCATGCTGTGAGAACAGCTGCGACCCGAAGCGCGGATTCGCCTCGAGCCTCCTGAGCGAATCTGGAGGTGCTGGTGGCAGATGGGCCAAGCTGCCATTCGAGCTGGAGCATTCGGGCCGACCAGGGCGGTGGCTTGCTGGAGCGCGAGGATTGTGTGGAGGAGGCTTGCTGGCTGCAGGTGCTAGCCAAGGGGGCCACCCTCACCAGTTGGAGTTGAGAAAATCCGGGGGAGGAGCACCTGGAGTAGGCCGGATGGTTTGCCCGGGCGGCCCAAATGGCCATGTGACAATCAGATTTGCCATTTGACAGCATGGAAGAACATCTGGGGGCCGGGCGCTTCTGGCAACCACGAAGCCTCGTGTGGGCACTTCATGTAGCGAGCAGCGAGCAATGAGCATTCGAGCAGCAAAGGGCAGCGCACAAACTCTATTCCGCCATCTGTCGCTGGGGACTTGCCAGTCCAGTCAACGACGCAAACAGTCAAGACGAGACGAGAGGCGCGTTCCAGTTGGGGCAGGCGACACAAAGCATGCGGCAAGGCCTGGGGCGTTGGCTTGTGGCCGGCATAGTTAGGAGGCAGTACCTTCCCACCACGGCAAGCCACAGCCACGGATCGACGGCCACGCCCCCCGCCGGTTTCCCCAACCCGCCATCGAAGCTGCACAGAAAACTTCTCTCGCTCTCGCCCTCGCCCACGGCGGCGGGGACGACCCATCATGGACGCTTTTGTCTTGTCAGTGTGCTGGCTAGAGTGCGCGCCTGCGCCCGCACTGTGCGCAGCCCAAGCGTCAAGGTATCTATTCTAGGCGACAGTGCCATGCATGGATGAACAGCACGATGAATGAAGCTCCAGAATGAAGCTCCAGAGGATGGCGAGACTGCGAAACGACGCAGCCAGGGGCCCCATCGCATGTTTGCATGCACGTGTTGTGTCGTGCACAGAGGGGGCCACCGAGGCCAAGGCTCGACACGCTGCGTTTCCGGCGCATGTCGTGATTCGTCCGGCGTTGCCTAGTAAGAGCCGTTGGCCGAGCATGGACCAGCAGGATGCTCGTGCCGTGGCGTCGTGTGCCCAATGAGCGGCCGCACAGCCCACACTCTGCAGGGTAGCACCAGCCGCAGCCATTCCGCACTTCCGGCTAGCCCAGCAAAATCCTCGCCGCGAGCCTGCAGGCTGACTGTGCGACGCTAGCCTGCCCGACTGTGCCCGCCTCGCCTCGCCCGCAATCCCGCAGTCCTCTCCTCCCCCAAGCTTGCCAGCCGGCCCAGCCCAGGCTCGCTCGCTCGCACCCACTCTCCCATTTCTCCTTCCCAATCCACTCCGTCTCTCCGCCACGACGCCCTTTCGTGCTTTCCCAACACAACCCTGGTGCCATCCCTCCTTTCCTCGAACCGCCCTCACCATAGCCAGCGCCGCCTCTTGTGACGACCCGACACCTTTGCAGTCCTCTCTCTAGCCGCCGTCCACTGGCTGAGACGGGTCCGGTCCGAGGCTCTCGTCTGGTCACCTTTCATCGTCACCATTGCGGCCAACGCCTGCCTCAAACTCGGACAAAACATCAACAAGCACTAGACTCGACACGCAGGTTCCTGTTCACTCTTGCTCACTCCCGCGTACCTGCGCATCCTCCACCGATCATTCATCCTGCCAGATTCAGTACCAAGCTCCATCCTCCGCCCAGCTCCATTACGCTTTTACTCTTCGATGAAAACACCCTTTCTGTCTCTGCCTTGACGACGGGCCGATTAAGAACCCCCGGTGGCCTGCCCAGCTTGATACAACCCTGCCACATCCAGCTTCCCCGCAGGCCACACTGCCGATATCGACTGTCTCATATTCAATAATTGTCACGCGTACCCGCTCCACGCTGCTTCGTCTCTCGACAACACCACCCTTCCCGACGCATCTACATTCTACCGGCATTGCTGGGCGCCAATAGACTGCCGGACTGCCTACAGCGAACAGCACACTATCGATATGTCGACCACGGCCGTCAAGCGGGCGTGCGATGCCTGCCATCGCCGCAAAGTGAAGTGCGACGGCATCAACCCCTGTCGTAACTGTGACTCTGCACAGCTCACCTGTACATACAACGCGATACCGCAAAAGAAGGGACCAAAGGGCTCAAGGGCCAAGGTCATTAGCGAACTGCGCGAAACCCAGCGCCAAACAAGCCTGTCCGCCAAGATCCACAACCGACTCAATGGCATAGACAGCACGACTCCGCCGAACCCTGGGTACGGTCCAACCCCTGGTATGCTCTCGAGCGAGCTTGTCAAGGAGTCGATCGAATTCTACTTCACCAACATGTACTCGATCATGCCGATTCTCGACCGCCCTTCCATTGAACCATTGGCCATGTTTCCAGAGCAGAACGTCGACGCGTATTGTCTGTTCACGTCCATGTCTGCATTCATGATGTTGCAGCCAGGGATGAGCATGCCTGGACTCGACCCCATGCTGGAGCATGTACCTGGTTCAAGCATTGTCGCTTCAACACTACTCATGGAAGAAACGCTTCGTGTCCGCAAGACCCAGGATTTCGCCGGCACTCCCAGTTTCGACAGCCTCTGCACCAGCTTCTTCCTCTATTGCTCGAACTATGCTCTTGAGCTTCACGACAAAGCATGGTTCTATCTCCGCGAAGCTGCCACCATGGCCCATATCGCAGGCATGAGCAAAGAAGAGACGTATGCATCGTTGAGCAGTGTCGAATCGTCACGACGTCGCCGTCTTTACTGGCTATTATTCATCGCGGAGAGGTAAGTCTTGTGTCTAGTGCAAAGATGCTCGGTACCAGAAACTAACCATGTCCTCTTGTTATGTAGGGCTTACGCACTCAAGTTCGACCGTCCTGTGTCCCTTCCTGCCTCTATCCACCTACCAACCATGACCGATGATCCAACAGACCCATTGGCACATCAGCTGAACCCTTTTGTTCTGCTTGCCAGCCTGTTTCGTCCATTTGACGAAGCTCTCATCTCGTCATGGAACAAAACTCGCGGAGAGTACACGCCGTCGTACCTGAGTGCTGTGCAGAAACAATTCGCGAGCCTGATGCCACCATATATGAATGGACAAGAGGCTCAGCTCTCCGAGCTCCGCACGAACCAGCAGTGGCTCAAGACTGTCGCCTGGCGACTGAGTCTGCCCAGCGGTTGTGTGCCGCAGAGTGAGGACGGTTCTGCATATCACCACTCTATCGACATGTCTCGCGACCTCGTATCACTCAACTCACAACTATCACCCCAGAACACCGAGTCTGCTGGTGGACCATTTGTTTCCAAGCTCTTCAACATTTCTTGCGATCTCACGGATGTGCTCTCGATGCAGCCCTCCTCAGGAAGCATATTTGGCAATGGGCCTCGTGAACAACTGAATCCTCTTCTACAACTTTTGTCGACTTTGCGCAGTGGCGAGCATCACTTCTTACCTCTCCTACTCCACAAGACGCACGAGATCCTTCCTCGACTGGTTGATCCATCACTCCAGCGGGCTCCGGACAACGCGTGTAACATGAATATGAATATCGATATCTTCGATGGCTTCGGCAACGCCGGCATGGCACAAGCCCCTATGATGACGGATTTCAAGTCGGAGCCTTTCACGCCAGCTCAGGTACCACGCATGGAAGAAATGGTTCCTGATTCGTCGAGCTCGAACGGCACCGCGGACATGAAGTCCCCATTTCCCATGGTCAGCTCGCCATCCATACTGTCTCCGGGCGGCATGGAATATCCACACATGGGCGATTACAACGCCATCAATGACATGATGAGCCCAATGGGGCAGAACCCGTCAGCATCACTTCACCAGCAAAATGGCTTGAGTTCGCAGCACACTCATTCTCAACAACAATTACCGCAGCACCAGCATGTTCACCAACACCATGGTTTGACCCAGCAAGGAATGTCTCAATCTGCGAGCATACCGACCCATGTGCAGTCTAGCCAGACTCAGGCTCCTGGTATAAGTCAGCAGCAACAAAACGTGTCGCCAAATCAGGCCTATGGACATCTCAACCAGAACATGATGAGTCAGGGCTTTGGCCGTCAGCCTGCGCAGAGGACGAACAGCTACATGGTGCATCAGGCACCGCACCTGTCGAGAAATCTAAGCGACTATCACCAAATACAACACGGGAACACGGAGAATGTACCCATGAACGCCATGGGTATGTCCTCAATGGCTTCGGCTGAGCTGGACTTCAGCAATCTCCGGTAAAGTAATACTGGATGAAGACCGTCGCCATGTGTCCTCCCAGTGTGCGCGATCGTTGCCTTTCGAGGTTGGTGGGATAAGGATGCGCCAGCGGGTGCTGGGTTTGCATTTTCTTCTGGTATATATAAATTCTTGTTTTGTGGTGCCATTGTACATGTGCAACTTCACAAGCTCACTTATTCCTAAGGCGTTGTTGTATGGCATAATGTTTTCTACATGGGACAAGGGCGTCACGCTTTCTTTTGTTTAGTTGACGCGATGTGCGCGGTATATAGATTCACTGGATTATTACGGGACGGCAATACGAATCAAAAGGACGCTCGTCCCGAGCAGCCTTTGTCGTTGCCATATGAGTCTGCAGTCTCAATATACATGCACATATATCATACCATGCTAATGGGTTATGCGCTTCCACACTACATGGACTGTAAAGCGAGTCGCTTCGGGCGTTACCTTGTGTTGGACTATTTTCATCTGCTTGTGCTTCAATGTGGCGGTTGAGTCTTGATGGCTTCGCGCGCTAGCTCGACATCTAGACATTATCGACCGTGTAATGGTGAACGTCAATATATCGGCGTTCATTAAAGAGTCCTCTCTTTCCTGCCCAGCGGCAGGCCTCTATCTGTAGCTATCTATTGAAGCCAGCATGTATATGGTATACGTGTTGGGTGTCGCTTGCGGGTACTATTCTGAGCACATGTTCCTCTAATTCGCCAATGCAATTTAATACCAAGTCCGTCGGACGTCCAACATGTCTAGAGTGTGACACGAGCTGGACTGAATGAGACTCCACTCTACTTCATCAAGTTCCACGTCGCTAATGAGAAGGCCCCCAAAATGCAGGCAGAACTTTCAAGCGTTCGCCGCTGCCCTTTCGACTCGTGCGCCGGGGATTGTGTTTTCCTGGCATGCAGCATTCGGATATACCGCGCTGACCCATTGCGGCACAGCCCTTTTAAGGAACTTGACAAACTTGTAAAAGCCGACAGCATGCTCGACATTTCCTTCTGGGTCAACAACGCGCTCGGGGAAGGCAATGCCGGCACCATGAAGGCCCGGGAGGACTTCGCCAGTATTTTTGTTGTGGAATGCGCCCGTTTCGTGGTCAAACAATGGGCTGATAATGTTCTTGTCGCTCGTGCTGTTGGCTTGGAGCATTGAAGGTAGCGGATCGGTGGTGAAGCCCACGGCTTGTACAACATAGTCGCAGCCGCCGTGTGTCCCCGTTGTTGAGCCGACGAGGTATTTTCGGAACGCCGCAGCTTCATTGTCCCTTCCTCCGGAGCAGTCTATTCTTTCGACGATCTTGCCCACGGGGCTCCGAGCCAGAACTTCTTGGTTATCCAGATTCTCCCGGGCGAAATCTGCGGCACGACCCTTGAGCCCCGTGTTGTCGTACAGGATCCAGCCGGCGTCCTTGTAGACGGCATACTTGAGGCTTTTGTCGGCGGGGACGCGCGAGAACCAGCGCACGCGCAGGTTTGCGTGAGCTGGCGAGTGGGCGGCAAGGTTGTACAGGTTCATGAGAACAAGAATAGCCGAATGCGAGGCACCGATGACACCGACTGTGATTTGCGGCGCACTGCTCGAGGCCGTGGAGGATGCAGGGAAAAGCGACGTGGCAAGTAGGGACGGCTTGAGGGCTGTATCGAGCTCTAGGAGCTTTGGCCGACTGGTTGGAGAAGGGAGGAATGTCGCTGAGTCGGCCGCTGGTAGCTGCACAAGCGTCGGCGAAGCCCCTGTGCAATAGACGAGCAGGGGAGTTTGCCTTGTAACGGAGCTGTTTGACGCTGGATCGTCGATTGTGACTGACCACTCTTGCGAGCCCGCGTCCCACTGGGCGGTCGTGACACGACCCTGGCGACAGTCGATGGCAGGGTTGGCAGCGAGGCCGCCGATGAGCATGCTAACCATGTCTCCCGCATAGCCGAGTGAGCATGTGTCGTTGGGTGGGAGACTTTCCAGGATGGTGACGGGGTTCGGAGTGGGTGAAGTCTTGATGACGTGGTCCAGGGCATGGCTTGAACGTGCATAGTCGACAAAGAGCTTGGTCCGCGTGTTTCCGGGCACCTCGCGGTACCGCCGACTAATTCGGCCGCCCGCGAAATCGGGATCGACCCATGTCACAGTCGGCGACGATGGCAGGTGGTCGAGCAGCGAGCCGACCGTAGCAACGCCGGCAGGCCCGGCACCCACGACGAGCGCCGCGACTCGCTGCAGCTGCAGTCTAGATGTCGAGAAGAGAGCTGCGCGCATTGGCGTCCCGGGAAACCGCCGCACGGCATGCTGGGATGCCGGCCGGAGCACTGCCGGGCCCAGCAGCGGACGCAGCACCATGCTGGTATAGGTATGGACCGGGCCGAACAGGCTTACGAGCCGGGTGACCTGTTTGACAGATGAGTTCTGGTGAATCGTACAGGCCGGCTTCCAACCCGAGGAAAGGACGGATCTGAGCAGAGGCGGTATGCGCCGTGGGACGGGGACGACGGCGAAAAGATGCACGGGGAAAATCGCCGCAGGCCGGGGCGCCCGGCCAGGCCGTATTGCGTGACCAATGGCGTGCTCGGCGCTGGCTGAGTCATGCTCCGCCCGGGTGGCACCCGGAGCCAGCCAGCGGCCATGCTTGAAATATCCAAACGGTCAAACATACGCAGTCCCCAGAACTTGGATATCCGCCGTCTGGACGTTTAGGTCGATTATCACAGGGACTGCGCGGAAGCTCATGCATAGTTGTCCACCAAAGCTTTCCCGGACAGCAAGTTCCACGCCGAGGGACTCTCCATCGTGGTGGGTGCAAGCACCGTCGTCAGCAGCACGAAGGGTCATGTTTACATTCTAGGTGAAGTAACCCTTTGGGCGCTGATCTGCATTCAACGCAGCCGCCGGAGGCTACAAGTCAATCCTGAATTCACCCAACAAATCAAGTTTCATGAAGAAGGTGACTTATCGAGTTGCAGCCCGCTGTTGGATTCTAGTTGGTATTGGCTGCGCGAACTTGACTGCACTGTTGGAAGGATCTTGGTCCGAGGCGCTGATCCGACAATGCTCCTTACGAGTCGCAAAGGAGAGCAGCAACGCATGCTGGTATGTAGTGCAGGGCGTCGGAAAGCGTGCTGGATCATGCAATCGCAAGCATGCATGGGCTATTTTTGGCGTCAGCAGGGGTTCACTAACTGGCGATCTGTGGAGGCGGGCGGGGTCGGTTTGCATTCCCGAGTGTCTCGCAATGAAGCGACGTCATCTTGTTGACCATCACCTGCGTTCCCAGGCAAGCCTGGGACCCACGATGCAGGGTTATCGGCCTCAAACAGTCGTCTTGGGCACCTGTAGCTGCTGTCTTGCCCACCTGCTTACTATGGCGCTGCCACACCCCTCGGCCGCGCCGGGCCCGCCACGACGTCGACGCAGCCTTTGCAGGGATGCCTCCATACCCCAAGTAAGGAGTAGGCCGCCAATCGCTTGACATGCGAGGCGGACAGCTGAAGAAACGGACAATTTGTAGGGACATTCCAGTGGCAGGGCGGCAGGTGAACTCTGCTCGCCGCCTTGACAAGTGATAGTAACTCGTCCAAGAAAGTGTGATTCCATGAGGGTTGCCGGCCCAGTGTCCCAACAGTAAGTCATTGGCCAATTTGACGCTACCATTCGTCCCTGTTGTTTCGTTTGCTGATCCTCGACCCTCGAGGAATGTCCAGTACAAGGGCAGGTCCCCGTTCCCTGCTTGCCGACAACGGAAGGCCGTGACCCCGGACCAGGTCACAGCCATGCGGTATACAAGCTCCGTAGTTCCCACGTTGCTGTTCCACAACCTACTTGTGTTCTAGAAGCTCCATCTTCCCCGGCCCCCGCTTGTGTCTCAATATCTTGTCTCATCTCGAGCAACGCGCCAGAGCCAGGCATATCAACTTTCCGGCACCTGCGACAGAGTCAGTACACCACTGCCGTGACTGCTATCGAATCTGCTATCGTCATGCCTCGCTAGAGCTTGTTGCCTTCACTTTCGTCTCACGTCCGACGCTTCATCTCCCCCAATATATTTCGAGCAGTTATGGCTTCCCAGGCGGAAATCCACTCTATACTCACGTCTTACAACAACCTGGGCGAGCCTATGCCAACATGGAACCGGCCAGGATGTGTCTACGGGTTGACAATCACATTCATGGTATGATTGACTGAATGATCTCTAGCTGCCACTGGCTCACATACAGCTTGCTCTGCCCTGTGCACGCACGTCTTTCTGACAACTGTTCAGGCCCTTGCCACGATCTGCGTAGTTCTCCGCATATACGCCAGAATAAAACAACACTGCATTGGTTGGGACGACTACACTCTCATGGCTACCAGAGTGGCAGCAACCGCCTGCTCAATCGCTGTAATTAATTGTAGGTGCAGCTATCTAACATTGAACCAGAAAACTTCAATCCACGGGTCAAGTGACTAACAACAACATTCAGCCGTATCCAATGGTCTGGGCCAACACTTCTCCCAGCTGGGCATGGATACCATGATCGCATTTCAAAAGGTGAATAAATACTCGGGATCCATGTTGCGGAACACAAAATCGCCCCAGAGATGGACATGAAGTGCTGACTTTCCCAGGACTTCTATGTGGCGTTGCTCACATATATCGTCTCGACGACCCTTGTGAAAATGTGTTTTCTGACACAGTACTTTCGCATCTTCCAAGCTGGCACACAGACAAGGATAGTGTGCTGGATCTGCCTCGTCATTTCTGCACTCTGGGGCACGGCATTCTTCGTCATCAGTGCCGCTCCTTGTGTGCCCTTGGCGGCCTTCTTCGACTGGACCATCGAAGCTGACTGCTACGGATACGGCTCGAGGAATTATAACGAGCTGTGAGTGTTTCTCAGCATTCTGGATACCTACTTGCAGTAGCTGATTGGATGACCAGATTTGCCACGTTTGTCGCGCACTCGTCACTCAACTCCCTTCTCGACCTCGTCGTGCTTGCCATTCCCCTGCCAATGTATCTCAAGAAGAAAACCACATCGTGGAAGCAACGGGCGTCGATTGCCAGCATGTTCAGCTTTGGTCTAGTGCAAGTTGCCTACAACGACACCTATTGTCATCAACTTGGCATATGCTAATTACTATCCACAACAGGGTTTTTGGAATATCCATCTGGCGCCTACAAAGTATCATCGAGCACAGAGCAGCGACTTGGCCCGTGATGGACCCGACGTAAGTGCTGTGATACCGACTGTTCACAAGCTCATCTACTGATCATTGTATAGCTGGTATGCGTGCTCGGCGATCGTGCTTGCTGTGGTCGAGGTCGACATGGCCAGCATGTGTGCCTCAATTCCCGTATTCTGGCCTATACTTCAGGATAGTTGGGGCAAAATCTTCGTGACACAGGAAGTCGAGGTTGTCCACGAGTCACGGATTTCGAGCGAGACCGAACAGGGCTCCGTACACGGTAGTGACTCCTCACAAACTCGCGCGGGCAGTGAGTTCAGCTTCAAACTTCTGGACGTTCCCAAAGCTTTGCAGGCGCCACCAAGAGCGCACTACGGGGAGCCGTTCTCCGAGAATGGTAAAATACCAAGAAGGACAGCTGCGGGCAGCTGGGAGGTACATGCAATGTCTGAATCACAGGTGACTTCTCAAGGCCAGCAGGGTTTTGCCCAGGCGCATGAGAAGCATCAAAGATCGGCATCACGTGCTGGATCAACGAATGGAGCGAGATATAGCCCAAAAGATTTCGACAAGGAGACAGCTGCCAACTTGGGAGGACGTGCTGATACATCGCAGACATTTTATGATGACATGGACCACGAGGAGTCTCAGGCAACGATGTTGACAACCAAACGGAGCTGGCCACACTTGCTTCAAAGAAGCACGCGTGAACAACCAACTCCTCGGTGGCTCGTGTGAGTGATGATAGATAGTAAATACATGGACTTCTGCGTAGTCACTGTGCACGACACCACGATATTTATGAACCCATCACGAACGAGGCGAATTCTCCAAGAGTCGATGTGACCATGGAAGGCGAAATCTGAAGGCCTAGTAATGTTTGATTATTCTAGCCCGAAGATATCAAGGGAGCTCTTTGGTCGCTACTCGACTATCGAGAGCCATTCTGTAGTTGGTGGAATGCGCTTTATCACGTACATGGGCGAGACAAGAAGCAAGCCAACACCTAATACTTGAACCTGAAGTCCAGTCTCTTGTTCCCCTCGCCTTCGCGGGCGACTGTATCGTTCTGATATGCAAGCTGCTCCTCGGGCGTCATGGCGTTCCAAGCCTTCTCCTTCCGCTTGTTGAGGTACACGAGGTACTGTCGCTGCACGACGAACGTCACCAAGGCTAGCGCACAAATGGCGACAAGGACCTTGTTACCAGTCTTGTAGTATGGCCCATCCCAGGAGCGGTAGATCTGGGAGCCGATAAGGGAGCCAATTTGGACAATGACGTTATAGGTAGCCGCGGTGAGGGCACGCTTCTTGACGTCAAACGTGTTCTCTGAGATCCAGGACGATACCAAGGGGTGGAAGTACGGGTAGCCACTGATGAGCGTAATCAGACTGAAGCGACCCCATTCCCTGCCGCCGTCAGGAAGGGTGAGAAGAGCCGTCAGAAGGGGCAAGATCCATGCCTCTCCGAAGATACAATGCAAGGTACGCTCATTGAAGTACTCGCTCGAGAAAGCCAGAGCCAACATGGTAGTGATCTGAATAGCGGCAGAAGGAGCCGTGAGCATGTTGGCTGAAAACGTGGTAAAGCCAATCCGTTTGAGGGTCAAGGAAAGGTATGCCTGGACAGGTGTGGCCGGGATATAGGCAACAAGACCGATGAAGTATAGACCCCACATGGACTTGTCCGTCCAGGCTGCCTTGACGTCTTTCCACGTAGCCGGCTCCTTGAGGGCTGTGAGGCCCTTTGCCGGGTCGTCCCGCAAGATACGGTTGACCATGATGAACTCTTCGCGCTCCGTGTACCATGGCTTGCGGCAGAGCACAGACTTGGTGGACGTGGGTGAGACAGGCAGATAGAGGATCGAGATGAAGCCAATGAGGAAGGTCAGCAGTCCCTCAAGCAAAAACAACCAGAACCAACCAGGGTGGCCGCCAATACCGCGCATCTCCAGAATACCGGCCGCCAGCAGCGCCGAAATGACGCGAGCAATGTTCAGCGTCGACCAAAACGCGGCGAGGCGAATACTGAGCTCACGCGAGGTGTAGTAGTAGGTCGACATGAGGATGACACCAGGGATGAAACCTCCCTCAAAGGCGCCAACTGGAAGAGGAGGATGGGACGTCAGCTGCTGAGACCACGGCACTGTGATTATGTGAATGGCACGACGGTGCGGATTGTCAGACTTACTCAGAGCACGGGTGATGTAGAAGGAGGTACGGTCCGTCATGAATGCCTGTGCCCAGCTGACGGTACTCCAGCACATCATGAGGATGGGGAGGACCAGGTGAAACCCGTAGCGCTTGGTGAGGAACTGCACGGGGAATTCTGCCGCGAGGAAACAGAGCAGTTGGATGGTGGTTCCGTTGTTGTAGTCGTCGGTGGTAAGCTTAAGGTCGGTCAAGATGGTGTCGGCGAGTGTGTTGGACAAGTTGCCGCGGTCGAGCTGGAGACCAAAAAACATAAGACACAACCAGATGAGGAGGCGAATGTCGGTCTTGCGGACGACACGAGCCTCTTCTTCTGCAGTCCAGGTTACCTCAGGATCCCATCTGTGGGAGCCCTCATAGGACTCATGGGGAGGAACAGCATAGTGAAGGTTCTCACGGCCGACCTGGACTGCCTTGGGGTCGTCATTGACATTATGGACCGAGGTCGACTGGGGAGCCTCTATGCTATCAGCGCCCATGATGGCGGATGGGTGGCTGGCAAAGGGAAGGCAGAGGTCGCAACAAAAGAGAGCGCGAAATCACCTATGATGGGTCCGCACGGAGGAGCAAGCTGTGTCTCCAGGAGAAGACTTCCATGAGATGTATCCAGGAATTCGGGAAGGGAGCCGAGGGGGGACGGCATTGGTTTTATATTGAGGTTATGCAATCACGGTCCGCCCCTTGGGGACTTCCAGATGTTGGGTCGGCGGAGCAGGCCATAGCTTAGAACGTATGCTGGCATCGGGCCATGAACCCGAGAGGGAAAATAGCGTTTTGCCCGGTCTTATCCACGGCGCCGGGAGCGCCCTAGCAAGGGATCGATCTGGGCTGGCCCCTAGAACAGCACCACGGCCGACGGCGAGGAAAACTCGACTCATCACCGGCGCGCGCCCGGCCCACCCCCGCATTAAGCCGGGGAATTGGCAACCGCCTTCTCCAACTCGCCTGGCGGTCTTGCGATTGGAGCAGCCTGGTGTTGGGGGCGCAGCGGAGAAAATCTCGGAGACTCAGCTCGTCGTCTCATTATGGGGTCCGATGGCGTCTTCGCCCTCTGCTGCTCCTCATTCGGCAGCACGATAAATAGGTCCGCGCCGGTTCACGAACATGGGATCCGCTGCGTAGAGAGGGCAATAGCCAGTCGCCCGCAACGAAGGCCTCAATCAATCTTGCCCATAGACTTCCACATAAACCACGTCAGCCTGGTATGTACACTTGAAAGCAAGGACCCTTCCCGGCCCGAAAGGCTCATAGGCAACGGGCACTGCTCCCGGCCTGTTCCAGTCTTGTGCCGAGCTCGTGCAGAAGCTCGTCATCGCACCCCTGTCCAACACCATCGCTTGTCCCACCGCCCAACACCAGACCAGCTTGTCAATTATCACAAGCTAACGCTCGATACCATGTAGACAGCCATGCCTTCTGTCGCAACGTCCCTTGTCGGCGGCCACGAGGACGCGAGGCCTTCCATCTCGAAGCCGCTCGTCTACTCGGGCTCCCTTGACAAGTTCGAGCAGAACGACCTCACCCCCATCATTGGCCGTGAGTACTTTGGTTTGCAGATCCGCGATCTCCTCGCCTGGGATGATGTCGCCATCCGCGATCTGGCGGCAACCATCTCCCAGCGTGGTGTTGTGTTCCTGCGCGACCAGGATGTCACTCCCACCGAGATGAAGGACTTCATCATCCGTCTTTCCACTCTTGCTGGCTGCCCGTCCTCGTCGGGCTTGCATGTGCACCCTCTGACCGAAGAGGGGAGCGAGCTGGGGGACCAGATCTCGGTCATCTCGAGCGAGAAACAGAAGAAGGGTGGCGGCTTGACTCACCAGCTTAGTGATGTCTCGCGCTTCGCTAGCACGGGATGGCATAGTGACATCACATTTGAGAAGGTGCCTTCTGATTATGCCATGCTCAAGATCCACACACTACCGGTTACTGGCGGCGATACTGTAAGTCACGGCCTTCTCCCTGGTGGTCTACTTGCGTGGGCCACCACGTCTTGCCCCAGTCTGCTCGGATTTTGCGGTTCGAGAAGTTCAGTAGAAATTCGCATGAGCTAATACTTAATACCCGGTGGCAGCTGTGGGCTTCGGGTTACGAGATCTACGACCGTCTGTCTGAACCCATGAGAAAATTTCTGGAGGGTCTGACAGCCACGCACGATGCCAACTTTTTCCACGATGAGGCTGAGCGCCTAGGCAACCCTCTACGCAAGGGCGTCCGAGGCTCGCCACTCAATCAGGGATCTGACCTCAAGACCACGCACCCAGTCGTGCGGACGAATCCGGTGACTGGCTGGAAGTCTGTCTATATCAACAAGGGCTTCACCAAGCGCATCAACGGCGTGACCAAGGACGAATCGGATGTGTTGCTGGCATACCTGTTCAATCTGGTGACACAAAACCATGACGCCCAAGTCCGCTTCAAGTGGCGCAAAAACGACGCGGCCATCTGGGACAATAGATCAACGTTACACTGCGCGACCTATGGTGAGTTATATTTCTAACCATATCACTGTCTTGCCAACTTCATACTAACACAGCGCGCCCAGACTACGACGCGGCTCGTGCGGGAGACCGAGTGGCAAGTCTTGGAGAGGCTCCATATCTGGACCTGCAGAGCAGCTCACGGCGTGAAGGTCTATCACAATAGGTGATACCATCCTGCGAGTGAGGGAAATACAAATGTGTAATCATAGTTTAGCCACGACCAGAGACTTAGTGTCGAAGGGAAAAGAACGGCTTCAAACAAGGACAGCAGCTGCGAACTCCGTGCGAAGGCCCTGAAGAGTGCGCGAGGAGGCGATGGGCCTTACCGTAGACTCGGCCTCGAAATTGACCGCTTTCGCTACTCCATCATGTTCTAGGTGCAAGTTGTCAGCGAATGTGCATGACACGCACATACCTCCGCTAGGTATCTAAGTGAACTAAACGCCGGGATGAGCGGGTATCTGGCCCTGTAGGGGGAAAGCGTGTCGAGCGGCGTGCAGGGCAGCGAGATCCATGTAGCCGTGTTTTGTTTTTATGAAACAGGGCCGGAAGCGGGCAGCAGTGCGGAGACGGGAAGGACGAGTGGCGTGGCACCTGCCTTGTGTTGACAGTGAGCGTGATGATCGAGGGTGCTGGTGATGACGGTGAGATGGGGATCCGTCCTGAAAGGGAAGGAGAATCGGGCCCCAGCGAGAGCATGGCTCAACAAGGCACTAAATGACCGCAGTCTCGCGGTCCAGACGGAGACCGCCGTGGGTCGATTCCTCACCGCGAGCCTTCCAAATAAGCAAGGCCCTGCTGGCGCTAGAGTCACATAGGAGATCCAGGGGCCACTAGCGCATTCGAGGTGAAATCACCGGGGTTGGTGGTCTCGACCACGTGCTGGCGCAAACTCGAGCCGCGCCATCGCGCTTTTAGTGCTCGCAACTGCCGCCCCCGAGCCCACAACCGCCGCCGCCCCTTAGGGCTAGCGTGCCGCCATGCCTGGGAGGGCTTCTGCAGCCGGCTCGCCGCGGCTAGCTGCTGTTGCTGCAGCTTCAGATGCGCCCCCTAGCTCGATCCTCCAAGCCGAGCCCGTGCATTTTGCTTATTCTTCTTCTCGCCGTTGCGAGCCCTTTTGCGTCTCCCACCTCTGTATGCGAACCCTTCTCCTGCTGACCGATTTGAGTGTCGCATTGCCTGACCGCCCGCCCGGCACGGCACGGCATCCGCCCCCAACCCCAAGATCGCCGGTCCCGGCCCCCGCTCCGGCTGGGCGCCGGATGTGCTCCCTTCCCCACACGTCCGGGTGGTTGCCGACTGCCGTCTTGCTGCCACCTCTTCCCGCCTCTGCCCTCACCTCATTTACACACCACAACACGCGGCTTCCCGCCCGCCATGCCGGAGCCCAAGGCGTCGCGCGGCAAGCTTGTCCGCCGCGCCTGCGACGCATGCAAGATCCGCAAGATCAAATGCTCAGAGACGCCGCCCTGCACCGCCTGCCTCGCCTCCGGCATCGACTGTACGTTTCACGAGCGTCAGGGCACACGAGGCCCTCGAAATCTGCGCATCAAGACGAGACTGCGTATCGCCCAGACCCAGCTCGGGTCACATGCGCAACCGTTAGCTTCAGATGTCCAGGCGTCCTCGGGAGCTCCGATCGCAGACACGGGCTCGGCTGCTGGCTACAGCGACGACAGCGCCAGCCTGAGCGACCCTCCGCCAAACGTTCCACAGCCCCGGATACCCGACCTCATAAACTTTGTACATCTTTATGAGCAGCGTCTTTATCCGGTCTGGCCCATTGTCGATACCACCGCCCTTGTCCAGGAGCTTAGTGCTCCAGGGCCGTGCGACCCGCGCATCCTGCTGCTCGCCGAAGCCATCCGTCTGGGTGCGATTGCCCAGCTACGCCTACCCAATTCGCCCGCCTCGCCTGTCCCAGGTAGCCACGATGGCTGTGCAGATCTCACGGCTCTTCGAACCTGCTTTTTCCGCCATGTTTTCTACGAAAATCTCCAGCCTGGCGGACCCAGGTCCCTCATGCACTTGCGCGAGGCCTTGACCATCGCCCAGATCCTTCGTCTCGACCGTGAGTCCTCATACGCGACGCTTCCCGAGCCTGAACAACAGATGCGGAGGAGAATTATATGGCTCCTGTTCGTCACAGAACGCGGTGTCGCCATGCTGTATGAGCTTCCCGTAGTCTTGCGACCCAGTACCTTCCTTCCTGCACCCCATGGCGAGGTTCTTACATCTTTTCTAAAGCTGGTCAACCTTTTTTGGTCTTTCCAGGCTTCAGGCATCTTCGATACGGGCATCCTCCAGTCTGATGCTGATGTGCCAACCGTCTCAGCCGCACGTGACAGCCTCGAGCTACTCCAAGCGAGTCTCTCTCAGATGCCCATCGACACTACGGCCAGCAACGATGTCCAACGCGCAGATCTGTTCGTGACAGGGCAGTGGATGCGCGCCGTCCTATGGAGAGCGGCTTCGCGGATCGGCATGTCCAGTAATGCCATCACGGACCCAATTCGTATCGCTCGCGACCTGCTGTCTTTCGTGGCGCAAGTCCCTCAAGCTGCCATCGACGCGCATGGTGCCGCTATCGAGTTCAAGACGTTTGAAATCGCCTCGGCTGTTATTGACTCCATAGCACACAACAACCTCCCCGTCGTCTCTCTCGACGAGCCTGAGCAGGTTTTACAGGGCCTCCAGAGGATGTTGTCCTCTTCTAGGGGCGGCAATCGAGCGCTCCTGGCTTCTCTGTGGCTCAAGATGGCAACAATACAGCGAGCGGGTGTTCCCACCCCGCTTACATTTTCGCCTCTGCCTCGGGTTGAGGAACTACCTGAAGATGGTACCACCAGTCACTTGCCCCAGACAAACAATTCCCAGTCAACCGGAGCGTCGGTGCAGGTCTCAGCGTGGACTGATCTCGAGGATCTGCTACAAAACGGCATGCTCGGCAGGATATCGGGTATTTCGACTCCGAGGGATCGCGTGGGCGAGGCCACTACACTGCAGGGAATGACATGGCCTTTATTCGACGCCAATGTGCCACTCCGTACGCCATCTCCCATTACCAGAATGATCTTGGACCAGATCCAAGGCGCTACAAACGAGGAACTATCCCCATTGTCGAATATGCCATGGAATGGTGTCAGTCCTTGAATCACACCGGCTTGAACGGTCAACCCTGCTCATGGTGACTCTCAGCAACATTACTGTATGGGCGGGCGCTGCGCAGGCGATGGTAAGCCCTGCCAGGATAGGGCACCAATACCCTCAATTTCACTGAACGCCACGAGCCACGAAATTGTCTCACAACACGGTCTTGTGGTCATACCCTATCCATCGGCCGTCATGTTTGAAATAGTACTGGTGGCAGAGCATTTTTGCGCTGGGGGAAATAGGGGCCAAACTGACTAGCACGCCAAGTCGGTCAATGGAGAAAAGTCGAGCGAGCCTCGCCTGGCTTTCGTTGCCTGCCGCATACCGGCGACTAGCGATGTGGGGAGTCTACTCCGCACGGTTGGGGAGTCACTTTCGTAGCGGCAAGCCCGAGAGTTTCTCCGGCGCCATCTCCACGTCCCACACCAGCCTGCACCCCTCACCCACTTAGATTTCCACGTGCGCAGGGTCACTTTTTCGCCATCTTCTCCCATCCTTATGAGATAATTAGACGTTTGTCTATTTTCTTGTTCTAGCAGCTCTCCTGGAGTCTGACCTTCCCCTTCCGCGACTTTGCCGCCATTTCAAGTCCTCCTACCTCCAAGAGAGTCAGCAAACATGGCGTGGGCAGAACCCCGCAACACTGGTATGATCTACCGAAGGTTGGGTAGATCCGGCCTCCATGTCTCGGCAATTGGCCTTGGTGGGTGGCTCACTTTTGGCGGCCACGTCGAGGACGAGAAGACTTTTGAGTGTATGAAGCAGGCGTACGACCTTGGTGTCAACTTTTTCGACACGGCTGAGAACTACACTGCCGGCAAGTCAGAAATCGTCATGGGCAAAGCCATCAAGAAATATGGCTGGAAGCGCACCGACTTGGTTATTACCACAAAGGTACAGTACCCCCGAGCGAGCAGGATTGGCCCGGAATTTGAATGGACACCCGCGAATACCGATACAAACGCGAATGCTGACGTTTGTGCATCCTGTAGCTCAACTGGGGTGCACACAACGGCGAAATCTTGGTCAACAACCACGGCCTATCTCGCAAGCATATCATCGAGGGACTCGAGGCGTCACTCGAGAGACTCGATCTTAAGTACGTCGACGTGGTATACGCACACCGGCCGGATCGCCTTACACCTATGGAAGAGACTGTCAGAGCCTTCAACTATGTGATCGAGAAGGGGATGGCTCTGTACTGGGGAACATCCGAATGGAGCGCGGATGAGATCGCGGAGGCTGTTGGAATTGCCCGGGATTTGCGCATGATTGCGCCTATTGTGGAGCAACCTTTTTGTAAGTGTGATCCACGAACACTACATGTTAAACAAGGAAACAGTCAACTGATCGGCCTGCTCCTGCAGACAATATCCTTACCCGTGACCGTGTCGAGGGCCAGTTCCAACGCCTTTATTCGCGCTACGGTCTCGGTCTGACGACTTTCAGTCCCCAGTTCTTTGGCATGCTGAGCGGCAAATACAACGACGCGCTCGATGCCCCACCAGAGGACTCCCGGTTCTCGGTCAGTAAGGATGGGTTCGCCGAGCAGATGCGCAAGACGTACGGCGACGACTCCTGGAAAGCAAACATTGCCAAGGTCAAGAAGCTCAAGGCCGTCTCTGATCGTTTAGGGATAACGCAGAGTCAGCTTGCAGTAGCATGGTGTCTGAAGAATCCTAACGTCTCCACCGTCATCACCGGAGCCAGTAGGCCATCACAGATTGTTGAAAACGTCAAGGCTCTGGAGGTGCTAGACAAGCTCACCCCCGAAATTATGAACGAGATTGACGAGATTACTGGTGTCAAGGTTACCCCCGACCCTGCCAGGCAGTCATGATCATCGGCCGGCACTTTTCCGTACGATTCTGGGCTGCACATTGTAGTCTACGTCATCCGGGTGATAGACAAACCCCCGTCCGTTGACGCCTGACTGGCCGCGTTGATGCAAATAGAACAAAAATGTATCTTTGGCTTGATATCAACCAGCGTCAATCTCTTTCATAAGCTGAACCACGTTTCTCTGTTGCAAATACCTGTGATACTGCGCTAGCCGCTACGGAGTAGCTTTCCTCTGACTTATGTCATGTCATGTATTGTTTTTGATAAACCAAGTTCTTTGGCCCCAGAACCATGTATCAGCTGCGCTTTGCACATTTCGCCAAGCAGGAGTGCCTGGTTTTAGCATACAATTCTAGTTGGCCATATTATCTACCATTTAAGTGGGCCAGCCACTTAAATAGCACGATTGCGAATTGCACGTGAAACCCGTAGTCAGCCAAATGTCTCTGTCTATTCGGGCTGGAAAAGTATCTGGATTGACGCCAAGTGCCTACACGTCATATTTTTGATCTAAAGGCAGCTCCCAATTTCAGAAGAAAGACACGTTGCAAGCCTGAGATCATGCGAAAGTTTCATGGTTGCAAATTGCAGAGTCAAACAATGCAGTACAGAGGGGGACGCCGTTATAGTCCAGCTGCTATATTGAGAATTTAGGCCACATGTCGTCCTGGCGCGGCTTGTAGAAGCCGCGCAAAATAATGTAACGGGACGAGAAACATTGTGTTGCACTTATAGGATTAACGTAATCCACAAGTGACTGAGACATACAAGTGAATGAGACACTTTCAGGGTACTCGTACGATAATGTATAAGAGAATTCAACCACAACGCCTTAAATCAATTGAAACTATTCAGAATCCTCTTCTTCAGAGGCAGATACAACTTTCTGACACGTACGAGCATTATGCCCGGGCTCGCCGCAGACGCCACATCGTCGCGCGCGCGTTTCGGGCCTCCTCGTACGACCACTATTCTGACTCGTTTCCGCTATTAACTGCTGCGTCGCATCGATTTGAGCCTTCAAATCCTTTGCCTGATCAATCGTGAGGGACCCTCCTTTCTGTAGCTGCTTTCTTTTCGTACGACGACGGCGGCTGAGGCGGTCGTTTGCATCTCGAAGTTCGGCGATTTCTTGGCGCATAAGGTCCTGCTCGTGCACCATCATTATAACTCCTTTTCCTAGCTGTCGTAGGCCCTGAACAATGGACGACGGAGAGCTATTCTGGTGTCGTACGATACGATTTTCAATATACTTCGTCTGCGATTCGGTCTCAATTGGGTTGTTCGGCGTCTTTGAAACCCATGGGGGTGGTAGTCCAGCAGAGGAACCTGGCGGTGTCGGCGTATGAAACTTCACATCTAGCTGCGAAATCACATAATTCGGGTCGTACGGTACTAGGCCTGTCGCTCTGAAGCCTGCCTGGATGTTTGATTTGGTCATTGCAGCGTCGTACGCCTTATAAAAGGCTGGGAGGAAGTCCTCCTTTGAAACGTGGGTTACGTGCGCCCGCATTAGACCTTCGATTTCTTTACCGTACGCCCGTTTCAGAGGTCCAAAACACCCAACATCGAGAGGCTGGAGCTTATGCGACGAATGAGCAGGCATACAGAGCGTAACAATATTCTGTTCCTTGCAGTAGAGCTCGAAATCGACGGAATGGTGGCTCTCGTGGCCGTCGAGGATAAGGAGGCGGTGGGTACCCTTCGTACGACTCTTTGTATGGAAATCAAAGTGTTTTACCCATTCTAGGCCTCTCTCGTTCGTCGTCCAACCGTTTTCTGAAAGCGCGATTACCCAGTTGGCCGGTAGAGGGCTATTCGCGGTCCAGGAGTCGAGGTGGACCTTCCCGGCGAAGATAATGTACGGCGGGATTGAATAGCCGTACGACGCGATACCCTGGATTACTGTAACCCATTCCTGATTGCCTTGTTGTACGGCTCTTGGCCTCCCGCGTCGATCGGAGGTCGTAACGACAGTTTCGGCGGAGATTTTACCCATCGCGAAGCCCGTTTCGTCGAAGTTGTAGATATCGTCATCGTGGATCCCGTATTTCGCGATTATGTTTCGTACGAGCGTAAACCACGCGTGATACGCGTCCGGATCTTCGCAAAGGACCCTCTGGTAATCGATTCTTCGATTAAAACGCGTACGGAGCTCAGGTCGTCGTCGTACGAAGTTCGAGGCCCAGTTCGTTCCGACGCGTGGCGCGTCGCGTACGCGGAGGAGTCGATCCGCCATTTCTCGAACACCACCTAATTGCGGTGGAAACGATCGCGAATCTAGGTCGATTATATATCGTACGATACTGTCCTCTTCGTACGAGGTCAATTTCTGGCAGGGTGGTCGGATATCGCGTTTCGCAGCTTGGCCGTTTCGTCGTCGTGGGAGGGTCGCATGGGATACATTATAGAGTAGTGCAGCCTTTTGTACGCTTAATTTTGGGTTTGAATGGAGCGCATTAAGCGCTAGGATAAGGTCGCTTTCATTTGATTGTCGTCCCATTATTGTTGGTGGAGAAAAGGAGGAAAGAAAATGGGGGGTTAAGAATGGGCGGAAAGTGTCTCATTCACTTGTGTGTCTCAGTCACTTGTGGATTACGTTATGCTATTTTAAATGCACCATACAAGCAGCAGCAAGGTCGAACGCCATTAGATAGATCAATTGTTGCTTCTCTGTATCTGTCAAATTACGACTTAGTGCTGCATTTGTTTCATAGCATAGTCGCTTCAGAACCGTATATATGTGAACTTTCCGCTAACCGTGTAACAGCAAAGGCCGCGGTGGTCGGTTAGACTGGGTGATTTGATGGGATGTGAAAGATATGCGGGAGTGGCTAGAGGGCGACATTTAAAGTCGCCTCCGGCCCGGGGGCATCACTGACAGACAAGGTAGCTTATACATCTGTGTGAACGGTGTTCCAAATATTCTCACAGCACGGCGGACTCCCTCTGCTTAGCACCAACCAAGTGGTATATGATCGACCTTCGACAATTCATTAGAGTACTAACACAGCGCTCAAATGATTTGGGTTTACAAGTCAGTGCGGCACTTGTCCTTGGCTATTTAAGAGCTGGGTGTTTCACAGAAATTCCCGCAATGTGAAAAATCTCACCCTGGAGTAGGTACTAGATATCTACTGCGCTGTCCTGGAAATCATATGGCTACGGAATGGACTACTTAGGGGAACAACATGGAATATCTGCACAGCTATCTGTAGACTCAAGTATCCTGCCTTTATCGCACAACAAAGTGGTTGGACAGAGCTTGACAAAGCATATTGTTGGGCCGTACTTGTTTTACAGCCAGTAAAGTACCTACTCACTTAGTGTTTCGTCCACTGCGTAGTTGAAGCCAGACTTCAATGTCAGCAACGCGGGAACTGGAGAATATGATGATCGATCAAATGGCGAAAATAGCCAAGGGAACAAGCAAGGTGAAAAACAAGTTCACTTCCATTCAATTTGAGCGCTTCTTAATCCACGGGGACACCATATGCACCCGCTGTCTCTTCACCTCAGTGACTAACTACCAAGATAAAAATCAAATGTGGATTGGTTTCATGAGAAAGCCTACACTTGTCGACTCTTGATTTCATCAACAACACCCCGAATCTCTTTCCTAGAGCTACACCGCCATGCGATAAACATTCTCATCTGTCATAATTCCATAATCCATGGCTCGATCCTTTCAAGAGGGTCAATTCCCGCTTAGGGTTCTGTATCCTGCCGCATTGCCGTCTATTGTGAGTAGTCCAAGGGATGAGCATATATCGACTCATAGTTTAACAACATTGCAGACTTAACGTAAACAAACTGTGGTTTAGTTGAAACAGCAAATGCTGACCACAGGATTTGCACCATTAGTCATAATCGAAGAACGGTCTCAGGACCTAACTACTTGTTATCATTCAAATTTACCTCATGACCAGAAGCCTGTCTGCAAGCTATTGTTTCGCTACCAGGCCCCTACCTGATGGCGACAAGTAAAGTGCGTCTGGAAGTGTTCGCGTCTATCAGAGGAAGCAACACTGCTTGTAGACTGCTGTGAGGCATATTTTCCGGTGTGTAGTGAGAGGTAGTGATAGAGCAGTATATAAATGATGCTTGATAATCTTTTTATACCTGCCTCTGTTCGGGTTGTCTATATTCACCTTGGTAATATACCACAAGTTCACCAGACTATATAGAACAGTTCTCGCAGAAATAAGAAAAGAAGTACATAGTAAGGGCAACACTGCTGCCATCTCTTTAGCGGATTGGTTTCCTATTAGTCTACAGCCATGAAATTGAATGTTCAAGTAGCATAAAGGACGATAACAATTTAATGGAGCTTTCGCACGCTATGCAACTCGAAAACTCCGCATTTAGTTTCTTCTGTTCTTCTGTTGCCCGAGGAGGATGCTCCCTTGAATAGAAGCTAGAATGTAATGCTGATAAAGAGTGTCAACTGAGTAAGGCCTCACTTTGCCCAAATGATGAGGGAAATACTTGACTTCTATATCGTTGTACTTCGGCATCCGCTGGTAACATCCAGTCCATAAGGAGCGAAGCTAAAATATTATTATTTATAGTACGCGTGACCCGCTAGTACTAGGGGTTTAGCGGTGCTACGAATCTATCGTGTAATAAACCGTGCCTTTAGGCTGGACTAAAAATACACGCTGCGTCTTCTCCGCGCCTAAGCGGCGCCTGCGCTTATGGTTATTGTCGCGTGTAAGAAAGCCAAGAATATAAAGACATATCAAATTCTCATTCCACTCCTCGACAACCAATAGTATCTCTATTTTGCATATGAACGGGTCTTCTCAGTTAGAGCATACTATAGAGTGAGTCAGCAGTTCGGTCTGGCGTAAATGACAGTAAGAGAACAATTGGCATTATTTCTATTGTATCAAGACGACCATACAAAGAGGAATTGCCTTTTCGAATCACCGTGGTACTGATTTTTATTTATGTTGTACTTCACGCCGGAATAGCAAGTCCAAGTTACATATTACATGTAGGATAGAAGAGTATAAATTTGGGGAGCTTGAACATAGCTCTATAGCTCTGGGTGAAGGATGACAATGTTTCGATGGCAGCGACATAGGCGATTGCAACGGAACCGAAAACTAACACTTCCTCATTGGCATTATAAGCAGGTCACCAGACTAACATGAACTTAAAAGCAGACGAACACGAATAAATTCACTATGCCGGTGTGAGGAACAAAAGCTAGCCGGTTTACATTATAACGAGCTGTGTGCGACAAAGAAAGATAATTTCCCTAAGTTACTCGACAATTCTCTCCTCTCTTCAGCAATTATAGTAGCATAAGCAGTTTCCGTACCGTATAAACAATTGCAATCTCACCGCAGTACGTTTCGCAAATGTCAATCAACGAGCTTAGAGGCGGGCTAATATCACTCCGTGACGTATACCCTCTTCTGCAAAAGATAAGGGCGAAGTAAGAAGGCAGCGATACTATTCAAACAACCTTTCTGGTGCTTTTTGTACACAGCAAATACCAGAGCTTATATGTTACAAGCCGCAATCTAAGTGGCGGTTGGGCAGGCTAGACCAATTCTGCTTAAGCTCGAGGAATGATATGAAAATACATGCGTTATTCAACACATCGCGCTATATAGTCAATGAGCATAAAAATAAACCCGAGTCAATGTAAACGGAGTAGTCTCGTGTCAACCTGTGTAGTCACGTCGCCTCATACAGCGGAGCTTTCAAGTATAGCTCCATTTTCTCATCTGCCTCACTATCTTTTTGTCTAGATAGACCCAGCCTACAGATTCCGCCATGACTGATCGTTGATTTTCCTAAGGCAGCCCAATCAGCGAGTGACTTTGTAGATGCAGTCTGGCAATATCTTTCTTATACCTTGTAAGCTTCAGATAAAACGAGGCCGAAACAAGCCCACGTATGCTTATGGATATTCGATAGGAAAGATATAGAGCCTGCAATAAAGCAAGTTCTGTACGTTCTGCAGAATGCCTTGGTCTAGCTACCTATAAGGCATATATGAGTTGCACTATGTTCAGACTTGCATCCATATCGATCCTTTGAAGAAAGGTAGAGTCGAGTGATGATGTCTATACCGCCCGAGGTCATAAAAGTATAATGTATACACCTAAAAAGTTGTATGAGTATTCCGATGAATGCGGTCAAGTTCGAACTAGCAACGCATAACAGGAAAGGCGACTGGCAGATATGGAGGAGCTACAGCGGGAGGAATAGACTGACACGGAATGCACCCATAATAGCGTCTCTAATTTGCCACGAAGAGGCCCTTGATGATGACGCTGGAACGGCGCGACGTCGGCGCGGCTGACGAGGTTTACTTTCGGGTTGACGATGGCTTGAAGGAGGAGAGAAGGAATCACGACGACGACGATAATGTCGCCGTCAATATGTAGGGTGTTGCAGCACCTGCCACTGGTTGCCCCGGATACTGAGGCCGACTTACATGAGGACCTCTGTAAGGGAGCGCCATTAGCGGAGCGCCCACCCCCCTAGGAATCACCTATATCTATGAGCTACACCGGCTTGGAGGCGTGGAGATGGCGACCAACCTCACCCAAAGAACGTCTGGCTGGTGAGAGCCATTCGTGATACGCGACGAAACCACGCAGCGCAGACGCAGCTTCGCGTACCGAATACGTAGCGAGTAATTGTCATTCGGCTTCGGCACGGTTTATTATACGATAGATTTGTGGGCTCGCGAAACCTAGATAGGTAGCGCGTACTGCTACTCATAATAATATTCAGCACGTCCAGCTCAAAATGAACAAAATGTCGCCTCAAAAACTAGCAACGATACTTTAAAAAATCATCTGGAGCTCACAAGTCGACAACTCCAAAAGCCATCGAGTCCATAAAGCTTTTACATTTTTCATGTATGTAAAGTTTGTAGTTGTAGAAAGAACAGAAGACCAAATCAGTGATGATTCGCATTTACTGTCGCGCTTATCTCAATATGAACCTCATATTTATTATTGCAGAAACCTTAGTGCAAACAGATCTAGAGTGGGTAGCCAGCAGTACTTGGCGAACAGGTAGTAGAAATTCCGTGGCAAAAGTCAATCTGGACGCTCTGTGCTGACTAGGCAGTATTACTGCAACTACATCCCCTTCAATGAAGTTGTTGTTTTGCCACCCACCCCTGTTATTGTTTGGCCCTACACAGTCGTAGTACAACGTTCTGAAGTGCGTCCCATCCACCTACTTGCTCCATAAGACGCCAGTGGCCCCCATAGCTATAAACTTGTCGAGGGGCCGTGATACGGTTCGGAGACTCTATCAAACGCCGAGCAGCGGGAAAAGTACTACTACTACTACTACTACTACTACTACTACTACTGTAGACTTTAACCACCTCGTGACGAGTAGATGAAAGCTGGCTGCAACGAACATGTCTTACCCGCCCTAACTTTGTGCCTTCCCCTAGCTATTTTCTGTGTGGTGACTAGGCTACGAAGTGAACAAGTGATAGGCTGCCTGGTATTTATTCCATATCGCACATTGTGATACCGCGAGCGTTTGGCCGAGGTGGACGATCTACTAAACTGCTGACTAACTTTGCGTTTTTGTGAATATGAATCCCCTACCTTAGGCTAAACAGCGATAGTCGTAATTCATTACCTCAATCTGTGTGTCATAATAACAAGTATTCAGTCTCTGGAATGAATACGGCTTTCAATATTGTTTGAACATTCAGTCTGGATCAACAACATTACTGCCACAGCCATCATGACTTTCGATATGATAGAGCTGATCATAATTGCTGTTTGGATTGCAAAGATTGCTAGTGGTATTTCTTCTGCCTTTTGGGAGTCGAATGCTAAGTGAAAAGTTGGATTATACACCTCGTGCTTATAAATTTCCTCCGAAGACCTCTTACAACGCTCTGCTATAATTGACCAGCAGCATAAACACTCTTGTAGCTGCAAGCCATCATTTTTGCCACTCGTCTTTATATCGTAGTGAATTGTTATAGATCCGCTTTCACAACGTACAAGAGGAGGTAGAGCCATCTTCCCTCACAACTTAGCAGAGACAAGATCCGCCTAGACCTAGCTGCGTTGTTGAATATAAATAGCTCAACTATGAGAGAATGATCACTACTCCAAGCGTATACTCCAGAAAAGTCAATCAATTCATAGCACATACAGACACTCACTTGCTTCATATCTGTCATTAATCTCGATAAGTACTCAACCAATCCTTACATGCGCTTCCCGATATTCAAAAAGTCTTAGTGAGCATAGCTCCATTTCTTCAGATTCGTCTTTCAGTTGTTACTGAGACCCAGTCAACATCATAAGCTTCCTCAATCTTTCCCCAAGCCTCCCAATGCACCATTGCACAGCATATAATTTGGTTACGAAGACGGACAAACCATAAGCTCTTGATTTACTATGACCGGTGCCATTGTGAGCCGGCTACCTAAATAGTTATTAGCGCCCAAGATGTATAGGCTACGAGGAGCAACTAGGTCCGAAGGCCTCATTACTCGAGAAGTAAATAGGTTAATGCCAGCGATGTAGTTAGCAGTGAACAAAGCAGTGCCGGAATGAAAAAGAGGCAGTTTCGGGCGATAAAACAGACATAGACTTGTTCAATAACTACAGACTGAAACTAGCGATTTCAGATATTTACATCACAGAAGAATCAAGTTCGTACTTGACTTGACTTAACCCAATTCACTCTTTTCCGGCATAATAATAGACTGTACAGTCATTTGCCTCTCTTGATCCATCAACGTAGTGTAGAGTTGTTGGTTTTCTAACGATAGGTGATGGACATACTTCCGCAGATACAGCAAGAACAGGTTTCAAAGACGGAGAGTTGAAGCTGTTTTATTTTAAATAGGTAGGTTGCCGAATGTACGTTGATGGGCAGATACTTAATCGAAAGAAAGCAACAAGAGCACGCATCGTCGACTACGTATAACAGCTTAACACAATTCTCCGATCATCAGAGCGGAAAGTACAATAAATATGCTTATAATTTTATCATCTTCCGGACACGTCGGTGGATAGACTCGTCACATGAATATGGAGTACTTCAGAGTGATTTGGATCATTACGGAAGCGGAAAAAAGCATTCCACAAGAGAGAAACATCTAAAACTAACATCACACATAAGCTTTGAACTTCATCGCACGCCAAATAAGCTACGAGAACGGCATTGAAGTGATAATCAAGGACAAGAATAGCAGGCTAAGATGTTGTTGGTGATAGATAGGGACAGGAGCCGAAAAGTTTGTAATTTGAGCCATAAATACTTTTCTGGGCAGCACCAATAGATATGAAGCAGTCATCATACCTGGCTCGCGAAGAAAGAAGTATGCTGATACTCGACTCCGCTGAACTGTCTTTCTCTTTTAAAAACAATGTTTCGGTGGTGAAATCCCTGTTTTTGGTTTACAGAGCGATCAAAACTGCTTCCAGTTCCATGTCTGCGCCACCTCCGTGATTTGGCCGCACCCCCTCCTTCTCTTCCCGCACACCCCACCACTCCAGGTTCCTGAATCCCAGAGCTGGTTACTTAATTCATATATCTATCAATCACCCTCGCTCACTCTCGAACACGCTCACTCCACTGTCGCCCACTCGTGGTCAGGCATGAAATCCGCCATCCCGGCACAGTTGTCAGAGCGAAGTTGAAGCTTTGGATGATCTTCTCGAGCTGAGGCACGACCCAGCCAACGAAGTGCTGAAGAAGCCAAGACATCCGCGAAGGCAAGTGCCAATCAATCTTCAGCATGCGCAAGGACAGGCAGACGCCCTGGACACAACTGTACACCGTGGCTTCAGTTGGGGTTGATGGCGATGACCCCAGCTGCAATGACGGCGACAGTCTTGATGAAGAGGACGTCGACCCTTTGCCTCTTCTGGCTCATGACTACAACCAGCAACCCGCTCCTTCGCGTCGGAAGAAGAGGACGGTGGAGGGATTGTGTCGACAGCGAAAAATCTGGTATCGGTAAGTATGCCACATCTCCAAGCACATCGTGCTCATTCCAACGTGACCCAGATACTGTCGCAGGATCGAACGCGATCCTAAGGAGGCGCTCCTGTCGCTCGACATGAATTGCTACAAAGCATACTTTGAGTGGTTGATCCAACGTGGACGGATAAAAGCCATTTCAACGCTACAGACTTATTGGAAACAAATCAGCTCATTATACGCCGAGACAAGTCTGGGCTGGATGGAGATGGGCGTTCTGAACGAGATGAGCAATGTTGGTAGCTTGGCTCTCTTCTCCTCCGCACCGATCACTAACCATACTTCCAGCATCTGCGATTCTTGCAGCAAAAGTACTCGCTGAGGGAGGCTCAAGATGATAAGTCGCCACTCTACGTTGACGATCTGGATAATCTTCTCTTCTACCACTGGGTGCACGACACGAGGGCCTTTGTTCACGAGCGGCAACGGGTGACTGTGGCCATGGCCTTCATCATCATTGGCGTCATGGCATCACGGCCAAGTGCTGTCCTTGCACTGCGGTACGAGGATCTGCAAATCCAGCTCTTTCCCGCAGACGATCCGCAATGTCGGCCAGACATCGTCATGAAGCTCAAGTTGACAGACACCAAGTCGGGGAAACCCATCCATGCAGGATTCCGTGAGGAGTTCAACCTGATCCATTGTGTTCAGACAGGCCTTCTCGCTCTGGCGATTGCGGATAAGGCCTTCCTCGATGACATCACTTGTCTGGAAGACATCTACAAACTTCGAGTCCCCCCAACTATGGATCGGTTAAAGCTCCAGTGGAAAGCAGAATGGTCCGACAAATTCATCTTCAGACAAGGATCCTCTCACAGCGACCATGTCACATACCAGCAGTGTCTCCAGGCAATCCAAGTGCTTGGTCGTGCGTGTGGATACGAAGAAAAGCTGAGGTTCTATCAGATTCGTCGCGGATCGGGCAAGAAGCTGACAGAAGAGCTTACGATGGAAGAGAGGAATCAAATCATGGATCATATTGGAGGTACATCGGCAGTTTACCGCCGATTCTACATGACCGGCTTCATCGACAAGGATATACAGGCCATCACCTTCGGCAGTCCTCCGAGGGCAAGGCTTTTGCACAAGACCGGTCGCATTGCTCGAGATACCGAAGCACCTACGACACTTACTACGGAGCAATCGAGCACCGTGAATGTCCATCCTGACATTGTCCAGTACAAAAAGGCTCGGTCAGAGGTCAGAGATCAAATTCGAAAGTTATTCGGGACCGTCGTGGAAGCTAGAGGCTCCGACATCCCCGAATTGGTCGCTTTAGTCAAATCATACGACAAACTCAACAACCAGATCACCAGTCGCAAGCAAGGGCTGAGGCGAGAGCTACTTAACACTACGATCACCACGCATCACGAGACAGCTAGCAGTAGAGCGATCACGGACCAGATGAACGGCAAGCCATCTATGGACCAGCTTGTCAAGTCTCGAGCCGCTTTCGAATACGCCGCTCGATCACAGATCGCCAGCCTCTTCTCCCATGAGGATGGTAGGATTAAATCTCAGGGCCTCGATGAAAAACGCGCTCAGCTAGTCAACGCAATGGCCGAGCTGTGCATGGTTGCAGAATCGCCACCCAAGTACAGAACACGTCTGTCAAGAACGTCACCTCAAGGAGATCATGGCCTGAGGGTGGTGCAGGATTTCTCCCACTGTGGGAGAATGGTGCTGCGTCCACAGCCGAAGAAGCTCATCTGCCCGTTCTGTCAAGGGGATTCCCGCTGTGCGCCCTTGAAAAAATCCAAGGCATACACGCGGATTGATACATTTGGGAAGCATATTTTCTGCCAACATTTCGAAGCTGATGGACATCTTCGCGGCACCAGAGAAGGGAGTTCTTTTAGGTGTCCCTTCACGCCCTGTACTACTCCTTTGTTCCATGCTCGCCATTTTGCTCACCATGCAGAGGCGGTTCATGAGATGCCTCCTTTCCAAGTGTCCACATTGCCGGGCCAGGCGAATAACTGGCATGGTGTTGTGAGTCATACTATGTAGTTTATCAAACCGTGCCGTGAGGCTGTTGGACTGAAAATATACGCTGTGTCTTCCCTGCGCCTGAGCGGCGCCTAAGCTCTAACCTCTCGTCGCGTGCAAATGAATGACTCTTCAACAGCCAAGCCTTGTGAAGAAGGAAAGGAGAGGGGCCCTGGCGGCCGCGCCTTTCTACGGGGAAATGATATGCGGGTCGTGTGCGTAGTGCGGGCGATGCGTGAGCGTTCCTTCAACGCTGCGCGGTGTGTCCGGTGTTCGTGATGCCTCATCTCATTGCTGCGTTCGTCGTCTGTTCCTCTTCTTCCTCCTACAAGCCTGTTACCGCCTTGTGCAGCAGTCCCGGGAAGCGTTCCGGCTCCGGCCGTACCGCTGCCGCTGCCGTCGCCGCCGCCGACGCCGTCGTGGAGCTGCTTCTGCAGCAAGAGCAGCAGTGCCTGGTCCGGGCCCGGCGCCGCTCGACACACCAGTAAGCCGCGACGGCCTCCCGCGTCACGCGCACAGCCGGTGCTTTTGAGTACCGCTGTCGCTACGTCCAGGGAGGTCGCGGGCTCCGGCGCCTTCCGTGCGCCAGAATTGGCCATTCCCGCGTCGCCGTAAGTCCTCGCTAGCCCACTCCGAGCGCGCGTCGGCGGACGATGCGTATGTGTCAGTTGTCTCTCGATCTGGAGACGCGTGCCGCCGCTGCCCACTTCATAGAGGTAGCCAACCGCGCGGCCTCCCCGGAGGATCCGGTACGTCCCACGCCTGCGCACGCCGCGTCTGCGATGCGGATGTCCTGCGATAGGAGTTCGCCGGCGCCGGCGCCGAGGGTGCGTTGCGTGCGGTCGGTGGTCCCGTACTAGGTTTGCGTCGGTGGCAGCAGTTCCACCGGAGCGCCTATTCCGGCAGCTCAGAGCGCGGGTTTACTTGGGCGTCGGGTAGCAGCTCTCGAGAGCCTAGCTCGTGGTGTTGTATGTTGGACCTTGCTGGGTGTGCGACTCGGAGTGCGCTGCTAACGTCTTGTCCAGCTTCAGCGCCGGGTTGCAGAGGAGGAAAGAGGGGAATAGAAGGGGAGGGCGCTGCGCGGTTGTGCGTGGGGAGCTCCTTACGCTAGAAAAGTGTTTCTGTTAGGTCTGCCTGTCGCGCTTCGGGGCAACAGCACCCCTGTAACACCCCACTGAAGATTGGCGTTTCGTACACCAAACGAGCCGCTACAGGGCACCCACCCCCTGGTTCATCCACTAGGGTAGCCCCAGCCCCCTGAGCCGCCCACTAGCCAGCACACCAGCCCACTGAAGCACCCACTGTAGCACCGCGGCATCAAAGAGAATGGGGTGCCACGGCCCCGCCCTGGTCTTCCCCGCTCCGTTGTCGCTGCGCCTTTGCGTCTGCCCGTGCTCCTGTGGTCTCGTCCCGGATCTCTCGGGGCCTTGTTTCCTGTCCTTCGGCCTCTCTCTGCCTCTGCGAACTGTGGAAGCAGGTGCTGCGTGAACAGCTACTTGATGGCGGCCTTGCTGGACCTTAGGTGGTGCACGAAGAGAACCTACGAAGAGGAAACAGTATCGGTCACGGACCACGGGACAATCAAGTGCGGAATCAGGAGACACAAAAGGGGCTAGACGAACACCAAAGGGACTGTGCACTTTCCATGGTGACACTGGCAGTGGCCACGATGGTATTTACGATTCCAGAAGTTCTATCAGTTGCGCCCACAGCGAAGGAGCTGAAGGATCAAAAACCTCACGCAAAGCGCCTACTTACAGCCACAAGATGAATAATTAGTTTTACTGCGAAGGAAGGAGGCACAGGACTGAACCCGTCGGATGGCTTCCTGATTACAAGAGCCTTGTTGCGGAAAGGGGGGGGAGCAAAGATACTGAGGCGGCTTATGTGTATTGGTTGCCGAGGAAGGCGTTCGCGCGGCTAGTCTGCGAGGCGGAGGGCAGAGAGGTACTACGTGTGCTCGAATACAAAAACAGGGTTCATGCCACCGACACATGTCTTCATACGAAGTTTGCTGGAAGCTATCAGAGGCTTGCGAATTCGTCTTTCGACAAAGCTCATTCAGCAACAAACATGTCACATATGAGCAGAGCCGGCAAGCAATACGGGCGCTTAGGCGTGCTTGCGGACGCGAGGAAGGAGCCACTGGGGTTCTATTAGATCAGACGAGGATCAGGGAAAAGGATGGCAAAGGAGGTGACGATGGAGGAGAGTAATCAGATCATGGACCTCATTAATGTTACTTCTGCTGATTATCGTCGACCGAAAATGCTTGCAGATCGCAATCACTCAAATAAGTGGAAGAAACGGTACCAGGTTCTTGTGGGTCAGCCTGGCGCCTCCCTTGAGCAGACATGCCTCTCATCGATCAGGCCTGTTTGTTTGCCAAGCTCTCCAGCGAAGCATGTCTCTAGGAACAGCTCCAGGACCCCCAAGATCAAAGGTGCCAAAAGAGCTGTGAACGATGTGACGAGTCGAGATCACAGATGAGGTCTCGAAGGGCCAGCTCGCGTCTGCGTAAGCAGAGAACGATGCATGTTAATTCCAACGACACCTACAATTGAAGTAGACAGACGGCGTACTAAGATGATATTATGCACGGGCGAGGAGAAGCTCCGGGATTATGGCGTCATCCCCAGATATTGGCAGCCGAGAATATAGCTTAATTGATCGCCTTAAGGTAAACTTGTCCAAAGGAGTTTGTTTTCTTGATGAGGGTGCATAAGGCTATATTCTTCCATCGGAGTGAGCTTGGACAAAGCAGATACTTCTTCTGGCAGCAGCAAAAACCATGTATCGGTGAGGATCGCTGTTGAAGTGGGCTGCACAGTGCAGCACCTCTTGCTCACAGTAGGTGGGTGGAGTTTTTTGGCCCTGGTCTGCATTACGTAAGCATGGGGCTGGCGCTTCAGAGACGCAAACACCAACAGGAAGTAAAACCCATGCATCTTCCCCGCTGTCACCAAGAACGTACATATCCTCGCCCGGCACTTACAGCCACGTCAGGCTCGAACACAGGTCTAATGGCTCCAAAAACAATGTGCATCCTAGGTGATGAGGCCGCCGGAAAGAAGACTCTAACTGGGCACCTGGTCTTCACGGTAAGCTGCTAGGAAGAACACTGGCCTTGGTTTCATCCCAGCTAAAACATTCTACTCTAGTGCGGGGCTTCCCTTCCCGAAATCGAACTCCTCGAGAAGAGTCGGGTTCGCGATTATCGTGGCATCGCAACCCTTTACCGCCAGCAAGGCAGGCCCGTTTCATTCTACGGCCCCTCTGCCCAATACACAGTCACAGGTAACCATGCCTATCCTCCAAATCCGGAAAAGGCTAACCATTATCACTCACCGAAGACGTTCCTGGAAACGCCCATGTTGCTCTCTGGGTTGTCGATGCGTCTGCTGACGACCACGGAGCGTCTTCAAGCCAAAGGCTTGAGACCCTCCTGTCTTCCGGGGAATTCCGTGTCGATGAGCAGCTGATTATAATTGCTACCAAAATGTAAGTGCAGTCCATGGCTAATGTCTCTAGCCACGACTAACGCGACTCAGGGACCTGAACAACTGGTCCGAGACTGTCTTCGCGCAAGTCGCACACTCATTCGCCAAGATCAAGCCTGCGCAATTCAAGTAAGACTAATGCGATTACAATGCAACCCCCGCAACAAGGGCTACCAAAGCTGACCATGTCACACGCGTCTGACAGAATCAGCATTGTGCCAGTTTCTGGCCTGCACGGGGACAACGTTATTGAGAAGTCAGACAAGGCGGCACGCCTCCAGCCTGCGGGCAAGGTAGAAGAGGGAGGGCTCGCGGTCCTGGCTGCGCAGCCCCTCATGTCGTTGCTGTGAAAAGTGATGGCCGCGCTAGTCCTATCGAGGCCCAACAGACCACGCTGTGCGTGCAGCTGCAGTCGGAGTCGCTGTAGAGAGCGCCAACCAACAGGACTGTTATGATAAACAGTAGCTTCTTCAAGACATTCCGCGCACGTGTTGGCCATCGCATGTCTTCATTTCTGAGCAACCCATGTTTATCCCCTTCGTGTTCCTTTGCATTGGCACCGTGTCTCACCCAAACTGCTCCACTCTCAAGCTCTCCTGACGACATGTTGAATCGAATTAAAAACAAACTTCGCGGGGAAAGAGAGCCCCCCAGCGCCCCTCAACACCATGACCCCTCTTTTGCGTTCGCCACCCGCGCTCCCGCTACACCCCAAGTCATCGAGGGCCACCTGAGCCATCGTGTTCCGCAGCCGGACCCGACACCTTCGGGCACTACGAGGGCCCTAGTACCGGCCGGCAACCAGATTGGGCTCTTCCCAATTGATGAGAACAAAGCAGGTCATGATTGTGGGGCGGAGCCCGTCGATATCATCGCCATCCACGGCCTGAATGGGCACCCATATACCACATGGACCCACGACACTGGCAGTATGTGGCTCCGCGACGCCTTGCCTAAGTATATGCCAGGCTGTCACGTGTATACATTCGGCTATGCCTCCAAATGGGCAGCGAATCAGTCGGTCGCAACCGTGCCTGATTTCGCGAGGAGCCTGCTTGATGCTTTGAGAAATCTTCGCGAGAAAATGGGCGAGGTACTGATCCCAAGTTAAGGTTCCTCAGTTTTCCAAACTCTAACACATCTTCCAGACTCGTCGTTCAACGATTTTCGTGTGTCACAGTCTCGGAGGCATCGTCTGCAAACAGGTGAGCCTCTCCTTCTCCATAGTACTTGACACGCTACAACTCTTCGCAGGCCCTGGTTTTTGCCCACATGGACCAGAAACGCTATGGCGATGTACTTGATTCCACCATCGGAGTCGTGTTCCTGGGCACACCTCATTGTGGCAGTAACCTCGCCGACCTGGGAGTCGTTCTCGGACGATTTGTCAATATCCTTTCAGCAACTGGCACGATGGGAGTCATATCCAACCCCATCAAGCGGGATCTGTTCGACGCACTCACATACGACTCTGAGAGCTTGCAAGAGCTGGATATCTCTGTCCGACATTTGTTAGGAAAGATCATGGTCATATCCTTTTATGAAACGCTTCCTCTACCTCCCTTGAAAACGCCGGTAAGTGAAGACCCGTCCTCGCTCTTCCGTGTGTATGATTCACAAATCTTGCCGCAGGTTGTGAGTCGTCAGTCGGCGATACTAGGGCTGCCAGATGAAGATATACTACCATTGAATCTCAATCACCGGGACATGTGTCGCTTCGCATGCGAAACATCGGAATGCAGATCGGTCTGTCAGGCCATCCGGCGAATTCAGACTTCGGTTGAGAGTCGCCGCGCACGCACCGCTGTGTCTCAAAGTAGAGATTCTTCGACATCGAGTAGGCCAAAATATTCTAAAGCTTAGCAGTAAGAAAATGGCTTATGACAGATCAACAGGTTTCAACAATCTTGAGAGATCGTGCATGAAATTGTTCAGCCATTTCGACCTGAGAGACTACAAGTCAAGACTACCTTTACCAGTACATGGGACCTGTGCATGGATTAGATCACATCCTTTGTTCGTTTCTTGGGTTGAAAAGGCGAAGAGCACTGTGCTATGGCTCACGGGTCATTCCGGATGTGGCAAGACCATTCTCTCTTACTCAGTGGCCACCCGCCTCGAGGAAGGGAACCAGCATGTACTCATGTACTTCTGCGACAAGAAGATTACCTCGCAGCAGGATGGCAGGGCGATTCTGACCGGGCTCATCTTCCAGCTTGTTCATCGGCATCGACGATTGATTCGGCATATCCGCCGAGAGTTTGAAGTCTGTGGCGCTCGCATGGTTGATTCGTTCGCCACACTTTGGTCTGTTTTCAACAACATGATCAAGGAACTAAAGGGAGAGTCAGTTTACGTCGTCATCGACGCCCTCGATGAATGCGAGACTTCTTCTTGCAAGACTCTCCTCGGTGCGATCAGAGAGTTGATCGACAGCTCTTCGTCTCAAGAAAAAAACAAGACTGTTAAGTTCCTCCTGACAAGCCGACCAATGGTACATCTCCTTGGTGGCTCTGGTGCAGCAAGGGAAGGACTCTTGGAGATTGACAACGGAGAGCTGGGCTACGCTGACGATGTTCGGCAATTTATTCACCAGCGAGTGGATGAGGTCGCCGAAAAACATGGTTGTTCCGAGCACACGAAACGCCACCTACTCGAAGCCATGCTTTCGAAGTCTGGAAATACGTTTCTATGGACACATATGGTCCTCACGTCACTGGAAGATAGCCTCCTTGCTTCCGCTGCTGATTTTGACTCGATATTGGCTACTCTACCGCCGAGTCTCGAGTCCACATATTCAAGCTTCCTAGCCAAAATCGCAAAAGGAAATCTGACAAATGCACATCGACTACTAGGTCTCATACTAGGGAGTTCAAGGAGCCTCCGCCTCGAGGAGATTAACTGTGCCTTCACTATTACCAGTTATCACCAGAACTCGAGTGAACTTTTAAGGGACTGCCAACCAGCTATTGCTCGAACGATCCAGGGCATTGTTGGCCCACTAGTCCGGCTCTCGGGCGAGAAAGTCTCATTAGTCCACCAGAGCGTCAGAGAATTTCTACTCCAGCCTGGAGACGATTCATCGCACTCCGGATTTTATGAGTCATGCCCCGGCATGCCAGTCATCTCTGTGAAGAGTGCTGCGCTTCAGATGGCAAATGCTTGCATTCTTTATCTACTTCTCGGGGACTTCCAAACACCGAGTTCTTCCTCTGCGCCGTCTCCGATAGACGATACGCTCCGCGGAAGCTTCGGCGAAGGCGAGAAGGCTCCTGAATTTGAAGAAATATGGGAACAAGATACTATAGGTCTGGAACTCTTCCAGGAGCCGGAGGCCGTCGAGGCCGACCTCTCGAAGGGATTGGCCTTACGACATCCATTCTATGATTACGCGGCGACAAGCTGGCATCACCACTACTCAGTCTGCGAAGATATTGCCCCTCCCGAGCTCGCAGATTCCGTCATAACTCTGCTTGACGTCGACGCCCTAGCGGGACAGACATGGAGAAGCTATGCCAGATCCCAGGCCATCGATGCGGCGACCGAGTTCCCCCAGGAATCTTGCATTTTGGTATTTGCATCTTACCTTAATCTCGTAGGACTTACAAGTGACCTTCTTCAACATAGTCAAGCCTCTCAAGAGGAGAAAGACGAGGCACTTTTCTGGTCGGCAAGTCGTGGTCACGGCAGAGTCGTCTCTCTGCTCCTCGATGCTGGCGCCGATCCAGAGTATCATGGCGTAGAGAGGCAGACTGCGCTCTTGACGTCCGCAGCTAGCGGACACCTGGAGTGCGCGCGCCAGCTAGTGGCCAGCGGGCGCTCTGACGTGAACGTCAGCGGCAAGGCGGGGAGAACGGCGCTGTCCTTGGCAGCTGGGAACGGTCACCATGATGTGGTAAAGTATCTGCTCAAGAACGGCTCGACCGCAGCAGGTCTAGGTGATCGAACTGGTGCAACTCCCTTTATATGGGCCTCAGGACGCGGCCATTTGGCTATACTCTCGACGCTAGCGAAAGATCCCCGCGTCGATGTCAACAGCCAGGATAGCAACGGACGTACTGCCTTATCTTGGGCCGCGGGCGAAGGTATGGAAGAAGTCGTCAGCCACCTCCTGAAGAGGATCAGAGGAGTCGATCTGAACCTTCAGGACAAGACTGGTCGAACTGCGTTCTCGTGGGCATGTGGAAACGGGCACGTCGGGGTCATCCGCACGCTCCTGCAAAACCCGAAACTCGACAGGTACCAAGCAGACCATGGCTTGAGGAATCCTATTTCATGGGCGGCCGCACGAGGACACGAAGGAGCGATCCGGATCCTGCTCGCGAACAAGCCCCAGGGGCTGGAGGACAAGGACATAGATGGCTGGAACCCAATGGCGTGGGCTGTCCAGAACGACGCTCCCGCCGTGGTCGAGGCCCTGTTTGACGCCGGCGCCAAAAACCTCGAAGAGGGGCCCCGGACCGTGCTGTCATGGGCCATGGAATACGGCCACTTGGCAGTCGTCCGGATGCTCCTTGCCAAGGGTGCCGATCCGGAAACCGCCAGAGACCGGATTCCCCCTGCACTCTCCATGGGGAGGTTTGATCTTGTTAATGAGCTTTCAGTCGCTTTGAACAAGAAGGCGTCCCTTTGAGCGGGCAGTGGACGGATTGGAGTAGAGCATAACGAGGCTTGAAAGAAGGGCTGGACAACTTGATCATGGCGAGGGAGGGATGGAGAGAGACAGACTGAGTTGTTTTGTGGCAGTGCTCCTAAGTCATGTATTCTGGTAACGCATCAACCCCAGCTTGTAAATTTGCCTATACTTGCACCCTTCACGCGCAGCTCGAGCGGAAGAGCCTTGTTGTATTAGAGCCAAGCCAAACCTGGCTCACCAGAGCTCAGGCACGGAGTGAGCTGCGCTGGAGACACCAACTGATCTGGCGCTTCGCTTTTCTGCACCAAGCCAAGGACCACTAGTGCAGTGCACTTCGGCTAAGCTGGAAACCTCTCCGCAACTCAGCAGAGAAACGACGTGGTAGTTGTGGCTGTTCTTTGCCCAACTCGTCGTCGTTGCCGAGCCCTGCGATGAGTGTAAATAAACATTCAACGTAAATAGCTCTCCATTCGGGTACTCACGTAAATAGCTCTCCATTCCAGTGGGGCGACATCGATCAGCATGATATGGGAGCTCAGTCAGTGATGGACGTGGAAGTCCCTACCATGGTTCGTGGCTGGGGGAGCTCTGTGCCTCCCGAGTCAGCAGCATGGCTGTCAACTTCTGGTGGTGGTGAGCTCAAGGTTTTTGCTGTGGTCTGAGTCTTGTTTGGTGGCTGTAGTCAGTGGAATGAGTCTATGACTCGATCGTTCGGAACATCAGCCATTACTATGTGGTGCCAAGGACAGAAAACGGAAACCTGGAGGCACCTGTTCTGAAGTGCTTATCCCCCGTATCTCCTGATGCGGGACCTACGGTGGATACATCAATCCCTGGTGCAGTGGTTGACACATCGCCCGGATACACAAGTGCGTAATTCAGTCCACCCAATGGCATAATTGGATGTGATTATGGTATCTAATCGGCAGCTCATGATCTAACTGCTAAAACGCCAGGGGAAAGAGAAAAATGGCAGTAGCGCATTAGGCATGTTAAGTTTGGCCGAGTCTGGGTTACCCCGCCAGGCTGCCCTGTGCCGCGTGATCAGAGCCTACAGACAGTACCAAATCCACCAGCGGATCACTTGCGCCTCGGCAATCGTGCGCCGTTGAGCGGAGGTGGGCTCCTGGAGCCTCCCCCACGTGTGTGCTGACGGGTGCGTTCTGTATTCGCGGCGTGATCTCATCGTGAGGTGGCATGCCTTCTCGACCTCCGGACACCACCAGTCCACACCTCCTCCCGGGGTCGCGTTCTCCGGATTTATAGCTTACAAACAACGATGTTACCCGGAGCTATGATCTTGGTCAATCTCGCGTGCGGGCTGGCCGTGCTGTTGACCAGGCCGGCTGCATTTGGTGGGACAGCGATGTACGAGCAGTTCAAGCGAGAGGCTTATGTAGCCTTCCTCCCAATAATGGAATTGTAGTTGGGTCGCCTAGCGACTTTCAACTCCGTTGCTTCTTGACACTTCGCAGCATCAGCAGATGTGGCCTCACGGGACATGACGTGAAGCAGAGTGGGTGTTGGCATCCCGAGATACATGACACTTGCCACAGCGTTGCGGGGTCAATTGCGAGCATGTGTCGAAGCGCCCATGGCGAGAGGCAATTGGGACTGTGGTAACCTTCGGAATGCTAGCATCCAATCATCAAAGGCACAGGCCTTGCGCTGAAACATTGTGCACGTTCAATTGGCGCAGCAAGTGAAGCAGGCCCATCTTGGCCAGACGCGCCAGCCTGCTCAGGTGCTGGCCAGGGTGAATGGAGGGCGACGAGGACATCCTGATCACTTCACGAAGATACCTGTAGAAGGCACCCTAAGATACTGTACCATAGCGAGCAATGCCCCTGACGCTTCGCGATGTGCAGTGCACTAATCAAAACTCAGGGCTGCTGACGCGCGGTCCACAGTGGTCTCCTCCGACGCGCGCTACAGGCGCTTAACCACAGGCTGTGAGGATTCCTGACATGCGCCCACTAACTCTCCCACCCCTCCATAAATCCAATGTTGCTTGTTCATCAACCTCTGGTCGCCATGGCACAGCTTCGTCCTCGCCTAAGCAGCCAGAGTGCGCCAAAATCGACGAAGGCACAAGGTCAGAATGGCCACATTCTTGTGAATGAGTCGTCGCTAACACTCCTCAGGAAGACAGCAGGGCGTCTCATCTCAGCGATAACCACACCGAAAAGCGCATCAAGGCTCACAACGGTCTGCTCCGCGAGCAACACCGACTACCCAGCAGAATCCAGACCGAGAAAGAAGTTGACCTTGTCGAACGACGCGAGCTGGGTGCGACGCGACGTTGCCGCCCGTCAACCTAGCAACGCCGCGCCAAAGCAGATCACTCAAGCGCCCTCCTGACAGTAGCCTGGGGCCCGCTGGGAAACGGCGACAATTGTCCAAAGACACACCTGCCACCAAAGTTGACGTGGACGAATGCGGACAAAACGAGCTTTGGCACAAGGAGGACTCTCATGACAAGCCGACTCCGAGGCTGAAACAGAACGAACCTCGGCTTCCAATACAGACGTCTACACAAGCCTCACGAAGGTTTGGCTCACAGAGCGCGCACTACGGGCGTTTAATCGCCGCACCGCGTGTCACCATTCATCTGTGTCTACGACGTCCGGTCAGCCCCGCACAAGAGATGAGGCAGAGATTGGGTTTTCAGAAACGCAGCTTGATCCCCTTGATCGTTTTGCTGGAGGCGGCGGCCCGATCTCCAAAATCTTCGAGGGGTATGTGCACTTTGATTCCCTAGTCAATTTTGGAAGACTCATGGTGGCCAGCAGTACCCCGAAAAGTCGAACAGTGTTGGAGAGCGGTCGCCCAACATGTCCCACTGAGTGCGTCTGGCAGCAGTGGATCGAGACCCTCGACAAGACCGACGAGCGTCTCCTCGAAGGCTTCCTCCAAGAAAATCAGACGCTCGACGGCTTATGACAACAGGTTTTCCCAATACTGTATCGACAATGGCATATACCCTGATTGCCACCTGTCTGCCAACGGCGACCGGACACCGCCACCCGATAATCTCGAGGAATTGCGGCGCATCGCCAAAACCACACGCGGCTCACTCTCACCTACCAAAGGGCTGCACAATACCGTGCAGGATTTTGCCCATCAGAACGCAAATGCTTCGGAGGGCACTTTGATGCGAACCATCGTTCCGATAATCACTGGCAAAGTCAAGATGCACAATGACGGACAACTTCCGTTCAACAACTTGGCTTCACTCACGAAGAACATGACGGCCAAGCCTGTTCCGGATTTCTTCGACGGTGTATTGCTGGAGAGCGTGGATGATCAAGTCAGAGAGGAACTTGACGAAGATATCATACCAAACAAGGAACTGGGAGTGCCAGCCGCGCCGAACTTCTTTCTCGAAGTCAAGTCTGCCCGCGGCACCCAAGCCGTAGCCGACCGACAAGCAATGCTTAACGGCGCTCACGGCTCCCACAGCATGCACAGCCTGCGGAATTACCGTCTCGGCGAGCCTGACTACGACAACAAAGCCTATTGCATCAGCGTAACATTGGTGGCGGGATGTATGACATTTTACGCACACCATGTTGGTCCATCTACAGCACCAGACCAAAGTTCGTGTTATTACATGACCATGATCAAGGCCTACGCTATCCACGACGAAGAAGCGCGTCGGGATGGCATATCGGCATTCAGAAACTTGAGATTGTGGGCTGAAGGAGTTCGTGACGCCTTCGTGAAGCACGCCAACACCAGAGCACGCAACGACAGCGCTAAAGAGTCTGCTGAACGAGCAGCCGAACAGGACAAGGACGTTGTCGACACGATTGAGACATAGGAGGGCGGCGATTCTAGCCCTGCCGACTTTTTTTATTGTCGTTTGTTCGCGGAACCAGCTGACGACGATCCGGCAGTTGAGAATCAGCAGTCTCCGTCGGTCGGTCTGGCCATCATTAACCAGCCGTGCTCTTGGGATGCTGATGAGATCCCGAAAAGCGCACCGAGCACTTCCGAGCCGGCAAGGCCAGGCACACCAGACCCGCCAGGCACGCCAAACGGTCCTGCAGACTCCAGTCTGGTACACAGTCCGCCCTCGCCCGCATACAAGCGGTTCAATAAACGTTCTTCTCGTGCCAGAGCTCGAAGATAGATGTTTTCACATGTCGCAAGCGGAAGATATGTTCCCCAACAGCATAGTCAAGTTCTGGCTGTTCCGTAGCAGAAAAACCAAGAACTATTGATCTGCCACAAGATGTCACAAAAGTGCCGAACTGATGTCGTCAGTGGTTTGTGGGTGATCCGCACACGAGCAAGGCGAGGAAGTTGCCAAAGGATGCCCTTACCAATCATACATTCACCCTTTGAATGTCACTTTACCGTACTGGATCAGGCCTGCTCTTTCACAGACTACTGGACTTGGTGAGCGACGGCAGCATTTGGCCAGTCCCGTGGCTTGTGCATGTGCCATGGTGGGGTATCGGTGAAGTGGAGTCCGCAGTTTCAACGACCGCACGGCCCCGACTCTCCAAGGCTCGGCGGCTCCGTGCTCCACAATGCCCCGGGTCCCACGACGCCCCGAACTCTGTTCGGCTCCTGGTCCACAAGGAACCCCAGGTCAACTGCGTCTGCATACCAGGCAAAGTAGAGCGTAGATCATGAGCGCAATGTTGTCTTAGACCTCAGTACGTTGCTATTTGGCAAGCCTCTTTCGCACCAAAAAAAAGAAAACGGAAAAACCCCTCAAGCGTGACTCCTCTTGCTCCTCCCACTACGTGATCAGGCTGGTTCTACGTCTCCCATATGGACTGAAATATCAGTCGAGCTTTCGATGGCAGCCAGGCACGAGCTCCACTGACCATCAAGGATAGTAGTCTCACTCAAATATATAGATTGTAGACGGGTGTGCGCTTGTGCTACTCCGACAAGACAGACTTCAGAAACATGTACTCCACGGAATCGAAGAGTTTTTAGATCAGGAAGCACAACGTCTTGCTGGTATGGTATTGATAATGACCTTGGGGATATACCAAGATCAAGACTCACCAGAGAAGGGAAGTTCTTGTGAAAGACCCATTCGTCATCGGTTGAAAAACAAAGCGCTTCGACACGAAGACTTCTAAGTTGCGGAAGACATGGCGCATCCTGTAGGCAATGAGGATTGAGTCTTCCACTGAGGTGCAAAGAAGTGACACTCGAAGTTAAAGATGGCAGGAGATAAGCCGTGATGCCATTCGCAGTTCCATCGAATGTTGGAGATATCCATATATCCTTTCTCAGAGCGGATAGATAAGGATTCTGAGGACTATATACCCACGGTCTCAATGAGGCGATTCTGATGGTTTGGAGATTTTGTAGTTTCGAGAGAACCCCACGGGCGAAATGGACATCAACTTCCTTATTTGTGTCCCGAAGAAGTCTACGATAACGACGGTAGGCCTCTTTCATATCTTCGTCATCGAATCGCCGCATGGGCATATATCGATCGTCAAGCATCAGCATACTTCGCTTCCACTCTTTGCGTGAGTATGAGGGCCATCTCCCATTATAAATGGTGATCTGCCGCGTGTATTGTGTCGGTATGTAGTCGAGGAACTTCGAGAAGCTGACGAGACAGCGCAGTGTACCCAGAATGCAGAACTGGCGCGCCAGTATGTGGAAAAAGTGATAAGCATGAAACCGGCATGTCAAGCGAAATGTGCGCAGATCTTTCGTGGGCAATAGCTCCGCGACCATGCAACGGATCTCCGGCGGCATACGATCCATGTGTTGAGTATGGTATGCTCAAGTTGTGGGACGTGCAGGCAGCGAACAGTTCTGAGTAGGAAAGTCTATATATAGTAATCACTGGTGTCAAACGGTGCATCCTGATTTTCGTGACAAGGATCCAGAAGTCGGTTTCTTGGTTGCCATATTGCGAAATTCGCGTTTCAGAAAACATTCCCTAGTGATGTGCCTGCCCGTCTTCACTTGGAAGGCGTCAAAAGGCCTCTCAACGCGAGCCAGGGAACATAGACTCTGCGAATGTCAAGATTCTCATCCGTCACTTGTCAGCCATGAACGTGAGATCATGAAGAAGAATTCGAGCATAAGGCGGACTAGCATCCTGAGGAAATGCATCTACTTGTCACAAGACCAGCTAGCGCACGTCAAGCTCGTGCTCTTCCATGGTGGACGTTTCCATCTTTTCTCCTCACTGGACCACTGGCCTCCCCGACTACACGACACTGGGGTCGACGTTCCTTGCGCTCGGGGGACGACAGCAGCACGTCGGCGAAGGACTGTACTCAGAATGTGTAAGAAATTTGTATCGGATTTTCCATCCGAGATATATTTGTCCTTGTTCACAAATGGCAAGCTATATGACTACTCGTCTTCCGCTGACCCAGATTGGCCCCCGTCAGAGTGGCAACTTGTGGGTGATGTACATGCTTCCAAGGTGTAGAGTGAAGGCTGACCTCAAACCAGCTGAGATCCTTCCCACGTCCCACTATCCACACAATGTCTAGCTTTGCTGAGCGGCGGCTGGACCTCTGGGAGTCATCGCCACAGGAGTCGAGGGGCTGAAATCCCGAGGGGATGCCGAGGTTGTTCGCAGGGCAGACGTCTTCATAGTGTTAGTCTGGCGACACAGTGTATTCCAGGTAGCATATCACAATATACCACGAAACTCATCTGTAGGCCAATAAATTTCTGTTCTAACTCCCCGAGGCGAAACAATAGGCTATCAATCGTTGTTGACGTTTGCTGTTGTGAGTGCAAGTATGCCTCTTGCCAGAAAATGACCTCTTGGTTAAGACGCATGATAGATTGGGACTCTTTGGTCTCGAGGTGAAACGTTGGCCAGAGAAAGCTCTTGTATCTCGGGTCGACATGTCCGCGAGGAGCCAGTGGCGGCGTGGGGGGGTGAACGACAAAGTGGGATGCGTCAGGAGTATCGACAACGAATGATCTCTGCATCTTGACAATGGGGGAGACAATATTGTATTGAGAAACACTTGATAGCTGCTGCATATGAAGGTGGGAGTGACAGAGGAGAGTAGGAAAGCAGTGAAAGCACGTGGAACTTCTAGCCATATTTATAAGTCTCTGAACACTGACCCGCAGCGTTGCAAAAGGAAGCATCTTCAAGCGCGAAAACCCTGGACTCGAGCACCTGCTCACCATGCAGTCACAACCACCGTCAAAGTCGTGGCAACCACCACCAAGGTCTTGGAAGATGTGCCACGGTTGATGGGACTACTAGACACAGAAAAAGCGTCGAGCTCGCTTGTCGGGGGGGCGGCTGTGGGCCCCGAGGGACTTTCGTCTGGCAGAGGTGCTGCTGGCGGCGTCGAACTGGGAGCGCTACTCGAGAAGGGCTGATTATTTCCACCTATGATAGTCCACGAGTTAGCGCTCTGGAACATATAAGAAAGGCCTGTGAGGAGTCAGGTCAACAGGGACATGTCGTTGTGAGAGGGGTGCTGGAACCACTCCCCATACCTAGAGTGAAGTCTCCTTCTCAGGGTTCTGGGCGTTCTGAAGGCAACCTCACCGGCAACAGAAGAGATTTCCTCACCCTGCTCGCCAAGGCTAGGTGGATTAGTCTGTTCCGCTCTTGTCGACACGGTTGGGTTCCCACCCTGAATGGAGGAACTTGCGCCTAGACTGCTAAGCGCCGAGCTCGAGGAGGTGGGAACTGTTTGCTGGGAAGGGGAGGACGGGAATGCATCCTGGCCTACAGCAGGGGTCATGTTCAGGTCTAGAGACGAGGAGGTAGTTTGTGAGGGTGAGGGTGTAAGAATAGCTGCCTGCGATGCGGAGGATGTCGTGGCGAAGTCTGGGACAAGGAATTGAGAAGCTGGGGGTAGATCGCCGAAATTGAAAAGATTGGAGGAGCTCGTGCTGTGACTATCAGTAATGCCGCTGGAAATGGAGCTGTCTTGTAAGGGAATGGAGAGGGTGGCGATAGAAGACGGCACGAAATTACTGGGCACCGCGGCCGTCGAAGTCCCTTGACCTTCAGCATTTACAGAGGGTGTGAAGGTAATGGTTGCCGCCGAACTCGACGCTGTGGGAAGGGCCTGCTCGTTGGCACCACCCACACTGAAAGTGGACGCGGTTTGTATCCCAGATGTCTCTGTTGCTGTGCCCAAATCAGCCTGTGGTGTCACGCTAGACGTTGTCGATGAACCCAGGACGGCAGCGATTGGAATGATTATCAGTGATGTAATAGTAGTTAGGAGACCAGTAGTCGACTCGATGGGAATCACTTCAAGGGAGCCTGACGTTGCTTCCTGGGCGCAGGAGGCGGTGGCAATGCCGTCGGAATTCGTGAGCTCTCTGGTTCCACCTTCAATAACGATATGTGCGCAAGAAGCTGTTGCAAACCCGGCGCACTGCCATGTGAGAAGGGCGTCGCCGGGTGGCGACTCAGGGGCGATCACTAGCTCGAGCTCTTGCAGCTCTCCAGGGCAATCGGAAGTCCCGAAACGATACCTCACTGGGAGGAAATCTGCGTCTGCGAACTCAAGTGTGGCTTCACATCGGCTGGATGTCGGGTTGAATACCCTAACAGGCTTAGCTTTGTTGGTGATAGAAAAGGACTCGTACAAACCTGGTTGTGATCATGCCCCCGGCTTGAACAGTCACAGCTGGACTCCACACGCAGATAGTCGGGCCGTGTCCAAAGGCCAGAGTATGGACAAGGAATAGAGTGAAGGAGGCAATCTTGAGGACCGCCATGGTGTCTACGTCTGTCTTTCCTCCTCGGGTGTGAGGGGAAGAACGTCTGAAATGTACCCAGGCGCTTAAATAGCCGCGGGGCGCAGGATCTTGTTTGTAGAATTGCGGGAACAGTTCTCGGGATTGAGCAAGCCGCGCGCTTAGCCACGAGGACAATGTATAAAGCACGTCGGCTCGAGCGCATTGTTGAGCAGTCATTTACACGCTTCCTCCTCGTGGTCTCACACTCAAAATGAACGCCTCAGACAGTCAATTTACCCCGCTCGGGTTTACTCATCCATCACATCCGGGCTTATGTTGGTCAGCCGGGCCGTGTGGTTCAGCTTTACCAACATCCATCGCCGGGACAACGTTGCATTCCTCCGGCTGCGGCCGACAAGACACCGCGCAAGCATTCGTGCACATCAATCAGGGCGCCACCATGTCTTGCCCGAGGCACAGTCGGTGCAACATCCTGCAGCCTGCGCAGATCTTCCAGGGACACGATGAGCATGCAGGGGTCACAAGGTGCGTTCCTCCACATGAGTGTCTGTTGGTTGTTGGTGGCTGAACATATCCCTGCAGCATACACGAGATTTCACAGAATTTAGCGCACATCCTTCATGAAGTAGCCAGCATCAGACGTCTCGGTGACCAAGTGCAGCTCTTGAGGAAAGAAGTTGAATCTCTGACTGAAGGTGTTGACTCAGTGTCAAAGGTCACTTCGCAGTGCAAGATTCGGGTTGACGAGACAGGCGGCAAGCTGGAAGATGTGATTAGAGGCTTGTCAGACTTCACCTCTGACGTGCACACTTGGATCCACAATGGAGAGGGGGATGAGGAACCAACAAAATCAAGCGCAATGGATGACTCGGCTGGCGACGAGGGCGGCGCGGAAGTACCTTCCAAAGCTCTTGATTGGATGCAGTACATTGACGAGACAGGGATCAGTCTTGGGTTCGAATAAGGTTCATGTAAGCAGAACAGTTGAGTTGCTGGCCAATCAATTCTTCTTGCGCGACCCGGGAATCTGGTAACGAAGCCAATAGTGTGGCCATGGCACACCCTAATATGGAAAGTGTTCCGAGTGAAAGGAAGGTGGTGGGGTGGTGCAATGGCTCGGAGAGGGTGTCACTGATACTCCCTGTGAGGTGTCCGGATTTTTCTGCTCGGCCCCTCGCGTGGGTTGCTCGCCCGCCTTTCTTTTCTGTACATATAAGTCTCGCGTCGGGCAAGGATTTCAGATGTTGTAGCTCAAATGAAACACAGTCACGCCATGGCATCACAAGAATTCCCCATGTTTCAGGCGCACAAGCCTCTGCCGGCTCCGCCATCAAATCCCGCGCAACGGGAGCTGCAGCGATCAATTCCCATCTCTGAGCTTATCAACCAACCACTATCAATTCAGATACGCAAGCTAGAAGACGAGAACGACTTTCTCCGAGAGCAAGTGTTCGAGCTGCAGACGGAGGTTGCAAGCCTGCAACGCAAGCATGCCACGGCTATTGCGAAGAAGGTCACAACATTTCGTGAACGTGAAGCCGCTTTCAATATGATCATAGAGCACCAGAGAATTCTAGTGGCGGGCGTCATCGGCAAGATACACAAAGCTTTCGCTGAATTCAGGGAAGAGATCAACGCTGCACCGGGGGCAGGTCCAGGAGGGCCTGCTCTTGGGTTTACGCAGTCCCAGAGTTGGATTTGACGTGGTGTTTCGTGGGAAGGGAAGCAGAAACACGAAAACCGGTTTTGGAATGACGGGAACTCGTTTTACGCACGTAGCTGGACATATAAGCACAATAGAGCTCGAGAGACATTGAGCCATCAACCCTCACCAAACTGTACTCGTGCACACTAGCAACATGGGGTTCTTCAAGACAGCTGCCCTTGCCACTGGCGCCTTTCTCCTCACCAAGTTTGTGTATGTGCCTCCTGTTGGTTCTTGGTTAGTGGATACTGACGGTAGAGCAGGCTTGACAAGAACGAGGAGGTGTATGTGAGAGAGAAGGATCGGGATCCTCCTCTGCGGCGGCAACATTCCCGGAGATCATCCCACAGTAGTCGTGATGAGCGAAGAAGCCGTCGCCGCAACAGTTACTATTATTAGGCTTCTGTACCTGTCTGTCGGTGGCTGGCCCACCACACTTTTCAGTCTTGGTTACTAGGCGCACTCCCCATCACCTTGAGAAGCGGGATGCATCTCTCATCACACTTTAGTGCCCACCACCTTGAGAAGAGGGATGCATCTCTCATCACACTTTAGTGCCCACCACCTTGAGAAGAGGGGGATGCATCTCTCATCACACGTTGGAGGCACACGGCGCTTAGATTGTAGTTGTTTTTAGGATAGTGACAAATTCAGATGCGCTCACATGTCCTTCTGAGTTTTGTCGTGAAAAGGCGGCGCTCCTTTTCATATAAGTCGTGCTCCTTGGGTAGTGCTCCTGTTGCGTCTGTCTTTTGTCCACGCAACCACACGCCGCACCACATTCTCTTCTGCAATCTTCCACACTTCCTCCCACGGTCTTCTCACCATCTTTCGTCAACATCGACGGCATACATCATTCCGGCGAAGATGGACCGACTCAACAACACGCTCCCCGTCCAGCAACAGACTCCTCCCTTCCTCCACTTGATCTTGCCCACTTCCATTCTCCTGCCCTCCCAGTACATGAATCAGTACATTGTACCCCTCAGTCCGACCACCCTTCTCCCGGCACATCAACCCACGAACAGCCTGCTCACTGCACCATCGCACTCCGCTGCGCTCCCTCCACCCCAATACCCTCTGGGCCAAGACTCCATGCAATGTCTCGCCACAGCAGCAGTTCAGGCTGCTGCAGGGCCTCTCGTGCCGACCGGCACAGCGAAGATTGTAGGACATGATGGCGTCCTCCAGGCTGTTGGAAGCTGTCTACGGTTTCTGTTGTCCCGGCACGGGTATTGGACGCCATCCGACCAAGATATCAGGGAGATGATGATGGGTGCTGCAGGGTACATGCTTACCGCCACCAGACAATATGCAGCTTCTGGCGGGAAAGTTCCTTGTGCAAGAAGTGTCCTACACGAGATGCGAGGTATGTTCAAGTCCACTACTTGGTGTGAGCTAGCTGACTTTGGAAAGACTGCGAGGATTCCTACCAGGACGAACAAAACATGTCTCAGGGAGGTAGTGCGGAAGGCAGCGTGTTCTACTCTGCGTCGCAGTCTGGGCAGGCAAGCGAGGCTTGCCCCGCGTACGACTCTGTCTTCACAACAGCAGAGAGTGGATTCAAATACGAATAGCCTGGTCTCCAGGCACCCTGTATTGGTCACTATGGAACAGTAGCTAGCAATCAACGACCTTTCCATCGCAACGTTACAGTTTTGTCCAACTATTGATATACTGGTGATCCTGACAAACATGTTCGATTGCAAGAGTACCACCAGGACTCAGAGCAGTGCAATCACCATTGCATGCAGGAGTCTGGCGTGCCTGCCCGTGCTGCGGCTCGCTTGAAAGCTCGGCGATGGGATAGAGCACGTAGTGCCCGAGTTGCGACTCATGCTGTGTTGGCGCTCGTCTCACAGTTGATGGCTCTGGAGGTGTTTGTACATGTCCCACTTGCCCAGAGATCTCGGCGCCAGCAAGACTAGTCGGTGAGCAATCCAGGAACTGTTGTACGTTGGCCGCTATCTGCTTGTCAGAGGTGCTTCCCGGAGGACCGGGTTGAAGACTCACCTTCTTGCTGCATCAGCTTAGCTCTCTCATATTTCCGCCAAAAGAGCCACGCAACGAACGTCACAATCAGTAGCAAAGCCCCAGCGGCAGCGAGAGAGCCGATGAATATCTTCTGTATTTCGATAGGGCTTGCCTGTGCTAGAGCGGCATTTGCCGTTTCACTTGAGAGTATCGTCAATGTAGAGAGTGAGTTTGGGCTCTGCGTGGGACCTTGAGATGTTGTCGTCGTCATTGTCGCCGTCGTCATTGTCGCCGTCGTCGAAGTCGCTGACGTCATCGTCGTCATTGTCATTGTTGAAAAGAGGGGGGGCAACCATCAGGCCGTGCGCACGGGTCAATTTGGCAGCAGCCACGGAAATTATTTATGTTGCAAACATAAAAAGATAATCCTGGCATGCAGTCTGACATGATGGATGCTTCGCTCGCATGCTTGGTCTGCAGAAGCTTGACGCCGGAAAATTTAGTGCCTGGTACCTGACACTATATGCGAGCAAAGCCGGTGACAGCTTCTGGTAAACCGCAATCGGTTCACACCATTCAGATTCCGCGTCTCACAGATCGGAAACCTCATGTAACACCGCATGCCCATCTTGCATTCCATGCCCACCTTGCATTACGTCCCCACCTTGCATTACATGCACGCCTTACATTACGTGCATATCTTGCATTACATAAACACACTCCAAACAGCCTTATCCCATAGATATGGACGCGTACCGCCGGCCGCCCGTTTGGGCACAGCTTGCCCGCCTCATCGCAATCTCTGCTGCCACATGTATGTACCTCGAGGACTTAGGATGAGTGCCACAACTAATCGAGAAAGATCAACTGTCTGCCGGCTTTCACGGCTTTTTCTGGCCCAAAGTGTTCTGGGACTTCGCCACGAAGAAGGTCGATCGAGCAGTATATCCCATACCAATTCTGCAGCTTCTGAACGTGGTTAGTGCTCTGGGGATACTAGCACTCGAATGGCCTTCGCGATATCTTGTGCGCTTTCAATCAAGAACAACCATTCATTTCATTGCTCTGTTACTGGCAGCCATACCCGCAGCCCTGCTTTTCCAGAGTGTAGATGCTGTTCTTTACTACTCAGTTGCAGCTGTTTTGTACTGGCGGGCGAAATGAGAGCCTCCACTGTGTGATAGCCAAGTGCGGCGTTGTATTCTAGTAAAGAGAAATGTAGTCCCACTCTTTTGCCAGTTGAATGGATCTCGCGTTGGTTGTGCTTCTGCTATTCTCAACACGTCGGCTGCACAAAGGATGTGTATACTGAGCTTTGGTGGATGACATAAGCCACCCCATTGCCGCTGCAAGCGCTGAGCGTGCTTCAAGTGGGTCACCCATTTCATCTCAAGCGCGCGCTTGGTACACAGTGGTGTTTCATGCGTCACGTTCCTGTTACGTGAATTTGCAAGCCCGGTCAATGAATTGCCCATATAAACGGGAGCAGGTTGCCCCCTGCTTCTTCGTGGTTTTCTAGGTGGTTATTTAGCTGCAACTCTACATGCGAAAGTCTCAAAGGTACTGATTAGCACATTTATGGTAGAGCTGAGGCACGACCCAGCCATCCTAGATGGGTGAATAGCGCTCAGAGACTGCCGCTACAATGACTTCAATCTCCTGCCATGTTCTCGATCTGCTCGAGAAGCCCATAGCTGGACTTCGTGTCACGCTTGAATGCTTTGGCCCCACTCCAACGGTGTTCGACGGATGCACTTCAAGCCGCGGCACTGTCGATTGTTGGTTCTCATCCGCGAGCCTCTCGAGCTCTCAAGTTGCCGTCGACAGCAGCGCTTATTCTATAGGTCGCATGTCATTCCACATTGGAGAGCTTTTCCAAAATCAGTTCAGTTCCTGGCCACTCGTACAGACAGAGCTCCGTCTGCAATACGATTGTCATCAGTTGGTCACCCTGCGGCACGGCCCATACAGCTACAACGTCCAGAGCAGTTTCATACCTAGGATGGACTGTAGCAAGCTCTTCCACACAGAAGGGCCTGCTGTCATGACTAGCTGGGGCATCTGTTCTGACGATATCGCCCTCGACCAAGGCGATCTAGGTCCGATGAATTTCAAGGCAAACAAAAAGGATGTGTTTCTACCGACACTCAGACAAATACCCTCTTTCGAACGCCTCGATGATGATGTTGATTGGGACTCCTGGCTCAATAGCACTTCATGCAGCTCCCCCCAGGACTCGATCGACGCCGAAGATGAGCTGCAGACCTGGAGTGAAGGCACCTGCGCAAAAGCGGAAATACCACCAAATGTCAGCATAAAAAGGTTGGCACGGCCAGATTCACAGCGACTGCAGCACGGTGAGGGTGGGGTAGGTGCGAAGAACTTGAGAAGAATTGTCGCATTCAAAGACTTTCGACCAAAGGACGATGCAATGTCGAGGAAGAGGAGGAGGCGGGGGAGCCAATGGTCAGCTCATCACCAATAGAATGTAGAATGCAAAAGCACAACACAGAATGTCTATGACAACCTGCCAGATATTGTCGTGAAGATAAGAATAAATGCCATGACGAATGCAGCAATGCGAGAATGGTCTTATTCACGATCAGATGGCATAAGTAGTTCCAGAGATTCATAAAAGAATAGGCTAGACATATCACATCCTATCAACCTGATAGGGCTTCTACGGGGTCGCCTGGGCTCTTCCAACCAAGTTGGACATTAAGTCCTTTGCCTGACATCTGGCACGAGGGCCCAACCCAAAAGTAAAGTAATGCTGGGAGGGAGTTCTTGGGGCATTAGGCTGCTCAGACTCCTCTCATGACACCGCTCATCATCCAGCACATAGCCAAGAGCCTCTTGCCAGGTAGCCTGTAAACCTCGACCGTCGATCTGTTCAACTACTTTGAGGGCCATATCTTGCACCAAGTCCTTCCTCTCCGAACAGTTGAACGACACGGACCTTCCCCAGTGGTCGAGAAGCGCCAGCCAAAGCTCAGGCCCGATTTCGACCCGACTCTCGCATATGAATCTCATACAACTCGCTAGAGCCTCCATTCTGGGCACAGGGTTTCCTGTGCTATAGAGTCGCAAGGTTTCGATGACTCGAGGGGCTTTGTGCACGTTGCATTCGTTGTACCAATTGGCTACCAGTGTTGTGGGCCCAGCCTGTGTGAATCCTTCTTGCAGGAGACGCCATTTCTTTTCGAGGCACTCGAGATGCTTGACAGAGCAGCCACAACTGAACGTTTGTATGACATCCATGAGGAGATGGCGTATGGTGGTGTTTGTTTTGGCCTCGCTGTGGTCAGATCGTCGGACCATTATATACCATCCAATTTCGTGGACAGGGTTGCGGAACCCGGAATCTGCGGACCAGTTCCTGGAATTGGGTTTTGGGAAACCGGAGGGGGATTCGCGGTGACTCCGTGTCGACCTACCACAAGAGATGTCTTGGAAGTGTGTGGCAGCGCGATGCCTCGTCTTGCGCCACATCCTTTCACCAGGATACTGAGCCATCGCTGTGGATATCAATGACGGCACTGCGTAGCATACAAGTGATCTCATGACTAGTGACTGTTGAGAGGGAAGTAATTGCAAGGTAAAATAAATTGTATTGCTGGTCTTGCATTCTGGTGAGCTACGAAAAAGTGAAAAACTACCGCACGATCAAGGCTGTGCACATTCTTTCTCTAAGACTAGCCCAGTCATCTGGCCAGCAGTGACTCTACTCTCACGCTAAATACCATGGCTTGACACTTCAGTAACGTCGACCTTGTACTTTGCGCATCTCTCGGTGAAACAAACGCTTCACATTGCGCTTAGCAACTTCGACGTCCTCGTCATCATAATCGGCCATTGGCATTCGGTCGTCGATCCATGCACGCATTGCCCCTTTGAAGATCGTTTCTAGCTCTGCCCTTGTGTAGAACCTGTCGTGGTAGTCGGCTTCAGGGTCGAGTGAACGGAGCAGAACGAGAACGTCCGGTTTTCTCTGGACGGCTCCCTTGGATGCGAACCTGCAGACAATGCTATTATCCAGGTCAAGGTTTGCAAACGAGACTCCAGCTAAGTTCCTGCGTAGACCATAAGAATAAACTGCTGTGGCTTCCGGGCCTCGTTTATCCTGAAACTTGCGGAATTCGTCTCGTGCCTCCTCGTACTCCAGAGCGGGAAGAATGACTCCGTTACTCACCCTCTTGTCGTTCTGGCCGCAGCTGTACTCGACAATCAGCTGCTGCTTTCTTGTCACACCAATCGCGAAGCCCATGTGTTTCTCGTCCAAGATCGTGAATTGAACCCAGCGACGTTTGTCCGCGGAGAAGTGGCCAACCGGACACCATGAGTCTGGAGGTCTGAACTCTCCTGCCAGAATAGCTTTGGTATCATTAATCTCGGCTTTGTTCACATTTGTGTCAAAGTACTCCTGGACATCGGAAAACTCCTCCGGGTCCCAAAGTAAGACGTATTCTGACTCTCCAGCAGCAGGGGCTGTGCCGCCGGCGGCCGTCCGTGGTTGCTCGTCATGTCCTGTGCCCCGTGGTAGTGACGAGTCGGGATTGCTCCTAAATGCTGATGAGCCTCCGTCGCTGCTTGCCACCGGCATTGGGGCTGGTCTGAACCCCAGCTCATTTGCCCTTTCCCGCCAAGTCATTTTAACGAGTTTGGGCCGAGAGGGAGTCACTATGTCTTTTATATGGCTCAGCTCGTTGGAATCTTTGGTCATGAGCTTTCTGGCGATCTCAGTCTTTTCGCGCCGCTCTGTGAGCTCGTCCGAGTCGGCGATCTGGCTCGATGAATGAGCTTTGGCCTCATCAAGTATCCCGGATAGATTTCTCATCACTTCGTGGCATGCATTCAAGGATTTGTCGCACTGGGAGACGATGCGTTTTCCCCTGCTAGTCACCTCCGGGCTTTCGGGCTTCCTGAGAAGCAGTTCAAATTCTTGTATTCGGAGACTGAGATTGAACTGATGAGACGTGAGGTTCCGCCAGCACTCTTCCCACCTCATTGATGCTTGAAGCATCTCATCCTGACTATTTGATGTGTCTGCCGATGTGGAGAGAGTCGAGGCGACGGTAGCTGCCTGTGCCTGTGCGGGATGCGCTGGGGCCGAAGGCTCAGGTGAAGTTGTAGAAGCTCCTTCCTGTGATGTGGAGAGAGTCGAGGCGGCGGCGGCTGCCTGTGCCTGTGCGGGATGCGCTGGGGCCGAAGGCTCAGGTGAAGTTGTAGAAGCTCCTTGCTGTGATGTGGAGCCGGTCACAAATTCCACAGCCTTCTTGGCCACATTTCGGATGGTTTTGGAAGCACCAGTCTGAGCTTCTGGTTCGGGAGAGTCTTCGATCTTCACAGACGGGCTCCGTGTTGCTGAGCCCTGGCGGCCAGTAGGCTGTGGTGACACATCTTCCCCTTCTTCCTCCGATTGGTGTAGTGGCTCTCTGGAACGAGCCTGAACGTCGCCGATGTCTGCTGCTGGAGTTGGAGATGGAGTTGGTAGACCAGGGTTTCGCTGCTTGTCTCCAATTTGAGTCGTCCCTTTACTGCTGTGAGCCTGCCCACCAGCATCACCACCATCATCATCACCGTCTCCACCTCCATCGTCGTCACCACCATCATCATCGTCGCCGCCATCGTCGTCGTCGTCTCCATCATCAGCCTGCATTGCTTCACGAATTTGGTCGTCTGCTTTCTTCAATGCTTGGATCATATCCTGAAGTGACAACTCCTGGGGTCCCACTCGGGCTTTGAACTCTCTCGCAAGAAGCGGTGCCTTCCATTTCTCATACTTTCTGTCCTCGTCCTCGCGCATCAATTCATACCTCAGTTGGCCTGCGTTGGCGCCCTTCTTGGGACTCAGTCCTCGAAGACTAGCCAAGCTATAAAGTTCGGGTCGTTCTACAGGGTCATAGTCGGGGAATCTGTCCTTGGGTGTTTCCAGAGACAGCTTCCCTACTCTTTCCGTGTCTTTTTTGTCGGCCATGCTTGCGGAAGTGAAGCATGTCTCTGACCACCAGGCGACAGTCTGTAAAAGGCGGAACGAGAGGCAGTCAAGCATTTATATAAGTGACTTGGCCTGCCATGCCGTAGACGGAATGCTGTTTCCAGATTTCCGGATCTGGATACCAGTTACGGAGAGCGTGATTGTGTATTCTTGGAAAGGGTTGACTCCACACGGCTGCGATAGCACCTGCTTGTCGACCATCATATGACTTTGAGTGAGGAAGATGAACGGATCACGTGACTCATTTCAGGGCCCCGTAACAGCACACACACGCACAGATGCTACTTGGTCACGCTGAGAGAACAGGGACATCGAGGACAGGTCAGTCAGCGTATACAATAATATAGCATTCTTTACAACTAATCAGAACATGCGACCTCCTTCCGGCCTCCGCGGTCTCGTCAGACGCGTGGGTACCACAGGGCTCTCTCTCACACCGCGAGGCTGCTCGATCCTTTCCTGCATCACAATAATCTCGGAGCTAGAGCTTGCCCCTACTGCATCCATTGCTCTCGAAAGCTTCTTCTTGGTCTGCGTCCACACCTGCCTTCCTGTTGTGTGGGTTTGTGCTGTCACTCCCCTCATTTCTGAACGGCCGCCTCTGGGAACTTCGCGAGCTTCAACACCGTCCATTGCATGACTCATGTCAGAACGGGGCTGGTACTCCGTCTCGAAGTAGTCCGTGAGAACTCTCGTGTCTATGGTGGCCCGCCGCACTTCTTTCGAGAACTCCCGGTTGCCACACACTATTCGGTATGAGCACACACACGGTATGAGGACGGGCACCTGGGATAGCATACCTATAACAACCGTGCGCCCTGGTTTCAATTTGAGATCCTTCAGCCTCTTCGTCACGCTGGCTTCAGTGTCGCCCCTTCGAACCGAATTTCGACTCGTATGAGCGAAGTTGATGACTTGCGGCGCATTTCTTTCAAGGATGATATTGATGTGGATGAGAGGCTGTGATGTTAACGAAACTGCCGTCTTATGGGCTATTCTCAAACGTACCTTGGGCGCGTCGAACTTCTCGAGTGCCAGAAGCAGGTCCTCGCACCAGCGTTGCTCCGCTGCGGACTCCACTTTCCAAAGCAGATTAACCACCCGTGTTAGATCCCGGTGAAGAGGCACTCCCTTCATTGCCTTCATCGTGTCATCGTGCTGTCGACGCTGAGATAGAAGTGTAGCAAGTGGCAGTATGCCAGTAATTCCAATGCCTTCGCCAACGAGAAGCACATTCTCATAACGATGCAGTGGGATACTTACTCCATAAGGGCCTGCAAGTGTGGCCTCAGTAATGCCTCGCTCTTCAGAAGCTAGAGGCAGCGGTGGACGTGTGTGGAAGATGAAGTGAAGTTTAGTGGTGTCCATTGTCTTGTTAGAGGTATCCCAAGAGCTTAGCATCATAGGGAAGCCGTGTAAGTGGTGCCGTAGACCTGGGAAATGCAGATAGTAGTACATGCCGGCGTAAGGCTCGATGGGCCGCTTGAGGCCGACTTCGAGGCGAGTAGCACCAGGAAAAGAGAAGCTGGTGCCAACAGAACTCCCGTACATGGAGCGCAAGCGGAAGCGAAGTAACAGCTTGACAACCGTTGCTACAAGTAGGAGCATGGATGCACCTATGACGAAGGCGACAGAGAGAACTCCCTTCTGCTCTAAGACGTGCCAAAGGACAATGCCGAGCGTGGCGCTCGCCAGGCAAACGTGCGAATAAGCAAAGGACTTGCGCCATCCCAAAACCCAAAGGACGGGAGATAGTGTCAATGTCACAAGGAGGAGCATGGCCTAGGGTTGTCAGTGGTTGAGCGAACTGTGGAGATAGTGTGGTCCTCAACGACATACCAAGAGGCCAGAAATGACCCTTCTGTTGTTGACAACCCCAACATGGTACAGCCAGATCGACCCGTGCACCGTGCCCTGTATGGCCACCACACACGCTACTGTGGCGTGCCAGAAGCGATAGGTTGGGAGCGGAATGGAGATCCTGTCTGCAAGTGGGCTTGTATACCCCCCAAGGTATAATGAGACCATGTTTGCGAGGGACACGGTGGATGCAGTCTGGGCGAGTCTCTGCGCGCCTTCCATTGGGAAGGTCAACATGATAGTGTTGACGGCAAGAAAGAGTGCGAGCTGCAAGGCTTGTAAACGGCTCAGACCACCAGGTAGGAGGGGAAGGATGACATGTCTCTTAAGCCAGGCATGCGCGAACTCCGGCAGTGAGTACCTATGTGAATACACCAGATACAGAGAAGCCCAGGTCAAAAAGAGTAGGACTAGGTACTGTACGCTCGCTGGCACATCCGCTAGCAATGCGACCATTTCTGCCATGAGGGGTGTTGATGCGTTGTGGTTTGGAAGGTACAATGATCGCGGAAGGTGAGCATAGGGGCAGGCCACAGCTGGAACTTCAACATGATGAGGCGAGCGAGCCATCATCATGAACCATGAGCAGAAACCCGAAATCAGAAGACAGAAAGCGATCTTCAGATTGCAGTTCAGATTGGAACAGACGGGCGCTTAGTTACAACCAATGGCAGAAACCCCCTAAGCGCTCTACAGTGTGGCGCTTATTTTCCTGAGGTGTGGCAGCCCTGTTGTGAGTACGTACCGGAGACAGTACAGGAGTCACCTGAACGAGCCGCGCGCCTGCTGCAGACTAAGGTACTTTTGTCCAGCGCTCATCGTGCATGCCACCTTTCGTCTATAAGAACCCTCTGGCTGCCTTCATTGCATCTGCATCAGACGCAATAGCAACAACAGCTCTACACAAGGCACACAACACTCGACTCCCCATTCACTGCACTCATTGCCATGGCACGAAAGTCGAGATCACAACGGAGTTTCGAGACTCGCCGGGACGGGCTCATGTCCAAGGCTTGCCAGCTCCGCAACAAACACGCTGCCAAGGTGCTCATTCTATTCGAATGGGACCAAGCCCATCACTATTTCCTTTCCGATGCAAATTGGTCGCCTTTGTATTTCGATGCAAATGTCGTGCTTCCGAGGTACTCGTACACGCCTGACAATTTCCTCGCGAAGTCTGACCGGCCTCGTCTGGAGTCGCCCTCCTCGTCTTCGTCCGAGGAGGATCAGTTGATGGCTCTATGCCGCGTCCCGACCCAGGAGAGCCGCAGTTTCGAGACTCGGTACCGTGGCCTGATGAAGAAGGCGAGCACACTGTACAATCTTGAAGGGGTCAAGATACTACTACTCGTGGAGCGAAATGAGCGCCATTACTACTTCCAGACTCATGATGACTGGAGACCGATGCACTTCTCCTTCAGCTTGTCTCGATATAACTACACGCCGGCGAACTTTGAGAGGCGCGCGCCTCAGCCCAACTTCCAGCCACCAGAGCCTCGGGACGCCTACTTCCAGCCATCAGGGCCTCAGGATACCTACTTCGCTGACCTCGATGCACTAGCTCAAGCGGCCGAGATTCTCGACCCCGCTGAGTGTGCTTCCCAGGTACCGGCGCTGCCACCACAAAGTAGTAGCTCCAGTACGCTTCCTGATAGCCAGGAGAGCACATGGACATCAGCCAGCAGCGACAACGATAGTACTTGGTCCTCAAGCTCAACTTGGTCCTCAGCTACTTCATATTCTTCTTCTTCCGTGTCACAAGATTCTCCAGAAACACTACCAGAGCTTGACGTGTGCGCGATCTCTGCCCTCGAACATGGAGCGGATGTGCCGGTGATGGAGGCTCCCATGATCCCAATCGAAACAAGCGATCAGCCCTTGCCGTCAGTCTCTCAGAATACTAAAGGCCTCGGGGCACAGCCTCTACCACGTATGCCGGCAGTAACCACGAAGGCACGGCGAGGGATGAAACAGGCCCAGGGCGCCAAGCCCAAGGGGGTGGCGAAGGCTACAGCTCAACGGCGCAAGTCACATGACACCCAGTCACAGATGACAACGCGCTCTTCGGCGGCGAAAGGAAAGGTCTATTTCAATCTCAGTCTTTAAGTACCGTATCTGGATTGTGGGTGAGGAGCTGGTCTCTTCATAGCTTGTAGATGCGAATATACATGCAACTTGTCCTTGCGTCGATTGCCTGCGCCTGTCTTCATTATACGTGAGTGATTCGAAACAAGAAACACAAGAACAGTCTCGAGGCAAGAGCCACCTAGCAAAGTGGTCTATGCCCCGAGCTTCATTTATGCAACCTGTTGACCGCGTACTCCGTTGGTCTATACGTCGACTTTAGACAAGCCACCTCAGCATGGTCCGCACTGCTTGATCACGCTGAACATGCATGAAGACCGATAATGTGCATGAGTCAGGATGTGTTAAAACTGCCTCTAGTGCTACCTAAGCTACTCTCACTCGCACAGTGTAATGAGATTGCCATAGACTTGAATCTTGCATCGGAGCTTGTCCGCCCAGCGATGCCATCGCTGATATCAACGAGGACCCCATGCAGCCGATCTATCTCCTGGATGATTCTCTCGGCACTTCCTGTCGAGCTTGGCGTTCCCGATGTTCTCTCTACCTCAAGGATAGAGTCGCATTCACTGGAACTGGACGAGTACGCCGAGCTAGACTGAGATATTGAGCCGGACTCGGCACTGGTAGAGAGTGCGGCTGATGTACTGATCTGTGCTTCGGCAGCCGGAACTGGGAGAGCGACATTTTGGATCCGACAGGGCGAGTTGGCAATGTCCTGCCTAGGTGATGCAGCGCTGCCTAGCTGCACCTCCAGCAACGCGTCTTTCCTGTCGCATTCGAGTGGCAGCCACTGGACGAACTCGGCCCCATCGACAATGCCTTGCCACTGGCCTGCGTCACAGACACTGACCTTTGACTGAAGCCGGCCATTCACTGTACAGTAGAGCTGCGCCTCTTGAGCATTCATTGCCCTCATAATTGCAGCCAAGTGAGGACCTGTGTCTAAGCGACACCTCACCCGAACCCTTGACTTTGCGTCCTCCAGCTCCATAACCTCTGCATAAAATAGCGCTGCTGTCAGCTGAAATGCAGCAGTAGCTGGATCATTAGGTGCCATAAGCCCTATGATATTCTGTCGACACCCCCAGTCGCTGCAGAGGTTGTGAACTCGCTGTACCAATGATTCTTGTCTGTTACCATGTTAGCGACAACCTGTTGTACGCAGCAGCTGGGTCGGTACCTTGAGAAGCTGCCCATATTTGAGCATGTCCAGGTCGTTTGCAGCCGCTTATGCGAGCACAGTACGACCTGGAAACTGCCTGGCATCTTATTGTGTGTGCTGATTGGCTTGTGCCGGAGCAGCACTTTCGACAACTCTTTGTGCTTCGTCTCATGCCGTGCAAGACTCTGCTGCGAATCCAGCCCATCCACGAATATATCTTTGACAACATGACGCGCTGTGGCAATATTAGTTAGTGATCTTCACATCGCCAGGCAATGACACACGATCCCATACCTTTATTTGCGCCCACAATGACGTCTACGTACTCATGTAATGGGCCGTGCAGACGAGCCCGCAGGTCTCTGAGGAAGCATACCGTGCTTAGCACGGACTGATGGTCCATGATCAACACCCGAGTACGGCCTTCAGCAGGTTGCAAGAACAGCTGTCTTTTATTCGTCGCTCCGCAGCAGGGGCAGTCGATTATGTTGATGGCGAGTCCCCCATCTGCCACCTGCAGCACGCAACGTTCGCAGAGACGATGGCCGCAGGTCAGCAAATGTATCGGGACCCGTAAGACACATGATACACACAGTCCGGCTTGCTCCATGGTCTTACTCATGTCCCTTGTGACCGCTGGCTCCAAAGGCTGGCCCAGAATCTGGCTGCGACGGAGGATGCGGAGGAATTCCGTCCGGACCCGGATCTTGAAGTCAGCATCACGTATATCACGGGAAACATTGTCAACTACCGTCAGAAAGCGGGTGTCAAACACGCCAGAAGGCCCGCAAGCTATGATGTGGGTTAGTGTGAGGCAAGTCAACAACAATCGAGTGGAACTTGCCCATGAGAGAGGTCTCAGACATCTCCTTAGCGAGGAGAGAAGCCAGCACATGGACCGAATCGTAGCCGGCACTCGACAAGTGACGCGCGAGAATCGCTGCATTGGGGTACGCACAGCTCGGCAGAGGGTAACGGCGATTGAGAGCGTCAACAAATTTGAACGGCTGCGGGCCGAAGTCGCGCAAATGAACGCCGATGAGCTCCACCAAGTCTGTGTTGTCGGTGTGCGCCTGAAAGGCTTCGAAGTCGTCCAGACTCTTGTGGATCTCTTCTTCGCGAACTTGGGTGATACCACGAAAACAAGCAGCCACCATTTGAGACGCTTCGTTCATAGAATATGGTCTCTGAGGTGAGATCGCTCTCAAGGCAGTGATGAGCTCGATGCGAACCAGGAGTGAGATGCTGCACGTGTTCGGGCCAGAAGCTGCGTTGCTGACAACATAAAGGTGGGGTTTCCCGCCGGCTTCGTCCTCTTTCGCCTGCACTGTCCACGATGCTATCATTCGCGCCGCGTTGTCTAATCCATCCACATCTTCAGCAAACAATACAATGGCACCACAGACTGGCCTAACGAGCCGTGGGAGGACACAATCTGCAGCATTCTGAATGAAGTGATGCAGATGGTTTCTGACAGCTTGTGGTTGGGCTTGAAATTTTCTAGTATTGCTCTTGCTCAATGTGTAGTCACCCACATCTTGAGACCTATCGTGCATGATGGCAATCGTATGTGGGCATTTGGCCGATCGTCGGCCGGTCGATCGGAGATAAGCAGACTTCTGACTATCGCCAACGTACAAGACCGAGAGGAACTTGGGCCGTATTCGAGTGTCCTCAGTGACGTAGCTGCCGCTAAATCCAGCTGGAGGGGACCAGATGGACAACCATGTAGCAGCCATTTTGGTGTCAATGATGAGCAACGTGGAGCTGCAAGGGTTTCGCTTCTGTGCCTGAGATGCGGCTACTTATAGCTATCTAATCGCCGACGGTGTTTCTTTCTCGTATTTCGGAAACACGTTCTCTTCCCCCGAAACGCCAAGTCAAGCACCACCCCACCTTTACTCAAGCGCGCGCTTAGCTAGCGCATCGTCATGGAACCGGTTTGTGTCTTTCTGTTCTCTGTTCTGCCACTGGACCTGGGATGAAATGACAGTCAGGCAACTAACGCCCAAGAGCTGTTTGCTCTCTCCCCAGTTGCATCAACCATGACCGCAGATATCAAGAGGACGTTTCTCACTGCACTCCTACGAGCCAAAGCACACTCGCTGGAGTTCGGTGAGCAAAATTGTCCGCCTTTTCTACTGAAACGCGCAAACGACTCATCCCCCAAGCAAATCGAGTATCCCCGAACTAGTCGCTTCAATCAGGCGGCTGTTGAGTGGCTCGCTGACAGGTTCTCATTCAGATTCCAGCCCGCTGACCAGCAGAATCATATTGCAGCTGTTGTTGACGAAGCCTGCCTGGGCCATATTCTAGAGCAACTCCAGAGCTCTCGAAGAGACCTTCTCCGCACTCTATCTGGCGAGAGACTACCCTTGATTGCTAATGTTCGGCTATGGTGCCCGACTGGCAAGCACCGAGTGCTTGCTGCAAGCGAGGACACGGAATGGATCGTGCAGCTACATTGCCCTCCTGCTGGGACCCCACACAATGTCGTACTTGAATTAGTCCGGCAGCTGGCAGAGGATGTCTCGTACTACTATCCAAAGACTGATGGAGAGATATATTGCAGCTTGAGACATTACCACAGCCCTCACATCATACAAGAATGGATGGGCAAGCTCTCCCCCTGCAAGCGCGATACTCTCAAGCTTCTGCAATCCAACTCTCAGCTCTCTGAAGCCTTCGGAGGTCTTTTAAAGTTCCCTGGTCTTTGGGAAGGATTTCAGCTAGGCAACATTCACAAACATATGGCATTGCACTGTGATAAAGAGCTGATTACATATCTCACGTTCATCCAGCAGTCCTGGGAGCATATTGTTGACCACAATGTCGATCTCATGCAACTTGTCGATTTCAGCACAGTACGTCACCTTCAGTTGCTAGCACCAACACTCAGTTGTGCTGATCATGAGGAATTACGTGCCAAATTTCGTAGCGGCACTATTTTTTCGAACGTGGAGGGTCGCGCTCTACTAGCAAGGCTTGAGAAGAACGTTCTTCATTTCCATGCAATGATCCCCAGTATCAGGTCATTCCATGAGAATATGAAGCTTTTCTCGGTCACTGTGAAGATCATACGGCGGCTGTTGCTGCCTGGGTCATACAGAAAATCATTCAGCGAAAGCCTTCGCAGTATCTGGACGTCACCAGACCCTCCAGTGATTGAAGTCGACGAGGGCATCTTCCAGGTCGCGAAGTCTGCGCTCTCATTCGAAGTAGCCTATTGGCAGCTGGTATTGGCAGCTCTCAGGAACTTCGCAAGACTTGGAAACGAAGGGCCAAGAGTTGACAGAGACGACAGGATCGACGGGCATATTGAGCCCACAGCTCTCGCATACTTTCAACGTCGAGCTCTTCTCTTGGGCTTCCAGAGTGATGTCATCCGTCACGGAGCTAGGAGCGACACAGGAATCAAAGGCCTCCGCAGGAATGATGGCCCCGCAGATGAGCAGATAGCCCAATTGTCACGCCGTTGGGGGCGGCCACATTCCAGAGTGTATCGCCAAATACAGAGAGTCGCTTTCCTCCAACAACTGAGCGACAGAACACGAATGGAGCACCTCTCCGTTCCATCTCTATGTAGGAACATGCTGGAGCCATTTCTTGGGCCAGTTCCCGTGGTAGCGATTGCCAACCATCAGACAGTGTCGATTGCGACTTTATTCAAATCCACGATAGACAAATCGACCGAAACCTCTTTACGTGTCGACTCGATCCCCAACCTGCAGGACCGCGCTGTAGAGCATGACATTAACGGAAGTCATAAGACAGACCGACAAGCATACGACGGGCCTCGCAGCCCCAACACGTTGCCACAAGCTGTGGAGGACGAATCAAATGCCACAGAGGCCGCACTTACATATAGTAGAATGAGTGTCGAAACCACTATACCATCTTCGCAGCAAGACGAACTGTCACGAGATGCTACGCCCTCACATTCGGTCAAGCACTTAGAAAGCTCATACATTCAGATGGAGGAAAATTCGCATCTCGCCACGGACACGTGGTCGTCTTATCCTTTAGACGACTTCAATGTCTCTGTGAGTCACCACAGTGACTGTGGCACTCATACTGTTCCGAGTCTACAGACTCCATTACACATCGACAGTCCTCGTGCAGGTATGCCATATCAGACAGACTCCGGACAAACGACGTTCAGCCTCCCGTCCTCAATTTCGTCTTGGACAGATGCTTCGTATTTGATGACGTTACAATCCTCATCGCCAAGTCTATCTCATGGTGTGCTCCCGAACTCTTCATGGGGAAGGCTCGATTCGGCCCCTAGTGACTCGATGCCATCTTCCAGACAATCCCCCATGTGGTCTGCAGCCAACTCAGGCTTATCGAGTCAGGATGCTGTAGTACAGCCCTATGCTAGTCAGACGACGCTGCCTGACTATGTCCTTGATACTGAGGGGAGATTGGTGAACTGTGAGTCTCCTGGCCCTTCGCTAGCGTCGGTCTGTGATTCTGGGTTAGAACCTCTATCTCCACTCCGAACCGGCTCCAATCAGCGGTCTGCTGGACCTCCAAGTTTCGTTTCTGTTGATTTCTCTGAGGCGACGAACTTTCACCGCTCAGTCGGAATGGACGACTGGTCGCATGATGGTTTTTACGACAATGAGAGTTACTGGGGAATCTGACTAGTTTACACTGCTCACTCCAAGATGTAGGTCAGTTCAGATGCATTGGGAGACCCTTGAGCAACATGGAGCTGACGAGCTTGCGCACATGATCTCCATTGAGCAATGACTGTTACCTCAGGCTTTGTCGGCCTTGGACTGGTCAAACCTGCAGCCGGTAAACAAGGATTGGCCATTGTAGCACTTGAAACGATTGACCAGTCACTGCACCTCTCGTAACTGCCGGACAAGCCCTGACTGGTCAGCCCTACAGCCCTTGACTGAGCCCTGACCAGTCACTATGCCTATTGTGACCGCCGGGCAAGCCCTGACTGGTCAGCCCTGCTGCCGAGCAAGCCCTGACTGGTCAGCCCTACAGCCCTTGACTGAGCCCTGACCAGTCACTATGCCTATTGTGACCGCCGGGCAAGCCCTGACTGGTCAGCCCTGCTGCCGAGCAAGCCCTGACTGGTCAGCCCTGCAGCCCTTGACTAAGCCCTGACCAGTCACTGCAGCCCTTGACTGAGCCCTGACCAGTCACTGCACCTCTCATAACTGCCGGGCAAGCTATGACTGGTCAGCCCTACAGCCCTTGACTGAGCCCTGACCAGTCACTATGCCTATTGTGACCGCCGGGCAAGCCCTGACTGGTCAGCCCTACAGCCCTTGACTGAGCCCTGACCAGTCACTGCACCTCTCATAACTGCCGGGCAAGCTATGACTGGTCAGCCCTACAGCCCTTGACTGAGCCCTGACCAGTCACTATGCCTCTTTATGATCGCCGGACAAGTCCTGACTGGTCAGCCCTGCAGCCCTTGACTAAGCCCTGACCAGTCACTGCAGCCCTTGACTGAGCCCTGACCAGTCACTGCAGCCCTTGACTGGGCTCTGACCAGTCACTGCGCCTCTCATGACTGCCGGACAAGCCCTGACTAGTCACTATGCCTCTTATGATCGCCGGACAAGCCCTGACCAGTCACTGCGCCTCTGCCGGACAGGCCATGACTGGTCAGCCCGGCTGCCGGACAAGTCCTGACTGGTCAGCCCTACAGCCCTTGACTGAGCCCTGACCAGTCACTATGCCTCTTATGATCGCCGGACAAGCTCTGACTGGTCAGCCCTGTAGCCCTAGACTGAGCCCTGACCAGTCACTGTGCCTCTCGTAACTGCCGGACAAGCCCTGACTGGTCAGCCCTACAGCCCTTGACTGAGCCCTGACTAGTCACTATGCCTATTGTGACCGCCGGACAAGCCCTGACTGGTGAGCCCTACAGCCCTTGACTAGGCTCTGACCAGTCACTGCGCCTCTCATGACTGCCGGACAAGCCCTGACTGGTCAGAGTTCTCACCACGACAAGGTCTTCACAGATATTGACCTTCACAGCCACTACAACTGAGCCCGGGGTGACTACGTTCCTCGAGGTAGCGCACAGCTGGACTTCTCAAGATCCTACTGGCACAGCCTCCTCAGACGGCCAGACGACAAGCACGGCAAGCGAGAGCTCACTGGACTGACTTTCGGCCTGCAGGCAGAGCGTGGATCGTCCACAAGTGCGATAGAGACTAGCGGTGTTGGTACACCTGTCATCGACACCGGCTCGACTCCAACGAACACGAGCCCGACTGTCCCAACCAACTCGCGCGGGGAAATCGGGATAGGACAGCCCTCCTCGTCTCGGCGCATTGGTCACCTCTGTCTACAGTGACGAGTGTCGTCGCTGGAGCTTGCACGAAGAGTGTGGATGCATGAGGAACTGTGCTACAGACTCTGTAAGCAGTGGTAGGGCAAGGTGGCGTAGGGCAGAGTGAGCAGGTCAACTCGCACACAAGACGAGGTAGTCGTAGTCGAGAATGTGCTGTTGTCCCCGCAGGGTTTGGCGGCATTCTAGAAGGGCTTAGCGTGGTTTCAGCAATTGCCACTCTACCCAATCTGGCTACGTCCAGAATACATAAGTAAGCTCTTATCCCCATCATCTTCTTATACATTTGACTTCGTTCTATCGTTCTCTAATTACGCTATACCCTTCAGCTTAGATTATACCCTTACCCTGGCACATATCAGTCAGGCGGCTAGGCTGGGCAGGTGCCGAACAGAGCTTCGAGGCGGTCAGCGGGACAACGTGTTGAAGTGTCACTCTCTGGACGAGCAAGTCCCGAGCACGGCATGAACAATATGTCTTGGAATTGTGTTTCCCGGCCGGAGGTTCTAGGTTGGGCGGTTTCCTTATTCTAAGATATGAAAGTTGGAGCGTAGAATCGAAAATTCCACGAAAAGCCCCGTTCAACACTAGCATAATTGTTGAAAACATCGAGATCGGACCACATGTTAACCTCTACCCATATCCATTTCCTCCCTCCTCTACGGTGGGAGATCCTTTGGCAACACGCTAATAGCATCTTATGAATTCATCGCCACAGTCGTTGAAGTAAATATTGCATTCCCGACAACCCCTGGCTATGCACTGATCATGGTGCCAGCAGGTATAGTTGAAGCAGACTCCCCTGAAAATGTCGCCCTCCTTCTCTTTTACGCTGATAGGAGGCGCTGGGTCCTTCTTATAGCATTCCTGGAAGAAGAATCCTTGGTGTTAGCATTCAGAGAAGTAATAGAAAGCACGACATGAGGCTTTTCCAGACGCTGACGTAGAGCACGTACGATGCCTTTGATATAAATTCTGTTACGGGTCTCGGTGACCTGGCCCTCAGCAGTCTCTACTGGGGCCGACTGGACCGTCGAAAATACGGCCACGATGGCGAGAATCTTGAAGAGGTTGGCTTGCATCTTGGGCGGTTCGATTTTGCTATCTTTGACGGGATAAGGAAGAAAGTGTAGGCACTGAGGATTGGGTTGAAGGCTTCACTCATCTTGTCTGGCGGAAAAGGCTGCTCTACTTATATGGATCAAGTCGTGACACCCTTCCTATCTTGCCAACCAAGACCTCATCGTCGGCTGGCGATGATTAGACTTCAATCGGCGCTGTTGGCTGCTCAATTCCTGCGGAATCCTTGCTGAAGAATTGCATGTTGGTCGAAGTGGCTGCAGGTCGCAAGGAACAGCGCAACGACCCCTGTCACACATGGTTGTCTTCCACCAACCACTGTAGGAGGGTTCCGAACAACGTGCATGCTTCAGGAACTTTTGACACCCCCCCAGCAGACCAACAGCGGAACACCAGATTGCGCGTGACTCGCCGTGTTAAGAAAGCTTGATTTGTCAACGCTGACAACAAGCGCCAGGTTGGCCACGGCCAATCTGCATCCTCCGCACGAAGCTCCTTCCTAAAAGATTGAACGGCCGCGTCGGCAGCAATTTGCTGGATAACAAATCATACCCGGGATCACGATCCAGCGCGAGCGCAGTGTGGGCGGCACAGAAGGAGGATTGGCAACACATGAGCGAGGGCTCGCGGCGGCTTCACCGCCATGACGCTGCTGCAAATGGCTTTGAGAACCAACGGAATTATGTATGATGCGTAGTATTACCAGACAACTACTCAAAAGGAGCACAGCGAGATTGAGACCTTGGAACTTCTGCAGTGATCAAAGCAAACCCACTTGGAATCGGGCCACCGTCGCCTGCTGACTTGCCCAGCTCACAGTGACTTGGACGGTTCGCTGTCGTCGGCTGACTTCGCCGGAATAGAGCATGTAACTCCGCGCCTTTCCAACTCTTCATTATGGGCCTTCATCTTAGCTATGTCCTCCTCTGTGGGCTTCCTGGGAATGTTCTCCGCAGCGGGGTTGAACATGTCCTCACGAGATATGTTGCGGCCGTCGGCGGCGAGGAATCGTTTAGGTAGCGGAAAATTCTCGTAGTACTCTCTGATCTGGATTGGGTTGAGGCCAACTGCATCGACGACATTACGTTCCTCGTCGAAACTGCGGAGCACACCGTCATAGCCCAATGCGTTTATGCCTCGCCCGTCTGGGGCCTTTTTCATCGTGTCGAATATGTCGCGTAGTGACATGTTGTCGGTCACGGGTTGTTGGTCTGCTACGGTTTGGGACATGGTCGGATTCTTGAATGAGCTGATGAGTCGTTAGTATGCTAACAGATAAGAGAGTATGAGGGCCACTTGCTAGCAGTGTGTTGGTGATATTGCTTGCGAGTTGGTATAAGTAATGACAGCGCGGCTTGGCGATTTCGAGCAAGAATCACGGTTTTGAGATGCGGGGTATGTGCTGTGTCAGCTGCAGGGGGTACTGATAAAGTATGCAGAGGTTTGTCGGACGGTTGGTTGGGTGGGTGGTTGGTTGCGCGGAATAAGAAAACGTAAACCTCGACCTATATAGTTTCTTTATATAATCAGTAGCCGATATTAGATTAATCGTATCGGCTAGAAATAACCTAAGTATAGATATCCGTATAGGTGTACAAATGAGTATATCTAGGGTCGTGCGGGGTCCCGAAGTACCTTGTACTTACAGGAGGGACAGCCTACTCTGTTTACGCCGCGGAAAGTGGCGGTATATACTAACCGGATTCGGCATTACTAACAGCAGTTTCTCTCGTTATTCTGTATTTGTATAGGTTCGCGTAACCCAAAGTCTTCCGTTCTGTCTTTTATGTTCACCGACAGCCTCGACAAATTATTTGTCTCTGATATCTGGATTTAACGCAAGAGCTCAGCAGTTAAGTGCTTATCCCCGCTGGCACGACCACTGCAACCTGTTCATGATCTATTTGACGTCAAGAGTACATCGACACACAGAGACTGCACAAACATTGCTTTGCACCTTTCTCGGTGAAATGAAAGAATAGCTGCCAGTTATTATGTAGTGGCCAAGCTCAAGGAATGCCGTGCGAGACTGTGCCTCTCGTGGGGAGCCTTTGTAGGTCGTCAGCAGGCTTGTTACAGCAGATCCGAGCCCTTGAGGTCAGGAACCGGAAACCCAATTCCTGCATCTAATTTCTGCATTCTGTTTTCAGCTACAGGGATTCCGGATGAGTGGGGTGACAATAAAAGGCGGCTTATGCCCAGGCTCTGCAGCTCGAAGCTCTTGCCGCCACACTCCTCACTATGCTCATGTTGCCGGTCGAGCTAGTCCTGGCCATCCTCGAGGAGTTGGAAACGCCTACAGATGTCGCAAATTTAAGACTAGTCTGCAAACCCCTCGCCACGATCGCCGCACTACAGCATGCCAGACATCTCTTTATATCCCATTCAGCCTCTTCCTTACGACAGTTCTCCAGATTTGCGGACCGACATACAGCGTTTGTGGGCCATACAAGGCACCTAACTATTAAGTGTAGCCAATGGTTGACTAGCACGGAAATAGAAGAGGCGCATATGTCCTACACAAAAGATTTAGAGGCTACTTTGAACAGACTACCGTGCCTGTCAAGGATCACGCTTACCGACCACCTTCGCCTTGAGGCGATAGCTATGCCGGAGCATCTGAGCCATCGCGCATGGCTGCAGATGCTTCAAGAACGCTCTTTCGGTTCAACCGTTGTTAGAATCCTCGGGCTTCTTAATCACTTCAGACGTATCTCGCATATACAGATTAGCGGCCGGATGCATCTACTCGATCTTGACTCGGCCCCGCCACTCCTCCTGGCTTATATGAGGAACTTTCACCTAGATTCTCCCTCTTTAGCTCTATTAAGGAAAGTCATTACTGGCAATCTAGAATGCCTAAGGCTTCAGAACTCGACTGTTGTTCACTCAGACGTTGAGTTCTTCGTTCGAACCCACCAGTTATTAAGAGAAGTCGCGCTTCAAAACGTCAGTATTATGGCGACTATATGGTCACAATTTGAAGTACTAGTCTGTGGATCGAATGTTACGCTGCTCTGTAGCTAAGACTACTAGAATATATCTTTTGTCTTAGCCGTGAATACTCTCTGCTCCTCGAGGGCAACCTCAAATAGTGCCTTGTCCTCACGTGAATACCAGTCATGGAACCCGTCTGCTAATGGGCACGGGCTACCTGCTCGACGTCGCCTACGACAGCAACATAGCAAGTCCAATGATTCCTCGATCCGGTAGTAAGGTCTCGCAACGTCCCACAGACATTCTTTAGATCGTGCACAAAGACAGACACCTGTCTCATTGCATGGCCGGTGAGTCCAGCGTACCGACTTCTCTTGTGAAGCGCGCCGAGGCTCCCACCAGCAACACTCTACCACAGAATTGCGACAGGCTCTTGACTGGCCGTTTCCATCGAACAGGGATATCTGACAACGTGCTCTTAGGGCTGATTGAATGTTAGAGGATCGTTTACCCTCGCCGGGAGCCGGCAGTGGAGAGTAGAGTTGTCCTTACCTGGACGGTCAAGCAGGAACCTTGCAAGATCTGCAGATACCGCACAACTGAAGGACCACCCCGCCCAATACTTCCACCGCTCGTGATTATCCCAACGGAACTGCTCGATCCAGTACGTCTCTTCGAACAGAAGATATCGGCAATATTCCAGGAAGAAGCACGGCTGATTGGCCCAGCCGAGAAGATTCTCGGCACTGCACAGGCGGAGAATCCGAGTCCACAGCTCCGCGGGCAGGCGAAGAGCGGCCATAATGTGACTGAATGTGACTGAATGTAACAAAAATACGCTATGGCAGATGGGGTAGGTGCCACCCAGCCTTTATAAGTAAGGTGCAAGCACATTCCCTGCACAATGTTGGCGCTTGTAAACCAACCATTGTGACCACCCATAAAGATTCGTGAGACGCTAACCAACCAAGTACATGTTGCATGCATCTGACGCTTGCTGTGTGCACGGAGAAGCTTCCGCTGCGATAACCCTGGTCAGGTAGTGTGCTTCATGGAGTTGCAGCACCAGGCGAACACCGTGCGCACCACAGGGCAACGACGAGCATCATGGAGGATGAGACGCTTGAAGGAACATACGATTGAAAGCATGCACGAGGAGGCCCCTGCACGATGAGGCGCCTGCATAACGAGGCCTCTGCACATGAGTGCACAACGAGACCCTTGCATCATGTACGAGGGAGCCCCTGCACTACGCCTGCATGCATACCTCTACTATGTGCAGTGAACCCTTCAGCGGACCATGCACGACAATGCTGTATGACTCCATTGATGCTCAACACAAGTCAGCAAGGAATTGCTCACAGCTCTGCACCATTTCGATGATTCCCCCGGTGCTGCCTGTTTCTCATCATAAAAAGAATTAATGGCACGTTGAAAAAGCCTGTCGCAGACAGCCCGAAGTCTCTCTGGGAGGTTGTTCCGTATGTCCTGTCCGGCCGTGTGTAACTCGTTCTCTGAATCTCAAGTTCCTCCAGAGATATGTGTCGACTAGTCATCTGGTAGACGTCCTGAGCGGTTATGGCGTCTGAGGCACTTGACCGAGGAGCCTGGCTGCTATCGTCTCCGATTCAGAGCCGAGACTCTGTGGGTACCGCCCAGTTCCGATACAGCGGCGCAGACACTCGTGGTTGGGGAGCTCTGGCGAGTATAAATGCAGCTTGATCCCCATGGCACAGTTCACCCCATCTGCTTGTAAGTCCCAGCCACGCCTTCAAAGCCCATTCCACAAACCAGCTCTCTCCCAGCATCATGTCCAGCCACGAAGACGACCGATGGCAACCAACCCCCTTGGCCACCGTCGAGAGGTCCCAGGCTCGGAGAATACGTGTTGCAGAACGACCGAAACCCACTCGTCAGAGACTCCCTGATAGTCTAGCCAGTCCACCCCGCCGACCGCGATCAAAAGCACAAACACCGCCCCCGGCATATGAAGCTGTCAGTTCACTGGCTCGTCCTGTGGGCACACCGAGAGCTTCAAGCACGCCGCGATGGCAGGAGCCATCGGAAGACGCCTTTTCCAGCCGTGGTGTGCAACCAGGCGTCCAATGTGGGAGTCAAGTGTTTGCCGTCAGCCAAGGCATGAGCGAGACAGACAAACGGCAACTCATTTTGTTGTTGCTCAACCAATGCGACGAGGTCGCAGTTCGAGAACTTGCACAGGGGGCTGAGACCTTGATCACGATGGTCACTCACGCCGCCGCAAACCGCAGATCGGCCTTCTTTGACCTTGGTGTTGCGCGGGAGGTACATTGTGCAAAGTACCAGGGTAGTCTGATCGCGCAGCTGCAGATGGAAGCTGGGATCATGGTACTCCTCTTTGACTGGAATCGTGAGGAGGCTTTTGACACACACGACGCCGAAAGACAAGTTGAGGCCGGTATCGAGTACGCTTTGAAAGTCAAGCAAGTGCAAGAACTTTGTAGAACATTGGGATGACGTTGCGAGAACCAGGCATTAGACTAACCGCTCCGCCACTACCCCTTGTTTAAGTATGAGCGATTCATATGTGATCGGAATAATAATGATGATTCTCTCGCTGGCGGTCCATTGCTGTAAAGTGACAGAAGAGTATCAGGATGCATAACTCCTCGAGGCAACGTTGACTCGTTCTGGCACACCGACTGCCTGCCATCATATCCTTGTCGTAGCAATGACGATATGTAACCACACCCAGCCTGTCGTGTGTCACGCTTGCAGCGATGTGCCGTGTGGAGTGGACGCGGCCGAGCAGACCAAAACCACTAGTGGATGCAGCAGCAAGTCGCACGGGAGGTATAAGACAAGATAGCTCCACAAATAGACGCATGTTCGGGGAACAGAGCATGAGAGACTGACGGGCTGACATCATGACGGCCCAAAGAAGGGTGCAGCTGGCTGTCTAAATGAGCTGAACTCATGGACCAGCTGCACGACCCCCGGGATTCCCTCTAGTACATTTGCATATATTCATTGATTACACTTGCGATACTGAACATTGTTCTAGCCTAGTCTAACCCATAATAAGCTCCGGTTGAAATTAGATGCTCGGATCATTTCGCAATTCTTCGTCCTACCCAGATCGCCCCACGGTCAATGGCTCGCAAGAACAGATCAGCCAAGTCTGCACGGCACTTGTTCGCATTCATCGGCACCATCTCCTCCATGCTCACATTGTTCATTCGCATAGACGCGATATGGAACACGCTCAAGCCGCACGATGACGTGTCAGTCTGCTGCGGGCAAGGCTGAGGATTTCGTCAGCAATGCGCGTTACCAAGAGCGGAGGCAGAAACTCACTGTCTCGTCGTAAGTCCAATTGGGACCAAAAGATCCCTTGGGATGCAAGTCAGAATAGAGACGATACAGAGTGTTCGAGAATATCTTACCACCACCGCTCTCTGTACAGACGATGCGGTGTCCTCCGATGCCATGGAGTTGTAGTGACGAATCGTATTATCCGGCATATTGATCTCAAGTAATGTGAAGTGGTTGTCATGAAACAGAGGGCAGAATGCAATTGAAATCGCGTTTGTCATGTCGTTGTCGAATCGCTGCCTGACCTGCTCCAGCGAGCCCTTGAAATGGAAACTCCATTGAGAGCTGGTAGTCAGTGGCTTATCGGCCAGCTCCAATCCCACGTTGATGACCCATCCGTTCAGCCACGTATCAGGGTCAAGCGTGTCGATTACTTGCCGGTCTACCTCATACTTGCCGTTGACCCAAAACACGTCCCTTCTGCCAGCTCGACACATCTGCAGCAGTCCTTGCTTCAGATCATGGACCTTTGCACTAACCATTGCGGGCGTCACCTCCTACCTGAGGTCAGTCATGCTCTCGCGGCAGGATGTATCGTACTTACTTCTACTTCAAAGTCTTGCCGTAGTCTGTCGACCTGTGACTTCAATAAGTTCGAGGCAGATTTTGTGAGAGAATATAAGAATGAAGAGAAGTCGGTCTTCCCTGTGTCAGCAAACGTCGTCATCTGCTCGTCGAGACATGTCTTTAGTGGTTCGAAATACTCTAATCCTTCGAGCTCTGATGTGGTCTTTGACAAGATGGCGTTAGATTTAATAAAATCCCTGACATCGTGAGCATTTCGCCACAGTGTGTTTAATTTGGCCGCCTTACCATATTCTCTGATGGAACAATATCCACCAACCATGGATTTTGACAATTGCGCGTAGTTTCTTGCCATGACTGTTCATTCGGATTAGTCTAGTGCGCTTCTTAGTGTCTTGACGCTCTAATTTAAGGAGATGGTCAAGGACGATCGATGCCAGGCGCCGACCTGTACGTCGATGCCCTCGGAAGGCATATTTCTCCTCGAAATCAGTCTTCTGCGCATCAAACCATTGCGAGAATCCCATGTACGCGATCAGCCGGTAGATGGTTGCTTGTTGTGAGCGCATCTCGCTGGCATTCAAAAAGTGACTCCACATAGTCCCTGACCATGTATTCATTTCAAAACCGGGCAATTTGGATTCAGGATCCATGGACAGTGCTTTGAAAACTCTCCTGTACATAACGCAAGATGGAGAGTCGATGATCGCATCCATCTCGTAGATGATTGTCGCCATTTCAGTCAAAAACAGGGTTGGTTCAGCAGGAACATCAGGATCTTTCGCATCATCATCGGGGATGGCAGTGTCATCCGGCGACGGGGTATCGCTTTTGGACTCGATAGTGCTTCGAGCCGATGAGTTGTCGTCACTCATATCTTGGTCGTCACTCGCATCCTGACCGTCACCCGCATCCTGGACACCCGCATCCTGGAGGTCACCCGCATCCTGGAGGTCACCCACATCCTGGCTGTCACTCATATCTCGGTCGTCACCCGCATCCTGGAGGTCACCCGCATCCTGGCCGTCACTGGCCTCGGGGCTGTTATCTGCCGTTTCGACTGTGGGAGGTATGTAGTTCTGGTAGTCAGGGGTTTTCGTCAGGGTAGTTGGCCCATCTAGGCCCTGCCCTTGCTGCTCAGACAGTTCATTGAAAATATTTGACGCCTCTTGCAGGTTCTCGGCTAAGGCCTGTTGCAGTGATTCTGCAAAGGATGGTGCTCTGCAGCACAATTTTTCCACCATTGGCAGATACTGCGCTGTCAGCACGCGAACGAAAAGGACCGGGCGCGGCATGGTCACTCACCTCTTTGATATCCTCCTCCAGTGCAACGTGATCTATCCATTCAGAGAAGAGTTCGTGAGAATGCATGGTGGCGCTTGACAGATGTGTTGAATGCAATAGATCAAGCCGCTCCCGCATGGATGATCTTAAAGGTGTTGGTGGTGTGGGCGGAAACCGATTGCGACATCCTGGCTGCGGAATACGGGTTTGTGCCACATGATACGCAGATGTCCAGTCCGGCCTGAACAGGTTGCCGCTTTCGAGTTCTTCCCATCTGAGACGTGCACATCGCGAGCCCCACAACCTAGCGTGGCCAAGCTGACGACCCGTGCCCCCACCATACGATGGCTTTTGAACTGCGGACGTCATGGTGGCTTACACGAGTTGAGCGAGTCTGCACGAACGGCGATGGGCTGATCGCAGACTGTTGAGGCTGTCCGTCGACGCCTCGAGATATAAGAATGAGTGCGCCTGCCCGCTGCTGAGCTCCCTTTCAGAACTCACGCCGCAGCAGGCGTTCCTTCGATTCAGGACAACGGACACATTTGCTTTCCATTCACCATGGCCACCAAGGCGGACACGACCGGTACATCGCCCGTTAGCCATGGAGCTGAGGCACAACAGCCCTCCTGGCCCGACTCCCACGCTGACAATGAGGAGGCCGACGCTCCAGTCTCGCATGCCTCGTCCAGATCCTCAAGATGTGGGCGGATCAACTCACCAGGAATCGATACTCCTGAGGAAGACATGTCCCTTGAGGCCATAACTCTTGTCTTGTTATCGAAACTAGAGGAGCTATCCCCAACTACTGCGGCGGCTCTAGCAGACGAAGACCTACAGCTTTTTTGCGACATGGCCGAGCGTCTTGGCTTTCCGTTGACGATCTGCTTGGACACAACAAAGACATCCAATGTGGCCTTCTGCCTTGCAGGGAAGGCTAAGGAACTCCTACTGCAGCAACACTCATCCGGCCTACGTCGTCTCATATTCGACGGCGCTATCGAGACTGTCATTCGTGCTCGATTAGGTCCTGAGAACCCGGACCAACGTCTCCAATTTCTCAAAGCGGTAGAGGAAGGGCAAAAGTCCATGAGGGTCGCTGAAACCGCAGATGAAGAAGGCGGCACGGTAGACGATGCTACACCGGATGATGGTCATGCAGCTGAGCAAGAGCAGGGAGCGACTGCAGTTGGAAGGATGGAGGTTGAATCAACAACTCCCATCACGCAGATGGTGGGTCCCACGGTTGAACAGATTCGGACCAAGCTTCCAGCGAAGAGGCCCAGGGAGGTCGATCTGGAGGACATCTCGAGCACCGACTCCAGCGACGGTGAGAACACCACGGAGATGCCCCAAAAGAAGAAGTGGAAAGGAGACTGGCAGTAGCCATCACGCCTCGAGTCGGGCTCGGGTGAAGTCGTCGGTACGTCATGACTACCTTTTCATGCGCCTAGCCGTACTGAACAATCACACAGGCAAAAACTTATCCTGAACGTCGCCGGCCTGAGAAGTGGGGAGAAACCCGCCTGGTCGGATGGGAGAGCGAGGGGATCATCTGGGAGCTGACTACGTTCGGGGGGGTTCGGCTCGGGTGTGTTGTCAATCTCGTCGTCACGACGCAAGGGTCGCAAGAAATCGGGTGCGACTGGCGTGGCTGGGCGCTACTGATGAGGCAGCTTGGCTTGACAGACGTGTCAATGAGGGGTGGCTTCGCGCACAATTTGTTCACTGATTACCTGTCATAATTGCTTATCTCTGTTCTCAATGCGACCTGAAAATGCACGCACCTTGTCTCTCCGGTAAGGTGCAGTAGCCGCCATCATCCCAGAGTCCTGAAACATATGGTTCGGTATCTGACTATTAAATACCACCACTCTGGTTATGATATTGTTGCGTCCATCTGATCGTCCATCGTTGAGTCTCGTTGGGCCTCGTTTCCAAACGTGAATTGCCTACCCCTACTTCTCGTTGCGCTGTCTCCACTAGCGTATGGAAGGCTCGCCAGCTGCGCGAGCGGTGATCTAGCCGTAATAGGCTAGGCAATTTTTGTTAGAGCTCCGTCCCGGAAGCACGAGCGAATGTCCATCGCTGGATCAGGCCCACGTGGAGTCGCACTCCTGCACCGCGACGATCTCCCCTCCAGCTCTCGGGCTCTCTCGCTCCCCCGCTCTCCCTCGCTCCATCGCTCCATCACTCCATCACTCCATCACTCCCCCCCTCTCCCGCTCTCCCTCGCTCCATCGCTCCATCACTCCATCACCCCATCACTCCCCCCCTCTCCCGCTCTCCCTCGCTCCATCGCTCCATCACTCCATCACTCCATCACTCCATCGCTCCATCGCTCCATCGCTCCATCGCTCCATCGCTCCATCTCATCGCTCTCCATCAATCGACAAGACCGCTCCTTCTCACTCCTACTAGGACGCTCTATTGCACCACTCACGAGCCTTCGGCCACTACACAACGCGACCTGGACACGGCCGCGTCCAGCGGGGCATTATGAGATCAACGTCTAAGTCACTGGAACAGATACAGAAACAACTTACTCACTCTGTTCACGAAGCTCGCGATTCATCCTCCGAAGGACTCGACGCAGCGCAAGAAAAGGCTCTCAGAATTACGCGAAAGATCATTACTACACCCCCTAAAAAGCTGTCAATCGGAACTCGACACAGATACAAACATGCACGACGGTTCCTTGAAGCGGCCCTTCCCGCGATCGGAGCGAACTTCTTTCTCGCATGCGCCATTTCGCAGGTAGTCCGGGACATGAGCAATCTGGCTCAGCACAGTCTCCAACAATCGATCGAGGCACTCAAAGCCTGGTGGACATCATTACCTCAGGAGCCTCGCCTTGCCGAGTTGCCTCAATTCACTGCGTTCTTGAAAGAAATGCAGGGCCCTCTCGGATGTTCCCCGTACGCCAAATCAAGTCCACGACCACGAATACCCGAAGAGAGTCTACCATCACGAATACCCGAAGAGAGTCTACCACCACGTGCCGAGTCGCCAGGGCCAGCGGTAGAGCCCACAGACACCACAAACCCATCTGTGCCTTCACTACTGAGGGTCGTTGACCAGACGATCGACAATACCGCCACAGCCGTACCTCCAATCGCCCCTGCTGCACGGAATGCGCCAGGCAAACGTCAGGCAGAACAGATAGACGAGGGGCCAGACCCAAAGAGACTGCGAACTATGGACGTGGACATCCCAGCATTCTCGCCTTCCCACATAACACCGTACTCCAATGCAGAGTTTTTTTCTGAAAGCAGGGTGAACGATCTGCCGAGAGAGATATCCAAACAGTTTGGGCTGTACGCAGAGTCCATTACGCCCTATGAGGCCATAAGTAAGATCGCCCATCTGGGGGATATGGGAGTAAAATGCACTATATTGTGGGATATAAATGCGGCGGAGTGGGAACCGTGTCTAGTTGTTCCTTTGACATACAGTCTGGCCAAGGTCGCACCCTTCCCCAACACACATTAGTGTCCAATCCTTTTTCCCCCAGGGGATTATCGAAATCGAGTCATTATCCCCTTGTGGTACGGAATCTTTTCGGATGTCATTTCCATCAAATATGTATACGCTGGATTTTCCTTGTAGCCGGACAAAGATCGCACAGACGTCCTTGCCAGGTGTAAGGGACTGCTTGTGCGTGTGGTGGGACCATTTTATATCCGCGCCTTGAAGCCCGGTCTGGAGATAGTGCGTTAGGTTGGTTCCATGTCCACAGTCTTAAAATACTAGACTTACCTCGTCTTTCAATGCTTGTAGAAGTTGATCATCTGTGCTCTCTAAAGCGCGCTTGAATGAGGGCAATTTCGACATGAGCCTCGTAGCGATGGATGGTTGCAGGAGGGCAGGTTTGGATTGATTGTTGGGACGGGGTGAAATGTCTGCTGACCCCTCTCTGATGGTTAGGCTACCTTGGTCTTTGCGCAGAGCCTAACGTGCCCCGCCTTGACCCAAGGCCCGCTGCTGATCAGAAAGCTCCATCCAGCACTCCAGCGCTCCATCCAGCGCTCCGTCTACCACTCCATCCACCACTCCATCCGCCGCTCCATCCGCCACTCCATCCGCCGCTCCATCCACCACTCCATCCGCCACTCCATCCGCCGCTCCATCCGCCACTCCATCCGCCGCTCCATCCGCCGCTCCATCCACCGCTCCATCCACCACTCCATCCGCCACTCCATCCGCCGCTCCATCCACCGCTCCATCCGCCGCTCCATCCGCCGCTCGCTCCATCAACCGCTCGCTCCATCAGCCGCTCGCTCCATCAACCGCTCGCTCCATCAGCCGCTCGCTCCATCAGCCGCTCGCTCCTTCAACCACTCGCTCCGACCACCGCTCACTCCATCTACCGCTCACGCCTTGAACTGGCTCGGGCTCCCATCTTTGTCGAACAGCCTTAGATCACGTACTTCCGTCCAAGATAACTTCCCTGCAGGGCTCAGCTCCAGCGACCTCATGCATCCCAACATCATTGATTCGGCTGCATCAAATCCCGTCTCGATGGCAGCGTACTCCATACGAAACCAGCTCAAAAGGCTCCAACCATCACCAGGAGTCAAAATGCCGGCTCTCGACGAACTTGTACAACTATGTACCGAAACAGGCGCGCCAGTCTCACATATTGCCTACCCATCCGACCGTCCGGTGTTCTGGATCAAGTACGGGGACGGCATCGACTGGAGCGAGGTCGTCGCACAAGACGTAGCGCATCAAGAGCTCCAGCATTTAGACACGAGCGTGCGAGCACCTGGGATTTTCTGTGCTTACGAGATCGAAACCCGTCAGACCTATCAAGAGGATGTTTATATCCAGGCCAAGACTTTTATCATCATGGAGTACATGCCAGGCAGGACAGCAAAGGCGTACATCGAACAACAACCGCAGATGGAACACACGGTCTATCAGTTGATCGCAAGAGCGATTATGATGCTCAACCAGGTTCCTGTTCCTTCAGACAAGGCCCCCTCCTCAATCAGCGGGGGTCGTATACGGCACACCATTTTCGGGGATAATGTTCAAGCGCCTCGTACATACAAGACCGTACAGCAACTACAGGATCATTTCAACTTGGTACGTTTTAGCATCGTCATTTTCACAGCGGATAGCATTCTTACCTGGTTGCTAGTTTTTGGCTGGAACCAAGAACCCTAGACAATTCTCAGACCTCGCGAAAGAACCACTGATATTCTGTTACTCCGACATACATCTTGACAACTTCATCATTGATGACCGGGATCAAATCAGCGTCGTCGACTTCGCCGATACGAGCTATCTTCCGTCCAGTTTCCAGAAGTTTGACCTGCTCGGAACTAGAGAGAAGTTGGGGTTTGATTTGACGGCTATTGTCAAGACACCAGCTACCCAGGGCATTGATAATACAGCCGTCTTGTTTGAAACATATCCCTCACTTGTTGTTAGCTTTTCTTCGTTTGTCAAAGCAGGGAAAATGATGCCTTGAGCTCTTGCATGGTTTGACCTTATGGTTTCTCGACTCATTCCTCGATCAGCACAATACTTCTCTGCCAAGAAGACCTTGCGCAACTGGTTGGTTTACAGGGTATTTAGCGCTCGAACCGAACTAGAGCTGATCGGCGAGCTGAAGCCATTGAACACTCCCATCTCTCCACTCGCCATACCTGGTCGCACAACGACATGAAGACTGGTGACCCGTGACTCCTTAGCACATATGACTTGGCTGACATACACTTCCTGATCAGAGTTGGCCCGCATCTGAGATCATGCACGGTATCAGCGTACGAGGTGAAGATCGAGTGCGCAGTGTGCCAGAGCAGAGGTGTCGGCAGAAGCCTCTGCATACATAGCTTTTGACAGTGGCCAGATCCTCCGCATTCACTCTTCACGACGGAGTTAACACTACGCCAAGACCTAAATAGGCCCGTCGTTTGTCAATTCATTAACAATTACTGCGTCGCCATGTAGTAAAGACCGAGGGCAGACAGGTTTTGGTTGTTGCACTGTTTCGATTGCAACAGCACGGGCAATCAGCAAATTCAAATTCAAAGAAGGGTCTAAACTACCAACGGTATAATCTGATTGCCTATACTTCTGTCGACTCCACCAATAGCTCGATCACTACAGGGACTGACCAGTGCTTGGCGCATATGGCATATAGCCTCCTTCTACGCGAGTGTACCTGCTGAAGTGGCCCCGATCAATCGGGGACAGAGCAATTAGTCCTGCCGCGAAGCGAAAACCAAGTACGGAGAAGATATTCGAAGTATCTACGAGGAGTACTCCGTTAAGCATCAGTTCTTGATATGTGCTGAGTTCTCTTTGCAGTCTTCGCGTGTCGCTCTTTCCGAGGTTGGTGGAGATAAGTCCGGAATCTGATAGCAGGTACAAGCTCTGGCAACTACACAAACAAGGTACTTTAGCCTCCTAGTTCCAGTAATACCGCAGTATTCGAAGAAGGTTTTGTGGCGGTATTCTTTGACTTACATGAAGTCTCGGCAGCCAAAATATCTGTCGGAGATATTTGTGAAAGAGAATTCTTGCATTCCATAGACCAGCAATTCTTCGAGGAAACGTTGCAGGTTCGATTCCTGGTAAATCTCCAATTCGAACGTTCTAGCAGAGCTTCTCGATGCACCCCTGTAAACGACGGGCTTGACGAGCATTTTCCCAGGCTTCCAGGGTATCCCGCCATCCTCAGATGGCGTGCTTGCAAGATCCTGATTGACGTCCATAGACACTCGAACTCCACGGAAACCGGCGATCTGATGAGCAAAGTCGATCTTCAATACGACATGGTTCTTCAACGCTTGAGCCTGTTCCAAAGACATTCCTGCGGCAGAAAGTTGCAAGAATTCCACGTGGAATGATTTGCACCGTGCATTGAGAAAGTCCCAGGGAACTGCTTGGGTGTTCTCGGATAAGTCGAAACCTTCCTCAGGAACATGTAATCGCGACATGTTTCAAGTTGTGACGGTCAAAGATCCGGAGCAGGCAGTGTACTCGGTTCGAAAGTGTAAGGCATAAAACCAGAGTACAATTAAGGGCTGCTGTGCGTGAGCTTTATGCTTCTGTCCAGACCATCCAGCACTCAGTCCACGACTCCATCCACCGCTCCATCCTCCACTCCATCCACCACTCAGTCCACCACTCCACCCACCACTCCATCCACCACTCCACCCACCACTCCATCCACCACTCCATCCACCACTCCACCCACCACTCCATCCACCACTCTGATGGTCTTATCCTCACTTTGCCCGCGGCCAGTCTTCAAGGCCAGCATAGAGAACGGGTGCAAGACAACAGGTGGGAGAATATGACACAAGGAGATGTGCACATGTTCTTTGGACATATATATAGGCGCGGCACGATACCAAGAGCGAGAGTATGGAAGTAGGTGATCTAAGTCTCCGCGGACCGAGCCCAACAGCATAGCCCTGTGATCCATCTTTTGAATTCATCACTTCACTCAATTCTCCACAGGCTCAAGCAAAATGTCAGAAAAACAACCAAATCCCCCGCCACCTTCTGCCCCGTCGCCTCCTCCCCCGTCACCTCCTCCCCGACCTCCGACTCCACCAGATCTCACGAGAGGAGAAGCAGGCGACCCTTGGATTGTCCACCCAGATTCAGGCCAGGGCTCATAGAATACTATGTTAGTACTCTCTTTCCAGCCAGAGGATCTCATTTAGTTTGACTAACATTACACGACTTAGCCGGGGCACTGGACGGCGGGCAGGCGACGATTAACAGGAATTCCGTGGTCATGGAGGATATCGATAAGATGGCCTGAGTGGAGGCACTAGCGTGGCTTATGTAATCGCATAAATTAAGTACTGATTCCCTCGCGGCCTTGCGGCCCAAAGCTTTCAGTCATTTCAAGGTCCATCCACTTCAACATATCACCATGAGCGCGTTTCAGTATTTGGACATGACCGATGGAATATCAGAGCTACTTCCTGTAGCCTTATCATTCTGCCATGAATGGAAGCCAGCTGAGCTGGCTCGAAGAGAGGCCCACGACAAACCACATTCGACCGTAGTGCAACGCTGCACGAGAGATTTTGTTCACGAGCAAATACTGTCAACGTTCTCCGACAAACATGCAAGTCGCATTTTGATTCCCGTACGTTATTGACGGAAGCTTACGATTTTTTCCATAGAAAGCTCATTTTGGGAACCCGGACCGACGTACCTTTGCACGGGGACCTTACTGGGTTAAAAACGGCCCTGCCATGATCAGAGGCCAGTCTGCCGTCATTCCACTTCTACCACGTGAGAGCGACGACGGTCTCCCGCAAGCAGGTGCCTTCCCAGTTATGCACAGCTCTCAGGTACAACTGGCCACACGGCGTGATGATCATGATGCAGGCAGTGACGAGAGCATAGCAGCACAACCTCACCAATTTCCAAGCCACGTGATCATCAAGATGAACGGCGAATCGGCAAAAGTAAGCTGGGGTAGGTCATCGGGGATTTGGCTGGAACATAATTGCTACATCAACTCCATTCCGGGCGACGACCTTGTATTTCTGATCATCCAGTGTCTCCCGCATGCCGATCTCCCGGAAAGCCTTAAACATGGGGCGCAGGCGGATTGAACAGGATTGGTGTCCAATCGTAGTAGTCGATTATATCGGGTGCTGTTTTCTCCCAAGGCTGACCCTCAAGATGACGGAGATAATTGTCGTAAGCTGAGCTCGAATGTTGAACAAGGCCTGCAACAAGGCCCGCTGTCGTGTTGTCCTGTCCAAGGGCATCGAAACTAGAGTGTGTCGTTCTTCCCCGGTTGCTGACCCAGTCGGTCCCTAGAGTGAGCATGTGCCCCAGAATCCGTTTGGCAACCCCCTCACATGTCTCTGCGGCGGTTTTGATGCCCTGGCTCTCTAACAGTATCATTATTTCTTCGCGCTCGCGGCAATTGCGTTCAGGAATAACGCTCTCCCAGCTAGAATGAGTCTTAGTCAATAGCTGCTACGTTCAAGGGATAGAAACTCACGTGGTCCGGGGAATGGCAGTGGGAAGGACGAGGAGAACGCCGGCACTGCGGAAGGACGTGGTGTATCCGTGATATCGATTCCCGCCGTATGACCATACTCTCCAAGTGTTCTTGTTGATGCCACGTAGGACACTGGGAAGCGGGATGTTGAGCTCCCGCAGCTGTGCATTAAGCCGCGATATGCAAACAAGCAAGACTCTCCAGATAAGTGTTAGGATGGTCTCGGCCTGCATAGCCTGCTCAACCTGCTCGGCCTGCATAGCCTGCACAGCCTGCATAGCCTGCGCAACCTGCACAGCATGTACACATTGTGACAGCGCGAGTGGGTAGTCGCCAGAAAAGTTGCCGCTGAATGTAGGAATCTGGAAGAAGCTCAGCGGGTCCTCGAACCAGGCAGCTTGTCGAGACTTCACGACATTAGGGACGTGGACCTGCCCGGGAATCTGTAGCAGTCGTATAAGCGGCTGTAGTTTGACCATCGTCTTTCTCCCTTGGTGGGCGCCGCCCATCTCGTTGTGGTCCGGTATGCGTTTTCTCTTTTTCTGCAATGGATGTGCCTGAAAAGGCTGACCGCGGGAAGGGTCATGTCCACGTGATTCGGTGGTTGTAGCCGTTTCGGGGCGATCGGTAGATTCACCGGGTAGTGTTGGTTGAGCGGAGACCAGGAGCGGTCGGCAAGGCTGGGGCCCAGGAGACAACGATCGAATGGAAGGCGTTCGAGGTGAAGGCAACGGCGACGATCTAGGCGATTGAATGGTCGGAGAGAGGGGTTGGGCTCGCGTCCGGCTCGCGTCACCCTGATTGAACGTCATTGACGAACTTCACAGTTAGCCAAATATTGAGGAAGCAGTATGCGGAAGATGGTCTTTTCGTACTTGTCAGAGGGGGGCAGCATGTGTCTAGCACCCATGTTGGCTGGATTGTGTCCTGAACATCTAGACGAAGGTGGCGCGTTCTGTTGAGAGGCGAGGAACGCGTGCTTGCTGAGTGCGCTGCTCAAGTCCTGCGCTAAGCCTATTAAGGCGGCATAGTGAGTGCACACTGGATTGACCGCTGCTCGCGAACTAGCTTCATGCAGCTGATATCCCCGCCCGTGGCTTCAGCACTCCAGCCCATCCACCACCCCCACCGCTCCATTCACTCCACCAGCGCATCCTGCACTCCAAATGCATTCCGCGCTGCAACGCATCCATGCTCCACTTGGCCTGTCAGCACTTCCGCTCTTACCACACCCCCCAAAATCCGGCTCGAGTCATCCTTGTTCTAGCAATTTAGCATATGAAGCCATCGGAAGCGCAGGAGATTACCTGAGGGCACATTTGAACTGCAGCAGGGCACGCTACGGCTAAGAATGTTAGCGCTGATTAGTTCACAGAGAGACTGCAATACATTATGTGACGGAACCACGAGCGCGAGTTTGTCAGACAAGTGCAAGACGAGAGTTAGAGTATGCCATTATGCTACAGACTTCCAGCGCAGATTCGTGATTTCCTCAACACGGTTCCAATACCGTTCATTGGTGACTAATCCGATGACTACCGCCGCATCCGCTTCCGGGAAGTCAACAAAGTCAACCCAATCTACCACGCCAGGCTTGAGGTTGTCCTCCTGAAGGGGGGACATGTAGCTTGCCGTACGAGCAACAACAATTCCACTCTGAAGTCTGTGAAACACCATCAACATTCTCTCCATCACACAAGGCTGTAGCACATCCTTCCTGATGAGACACTGGCAGAGCTTTTCTTTGCCACAATCAACAACCTCGTAGAAGTGCCCCTCAACCATTGGCTTGCCAACAAGCATAAACAAGTCCTGTAGTCCCGTGGTAGGGTCGTACGAATCTGCGTGAAACCAAATATACCGCAGGACTGACGTTCGAATGCAGGGTTTGTCGATTGGGTACATGAACACACGGCCATCACGCGGCGATGTTGCCAGCACCCACAGGCTTGTCTCAGAGACAAACAGGTGTATCTTGAAATCGAGGAGCTGAAGTAGCTGCTTCGGCGGGACCGCTCCGTTGTCATCGTTCTTGTCGTCGTCGGACGCTTGCCGCTCCTCGTACTGCGTCTGTTCGTCGACATGTAGCAAGTTGTGGGTAGTGTGGTTGTCTTCGCTGCTGTTGTGCGACACATCATTCGGCGATTCGAGTGCCTTATTCAGATCATCGTTCGGGTGGGCAGCCAGATATTGGCGAAACTCGACCTTGTTGGAATGCCAGTCTACTTCCTGAGAAGCGGCGATGAAGGCCACTAGTTGCGATGGGGTGGCGACGAAGGACACTTCTTGGTCGAGGTTGGTGGACATTGCCGAGCGGTCTGGTCTTAGTTTGGGCAATGGGCGCTTGGGAAGTTGTAAGAGCAAGGGATTCCGAAATTGGTTGGGGGAAGCTTTAAGAAATGGAGCAGCAATCAGCGGCAGTCGCTGCGACACGGGCCACCTGTCGAGGGCCTGCTTGATCCGAGGGCACGTCTGGAACGATCCACGGTTCTTAAGCCAGCGCCACATGAACCGCCAAGTCAAACATGCTCCAGAGACAGCGTCTGCAGCTACTAAATTATCAGCTGCTTATCTATCTCCGGCTTATCTTTCAGCTGTGAATAATATACGAAGTTGACCTTGTATGGGTCCATTTCTTCCATTCTGAATGCCAGGAAGTGCTCCTCGTATGTCTCGTAGTTATGGCATGGGCCCCACTTCTTCCCCATGAAGTGAGCTTGCCAGAAATCCGATGATGCCTTCTGTGCTCCCTCAAAGATGCCCAACCATGCTTTCGTTTCTTCGTTGGCTTTACCGTGCTTTGCCTGGTAGTGCTCGTGCATGCGCCGACTGCGCATTTCCAGCATGTGCAGCCACTTCACCGTATCATGGACACTGATAGGGAGTTAGTGTCTTGAAGTGATGCGTAAATATTCAACTGACCAGCTTGCGACATAGTCATTGTGCCACCATTGCGGGTTATGCTTGTCCCGCGGCGGTAGGAAATATTTTAACTCCGCTAACAGAAAGCGCCTTTCCTTTTCCCAACAGCTGGCAGGTAAGTACCGACACCCTTCGCGTTGCTTCCTCCATTGTTCGTGCTCCAGCAACGGCAATGCCTTGTCAGAAAAGAACGGCTCCGGCAATGCAGGCCTGGGCACGGCATGCCTGGGCAAGGCAGGCTCAAGGACGACAGGCTTTGTGGAAGGCATGACTTGCAGGGTCCGAGCATAAGGGTCAAGGGGGAAATGGTGCGCAAGAAGGCAAAGTTGGCTGCAGAAGGCAACCTTTTGTGCAGGGCGCATCGCCATTTATGTGCTCTACTCCCTGGTTACCTAGGTACCTAAGCTAGCGGAACAAGTGGTATTCCGAACCGGATTGGGCCACCCCGCCCCGTGCAGTGCTGGGCCTCGCCACAAAAGAAAACACACGCAGTTGATGCTGTCCGAGTTTGTCATGTGAGTCCATGCTGACCCCTGGGAACATGGCTGTCGTGGAGGATAGGGACGCAGCAGACTCCCCGAACGTCCTTTGAGTCTCCTGCTCTCCTGTTGAGCTCGACCCTGGAGGTCCTCGCCCACCTCTTCTGCTCCGCATCACGACTACATAGACCCACGGGTAGTAGCCGATAGCTAGTAAAGCGCCCTGTGCAAAGAAGCCATTTTCCATAGGGAGCTTCTCGGTCAAAATGAGCACGCTCAAGGTGATAGACAATGAACATAGGAATATTCCGTACGCCAGAATCCACTTAACGATAACGTTTCGCTTCTGCATGCGATGCAGGCTTTTCCCCGTGATGGTGATGAGAAGCGCATGGACCAGAAGTGGGAGGAGACCAGGGAGGGTGGAGATAGCCGTCGGGAGGCTAATGAGAGGCTTGAGCCACATGGAGAGGATGCTCAAGAGTGTGACGCATACACCCATGAGAGCCATCGCAGCAACAACACCCCATGGCCATCTCTGGTCAGGGAAGAATGTTTGCCCCAGGGGTAGAAGATGGTGCCACGTCGTTGGAGGTGTTAGTGGAGGTGCAGGTGATAAAGCACAGATGGATAGATGACTTACTATGTCCCCGCACACCTGCAGCAGCACCAGGTCTTGGAGTGTTGCTAGGAGGGGGGGAAGTTGCCAGAGGATGAAGTACATGGCCCACAAAATTGAGAATAGGCTGACGGTGACTGCCCATGTGACCAGCTCTCTGGTGCTAAACTCGAGAAACGGGTGGCGCTCAATCCGTCGTTTGTTCCAGCTCTGATTCAGGGCGAGAAAAGCGTAGCGCCCTAGCTGGAAGAAGAGAATGAGGCACCACAATGCAAGCCCGAGGGATTCGTGGATATGCATGGTGCTGCAGCAGAAAACATGGATGGCATGCAGAAGATGCATCAATTTGCTGGGTTTCTTCCTCCAACAACGAGGGAAGGACATCGCTCAGAGATATATCACTGGGAGAACCAGCTTGGCTTGCTTTTCCTGACTGCCCTGTGAGATTCGAGGCAGGGGTCCTTGTAGCAGTGGCAGGGATCCATCCATAGTCTGTGTAGGGGAGCGCGGCCCGACCCCTGGTAAAACCGCTAAGTCGAAAAGAGCGACATAATCAGTGCGCACTGGATTTGTTGTTGGTTTAAGCTTAGCGTAGACAGAGGGGCGCTAGTGGCGCGGGTTCCCGGATCATCTCTCGCATCGCTGGCTGCAGCGTTGCGTTGCATCCGGCACTCCATCCGGCACTCCATCCTCCACTCCATCCTCCACTCCATCCTCCACTCCAGCACTCCAGAGCTCCATCTGTATCTCTGTGTAGTCCTTAACTGGCCTGCCTTGTGCCGCGCAAGTCTAGAAGTCCAGCCCATTTTGTGAGAACTATTCGGACGCCGCAAATGAGGTAATGGGATACAATGATGAAGTACTGGAGTGCTGGAGTGGAGGATGGAGTGGAGGATAGAGTGGAGGATGGAATGGAGGATGGAGTGGAGGATGGAGTGCCGGATGGAGTCGTGGAGTGCACAGCGCTCCAATCCACCGGTGGGCGGGAAGCGGCAACCCACTCACTGACATAAACAAACTAGCGTAAAGCCCGCAGCATGTTGGGCATTGAACCACCCAAGCACGTTCAGAAACACCCGTAGAGGTTCCCGGCCCCTGTTCCGCCCGCGTCACACCCGCGTCACATGTCAGGACGCGGGCGGCCGAGGCGTTAGAGTTCTTGTACCCCTGGTCTTGCCATAAGCGCGAACCAGTAGTAACAACTGCCGCGCGCAGCACGGCATCCTAGCCCAGCCACCCGGCGGCCTGAGCTCCGCACTCCACGAGCTGATGTAGCAGCTCTCAGCTCGATATGTCTATTGCAGGTCACATCTACTTCGGGTTGCACCTGCCGCGCCCCTGGTTTGGAGGGTAGCCTTGCTGCGTGATTGGGATCATCCTACGAAGCTCGTTGATCATATGAAGGCCGGTTTCTCCCCATGGCAGAGCCCCATTCACAATCAGAGCAATATATGCACGACACAGCCACGTCTTCGCTGTGCAGTCTTCCCATTCACGACCATCTCTGCAATCGCCGCCCCGCATGGATTCTTCTCAACATCGCACTGCCAGGTCGGGACTGACTCGTCAGTTAGTAACCGCAGAATCAGGACCTTCAGCCTCCATACCAGCGCACTCAGCCCCTTCTCCTTCCTTGCCAGTGAGTGCAATCCCTCTTGGCCGGGTGCTGCATATCTGTATCGGCTCCGCGCCAACGGCCGAATCACCTTTAGCGCATGTTGGAATCGCTAACGCTGAGTGGTAGGTCAGCAACAAGGAACGCAACACTACCCGCAACAAAGCTCACTACAAGCTTGACTATCACAGATCATCCGTGGCTTGCAGTAAGCTTCAAATCGCCCCCTTCACCTGGGCTCTCAAGGTGCAAACGTCGAAGATAATTCAGTAGCTGACCATTTGCATTAGTACACTGTCGCCACAGGAAAATCCGTTGCATAGTGGACAGCAAAAGCACTCACGGTAAATGCGAGAGCTGCATCAAACTGAAGAGGAAGTGTGAGTTCCAGCCTGTTAATCTACAGCCAGAGCCGGCAGGTCGCGGAAGCAATGGTATGCAACAGTCGAAGCCAAGGAACCGGATTATCGCATCCTCGAAGATTAGGTCAACATCATCCTCACTAGCGGTCAAACACGAACTCCCGGCACCTGTCTGCCATGGCTCCTACCCGGGCACCCCCGCAGTAGCCTCTTGCCCAAACATGGGACCACCAGCAACGGGGCAGTACGAGCCAAGTGTCATCTTGACGGATCGCTCAGGTAAGCATTCGGTCGAGTGCGAGACCTGCGAAGCTATTAGTGAACTGGACTAACATACCACTAACAGGGCCACAAGACGTGAGCGGGACGAGACATCCACTCGAACACGGTAGCCGGCCAGGCACAGAAACGCCTAGTCATAAGCATGGGAATAGCTCAGGCTTCCAGATGGGTCCTTGGAAGCAAGATTCGGAAGACTCTCCGAGTCTCACTGGTTTCCATGGCTTTTCATCGCAAACACCTCAGTACCTAACCGGATGGCAACAATCAATGGAAAGCGTCCCGTCAAGTGGCGCTAGTTACGTCCGGGTCGAAGATAAGTGGGACCCATCACTGCAATCCCCATCGCAGACCATATTACATGGGAGTCAAGACAGCGGCGCGCCGCACCACGTCATGCTTGCGGGACATGATGCTCATCACGCTTCCTTCGACCTTCGCTCCTCCATGAGGCCCTCTATACGCCCGGGAATATACGCTCCTATCATCGTCCCGAGCTCTACGGCCTCGCCCGTTGAAACACACCACACGCAAATGGGCACAGGACCTGCACCAAGGCACCAAGGCATGACAGACCCAACATATCCCTGGCTAGGGCAACAGCGTTATTCATGCGTCAGGACGCCGGCATCAGAGTATGGCCAGACATGGTTCGCCAATTACAACAATAAGAACAACACCCCGTACCCCCAACAAGAGGAGGAACTGATGGAACCTACGTTGCCCCAGAATCAATAGATTAGGAAAAACGGACCACGGGACACTGGAAACAGAGAACAGTTCATCTCAATATTTTTAGACCTGGATCACTCGAGCAATTTGCAACCGTGCGTACATCTCTGCATCTCCTTGTTGACTGTGAATGCAGTGGACAGGTGCATGCGTACAATTGACCCATGGGGTTGTGTGGTAACTCTGTGTAAATTGTGTAATGCAGTGTATCTTGACTCGCGAAGGATGGAAATATGTCACCAGGCCAACAAGGGCGGATTTCTCGTCGAGTCACTGGATCCCACTTGCTCATGTATCATGCCGCGTCTGGTGACGAGCAAGGCTTGACGACGTGGTGGATGGTGTCACTCGCAGCCGCCTTCCACACGCTAGATTGTTGCAGGTGCACAAACCTGGAGCATCCGGGCAGGGGCTTGTCAGCAAAGCGGGCCTGCAGCGCGCCAATCCACTGGCGGATGCTAGCTCGGCTCCCGTGCGCCACACCCACTGCCTTAGTGAGACGGGCCGCGTGGAAATGCGCAGCAAGGATGCGGGGCTCGTGCTTCACAACACCCTGTCGAACATGCCTGCCATGACGAAAGACGAGGAAATCAAGCTTCTGCAGGATGCTGCTGCTAGGCTTGACCACGATGGTGTGGTTTGGAAGGAGTTTAAAATCACCGATGACGAAGAGGTCCATACAGCCCAGTGGGAGCCGGCGCACCAAGAGGTTGTCGACATGTTTGCGAGGATCTACGTAAGTGAACGGTCACGAGCTTATGATCGGGCTGAGGCTGACCTCGAATACAAGTCAAACGACGCTAAGGCGTATGCGGGAGAACATGACACGACGATCACTGAGATAAACATCCGACCCTTGACACGGTGGAAGAGGGGAAGCATCATGTCAGATAGACGGATCCTTTGCTGGTTAATTCCATGCAAGCGTGAATCGACTGCAGAGCCTGTCGTTGAGCGAGCGGACATTGGAAAAAAGAATGGCCACCCGGTGTCTTGGCGCAGGCCGGTTTCGCTTCCTCCGAACACGGTGCTGAACCTTATCAGCGGTGAGATCTGCTGCATTCTGGTCGAGTTTGAGCTGGCGACGTTGGAGCCCAGTGTGTGATCAGACGTCCGTTTTGCCTTCATGGACGAACGATGACATCGTCCGCGGGTCAAGGCTTCCTGCGTGAGGCAACTCCCAGCAGCGCGTGCCAGTGATCGTCAGATCAGCTGCTTTGGGAACCAAGACCATGTCCGCGCGGGCAACGTCTGCGGAGACACTGGTTTGCAGAATTTGGGCAACTTTCCTTGTGCTGCGGACTCGTCAGCATCGTTCTATGGTCGAGTGGTTGCGTGGGAGGACTTACGACCAACCAGTGATGTGCGAAATCAGAGACGAAGGGTCTAGTGACGGACATGCGTAGCGGTGTCGAGGAGGCTTCAGTTCGGCGATGTGCTTGAGCAGCATGTCTTGACCGGATTCATCTTTATCTCCGAGCCATGCTATCACAGCGTCAAGGTCCTCCCCTGCACGGAAGGTCAGCACGGCTTGATTCAGGGCTGCCAGTTAGGCTCGGGCATGGCGGGTGTCGCACAGAAAAAAAGTAGTGGCGCAAGGTCCCTGAAGCGTGGTAGAAGGCTGTCAATTACGTGAGCCAGAAATTTTGCTCCATTGCGTCTTTTCCGGAGCCGGTCCTGACTCAAGTCTTTACCAAGTACAGACTGCAGTACTTGATCCACCTCATCGTTCGACAGGCGACGCTCTTTCAGTGTGATATAGCCAATGCAGAAAGTGATAAACTGCGCATAGCTCTTCACCGCTGAACCAGAGGGTAGAGCATTGACCCTTTTGAGGTGTGCCTTGAGCGGATCATCGGGGCCCTTCAAAGGAGAGAGCAAGATCAGCGTGCTGGTGGAGGAAGGACATCTACTATGAGCTAAGGTTTCCCATCCTGTCTCTGATTTCGGGAGGGTTTCAATAAAGGCTGCGAACGCCTTCGGTCTTGAATCGCCAAGTCTGAAATTGATGTAGGCCATTGTTGTCTGCGACAAAGCTTGTCAAGCAAGATGGAAGTCCCATTGATGCCCCACTCGCGAGCGCCCAACGAGCGTTCACATCGCAGGCTGTAGGCTGTGCAGTGCCACAATGAAGTGGCTGGAGCCTTGCGCAGCGCTGCTGACCAACCCAGCTTATGTAATTGAGATACTTTACATTGCAGGAACATCAACAGGTTGAGTATTGGCGCGAAGATTCGCCGCCATAGAACCAGGTAACCCATATGTCATGACCGGGGGTGCCCGTCCTGCTCAAAGCAAGGAGCGCAACCTGGCTGCAATGCGTGAAGCAAGTTGGGTGTTGCGTTGGATGAGCCGCATGGTGTGGCTCGGGCGTCGAACCACCCTTATGATGGGCGGATGGGGATCAGCGCTACCATCAAGAGCATCAGGTGCCCACGCACAGTTCGGACGCAACCTGCTGTAGACGTGCTGTAGGCCAGCTACAGTGCAAAGTAGTTGAATCGAAGTCATCTGAGGAAGCCTGATGCGCTCTTGAGCGTCGCGCTTCCGAATTTCGCGAGAACTACCTTGATGCATGGCTGGCAGTGGTAACCGTCACCCCTGTGGAAATGGCAAACGCCTGCCTGCTTCACACCATGGACCGGAAGGCAGTCTAGCCTAAAAAGGTAAATATCCACAATGGACGCATCGGGACCCGTCAGGGGCATGCCAGTCTGCTCACCGGTTTCAAGGGTGTTCGCAGGGACACGGCCTGAGAAGAGTCTCGACTTGTGACATGCATCCCCTGTTCCTAGTAGCGCGTCTGTCCCGAGCGCCTCGCCAGCATCGACAGACAGGGGCTGCGATCACCAGTGCTTCCGGCCCGCACTCCTAGCCACAGCCTTGCCTTGGAGATCCCAGAGGCTTGCCCAGCGCTAACGCAGCCACGGCTCATGGGCGCCGCATGTGTCAAAGCTACTTGCGCTCAGAACGCAGGGCTCAGCTGCGTGCGGGACACACCAGTACACAAAAGTTCCGCAGGCAAGAAATCACAAGAACCTCGGACAATCAGCTACGCAATCATAACCCCCTTGCCAGGAAGCACTGTATGCTGCACTTCCAACAGGGGTTGAGGGGGTGGGCTGGTTCGAGAGCTCCTCTGCCGAAAGTCATGTCTGCCGTGCAGCAAGGCTATTGGTTTGGCAAGCAAGGTTATGAACGAATGTGCAGCTAGATACAGTGTGCGCATCGAGCTTGTGAGTAGGTAGCGAGGACTGGATAACCATGGCTGCGCGATTCTCACAATGGCTCACAAGAAACGGCAGGAGTTAATGGCAGGAAGCCAGGCAGGGTTTGGGCCACTCATAATACTACTCAAGGATCGCCGGCTTGCCGTACAAACAGATACAACTCAATGAAATGAGAACCCTTCCTACCCCCGTGTACATATGAAGTTGACTCGAACAATTTGACCCCTAAGCGAAGTCTGAACCCCGATGATCCACGTCTGGGCTTGCAGTTGGAGATGAGGGTGTGGGCGGTGGTGCAATCCACCCGTCTTCAAATATGACGATTTCGGATCCGCCATCCCGCTCATGGTCCGTGCCAGTGAGCTGTTGTTCATCCCGGTCTTCGAAGTTGCCTGTGCCGGTGCCAAGTGGCAGACTGAGGTGCCTGGCGTGATCGGAGAGAGATAAGCGGGAGAGCTTTACGTCGGGCACGCCTTGTTTGGCTAGGGACTTTTGAAGGGCTTCATCGTATGAATCGAGCAGATCGTCAACCTGTTGGCTGTATCCGGTAGTTGGTGTTCCTCGATCGAACGTGGTGATTGGTATAGTGGAGAACCAGGTAAGCGATCTCGGCTCGAATCGGGCCCCGAACAGTAGCGCGACATGGACAACGACGTCGACGGGAATAGACTCCTGGCAAACCTCGAGGGTGTACTCTTTTTCCTCGTGCTTGACGCTGTAGACGCGAAGACTCTTCTTCATGTCTTCCGAAAAGAGGACTCCCTGTACGAGGCAATTTGGGGGTGGGAATTGGAGAGGCCGAAGTGATAGCACAAGAGGTCGTTCTGGCAGATCTTGAGCCATGGTGAGTTGTTCGGGACAGGACGTTAGCATTGATACATATTGCCTGGGCGCGCTGCGGTGCCCCTTTTTATCCCCAACCGCCTTGTCGGCTACACGGGTAAGTAGCTGGTGAAGGGATCACGAGCCAGTTCGCCACAAGCTCTCTCGTCCACGACAGGGAACTTGCGCCCATGCGCGTAGATTGCTACCCAGAATGGAAGCTTGCCGCAATGGACGCATCAGGCTTAAGCTATGTTCGTCATCCCTGGATGTGTTCTCTGATCTTCACCTCAGTGCGAGCATCTCACGCCACTCTATTGACCCCCTTGTCTCACTAACATGCAGAGATTCGGGGAAAGGCACATGAGAAGCAGTCAAATCACCTAATCGGTCTGTCTGCCGTGCTGGAAACGGCAATCCCGATTTGCGGACACAGACATACTAGCGTAAAGCCTGCAGCATATCGAGCATTGAACACCATCCGAGCATGTTCGGAAATGCCAGCGAAGCTTCCCCGGCCCCTGTTCCGTCCGTCCGTCAAGCCTCGAACGGTTGGCCCAGGGCTGTTGAGGCGCTAGAGTACTTGCACCCTGGTCTGCCTTAAGCGCGAACAGCAGCAATGCCTGCCGCCTACAGCACGGAGTCACGCTTGACTCGACACAGGTACCGGGCCAGCCACCCGGCGGTCTAAGCTCCACACTCCACGAGCAAATGCAGCGGCTCTAAGCTGGATGTGACCATTGCGGGCTGTATCTGCTTTGGGATGGTCTGGAGGATAGCCTTGCTGCGTAATTTGGGTCAGCCAACGAAGCTCGTTGATCAGATGAGGGACGGCCTCTCCCAAGGGCAGAGCCCCATTCACAACCAGAACAATATATTTGTGTCACAGTCTCGTCTTTGCTGTGCAGTTTCCCCATTCACGATCATCTCTTCAATCGCCTCCCCCGATGGATCCCTTTCAACATGACTCTCGCTTCCACCAGGCAACTCGGCTTTTGACTGAGCACGGCATTGACCCGAAGAAGATGAACAAGGAGCAGCTCCACAACTTCGCAAACACGCCGCTTTATGCACAAATTAAGTCTATCGGGGTTCTGGAAAGCGCAACTCGACGTTCGCGAATCGACCACCCGGATGCCGCCGCGGACAATGCCTCTGCAAGGCCACCTCCAGAAGCTGCCGCGCCCATCTCTACGGCGAATCCTGACCCTGACTTGTCGGGTGTTCAAGCTGCGGTACCAGGGGATGGCAGCAGTACCAAGGTCTCTGTTGGAGCCGGGGCTGTTGCTGACGTTAAAAAGAATGAAGCCTCCGTGTCTTTCACGCTCACGTATCTGCAGCTTCCAGGGAGGCAGTGGACCTTCCTGGCAACGCTTCGTCGTGGGCTGGAACCCATCGGCCACCACAACATCTGTCCTACCGAATCTGCCCGCCAACGGCTCCCCTATGACCCTGTCCGCGAAGCCGCCAGCCCACCCAGCCCATTTGAGCTCCTGAAGCTCACGATTCCTCTCCCGCCCATATCAGATGATGCGCCAGTCACTCTTTCGGTGGTTTTATATCAGCCAGTGCCCGAAACATCACATTTCAGATCTCTTCGCAGGTTTCGTGAATTCACATTTTACATCCCTGGAGTGTACGAGCTGGAGCTGAATGCCCGCGATCTCGACATCTGGTTCGAACAGGCCCAAGAGCACGGCAACGGTTATACTGAGGGCATCATCGATAACGTTTCGTTGAAGCTACGCAGCAAACCAGGAGCCCAAACGGCATCACGAGCATCTCGACGCACAGATTCGCGGGCTGCGGGCGATGACTGCCGAACCCTCCCACGTGGCTCCACACACCGTCCGGAGATCGCAGAGCCCGCACGCAGCACACTGTCGGAACACAACAAACAGTTCGAAGTGGCGCGGCAACGTTATGATGGCCTCACATCGAGCCTCCATGGCCTCGCGTGGCAGCCGACAATGACAAAGTTCACCGCCGGAGCTTCAGCATACACGAAGAGAAAAGTGGTGGATGAGAAGGGTGCGTTGCCCAACAAAAGGCGACAGGGGTCCAACGTCAGCCCGAAAGTGGCTTCACAAAAGTCGGTCCGTAAATGCCCCTAGCTCTTTCTGTATATTGACAGCAAGACTAACAAGTAGATGTGCAGGATACGGACGGGTTCAAGCAGGAATTAGCTAAGCTACAGGAAGTAAACAAGAAGCGATTACGAGCAGCTAGGGTTAGAAATTCGATAGCGTAGGGGTAGACACAAAACAGGCGTCTCTCAAGCTCCGTGTTAGTGCCATATTGATGGTGATGTCCAGCAGCTTGCCTATGATAATGATAGTGACAACGGTTCGAACAGTATCATCGACGCCGGCAATGAGAGCCCGACCGAGATGCACAAGGTGCATGCTTGAAATGCTCGTGCTGGCTTCCGCAGAGTGCAGCCAATGTCATAGTAGGGACGGCTGATATGAAGCTATCACCAGACTGCCTGCGGACCCGCCTTACCACATGCGCTCGGGGAGCTTGCTGCGAGGCGCTGTAGTTCCAGGCTGCGGGGCGCTGTAATTCCAGGTCGTGGGGCGCTGTAGTTCCAGGTTGTGGGGCGCTGTAGTTTCAGGCCGAAAGGTGCTGTAGTTTCAGGCTGAAAGGTGCTGTAGTTCCAGGTTGTGGGGCACTGTAGTTCCAGGCTGCGAGGCGCTGTAGTTCCAGGCTGCGAGGCGCTGTAGTTCCAGGCTGCGAGGCGCTGTAGTTCCAGGCTGCGAGGCGCTGTAGTTCCAGGCTGCGAGGCGCTGTAGTTCCAGGCTGCGAGGCGCTGTAGTTCCAGGCAAGAACCATAGTACGGCCGCGAGCTCGACTCCTATGATACGCCGTGTTGATACGGCATCGCTCATAACATGAGACAGGCCTTACGTTGGACCTGACACAACCCATTGCTGGACCGTGACATCGTCAGTGCGACTACAACCTCTATGCAGTCGTGTACAAAGCTGTCTAGAAGAGCTGGATCGTCCTGTCATAGCTCATCCCCATCTCCAAGCCTCGTCATCAAAGCAACGAAGACCTCAGCCAGTACATACCATGATAGCCTTAGTACCTTATGTACCGCGTAGCCGGAGTTTGTAGTACATCGCCTACAGCCCGTGCCCTTGTGACCAACCTCAGCACCTCTACCCTAGTCGAAGATATCCTCACAGGCACGCCCGGAATCTTTATCGCACGGTAGGACCAGAGCTTGGGTGTCACTATGTGCTTGACGGAATACGCTCGCTATGTATCCCGATATAAGCTTCGGAGTCTCATGGTCTGAGAGCCAAGCACTAGGTGCTTTTACAGGATATGCAAAGACTTAGGGAAAGGCACATGAGAAGCAATTCAAGGGAATGACTCTGATGTTAAGTCACACCAATCGGTCGGTCTCAGTGAAATAGCAACCCTCTCTTACTAACATAAATGACAAGCATAAAGCCCCGCAGCATGTCAAGCATTAAACCCCACTAGTGCATGTTCAGAAACGCCACTGAAGCTTCCCCGGCTTTTGCTCCGTCCCCCACGCTAAGCATCAAACGCCAACACGAGGGGTGCCGAGGCGTGAGACTGCGTACTTTTGCCCTGGTCTTGCCTCAAGCGCGGACAGCAGCAACGTGCAGCACGGCATCAGCTACCCTGTGGGCAAAACTGCCATATTTAATTCAGCGAAGCGGGACCATATTGGGTTGATTTGTTCGACTTACCTCAACCATCTTTAGGTATCCTCCTCGACGTGTGGCCTCTTAGATCTGCTCCGTGACTCGGGCTGTCTGTTTGTTGATGCACGCCTCCGCTTCTTTCGACTGGAGAAAGCGAGAGGCGCAAGTTTTGATATGGCTTTGTCCATGCTTGCCAGGCTGGTTGCTGCTGCCTCGCGCACCCAGTCTGGCATGTCAGAGCCTGAGTCAGGGCTTGAGTCCTGTATAACCACCTTGAGATCTTCTAACACGGCATCGAGTTGCCCATTTATGTCATGCCAGCGGACATCTAGTCGCGTTGGCGTATTGGCACGGGTTCGATTAGGGCTTGACGGCGACGGCGGACCTTTGTCCAGTGACGTTGGCCCAAATATCGCGCCTACTGGCGGAGGGGCCTTGGACTTGAGTGAGATGATAGTGAGCGGTAGGGTTGGACTTGACATCGTGCGAAGAAAGTCCGCCTGTTCCACTGCGAGTACGGTTGGAAAGATGCCATGTGAGCCTAGGCGAAGGGCGAAGAGAGGGGTTCTTATGCTGAATGAGATGTGCCCCAAAGCGCTCTTGCCAGCTTGTCTCAACGAAGACGGCGCAGTTTCACTTCGGATGGATGGCCCATCAGCTGTAATTACCAGTGGAACAGGCCCTGTCATGCTAGAATAGGCCGCTGACCAGAGCTTATGTCGCATTAGTGCATGATTTTCGCAACATGAATGGGAATCTATGATTAACAAATGATAGACGTTCTCTACCGTCACACCTGATGGGCGGTCTCGAGAACTTCAGACAAGCAAAAGCCTCTCCGCAACCCTACACAAAGCCATTCCGGAAGTACTGGCTCTTCTTCTGACAGCTCATCTCGATTTCCAAGCTCAGTGATCAGAGTGATAAACATCTCGGCCTGCGCACACCTTGACATATTCGACAAGTATCGTGTCGCTTCAGTTTGTGGAATGTCCCTCCCAGCCCAGATCTTCGTGAATAGCATCAGCACTTCCAATCTGTCCCCGTCGGACCACTTTCGGACATCAGTTAGAATAGCAGCGAGGTTCTGATCCCAACACTGATGTCTTGGGCGCAAAGAGAATGGTGTCAAGTCCCGAACGTGCCTCTTCTTTGCTGCAGGAGCAGCCTGGCCAGATCGTTGACGTTTACCTGCGATCTTCGTGTTGTAGCTGTCGTAGATGCCATCAGTGGAACCAACAAGGAATGGAGATTCAGCGGCGCTGGGTGCTTCTGTGGGTGAAGCCTCATCAGGTAAGCTCGGCCGCAAGGAGGGCGATGAGACTGGCGATCTTGCCCCGTCTAATGATGTACGAGTGAGGCTGGTGGGCGCGGTTGTTGAGTTTGAGTCGCAGCGTTGCTGAGCTTCACAAGGGCTCATCGATGGGACTGGTCCTGACTGAGCAACCTCACAACCTGCAGGCGGCATGACTTGGTGTCCCATATCAAAACTGACCGGGGCCGGAGTGTGGCTACCCATAAGGCCAGTTAGTTGGCCTTGGTGGACATCGTCATCCTTAGCGCAAGGAGGGTCTTTCTCAAGCCGCTCGTTGTTGTCTACATTGTCTGACTCGGGCAGAGGTAGGATAATTCCAGGGGCAGCTTCCTCAACGGCGTCGAGCTTAGGACTGTCCCGGAGGTCGTCTGGATCTGACACGGACATCAGGATTGGTGCGGCCGGTCCTTCTTCCGCAACCGCAACTGCAGGAGGTGCATCTCCTGGCTGCTGTATGTCTACTTGAGATGGTGTGACTGTGCTATGATAAGTACGTATTCACCTCTAGCCCACAGCTGACACAAGAATCTGATGGACGACCAGGATGAGCGAGTATGCTACTCACCATCGGAGCAAGCCTCGGGCCCAAGACTTTTGCCGACACTGCGAGGCATCCCTTCTGACGATGCCGGGGATGTGACATGACCTTGTGGCTTCTCATGTTGTGGGAGCGGGGGGGACGGAACCTCGTGCTCTTGTGAGGTGCTAGGTGGCATTCTACTGATTGTGACCGCTGCAATTGTAGACAAGTCTGTGTGAACCTTTGCACGCCTGCCACGACGACGTCGATGGTTCTCAGGGTTGCCAAAGCAGGTGATGAAGGTAGTCTCCTTTGGCATGATGGTGAAGATCAACTGGGTGACTGAGCGAATGTGGTCAACACTAGTGCGAGGGCGCTGTGAGGCACGGGTCATTAAATAGACATCGAGGATCTCCTACACCCTTTGCGGATGGGCCTCGTCACCCGATCCATTGTGCTCTGCCGCAGAAGGCAAGCTTTCACAGCCGCTCTCTTCTCTTTGTGTCGAGTCATGCCAGATGCGTTGTCCTAAAGGAGAAATGATTGAACGTGGAGTGGGGTTGACGAAATGTGTGTACAGCCATGGCCTGATGCAGCTTTCAACTTTTGCCTCTTCTGGATAAGAAGATGCGCGTGCTGCTCACGCGATTTAGTCCATGGCGTGGTCAGTCAAGGGTGTTGTGCTCAGCTGAGGACTGCCCGAACGGGAAATCACAGCAAGTAGCCACTAAGGCCGAGTGTGCACTCGCCCGAAGAAGCAATCGGCCACACCGGCTATGCTAAGTAGCTTATCAAGCATGTTGGCAGCTTTCTGCATTCTGGAAACTGCAAGCTGCTGTCATCTCTTGACGTGGGGTCTCGATAACAAATACCTTGTAGCTGCAGCTGCACACCCGACCTGAGACGACCGCTGTTCCGGATTGCCCGATGTGGCAGCAAACCTCCACCGACACTTAAATTCCTCTTCGGAACTTTCGCCTGTGTTTTGACAAGCCTGAACGAGTCTCTCCATCAGACAAGCATGGCGCTATGGCCGAAATAAAATTATCTCCAATGCGGTTCTCAACGAGCAGCTGTGCGTGAAACTGGTTTTGCAAGAGATGAAAACATGGGGGCGATTTCAGGTACTATGTGGGCTGGCTTGAACGTTGTATGACTACGACATGGTTCGGTAAGGCCCCAGTGGAGCGCAGTTGCATTTATGAGTAATCTTCTGGAATACAAGCGGCACCATTCACAGTAAATTGAAAATCGTGCCTGCTCTCGGCTCTTGATACAGCAGCATTGACGACGGAGAGCATTAAACAATTTGTCGTAAATCTAAGAAACTAAACCTCTCCTCGACTAGAATCAGCGCATCGCTTCTTTGTCCTACTACGCTTGCTATTCACATAGACAGCGAGTCTTGAGCGTGAGCATCGTATAAATAATTTAAGGGAGACCTAGTATCACGGCCCCAATGCAGTTCTTTGAAGCATATGAAGTAGATCGGTGTTTTTGGGTCGCTCTTGGTAGTGGCAACCTTAATGTTCAACCATTTCTATAGCATGGGATTATTTTCGCCGGACGCCTAGATAATTCAGGTGGCTTCAATGAGCAATGAGCCGTTTCTGTATATTTTTGACGTCCAAAGAGGTTTCAGTGGTGATGATAGAGATCGATAGCCTCCCGTAGTATTGAGGCTAAGCGCAATGAGCAAGGCGGTTGTTACTGAAGATCCACGGTAATGGACAAATAGGCGAGACTGGTGCACTTTTTAGGGAAGCTCGGAGCGTTCCTTCGCAGTGATTATGATAATTGATGCTTTGTAACTCCAGATTAGACATATCGTGCCTTGCCGGGGGATGTGATTTGCTGAAGGTCAAAGGCTCCCTGCAACCCACAATCCGTCACACGTATCCATGTACCTCAGGTCAATCAATGGACGCTTGAACCCTCTTTCTCGAACCACATTCGTGTGTAGCTCTGCCGATCGTCAGGACATTGACTGTCGCAAGCTTTATGGTGAATCACAATGTTCTTCAGCAGGATCTGAGCTCTGATCCGCCAAATATCTACGCATTATACGTGCTGAAGCCTGCTCACTCTGAGCATATAAAAACATGGATAACACACTGGGATGGACCTAGAGAAAAGCTAGTACAACATAAAAGACTCAGCATAATGACGGTTCTTGCTGAGTAAGCATTTCATTGACGTGACTTGTGAGGGTGAGGAGGTAGATGAGTTTTCTCACTATTGACAGCGTGAAATGCAGAAACGTTCGACTTGATAACTTTGAGAACAATTAAAGGCAGAGACGCATAGCTCTTAGCGCAGCATTTCTGGGAACGGTATTCACTTCTACACCATCTGCTTTAAACTACTTTATGTCTAGTTGCTGATATTATGACACTCTGGATCAAGGACTGCATCAGCTGTGCATAATATACACCGTTACAGCTTGCTAGTCTATCCCCCTCTACTCTCCAGAAGGAGGGGGGAGGAAAGGAGAAGAAAAACACGACTAGTCCATGAGTCTGTCAACCTTGTTGTGAATCCTTGCAAGGATTTACAACAAGTCAGGAGGTGCAGCCTGGATCCGCCCAAATGGCGAACAATGAATGACACGGACACTCGTCGCAGGTCAAATGTGGTGGTCGCCGGTTGGCTCGTTCTCACAGTCATTTGTTGTTTACCATTAGGTATCGCAATAATGGGACCGTCTACGTTTTGCAGCGTGTCATCTGCCAGCCGCCTAGTATGTGGCTCGTGTGTGCAATCACTACGCCCGAGGCACAGCTTTGACGGAGCTCGCGTCTTGGCTAAAGATAATCGGTAGGCCGATACAGACAAGGATGACAAGCTTCGGCAGATGTAGGTTTGGCTCTGAGGATTTTGCAAATGGTCGGTCGCGACCCATTTCGTCAGCCTGGTATGGATGGCATTGCAGGCTACTGATGTTGATATTGGATGGGGCAGAGCGGAAGTGTGTATACAGATTTGCCTGAGCAGAAATGAGAAACTCGTGTCCTTTCAGACTCCTCTTTTCCTGGAGTAACTAGGACTCACATCTATCATTCATATAGTCTTGTTAGAGCTGTCCCGTTCACGTACGACCATAGGATCGAGAAAATTGAGGGTCCCGTCCGCTCCCCTGTACACAAGCTCGATACCGCCGGATCAGTAGTTGGGTCGGTGACGACCAGCGAATCCCCGGTGTTGTACGTGTTGCCTTAGTTTTTTTGTTTCGAACACTGCGGTCGTCCTAGAGATTGTGTCCCGTTTCAGTTTTTGATACTCATCACCGTTGGCAATCCATTTTTGCCCTACAATACCGGTCATGCATTCCATGTGGGAGGAATTGTAGCCCTCTCAGCGTATCAGGAAGAGGTTATTCCGCGACTGCCACTACAGTAGCATAGATCAGTGGATTCGAATGATACCTGTGGCCTCTCTGGGAACCCAGTAACATCGAGCGATGAACGGGGGGCTTCGTCTTCGAGAGTCCCGCTATCTCGTGCCAAGTGCTATCACCCGCGTAGTTGAAGAGTGGTTCGAGGTCCTCCTCTGTGTATTCGATAGGAGCGACGGAAACACTCGCGAGAAACTCGCCTTCGAGGTTCCGGAAAAGGCGATCAGTATAATCAAACCGCTGTCAGTCTTGAGCTGTTCCCATGAGCGGTACGGAGCAATATGTGCCTCTGGATCATCTTGCAGAGCCGGTGGCGCGACAAATTGCGAGCTTGCCATTGCATGAATGTGCTGTGGCTGATGAGCATTGTGTAGCCGAGCTTGCGAGCAGAAGCTTGTTCAAGGGCGACCCTCGTACAAACTGAAAGTCGCTGGCTCCACTTAGCCTTGTCGAATCCAGGATGGGCATTCTGGTGAAGACAGCACAACAGGCAGCAGGAATAGAGTGCTCCATATGCGCCACTTCGTCGAAATGCCGTTCGTCAACTTGCACCCAAATATGAGCTCACCCTATGGTTCTGTGATTGTCTACAATCTCGCTTACAATGCGCGAACCATTTGCACAACTAAGATTGTATGTCGAATCCCACTAGAGTGACGAGAAAACACGCACACACACACACACGCACGCACGCACATAACCTCGGCAAGCGATTCAAGCCCCCCATGTCTCCTAGCAGGCTCAGAGCTAGCCTCTCATGTCCTGCAGAGTGCATCAAGCAGCCGGAGCCTCGGTCACATCAGCCAAGATCAAGTAGTAGCGGAAGTCAGAGGTAAAATGCGCGGGCCTGGTCATGGTTAAAGCGGGTGGTATAGGAATCAACACTGCCAAGTCGCCACGGATCAACACTAAGCTTAACGGTGAACAATAGCAGTCGCTCATCTCCTACAAAAGACTTTTATTTGACGAGTATCACGACTTTGATCTTGACCAACCCAACTCTTTCTAGTAAAAGACCTTGCTGCGGCCGAGGATGTTCCCTCTGTCACGTCTGACATTGCATCACAAGCATCCCTAAGCCATTGCGATTAAAGTCAGCTGGACATCGCCAGTGTTGGACTACTCCCAGCACCCTCGAAGGGGTGGGTCAATGGAGGCTCATTTGGAGGAGGAGCACAGCGAGGCAGATTCAGGGGGCACATGTAACTCTTATGGTAGTCGTTAACAGTCATTGCTGTGCATTGGTTTGTTTTTCTTGTCGCGATATGAGTTACGAAATGATCTTGGCCGTCAAACACCACGCGTAGGTACGCCTCGCACCAGTAAGACGAGCCCGTTCCACTATTGCCACCTCACATAGATTAGCGGGTTCGAGTAATACCCGTTGCCCTTGTTGTTGACCATTGGTTTCGTATATGTCAGGTAGATTGCGTTTTCGCTCTGACTGGCCAGTAGAGCCGGATGTGCTTGGAGAGTGTATCCACCGATGAACCCGTTGCCACTGGGCGCACGATAGAACATCTTGGGCACCTCCCAAGGCCCACCAGGCGTTGGAGAGGTTGAGATCCAGAACTCGGGCACGACTGAGTTCTTGGCCTGGCCAATCCAGACGAAGAGCTTCCAGACCTCGGAATAGTAGAATGTGCCCTGGCCGCCGGCGCTTACGTTGGGAATGTTGAGGCCACCCGCGTTGAGGCCGGGGTTCACTGTAGCCCAGCCCATCATGATGAAATAGCGGTAGGCGGACTGATCCTCGATTTTGTCGACCGGCACCTGGGCAACGCCAACGTTGCCGTCCGCATTTTGGCCGTATATGTAGGCCACGCCATCACGTACGATACCCCCGTAGGTGCCGTAGGGGAAGTCCGAGGCAGCCCAGAACTGCTGTTTGACGAGGGTGACTTTCGGCAGGGCATTGACATCCGTAGATGGTGAGTACTCGAGGCGGTACAGGCTGGTGGGCGGGTCTCTGACGAGGGTGCCGAGGCTGGAGGTAATGTGTGCCTGCTTGATCCAAGTGTACGCGACGATAGTGCCATCTGCGCGTGTCGACGTGACCAAAGGCGGTGCGTCGGGCCAGATGGCGAAGCGGCTGCCATCAGGGCACATGCCCGCACTATTCTCGCCGCACTTATCTGAAGGAATGGGGTAAAAGGGGGTGCGGGTGTTGCGGCCATAGGTGAGAAGCGCGGTGCCGCTCTCGACAGGACTCGTCACCTGTTGTAGCTTGGGCTTCCCGTTGGCACCAAAGTCGGTCCAGGCGGCCGAGCTGGCCCAGACGGGCAGCGTTGGGTTGCCGGAGCTGTCAAAAGGCTGTGAGTCACGGCATACCCACAGCGCCCGGTTGTTGACCCGGACGGAGCCGCACGAGTCGCGGTTGATGGTTGAATCGTCCACCCGTCCGATGATCTCGGGGCTCCCCAGTACAGACGGCGTGAATCCAGTGACGACACCTCCGAGCACAGCCACCGAGATAACGGTCCGGAACAGCATGTTAATGCCAGTCTCGAGATAACTAGAGTAAGTCGGAAGCGAGGCACATGCCTGAAGACTTAGATGTATCAATCTGTGACTGAAGAATGCTCGCACTTCTTGTATCATGCCAATGATGCTCCGGCAGAGAGCTGCTGGATTTATACTTATTGCCAACCCTTTTCTCAGCCGTGGCTTGAGTAGGTCCTGGTGTAGGGCGGCGATGTGCCCGGCATCCTAAGCTCAATGCCGACACCTGCGCCATGTCTTGTTGTGAATGCGCCATGAGATTTGAACTCAGGTCGCGTTGGAGGTCCAGTCATGTGCATGGATCTCAGCCGTACTACGTTGCGCTGGAATAGCTGCCCATGCACGCTGGCCTGCTTGAGGGGAACCTCGTTCGTGCAGGGAAACGTCGCCATTGTCGACCACGACAGAAAACGACCAGGGTATGCACTGGTAACCAGATGGTCGCAGAGAGAGCTTGTGAACCACAACTCGGCGGAGTGTCGTAGCTCGTGCCAAGCGACCCGGCGGGTGTCCATGCCCAGCACCACTTCTCTGGGCGTCTCAACACTGTCCGTGGACGCTGCTCTAAGGTGTTGTCGAGGCCGCAACAAGCACTGCCCGTCTGGGAAATTATGCCCAGTCCAGATCGAGCACGGCAGGCATGTCGTATACCCCAACTCACATGCAGAGGAGAGCCGGGATTGTCAGGTTTGGCATCCTAGTCAAAGTGCGGGGAAGATTGCGCTCTCATCATCGAGAAACCCTACATGTAACCGCCGATGGTGAACGAAAAGCTTACCTCTTTGCGATGCTCCGGCTTCCCGGTGCCTCTTACCAGGACGCAGAAGATCGAACGTGCTTCCGAGCGCGATGATGTTAGCTACTTCCCATCGCCTTGACCTTTCATTTGCATTTGTCTGATTGTGACTCAGGTATGGCAGGTGTCGCGATCGAAACATGCCTTGCTTCTGGTGCTGTGAAGTTCTGGGTCATCGCGACGGCGATTCGGACGATCGACGCGGCACGCATGATCACGACATGAGTCCCGAGTCTCACCAGCTCCCCGACTGAACTGTGTGCTGGCCATGTCCCTGCTCGTCTCACATTCTTGGATTTGAACGGGGACTAGAGAATGGTGGAAACTGATCTTGAGAATACACCGCTGGCAACACCTGCTAAATCGCAATATCTATATACAAGAAAAACCGCAAGAGCATAGCAGATCCTTGTCATCGTCAAAGCCATGCGCCGTCAAACCCTAGAAATGTATATCATTCCACAGTAACCTTCCCTGAGGGAAAAAGGACTAGGTCTAGCCGAAGCTGAATCGCAGAAAACACGTGGTGGCAAGTCGTGAAGAACAGATAAGTGGTACAGCAGAACGAAAAGGGGACCGAGCTCGATGGGAATCCGCCGTACTTTGCAGCAATGATCGATCGGGTACGATGGTGTGAGCCTTTTGAGCGACATGGCCTCCTGACAGCAACGATGGTATTACGGTGTGACATCAATCTGATCTGATGAAATCACCTCAGCCTCGTCTTCCTCGCGGAATTTGATACCGCCTGGTACTTTGATTCCCTCTTTGACCCAAAGTGTCTCGGAAACCTTTTCAAGCGGCCAACGGCTGCGAGCACGCTTCAAAAGTCCCTCAGTGATGTTCATGGCATCTGTTAATCCATCGGCTGCAAATTTTGACTCGTCTGCATCATGATCGCCGTCGTCTCCAGCATACTTGATCCAGCTCCAGTCAACCCGGGCTATGCGGTGGCTTGTCCGGCTGCGCATTCTTTGAACATCGCTCGCGTTTGGATGGGGGTCAAACGGTAACCTCGACTCAATGAGAGCATATAAGAGGACACCCAATGACCAGGCATCGATCGCTCTGCCATCATATGGCTGGCCTAGTATGACCTCAGGTGCTGCGTAGTCATCAGATCCGCATCGTGTTTCAAGTTTCTCATCGTCAGCCACGAATCGTGAGAGCCCAAGATCCGTCAAGGTGACAACCGAGTAAGGATACGTGGTCCAATCTTGTTGTGCATCCGCTAACTCCTGAGGAGGCAAGTTGACTAGGACATCTTTTCGACCATGAATCAGCACTTCAGATCAAATACACCCGGCCACGTAAATTCCAAACCAACTTACTTTCTAACTTGATATCCCGGTGAACGATTCTCCGCTCATGTAGATACCGGACCGCACCGATGATTTCCGAGAACATCCGTCGCATAAGCTCATTCGTTAAGACGTGGCGGTGTGTCGTGGCAATGTCGAAGAGATCCCCCCCAGGGCTATAACTGAGCACCAGTAGAGCCCTTGTAGACTCGATACTCCAAGCTTTGAGGTGAACCACAGATGGATGATCGACTATGCGCATGATCTCGAGCTCGCGCTTGAGGCTCATCTCGACGCGGTTCTCGCAGGCGCCACCCCGAGGCCCGTGTTCACATATCTTGATTGCCACCAAGGTCTTTCGATCCAGAATTGATGGAGATTGCGTGGTGCCTTTCGTAGATTCATCAGAAAAGTTCCCTTCGTCATGATCTGTCCGACTCGTAGCGAGCACAACACGGCTAAAGGTGCCTTGCCCAAGCTCCTTGACGAAGCGCCACCGGCGTAACCTGTGATCGTGTCGACTTCGCGCATCAAAGACCTCGACACGTGGCCGTTTGGCTATGCAGCCCTCATTACTTTGGGACGATTCGCTGGGAGGAGGAGATGGTGGTTTGGCCACAGGTGTAATGCCACGCGCTTGGGACAGGTGCGGCTCTCTCCTTATTGAGTGGTCTGCAGTCGCGTCGTCGTGCTCAACAGGGCCGCTCCGGCGGGTGACTGTGAGTTGTCGCTTGGGCACAGTCTTGGAGTCCGATACGTATTCGCTTATGCTTCTATTGCGGGCGTGTTCATGCTTGCCACTGATACTCTCGTCTACATGGTCGGGTTGCAGACCGATATACGTCTTGCGCTTTCCCTGGTTGGCAATGGCAGAGGCGATGGATTCGCCGCTTGCTGTGACAAGGACTGAGTCATGCATGATCTGGGGTAGAGGGTGCTCGCGCGAGGACGACCGAGGACGTAGGCGATTCCATGGACCGGGAGAGTCGCCCGGAAACAGAGGCGAGGGAAGTGGCGTGACATTGCCCATCGCAGAGATGACTGGACTGGGATAAGCCGAGCTTGGGGTAGAAGCAACGCCCTTTGCAAGCGCTTGCTTCAGGCTCGGAGTGCGTGAAACTGGCTTGAGGCTCGAGGAAGATGCCTTGCGCTGTATCGAGAGACCTTGAAGGGTTCGTGAGGAGGCGCTGTAACTCTCCAGGCTGTCTGTGCGCTGAGGGGCCGTCGGGCGGGAGGCGGCAGTATCAATTGACAAAGAGGCGGCGGGGAAGCCGTGATCGCTGAGGACGGCGTCGAGGGTGGGAATATCGGCCGAAGAGGGGACGGCCGTTGCGGCGGCAAGCGGTGGCGTGGGTGCGACCGTGTGTGACCGGAACTGGAGGTGGTCGACGGCGGAAGGTGCTTGGCTCGTGGAGGCTAGAGAGCGCCGAGGAGCTGGTGGTGTTTGTGATGTCGAGGAGTCATGGTTATGGCTGTGGCTGAGGTCATCGTCGTCGTGCAGGCGGGCGCCGGGGAAGGTGGCAGACATGGCGACGGAGGAGGCGAAGCACGTAAGCCGGGCCGGGCAGGCCTGGATGCCGTGATACGGGAGGCGAGGTGACGGCGCGGTGGGTGGTAGTCAGGCGAGGACGACAAGTAGATGGCGAGTCAAGTGTCGAGGCGCGAGGTCCCTGGCCTGCACACCACCGCCGCCGCCGCAGATAGTGGAGGGGCCGGGGCCGGGGCCGCTAAGCCAGAGTATAACTGTACGTTACGGAGAAGGCTAGGGCAAGATCGCGGGACCTGGTGAGACGCAGCCAACCAGCCTCCACACGCAGATGGCCACAGACAAGTCCCTCACAGCCAGCGGCAATGCCGGTCTGGTTGGTTCCTCGCCGCCCACAGCAGTCGCAAGCACCACGGTGTTTGATGCGGGACACGTACATTAGAAGTGCATGTTTTCGAGGCGCAGTCGTGGAATGACAGATCTGACAAGGCAGGCCAGGCCAGGCCAGAATTAGAAACGGCAATCTGCGCCAACCTCCATCCGCGTCGGCCTCCAGCCATCTAACCAGCCACAGCAGCTCGCCCACTTGGTGCTGAAGTAGTAGCATCTTTACCCCAGCACTTCACCACACCTTGGCTGTTCTGTTTGCGCCCATGACTCAGTATGCAAAGGTGCGCTGATGTCATTCTCCCGCGTAAGTCACGTCGGCCACTGGGAGCGCCGATGCACAACACGGTCTGCGCCGCCCACCACCCATTGGCTCCTGCAATTCGACCCTTGGGGACCTCGCGGCTATCACGAACGCAAACCAAAACAACCATACACGTCCATAAGCACGTCGTACTGCGCCCATCCGCTGCAGCGAAGCACTGGCTAGGTTTTTATCCTTGTTTTTTCTTGAGACTATGCGCCTCGGCTGGATGGTGCACAACCGTGCAGAACAAGACCTCTGCCCAACACTCAGGCACATGCCCATGTGAACGTGTCTGCAAACATAGTACAGAACCCGGGAAGATCACCAATCCTGCTTTCTGCCATATTACAGCGAGCCGCACCTTGAGCCAGGTATCGCTCCGTCATGCGAACGGAGGAGACCATCAAGTCTCGTGTCGTACGTGCCTTTCAACTACGCACGTAGTCCTGTGCTGGCTTCATGTTATTATAAGCACGAGGCGTTGCCTCTTGTTCTCATGTCATGTTGGCGCACTCATTCTCCACTTTACCTTTCTATTTCACGAACCAATTTGGGATCTTGCGAAGACCAAACCATGGCTTTCATGGTTTTCCGTGCCGAGTTCTCGCTTCGTCAAATCTCTCCACGGAGTCTTGCCAGGCAGCGCTGCTCTGTAACTGGACTGTTAAATTTCTTTACTTCGAGTGGTGCCTCGATAACTTGGTGTGCAGACCTTGAAATGTCAGAGGGCGGCACGAAATGGTGACTTTCGTAGCATCAAACAACGATCTACCCATACTTCCAGACAAATCTAAAACTTGTTGGTGTGGTGACGCAGCTGGATCACCTTGGCATCCCTTGCATTTGTGGAACATGGCGGGCACCTTAGTAACTCCTGACGTCTCCAAACTACACGTGGCTCACCTGCTATCAGCAATACTGAGTGCGTCAAGGAGTTGAATCGTCATATCCACGGTTGCAATTGCGGCGCATGCTATTCTCTAAATCCTTGTGAGCATCGTTGACTTCACATGAAATGGGGCAGAAGGAAGTCAATCCCCCAAGTCAGCCATAACTCTATGAAATGCGTTCAGTCCTAGTCTTGAGTGTTAGTGCACGTGAGACAAGCGTTGGGAGCGGCATCCACTCGCGGTTGAAAACTGCAATGGATGACGAATGTGGGGAACGGTGACATTCATATCGTGCGATCGTGTCGCTGGTTATTCCCAGGATCAGGTTACATCGTCTTGCAGTTCGACTGACTGACCTCCACATGTAATCTCGACTGCCTATGTCTTTACTCTGGCCGCCTACGTATAAGCATAGGACATTGAGTCTGCCGACCGCTACGGTGACGTACTTTCATCCCCATCGCGTTTGCCACGTGGGAATCTGCATGTGTCGACAGGCGAAAGTGCTCTACGCCATTTGCCCGATTGAGCACTCCTGCATATAGTTTATTGGTTCGGTACAGTGCTCCTGCTCAAATCAGGTTTGAAAGATGAACTGCTAAGTCGAGCTCGACTGAGCAGCGACACCGTGGTACAGTCTACAGACGATGTTCTCTTGGATATCAGAATGACTGGTCCCTGTATACCTCCCCCTTGTCCCTTGTCTCGTGGTGAGGTATGGAAGTAGCATCCGCTCTGTGGGGGGAATTAAGAGAATAAAGCAAACAAACCTCAGTGGAACACCGTTCCGGCGCGACAGTGAAAGGGCTCCACGCAACTCACCCAATGACAAGACACCCCGAGCGGCAAGGCAACCGCCACTGTTCCGGGCGAGAGAAGCGTGCAGGTCAGAGACAAGACAGGCCGTGCTTGAACGGGCAGCAGTTCCTCACTGCTTCTGGATAGGGCAATGTTGCGAGCTGTGCTAATTTGGTTGTTTCTTTCCACTGTCCCGACACGATGTGTATCCTGTCAGGAGACATTCCGTACTCCACCAATGCTCGGACCGGACTCGCATGTGGGGAGTCTTGCGCCATACTAGAATTATATATTATTATTATTAGTACGCGTTACCTAGTTAGGTTTCGCGAGCCTACAAATCTATCGTATAATAAACCGTACCGAAGCCGGATAAAAAATATACGCTACGTATTCGGTACGCCTAAGCGGCGTCTTCGCTGCGTGGTTCCGTCGCGTATCACGAATGGCTCTCACCAGCCAGACGTTCTTTGGGCGAGATTGGTCGCCTCCCTCCACGCCTCTAAGCCGGTGCAGCTCCTGGGTATGTGTGATTTCTAGGGGCGCGTGCACCCCGTCAGCGCTGCGCGGGCGCATCGTCAGCGACGCTCCCTCTCGCGGAGGTCGTCGTGTATGTCGGCTTCAGTATCCGGGGCAACCAGCCCGGGGCCCCTGTGCCCGCATCGCCTGCGCTTCGTGTTCGCTGCATTCTCGCTTGTGCTTCGTCCTCCCGTGCTTCCCGCGTCCCCTGTTCCTGTGCCGCGGCCTCCTCGCCCGCTCTAGCGAAGTGGGGGAGTAGGTTCTCCGCGATGAGCCACCGGGCCACCTTCTTGCTAAGCTGCGGCTGGTCTAGTAGCGCTGCTAACTCGCGGCTCCCGCGCGGCGGGCACTTACCGGCGTCGTGCCACATCTTTTCCCGGCTCGCTCTAAGTGCGTCGCAGTGGAGGAGGATGTGTTCCCCAGTCTCAAGGGCTTCCTCGCACCGACAGAGCGGCGACGTCACGCCGGGGGCGCCTATCTTGTAGAGGAGCGCGCGGGTGCTTAGTCGTCCGGTGCGTAGTTGGATGAGAATGGAGGACTCGAATTTCAGGAGGCCCTTGTGCCTTTTGATAGTCGCCGCGCGGTCTTCTGCGCATGGTCCGGCGCCCTGCGCTCGCGCAGCGCTCCAGCGGTCCTCCCACCCCTCAGCGAGTGCGATTTTGGGTGAGGACCCTCGGGTCCACGCGCGGAGTGCATCCGCTCGGTGCGTCAGGACCTCGTCAGGTTTCGGCAGTAGGTTGATCGCCGTTGAGTTCCGTTTCCGGCGTGCCCAGAGCGCGCGGTTTACGATACCCGCCGCTCGCGCGCACGCGATGCGTATAAGCTTCTCTTTATCCTTCCGCTCGATCCGTTCCTGGAAGCTTGCGGCGATATAGTTTAGGTGTAGGTCCAGGGGGGAGACGCAGGCTTCAGCCTCAAGGTACTTTATAGGGGTTGATCGCGGCGCCCCACAGACAACGCGGAGGCACTCCGACTGTATCGATGCGAGTTCGCTGCTCGGGCCCGTCGCTTTCTTGCCGGTCCTTGGTGTGGGGGTGTGCCAGACGCTGGCGCCGTATGACAGGGCGCTACGTATTACCATAAGGTATATCTGCCGCGCGCGTGCGAGGCTACATCCCCACGTAGTCGCTGCTAGCCTCGTGAGCGCGAGGGTCTGGGACTTCATCTTCGCCTTCGTCCTTTTTATATGGCCCGTCCACCGGAGTTTCCTGTCCAGCCAGACGCCAAGGAACCTGGCCTCGTCGACCGGTTGTACCTCCACGCCGTCAAGGCGAACGCTCGTCGAAGGCGCCGCGTGTGCGCGTGTCATATGTATGAGTTCGCTCTTCGCTGGCTCAAACGCCATCCCCATTTCCTCCGCCCAGACCTTGCAGGTAGTCCAGGCCCGTTCGAGGGCGCGAACGGTATCGGCCGGGTCCGTGCCGACGGCCATTAGGTTTGTGTCGTCGGCGTAGCCGACGATTACTAGCTGCGAGTGCGCGGCTAGTGCATTATATAGCGAGGAGATATAGAGCAGGAAGAGGACCGGGGATAACGGTGAGCCCTGGGGCACCCCGGCCCGAACAGGGAGGGGATCTGACGTAGCACCGTCGAAGCAGAGTTGCGCCGTTCGCGAGTCGAGGAAGCTGCGCACCCATCCGACTACCCACTGGGGGAATCCCTTTCGTCGGAGCACCTGGAGAAGCCTTATATGGTCCACCGTATCGAAGGCCCCCTTAATGTCGAGCTGAAGTAGCGAGACGAGGCCGCCTCGTGCCCACGTCGTATGCGCTACGTCGTGGACGAGCTTGACCGCGAGCTCAGTGGAGCGGCCCTCGCGGTTGCCCATCTGGCCTTGTGGGAGCAGAAGGTGCGTTTCCGCAGCGAGTGCGACTCGCTCAGTTAGTATCGCTTCAAGGAGCTTTCCAATTGTGCTAGTAAGCGAGATGGGCCGCCAGGCTGCTACCGTTCCCTTTTGCGCCTTCGTCTTTCCAGGCTTAGGTATAACTACTACGCGGGCGCATCGGAAGCGCTGCGGGAAATAGCTTAGTGCGAAGGAGGCGTCCGCGATGTATGCGAGTTCTTGGTGCAGCGGTGGTCCGCAGTGTAGGAGTAGGCCTGACGGGATAAGGTCAACCCCAGGGGCCTTCCACTGCGACGTCTTTTGGAGCTTCTGCGCTACGTCCTCGGTGCTCACCCGCCTCTCGATCTCGATGGATTTCTCCGGGGCAGGTCCCGGCTCATTAGCTCCGTGTGTGATAATAGGTGCTGGAAAGAATCGGGCCGCAAGAACCCCAGCCTTCTCCTCGTGCGTGCGCGCTAGTTGCGTATCGTCTGCGCTGCGCTGTAGGTCGGGGATTCTCCCAGAGTCTGCCGGGGCGGAGCTTCGGAGCCGCGCCCACTTCTCGAGAGCCCATATATCGCGGTCCCTTTCCGATGCGACAGCGAGCCAGTGGCGCCACCGCCTCGCCTGCGCGTCGCCGATCGTGGTCTTCTGGTTCCGTGTCGCGTCTTGCCACCTCTGCCAAGTATAGGGGCCGGGTCGTGCTGTATACTCTCTCCTGGCCGCCTTGGCCTTGTCGCATGCATCCTCCACCTCGGGTGACCACCAGTCCGCCCCCCCGCCTTTAGATCGTGTGCGCTTCGGTACCGCCGCGTTCGCGACTTGTTCAAGTTGTAGGATTAGCCAGTCCACCCTGCTATCGAGTTGGGCGGGCGTGAGCAGCGGGGGCGGCATGCCCTCGAATCGTCGCTTCGCCTCGAGTTGGGCCATCTTCTTGTCGAGCATCTTCCAGTTCCATCCTTCCGGCTCCGGGCCCTGCGGGACCGCGGCTTCCGCGATGCGTATAAGCTGCGAACGGTGGTCGGACCCTTCAAGCCCTGCATCCCCCTCGAAGGCGACCCTGATGTCCCTGGAGGCCCACGTATAGTCAATCGTTGAATCCCTATGACCGTGGCGTTGTCGTGTGATTTCCCCGTAGGGCGTGGCTAGCTCGAGGCGCCAGCGCTGCGCGAACTCGAGGAGCGCGGCGCTGTGGATAGAGGTCCGGCCGTGCAAGTCCCAGAGCGGGTGGTGGGTGTTGAAGTCCCCTACGAGTACGTGCCGCCCACGCGGCGCCATCTCGGGGAGGTCGCGTAGTGGGCTGTCCCAGCTCTCCGGGTCCGTCTGGTTCGGGGAGTAGATGGACCATATATGTATCGCCGCGTTCTCGGCTCCGAAGGTAACGACGCACCAGTCGGTGCCCCCGCGCTGCGCCCACGTAGCTGGGTCGTGTCGTTTATGCACATATAGCGCCGCCCTGCCTCCCTCGTAGACCGCTATGTAGCGGCAGCGGCTGGGGCAGTAGACCCCCCCTGTGTCCCTGTTGGTCCAGGGCTCCTGTATCGCGATGACGTCGTACTCGGCGCGGCTTTCTAGCGCGAGCGCTGCGTTCTCTCTGCTTGCTGCGGTATTCCAGTATAGGACTGAGAGCTTCATGTTGATCGGGTTGAGCTCGTCTCCGGTGGTGCTGCGATCGATCCTCCATCGCCGCGCCTTCGCTTCGCGGGCGCAGTGAACATTGACGTTATGGCCCTGTCCTGGCTCCCCCCGACGCTCGATACTGTTTGCTTCCGTGGGCGGCCGCGGGGCCTTGAGGGTTCTCTCCCCTGTACGACCTGCCACTCGTCGCGCGTCGTTGTCGGGGCGGGCTCCCCGCGGGCGCTCGTTGGTGGTACCGTAGTGTGGTTTTCACTCCGGAGTGCCGACACGGTCGATACGCTGTCGGCCACCTCGAAGCGGCGGGCCCGGTGAGCGAACGCCTCACGGACTCGCTCGCGCTCCGTCTGCGCTGCTCTGCAGCGCCGGTCCCACGCCGCGTGTGGTCCTTGGCAGTTAACACATGTCTTTCTGGCGCTCGGCGCCGCCTTCGTGCAGTTCTTTTCGCCACCTTCGTGCGCGGCGCCGCCGCAGTGCCCGCACCTCGGCTTAGCCTTGCATACCCGGGCTCGATGGCCGTAACCGTAACAGTTGTAGCATTGGAGGAACCGGAGGCTGGGGTCGTAGGGCTCGCAGTCGAAGATCCGAGCTTGCCAGACTAACCCGCGCTGGACCAGCTCCTGCGCTGCGCTTACGCCGTTCGTGAAAATAATAAGCGACGCGCTTGCTGCCTGGTTGTTCCTGGGGAGGTCCCTCTTGCACCTCGTAATGCCCACCTTATTCTCCGTCGCTAGATGCGCAGCTAGAGCGCGCTCGTCGTGTGCAGCCGCTAGTAGCGCCGTTGGCAAGCCCTTCGCGATCACCGCGACTTCGCGGTGCCTCAGGACCGCTCCCCGGCCGAAGGCCGCCTCCACCCACTGGTCGTCGCGTCCGGGCTTAGCTGCCTTGCTCGCGAAGGTAATCATAACATCGCCGGATTGAAGGCGCATCGCTGCTACGGCGTCTCCGCCGCGCAGGGCCGCGTTCACTGCCTCTACCGTGGCTTTGGGGTCCCTGTCAGGGAGTGTATTTCCCTCGGGGGCCGATATTATCGCCTGTCTCTCCCTGCGTTCAGGGACGACAACCCGGGGTTGCCATGCGCTGCTACTAAGCTGCGCGCTCGACGCGACCGCGGCCCATGTGGGTTTCTGTTTCTTCTCCTGTGCGTCGATGGTTGCTTGTACGGTTTTCGCGATAATGGCTTCGATGTGTTTGTCGGTCGTGTGGGTACGCGTCGCGCTCGAGGCTCGGTCGCGCCGCACGCGGAGGGCGTAGAATTTCTCGAGGAGGTCGTGGAGGCGCGCCTTATCCTCAATCCCAAAGACGTCGGCTATTTCTTGTTCGACGGTCGAGTCCTGCGTTCGAACGCTCGCCTCAGTGTCGCCTTCGGTGTGCGCGCGTGTCGCCTGCGGCGCCTCTGCGCTGCGGCCCGCGTGCGGGTGGTGTTGACTCTGATCGAGCCCGGCACCAGCCCCCACGATAACCATCGGCTCTGCCATTCCGCGCGTTCGATGCGCGGACGATGCGGGAGCGCCTCTCTGTCCTTTCGGACCTGGAGAATCGCGCTATAATAAAAGATCGATGAAGGAACACGTTATGGGCGAATTATTCGATGAAAAGCTCTCTGTCCATTTTCTGAATTATATAACAACAGTGCTGGTTTACCGCATAGATCTCGACTTCTATCCGAGGACGACCCGTCCCGCTGTCGATCACGGCAGACACACACCAAATTGCAAGCCACTAAGCGTGAACTAAGACTATTTGGGAAAAAGCCAATCTTAGGCACGGCACGCCTGTCCCAAAACTGACAATGGACCTGCAAGCCAGCATATGGCCACATGTCACAGGTTGCATTCTACTGGTTACGCAGCCACCTGTGTGTCGAGAAGTGTTCAAGCGAGGTCTATCAGAGAAAGGATCGTCATTCATCACGGCCAAGGATCAGTGTGCTGATATGCAGCCGCTTGATTGCCGCGCCTGTGCAGGTCAGCACAGCGAATCACAAGGACATGGTGACCATGAAGAAGAAGGTCCCCTGAACGACCATGACGGTTGATTGATTATCACCAGAGTATTAAAGCTCGCTGCAAATGCGGATACTTTGCCTCTTTGCTGCTTGTCTCCTACGTGCAGTCGCCAACGCCAACGTACACCTCGAGCCAACGGACTGTGCCTGGGCCATAGCTTCAACTCACCTCTAATGTTATGACCATGGCGTCTTTCCTCAAAGCGGTGTTACGCCTCATCTTAGAGGCCAAGCCTCAGCCCGCCAAAGCCGGTATCGACGGGGAACAGGGCATAACCGGAGTGGCAGACGAGAAACGACCGGCACCGTCGCATAGCCTCTGGCCATCCAATTACGAATCTCAACAGACCGTGCCAACCCAGCCCAGTCACTTGATTCCTGAAAATGACTCTCTGCTTCTATATAGACTGATGATGGGCATCTCGGCTGCACCACATCTAGGCTTCGACCTAGAAGCGAACGGTGGAAGGCGGCCTGCCGCCAATCTCGGCATCTACGCCCGCGTCGTGCACGCTGAGCAGAAGGCCAAAGACAGCTTCAAGGTCTTCTCGGTCATCATCAATGGCTGCTACTTTCTCCAGATCATCGTTGCCGCAGCCCTTACGGCCATGGGAGCCGCCAATGCGAACAACAAGGCCATCACTGCATTTGGCGCGTTCAATACCATCATTGCAGGCCTCCTCACGTTCCTGAAAGGATCGGGTCTTCCGGCACGTTATAAGTACTACGGCAACGAGTGGAAGAAGATCCGCCAGTACATCGAGCAGCGAGAGCGCGACTTCTCCCGCCAAGGGTGCACACTGGACGTCTATCACGTAGCCGAAACGATTGAGAAAATGTACGCCCACATAGAGCAGGAGATCGAAGCCAACACACCGGACAGCTACACGTCGGTCACTCGATCTTCGCAGCAGCTAGGCATCAACAACGCCGACAAGATCGGCGGTATGGATGTGTCCAAATTGGAGGGCTTCGCGTCGAAATTATCCGGCCTCGACAGCACCATCGCCAAGATCACTGCAGGTCTCAAAGACAAGACGCAAGGGCTGACGCAGGGACTTCACGAACGAGAAAAGGAGGTTGAGGCTGAAGTACGCCGAGTGGAAGAGTCGGTGGAGAAGCACGTGCAGGAACATAAAGACAAGCTTGCACGCGAGGCCCAGCTGCGCAGGAATGAAGTCGAAAGCGTTCGTGAAACGGCCAGCGCCGCCGTCGCAGACAGATTTGCAGATGTCACAAGGTCAGCTGGCGCCCAAGTGAGCCAGATAGAGAACTTGGCACACGGACTTGCAGACCGAGCGAAGCAGGTCGAAACTGTAGCAAGCCACGGTCGAGTGGCAGGGGCTCAGTTGGCAGACGATCTGGCGCGAGCTGTGGCAGGCACACCACGTGCAGACGAAGCCAGGCAGAAGTCGGCGGAGCCATCACACTCAGCAAGAGATTAGGCTCAGCGAAGGATTCCATGAAGTGGCGATAAAAGGAGCGGAACTGTAGCTACGTGCAAGCACTCAGTAAACTACCTGACTTACATGGGTGCAACCAGTAATGATCACAGCTTGGGCCATAATACCATGCGGACTCCTAGGGGTCGGGACCCGACATTAAGATCTCGTGCACACCAACATGCTTCGAGGTACTTCCTCAACACCTGTGGGGCCTAGACTGGTACTTTCGATGCAGCCCCACCTTGCCTTTCCACTTAACGCGACCTCCCACGTGCGACGCGTCCGCTGGTGCGCAATCAGGCACAAAGTCGCGTCTCCCTCAATCGACTGTTGGCATCGAACCTCACGAGCCAACACCAAGACATCACCACTGCAGCTTCGAACCCGCCACAGCCCAGATTTGCCGTCTCAAGCGCACAATGTTGAGGCAGGACTTCAACCGTATCGACCCCAAGAGGCGCAATGTCCTCGATCATCGCAAGAAACAGTTTGCCGACCCAGCCTACAGAGAGAACGTGTACCCCCACCGCCTCAACATCTACGCCACGCCACCCACAGCCGACATTACACTCGAGCAGTTTGAGCAATGGGCCATTGATCGCCTGCGTATACTAGCAGAGCTCGAAGCATGTTCTTTTCGAAACAAGTCATTTCAGGAGACGTTGGCGCACATGAAGCCTCTGCTTGACAAGTACCTGCCTCTGGAGTCAAACACATCGTCGTCTACGCGCCTCGCCGCCGAGAGGCAAAAGGATCACTACAGCCACTTCATCCTCCGCCTTGCCTTCTCTTCCACTGAAGACCTGCGCCGCCGCTTTACCCGCGTCGAGTCAACGCTGTTCCGCCTGCGACTAGAACTGGACAGCCCGAAAGAGCGCATGGAATTCGTGCAGAGCCTCAGTCTCGATTGGGAGCCTGTCCCGACGGAAGAGCGAACGGCGTACATGGCGGAACTGGCTGCCATTAGCGGCTTCCGTAAGGGTGCTGTGGACGAAGAGACATATTTCAAGGTTGACTGGGAGCGTGTCCCCGACCTTGTTGAGAGCCGGCGTGTGTTCCTGAAGAGCGGCAAGGCATATGTGCCGTCCAAAGAACTGTCTAGCATGGTCTCTGTTGAGTTCACGAAGAGGTTAGAGAGAGCCCTCGAGGTAAGTGGATCGCAATTTGTAGAAATTGATCGGCCAAGCTGCCAAACCTCTCGAGCGGTGGACCATGTGCTAACTTGAGCTTCGATGTCGCAGCTGACTGCTCGAGCCTTACCACGTCTCGACGAAGACGATCGATTGACGCCAATACTCGACCACCTGTCTAAAAACTTCGTTACGCCAGACTCATCTTACAGCAGCGGCACTTCAGACGTGCCGGGCGCCGACATTAGCGCTCGTAATATCGACAACCTCTCCACACATTTCCCACTGTGCATGCAGCATTTGCACAGGTCGTTACGACGAGATGCCCATCTCAAGCACTTTGGACGCCTGCAATACACATTGTTCCTGAAAGGCATTGGTCTCAACCTCGAGGAGTGTCTGGTCTTCTGGAGAAGCGCCTTCCACAAGGTCACAGACGATCAATTCAACAAAGAATATCGGTACAATGTCCGTCACGTATATGGTGATGTTGGAGGAGACTCCAATCGTCGTAGCGGCGGATACTCCCCCTTTTCGTGTCAGAAGATATTGACGGAACACCCACCAGGACCCGGCGAAGCGCATGGTTGCCCATATAGGCACTTCAATCTTGACAACCTGACTGCTTTGCTACAGGGCGTGGGTATCAGTGACCAGTCTGTATTGCGAGGTGTCAAGGAGGACAAAGAGAAGCAGAAGTTCCATCTGGCTTGCAATAGGTCAGTCCGCCGACATCTTTACTACGTTGCAAGACTAAACCCCGAGTTTCGGCGGACCTCTATTCCGATCTCACTCGAGAATGATTGTCAAGATGAGGGGCTAACATTGAGGTGACATTAGGGTTTTCGAGCACGTCCACAAGAATGAGATGAAGCAAGCTAAGGACGAGGGCATCATGACGTCTGCCCAGCTTGAGACCATTGTTCATCCCAATGAGTACTTCAAGCGTAGCTATTTGCTGAAGAATCTGGGCAAAGTCAAGAGCGAGGACGTCAATATGTCTGAATAGGTCATTGTGTTATCGCTATGGTGTTGAGGTGCTCATGATGATCGGAATGGAGGCTGGGATCGCTGGACAAGAGTCCCATGGACTGCCAACGCGCACAAGATCATTCATGATTGAGATGGGAGCGGATCATTCATGTTCTTCAGCTATGATGCGTAGCATGGGTCGCCGGTTCTGCAGATAGCATGATATCAGGAAACCGGAATCCGACGGACGGAAGGACGGAAGGAGTTCATAGGGAGTTCAGAGTCAACATGTCGTCTATTTTATTGCCGCTGTCATGACAAATAACTTGCATGCCCTCTGAAGTCTCTGTCCTTGACTTGCTTTCGACGGATCACACGGCTTGATTGGGCCGGCGCAAACACTAGCAGCAGGGGGAATGGCTCCTATGAGGAGGCTGTCATTTTGTGAGCCATTTCGGGCTGGCCTGATGTGGAATTCGCTGTAATCGTGGGCAAGGCCTGAGCGCCGCAATGTCTTACCTGCGAAACCTCACCTGGGACACTTACATGGGGATCTTGATCTCGCTCTGGCGAAAGACGCACTACACTAGACCGGCATGATCATGGGAACGATACTTATCGCAATCTCACAACATAGAACAATGAAGCCAGAGTGTCGGACCCCAAAATTCGCCGTAGCCCGTCCTTGGCTGCAAGGGCGTTGTCGTTGTTGAAGTAACATTGCGCATATGGTGAGAGGCCCCGCATAAGCCAACATACCTTACAGGCAAGCCCGCGCCTTTTGTCTGCCATTGTGACATGGGGCTAACCTGATGTATGTGTGTTACAGCCAGCGTCAAAGCGAGTCCCACTCTACATGGATCTGGCTTTCTGCCGGCACAGGAACCGTTCATACGGTGCGCGCTATTCGTGGCTACAGGTGTGCGACTTTGGCAGGCCTGACTTGCCGAATATAGACTCTGATCTTTGAGGACCAACCAAGGAGAAGGAAAACAGAAGTAGGCGGACTCCACGGCGGGGTCTGCAGTGCCGGGGTCGTGGACCACCGTCCCTGGCCGTCCCAGAACACTGAACCACACCGATGAACGGTCACTTCGCTCGATTTCTGAGGCTTGGGGCTGTGGAGAGCAGATGTGCTCACGCCCAGCAGGCAAAATTTTCTGCACAGGACCCTGCTTTTGTTGGTACTGGAGCCAAATGACTCGACTCGTCCAGGCCCAGAGAGGCATACACGTTCGGTGGGTGAAAATGCTCCTGGCCGCGACAAGACATTCCCCACGAATGACATCCCTGATCAGCTGCGCTGTTGTTGTTCCTGCGTGGCTGCCGATGCAGGGTAGGGCAGGACAGGTCAACGTCATGGATGGAGCATGGCTGAGAGAGAGCCCCGAGGAAGGAACACGTAGGATAGGACGAGATAGGGACGCCAGATGTGTGCAGCAACGCCCTGCAGACACGAGACTGGGGAATACAACCCTGGACAGGCTTCTTGTTGATGAGACGGGTCAAGTGCAGGGCCACATCTGCACAATGATGTCGGCCACGCATGACGTCGTTGGCCCCCCGCCCTTCCCAGGCCTCTCGTCCCCCTACCCTGGAAAAAATGAGCGCACCCTTTTGTTCTGCACGATGGCCTCACCTGCCTACCTGTGCATGACTGTAGGGCATACGCACATCTCACCTGCTTGGAGCCGCAGACATACATGCGGCCAACTGCAGCCACGTCTTGGTCACAGCCACCACAAACCCCAGACTGCTGCCGCATGTTGTAGTGGCCTCCGCCTGTCCGGTCTTCGTGGTCCAAGAATAGAAACACATTCAAGGCACAACAGTAGCCACAACTGAGGTGCGGGTATCAATCTGCTTGTCACTATCGCTGTCTTGTCCTGTCGTGCAGGTCGTATATGGACAATTCACCGCAGGTGCACGCAGTGCGCATAGCTCCCTGTCGACCGGTGCTCAGCCCCTCGGCGAGATCATCCGCCAGGGGGGTGACCCTTAATTGCCCATCCCGTTTCAATGGATTGAGATTGCCGCTGGTCTGCAAACAATAGGATCGGCATACATGAAACCCTGGCAGAAAGTTCGGTATGGAATGTCACGAACAGAGTTTCGATGGATTCACTTCCGGCATCAGTAGGAAATGAACTTTCGCACAAACCAGGACTGTTAGACATACTGTTGACTTCCAGCCTGGACGACCTCTTCTCTTATCCTTCGCATCCGGACGACATCGAATAGCACAATCACTTTGGCTGAAGCAGGTATAGGACGTGGGCAGAAATATGTAGAATGGATTGATACTGATACAGCTCTAAAGACTAAACCCTATGGCGCCCTGTGTGACAAACCCCGGTGATATAACGAAATCCAAAAAGCCACACTTCCTGGTCAAGAATGCCACGGATCCAGCCGGGTCCCCTGTAATTATGCATGCAAGTGACAAAGACAGAAGCGAAGAGTGGTAAGAAATCCACCATCAAGTTCGAATGCTAGCAGTATTTTGGATCAAACAAGGGCGGCCGTGGCCGTCGAGCGGAGATGAGGTATTGAGGCTCCAGGTACCCAGCAGGTGACACCAGTCAACGTCAGTGGCGCCGACTTCTGAAGGTGTAGCGCAAGCCAAGGAAGAGAGCAGGGTGCTCAAATGAGCGAAGGTCGATGTGGGGCTTTGCATTCTTCAAGCGCAGTGTGATTGGTTTTCTGGGTCCCACCCAATCATAATGACGTCTGTCTGCTGGCCCCCAATGTCGTGTAGCACGAATGAGAACCGAGCTGACGATACCCTCATGACGCGGCCGTGTAGGACACACCGTGGATGAAAACCACTTTTGGGCCATGTCGTGTATAGTGTGTGGTACTGTTCGAAGGACTCATTGGGTGTGCTGTGATGACGACCATGAAGGTGGTCCCCCCAAAAAGGCGAAGCTCGGTCCAGGCCGAAACAAGAGTCCTTGCGGGCATGGACATTATGTTCGGGGAGGAGATTCATGCCAGCTGCCTGAGACGCTCTAGTGAGGAAAGCTCAGTGCTCAGTGGCATCCGCGTCCATAGGCCGAGTTTGCGCGTCACCGTGCTTCTCGTCTGCGCAGACGAGAGCGTCTGGTGGGTGTGTGATCAAGCAAACACGAAACATTGAAAACGTGATTTGCTGATCGATGGACGATCCCTGTGAGCCCTGCTTGGGACAGGGTCAAGTGACCATCATATCTCGTGGCGATAGCTAGGAAGACTGGCGACGGCTTCATTTGTAGCCGGTGGCTTTGGCGCACGACTTGCAGTAGTAGATGTTGTAGCCTATGCTGATCATGCCCGCTGAAGCAGCATCGTCCGTGGTCGTGGTTTCGACGCTTTTTGCGCAGCGCATGCATCGGAGAATCTCGACAGTTGCAATGGGTGGGCTGTCCATGCTGTAGCGAGGAGAGTAATCGGAGGCGGAAGAGGAGTAAGAGCCAGAGCTAGAGGCAGACGAAGTGCTCGTGAAATGATGACTGGCAGGGCGCGCAGACATGTTGGTGGTAGAAGAGGTCGTTGGGGCGCGGCGGGGATGGGTTGGTGTATTTTGAGGGTGCCGGGAAAGACGGCCGGGCCCGAGTATTTAACCAGAGGGCTGGAAAGCCAGGGTGTGAATGAGAAGGTGCGTGCGTGCTGGAGCGTCGTGTTTTGCTGTCGTTGATGTGTGTTGGGTTCGAATGCACGGGAAGTCGAGGCAGGGACCAGGCTGGGAAATGGTGGATGAGGTGGATGGCTCTGAAGAAATAAAGGATGGGCGTGCCTTATTAGAGAGCAGGGCCAGGGGGGGTGGAGGGATTGTGTCAGACCTTCCGAGGCCCAGCAAGGCCCAAGAGCAAGGTCGGGGGGTGTGGGTGTGGGTGTGGTGCCGTGGTGTCCAGAGCACAGTTGCTGCAGCCCAACGGTGCCCACTCCACAAGTGGGGAGGGGGTGGGTGCGTGTGCTAGGACAGGGAACACAGGCACGAGTCGAGGATTGTCCCCAAGTAATGGCGGGCTGCCAGTTTCGAGTCTATTGTGGTTGCTCCCACAGCCCCAGGAAGGGAGGTTTGGCCAAGATTGGAGAGGGTCTCGAAACGAAACAAGACAGCGACGTTGGCTGACCTGCCCAGCGCAATTGTGGGCGCACACTCGCACGATGATGCCCCCTAGTTAGTGGACAGGGTGAAGCAAAGTACGTGCGCTGGTGGTTGCGGGTGAGGAAATAGCAAGAGGCGTTCGTGGCCGACACAAATGGCCCGGTCTCGACCGCACAATGGGCTTCGGGGCGGTTCACTGTTCGCCGTTCGTGGCAGAAGGCGCGGCTCGTGGCGCACTGGGGTGGTGCAGCCCAGATTTGATGCTTCAGGCAGAGTCTAGACAGGCGATGCAGAGCCTGTGGCTTTGAAGGAGACGTTCTGTGTCAATGGTGGTGGACCTGACGCTCGCACACGGCGCAAATAATATCAAGACGATGAGCGCCTGTGCCTGATGTCGCCCGGCTTGGTACTTCTGGAGACTGTAGCTGCCTTTGTGGATAGCTGATGGCGTCTGTGGCCCAGCTTGAGGCGCGGCCCGGTGATGCTGATGTGGGAGAGAGGAGAGCAAGAGGAATGCCAGTGATATGTTACCTGTCCCTTTGCGTTTTGAGGAGGCAGGATGCGATCTTGCTTGGGACCGGGAGCAAGCCAAGTGGTATCAAATATGTATTAATTTCTCCCCAACGCCGTCCTGCTCCTTGCCTACTTTCTGCCTGCTGCCATCGCGATCCGCAACCATCGTAGCCTCGGTGGCCGGGCGATGGCGATGCGGCAATGTCGACGCTACTCTTACCAGCCCGCACCACCACCTGCGAGGAGGCTGCCGCGTGCTGGGCACATGGCCGAAACTATTACTTGATGCTTCGATGCACGATCGCGCGCGCGGCATGCTCTCTTGGCCACAGTGTCCGTCGCTCCCGACCCCCTCACGGGTATGCACAACTGGGAAACTTGATTGATTTGTCCCAGTCTCGGTAGTGCGTGGCTCATCGTCTAGAAGATGCATGGCACGCCTGGCGCACTTCCAAATCATTCCTGGGGCAACGAGCGCTGGCCCGCCACTGTACAAGGAAAGACCCGATGCATGAATCAATATGATGGGATCGTCCTGCTGTAAACGACGATTGAGCGTCGATCCGTCGGCTGCCTCTGACTCTTTTCTACGTGTTGCTATGTCCTAGAGTGGCCTAGGCACAATGAATGGACCAGCAAAATCGGTTGTCAGATTGTGCCTCAGAGGGCGATGGAGCAGAAGCAACGGAACCAACCGTGAAGAGTCTGGACAGCGGGAGAGCGATCAAAGGGTCCAGACTGCGAGCGGCAACCCGATGGCAGCGCCCAAAGTCTGATCTAGACCATGCAGATCACTTGGCCCCCGCTGGCTTTCCAGGCCCTGGCGATCTCAGCTTGAGTGTGCAATCTCGACAGTGCCGCAAACCCCGCCATGTACCCAGCCAGGTATAGTGCTTCTTGTGCCAGCTATCTGCCCTCGCCCGTCTCTCATTATGCCCAGTCCCTGTTGTCGTGCTGCCAACTCGCCAACCAAGGTACGTGGGTGGGCGAGGTGAGTATGCACGCAACATGGTTTCCATCTACAGTCCTGCGCAGCGCACTTGCCACTGCTGCTGTTACGACACGCCGTTCCGTTCCTCTCCAGTGCGCCCGTTGGTGCCGCCCGCACGACTCCGAGGAACGTGCTCTTTCCCTCGGCAACGAGGACAATTAGAGTTGTTCCCAGCCTGTCACAACCACATGACTCACCTCTAGTGCTGCTAGTCTTGTCCTTTGCTCGGTTTACCAAGGACAACTGGCTGAAGCTCCTCCTTGCCACATATGGATTCCTGTGTCATTTGTGTGCACAGATAGAGGCAAGCTCCTCCATCTACACTTTGCCATGGCAACGAGAGGACAGCGCGGGGTTTTCTTTTCGTCTCCTTTCCTCCTGGCCACAGTCTTTGAGGGATCAGACATTGCGGGCATTGGCTATATCGATGACAACGACGATGCGATGGCAGGGGCTTGACAAAATCAAGATGCAACGTCCTGAAAATTTGGAGCATGCCTGCGAACACCTGTGTGTGCTACGCGTGGATCAAGCCTCATGTGATCGCCCCCCGCGATCGCATCAAGACACGTCAATCTGACGATGAAACAATCGAGCATGCCCGCCAACGGGTATGCGGCGAGGCCAAAACCCATGTCGTCGTAGGCCAGTAGATGCGTTCGATTGCATCGAGAAGTCCTGTGGTGGCAAGCGCATCAGAATCTCGATGTGATTAGGGACACTCGCAGCAACGATCGGCAGGGTTCCCTTCCTCCTGGGTCAGCCAATCAACCTAATACAACCCACGCGCAGCCACTGTAGCGCCATGCGCCCGCACGGCTTGATCTGGATCTCTCTTTCGGATTGGAGATCGGGGGGCGTCTCAAACATGGCATTTGTGCCAGCGGTCCCAACAATTGCATCTCGCCTTAAGGTCTTTTTTCCTCTATTGTCCGGCAAATCTCGAGTGGGACGAGACATGCAAGCCGAACCAGGACGCCTGAGCTGCCGCGATCACGATGGACGATGACAAAGACAACTGCCTCTACCCTCCAGATAGGATTTCGGTAGCCAGAAAGCAGAAGTGCCATACCTACACCAACCTTAGCTGGTCGACCTGACCCGAGCCACATCCGATGCTGCCACCGCATGTAGCAAAATGGTTTGCCAAACTTGCCCTTTCATCTGGCTTTCCACTCCTCATGGCCGTGAAATCCCCACGGCGCTAATTTTGCAAGTTCAGCCTTGAGCTCAATACGCCCCTTCGGCACTGTTAGGCTGCCCGGCTGCCCATTCCGGACTCCACCAACAGGTGGAGAGCGCGCCTTCGAGAAGAATCATTACTTCCTCCCGTGCCCGTGCCCGTGCGTGTCTGTGCCAGGTGACATGTCCTCGTCAGTGTTTGATGCGGGTAGTTGCCGAAGGTTCGAAGGAAATCCGACGAGGCCCTGAATTCGACAGGCAAGACCACGGAGGAGAGAAAGTCCGGAGCTTCGGCATATACCTCCTCACGTCTACTCCCGGTGCTGGTTTGTAGCCAGTACCAACGCTTTAGAGGGTGGTTATTCTCTCCTCCAAATCTCAGGCTGCCGTACCACCACTGGTCTTCTGCCCGGAGTGTCCATCATTTCTGATGAGCGCCCATGATGGTCTTGCTGGCGAAAGAACGACTGTCACAACTGTGTGTGGCATGTAATGTGGCGTTCTGGGTTGTCTGGCATAGCGACCGACAAGCACGATGGAGCACTAACCCGTTATTAACCCTGTGGCTGAGCAAAGACGCCATTTCGTGCTCGACGAAAGATCCCCGGCACCTGATGGGGCCCGGCTCAGCCGGACTCTGCTCGTGACCCGTCGAGGCCGTTTTCCGCAAGCGTCAAGCGCGTGGCCCCTGGCTAGTCGAAGTCTAGTCGAAGTCTAAGCCCAATCGTTCGTTGTCCCTTGCTGACAGGTTTACGCACCTAGCCACTTCAACCCAACCGTCCGCGTGTGCCTGTTCAATCTCTCCAGCCAATCTACGTAGTAAGCCTTCAGGCTCCAAGCTGCACCGCCACCACCATCAACAGAGGGTTCACGCGTCGGGCTTTGAGGTAGGGCTTGCCTCGATAAGACGTTGTTTCGCGGCAATCTTTGCAACTGCCGATGCCTCCAACGAACGCTACTGAACACAAGAGCTGGAGCGTCGCCGGCAATCAGCCGTGAAGGAAACTCCAAATGAAACCCGCCCACCAGGCAAAGTTTACAGCATTTCTTCTTGGAGTGTAAATTGTGTGCTTCGAGCATGCCGACTTAGCAGTGCCGAAACTGTATCATCAGCCAAAAGTTTAATGGGCCATTTGTGCCTGGCAGACTACGTAGTATGGTATCTAATTATTCGGCACTCCCAAGAAGAGGTCCCCGTGTCATCCGGACTCCACATTGCAATTGAGGCAACGTTGTTGAAACGAAACTAGCAACGCGACGGCGTGCTCAGGCCATCCTTGGCTAAACTCTGTTGCCCGATGACCGTTGCGGACTTTGCCCGGGTCTTCTGTGTCCCATCTGGCTGCTCTGGTGCTTGTGTTCCCCAGCCAACGGTCCGCGAGAGCTACTGTCCTCGATTTATCTTTCAGAATGGGCCATCCCATGTCTGCTGGACTGCCTCACTTTGCTGATGGAATGACTGTATTTTGGCCTTGCCAGCTGCGCGGCCTCTAAGGCTCATTTGGGGGCAGAGCGGACCCTCGAGAGGGATCCGGAGCCCATGCGCTGGACCGTGGCAGCATAGACGCTGGACCCCCTTGCGTGGCATGTTAACGCATGGAAAAGTCCGTGCCAACCAAGCTTTGCCTACTGGTACCAGAATTGTTGACGAATCCAACTTCCCTGTATGCAGGACGAGCCTCTACAATTGAAACCTTGAGGACCGCAACTCGCTTTCCACTTGATACCTAATCCCCTCAGTGTTCCTGTCGAAGAACTGTCACACAGACAGTTAGCACCCTATTACTGTGCAGATAGGTGATACATGCAGGGAGTGCCCTTGTACGATGAATTGACGTGGCCTCGCAGCCCAATCAATGCGCCTTTGCTAACTTTTCCATCAACTACAATCATCAACACTTAGCTAATGTCCATCATAAACCAGCCATCGTGTACGTAGTATTACTGCATCAACGGATCCAAGTCCACGGGTTCACTGGTCGGGGTTGCGTGGTCCCAGTAATCGGCGACGTCGCTACAGCCACACTGTGGCGTGCTTCAATGCGTTGACTAGGATTCACCCAGCAAGTTGTTCAGGCACCATTCAGGAGCTAAACTGCACCGCGCTTGACAGGCCCGGCTTTCGCCAGTTTGTATGAGGGCTCTGTTGTCGTCCGTGGGACGCTTGGGACTAGGTCAGTCTACGACCGTTCAGTCTACCTGGGCATCGTGTAATATGCTCTGGTTTCAAGATCATTCTGCGTGGGGGTCTCGACCACCAATGTTCCAGGCGCAGATGACTCCACATTCGGAGTTTCGTCTCCTTGGGCTCGGCGAGGTTGTAGCTCTGCACCTCCGCTCACCGAGTTACAGAAACTATTGGCCCTTCCCAAACCGCCGTGGGATCCTGTTTAGGGGTCCTTTCAGGATCAACCTGGTTCTATTTTTGTCGATCCTTGGATCGCGCTAGCACTGCAAGGATTCCCCTTCTGGAACGCCGTCTGCACAAGCACGCTGTCAATGCGAACCCTGTCTGTGCTGACCACGCCATGGCCAACGTGGAAGCCGGGACATCTACACGAGCGGTAACGGGAGATTTAACTTACATGAAACTGACAGCAATACTGTAGATACCTAGTATCTGGCTCTGATCTAACATCTTGGTCTGCGAGCTCAGTGGAGCATCAAAGGTAACCTTGCGAGTTCTGAGGGTAGACGGGACGCGACTTTCAAACCTGATGGCGTGCTCGAGGAAAGCTCCATGCGCCAGGTGTCGGATAGACCTCAATCCTCCCAGAGAAAGTGGGCCACGTGTACACCTTCCGTGGATATGAACCTGCAATATATGCCATGCATTCATTGTAGACTGGCCATATCGCGTGGAGGCCAATCCCACGCGTACAGGAACTGTCACCATCCACCCGGAAGGGCGTATTGGGATCATGCACGAGTCAATATATATCTCTGAAAATAACTTTGTCGTACCACCTGGGTGATCTGTGATTCCGAGAACAAGATACCGTGTCCGCAAGATGCGATGCAACGTCTCTGCATAGACGGCTTACGGGACCAATTAACTGCCTCCTCGCCGATATCGACAGCTCTTCTCTCCACAGAGACACTTCTTGTCCAGTCCCTTCCAATATTTGTCTGAATAGTCTACTGTGATCTCCGTGCCAGCTTCGATACCCTTACTGACTAGGATAATGCGCTGTGTCCCCAGCCACGTGAAGGTCTGATACTGCGCATTAGCATTGCAGCTGTGGTTCACAAACCGCGTGAAGTTCCCCTGGCGTCCTTGCCATATCTGATACCGAACACCAGGCTGCTGTTTGTTCTGGTGCTGACTATAGTGGTGATGTTGTTGTCTCTGGTGATGGCCGTGGTGGTGGTGAGCAATGAATGATGTTTTGGAGGACGATGATAGTGAGGATGTCGACGACAATAGCGAGGGCGGGGGGAAACCCGCTCTGGATGGAGACCTCATGCCTCCCGGGATGCCTGCAGGCGAAGGTGAATAGGAAGATGTAGACAGGGATGCGGAAGACAGTCCCTGCGAATATTGGACAGGTGATGTACATCCTTCCATAACGTCGACGTTCTCTAGTCCTTTCGTGACAAGTCCGACGAATTCGCCAACAAGCGAGCCGCGCTCAAAGGCGCAGAGGGCGAGGAGCCCATTGCTCCGTTCCTTTGTCCGGAACACCTGTACAGGGCTTGGGGCTGGATTTGCACATCCAAATAATGACGGAAAACACATGCATGCATTGAGTCTTGGATCGTCGGATTGTTCCTTGTCGCAGACTGTGCAGACAGGCATGGACACCGTGGCCAGTAAAGAGGATTCCGGGCCGGGCGCAAACCCTCCGCTGTGTGGTAATTGCGTCGTTGCGTCTGCCCGTATCATTGTCATAGGAGGCGCCCATCGGGGATCGTCACCGCCCCATTGCTGCTCATCTACGACTGACTCGTCAATGTGCTTGTAGTTGAAGTTCACGTCCCATTGCAAGTATGTGGTATGAAGGGGCACTGGGACCGAGCCGTCTGGAAAGACAACCCAATCGTGGCGATGCCCGGTATACATTGGCTGCGTGGGCAGGTCAACGACGGTCAGTAGCTGACGCCAATGTGGATGCATCGTGTCGGCGGCGACCTCTAGAGCGGGGCGAAGATTGCGAAGCCGTTGAAGGCTGTCCTTGTCGAAGCCAATGCGGTACTTGCAGAAGCGATAGATGCCCATGCCGGCGAAGACAAGTGCTGACCAGCCTCCGGCATCCTTGATCTCCTTATACCCACGCCACACGGCCATTTTGTTGCGAAGTTCTTTCTCAGACCATCCAAAGTCATGACAAGCCTCAATCAATGCAGCCTTGCGATGCTTTGTATCTGACAGAGACGGACTAGTCGCCTTGGAAGCCTCGATATGTGCCTCGAAATGTTCAATCCAACGGGCTTGGACAATGACCTCAATGGAGCGACATGTTCGGCTGGCTTGGGTGACTCGGCGACAAAATATGTTCTTGTGACTGAATGATTGTTGCCCAGCCTGTCCTAAATTGCCATTACTGTGGGCTGACAAGCCTGGCATGGAGAGGGATGCAATCTCTAGACTGGAGGGGGGGTTTTGTATTGCATTGGCTTCCCCTGTCGGCGCCGGTGTCGGTCGTCCGGCTATGCCCTTGCCAGACTCATCTGATGCGGGAGTAGACGAGACATGTCCCAAGAGATCCTGCGGATTGAGCGTGGTCGTGCTGTGAATCTGCTCCCAAATTCCAACGATGAGCTTGTCCAACGTGGATGGTTTGAGAGCATAGCCTGCCGGCTCAATTTTCCTTCGCTTGGGAAAACTCTTGTCACCGACCTGCATCTGTCTCTGTGTGTTTGCGTCTTCTACGAGCTGAATGGGCGCCCGGCTAGGCCGGAGGCCACTGATGGCCTTCCTGGGATTGTTCTCCTGATGCCGATCGTCAACCCCGGTGTCATTCTCAGTAACGTCCTCGTCAGCGTCTGCATCCTGATCTGTGGTCAGCGAGGGCTCCCTGCCGGAAGTCCCCGAAATCTCATTGGCGTGGGGCGTTCCAGGCCGGAGCGATGGACTATCTGCCGCCAGGTCTCGCACCGGCTGTCGTGCCGCCCTGGCCGGGACGATCGTGCCTGCCACCTGCTTGTCGGGAATGCTGCCAGGCTGCAGAGCATTGGAATCATTGCCGTTGATATCCTGCTCACGGGTCCGTGGAGTGGACGCCGCGGATCGGTGGGTGACAACCTCAGTCAAGTCGATGACATGCTGGGGCCAGACCTTGTCAGTACATGACTGCGCTGCCCGAGGCCGACGGTGGAAAGGCAGGCACGGGAAGTCAGATTGAGCCCTGGAGTACGTACGGAGAGAACCGGGAGCGGCTGCGCCTGGCGTTGACGGCGAGTCTGCGGGGGAGCTGTGGCGGATGTGGCATCGTGCAGGGTGGCCTCGATTCGCAAGGCCGGCTGGCCGAGGAGCTCGAGGGCATCCCAATCAATGTCGGCTCGGCACAGCTGCTCGGCGACCGCCTGGGCAATCTGCTCACGCAGCAAGCCGAGCCGGGCATCCGCTTCTGGAGCCGGCGACGTCGTTGGCGACGGCATGGCTCGGGTGGGCGGCGGCGGCGGCGGCGTGTGGAACCAGGAGGTGATGACGGCAAGGTTGACACCCGCAGCGGAGGCGGAACGGATACGGGTTTGGAGCACGGCTCATGCAAGGCAAGGGGCCGGGTCCCCGTGCTGGCCGTGGGCTGCTGCCTGGGCAGACAAAACGCGGCTTCTCGTCGCCTGTGTCGTGACAGCTGTGGGTTTTGACAATACGAACGACGCCTTCCTCCTTCCGGCCGCGATTGTGCCTGGCGACTGAGCGCTTTCGAATGCTGCGCACCTCGTTGTGGCCCAGGTCATGAGACAATTATCGGCACAAAAAGCAATGCCATTCACGGAACGCAGGCCCCTTGTTTTGCTCCACTCCTTGCCTCCCCGTGTCTCGGGACCAACCCCGGCGAATGTCGCCGGTCCCGTCCCGGCACCTCTCGTCCACGGCCCGGACCACCCGGACCACACGGACCACAAGGGCTGCACATCCTCAGTTCAACCATCAATCATGGAATCGCCGACATCTACCCACATCCGGCCCAGGTTTTCCGCAAGAAGCAAGGCAAAGGTCGCACCGGGCAGATTTTTAAAGCGATTACCAATTCCTTTGACTCATGTAAGCTTTCAGACAAGAGAGCTTGCCGCGGATATTGGCGTTTTTGGTGGTGGACCAGCCTCTATATATTGGAACTCGGATTTATCTCTATATCCCGCGTCTCGGGCCTGTCTCATCGCGTGCTAATTTCAGGAGCTCGCTCTCGACTGCGTCGATGCAGCCGAGCGCTTTGCTTTGCTGCTGCAAATTCGCAATCTTGGCTTTGAAGCGTGGTCCTTCTTCGTCACTCAGAATCCTGTCAACGGCTGCCCTCACCATGTCCGCATTTGGGGTCTGAGTCCCGACATCCACGCCAGCTCCCGCCCACGCCACCCGTCGCGAGTTGTCCACCTTGTCCATCCCTTCTCCTGCACAAACCATAGGCACTCCATTGGCTATTCCATGACACAGAGCCCCGAAACCAGCATTATGTATCCACACATCAGCATGCTGCAGGACCGTGTCGTAGTTCAGGAAATCGGCAACCCGCGCGTTACCTGGGAGGCTGTTGCCCGGGAAATGGCGGAGATAGTCGTCAAGGGTGGCATCCTTCCACCCGAGTATAGCTACTACCAGGACCTTGTCCTCACAGCCGGCGTATGCCTGCAATGTTGGAATGATCAGATCGTGGGGGTTGATTTCTACCGTGCCTTGTGCTACCACGAGCACTTTTTTACGCAGAGCCGACCCAGCTGGCCGACTTGAATTGGCCAGTATCTCGTCCCACCAAGGAAAATCCACCTCCTCAAGGCTCTTGTTGTTAGAGAGGGATCCTCCTTGCGCGAGGCCGATGAAACGAAAGTGCGGCGGCCAGTCACTCCGTGGGTAGTCAAGCCCAGGCACCCCAAGCTGCAAGATCGCGTCATGCACAAGGTAATTGGCCCCCGAAAGGAGCGGCCGTTCATGCTCAGTGCAGCATCTTGTAGCCCCAGCCTCGAGGAGCTTCTCGTCCAGCAGCGTTGTTAACGGTTCGGCGCGACGAGTCCAGCTTTTGGCCCAAAGCCTCTGATTCAGCGCTCGTCCTGCAGGAGAAGGGTCGTAAGGAAAAGGATAGCCCATTGGCGGAAGATCCGCGCTGCGAATGGCAGGCACTGTGACTGATATACACACACTGCCCAATGGCGCTCTGACTCCCTCCGGTAGGGCAGCCCCGTAGAACATGGGTAGGACTCCCCACGAGAAAGCTTCTGTGAGTAGGATGACTTCATTTCCTAGGCCATGGTGGCTCTCAGAGCCATCCTGCTGCACCTCTGAAAGTGCAACCTTGAAGCAGTCCCAGGCAGTCGGCAGTGGCTCAATCAGTTGGTGTCGTATATCCTCGCATACTCTCCAACTCCAGTGCAAACCCGCATAGCCGGGAGTTGGGGGTTTTGCGTAGTACTCCTTGTCGAAGAGGTCTGCAGCTCCCTGAAGTGGAATGAACTTGGCGCCGCTGGACTCAATGCGTGCTTTATGTGCCGTTGGCCCCAGGAACGCGACCACCCAGCCACGCTCAACCAGCTTGGATGCGATACGCAGCATTGGTGATAAGTGGCCCATGAGCGTATGAGAGGTAATGAGCACAACGGGTCGTTTGGCTGCTAATGGAGAATCAGCTTTCCTGGTCTGACTTGCAGCACATGCCTTGACTCGCTTTGGTTCGCCCTCGCTTCGAAGTACGGAACCCCCAGCTGACTCTGCCATGCTGCAGGCATCGCCGCTGTCATTTTGTTGTTGGCTTGAGGCAGCCATGACCTGGTGCTCCACGCTTCGATGTTTGTATGCTGTGATGGGATTGGCAGCCATTTAGGGGGAGAAGCGAGATGGGATTTCGTGTAGAAAGTCGTGGTCGTTTGGATAAATCGTGCTGTAGATAGGGGAAGTGCTGCAGAAGATGCAATTACTCAACAGTGACGAAGGCCGATCGAGGATCGCAAAATGCTGGAATCAGGAAGAATTTGTTTACAAACAAACAAGAGGCACACCTGGGAAGCCAGACCTTGATCCTGCGAAAGGAAGCCCGTCCGGATGTTTATCAAGCCGCAGACTCTCTCTGAGGCCACCATGAAGCATTGCAGGGGCATGTCCAGCTGTGGGGCAGCGCGCCCCAGGTCAGTTGGTCCAATGACAACCCAAGAACGTCACGGACGTGAGTTACACCGCAACGGCGACAGATCGATTCACAGGCTCCCACAATGGAATGTGCACAGCGGTCAAACATGGCTACTTTGTGGCACAAAGCTACGCAGGTTTATCACTGTCCCATCGTGGCAAAATATTGCAGCCCAATAAGGCCAAGGTGGAGAGGCATGGCCACATCGTTCTATGCCGAAGTTGTCAACTAGTTATGCATCGTTGAGACCATGTAAAGCACGCTTGTTCATCTGGTTCCCCACCCTAGAACGCCTATCTAACGCCCGGATACTTCAAAGCCACTTTTTGAAATAAGCTTGCGTGGCCAATACCGAAGCGCGACGCTACTGCTTTCTCAGTCATCGGGCTATGCGCTTCGAGCCGCAAACAGATAGACAAGTGTCTGGTCTGTCTCTTAAGGCTCGTGAACTTAATTCGACACGAGGGTGGCACCTTTGAGACGGGCTGACGAACGTGAGATGCAGATTGATTTCATCGTGGTGTATCTCGGTCCTGGGTTTCTGGCAGGTAGCAGCCGCCCGCAACCACCAGGTTCATCCGTGTGAATTGCACCTTGAGCACAGGCGTCTTTTTGGTCGGGAAGGCGCTGATCTGGTCGGGCGTGACCGTCACATCTTTGCCCCTTTTCTTGCTTGTAGTGCCACTGATGCCACTTGCGTTGGCATTAGTCGGAGCTGCAGCTTTACCATCTCCCTGACCAGCGGTCGCCGCCGCTGCTGCGTCTCCCTCCGACTGTTGTGTTAAAGCCTTGCCTTCTGCAGGTAGCTCGACGTCCCAGATGCGAACTGTATTGTCTTGACCACCCGAAGCAAGGACACTGCTTTCAACGCTGAAGCTCATAGACCATATACCGCCACGCCCGTGCCCACGGCAACGCTTGATTCGCTCGCCTTTGGCGATGTCCCAGAGGAAAATATTGCCACCGACATCGCCCGAAGCCAAGAGTTTTCCGTTCGGCGCGCATTCAAGCGCGGTAATATGATCTGTGTGGCCCGAAAAGACGCGAACGCAAGTGCCTGTAGAGACTGACCACATTCGCACGGACTTGTCCGACTCGTCCGACGCGGAGAACACGTAAGCGCCATTGGGATGCCACGTGAGCGCCGAGATCGCAGTGTCATGACCCACGCACAATCGCTGCGCAGAGGCATGGTCCTGTGCCCATATCCGGACAGTTTTGTCCCAACCGCCACTGGCAAAATAATGGCCGTGAGGTCCCCAAGAGAGACTCATTACCGGGCCATCATGGCCTTTGTAGATGCAGAGGCAGGACCAGACCTCGAGCGACCAGAGGCGGATTTGGCCATCGGCAGAGCACGACAACAAGAGCTTTGTATCCGTTTCGGGCTTCGAATCACCTTCGAAGATGTCGCGCTCAGCATTGGCGATCGAGTCTGCAAAAGAGACTGAATACACCGGGGCAGAGTGGCCAATGAGCTTTCGGTTATTGGTAGCGAACGTGTCGTTGGGCATTTTCGACTTAAGCTCTTTGCCATCAAGTGACCATACCCGGATATACGAATCAGTCGTGCCGACAGCCACAAGTTTACTATCCTTGGAAAAGTCCATAGCGGAGACGCTGTCGAGTTGTCAGCGGTGTTACCAGAGTCAAACGCATCGTGGCCGGGTCATACATACTTCCCCAGTGTGTTATGGAACGTAAACATGCACACGGAAGCGGCAGGACCGACACCACCGGTTCGACCTTCGATGCGGAACCGGTCACGGTTCTCGCGGACTTTTTGCATTTCCATAACAACGTCTCTTGCGCGGGAGGGAGGATATGGTATATCTGTCCGTGATGGCGAGTCTTCGAATTCTTTCTTGATAGGGTGCATCTGGTTGAACTCGTCCACAAGTGTCGGTTTGCCATCCTTCGGAGGGTGAGCCTTGTCCTCATCCTCAAGCTCAGCTGCGACGTCCGTCCGGAGCTCAGGGTCCATCGGCAGAGGACCCAACTTGAGAGCCGCGGTGTTGTCGAGGATATCCCTATTTGTGACGCCAGTTCGTCGGTCTGATCCCGGAAGACCCTCCTGAGCATCGACATCGTCCAGCTCCATTTGTTGGGCTCGGCGGTAGATTGCCTCGAAACTGAAGGGTTCTAGTGGTCCTCGTTCGACGACGTCGAGAGAGCAGCGCTCCTGCAAGACCTCTATGGTCGGTTGGTTGAGGTCTTCATCGCGCTCCAGAAAACTGAACAGACGGCCAGAAACCTGGATACTCATAGGGATGCGATACCTGTTGTTCAGATAGAGCTGCGACACCTGATTTTCCTTCGCGTGTGTGGCAGATTTTATGGTTGCGATCCGCTGCAACTCTTCCCGATGAGAGTTCTCAAAGAGGCCTCTAAATCTATCCAGGAACTCTTCGGCGTGTGCATATGAGCCTTGGCTGACAAGTCCGAGGTAGAAATAGACGAAGACAGGCCACATGACCTTCCATAGCTCGAACTGTGAGGGATCATTAGCACGTCCTTTTGCAGGCCAACTCCGAACCAGTGGCTTACCTTGTGAAGATCTAGTCCATTCTCAACCCACTTCTCGAGGTGTGTGAAGGCTTTGAGGAATCGACCAGCGCTCCTGAGATCTGCGCTGGGCCTTGGCTTTCCCGATTCATCCAGATCTCTGATCTCCTGCGTGAAAACTGCATTTGTCCGATTGAAGCCTTTCTTCACCAGATAGTCTGTGACCTGAAAGAACGCGTCAGCTATTTGAGCCCCCATATCTAGCTCTCTGTGTAAAGAAGCGTGAAATGTGATAAACCAAATACGTTCGATTGTGGTATTGTATGGAAAGGTTCAGTGGGAAATGATGGTAGATATGTGCGAAGCACCCGTGAACAAGCAGAGATACAGTAATCGGCCCGCATCCGCTCGAGTGAGCTGGAAAACCACGCCTCGGGAAACTGGCGTATCCCCGAGGCGACTCGAGTTGAGCAGAGTTGCTCCAAGGGGCGAGCGCTTGCTGGCCAACTGAGCTCCGCACGCCGCGAGGCAGGCGTCACAATGCCAGCCGCAACTTACAATTTTGTTGAGGTCCTGGTTGGCGGGAGGGGGCGGCGGCGCGGCCGCCGCACCAGGTGTGATCGCTGTCGCAGTCATAGGAGCTGTGGCAGCAGGTTGCTGCGGCGCGAACGCGGCCGTGCCTGGAGCGGCGCCTGCCGGGGGCGCAGCCGCGTTGCCGCCATTGTTAACATTGTTGCTGGCGGCAGTGACATCGTTGCCAATGTTGGACATGGCGGCGATTCTGGAGCGACTAGGCTGCCGAGTCGGTCAAGGCACGATATCGCGACTACTACTCTCGGAGTCACTCAAGCACCAGCACCATGTCTGGATCCCTTTCAGCCAAAGCCAAGGAGCGAACTGGATAGGCTGGCGACAAGGATGCCAAACGCGCAAGTCGTTGGGATTCCCTCGTGGGCTTTGTGGGTTGCTGATGCCGATAGTATGTTAGCAGTCGCAGACCAGTGTGGGCTTGGATGCCTTGAGGCAGACTCGAGCAAGCCTTGATGGAGTTTTGTGAGCTCCGACACCGCGTCAGGCGTGAGGCCGGCGCGCTTCATGCTCGGGGCCACTTGCGCCTGTCGTCTGTGCCTTACGTAATATGGGGAAGGACCTGCATGGCGCATAGCTGCGCTATCGATAGTCCCCAATCAAGGCAAGGGGGGGGAGGTTCACGGGTGCGTGCCGACGGGAGTGTGATCCACTCTACACTGGCTGGTGCAGGCTCTCATCAGAATGACCAACGGCACTGGCTAGTTGCAAAAGCGTCAACATACATGTTTGGACTACAGTGTGCCCGGCTAGTTGACCGTCCGCTGTTTCGAATCTCGACCTCGGTAGGCGCAGTCCCAACCAGGTTGGTTCATGGCAAGTACATTATTCTTGCAGGCAGTCACAAAGGGCTGCAAGGTGATCCTTGTCGGATTCCACGCCTAGCGGTAAGACCACTCAAGTGCCACTTCCATTCAGGCCATTTTCACGAAAGTTGCCCAGTGGCAAAGGGGCAGATTCGACACAAGGAGCACAATTATACAACTGTACCACCCGGCATCATCACGCTCAATACGCACGGATCTCTGTCAGTATGAATTCTGGCATGGACGAGGAGGAATCCTTTGTGCCGTTCACGAAGGCAGAGCGCATAGAGCAGCTGGGCCAGATTGACAAGGTACGTGTTGAGGACGAGATTGGATTTGCCTGAAGTCTCAAAACTGGTCAGTCACTCATACGGCAAGCAGGACATTGTGAGTTTGCTGCGTTCTGTGGGTAGAGCAGTAGGAAGTTTAGGCAAGAAGGAACCGCAGGATGGCGAAGAAGACACGAAGATGGGTGACGCGAGCGACCGTGCTCGATTATTTCAGGACTCCATGGACGAGTTCATCCGCACACTTCGAGTTGTCAATACTGGGATGAAGCGACAGATATATGGTCTTGAAGAGGCCAATATTGTGACGCTCCGAAAAGACGACAGCGATGCTCAGCCCGGGGCCACATCTGAGACGCGGATGACGCCTCTTGAGCCTGACGGGGATGGCCGCATTGGCGGTCTTGATCCTGGTTGGCTCAATAGCCGCAGCAACAAGGTCGAACGAGATATGGAGGCCGAGCTTTGGGAACAAGCCGAGATGATGTTGCGCCATATGATGGAGGACCACAACGGCAAGGCGGTCACCCATACCAACAAAATGACATTGTTGTAATATGCCGGTCAAGGATACCAAGTCAGGAGCTGTCCACGTGGGTTGCAGTTTGCCGAAAGCGCACCTTGTAATATTGGTTTACGACTACATCGCTGGTAATGCAAATAATGCAAGTATTCACTCTGTGCGATGACGGTTATGGGGATCAGTCTGACCACACTGTTTGTGCTTACTTGAGCAGCCCAGCCTGGAAAAGCTCCCTATCTGATTTTTCTTCTTTAGTCTTCTATTTCAATCATTCACAGCCAATCTGATGGTAAGAACCTTCTGAGAGAGCCGCGTCGTGCTCGTGCGAATTCGGACTTGTTGGTTTGAGTCCGCAAATGTGGTTACCCGGGAGATGCATGATGGGCCCATTCGGGGCTGAGCTGCCAGTAGCTCCTTAGGACGATGATGCACTTGGGGCTGGCCGTCACTGCCGCATCGCAGGCATCCTTGCAGGGTGACGTCCCCACCACGGTCACCCCATCACATCTACCTTAGTATGGATAGCTTGCCCGCCAGCCGTCCTCCTACCACAGGCAGACAAGAGTCGCACACTTGAGCTAGCAGCCTCCGACACACCAGCTTCTTCACTTCCATCGCGGCCCAGGCTCGGCGTCGATAATATGGACTTGGGCGACGCAGCGGGTGACTCGCCTTGGGGCGGTACGTTTACAGTTTGTCGCAGAGCTCACCGAGAGACGACTGGTGACTTTGGCTGACTCTCATGTCCTACAGATGTTCCTTCCCAATCCTCCCCCTCGAATCCCAAAGACAAATCGCAAACGAGTTCGTCATCTACTGTCTTGATTACGAGTGCTGCGGATACTGATCGATTGCGCTTACGGCAGGTGCTCCAACGCAAGCTCAGAATACGGACAGCGTAAACCAGGCCCAGTCAGCTGTGAAGTCACCAGCACGTAAAGCGCGTGGTCCTGTGCGTCGCCTGGTCGCTCAGCCTACGCAGCTCGCATCTGTGGATGATCCTCTTGGTCCATTGGGTCCCCTGGGCGGCGGCTCTGGGGTTGAACCCGCTGCAGACGAGCCGCCCGCTCCGCCTTTGAAGGAGCAGCTTCCAGTGCGAACTACAATGCCGCAAGCTTTGCAAAAGAAAGCCGGCCCCAATGATCCTCACCGGCTCGACGATGATGAGGACAGCCTTTTCGACAGGGCCCCAGGTCGTGCGCCGCCCCCAGTCCAGGCTGCCCTACCTAGCCCCATGAGAAGTACTACACAGCCAAGCGTTAGCATCGAACAGGCTGCGAAACCTACGTTCTATATTACCGTGGGTGATCCGCATAAAGTCGGCGACCTAACAAGCTCCCACATCGTCTATTCGGTTCGAACAAGGGTATGTTCTTAGACTCATGTGTCTGGTAGGACTGCCATGCTGACATTTTACTAGACAACGTCGAAGGGTTACAAACAATCCGAGTTTGAGGTCAAGCGCCGCTATCGCGATTTTCTCTGGTTGTATACCACCATGCATGGGAATAACCCTGGTGTAGTGGTTCCACCACCACCAGAGAAGCAAGCCCTGAATCGATTTGAAAGCAACTTCGTCGAGTCTCGCCGCGCAGCACTAGAAAAGATGTGCAACAAGATTGCGGCACATCCGACGCTGCAGAATGACCCAGATCTCAAGCTGTTCTTGGAGAGTGAAGCGTTCAATGTTGATGTTAAGCACAAAGAAAGGAGGGAGCCGCTTCCGACAGAAAGCAAAGGTGTCCTTGGATCGCTCGGCATCAGCATGGGAAGCAGCAACAAATTTGTTGAGCAGGATGACGTGAGTTTCTCTCTAACTGCCGCGCTATGGACGCATCCGTACTGATAATCAAGCTGCATAGTGGTTCCACGACCGCAGAGTATACCTGGACGCGCTTGAAAACCAATTGAAGGGTTTAATGAAATCCATGGACAGCATGGTCATGCAACGTCGCGCCATGGCGGAGGCTGCAGGTGACTTCTCATCATCCTTGCATGCGTTGTCGACAGTTGAGCTCAGCCCCACGCTGTCGGGACCACTGGAGGCTCTTTCCGACCTTCAGCTCACCATCAGAGACATATATGATCGCCAGGCGCAACAGGACGTCCTTACCTTTGGCATTGTCATCGACGAGTACGTCCGCTTGATCGGAAGTGTGAAGCAAGCATTTCAGCAGCGGCAGAAGGCATTCTATTCGTGGCATAATGCCGAGGCCGAATTGCAGAAGCGCAGGACAACACAAGACAAGCTGCTACGCCAAGGCAAATCTCAGCAGGATCGACTGAACCAAGTCAGCGCCGAAGTTGCGGATGCGGAGCGCAAAGTCCACCAAGCGCGCTTGCTGTTTGAGGATATGGGGAGGCTTATGCGTGCTGAGCTCGACCGCTTCGAGCGCGAGAAAGTGGAAGATTTCAAAGGCTCGGTCGAGACCTTCTTGGAGAGTGCAGTCGAGGCACAGAAAGAGGTATGTATTGGCCGCACGGCCGTCTATGCTCTAACGCGCACAAGTCCCCTCAAATTGCTGACATTCCATACAAGTTGATTGAGAAATGGGAGACCTTCTTGATGCAGCTGGATGCCGAAGACGACGAAACCGTTTTCTATCGTGGATTAAACCACGCGGGAACCGACAAAGCTGGTAATGGTCGTGGCGACACAGCTGTTGACCGGGCACGGGCAACCATAGATGAGGACTCGGACTAAGCTTTCAAGCTGAGCACGGGCGACCGGCAATGGCTTACCAACATTGGCGCGGGACGTTATCTTGTCAAGTAGGCAGCGAAAGTTGTAGATGCAGCGAAATGTTTATACAGGCTTTGTACATAATACAGGTGAGACCAGGACTTCCTGAACTCCAGCCACGCAGGTCCCAATGCTTCGCAGCTTCGCCGGTGCCCGCGCCACCTCTAGTTCGTACGAATGTAGACTTCTTTTGTCATCCGCCACGCGTGCCCCTTTTGGCATGCGGGCTTTGTTCCGTCCTTTTGACTCGGTACGTGCTTGTTGCGGAGCTAGACTTCACATCTCCCAATCCGTCCAATATCAAGAACTGGACATCCCTTCCTTATGCACTGCTCCTGATGTTGCCCGACGGCAGTGGGTCTACTTCTTCTTGCCCACAGGTTTCTTGTTGCGGTCCACAGTGTTGGCGGGCGTGTCCTCTGGTCTCGCATAGCCTGCAATGAGATCACCCAGACCGTCGCTGTTGGATGCTTGCTTGACAGTCTTGCTGCTGCCAGTGTTGGCTCCCGTCCCTGACCCCTGCTGCTGCTGCTGATCCTCTTCCTGCTCGACCTCAAGATCAAACGCGCGGCCGAAACGCTCGCGGAAGGCAGCGAGCTTGCCAGCCTCGTCGACTTCGACTGACTTGAGCGACCTGTCGCTTGGTTGCCAGGTGAGGTGGTTGCGCGTGTCCTTTGTCGACTTGTACATGGCGAGGGGCGAGCTTGTCCGCATCGTGTATGTCGAGCCGTCGGAGAGTTGGACGAGCTGCGTAAATTGATACGGGCGACGAGGGCGCCGGATGATGTCGGCGGCGCGGGCCGAGGTTTGCGAGAACGCACGGCGGCCACAGGAAGGAGCTGCTGGCCATGCTGACGACCGCACGGCCGATCTCGTAGTGATTGAAGCACACCGACATGTTGACGAGGACGGCAGTGCCGGACGGTAGCTGTGGAAGGCGCTTACTGACGCCGGCACGCGGACGGACATGGTTGTCGAGCTTTTCTGGTAATGGTGTGGTGCAGGAGACAAGTACGACTTGGTTCTCGCGGCGGCTCAGTGCTCGAGCTCCGGGGGTCGGCAAGCTTGACCGCAGACAAGAACCTCTCCGTCGCAATATCACGCGACGAGAGACTAGGTGCTGAGGGGCAAGTGAACAGTGGCCGTGGGATTGTGACTGGCTACACACTCAAGAAGGGCTCCCAGTCGTTCGTAACTTGGGGTGGGCTGCGCTGCTCATTTGATCGTGGCGTATCGATAGCGTTATTCGATGTCTCCACCTCAAGTTTTTGGTCAACGGGCGGGCGATGCTGGTGTACAGGGATCGACCATTCAAACTAGAACATTGCCGTGCAAACACGTCATGAGCGATGCTCTGTACAAGGTAGTCGACAAAACCGCTCGGCCAATGTCGAGCCCGGCAAGACTTGGTCTGATATGAGGCGCTCGCAACGTCTGTGGTCGGTGGCACGACCCAGCGCACCTCGAAATGCACAACCGCCTCGCGCCAGATGGATGAGCGTGAACCACCACGCCAGACCACGGTTATCCACCGCAGCCATTGCAGGATGTTGTCAATCCTTCACCACGACTTCGTGGTCCCTGCAGTCTAATCAAGCGTCCGCGGCCAATATTGCGTCTTCTTTTCGCGGCGTCATGCGCCACGTCCCACACCCGGTCGTTGTGATCACGGCACTGGACTGCCCAGCCCTCAGCCCCGACGACCATGCTGGAAAGCGCACTGCTCGTATACCAGATCACTGGGCCGACACAGAGATCCCTAGCTCCATCTCCCGGCACGATCAAGTGGGCGACCCGCGGATTCTCGCGCCTCTCCCGCGGGCAATGACCGCGTCGTCGTTCACATCGTTGACGCTCGATCCAACGCCGACGATTCTTTTCAACGTCACTATCCCGAGTCGATCCCACAGCGCCATTCTCCGGGCCGGCTCTTTCAACGTCCACATACTCAGTGCCGACGAGCACGGCGCAAAGCTCGCAGATCTTTTTGCTAGGGGCTATAGCAGCGCGAATAGTGTTAGTGCCACCAGCACATCACGTCAAGAACCGCTCGGCGTACTGGCTGGCTTGAAGAATTACGGGGTCGACATTGCTGGACAGCTGCAGTGGGAGGAAGCGTGGGCTGCATCTCTGAAGCAGAAGTCGCCCTCGATTCGCCCATCCGCCGACAGTTTCCCGGCGCCGCTGCTGCAGGGCCCAGGTATATTGCATGTCCTCAAGTGCAAGCTAGTTGACCTGCAGTCACTGGAGACCACAGAGGCTCGTTGCTTTGCACTTGTCGCAGGCCAAGTCACGGAGGTTGTCTCTGCAAACGAGCCGGACCATAGTATGGGCGAGCACCAGACTGCGCTCTCTTACGTTGACGGAGCATACCGAGGTCCAAGTCCTGCGATTATGAGACATAGCGTATCAGCAAACTCGCAGTGACACTGCGAGTCTGGAGCTTTGCAAACCATGAGGTTGTCTTGGGACATGATTTGCAGAAGATCCGACAGGGCTGCTGATTCCTTGGCGGCTGAGACCTTTCATGTCCGATTTGCACGTGACCCTCCGCCCTGTCGTCGAGCCTCAGCTCCGACAAGACCGGCGGACGGCACGAAGTGCTCCCTCGGGCCATTCTCGTGGGCACCCTTTGGGAGATGCTCATATCCGTTCTCATATTCCAAGCGAGCACCTCAGTGCTACGCAGAAACGACCCGATTGTTCGCTCTCGGAACATTATGGCCCAAGCGCGATAATGCAGTAAATGCTTCATATACCATTTTCGGTGAGAACCTGGGAAGATTGGTGTACTTGGAATGGGTCACTTGAACATGTGTTGGTTTAGATGTACATCTTGTTTGTTGCGTCGCATAACCAAGACAGTTACAAAAGACACACAGACACAATGCATAGCTTGCGATAGAGGGTAGCAGAATACAGTCGATGGGCAGCTTGTCCATGCTTATGTCCCAAAGATGGCTGCCAGAAACTTATGTGGTGCTTGTGTTGGGCCAATACCGCTGAAACTGGCCTGTCTCTATGGGCTACTGCAACTACATGATGATAAGCAGAATTTAGACTCGATGTATGTTGGCGACTGCGCGGCGGTGAAACGACACCGTATTCTAGTATGCCAGCCCATGCACTGACTTACACATAGACTCCCCTTGACAGGACAGTCATGCGGACGAGAAGCATGTAATCAGTCAAAAATACCCTCATACCCTTCGACGATGTCCTCGTGCACTCCTGCCAGCACATGTTCGCGTATGCGGGCATTGAAGGCTTCCAAGTCTTCCGTTCCGTCCGATCTGTCGGAAGAGTTCAGAAGTGTTCGCCCTTGTGGCCGTACTAAGTCCCTTAGACTTGGCACCGCTCCATCATGTTGACCTGCTGACGAAGGGTGGTCCTGAGCCTCGCTGCTATTGTTGTCCTTGAGTTGCCGGATCCGTGCTGTCAAACGTTCAAAGGCGGCCACTCGCCGCTCGGCCGCCTCGGCCCGTTCTCTCCACATTTTACACTCCCTTTTGGCCAGCCTGAGTTGCTCGCATAGTGTCCCGATGTCTATGTCCTCGCGTGTATTGATGACTTGGCGCATTTGGGCAAGCTCCTCATCTCGGGCAGCGATCTGGCTCTGCAGGCTACGAATACGATCATGAAGTAATGATGTACTGCTTGCGACTCGTGGACTCGCGCTCAATAGTCTTTGAACACCACCACTGCCAGCATCGTCGCCAAGTGGCGAAGCCCCTCCCAACCTCGATGCCGGGCGCATAAAATTCACGTGCTGCGCGACCGGCGGCTCGTCTTCGCGCTGTAGCGTCGAACCAAGACTGGGCGGGCGATGTGCCACCGGCTGTTCAGATATTTCCCGGGGAAAAGCTCTAGCTGCTGAGAACCTCGAACTAACAGGTTTAAGTGTGCTGCGTGGAAATGTCTCTGGTGTTGTGGCGTACAAGGCAGTTTGTGCTTCATTTGAAAGAATCTGTGACGCTGCGCTTCTCGGCGGCGTGGCAGGCATGTGAATGGCTTTTTCTTCTCTCTGCATCGCCTCCCTTGCTCCCAGGGCCATTGGAGCAGACATCTGTGTTTGACTAGATCGCGCTGCTTCGCCTTGGGCATGTACTCTTCTGCGCTCAACGACTTTTGGTCCTGCCGAGGAGGGCTCGGCTGAAGTTGAACCTCGTACTCGCTTGGTTTGTTGATCAAAAAGTGCAGCAATTGCCCGCACGCCACCAGATATTGGCGTCCACACGACCTGCGAGGAATCCCCTGACTGACCATCCTCAACCGAACGTGCCAATGCTACCGAGGTTGTTCTCTGTCCGGATACTGCTCTGGCTTTGGCAGGCGTTGTGTTGGGTTTGTTCTCGAATATACTCCTTCTCGACGCAGGTAACGCAGCTGGTCTTTGTCTTTGCTCACTGCGCTTGTCAAGCAGCAAACGTTTCCATGGCGGTGTTCCTGGAGACTGTTTGAGAATGCTATGATCAGCCGGCTTTGGGAATTCATGTGTTGACCTTTCCATTGGACCAAACTCCTGTTGGTTGCGTCTGCCCGGTGGTACTGGAGAGGCCTCGTCCGATGCGTATCCCGTATTAGCATGTTGGTCCCTATGCTGGGTCAAGGCGTGTTCCGATGTCGCTGCATCCCGTATCGCTTTCACACTTCTTGGAGATCGATCATCACAGTCCAGCTCGCGCTGTTCAGGGCAAAGTCCTAGACTTTGGCCCTCGGTTTTCTGGGCTCTGTCTTGGGTCTCTAAAGCATGAGTTGAGCCTTGTTGGTTAGGGGTCCTGTCTAGGCTCGATGCAGTTTGCCGAGCTGTGTTCTGGAGCAAAGAACCCCAGGAGCCTGTGCAAGTTGTTTTTAAATCATGAACGTCACCATCATGATACCCACCGTGAGCTGGTGCTTCATCGCCGGCCCTTTCTGCATAGGATTTCTTGCGCTCCGCCAGAGACGATTCTGGGGGTTTCAGGTTGTTGACGTCGTTGGACACATCTTTGGGGTTACAGGGAGATTGGCCACCCGGAGCTGACCGGAAATCCTCCATCCACTCGACTGTGTTGCGCTCGAACTCATCGTTCACGTTATGGTTGCTACGAGGGCCGAGGACGGATACGATTGCCTTTTCCCTGGCAGTGACCAGACCAAGGGGCTGGTTTATGGTGGAAACCATTACTGGCCGCGAGTCTGGTGACACTGAGGGACTAAAATAGGTGAATACCGGAGTTGTGGTGCCTCGGCTTTCAACCTGACCCATCCTGATGTCCTTTGGCGAAGGCGTGGTATTGCTTCTGGAGTTCGATAATGCCGGGGATGCCTCCGCACTTTTTTTAAGAGTCGGAGAAAGCACTCGTCTGACAGCCCACGTGGGTTGATGGGGTATCGCAACAATCCCTTCCGACGTAGGTCCGATAAGAGAAGTATTCGTTTGATGTCGATCCAAGCCTTCTGCGCTTCCCAAAGCCTCCGTAGCGATTACTGCTCTAGTATGTTAGCAACGTCTCGACAAGGCTGCGGGACACGAAGAGCCACCCACCTCCTGCTTGGCTCACATCTACATTCGCCATGTATAGGCTTGAGTACCCTTGCCAGGAGTATGGTCGGCTTCCTCGAGGGCGAAGTGTGGTAGGTGCAGAGCACGGCTGTGTCATAGATGCTCTTAATGAATGGCCATCCACGATCTGGGTGGAGGCTGACGGTTGGCGCCTTGAAATCTGTGCCTCCAGTAGCCTCCATTGACGAACAATATCTCGCCAATGTGTTATGAGCATTTCAGTAATCCTGTTGGCAACGAGTATCTTGTCGATCCCGGAAGAAACATCACCATCAGCTCTCTGGACCAAGGTCGAAACCTGCCTAGTAGTTCTTTTCTTACTGGGTGGCGGCGTGATTGCGAATAGGACCAACCCACCCGCAGGGTCCGCTACCCTCATATTGTATTTCAAGATGCGATCTCCGACCAGAAAAGGTCCAAATATGGTACCAAGCGCGCTGTAGCCCATCAAGTCAGTGGTTGGCAATGGTCTCCCTCGGGTGTCTTCGTGGGCTGCGACCTCAGCCTGGCGGCCTATGAAACTCAAAAGCCCGAAGACTGAGCAAACAAGATCTCTCTGATAGCGCGACTGAATCGTGTCCAGAGCAAGCGCAATCAGACGGGCCCTCAGTCGGGTTTTCTTCGTTTTTGTAAGCTCTGGCTCGGCCTGCAGCTGGCTGAATATCGCCACCAGTGCATCAAACACTGGTAGAGATCCAAGAAGTCCTCCCGGAAGATCACCCAGAAATTTCTTGAAGGTGGCCGCGATATCATGAACTCCGAAGCCAATGTGTGCCGGTAGACTAGGATATCGTGTGGTGCTTGACACCTGATCCTCATCCCAGCTATCATGATAGTACTTGTAGAGGGCATTTACGATACGTGATGAGCCAGGGGCACGAAAAATGCCACGAGTATGAGCTACGAAAAGCCATCAGCGGAGTGACTTCAGATAATGTGCGGACTAGGGATCGCGAAACCTTGCTGAAGAAGTTCTTGTGCTGTTGCCCGGAGGCAAGTTGGCAATACCAAGGGTCGAGTCGCGAAGTCAGCGGGGAGGTAGAAAAGACTTCTGCCAGTCAGCTTGACCAATGAAGATAGATCATCCGTAGTCACTTGTGGCTTCTTCGTAGAGGACACAAAGTCCGCCAACATATCGCCAACGCTGCGATGACGTCTGATGTGTTGGGGTGTCGGCTTGGCGGTACCTGCTGCGGCAGATGCGGTCGCGAGGTTGGTTCCCAGCGCTCGTGATAGCCAGCCCCCTTTTCGGTGCGGCAGTGACGATATTCGAGTCGGCTACATCGTCAGTACAACAAAGTCTGCTTTGGCAGACATGCTACTTACATAGGTGGCCGGAAAATCCTCTGGCATAAGAGGCCGTACTCCATACTGCAGGGCTTGCAAGATCAGTCCTTGATGCTATCATTGAACACGGCTCACCGAATACAGTGCCCAAGACTATACGTGGTGATCGCTGCACTATACCTTTCGTGAAAGCCGGTTGTACTCATCCAAAAATATCTTGCGATCGTCAATGACATCCTGCTCCAATTCGAGACCGAGGTCACCGCTTGAGGAAGACCAGGTCTTCGTAGTCCGTTGTAGGACTTGCTGGTTTTTGCTGGCGAAGGGTAATCCGGTCAGTGAATTTTCGTGCAGAGTTTGTCGGCTGGTGCCCACAGCAAGCGAGTCTGTGATCGAGTCTCTGTATTGTTTCTCGGACCGCGATCGAGGAAAAGCATGAGTCATGGTGCGGTTCTCGGTGCTGGGAGCATCTTGCCCAGTTGTGGTGGACGAGGCGAGCCGGACATCGGCGTTTCCGTGGGCGTGCCGGTACATAGATGGGAGGCGGCGCTCTACTTGTGTATGAGAGACACCAGGATTCGGCTGCCTTTCACCTATCATTACGTGTAATTGCCGTTGTTACGGTGCGCGGGCCGTAGTGCTGAGTACCATAAGGTACTTTGCTGTGATCGACATTCGGGTGTGTTGTAGGAGTTGAAGATGCATAGTGCAAATGCTGCGATGAGTTGATGGCTTGAGGTCGCTCTTGTGTCATCCAGGTGCACTTAGACTAGAGACGCGCATTGAAAGGGAAGTCTCAATGATACGCACCTGCCGTGTCCAGGCAACTTCAAAACCTATCACATGACACTCACCAGACGAGCGCAAGGGACCGTGGCTCTCGACGACGAGAACAGCACCGAGTTGATGGCCGGCAGCTTCTGCAGACGCCACAAGCAGAAGCAGCGTCACTTTAGGAAAAGAGTCGTCACAGTTGAGCAGTGTGTTAGAACTATATAAATCATGTCAAATGGAGCCTGTAGGAACGAAGCAAGAATCTCTATATGACAGAAAGGGGCAAACGCCTTGTTATGCATTTGCCCATGCTCCCCTGTACTCCAGACGCCCTGCGATGCCAGCCAAAATCAGCCCGGGTTTTGCGCCAGGTAGCGACTGCGCGTCGATGTGCGCCAGCCGTTGGGACTGTAGTCCATGTCTTGAGTGCAATCATGACGCGGGAGGAAAGTAGCCACCCTCGTCGCCATGGAAGAGAACATATTTGAGAATGTCTGACAGGGATATAATCCCTTTGAGGTGCGATCCCTCATCAATAACAATGATCCGATGTACTCGTGACTGTCGGAGGGTTGTGAAGATAGAGTCGAGTCGATCATCCTCCTGACAGGTGTATATGCCAGGAAAATCGTCCGCACGCTTTGACAGTGCTTCCCCCACCGTAGACTTCAGCTCGTCGTAGTTGCCACCCTTGATGCAGGGGATCACGTCAACTGCCTCGAACACGTTGAGGACAACGTTATTCTTGTCAACAATTGGTACTGCCGAGATATTTCGGGTTACCATTAAATCGATGACGTCAAGAACAGAACTGTTCATGCTGGCGATTGAAAGATTCTTATATGTGCCAAGATTGATTTCGCGGACGGACTTCCTCAGCAGTGCAGTGTGCGGTTCAGTGTTGACGGCGATGAATTTGAGAATACGGTACTGGGTGATCACGCTCACGACAGTTTCCCGGCCTGTCTCGTCATCGGTGTCGACGAGCGGGATGCGGCGAGCGCGGCTTCGCAGCATGCGACTGCAGGCTTCGTACAGAGGTTTCGAGGGGTGGACGGAGACAGTCTCCAAAGGCAGCACCCCGATGGCTTTTTCGATATCTGAGCAGTTTTGTCATGGTCAGTACGGGATTACTCAACACGGCCGTCTGAAAACTCCAGCAAATGTATCATCCCCTTTCTGGGCATGCTCGAGTGCATTTGCGGGCCACATACCACGCAAGCTGCTCAACCGAAATTTCTCGACGTTGTCAATTTGCTCGGGGAATTGGCAGTAGTACTGGATCAGGTTTATGTAGTCGGTACTGGTGAGCAGTCCAGCGAATCTCGAATTCTGCGAGTCCCACAAGGGCGCCGACACGATGCCTATCACTCAGGATTAGTACAAGACCTTTGTGAACCCACGGACACCCGCAGGTATGTGATTTAACCGCACCATTTTGAGTCAAGATAGCAAGACTTTTCCTGATCAGAAGATCATTATCGAGGATAATTAGACGAAAGGAGAGAGGCAGAACGTCGTAACTCGTTCTGACACGAAGAAAATCGCGGACGCCTTTCTGCAATGATTATGAACGCTGTCAGTCCCCGTTCTTGGATCCTGATTGTGGTCTTGGCTGCGCAGAACAGATTGACAGGTCGCAGTCTTGGTGCGAGAAGCCTCGAACGATCTCCTCCACCTCTGCTGCCTGCCCGGTCGGTTGGACCACAAGAACTGGACACTCACAAGGCCTTGCATCTGCTCTTCGTCGATAGGACTCATTGGAGAGACGGCAATATGGTCGGACCGCTGTGGCGTTCCTCTTGGACGCAAATAGGAGGAAGGCTGGACGAAAGTCGGCTCTTGGGGAGGCGCAGAGCGAGTCGGTAATGAGGCGGTTGGATGTGGTGGTGGTAGCATAGCAGGGGCAGCGCCAGACATGGCCGACATTGCCGTCATGGCGGGGATGCCCTTGGGCACTTCTGGCGGAGCGGCAGGCGGTGCGCCCGGGCGTCCGACGGGAGGCTGATTAGGGTTCGGGGAGTCGTCCATGCCGTTCATCGTGGGCGATGGCCGTGGTGGGCAGCAGTGGTGGTGCGGTGCGGTGCGGTTACGGCCGGGTCCCCCGCGCGCAGGTCTTGGTCGGGCGCAGGTCAGCTGGACGGTCACTTGACTCCGAGTGGTTGCAACAAGACGAGAGAGGTTGGCTGACACGGTCTGGGGCTAGAACGACGGTGGTTCAAGAAGAACCCAGCCTCGAGTCGCTCACCACGCAGCGGCTCTAGCTGGTGGCCGCGGGGTCGCTTCGTGCGCGGCGCATGCCCGCCCGATGCTGTGGGGAAACCCCCACCCACCTTTGCCTGAGTAACCAACTGGTCTGAGGGGCTGTCTGCCAACTCAAAAGGACCTCTAGACTATTACGCTCAAAGTTCCAGAGCCTGTTGTTCAGACTATATCATTACGCCAGGGCACTGTAACATTCGTCAAGGGTTACGGTGGTGATCAAGTCCTGACCGGCAGCTTCTATTGTGCTGCCTGATGTTGTCTGATATCCGAAATGACACCTCAGGATTCCTGCAGGCGCTGGCGGTGGAGGCCGTCGAAAGCACGCCGCGCGATTTAGCTGAAAAGTGTGCTTGCCAGTACTTGTTCATGACGCTTTACGTCGTGGCCTGATCCCATGGGTTCAATCTTGCAGCAATGGAGCTACATGTATTGGGAGCCCCATTCGTCCTGAGAGCGGGTCATGAAGCAAACGACTGGACAGACACAACTGTGTAGGCCTGGGCTCTTTTGGCCGTCAAGTTCGATAGTACACCAAGTCGAGCACAAAGATGGGCATCTCAAGACGTTCAGAGTAAGCGTGCCTGGGCCAGTGAGCGTCAACATCAGCTGCGCGGAAAGGAACACCGATCTTCGTCCCTGGACCTTTCCATCTTCTACAAGACCGCCCCCGTCTCGCAGAAGGTGATGATACGATGAGACCTTTCGATTCCACCCACGAGATATCCCATCGATCTGTTGCAAACACGGCTTTAGAAGGAGCGGCATGAGAGTGTCGATCGCGGCAAAGAGTGGCAGTCATTGACGGGCACTCGTGCATGCGGACAAGGGTCGGAGGGTGTGCTTCAACGGGCGTCGAGACAGCTTTTCGTATCCGCATCGAGGAATGCTCGACGCCGTTCCAGACATATCATGCACGAAGGGTGTGAACTGAAAAGACACCTTCACGCGGGTGCCATACCCAGCGTTGACGAGTGATCGCCGAGTTCCGGGACGCCAGTCACCCTGCCATCAACGAACGTACAGGCCGCTGGCCCTAGAGCAACTGGAAGACCTACAGTGTGTTTGGTTGCTGGCGTCTGGGCAACCCTCGGCCAAGAGGGTGGGCAGAACTTTTCTGGCTTTAGGACAAGGCGTCAATAACCAGCGGGCAGTTGCTGGTGGAGCTCTGGCAAGCAAGCTCGGTCGACGTGCATGAAGTGAGGTCAGGTCCCCACGTAAACCATGGACTAAGGTGGTCCACCAGTGCTGATAACGTCGTCGAGAGATGGCCTGACAGCCTTGTCCAGGTGCCGTGATGTGTGATCAAGCACACTAGGTAGCAGTGTGTCGGCAATGCTGTGGCAGGGGTGCGCTTCTGGTGCTCGGGCTATTGCGACCAACCGCTAGGAACCATGATCGCAAGCAAAAACGACGGGCTTGAAGGCCTAGCAGGCAGCCACCAAGTAATAAACAAGCACGCCTTCACTGATATGGTCGAGGCGGACGTGAGAGCTGGGCACCATATCAACCGCATGATCAAGTACGAAACGTTTGAAGAATGACAAGTTGCATGCACCGCATCACCGTTTTGTAGGATCCTTGCCATGGCCGCGCAGACGACACGAGAGGAGCAGATCGAGTCGGGCAGGCAGGGATCCAGGGGCCGCACCTGGACAAGGTAAGCTGGATCAATGTGGTCATGGGAGGCGCAATCTGTTGGGCGAGGACGGGCAGACAGGTACCAGGAACTTGTCGCTTGCGAGATGAGACGGCCCACGCCAAAGTAGCCTGGACCCACCAGAGCACCCAGCACAGCAACGGCTCGTGCTTGCCCAAGCTGCAGGGCAGCCGCTCTCCACCCACATCGCCAGCTCCCGTAGCTCCAGTCCAAGTGCAGCCAGCAGCTGCCCCCGTCACCTGCACTCCGAGCCAAGGTAAACATCCGCCCACGCCACTGCCCTTGTCGTCGTCGTCGTCGTTGGCGTCGTCGTCACCGCAGCTTCATCCTCGCCTGCCCGACGCTCGTCCTCGGCTCGATCGTGCGCCTTTCGTCGTGCCATCCAGCCATCACTACGGCAAAGACATCCGCAGCCCCGTTAGCTCGCAAGCCCGCAGCTCGTGTGGTCTGCCTCGTCTCGTCACGGCCTCCTGCCGCATCTCCATTCATCGGTCGTCGACCGCGCAAGCAAGCCAGCCATCTCATCATTGTCCGCCTATTGCAGGAGACCTCGCCTTCACCTGTCACCCTATCCGACGACCCGACCGCTACTTGCCCCAGCCATAATCACCGCTGCTCAGCAGGAGCTATCTCGCCCTGATTTATCGGAATCTCGGGGGTTGTGCCTCGTCGCAAATCGCCGTACATCCATCCGATCGTCAAGAACACCTTTCGTCGGACTTGGATCTCTGACCGAAGAACCTTTTTCTCATTGCGACGGGCTCCCGTCGTTGTAAGGTTCTGGTTCCTGGGCCACTAGCCAAGTCTGACAATGGGTGTCTGCCAGTCATGTTGCGGAGGTATGATGATATCCACATTCCTACACGCGCTTTCTGGTCACCAGAAACTGGCAAAAGTCAATTTTTCATACTAACAAGGCCACAAACAGGCAAATCCCGCGATGGCCTCTACGAACCGGTCCTTGCCGATAGCGAGCGCGAGGCGGTCGCCGACCTCCTACAGTATCTCGAAAACGTACGCTCACAGTCCCGATATTCCTGCTTCATGGCTCGTGCTCACATACCAAATTTCCTATCGCTGACTGACATGTGACCAGCGAGGCGAGACCGACTTCTTCTCAGGCGAACCACTCCGGGCCCTGAGCACGCTTGTTTTCTCAGACAATATTGACCTTCAGCGAAGCGCCAGTTTGACCTTTGCAGAGATCACAGAGAGAGGTGAGCAAAGCATGACTGCAGGCCGGGCTCCATCCCTGTTTGCCTTTGCCATTCACCCCGGCTAACCAAGGTCTAGATGTTCGCGAGGTTGATCGCGACACTCTCGAGCCCATTCTTTTCCTACTCCAAAGCCCTGACATCGAGGTTCAGCGAGCCGCGAGCGCTGCATTGGGCAACCTTGCTGTGAACAGTATGTCGTCCCATGGTGATGAGGTTTCGTGTATTATTTCTGACCATCCATCCTCCCAGCTGAGAACAAAGTCCTGATCGTACAGCTTGGCGGCCTCACCCCACTGATCCGCCAGATGCTCTCGCCCAATGTCGAGGTGCAATGCAATGCGGTTGGCTGTATCACGAATCTGGCTACCCATGAGGAGAATAAAGCCAAAATTGCACGTTCAGGCGCTTTGGGCCCGCTTACGAGGCTGGCCAAATCCAGAGACATGCGTGTGCAGCGTAACGCAACAGGCGCCCTCCTGAACATGACACATTCAGGTAAGTAGTGAATACGGCAACCACTATACGCTACAGTGTCTAACAGCCCCTCAGATGAGAATCGCCAGCAGCTAGTTAATGCTGGAGCCATTCCCGTCCTCGTGCAACTTCTGTCATCCACGGACGTTGACGTCCAGTACTATTGCACAACAGCTCTCAGTAACATTGCTGTCGACGCGAGCAACAGACGGAAACTGGCTGCGACAGAGACAAAACTCGTCCAGTCTCTTGTTAATCTCATGGACTCGTCGTCGCCGAAAGTCCAGTGCCAAGCTGCTCTCGCTCTTCGTAATCTGGCCTCGGATGAGAAGTACCAGCTCGACATTGTGCGTGCGCAAGGCCTAAGCCCACTTCTGCGCCTGCTGCAATCTTCATACTTGCCCCTCATCCTATCGGCCGTTGCATGCATCCGCAACATCTCGATACACCCGATGAATGAGTCGCCCATCATAGAAGCCGGGTTCCTGCGACCTCTGGTGGACCTGCTTGGCACCACAGACAACGAGGAGATCCAGTGCCATGCTATTTCGACTCTACGGAATCTGGCGGCTAGCTCCGACCGGAACAAGGCCCTGGTGCTCGAGGCTGGCGCTGTACAGAAATGCAAGCAGCTTGTGCTCGATGTGCCGGTCACGGTCCAGTCTGAAATGACAGCAGCCATCGCAGTGCTCGCCCTGTCCGATGATCTGAAGGGGCACCTACTCAATCTGGGAGTCTTTGATGTCCTCATCCCCCTAACGCATTCCGAAAGCATCGAGGTGCAAGGTAACAGCGCTGCCGCGCTGGGGAACCTTTCTTCTAAAGGTAAGTCGGAGGTGGAATACATACGCATATGTACAGAAGCTGACGGCATCATGGTTACAGTGGGCGATTACGCGACTTTCACAGGAGCCTGGACGGCACCACACGGAGGCATTCACGGTTACCTGAGCCGCTTTTTGGCGAGTGGCGATGCGACATTCCAGCATATTGCCATCTGGACTTTGCTGCAGCTTCTCGAGTCAGAAGACAAGACCTTGATTGGACTGATCGGCAAGTCGGAGGATATCGTGGATATGATTAAGCAGATCGCCAATCGCCAGATTGATTCAGACAATGAACTTGAAGAGGACGACGAGGGCGAGGTCATCAATCTGGCCCAGCGGTGCCTGGAGCTCTTGGGACAGACGACCTCCAAAGCTCACATCGAGGGCTAAACAGCGATTGTCTTCACTACCACCCCACCGTCCCTGGTTCTTGGTGGTCAGTCTCTTGACACGTCTCACGTGTAGCATCCAAGCGTACCGCGCTTTGGCAGGGTGTTCAAGGCGTAACTTGCATTGACTTATATTTGAGGGAAAACAAGGGATCCTAGAGCGGCAGGAGGTCGCCTCTTTAGGTATGCACACAGAAGGCGCACTGTGTTGGAAGGCAATCCTTCACGTCTACCACACAGCGATTGGCTGCCTAGTGCTGCGCCCCGAATCTGGCGAGCTACCCCTTTCTATCACATCAATCATTTCTGCATGCACATCACAGCTTTTCTATGGCGCACAGATGCCGTCAACTCCGTGAGGTTCTGAGCGGGTGGTGTGCGCACTCTTTGTTTCCACTTGCTCACCTGCTTCGAGCAGATGGCTTCTTACACTCTGTAATTAGACGACTGGGTCGTGGGAGTTCAGATGGTCATCATTACTGTTACAATCTATTCATACATATACCCCTAGTACATGTGGCCATGCTGCGCGACTTTGGAAGTGGAATACATAGTGCTGACTGATCGGAAAAGAGAGAGGTCCCAATGCTTAACAACATCTGTGCATACGGAATAAGGGGGCAAACTGCGGTTTCACGGCTCAAAACCCGTTGGTTGGGCTCCTCAGACCGCCGCTGACCTTTGAGAACCAACCGGGCACCCACCAGCCGTCCATGGTGATCTTGTGGGTTACCTTGCCCTGAATGAGGCCCATGGAAATGGGCCCATAGTCCCTGCTGTCGCGGGACCAGTCGAGGTTGTCGCCGACCAGGAAAACGTGACCCTTGGGCACTTGGATCATATTGTCGCTGGCGCCGAGGTGATTTGGCGAGTTGAGGAGGACATAGTCGCCAGGCATGCCCATGATGCGTTTGACGGCGTAGCCACCATTTTCGACGGGGCGGACGAAGGTGACGCAGTCTCCGACAGCGACGTTCCTGCCGCGGCGGTACGACTTGTTGACGAGGATCCATTCGTCTGCGGTCGAGAAGGTGGGCAACATCGAAGGTCCGCTGCCCGGTCCCACGGTGAAGCCATAGGTCGTAATGAGATGTGTGAGGGCAAGCCACTGGCCAGCGATGATGGTCACGCGGATAGGGTGGCCAAGGAAGGCCATGCTGATCTTGGATTGCGCCTGCGGCGCTCTAGTAGTGATGCTATGTTTCCGGAGAGCCGCACGCCTGTAAATAGAGCATCGTGAATATATGCTTGCTATGTTGTGCTCTCTTCCTGAGCTTGTGGCTTGGGGAAGTGCGAAGTCGGTTCAGCTTTCAAGCTTCAAGCTTCCATGGTTGTTGTGGGCTGGTGCTCGAGACGGCCCCACATCGGTACCTGCATCATCGTCACGGGTCCCACTTTGACTCCCTCATCGCCAATCATTGCTCAGATGCCATAGAGCTTCCATTTTCTTCCTGTGCTTCCCCACGAACGGTCGTCGACAGCAACGACCCAGACCCCTCAACCTACATGATCCTCACGCACGCCACGACGGAATCTCTCGCCCGCTCTGTCTCAACATCATGTTGCCGTCCCAATGCCCCTTCTCACCCTCGCGGGCTCTCCAGCGAGTCTTCCTGGCGGGCCTCAGCTTACCCATCGGCACAGCAGCAACGAGACCTGCCAGTGTTGCTGCGCGAGCTGGCAGCACTCTTGCCGTGAGCTCCAGAGCGGTCTCGAAAACACGAGGAATACCACCAGCTCGACACACCAATGACACCGCACGACACAGCACGGCAGCCACCGGCCGTCGCGGCTACGCGAAGCTCGTCAGGACGCCCAAGCAAAAACAGAAGCCCCAGGTCTCCAATCACGACATTCCGTACCAGTGGATACGCATAAAGCAGGAGAACCGGGCCGGCGAGGAAGGCGACGTCCTCGGACCCCCCGAGCGCACGGACGACGTCCTGAGGAAGCTCGACATGTCGCGCATGTCCCTCGTCATGCTCGCCCCGCCACCACCGCCCCGGCCGGGCGAGCAGTCGGCGGCGATCTGCAAACTCGTCGACCTCGAGGAGGAGGCGCGCCGGGCCGCGGCGGAGCAGAAGGAGGCCCGGAAGGAAAAGGCCAACTCGAAGGAGCTCGAGTTCAACTGGGCCATTGCAAAAGGCGATATGGAAATGAAGCTCAACAGGCTGGCCGAGTTCTTGCGCAAGGGAATGCGCGTCGACGTCACGCTGGCCAAGAAGCGCGGGAGCCGCGCCGCTTCGGTGCAGGAGGCGGAGCAGCTCATGGCTAATATCAAGGAGGCCGTCGCGCAGGTGCCCCATGCCAAGGAGGTCAAGAAGCCCGACGGTCAGCCCGGCAGAGTAGTCCGGATGTCGTTTGAGGGGCCTGGCAAAAAGATTCGCGAACAGCTGGCTGCGGACGCTGCCGAGGCCGAGGCTAGAGCCCAGGAACGAGCGAAGGCAGAGGCAGAGGCAGTTCGGGGTTGAGACGGTCACTGTCGCTGTCTTGGGTTTCGGCATCGACCATCCCACAGGAATGCATACACTTAGTAGAAATAAGGTCCGGTATCGCACAGCTACTTAACGGGGTATGCTGGTTGTCCATAAGCGGTGACGGGAAGTGCACCTCCCGATTCAGCTAGAAGATTGTGTCACACCTAGCCAACAAGAGAGCGATATGTAGCCGTGCTCCCAGTAGCACCAGCCACTTCCACTCTGCATGCACATTCACATCATGTTGCGAGGCATCTCACGCCAGTCGATCTCAGGCAATGAGCTTGTATTATATAGTATAACCCCCAAATTTGCCAGTCTTTCTGGTCATGAAGAATAATATACCACTCCAGGCAAAGATATCCACTTCATACACCCCATTTAACCACCTTCTCCCCTTCGAGCTTCTCCATCCGGACCTCAATCTCTGTCTCGTCGCGCATCATGAAGACGACAGCAGCAATCAAGGACAGGGCGATGGCGCTCGTCGCGAAACCCGCAGCCACGCGCTCCCCCATCGTGATGGGGTCAAAGGTGACCAGCTTCTCCTCGTCACGCGCACCAGCATTCACATCGCCCACTGATGTGCCGCCAGTCAGCGCCGTCGCGGGCACAGCGGTGTCGGCCTTCTTGATGAGCGTGTACTGCAGCGCCGAGAGCGCGCTCATCTGCGGGCCGACGCCCACAAGCCCGTCAAACGACCCGGTCCAGGTGAACCCGCACGCCGTCCCAGGAGGTCCGCGGTACTGGGAGGCCGGGGGCGAGCCGGTACACTGCCTTGCCGCGGCGGCCGCGTTGGTCCGCAGGATGGGCATGAGGGTGTCGTAGGTAAAGGGCGCAAGCTGCATGGCCGCGCCGAACCAGCGCATCAGGTAGCCCCTGAAGCTCTGCTGGTCGTTGTTGCAGTTGCCAAACGTCTCGCAGGCGCGCTCGACGAGGATGCCAGTGTCCTTGTCGAAAAAGTGCTCCCGCGTGCGGCTGATCAGGCCCTCGATGCGCGTCTGCCACGTCGCCTTGGCCGAGCCATTGGTGTAGTCGTACAGGGCAGCCGCGCCGTGCAGGTAGATACCTGCGTTGTATGTCCACTGGGCCTTGTCGTGCGTGGCGCACTCGTCAACGATGCCCGCGCCATCAAACACATTGTACTCGGAGTCGATCAGCTCGTGACCCTCGAGCCACGTCCACACCTTGCCTGCCCAGTCCGCGTACGTCTGGTTGCCCGTGTACCGCGCGAGCCTTGAGGCAATGTTGAAGAAGCACCCGTTCGAGATGGTGTTCTTGTACTCGAACCCGGCGTTGAATTGGAAGATCTGCCAACGCAGCCCGCCATCGCAATGCTCCTCGTCCCAGCGGTCGACGTACTCGTTGAACACGGCCTGCGCGAGCGCAAGCCACTGCGGCTGGTCTGGCGGCGGGTTGGGAAAGTTGTTCTCGGCTGCCGACATGGCCGCCATGGCCCAGAAACCTTGATCATCGTTGCCCAGCGTGCGCGTCTGGTTCGTCGGCATGTAGTCGCGGTCGTCGCCGACTTGGTGCAGTAGTGCCTGTGTTGTCATTGCATTGTACGAGTCGTCGCCCGTGTGAAACCAGTAGTCTACCAACGTGCCGAACATGGCGCCAGCCTCCCACCCTGTATGGTCAAGTCAGTTTGCTGCATGTCAAAGCTTATGGTCCATGATGATACGGCATGGGAACATACAGAAGTAGGGATCTGGCAGGTTGCCAGGTGTATCACCCGTGTTGTTTCCTGTATAGAACCGCGCCAGGCCGAAGGCAACAGTACTCGCGGCAGCTTTTATGGACTCTGCATGGCACAATTAGCATGCTGGGCAAATGAGGTGCGGAACTTTTCTTGAAGGCTGAGAGGTAGCATACCGTCACTGTCAAAGTTGACTTGTATGGCACCAACGCTGCTGGCCAGCAGACCGAGGCTGAAAACTGGTGAAGAGAACTTCATTGTGAAGGAGAAAGAAAGTCGAAAAAAAAAGAAGAAGAAAAGAAGCCGAAGAGGGACGAAAAATGAAGCCCCAAGGGGAATCGATTAAGAATAAAGAGCGCTGTTCGTGTCCAGCACAAGAAGATACACCTGTGAGCTTTCTGGCTCTGGTACTTCGTAGAGATTCACAGACGTATGTGCGTTATTGGCGACCTCAGCATCGTCCGACTAGACCCCTCTGTTCGTGGCGTTCTGAACTCGTTTGGCGGATTACCGTGACCGGAAGATGGTAACAAAAAATATCACGGAATGAATGGATCGCCAGGATCGGTGCTGAAAATTTGTCGCTGCCGTGAAAACCCGCTGTGAGAATACCGCCTGGGCTTTGTCGAAAGAATGTTGAGACCGCTACAAAAGGAATGTCGCCAGGACTGGAATCGTCAAAATATTGATGCCCGCCGGGAGCTGTGGTTGGAGAATCGAAGAGGAAAACGAAAGAAGATGGAGAAACACGCGAGGCCGTCCCTTGTTCCACCTACGAACAAACACACGATGCTTGACAGGTGGTGAATGTTGAAGAAGGAAAGAACAGACCAGGAACGGCAAGGGGACCGAGCAGCCTAGTCTCGTAGGTTAATGCTCCACGCTCACAAATGGGCATGGCAGTGGGCTCTCCTGAGCATGGGTCAGGATCGGCCTGGCTAGGAGCATGGTCGCCTGTCCTGATTCCAGGCCGGTGGCTGCATGCATGAAGGCCGGGTCAGCCCATGGCGCTGCTCTGGGACTGGCAGCAGCCGACAAGACGGACCAAGAACGGCAGCGGTACAGCGCCGAGGTTTGGGGGCCCTGAACCCGGGCGCCAATCCTCGATCCATGTGGGTAGTTTCGTGTCCTCGCAGCCGGCAGATGCTGGCTCATCAAGGAAGCTGGTGGGCGGCCAGGAGGGCTGAAACAGCAACGGTCGGGGCACGGAGGTGGTCCATGTCTCACCGTGCCCCGGGCCGGCCAGGGGCCGGGGCCCGCATCGCCTTCAGCCTCATGTTGCAGCCATGCTCGCCAAGAGATTGTTTTCCTGGGCGGGAGCATCATAAACACTTCCAAGCCCTGGCATTGCCCCGCGGCTCATCAAACAACGTTTTCGTCATCCTGTCAAGACGGCAAGAATCACTCGCACTGCGTCCACATTTTCATCCGAGCCCCCAGGCCAAAGTACACGACGGGCATCGACTCTCGAAGTCCCACAAGCACACGTGTTTACCTCGAACTGCATCCTCGTGGTTCCCCGACAGGAACGAATACAGCTTGTGTCAAAATGCTGCAAGCACACGATCGTCGGGTCGACTCGAACCACTCCGTGGCATGCGTGTAAGGCCAAGAAGCGGCCAACCTGCCACGCGTCCAATTCCGTAGCAGCTGCACGCCCGGCACCCAGGCCTCGACGGACGTGCTCTGAAGATGAAAGAGAAGGAAATGTCAATTAGTCAGTGGGTCTGGTGTCTATGGGGTATCCGTGTAGCTTCATCATCACGACCAAAGGATTGAGCGTGAAGGCCATTGCTTGACCAACCGCGCCTGTCTCCCGGCCGCGCTCAATCGTATCCTGGGCGTGCCGTCGTTCCTTTACTCGTCATCCTCATCCTCATCATCCTCATCCATCTCCTCGAAGTCGAGCTCGCTAAGGCCGTCCATCTCCTGAGCTTGGACTGGGTTTGGTCAAGCATGTTAGCAGTCACTCTTTCGCGACACAAAACATGGCTCGGTAGGCAGATCAGACTTACTGTAGTACTTGATGGCGCTCGGGTAGAGATCCTCGGCAATGGCGACAGCGAGCTCATCACCGTCGGCGAAGATCTCAAGAGCGAGAGGGTCCTCCTCGTCATCATCCTCATCCTCCTCCTCCTCGTCATCGGCGGTCTTCTTGCCCGCAGCACGCTCCTTGCGCTCCTCGTCGGCCTTCTTGATGGCGGCAACGCTCTCCTCGGGGGTGATGTGGAAGCCGCGGTAGCCAAAGAAGGAGAAGAAGCTAGCACCGCCCATACCGGTGCTCTCGATCTTCTCCTTGAGCTCCTTCTCCGAGGCAGTGTAGTCAGCCTCCTTCTTGGGAGTGCTGTCCTTGCTGGCCTTGGGGTCGGTCTTCTCCTCCTGCCAGACCTTGACGACGAGGTCGAGGAGGCCACCAGTGAGATCCTTGCCGGACTTCCACTTGATGGCGACGGGCTCAGACACGAGGCCGGCCCAGCCGCCGGTAGCCTGGCGGTGCCAGAACTTCTTCTCGATGACCTTGTCCTCAAAGTACTCGTTCTCGGAGAATTCAAACTTGAGGATCATGCTCCGGGGGTCCTTGTCGGCCTCGAAGTGCTCAACGGAGATGTTGGTCAGGTGGTCAGAGAGGACCTGCGAGTCGGTCGGCTGGATGTACTGGTCAATCTCCTGAGGAGCTTGCTCAAGGACAAGCGGCCAGAAGTTGGGAATCTGAGCGATTGTCTTGGCGCGCTTCTCATACAGCGGCTTGGTGAGCTTGATCTGCTGGCGCACTGCGCAAGGTGGTGGGTATTAGTTAACCAGGTGAAAAATTGACACGACGAGGCACAGCCGCGCCCTGCGGACGTTTAGCTGGAAAAGGGGAGGGGGGCGGTGCTCAGGAGACATACTGATCTCGTTCTCGGCCTCCTCGAACTCATGCTCGAGGTCCTGGAGCTCCTCGAAGGTGATGGGGTACTCCTGGGCCTCTTCCATCTTGGCGTCAACCATTGTGATGATAGTACGGTGCAAAGTGAAGAATGGGTGAAAGAGGGGTCAGATAATTCTGGGATCGAGGAACAACAAGTTCGAGAGCTGGGCACGAGTTTGTGAAGGGCGGAAGGTGTCGATTTATGTACCAGCAAACACGACGCGGGGCCGATGGCAACATAAACAACAACAAAAAGTTTTCTTTGCTAAAGCTAGCTGTTCCCCACGGGCGGCGCGGCCGACCCAGCAGGAAAAAAAATCCTCAGAAGGTGGTGCTGATCTGTACGGGCGGCCACTGGTGGGATGGAGCCCTGTCAAGCGGTGTGAGGGGCTATTTCTTGCTCAGGGTCTTGTCATAGCAGCCGGGTCCCTGGCCCAGTTGAGCCAGGGAAGAGGAACTGTCAGTCAGAGCTGGCGATCTGAGCACACAGCTGCTGGAGCATGACGTAGCGGCGTGGCGAACTCGAGCTTGGGGCTAGGGTGAGCTCTGGATGCAGGACCAAGGAGCTCTATGGGATGAGATGCTGGGAGGGCAGCGCCTAGATCTTCAGTGTGGAAGGGCCTTACTGACACTAATAAAACAAAGCAGCATACAGCGTATCGTCGCCAGTCAGATTGACGACATTGTGAGCAGTTGGAAGCTTGTGCTGGTCGAGCATTGACGGTGCCTGGCATCTGAATTGGGATGGCGGGGCTGCCGCTCAGAAACTTTTCCAGGGGTCTTGGGCCGGGTGCGGTGCAGGCACCGCCCATGCTCGACAGGCACTGCACCCCACCCCACCACCAGCAGTGGAGAGCGGAGCGGGGCAGCTGTCCTATTCTTTCTTTCACATGCCCAGCTGCTCAAGTGCCGCCTAAATCAGGGCCCTTCTGATCTCAACTTGGCACTGACAGTCCTGGGAAGAGAACGGTCATGGTGATCTGTTGGAAGCAACTCGTTGGAGGCGGCTCAGCCGCTATGAACGACAATCCAGAAAGCCCGCCGCCTCCTTGCACTTCCAAGGTTGACATTGGCCACAGAACCTGCTCTGACGGCGTGTCTAAGCTCGTCCACTCCCGGCGCTGACCGTGTCGTGTGCACATGGTGAGCGATCATGGCTTGTAGGACTGGGCCGGTCGCGGGACCACGTAAAGTATGTAGCTGAGCCTCACCCAAAGTCTTGCGTCGTGCTCGTGCATGGGTTGGAGGTACTCGGCTTGACCATGTCCGCAAGCCGGCCCAAAGCTTATCAAGCTGCCGACATGGTGGAGTCACAGTCAGTCCAGACTTTCGCGCCCCTCGGCTTGAGACGCGACTCGGCAGCTGCCACGCGAGCCCGAGCTGCTGCCATCTGGGCTGTACTGTAGGATGCTTTGTTGTACTACGCTAGGTTGGGCTGGGAGCTGACTGACTGCCGCAAATGCCAATGGCGGGGGAACGGCAGGGCTGCACCGAAATCCGGGGTACTCAGAGATCGCCGTGTCGCCCATCCTTGCAGTGTTGCAGGCGCGTCGCTGACCCGACTGTCTGCCAGATATCACAATCGTGTCGTCATATCGCCGAGCCCTCGGTTCCGCCTGATCCCCCGTAGCGCTCTCACTGTCGACACCGAGCCAGCAGATCATCCCCCGGCGATCACGTTGTGTCGTCCCAGAATATAGTCTACACACACTGCAGAACCAAACGGAATCCTCGGCTGCCTCCGTTGCGCGAGCACTGTGGCTAATCGTGCTCGGCTTGGTCAGCACTCCAGACCAGCAACCAGCAGGGCACATGTGTAAAGTTTGTGACACCTTTTTGCTGGTGGGAGACAGGTGCAGGGCCGCTCCTACTCCATTCTCCAAATTCACATAATAAGCTTGTGTCGTCCCCGCTGGCAGACGACTTGTTTGCGCATCACGGCGCACGCTGATCATGAGACATCTCCGCACCATCCGCTCTGCTAAGCTCCGCCACACATATCTAACTCCAACCTTCCACTTCGCATCCAGCCAAAAGAGGTACTTCAGCGAGACATCACGCAGCAATATGGCCATCACGGGGACAATTAGCATCGCGCCGGACAACACCGGCTTGTGGGCGCTCAAGCAGTCAGATGCTGCTGCCAAGAAGACGAGCGAGCTACTCCAGCAGGACTTTGAAGTAAGCAACCAGGGCTCGTCACCGTCGAGCGTCCAAAAGCGTCTTCAACGTAGACTGACTCTCCGTACAGAACCATCACGTCTTCTTCAACCAAGACGGCTTTCATAACCAGTATATTTTTGCCCGTGCCACGTAAAGAGTTCGAATTGGACGCCTTGCTAACTTCCCTTCCAGCATCAGCCACCACATCTTGTCCCTATACGGGACAGGAGCTTCCATCGGTGCCATAGAAAAGGGATACAAAGACAATAGCTCATATCAAAGACCTGTCGTTAAACCTCACGATGATCCGGCCCAGACACTTCGAGACTGGGAGACGGCAAAGAAACGTCTCGGGAAGGAACAGTATGTGTGATGTCTCCGAGGCCAGGCAAGCAAGGACATCCGAGATATTTTGAGGTTAACACGATCGCCCAGATACTACACGGACTTCCTCATCTTCTTCCGCGCCGAGATCGAGCGTCTCGGCGGATGGCAGCAGGTTCTACAGGAGTACCTGTTCAAGCAGGACGACGAGCGCAGCCTGGACATGCTCGTCCGCATGCACTCTGGCTTCCTGCACCCCATGATCCAGCTCATGTTTGGTGTCGAATGGTCCCAGCCGACCATTGTCGCAATGGCTCTCGCGCAGGCCTCCGTGCACGGCGACGCTCCTTACCGCAAGATCTTCCTCGAGGCCGAGGATGGAGCCGTCAAGAACTACCAGGACAAAGAGAAACGCATGCCCAGCATCATCAGCCTGATGGAGGAGATGAGGGCCAACGAGAAAATAGCAAACTCAACCAAGCTCTCAGACGGTAACAAGATCCGCGACGGCGTAATGAAGCGTGCCCCCGATGAGACAATGCGCATCCTCACGAAGGTCCACGTTAGCCCGGAGAACTTCCAGGAAGAACTGGCCCAGATGATCGATGCCAATGTTTATGCTGGCGCCAGCGCAGCCATTCGGCAAGGCAAGCAACCTAGATGGGACTTCTTCCTGATGTAAGTCTGCCTTCACTCGAGAGAGCGAGCCCCTGCTGACGCACCGCACAGCCATCACATCAATGTCCTGCCCATCTACATTGTGCTCGGCCAGCAGGATTGGATCCCGCTCGACGTCAAAGTACGCTTGCTGGAATGGAAGATCCGTATCGATCTCCTGCAGTACGCCGCCCGGGTTTGCCCTGAGCTCTCCCTCGACAAAATCACCTCGTACACGCCCAAGAACCCCACCAGGGAGCCCGATCACGGTAAGTCAGGAAGAGAATGCACCACCTTCTTTGTCTGTGACCACAATATGTCGGCGTCCCTGCTTTTCCACGCGGAACCAACCATACACCTCAACAACTACATACATATCCTACACTTGTCATTAACATGCATACCAGATCTCGTCGTCCGCGTGCACAACATCGACCACGACGACGGCCACGCAATCAAGCTCCTCCGTGCCGTCGGCGCGGCCAAGAAGTTCACCGAGCCGTTCCGCCGCGACGTGAACTCCGCTGCGCAGCTGCACCTGCAGCTCCGTGACGACGCCATTTACAACAAGATATATCACCTCGTGGCCGACGCAGTCGAGTCTGGCGAAAGCGGTCGGTGGATCCGCGGCGCCGGGGATCCGGAAGCATGGCAGGTCAGTCTGCTCCCTCCTTCTCCTATCCATTTGCTTGCGTGTGCCTTCACGAGGGACAGTCCCAGAACATGGAACGCAAACTGACGAGTTTTGTTGTCATTCTGTAGGATGTGCCAGATACTTCTGCGACGGATAGTGGAAAGTTGTAGAGGTGCATAGTTGCAGTACAACTGAACACGGCAGCGATTCTGTCTGCCTAGGAATGTGCTCAATCAAACCTCGGGATGCAAGGTAGATTCCGAGAGCAATTTTCGGTACACGCACTACATCACACTAATAACTTGTAAAACCTCTGTTGTGTTGGTATCGAGTCTTCTTTCAATGTAGTCATCTCACTCATTATTTTCTACGCCTCCGTGTTTCATTTTACATGAAGCAGTATGTGTGAGGATGGATATTCACCAGCCACGACCTCTGCCCCAACCTCCTTGGTGATTTTGTCCATGATGACCACCCTGCCCGCCTCCTCTGTACTGATCTACTCTAGCCCCGTAATGCTGATTGGCAAACTGGTCGTGGGATGGCCCCTGCGGAAGCGAATGCTGCGGCAGGGGTGGAGGAGGTGGAGGTGGAGGGATAGCGCCATTCCATGCTGGCATCATGCCTGGCATACTGGGCACCCAGCCTGCTTGGGGAAATCCTGCGCCGACGCCTTGAGGGGGTATGGGTGGTGGCGGAATAGGGGGGGGCCATTGTCCTTGGAAGTTTGGTGGCCTTGGGGGGAAGGCTGGGAAGCCGTTGTTGAATTCCGCCCCTACCGGGAACGGCGGCGGAGGTATCGGGGGTTGGAAGGAAGCCTGTGGTGGATAGTTTGCAGGTGAATTCGCCTGCATCCCTGACTGGCGACCATTCAGGGTCCCGCCATCTCGTCGAGTGCGAGAATGGCTTCCACCGGCCCGCGCTCTGAACGGACTGCGACTTCGGTTGCGAGACCGAGACTGTCGTCTGGGACTAGCTCGGCTCCGCGAGCGCGAGCGTGATCTTGAGCTTGCATATGAGCGTCCTCGCCTACGGCTCCGACTGCGACTGTGGCTGTGGCTGTCTATATCAGACATGCGCCTTCGCTTAGGCCTTCGAGGAGAAGGCGTGCGACTCCGGCTGCTCCCAGACCTCGAGAACGACCTCGAACGAGATCGGGATTCTCTTCTCCCCCGGTTCTGGCTACCATTTTGCGGTTTGTCGTTCTTCGCCCGACGCTGCTTCATTTTCTCGCAGAAACCTCTCGACCACCCGTAATATGTTTGGCCACCGATAATTTCTCCCGTGATTTCATCGCGCACGATAGGCTGGCCCAGTTGATCTATTTGAACATCATCGTCTTCACCAATGGCGTGCTCCTTTGCAAACAGACGATCGGCGTCCGCGAGCAGAGTCTTCACGGCATCAACAAGGTGTGCCTCCGCCGGACCTGGCTTGAACTGCAGCGGCTTGATCATCTCCGGATTCATCGGCCTTGTCGAGTTGGGCTCCATTACCGGCAGCCAACTCGCAGCTGGCAGATCGTACCAGGCTGCAGTGGCGTCACCGTGAATAGCTGGCATGAGGAATGGCGCATTCTTCGCAGCCTTGGGTGCTGGTGCGCCAGAACCCTGAGTTTTGCCTGCTGATGCACTTTCGTCGACGGCATTATTGGGTGCGTCGCGAACTGTGCTCATGAGTCTGTCATATGATGCTGCGGTGACATATCCTTCCTCCTTCCAGATCTTCAGCAGGTCGCAGATCTTATTCATATGCCGGGCACAATGCGTGTAAGAAGCGGCGAGTCTTAGAAGCTCGGGCAAGCCTGCTTCGATATGCTTCGAGAATGTCTCATCCCGCGTACGGGCCCGGGTATGGTACAGCGCGTCATTGAGCACGTATAGGATGTGAAGTCGCCTGCGGCGCGAGCTGGGCTCACGGGCTTGTCGGCTCTCGAGCAGTGGTCGCGTCAGCGATCTCGCGAGAGCTGTCAAGTACTTGAGGAGGGCGGCTGTCCTGGCAGGAGAATGGGCAATGTTGGCGACTATCCATTGCTTGCATTGCTATGATCTCGACCGTTTAGCCGTCGTGCGTGGGAGGGCAGTAAAGAGAGGCTGCATTGCTCAAACCTGGACGTTTGCGGGAGAGCATCGCGATATCGTCGTGTCTAGAATTCGCAAGAAGTCGTCAATCTCTGCGCGAGACTGCGCGGTCGGGTCTGGGCGAAGCAGGAGGGCCGCGAAGGACACCTTTGCGATATCGAGGTGCGGCGATGCCATGTCAGGCGCAACGAGTCGTTCGCTCGCGCGCGTCGCAAATGCCGAGTAGTTGGACGGCCGTGCATGGAGCTGCACCAGTCTGTACAAGGGCGCTTGGTATCAAGCCATGAGAATCGGCCAATACAGAATTTAGCCGGCTGATTGGCTGGTGGGTGAGTTGTCGGGTCGTCTGTCAGAGTCGAGAGACTGACACTGCGTGGCATCGATGGGGTTGTGGCACTGGCGCGTGTAGTTGACCTTGGTTGGCATTTGATGCACAATTCCAGCCCGCCAGGCCAGGCGGCATGCTGACATAAGCAATACGGCTATTTAGCAATTTTGTGATCAACAAGACCCATCTATGTTTGCGGTTGTCAAACACGATGACGTGCTGTGCTTCGCATTATGTAGCATGGTATCACAAATGTTTTAATCCATACTCAGGATAACATGCATTTGATGCCCCAGTGCTTGTGTGAAGCGCACATCATCAGCCTAAAGGGTCACAATTTGCCTCTTGTCCTCCTGGTCTGCCCGTCCACCTGTCTTGCTGTGATTGCTGATCCTCCATTTTGACAAGTGGTGCAAGTGAATCGCGGTGCATGTGAGCATTATGATCGGCCGCCCTTCACTCTCGAGGCTGATCTCTAACGTATCTCATTCGCGCTTACAAACGACACCTAGCCAAGCCGAGCACATTGGTGTATAACAATATCGTACATTCAAACTCCCCGCGGCGTCTTTGTCCACAAAAGGAGACATGTTCCGGCAACCGCAACATGTCTACTTTCAAATTGTCGACGAGGGCGAGAATATGTTCCTAGATGATAGTCCACCTAGGAGAAGCGATCGCCTTTGGGGCTTCGGAACGGCGTGCTGCTCTCGTACTTGCTCTTCTCAAAGACCCTCTCTTTTTCTGTCGACGGTGCATGCCGTGTTGGCGCTGGATCCGAGGATGCCTCTTGGCTGGGAGACCCTGCTGGATCTGTCCGGGGTGGGCTTCCGTTGCTGCTACCAATGGCGGATGCGGACGAGGGGCCGCTCGGGATGTTGTCGCTGTACTCGAGAGACTGCATCATCTGCTTCCTGCGACGGGTCTCCTCCATCTTGGCCTGTCTATCGGCGTTGATGCTCCTCTTGGCAAAGTAGTATGCGCCGCCACCAGCCACACACAGGGAACCCCATCCTAGCCTGTCATGCCGTGCGGACGTTCAGGTCAGTCGTCACCGTCGGCAGCCGTGGAGCATTGTTGGCCGGCGTCAGGGAAAGGAGACACCTCGGCGGGCTTACCAAAAGGATTTCACCTATGACGGGGGATACGTTAGTGGCGATTGCGCACCGAGCAACAACATTGAACGTCATTGCTTGACGTAGTGCGGGGGACCTACAGTATTCATGATCGGGTATGTTGCTGCGGAAGCTTGTGGTCTATACTGACTGATTCCTTGGGTGCTGAGAGATCGTTACTAGAGTCGTGTCACTGGGCTTCTGTGTCGAGGGAGTTGGAAGAGGGAGAAAAAAGGTGAGGCCCTGGCCTGGGCATGCGTTGACGATGCAGCTGGTAGAGCGAAGCAACCTCGACAGCCGAGTGGTGCCACTTTCGTGGTCGACCAGCATTAGCGGCATGGTCACCCCTGCCTAGCTCCAGAGAGCTCCGGGCCTCGTCCAACGCCCCGCCACTCCCCCCGACCAGCGGAGTGGCCTGCACCGTTGTTGTCAACTCCGTCTCCGGCTCTCCCCCAAAGCCACCATCGCCAAATCACCCACATCCAGACAAGAGAGACCACATCCGTCCTCCGAGGTCAGACTTGAGAAGCCGCCAATTTTCTCTTCACACATACATTCCTGTCGAATCAGTACATCGAGTGGACCAGCAAGCATGTCTCAGTCCACTGCCCATCGGCGGCTCCTCATGGAGTACCGCGCCCTGACCAACAATCCCCCAGACGGCATCACTGCTGGACCTGTCACAGAAGACGACCTCCTCCACTGGGAAGCCCTGATTCAAGGCCCGGAAGGCACCCCGTTCGAAGGCGGCGTCTTTCCCGCCGAGCTCAAGTTCCCCAAGGACTACCCTTTGGCTCCTCCAAAGATGACGTTCCTGGGCGAGATCTTCCATCCCAACGGTAAGCCGGACCCTTTTCGAGCAGGAGTCGCTCCGAATGCCACAGATCGCCTCGCTCATGCTCTTCTTTGACTTCTCCAGTATATCCTAGCGGCCTGGTCTGCATATCCATCCTGCACCCGCCCGGCGACGACCCGAACCACTACGAGCACGCCTCCGAACGCTGGAGCCCGATACAATCTGTCGAAAAGATCCTCATCTCCGTCATGAGCATGCTCGCGGAGCCGAACGACGAGAGCCCCGCAAACGTCGAGGCGGCCAAGATGTGGCGCGACAGGAGGCCCGAGTACGAGCAGAAAGTCCGTGATGGCGTCCGTCGCATGCTTGGACTGTAACACTGCAACACGCATCTTCGGCTTTGTTTTGGCAGGGCAACGTCATATAAGTGCGAGACGTCGGCCACCTTCATAAGTTCTATTGATTTCTCTCAGGCACAATCACGCATGGAGTCCCGGACAAATTCATTTCTTTTGAACGCTTCAATTCTCGGATCGGTGTAATGTGTGCGGGCTGTACTGCAAAGTGTGTGACTTACTTTGACAGACTAAATGCCATGATTATCTTTTCTCAACTCACGCGTTGGAAATGACACTAAATCGTCGGTATTAGGTAGGGAAATGGCAAGATGGTCAAGAAAAGGGGCTTGAAGTCGCTAAGCACTAATATTTGCTGCAGAATGCTGAGTGCATATATATGTACAAGAATTCAACATGGTATTCGCACATGATCCAAAACAGAGAACAAGAGCCCCCAAGCCAACGTATCCAACCTCCTCCCAAATCAGACTCTGCCACTCATATTTCACCACTCCGTCTTGCCAATGTCTCAGCTAGGGCCTGGCGACTTAGCCACTGATCGTGGTCGGTGCTCTTTTCCTCAACAGCCCACGGCTCCGTGCTGGTACTGCCAGCTGTGCTCGGGTCCGCCATGGTGCGCCTCCACGCAGCCCTGCGCTCGGCTGGGGTTCTGTGCTGGTTGTTTCTTCGGCGCGGGCTCGAATTTCGGGCAGCATCGCCCTTCTCACTACCGGTCGGACCTTCGGCACTCGCATAGCTGGTTCTGTTGCTACTCGTGTTGCTTCCGATCGCGAGGTAATTGCGCCTGCCGAGGATGGACGAACCTCGCTTGCCGGGGCTGAAGCCGCCGCCGCGAAGCTGTGGCAGTGTCGGGCTGTCGAAGTCGTCTCCATCACCATGAGCACTACCGTGGATGCCTTCTGCATCGCTGATGGACGCGGTGTGTCCGCTCGCCGAGCTGACCTGGCTGTTCATGCGCCGCAGCTCGGCAATGGCCTGCGTCACTCGCATCGAGTTCATTTTCTTGGCGTCTCCCTCAAAGGTCGACAAGCGTCTGAGCGTATCTTGCTCACCATGCGTGCCATCATCGCCCTCCAGATCCTTGCTCTGCCGGAACGAGCTGTCCCTTGAGCGCCTATCAGCCCCTGAAGGCGTGGCTGAGGAGGAGGAGATCGCCTTGTATGGCTCGTCGTGATAGTTCTTGGCCCGACTCGGCAGCAGCACGTCTTCAACGATACGCTCGATGGTGGCGTCGCTGTCTGTGCCACCACCATCGGTATTGTCGCCGTCAAGGTCCTTCATCTTGTCACGTCTATATCTCGACACCTCGCGAAGCGACGAGAAGTCGGTACTCGTTGGTGTCGTCGCCAGTGTCGTCGTGCTCTGCTGAGCATTGTTGTGGTCGCCATACGTCCGCGCCCCCGCCGACTTGTACTCGGAGCGGTCTGAGTAGTGGTAGCTATCGTACAGCGAGCTCAACCGCGTCTCGGAGTATGCTCCCGGTGTTTCATAAGTCAGATCGAGAGGTCCCAATGTGGGAGAGCCGTCGAGTCCCTGCATCTGACGCTGCTGATGCCGCTGAGGCGTGCGCATTGGCATGGGTGTCGGCGTTTCTGCCTCTGGCGTGGCCTTTGTGAGGTAGATTGTCAGCCTCTTGCTGGGCGATGTTGCCCGGCTGTTTTCATCCATGGTCGAAGCTGTCTCAGCACCGCGCTTCGGCTTAGTGCTTGTGCTACTTGGAGTGGTCAAGACGCCCCCAGAGTATCTACCCTTGATGGCTGCGCTTGCCGAGTTCATGGCAGTTGGGCGGGGACCGTCTTTGGGCAGCGGCGAGAACAATTGCGACAATCTTGCATTGTGCTGGGGTGTAGCCGATACAAAAGGATCATCATCATCGTGCTCGATGGTGGCTCGGGGTGTCTGTACGCTGTGAGAGGGCATCGTGGCAAAACTCAGGGTGTACCTGGCACTATTACTTTCGCTGCCTTCTCCATCGACAATGCTTCGTATCGTGTGCGTCTCAGTGTCAATCATCTGGAAGTCCCTCATCGAGGGAGAATAATCAGTGTTGCCATCCGCTCCATCAGCAGCAGGAGTTCCATCAACAAGAGTGCTGCTGCGCAAGCGCAAGGGGGCTGGAGACATGCTGAGGTCGTTTGCGTTCTCGGCGTCAAAGTCACGGCTTCGGCGCAGGACTTCGGCCAATGCCTTTCTCTGAGAGTCGGTGCGGTGTAAGCCCTGGGGAATACCGACGACACCATTGCGACTGTTACGCTGTCTTCGACTTGCGACATTCTGTGGGCTCGCACGTGCAGACCCCGGCTCGTCCTCACTGTACAATGTTGAGAGGGCGCTTGACTCGGTGCTCGCGAGTGAGAAGGGGCGGTGGCTGCCGCCGACTGCAGTACCATGCTGCCTCTGCTGTGAGTTTTGCTGCATTTGGCTACCTCGCTCCTGTGCCTGCTGCTGCTGTTCTGCTGCCAGGTTCTTGTACCGGCTTGGACTAGATAGGGGTGTCTGATGGCTTGCCAAGTAAGGCTCGGTCTGCGAGAGTGGCCGATTGTTGTCACCCGGCACCAGGCTATCAGGCTCCGAGATCATCGACGCAAAGGACACGTGCGAGATGCGCCTGCGGTGCAGAGGCGTGTTCTGCGCCGGGCTCGGGGCGAGGCTCGCGTTGGCGCTCTGCGCGGGAATGATGAGGTTGATATTGTCGCCTGTCGTGTCAGATGAGAGCATCGTCTCCCTGGCGCTGCTCTTGTTGGAGGAAACCCTGCCGGGGCTCTTGCTCCTCCTGGCTTCCTTCGAGTTTCTCAGGTCCTCGCTGCCCGCAATGTCAGCGGCAGAGTTGACGACAAGCTGGCGACGCTCGCTACGGCTCCGATCCTCGAGGCGTTCTGCGGTCATGCGCAGGATCTCGGTCAGTTCCGAGTCTGTAGCGCTCTGTCGGAAGCGCGCAGGCCTCTTGGGCGGTGATTGTGCCTGCTGCTCCTGCTGCTGCTGTTGCTGCTGTTGCTGCTGTGCCATCTGCTGCTGCTGCTGCTGCTGATGAAGCAGGAGGAGCTGCTGCTGTTGCATCTGCTGTTGTTGCTGCTGCAGCAACAGCTTCTGCTGCTTGTGAGAAGGCTCGGCCGTCAATGTTAGACGCTGGCGCGGGTTGTGAATCACGGACGCGGGTGCTCTGGGGATCACAGGCGGAGCGTTCGCGGCGCCGGTGCCAGCCTGCCACGAGTGTATGTAGTCGCCCCCGTCGGCGCCGTTGTGGACAATGACGGGTGTAGACCGGGGAGTGTCGTGGACACTGATCTCCTCGTCATGGCCGTCGGCACTGCGTTGGCTGCCGGCGTTGTTGAGTACTCTTGGGTTGCCGACAATCTCCTCCACACTCCTCCCGCCAAACGAGAGCTTCCGGCTGAGCGACTTGCCGAGCGTTTGAGGAAACCAGCTGCGGACCGTCCTGCTGCCTGTCGTGTTGATGTGGGCGCTTGCGGACTCGGCCGTGGCTGTCGCCACTGTGCGGCTGTCGTTGGAGCTGTACTGATTATAGCCGTCATCGCTGTTGCCTGCGTACTTGATCAGAGCAAGAGCGCTCAATCTATTGCTCCCGCTGGCGTTCTGGTCCTCGCCGGTCCATGATCTCTTCTGGCTCGTGTTCGACAGCCTGACCATGTTGGCGACAACGTCGTCCTCCTTCTCGTCGTCGTACAACACTCGCTGCTCATACTGGATAGCGGACTCGTACGGCCGTGCGAGAAAGGGGCTGATGATTGATACATCGCCGCCGACACCACTCCCATTGTCACTCTTCCTCTGCCCTCCAGAGTCCCGGTGGTGGGAGGCTGCGTCCTTCTCGCCGCCCTCGACAAACAATGTTGTTTCGCTCGTATTGCTGCTCGTCTTCTTGCGCAGCCGTTTCTGCTGCTGTTGGCTGGACCGCTTGCTCCCGACGCCTCCGTCCTCGGCCGAGGGCCCCTCGCTGCCATCTGACTCGCCCGTTGGCGGTGCTTCGAGATAGCTTAAACCAGTCGCCCTCTTTGTCGGCGGCCGCAACCCGAGGTCTTCGACCTGCAAGTCTTGGGTTCTGCCTTGGTGACGGTCCTGCAACCTGGCGAGCCACACCAGCAAGGGAGCCAGGCCAATGAAGAGCACGATCGCGCCGGCGATGGCTATGCCGGCGATCGCGCCGACGGACAAGGTCCCAGCTGCAGTGGTGTTGTTGCTACTGCTGTCCGTGGCGCCGGCGGCTTGCCGGTATATGAGCAAGCTCATGTTGACGACGGTGGTCTTGGCTGCGTTGCCTGCCTAGCGTTCAAGATGCAGGATGGCTGTGGTTGGTAAACGTCGGCACCTCTTTGTCGTCCTTCAAGGGTGCGATTATCCTCCTCCTCGCCTGGTCTTCGCCCAGAGCCTGGTCTTTCGCGATCGGTATCATTGATATGGCGTTTACGTGGAGATAATCGTCGTCGTGCTGATCATCGTCCTATACTCGCCAGATAACTCGTGCCTTTAGACGGGTGTCGCTGCGTTTTCGGATCTGGACGCCCGCCGTATGTCACAACAGGATCTGTCAACTCGCGAGATACTCCTGCAACGCATGCAGAGGAGAGAAAGGGACGGGCGGGAGTAGGACGGCGCAAGAGTCACGAGCATTGGCCCCCTCGGACATTCCCAGGGAAAATCTCCCTGGAGTCTCGGTGGACTTAGCCATGGGGGGACAAAACTGGCTGTCCTCATTTTCAGCATGCCTTCCGGGGCTTCTCGCCTTAGACCCAGGCTGTAGCCACGCCGATGAGCACCAGCAAACTGTGATTCAGGCCCTCGGTCCCTCGTGTAGTTGAAATGGAGACATTCTTCGCAGCCGTGAATGCTGCGCGCTAACGCGGGGCCACAGGTCACCCACACGGCCCAGTCAAGGTTGAGAGACATAAACAAAGGCCTGTCTGGAACGCGGGCACAAATGAGCTAGAGGCCAGTAGGCCATAGTCGTGGCCGTTGCTAGGTCGGCAAAGTGGGTGTGAGATGGTTTGGCTTGTAGTCATAATGTTATCAAGGAATGCAGCGAACCAAGGAAGGGATAGAAAGATACGTACCGCATTCCAAGACCGCACCACGCGCGTCGAGGCCTGCTGCACAGGAAGCTCAGCAGCCCGCAGTAGCAAGGGCAGTGACAATTAACGCTAAGTTATTCAGGTGAGACATTCTTCCATTGCCAACAGCCGACTGAGCTGCAGGAGTCGCCTTGGAATGTAATCATGTTTGCAGACCATGGAGCTTGCGACCAATGCCTTTACGCTCTGCCTGATAGTTGGTAAGCTCTCAACGCGAAGAATAACAGCAGTCAGAGAGGTCATCAAAGATATATAAATCATGCCCAGAGGCTCAAATACTTTGCTCGGCCTGGTCAAACAAGACCCAGCCTCGACGGACCCCCGCGGATACTATTGCGCATATTGTGCCACGGAGAACATTTCGTCCTGTCAAGTCACCGGAAGCATTGACCTCCAAAATCAAGTAGACGGGTTTCCTACCAAGATTAATTCCCTGGCTGCGCTCGCGACGGTGCATCAACAGTGGTCAATATCATCACGGACTAAGTCCACCAACATCGGTTCAGACATCACGTTTCGAACTGGCTGGAATCTAAAATTTTCCTTTTGCAAGTCTTGATATTGGCCAATTCAACCGGCACGGGAAATCTTAGCTCTACATTGCCAAATTTCCCCTCTACGTTGTCTTCTCATATGAAAATGACTTAGGAAAAAAATATGCGGAAAACTTAGAATAGACCATGTACCAAGAAGTGAAGGTTTGGCTGAAGAGACGCCCGCGCGCATCAGATGATGCTTGCCATAGTTCACAGGTCTGGCCCACACACAATGTCACAAATGACTACTGCCCATCTTAGATGTGACGGTTGCGCATCAGGTGGTTGCGACGGTGCTTCATCTTGTCCGTCTTCAACAAGGGCATAACGGCAACGGTCGTGGTGGTGACAACCTCCTCAGTGACGTAGACAACATCCTCGTAGTAGATGATTTCCTGGACCATGCCATCCTTGGTGATTGTCCGGGTGCTGACGGGGGGGTTGCCATTCTCATCGAGGACGGGGGCGGCGGGAGGAGGCGTGACGATCGCAGCAGGGGGCGGCGGGGGAGGCGCGGTAGTCGTCGGAGGGGGCGGGGGAGGAGGAGTCGACGTGCTGCTCGAAGTCGGGACCTCCTGGAAGATGCCGACATCGGGAATGATGGAGCTCGAAACCTCAGCAGGCAGGTTGGTGTCGATAGAGGGTGCAGCAGCAGTCGGGACAGCGGCCTCCGGGATCAGAGGCTGGAGGATGCTGGCAAGGATGTTCGAGCCCTTGGGGGTTGCGGACTGAGGACCAGCTTGGACCTGGACACCGCCGGGCAGGCCGGCCAGAACACCGTCACTCACATCGAAGGCGGAGAATGGCTTGAAAGTGTCGGCAAGACGGCAAGAGTCCTGAGTAGGCTCGTCCTGGAGAGGGCCGTTCTCCATAAACTGAGGGCAGTCGGACATGACACCACTGGGGTTAGTGCAGCGGTTGATGGCCTGCTGGAGGAAACCCTCGTCCCATCCATTGAAGAAGTCGGCGTGGTTGCCGTAACCTAGCGCGCAGCAACTTGTTAGTGTCCATTTGGCGCCATTCTTTCGTGCTCGGTGCTATACATACCAGTCGGGTCGCCATTGGCAAGAACCCACCGGCCCGCACGACCCTGGAATTGGGGTGCATTAGTGGCCCAGATAACCTCAAAGAAGAGTGTGACAAGACGCTTGCTGAAACCCTCGGGGCAGCTGCCATCTCCGACAAGGCTAGGGTACGCAACGTGCGACTTGTGGTTGGGGGAGTCGTTCTCGCCGTTCCAGCACGAGGGGAACATGATTTCCAGACGAAGACCGTCCTTGCATCTGCCATCAGTGAAGGCCTTGTCGGGCAGCTTGTGGCGGTACAAAGATGGCTCGGGGGTCTTGCTGTAGTCCATGCAGTTGAAACCAAGCGCGCGCTGGGCAAGGGAGTCCTGGTCGACTTGACCAAGTGCCGCCCAGTCAGAGGTGGGAGGATCGGCAGCATCGGGGTCGCCGAGAGTATAGTCGCGACGCAGACTGGTGCCGGCAAGCATGCGGAAGCCGGGAGGGAAAGCCGTAATCTGCTGGTTTGTATTTCCGTTGCGGAGCAGATAGTAGCTGTTGATTGCATCAGCATGAAGTTGCGTACCTGAGACAATTGCAGAGGTGCGCGCAGACTTACGCAAGAAGGCCGCCAACTTGGGGCACAGGCTCGAACTTGTTGGTGGCGCTGTCTTGGAAGTACAAGGTCGGGAACCAGTACGCAGACATGTCCTGCTTGACCGCACAAGAGGTGCAGTTGCCGGCGCGGAGGTCGGCATAAGTGGAATCCTCAGCGATGGCTAGGTGGTTCGCTTTGTTAGTACGTGAATTCTGCGGCGGTCATACACGCCGGTCACAAAGCCGCGACTGTTTCGAAGACTTACCACTTGAGCCGTGGAAAGCATGGGCGTGGTCGGCTACCTTGCCAAAGTCGACGATAGGATCGACAAGAGCAGTGCCAGTCCGACCCTTGCATTGCATACGCCAGAAGGCATCAACGCTGGACGCGGCACTCAGCAGCGCCAGGGCGCTGGATGTCTTGATCAGGACCATTGTAATGAAATGAGCCTCTGAGGGAACTGTGACGTAAATGTATGACCAGGTGTCTGGGTCTATTTCTCTCGGGTGTCTTGGTTATGGATGCTGGGCCGTGAAGTTCCGTAAACGCTTGGCGTCAGATGTGTTCCAAGTACGGCACAAGTTTGATCTGTTGTGGAATGGTGTGACGAGGACCGTGATCTACACAATCGCTAACGATGGACTGTCTTTGAGACTGGTCTTCGGGGTGACGAATTGGTTGGGATGATGCTGCGGAGGACGATAAAAGAATGTGGTTGTTGCGTGGCTGCCGGGGCAGAAAGAGCGGAAGTGGGCGGAGAGGTCGAGGAAAGACAAAAGCAGCCCGTAAGGTCAAAGTCGCACACAGACACGCACGCACCTGCACAGAGGGCGAAGCAGAACTGGGCGAGCAACGATAAAAGAGCGTACACGAGCGTGTAAGTGAAGAGTGTGTGGGACGAAGGTGAGGTGGACGTGAGCTGTAGGGGCGCGGGCGGGCGCTGCATATCAGAGATGGTGGCTTGGTGGAGCACGCAGAAGCCCTGCCGGCGCACCAGGGCCATCGCACCGCATGGTCATGCCCGAGGCAGGACTGGCCAAGTACAGCCAACCTCTCAGGAGGCGAGCATCGCCTCTTCGGGGGGCCTGTTCGCCTCGTACATGGTACACGCACAGCCCCTGGCCGTTAATTGCGACGGGACCTGCGCCAGGGGCGGAAACCTGCCAGGGGATCCCGGGCCACTTGGTAGCGGCGCCCAAGCGCTCGACCGCCAGACTGGCTGCAGCCCACCTCGAAGCTTGGCACTCCCATCTTCCGGCTTCACAGGTCGGTTCCGCTCGATTCCAGCCCACAGAGAGGAATGCCAAGACCGCGGTGGACAAGTATAACAGACTGCTGTATTTGTTTCAACGCTCTAATTATATTTGTGTTCCTGGCCCTTCTTGAGACGGGCGCACCAGCCAGCGACAACATGCTCCATCCCCAGATCATCACAATGTCAGGCACAGGAGGAGAACAATAGGGATCGCCGACGCCATATGTAGACGAGTGGCAACCCCGCACATGCTATCATGGCCAGTTAAACGCATGGGGCACGGCTGAGGCAGGCACTCGAGCACGAGGAGTTGTGTAGTACATAGAACCATTCCAGGCTGCTTGCACGTCGCTACCGTGCCTCTTCGTTTGCACATTCAAGGGGCACGCAAACACCGTGACTTGTCTTCATCTTGAAAGCTGGCTCGCAAGAACGCTCCCGCCGCCTTGGAAGCTGTGGACTGACATGAAACCCTTGCATGACGGAGCCAACCACATTGCGATGGTGGCGCTACTGCCAGGGCCCGGCCCTACCAGGGTAGGGCTATGATCGCCGACAGCCGTGTGATGGGCCAACAATGCTCTTTGTCACATGAGAGGCAGCAATAGACAATGAGACATGGCGGGATGCTGGCTCGGAAGTACAAAAATACAAAGTGTGCCACCAAGGGTCTATCTTTGTTGATGGCGGAAACAGTCGATATCGAAACTTCCCTGGACGTACTCACATGAGCACCGCAGCCACGTGGTGCGGGCACCGACCTCTATGCACAGCACGCTGGGTTTCAGAACTCCAAGGTGCAGGACGCCACACCGTGCTCGTCCCTACTTGCCTGGCATCTCGAGCTTACGCCCCGAGCGCCCCACGAATCGGGCAGCCAATGCTGGGCAGTGGACCCTTCCGCCCATCACCATCTCCCACTCTCTGCCCCAAGATTGCCATCTCCGCTGTCTTTCGTCATGGGCCGGGCGCAGGCCTCGTGGACGGGCGGATTCGTCACCATGCGGCCTAGGACGCCTCGTCAGCCTCGACTGTCCAGTCGTCCCTATGTGCCCACCAGTGATCGCAATGATCGCAAGCCCGCGTATCGCAATCTGTACCTTACCGCACCGGGTCATCGGTCTCCGCCAGTGACGACATCAGGCGTGCGACGGCCCTTAACACCATGTTTCGCGCCGCGCTCAAAATGACCAGATCATTCCGTCTTAGTGTCTGGTCCGCGTGCGCGATGCAGCAAATGCTGTGCTCTGCTGGATCGCATGCACGCGCAACGGCACACGGCTGCATCGCTCGAAATTGTCAGAGGCGGGCAGGCCGCGAGATCCTCCGCCGTTCTCCTGTGAACGTGTGGCGGGCGGGCCTCAAGTTAAGGGGTAAGGCGCATGATGCAGAGTGTTTCGGCAGTCACCAGGGGCTGGTTCATGGCGACTTTCTGCTGCCCAATCAGCATCCGCCTCCTGTGTCTCAGAAGCCCCGTTGTGGCAGGCGCGTCCACTCTATCCGCCGAGCAGGTGCCACCATCTCGGGCGCCCCAGCCAATCGGACGAGCTGGCACCGTTTGTGCACCGCAGGCACAAAGGCGGCCTTGGAAGGTTGCACAGCACAATTGGATGAATCTGGCCATGGCCCTGCTGCACCAACTTTGAACCTTGGAAGTGAGATTAGCCAGATTGCCCATGAGCCACGCATATGGGGTGGCTCGGGGGTTGCACACTCATGCGACCGCGCGCAGAGGAGCTTCTGTGCCTTTTGGTAACATATTGCCTGCATGTTCTCTCCGATATCAAGAGCGCAATCTTGGGGGGAAGGCCATGCTCCTGTGCCACCGCCCCCTTGGAGGTCTGCCAAGTGAGCCAAGAACTTGGAACAATTTTGGCAGCTTGGGGTCAATGATTCCTAAGGCCCAAGCGGGCTGACCCTCAGCTGATTCTAGAACACAACTCGCCGCAGCACCGAAGTTGACTCGCTTGGTCAATTTTCGAAGACATGAAATGCTGCGATCTGTTGGCACAAGGGACATGGGCATATTCGAAAGCAATGGCACAATCAGCTCAACGACTCCACCAGTAATTGAAGATGTGACTAATGAGACTACCACTGCTATAATGTCGGGCCTTGTGGCGGGTGGAAGGGTGACTCAACCATTCACCCTTTGATGGACAACATCGTGAGAAATGCGAGGCTGGGCGGCGTTGTGCCAAGCCAAGGAAGCGACTTTTTCGGACACCAATAATCTCAGTTGTCGATCGCATAGTATTGCATCGCTCTTTAAAGCTCGGCGATAATGTACGCGGTTCATGGGAGGCACTCATGGTATCTGTGCATACTCGTACAGCATAGGGTGTAACTAGCCGAACGCTGCATGGTCACTGAGAACCAGAGAAATCAGGGCTCACACGACCATGAGTCAAGAAAATGCACAGCAGCAACCCGGATGCCATCGTAGCAAAGACTTCTCGTTAGAGACTTGGGCACTTTATCCTTCCTCTCTGCGTGCATGAGCTTGACGTCAAGTGGCCAAAGCGCGTGCAATCGGCCGTGACGTTCATGATGCTTCTTAGATGTGAATACGCTTAGCGATAAGGCGTGGTATTTGTACACAGCTGCATATCGTGAAGTTGCGTCCAAACTATTTGTTTGGATGAACCGCAAGAGTACTTGCAAGCGATACAGGCTCCAGCCAGCCCCAAGGGGACTTGGTGGACCCTTTCAATACGACGTCGGAGAAGAATCACAACTGTATTCCATGGAGACTATGAAATGACTGCATTGTCGAATTGTGGCAAGGACCGACAAGTCACAGCAAGAGAAATGCCACTATGAAATAAACGCCAGGGTCAGCACTCGTGAGTGCGAAGAAGCATCAACTTTTCTCTCCTCTTCATACTTTTTTGCATTCAGAAACACCATGAGCACGGAACGTTCCTCAGACAGATTTGCATACCCATTAAATTCAAGTTCAACCAGTCCCTAATTGAATGCACAACCGCCGCTGCCTGCCTAAGATTTTCGATGCTGTTGAGACACCACATTCCAATGTTGGTCTTTGGCGGTGGGCTGAGAGCGGCTTCGGCTTACATAAGAGGGTTGACCCCACGCTGCTGAGCTGGACCCTCACCCGTCCTTGGTTCCCTGGCCCGCTACGGATGCGGCCCTGCTTTACGGAGCTTCAACCAGCTACGACCAGACAATGCCACGAACACGGCATACAAACAATCGCTTTTCATGACATGACAACCCCCTCAACACGGTGCCGCGATGGATGATCTTTCGGGACTTGACTGGTCCAAGCCGGCGGCGTCGACCAGCAACGCCAACTACACCAACCCGACCTCCCGACCGCTACAGCCCCCGCCTCCTATCCCTCGTTGCGACCGACCCCATCACCACAGACGTCAGGTCGCGGCACGCCTCTCTCCGCACAGGGTTCGGGCTTCCAGCCTCCAAAGTCGGTCACCTCAAAGCCTGCTGGCGACAGTTTCAGCAATCTTGTCAACTTCAGCGGCGCCAAGAGCAATACCAACCTCAGCCTCCGCGAGCGGCAACAGCAGCTGGAGGACGAGAAGCGGCGCAAGGCCGAGCAGCAGCAGAGCACACTTCAGTCTCAATATGGCGGAGGTCAGTTTTGGGATAGCCTGGGCCAGGGCTCATCCCAGGCGTCTCGGACCGCTTCTCCGGCCGCGTTCCCGGCCGCGCCCAGCAGCACGCTCCCACCGAATAATGACGAGGACGATTTGTTTGCCGCTTTCAACAAGAACACCAAGGTCGACAAGTCAAGCCACTACCCGCCTCCGGCCTCTGCCGGTGTCTCTGGGAAGAACACACCTTCCAATGCGGGCCGGCTCGACCTGAGCAGTTCCAGTGCCTGGGCCCTTCCGCAGAGCACACAGGGTGGAACGAGCCTCGGGGGGGATGATGATGACGACCCATTCGGCCTGAACCAGATGAAGCCAGTACCAGCGCAAAAGCACGCAGCCCCCGCCGCTGACGATGATGATTTTCTGGGCGACTTGGGTAAGCCTGTGGAGCAGGTCCGTAAGATAACGCAAGCGCAAGAGCTCCAGAGCCAGACACCAAAGCCAATAGAGGACTCCTCCTCCGATGACGATGACGAGCGGCCTGGTCCTGCGCGAGGATCTGCAGGTGGAGGATCAGACCCTTTCGACAAGGCGGTGGCAGAGCTTGTCGACATGGGCTTCACGCCTGAGAATGCTCGGCGTGGCCTGACCGAGAGTGGTGCTGGCTTAAACGTGCAGGCTGCTGTCGGCTGGCTGCTTGACGACGCCCATCGCCAGGCGCGGAAGGACAAGGGTACACCTCGCGATTCTCCAGCAGATCGTGTTAGGGGAGGAGAGGGTGCCCAGGCTCGGCGCAATGGGAGTCCGGCCTGGATGAATGACGACAGGGGTGGTGATCGTTACCATGCCAATTCTAACAACACGAGTGACGATTTATCCAAGAAGGCCGCACAAGTCGGCTCGAGCTTCCTGAAGACAGCCAACTCTCTGTGGAAGACGGGTCAGAAGCAGGTCCAGAAGGCGTATGCGGACTTCCAGCAAGATGGTGGAGACCCGAGCCAGCCGAAGTGGATGCGCGATGCCCAGAAGGCTAGAGATATGCCAGCACGGGGCGGGCAACCAGCCGGCACAGATGAAGCCATGATGCTGGAGTCAGGTGGCCGGCCTGAGCCTAGACAACCCCCGCGACCAGGCAATACTAGAGGTCCCAACTCGCAAGACCGTGTTCCCACGCTACCTAGTAGACCTGCGTCGGCTCAAAACGGCGCCAGGTGGCAGCAGACTGCCACACCACCACCAGATTCTCGGTCCAGACTCAACAAACTTGCCGCCGAGGAGCAGAGCGCACAAGCATACGTCAGTCCGGCCAGGAGGAAGAAAACGCCCGTACCGCCTCAGCCTGCCCCTGAGCCGGAAGAAGATCTGCTGTTCGGAACAAGCGCCCCGCCAAGGGCTCAGGCGGTATCCCAGCCAGCGAGCCGGCCTGCTCAGCAACCACCGAAGCCCTCGAGGCCTGCTTCGTCGCAACCGATTGTCACACGACCACCACCAACACTGAGAAAGTTGCCGCCGGTATCTCCCGGCGTTCTGGAAGTCTCAGCACGGCACCGGAATGAAGGCACAGCACACTTCAAGCGTGGTGATTATGACGCGGCGCATACGTCGTACACGAATGCCCTGTCGGGCATTCCCCAATCACACCCCTTGTGTATTGTGATTCTCGCGAACCGAGCCCTGACGGCCCTGAAGACGGGCAGCCCCAAGCAGGCCGTTACGGATGCGGATGCTGCCATTGGCATCATTGGCCCATCCCGGGGCGAAGGTGAGAAGGTGACGGTCGCGCCTGGTGAGGAGCGAGACATGAAAGATCTTTACGGAAAAGCGCTGAGCAGGAAGGCCGAGGCTCTAGAGCAAATGGAGAAATGGGCAGATGCTTCCAGCATCTGGCAACTTGCTGTCGAAGGCGGCGTTGGTGGCGCAACTGCGATTGCTGGACGACAGCGTTGCCAGAAAGCACTTGCCCCGAAACCAAAGGCGCCAGTGAAGCCCCCGCAAGCAGCCAAGCCGCGTCCCAAGCCGTCCGCGATGTCAGACCTCACGCCGCAGAAGAGCTCAGAAGCCGTACAGCGGCTGAGAGAGGCTAACAAGGCCGCCGAGGCGGCGGACGACGAGAAGTTTGCTCTCAGTGAGAAGATCGACGCCCGCATATCAGCATGGCGGGATGGGAAGAGAGATAACCTGCGGGCTCTGATTGGCAGTCTTGATCAGGTACTGTGGGAGGGCAGTGGCTGGAAAAAGGTCGACATGCACGAGTTGGTTTTGGCCAACAAGGTCAAGATCAGCTACATGAAGGCCATTGCCAAATGCCACCCCGATAAGGTGAGCAAAACACACCCGCTTCCGCTTGAGAAAAAAAAACATGCGTACTAACCTACATGATTGCAGTTACCACAAGGAGCAAGCACAGAAGTTCAACTCATCGCTGCTACGGTCTTTGCGACGTTGAATGAGAGCTGGGACAAGTTCAAGGCCGAGAATAATCTATGACGCGCAACATTTAGAGCCAGGACATGTGGCACCAGACAGATGGTAAATAGAAGAGAGGATAAATTTGATGAGAGAGCCAATCTTGCAATTCCTTCCTTCCGAGATTATTTGTGCAGGGTTGCTAGGCTGTGATCATAAGGTGAGGAGCAATGGGTTGGCAGCCACTTGTGACCTGGGCAATATGTGGCTTCCAGTCTGAACTGTCTCGGCAGCCAGGACCACGACTAGGTTGTGCGGACCAGATCCGTTCCCCGCAAGTCTGGGGAAGAATCTCGACGTGGACGTGCCATCTACTGTGAGCCTCGAGTATCGATGGCCATGCTTCCTGCGTGCACCCGAGGAGACCCTAGACCCTGAATCCTATGCACTCCGCAGGCACAATGGAAGGTCGTTTGGCAAATGCCATTTAGCGGCTACCGACAAGAATGGCAAAGGGTGACCAGCAGCCCCAGAGCGTTGCGGTCTCGAGGCGGCGATATTTCTGGACTTGCCCGGATTGCCGTTTCGGGGAACCCGGCGTGTGGAGAGCGCAGGATATACTTTGTCCCCCGCAAAGAACCCCCGTAGTGCCCCAAAGCTCAATCTAGTGGCGCTCAAGTGCCGGCGATCTCCGTCTTCGCTGCTTCGTCCCGGCCAACCATGCCGGTGCAGACACAACACAATTGACTCGCCGTTTCGTAGTATGAGCGGAACGTTGGTGAGCATTTCCGGGTGCACGAGAATCTGCTGACTCGTAATAAGTCTGTGAGTCGGGTTCCGTACTGGGAAGGCAATGGACTTCGTAAGGCCGCGGACGTGCGACATGACTCGCATTAATGTGCGGATCCCCAATGACGTACCGACCCCAGTTTCTGATGGTGCGGAAATCTCCATTAGACCAGAGCCTGCCACTCTGCAGCCAATTCCGCTCTCGCGCCCTCTTGACTTCCGGCCTGTGGCTCCATGAGGACAATTGCTTGGATTGGGGATGATGATGTTGCTATTGTCGACAGCGAGGCAGAACTCTCTATTCGGGTGTGAGAGAGCATCACACTGAAGTGGGTGGCTCCCGTAAGAACTTTTGGTCGCCCTGCATTACCTCATGGAGCACAACCATGCTTTATGAGGGCACTGTCTCGACGATGCAGTCGTCATTCCTCTTTTTACACAGCTAGCCCACACCTTCGCATTTGGAGACCGCCGTTCGGAGTGTGCCCAATGCCTCCGAGGCCCTAGATCTCTGGCCCTCCCAGCCAGGCCAAGCCAGGCACCACCGACCGGAATGTCCCCTTTGGACCACCCCGTACATGGATGTCGCCTCGCCGACGTGCTGCCGTCATGCCATTGTGGGGATGGTTGTGGGGTGTGGTTGACTAACAAGGTTGCGAAGCATTCCGGGGCGATCGCCTCTCCACGGTGAACCACCCACCAATACGGATCTCAATCCGAAGCCGCCCATCGGTCGTTTCCCCTGTCTTTTACTGCAGCGTGGTTCATCCTAGTAATTGAATGTCTTGCTAGCTTGCACAACCGTTGTTGCCGATCCGTAGGTCATACATAAGGCGGGTTGTCCGCGTCTTCGTCTAGGCGGATATTTCCTGGTCTCACGCTTCCCACGTGCTTGCAACAGTCTACACTTCTGTTTCTCTTTATCGAATTGTCTCAAACAAGCATTTATATTGGTCAATGGAAGTCGCTCCCCGTGGCAGACGCTTTCAACCGCAACCCTCACCAACAACTTCCGCCCCACCCACCGACAACCACCTCCGATCACGATGCCGTACTTCGGGCTTCGAGGCACGAAGCTCAATTATGCCGTGAGCATAATTGCCGGCATTGACTTTTTATTATTCGGATTTGCACGGATTCCCTGCTCCTGTAACGTATTCAGCGATTCTGACTTTATGTATAGGATCAAGGAGTCACCGGGGGCATTTTGACCATGGAACAGTTCTTGACGGTGTTCCCGCAAGTATGGCCAGAGCATCCGAGCATCACAGATCCTGCTGAGTCTTCCTACCGCTCTACAGTTCAAGGCATTACCGTGGCTTCATACAATCTCGGCTGCTTCCTTGGCGCCTGCATAACCATCTTTATCGGCAACCCACTTGGCCGTCGCCGAATGATCATGCTCGGCACGTCAATCATGGTCGTCGGAGCCATCATCCAAGCCTCGGCTACCACCATGGAGCAGCTAATCATTGGACGTATTATTACTGGTCTTGGAAACGGCGGTAATACCTCGACCGTGCCTACTTGGCAGTCTGAGACGAGCCATGCCCACAACCGCGGAAAATTGGTCATGATTGAAGGTGCCCTGATTACCTGTGGAGTTATGATCTCTTATTGGTGAGTGAAAGCTCTTGGCATTTATTATGTGTCGGTGTCTAATGCAGCACTTCTTTTTACCGCAGGGTCGACCTCGGATTTAGCTTCGTGCAAAGCTCCGCGGCCTGGCGCACTCCTCTCGCCTTCCAGCTCATTTTCTGCATTCCCATCCTTGCTACGATCTGGAACCTCCCAGAGTCACCGCGGTGGCTTGTGCTCAAGCAAAGGGACGATGAGGCCAAGGAGGTCCTCTCTTTGCTGAACGATGTAGATATTTCGGACAAAATCGTCCAGGACGAGTATATCGCCATTCGAGAAACGGTGGCTGAAATGGCCAAGGGCAGGTTCTCTGATCTCTTCTCCAACGACATGGATCGAAACTTTCACCGCAGCATGCTGGCATACTGGAGCCAGGTTTTCCAACAGGTAAGCAGTGCGGGCACCCTTCAGATAGAGCGTGTGCTAATCCCTGATTTTCCTTGCAGATTTCCGGAATCAACCTTATCACATACTACGCGCCCGTTATTTACAGAAACCTTGGCATCTCTCCTTTCTTGTCACTCCTACTCGGAGCACTCAACGGCACAGAATACTTCCTCGCCAGCTGGCCAGCAGTTTTCCTCGTGGAGCGAGTTGGTCGCCGCAAGCTCATGTTGTTCGGTAGTATTGGACAGGCTGCCACGATGGCCATTCTCGCGGGTGTCAACTCGAAACCAGAGAACGCTGCATGCCAGATTGCAGCAATTGTGTTCCTCTTCGTTTTTAACACGTTCTTCGCCATCGGATGGCTTGGCATGTCGTGGCTATATCCGACCGAGGTCCTGACCACCAGGATCAGAGCTCCAGCCAATGCGCTGAGCACGTCAGGTATGTGTTGCCAGATCCTAGCAGTCATGCAGAAATATCAAGTGCAACGTACTTGACTGCGGCTTTCAAGCACTGACCTGACTTTCACATCTCAGCGAACTGGATTTTCAATTTTCTGGCAAGTTTGACCCGAGTTTTGTCGTTATCACCCTGAACTCAGTGCTAACAAGAAATTGAACTAGATTGTCATGGTGACCCCGGTATCATTTGCGAGTATTGGCTACCAGACATACACTGTCTTTGCTGTAATCAACGCCGCCATCGTCCCGTGCATTTACCTGTTCTACCCGGAGACTGCTGGACGGTCGCTCGAGGAGATGGACGCGTAAGCTTCCCCCATCCCATTCTTCCTTAGTGTGCAAGACACCAATACTAATCATTCTCCCAATCTACGAATTCAGCATTTTCCACAAGACTCAAGGCAAAAAGGGATACTTCGACGTCGTGCGTATCGCACGCGAGGAGCCCCGACGCTACGGCAAGCACGGCGAACTGCTCATCGCATACGAGGAGACCGAGGAGCACAAGAAGCACTTGTCTCATGGAGGCGGCGACGTTGGTGCCGAGCACCGCGAGAACATCGGAGGCGCTGGCCATCATGGCCGCAACGACAGCCCAAGCGAGCACAGCTCTGACGGGGTTGTGCGGTCGCATCACAGCCAGGTGTGAGATAAATTTGGGCACTTGGAAAGAGTGACCTGTCCAGCTGCACTTTCGGGCGGTGGACGGGCTTCGATGTGGAGGCATAACGAGCAGGATATGTGCATATTCTTGAAGAGGAGATGTTACTGGCCTCCTTGTACATGTACGCTTGCAGTGCAAACCTGTGATTTGACACAAGCTTTTCATGTGAACTATTTCCTGGTGACTGTTGAAACACGAGACAGTTGTGACCTGCACTATAATCGTTTTTTGTCCAGCTTTTGTCTTTATGTTGATCGAATATCACGATCTGGTACAAGTGTGTTTTATTATCGACCAAAAGCCCTACGACACTGGGCGGAAGGCACCACAAGGGGGCTATTGACTGTTCGTTGGGTCCGTCAAAACACGCGTGCCTTCTGCTCTATTACAGGCGAGGAGCATGCCAATGATGGGCAGGAGTGGTCGCCAATGCTCCTGTAATGCCTTGACATAAGGTTGGTGTCTGAATCACACTTCACTCAACCCGAGGCCGCTTGGCATCTCCATCGCCATCCTCATCGGCATGATGACCGTTCACACCATTCTGACCACTTGCGGCCTCGCCTCCCTCAACCTCGTCCCTACCACGAACCCGTCCTGCTCCCTCCCCAAGCTCGCCACTCACGCCACCCTCCTCGTCATCGCCACCGCCAATCCAATTGCCTTCAGCGTCAAAGTACTGATCCACGTTCTCAGCGGTGATCCAGCCGGAGCTGCCCGGCATGGGCGGCGGCAGACCACCGCCGCTATCACCACGGAACGCGCCCGAGAACCCGTCCAGAACCTCGAACTGCGCCTCGTGGTCGCCCTCGAAGACTATCCTGTCCGCGTTACCCTCGTCGTCGATATACTCGTCGTCATCCTCGTCGCCGTCGCGCGGGTCCGGGTTGAGATTCGAGCACCGTGATATCTCGGTGAAGAGCGTTTTCGTCCTGTCCGCGTTACCGCTGCTGCTGGTGCCCTGTGCTGCCGCGGAAGAGTCCGCTGGCTGTGTCGGGGCCTGAACGTACGGCACGAGAGTGAGCTCGATGGGCTCAAACGACTCATCGTCATCGGCGCCGGCATTGGTGTCGGAGAACTCGAGCTGCATGTACACTCCATCAAATTCCTCCAGCGGGGGCGAGGAGGCGCCAGTGTTTGCAGACGCGTTTTCTGAAGAGGAAGAACCGAGATTCTTGAAGTGCTTGACAGCGTGCAGTGTAATAGCTGGGTAGGGGATCTCGATACCCATACCGGTGCCGCGAGAGAAGAGGGTCAACTTGCTGCAAGACGGTCAGCATGTAGCCACTATTTCGGGGAAAGAGAGACAGAGATGTACTTGGACGCAACAAAGACCTCGACCTGGGAATCCTCTACCATGCCCTGCCCGTTGCCCTCCAGCGCGGCATTGTGCGGCGAACTCGGCCTCGTCGAGTCCTTGGAGAAGAAGAATAGGCGCTCATGCTGCTCTTCCGACACCCAGGCCTTGACATGCTTGTCATGGGCGTGCAGGACGGGTTTTCCGTCAAAGAACGTCTGTGGAGTTTGCGACTGGTACTCGCTGAGTTGCTCAAAGTCGGTCTCTGCCGAGGGGCAGGTTTTTATGACGGTTGCCAACATTGCTTGTGTGATTCTGTATGTTTCGTCAGTAATGATGGACGTTTGATTGCTGTTTTTGCATGGGAGTATCCGCTCACAAAAGTCAACAGAAAGACCTACCCATTGACCAGTGAAACCTTATGAAGAGCTTCACTTATTATGAGATGTCTTTCCTGCTCACTGAGAGCTGGCAGCCTGGTGGGGGGCAGCTCTTTGAGCGTATCGATAAGCGCCAACCACCAGCGGACGTCGTTGCGCCCATGCCCCTCGTGCCGCATTGGTTGCTGGAGCCTTAGTCATCTCACTTTCATCATATACCAGGCACGACGACTTGCTTGAAAGACGAGTTGAGTTGCATTTTAATCAAAATGAGGGACGAACGTAAGTACCTAATCATCCTGAGATACCATCCGCATCACACGCCACTAACTCCGTCGCCAGGCACACATCCACTCCTGGCACAGGTGCCCTTGACCGTCTCGCCTTTCGTCTCACTACCCACCGCCACCACCCTGCCATACACTTACCGGACCATGCCGTCGACATTACCAGTCCCTGTGACCGGCATCACCGGCGCATCCTCATCGTCACCATCAGGCGGCGTAGGAGGCACGAACAAGCCAAAATACATAGTCTCCCCGACGGGCGGCCACGCCGCGCACCCGGACGACATCATCTCCTCGTGCAACAACCTCAAGGCACACCTCACCAAGCTCAAGGAGGACGCAGACCGCGAGCTGCGGGAGCTCGAGACGCGCATCCGCGACGCCGAGCTGGCGGAGAAGCGCCGCGTGGCTCCCGGCTGGCTCGACAGCGAGACGCACCTGCTGCAGCCGGAGAAGTCGCAGGCCCAGGCCGCCGAGGCAGAGGGCGTGCCTATGATGTCTTCTGCTGCTGGTGGCGGAGGTAGCGCAGGTGTCTTCTTTGGGACGTCTTCGTCCGCGGATGTCTCTGGGCAGTTTGCAGAGATGAGCCTTGCTGAGCGGCAAGGCGCGAGCGAGCTCGACCAGGGTGCGGAGCTGGATCGCGCTTTCGCAGGCAAGTGAGCTCGCAGAGGCAGTCTCGGGGGATTTGATTGGATTCGTGGCAGGCTGTATCCTGAAAAGCACGACACAGCCATTCCTTTTCTAAATTTCTTTTACGTGTTTCATGGGGAGCATACTGCGGCGCTGGGGCGTTCATATTGTTCTTACCGCACTACGACAGAATATAATCATCTTGAATTGGAATCTAGTTTTGAGTAGTTCCGCTTTTGTACTATAAGCCATGCCCAAATTTGACGTCTGTACGACCGTCTGGCCGGACTACGAGTCAACGGCACATTCCGAACTTGATGTCATTGTTCATCCTCGAGTCCGTCTGAGTGATAGTCAAAAGCATTGGGAGCCTCTGGCTCAGCACCTTCTTCTTTGTCAGGATCCAACTCAGCTTGGACAGGCTTGGAACCTGGCAGCTCCACAGATATTTGCTTCGTCCGATCGAGGAAGCCCGTCATTCGCTCCGCCCATTCCCAGGGCCTGGCTGTGTCTCCTGGCTTGCTGTTGAAATACTCCCAGCCCATCACGCCACCAAAGTTTGGGATGGACCGCTTGATCAGTTGGAGACTGGAACCCAATAGCTCGAAAGGGACCCAGCCAGCTCCATTCGCAGGCGTCGTGACCAGTCCCATGACAACCTTCTCCGGCATCCAGCCACGAGCAAGACACATCTGGTACATGACTGGCGTGCTCGCGTCGCCCCAGCCACAGTAGAACTGTGCGTTGTACCAGGCAATCTGCTTTCCACGCATGACCTCGAGGGCCTCATAATCGAAGCCGCTCAGGTTGCGACGAGAGTCCAGCAGAGCGGCCGCGACGGGCGCGAGGGTGATTAGGAACACTGGGCCAAAGTCTGCACGGAGACGGTCGATCAGGCGGATGATGCCGGCGAGCGACATTGGCTCCTCGACGTCAAGATCGAGGCCGTCGAGGCCGCGCTCCTTGATCATGGCGTAAAGGGGCTGGTAGTAGGTCTCAAAGGTGGCCTCGGCCTTGTCGAGGCGCGTGTAGGAGCCCTTGGCGGCGCCGCCAAGCATACCGAGAACCTTGATGCCGCTGGCCTGGGCGACGCGCAGCTCGGCCCAGGTCGATGCGAACCGTGGGTGGGCTGGGGGATGGTCGTTGAGCGTGAGACCATCTGGGTCCTCGTTGATGTGGATGGCTGCGATGATCAGGTGGGAGACGGACACGCCTGGCCTGGTGATGAGAGGCAGGATGGAGATGAGGTTGCCACTGGGGTCGTGTGTCTGCCCGGGGACGGTTTCGGCTGCGGGTGAGCCCCTCTACGCGCGCAACTCATTCATATTTGATCGGCCGACTCACGGTCTGATGGTAGACGACCAAACGGGGCACGCCGTTGTGGCCCATGGCTCAGGGCTGCTGAACAGCGGCTGACGCTGCTGGTGGCCACGAGATGGCAGATGTTCTGGGCCGAGGGAGGGCGTTGATTGTCGCTGAACTGAAGCTCTCAAAAGAGTAAAGTGTGTCATTGGAGCGGAGCATGAAAGGTTCCACGCAATCCAATCCCCGCAAGGGGTCCTGCAAATGCACGTCACAGTGACACCAACTGCCGGCGGGCTCCCTAGACAGCTCACTGACTTTACGTCTGCATGGCGGCCCTCACTGGGTATGTCCCTGAGTTTCCTTAAGGCCTTGCTTGAACGTGTGATCGGTAATCCCGCGAGGTGTTGTTTCGTCAGCCGTGTGCCCGGGCCAGATCCTGGTCATCTCACAGTTCCCATACCTAAGGTACATAGGGGCGAGTGCCCGTGCCGGTTTGTTTGTACCGAGACCGGCCTAGCGCGAGAGCTGTTCTGCGGACAGCCAATCACACCACGCCCTGCTGGGAACAGTCCATGCGAGCAGTCCCCAAGCACACCAGAGTCACCATTGGGGCTAGCCTCGACTTTTCTTCTGTACGCAACCTTGGGAAAAACAAAGCGCCCTTGAACCTTTTCCCCCAGTCCCCGTGAGGCACCTCTCGACCTGCGAGGATAGCATCCCGCAGCGGCACTGCCTACGGACACTGCGCATCATGCTTGGGCGCAGCCCGCAGGGTCGATTGAGAGCCTGACGTCATGAAGTTCGCCAAAGAGCTGGAGCAGGACTTGGTCCCTGGTGAGACAAGATCCGCGCGCAGAGCCCTTTGCCATGTCCCAATCACTAATCACGGCACGCAGAATGGAGGATAAAGTACCTCAACTACAAGGCTGGCAAGAAGTATGTCAAGGCCGTCTCCCGCGCCATCAGCAGGGCCACTGGCAACACTCCCCGACTTGGACGTCGAGGAGAGATCCCACCACACAGGACGCCTTCCTTCTTTGATAGTCCCGAGGAGTCTCGCCAGAATGGCCGCCAGCGAGCTCATGGAGCCGCGACCACCCGGACTGGTCTAGCTGCAGGTCAGCCCGCGTCCTTGCTTGATGAGCAATTTGCTCCAGAACAACTGTCGCTCAGACGGTCATCCGCCACAGGTCCAAACTATGGGAGCATCGGCCCATCTCCTCAAACAGTGAACTCGAACCTCACGCGTGAACGCACGAGATTCGAGCTGCCAGGGCCCGCTATGAATGATGCGCCCTCTTTGGACGATCTGACCTCGGCAGATGTAGCAGCAGGCCCGCCGGGTCTCCGCCGAAGCAGCTCGACAGGACGAGCCAGCAATGAAAACTCGCATTTTCACAGTCTGCCACGGCCTGCAACAATCAATGCCAGACCAGTCCCGCCCGGAAGGGTCCGGCGACTGTTCTCCACCAACGGACCCTTGAGCAAGGTCGAGAGCAACAAGCTCGAGTACGGCATGGAAGCTTTGGACCAGGTGCGCCAGCGTGAGCGCGAATTCTTTGATTTCATGGAAAGCGAACTCGATAAGGTCGAATCCTTCTATAAGCTCAAAGAAGACCAGGCCGGCGATCGGCTTGCTGCTCTGCGGCAACAGCTGCACGAAATGCGGAATCGGCGCACTGCAGAGCTAGCGGCTGCTCGCGAGCAAAAAGAGCGTCATGGCCAGTCGAACCACAACCTTAACGGGAGTGACCAGGACTTGGCGCGCCGGCTTGTGATCGAGCCGATCAAATCCAAAATGTTCAAGCCTGGGCCAAACTCCAAGGCTCTATCCAAGATGCCACAAACTCCCGTGCTTGCTTCTGACGGCCGCGACGGAGCGAGGGACTATATCCGTCGTCCCGAAGCTCAGGACGTCCCGTACAGAACAGCAAAGAGGAAGCTCAAGCTCGCGCTGCAAGAATTCTACCGTGGCCTCGAACTTCTCAAGTCGTATGCGATCCTGAACAGGACAGCATTCCGCAAGCTCAACAAGAAGTACGACAAGGCCGTCAACGCGAGGCCGCCTTATCGTTTCATGAACGAAAAGGTCAACAAAGCCTGGTTCGTCAACAGTGATATCATTGACGGCCATATTCGAACAGTCGAGGATCTCTATGCTCGCTACTTCGAAAAGGGCAACAAGAAGATTGCGGCTGGCAAACTACGTCGACTGCACAAGCGAGCCGGCGACGAGTCTGACACGACATTCCGCAATGGACTGTGCATCGGCATCGGTCTCGTTTTCGCTGTGCAGGGACTTGTGTATAGCGTGCAGCAACTATTTGATGCGGACCCCATCGTCCGACAACAGACTGGCTACCTGTTGCAGATCTACGGCGGCTATTTCTTGATTCTCTGTTTGTTCTTCTTGTTCTGTCTCGACGCTTACATGTGGACGGCCAACAAGGTGAACTATCAGTTCATCTTCGAATTTGATGCTCGTAATCAGCTGGACTGGAGACAGTTGGCGTCCTTCCCGAGCTTCTTCCTGATGTTGTTCGGAGTGGTTTACTGGCTCAACTTTGCCATCCATATACCTCAGATGCATCTTTACTACCCTGTAGTCCTTGCGGGTCTCTCTGTCCTAATCATCCTACTACCTCTGCCGGTTTTCTGGTACAAGAGCCGAAGATGGCTCGCTTATGCTCATGTAAGTTCCGACTTATATCTCGAGCCACGATCTGGTCACTAATGCGGTGCAGTATCGCCTGTTCTTCGCAGGATTATACCCCGTCGAGTTCCGTGACTTTTTCCTTGGCGATATGTATTGCTCATTGACATATGCAACCTGTGTAAGCACAAGCAAGGTCCTCCAAACGAAAAGCACATCTGCTGACAACCTGTGCAGAATATTGAACTGTTCTTTTGCTTGTATGCCAACTATTGGAACGATCCTGTTCAGTGCAACTCGAATCACTCACGCTTGATGGGGTTCTTTGCCGCTCTGCCGCCGATATGGCGCGCGTTGCAGTGCATTCGTCGTTACTACGACACCAAGAACGTCTTTCCGCACCTTGTCAACTGCGGCAAGTATGCCATGTCCATCATGGCGGCGGTCACGCTGTCTCTGTATCGTATCGATGGCACCACCGCAAACTTTTCGCTGTTCGTGACGTTCTCAGTCATCAACAGTATCTATTGCTGTAAGTCAGAAAGCATTGTTGCTATGGTCTTCCTCCCCGCTAACGCGCAACAGCAATCTGGGATCTCCTCATGGATTTCTCTCTATTGCAGCCAGATGCCCGCTACCCTTTCTTGAGGGACATCCTCGCCATTAAGCGGCGCTGGATGTACTATGCCATCATGGTCCTCGACCCCATCCTGCGGTTCGGATGGATCTTCTACGCCATCTTCACCCACGACGCCCAGCACAGCACCATCGTCTCGTTCCTGGTGGCCCTGTCCGAGGTCCTGCGTCGTGGCATGTGGGCGCTGTTTCGTGTCGAGAACGAGCACTGCTCAAACGTCGCGCAGTACAAGGCCAGTCGCGACGTACCTCTTCCGTACCGGCTGCAGCAAGAGCCGCTCACCGAGCGCGTCAGCACCGAAGACGAGGGCGGCGGCGGCGCTTCGCTGCGCCAATCTACTTCCCGAGTAGCTACTACAGGCCACGGGACCGGTGCCGCCGCGAGCATGCGCAGTCCCGCTCCGGCAGAGGAGCCTCGCAGTGACGAGGCCCTCGAGAGTGGCGGTGGGACGCTGCGCTGGCGGAAGCCGGAGCTCAACCGGGCAAGATCGATTAGGAACATCATAGCCTCGGCTCACAGGCAGGACTTTGAGAAGAAGCGGCGCGGGCCGGACGAGTACGCGCCCACACATGGCGATGTCGCGCCTGACGGCGACTTTGTGAATCCCAGCGACGACGAGGACGATGATGACGAGAGTGGTAGCGTCCACAACGAGCGGCTCGAAATCCGCCGTGTCGAGGGGCTTGTAAGGGAAGACTCAAGCGATGCTGAGTAAAGTTGTCAACGGTGTATCTGCTCTATATGATCTGCTATTTCATTCAAGGACGCTGGCCGGAATGGCCAGACATATTCTACTACAAGGCGTTTTCGGAGGGATAGACTAAAATAAATGAGTTTGGACTTCAATCTCCTGGCGAAATACCCTCAAGAACATGAAACAATACAGCGGGATGCCATATTGAAAAAGTCTAGCTTATTGCATAACTGAAACTAGCATACGTGGTCGACATGGTGTTACTGAAGGGTACCTCTTTTCGCATACTCAGGACCTTGATGGCATCTTGGTGTATCACAACCTGCTATTACAGCAGTAACTTGCGGCAGCATTCTCGGTAACCGTTTGAAAACCAATGAATCTACCAAGAATAGATCACAAGCTAATGCCTCGCTTCATTCTCCTATGGGGCCTGCTCAGATCGGCCATGATACACTCCGCGAGAGGAGCCGTTATGCCCGGCTTGGAAAAGAATTCTCTCATCGTGATCGTGAGCTGCAGGAGGCGTTTTACCCTCAATTTCCCGGTCATAAAAAGGCGTGTAGGTTCGGCCGTTATGCAGGGCCCCTTCACCGTCGGCGGTTCCGGGTGGGCACATGGGGAAATCACGCGAGCAGTAGCGGCCGTTGAACAACAGCTCGGAGCGCCTAGTCGTTCTGCCAGAGTCCCGCCTGCGCGCGCGCGAGCGCGCGATCTGAGCGCGTCTCGCGTAAAAAGGCCTGACTGACTGGCCTCAGGGCTATGGACACACGAGATGTTCGGTTTCTCACTGAGTTAGGTTGGTACTTGGTGTAAGCAACACTCCACTCAGCCGTAATTACCTGAACATCAATCTCCCGGGATCCGCGTCCCAAAGAAAAAAAGAAAAAAAAGGCGCGTCGTCGTCGTCGCCGCCCTTTCCGCCGGCGCCCGTCTTTGGGAGAGGAGGGCTTCGAGAAGGACGATCACGTCCCTTCTAGCGCGGCGCGATGTGGGCTTTTCGTGTTTCCCCATGAGTTGACACGAGCTCGACGAGTTGATCCGGCTTCAGGGACCAGAGCGCTAACGCCGTTAGCGTAGGTGATGAACCACGGGGGACCCCTGCTGGGTTTTGTGGCTGCCAGGAACCAAGACAAGGTCAAGGGGAGTGGGCAGGACGGGGCTAGGGCTCTGGAGGGACCTGAAACCGCCCGAGGCTTGCCTGTCTGTTTCCGATATGCTGTGCGCCCGGCGGGCGTTCACTGCCTGCGGGCTGGCATGGTATGCAGGATGGAGGCGAGAAACAGGAAACAGGAAACGAGGGCGAGGTGATGATGGGAATCAAGAAACACATCTGGGTCGCAACGGGTTGTGACAGGGGCAACAACAACCAAAAAACGTGCTGGACTTGGCACTTTGCTGTGCCTCTGGGATCGCCTGTCACTGTTTCACAGCTGGCCGTGACACTGACCCAGGACGAGCCGGGCTGGCTGAAACGCTTCTGCGACTCGGCTGGACAGCGTCAGCCGCCGTTGCTCCTGCTGCGGTTGAAGAGTGCATGTTTGGGATAGTTGCAAACTACTCGATGGACGCATCACCAGGAACATTGGCGGCCAGTTGTAGCATGATTGGTGCTTCCTCGAAGACACCTGCAGACTGGCAAGAGAGCACCTGGGCAAGCTGATCTTGCGTGCCTTCCTATTCTGGTAGCACTTTGACTCGCATACACAGGGGCGGGAGGGGCAGCACAATGCCAAACACCACCACGTGGGCGGCCGTTGCTGCTGCTGCTGCTGCCACTACTGCAAGTGCCGAGGATCGTTTATCGTCTTGCATGCATGCATTGACGTTCTCCATCTTGTCGCGTCAATGCGCAGCCCGTCCTGGCAATGGCAGCTCGTCGTTGGGCTGCGTCGCCACCCTCAAGCACTCACGCGTCAACAAGGTTCACCCTGCTTTCGTCAATTTGAACTTGATCTGTCTCGTGGGGGCACTTGGTCCACGAGGACCCCCAATCAGCAAAGTCGAATCAGTGAGGCGATCGCCCCGCCCACGTGTGCAAGTCCCTACCGAACACAGCCAGCCAGCGGAGCAGATGGCTTCCCCCCGCATGGTCCGTGGAGCTGGGAATCTTTGTAATTTGGGATAACTGCAAGGACCCGCTATGGTTGTTGCTGATATCTCGACGCGTATGCTGATCAAGATCTCCAGGTGGTGTGGCGTGCCGACAAAGCCACGAGCCATCTTGACGATGGCGCCTGATTCATGCGATGAACGGGGACGTGGACGCGGTTCCGGCGGTATTCCAATCGGAGAGAGATCTCGAGCGGGCGAGAAACATCCAGAGCTGCAGTGGTCGTGCCTCTTCTCCGCATTTTAGAGTATCGGAGGGCTGCCACCGACACGCCGAGGCCAAGTCTGGTCCTGGCTGGATGAGCACATGGCAAACCTTGAATCCTGCCGTTTGGGGCCTGGCAGGCCGATGCGAGTCGTGCCCATCTGACATATTTGACACTTAGAGCTGCCTTTTTGCCTCTGCGGTCCCGAAAGAGGGCACTCTAGCTGGTACCGGCCGGCCCAGACAGGCAAGTGGATGGGCAACCCCCCACAGGTATGGCTTTCCGCCAGCGCATTGGCGGTCCATGAGGTTCATCGATGATGCAATCGCCAGATTCCCGTCGGGTGGGCGTGTTATTGTCTAGATGCATATTCTCCGTCGAGCTGACTGTTGCGGGCAGTCTCCAGTTCTGCCGGTGCCGTCTACGGGGAGTACACACACTGTCGCGGAGTCGGGAGCCATGCCCGTTCGAGGTTACATGCAGACTGAGCAGCCATCCAGCAATGCATATCGGACGACAACCTCGTCTGCAAGCAGGCTCGAGGACCTGCATTGGCTCTTGGGACGACTGTAAGCACGACATGCTACGTGACATGGCCATCTGGCTGCCATCCAGCGGCCACGGCAATCGAAGGCAACGCTGCCGGGGATGGCGGGCGAGTGACACGGTTGCAGTTGCAGCTGCTTCTGCGCTCCGCCGCCAGCTTGCGGCCCCACAGAAACCGCCAAGGCCGCATTAGCTTCCTCACACTCCTCCGTCCGTCCTAAACTAAACTCTACCCCCGGAGCTCCCGCCTCCGCCCGCAACCTTGGGAACTCCCTCCGGCCTGCCACCAACTAACAAATTGACCATTATGCATCTACCGCGTATAAGCCACCGCGGCCGCAACTCCCATGGCTGGCTACAGTTGCGCTTCCTCCGTCCCGCCGGGTCTCGAAGCAGTCTCCACGACGGCGGTCACGACGAGGCAAACTTTCTTATGGCCATATTGTGCACCAGTCTTTTGCACGCTCCAAAAGGCCCCCATCCGATGGCGGTCATGCCGGTCTCGATGATCGCGAATAAATCCACTTCTAGCCATCGTTTGCGATCAACCGGTGGATTGCAATCAACATATTTGCATATTTGCAATGTTTGCGTTTGTCCACAGGACGAAAATACAAATCTTCCTCCGAGCGATGAGCGGTGTACGACGATGACTAAGAAGGGTTTCCACAAAGATTAGCTTGTGGGACGGCGACCGGGGTTCTTCGCAGAAGTCCATGCACGCACGACCTTGTATGGGGGCGCCATCATGCACGTCTTCTGCTAGGCCGGCCAGGGCCAGGGCTAGCCGGCAGGCTTATTCGTGGTTGAGAGCGCTTCACTCGCCAGAAGTCCGTCGCCGTTTCCGTCGTGGAGCGTTCCTTGACGAGGGCGATTTGGGGGTGTGAAGCTGCCCTTCACGAGATGAGCACATTGACCCTGCCTGGTCTACGACAATATGACCTGCCTATCAAAAAACACTGCAGCAGGCACACAGAGTCGCATGCCCCAGCATGGCTGCAGGTGCGCTTGACGAGTGAATGCAAGCATATCAGTCGAGGGCAGCCGGTCCGGTGCATCTGCAAGCTGAGAGAGAGAGGGGCAGGCTAGCCGATCAGGAGATCTCAACTTCACGACCGCTCGCTCCAGAGCAGTGATGGACAGGGGCACGTTGCGTTTCCTCCCCAGGTGTGCCTGTGTGCCTGCAGAACATATGGAGCCATTGGACCAGGATGGCGGCTGCCCATCCACTACCCCTGTCCACGGCACCCACCACCACCACCCAATCCTTAGGGTCAGCAGCCCGTGACGTTTCTCCTGCTCGCTGGGCATCCCAACTCTGGCCTATGGCTGGCTCCATAGAGTGTCTCAGTTTCGTCTGAAGTCATGGAGGACAACAACAGAGGTGGTGGTGGTGGTGGTGTCGTGGATCTGCTTATCTCAAGATTTACAGTTGCAACGGGTGTACCCTCCCATTCGTCGCTGGCGCTACCATTGCCGCACTCGAATGCGCTCGGCACCACGCATGCGGAAAATGCAGGTCTGCGTACAGTTTGCAGCCGTTCGGCACATGACGAGTGTCTGCCTGCGCTGCATGCATTGACGAATAGACAAAGGGTTCATGGGCCTGTGTGCGAGCTCACAGGGAAGGTCCCGGGAGATGGGCCTGATCGTCTATCTGCATATCTGTACGGAGCCAGTCAAGAGCCAGGGTATGTTTGCAGAGTGATTGCCTCACTCACGCCATCAAATCGTCCTCTCCAAGCATCCGCTGGCTCAAATGGCATACCTGTTGTTGGTGTGATACTCCAATGGAGTCTTGCATCCGAGGCGGGGAAGGGAGACATCGGGTTCTGGTTTGAGGTATGGAATGACCTAACAGGGCTTGCATGGCCGAATGCGAGCATCCACAGACAACATCCGGGACCGCACAATGCGGGCGAAAAAGTACAATCAGACATTCTGCATCTATGCCAACTGGCCTTCGCGACTCGAGAAGAGCACACTTCTTCCAAGTAAGGATGGTCCTTGGCGCGCATGGCCAATTGGGGGGTGGGATGGCGGTGGCCGAACACTCTTAACACAGCGCGGTATAGCAGCCTCCCTCCCTCCCTCCCCAACCCGCAAAACTTTTATCCACGACTCTGGTGGCCTCCAGCCGCTATATCGCAGAGTCTTATTACATGGCGGTCTGCGAGTTGAGAGGGCCTCAGCATTTGAGGGAGTGGCGGAGGATGCAACTCCGTGTCTGGACAGCGAAGTACTTCCCTCGCAACGTTGAGAAGAAGCAACCAGTCAATCACTTGCACCCTCATCTTGCAGCGGGCAATGGATCAACTGGACCGCCGTGTCAAAGAACGCCGTCCCTTTGATCTCAATTGGCAGAAGGGCAGGCCGGCGGGAGTGGAGCCCACCCAGCTCGAGTCAAACATTGCCCGGCGATTGTCGGCCGATCCACATGTAAGTAACTGATGGGCTGGCCATGACTTGGTGCAGACCCGACTGATGACCAAAGACTTGAATCTATGACACTTCGTCTGCAATTAAACGTGGCCTCTGCTGCCAGGACGGAAAAAAATGCCTCATGCACGATACAAAAAATCACAGATTTGCATCATCTGTCCGCCCATACCGCCATGCTATCCGCGCTTTGGGTAGATTGACGAGAGAGGCAAGGATATCAGTAAAGAACATGGAGCATCAAAAAGGAAAGACCCTTCTAGATTGCCGCGCTTTTTCCCCATGGCTTAAGGTATATGTCTAAGCTATCTACCTAAGTAGGTACTTGTAATGCGCGGGGCGCCCGTTCCGCCCACCCAGCCTTGTTGAGAAGAGCGAATGTCGGGGCGCCGACAACTTAGTTAGGTCGTCATCGAGAGCGGCTCAGCCCAGCCCAGCCCCAGCCACAGAGCTACCCCAAGTTTTCTCTTTTCTTTTTTTGGAGCAGCGTCAACCTTAAAAGACCAACTCAGTCAGCCGTATGCCTCAAACTAGCTCTAAGAGCTGAAGCTCCCTTGCCCCAAAGGCCCTGCATGGAATAGACGACTGGAGGGAAGGGCGGGGGAGCCGGCGTACGCGCGGGGGACGGGACAAAGAGAGCTAGAAAGCTCAACACCAGAAAGGTTAAAAGGCAAGCCCATTGGCTTTGATCTGCTGACACTTTCTGTTGGCATCACAATGTCTTCGTGTGGCTAGCAAGCCCCGAGACGGCTACGCACGCACACACGTGTGTGTGTGAATGTGTGTGTGTGTGTGCGCGCGCGCATCCAAGTTAGCTCCCTTTGCCGGCAGAGGTTGTGGAAGGCTTGCCAAGGCTTCGTGAAAGGACCACGACGACCAAAAAACCGACACAGCCATGCAGCCTTTTTCGGGCACTACAATGGAGCTAGTTTTCTTGACTCACAGTAGTCGTTGGTAGTAGTGTATGACCTCTCTCTCTCAGCTCCAAAACGCAGCCAAAAGTCAATCAAGGGCCAGCCAGCACCCTGTCCAGCCTCTCTCGCTCTCTCTCCTGTATGTTTAAGCAGTTCACTAGCAACAACAAAAAAGGTGGAGGTCGTCGAAAAGGAAAGACACCCCCCCTCCCTCCCCATAACCTGCATTTGGAGCAAGGAAGAATACACGGCAGACAAGACCAAGTCGTATGATGATGGAGGTAGTGTGTCATTTTTGCTGAGGGCCGGCTCCGAGGGGCCACTTTCGGCTCACAGGCCAGAGCCAGGTGCTATCCAAGGGTTGGCAAGTTTTTCTCCCGTGTCGTATGCACACATATGTACTTCCTTGGAGGCATGTGCAGTGCATGTATGCAATGCATGCATGCACTTTGACCATTTTTCTGAACTCATGCCCCCATAGCGCAACACACACACACGCATACACATACAAATCGGTGCCGTGTGCGGCTGGTACCGCTTACTACCAGGTCCCCCGGCCTCCTCCCCTTCCCCCCAGTCCTCCTCCTCCCCTGGGCGTCACGGAGATACTCCCTTGCTTGTCCTGGAACCTCCCGGAGAGATGTTGAGAAGAGAACCCTTGGAAGGGGGGTTTCGGGGGTCTTTGACTGGAAAACGACAAGTCCGCACCTACGGCGACTCGACGGACTGATGACTGTTGCAAGAAGGGGGCGGGCAAAAGAAACAGGCGCAGGATAGCGCAACGCATTGCACGTGCAGCCGCCTCGCCTTGCCTTGCCTTGCCTTGCTTTGCCTCTGTCTCGTTGCGCCTCTTGTCATAGGTCATTCATTGTCATCACTTGAGCGCGTCGTCGAAATAGCCCCCCCCCCCCCCCCAAATGATTGATTGGTGCAAGACTGCAAGGAGAAAAGCTCTGTAGCCTCAAAAGCCTGAGCTGGCCTGAGCGAGCCTGAACGACGACAGCGACTAAACGTGAAACCCCGAAGGAGAAACCGGGGGTTTGGGGTCCGTGTCACAGACAGGGGTCCATTGGCTCAGGGGGCTCGCTCCTCTCAGACCACCTCGAACCCCGTTTGTCTTTGTCGCCTGTGGAGGGTCCCTCCTTCTCTCTCTCTCCTGGTCCCGACAAACTCCGTGCACCCGTGCGCCCTGCGTCCAAGCATCTACCGGTTTTTTTCTTCTCCCCCTGTCTGTACATGCAACGGCCTGGCGTCAATGCACGAACGGACGGGGCAGAGACACCGCTTGAATCATTCTTGACGCACGTTTCATGCACACACACACACATCTGTAGAGCACGGCAAGGAGCGGATCCGCTTCGGAAGAGTAGCACAAGTGTTTCGTTTGGTTTGGTTTCTCTCTTTTGCTGTCATGGTATCATCCTTTCTATTGTTCCGAGGCCGTAATATATAGACGTGACCGCGTTAGGTACCCCAAGGCGTGCTGCGCCGCCAGGGTATAAGCCGCCCAAAATTATGTAGATTGATCCGCCCGCCCACGTGATAAGCCCGTTTGTCCCTGGGTATGTAGTGTAAAAGCAGTGCTCCCTGAGCATGTCCGACAACGCCTTGCAAAAAAGCAGTCATGAGTTGATGAATGGATGGGGAAAAGAAAATGAGTGTGGTGCGACCCAGCGGGCCATTAAATCTTCAGGCTCTGCCGCCGTTGCTTCTTGAAGCTAGAGAGAAGCCCCCGCCTCGCCGGCGCAGGGCTGGCGGGTGTGGTAGGAGCAGCTTGTGTCTTGGACCGAGTGCGTGTTGATGTAAGAGGAGTCGTGGCCGGCGTCGAGTCCGAGTCTGTAGGAGAAGCCTCCTCGGGGCTGCCCGGTGTAAAGAAGCTGCCGAGGGTCATGGAAGAAGCGTTGCGGGTGTGCAGAGAACCAAGACCCTCGCGAGGCGACTCGGCTGTGGGAGTTTTGAGGTTCGCCCGGCTGCGCTTCCGGACCATGCTCAGGGACTTCTGGAACCGGTGCAGGACGGCTGTCGGCGCCTTGGCAGTGGCAGGCGAGTCCTGGCCGTCCTCGGGGATTGACGAGCTGTTGTGGTGGAACTGGTCCTTGCCCCAAGGGTCCGTGTCGAGGAATGAGGGCTTCGTTGTGAGCAGGCTGCTGTGTCGTGGTGCGAAGCTAGCCCTGCTGGGCGACCGCATGGGGATCTGGGGCCCATGTGACGATGGTGGCGGCGAGAATGTCTTGCTCTTGGGAGACAACTCCACAATCGAGGGTCTGCCGACAAAGACGACCGAGACCGCGCGAGCAGTGACCTCGCGTGTCGACGACTTTACCGAGACGGACGAACTCGCTGTGGATCCGGGGGTCTCGACAAGGTCGTCGTCCTCGTCCTCGTCAAGTTCGAGCTCCTCGCCAGAGAAGTCGTCGGCCGAAGAAGAGGCATCCTCCTCTGACGACAGGTAGACATCATGGGGTGTGCTGATGGAGTCTGTGGCAGACTTGATCGAGTTGAGGCGTAGGTTGTCGAGGAATCGCGAGGCCCGTAGTGTGCTGCGTTGGGGTAGAGCAGGAGCGTCCGTGGTAAGGTCGTCTTGCTGGAGGTCCTTTGTCCGGAGGATCTGAGCCTCCTCGACAATGCATTGCTCGTCCATGTCGGCGAGCTGGTCAAGCAGCGAGTTGTCCCTGACATGGCCTGGTGTGCCGGCTGTCCTCGCCGGTCTGCTGTTGTCTTGTACAGACATTGTGGTGTGTGTGTGTGTGTGTGTGAGTATGTGGACGGGTGGTGTGACAGCCCGACGTGTGTGTAAGTGCTTGGTAGACAATGGCAATGGCCAGTCTAGAGGAGGACTGTTCTGAAGTTGGGTAGCACCGTATTTCTCTGGTGCATGGGCAAGTGTGCCTGTGCAAGCGTATGGTCTCTCGAAGTGTGTGCCGTGGGTATCATGGACTGGAGGGAGGGCCGAGGAGATATAGTAGTCGAGGGCCGGAGGGGCGCCTCCTGCTCGAGCTGGCGCCCAAGACGGGTTTGGGGGGCGCTTTGGGAGCAGCAGGGATGGGGCTGGCGTCCCAGTGGGAGGGTGGAGTGGCCCGCTAGGGCCTGGCAGCGTGCAGGGGGTCCCGGCGCTGGGCGATCGACCAGGGTGAGGGCGCGAGCTCGACGGGGGTGAGGGTGGCAGGGGGTAGCCCCTGCTGGCAGGAGGCCGGCCCATCGATGATGATGATAATGGCCGCGACCCGTCTGATGCATGCATGCAGCCAGGCGACAACATGCACTTAACCGCCATCACACCCCCCAGATGCCCAATCGGGCATCCCATCGTCGCGCCCTCACGGCTCGTCGTCTTCCTTTGAACAACTGCACAAAGGCTGGTCTGTACAGCTCAACTCCGTGCGAGCCCACACCTCCACGTCTCCGCGTCTGTTCCTTCCATTTTCGTCCTGCGGAAATACTCGCTCGTCGCCTTACTCGTGCCTTGTGTAGCAGCGCCCGCTCCATCACGGGCTGTCGATATTGTGGCTTGCAGCTTGGGCACTCTGGCAAGGGCACGCCGAGCATCGAATAGAGCAGCCGTGTGGGGAAGCGCCACTCCTGCCATCACTGCGCCTGCCGATGGATGGCCGCAATGTTTCACGCCACAGGGAAAGAGCTTTCTCCATGGGAGGCCAAAGCGGCGCCGCCCCAGTTGGCCACTGACACAAACCTCGCCAGTGCTTGCAGATGTCTCTTTTGGGCCACGACTGCCTACCACAGCGCATCGCGACAGCTCTCGAGAGTTTCCAAGTGTGAACAGCCTCGAGACTTTCTTTCCGCCAGGGGCCTCAGCCCGTTCTGCCGACGGATACATCAATAGCGGCACATCCATCGCAACACCTTCGAACCTAAATCTTCCAGCCCTTCACAAAAACACACCGAAGTAGCAGGTATCGACACGTGCCGTGCCATGCCATCCCCGCCCTGCATCTCCCCAAAGTCTGTGTCTGTGTCCTTCACCTGCCACAAGCCAGCGTCCCAAGCCAGCATCGTCTAGGCGAACCTAATGCACATCCCCGAGGCACAGGCGCACGTGGTGAAAGGCAAACTTGGTCCCAATTATTGTCAACGGGCTGCAACTGCAGCCTGCCAGGTTCTTGCTTGCTCAACCATCTGACCACGAGGCCAGGATTTGTTGCGTGGGAGCATGACCTTCGGTGCGGTACTATGTCGCGGTACTCCTCCTGCCTTCTTTGAGGCCACAGCCTAATGCCCCCTGATTATGAGCCCGCAAGTGCCCTCAAGCGATCTCGGCGTTCTCCGCAGCATCCATCCTCTGGCTCGATTACCGAAAAGTCGGCAGTTTCTTGTGCACAGACATGGATTGTGGCTGCAGACAATCTACATCCCGGGGCTCGTTCAGCAGTCATGACAACCTACCAGAAACCGGGAAGAAGCTACTCCTCTGAGTCAGGGATCGGAACGGCTACAGTACATCCTATTCTATTCTGGCTCGCAACAACGGCAGACTTGACAGGCCGGAAATGGTAAGGGCGTGATAACCATCTTTGCCAAGCCTGTCTGATATCAGACTTTAGGGCGCGGGACGCCATGGCAGTGCTAGAGGAACTCCTCCCTTGCTGGATGCATATGTCCTCGCTCGCCACCTTTGCCGTCAAGATCGACCGCGGCTCAGACTGCCCGAATTCTATTTTTCGCATCTTTTCACAATTTCGGCCGCCAGAAAAGCGGGAATCGCGACTCCCGAATCGGGGCATTCATAGCAGCCTACGACCAGTGTGGAGCTGATCCTTCGGAAGACAGGGTTCGCCTCTTTGGATCCTCTTAGGCCTTCGTTTTGTTTCACGTACAGAGCAGCTCAGCGAGGGTCTACAGAAAGCCATAGCACCGCCGTGCTGGGTGAGGGCAAGGCAATAGGTCAATCTGCATGCTACATGAGCACCTTTTGCCGCAAGGGACTTCGCAAGGTACTTGATGGCTCTGGGTCGACATAGCTCGTGGAGGCTGCCGGTGACAACACCTTGACAGGGCACTTGGCTCAGTGTCAGCTGCTGATAGGCCCAATGTTTCAAGTCCACTGTGCAAACAGCCCCACCGAAGCCAAAGTTGTCGGCATCGTTTTTGGAGCCCAACGACGTCGTTGCCACAACGTTCGCCGACCGAAGCCAGTGACAGGGGCCAGGCGTTGAATAGTCAGAGTGTCATTGCCACGCTCACAGCGCCCTACGACGCAATCGTCACTTAAGACATGGACGCTCCTCCGCCGTCCTGCTGTCATAAAGCCGACTTCAGGACGAGCCATGAGCGGGATCGGCAGTCGTGAATCCTCAAGGAAGCGATCGGCTCGGCCACAGGTTGGGGTTTGGCTTGTGCTGATTGACACCCTGCATCTCTAATCGCGTGGCCCACACTGGATTTATTCTTTGTCTCAGGTGATGACATTATGGACTGCCGCCTGCCCACGTTCGCCTTACAACTTGGGCCCGGGGCCAGAGCCAGGTTGGAAACGCGCACAACTCTGCTCTCTCGGCCAGCCTCGCCAGGCCTGCATCCTCGACAATTCATTCCAGCACTCTGGAGCACGCAAAAATCGCGAACGCGGTAGGCAGTTGCAATCAGAGTATGCCCCACTGGCTGGATATAGTTTTGGTGCCAATTATACGGGGGCATTGACGTGTCAATCTGTGGTGTTTTATCTGGTGATGCGCGCTAGCTTAGCCGCTCCAGGAATACATCTCGAGCCTCACGCGAGCACGACTGCATCTCGACACAGTCCCCGGGGCGACTCACCGGCACCTGCTTGACCCGGCGGCGCATTTTCTGGACTGGCTGGAGCCATTCCGCGAGGATTTGGCGTCGGCAATCTGCGTGCAAGATGATGGCAGGGTGCAGCCGCCGTCTAGCATCGTTCCCGGGACTTGGTGCGGCGAGGCATCGGGCAGATTCCAGCTCGTCGTGCTATTTGCGGATGCTGATCTCACGAGGGTTTCGCGGTGTGCCCGAAGAATGAATGCATGCCCAGCCAGGGTCCTGCAGGGTTCACCAGCAGCCAGCTGCAGCTGCAAATGGTGGCATCACCGGGCAGCGAAAATCTTGGCCAGTCCCAACCACCAGCAACCTTACGTCACCCTTGAAAAGCACCACCACTTGCAGTTCAGCCCTCGCCCGTCTCACACTCTAAGCGACCCATGGGCCTGGCCATCTGGACATAGATGCCATGTCCAGGTTGACTGCATGATACTGATCCGGGAGAAAAAAGACGATGCTGTCGCCATAGCGCTGGCGTTGCGAGAAGGGCCACTCTTTGACACTGAAATTGTCTCAACTGGCAGCCCCGGCCGGGGAAGGGCAGTCCTGCAGCAGCCAACTGGGCGAGGGCGTGGTTCTTTAGGTTTGTGGTTGCATCACCTGGGGTGGCTGTCATCTGGAACATGCGTCAGATGCCAAACCATGCCGGGCCACGAGGCTGTGCTGCGTCATCGCGCTTTTTCCCCCACCACCAGCCAACAAGCCGGAGGCCGCACGCACGCCCACGACTCGAGCTGGCCATCCCTTGCATGGCGAGACTCGCCTTGCTTTGGAGATTTCCTGCGCGATGTGCTCTCCTGCGTAGAGGATGCTGCCCCCTAGTCAAAACAGTGATCAGTCACTTGAGAAATCGAAAGCAGTGCTCCTCCATACCAAATTGACTAGGCGGGCGATGGATGGGGCAGATCCCTGGCCAGCGCCCTTGGGCGGCGACCTGGGCTCGTCGATCACGGCCTAATCATAGAAACGAAGTTCGACTCCGGGGGCTACTACTGCAAATCCTTCGCGAAATGCATATGCATCCTGAGCCGCATCCCGAACCTGGTTTCCCGTTTTGTCGGGGGGGTTCTTTGGCGATCGTCAATATGACGCATTCGTGCCGGAAGCTCTATCGCAGAGAGAACTTACGTTGAACTTGGACAGGGAAACAAGAAACGAAAGAAAAAAGAGTTGCCGGGAGCAGGGGCAGGGGGGTTGGGTGGCCCCACTCTGCAACCTTTCCAGAGTCTTCTCGCCCTGGACCCTGATTCCGACCCCAGATAGATCACTTCATCATCATCATCATCCCGCCAACCTGACACTGGAACAGCATCGCTGACGGAGGTGTGTGGATTCGTCGTGCCGAAAGGGAAGGGTACAGAGTGCAGAGTGCAGCACCCCGTTAATCTGCACATGGCAAGGTAATTCTGCAAAGCTGAATATGCATTGACCCAGGGTCGGCGATGGACTGTGCCCATGTATACATCCATAGATGCATGCAGCTGGCACGCACCTACGCCGCGCGCAGATGTACAGTATGTGCAGCACGAGCCGAAGCAAGTCAAGTTCCCGCTGGAAATCAGGGGCGGAAAAGTACACACACAAAAGAGAAAAAAGCAAAGAAAGGCGGAGTGCATATGCTGCCGCGCACACACAGACAGGTGCTCATGCGGTTGGGTGGGACTACGGCAGTACGGCAGCCGTGAACAGGCGAGTGTATGTGGGTGAGACATATTGCATGCAAAAGTATCCAGGGCCTGCGCGACAAAGGCGCCTCGGAAATGTTTGGGGGACTGCATGTGGTTTCCGCCAGCCACGTGCGGTCTCTGGTCATGTCTTTGTGTCTTGTGGCGCCGCTGTGGTGTCTTGTCTTGTTTTTTTGTTTCCTTTTCTCTCTCGTCCTGTGTCATTGTCTCGTTTCGTGATGGGGAAGTGTCTTATCCTCTAACCATGGTTTAATTTCCACCCTAGAAGACTTTCGCTTCCTTGACAAGCAAGAAGAGCTAGGTCCTCCAGGTGTTCTGAGCTATCCTGATGTACTCGGTGGCTTTGGAAGTGTACGGGCTAGTCCTCAGGCCACGTAGTTGCCATGTTAATGCATATACAAAGTGCTGTGATGAGTAGGTCGGTCTGTTTCCGAGAGTATTGACGACGTGGTCGGGCATGCTTGGTTACGGTTCGCCAATTTCCCCACCAACTCGTCTGTGTGTAAGTGTGTATGAGCGCGCGTGTGTGTGTGCGTGTGTGTGTGAAAAAGTCGTGATATTAGCAAATCGAGCTGACATGAACGGCCACTTCTATATTTAATGGCTGCAGTACTTTCATTGCACTCCTCCCAATCACCCCCTGGCACAAAACGATAAGTTATAGCAATGTCTAGAGTTCTTCCTAGCTTCCGCAGGTGAGAGGAAGAATTGGTGACCATGTGGTCAATCAATGTGGTCCTGGGTTTGACGTCCGGTAGGAGATGGCGAGCACTGTCGGAAGCGCGAACTCGAAACACCGGGCCCGGGTTCCTTTGGCACTTGAACACGCTTTTTGCAGTGGCTTCTTTGATTTCTCCAGAACGCTGACTTTTAGACAGGTTTTAGAAACCTGTTGTTCTAAAGTTGCCTATACAATTTACCATGATGTAAGTCTAGTGAAGTGCCAGTTTATTTATCCATCCTTTAGGCATTACTGACTTCATACTCGGGGTGTAGCGATTACAGGAACCCTGTCCTCCATAATCTGGGCGGGTGCAGGCAAGTTAATAAAACATACTATCATTGAGAGCAACTCTTCTGTAGGTTTCCGTTTTGCTGTGATGTCAGTAGTGTATAAAAGGTCCCCGAGGATAGTTCAGCCCTCAAGCACAAGAACATTCTCTCGAACTCGTCATCCGGCATCAAGTCCCGAGGTTACATCGCCAGTTCACATTTCAAGAGAGAACACGAGGAAGCGCATAGCCACGCGTACGGACTCACCATCACAACGTAGGAGGTCTAATAACAGCAGCAAAGCAAAAACCGCAAAAGTTAGATCCTGAACCTTTTCTCCCTCGGCGTCACGAGACTTGTGTGTGCCCGGCCCAGCGACAATATTTTCTATTTCCAGAAACAAAAATCAAGCCCATCGACGGAGGCGCAGCATAGCCCGCACCGCTTGGGACATCAGCCTTGGCAGAGCTCGCCATTCGGCAGCCGGAAAGTCCACCCTTTAGGAGGACGTACACAAACACATGCTCATCTTTCGACACACCAGCAGTTCGCTTAATTCCATAAATTGCAAGGTTGCCTCTACGCGCATACACGAAATCTCTCTCCAAGCCCAGCAGCAGCAGCAGCTGCAGCAGCCACGCGTGATCGGCCGCGGTTGACGTTGTGGAGGCTTGGCACTCACACCCTGCCAAGAACCCCGAGCTCCCGGGGTCCAATCCTTCCGAGGGGTCTGGCTTATTTTTGTTTTTGTTGGCGAAAAGAAGTGCTGAACCAGCCCGTAGGGACGGACTGGAACCCCTGTTGCATGGGACAAGAATAGCCTGGGCGAACATGCACTCACTGCCGGATCAGCTCTCCGTCCCCGCTCCGGGGGAATTCAACGATGCGATCCCATCATGTGGACTGTATGTAATGTGGCAAAGGTTGCCGCTCGTGACGTGCGCGGTCATTGTGAGATTTCCATTTGTAGCGAAGAGATGTACCACCGTCGTTGCTGAAATTAGCAGCAGCAGCAGCAGCAACCCCACCGCCCAGAACTCGGCAATGATCCATTCCGTGTTACGAGCGACGGAATCATCTGTCAAAAGGCTGGAGCGGGTTGCAACGCCCCGTTGGGTGTGGACTGTGACTCCAGTCGTGGAAGGGGAAACCTGGGGCTGAGCGGCTGAGCTGACAATGTCGTCCTGTGGAGGCGTGAGAGTGCCACAGTCAGTAGTAGGGCTGACACCAAACTTCAGCACTGCCCCCTGAGCTGTCTTTTACGTCAGACTCGTTTTCGAGATGGATGGCTTTTTTCAAAAGCGAGTTCGTAGGTCAGGCGCATGTCGGTTTAGCATAGCTCAACGCGGCAACGCATTGCGAAAGGGATTCAAAATGTCCGTGAAGCTGCCAAGCTGGTGGTGGTCCAGCTCCAAACAAACTGTTGATTCTAATCAGTTGTTCACCAGGCAAACCATACGGGAGCCTGCTAATTGCCTGTCTTCTCGACGAGCATGACCAACTCACTCTGGAACAGCGGTGACTAGGATGCGATGTGCTAGTGTAGAATTACAGCCGTGGTGACACAGGTCATTCTCATCACGGGTAGTATCATGATCCCACTCGAGTCCGGCGGGCTTGAATGATGTCCAACTTCCTAGCTCTGCTCGTAAGGATAAGACTGCCACTGGACTTTCCCTTCCCCTGCATTCTCAAGGATCCCGAGCAACTCTTTCCTGGAGCCTCTGAACCTCTGTGCCTCCGAAACTATGGTGCCTGTGAGCTTCTGTGCCCACCTATCTACCTAAACACTTACCCGACGCCAGAGCCCGTCTGCCCGTCTGCCCGTCTGCCCGGTGCATATCATAGGTTGAGCAATATCAGAAGGCTCCAATCCATGTGCCCGAGACTCTGGTTTTAGGGTCCCTTTACTCCCACCACTTTACCACCTCACCACCGCGACTGCGAGTACACACCACAAAGAAAAGAGTGCTTTAATCATAATACCTGCCTTCCTGCCTTGAGAATGTTGAGGAAAACGAGAACCGACTACGTGGCGCTGGAAACCGTCCAAGGAAACAGACACCTTTGGGATGGGACATGAGTAAAGACAAAAATAACCGATGCTGGTGTTTGAAAACGAGTTTTGTTTTGGTTAATTGCTCAAAAGTCGTTCTTTATGTCACTTGTTTCCTTGTCCCATATCTCACCATCTCCGTGCAAAAGCCGTGACGCCGTCCGTTCCATAAGCAGAACGACGGACGGCCACGTACCCAGCCAACTTCGCAGACAACCAGGCTCCCCTCACGTGTGTCTGAACAATGCCAATCCCAATCTTGTCGAAACGACTTTTAACGAAGGACAAAGTAGCACCTTGAAGCTGATCTGTCTACTTCCCGCATGTTCTGGAGTGGTAACAGAACCACCTGGGGTTGTACAAGCCGTTCAGCAAGGGGTGTTACCGCACTTTTGAAATCTTGTCGTCCGAGTTCCGCATACTCGTTCATGAGACGAGCAATGACTGGGCGAGTCACACGCACGTTCTGATGAGGATAATGCCACCTAAAAGCAACGCTCCTGCACTGCCATACAATACCAAAAGTGCCTCAGACGGACCACGGGCAAACAAGGAACAGGGTTGACGAGACGAGCAGAAATGGTAAGCACGTTGCGACGCAAGAGAGCACTTTCACAGTAGACACCCAAAGTCGTCATCATGTATGGACATATATTATCGTCTGCATATTAGAGATCTAGGCGAGGACGTTTGCAAGTATCCTCGCGCAAGCGCTTGCAGAAATGCAAGACGCTCAGATTGATGTTGTGTTCCCAAGTCGGTGGCCGAAGACGCAAGCCCTTCGCTACCACGGCCATCGCTCATCCCGGAACATCGCTTTTGTGTGTCTACCGTTGGAGTTTTTAATGTGTTTCGCATTGAGCCGGAGCTCATGCAGCCTGTCCCGCCCTAGACTCCGCGCCGCAAGATCCGCAATCGTCGTGCATCCGACGATGCATTGCAAATTCCCCCTTCATGAATCCAAAGCCCTGATCGCGTCGTCAAAAGATGTGGCCGGCACCACCGCGTGTCGTCAATTACAATGTCACTAATACAAACAGTAGGAGGAACTGGGGAAGTGGGATCCAAAAAGGGTACGCCTCTGGAGGCCAGTTGGTTGCAGCGTTCTGGCACGTTTGAGCATTGTCCGAGTCAAAGGGACAGCCTCAGAACGTGTAGAATCTTACAAAGCACGTTTAAGCCTTGCGAGAGCGGGTAGAGACGCCGCTGGTCTTGACACCAGTCGACTTGGCAGCACCGTTGGAGTCGATGGCGCTAGCAACGACGTGCGGGTCGGGCAGAGGAGCCTGCGACATCTTGCGGAGAGACTTGCGGGCGCTGGGGGCCTTCTTGTCCTTCTTGTAGGTGGCGAAGTAGAAGGAGATGAAGAGGACCAAGTACGAGCTGATGACACCCATGCCGGAGAAAGCAGCGAACTCCTCGCCGGCGCACTTGCCAGCATTGGGCATCCAGGGGTAGTAGGTCGAGGTGAAGTAGGTGTACGCGGCAAAGTAGACGAAGCCTGAGGGTTTGGTTAGCACAAGTACCCAGGCGGGTGGGGATGGACTGCTTGGAGCCAACTTACCAAGATCAATGATGAACTGGATGATCTGGAAGCGAGTGACCCACTCCTTCCACCAGATGCGGATGCCACGCGCGCTCTGGAAGTAGTACCAGTACATGACGACGTGGACGCCGAGGTTGAGAGTAATAGGAACCCACGAGACCGCGGTGGAGCCGATCAACTGAGTGTAGCAGAGAACAGCAGTGGCACCGTGGTGGTAGCAGTGGAGGAAGGCTGAAAGAAAAAGAAAAACCAAATGTTAGCACAACATTCGACGTAAATCATGTCATGGAACACCGCCGGGGCCGACTTACTCAGAGGCTTCTTCTTGAGGAACAAGAAGCAGGTGTCCAGAAGCTCGAGGTACTTGGTGAGGTAGTTGAGGTAGTACAGGACCACCAGGGGCTGGGTCCAGCCGCCTTCGACGTCGCAGATGGCGTAGAAGACGCCCTTGCGGACGACGGTGGGCAGAAGCTGCTCAATGAAGAGAGCCAGGAGGATGGCGCTGATGGCGGTCAGGTAGAAGTTGTGGATGAGGAAGAGGGTCTTGAGCTTGAAGGGCTCGCGGTTCCTCATGAGCTCACGGCCGCCGAAGATGATGAAGTAGTAGATGACGACGAAGATGGATGTCTCCTTGAGGGTGGACATGGGAGTCTCGCCGGCAATGAATCTGAAGTCCTCGGCCGGGTAGCCGGCCACAAACTCAAAGGCCTTGCTGAAGATGGGCCAGAGGTGGATGCCAAAGGGGCGGTCGAGGGTCGGCACAGGGAAGCTGCCGAGGACGGCAGGAACATCGTGGGTCGACATGACGGGCGAATATGCTCGCAGCTCTCGTCAGGGCTGTGTGGTCGGCTGGTGAGGTCCGATCTGGAGCGGCCGCAGGGAGGCGGGCTGCGGTGTGCGTGGTTTTGAAAGGAGATCAAGGAGTGACTTTGAAGAAAGGAGAAAAGCGTGTGCGACTCTTTTCCGTTGCAGCAGAGGGCAAGAGAGAAGAGAAGACGACGACGCGGACGCTGCCTCGCACAATAGAGGACAGGGACGAAAAAGGCGGACGGGACCGAAGCAGAGTTGAAAGGAGAACCCAGGACGAAAGGGGGGATGCGGGAGGAGGAGGATGAAGAAGTAACGGACGGGCCAGACGGACCCAGAGAATAATAATAGGAGCTCGCTCGAGCAGGCAGGAAAGAAGCAATTGGGATTGGCTGCTGCGGGCGAGCCGGGAGGGCCGGGCAGGGGCTGCGATGAGATTGCGATTGCACTTTCTCGTCTTGGGGAGTGGGCTCTGCTCTGCGCTGCCCGGAAAACACGGTCTCCTCACCCTCACTCACCCTCGGCGCTGCTGCTGCCAGACGCGCCGTGCGCGCGCAGAGGCGGCGCCCGCCAGACACTGCCTGCTGCGCACTGTCCTTTTCACGCCACAGCACCACCACTCTGCACAGTGCGGCCAGCAGCCCACGGGCCCCCCGCTGCACATGTCAGCGCGCCCAACAGCGCCTTCCCAGCGGGTGGGTGTTCAACCCACGGAACGCGAGGACCCCGATCGATGCGTGCAAGGGTGGGCCCTTACCAAGCCCGCGCAGATTAGGTCATCTCAGTCAATGCCGCATGCTCGAGTCCCCACTGGCATCCTCCCGCGGACTTAGCATTTAGGGGAACCCGGCCAGCACAGGGCCAGATATCGGGGGGTTTTGTTGCTGAGGCGCCTGTCACCCGGCAGCCCGAAGCCCTGCTCGTGGGGACGGCCGGAGCTGTTTGGTGCAGGGCTACGACACCGTCGTAGCATCGCCTGCCCGTAACGGTAATACCACCGAACGTTTCCACGTGCCTTCGCTCCCACTGCTCCGGTGCTTCCTTAATTGATTATGGCATGGACTGTGTGTATGTAGGTGCGTCAGCCACGGTGCCCCTTCCCCCGGCACTTCACCATAGGTTGGGGCCACTAGCACCAAACGGGGCTACGCTAGTCGCACTTCAGGAACGCTCACATCTCAAGCGACAACGCGATGTCGATCCAATGGGAATGGCTACTGACGACCGGGCTTGACAGCTGAAGACCTGACTCAGAACACCTCCTGCCTACTCTTCTTGAGGACGGACAGCTCGTGCGCTTAGACGGGCCTCACTGATCAGAGCCTGGGATTTTGACTATACTTCGATTTCAGGTCTACACCACACACGGCTAGCTACCTCATAGCTACAACGGCGGCAGCTCCTCTCTGCATATCGGGCACTGCAGGCGGAACCGCATCCACGCCTCGAGGCAGTCGCTGTGAAATATGTGCCGGCATGGCGTCACCATGTACACCCTCCGCGCCAGCACGCCCGCCACGCCACCAGCAGTTGGGTCCTCATCTCCAGCCTTGATGACTGGCACCTCGAGGTTTTCCCTGCACACCACGCACTGCGTGCTGTAGACGTTGCTGCGCTTGCTGCTCACCCCTTCGTCCCCAGTCTTGACCCGCTCCATGGTGGCGGGACTGCTTGGCACGGCCACCAGGCCAATGGGCAGTCCCGCCGCCTCGATGCTATCCTCTCGCAGTATCGGGTGGTATTCCCACGCTTCGGGCATCCATCCTTTCGGCACGCCAAAGCGTGGGCCCAGGATGGATTGCGCCACAAGGACGACAATCTGAATCCAAACCCATCCGGCCAGCACGGCAAAGGAGGTCCAGTCTGGCTCGGCAAACGCAAAGTTGTCATTGATCAGGTAGAAGTATGCAATCGGCAGCATTCTCAAGATCGACTGGCCAACCACAAAAGGCCACGCCAATGCCCGGCGGCAGTTCCTGTATGCATTCCGATGGATCTGTGGCCACCACAGAGACAGGTAGCCAAAGGCCAGCAAATTGAAGTATGCGGCGCGGATGCCCGGCCGCCAGCCTGTGGTGGCGAGAGTGAGGAACAATATCAGAGTGCTGCACATGATGAGGCGGCCAAAGATGTTGCTCAGTGGCGTAGACGTGCTTGCGGTAGTGGCAGTTGCGTTCGTGTTGGGTGCAGTGGCTGGCGCTGGGAGCGTGGCATTATTGTTGGTGTTGGCATCGTTGACTTCGGCGATCTCGGCGTCGACGTCCTGATCAGACGGGACGATGACTGGGATATTGGCGGTTGGCAAAGCAGGCTGGGGCGTTGTGGTAGTAGTAGTTGTTGTTGTGGTGGTGGTGCTGCTCGGCGGGTGCTCTGCAGCGTATCGAGCCGCATTGGCAGCTTGGGTCTGTTGCCTCTGACGCTCCCGGTCTCTCTCCTCCCTCCGCCATTCTGGTTCCTGTACTTTGTAGATTTCCGATAGAAATATGTTCCCAGTCATCATTGCCAGGAAAGATGCGCCGGTCACGAGAAGTGACGGCAGTAACGTCGTCGAAGCTGACAAAGACCACGCTATAGAGCCAATGAAGACGGTTCCGTCTGCAAGTAACATGATACTGGCTGTGTAGAAGCTGATACGTCCCAAAGTTGAAGGCGTCGAGGTCTCCCGCATCTGCAACTTGAGAAGCTGCACCTGGCCAAAGACCACCAGGCCCAGGCCAATCAGCCACACAGTGATGCTGTACAAAAAGGTCTCCTGCTTCATGCCCTGCAAGTGCATGCCATCTGCCGGCGCATAAGCAGGGGGCCCCTTCGACTCCAGAAAGAACGCGCAATCCGGAGAGTACAACACGGCAGACATCTGCAACCTGGGACGGCCCAAGTGAGAAATGCCCTGAGGGAACCGCAATTCCTCCTCAATCTCATGGATTGCTTTGACGATGTTCTCGGGTCCAGTCAGAGATGGCTGCACGTGGAGATAGTCCTTGTCTGGTGGATGGATTTGGAGATATGCCAAATACTCGCAGTGTGCTGTTGGGTTAAAGACGTCACTCGGTGAGTCGGACGAGGATGCCCACGGATCGGTCTGGTCGAGGAAGAAGAGCTGCTCTTTCTTCGACAGGACTTTGTCCAGCGTTCGGTTAAGAAGTGCTTGGCTTGTTTCAAAAAAGTCGGGCCGGCTGGTCAGATGTGGTAGACCAAAGATGCCGGCAAACTTTTCGCTCGTAGTCGTGAAAAGCATCGCACCTTGTCGAGGCCAATGTACGCCGTGCATCCTCATGTCCCACTGACTGCCTGAGCCTTCTACATCTTCCAGGGTTATCGTCGCAGTGACTTCTCGCGCTCGAACTTCTGTTTCGTGCAGGACTAGCGGATCAACAACCTCCGGTTCTGTTCCCGCCGCCTCATCGTCCTCGAGCCGCACGAGCATCTTCCCAGCCGGACCAGTGATGTTTCGGCTCCATTCGAAGGCGCCGGATGCCCAGGTGATATTCGGGGAGATCTCTGTCAGGTTGTAATCGGAGTGAAATCGTGGTACTGAGCCATTCTCTCGATGCCAAAGACCGTGGACAACACCCGTCGCATTCTGCCACACAGGCTGTGCCGCCTCCGGCATTCCGACCGCGTTGAGGCTCCATTCATCGCACTTCTGCCTGAACCGTCCGAGGTCGTCCCAGGCCAGGTTGTCCCGCTCGCGAAATCCGGTGAGGTTCAGGAACTTGGGTTCCGTGGCTTGAGCGTCGCTAGTCGTCGGTGTCGGATCAAAGTCGCCCCATCTCGTGCTGTTGAGGACGCCGTGCGCGGCTCGCTGGCGGGCCAAGCGGTCCTTGATCAGGTTTGGGCCAGCTATCAGCGGCCCATTGTCGGGACTCGAGAAGATCCAGAACGTCAGGACGATTAGAAAGACGATCCGCGCGCTGTCTTGCTGCGGCGGCATCCTAGCGGCCGAGTCGCATGCTTATTGCCGGCGTGGCATAGCTTACGGGGGACTGGTGTAGCCACCGTTGTTGGGGGAATGGCTAGGAATTAGGGATGGTGGAAAAGGTGCTGAGCGAGGGCTTCGTGCGAGGATTATTGCTCCGGGAGCTTTGGAAGCTCGTTCGAGTCTAGAGTCTAGGTTGCCGACTTGAGACCGACGTCAGGGGGGCAGCTCAGTAGTGTAAGCTAGTGGGAGTGGGGCTGGTATCTTCAGGAACGCGCCATCGGCTTCAGAGTCGCCCCGACATGGTCCAAGACACCCAAGGCACAACCGCGACCATACAGCGACGTCCATCTGTCCCCGGAGACAACCCGCTCACCGGAACAGCGCCTTGATATCCTGTGCACCGCCATACGACATCCGCCTCTTGCTGCTTAGCCTCTAAAGTGCTCGACGTTTCTCATAGCATGTCGTCGTCCAAGTCACCCGATGATACTGGCCGCCCACCGGCGCAGGGGGAAACCACGGTGAGCACAGTGAATCACTCGGTATGGGTACGTCTTCAGCTAACATGGATACAGAGCACCGACGAGTTGACTGCTGTTGTCGAAGATTTGCTTAACTCGCTCTCGAACAAGTTTGCTGGGGTCAGCAGCGAGATATTCGCCAAGAGTAAGCTGGCCTTTCTCTCAAGTTCACACTCGGCATCTACGGAGATAGAGCATCGCTAACGCGCCTTGTAGTGGACGAAATGTCTAGGCGTCTGGACAACCTGGAGGCAGCACTTAAAGCGAACCAAGATTCCAGCAGCAACTCGCCATCCAAGTCATAGCAGACACGTGCGAAGAGAGTGCAAAGAGGTCCGGCGTTAAAGGTGTCATTCTAACATTATTATCGTGAGGCTATTGATGTTTGTGGTCAGATTGACCACACCAAATCACAGTTTTGTCATCCCTTGTCATGATGTTACGTTTCCTTGTGTGCTCAGTGCTACAGCCGAGGCTTGTCGATGTTTACAACTCGTCCTTACCAGTGACCTTGTCCACAACAGCCTGGACGTACTGGGACAGAATGTTGGACTTGCTCTGGAGCTCGTCCAGCTTGGACGGAGCAAGGCCGCCCTTCTTGATGAGGCCGTCCAGGCGCGCCGCCTCCTTGGCCACGTAGCCCTCGTTCTGAGACAGCTTGTCAAAGACGCGGATGTAGTACTGGGCGTACTTGTAGGCAGATTGTTCGGAGAGCTCGCCAGCGACGCGCTTCGCCTCCTCAGCCAGTTCAGAAAGCTTGGAGCCATCAACGGCAAACTGCTTGGCAATGTTGTTGAGGGCCTCAATGGTGCCAGCAGTGGCGTCAAGACCACCGCCGACGACACGGTGAGTGCCTGCCTTCTCGTTGATGAACTCAATCAGATCTTTCTCGGCACGGCCTCCCGAGTAGAGCTCGCCCTGCTTGGAGCCCTTGGGGAAGTACTTGATGGTGGGGTATGAGGTGACACCCTGCTCCTGGGCGGTGGCCTTGCTGTTGTCGGCTTCGGCATCAACCTTGGCAATGACGACGTCGGGCTCGTTGACGAAGTCGCGGGCGAGAGTCTCCCAAGTCGGAGCAAGCGTCTTGCAGTCTATATTCCGTGTATTAGCATTATGCACATCATACATAGAACTGGTTGAAGCGCGGCATCGACATACGTCCACACCACGGAGCGGTGAAAGCGACCAGAACGTTCTTGTCGCCACCAACAGTCTCGGAGAAGGTCTTATCGGTGAGGAAGTTGACTTCGCTTGGCAGCTCGAGCTTTCTCTTGACCTTGACACCAGCGTTCTCCGAGACGAACTGCTTCAAGCTCTCGAGGTCCCGACCGCCCTTGTAGTCCTTGGGTTCCTTGTTCTTGCCGTCGAACCACTTGAGTGTGGGGAAACCCTGAACACCATACTTGCGGCCGAGAGCCTTCTCGGCGTCGGCATCGACCTTGGCAATCTGTACATCCTTTGAGTTGGAGAAAACCTGGGCGAGCTCCTCGTAGACGGGAGCAAGAGTCTTGCAGTGACCACACCACGGGGCGAAGAACTCGACGAGTGTGGGCTTTCCGGACTCGAAGACGACCTTGTCGAAGTTCTCGGGGATCAGGTCGAGCACGGCGGAGCCGGCAGCGGCGACGGCGACAAGGCCAGAGAGCACGAAGCTCTTGAGAAGAACCATCTTGTTCAGGTGCGTCCTAACGACGAGTGCAGGCGGTAGCAGGCAGTTGTATCAGGTCGAAACGTGCCAGCCTTGATGTAAATCAAAGGCTTTAGTTGGTGTAGGGAAAAGGCGAAGATGCCACTTTGCTCTTCTAGCTTCGGAGAGCTTACTCCTCACAAGTCAAGGGCGAGTTTCAGCCAGTCCCATAACGCAAGCTCAACTGGCATAGCTCCAGCCCCTCTGGCTGGCAATGACGCTGCCCCGGGCTGCTGGGTTGCTTATCAAGCATGGATGATAAGCCCCTGGTTCTCCACTGTGCTGGCGTTGCTGTCGAGCCGCAACTTGAGGATCCACGGCGCTGGGTGGATTGTGGCTCAGCATGGGATTTCAGCCACACCAGCCAGACTTCTAAGCGACCCACCACACAAAATTTCCATTGCTGCCAAAATCCGCTGCCAGGAGCCCACCTTGACCGCGAAGGCACGCATCTCAAGAAACTCCCGCCCCCCCAGTCAGTCAGACCGTTCCGCCAGCAACCACACATCCGAAAACCCGCGTCCGTGACAGCACCTCGTCATCCCGCAACCGCAATCATGTCTCACGAATCCGTCTGGAACTCGCGCCCGAGGAAGTACGGCAAGGGCTCTCGTGGCTGGTACGTCTAGCCCGCATGGGAAAGTCCCGATCACGATGAACTCCGACCGAAAACATTGGAGAGATATTTGGAGGGCAACGAGAGGACAAAGATCGCTGACTTGTCGTCTTCATCACTTTATAGCCGTGTCTGCACCCACAAGGCCGGTCTCATCCGCAAGTACGGCCTCGACATCTGCCGTCAGTGCTTCCGTGAGAAGTCCACCGACATTGGCTTCGTCAAGGTACGACTCGATTACACCACGCCCGATACCAAATGGTCCCCGCTCTTGTTCAGCGCATTGAGCACGACGACGACGAGGAGAGGCCGTTCTCATGGGACCATGCGGGTATCGAGATCATGCGCGAAATCAGGAGCTGACCGAATATCGTAATCTAGCACCGATAAGTCATCTGCAATGGCGTCGTCACATTAGTTTCCTACCCACGAACGTTCTCTCTCTCTCGCCACGCATCAATACGCGCGAATCTGCGGCTATGGAGTTGTCGGTTTTACAATCAGGAAAAGGGGTTCAGCATTAACCCTAATGGCATGGGCCAAGGCGGGCTTGCGTGGGCAAAGGAAAAAGCCTCGTTGTTGGAATCATCTAGATCGCCTCGACAAGGTTCACGAATCTTGAAAAATGACAAAGAACAAAAACAACATATATCTATCTGGTTTCTTCATCGTGAGAAGATGATCGCATGTGCTACGCGGTTGTGGCATCAGCATGCGACAACGATTCAGGCGGAGGATACTCTCTTGAATTCCCCTGATTGCACGGTATCAACCACGAGTGGTCCGAGATTGCGGACCTCCATACCTAGGTATCCTTTTGCATTCGTCATGAAACTGGAACAGCAGGCCGTGTCGCAATTGGCTTCCACTATTATAAGCCAGGGAAGCGCAGATCACCAGACGTGCCGTATTGACCACGAATTGTCGAGTGAAGGTTATTGTGACAGGTGATCAGATGCACTCTCGGAAGATGCGCTTTCGGTGAGGTTCCACGCACCCAGCAGGCCAGTCCCTGCTACATCCCGTCTACCAGGACACAGATTAAGTCTGTTCTTTCCATTGTGGCCACTGCCAGCTTTGGCTCTATATTGATCACGTAACCTTGAAAGTGCAAACGAAGATATCGGCAGGTTGGGCTGACACATGAGCAACACACCGAGGAAGGGTTCTTCACGATCTCTATATTGACTCCACGTAGAGCTCAAGAAAGTACTGGGTGAATGGGACACAATCGCCGCAGAAGTCAAACGAAAAGCGTGAACAGAAGAAGACTCCTGCTCAACTGGATCAAGCAATTAACAAAGGAGGCCAAAAGCGATAGCGACATGGTATTCCAAGCACACCAACAAACATGAAAATGCAAAAAGTGGACTCCGAATCGGGGAATCGAACCCCGGGCTTGACGGCGCACGATCTCCATATTGAAGAAACATGAGAGCGTCAAATGTTAGCCACTACACCAATTCGGATGTGTTTCATGACAGCAGACTTTCTTATCTTTCTCCCTATACATACATCATCCTCGGCTGCCCGAATGCTGGACCTGGACTGTCGTCATGGGCCGTGGCACAAGCTTTCCGTCACTTCCAATTCTGAAAAGAACCACCACAAAAGCCACCCAATATCTCAGCTCGAGCCAATCCAGCACAATCGTCCCTCCTCGCCACCATAGAGAATCTCCTCCTGGGATCCGGTGTGGGTTGCATGCAAACACAACAACCCTCATGCAGCACAACACACACTGCAGCGCTAGCTCGCGGCGACTTCTTCTCACACGCATACGATCCACGGCGGTAGGGCAGGCATACCCTGGTTGAACACTGCCCGAGTGACGGCGCATCTCCGAGTCAGCTGCACGAATTCAGTGACCAGCCTTCCGTGGGCTGGAGAGAGGCATCGCACCGCTAGGGCCTCACGAGCATCCTCCGCCGATGAAAATTAACGGACGACCTCGGGAGACTACCGCTTCAGACACGACCGTGGGAGAAAGATGCACCGTCTGTGCAGAAAGTAAATCTTGACTACTGCTCACCATAGTCAAAGGCAACTTTGTCTCTGCCCGTTCGATCCTTGTGAATGCCAGCAGCGCGAAGCAGGCAGGGGACCACGGGCTGGGCCGGGAAGGTCAATCTGTGTAGCATGGGCCCTGGTTAGCTCGGCCCGCAGCGGCGAAGCTGACGGGTGGGCACTGTCGAGGTCCAGACTGCGGCGCTGCATGCCATAGCCAAGTGATTATGCCATGCCAGTTGTGATTCGCCGTGTCTGCTGAGCTGGGATCCAGGCCGGATTGACAAGGCGATGGCTGGTTGGCACCTTTTCAAATCAGGCGGTTTGGTATCTTATTAAAGGTCAAGGTCGTCCCGGCGGTCAAAGCGGCGATGAGCCAGCTGAGTATCGGCCCACCGCATGTAACGATCCTGGGCGTGGATCTTAGGGTACTGGAGACGTCGTCCATCAAGCCTGAGGTCCTGGGTGGCGTCGACCGGCTCTGTCACCCGATGGCCCGCTCCCGTCGCTAGCGAAATGGACAGTCAACGTCGTTTCCAGCAATGACAAACAACCATTGTTGGTTATGGACTCCAGGTCGTTGCAATGCGTGCTGCGATACCATGGACGTCAGAGGCTGTCCCCAGATTCTGCCGGCAGCATTGCCCTCATTTTTCATGGCGGCTGTCAGGCATTGTGTGGAGATTGCCAGTCTAGAGGCACCGACGCGTCGTCTACTTTGGAACAGGTCGACTGCAGGATGCCGCCTGATCTAGTCAGCTCGTGGACGGGCCACTAGCACCAAATGGGCGCCTTCACCTGTGCCTGACCTGATGCGGGCTGGGCCGGCTCGCCGTTAGGTTTTGTCCTTGGCCCGCCGCCCCAGCTCCGGTGCAGCACCAGAGTTCAAATGGCAGGGCCTGGGCAAGGAAGCAAATTACTCCGAACACCCAGCATCTCCGACATAGAGTTCCAATAGACAATGATCTTGTCGACGTGGCCAGCACAAACACGCAATCCTCCCTCCAGCCGGGTGTTGTCGTCCTGCGTATTGCCCAGCGATCTTGGGTCTTGGTAAGTTTATCCTTGCATCGCCTGCATCGGACCATGCGGTGCCTTCACCACCTCCATCTAGATGGAGCCGAGAGGCACCACTCACCTCATGCCCAGGCAGGCTGACTTGCATCGCAGAGGGCGCGAGGCGACGGGCCAATCACGCCGGGCCCAAGAGATAAGTCCGCATGCTCGTCAGGCAGGCCAAGCGGCTCTCACCTGCCCGCGAGTTGCTAGCCCGTGCCGCTAGCCCCGTGCCGCCTCCCAGCCCGGCCCCAGGACGGTGCAGGTCCCCCCACTCCGTTCCGCGGTCTTCAACGTCGAGCCCGACACAACCATGCCGGGCCCTGCCTACCACCACATGCAATCTGCTTCGTATTCTGCTGGCCTGCATTCCCACCCCTCCTGCACCACCGCGGACAGGTCGCGCCATGTCGCGCCAGGCACTCCCGCCCACCGTAGCAGCCCTCCGACCCGCAGGCACCGCCTGGGCCGGGCGGTGCGATCTTGGCTCCCTGCCTCGCCCGGGCGTCGTGGACAACAAGGGTTGCCAGCATGTAGATATGGGTTGATACCACCACTCCCCCCCGCTGCTCTTCTGCGATGTAAAGCCGTCGCCCGGCTCCCTCTTCGACACAGCTCGAGAGCTGTCCCGTCTTGCTCGTCTTGTCGCAACAGTCCCTGCGTGACTACAGAGGTTTGCGTGACGCGACCAAACGACATTCGCATAGTGGCCCATCGACTCTACACGTGATAGCTGACAACCAGTGTTGTGTCAACATGCGCTGGGACACTTGTCTGGCCAGCGCCATGGCCTCGCTGGCCACCGTGGCCCGCGCGGATCCGACCTGGCCGGCCTCGACAGACGAGCTCGAGGAGATCATGTATCAGGTTTCAGGCTTCAGAGCGCGGCAGTTTGGCGGCACTGTCATCCCCTGCAACAACAAGGCTTTGGGTCCTGGTAGAAATGGGCCTGGCGAATGGATCCGGTCAGCATTCCACGATATCGCTACCACAAGAATCGCAAACAATGCTCGTGTCGGCGGAATGGACGGATCTCTACAGTTCGAGCTTAACAGCGGAGAAAACACTGGACAGGCTTTCACCACGACCCTCGTCTTCATGAAGGACTACTTTACCCTCAGAAGCAGCATCGCCGACCTGCTGTCCTTGGGTGTCTATTACGCCACGAGGTCTTGTGGAGGCCCTGCAGTTCCAGTACGTGGAGGTCGCATTGATGCCACCGCTGGCCTGGGTGCTGGTTTCATCCCACTCCCAGGGGATCCGCCTCTCACCTTTCAAAGCAAGTTCCAGCGCATGGGCTTCAGCTTGTCAGAAGCTATCGAGTTGACAACCTGTGGCCACACGGTCGGGAGTATCCACGCCGCCAACAGTCCAAACGTCATCGACCCCAGCGATCCATTGCTAGTCAATGGGGCCATTGGTGTGGACTCGACCAGTTCGCAATTCGACAACATGAATGCCATCGAGTATCTTGCATGGAACAGCACAAGCCCTTTGATCAACGGCAAAATTTCCACGACCCAGAGAAAGACCAATTCGGACACCAAGCTTTATCTGTTCGAGGGCAATGTTACCATCACTGCTGTTGCCCAAGATGACCCTACTAGCTACAATGCCCGGTGCTCGCGGGTGTTCCAGAAGATGATCGAGGTCGTCCCGGCCGGGGTGGTCCTCACCGATCCTATCACGCCATACTTCGTCAAGCCAGTCAATCTAGCTCTTGCCCTCAACAGCGGAGCTGATTCTCTGCAATTGACTGGATTCATTCGCGTCAGAACCACTGGGCTGTCCGCGGACCCAGTGACAGGCGTATCCATCACGTATCAGGATCGCAATGGTGGCAGTTCGTGTGGTGTTCTTGGCTGTACCTTCAAGCTGAACAAGCAAGGCCTCACCAAAGGATTTGATGATACATTTGACGTAAGTTCCTCGTCGTTCCCTCCTAATTACCGTGCTTTCCTGACATTCTCTCCAGTGGTATCCCATTAGCGGCCAGATCCCGACAGCTAGTGGTATTTCATCCTTTACCATCACAGTCACTACGCAGAGTGGCAGGACTCAGACTCTCGACAACAACGGACAGCTCTACCCGATGCAGGACAAGGCGATCCTCATGCAGACACAGAGCTGCTTCCTTTCATCCGGCGGCTCGTCCGGACAGTTGACGATCACAGCAGCTGTGAGTTGAGCTTCTTATTCCAGTGCTTGCGCTTTGCTCCAAGTCGACTGACCAGGGACAGATTCGTAATGACCGCCTCGGCATGCCCGCCACGTCTTTTATTTCCTTCCTGCAAGATACAGGCAACGCCAACCTGCCTGTCCCCAAGCTGCAAAACGCCACCGTCACACTGACACAGGGCCGCTGTGCTGGGTACTACACCGTGTACACCGCGTCATACACGATCCCCGGGAGCTACGGCTACGCCGCCCGGCTCGACGTCATCAGCGGCAGCGGCCCCGATATCGCCAACGACGACTTCAACTCCGTCACGCTCCTGACGGCCTCGTGCGCCAGCTTCACGTATCCGCAGCAGTCTAGCTGCTCGTCCACGCTGCCGTCGGGAGGCAGTTCGTCATCGTCTGTCGCATCAAGCACATCCGCGAGCACCAGCAGCGTGGTGTCGTCAGTTTCGAGCACCAGCAGTGGCACTGCGTCCAGCGGCACGATATCGTCGTCTTCGCTTAGCACGAGCAGCGGGTCTACCAGCAGCAGTGTGTCCTCGTCATCCTCCAGCAGCGACGTCTCCTCGTCATCATCTTCCAGCAGCAGCGTGTCCTCATCATCCACTATCAGCAGCGTGTCTTCATCAGCTTCTAGTAGCAGCGTGTCTTCATCCTTCAGCAGCGATGTCTCGTCGCCATCATCCTCCAGCAACGCTGTCTCCTCATTATCATCATCAAGCACTAGCAGCGGGACTGTCAGCAGCAGCGCGTCTTCTTCATCCTCCAGTAGCGACGTTTCCCTATCATCATCTACTACTAGCAGCTGGACTGTCAGCAACAGCGTGTCTTCAACGCTATCCAGCACTAGCAGTGGAACTTCTTCCAGCGGTACAGCATCATCGTCGTCAAGCACTAGCAGTGGGAGTGCTACGGCCAGCACGACACAAACGACGACTAGCAGTGCTACTGGGACCTCGAGTTCTGCGCCTGCCACGTCTCCGCACCACCGGGCCACGATGGGCGGCTACGCTTTTGTGGGCTGTCAGACAGAAGGCACGGGAGTGCGTGCTCTCGCCGCAAAGAACTTTGCGTACGATGGCATGACCCTGGAGAGCTGTATGCAGAACTGCACAGGATACAACTATTGGGGCACAGAGTACGGACGTGAATGTAAGCTCGGTCCCATTCTTCTACCCATCCGAATACGAATCCTATACTAACCTTCGTGTCCACCTAGGCTATTGCGGCAATTCCCTGGCTGCGACCAGTACAACGGCCGACCTGTCCGACTGCAACATGCTCTGCTCTGGGGACCAGACTCAGTACTGCGGAGCAGGCAACAGACTGGAGCTCTACCTGACCACATCCGTCCCGACCCCGACAGCGACGCTCATTCACAAGCCCACAGTCTCGCCGTACACCCGCAAGGGCTGCTACACCGAGCTCGAAAACAGCCGGGCCTTGCCAAACTCTGCACTCTCCAACGACCAGATGACCAACGAGATGTGCGCGAGCCACTGCAAGAACTACCCGTGGTTCGCGACCCAGTACGCCAAGGAGTGCTACTGCGGCGACTCGCTCGACCCGCGGTCCACGCAAGCGCCCGACGACCAGTGCAACATGCCCTGCGCAGGCAACCAGTTCCAGTACTGCGGCGGCCCGAGCCGGCTCGAGCTGTACTTCAGCAGCAGCGTGAGAGCGCCGTCCCTGCCGCAGAACATAACCACGACCGGCGAGCCCGACGGCGCCCACAGCGGCACTTTCCTGTGGTCCCTCGTGGGCTGCTACACCGAGGCCACGGGGATCCGCGCGCTCAGCGACAAGGCCTTCTTCGCAGGCACGAATAGCACGCTGGACAGGTGCGCTTCTTCGTGTCTCGGCTTCGCCTACTTTGGCGCCGAGTATGGCGATGAGTGCTACTGTGGAAATGAGTTGAACAATGGCTCTGTCCCCGTGGCTGCGTCGGAGTGTAATATGCTGTGCCCCGGAAACGAGCTGCAGTACTGCGGCGCTGGGAACAGGCTTAGTTTATATCAGATGGAGGAGAACTGATAAAACTAGTGGTAATTCTAAGGGTTGATGCAGAGCCAGTCTGCACAGGAAGAGTTGATTCAGAAGGACTAGTCGTTCCGGTGTGATAGCGTATACCATGATCTTCGAAGCAATGTTTGCCGCGCTTGTAGCATGTATGAGAGAGTACACAGATACGCTTTGCAAGGCACGCCATGATGCGTACTTTCCGTGCTCAGATATCTCTGCAACCAATTGGTTAATCAGGAACCCCGAAGGTGTCCTATCCTGCCGTGGTCAATCCAATGAAATCCGATTTGCCCAGTTGCTCTCGACGGCTTGAACTCGTGTCACTGTAAACAGAGAAGAAGAAAAAACTCCTGGCTTCCTTCTCCAGCAGATCAGACCGAGACATTCTGACCACTCGCGACGTAACGTATTCGAAGCTTGCTCCTGAGCTCCCGATGCTTCCTCCTCGTTGCCTCATTCATCATTACGTCTTCACGACGACGGAGCCTCTCCACCAAGCGACGTGGACGCTTTGCCTTCCTTGCTGAGTCTCCTCGCCTTGGCGAGCTCGTTCAGGTCGCCCGTCTCGCCGACCTGGACGTTGCCCGCCGTGGGCATCTCATGCGGCCGGTTGCCGCCCCCAGCGGCCGCGGCTGCGCTCTCCACAATGGCCTCGTCGACCTGGTCGGTCACGGCGGGCTCGGCGGCGTCGGCCTGCACGGCGCGCGCGGCCTCGGAGGCGCCCAAGGACGATCTGGGCTGAGCCGCGCCGGCGCTGCCCGAGATGCCTCCTTCCTCCTGCCCCCCTTGGTGAAGGTTTTGCTGGGCGATGTGGCTGTCATGTATACGTCAGCGGGATGGCGCGGAGGGGGCCTGAGGACTGCACGGATGAGGTTATGAGTGTCTGATGGGGCGTTCAGACTTACGTCGACTTGGGAGTTTGTGAGTCTGCCATTGCGTTATAGGCCTGGGGGGTGAGAAGTCCTGGTGATGGTTCTGGCTTAGATATCTTCTTCCTGTAGGATGGCCGTAATTGAGTGGTTCACGCAGTCTGTCACGATGCTGTAGTTTCTCTGGCAAAGCGGCCTGGTTCAGTTGGTGTCTTAAGTCTTGATGTTGTAGATGGGAGAGATGAAGGTAACCCTCGCGACTGAAGGGAGAACGAAAGTGCCTCAGAATATAGTTCTGGCAAGGCTGTGTCCAGCAATATGCTCAGGCCCTGCTGCGGAAGCTGATCCGGCTTTTTCTGGAGGTGGTGGTGGTGTGCTTGCTCAGCCTGGGTCCAGCCACCAGGGAAGGGTGATGTCATTGGGGAGCCCCGGCAGCAAGGCGATTGTGCTACTGTGGGGAAGGTGCACGCCTGCTGCCCTGGGTGCATGGTACTACCTGACAGGCACTGGTTGGTGATGGACAGGGACTCCTGCCAAAACCACAACGGCCTCTCCGACCCTGGCCTGGCCTGGGACGGCACCTGGGCCAGAGGACCCTTGGGCGACCCAAGCTAAACCGGAACAGATCCTGGAATACTACAGTAGGCGCTCTCGAAGGTCCTTGGATATCCTGATGGCGGTTGATCACATGCAATCAGGCGGCACAACCCCTGCTGGTGTCGCCAAGGGCAGAAGCCGCCAACGGGGCGTCCTAGAGCAAGCAGTCCTGCTACTAGCCAAGGTTATGATGCATTCGTAATGCCCATGAGCGATGCGCAGCGGAGAATATGAATTGTAAGTTGGAGCTGTGGAACATTGGCTACCTGCAGGAGGGCTTACGAGACGTGCCCCAGGCCACACCCGATCCAGTGCTGACCCGTGGCGCTCACGGAATGTCGCTTGGCGGGCTGGTATTCTGAGCGTCGGCCCAGAGAGTCCTGCCACGTCCAGGGAATGCCTGTCAACTTTGAGGAGGACAGGCAGCGCCAGCGTGCTATCGTCTCATCTTGACTGCCTGAAGGTGACTTGCAGAATCAATCCAGTAAGTGCCAGTGAGTGCTAGGGACAGCCTCGGTGGATTCGCAGGGCAGGACCCCTGTGCTGCTGCCCGCGCTAGTCGACGCCTGCCCAAGTGGGCCGCTGCTGCAGCGTGAGCCTCGCTCTCTCTCCAAAGGCTTGCAACCACGACCAGCTGCAGCCCTCCTCCAGCCCACCGCTGCTGCCGGCAACAACCTCGACCACGGCAGACGACAACGACACTCGGTTGCGTAACACGAAAACGCCCCTGCCTCGATCACTCAGTACAGAATGCAATAGCCCGGGAGCGCCACCTGATCTTTCGGCTCATCCGCCGCCAGCACCGCCTATTCCGCCGCAACAGCTCTTGACACCCAGCCTCGTCCTTCGCAAGACGAGACTGTTTGCCCGCAACGGCGCAGGCAGCTAGGCCACGCTCGAGTAGCTAAGCATGTATACAGGTATACCTCAGCCCGTCATCCCTGTTTGGATTAGCCCAGCGCTGACTCCTGTCGCCGTCGTCCAGAACTGCCTCCCGCCACGCCTCCATCTCGACCTGGAGGCATTCGCGGCCATTCTGCTCCTTCCAAGCCTCTCCGGACGTGACTTGCGACCGACGGCGTTTGCCTCCGGAGCCCAAAATGGGCAACATCAGAGACTTATTCAGCAACCTGGGTTCGATCAGACCGATCAACCTGCTTAGCAGGGCTGCCGATACGCCACGGCGCAACAGCTCGACAATCAAGGATTTGTCGTCGCCCCAGCCGGGCGCGCCTAGCCAAACCCACACCAGCGCCTATTTCGCTCTGCCGCAGTCACAGTCAGAAACGTCTGCAGCGACTCCTCTCTCCCGCAAGAGATCTTTCGACACCGCCACGGTCGTTAGCGACGGCTCGCAATCTCAAAGGACGCATAAATCAGGCTCCCGTTCTCTAAATGCCAACAACGTGCCTGAGCTTCGCAATCTACCCGGATATGGACGGCAGTCTAGATCAAAGAAGAGACCTCGTTATGGCTATAGCTCGTCACCGCAGGGACTCGAGCAGGACCCAATCGCCATCGAGGATGGCTTGGAGGACGAGGTCCAGCTGGTGCCGTCCCAAGACCACCAGGGACCCATGGACCCGATAGCTCTGGATCGGATAGGAAAGAGGTTCCGAGAACGGATGTCACCACGCCAGAACAAGGTGGATCTGACCCGACAGATGTCGGACGCGTCCCCAACTAGGGAAAGGCACAACCGTTTCAGCCCCGACCCGCTCGCGCACACCGACGAAGACTTCAAGATGGGTGCTAAGCGACGAGCTGCCACTACCCAAGCTCCGATGCGTGGTGATATTCGTCCACAAAAGTTCGTCAGTCACACCAAAGGTCACGCTGGGGCACTGAGATCGCAGAATCCATCCACTGCTACAGCTTCGGCATTAGAGGCTTCGAAACGCATAATCGGAGAGGGCCTGCAGCTTCGCCGAGCGGTTTCTGGCGATCAAATGTACGATGATGCTACTGAGCCCGACGATCAACACCTGATCCTTAGCCTGAGCAGCCTGAGCTCCATTCTCCACCCGAAAAATGAGGACGGCGGCGACCTGGATCAATATGGATGGTGTACCATCAATCTTGGGAAGGCATCACGAATCCACAGAACTAAGGATGAGAACGATTCTCAGTTTGTGTGCATTGCCAGGAGCAGCGATGCCGCGTCCTCTTCTGCAGGCCTAATCACACTCGAGTTTGCATCGTCAGAACATCACGTGGCTTTCTTGAAGTGGTGCGAACAATACCGTTTGCAGCACTCTAACCAGCTTAGCAATGTGATCGTGTCGAGGTAAGAATAACTCTTCTCCTTTTGTGCGATGATTGGACTTCTCTGACATTTTCACAGGCAGAAGCTCGAGGGCACATTCAGCCACAATTGGGCCGAGGCAGAGAAATTCAAGCTTGCTCGGGCTTCCACGAAACGTGGCCGCAGCCCAGATGATCTCAAGGTCATTGAGCACAACATGGCCAAGCGGAACGCGATATCGACGAGAGCAACCGCAGCAGAAGTAGAGAAGAGACCAAAGATGAGAGATGCGATGTCGGTTGATGCATTACCAGCCAAGTCAAGCGATGCGTACGCAGTCCTAGCTGAATCGCCACCATGGACAAAGCGTGTGAACAGAACCACGAGATCAACATTCGTCCCAAGGGACCTGTCACCCACGCCACCAAGTGCTCCATCGTGGACGTCGCAAAACCCTGCCTGGTCTGAGCGGTGGCGCAACTCCGTTGTCTACCCAGCGACTGGCAAGAATCGTGCGGTCGTCGACAAAGCTGATATAGAGCGGTTGAATGAGGGCGAGTTTCTGAACGACAACCTCATCATCTTCTATCTACGATATCTTCAACACAACCTCGAGCTTCAGAGAAAAGACCTCGCTGAACGGATCTACTTCCACAACACATTCTTTTTTGAGCGGCTGAAACCCACTAAGAGTGGCGCGGGCATCAACTATGAAAACGTCAAAGGGTGGACCAACAAGGTAGACCTTTTCAGCAAGGACTTTATCGTCGTGCCTATCAATGAGTACGCTCACTGGTATGTTGCCATCATCTGCAACGCCCCGAAACTCGTCGAGCCAGCAACCCAAGAGCTGGACGGAGCCGAGAAGGTGGAAGGAGATGGCAAGGAATTATCCGAAGTGCGTCCAGAAGAGACCGAATGCAGCAAAAATGACCGGTCTTCCATCGAGAGAGTCGTCTCAGATGTTGTGGATGACGGTGAGGCAGAGCTTGCAGCAAATCTGAGCCGGATTCAAGTGAGAAGTCCCGAGACAACACCAGCCACCACGGAGGCGTCGATGAAAGAATCGTCACTGCTCAAGAGCCCTGCACGACGGAAGAAGTCAAGCAAACGACAGAGCATCGGGCGCCGCTACGACCCCACGATGCCGCGGATCATTACTCTGGATTCTCTGGCCTCTCCCCATTCCCCGGCATGCGGCTGGTTGAAGCAGTATCTCATTGCAGAGCTGAAGGATAAGAAGAAGATCGAGGTTGCCGATCCTGGCTCACTAGGGATGACAGCACGCGATCTCCCTACGCAACAAAACCATTGTGACTGCGGCCTCTATCTCCTCGGGTACATTCAAGAATTTCTGGAGGACCCGGACAAGTTTGTGCGCAGTATCATGCAACATGAATATATCGATTGGAAGCTCGATCCGTCCGCCCTTCGGCATGATATCCGAAACCTGCTATTTGATTTGCAGGGAGAGCAGCAGAAGCAGGAAGATGCGGCGGCGGAAGAGCGCAAGAACAGGAAGCGAGGAGCTTTAAAAGCTAAACCACAACACACCGACGAGATAGGCAAGACAAAGAAAGACGAGGAGAAAGCGGTGGAACCCGTTCTTGACAGTCCCGACCCTCCCCAAAGGCCAAATTCATCGGCTGAGCCAGGTCCGGCGCCAGCAGCTGAAACCGTTGACGCCTCGCTGCTATCGCGTCCTACGGGGGAAGACTTCCAGGGCCCCGGTAGAGCAGATGGTTTCCTGGTAGACGAGCGATTGGGCACGGATCCGCAGGAGTCGATCGAGGAGATTCCCAACACACCAGGTATGAACGAGCGAAGACTCGGTCACGAACTCACCGACAAAGTTGTGGATATTGGGCAGTCTTTCGTTCCGTTGCTGCCAGACTCGTCAGAAGAGGACCCTTCACCACCTTCCAAAGAGCAATCATCAGCACGCGACGAGACCGATGAACGTCATGCTGCTGCCAGTGCTGTGGGAGAGGCTACTTCACAAGCCGATGAGAATGAAGAAGCCATCTTACCATCTGTCGAAACGAACTCTGCGAGGCCAAGCCCCGAGCTTCACTGTGAGAGGGGATCGGGTGAGCAATCGAGGAAACTGAGCCGCCATTTTGCGGGTAAAAGGCCTGGCGATCAGCGAGGACGCGCCAAGGTCCGGCAGGCTCAAGTCGAAGAGCAGAAGTCGGTCATTAGTCTCGACTCGGATTAGGACTGATGAGATTTTCATGATGTGGATACACGACTGTCCAGCACCCAAGGCAGAAGAAGGGCCGAGGAGTCGGCGTTGTCGCTGTTTGCTTTTCGGCATTGTTTTCGCATGGCCAAGGAGTTTGTACTGAGATTCGCGCTACTCGAGGTGATAGCGCGGGAGGTTATACCCATCGTTTTGCTTTTCGCGAACAAGCGACCCGATGTGTCGGCTGTGATGCTTTCCACGTACATGTACAAAATGCGCAGCAGGACCGTCATTATACAGTACAAGACTTCAGCGAACCGTGCACATGTTGCGATGCCTCTTTTGACATATCAAGATGCCATTTCTCATTCGATGCCAATAATGATGATTTATCCCGACCTCTCTTAGCTTTTCTTTGCCTGCCTTGTCCTGCAACTCCTCTCAAGAGAGTGTCCCCCCTTTTCACGCCTTACCGGCCTTCTTCGCCTTGCCAGAGGAAGCCTTCTCACTACCGCCGCCGGCGCTCTTGACCTTGAGAGCAGGCAGTCTGAACCTGTCGCTGATGCCCTTGGCCATGCTCTTCCACAGACCAAAGTCGCGGTCCTGGTTCCACGTGAGGGGGCCGACCCAGGGCTGCACGTTGTAGTGCACGCGCAGGGTGACGTCGTCGGCCTCGGCGATCTTGCCGGTCGGGTGGGTGATTTGGTATTTCGGCTTCTGGTTCTTGAGGGAGAGGATGCCTCTGTGTTTTTGTGTTTTGTGTTAGCGCTTCTTTGCTCTCTCTCTCTCTCTCTCTCTCTCTCTCTCTCTGAAAGGAAGAAGAACAAACAGGGGATCAAAAGACGTACCGGCTCGGGGCGATGCTCTTGCCCTCAGCGCTGCGGACCAGCTTCTTGAGGGCGATGGGTCCGAGGTTGGTGAGGTGGTCCGCGCTGGGGTTCGTGATGATGGCGTCCCAGATGACGGCGCTGTTTGTCTGGTTTGTTGACGCCGTCGCCGTTTTGCCCGTCTTGCTCGTCGTCGTCCAGTCGGCGGTCACGTACACAAAGACCTGCTTCGTGTTCCACGTGAACAGGGAGCTGAGGTCCGCGTCGAGCGAGAACTTTATGATGGCGTACTCTTCCTTCTTGCTCGAGTAGTAGTGCGGTCGGCCCTTGACTCTGTTGTTTTTGTTGAAGGCGTGTGAGCAGTCTGAGTCTCTTGAGACATGGACGGGCAACGTCCGGGCTGTCACCGTGGGAAAAGAAGGATTGCTTGCCCACTTACACTTGTACGTTTGTCGTGGAGATTGCGGCGCTAGGGGTCCTGGGCATAGAAAAGTCGGCCGCGGCAATGATGGCGGCGACGACAAAGGCCACCGTCGTGAAGAAGCCAAAGACATTCTGCAGTCTTGTGACGGCGTTGTGCATGCTGGGCTGGCTGGAGTGCCTCCTGTGGGAGGTTCTTTCGAGAGGGAGTTGGTAAGTTCGTGGCTCGTTGGCACTGGTACAGTGAGGGTGTCGCAGTCGCGTTACTATGCGGTCGTGGCAGCTGGGTTTTGACGATGTCCGGCCCCTGCGATTGACCAGCACGGAACAGCGAAAGGAAGGAGCGGAGGTGTGGGCGCCTCAAGAGCAGGATCTGGACAGCTTGTCAGAGGAGGACACACGCATCGACGACGGCAGTTGGCCGTGTACGGTACTGTAGCTTGGGTGGAGGACCCTTGTGATCGCTGCGGGTGGGCTGCTGGCGGAGCTGCTGCCCGTGTGGCCACGTTGAGTCGATAAGCGCTTATCGGAAGCACAGCTCCAGCCCGCAAGCCTGCGTCACTCCTTGGCACTCGCCGAGCGCGATTGTCTTACAGGAGATGCATTCATGATAATCGCTCAAGGACAAATCATTCGACGGCAAACGACCAAGCACACAGTCAAAGTTGCACGGCGAACACCTGGCGAGTATCCACTCTAGGTACTGGGTCCTTTGTCTGGGGTTCCCTCTGCTGGTCGCAAGAATTTGGGCATTGTATAGTACTTGGACAGGGCGCTGGATGTGTCACTGTTTCACGGCTATGCTTTGACGGAGCTGCCTTGGACTACATGCATCTGGGATGGGTCAAATAGTGCGGTCCGTCCCCAATGTGTACTCCTCTCGCCACGCCGACTTTCCTCAACATTACTTGGTAGACTTAGCAAAGGCGGCGTTTGAGATCTCCTGGTCGCGGACAGCAATCGTTTGTCGGTCCGCCCTCTCTTCAGGAGTGAGCCCCCCAGATTTCGTCAAAACAAAGAGTTGTTCATTAGGTCTATCGTACAGCCGATAGATCATCGTGTCCCCCGCCGGTGTTCGTACAAGTCTCGTTCGCCATCCTTGGTGACGTTGATTGTGTCTATATCGGCACCAACATGGAGTTCCTTTAGCCCCGCGTGTCGATTTCAAGTATAGTACATGGTCTTTGATTCTCCTCTACACGGTGTACGGGTGGGACACCGTCTAGGAAAGAGGAGACAGCAGTCTAGAGAAGAGGATATCAGTACTGGAAAGTCATGGCCTGGTCGTGGACGGGGATCGCCCACCTGATGATGGAAGGCTTAGGCTCGCTCCGGGTGTACCCTGTTCTTCACGTTAGTTTCGTGCCGTCTGGTCGCTGTCGAGAGCCATCGTGCGCCATTGGGTTGCTCGTACCGAGGTAGAGGATCATGGGAATGTAGCCGCTGCAGCGAGGGTTAGCGTGGGACCCGAGATAGCAGAGATGTGCGGTAGCGTACTAGTGCATGGCGACTCTGCCGACCTCGATGAGCTTGCCGATGCGCTCCTGTTGAGGCAATGGTTAGTCTCGAGTACATGATGTCGCCTGGCGGAAGCAGCGGGCGCGCGTGCGAACCTTGGACTCCTCGGAGAGCGCGAACATGGTGGGCGGATATCTGCTGGAATCTGGCGAGACGGGATCGGGTGAGCGGGCGCCGAGTTGTCGTTGCGCGGTCGACGATGCTGTTGTGCGGGCAGGTAGATGGGCGACGATACGATGATGCTGCAGACTGACGGCAGAGAGCTCAAAATCTGACCCAAAGCTGCCGCGGGCAGGTGGGTCCCGGCCCTTGGTCATGATTGGTGTGGGCGGCTGCGGGCAGTCATGGCAGGCACGACTGCTCCAGCACGCGCCTGTCGGTATGTAGCTCGCGCTGCTGCATCCGACAACTTTTGGTGAAAAGTTACCTGGGCCCGTCAACCAAGTGCCAGCTCCATCACCGCCCTCGACATCCTCACTCTGCGCACGCACGAGGCGTGCAAGTACAGCCATGTCGGGCGCTAAGCACTGGTAAGCCATATGTCGTTTTGGCCCACAGCCCTCGCGCTCTTCTCTGCTAACACTGCCCAGGGAGCAGGACAAAGAGGCGACAGTCTACGTCGGCAACATCGACGAGCGCGCCACCGATGCCCTCATCTGGGAGCTCATGGTCCAGGCCGGCCCTGTCGTCAATGTCCACCTCCCCAAGGACCGCGTCACGCAGTCTCACCAGGGCTTCGGCTTTGTCGAGTTCAATGGCGAGGTCGACGCCGACTATGCCGCCAAGATCATGAACGGCATCCGCCTCTTCGGCAAGCCTCTCCGCGTTAACAAAGCGTCCGCCGACAAGCAGAAGCCTCTCGAGATCGGCGCCGAACTCTTCATCGGAAACCTCGACCCCATGGTCGACGAGAAGATCCTCTACGACACCTTTAGCCGATTCGGCACCCTCATCGCACCACCAAAGGTCGCACGCGACGACAAGGGCCTCAGCAAGGGCTACGGCTTTGTGAGCTACGCCAGCTTCGACGCCAGCGATGACGCAATCAACAACATGAACGGCCAGTTCCTCATGAACAAGGACGTCAGCGTGCAGTACGCCTACAAAAAGGACGGCAAGGGAGAGAGGCATGGAGACGAGGCCGAGAGAATGCTCGCGGCGCAGGCCAAGAAGCACAACGTCACTATCGAGACACAGCCCATGCCCCCTGGTCTGCTTCAACAGCCCTCCCAAGCCGCGCCACCGCCGCCTGCTCGGCCACCTCCCATGGCAAGTGGCGGGTTCGATCCGTCAATGAATGGCATGCCGCCACCAATGCCCCGTCCCGTAGGCTTCGCGCCTGGTCCAGGCGGTCCAGGCGGTCCGCGTGGCCCGCCGGGACCGCCGCCAGCTTTTGCAATGAACAATGGACCACCCATGCCCGGGCCAGGCCGTGGCAACCTGCCACCACCACCGTCCGGCTTGCCTGCGAGACCTCCTCCGTCAGGATTGCCTGCCAGACCGCCGCCTGCCCAGGGAGGTTATGGCAGCCCAGCAGATTTCCATCCTGGTCATCCTGGTTTGCCAGCTCCTCCGGGCCCTCCTGGCGGTTTCCGTGCTCCAATGGCGCCACCTGGATTTGGACCGCCAGGAGGCGCGCCGCCCCCTCCTCCACCAGGATTTGCACCTGGTTATGGACGATGAATGGGAATCCAGGAGTCTGACAGAGAGGAGACTCAATCCTGCAATGTGCTGGCTGGGATTTGAGGGGCGGCCCACGAGATACTGGCTCACTCCGTCGCGGTCGACAGCTTTTAGGGGCTAGAAGTCTGCGCGATACTCTGGACACAGAAGCTCTTAAACATGCGCGAGACCATGAGCGCAATCAACGAGCTCAACGAGACGCACACGCGAGACAAGCTCACACTCGAGCCGCACTACCGCTTCGCATTTAGTGCGAGTACAGGGTCGAGGTTGAGCCGTAGCCGCAACCACTATTCCGCCACGTCCATGCGGTACCTCGGGTCATTTTGTGGCACCAATGAGATGATCCACGAGATCTGTGCAGCTCTGTGGCTAAATCATCCCCATGGTATTTTCACTGGGCTACCGCGTCCCATTCCACAGTGGGGTGGCAACAGACGGTCTGAGCAAAACGGGAGCTGGAGACTACGGGCTGTCTATGGATGAACACTAAGGGGATCACGATGGCACGTTTCCCCCTCAAATCCATCGAAAGCCTCGAGCTTGTCTTTGGTGTCCGTGACGTGGGAACAGGTTGGAAAGCACAGAAAGCACAGCATGTAGAACAAAACTGATACCCTGCTATCTAGCGAATCGAATGCAGTACCACGTCTTTGAAATATGTGCGTCGAGTATGACAATGAACTCTTGATGAACAACTGATTATTTGTTCACGTCCCCTGTGCTTCGGAGTGGCCGCAGAAAACTTGGTCGTAGATGAAACTTTACATGTCAACAGCCTCTGAAGTCTTGCGTGCGGCGCGAGCGATTGAACTTGAGAAGCACCATGACCAACATTACGAGAAGTCGTTCTTACTTGAAGCTGCCCAGGTGTACAACCAGCTTCTCTTGGAAGTTGTCCATCCCCATCTTGACCATAATTGGCAAACACAGATTAGAGTCGGGCTGCATCAAATGTATTTGGGCTCGGCGCTTGTGATCCTATCACGCCAGGAAGCTTCGATTTCACCGCTTGTTTGTGGAGTCTCAGAACCATAACAGCTGGCTCATTTACGAGTACTAGCTTCACAATAAGATCAGTACACACGGACATGAACTGCGGAATGCCCGCGCGAGGACCGAGCTGTCCTCGTTTTTATGACCTGCTTACTCTCGGCCAAATTTTCTCTTGTTTTGTGCTATGCATCTCCCCGTAAATCAGAGGCAGACTTGAGCGTGATGATGGGGAAGGTCACTCTGTCCACCGCTCTCCGTGGCATGCCAGCATGCGCGAGATCTGCGAGAGGGATTAGCTGCCGCCATATTTTATCATCACCTTTGTGTACGATTTCTGTCACAAAGTAAGGCTCGTCGACCGAAAAAAACAGGATATCCAGCACAGCATATTCATCCCCGTGCGGCACCCTACACCAAAAGTCAAAGAGCACGCTGGTTTCGGTGCCGCGCACATTTGTGTAGCTAGGTAAGTCGCGTGCTCACGTAGAGCCGAGCCCGTCTACTCCGAGCATCACGGCAGACTGTGCTGCTTCTGCTCCCCTGCCGTTATGGCGGTCAGGTTGCTCCAGATGGCGTAATCAAGAATTCCTTCGCTGCGAGATCGAAGAACAGCAATGTGAGCTCCGTCCTCGGTACAGATCAAAATGCCTGACATGAAACTCCGCGGGTAACCACCGCACATGCGTCCTCGAAATAGACCAAACGCAACAGCGCATTCGTGTCGTACTCTGGACAACTACAGCTAAAGCTCGGAATCACAAAACTTCCCACTAGAAGTGCTAGTGATGCCGCAATAGACCAAGGTGAAACGGGCTCGTCTAGTCGAGACAATGGTCTACGGGCAATCATAACGTGATATATGTCACTCGTCCAGGAGGACACTCACGCCTCCCCCAGTGGTTCAGCACAACGATTCAGCAGTGTTGTGGTCTTATTTCGGATAATTCACGACGAAAACATGCAAACCCAAATCACTTCCCTGAACGGCACGAGCCAACGGAAATCGCACGAGCCGGGTGCGGCAACCAAGAAGAACAACAGGTCCGGGATATATATATGTCGTGATAGCGAGGGCTTTTCTTCCATATGTTGAGTGAGTAGTTTCCGTGGAACTTGAGGATATGCTTGCAATAAAAGAATAATCACACGATACCAAACCAGACCAGAGACATCAAAGGTCACTTCAGTGAAGCCTAGTTTCCCACTCTCCTTTCTTCCATTTTGGCTGGACTTTAATCCCCCGCTCCTCCGTCACAATGTACGAAGCGATTCCGTCGACCATAAGCTTCCACGGGCTTGATCAGTTCACGCATCGTCATCTGCGAGAGAAAACCTCTAAGCCTGGCTGACTTGCTTGCTGATCCTGGGACCCCGCCGAGGTGCTTTCCAAAAGCGAGATGGAACACAAGAAACGCTGGACGACCGCAACAAACAAAAGAAGCACATGCCCAAGAGCTAGGGGTATGGCCATCAACCTCCCTGGGCGGCTCGGGCAGGACCAGCGTGGGGTTCACCATCTACCTACAGTCCTGCACCCACCCCCAACGAGGCGAGGCGAAGCGAGGCTGCCACTCGTGGAATAAATCCTCATTGTGTCGGATGCGCTGGCGATAGATAAGTAGAAGCGGAAGCTGGCCTATCTCTGAACAACGGGCAGATGGCCGCGCAATAACCCCAGTAGGAATCAGATCAGCCAACGTCGGTAATGAGATGTAACCTGCAAGAGTCCTACAAGCACACGGCCGAGGAGAGAGAGAGCAGGCCATCAGGTAGCCCGCTCTCTGGCGGCGCAAATATTTCAAGTAACGACAGGCAGACCGAGAACAAGTTTGGGAGAGCCTCGCGGTTTTCCCAGCCGTCCTCCTCGTGTCCACACCAGGCAGTCCACCCAACAGCGTTTGTCAAGCATGTGATCACCAATCTACGTAAACAATGACTGAAGGGGTTGACCCGGATAGGAAGGCTCAAGCATCCGGTCAGAGAGTCATCCTCGCCAGCTCCAAAGCGGAATCATCACGTACAGGCCCCAGGAGAAAAGGATCACGAGAAACGGGAGATTCTTGGATATGGTTGACCAATTGTTCGCTACCTTGCCAACGCAATACGATTATTGCAGACAATGCAGACGACAGCCTCTCCAGCATGCACTATCACGTTGTCGTGTTTGGGCTGAGTGTGCCCCCCAATATGGCGAGCAGAGGACACAACAGGTTCTTGCGCCGCCAATTCCAATGTCCGACACGTGATAATTGACCTTCCGGGCTGCCTCACCTGTTTGAGCAGGTCGTTCCTTCATGCCCGTTCTCTCCTGCGAACGCTCGCTTCTTTCCCTTGTACACCCATTCGAACCAAATAGCGCCCCATTCTGCGTCGTTCTGGGAGTTAGAAAGCCCCGTGAGCACACTTGCCGTGCTTCCCTTCCGGCTGCAAGCGCAAAAAGGCGGTTTTATGACTTGTCAATACAGTACCCCAAGTTCGAAGAATCCAGAAGCGAAACAATCAATCATCTGCCGGTCTACAGGGAGAGACCTTCGCCTCCTTGGCGTGTACATACCCTTTCACGCCCCACGACTACCCTACCAGGCCGAGCGAGATGTGCCACATCCGTACAGGTGGCCCACGTGCAAAGAGGGTGTGTGCGGACGGACGGCGATAGCTTCAGCCTCAGTCTATGAGCCCGCTGCTCGCCGAGCACCCGGCCACCCTGGCAACACCTGGACGCAGGCTGTCCGACAAGAATAGATCTGGCAAGGTCTGACGCCGCAAAATAAGAGCGAGATTGTGTCAGGTGGGATTCGTACATGCGAGAGACGTGGAGGCGAGTCTACGCCTCAGTGAGGAGAACGATGAAGTCTGCAAGGGTTGCCTGTTTCGATTAAGGATTGTTTCGTGAAGCTGCGTGGTGGTGTGAAAATCTACAGTGAACAACACCCTTGTCGGAGCCTTCAACCACAAAGCTGCGCCGCCTCGTTGAGGTGACGCGATTGGAGCTGCCGCTGAGAATGGAAGGATCAGTATCATGTGGTCCATGACGGTGCTCCTGCCACCGGGCATTTCCGCAGGCGAGATCATGACATGGCAATGTTGCCGCCCTGTAAATTCATTGGAGAACTGATGCTTGAGGCGGGGGTTGTTGCCATGCATGACAGCCAGCCAGGGGGGTGATGACATCCTGGCTGCCATTCTGGCTGTCCCATTGCAGCCCGTAAACCTGGTTGATCGGTTTCATGCATTCCAGAATATTGCCAAAAAGAGAGCAAGACGCGAAGCCCGGCACCACCAAGTGCCGTCCCTCATTGTAGCCTGCATTCTGGAGCTTCGCGATGGCATTCTGCGATGCGTCACATGGCCTTTTTGCCAGGGGGCGTGATGAGTGCAATCATGGATAGCCTGGTCTACGTTAGCGGTCAGTTGTCTGGCTGAGTGCGACAAAAGAATGGAGTCCGAGCCAGCATCCCCTGCCTTGTCAGGTGGCCAATAGTGAGCGCTATTCAACCTACGACGGCACTGCTACAAGGACAGGGTCATCACTGCTTCGTATAGTGCGATTTTGCGAAGCTGTTGTCATTCTGTGGTCACAAAGCTGCCCGCCTTTTTCTCTAAGAGATCATCGGCAGTCGATAACAGTGAGCGTGGGAACGCCCCCCTGCAGGTGAGATGAAGAACACATGCTTGCATGAGTTGACGAGCCGAAAAGTGACAACTCACAATACCAAGAACAGTTGCCGATATTTTTCCTCTGGGAGCAGTCGCGCTCCCGTACACCGCTGCCTTCAGAAAGGGGGGGGGGGCACATTTTCGGGACGGCTACAGAATTCTACATCAAAGACCGCTGTGAATGGTGAATGTGACCGTCGTGTGCCAGTATCGTGGATGCTGATATGTAGCCTTCGGCCTGGGAGGGCTCAGCACACCGCCACAAGCATACACGTGCGTCGCGATTGCCTTGCGTCAAGTTGTACTGGTCCAAGTCCTGGTCAGCCTAATTCTTTGCACGCGTCGCCAGCAGGAGACACCTACCCAAGATCGCTGCTCAAGGTGCCTGGAGGCTCGAACATTGATCATCCGGAAAGCCGTCTGTCCGTCCGCCCGGCATCGGCATCGGCATGATCGTGTGTCCGGTCGGGAGTGGCTGCTTGCTGACGCTGCCATAAGGTAGTCCCCTCAGGCGACTGCATCGCTGACGACCAGGTGCTGGTTGGGGCCTTGCAGCCTTTCCGTGGTTCCTTCCCACTCATGTGCAGGCCCGTCTGTTGTGGTTGATACTGGGCGTCAACATGACGTTGGCAGCGCCTGGCGTGGCTCATTGTTGAGACTCGGGGCGGGCTCATTCGCGTTGGAGAACAGCCAGCCAAGATCCTCCGCGAGTGGAAGGCACGAGCGAGGCGGCGGGGGAGGCGGAAGGTGGGGCGGCGCACAGTGACGGGTCAGGCGCTAACCAGTAGTGCCCGCCCTGGCGTGACCCGCCAACGACGACACCAACGACGCCACACGCCAGAAGGAGGGCAGCCACCCACTCACCAACCAACCCCTCGTCCACCGCTCACTCCGACCCAGACAACCTCGAACCTGGACACCCCAGAGGGCATCCTAACACACAGCAACAGCACCTCGAACAGCTGCAGCAACCAATTCCGCAGGCGGCACCTCTATCCGCGGCTTGGCGATCTACACCCTGCCGGCAGCCTGCGCGATCGCCGGGCTAACCTGGGATCGGTGGAACGTGCATCGCACTGTGCCTGCCCAGCCCACCCACAAGGCCCTTCACGCCTCTGCTCGAAGATGCACCGAGTCGCCCCAACCCGATGCTTGGAACCTTGTGGCTGTCCAGGGCCTGTAGATCCTCCATTGTCGACAGCGTGTCTCCTGATCGAACACTGTCCTGGCCCGCCAGACCACGCGAGCCATAATCAAAGTGCTTACGAGTTGTCGCAGATTGCTCCTCTGTGGCTGCCATCTCACGCTGTGGCGTGTTACAGCTACCATAAAGTCCAGAGGCAGCACTCCGCACTTGATTGCTTAAACATAACATGATGCTTTCCGAAGACACTGGTGTGCAACAACCCTTCTGGAAATGGAGGATGTGCCACAACGGCGCCCGGGAGAACAGATCGCGTCTCTGAGGTCACACAGAGATACCAAAAGATTCCACATCAACGTACATCGCCGCTGAAACGCGACTGGGGATCTACCCCGGGCACCAGGCGCATGGAAGATACGGCACTTCCCACCTCCCGGACACCGAGAAGGAGCCACCCTGCAGCTCGACCAGATGAATGCAAAGTACTGCGAAGGTTGCGTGGTTGGCCAGCCATGCAGCGCCACCAATCCGACCTCGGCCAGACGCTGATGTCTCTCAACTGCTAGGCTGTCTCACATAGCACGCCAGAGGTTGTATGTCTGACAACCAGCAGTCTACGGATAGCGTACTTGCTTCCCCGGAGCAGCCCAAGGCGGATGAATCCATCCCGTCCTCCCCGGCACTGGGACCTGAGGGTCCTGACCTTTCAGCTGTGCCTTGCGTCGTGCAATGCGATTCGCTCAAGCCAGGAATCTGGCGCCTACCCCAGCGATCCCCACCCCCCATCATGTCCACCATCGAGTGCACCTGCACTGCATCAGGGCAGCCTCAGATCTCGCTTGCCAGCCACGTTGGTCCCTTGCAGAAGCTACTGCTCTGTAACCGGCACATTCCAGAACCGAGTTATTCCCGCCTCGCGACTCAGAGCTGTATTGGCGGAGGCGGCCAACGAACCGATCAGCATGCTGTCAGGCTGAAGGAAAGTATTCCGGTTGCGGCGTAGCATTTTGCCAACTCGTGTGTCAACCTTTCGCCCGGTAGTAGTCGGAAGGACCTTGATATCGCACACCATGTGGAAAACTCCCAGCCAAGGCCAGTCACAAGAACCTCACATAACATGGATCAGCAACTCGCGCCCAGTTTCTTTGCGACTTTGACGACTTTGATGAACGTCGCGGCATTCGCTCTACGCAACGTGGACAAGGACAGGGAATACCTAATGTGGTGAAAGGACTGCCAAGGCATGAGTTTGCGAAACCATTCCCTCGAAAATGACAGCTTTACCATCCTTGAAACACATGCATGGAATGCATGATGAACTCGTCTGACAGAGACGCTTTGGGGCACAAAACTTCGCAAAGAGCACGCCGAGAATAGACTATCAACGTGGAGTCGCCCCGAAATGCGTGCTGGAGATGAGCGCACAGACCAGCCCAAATGTTGCTCTCAGATGGGATGACATATGACCAACCAGCCCATATACCGAGAGAGATATCCCTGACGAAATCTGTGGTTACCCAGTTTGGGACTCCCTTGCGAGACCCAGCTCACGCTTTCGTTGGCTGGCTCATGATTTGGAGGGCGAGATCTATGGACTGGGGTCCTTGAACTAACGGGCCCGAATACGTGGGACGCAGCACTACCCCCGCCAGCACGGCGACAACCCCAGGAGGGTACTATGAGTTGAAGAATGCATCAAATCGAGGCGAAGTCGTAGCATGGTCCTGTCTCATCAGTGAACCAGCATCTCCGCACATACGAGTTGACGAAGAAAGTGATATATGATATCTGATGGTCCGGCGGTGTGCACAGTGCGCAATTCTTCTAAGACTGCCTGCTGGTGCCTTGATCCCTGCCAGGTTGTCAATACTTGACAGGGAAGATGACTTAGGACTACACGGAGCTGTCATTCGCCGACCCCGCCGCTAACCTGCCTAATTAAGTGCTCTAAAAGGAACACAGAACTGTTAAGCCCATTCTGCTTCTCTGCGTTATGGACTTTACAGAATCCGCTGAGGGCTTTGAGGGTGAGCTGGTTCTCATCTACACGAAACATGTATTCAATCCGGCCACGATGGTTGTTGGTGATGCCACCCCCTTTGTTGTCGAGGACATGGTATCGCGGCTACCAGCCGGCAACCTCCGGGACTGGCTGAGTGGTTCAGATTACCGGTCTTGGCGTCTTCAGCAACCAAGAGTTCTGTCCAGAAAGTCCAGCACTTTGTGATTACAGAATGTACCACCAGGGATCCTTCTCCTCCACACAACAACGCCCGGCCCACGCATGTCAACAGCCGCATAGACCGCTATTCACTTTGTGGCTCTTGCCGCACTCCAAGCGAAATCGGCCCTGGAGCATGCATAGGCACTTGTTTCAGATTCGGACCAGCCTGGAGGATGCCCACCACGGACATCCCCGCCATTAAGCCTCGAAATAACGGCGTCACGACCTAGGTATGTTCAGTACAATGGCTCCCGATATATGCCAGGTACTGGTCTTATGATTGACAGCCACTGCGGGTGATCACCCGGTTGAACAAAGGCTGGAACCCCTCTTGGCGGGCTTTCGCGAACTCGGGGACACCGTGTGCCGTTTCAGAGCGCGCAATGGCGTCACCTTCTCTGTGCCATCCTTGTTGCGGCTGGACCTGGACCCGGCTCACCAGCTTGGTGGTTTGGTTTCTACCAGTTCCCATAGGAACTTGTTTGATACGTACCTGTCCTTGGACACTGGCTGGCTCTGGCCGGCGGCACTCAGCCACGAACGTGGTGCGTGGACGGGGAACAAGACGATCGTGACATGGTCATACCGGCAGCTGGACCCTTGTCCCAGATCTATCTGCATAAGGCCAGCCTGGCGATCCACCAACAATTTCGACGTGCGTATTCCAGATCCGGATGGTCTTCCCCGGGGTGCACCATTCGGCAAGACCAACCAAGTCTTTGAAAGAAACAAAGAAAAGAGAAACTTCATTCAGCATGTCTCTGAAATCTACACGCCAGGTAGAGGGGGCGTGGATGAACGCGCAAGCAGGATGATGCGGTTTGATTAGCGACCACCACATGGCGGATCGTGGCGGCGGAGAGTTTCGAACGAGGCCGCCAGCCCCGGGAAAAGTCACGGCGGCGAGCATCAACCGGCCATTGAACCCGATTCCTCCGTCCCGGGGCAGACAAAGTCCCGCCTCGCCCACGCGCTACCAACGCTCTAGTGCAACGCCGTAAGGCAAAGCGATCTCTATTGGGACAGGTGGAGTCGAAATGGAGACACTTTGCTCTCCCGCGAATTGAAAGGGCACCAATCAGTGTTTGATGATGACCTGGGCCGGAAAGCTAGACATAGCTGCTCCGCGTTATTGTCTGTGTGCCTGAGAGTGTGTGACTGTGTCTGTGCGTCGGCTTGATGCAAGTCATGCTCAATCCCATGGATGAGGAGGAGGCGTGCTGTCCATTCATTTGCCGACCACATCGCTGGGTCTCTGGCGCATCGCAGCCACAGGCACGGTCGATCCCAACTAATTACCTGCCGTAATGTACCGCACCCCCTCTCTCTCCTGCTCTGTGTGGCAGGGCCACTACCGTCAGAGATCTCAGCTGAGCTGCTGAGCAGTGGGCTCCTCCTCCTCCTCCCATCCATCCATCCATGTGCCTAATATCGAGCGCCGCATCTGAGACCTGCCGATGGACTAGCGTCAACCGCCCCAGCTGTATGTCATAGATTACTGGGGCATGGGCGGCGGCGACAGCGGGCGGACCGGGTTCCGCAGTGGCTGTCCGTTGTCGCGATAGGCTGAGAGTCGCAGCAAGGGAGAGGAGGAAAGTGAAACGAAAGGGAAAGGAAGCCCCGCCGCCCGCCTGTCGCCCTCTGGCCGTCCCCCGCCCTGGTCGTCGACCCCGACCCGGCCTTGAGCTGGCACGTGAGAGAGAGCGAGAGAGAGAGAGCTCGAGTACACGGCCAACCCCCCTCCAAGCCAAACCATGAGCCTCACATTGCGCCTGGAGTTGCCCCATCGTTTTTCGCGCGCGTCGATAAGCACATTCAGTCAATGAGCGACGGAACGGGGGAGAAGGGTCGCCCGTTTTGTTGTTTGGGGGGCGCTTTTCTCCTCTGCTTTAGCTTTTGCCCCACGACGAAGAGGGGCTTTCTCGTGGTTCCCCATCCACCACCACCGCCACGGCCCACGACCACGACCAAGCCGTGTTTCTCTGTGTGTAAAAGTGGTGCATGTTTTAGCAAGCAGCACGACGACGATGAGAGCAAGGACCACCACGCCGGCTCCCCGGATGTCAGTAATTGCAGTAAAACGCCCTGCTACTGCTGATCATGCTGCTGCTGCTGCTGCTGCTGCACAAAAGAACAGACCACCACTCACGCATTCACTCACTCACTCCGCCCCCCCGCCAAAACAAAAACAAAAGAGAGTTTTTTAAGGTTTCGGCAATTGTTCAAATCCAGCAAATGCAAACAAACCACAGAGCACCCCATGGTACGAGATTCTCCAAGTGGTCTGATCGGGATGCGTGGGAGCAAGATGTGCTGTTTTTTTTTTCTTGTTGCCCGTTCTGGGTCCCCCGTCAAAGACACGGCAACTCGCCCTGCTGCTCTCTTGCGTAACCCTTTTTGGGGGTCCAGAGGGATAGATTCCGTTGGGGCAAAGCCCAATCACGCCGAGTAGCGTAAGTAAAAGGTGTTGACCCCACTGTCATGATGATGAAATGTCAGAAAAAAAAAGAAGAGGCATAACTGAGCTCCCCTGCCGAAGGGTCGTCGACAGAAACCCCATTGGATGCTGTAGATAAGTTGCTGGCCACGCGGCTCCCGACGGCTCCGCAAGGACATGGACATGGACATGGACATATGTGCCCAGGGAACAATGCCCTCTCCACCCCCAAAAATGGGCCTCCCACATGGAATAAACAACTGCCGGCGTACTGTAGTAGTTAGTAGCAGTAATAGTAAGTAGTAGTAGCAGCAGGCCTTTGCGCACAAACAGCACGCCTGTCGTTGTTTCGGCTGTGTGTCACAGCCCACCCCCGACCGACCGGCGACCCTCCGACTGTGAGTGGGTTAGTTTTTTCTTTGACAGCCAGGGAACCCCCGGCTACCTCTCCCGCCGTCTTGGGATGACCTTTACGGCGAGACGCACCCCCTCCCTCTGCTGCTGCGCCCCTCCTCTGGTGTGGCCCTGCCTGTGTGCCTGCGTGCCTGCCTGCGTAGTCCGCAGATTACCGGACGATGGGCATGCGCATGTGTGAATGCGTATGTGCGTCGCGAATGCTGGTGCGCTCCAGATGCGGGCTTCCCGGACACTCCAGGGCCAGGGCCAGGGGTCCTCCTCCCCCCATGGCGGCGGCGTCATTCGCAAGTCACAAGGGGGGGAGAGGAAGCAAGAGAGTTACTTTGGGGAAAAATCCGCGAAGGGAAGAAGGGGGGGGGGGCGGGTTAGGAAGTTGAACCCCCCTCCCCTTGTTGCTCAAAAGACATTCCCACTTCCAAGATCCGTGCATCAGATCTCTGGTGCCGATCACCGACCAGGCGTGCATCGACAAGGTACACTGCCCTATTCGGTGCGCGTAGCGAAAAATAGGGACAAAAAAGAATCCCGGATCGATGGGGTAAGTGCGTACTAGGTGGGTGTGGGCAGACCTGCCAGGTCGGAAAGGGCCAGGGTCAAGGGACCCCGGGTCGATGGTCTGGCTGCTGGGTGGATATCATTCACTTGCCTGGTTTGCCGGCTTGCAGGGGGAGGTTTGTTGGAGGGCTTTGTGGGCTTTCGCATCGTTTCACCCCGTAAGGACGACGCGAGAGATACGTCACATCCCAGCGGATGCCTCTTTTCTCCATCGACTCAGAACTCTCCCCATTGCTGGGATATGCGAGTGGGCATGCCCTGCTTCAGGGGGGACAAAATGGTGCAATGGGCGGGAGGAGTGTAATGATCCGCACACTTTCTGGGATATATGTCGTGATGGTGATGTTGTTCTGGCCTCAAAGGAGCCCTCGCAAGCCGCCCTCCAAAAGTCAAAACAACATGTCGTTTCTGTTTCTTGCTCTGATTGGACGGGACGTCCGCATGGGTGTGCATTTCGACTTCCAGAAATCAGCCAGCCGCCCGAAAATAGAGCCCTGATCCCTGTACAAGGCGAGGTAGTAGGAAACTGGCGTCACTTTGCTCCAAAACATATCAGGGCATATCCCGGGAGAAATCATCTTCTAGTGAGCCAATTGGTCCGGCGCAGCACACCCGGCTGGTCCGTGGACGCCGGCGGGATGGTCGACGGGGGACGTTTGGGGGTCGCCCTGTCTTCTGGACTGGCTGGTCTTCAAGTGGAAGCCTCACGAAGCCGCGAATCGTGGCGCCGGGTATACGGTACGTGCGTGAGCCTCCGAGTCTACCGACTGCCGGCCGACGCAAGCCTAGCATCGTCTGTCATGCCACTGGACGTTCCCACTTAGGTTTGAGCGTCTGAAACTTCACCACTCGTCTTCGGCAGGTCTATGTTGGATCGAGTGTCAGTTGCGAGTTCTGTCAAGTTTAGTCCGGACTGCAGTAGCAATGGCCTTGACTTGGCTATTCATCATCCAGCGGCCGCTCCGTCATGTTTTTCCCCCCCCCCACTTTGCCACCCCTCATCCCTTGCCTTGTTTCGTGGCTTCACGAGAGGGTGGTCAAATGGCTGAGGGTACTTACCGCCCATTTCCAGGTACGTAAGCGTGGCTATACCTGAAGTACTACCTGGTCTGGCCCCCAGAAACCCGCTTAACTTAGACCCTGGATCCTGGACGGTCATCCTTTTGACACGCTACCCACCTTGTCCTCTGCTCGCCCATTGCCAACGGGGGTCCAGCATCACTAGTCTCGCACGGCAGGCACATCTCTGTCCATACCAGGGGTTAGCAGGAATCTTACCAGTCAGGTGGCCGGTCCTTGTTGGCTCGAAGATATTCTCGGCGAAGATGGGCATGGAAGAGCTTCGTTGTCCCGATAAGGCTACTCAGACCAACCAGATGATCCAAAAGGTCGATCGCAACGGCCTGTCTGATTGCGTGACTTGAGACATGGCACCATTCTTGCGGCCTGATGACGGGCGTCTGGGCGATTCTGGACCATGGGGCTGATCTGCTTCGAGACCAGCTCGGCCATTGCCACTCAACAACGCGTAATGACATGTTGTAGTGAGAAGGTGAAGCATGGTGGTCCCCGCAGACGGAATGCATTCAGCTGCTGCAGTATCCAGAGTGTTCCTGAATAGCTCTTGTCATTGAACGAATCCAGGAGGCACGCCCTTGTTCTCGCCTTGGACAAACCAGGGTGACAGTCTCCTTCTCGCCGGCACGGAAGGCGATATAGGAAAGAGGGGGGTTCTCGAAACAATGGTAAACACTTCTGATATTTGCTTACGCCCATAGGAAAAGGGCTGTACTTGAGACGAAGCAAAACTGGTGGTTGTACACGTACGCGACGAAAAGTCGCGCGTTACTTGTCTTACCGTCTCGAGGCATAGTAAGGTCGAATCCATCCCCAGGAACAGCATTGCTAAAGGTTCAGAAGATTCATACAGGGTAGAAACCATGGACGCAGGCTCCATACAAACCCCATCGAAGCGTCAAAGTCTTTGAGAACATAATCAGTCACCTACATAAAATTTCTCCAGCTGCAGGGGTGATTTCATCCTCCAGTCAGGCAATGTCAGGTCAGAGAACCAGGGGGCTGGTCGCTGACAGGGGCCGTTGAGTTGTTGGAGATGTTATGTTTGGCCTGCAGCTGTCGAACACTGCCACTGCATTTGGAAGCACGGGATGGAGAAGAAAGCAGGAACCTTCGGCGCCTGTCCGTGGGTCGTTCGTACGTATTGCTTCTGTGCCTCGTGGCCACTCGTCTCGTGGTGTCTTGGGCCAGCAGCTTTGTAGCTACGGGGCGGTACAACCCAGACACGCATCCAACGTTCATGGAGTCTATGCATGTAGCTTTCTCCTTTCTTCATTCGATATTTCCTTCCTTTCTTTCTTTCTTTCCTCTTTTCAGAGGACAGACATGGGGATCGCTTTGCAAATGTGTCTGGTTGTCCCACCTGGTCGACCTGGAGTCACTCGACAAACCTTGTTGAACCTCAGTCTCCCCACTAAGATTGACCCTTGCAAGCCAAGGTGAGGCTAGAGAGTGGGACTGTAGCAGGGATCTTTTAGTCTTGACCGTCAGGTTGATGTGATTGGCTTACAGTCTTTTGCAGACCACAAGGTTGTAACAGCCGTGCTTTACAACCCCCACGCAAAATTGTCCCACCTGTCGCTTAAAGTTGGAGTAATCCCTTGGTGAACCGTCAACCGCGCGAGGATGTGGCGTGCTTCACAGATACCTCGCATCCACCTCACGAAACATTTGGTGAGGTTCAAGCCTGACAGGAAAATCTTCTGCTTTCGCGTTGACCGGATGAGGCACCCTGCTACTAGCTTTTCCAATCGAAACCGCAAGTCGGTCGGCCCTGAAGCTCGGAGCCATGCTGCGCGACCGTGAGCGCATCCATCGTCTTTGCAGTTGGAATGCCGAACGTCACCTCGAACCGGGCCGGTGGGCGCGAACCCGTGTAAAGGTTCACGGCTTGTAGTGGGCCGAGTTTGTAACGTCTGTGATTCGGTCGGATGATTTGCGCAGGACGAGCTCGTCACACTCTCATGTCTGCAGGGCCAGGTCGCGGGAACATGCTGTGACTCGTGCTGCAGTGAAGCTAGCTGCTGTCAAGTCAGCTCACAGGGGTCGCGGGAGCTTGCCGGGGATCTGCAGAATCCATCCCGTCAACCAGTTTGCTGGATCAGGACACGGACAAGGGCCCATGTCAGGTGCAAGGATTGCAGTAATCTGCCCACTGTGTGTGTGGAATACTGCATTGCATACAGAGTGCAGTGCCGACCCGTCCGCCTGGCTACAATAGGGTGGCAGTCTGATGTCTTGACACCGACGGTAAAATGCCCAACGCTATCGCTCTGTTCTGCTCAAATAGTGAATACCACGTAAGCGAAAGCCGTGAAGGGCGCAGGATTGTCCTGTTGTCAACACCTCACGAAAGCGGCCCTCCCCAGTCGTCTTGTTGGGCGTGCTTCAGCATTCTCGCTTCAGCAACATCGAAGCGAGTGCATAAGGCATGTCGTTTGGGCACAGCTCCGCACTCTGACTTGATAAGCGGTTCTTGAGATTCGAAACCAGGCAACGGAATTGCCAGGGCTCGCGCAATCGAGTGATGACAATAAGCGCCGGGCTAGAGGCCCCGTGCCGCGGGACCGTCCGCCCGGTCAGGGGTGGAGATCCAAATTACCGGAAAGTGGCGGACCCGGCAGAACCTAATCAATCTGTACGAACTTCAAGAGCAGCTGTGCTCCATGTAATCGTCTAGCTGCTCGACCCTGTAAGTATAATACCACAGCGCTACGGAAGGATCTGAATGGCCGAAATCGCCGAAGATTGAGCTGCCAAACCAAATAGCACAGGGGTTGTATCTGAGCTGATACTGAAGGTTGAGAAGCGACATCGGAAAGCAACAGTGTGCTGAAAGTGCATGTCTGGGAAGGCGTCGGCGCCTTGAAAGTGGGCCAGGCCGCCATCAAGAGCTGTAACAAGTGGTGATTGCCGCATGTGCCGATGACTGTGCAGACGGGGCGGCAATGTGTGGACGGCCGTGGCATCTGCTTCGAAAGGGCGCCGTAACGGCAAGGCCTGCTCGGCAAGCCGTGATATGCGATGGTTGCTGCTCAGGACCGATGGGAGCATTGTCGCTGCCCGAAGAGCCTCGCCCACTTGTACGGGCCAGTGCCGAAGCCACTGGGATGCCTACTGGCGTCAGTCGTTGTGTTGAGGGCACACATTACGGGCAGCCTGCGCCGCGGAGACGGTGGGCGAGACCAGGACGTTATGTGTGGATGTGAAGATGGCGAAGAGAGCGGGAGCTTGCCAGAGGTGGTGTGGGATACCCACCTCCCTGCGGACAAGGGTCGTAGCGTGGGATTTGCGGGAGCTACTTGCAGCGCCCGCCTGCGCCAGCCTTGAAGCAGTATCGCTTGGGGCGCTAGGCTGGCACAACGTCCACTGAGGGGGCCTGAGGCTGCGCTGCAGCGCCCCTCCGCTCATCACTCGTTCTGCCGTGCCTGATGACGACGGCCTCGACCTCGACTCTCTCAGTGCTACTGCACTCGACCCGCCTGGTCCTCGTCTCGCCTCACCTCGCCTCGCTGCAATCCTCTCGGGGCCCGAATCGGGTGTCTTGAAGCCGCACTCGCCCGCATGACCGGCTCGATGGTTGGCCGCCCCCGGCTGCAATCTGGTCTCAAAATCCGCAACACCATGCCTGCTCCTGCAGCGACCGCCCGCTGCCTTCCAAGTCCCAGATGCTGCAGCTCCGGTTGGCCAGCCCGCTCCCACGAGGCGCGGGTGCCTTGCGGGCTGTCCAGTGTCATGCGTTGTGGCTTCCGCAGGCGAGTGGCGAAGGGCGTTGAAATGGTACCTTAAAGTGCCCATTGTCAGCACGCCGCCAGACAACGCCTTTGTTATCGCGCGTTAGTTGTCCGCAGGCCGTCCACTGTGGAGTCTGGCTTTGCGCGGATCACACTCCGGACAGGTGAGCGGCACAACCCCAACAGCACAAAGGAAAACCTTGAGGCCCACGGCCGTTCATCCCGTTGTTGGCGCAGCATTCCTCCCCATCCTTACTATTCCAGCAGCCACTGTCCATTTGCAGACTTTGCAGCCCCAGAGGAAAACGACTCGGGTCATCCGCTTCAGAGTATCTGTGTCATAATGCCCAAAGTGGCGCCGTCAACCTCGCCAAACTTGATTCCGACTACACTACTTACGGCAGCACAATGGCGCCAACAGTGCTGTGTAGGTTTATCGGGCTTGTCTCACCCGGCCATCTCGAACGGGTCGCTTCCGCAAGCCACTGCAAGTCATGGCAGATCTCTACTCCGGAGACGCGAGCTCTGAGGATGCTCTCTGTTCATGACATTCTGGCAGCAAGAGACATTTGGCCCGACACTGACCTTGGCGTTTTGAGACTGACATCAGCTCCCCGTAGCCATATCTGAAGGCACCCTAGCCAATGATCGACAGTGGCTGCCACACCTTTGGAATAGAGTACAGCTAGCCGGTCTGGCCCAGCCCGCAAGAGGTATCAAAGCCCAACAACCATTCAGATATCCCAATGATGCCTCTGACAGCTGGCACATCCCTCATCGCCACTCGTGCGCTTGTTCTGGACGCTGTCGCCCGTCTGAAGCATGATTGTGCGTGCTTTAGCTCGCTCATGAGGAAAGCCATTGCAGTGTCCGCCTTCTCCACTGTGAGAGCCTTTGTAAATGCCAGGTTCGCATGCAGACAGTAGAGGAGGGCTGATTGGCCCCTCTGCACAGAGGGACACTATTGCAGAACTCGCCTGAGTGGACGCAGCACTGCCTGCGCTGTCACGGAGCCTCACTTCATGAAGGCCTCCACCCGATATCCTTAGTTATCAGCATGAGACATGGTGACAACGATACAGCGAGCTCATGTCATGGATGTGCACCGGGTCGTCCGGGGACCAGCCGCCCGGTCCAGGTGCGGTACCAAGCACGGCTCTCCCCGGCACAGGGTACAGACGTACTCGTAATTGCTTGATGGTCTCCACGGGGCAGAAGGACTACAGGTATCTTGAACAAGGGTGGTGGCTGGGGTCATGAGTGAAACCTGAGGGCGTGCGACTAGCGAGTGGCCTGGTCTGAGATCGTGGGCATTGTCGACCCCAGAGGGTACCCTGGTCTAGGGCCCTGCCATCAGCTGGATCCCAGGTACGTACTTCTCATCTACCGTGTTGGGTCTGTCACTTGTACCCGGAAATCATGGGCAGCACTAGACCTGCGGGATCTGCTCAAGCCCCAGGATGTCGTCTATGCCAGTCAAAAAGGGTCACCCCTTGTCTGATGCGCCTGTATCTGGCCAAGCCACAAGCCAGCCCGACGATCTAAGCGGACCTCGCAGGACGCTGGGCTTCATACATATTTCTGCGTTCCGCCCGCCTTCTCTCAAGTCTTAGACCAGACTCTGTGTTCACAACGCATCTATCCACGATCTTGCTTTCTTTCTTTGATTCATCTGGTGGTCTTCTGCTTTTCACAACATCTTACCAAGCTTTTCGTGACACCATCACCTTCACGGAATTCTTGACTTTTTGCTCCTCAGACGTATATTGAGCGACCTCATAAGTCCTCATCTATCGATCACGGTTGCTCACAGTCACTGGCCAACTTCCACCTGGAACAGGTCTTCCTATCACTCAGCTTGAACGCCGACAACTTCTTGAGGTAGACGAATAACCTCAGTTGCGCCACCGCTCCGTCACTCAGCTGGTTCTGCAACCATTGCGGGACTAGTTGTCAGTGGTCACGACGATGGCTCACTCTGCCCCTCCGCCAGCTGCTCCAGGATGGAGTCGTTGGAACACACAGCCTCAGTCACCAGAGTACGGCCTTCTCGACGGCTCTACGTTTGTCCAGTACGACACACGTGCGACAACTCCAGTGACCCTCCAGCGGCCTTCGGAGGCTCAACACTATCTGGTTGGGAATGCCTACACAATGGCTCCCACCATGGCACACACTCTGTCACACACTATGGCTCCCCCAATGGCCATGCCAGCACCCCAGTATCCCGGACAACATCAGTACGGCTTTGGCTGCGTGACGCCGCCGTCACCAGAAAGTCTCCTGCCATCCTTCAGGCAGTATCAGGATGAGAGACCTCGCATGATGGGCATGGATACTGAGAGCAGCCACACGAACATGAACTACGCACGAGGCGGTCGCCCACAGACTTACATCCCAGACCAGGTCCAGGCCCCGGCTGTCAAGCGCGAGCAATACATGTCTCCGGCCTCGCCAGCCTCGACAAAGGACGTCATCAACAGCAAGACCATCACACCAACCATCTCGGCAGACCCCGAGAAGCAGACCGAGTTTCACACGGATGTGGACACCCTTATGAAGACCATTCAAGTGAAGAGCACGGAAACGACAACGCCGGCCGCCGTTGACCACGGCGAGTCTCGCTACCCGTCACCGCCTCATGCTGAACCGAGCCCTGAGACTTCAAGCGGCTCACGCAACACGAAGAAGCGCCACCCTTGCACGATCCCAAATTGCCCAATGAGATTCTCCCAGAAGACTCACTTGAGCATACACGTGAGATCGCACACCGATGAACGGCCATATGTGAGCACATCTGGGTCGACCCTTCCTCACTGGCAGCAATTTAGACTGACTCGTGAAAATAGCCTTGCACCCAGCCGGGATGCAACTACCGCTTCTCTCAACTGGGCAACCTCAAGGTACGCCCGAACTTTGCATGCTGTGACTCGGCTCATACTGACTGGTGGTGTGCAGACACATGAGCGTCGTCACACTGGCGAAAAGCCTTATGCGTGTGAAATTTGTGGCAAGCGATTTGCTCAGCGCGGCAACGTACGTGCTCACAAGGAGACACACAACAACTTCAAGCGCTTTGCGTGCCGAATTGACGGATGCACCAAGAAGTTCAGCCAATTGGGGAACATGAAGGTAAGACTTGCTTGATTTATGCTTGTGACCACCACTCGACACGATGCTAATGGCAATCCAGACACACCAAAACAAGTTCCACGCAGAGACAATCAAGGCTCTCACTGCAAAGTTTGCCGCGATACTGCGTGCTGGGGAGGAGCTCAAGGGCGAAGACAAGGAGCTCTTTGAGTACTTTGCAGTCCATTACAAGAACAGCAACAAGGGCATCAAGGGGCGTGGCAAGGACCGCAAGGTCAACACCATCAACTCCTCACCAGCGGCGCCCTCGAGTCACTACCCCGGGTCACAGCCCTCGACGCAGCAGCAACAACAGCATCAGATGCCTCATGGGCTTCCGTATTCGGGGCTCGCCGCGTCCAATGCCTTTGGGCACTACAGCACCTACAACATGCTCGTCGGCCGCGAAAGCCGCCGTGGATATGAGTACGACATGGACCACGATAGCGTATCTGGGTCTAGCGCCACCGGCACATTATACGAAGACGAGCACCATTTCAACGAGCGCTTCCAGGACCGGTTGTATTGAGAAGCAAAAGTCCCACTGTACGAATCTTGACGCGAACGAATCACATCAGCTTTACGACTTACGAAGACGAGGACCGCGGAGCCGTGTACTAGCAGCCTTCCCACTGGCCATAGCGGCACCACTTGGCCCATACTTACAGAGGCAGGACTGCTGCTGCGCATTAGAGTCTGGCTTTCCCTGGTCAACGAACACATTTTACAATACCATAGATTTTCGAGGCTGGCGAGGCTCGCATACGATCATGGTCCGGTCGGCAGTCGTGGTGTGCCAACGTACCGCGGACGGGCTGGACGCATGGGTCCCTACCATGGACATATACGACAGCTCCGACCTTTTTCCCTTGCTCTTTCTTTCTCAGGTCTTTGACCAGCCTCAATCATAGTCTCTGCACGAGCCTACTTCCCCACCCCTATCGGCTTCTAGGTCAGTAACAGGGGCTGGGTCCTGACCTCTCACAGACGACAGGACAATCCAAGCGAGCGAACTGTTGCTTTACTTGTTTTCCATCAATGTACACATCACCACCGAAATCCTCCCATGTCTGCCTGCACGGCCTGCAGTGAAGTTGCCACACCTGATGCCGAGGACGAGCAAAAGCCGAGGCGGTGAAGGACACAATAACACGTCCGCGACGGGCAGACGTTCTGCGACGTCGTCACCGGCTGCACCCGTTTCTGCAGGAGACGCTGCTGTCGCTGCAGAAACACCCTCCCTCTCCCGCAAGATCGATCCCCCCCTTCCCCCATCAAAAATACACGCTCATTCGTGTGGTGTGGTCATCCCGCCTATTGGTCGAAAAAAGGCCCCGACTTCTGCGGCCTGCACCAGAGTTTGGCTTTTTATCCAATCACCCGCTCCCTGCGCATATGCAAAAGTCCAAAAGGGGGAAGATGGAGAGGGGAGGGGTGTGTGGGTGGTATACCTCTGGCAGCTTCACACAGCACAGCACAGCACAGCACACACAGTCTGGTTTCACCGCACCTCTGTGTCCAATGCCGTCTGCCGCCTTTAACCAGACACACTGCATCAGACAGACAGGCATTACCCCAACACAATCGCACACCGAGTGGAGATGGGCAGTTCCCCCATTTGGGTCAAAACATGTATCCGTCCATCTGGTGACGCCTGTCTGGACAACAACAACAACGCCTTGGGTGGTTCAAATCTTTTTTTCTCTCTCCTCTTAATAATCTCGGTTTTCACATCTTTGGGGCATTTCAACATACTCAAGTCAGCATGCATACACGCGCGGTTTATTTGATTTCCATCACTAGTTGTTTTCTTTTTGGGAGAGGTTACTCTTGGTCATTTTCACAACAACAAAACATATACACTACAAGCTGGACGGTGGAGCAGTCGGTTGTCGCCGTGCGCGCTCTCCCTCTCCTACCTGCCTGTTTCTACGTGTGGGAGGGGGTTTATGGAGGCGAAACAATGTTTTTTCTATATACGCCTCGGGTCGGTTGGTTTGTCTCTTTTAATTTTTTTCCCATCTGGAATATGGCAGTCAAACGCGACTGCCAGCAGCTGGAAGCCACAAATACCCACACACATACAACACTTGGACGACAACAGCAACAAGATGGGCAGCCAGCCACGATTAACCGAAAACCTCTTACTAGAGAGATGCTCGGAACCTTGGTCTTTAGTTAGGTCTGTAGCCTAGTTGAAATCTGAAAAAATATATATGAGAAGAAAGCACCACAGCTCGCAACAATGCATTGATAGTGACAAATGATGGAGAAAATAAACCACTATTTATACAGCATCTCCTGCTACATTCACTACACATGCAGTCGCGGTAATGGTGTACAACACCAGCGACATCACCAGGAGTCTCTTGTGTACAATCCACGTGTGGCTGGCATTCAGGCGTCAAAAAAACAGGATGAGGTCGAAAAGCGGTGTAGAAACTCGCCAACACGCAACACTACCACCACCAACAGCAGCAGCAGCAACAACACCAGCAGCAACACTCAGCATGGCCAGACCACGTGGCCGGTCTGTGCATATGCGTGTAGAATGCATGAAATCTGCACATAAGAGGGAGTGCTGCCCAGTGTGTAGCGGGCCCCAGGCAGAGCAGCGTATCACCCTCCTGCGTCCCGTGTAGCACACACTTGGCCCGGCTGTTGAAGACCGGGGAAGTGGGCGTGGTGGGGGTTGGCCACTTTGCCGTTGCATCCCGGGCTGGGCATGAAGCGGATGAGGCGGGTAGACGGACAGCACGAAGGTTTTTGGGAGTAAGCTGAGAATAATGGCTGGGTCAACAAATCCGCGTGTACGCGACGATAAGCGAAGCTCGTGTCCTGGCTGACGATGACTGTACGCCGTTTCCAAGAGGACGCCAACCTAAGAAAAAGTGAGTGGCTCATAACCAGAGTCGGCGGCTCGAGTACAATCAAGAAATCAAGCTTTGTGTCAGAGAGGTGTCAGGAGCGTCGATGGGCGTGGGAACGGTAAGAACACTGGCCTGCACAATGCCGATCGAGCCGTATGCATGTGCGCGCCTCATTGATGCACACCGTCATCATCATCATCATCTTCTTCTTCTTCTTCGTCTTCATGTGCTGCTGCTGCTAGTGCTTGCTTGGGATGAGTCGTTGGAGTTTATGTATATCTGCAGATCGTATGCAAAGCTCGCGACGGGCCATCAATCGGTAAGCGGCGCGGCGAAAGTTTGTTTGCTTTCCCTTGCCCGTTCTCCATTTCGGGGGGCGCCTCGACACAAATGTGCCGGGAACGACACTGTTTGACCAGATCGTGCCACCAATCCGTCATGCACGAGGCTCTGAGGCGTTGAGGGCGCCAACCTCTGGTTGTGCGTAGGGTACTTTTAGTGGCTGGTGTTGGTCGTGGTCCCACGTTCTCTTCCTGCCAGATGACACTCCTCGAGGTGGCTTGGCAAGAGACAGTCTCACTAATTGGTAGCTCTGGAGGGCCCGGAACCCGTTGCCAGAGGCGCTAGACATACGTGTAAGTCAAGTTCAAGACCTGGTTCAGAAGGCTGTGTGGCTGGCCCAGAGCCTCGAGGACAGCCGGCCCCCCTCGGCGGCCACCCGTGAAGCCAAGACTTCTGATTATCTCGTCGTCCTGCGGACTTCAGCTGGGAGAAGCCACCGGGTCCCCGGCTGATCGTTGCATAAGCCCAGTTGGCATCATGATCGGCTGGGTCGACCGCAATGGCGAGCGATGTTGAAGTTGTCCCAGCGCACTCGCAGGCGAGCTGCCCCAACTGTGGGTGGAGGATCTCGTGGTCTAGACGCCGAGGGTGGCTGTCTTGTCATTGGCTTGGAGCGCTCCAGGCGAGGCCAGCCAGGATGTCCCTTGGACGGGTCGGCAGACATTGCTCGCCGTGGATGCATTCATCTGCCCATATTGTCCCTGCGCAACTCCCCTGGTCCATGTATCTGCAGTTCAGCTGCACCGGTAGCAGCAGCCGCAACAAGAGGCAAATCGCCCCCTTCGCGGCAAAGCTACCCCGAGCACAGTGGTTACTGTTGTTGTGTGCTGACAACCCACGCCCATGCATCGGATGCAGGCCGCCAGCCGCCGGGGCGGCCACTCTGATGCCGTCGATCAATCTCTGCAAGGCAAGCCTGCTGCTGGCCACCGCCGCAGCGCACAAGCTGGTGGACAGTTTTGCTCCCGTGAAGCGCGTCGGAGTGAGAAGAGCGGTGTCGCGGCTGCACAAGCAAGTCTTGCAACTTTGCCCAACACGTTCTGGATTTATGCATCACCCCCCGTAAGCTTATCCAACTGGACGAACAAAAGACAGTCCGGGCTGCGGGAGCACACTTCTGTTCATTAACACATCATGGCTCAATGACGGGTGGCGTAAGATTGGCAGGCAGGGAATCCCACAAGTGGCGTGGATGTAGCATTCTGAAACGAAAAACAAATTTTTGAGTTGCAGAATATTCCACGCCAACCTTCCAAGTGCCTCCCACGCAGCTGGTTCGTCCTGCGTGATAGTTAGAGCCACAAGTTGCGTCTATTGAAGCCTGAACTTAGGGACAGAACTGCGTGCTCACGTTTCTGAATATTGGCCCGAGCCAACAGATTGAGTTACCACGCATATATCTGATCAGGATGGCATTTCTTTTCCATCTTGTTGAATACCAGACCAAGTGGTCCCAGGCGCCGGAGAGACTGGTGCTACACTGGGCTAACCCGCGACGCTTCAGGGCTTGTCCCTGTCCAACCTTCCTAATGCTCACGGCCCGATTCGACAAGAGAGTCCAGAGTGGGCTATTTCCAGCCGTCTCCATTGGCTGGCTTCTTCGGATGACATGTCATATGCCCTCACCAAGTGACGTGTTCAACATTGGACGTCTAATTGCAAAGTGTCGACCGAAAGTGCGTTTGGGTCGATTGGGCGACATTGAAAGATGTTGTTGGAAGGGTGGTGGTAAATCCTGCACGAACTGTGACATTCCCGCAACGAACCAACGTGAGCCACACGACAACATGCTTCCAAGTCTCGGCCTCCCCTGCTTCCTCTCCAACATGGGGCGTCGACAGACAGCGGCTGGCTGACGCCCTCGTTTTATTGACGGCGTGGCTGATGTCCGTCCCGCCCACAACCCGGGCAGGCGAGCAGTAAATGAACAGTGCTGATATGGAACGCCGGGATGGGTGACACGCAACCTCACCAATGCGGTATGGTCGTTCAGGAGGAGCCAGTAGTGCTCGGCAAGGTCAGTGAGTCGCTCGAAGCACCAAAGAAAGGACGAAGTATTGACGAAGGGATGTTTGATCAATCCTGGGCTGGTTGAGGTATCTTTGAGCTGCATGGCCTCCACTAGTTGACAATAATGCTTGTAGCAAGTGCAAGCCGACAGCATTATCAGAGCAGTGGACTTCTGTAGTGCAAAGTGCTGGCCATACGACACCTCCAGAATGTTGCAGCGACAAGGTATCGGTAGATGAGAGTGGCCCCGGGAAATGCTCAGTGCATAATTTGACCCAGATCACGTCACGTGGAGCTGTACGTGCCACCCAGACTAGAGAGTCCTGGTGCCTCTTGTCAGCCTCCCATGGATGAGAACCGGACCTTCAAAGGATGCCTAGGGGGACTCACATCTCCTGCTTTTCACTCGGCAAATAGCACATTGCTATATGCACTGATTGAACGTCGATCAGCGCCTCAGACTCATGCATACGACCGGCAGGACCACGATGAACGCTTCTCATTTGAGCTATGCTGCAGAAACTCTGTGAAAACCGGCATACTGGTGTAAGCCAATGACACCACGGCACCAGAGCTGATCGTACCCGGCCGTTGTCATTTGCCACGAATCAAACACCTGTGACGTGTTGCGACACTAGCCCTGGGTTCGCCGGCTTTTGAGCTTGGCCAAGCCAGCCAGGGGTGGTAAGTGATCGAGTCGCAAGCCATCAACAGCAACTGGCGTGCACTCGTGCACGGTCTTAGCAATGTCCTCATCTGCAGGAGAGCTCGCGGAGCTGCCGCTTGGCCGTGGTGGGGTGTGATAGGCTTCCGAGGTGACTAGATAGGCAGGTCTTGTTGGCGCCTCGCGTCGGCATCATGCTGAGGCGCTATTGATTCTTGACCATCAGGCTAGACGCGCGACGGTAAGTGCCGTTGAGCCTTCCGATTTGGCAGTCGGTAACAGGGTCGGCTGATCTAGCCACCGTGGAGGGTCGAGACGAACAGGATGTTGTCCTTGTCCTGGATTTCGTATGCTTCTTCCCCCTCTAGCTCCCAGTCGGCATCGTTGATAAGCACAAGAATACCCGGCCGCCTGCGTCATGTCAGCGATCTCATTCGAGGAAGATGGAAGGCCGGACGCCACCCCGCCGTCAATGTCCACAGAGATCCAAGACAGCCATCAGCACCTTGTACTGAGACTTGGCACATTGTCTTTCATATATACACGCCCCGTCGTCATTGTTATGGCAGGCTGGGGCTAAAACTCGGTCGAACAAGCAAGACCGTGAAACAGCGCGGCAAGCTAGTCGTAGACTTACAGGTGCTGATCGAGTACAAAGAGCTCCCTGCGAGGGTCATCCATCGTGTGCTGACAAAGGTATTGGATCAACCACGCAATGGTGATGGGCGAGCTGTCCTCCGTGCGGGATGGGAGAGACAACTCGTGATGCCTTTTGTCTGAGAAGAGCATTTCTAGTCCACCACTATGCCAGAATGTGTTAGTGATAACTCACACAAGCAGTGGCGTCGAGAGGCTCCCAGGATCGAATGCACGGGCTCGCCACTTACGAGAACTCAACCACAACATTGATCTGTGGTGTCGCTTGCGTTTTGGCCAACTGTTCGTCTGAAACTGTCTCCATTGTTGCAGAGGTGAACTATCTTCGAAGCAGAACGGGTCAACGAGACACTGGAACAATGCTGGGAACTGCAGAGTTCTCCCCAAATTAGCTGGTACAATGACGAAACAGACGATGTTGCCTGACCTCACAAGGCAGGAACAAAGACGCGAGATGCGGATGCATTGCCGCAGACGAATATTATGCTTGTATCCGAGCATGTGCTGCAAATGCGACCACTATTTGCACTAGGCGCATGGAAAGGCCGGCACGACTGACTAATCACTTCTGTCACCAGGACCGCCATCAAAGCGACAACAACACCACCATCAGCTTCATTGAGCTCAGAGATTCATTTAGCCAGGAGTCTATGGGCCCGATTCGACACACAATGATTTAGAGTCCGGGGACCCCTCACCTCACCATTTCCCGCGTCCTCTCGATGACACAAGACCATGCGGGACTCTCGCCCGCCTTCGTCGAGACCGTAGCCGGGCTCACGGCCGGCTCGATCGCGACCCTAACCGTGCATCCTCTAGACATTGTGAAGACCCGCATGCAGAGTATGCCCTGATCGTTCTGTACTCGCACCATGAGGATGAGTTTCACTGACACCTCTCCCAGTCCACCGCAGCAGCGCAGCCCGCCCGGAAGGCCTAACCACGGTCTCCCTGCTTCGCAAGTTGCTACAAGGCCCTCATCCCATTGCGTCCCTGTACCGTGGTCTCACACCCAACCTGCTTGGTAGTGCGTCCAGCTGGGCGTCCTTCTTCCTCTTCAAGGTGCGCATCGAGAGCGCCCTCCGAACACTCAAGTCCAGCGAGCCGGGAGCGGCGGGAGCAGCAGAGTCCGCTGCACTTTCGCCGCAGGACTACTTCATCGCCTCGGGTCTCGCGGGGGTCGGAGTCCAGATCCTGACGAACCCGATCTGGGTGATGAAGACGCGGATGGTGTCGTCGGACCGCTCGGCACAGGGTGCGTATCCGAGCATGTACCAGGGCGCCAGGACGATTCTGGCCACCGAGGGCGTCCGCGGATTTTACCGCGGCCTGGGGATTAGCTTGTTCGGCGTGACCCACGGTGCCGTGCAGTTCGCCGTGTACGACCCGCTCAAGAAGTTGTACCTGGCCCGCCGGAACGGAAGCATTGAGCACACGACCGCCGACTTGAGCGCGACCCCGGGACAGCAGCAGCGGGAGCAGGGGCGTATGACCAACGAGGCCACGCTGGTGATATCCTCCGTCGCAAAGCTGGTCGCCGGTGCTGCCACGTACCCATACCAAGTTATCCGGAGTCGGCTACAGAACTACGACGCAGACGCACGCTTCGGCAAGGGGATTCGGGGCGTGGCAGCGCGCACATGGCAGGAGGAAGGCTGGCGCGGGTTCTATCGCGGTATCATCCCGGGGGTCGTACGGGTGCTACCCGCGACATGGGTGACGTTCTTGGTGTACGAGAATGTCAAGTATCTCCTGCCGCAATGGGCGGCATGATAGATGATAGAGCACGGGAAAGCGAGCAGCAAGCAAGAGGCCCAAGTGAGGATCATGGGACAAACCTGTTCAAAGCTACCCCTTCCGTCTGGGCAACATCACGATGCGATGCTCTCAATCTAGTTTTGGCGTCAGGAAGTGGATATTCGCGCAACACCAAATCCAGACCGTGAGGCAATACGTTGGCTGTTGTTATTTCAAAGACTAATTGTGTGTATGTATGCCGTGCGACAACGCTATCACTGTACCCTGAGTTTTGCCAAGTGTAGGCCCTGGCCCCCATTGCAAAGACCTATAGGCAAAAGTCCGTAACTCCATATGCTATGCAAAACAAATAAGCACGTGGAAGGGACCAGAACACCAGTCTTTGCCCGAGTTTCCCATGTCAGCACTTATCCAGCCTTTCGTAACCACTTCCATGACCAAACAATGGGCGCAGCTCGTCGCTTGTGCCACTCAACCACTTCCCCTGCCATCTGCTCCGACCACTAGGTGGTTTTCCCCTTCTTCCACAAACCTCGTGAAACCAAGAGTATATGCAGCAGCACTACTGAACGACGCACTCCCTGTCAGGCACATCGGCCTTTGCCTTCCCATGTCTCAGCCGGCTCTTCGGCTTGTCTCCTCTGCCGTGGCTTTTGCCGCCTTTGTCTGTATCCTTCTCGTCTGCTGCTCCATCCACGACCGCAACCTCAACAAAATCCTCCTCATTATCAGTTGTCGTGGTTGTATCTCGTATCATCTCTCGGCTCGCCCGCCTGAAACCCAGTCGGCTCATTGTGAGGCTGATGCGACCTTCGCCTGAAGGACTTTGAGGCCTGCTCTTGCTGCCAGACTTGAACTTGGCTGCAGCGCGACTGAGCCTTTGCGCTGTCGTCTCCTCGCCGGGACTTGTAGCGGGTGAGTGGCTGTCGGGAGTCCTGCCGCGGCGCGGAGAGCCCACATCAACGAGTGCCACACTAGCTCGCCTCGATGCAGTCAGGAACCCATCCTCATCGGCAAAGCTCCGACGAGGCGGCCGCTCCAGCTCCGATGAGAATCTGATGCTGCTGCTCGTTGACGGCCCCGTGCCGGTGTTGTCGAAATAGCTACTAGTTTGTCGCGATACGGGCGGACGGTTTGGGCTTGGGTCAGATTCCGACACAGTGATGTTGAGTCTAGAATCGTTGTAGGACGGGGGCCCGTTGCTTGTACCGTCAGTCGAGCTCGCAGTCATGTCTACGATCGGGACGATCTGATAGAAAAGAAGATATGGCATCTCCTCCTTAAGCGCTTGTTTTATGTCGTCAACAGGCGCGATGCGTTGCTCGATGCACAGGTCATCGAATTTTACCCACTGAGCTTCCTCGTAATCTGGCGGAGGATCGCTCTCGTGCATACGATTGTCAGTGAGAAGCTTGGGCGCCACCCTGCAGAATGAGATGTAGTGGCCGGAGTGCAGTGAGTCGCCACGATGGCACACTACCGATTGCAACACCAGCTTGTAGTCCGCGCTCAGGCCGTTCTCCTCTACAAGCCGTTCGTCGGCAATGAATTGAGGTAGTCGTAGACTATCCGGGATATCAATGTAGGTGTTCTTGCGACACATGTTGCCGTGTTCGTCCATCATATACCGCTTGAGGCAGATGCCAACGACTGGACGCTGGCTGAAGTGTCGCGCGACTTCGAGATCACTCTGCGGCTCGTTATTGGCAGCGGAATGCCATGCTGGTGTATACAGTCAGCACCAGAAAAGCCACATCGCGAAGGCTATGGAAATACTCACGAATAAGCTTGAAGAACTGCCATGCGGGAATAGTGACAGCCTTGACGACGGAGGCTGACCGCTTCGCTCGCTGAAAGAGACTCGCTGTATCGGTATCCGTCGGTTTGCCACTAGGGTCAATCACGACGCGCTGGATTATGCTCTCGGTTCTTGCACGATGTGGGCGAACGGCTGGTTGAGAAGATGCCGGTACTGATAAGGAGATCGCTGTTTGGCTCCTCTCCAAGGCCAATTGCTCCGTCTTGTCAGGATCCTCGGCTGGCGACTGGCATTCCCTGACGTCATCTCCTATTCTAATAGCACTCAAAGGCGTGCTCGGGGTATCTGGAGTCAGAGGGACTTGAGAGATTGTCGTACGGATGCTGACTTTCTTATCGTCGGTGCTACCCTCTCTTTGCACATCAACTTGTGTATTGAAGTACTCCTCGAGGCAATCTTCCAAGTCGACCCCTTTGCCGTCCGTGTCTTCAGGTACTGCCAGATTGAGCAGTCTTTCGTAGACGACTTTATGGTCTGCGTCATCATTCTTTCCGTGGTGAAACAGATCCACTTGAAGGGGCATTAGAGGCAATTGTAACGTTTCGGTTATGAAGCCAAAAGCTTCTGAGGTATCTTGCTGCTCGAGCAATTGTGCGTCTTTCCACCCACAGTCTGCTAGAGCATCCTGAATGTGATGTGTCTGCCGGCGAGTTAGAAGAAAAGACATTGGCTCCAACGCTTCTTGGAGGGGCTTCGACTCACCATGTCGGCCTCGATCAGTTTGCCCGACCGAAGCATATTGACCCACAACCGCAAGAGTGCAGCCAGCCTCATGGCAGCAGGGTCATCGATCTCGTGCTTGAGCATGCACTCAAAGGACTCGAGCTTCGCAAACATGGCAAAAAGCAGAGAATCGAGGTAGCATGTCACCGCACCACGATTCTCCGCCCCCAACATATGTACATTCGAGTTGTACGGTATGATCTGGCCTTGGAAGGACTTCTTCTGCAGCGCAAGCAATTCAATGGCCTTGTCGACATCTCCCGAAGAATATTTGTGGCGGAGGGCATAGCGGATATGTTCGTCGTTCAAGCTGGCGATGGCAAGGTCGTGGTTAAGCTCGATTACGCGCTGTTTAACTTCTCCGACCTAAAGGAAAATTGTAAGCATGATGCCAATCTGGCTACCAGGGTTCCGAGGTGAGGTACACGCCTTCGCATCTTCCTTGGCTTGTTCATTCTCTTGAGTCTTGGCAGAGTCGCGCTTGAGCAGAGAGAAGAAGTCGGACGATCGGTGCTAAAGCAAAATGATCCACATCAGTCGATGCTCAACTGGAAACGACGACAAACGTCAGTGTGACGAACCTTGTGTGAAGCATCGGACGATTTGTCGCGGCGATGGCCCTGCTTGTCCTTCCGGCTCAGGAACCGCTTTGGCAGGCCGGTAGCCTTCATGGTGGGGTGAACGAGCAGTTGTGCTCGGTCGCGATGCCGGAAGGGCTAGGCTCGACCAATTTGGCAAGACCAGGCTCGTGATGTAAGTCGACGGCTCGACTTTGTCGAGGCCTTCAAAGTTGCGTTGTCGAAGCGAGGAGGCTGGCCTGGCAGACACAACGGAATCCGGGCGCGCAGCCAGGCGCTATTGCAACGAGTAACAACGATCGAAGGCCAGGCGCATGTCGTTCGGCGGATGACGCTCTGGGCTGGGAATCAGGCGATCCTGGCAGGGACGGCCAGGGTGAGCGAGGAACAACGTAATAATGGCAGAACCCCCTGCAACCGTGTCGAGTTGCGCTCGCCAATGTCACCACAGGCAGGGCACCGTGGGCTCGCAGCCAAGAACACCGACAAGGCCTTTCGTTGACGTCGTCGCCGAGTGTTGCCCCTACTAAATATTCGAGTTCGAAAGTGTTGTGTTGTAGCTGTCGCAGATCGGCAGTGCTAGTACGCGATCGTATAGCTCACCTCGAAGAGCGAATGGGAGCCAAAGCGTCGCATAAGCGCGTTGCAATTATTGAGGTGAGATGGAGAGAAACTTGTAGGAGTGGATTGGGTGTGAGAAGACAAGAGACTGCCGAGACACTACTCTGTCTGTGAGCAACAAACAGCCGGGATGGTCGGGACGGGAAAGCTGAAGCGCACGTCGGGGCAACTTGCCAGGCTGAAAGGGATTACTACAGTATGGCGCGAGGAGGGGTGATTTCCCATGTGTTGCCATGCGTGGGGAGCAATGGACAGGGTCCAGCGATCGGCGGTCGTGGGCTTGCCTAGCGCCCCAAGATTGATGGGGAGCAGGGCCGATGAGGGCTGGCGAGGGCCCCACACTAACCAAGTAGCACTCTTCTAGCTGGTCTCGAGGTTTCTCTGTGCAGCACGCCACGACAACTGTAAATGCGAATGCTGCAGACCTGGCACACTCGCTCAGGTCTAGTGCAGTCAGTGTTAAGCTGGTTTCAGATCCCCAAGACGGAAGGGCCCTTTAAAGTCGGCACGTATAAGCCTGACAACCGTCGCAGGCGCTCTGCACAGTGTGATACCATGGTCTCGACATCGCATCCCCGTTGCCTGGCCTGGTCATCGAGTACAGCATCAGGCACCAGTCATCGATTTCCATGCGCGGTACCCGAGGCACCCTAGCCATAGTCAACCTTGGAAGGCTTGGGAGGTGCCTGTAGCTTGACGTCTGAGCTGGGTCCATCTGATGTCGAGATCGGGGCTGGCCCAAGTCTGGTGGCCACCACCTTCGAGGAGCACCCGCTCCGGGCCCCCGACCCGCCAGGGTGAAGGAGAGAGGTGGACGGACAGCCAGGCGAAAATCATGGACCAGCAATTAGATTGCCTGCCCACTGAAACTGCTTGGCCGACAAGCTTGGGCAGACGATCAGCAAACATCTGCTGCCTGCTGCAGTCACTTTGAAGACGATCACGTACCACTCCAGCTTCTTTTTTTGGCAGTGTGGCAGCACGTCAGCTATTTCAGCTGGTGCGCTCCATCGTGATCGCGGTTTCGTCTGCCCGCCTTGTTGGGAGGCGGCGTGACGCCCCGCGCGCGAAGCTAGCAATCCAGCTGATCTGAGCGAGGCGCATCCTGCTGACATTCCAGGCTGCCTCTAATTTCGGGAAGACTCCATGGAAACACCGCTAGTCTACCTGTGACCACGACTCGTCCTTGAAGAGGAGGGAGTGAAAGAATTGATATCATTGCCCAAGTAATTCCCTGTTGTGGAATCTCCCTCAAGAATGGGCGCCGTTTAGGCGGACCTCGGGTCGCTTGTTTGGAAGGCTCTGCCAGTAAAATGTGAAGTTTGTCACTTCTATGGAGGCCCATGCAGGGCTTTGAACCTCCGGGCCTCAATCAATACGTCGTTTAGTACCTAAAGTAGGTAGTCTTCACCCCATACTACCGAGGTCTTCTTCAATTCAGCCGTGCTCGAGGTTAACAGTGCGCATGGGTCGAACGGTACTTAACACTGTATGTCGAAAGCACAATGCAACGGCGACGAAAAAGGTTAGCGCGGGTCGAGGAGACTCAGGTCCTTGAAATTTCCATGGCGGCGCGCAACAACTGCTCGAACGACGGCATGTGTGCGACATCTCGGCGATAGACTCAACAGCCCACACCAGTATCGCGACGCCTGTGGCCGTTGCGACTAGACGACGACTCTTTTCACGATTCACGTCGGCAGGCCTACAAGTGGGCGGCTTCAATAGGTTGCGCACAATGGCTGCACTGCGCGAGGCACCCCGGATCGGTGGCCTTCTGGGCACTTTGTCCCGGGCTCCCAATGCCGTGTGTGCCCGACGATTCGCCTCTACCGAGTCTGTGGCCAAGAGCGCAAAGGCTGAGATTTCCGACATCGAGACGAGCTCGAGTCTGGAGGCTCCTGTGGTCGGCCCAAAGGATGTGAAACTGCAGAACCCCAGGAGGAGAGCAAGCCGGAGATCTCTCGAACTTCCGCATGGAAGGTAAGCTTAGCCAAACGGAAAGGCCCATGCCAATTTGAGTGATGCTGTAGCATGCACTAAGCACCGGCGCAGATACCAGTTCCATGCGCCCAAGTACTACCGCGGTCCTATGCATCCAGTGCAACCTCCGAAGTCTTCAGACCCGATCGCCCGCGACTACTCGCCAGGCCCTTTCAACCTCCCACGACTACAGCAGACATGGGACGCCTCGATCGCATCCGACATCATGACCATGGCATATCAACATGTGCCGCCAGGAACTCCTGCCAAGCCTGAACGAGTACGGTTGCGGAAATGGGACGACTCGTCCCCATACATGGAGAACCGCCCACTGCGAGGACCCCGTGGTTCCGACGTGCTGTTCCCGCTCGAGAAAGACATCACGTGGCGAAACATCCCCAAGATCAAGGCGGTCCATCTCAGTGTCTTCCAAGCCCAGGCGAGGAAGAACTTTGACCACATTATCGTGGGTCGTTCGATTCTCCAGACCATCACTGGAGTCCGGCCAACAACAACCTTGACGAAGCAAAGTGTTGCACAGTGGAACCTGATCAAGGGCGAGAAGGGCGGTCTCAAAGTGTCACTTTACGGCAACCAGGCGCTTGAGTTTGTTGACAAACTCATTACCCTTGTCCTACCCAAGATCAAAGAGTGGGAAGGTGTCCGGGCAACGTCCGGAGACAGCACCGGAAACATCGGTCTTGGTCTGGAGCCGTCGCAGGTCATGCACTTCCCAGAGGTTGAAGCTAACTATGGCGTAAGTCTTCTCTCGTGATTTCCAGTCTATGTCGCGGCTAAGCAATATTGAATCCTGGTGCTGACGATTCCTTTTGTAGATGTACCCCGCCAAAATGATTCCCGGTTTCCGCATCATCCTTGAGACAACCGCCACATCCGACAGGCACGCCAGGCTGTTGTGTCAGGCGATAGGCGTCCCATTCTACGGCAAGGTCGTCGATTGAGTGGGTTGTCGTGTTGTATAGAGTTAGAACTTGGTCAAGCCCGCCGACTGTCATGATGCACGGTTGTCACATATGTGGCTGTTACGAATACGTGTAATAGAGCTGTACAATATATCCGAGAGCCCGCGGCCCATCCTTTTGAACGAGAGAAGTTTCGTACTTTGAGAATGCTGCTTCATCAGGAAAGTGCTCCGCATAACGACAAGCATATAAAAGGGTGCCTGGAATGAAAATGATATGTATTGTAGAGTGTAACGCCTCCAACGCCGTCTTTATGCAATCCTTTCGCCGCCTCGTGACCCCAGCTCGTGTTTCCGTTCAGAATCCTGCCTAAATCCGTTTTCCCCGTCCGTCTTTGAATATTCGCTGCCTACGCAGCAGCAGCAGCTTTCTCTCTGAGCGGGGTGATAATCAAATCCACAGCGTCCATGTCCATCGCGTCCGTCTTCTCCGCGACACTCTCGCCCTTGCCCGCCAGCTCCTTGGTCGCAACATCCATAGCAGGCTGGTAGTTCCGCACGGCCGAGCTGAGCGCATACACGGCCTTCCTGCGGACGTCCTTCGTCTCCTTGCCATCCTCGGCGCCCGTAGTCGTCGCGCCCTCGATAGCCTCCTGATCACCGGCTCTCGCCTCGATTCCCTCAACTCTCTGCCCGAGCGCCATGGTGACTAGCTTCTCCACGCCGCCCAGCGCGAGCAGGCGCTCCTGGCAAGGCTCGTTGTTCTGCACGGCCGTGCCAATGACCCACGCGGCCATGAGCCTGATCTGCGGCTCTCCGTGGCCCAGAAGCTCGAGCAGGGGCGTCCACAGGCCCAGCTTGCCGAGCATGTTGGCGTTGTCGATCGACTCGATCAGCTGCTCGAGGTTGTCAAACGCCGTGAGCTTCGAGTCGAGCGTGATCTCCGGGTCCGACGAGGTGATGTGCGCCATGCTCGCCTGCATCAGCTCTGCATCGGAGGGGCCACCCATGATGGCGTTGAGCATCTCCGGGGTCAGCTGCGAGGTTGGTGCTTCCTGAGGCGCAGACGCGGGGGCTTGCCCGTCGGCTGCCGCCTCCGCGTTGGCCTTGGCCGCCGCTTGGGCTTCAATGCTCCATTTCAGGAGACTGTTGAGGTTCTTGTCCGAGTTCATGGTGGTTTTTTTTGTGTTGGATGTGGTTATGTGTGGTGGTTTGTAGGTGGCCTGGCTGTTTTCTTAAAAGTTATTGACCTGGGTGATGCAACTTTTTTTTGTAAGCGGCGGTTTGAGCAAGGTAAGTGCAGGTGACGTGCCGAATTGACGTCAAATAATGAAGCTTCAGATGTCTGGCAATTACAACTGAGACTGAAGCCCAATGTCTTTTCAGGGATAACCAAGGATGAATCCATTAATGGGTGATTCCACATGCACAGCGATTATCAAGTATCAATTGCACAGATGCTACCTAGGCATGCTGCACGGCACAATTTCATCAGACTTACATCGGATTTCCCATGGCTTCGCGAAACATCGAGAAGCAAAGCGAACATTCCGCGCTAGCGCTTTGGAGCCGATAAGCCATTTCGGGACTGGTCCACAATCACGTGGGGCTTATCGGAGCTTGCTGTACTCCAGCTCGCACAAAACTGTTGCCCAGGTGCTGAAGAATGCAAGCCGTTTGCTTAGGCGCGGAGGAGAGAAGCAAGCCAGGGAAGAAGGGGTACTAACACTCGATGGTTATCTGTCTGGGAAATGGAATATCGATGTTTCGTTCGTGACACGCAGAATTGGATCGTACGGTCCCATCAATTGCGATTCTCGTTCTCGATCTCGGCCCGCCTTGCAGCTGTTGAGCTCTGCCTCCCAAGATTACATGTGCTGGCTGGCTGGGCAAAAATGCAAGCCCGTGCCCCACTTTAACACTTACCCCTCTGCTCAACCCCGCCATCGCCCCCTTCAAGGTTTGGAGCTTGGGTGCAAAAAGTTGCAGGGGGTTGGCTGACAGCTGGGAGATCACCAGAGCGGTGAGGTTCAACACCAGGCAGGCCGGGTGTCTATGAAGACGATCGGTAGCTGCCGAGGCTCACTGAGGTCATGCCGTAACAATGAATCGGATCCGCAGGCGTCACAGCTGCAATCTCAGGCTACTTGGAGCTTGCCACGGGTCTTCTTCAAAGGTCCAGCTTGTGTGCTCTTAGCTTATTTTCAGGGGGGATAGCTCGCTTGATGCTGATGAGAGCATGTCAATGGCTGACCTCAGAGCCAACGACGCCCATGTTCTGCTGCCAGCCCACGGGTCCGTGCTTGGCAATGGTGAAAAGAATCGTCCATTTTATGTTGTTAGCCTGCTGGAAACATGCCATCGGCTGTCTAGTGCTAGCCATAGGATCTGCCTGGGGGCAAGGACGCGCGTGATGGTCTAGAGCTCACTAATTACTGGATCCGAATTGTGGGAGCTCCTCTGGCCAGATCAGGCACGAACTCGGGCACCTACGTAATGTGCATACCATGGCCAACCCACTCAGCCACAGCACGGTACTGTAATTAGAGGCTGCGAGGGTGAGGGCTGGATGATGGTGTGTGGCCAGGGCCACGAGAGACGGGAGAGCCAACCGTGGATGGGCCATCTTGGCAGCCGTCGTCATTGTCGTAAGCCGGCCCAGGCAGCCCAATTCCTGTGGGTTGTCTGGGACGCCGTGGGGCGGGCCGCAATGGCCATGACGAGGCCAGTCGAGGGCGACGGCGACTGCCTGGCACCCGAGCGAGGCCATCGACAGCTGCCTGAGGAGTGGCTCGAGGGAAAGGGGCCAGAGGATAAGCCCCGCTCGCGCCTGCTCGGAGGCCCTGCCACCACCTGGGGCGCTCCGGTGCTTGCCTGCTGCTCGCGCCTGCCCTCCCGGCCACCGCCTTCTCCTGCTATGGGCCTGCATGCCCGCCCGGCTGGCCCAGCTGCGCCCGCTCCTCCCAGGCCTCTCCTCCTATTTACTGCTATCTGCCCAAGCCCTTTCGAGGTCTCCTTTAAATCAACCTCCTCCACCATCCCCCCATAGACACCTGTCCTTCTTTGCCTGTGCGCCAAAGAAGACATCGTCTCGCCGCCCCCAGCTTCGCGTGTGAGCATCTACTCGGTCCCTTTTCTTCGCCTTATTTTCCCGTATTTCTCCCGTCCTCGCCGACGTAATCTCTCACAATGGAAGGTATGGCTCCCTGCGACCGCCCACACTCTCCCCTCCCTCACGTCATGCTCTCTCCTGCGCCTTGCCTTGCCTTGCCGGCACCAGATCATCCATGAAATCATCGCAAGCTGTCGCGGACGTGGACTGACATGACTCTTGTCGTCAACAGAGGAAGTTGCCGCTCTCGTCATCGACAATGGGTAAGCTCAACCACCGCCTCCATCCTGGCCGCCCGGCCTCCTCCACTCCCACGCGAGGAGCTCGAGGTTGCTTCGACCCCTCGGGCTCGACCAACTCGCGAGTTGTCCAAGAGGCACTGAATCCTCTCGGAAGCTCTGTTTTCTCGTCCAAGACTCGCGCGGGACACAGTTGGTTTGAGCAATTGATGAGAGTAAATCGCTGACGTATACACACCAGTTCGGGTATGTGCAAGGCCGGTTTCGCCGGTGATGATGCTCCCCGTGCCGTCTTCCCGTCCATTGTTGGTCGTCCCCGCCACCATGGGTAAGTCATTTGATTCCCGACGAGATGCATGCGATCGCAGCTCTCCTCATGCTCGCCCCGGCCTGCAGATTCTAATGGCTCTACAGCATCATGATTGGTATGGGCCAGAAGGACTCGTACGTTGGTGACGAGGCTCAGTCCAAGCGTGGTATCCTCACCCTGCGCTACCCCATCGAGCACGGTGTCGTTACCAACTGGGACGACATGGAGAAGATTTGGCACCACACCTTCTACAACGAGCTGCGTGTCGCTCCCGAGGAGCACCCCGTCCTGCTCACTGAGGCTCCTATCAACCCTAAGAGCAACCGTGAGAAGATGACCCAGATCGTCTTCGAGACCTTCAACGCTCCCGCCTTCTACGTCTCCATCCAGGCCGTCCTGTCGCTGTACGCCTCCGGTCGTACCACCGGTATCGTCCTTGACTCCGGTGATGGTGTCACCCACGTGGTCCCCATCTACGAGGGTTTCGCTCTTCCCCACGCCATTGCCCGTGTCGACATGGCTGGCCGTGACTTGACCGATTACCTCATGAAGATCCTCACTGAGCGTGGCTACTCCTTCTCCACCACTGCCGAGCGTGAAATCGTTCGTGACATCAAGGAGAAGCTCTGCTACGTCGCCCTCGACTTCGAGCAGGAGATCCAGACCGCCGCCCAGAGCTCCAGCCTCGAGAAGTCCTACGAGCTTCCTGACGGTCAGGTCATCACCATCGGCAACGAGCGCTTCCGCGCCCCCGAGGCCCTCTTCCAGCCTTCCGTCCTTGGTCTTGAGAGCGGTGGTATCCACGTCACCACCTTCAACTCCGTCATGAAGTGCGATGTCGATGTCCGTAAGGATCTGTACGGCAACATTGTCATGGTAAGTAAACTCGCGATCTGCAGATTTGCCCTCCTGGACACCATGCTAACGACTGCAACCACAGTCTGGTGGTACCACCATGTACCCCGGTCTCTCCGACCGTATGCAGAAGGAGATCACTGCTCTTGCTCCTTCGTCCATGAAGGTCAAGATCATTGCTCCTCCCGAGCGCAAGTACTCCGTCTGGATCGGTGGTTCCATTCTCGCCTCCCTGTCGACCTTCCAGCAGATGTGGATCTCGAAGCAGGAGTACGACGAGAGCGGTCCTTCCATTGTCCACCGCAAGTGCTTCTAAGCTCCTGCATCGACTATGGCGCACGATACCGTTTGTTACCGCCCCCTGACGAATGCACCGAGATGCAGGGACGCAACCTCAGCCATGCGCGGCTTCGGGCCTGTCCCTGCACACACTTCAGAACTTTCGATTTGAAAAAAAGTTGTGACTGGCAGCAAGAGTTGGGAATCGGTCTCTCGATGGAAAAGAGGGCATACGAAGTGCTGAGCTTGGCCTGGAGGTTCCGTTGTCGGGATGGAGTAGACAAATCACACAAAGAAATGTTGATCATACACTATTTGGTTTTCCTGATACATGTGTGCGCGCTTGAAGTGAGCCATGCCTGCAAGTATGCTCTCGTGCGCGTGTTTCGGTGCAGGATTGGCTGGTCCGACGCGCATGTTGCGTGCCATCCGCTTTTTTGGGGGGTTTTGAAGATATTGTATTCTCTATGATTTACGAGGTCCTCTGAATTGTGCTTGAATCGTTGGCCGCGTTATCAGTCGTCCCATCACCCGCAATAGCCGTTGCGGCACCTTGTCCTGGCCCAACGCCCTCTTGCTGGGGTGCCTGTCCTTCCTCGGCCAGCTTGCGATACTTTCGGCGGCTCTTCTTGGCCGAGCTGGCCTTCTTCTTCGCCTTGACGGAGCCGACGATGGCGGCGCGGCTCTCTTGGCCGTTGTGGAGCGCGTCGAGCTTGTCGGCGAGCAGTTGGCGGGCTATCGTCCTGTTTTGAGACCGGGAGCGTGTTGCCTGAGACTTGCCGACGATTCCCGTGGGCTTGTGGAGGAGCTGGACTGCGCTGTTTGTTTTGTTCTATTTTGGAGGAGTTTTTCTGGGTCAGTACTTTTGCACTTGTGATTTTCTCAAGGTGCATGGTCGGGCAGGGTAAATGGGGAATTGTTTTGGGAAGAGTATAGTATGGGGCCTTGCTACTTTCTTTCCCCCCTTCGCTTCCCTCTCTCTCTCTCACAAAAGGGTGTAGTGTAGGTGAAGTACGGAAATAAGGAGCGCGACGCGGGGAGGGACGTACGATCTTCTGGCCGCCCGGACCGCTGCCCTTGAGGAAGTACTCTTCGAATTCCTCGTCCGGGGGCGGCTTGGGCCGCTGGGGCATCTGTTTCTGCAGGGAGGGCGTCGGGGCAAAGGGCCCTGGGCCTATCCTGCTCCTGCTGCTTCTCGTGGCGGTTGTTGGTGTTGTTGTCGGGGGGTAAGAACGTGAACGAGAAGAAGAACAAGAAGAAAGAGAAGGGCAGGCGTGTATTCTGTCGTGGGCTGTCGAGTGGTGAAGAAGGTCGGCGGGCCGTGGCAAGGTCGAGGAGGAGGAATGTCTTGTTTGTGTGGCTCGTCGTGGTGGTGTTTGCGAGGTTGTGATAGTAGTAGTGGTAGAGATCGAGGCTGGCCTTGAGGGCTGGCTGGAGGGGCAAAGACGAGTAGTAGCGGTCGAGAGTATTGTGGCATGGCTGGTGTTCCGACTTGGGATGCTGGGTTGCAGGCGCACGGGAAGCGCCCGGTGCAGCTGCATGGCGTGTTGTTGTTGTTGCGTTGGTGCTGACAATTGTTTTGGTAGAGGACTGATGGGAGTGATGGATGAATCCCAGTTGTTGTTTAAAGCTGTGAGGGGCTGTATGATCGAGGCCGGCTTTGAGATATGCTGGGAATTGGTTGTTCTGCCGCTCCAAAAAGTTGCCGTGTGAGTGAGGCCTGTGGTGATGCGATGCGCCATCGTCATAGCGGTCGGGTGTGGGATTCCCGGCTGTGATTGGCTGGGGATGGAGCCAATTCCGCGGGGCGGGGGACCCATTCGCAGGCGGCCCAGGCCAGGGGACCCGTGGACAGCGGGAAAGAGGCAGGCAGCCGCCGTGCCAGGGGCAGTCCCCTATTTCCGCAGGCTGACGTGCCGCTGTTCCTGTAAATCTGGTGGTTCAAGCAATCAGCATCCGACATTTGCAAACCAGCCCTTTTCTGCATACACTTACACGACACTCCTTCTTCCCACGGGCCGCCTTCTCACGACATTGCCTTGCTTGCATACCTCGACACTGCCGAATTGCGCACGTCTCGACGTCGCACCTACATACACGATTCTGCGCCAGCACACGCGACCTTCTCGTCTGTGGCACTGTACGAAACAATCATCCTTACCGACGAGCGAGCGCCGCCTCTCCCGGTCCAGCCAACATCAAGTCTAAATACATCTACACACAAACATACAGCCATGGAGTACCGCACGCCCAAGGACGAGAATGCGCCCGCGATCCAGCGCTTCGGCAAGTGGCTCCGCCTCAAGCAGTACCAGATCGAGGTCACCTTTGGCGTGTACATGTTCACGCCCGTCGAGAAGTCGGTCTTTTGTAAGTCTCCCCTTGGCTCCCTTCTCCTTTCAGTCCTCTCTCTCCCTCCCCCTTCCTACCGCCTCCACCGCTTGTGGTTCAAGACCACTTCCCCAGTGGAAGCTAGCGAGGCGGTAGGAGTACACAACAACAACAACAACACCCAGACAAGATGGCCCAGAAGAAAAGTAATGAATGACAAAATGCTAACCACAAACCACGCAATACAGGGTCCGTAGTCTTCCTCTTCAGCAGCCTCACCCTGCTCGCCTGCGTCCTCTACCTGCCCCAGCACATCGTCTTCATCTCCAACCGCGCCTGGTTCTACGTCAACGGCTACCACGCCGGCGAGCAGCTCTCCTCGTCCGTCTCATCGGCGGGCGGCCTCGTGACGGAGAACAAGGACAAGCTCGCGCTGTCGGTCAGCAGCGCGCTCGGGTCCGCGGCCACGGCGGCCACGACGGCTGGCGGGCAGGTCGTCAGGGAACTATAGGAAAAACGCCCTGCGATTTAAAAACATTTAAGGCAGCGTGCTTGTTCGGCCCCGTTGTCGGTGGGCCTGGGACGACAAGCAGTGATTCACGACGAGGACCACGGGTTGTTGGAACGAGCCTGGATATATACGAGAGGAAGTCGGATCTGTAATGTTTAATGACTGGCACACACACACACACACACACACACACACACACACACTCACTCACTCAAGGCACATGCGGTTCAAAAAGCCGCCCGGCATCTGACGAGGTCCCTATTTCGAGGGAAGTCTACACAAAACGTACGGTTTTCCGTTGATGCCGGAAACGACAGGGCGGGAAGCCGCGGGGATAGTGCAAGAATTCTTTCTCCGCCGCTCCGTGTTGCGAGCGGAAGCAGAACTGGACGAAGGCGTACTCTAACAGCGGCGTGCACTTGGCGTTCCGATGCCTTGATTTCTGGGAGACTTTATATAGAACCTCCAGGGGGCCGGCGACTAACTTATATGCCATGTACAATTTCATGAAAAAGAGGAAATAGATGCACACAATCACGATGACCAAACTTCGAGCGCAAGGCCTATGCTGGAAACATGTTTTCAGTGGTATTCTCTTTCTTGGTCTGGCGGTCGTTCAGAAGCTCGGCCTCCTGTGACTATGTACAGTTGTATTGCTGTTCTTACAGCATACATTCCGGCTGTTTTCTCGGGAACTAACACACACAGCTCAATAACCACAGGCGACGTCACACTACAACCGGAACGAGTAAACCCTCAAAGACCCATCGTCGCCAGCGACCGCGAGCTCTTCCCTCTTGCTCGTCGTCTCCTGTCCAGTCTCAGCGCCCGAGGGCGACCCCGGCCGCCATGACAGCTGCAGCACCGCCTTGGCCAGACACAACCCCGCCGGGACCTCGATGCTCGCCGCCACGCTCAGCGAGGCAGAGTCGATCCGGTGGACGGTGATGTTTCCGGCCTCGGTGCCGACCGCGAGGATGAAGTGGTTGCTGCTGCTCGCGTGCGGGAGGAAGTCGATTGCTGTGACGGGGTGTGTTGACGGTATCGAGCTCGCGAGGACGATGCCTTGTGAGGAGGAGGGGGAGGGAGCCGCAGTCTTGTCGTCTCCAGTGTTTGCCACATCTGATGACGGTGCTGGTGAGGCTTCTTGAGGCGCTGGATCTGGGGAGGATGGTGAGGGCTGGTGCCATAGCTTGACCTGCTTGTCGCGACCCGCCGTGGCAAACACCAGACGACGAGGCTTGGCGGCTTCCAAACCGCTACCCGACGTCGTGGGTGGTGGTGCCCATGCGGCGTCGAGAATCATACGTGTGTGGCCCTTGGGGTTAGTCTGCTTCAGCTTGAAAGAAGTAGCACCACCAGCACCTCCACCCTTCCTGGTCCCGCTCTCCTCGGATGTGGTCGGTGCTGCATTGTCCTCGTTCTGCTCCCGCTCAAACACCGCCCACGCCCGATCTCTGCCGACACTCAGCAGGTACCGGTCGTCAGACGACCAGCGGAGCCTCGTCGCTGTGAGGGTGTGCGCCGCGAGCGGCGGGCGGATCTCTGTCCAGCGCTCCGTCTCGAACAACCTGATGACGGCGTGGTTGAGCGAGCTCGCCTTGCAGGCGCTGGCGATGAGCTTGCCGTCGTGGCTGGCCGCGAGGCACGAGATCTCGTAGCCGTGGCCGTACAGCTTCTCGGCCTCGGGCCAGAGCGTGTGCCGGCTGAGCATGTCCTCAAAAGGCGGGTGCGAGACCGAGGTCGGCGCGAGGAGGGACTTGCGGACCGTCGTGGCCGGGTCGAGGGCATCGCGGTCCGTGTTGTGCGGGTCGGTAGACGCCGGGTCGAGCTCCACGTCGTCGTCGACCGCCTCGATCGCCTTGTTGGACAGGCCGAGCACCGGCATGTTGGCTGCGTCGGGGAGGGCGCTGGCGTCGTTGCCCGGCGCGGCGATGCCGCTCAGTCCTTCGAGCAGGTTTGCTACGGCTTTCGGCTCGCTGAAAACTCGCATGAGCTTCTCGTCCGCTCCCGACACAAAGGAGGTGGCGCCCAGAGTGTCGATGCAGTTGAGATCGTAGCCGTGGATCTGCGGTCTCGACATCTCGTGCCACGTCTCTTGCTCTTCATTCTCCTGACCCGGCCGCTTCCACGAAGCATGGAGTCTCGTCGTCTGATCCAGACTCGTGGACAGGAGGTAATCGCCGTTCTTGGCCCACGCTACGCCAGTGACGCCCCGCGTGTGCCCGCTGATACCGACCTGCGGCAGCCACTGGTCGTCCTTCTCGTTGTAGTTCCACAGTCGCCATGACCCCGTCCGCCCTAGGCACGTCACCGAGTTGCCGTCGGCCGACCACAGTCCTGTCCAGAAGCCGCCCGTGCTGCCTGTTGCCGTGGTCGCTCCCTTTTCCCTGCTGATCTCACCGAGACGTACAGCGGACAACCAGATTCCCGAGGTCGGATCGGCCTCCCATATCGTGAGCGTGTTATCTGCTGATGTGGAGAGGAGCTGTAGGCGTGCAGCCTCTTTCTCCGTGCTGTCATTGGTAGTGGCAGGTCGGCGGACGAACCACTTCGCGCTGTAGATCCAGTCGTCGTGTCCCAGAAGCAGTGCTTCGAAAGTCACAGAGTATTCCTTTCCTTCTGTCCCGGCCTTGAGGCGATGCACCTTGTTCGACGGCGACCGCCCGGGCAGGTAAGCACCAAGGGACGGGTCATTGCCCTCAGCTCTCACTGTGGGCAACTCCGTCCCGGCGTGGAACCTCCAAAGGCGGATGTACTTGTCCTGGCTGGCCGAGGCGAGCAACAAGTTGCCATTCCCGGCCTCCTGGGGATCTCGCACAAAATCGAGAGACCTGATCCAGCCTTCGTGCCCGGATAGCGTGGCCTGGTGCTTGAAGTCTGGGTTCTGCGCAGACTCCGCGACGAAAAGCTGGATCGTATCGCGCGTGCCTGCCGCCGCCAGGATCAGGGGGCTGTTGGCTGCCGTGTCGTCCAAGCGGCTCATTGCGATGGCGAGGGGGAAGAACTTGGGCGTTGGCTTGATTGTCTGGACCACGCGGGACTCCGTGCCATCGAAAGTCCATACTTTGATTGTGGCGTCGGCCGCTCCCGTGGCGAATATCCTCTGATCATTTGACAAGGATGAGGACGTATTGTTGCTGAGCGTGGCGATACAGTTGACTGGCGCCGTGTGGCTCTGGGTGGTCTGTATGCACTCTGCTGTAGTGGCAAGACCATCTTCGCCTTCGGACGATTTCAAGGACCATATCTTGACAGCCTTGTCATCTGATCCGGTGACAATGTATGAGAAGCCCTCATGATCCCTTGCTGCTCGCGGCAGGAACTTGACTGCCTTGACCACCTCGCTGTGACCTGAGAGCAAAGCTGTGATGCCTCTGTTTGTTGAGTCCTGAGTCGGCTCATGTTAGCATCTCAACTAGTTGATATAAGTGCCTCCGTAATTGGGTACCAGGGCGGCTTCATCTTATCAGACGGCACCATACGCGAGTACTTGTTATCTACCAACGCACAGCTCACGTCTCCATCCTTTCTCATTTCGGTCGCAAACAGCTCCTACCAAGATGAGAGGTCACAGGGCCAAGAGACATTCCAGGGCCGTGAAACAGAAGCGCCATCAAGTCAATGGAAGAAGACGGACGCGCGCAATAGAAGCCAGCCAGCCGGGGAAAAACAGACAAACAGCAAAGAGCAGAAAGCAAGGAGCAAAGAGCAAAGTAAACTTACCCTAGGCCGCCAGAGCGCAACATTCAAGTCCGCACCAAACGCCACCGTCCCGTCGGCACCCCAGTCCGCGACGGCCGTCTGTCGGTTCGCGCCCGCAGAGAGATACTCGGGAACCACGGCTGTCGAGGTGGTAGTGGTGGTGTCGCCATTCCCGCCACTATGGGCCGGCCTCATTGGCAGGCTTGTCGATGCCATCGTCGATTGTGAGTCTGATGGCGTTGTCACTGTTGGTTCTGTGCTTGTTGTTGTTGCTGTTGTCGTTGTGGCCGTCGTTGCCATTTTCGCCAAACGCTGGTTTTTCTTCCTACTCTCTCCTCAAGGCCCTTGGGATAGTGCTGGCCACAAGCGGCGGAGCTGCTGCCAAGTCTCCACACGGATATAAGCGTATGCTTGTGTGTGCGTATGCTCGTGGGCGAACGGACGAGTCAAGACGGCACTATTGCGTGCAAGGAATGAGTGAGGTATCCTCGTTGCTGAGCCCTGCTGCTTCCCCCTGCTTTGCGACTAACACCACCCGCCTACGTGTGCATCAAAGTTCCGTCGCCGAGGAATTGGTTGGAGCCCGCCGAGAAAGAATGCAGCAAGGATAGGCGTGCTTCTCCTTTTTCTTCTTTTGGGTATCAAAGATGGCAAAGAAACGTCGATGTCCTGCTCAAATAGTCCAAAGTGTGCAGCTTTTACAGAGCCTGGACAGCTCACGCCATTTACAACCTCAAGTTGCTTGCTGCCTTTTGGCGTTCGCTGCTGCCCCTCCAATGTGGGAACTTTTTTTCTCTGATGGTGGTTTCCGGGCGGGCTGTAACTTGTTAGTCGCCAGATCCCTGCAGCATTATGTCGGGCTGGCAGATGCGTAGTGCCAAACTACCTCGCTCTGGCGTCGACGGGACTGTGGCTGCACAGCTGGCGTGCAGCTGCCAGACTATCCATCTTCAGTGTGCTTGAGCTGCTCTGGACTTCGTGGGCTTGTTTTATGTCGATTCCCTCTCGAGACAGTAAGCAATCGGAAAAATGAGATGTCAGTACTGATCGGGACCCTGGACAATACCACCCCCGATATGGAGATACTCGCACTTGTAGACAGGAAATGGGGCAAGTAAATATCGTGCCTTCTTTCTGATGAAGTATGTGAACGCTGTGGTTTTGAACGGACTTCCTGCTCAAATTTGCAAGCCGACTTTATTCTGCCTCTCTGTCCTTAAAATCAGATCAAATCAAGGAGCTTGAGAAACCAAAGACCCGTCTGCACGATGTGGTAAACACACTCAGGCAACTATGCCTATCGACTACTCTTCTGTTGAAAAAACGCCATATCTTTGCCTCCTAGCTACCGCAAAGTCAAATTCTGCGCGTCCATTGTTCGTTCGGGACAGAAGGCGAACCCGCCCGGTGCTCCAATGATGTTACAAAGCATCTATACAATCCCGGACCCCTTACCAAACCCTCACGCCGAACCGTCGGCCGCAGCACCACCGGCACCCGCGGCGGCAGCGGCAGCATTCTTCCTCTCGGCAAGGAAAGCCTCCTCGATGGCCGACTTGCGTCTAAACACGCGCAGCCACCGCTGGCCCCAGCGCTTTACGAGGTCCTCGTTCCCGTCAGCCGCGCTCGGGTCGAGCATCTGGTCCTTAGTGCCCTGCGCCCAGCTCGTGAGCGAGTCGTCCATGCTCTTGAACAGGTCGCGCATCGCCGCGATCTCGTCCTCGGCACTGACGTCCGGACCCGCTGCGTCGTCGCCGCCACTGCTGCTGCTTACGACCTGCCTGTGACGGCTGGTGACCTTGGCCACGGTGTTGAAGACGAGCTCAAACACCCATGCCTTGCTCAGCGCCTCGCCGTACTTGCCCGCCCGGTCGCTGACGAGCGCCCAATCAATGACCGCTGCGGGTGTGACGATCGAGTAATTGAGCAGCTTCTCGACAATGCTCACCGCGATGCCCGGGTGTGCCGACCAGTACGTCATGACTGCCGTGATAATCTGGGCCCGGACGGCTTCCGATGCGGCGCCCGCGTCAAGGAGTCTGTCCTTTGTGCGCTCGATGCACGCGAGCACGTGCGAGAGCGACTTGGACCCGACCCAGCACACGGCCGTCATGAAGATGTCTGTGCTTGTGACGAGAGGGTCAAGCGCCTGGTCAAGCGCTGTCGAGTGGATGCGATCGATGACAGGCTGGATCTCCTCATCTGGAGCTTTGCGCTTGAGTAGCGACGCGAGCTCCTTCCCTTCGGCGGAGAATGGCGTGTCTGTGTCCTTTGTCAGTATCAAAATGTTGGATGCACCAGGCTCAAGGCAGGCAAACGTACGCTCATCATTGTATTTGAAGTCTGGGGTGTCCTGCTCCTTCTCAGGTCCAATCAAGACCTGGTACGGCTCTGGAAGTGTGCCCTTGATACGCTGGGCGAAGCTGAGCCGGATCTCCTTGTCGAGGGCGCCAACGATAAAGGCCTTGCGAGGATCCGTGTTTGGCAGTTCTACGTCGTTCACCCACTCGGCCCACTTCCACATGAAGCCAAAATTGCTGAGGTGGTGTGTGAACCAGTCGAGGAAGCGGTAGGCAAGCTCGAGATCCAGCCAATGCTGGTTCTGGTACATGTAGCGGATGGCTCTCCCCAAGCTGGGAGCCACTGCGGCGGGGGCGAGTTTACAGGCATCGGTGAGCACCGCGTGGTAGTAAACGAGCTTCTGCTCGGGAGCAGGAAGCTGGAAGAGCTGCGAGAAGACCGCATCAACAGCAATGTCCTCAGGCTTCCAAGTCGAGCGACCATCGTCGATGTCCCGAAGGCGATCAAACGGCGTAGCGCGCTTGACGAAGGTGCCCGGCGCATAATAGCAGTCCACGTCGATGAGGAACCGTGCGGTGACTGTGCGGTTGAAATGTAAAACATTGATGGTGTCGACCAGACCGTCTCGGATCAACGAGGAGGCGAGATCGCTTGTCGGCGGCACGGACTCGATCTCCTGGTTGGCGTATACCGAGAAGTATATCTCCGGGAACAGAAGCCGGGGTCCAGCCACGACGGTCTCTGGGATTGTGATAGGAGGGAGCGCGTGCTTCTGCGCACTGTCGAGCTTCTCCTGCTGCTCAATTTCCTCGGGAGGCATTTGCCACGGCCGTGGCAAGCAAGACAGCGCCCAGCCATTCGTCGCCTCCTTTTGTAGTTGGTTCTGGAGCAGGCCAATCAAGCTGAGGTTGGCAGTCGGGCTCTCCTCGCCTTCTTGGACCTGGTATGGATCGATCAGGACCTGGAGCGCGTGCGGTTCGGAGGCGATGACGTCGGTCTTGTCCATGATCTCGGCGGCCTTGTGCTGCCACTGGCTTGCTGGCCCGGTGGCCATGATGTATGGGATCGTGAGCAGGATGATCTTGACGATTTCGGTACCGATAGTCTATTTCGCAGGACATTCGAGATATTAGCCACCAAACAAGCCAAACTTGGGCGCGTGTGCGCGCGTTGTCAAAACTGGGCACCTACATCATCTGAGCTAGCAGTCTGCAAATCCACGGCGCGGCTGAACAGCTCCTCTAGCACGGGGAACAAGCCGTCACCCTCGAGGCATGCCTGCAAACAGGCAAGCAGCTTCAAGTAGAGCTTGACCTCGCGCCACTCGCCGGCCTGGATCCTCTCCTGTGTGGCGCTCGCAAGGCGGGCGAGCAGGTCGCCGAGAAGCTCTGGCTTGAGGGAGTTGACGACGAGCACGACGGCGGCGACGAATGGGGTCTTGAGCGGCTGCTCGACGGCCATCTGAGGAATCAATTCGAGCAAGCAGGCGCGGACGTCCTTGTCGTCGGCCGGCGCATCTACAATGAGCTGCGCGACTGCTTGCACCTCCTCGTGCCAGCGCTTCAAGGGCGTCTCGGCCAGCCCGAGGAGCTGCTTGCGGATGCGCGTGTGCGCCGGCGCGTCGTACCGCCGTCTCTGGTTGCGGCGATCGTAATCGTCGTCATCTGAGGAGGGAGTGATGGATGTCAGCGAGCTGATGACCCAGCTCAATGGCGCAACGCGCCTGCGCGGAGGTGTCCGGAGTGGTCGTGGGAACTGCGGCTCTCGCAAACTTACCTCGATACCGCCGCTTGCGACCTCCATAGCCGCCTCCGCCACCGTGGTGTCTGTTCTCGTGATCGCCCATGATGTCAAGGATGCCGATTGACAGCTGTGAAGAGGATTGAAACCACGTTTGGGGCCGGGGACGGCACTCGTTGTGCTTCGTAGCGTCTGCTGTGAGCTCCGTCTGAATTTCTGCAGGGGGCTTGGACACGCTAGCGCAGCAACGAGCCAGGCACAGTAGGGTGTGACGCGCACTGAGCACGGACCCTCGAGTGAGTTGGGTCTCCACGAGCTCGGCGTCACTTTGCACGCATCACAGAAACCTCACCCATCTTGAGCTTCGCTTACAACGATGCCTTCTTGGGAAAGTCACTTCTTCTTCTGGGGCAAATGTTCTGTCCGGCAGATGGGACATTGCCGCATTTTAGATCGGCACGTCTTTGAAGAATTATGCAATTTGACTAGTATTGTTTTTGATATTCGAGTCGGACATGTATTGAGACTTGCATCCATGGTCCAGCAGCAGTGCTGTACACTTCTATTTCGCCAAACTCGAGCTGCACAAGTGATTTCTCGTCCTTTTGAACCTTTCTTTTGCTTCACCCGCTTTGGGGTATAGTCCGCTGCATCACGGTAGATAAGAAATAGGAAAATTAGTCTGGCTGGTGGAATAGCGCCACCCCGGGACATCCGATCGGTGTTGCAAAGAAACCCCCATAGGCGTACCGAGCATGGATTCAATACACCGTCTTGTGTCTTCCTCCTGAGCCCGTTCTGACAAATGCAGCCTTGACCTGGTTGTCCAACAAGCTTTGAGCACACCAGCATACGTCGTGTGCCTCGTTTGATCTGTAAAAGAGTTTGCAACGAGTCGCCGCAGTTTTCCCGACCGTCTCGCTCCCGAGCGGGACAGAGACGTTGGGAAAAGCAAGATGCCGTGCTAGATCAGTAAACAGAAGTCTAAGGACGCCAGTCGAAGATCGCTTCTTGGATGTTTGTGTCCATGATTCATGTTGGCATTTGCCAGAGTTTCAAAGCTGAAGCGTGCACAAATCGGCATTTGTGGAAACCTGCAATTTTCCAGACCAAAATTCCCTCTCCTTGACAACCCTAAAGGCTGAAGATACAGCAATGTCTCTTGAGTCTCTGGCATGCAGTGACTAGACTCAAAGGACGTAGCTCTCGCGCTCCAGTCACTGCTTCAGGAACCCTCATTTTGTGTTTCTGTGCTTCGTCCGTTGAGTCATTGCCATTGTGCTCAGAAGGTCCGAGGTGTCGGCAAGCAACGGGCGGTACTGGGGCTCATGTTTTTGCATCAATCCAGCTTGGCCATCATTTCTGACTTGGCCAGTGGTGTGAAGTTGTCGATGTCGAGCCCCCTGGAGAGGAGAACGGGCTTCATGTGAGCTGGGACGAGCTTGTGGTTCAGCTGTGGCGCTATGGAGAGTTCTGTGTTCACCATGATGTGATTAGCAAGGGCGGCAGAAAACAATATGCTATGTGAAGGACGGCATCATACCGTGCTTGGAGAAGTCAAAGAGGCTGGGTAGATCTCGAAGATTGCCCGTTGAGTGGCGGGAGTCTGGGAGCTTGGTTCCCGGATCCCGCAGCTCATCGAAGAAGGGATGGACCATCGCGTCAATCGCGCTCAGGCGCTCTGTGGGAGTATACTCGAGAAGCCGCCCGATAAGATCCAACGCATTGGCGTCTGCCCTGCGGAAGACCTTGCTGAAGGGATGGGGCTTGATTTGTGGGAACTTGTGCTCCATGTAGTTGGGGTTCATTGTGCGGATCTGGTCCCTAGTTGGTGTTCCAAGCACTTTGATGATCTCCACCAACTGGTCAATGCCTGATTCACCAGGGAAAAGGGGCTGTCCAAGCATGAGCTCTGCCATGACACAGCCAGTGGACCATACGTCTGCGCATCGTTAGCATGCAACTCGACCCAAGAGGCGACAAAGTCTATGCGCTTACCAATCTTGGTAGTGTAGTTTGTCGCACCAAAGATGAGTTCTGGAGCACGATAATATCTGGAGCAGATGTACGAGACATTTGGCTCATTCTCGACAAGGATTTTGGCGCTTCCAAAGTCGCACAGCTTGAGTATGCCACTGTTTGGGTCAAGGAGAAGGTTTTGTGGCTTGATGTCGCGATGGCAAATTCCTTGTGAGTGGATGTATGCGAGGGCGCGGAAGAGCTGGTAGATGTAGAGCTTGACCTCCAGGATGGGCATGGTCGTCTTCATCTTGTTGAAGAAACGAGAAGCTCGGTAGACAGTCTCAGGCACAAATTCTTGCACCAAGTTGAGGTAGACTTCGTCCTTCTGTGATTCTGTTAGTGCTCGGCACACACGGGACTGGATGGTGCACGCAGCCTCGGAAGAACGTGCTTACCCGTTCGCCATTGCTGTAATAGAATGCCTTCAGCTGTACAATGTTCGGGTGCCGAACGATGCGCATGATCTGAAGCTCACGGTTCTGTTGGCAGCGACGAGTTTTGCGTTAGCATTCACAGAGTCGATACGCCTGAGGGGAAAGCATTCAGCGGCAAGCAGATCTAACCTTGAATCTCTTGTCCTGAAGAACACGCTTGATGGCTGCATCTTCTCCCGAAGGAGACAGCTTGGTCTGGAACACTACACCAAAGGAGCCGTTGCCGACAATCTTGCAATTGGTATACTGGAGCTCTCTAGTCTCTCCGGTGATTCCATCCTGCACTTTCTCTCGCACGATTTCTGTCGCAAAAATTTAGTACCACGGGTGGAGAAGAGGGCTGGCCATCGCTCATGCATGGAGCTGGTGTCCTTACCTCCCATACGGAGCGTATTGAACGCCGCTGTCGGGCGATTTTGGGACATGCTGAAGACTGTAGAATTGCTCGGAGGGACAGTCTTGTCGCTGGGCTAGCACGTCTTGTTGTGAAAGTCGCCGGGGATGCTTTCGCGCTTTGAAGGCGTGGTGGTGCGAGAATGTCCTGACGCTCCGAACCGAGACGAGTTGCTCGCTACTATTTGTGGATGCCGTCGAACCTGCCAGTGCCAATGGAACGATCTTGCACGCGCAATTGGAACGAAGGACGGGATCGGATGGAGCAGCCCAGCGAGGTAAGATGCAAAGACGCCGCGGAAGCCGGTTTCGAAGGATCGAGTGCTGGCGGAGGCGTGGAATTGAGGCGGGTAGTGATGTGCTAGGCCGATGCTGGTTGATGGCTGGGAGCGGGCCACGAAAGGCAGTGGTGGCCCAGAGATCTGGAACGCGGGGTCAAGGATTTGCGAGATGAGGAAATCGTGCCGTGGCTACATGAAAAGGCAAGGAGAGACGAGACGGGAGGTTAGCACATGCAAGAATCCTTAGGAAGCAGAGGTCTCGCTTGACTCGCAGCGATGAGGGATGGGGCTGACTCCAGGAAGGACGAAGGCACATACGAGAAAGAGGGTGTATCGAGCGGGGTGGGGATGGCAGGAAATGCAGGTGGGCTTTCTGGACGGGGATGGGGAGTGAGCAGCGGGCCCGTGGTGGCAGCAGCTGCGGTGGAGGGCGAGGGACGACGCAGACGAGCAGCGGCGGCGACAGCGGGCGGCGGCGGCGGCGGGGGTGGACAAGCACTTGCAGCCCAGCCCATGAGGTAATAGCTGGGGCAGTTCTGAGCAGTTGGTCTCGGGCACCCTGCCACGCTAGCCCAGCAGCAGCAGCAAGAGGCGACAAAAGAGGCAGAGAAGACAGAGAGACGGAGACCACCACCAGCAGAGCCGGGCGGCAGGGCCCGAAAGAGGACCTGGTGAGGCAACACTGCAGATGCAGCAGGGCCATGGATGGCCTGGGGCAAGGAGACGGCCGCACGCTGGCTCGTCCTTCAAGAGATGGACTCGGCCCCCGTGGAGACACCAATAGGCTTTGCCAGCTGTGTACGTGTTCTCGCCGCTCGTCTCGCAGAGACCGAGATGCAGCACTCGAGAGGGCAACTGCTTCTCGACTGAGGTTGGGATGTCATTGCGCGAGGACACCACTGTCTCTGGTGCGTCTCCATCCAAGTCGCACGCATCAGATGAGCGACTGCATATGCTGGAGGGGCGAGGGTACGGTAGGGCAGTGACGCTTCGACGAGGCACTGCACGTGCGTGCCTGCGCAAGACTGGTGTCTTTGTCTAACTCTGGTCTCTAGAGGCCTGGGCGGGTAATGGGCTTGGAGCGGGGGGCTTTGGGCCGGTGGTCGGGCACGCCAGTCTGCAGAGCTGCCGCGTCCGATCCCGCGACCGACGAACGGCTACAGAGTACGTGGCTCAGCAGGGCCACGATGGCCAGGCTCCGGGAGTTTGTGTCTTGCCCATCGCAGGAGAGGCTTCTCTGGCGCAGGTCCAGCGCACTGCGGGGGCTTGAAAGGACCTTTGACGTTGTTCGAAGGAGACGGGCAGTGGTGAAGCTCGACAGGGCGGCTGCAAAGCTAGCTCTATCAAGAGGGGAGCACGCGAGGCTGGTCTGGGGAACTGGACGGCGCGGTCTGGAACGGGCACTGGGTTTGCTGAGGCTCACCTTTGGATCGTTCGGAGCCTGTAGAGGCCACTTGCTGGCTCTGTCGGGACTCGATCAAGAGGCGTCGCGGAACGGAATGGTCGTTACAGATGTCGGCGATGATGGCACGAGAGAGAGAGTCGAGCTCGAGTCTGGGCGGGCGCGGCAGGCAGGGCCGGGGTCGTCAGAGGTTGGCTGTGGCTGCTGGACGAGTTGGGAGCTGTGATGTGAGGGGTCGAATTGAGGGCGTCTGAGCATGGGAGCTCTCGAGGCCGTGCCGGGGGGCCCTGGCCCGTTGATTGTGGTGAGCCTCCTCTCTGCCCAGGTGCCTCTTCTGCCCGGATGGCGAGGTGGGCCTGGCTGGGCGTGGTGGGGCCCGCCGCTCGAGCATGTTGTGGGCACCAGGTGCCCATCCATCCTCGAGCGAGCACCACCACACGATGCTCCTGCCCGGTGTGGGCCACGGGCAGGTCTTGTGCCTCATGGTGGAGTCCTCTGGGGCCATGGCTGACCTCAGAGCACCCGCCAGCAGCAGCACGGCGGGGTCCGCCTGGTCTGTCCACGCCTCTCCATGATGGCATGAGCTCCTCACGTGGCCTTCGGCAGTCTTGCCGGTCAACTGCACTCCGTCACATAACTACTGCTTCTGAAGCCGCTCCGTCGGTGCTCACCATGGATCACCAATGTCCTGGTGCGGACGGACGTGGGCAGTAATTCATCTTCCACCGGTACGGCCCGCCCTGGCCGTTTCTGTTGAGATGGTGCTGCATGTCTCACAAAATGTTCTACGCTCAGGGCGGTGGCTGGCTGCATCAATAGCAACACGAGTTATGTGCTCGCATCACCCTTCTATCATCCGAGCGCTCGTCGCTACCACAAAGACGGGCTTTCGCTCCTTCTGGGCTTTCTAGCATTTTGCCGTCAGCCAAAACCACGAGTTGGTAGCCCGTCAGAGGCCCTGAAGACATGGTGGCCACCTAGACCCCTTGACAATGCTGAAGCTCCAGGCTCTACATCTCGTTGGAGTCTGAGGAAGACTGAACCATGAGGTGTTTGACCAAATCTTTGGTGCGGGTTATTATACGCTGTCCCGTGATCGTGGCTCGCAAGACTGGTGCTCCAGTCGGAATCGGCTGGGCCAACGTTACAGACGATGCATCGCTTAATAGGGACTCGATTATTGCGGGCCTGGAATGCGCCTGGGAAAGGTTGCATACGGGCAGCTTTTGCGGGCTCTTCGAGAGGGTTCGCACCGTCATGACTGGTTAACCTGTTTGGTGGTAATTTCGCGCCATTGAGCTGATCGACAACGGTGATCGTCTTGATGACCCCTGCTGGTGACACTGCTTTAATTATGTCTCGACGCGGCCGCTGTTTCGTTGATGGTGTAGTAATCTCCGTGGGTAAGGGCGAGTTCAAATCGCCATGAGTGGTCGGTCAATCAGCAGTATTGTGTTGGGACTTTGAGCAGGCTGGGATTTGTCAATCGAGAGCACCGCCGTGCTGTCCATGAGCTGCCCAAGCATTGATGACGGCTACTCAGCACGGCGTGGAATAGGGCCTTGCCGTCTCTGCACACACATAAAGCCAAGATTAAACGTCCTGCGTATTGTCCAGAGTAACAGGTGCTCCTGGTGGCGTTCATCGCCAAGTTATGAAGTCCCTGGACAAGCAATGCGGACTCCGCGGACAAAAGAATGCAAGACGGCGAGATGACGACTATCTGGCGCGACCTCAGCACGACTTGATGTCAAATGGTGTCGTCTAGTTGGTCAAGGCCAAGCGGTAGCGGCGCTTGCCGGGGTCTGCTGCGGCCGAAGGACCTTGAGATGAACTAAACCAGGCCAGCCTAGTAGTGCTCCTTGGATGACGCCGTCAGAGCTAAATGCGGAGCGGTCAAGGTCAAGGATGGACCGCGGATCCGGTTCCGAGCAGGTCTGAAACATCCCATGGATGGTGGTGGAGGGTGCTTGAATATTGTCTCGATGGTTGATGTATGAACATGTTGTTGCTGTTGATGCCCTTGTTGATGTCGTCTTTCGTGAGCGAACGCTGTGGCTGTGCGTGGGCATCGTTCTCCTCACAGCAACCTCCCACCCGCGACAGTCACGCCGCCAGGTGCAACCAGAAACTCCGCTCACCCTGAACCAACTGGGAGGCGCCTGGGATGCAGGATACGAGAGCAACAAAGGCGCTTGTCTCTCTAGGCGACGCTGGAGAGGTCTGGAGCAGGTTCACGAACCAGGTCGAACTCACCAAAGCGCATTGGCCCATAACTCATTGGCCGGATACCCGCCCGTCACGGACCACTTTACTTGCCTTAGTCAGCATCAGGCACAGCTGAGGGCCTGGCGGCGCGTGCCCATCGCCCGCGAGCGCACTGCTCCAACCAGCCAACCATACGGGATGCGTGTGCTGACCGGTTTCCCTCGACTTGGCGTCGCCCCACTGCCCATCTGGTGCAACCCAATCTGTGCCAGATGAGATCCACGGCACCAACACAACACAGCACAAGCACGCACAGTGGCCAGCAGCAGGGGTCCGTTGACGACAATGCCATTGACCTTGACCTCGACCGCCTCGGACCAACGACAACGAGCAACTGCAGAAACAAGAAGCGCGGCCATCCAGCCGATTTATGTCAGCTTCTGCGCCTCCAGCAGCCACGCCGACGGCAGCTGATAAGCTCAGACAAGCCCGCCTTGGTCCGCAGACCAGACAGGAGCCAGCGCCCGCCAGGCGAAACGCCTTGCCGAAACGGACGGCTGAGGGTGGGATGGCAAGCCCGCGTGATCCCCCCTTCCGAGCACCTGTTGTTGGTCGCCCCAGAATTCAACGTTTCTGGCGCCCTGCCCTGCCTGCCCCGGCCGGCCCTGGTCTGGAGAGCTTGACAGCGACTGAGCCTCAACCCCGCGCCTGGGCTATGTGCGAATGCTTGGAAATCTTTGCGTGGTCAGCAGACAGGCTTCTGAACCCGATCCCGGTAGGCAGGCAGGCAGGCAGGCAGGAGGAGCCGGCCACAGGACCGTTCATGTGTCCGAGCTGTCTTTTTGCTTTTTCCTCTTTTCTCTCTTGACAGAAGAGTTTTCCGAGAGAAGGCACCGTGCAGAGAACACAGAGAACGACATATCGAAGCGACTGTCTCAGGCCATCTGAGATTGCTGGTGTCTGCGCCGCTGCTGTGGACAGACTGCCGCGCACCACGACCAGGGCTCCCAAGCTGCGTGCGTGTCCCAGGCATTCTGAAGGTCATGGGATCACCTCTGGCTCGTACTAGCGCCGGCCCAGCGCAGGCCAATGTACGCCACAGCTTAAACTTGCCGCAGAGTCCACGACAACCACGAATCCTGCCGCCACGCCGCGTTGAGCGACAATTGGTCCGTTCCTGAATTGGCCTGCTAAAGGCACATGTCATGCCGTCGTCTCCTCATCTGCATGAGCGTTTTGTCGACAAGATTGCCGCATGGTCTTGTCACAGACATAGACGTCGCATGGCACAGTACAGCGCATACAGAATCGCCTCTACGTCTGGCTGCAGCGTGCCGGGGGACGCTTCTTGTACAGCACTGTATCCTTAAGATCACCATCCCAGTATTCGATATGGCGGACAGCGCTGACCCACGCCGTCCGGTCTGATGACGATCAGGCACTCGGAATCCTGGCCACGCCAGGGCTCCAAGCAGTAGGCTCACAGCTTCCCGGCGAGCCGGTCTCGCTGGGCTGGCAGGCTAGGGCAAGGCACCCCAGCCCCTGGCGGCCACTCCCAGGGACTCCTGTCGGGAGCCATTGGCCTGCTGGCCCGGCGTCTTGGTGGGACCGGTACGCCATTTCTTGGGTACACGTGAACAACTAGTTTCTGCAACTCGGGCTGCGTTCAACGATGTGGATCGCCGCCAAGTATCCACCTGCACCCTGGCCCGGGCAGCCCGCCCAGGATTGATAGGTACGTCTGCAAGTCTAACTTCGTCTTCGGATTCACACGCAGTTCCGATCTCGCCTGTTCGAGGTCATGTCCTCGTCAAATGGCCGATGGACAATCCAATGCCTTCGAATGCATCATTGCAGGGCTAAGGAGTGTGTTCCAGTGTTGGGAATCTTCCGAGTGGCAATTGGTTGCATCAACACTGTTCTTGTCAAACCAGCCCATGAGCGGCACGCAGGCCAGCCCAACCGTGGCACCGACCCCTGGCCAGCAAATGCCGACATCGCCTTTGCCAAACGTCTCAATACTAGTGTGCCGAGTGCGACAAGACAGCGAATTTGCGCTTGCCATGTGAATCCTTGTCGGCGCCGTCCACGTCAACCACAGGGCAGTGCTACTAATTCCAGGCACAGATGACACATTTCGGCGAATTCCAAACCGCGTCAGGCTGGCAGGCCTAGGGATGGGACTAGCCACAAGAACCCTTGAAAACAGTAGAGCAACACATAGGCTCAAAAAGGCGGCTGAAGAAAGCCTAGACCGCTCGAAAGCACCGGCCGCCGGGGAGCCCTCTCTTTGACGTCCGTGAATACCCAGGCGGTCACGATGCATCTGACTCGACTCGGAACAAAATGCGTGCCGCTGATCACCTCCTATGGGCGGCTGCCCAGCCTACCTATTCGAGACTTGGCCCTTGCTCTATTTGGTCGGACCTTGCATTACTCTCCGCTAGTGTGGTAGCCGTGATGGGCCGGGGGACCACGGGAGATGGACACACTTGCGCGCGGTCACGGACCATTTCTTACGGTGGATATTATCACGGGATCTAATGAGGTTCTGGTCACAGGTTCGCGCGAATGGGTAACCCGTCAGGGGGATCCCTCCGGATGGGCCGGCCAGGACCCTTGACCAAAAGGCAATGGTCGCTTATCTAGATCCCCAGCCGTGACATGCTGATATTTGTATGTGCTAATACATGTTGCTTAAACTGGTGGACGGCCCTCGATATGCACTGACCGTGCTTTTCACCAGCAACATGTAGTCGCGTCTCACGACAGGTGCCACGACAGCTCATTGGGATGAGAATGTGGCTGCTTGTTGTCACGTCGCGGTCAGCTAACCGTGTACGAATAGCTTCTCTCCTCCTCACTGAACGGGGAAACTATTCCGGAAACCTGATGATTTACCAGTGATATATGGCTATACCGTCATGACCCTGCCGTGCTCTGTAGAGTGGTTCCATCATGTCTTCTTCTGGACAATACACCTTGTATCTAGAGGCGTTCTTGCCTAGGGGTCCGAGATGAGTTAATGTAAGACAGTCCAGAGTCCGTTGGTACCTCCCAGGATCCCCCCCCCCCCACTTCCTCCCTATCTCTTTGCGGCTCAAAATCCTGCTGCCACTGTCTGTTACGAATGGAGAAGCTGGGAACCGGAAATTGACTGTGGTAAAAAATAAATAGAGAAAACTTGCCTTTTTCCCAATTTTGGGGGTTACGCATTTACCGCGGTTGTCAATGATGCTCGAACGATCGACGCAGATCATTCATCTTGCACTGGCTTTCTTCGTCGACTGGCTACGCGGTGATGAGGCTTCCAACTCTCCGTCTAGTTTCGTGTTGCAGGCTTCTAGTCCAGGGAGAGCTGATGTATCTGTTGGTCTTACTAGCCTGGACGGACCAGACTCATGGAGTTCGAGAATTCACATGTAGGAGTAGGGATACATTACGTCAGTGTACATGTGTTGTGAAGTTGTTCTCACGCAAATAGCGGATCGATCCATACCAGCAAATTTCATGATTAGAATGATTCACCGTGCAGGCACCACCTTTGGGACATTTGTTCGTCTCTATGCTAGCTATGATTCGTATGGGGAATGGTGGCCGCTTGGAACCTGAGTGTTATCGGATGTTTGGTATCACGGCCGAGGGGGCTCGGTGGAAACCACTGGGAAAGCCTGCTAGAATGGTTGCTTAGATATATGTGTTGAAGGCAGCAACCTTGTCGAGGAATGTGATTACAGTGCCCTTGAGTATCGGAGGAAAACTCTGTAAGGGCCGAAGAGTTTCACAACAGGAGTTCGATGCACTGGGTATGAGATGACCCCAAATTCAGCCGTCAGCCGTTGTCTCTAGACGTGTGGAGCGAGGCGACATCTTGTCGCCCAGGACTCCAACCAGCGCCGTAACGTCAATACAGAACCATTTTTGTTGCCTTTAAGTATACAAACTACTGAGGATCTATGCTGACGGACAAACATACAATATAACTCCAGCGAACACAAACCGAAACGCGTTCACAACATGAAAAGCTAGTCCTCGTCCGCCACCTTGTCCCGTACAGCGTCGGCTGCAGTGTTGATGACCCTCTCCGGGGGCTTGTCGACGACAAAAACGGGCTCGGCCGGCGACGACAAGCCACCTCCCGGGAACGGGGCAGGGGTGTCCGCGCCGCTGCTCGGTATCGAGGCGGCACGCATCCGGATGTCCTCTGGTGATCCTGGGACGGTGTTTGGGTCTACGCCCGGAATGTGGATCCTCTTTGCCTCGTTCTGGTATGCTGCCGGGATGATCTCTATAATCTCGTTGCGTGGGAACTTGAGCTTCGGGATGTCCATGGTACCGACGTGCATCAGGTATGCATAGAGCACTCGCAGCACACTTTCGTGGGCAATGATCAGAAGGTCGTTCTGCTCGCGCTCGAGTTCGAGGATGATTGGCTCCAGCCGGACGGCAAGATCATGGTACGATTCCGAGCGAGGATAGCGGTGGTGGTAGGGGTCCAACTCGTGCTTCTCAACTTCCTCGGGGTACAATCTGCGGATGGCACGCTCGCTGAGCTTCTCGCAGACGCCGGGGTTAATCTGCGCCATCTGGCTCCGCTGGCGGACCTTGAATCCGTGCTTCTCAAATACTTCAGCGGTCTGAACGGTTCTCGAGCGGGTAGAGCACCAGACTGTCAGGGGCTGAATCCCGATATCCTGGCCGGCCTTGGCGACAATGGCGGCGTGCTCCTGCTCGCGATGCTTCAACAACGCCTCCGCCAGCCGCTGAGCGTAGGCGTGTCCGTCTTCAGACAGGGGAGCATCGGACTTGTAAGACTCTTCCCCTTCCGCAGGTCCGGCGCGGGCAAAGAACGTCGTCCGGTATTTGATATGAGTGTTGGTGAGGTAGAACACGATTCGGTGTGAAAGATAGTTGAACGAGACGTTATTGTAGAAGAACTTCTCGCCTGCATTGATCATCTTGATATAGTTAAGCTCCTTCTCATCCATGGTTTCAAACATCGGGATCTTCTCCTCGATGCGCTTAAGGTATAGTTTGGCTGCTTCCATGGGGTCCATGTCGGCAAACTACCAGCAGTCAGCCTTGGTGAAGTCAGGAGGAAGGTGCTATCAACTCACGTCAGGCGATGCGATTTTGACATTCCTGGCATTCTCTTGGAGAAGCTTGTCGTCATCGACATAAGACTCAAGAAAGAGTGTCTGTACAGATTTAGTAGTGGCTTTACATGTGAGATCGACTTAGCGCGCTCACCTGGACGTCGTGCTTTGCGAACTCCTTCGCGAGCGACCTTCGCCCACTGGCTGTGGGGTTGACAGCATCGTAGATGGCTACCTGACCATTCTCGTGATTCAACCAGCCATAAATGTCCTCGCGACACTTCTTCAGAATCTTCTGCCGGAGCATAACGGACGCCGGAGACGCATCTGGGTAGAAATAGTCCTCTGGCACCTGGCCGCTCTCGCCAACCGTTGCTCTCCGGTAATCACCCAGGTGAAAGATTCTGGTTTTGACTCCAAGCCTACGGCCACAGTCAGCAGCTTGCACTGGCGCGAGGAAGAGATGGTTCATGGCACTTACCATTGAAGGTACCGCGACATCGAGACAGAGATATGACTAAAAAAAAAGTAAGTATCTCGATCAACCACGTAATTTGCCCCGAACTGCACTCACGTCTTGCCACGAGCCGGGAGTCCGACCATCACAATCGCAATACGACCGGAGTGGAATAGCCTGCCGGACATTGTGCTGTATAGCTGGGCAGGTGCCCTGTCGGCGTCCTCTGGCACATCATGGATGCCGTCGATGAACGTGCTGCTCTTCCGGCGATATCTTGGTGCGTTGGCGGCGATGTCCGCGGTCCTAGTATTGTCAGTGGCTGAGTATTGCCAGAGACACAACAAGGCGCTTACAAGAGGGTGTCCATATCTGCAAACGTGCTCTTGAGGCTCTTTTCACGAATATTCTCAGCAGGAGGATAGCGGCACGAGTAGGATGCCGTTTGCCAGGGTTTAGTGGAGAGGAAGCGCCCGCCAGGCAAGCGATGGCACCAACGAAAATGGTCCTATACGCCACTGGTTCTGACGGTACAGCCTGGAAAGACTGGGCTTTGATATTTACTCTCTGGAACTGTCCTGCCTGCAGGTTTGCTGAGCAGTTGTTGGAGGGGTCCGTTCCACGGAAGATGGCGGAAGGGTGGGGCAGCCTGGGACAGGACTGTGAGGCAGGCACAGGCCAAAGGTTTCAACTGCCTGGGTGAGGGTGCGTGCTTGATGGGTCGCAAAGCCAGTGGACACCGGCGAGACTAGATGCGAAGCAGGGGAGCAGCTACAGTACATGCAATGACGCAGACGGGCGACTTCTGTCTAATGGCGTGGCATTTGCTTTTTGGTGTTGAGTGCGTGAGCTCTTATCTCCCCCGCCTCAACTTACTTGCGGCGACTAAATCGAGCACCGCACCTAAGTCCTCATACGTAGAGCTAGAGCTGGCAGCAGCTGACAAGAAACAACACACGGGGCGAGATGCTAGAGAAGGATGCGTTGGCCCAGGGCTCTCGGCTCATTGTCCCCTTGAAGCTCTCTCCAAACAAAAGCAAGCATGATGCCCTGGTATGTACTTCAGTAGTTGTGGATTGGTGTGCTTCACACACAGACATATACGGCTCTGACACAGCTCGTGTACAGCTGGCCATGGACTGCTCAGCAGCGTCACGATCATGTACAAGCATGTACCTGGCATTCACCAGACGAGCGGGCACTCAATGAGGCTTTCAAGTCACGACAGCACCCATGATAGCGCTCTTCCAGTTGTCGATAGCTCCGACGTCAGCTTTGACGCCCCCGGCCTGGTGGAAGCCCAGAGAAGCGGGCTGGGGTAGCTGCATGCACAGTGCCTGCCGGGTAGCCTGCGAGAAGCAGCTGGGAATGACAGCATGCCCCAAAGCTGTCCAATGGCCGCCCCATGCACGCCCCAGCTGGTGGGCACTTTGCGCTGCTCTGCGCCGCTGGCAGGCACCCGAATCCGCGCACAGTTTGAGGTCATTACCTGGCAGCCCCAGCCTAGAGCTCTCGTGCTGGCTGGTGCTCGAGGTAATTCCTCTGCCGCAAATTTTCGGACTCGTCCACAAGAGCTCACCATCATCACCACTTCCTCCTCACTCCTCCCAAGCAGCTCCCCGCGCGCGCGCTCGGAGCTCTTCCACAAAGGCACCGACGCGGACTGAAGCATAGCCAGTCCTTTGCCTGCCGAGTAGCCAAGCGGTCGCCGTGCGTCCCGACCATTGTCGCCGTCGCCGAGGTCCTTGCTGGCCAAGCGCACCTTCCGCCACGATCCCGCGGGCGCCTCCCTCTCCTCCCTCCTCCCACACATCATCGCCATCATGGATTCTCCATTGTCGCTCGCAGATTCCCCCCTCGGCTTCATCGCCACCAACCCGCTGTCTGCGGCCGTCTCAGATGCCATGAAGGGCTTCTCTGAGCGGCGAGCCGCCCTCGGCCTGTCGAACCCTGGCACAATCGAGAGCTTGTCCAAGGAGGTCACACGCGAGGTGTCGCTCACAAACTACATGCACACTGGCCTGAGGGCGGACCTCACGAAAGCCGTCAGCCTGTCGCCACTCTTCCAGGTGTCGCATCAATTCGCGTTGGGAGAGCACATGAAGCCATACGCCTTCGCCGCCATGTATGGCACAAACAATGTACGTGGTGCTTGGCATTGTCATCGCCAAATACTTCGAGCTGGAGTTCTTGCTAACGCGTCCTCTCCGACGAACAGGTCTTCTGCCAAGGCAACGTTGACAATGATGGCATGCTATCGACCCGGTTCAACTACCGGTGGAGCCCCAACTTGGTCACAAAGTCTTCGTTCCAAATAGGCACTCAGCAGGACATGGCTTCGATTGAGCACGAGTACACGGGTAGCGACTTCACTTCATCCCTGAAGATGCTGAACCCCTCCTACCTCGAGGGTGGCCTGACCGGCATCTTCATTCTCAGCCACCTGCAGTCTATCACGAGGCGCCTGTCGCTCGGCATCGAGACCGTATGGCAGCGCGCGGCTCTGAACCAGCCTCCGGAGTCTGCCATGTCCTACGCTGCCCGGTACAAGGCTGATGACTGGATCGCAACAGCCCAGCTCCACGCCCAAGGTGCGCTCAACGCGACGTACTGGAGGCGGCTGTCTGAGAAGGTCCAGGCCGGCGTCGACATGACTCTTCAGGTTGCACCTAGCCAGACCATGATGGGTGGTCTCCAAAAGGAAGGCGTCACCGCCGTTGGTGTCAAGTACGACTTCCGCATGTCGACATTCCGTGCCCAGGTCGACTCCAAGGGCAAGCTGGGGTGCCTGTTGGAGAAGCGTGTTGCTCCCCCCGTGATGATGTCCTTCTGCGCCGACGTCGATCATCTGACGGTAAGTTTTGCCAGAGTATCGCTCATTGCATCAGGCACTAACTGTAATGTAGCAATCTGCCAAGGTCGGTCTCGGCATCACCATCGAAGCAGGTGGAGAGGAGATGCAAGAGCAACAAGAGGTCATGGGTCCTCAGTCATCGCCAAACATCCCGTTCTAAATGGATTGGTGATCTCGCGACGTGACTCGATCGCGATCCCCGTCGGGCCACTCGTGGGTCGGCGGCCTTGTACAACAGCTGCCAAACCGCTGCATAATCCCCTGTGCCCCTTCAGCAGGCCCAATAAAGGCGCATCTTGCCTTTCTTACGTTTGTTTTACTACCAAACCATCTACCGGCCAGTCAGCAAAATCATCCCCTCGAATCGGTCAATCGACCAAAAGAGCGACCGCTCGAAGCGGGAGCTGACATCGATATACCCCGCGAGGGAGTTCCCGACGCCACGACCCGATGGGCCAGAAAGAACTGGCAAATTTAACGAGTGTATAATACCGCGACTACATGATATTAGAAAGCTTACACTGCTTTCACAACAAATCGCCAGGTCTGAAGCTTGACTGGCGCACGACACTTTGACGAAGAGAATCGGACATGCGCAAGAAGACGCGCGTGCCCTGTGAGATCTACTCTATTGGGTACTGTACATATAGTCGCCCAGCGTGTATAAAAACAAACAAATCACACACGCCCCTGGCCTGTTCTCTGGAAACAGCCTGCGGAGAAAACGTCGTGCATGTCGTGACACCTTTCCCCCCTCCCCTTCCCTTTCCCATGCCAGCATATACGTCTTGTACGTATTATCGACACCCACAATCGCTTCCATCGGTGTGGGTGTTTTCGCTCTGGCAGAGATGAATCAATTTTTTCGACCCGTTGCTGGGCGCCCGCGTGTGAGAGGTCGTTCTGTACTTCCTTGAACTCACGGGAATCAGTAGAGGTTACATTTCTTCCAACTTCAAGTTTCCTTTTTGTCATGTGCCTGAAGCCCTTTCTGCTCGTTGACGTCTGCCCCGTCACCTGCTTCTCCCCTTGCCGACACGAGCCTGTCTGCCATCGTTCTCTTATTGCGTTTACTGCTTCTTGCGCCCGTTTTGCAGTTTCTTGCCTTCACAGTCTCTTTTCACAGACGCCCTCTTGCCCTACGACCGCTGTGTCAACGAAGAATGAACTTGTGTCGCCTTGAAAACAGCTTCCGAGCTGGTTACTGATTAGGGTTAAGCAGTTTTTCCTTACTACTACAACACGTCAGAAAACCAAAATCAACACAACACAAAAAAAACATTTCATCGAAATACACATGTCTCGGGCCGCAGGACGGATCAGGGGAAACAACAAAGCGAAGAAAACCAAGATTCTGCAGGATGTTGGGTGACACTGGCTGGAAGACTTCGAATTCAACACTCGAGTCAGCACAGGAAGCATGGCTGCTTCAACGTGGCTCTTCAAGGCACACTGGGGGAAAAGCTTATGTGGGGTTTGCACACTGGAAATGGTCGATCGACCAGGGCGGCAAGGATTCAACACCTTGGTAATATTTGGGACTTGGGGGTTTGCGAGTTCAACACTGACTGCAAGTACGAAGGGTAATATGATTTGGTCTGGAAGATTTGGACTGGTGCAGCTCCGTGACGCCTGTCCCTTGTGCCTCATCGTGTGCGTGTGCATTGAAATAATCTCAAAAAGTTGACGGAAGTCCAATGCAATGAATGTGTCGGAAACCTTGGCCACGTCGCGATCTTGAGAATATTTTAATAATACAGCCATTGAAATGCTTCGCCCAAAACCATACGTCGACACAATCGGGTCTCTAGCTGAGGCTTGACTGATTGCCCAGACGAGTCTTGCGTGATTGTGGTGGACGTTGATGAGGAAGGAAGTGGGACTCGACGCACCCCTGGATCAGCGACGCAGGCAGCTCCCGTGGCCGGAGTCTTGGCACCTCTAATTGTCTTGACACACCTCCGACTTGTGCTGTGTTGCCCATCCCCATGCACGACTTGCTGCACTCCCGTAGCAGAAAGGGAAGCGCCGGCAAGCAGGTCATTGCCCGTCGACGATCCCCTCTTCGCGCCTTGCAGGACGACACGACGGCGCCGATATCCAGAAGCGACCACGTATTGCCTTGACGATATTGCCCCGCGCCTCCCTCGCTCAGCATGCGACTCGACACGATCCGATAGAGAGCTGGACCGCGTCAGACTCAACGCCCCACGATTACTTCCTGCAAATTTGCAACTTCGGCTCGAGCCAGCCAGCTAGACCGCCATGTCCAATCGGTACAATGCCGCCTACCGCAGCGGCAATGCCAACGGCGGCAGCGGCGGCGGCGGTTACGGCGGGCTGGGCCCTCCGAGGGACCGCCAGGGCGGCGGAGGCGACGACTACGACCCGTACGGGGACGAGTACACCAATGGCGACCGACTTGGCACGCCGCCGCAACAGCAGATGAACCCGCGCCGGCTACCACCCGAGGGCGGTTATCGTAATGGCGGCGGCGGCGGCGGCTACGGCGGAGGGCCCACGCCGGGCTCCTTCTCGTCGTCCCAGCGAGCTCCCGAGTCGAGCGCGGAGCGGCAGATCTCGCAGGTTCTGCTGCACATCAAGTCCGAGTGGCCGGCCATGGTCGACAATGACTGCATCCCCGTCCAGCTGGCGCTGCAGCTGCTCGACACGAGCTCCGTCGGCCGCGCGCACGAGTACCGCAAGTTCCAGCAGACGCACCAGTACCTGCAGGACTCGCTCAAGGGCATCGTCCACGAGCACCACCAGGGCTTCAACAGCTCCATCGGCACCTTCCACAAGATCCAGGGCAGCATCCAGGCGTCGCAGAAAAAGGTCCGCGCCCTCAAGGACTCGCTCACGGCGTCCAGGGCCAGCCTCTCCGCGACCGACCCGGAGCTCAAGAAGCTGTACAAGTCGTCGCAGATGTACGACGACGTCCTCCAGACTCTCAACGAGCTCGAGGAGCTGCGCGGCGTCCCGGACCAGCTCGAGGCGCGGATATCCGAGAAGCGCTTCCTCACCGCCGTCGACGTGCTGCAGAACGCGCTGCGCAAGCTGCGCAAGCCCGACCTCGACGAGATCGGCGCCCTCAGCGACCTACGTAGCTACCTCGCCAATCAGGAGACGGCCCTTATGGACATCCTGGTGGAGGAGCTGCACGAGCACCTGTATCTCAAGTCGCCCTACTGCCAGGAGCGGTGGCAGAGCCTGTCGAAGCAGCAAGGCGCGCACAGCGAGAAATACAACAATGCAAACGCAATGCTACCATTTCATATGATTTTGGACTCGCTAGACTCTGAGCATGCCGTCACGGAGGATCCGTCCAAGAATCCCGAGGCGGACACTTTCTGGTACATCGGATTGCTCGTCGAGTCTCTGAACAAGCTTGGCCGGCTGGAGAGCGCCGTCGAGGTCCTGAAGCAGAGGCTGCCCGTGGAGCTCTTTACCATTGTCAACGAGACCGTGAACGAGGTCGATACTAGGCATCCGAGCTCGCTCAGGGGAGGCACTACAAACGCCGAGGGTCTGTACATCTATGGCAGCCGCGAGACCCAGATGCGCGCGGATGTCATCTACGACCTCATGTGGTCGCTATATGGCAAGTTTGAGGCTATTGCCGAGGGTCACAGGATATTCCACGAATCAATCAAGGCCTTGATGAAGCGAGAAGGTGCTGGGTCAAACAGCACTTTACTTGGCAGCTTCCGAGAGCTCTGGAACCTCTACCAGAACGAGATCCGGTCACTCTTACACAACTACGTCACGACTGATGCGGACGTCTACCAGTTCAGCTCGTCCCCCCGGGTCGGTGCGATGCTCAACGGCAACAAGGCCGGAGCCAGAGACAACCTCTTCAAGTTCTCGGCCGCCAACTCAAAGTCTGAGGAGATGGTCACAGAGTACGATGCACTAGACAGCATCATCCAGGCCGCCGTGCCTGGTCTCACCTCCGGATCGCGCAAGCCTCAGGCAGGAGGCGCAGACAAGAAGTCGGCGCTGCTCGGCAAAGAAGCACGGCGAGAGACAAACGAGAATGCCTACGAGAATGCAGCCGGGCCCGGATCCTACAAGTCTCTGGTCGAGCCTAGTGTCTTCAACATGAGTCTGCTGTTGCCACCCACCTTGGTCTTCCTGCAACGACTGAAGTCGATTGTCCCGCCGGGGTCTGATCTCGCCGCGAGCACGCTGACTTCGTTCCTTGATAACTTCCTGGTCAACGTTTTCCAGCCGCAGCTGGACGAGACGCTCGCAAAGCTGAGCGAAAACGTCCTCGGGGAGCTCGACTCGTTCCAGCAAGACTCGGACTGGAGCCTGCTGGCGAAGCGGCCCGTGTTCAAGGGCACCACCTCGTTCTTCGCCGTGGTCACCGCATTCTGCCGCATGCTCGGCGATATCCCGCACGACCAGGCACTCAGCTCGCTGATTGTGTCCCAGATGCATCGATACTACGAGCGCTGCTCCGCGTGGTTCATTGCGCTCGTGTCCAAGTCACAGGAGAATGCCTCGGCCAAGCAGGCGCTCAGGTACTCAGCAGAGATGGCGACAAACGACGGCCCGCTGCACGAGATTATAACCAAGCTGTGGACAGCTGCAGAACTGGACCCGGACCTCATCGAGACCGAGGTCAAGACACTCATCTCGCAGACGGGCGAGCGGACGCTGGAGACGAGCGACGTCATCCAAGACCGGGACGTCATCTCGTCGCTGTGCCTGCTGTACACGAGCATGAAGTGGCTGTCGGTCAAGGTGACGGGCCTGCGGCACATTACAAAGCAGGAGACGGACTCGTCGCGGCCGAGCATGCAAAAGGCGCAGAACCGCCGCTGGACGTTGCTCAACGATCCGCACAAGGTGTCTGGTAGCTCAAACAGCCCTGTGCACTTGCCGATGACACAGGAGACTGCCAAGTGAGTCCATTTTCGCTCTCCAACCATTTCCCGAAGAAAGCACCTTTTTCACAATTTGATTCATGACTGACCCTCGCACACAGATCTTTCGACGCCGTAATCACCTCGTACGAGAGCCTCGCTAATACGGTGCTGCTCACCCTCCACGCCGAGGTCCGGTGCCGGATCGTCCAGTCTCTGGCGATCGCGCTGTCCCCAGAGACGGCGCCCTACGTGCTCGGCGAGCAGGAGATCCGCGAGCCCGACCCGCAGATCCTGTCGCTCAACTCGGAGCTCGTGGCCTACGACGAGATCACGACGCGGTTCCTGCGCGAGCGCGAGCTCCGCTTCATCCGCTCCGGGCTGGGCTTGCTGGTGAACCGGTACCTCATCACCAACGCGCTGGCCACGCAGCCCATGAACTCGAGGGGCTGCGACCGGATGCAGCTGAACATCCTCGTCCTGCAACAGAACCTGAAGAACATCGAGCCTGGCGTGGATCTGGGGCGAGCCGCGGACTTCTATGCCCTCTTCCAGGACGGCCCAGACGCGCTGGTCGAGAAGGTCAAAGGGGAGGTGGCCGCCCGGCAGCAGCAGCAGTCTTCGGATGCGGATGGCGCTGACGGGAGTGCCGGTGGTGGCGGCGGCATTAGCAGCAGGTTCACGTATGATGAGCTCAAGACGCTGCTGGAGCTCAGCTTCAGCGAGCAGGTGCATGATCCGGAGCGCGGCGTGGCGGCCGCGGCCAAGAGGCAGCTCAACGAGAAGGTGCTGGCACTCAGCGAGCTGATGTGGCAAAGCTGAGCCGAGTCGATTCTGGTTCTTGACTCTATGCCTGTCTCCCGATGGATTGATGATGTCTGTCGAGGCAATTGTACAGCTTCACGAGTCGAGAGGTGCAGAAGGAATAGGGCATCATCAATAGGTAGAAGTGACCAACATCACAACGGCGCTACATGTCGTCGACTCATGAATCTCAGTTAGAAATGTAAACATCCGTTTTACTGGGGAAAATGACCACGGATTAGCTTCAGCGGGACAATCGCGCCGTGCTGCGCCTTGTGAACATCGTCTCGCGGGAACGCATATCCATTGCGGCAGAATACAGCACAGCAAGAACAGGTGATGATCGCTGTATGCCGAGGTGTTGCGAGGGGACCTGCAGCTCGGGAATCACAATGCTGGCCAGACAGCGCTATGCAGACAATGTATATAGATAACGAGTCGCACGTCATGCGGCATGTGATTCGTCGCTCAGTGGTCGTGGTTCAGATTAACGAGCCTGCCGGCGCCCATTGCTTGGCATCTTCATGCAAATATCTGGAGATGCCTGTCTGCACCTGAGTGGTCCGGCCCATTGACTGGCGAGGTCAGTCCCTCCAAGAAACACCAGGCACAGAAATGCCAATTCCTTTCTAGCTACGGGGGCAAGCAAGTAACCCTCCCGCTGGCTGGCCCTGGCAGTGGTCATGGGATTGTACCCGATGTGGACGATGACGCGGGGGAAACGATACAACGTGATAGTGGCAAGGAGGCTGGGACCCTTGTCTTGGAGAAAGTGTCACAAATAAAAGTCCGCTGGCCGCTGGCCGCCCTATTTGTATATGTACCGGTACTTGCATCTGCGTCGGACAAGGGTGAAGATGGGTAATGAGAGCCAGCACCGACAGGGTATGGATCTCATGGAGCGGAAGGGCTGGGCATGTTATGTTGGCAGCAGCAGCAGGAGCAGGAGGAGTAGCAGCGGGGAGGAGTAGTAGCAGGAGAACCGTCAAGTACTTTCACGCGATAGGTATCCTCTGTTGACGTCTTGGCGGGAGCTGGGGTTGCTTCTCCGCACCTGCAAGTCGCCCGGGTCGGTGATTTGATCCTGGGTGCTGACTGCAGCACTCGAGCCTAGAGGGCCTCGGAGACGCGCGCTGGGAAGGCGTGGGTGGTGCTGTAATTCAAGTATCTGGCGTCATGTTGACATCGATGTGGTTGATCGTCCCTCTGGCGATAGACTTAGCCTCATGCGAGTGGAGGGCCCCCAGAAGGCTTGTTCGCCGGCTCTGAGAGAGGCATGCGCCGTGCTGATCCCTGGGTGGTTCCCTGTTTTTCTCGTGCCAGCTGCAGGCCTGGCCAGTCTCGTCCACTGGCTTCGGCCCAGAGAAGAGAAGCCATATTTAGCTCCCGTCGTGAAACCCAGACAAACGCCCTCCCGTCGTCGGTGTCGCACGGGCAAGATTGCCGTGCCGCCCGCCGGTTGCTGCTGCTGCAGCAGTGTGCCTGTCGGCCTGCATGATGGCATCTTGCATAAATAACAGCCATCTCGAGCAATCCTCCACAGCCAGGCGGATGCCGCCCACGATAAGCACCGCCGGGCATCTGGTGGGGGCCAGCTCTTCTGACTGCCAGTGCACAGCATTGCATTGCATTGCCTTGTCCGCTCTCCTCCTCTCGACGTTTGGCTCTCTCCGGGCTAGGCACGCAAGCTGGGCAGGCTGATTCGGTGCTTATCCACTCCTTGCCAGCAGCAGCGGCTAAGCTTGGTCTAAGTCGTAGCCAGGCTTGGGGACGAAGCTTGTGTCAGCCCAAATCGCTTCGATTGGTGTGCAGGCGTCCTTCGCTGAAAAGTAAATAGTCGTACGGGGGCGGGTGGCTGGCCATGGCAACGCGACGCAGAGTGACAACAGGCGCTGTGGGAATGAGGAGATGTGAACCGTCCGGTCAGCCGACTGACTGCCATACAACGCTGCCTCTGCTCTGCATCGGTCGCCAAAGGAGCCCACGACTCGCTGCGGATGCAGAAAAGGCACCATGAGCCGGCCAGTCTCCCTGGGCTAACCCCCTTGGCCGGCTCTGTCATTGTCCGTGCTGTCCAGGTACCGGCTACTTTGCCTTTGTGACATCAGTTGCTCAGATGGGCCTTGTGGGAGAAAGCAGGACCCCTGGCAATGTTGCCGGTACTTGCCGCAGTTGCGCTGGGGCGGCCCATTGTGCTGTGTGCCTGCAGTACGTACCTGGACGGACTAATAAGCTGGAGAGGTCGGTGCTGCCAAGCAGGTGCAACGTGCAAGAGAAGGCGCCCTCCAGAGCTGTCCAGTGCATCCCTCTGCTCAGTGCAGGTGCCTCCTCCACTGAGCGCCCCGGCAGCCCCCATCCCGCCCCATCCTCCCCTTTTTTCCACGGCGCTCCTGTCCGCGCACGCCACGCCAGGCCTCCTCGAGTCGTCTTCCCTCCAAACCCCAATCTTCTCTCGTGTTGTTGTTCCCTCCTTTACTGTGTTTTCTGCCCAGCACCAACACAACTCCTTCTCGTCGCCTAAACTCTCACGGAAGGAAGAAAGAGCTGCGCGCCTAGACTCTCTCGCTGTGTCTTGCCGGGCCGGTCCTACCCTCTTTTCCACCACTCTTTCGACGGCCAAAGTCCCCTATTCCCTCGCTGCCGCCCCGGCTGTTCGGTGGCGCTCCCATTTGAGACACGCCCATCTCCAACCCGCCTTCGACCACTCAAAGCGCCTCCCATTTCGCCCGCAGACACGTCCTTGACCCAGCCTCGCGTCTATCGACTCCCCTCCCTTCTGCGGCGTATCGTTGAGCAGCGCTGTCACCTGCCAAGCACCCGCTTGTCTGCCTCTGCATTTCACGATCGCGGCTTCACAAACCTCTCACAGCAAGTAGGCAGTCGACGGCACTGCCCGGGCACGTCTCAGACCAAGACTGCTTGTACCTGAGGGACACCACTGCTCCAGGCACAGTCTAGCATACCCGCCAACTTTCGCTTCCTACCTCGTAAACCTCAGCCACCAGGACTGACGATTTCGTATTCGATCGCCGTTGACACGGTCCCAGTCGCCCATAATTTGTCGTTTCAGTACCAGTCTACTGCTTCGCACGTCCTCGTGAAAGCTTGCACGTTGCGGACGCCACCAATTGTACAACAATCTAAAGCTTCCTAATTCCTCGGCCTTCAACAAGCACAACGGCATTCCAAGAAAGACGCCTGTGGCAAAATCACCAGGCAGTTGCACGCCCGCACGGCACCCGTCAATCTTGAACTACCGACCATTCTTTCCCTGCTACGGAACAAGCCAAGATCGTTTTCGGTTTTGGTCGGCCTACAAAACAGACGAATCTCTTGTCATTATAGCGCTCGCTCACCGAGCCGCAAGCAGACATCATGTCGTGAGCATTTCCTTTCCTTCATGGGAGTCGAGCTCCGACAGCAGACTGACAGTTTCTTTCCGCCTAGGTTCGGTTCAGCCTTCCGTTCGTTCTGGCATACCATGACCAGCAATGACCGACGTGAGTTGCCATTCACCTTCTGCAATAAGCCATTCAAGTCTAATCACTTCTTGTGCAGATGCCAGCATCGATTCACCATACCGGACGGGCCGCCACGTCCCGCTAAACCGCCAAGAAACATTGACCTCGATCGCCACGGCCTCCGAATCCCGCGCCGACATCACTTCTCCTTATGGCGACGAGTCCGGCCGTCTGAATCATGGCATTGATGGCACAGCCTATACAGGAGCTGGTCTCCCACCAGTGGCCTCTCCTCTGTCAGCCGTGAGCCCCGGCCTGGGGGGACCATACTCGCCGGGTCTGCGTTCTATGGGTGCCCAGCGCTCCAGAGATGATGGCTTCGAGACTGTTACAAGTCCAGGAGAAATCCCGATGCAGAACTTCGCCAACGGCGCGCCACCTCCACCCCCTATTGGCCACTCATGGAGGCGAATTGATAGTTGGGCCGAGGAGAACTATCCTGAGCTCTTTGACCAGATTTGCGAGGGCTGCACAAACAACGACTTGAACGAGTTGGAGCATCAGCTTGACTGCACACTGCCCCAGGATGTTAGAGACTCCTTGGCTATACACGACGGCCAGGAGCGGGGCGGCATCCCGACAGGCGTCATCTTCGGTGCCATGCTCATGGACTGCGAGGAGATTGTTCAGGAATGGGATCAGTGGCGCCGCGTCAACCAGCAGTACCTGCTCGATAATAGCGTAGCCCAGCCCGCCGTTCCTTCAAGGACGTTCGCTGGACCCAGCAACGGGCAGGCCTCGACATCACGTTCGGCTGCCAGTTCTCCGAGCTCGCAGAAGAGTTCGTGGCGACAGAATCTCATGGAGCGACAAGACTCGGTGCCTATGGGTGCGGTCCAGCGCGCGTACGCCCACCCGGCCTGGATCCCCTTGGTGCGCGATTGGGGCGGCAACAACCTCGCGGTTGACTTGGCACCTGGACCTACCGGCACTTGGGGTCAGGTGATTCTCTTTGGCCGCGACTACGACACAAAGTATGTGGTTGCGCCTTCCTGGGCGGCATTCTTGGCAGTTGTTGCAGACGACCTCAACAGCGCCAAGTGGTACATTGATGAGGACAACAACGAGCTCAAGCTTCGCGAGTTTAAGACTACCCGGGTTGAGCCATCCTATTTCGATATTCTGCGTTGGAGAGCGGACCAGAAGAACGGACGTACAGCCAAGGCCACCGCGAAACGGAAGTCGATGGCCCCCAATGGCATTTCTCCTGGTGGCTCACCCTACGCCAGCCCCGTGGATACCCACAACGAAGCCCGTGGTCGTTCACTGCAGAGACTCAGCAACCCTTCTCCTCTGGCCAGCCCGGTGCGACCAGGCTTGGGCAAGCCCAGCCCTCTGGCGAGGGTTACTGAGGAGGCGGGCGCCTCTGAAGGTGCCACCGCGGCGAATGGTGTCAACCACGATAAGCTCGTCGAGGTTGAAACGCCGCGTGCGAGTGCTGACGTACAGTCAACTCCGACCCTGCAGGAACCCAAGCCAAAGGATCGCTCGTCTCTCAAAGTCGAGTCTGTCGTCGAGGCTAAACCCACCGACACCGCTGACGACTCGATGAAGACGATCGAGATCTGAGTAGGGAAACTCGTGCATTCCTTCCATTATGAAACGATCATTACGGCACAAAACTGATAGACAACCATGGAATGGCGTTTGGACGGGTTTATGTGTATTTGTTGTAATACCCCTCCCATGGCCTGTTGATTTGCATCTATATCGTGTAGTAGAGCATTTACGACAAAGCAAAGGTCCGACCTGCTTCTCTCCAAGCATGCGGCGAGGCACTTGTTTAATGAAAGGGCCGTCTACTTGGTGACGCCTCCGAGGACCGAGAGTCGGCATGGATAGAGAGACAGGCACTCACAGAGACAGGCGGCACCTTGCTTCCTGCTGTCCTTTTCCGATCATGGCGTTTAGCGGCGCAGCATTTGCTTAATATGTTAGCAACAAAGAAACTTGAATAGGACACACATGTGGCGATGGACTTCAGTAACTGTGCTCGACTAATAGCCACTAGTATCTTTGAGTGACTGCAAGTGGTTTGTCGATTTGGGCCTATTGAAGTTCAAACTCTCTGGGCTTGGACAACTCCGGCCACGTGATCCGGTGTCCGCGACGCTTATCTAAGCCGAAACACGCCGTTCGCTGCCTGCGCTGCAGGCTGGTCGTCATCTGTGCAGGGGTGCAATCCACACCTGCGCTAGCCCCCGAGCTCCAGTCAGCCATCGAGTCGGGCTGAGCCAGCCAGCCTCCAGACACCCTCATTGCTCCGCATTCGCTTGTTGCGCTCGACATCACATCGACGCATGATTCCGCCAGCATCATCACGACACATACCCTGGCCAAAGCACTTCCCGCAAATTGCTGAGACAAGCGCGCTCTGCACCTCACCACGAGACGTCCACTCAATCCGCAAGACCCCACGAACCGAGCCACGCCTCCGCAATACCTACCGGGAATCCGATCGCTCAAAGAACAAACGACCACGGCGAGGCATTACACTCTGCCGTGACACTTCCAGAAGCTACATCAGCACATCGCCATAAGACTATCAGTCCGTGAAGTCGCGCGCCACCGCACAGGGTCCGCACATAGCAATGGAGGAAGAGCGTCTCTGGAAGTTCAGCAAGCCCGCGTGGCTCAACAGCGCGTGGGCGCGCACGGCTGGCGTGTACTCTGCGGGAGGACTGGTGAGTTCTTGCTTTTGAAACCTGCACTGCTGGTGTCGCTAGAGTCTTTGCTTGATCTTCCTCGACGATCAGACGAGCGGTGTTTTTACCAGCCTATTTCCATGGCAATCACACCATGCATAGTCAACAAAGCCATGCTAACCACTTCCTTCTTTCCCGCGCATAGTTCGGTCTCGCCTTCTATATCCTCCTTGATTCCGCCGTCTGGTCCAAGTCGGCCCTCAACGGGTCGGACGTGCACGTCACCTTCATCGACTGGCTGCCCTTCATCTTCAGCAGTCTGGGCATGCTCATCATCAACTCGGTCGAGAAGTCGCGCCTGTCCGGGGACAGCTTCTCCTACTCTGGGTCCGGGGTCGCGTGGAAGGCGCGCGTCGTGCTCTTTCTGGGCTTCGCGGCGCTCGCGGGCGGCATGGCGGGCGGCGTGTGCATCTTTGTGCTCAAGTATGTCGTGTCCAGCGTCCAGTGGCCCATGATGCAGATGGGCGTGGAGAACGTTGTTGCCAACGCGCTCGTGGGGCTGAGCTCGGTCGTGCTGTGGATCTCGCAGAACATGGAGGATGAGTACAGCTATAACCTGTCGCTGTAAAGAGGACGAGCCAGGAAACCTGGAAAGGGCTGCGGGGACGAAGCGTGTGACAAGTGCGTCGCTGTTGCACGGTCCAGCGATGTCGAGGTCTGCGTGTCTGGCAGGGTCTCGACCATGGCCTTGACAGTGCTACATGCAAGTCAGATTGAGTTGAATTGCAGTCGGTGGAGAGCGCAGGCCCAGGCAATAATGGGTTAAGAGGGTTGTTTTGCAGACGGGAAGAGCTCCAGGCGCGGATGCATAGGCTTTCAGTGGTGTTGAAGATATCATAGGCCGCATTTCTTTGCGTTATTCAAGAATATTCGTACTCGAGTATCAGAGCAATGTGACACGACTGTCGGTGAATGTGAGAATGGCAGTCCTGGCCCTCGTTGCTGGCAGGAAAGTGTCCTGTCCGCCTCTGGTACAGGGCCTGACTGGGCCAACAACAACACTTTCCCAACAGCCTGTCCTTGAGAAGCGGGAGCTGTGCCCATGCAATTTGTGATATTGCGGCAGCCTTCGACTTGGCGCCGTGGCCTTATTTGCTGCAGTCATGATGTGCCAATTGCGGAGCAAGCAAGCAAGGCAAGCCAGCGATGGGCGTGATCCACCCTTCCCGTACCTGCATGAATATGACTTGACTGCCTCTCTCCACACCCGAGACAACTGAAAGTACACCATTAGATGCTCGCTATACGACATCCCAGAGAGTCCCACTAGCTTCACATCACACCTTGGCGATTTGTCCCTGCACGGCTTCATTCAGCCTTGTTTCTGCTCGTCTTCCCGGGCAGCTGAAAGTGCAGTGTTTCGATATATATATTGCAAGGGGACCATCCAGAGCCCAGTCACCACAGACGACGGGCATCATCTCGTCATCATCGGACAGACACGCAGCCTGCTAACAACCAGCGCGTGGTCAACGCAGCTGGCACTCTCAAGGGGGCGACGGCTCAACAAAGTCTCCTGTGACGGTCAATCACACCACCACCACCACCACCATCACCACCATAAAGACCTACAATTCATATCATATCGCCCCTTCTTACACTTGGACACCCAATCACCAACCATCTATCCATCCATCATGCCGCCGCGACCAAAGCGACAAGCCGCCACGCGCATCCCCCAGGCCTCAGACTTTGACCACCTCGGCAAGCAGCACCCGCCCCTGCACGTCTCGCTCGTGTTCCCCGAGGTCGTCGAGACGACGACCTCGATCATGATCCTGTTCCACGGCCTCGGCGACTCGGAGGTCTCGTTCGCCGGCCTGGCCAGGAACCTCAAGCTGCCGGGCGTCCTGGCCATCGCGGTGCGCGGGGTCGAGCCGCTTCCCCCGGCGCTGCTGGGGTTACCGCCCGATGTTGCTGCTGGGGTTGGGGACGGGACAAGGCATTTCCACTGGGGCGATGACCTGGACATGGACCCTTCGACGGGGGAGCTGGACCCGGATCCCGGGTTCGACAAGGCCAAGAGGGCGGTGCTGGATGGGCTCGTGTTCGACACCCTGGTGGGCAAGCTGGGCTGGCGGACTGAGGATATGTTGCTGTTCGGGTTTGGACAGGGAGGGAGTCTGGCGCTGGGACTGGCGTCGCGGCTGCGTGATCCCGAGGGGATCTCGGATGCGAGAGTCGTTGATGTCACGGAGGGCGATCCTCAGGCACAGAAGCGAGAAGAAGGGGAAGAAATGACGGCGTTCAAGGGCGTCGTGTCGATCGGTGGGCCACTGCCGCCGAGCATGGTGCCCAGCCTGAGCTCGCGCGAGAAGGCGCGGACGCCCGTGCTCGTGTGTCACGGGAGGAATAGCGAGGTAGTGGACGAGGACGCCATGGAGTTTATCCGGAAGGAGATCAGGGATGTGCGGGAGGTCAAGTGGACTAAAGGGCGGAGTAGTGGCGACGACGGGATGCCCCGGAATCGCGAGGAGATGTTGCCCATTATGCAGTTTCTGGCGGAGAGGCTGGCGAGTGATCAGTGGTCATGAGCTACCGGGACTTTGTAAGAAGAATACAAATACAAGAGTTGTTTGGCTCAATGGTCTTCCCAGGACACGTTCCATGTGACATGGAATCTGTGTGTTCTGCATGATTTTCTTCAGGCTCCAGGGACTAGCGCACCGAGCAACGGCACGCTTCTACTCTGAACGTTCTGAGGTATCGGTGACGCCCTGATCATCCTCATTCCTCATGAAGACTTCGGTGGCAAATGCAGCCTCTTGCCTCAATCCTTCGCTGATTTCCGGATAAGATAGGAGGCCCGGGCTTGCTCGGGCGAAGAATTTAACCAGGACGGTGCGAAGAGCCTTGCTCGGATGTCCATTGGTGTAGGCAATGCGCACGACGTTGAAGAAGGACTTCAAGAAGGAATAGAAGAACACCGAGAGCCGCTCACCACGGAGTGCGAGGTACACGCTTTGGCGGGGGTCGATGTTCATCGCGTACATCTGGAACACGGCGACCAAAGGTTCGAGCCTTTCCTGAAGCCTGCCCGCGATGGCCGTAAGAAGAGTGTCGAGCATGAAGAAGTCAGCAGCTTCACAGGCCTCTGTACTGGCGACGAACGTGTCGTTGGTGAAGCCCTGGTCTGTCTCCTCAAAGTCGTAGCCTTAATTCTTTGTGGTTAGCATCAGGCACTATGCTAGGGTGTGAAATAGCTCCAAGTGCCGGTCACCTACTTCCGCTGTACAGATAATCGAGCACCCATTTCACGCATGCCGGTTTGAACTCCTCAATGACGACTGTTCCTGACGATGACTCCTAAAAAGAGCCAAGATAATGTGAGCTTAACGAGAACAAACAACAGGGTATACTCGAATGCGGTGAGGATAATGTGAAGACGTACCATGAAAGGCCCGTCGAGAGATTTCTCAAACCATTTTGACCGCACGCAGAGGATGGACTTGTGGATGTTCCAAGTGTGTTCGCCGCATCGCACCACGGCGTCTGCGTCCTTGCCTGACTCTAGAAGCCTGCGAGTGAATTTAGTCTCGATGCGATGTAGGTACGGATTGAGACAAGATGGGTGGACTGGGCTCACCTCATATCTTCTGCTCTAAAACGGTCGCTCATGTTCGCTATGACTGATGGCGGAATGATTGTTGCTTGCGCCGAAATTCAAGAGGCCTCGAAGCCGTAGAAGTTGCAGAATGTTGCTAAGGCGATGTCGTGGCAGCGTGGTGGCTCGACAGGTGACCTGGAGAGTTGTATTGGGAGAAGCAGTAGGAACAGGATAAAAGAGAATGGGGAGAGATATCGTGGACTTAAAATTCAGCTTCAAGAGCATTTACACACTCTCTTTGTATTTCTCTTGCGTTCCAATTGTCCTCCGGTAGTATTGCGCTCGAACTGCAATGTGGTTCTGCTATGTACACAAGGATGCAGAATCTACTCGGGCTACTCATACTTCAGCGATCTCACCTCCGTTGTGCCAGGTAGAGTAGTCTACGCTCTGGGGCCGCTTCACCACTACAAGACTCATAGGAAACTGTACATGCTACCGGGTCGGATCAAACTCGTTTCAATCGTGGTTAGCTCGATGCACAGGAACAAAAAGCATGTCATCAAATGACTGGCTACCTATGCTTCTTCCCCTTGTGCGTCATTTGGTTCCTTGTGGCAGTCCGAGCAACTGACCACATAGGCCTGAATGACTTCAGTTCGAGCAATATGGCGTCCTCCACCATAGACAGATTGATCGCAACCACCACAGTCGCCCATGTCTGTAAATTCCGGTAGGTACTCTCTCTTGTGAAGGAGCCCGCAGAGAACCTCGGCAGCGAAAAGTGACTCCGACTTCAAAGCACTGACAATGACATCGGTACACCTCACGAATTCAAGTGTTCGAATCCCGAACTCGACAATGGTTTTGCGGAGCTCGGTGACATCATGCGTGGAGGCATAGATGCGACGGACACCGTGGAAGAAGTACTTCCAGAAGTCCTTGGCGAACGCGTGACCAAATGTTTTGCTGCAGATTTCCTCGCGCACTGATGCATCAGGGACGGGCTGAATAGCAGTGATGAGGTCGTTGAGTGTTGCCATAACATTGTGCGCGATAGTCTTCTTCAGAGGTGCAAGAACGAAGAAGTCAGCAACCTCACTGGCCTCACAGCTTGCCACGAAGAGGTTATCGCTGAATCCTGGAGCCTCTTTTAGTGCAGATGCTAACGCTAGGTCAGACAATGGGCATCATAAGGAATTTGAGATACTTCAGCCAACAGTACGACTCACTGCCCGTGTAGAGATATCTAAGCAACCACTCGATATGGTCCGGGTGTATCTCGTGGATAACGATTTGGGACTTGTCATTTTCCTGTGAATCCACAATTCATTCGAGTCAGTCATAATGCATAGGTCAAAGAGAGATGATGGGCTTGTGACTAGGTAAAATACATACCACGAAACTGCCCTCCAGGGCTTTACTGAACCATTCGCAACGCGTACAGAGTATGAGCTTGTGCACGAACCAGCGTTTGCCATCGCACTCGATAATAGCATCAGAAAGTCTCTCATTGTTGAAGAGACTGGGAGACAATAATTAGACGTGACTCAGGACCGAAGGACGACGGAATGGCAGAGTCCGTCACTTACCTCGCGAAATTCCCGTTCGCAGTGACATCCATTTTGATCACCACGCCTGTGATGGGAAAAGGTTATCAACACGATGCCAAATATCACCTGACCGATCGAAAGAAGGGCGAGGCTTTAAAGTATGTTAATGCTGGGATAATGCTCGTGGGACGAAGGAGCGATGGGAAGTTGTGGTAGGGAGCAGAAAGAGACATCTGCCTCACAGTGGTGGCGGTGTGGGACTGAACTGGACGGAAAGGAAGTTCAGAAGTGCGGTGTACTGCCTCAGGAGGAATCAACTCGAAGGAAGTTCGTATAAGCGGAAACAACAATTATTTCTCCGGGCAGATCCTCAGGCATTTGGGGCTTGTGCCTTTGGGGAAGCCGATGTGCCGAGAAGTAAGCAGCATACGCGGGCCTTTCATGGGTTTCGTCATGATGCCAGATCAGCGCAAATTAAGTCATGGTCGGCCTTGCAGCATAGTGAAAGCACAAAGCCTCCTGGCCTGAGAAGAATGGCTTCACGGCTCGCTATTTCTTTATTTGGCAGCATACAGCGGTCACAAAACACGCACCTCGGACTCCTTTTTTCTCATACTCTGATACTTTGTTTCGACACTGTGAAGATTTATTTGCTGAACATAGGCGTCAGTAATTTTGCTGCATCTGCTAGCGGGTCATGCGACCATAACAAGTATCGTTGTCCTCGTTCTCCGCCTCTCCTCCAAGTTTGCTCAGTATTCCCGAGCAAGGAGTGAACATCGTGTAGTACTGGATTTCCTGCGTTTCACACTGGAGCCCCTTATAGCTAGCGAGACTCCCACTTGAAGCATGCGTTGCAGATGCAGGAGATCCTCGAGCCTGCAAGAATGGGCCGCGCGATATGTCTACCATTCTCAAACACATCCGTTCCGCAGTCTTCACAACTCCTGATTAGGGGGAGCGCTGCGTAGTCGGCGTAACCACGACCGACAGCAATGAGAACGTCAGCCCCGAATGCAGCTTCCCGCTTGATGCCTTCAGCATATTCAGGATACTGCTGTAGTACCGACCATGCGCGTACTACGAACTCAACGTAAACTTCCCGCAGAAAGTCGTTGCTTTGACCAGGAGAATACAGTATCTGTACAGCAGAAAAGAAGTCGCCAATTAGGCCGCTTACATTCTTGCCGTAGAGTTTCTTGCATTTGTCGTCATGAGTACCCTTATGGCGCTTCTGAAACATAGCGATGATATCTGAAGACTCATTGATCAGGTTTTCGGTAAGTTGGACTTTTAGTCTCCGGAGCAGAAAGTAGTCCGCCACTGCATACGATTGAGCCGTTGCAACGAAGATGTTGTCCGCCCAGGCCGAATGATCTTCTAAATCGTATTCTGTTGTGATGGTCAGGACCAGACCTCTAGGGCAGATGTCAGGCCGCGAGCCTAGGCTGAAAGGACGTACCATGGCCATAGATCCATTTGAGTACCCATTCGACTCGTTCTGGCTGCATTTCTTCGATGACGACAGTTGCTGACGATGATTCCTACATGAAAGCTGGTGAGTATACTGAGGGACGATCTGAAAAGAAGATGAGCGAGATGTGAATTTATACCTTGAACGGTCCTGCGAGAGCTTTCCGGAACCACACAGACCGAGAGCAGATGACAGCTTTGTGGACATTGTTCTGTCGCCACACTTGACCGTGGCGTCGGAGTACTCTCCACCCTGGAGAAGCCTGTATTTAAGAGAAGTTAACACATGAGATGAATGATGTGTTTATGGTGTTTACCTCAAGTTTGTGCGTGCGAGAGAGCCGTTGGTGTCTGGCATGAAGCCTGTCCGTGACTGTGTACGTTGGATGTCGTACTCTGAGTGGCAAGGTGGCACGACATGTGGTCAAAGCTGAGTGTTTGGGGAAAGTCGCACTTCCGATAGAAAGTTTTATTTAAGGAGAGCGTTTACGTGGTAACATCTAGCCGACATCTTCCTGATGCCCCAAGCTGGCACCGGACAAATGTTCTTCGCATTCCGGTGAGGCATGGGCTTTGATTGAACGCGCCCGGCAAGCCATCCCTTTCTTCGGGCAGATTGACATGCTCATGCTCATGCACTGCCCGCGCTGTCTAGCAATCGGCTGACGACTCAAAGTGCTGCCACGACCTGGTGTTGTGTGCTGTCATGGCTTGTCCATGCCACTTGTATCGCCCCTAAAACGAATGTGCCCGTATATTGAGCACACCCTGTTCAACGAAATCAACATGGCAAGTTTTTGTGAGATTTTGGTTCTCACGTTGAAGCTACAGATGTATTCCTTACCGAACTACTTTTGAGCGTTGACACAAGATAGCTGGTGGACATCCCACATGGAAGCTCTCCATTTGACTTGTGCATATGGAAAATTTTGACTCCCAAGCAAGTATGGCAAGCGGCGATATTAGCGTAACACCGTCCGACGTTCTCAAGAGGAGGAAAACGCATGGTTCTTGGATGTGATTGCGCCAGAGATGTGCACAGCGTTGAGCTTGCCCTTAAGCTCGGACAGCGCAATGTTCGGAAGGATGGTGGCAATCTCAAGGATGGGGTGAACTAGGGACAATTCGATACTTAATCTTTCACAGCCTAGAGCTAGCTTCATAGCACTGTGAGATCGCACCAAAACGGAGCAGGCTTGCGCTGATTATCGCGCGTATGCTCGAATTTATTATGAGTATGCCTTATACTCACCAAGCAGGAGAAGAAGCACCAGACGTATTGAAAACATTCATCTATTGACACTCACAATGATTCCTGAACATGATAACCTGATATCCGTGCAGTCCCCTTAATGAACAACTCCGCTTTCTGTGCATCACCATCATATTCCACACGACTCGACACGTGAGAATTGGAGTCATTCCGTCAACTTGTCTTCCTTTCATTCAACGTGGACGCCATTCCTAGTTGCAGACTTGGCAGTGTTCAAAGACAACATCGTGGCTGCGGCACTATCCCAACAACCTATTCGCTGCCATCAAAGCACAACGAGCAAGTCCAATACCGGCTCTTCTGGCGATAGAACTCCCGAGCAGCATGGACACCGTCTGCGTCAAGCCGGCCTCTGCACTTCTGACACTTCGTGTCGCGTGGGTAAGCGGAGACATCGCGATCCGTGCGGCCTTCGCAGCCAGCCTGGATCAGGATGTCGGCGGCAAAGAGCGGCTGCTCGTGCAGGAACTCGGTGAACATTTCGTCCCAGAGAAGTCCCACGCGGGTGCGGATTCCGAACTCGATGAACATCTGGCGAAGATTGTCATAGTGGGAGCTTCAGCCGTAGACGAGACGGACGCCCTCAAAGAATTGCCTGTAGAACGTCACCGAGGAGTGGTTGCCATGGCGTAGCAGATGATCCCGGATGCATTCGACCGAGGGAAACTGCTGGACGGCCTGGATGATGTCCGCGAGATTTGCCCAGAGCAGGTCCGCAACGGCAGTCTTGAGCTCATCGAGCATGAAATAGTCGGCTGTAAGGTAGCCCTCGATGGCTGCGGTGAGTGGATTGCCGTATAGCTTGCCGAGATTGTCCAAGCCGTTGTCTGTCATTGATCATATTAGAGAGCTGAGGTCTGCGCATAGCTACAAGCCAGCCGATGGGCCAACTCAGGACAGGCAATTGTACTTACTGCCGCTGTACATCCACTTCAGGATCCACTCAATACGCTCATGTGTATACTCACGGATGGTCACTTTTGCCAGATCGGCCTCCTAAGATAACGTGTTAGCATTTCTCTACCGTGATACCAGATCCCATGTCCTATATTGGGGGTGCGGGAAGGTTCTGTGATACGAGAATGACCTTACCATGAAGTGGCCATTCAGCGCCTTCCGAAACCACTCAGACCGTTTGCAGACGATCGCCTTGTGAACGCGCCAGGATTTGCCATCGCATTCGACAATGGCATCGGCGAACTCCCCGCTCTCGAGTAGCCTGTACTGAAGTGTGAGTGATTGTCTCGGCTGGTGGTTGTTGTCCGAACGTCGTTTGAACAACTTACTCAATGTCCCGAGCTCCAAACAGGTGGCTCATCTTGACGATTCTGAGTCTAAGGTGACAATGAATAATAAGAATAACCTTCGATCGGCTAAGATATGAAGTGAAGAATACTTGGTATGTTGATATTGGATGTTTCTCCGACGGCAATCGCTGATGAGCCCTGATGAAGTTGCCCACCGAACGGTGACGATACTCTTAGGTCAACCTCTTTGGAGTCAACAGAGTTGAACAAGAGAAGGAAATACATCCTAGGCTCATGCAGAAGTTCCTGAAAATTATATGGAGCATGGTGTGGCAGTATCAATGGCAAAGTTTTTGGCATTGTTCTTGAAGGCATTGTTCGCAGCTGCTTCCATGAATGAATGAATGGTGGGTGGTCTAGCTGGGCACATCAATCAAAATACTGAGGAGCTGCATGATAACAGAGGGTAGGGCTCAGTCGAAATTGTCGAGCTTGGGTCTTCGATGCAAGAAAAGGTAGTTCCCGACCCCATCACAAGTCCCCGTAGAGTCGCTCGAACTCACTCTCCAGTTGTGGCTATGATATTGCGTCGTCTTTGAAAACCAGTATATAATGTTTACAACTCTGCAGAATCCCAAACTCCCAATCGTGTCCCAATGGCCGTTCCATCTAATTCTTTTGTCTCTGTGGATATTCAAGCCCCATCAGATAAATACCGGACTTCCATCACTGCCTCTGTCTTCATTCCTGGCCGCCTCCTCCTCCGCTCCGCTAGCCCACATCCTGTCGTAGCAGACAGAACACATGAGCACATGGCCCCGACCGCCTGCGTTCCCCGGCTCGGCGCGAGCAAGATGCCTCATGCCGTCCTCGAACAGGAACTTGTCGCACAGGCCACACTTGAGGGTCGCGATGTTGAGACCGTCGACCACGATCCGGCGAGACCTGGCCTGCGCGTCCGACTCAAAGTCCGGCATCCGAGCCAGGCTGCGCCGGAACTGCACATCCTCCTGCCCTGCGGCGTAGGTCCTGGCGCCGAACTCGAGGAGCGCCTCGCGCATGGGGTCGTCCTGGGGCGGCTTCTCACGGTCGTAGTCCTGCCGGATCGCGAGGGCATACTCGGCGTAGAACTCGGCGCTGGTGATGCCAAAGCTCCGGATGAGGCCATCGTCGATGATCTGCCGCACGGACTCGACCTGCAAGATGACGGCGACGCGGGCGAGCTTGTCCGCCAACTCCCCGGCCACCGTCCCCTTGAGGTCCTCCATGCCGAGAAAGCAGGCCAGCTCGTACCCCTTCATATATGGGCCAAAGAAGCCCGAGCCGAAGCCAGCAACGTTTTCAACTTCCGCCTCTGTTCGAGTTTGAGGTGTTAGCGCTCTCTGGACTTTTTTTCGTTGTGATAGTGGCAGATGCTGGGGCTATGCTTACCACCGGTATCCATGTACTTGATCGCCCAGTCGAGGCGAGCCGGGCTGGTTTCTTCAATCGTCAACACGCCATGGCGGATTTGCTAGATTGCTAGTGTCAGTCTTGCACAAATTTCATAGCCTCACCCTTGTCGGTATCCCGTGTCTAACACGAACTGAGACACCTAAGGAACTCACCTCGGGATGTTCATCCTGGATCTTGCGGAACCAGGCTGACCGCTGGTAGAGGTTTTTGCTCCTCATGTGCCAGATCTGATACTCGCACTTGAGCACCAAATCGGATCTTCTGTCCAGAGGGGCCGGACTAAAGAGGTGCGCGAAGTCCTGTTAGCTCCAGTTCACGACAGCAAGTTTCGGAATACTTACTTGGATCTCGCCCGAGCATTACTCTTGGATGCCATCACGAGTAGTCAAAGAACCCCGAGACTTTTGTGCTGTCTTCGTTCTTACAAGGCTGCTGGTCGTCTCGGTGGTGCGCTGCTCGTGCTGCCAGTTCTGTATGTATTGATGAACCACAGCTGCAACTTCTTCGAGCTCGGCGCGCGATTTGCGAATTTAAGTACAGCCATGATTCTTCAAGATGGCAGAAACCTCGTGTTGAACGATGCTAGACAGGCAGTTGTCTCCATGTTGCTGGAACCAGGCTCATAGCATCGGCAGAAAGATGTCGAAGGCCTTTGTCTCTAGTTGTCCAAAAATCCATGCCCTCGTTCTTGTTTCAAGACGTTGGTGTCTTTTACCTAGTGAGATGGTAAGTTCTTTGAGAACTGGGGAGTATGTACAGAGTGGTGGTTATGGTGATATTTGGAAGTGAAAGCTCACCTGGCAGGAAAGCAATGAGCGTAAGGTCGATTCGGACAATGACAATGATCTTCGTCCGAAATTAGAGCACGAGCCGCAGAGGGAGCTGCCCATTTCGCCTGCTAAATGATGCAGCTCGTGGCTGAATGATACCTCGATTTCCTTGACGTATTGAGATATTTGTTGACGGGGTATCGTTTTCTCTCCGATCTGTTGACTACAAGATCCAATTCCCCACGCGGCGCAGGATCAGTCTTGGGGGGGGGGGGAGTTGAAGCAAACACGCAGCCAGGCCGCCACGCCATGAACATGTGGCCCGAACGGAGTTCAAGGAGGTAGCCATGAGTCCGACTTCGGAAGTCTTGATATCATGCAGGAAGAGTTGCATTGCCTCCAGTTGTCCCAATGGGCAAGAACAAAAAACTAGCGGCAGAGACTGAGAAGCTGTCTTGTCATCCATGGGAACACGATCATAATTGGCAGTAGAGTGCCTTGGAAGACAATGCCAACCCCCATGGATGCGTGGATTTCTCGCGTTCAAACGCCCCGTTTGATCTTGCATTTGCAGACCCGAGACCCAGACGCACCTGGCCTTTCGCGCCGGGAGTAGGCCATTCCCCAGGCTGGTTGATAAATTGTCGTCTGCGTCTGTTGTCACATCTGGAGCACACTTGTTTGCTGAATGCCGAGGATACACCTCCCTGGCTTTCAAACGGCCGTCGTCCTTGCTTTCCACGTGTGTCTGAGCCCCCCCTGCCTCGCCACGTGCCTGCTGGCCTTGCCGGCTCGCGATGAAGCAAGCAAAGATTCTCGCCAGCCGCCTGCCTCACTCCTCTCGTCCCACACAAAGCTGCCATGCTATGCAGTCATTGTCTCTCAAGGTTTCTTGTCTTGTCTTGCTTGACTTGACTTGCTTGCTTTCCATCGGCCATCCGCCCCTGCCCATTCTTCCCTTTCGTCTCGGCATAGAAAGAACGACACCAATAAGGTGACCAGTCCTGTACATATCCCTTGCCACAGCAACGCGCAACATGTAAACATGCAACGACCCTACCAAAATACCTGAAGCACAAACGATACCACATACTTTGACCAACCTTGCGCACATTATTCTCATCCAGCACGAAGCACAGGGATAGAACAGAGACCAACAAGCATGTATCCGAGCCTCAAGGACGCGCACAGGGTACCTGCACAGATACGGGGCGGCACAGGGCACGGGGCACGACCAACCAACTAACCGGGCATGCCTCTGCAGCCTCTACACACACACACACACACACAGACCTTGTCCACCCAGGCAGGCGTGCGCGGATCGTGATATGCAACGAGCAAGCACCACACCAACACCCTCACATGCGTGCAAACGCCCTTGCATATCATGCCCCTTCCCTTGTCCCCGCGCGTCATCATAAGAGCTCTCGAGGGGTGCGACAGGAGCAGAAACAGCACCAGTAGTAGCAAGAATAGTACATGGCGGCAAACACAGACCATAAGAACGAAACTTGCACACAGGCACACACAGACACACACACACACACCAGCCAACGGCCAGTGAGGCGGGTGCTCGCACCCCTCCTCCCGCATACCAAAGACCACAAACATACATCGATCGACCGCCCAACACACAGAGGAGTCACAAATAAGCCATCCGCGCAAAGTCACGCCATGTTTGTTGTAATTCATCGTTCATGCCATTCTTCGTTCTTCCGCTTTCTGCAACTTCACTGCTTCTTTGTGTGCTCTGTTCCTTCTTCGTCGTCGTCATCATAGCATACACACAGTCGATACACGCTTGTTTAAAATGACAATCACTTCTTTTTCTTCATTCGCTTCCTAAGATCGCCCGGGCCAAAAAAATTCAAAATGCGCCGTATCCCAATGAGTCATCCCCAGATGCATTATCGAAAGCACACCAGCAACAAACCAGTCAAACAAGAGAAAGCACCGAAACTCGGGCTTCTCAAAAAATGCCGTGGGGGAATATGTCCAGTCCGCTTACACGATGTCCGTTACAACTCGGCCCAGAAGTAGCAACGCAAAACAACAAGAACACCTCGTCCATGCGTCATGCAGAAATCAATCGTAAAACAAAACAAACCCAACACACCAGCGACGCAGCCATGGGATGGCCCGCCAGCACAACGCCACTCGTGTGTTTGGCATATCGAGCAAGTCTCAACCCATGCACACCCACTCGGCAAAGACGCACCATCTCGCTGTCCGGTCGGCAAGCACCAGACCACGCCAGATGCCCTTCTCGGAGCACTTGATGATCGTCTCCCACGTGCCGCCATCGCTGCTTTCGTCCTCGCCCATTGGTGCCCGGCCGCCAATGCCGATGCCCCGCTGGCGCTCCTCCTTGCGCATCAGTCGCAAAATCTTGCCGCCAGGCGTCTGGATCGCGAGCTTGGCAGGCTTCTTGCCGGCAATGCTCCCACTCGCGGAGCTCGGATTCGACGCAGCCGCGCTGCTCGTTATGCTCATTGCGCTTGTTGGGCGAGCAAAGGGGATAGGGCTCGTGGCTCCACCGACCACGCTGCCGTCGCTTGCAGAAATCGAAGGGTGCTGTCGGATCATGAACACAAAAGTGTTGTTCAGCGCTAAGCGCTGGCACTGCGGCTGCACCACGTAGATGTCGTGGCGCTGAGCATGCGGCGTCGGGTGCCGTGTGACGAACTCATAGGGAGGGTTGTCGCCGGTGTGGATGATGGGGATCGCAAACGCCATGGGGTGCGGGTTGTCCTTGATGCTGTGCATGAGGCCACGCTTGCCAGCATAGATCTTGAGCACTCCAGTGCCCTCGTCCCCAGGCAGCAGAGCCTTGACAGTGAACCGCTTGGTGCCATTGAACCACTCTGCTTGAGCCAGAGCACGCTTCTTGACCGTCTCGCCACTCTCAAAGAAGTCACCATCAGCATCTCGAGCAACTGCGCGAGCCTCAACCTCGGCGACAACCTCGACGTCAGGTGGCACGTTGAACTTGACGTGCACCATTTCCAGATCCTCAATCCGTGTCAACGAAGTGTTGTAGTCGACCAGCGCCAGAGAGTTCTTGAAGTATGGTGGGCAGGTACAAGGCAGATTCAGCAAGGTCTCGTGAGCCACTGGCGGACAGATGTGCTGCTGGCTGTGGTGCTCCGGAATGTGCGTCCAGCACAGCTCGGTCGGGCGTGCCAAGAACCACCACGACTCTGCCGAGTTTGAGCTGGTGCTGACGTAAAGTCCACGGCGGGGATTGGAAGGGCTGGCCAAACAGCAATCCATCATGCGCCACTCGTTGTCAATAAGGACGGCGTTCCACCAGTGGTTCGCACGCGGCATGATGTTGATCTCTGGCACTTCTCCAGGACTCTTGAGGTAGCCGCGGACAATCTCGGAGTGTATGCCGACGGCTGTACACATCTCATGGACCAGCACGGCATACTCTTGCGCGCAGCCACGGCCGGAGGATATGACACGGCGAGTGTCGGCCTCTCCTTCATAATCCTCCTCCCAGTGGACTTTCTCGGCGACCCAGGTAAAAATGGCTCGCAGTCTTTGCACCTCACTGCGGTATGGTCGACAGACATAGTTGGTGGCCAGACTGACGGCTGTGGTCGTGGGCGGCAGATTGCTGATGAAGCGAGAGTTCTTATCGACAAGGCTGAGGTTGATGCTTTGGTAATTGACAGGTTCGCGGACGGGACGCCCATCTGCACCTTCGTCGCCCTCGACGCTTTCATACAACTCATCGACAGGGTCGATCGCCGGGTAGTCGAGCATCTGGCATCGATCGCGTCGCTCAGATCGTTCGTTCTTGCTCAAAGTGTTGGACCGATTGACGTCTCTGCGGACTTGCACCCAATCGACACCACCGCCGAGGCCCATGTCACGTGCCGCATTGAGGTTCGTGGTGCTCGCAACTCCCGATATCGACGACATGCCGACTGCAGACATAGGCCGGGCGGCCGCCGATGACTGCATGGCTCCTATGGCGATGCTACTTCTTCCACTAGCGACGCCAGTCTTGGTGGCTTCCAATATCCGCTTGATGAAGTTCGTCTTCTTCGGCTTAACTTCACCCAGTTGGACGAGACCGCCAATGCCGCCGATGCCGTCCTCGCGGTAGCCTGCTTGCGATTGTGGCCTCATGCCTGACGAGGAATGGCTGGGGTGATATGATACTCCAGTAAAGGGTGTTGTGGGTCGGTCCACTTCCAGATCCTCATCCGCGTCACGGAACCCCAAAGCGCTGCGAGCTCGAAAGTTCTTCCTGGCCAGGCTGCCAGCGCTAGTAGCGCTGATCCCTCCTGCCGAAGTGCCGCTCATCAGACTCCTGTTCGTGCTCTGCGTGTTGGTGCTAGAGTTGGTGGTTGTACTACGGTTCCCAGCCGAGGCGACTGTGGAGTTGGTCTTGGTAGTCGACGTTCGGCCAAGGAATTGTCGTCCGACATCATACGCCGACTTCTGCTTTCGGATCTTCCGATCCCCCATCGATGATTTGGGCCTTTCGAACAGACCGGCCTTCGGCGGAGGCGGAGGACCTTGATCTGCCTCGTCCAGTCCGTTCATGCTGCGGCTGTGGGTGTGCATCTTCCTCAGCCTGGTCTCCATACGCTCGACATAGTTGCTCAACTGAGGAAGCGGTTGGCCATCATCGCCCTGGTTGATATACGCGGAGTTCGGCTGTGACGAATCACCACCCTGGCTCTCATATCCCGAGTCCTGGTGGGCCAGGCCACTGGGTACGTGTGGCCTGTTCAGAGGACCTTTCCTCCTTGATTGTTCTCGGACCATATCGAAGGATTCCGGGGACCACGGATCGAGAGCGGCAGGCTTCGAGGGCCCGTGAGCTGACTTCGTCAAACTCAAAGCATCCAGCTGCTCCATTACACCATCCATGGCCTCGCGCAAAGGCGAAGGCGTGAATCCATCGGCGCCTGGAGTGTTAGGCATCGGCGAAGGGACCCTTGGAGTTCGAGGGGCTTGCTCATAAGAAGCATTGGAGTCGCCACGATTCAGAGCATGGCGATGAGGTGGTGGCGGTGGTGGAGGGGAAGACTCTATCTCTGCCCCTGGCCGGTACGGCTTGAATATTGATGGCGCGGGTGATGGTGCACGCTGGTCATAGTGGCTCGGAGCAGGAGAATGCGCGCGATAATCATATGGCCGGTTTTGCGGCGGTGCAGGTGACGCCGCACGATCGTAATAATGCGCGGCGGGTGGCGCTGGCGATGGGACCCTATATTCCCGACCGTAGAGCGAGGGCGCGGGGGAATGGGCTCTTTGAGCGTAGTGATTGTGTGGAGGAGCGGGCGACGGGCCCCTCTGACCATAGGGATCTCTTGGAGGCGCTGGTGATGCCGCTCGAAATTGGCCATGGTAAGAGTTTGTGTGGTAGGGCTGTGGCGATGGTCCACGAGAGTGATGTCCGCCATAAGGTGCCTGATGGTACGGAGCCGGCGAAGGAGCACGTGAGCCATATCCGTGCATGGACGGCGCTGGCGACGGCCCCCTGGCACCATAATCAAGCCTCGACGGTGCTGGAGAGGGAGCTCTCGATCCGTACTCATGCATGGGACTTGGTGATGCCGCAGGTGAGATGCTTCCGCGTACACTCCTTCGCATGGAGCCGTTGGAGTCGTCGCGCGTCTGCCGCCTCACGGGAGGCTCGCGTATTATCTCTGGCTGCTTCGCTGTTGTGTAATGGGGAGCCTTGGCATAAGCCTCGAACGGCTTGCGGAAAGGTTTTGACTTTGTCTTCTGGGGGATGTTGGTTGGGCTCGGTGTGTTGCTGCCCGTCATTGGGCTTGTCTGACGATTTACAGGTCTGAAGCTGTCGGGCAATACTTCAACAAAGTTGCTGGGGAAGACGCCGACAGTCTTGTTACGGCGCAGCTTGCCTGTCCACCATGACCCGTCGCCAGCGTTCAGGCATTCAATCAAATCCCCTTCAATGAAGCCGAGGTCATTCTTGGACTTAGCGGTGAGAGCGCTTGTTAGCAGGGTTCGGACAAACTTGATGACGGCGCAACTGCACGGAACCAGCCACTTACCTCTCCTCCCCACGAGTAGACAGCTCGACACCAGCATGGAAACCGCGTTGGCAGCGGTGGTGGTGTCAGAGTCATGTTGACGTAGCTGCCCTGCGGGCGAGGTAGTCGCGACTGGACGAGAAGTCGGTGAAAGTTTCCGGAGTGTGTGAATGTTCGGGTATGGCTGCTGAAGACGCTCGCTGTATTTGCCTGCCTGCTGTGGTGGAATTGTAGAGACAGACCTGAGGCTAGAGTGCAAAGGATTGAGGCTGTCGACGGCCGGCTGTCGACACAGAGCTGTCTTGCCCGTTGGAGGAGCAGTACTCATGGACCGATTTGCAAGGGAAGCAAACCGGAAGCAGACAAAGATGTGTGGGAAGATTGCGCACGAACGCCCCCAGTCGCAAAATGTCCGGGAGCCTGGCAGTGGGAAGAGGTAGGGGCCTGGTAGATTGGCAAGAGGGTTTGGTGGACATGCAAGGCTGACCGCGGCAGGCTACTGGCGATAGTTGGCATCAGATGTTGACACGGGGTGGCCTGGCTGCCCGCCAGCCTTGTGCGAGCGTTGACGGGGCGACGAGCCGCAGGCGGGAGCGGTGGAGCGATTGGTTGGCCCGGGCGCTGGGGAAGCACGAGTGCCCCACAGCGGCAGGCCTGGCTGGGCAATGGCGAAAGTCATACAGTGTAAAACAGTGTCGAGTGCACGGGCTTGCATTGGTCACTACGTGCATGCTCGCGAATGCCTTCCAAGGCTGCTACAAGAACTTTCAGTCTCCCCAGAGTTGCGGTCAGAGTACAGCCAGGGACGTCGCTGACCGACCCGACTTGACGCGACGATCGTAAGTCAAGTTCGACGGATGCGCACCTTGCGGTACTCCGAGGAGACTCTTTTACACGGTCAAGGCACAAGTATGAGCAAACACAGACGTAGGATCGTGCGCGCGAGGCTGCCTTGGCATTCTCAGAGACTTTGTGCTCCCTGCGCATGTACCATTAAGCTGCCCTAAATCCGTCGACAGTGTACAGATTTGAAAGTAGCTGGGATTCAATCTCAGTGGTTGTGCCGTGTGTCTCTCCCCACGTGAAGCGATTTCAGCGGATTCCCACCAGCGGGTGAGCTGCAGCTGGACACCAGAGGAGTGAATAATTGGAATCCGGGTCGAGCACGGTAGGACATCCTCAACATCTTTCACTACAAATGGCTGAAAGGGCTACTGTGCTTCTTCACTACAATATTTGGCCATGTGATCAGTAGGCAGTATGCACGGCTACAAATGTGTAAGCCACCAGACAGCATGTGGACCGCATGCCCGCCCGCAAGCTCACGAAATGCACATCTTCGCGTGCAACTGTGCGGGGGAGATATGGTCAGTGTGTACCTTGGTCTAGGAGGAGAGGTAGCCGCATTGCACGGCAAGTTGCCGTTCCCTTGGACCTGGAAGAGGATTCAAGAGGGGACCAGGATGGTGATGGACACACATATCGTAATCCGCGGTTGGGAAGGAGAGTCGTTGGAGATGCGCGGGTGCCGTTTGCCCAGCCAGCCAGCCACGCGCGCGCGAACCATGGCAACCAATCCACGCAATGGTGAACATGTCGATATCAAAGTCGACCCTGGCGTAGGGTATCTCAGCCGCTTCTGCTGCCAAAGCTTGATCAGCCGCGACTATAGACTGAGAAACGACGGCATACGTCATGGGGGCCTTTGCGTAGGGCGGTGAGTCCTTGCCTCGCGACAGACGTGCCTGATAGCTGGCGGGCCCGAAGGTCAGCCAGTGCCAGATTCGAGCTTGTGCGCGTTGACATGGATAGCGTGTGGATACAAGTCCGCCACGGGCCAGATCTGGATGCACAGCTCACGACCCGGTCATGCGAAAGCGTCCAAGGTGGATGCCAAGCGCGAATATGCTTCGCAGTGTGATCTCGATTGAGCAATTCCTCGCAGGACCTCGGGAGACATTAAAGCGGCGTGCAAAGTAAACTCGACTCGGTCGGCAGGGAGTGCTGCTGCCTCTCGATTGTGCCGCAAGACACATCATGAGAGTATCAGGCTCTGCTCTTGGACAACAGGCAAGTCCATCGGCCTCTGAATTTTAGAACGAGGTCCCAGAAATGCGTCCAAGGTTGGTATATGCGCCTCATCAGGGGGTTGAGATGAGTGCAAAAGGGCACAGCTCGTCGCTAGGGTGACCTCGATCTCTTTAACCTGTAGCCTCAAGGAGAGAATGAGACAGGAGTCAACATTGGCTGGAACCATTTGTGAGACAATGATATCATTCTGATATTCTTCAGCAACTTTGAGACGACTCGCGTGCCGCCGGTCTCAGACATGGGCGCAGTGCAAATGCGGGGAATCACGATCGCCACCTGTAAGGATTGCTGCGATTGTTGTCATCGGCCGGAATGGGCAAGGATCGGATTGTCACCGCAATTGCAGTAAGTGGTAGCAAAAATGCATGTCACTCGTGAAGCAAGCCAAAAAAAAAAATTAAAAATATTTGGAGGCTGACTGCGCAACGGCACATCATGAAGTGAACAGGATGGTTGTGTCGTTGCCAGGGAATGTTGCTGGGAGATAATTCCTCGACAGACCTACCATGGCCCAAACGGCGACTGGTCCGGGCCGAGAGGTGGACAAGGCGGGACCGATGCGATGGCACAAGAACGATGCGGGAAACGGGGCGGGTTGTGCTCCACGGACCACGATCTCCACGATGGCCTGATCGAGCCTGGTTCGAGGTGGGCTCTGGCTCAGCACGGGCTTGGGAACCTGGCAACAGGGTTGTTCATCGCCTTCTTATCACAGCGTTCATGTGAGGTTGCGTAGTGGATGGAGCCCAGCTGCACAGGTGCCTTTGTGAACGTTAGGTCTTGTCCAGCCTGAGTGGAGACATTCCCGAGCCAAACATTGCACTAACACAATCGCTAGTCAGGTACAGGTCGAGGCAAATGCTCAAGAGGCCAGATCCATCCACAATCCCACCTTGTGCCCAAGAACCGGCTTCCAACTATCCCATCAGCCCGTCCGGAGCGGCTGACCTGCATACACGCGGTGAACCCTGGGGAAAAAGAAAAGGTCCCTCTCCAGATCTTGAAGACCCTTAAAACTTGGCCGCACCAGAATGCATCAATTCGGTACCAACTGAATCGCATTTTTGCAGGTCGAGGTGAGAGCTGGCCCGTCGCCAGCAGTCTGCCCGTGCGTCCGTGCTGCCCATGGCGGCGACCAGCCCAGCGCCGCGGCAGCACTGGCCATTTGAGCAGCATCGCGAAGCCTGCAATTGTCGTCATGGGACGCACAGATCAGACATTTTAGAGGGGCAGCTGGGGGTTCGGGCCCCACCTCGTGGTCGCTGGGGTGGTGCGCTGTTGCCGGATCAGGCAGTCTGTTGACCCGCTGGTCAGTGCGGCCCATAGCAACCAGCGCTGGGCAACACCATCGTGCGCACGCTACCACGACGCCTCACGACCACCACCACGCCTAACGGGCCTAGCCCTTTTATTAACGCTGTCTCGCCCAGCTAGCCACGCCCGCTCCCTCCTGGCGCTATCTCGACCTCCTCCACCTCACGACTGTCTGCTACGCCGGCCACCCCCATCCATATCTCTGCGCCTGCCCCTTCGTCCCTCGGGCGCTGCCACGCGGCTTGCACTCTGCTCTTCCGCTTGTCGACTTCCTCCTCTCTCGCATACTCGCTCTCGCCGCGAGTTTCAGCGACCAGTCGCATCTGCCTGCGACCCGCGCATCTTTCGACAACATGGCGGACGAGGCGATTGCCAGCCACTACCAGGTTCTCGAAGAACTGGGTCGTACGTGCTCCCTGTTCGCGCCCCGTTTGACGAGCATGACTAACAACATATTTTCCTTGTCCTTGCAGGTGGCAGTTTTGGCGTAGTGTACAAAGGTATCGAGAAGGCGACAGGCGATATTGTGGCCATCAAGCATGTAAGACACTCCCCAAGCCTTCTTTTCCCCCCACAACAGCTCGTGTACTGACAGGATCACCGCTTCCACGCAGATCGACCTCGAGTCTACCGACGACGACATCCAGGACATACAAGCCGAAATCTCTGTCCTGAGCACATGCGCGAGCTCCTTCGTAACACAATACAAGGCATCTTTCCTCAGAGGCAGCAAGCTATGGATTGTCATGGAGTACATGGGTGGAGGTTCCTGCCTTGACCTCCTCAAGCCGGAGCCATGCGTCTTTGCTGAGGCCCACATCGCCATCATCTGCCGTGAGCTGCTCCGCGGGCTTGAATACCTTCACGCCGAAGGCAAGATCCACCGCGACATCAAGGCTGCCAATGTGTTGCTCTCCGAGAGCGGCAAGGTCAAGCTGGCCGACTTTGGAGTCGCCGCGCAGCTTACAAACATCAAGTCGCAGCGCAACACGTTTGTCGGAACCCCGTTCTGGATGGCACCCGAGGTTATTCAACAAGCTGGTTACGACTTCAAGGCGGACATCTGGTCCCTGGGCATCACTGCGCTTGAGATGGCCAACGGCGAACCGCCGCACGCCAATCTTCATCCCATGAAGGCGCTCTTTCACATTCCCAAGAACTCACCTCCTCGGTTGGAAGGCAACTTCTCCAAGGAATTCAAGGACTTTGTGTATCAGTGCCTGATGAAAGACCCCGAACGGAGACCATCTGCCAAGGAAATGCTGAAGCACCGCTTCATCAAATCAGCTGGCAAGGTCGAATCTCTACAGGAGCTTGTTGAACGTCGTCGCTCTTACGATGCTGGCCTGACAAGGCGGAAGAACCGGGCCTTCTACCAGGAGACTCTCCGCTCTATCTCGCCCAAGGACGAGCAGGACGAGTGGGTATTCGACACTGTCAAGTCGGTCGCCCCTAGACGGCCAACAGTCAGATCTAGAAAGCCATCCTCTATTTTCGCCTGCGAAGACGCGATGCGCAAGCTCGACGTCAAGGATGGTCCGCTCCAGCCTACTTCTCCCGCTTCTGGCACAGTGCGCAGGTCGACCGTGCGGAAGCAGCCCTCGCTGGCCCAGATGTCTGGCACGGGCTCGGTTCGTGGGCCCCCAGCACCAGCTTTGCGGCGGCCCTTGCAGCCAGACATGTCCTTTGGCAACTCGGGCTCCTCCCAGCGCCTCTTCCGGCGCGTGCCTTCAGACTCATCAACGTCCGGTCACGTCTCGGGTACCAACTCTGGCGACGAGGCTGGAGACGAGAACCGCCATCCAAATGCCGTCGAGGCGAACAGCAAAGAGGCGCTACTTGGGCGCAGGCTCTACTCCAAGGCTCTTGAGCCGACGTTGGCCGAGCTCCATGCTCAAACGTCCTGCATGGTCAAACGGGAGGCGTTGGCGAAGCTCTCGGATGCCTTTGCCGTTCTTAACGCTGTGGACCCCGAGGGTGCCCATCATCTCTTAAGAGGTCTCACCCTGTCCATTGCGGAGGACTCAAAGCTGAACACCGCATACCTGGCAAACAACACATCGGGCAAGGATACGCCAGAGAGCCAGTCGCCCATGGGTACGGTGATCATCAAGAGCACGCCCACAAACCAGAGCCCCACAAAGCTGGTCATCGCGCCCAACAACCCACACCTGAAAAACCACCGACGTAGGCAGGAAAGTCTTGCCATCGATGGCAACGGCAGCCCTACCAAATCTGCGGGGCGCGAACGGAACTCCGAGAAAGCGGCGCTCCAAGCCAAGTTCCCGGGACGGGAGCCCGAACCTGGCATGGAGCACTGCAAGCAGCTCTCAGATGTGCTCTACAGCCGATGGGTTGACGGCCTTCGCCTTCGCTGGCCCGCGGCTTAAGTTGCAGGTCGTTCCTTGCTAATTTTGGATGGTCTCAAACAAGACCATCTTTTTTAATCATGGTGGTCGTCACGAAGCCGCCATACAGCATATAGATATCATCGACACTCGGGGTTTGTCGATGCACAGTTTCACTGTAGGATATTTCCGTCATCTCCTCGCGGAGATGGCCTGGTTTGCGCACATGTTTATGGCTAATGAGGAGGACACGCACATGGTGGGGCCGATGCAGGCGAGCAGTTGCATTCTTCCTTTTTGCAAAAGCTCTACTTTGCATTCCCCCGGTGTTATTTGTTTTCTGGGTATTTCCTTGGGGTCGGCTGTTTTCCTTTTCCTCTGTGTCTCTCCTGGACCTCGACTGCTCGGGCGGGGGGGTCAAGGGAGGGCAAGGAGGCGTTTGAGGTTTTGACGTCGAGCGTTCTGCGTGATTTGTGTTTCTTTACACTTGCGTATTCTGGATCATTGTTTTTTGTTTTCTTTTGACTGTTGTGCCAGATGTGGGAATGCTGGAGGGGGGGGCCCTTTGCCAGCAGTGACTTGTTTTCAGTGTTTTTGATCTGTGGGTTTTTGCGCTTTTTCCTTTTGAATGCCGAAAGCTTGTAGATAGACCATACATAGCATAGCATAGCATCCCGACGACTCTGAGATGAGTTTGTCCGGCAAATACGAGCTTTTCCTCTGGCGGTGTTGCCATGAGGGAATTAGATCCATTGGAGAACCATCCTGAGGCGTGCATGAAACGATGTTTTCCGGCCAAGATTGAGTGTGATTGGAACAGTGGCTGTGGTTGACATGGGCGGATGAGATGACGAGACATACAAAAGACAGCGTTTTCTGGTACAACCCGTTGCCATGCATACTTACAGTGGGTTTGCAGCGCGCTCCCCATGTATATTTCCCCCCAGTGGGAGGGAGCTAGTTTACATACGCAAAGTTGGCAATGGCAACTGGCGAGATCGCAGCAGCGATAGTAATTCAGCGAAAAATGGAAGAAGAGACACACAGCCGCGCTCAACTCAACAACAGTCCACCACCACCAACCCTCAAGATTGTTAAAAGAGCCGCGCGGGCAACTATTTTCTTTCTACCAATTTCTTTTTTGGTTCTTGCAAGTTCCCCTTGACCTGGCCTGGAGCTGGCGGGACATCCCCTCCCCCCTGGTTAGCCGTCGGACAGTGCGTGAGTGCGTGAGTGTTGTGTGTGTGTATCCGCGTGGGAACCACTTTAGTTTTCGCTCCCCCAAGTAACAAGGCTGGAGCAGCAGCTCGAGTTAGTTGTGGAGAGAGGGGGAGGGGAAGCAAAGGCCAATCACGAGCCAGGCTGAGAGGGGAGACTGTCCAGAAAGGGGAATTTGGTTTTTGTATATGTGCAAGGGGGGCACCCGCACGCGCGACAACAAGTACCCATGACTATTCAACAACCACACACACACACACACACGGCCAAGCAAGCGTGAGTACCCTACTTATTGTACGCTCCCAATGCGCACGCACGTTTGTTTGACCTGCAATATCCTGTGTTTTTCTTTTCCGAAACCAGTCATCTCCTTTGGCTGGTCGAATCGGCAAGTTTGATGTTCTTGTCGTGTCTGCCGGATGGTAAATTGTTATTTGCATGCACGCCGGCCCCTGCGCCAACGATAACAGGGACTGCATAGCACTTACACAGCCTGCAACCAGACAGCTCGGCCTCGTGGTACAAGCTCAGAACCATGTTGGGGATAATAGCCAATACACCGGAACAGCAACGTCTGAGATGTTATTTTGTGTTTGCAATTCTTCTTTTTATTGCTTTTCGAACAGAGATATTCATGGGTATAACAAGAACCTTATTTACTTGGAGAAGATGTTTGTATGTACAGCCTCCTCTTATCCTTATGTAGCAGTGCAGAACGCTTTGGTTTGTTTTTTCTTTGGGTGGTCGTACACAATCTCTTCCACTGCTATTCTTTTTTTCTTTCTTCTTTCTCTAACAGCCCCAGGTCCACTCGGCAGCAGCATCCTTAGACGGAGTCGCCCTCGGCGTGCTCGACGTTCTTGACGCCGACCTTCTCGGTCATGCCCATCTGGTCGGCGTAGGTGGTCGAGGGCACCCACTTGGCAGACTTGCGGGGGGTGGTCTCCTCGAACATGCGGTCGACCTGCTCGAGAGTGAGGCCCTTGGTCTCGGGGATGAGGAAGTAGGCGTAGACGAAGCAGATGGAGCAGAGGCCACCCCAGATGTAGAAGACCTTGGCACCGAGGTTGCCCTTGTCGCTGTCGACCATGTAGGGAGTGATGAGAGCACTGGTTTGAAGCACACACGAGTTAGTGGTTGATCAGAAAATAGAAGACGGGGCTCGAAAGCACGTAGAGGGGAAAAAGGCTTACATGATGGTGTTCCAGAGCCAGTTGGAGGCAGTGGAGAGAGCGACACCACGGGCACGGATGGGCAGAGGGTAGATCTCGCCAATAACGACCCAAGCACCAGGACCCCAGGTGGAGGCGAAGAAGAAGATGTAGATGCAGATGAAGGCAATCATGGCCTTGGTGGCAGTGGCGTCGCCAGGGAGGACGGTGCCGATGATGGCGACGATGAACTGGCAGATGACCATGCCGAGAGCACCCCACAGGAGCAGAGGACGACGGCCAATCTTCTCCATGGTCCAGAAGGAGATGGGAGTGGAGAAGACGTTGACGACAGTGGTGATCATGCTGATGATGAAGGCGTTCTCAATCGTGCCGAGCTGCTGGAAGAAGGTGGTGCCAAAGTAGAAGACAAAGTTGACACCGGTCCACTGCTGCATCATCTGCATCGAGGTGCCGAGGATGATGCGGCGGACGTTGGAGCCGCTCTTGAAGAGAGAGCCGCTGAAGCAGTGCGCCCAGCTGCTCCAGTAGCCGTTCTGGGGAGTGACGCTGAGCTCGTACTCGTGGTTGGCAATGATCTCGGCGAGCTCGTCCTGGATGTAGTGCGACTGGACGTCCTGGCCACGAAGGCGAGCAAGGGCCTTGGCGGCATCGTCGAGCTTGCTCTTGCGAACGAAGTAGCGGGGCGACTCGGGGAGGAGGAAGAGACCGGTAGCCAGGATGACGGCCCAGAGCATCTGCAGGCCGATCGGGATACGGTAGGAGGCGGTGTCGGTGCGGCCCTCGGTTCCGTAGGCGACGCAAGAAGCGATCATGAGACCGATGGTGACGCAGAACTGGTATCCGGACACGATGGCACCACGGACCTTGCGGGGCGCAATCTCGGACATGTAGAGAATCAAGATGGCGGAGACGAAACCGACACCGAAGCCGGCAACGAGACGACCGCTGACAATGAGGCCAAGGCCGGAGGTATGGGCAGTCTGAATGGCGACACCAATGAGGAAGATGAGGCAGCCGAGGATGACAGTGATGCGGCGACCAATCCTGTCGGCAATGTCACCAGCCATGATGGCACCGAAGAAGGTACCGGCGGAGAGAATACATGTGATGAGCGACTTGTTCTGAGCAAGAAGGGTGGTTGCACCATCGCCCTCGATGGAGTGGATGAAGGTCTTCATGCCCATGACACCACCAATGTAGCCGGAGTCGTAGCCAAAGAAGATACCACCAAAGGCGGCGAAGGCGCACATGAGGTAGGCCTTGACGGTGACGGGGGCCTCGACACGGGAGACGTCTCCCGCGCCTGCGCCCGCAGAGCGGATGGAGCTGCCCATGGTGAACTCGGGTTGTTCTGTTGTTGGTATGGGAGGATGTGGCAACCAAGAAAAAGAGCAAACAGAGACCTGCGAGGAGATCGAGGGAGTTCGTGAGGTTGGTGAGGCACAGCGAGAACAAGACCTCCCGCAACTATAGAACGACAGGGCAGGACGAGCTCTTATACATGACAACGCCGAGTCAGGCTCGGGATCACAAGCAGAGGAAGCCGGTACTGTCCGACGCGCCCCGCCGGTGGCCAGCCTGCTGATCGTGCCGAGTTTTCAGCATCTGGGCTCTTCATTTCACCGGCCCACGAGACGGGCGCGTGACGGAGACCTGGGGGCCACCCGCAGGCCCGCAATTTACTTCCGCGCCCCGTTCTCTGGAATTTCATCCCCAAGGGGAGAGAGCGTTCTGCCCCGGAGAAGACAGCTCGGGGCATGTGCAGGGGCCGCCAGGGCAGAATGTGGGATCTCCACATCGGCCGAGGCGGTGCCCCATACTCTGTCCAGAACGCTGGATGTTGGAGGCGGATACGGGGCTGGACCACAGCTGCTTTGCGGATTCCGGGGTGCTGCGCTTGTCCAGCTCTGCGCCTGAACCTCGGGTCCGGCCTCGTCGTCGTCGTGCATGGCATTGCCTTGCCCACCCATCGTGGGGGCACCTCAAGAAGTGGCGCACCTTGTGCCCCTCAGCAAATGACGGCGCCTCCGGTTCGTCTCGACTCAGTCTGTGCCTGTCGTTGCACCTTCCTGTTTGTGACCATTATTCTTCACCTTGCCTCGCTTGTCCACGCCACTGGATGACACCTTGTCAATGTCAGACAACTCATGTGGGAGGGAGGCATCAGCAGTACTCGAGAGTTCGCCCAGACATGCCTGCCCGCCCCTTCTAGTGTACACTTGCTTGGCCTTGCCACTGGGAGCTCTTGGAGTTCGGCGCCATGCCCAGCAAACTCGCCGAGCCAGGGCCATGCGCCGCTTATTCCAGCAGGGCTTTCCGCATATAGACTGCCAGACGGGGCTGCTCGGTGCGCGTGCTCGGCCGCATTGTGGGCCCGGCGGCGGCAGGTCGGCGCTTCTCTGTCCTGCAACGTCCACGGCATGGTCCGGGCGGCCGGGCGCCAGTTGCTAGCGCCTGCGACTAGCCCTGCAGGTTTTTCTTTTCTTTTCTTGTTTTTAACTCTGCTGGTCAAGTCAACGTGCCATGGCATTTCCGATGTGGAAGGCGTCAGGCATATGCAAATCCCTCGTGGCGCATCTCCGGGCAGCAAGGCTATGCATGTATGTAAAGTTTGGCAGGATTTCAGAGCTGCGACTGTCTCGGGTCAGTTGGCGGCCGTAATATTGCGGGATGGGCAGGTAGCATCGAGACCTCTGCAGTTGGCCACGTCTGCAACATCACGTGCCGTGTCAGGTGCTGGCAGAGCTCAGCCTAGGCGGCCTCGGCGGTTCAGCTGTCTTGGTCATGACAGAGGCGAGACAGGCAAGCTCACGCGATGCTGAGCAATCCGTGTCTGCATGGACCAATTTGCGAGAGGCCCCGGCGTGCCGGGACCGTGTTCTGGGTTCCATGGGTTCCCCCACTCGTGGTGTGTCCCGGCGCCTCCGACTTGGCAGTGGCCGCCACTGCCGTCAGAGCCACTCTTGCAACGGCACACTTTTGCGCAAGGCCTGCCACCTTGAAGGCACCCAGAGCGCAATGCTTGCACTTCCAGCATGGTTGGCCAAATGTGAATTGAGTCTCTACCGCATGCTTCAAAGATGTCGAGTAGAGTGAGATTAAGACTTCGAACAGAGGACTCTCACGTTTTCGTCGTCCTCTCAGCCAAGGCTCGACCCACAAAGCTTGGGCGAGACAAGCGAAGCACAGTGGTGCTGGAGCCGCAACTGGAGCCGTGGTCCACAATAGGGCCGCAGACACACCACGAAACCGCCGCGCGAATGTCCGTGGCCGGGCCAGGAACAGCCAGTTGCCGACTGCACTGGCATTCCTCTCATCTTGCACGCAGGCTGAGCTCGCATGCCGTGTTCGCAAGCTGTTCTTAGTCGCTGTGAGCTCCCCACGAAGTTTGCCAACGAGCTCTCCTTTTGATGGACTGTCGAAAACCTGTGATTTTGAGTGTCTCTAGCTGGACGACGGCAAGGCTGTGGATGACTCCCGGGCCGTGTTCTTGTCAGGTCCCTCGGCCTCGGAGATTTCAGAAGGGTGTATGACGGCATGATGCTGCACAACCATGTCTGGCCATGCCTGCGGACCTGGTCAGGGGCAGGGGGCGACCTGACTCCACCAAGCACGTCTCCGGATGTGGCGTCTGGCAAAGCTTGACGGGCGTCTCGAGGGACCAGGTGCTTCTTGGAGAAATCCAGCTCCATTCCGGAGTGCAGCACACCCACTTTCGCATCAGCGGAGTCCATTCTGGAGTGCAGAAAGCGAGGGGGATTCTCCTCCACCTTCTCCAGGTCTCAGGCCTCGGCCTCGCCTGGCGTCCCATGCGGAGATGCTGGAGTCCTCGCACCGGTTCCATAATTCTCCCCGGCATTTCCGTTGCTGGTAGCTTCGTCATCGATGGGCGGGCACGTGGCCAATCCAATGTTCGGCTTTTGTTCTAGACCTCTAGAATCGACCAGATCTCTCGCGTTGATCCGAGTTCCAGCCTCTCGCACAGACCGTGCGGGACATGTCCATCAGTCGGTTCAGGTACGCCTCAGCCGACTCTCCCTCTTCTTGGGACGGCTCGTGCTGCTCGCGGTCTGGCCTACGTGATTCGAGCTGAGCATCATTGTTGCCGCTCTACTCAACAACACCAGCGTGCTCCTCGGCAACTGACCGGAGATGGTGCTTGCATGGTTGATGAATGCTACTTCTAGTCTTTGCCAGCTGCCAGGCACTGTTGCACGAGCACAGAGTATGTAAAACAGCCCCCGTTGTCTCGACGTAACCAAGGTGAGGATGGATTTGTGACATCAAAGTTGGACGCGAGCCAGCCCCCGTGTCCTGGCAATTGTGTGCTCGGCCAAAAAGGGAAGTTTGTGTACTTGGAGAAGGAAGTCGCAGCTTTGGCTGCGAAAGTGGGGCGGTCGGTCAGGTCTACCCCGCGACGCGCTTTTGTGTGCTGGATCGAGACCGCACCGCGTTGGCAATGCATCGCCACGACCAACAGATTCCCATGCGACGTCGTCGGCGCGATCACCAGAGACACCCGCACCCACCCAGTCAAATGACCAACGTGTGGTGACACCAGCCCAATGAGCCGATGAGCGCAGCTGAGCATGGAGGCTTTTCTCCGGGAGTGGCGGCAAGACGCCCTCAACAAGGCTCAGCACGACTCTGCCATCTTCATCGGCGACAAGCTGCTTGCGCTTACCAGTACGCAACTTTCTTCCCCCGCTACTAGCTGGACTACCGGCTTGTGCTAACGTACCCTACTCCGCATCCCTTTAGATGATGACAAAGACGCATTCTGGCTGGCTCAAGTCCATTTCGCCACCGGGCACTACACCCGAGCTCAAGCGATCCTGTCCAAGCAAGACCTCATTACACGAAACCCCTCTTGTCGCTACTTGGCCGGCCATTGCTTGATCAAGCAAAACCGACTCGACGAAGCCCTGGCCGTACTGGGCGAGCGCAATCCTACGCACCTCATCACGAACACAGCCACTAGCAAACGCAAAATACAGCATACTGCAGGGAGGACGGCCGCTGCTAGTCATGGAAGATTCGCCGCTAAGAGCGCCGAACGAAGGGACCAGCTGTCTGAGGAAGATGTTGCCAACAGGCGCTTCGAGGCTGCGATGTGTTTTCTGCGGGGAATATGCTATGCCAAGCAGAATGCATTCGACCGAGCCAAGGAATGCTACAAGGATGCCGTACGCATCGACGTGCAGTGCTTTGAAGCGTTTCAGCAGCTCATGAAGAACTCGCTCATGTCACCGGACGAAGAGTGGCAGTTTCTTGAGTCACTCGACTTCGATGCCGTCATGGTCCCGGGCGACACGTCGTCATCGCAGGAGGCGGCCGAGTTTACCAAAATGCTGTATACCACAAGACTGTCCAAATACCGGAATCCGACAGCATTCACCTCGGCTTGCGACACCCTTTCTACGCATTACAACCTTGCCTCCAATCCAGACTTGCTGCTGGCCCGAGGTGATTTACTATATACACAATGCAGGTACAAGGATGCACTTGCCATCACGACGTCTGTTCTCGAGGACGACAAGTACAATTTCGCCATCTACCCGCTCCACTTGGCATGTCTATATGAACTCAAGAAAAAGAATGTTCTCTTTCTTGTCGCCCATGACCTGGCGGACAACCACCCTGAAGAGCCGTGCACCTGGCTGGCTGTGGGAACCTACTACTTTGCAATCGACAAGATTGCCGAGGCGCGACGATATTTCAGCAAGGCCAGCATGATGGATCCTCACTTTGGGCCAGCGTGGATTGGGTTTGCCCACACGTTTGCTGCCGAGGGCGAGCATGACCAGGCGATATCCGCATATTCCACAGCAGCCAGGTTGTTCATGGGCACACACCTGCCTCAAGTCTTCCTCGGAATGCAGAACCATGCGTTGAACAACATGACACTGGCTGACGAGTTCCTGCGAACTGCCTACGGGCTGTGTAAGACGGATCCTTTGTTGCTGAACGAGATGGGAGTCGTCTACTACCACCAGGATCGACCACTCGATGCAGTAACTCTATTTACCAAAGCATTAGAAGTGTCAGAAGAGATTAATTCTGAACCTCAGGCATGGATCTCGGCGCGGACCAACTTGGCCCATGCTTTACGGCGGGCGAAGAAATTCGAGGAAGCAATGGACCAGTTTGACGAGGTCCTGCGAGAGGGCGGGAAAGATCCCGCCATATTTTCTGCCAAGGGCCTGATTCTAATGGAGCTCGGGAAACCGGAAGAAGCTGTTGAAGTACTCCATCAAGCGCTGGCAATCAGCCCCCAGGACCCGATTGCCACGGAATTGCTCAACAAGGCTCTAGAGGAAACGATAGGGATGCTGGCCCTAGAGTAGGCCCAAAGTATAGCTTCCCATTGTGACTTGAATATAATTGAATTACACACATGACACGGTTCGAATTGTTGTTTTGGTAATGAAGAACATGTAAAGACAACGGGCGTCATGTCAAGCTGCACAAGCCTGCGTCGGAAACTATGGGGGTATAATCATATTGTTGACCGACTGCTTTTCGCAAGCCACGTAAGTCAGTCACATGTTATGGACTCCTATGCCCAAGCTGCGCGGCTAAGCGGTCGTCCTCCCCTTAGACCCCATGAGTCTCTGTGAGGCTTGCTGCCACATCTTACAACGGCAGTGCCGGACAACGAAACGCTTGCGGACGTGGTTCATGTGATGGAGGCCCGGGGAGCTGGGAGGGATAGTGAGAGCGTGCACCGGAAACTGGGTTTCTCTGGTTCGGATAGCGTGCTTTGGATTTAAAGAAAAAACAAATTCCGCTTGAAATACACCTTGATCTGCTTGGGGATGCCTCTGGTCTGCTCTGAATTATCGTTGATTTTCTCAGAGAATCTGTATTCCAAGGCTCAGCTCAACGCACTGCTGTTTTCTTCTTTGAAATCCTTTCCAACTTCTTATTCCGAGTTTTGGATTGTCGATGTTTTGGTCGGAGCCAAATATATTCGCGTGTGCAAATATGAGTTCCAATTTTATTTTTTTCAACTCCGTCTTCCTTGTTTTTCAATGTTTCTAGGTTCCTTTACTTATATTGTCCTTGTTCTCTCCACTCATATTTAAAAATGACCATGTTGATTCAAACTATTTACGCCAAATCACATCGGCTTTACTGAAATATTTCCCCCAAACAGTTCCTGTGTATTTTAGATATCACCTTGCCGTCTCCGATCTTGCTCCATCAAATCAGTCACGCCGACTGTATTGTTTCCCTTTTCGTCCGCCGGCGTCCGACGCGCACAGTCTCAGCCTTGCATATCAGGACGCCCAGCCACGTCTTTCCCTAATATCGAGAAAAAAGGACACGAAATACATACCAGACCTGCCTCCGGATATATCCACGCCACCACTCGCTTCGTAAAGTGGACAGGACAAAGACCTGCTACTACTACTGCTGCTGCTGCTTCTACTGTGGCATGTGCCGCCCGGCAGCAGGCCACGTGTGCCAACATGAAATTCGATTGTCACTAGCTCCAAACGGCGCACCCATCTTGCACGTGCCAAAAGACGAACCTGCAACAAGCACTGCACCCGTGACTGTTCCATGTTTCTGCTCGCCCGCCGCCACCATTTGTGGTCTCCCGTAGCGTGCCTACTTAACTTAGCGTAAGGTACGTAGTCTCGTATGGATTCCTCATCCCAAGTTTTTCTTCTTTCCAAAACCCACTAAAGACACGCTAGAAGACACAAGTCCAACGAACTAGAGCGCATGGTGTAACAAGCCTGTGACCAGGGGCAGTTGGGCTAACGGCAAGCCTGCCGGAGGGTTCGTCTCCACCGGCTCGACCTCGACCTTCTCTCTCTCTTAGCTCAGCCCCGGGTTTGCCTAGCGTGAAAGCTGTTGCTGTTGCCCCCGCGGGCAGGAATCATCATCCAGGTTGGGTAAATGCGCCTCGCGGAGCTAGCTGGCCGAGCGCGGCGACTCTAGACCCCCCCCCCCCTACATCAAGCCATTAATGTGCCATTAGTGATTCCTGAGCAGAACATGGCTTCTAGCGTTTTACGAGATTCCCTCTTGGGAACTAGCCCGGGTTATCATGCACAGAAACAGGGAGGGTCGGTGTACCGCCTTCGCTCACCTCGGCCACAAGATTTCGCGATTTGGGGGCATTGTTCTTGCATAAACGAAAACGAGAGCAGCTAATTAGACTGGTTGCCAGAACAAGCCTCGGCCGCGCGCTAGAAGCTTTGTCCGCCGAAACCTTACAACAGCTATTGCCTACGTTATTTTCGACAGCTGTCGAGGTGGGAAATGTCACGTTCCCCGGACCTATGCAGCAAGGGTCCTCCTAGATGATGTACACGCCAAGGTGGTGTGGCGACCCGGCTGGTAACCTCACCGCGTGGTGATGAATCTGACATGCTGACGGCAAGGGTCATTGATTGATCACCGCGACAGTGCCCGGGGAGTCCTACCGTCAGGTGGCGGCTGTGGCTTGGTCTACTAGGATCGGAGCTCTAACTGCAAGCAGTCGGTCGCCGGTCTTTGTGAGCGTATCAAGCGTAGTCTCTTCACTTGCAATGAATGGTTTCCATCCGACCCTCAACGCAGCAAATGAGTCGTCAGTGTAAGACGACATCCTGGTATGTATCAGTGAGACAACCGTGTTTCTTTCTTTGGCTTTCAAAACAGCTCAGGGTTTGGGGCGATTGTTGAAGGCAATGCCCAACTCTTTCACGCTGGCCAACGAAGAGCCCTGTGGTGAGCACAGGAAGTTGGAATGCACTACATCTCCAGAGAGTGCCCGATTGAGTCGTAAAATCGTAAAATCAGCGAATACACAACCCCTAGAAGTCCAAATACGGACATATGACCCGCCGCCTGCGCAGTTGTATGGGTGCTTGACCATGTTAAGCATAAGCAGCCTCTGGATGTGATGTGAAGCACCTTGCCTGCCACCTGAACACGCCAAGACCCTTGGGCACACTCCACTCACTCACCTATGAAGGCGGCTCGTTGTCTCCCACTGTTATGGCTTGAGTGGAGGATGTTGAGGTGCTCAGCGCTTTTGTGAATACGGGCACTGTTGGCAACGTTAGAATGGGGTGGCACGTGGCACCTAAGATTGCCGAGCCTCCTCGATCTCCCACGTGCGATGGGCGGTCTGCTGGGGGCTGCGGAGCACTCTAGCTCAATGGAGCAATTCTTGATGACCAGATCAGCGCAGTGGTGCTGCAGATGTTCATTGCCCAGGTTGGGCACGGACGGTGCACGAGACATGCCACGTCGTGGGAAGCGCCTGTTGAGCGTCTTGAAAACCAACAGAGGGACTGATCAGTGGAGTTGATGTAAAAAGACCCTGGCAATTGTTTCGGCGCTGCATGTCTCGATGGTCCCAGACGGACGTCGACAGTTGGTGGTACGAAGGATGTAGGTGCTGGCAGCACACCGGTTATATGCGTCTAACATTAAGGCGCCGACACACCGCAATGCAAGGCCTAAAAGTCGTGGCCCGGATCAGACGAGCCGACGTGCTGGTGAACGTCCACGATAAAGGCGCGGCGATAAGGGCATGGTTCCAGCGGCACGGACGCATCATTGATTGTTGCGCGCGCGCGCGTGCAATCTTGGTGGTGGAGCGGCCTGTTGCAGCAGACGGGGAGCCTGAGTGACATGGTGCGACATGTTGTATTGGCCGGAGACACAGTTCTTCAATCGACACGGCCACCCGGTATCGGTTCTGGAGGTCGACCAGCTGTGTTAGAATCGGTGCGGGTTCTTGGGCGGGAGGGGACAGCTTGACGAAGTCGAGGGTCGAGGGCCCAGCGTGTGGTGCACAAGAATGGGAGAGCACGGAGAGGCAACTGCGACTGCCCGTTTGGCGCTTGGTGCGAGGCTGCTGCACCTCGCGGTTGCCTGCCTGCCTCATGTGCGCCGCGCCTTCTCTGCCCAGCTTGCAAAGGAAGACCATGCTTCCTGGCGGCATCAGATTCGTGCTAGGCCTCACGCTTTCTTAGCCCAGTACTCGAAACGCAATCCTTCCGGCATGGCGGACCCGAACCAGGCTCGGCAGATCCCCCATTCCGGCCTGGTGTTTCGGGTCGGTTTCCACAACGCTCCTTCGACTCTCCTCTCCAGCTGGGTTATCCCTGTTCGCCTTGCACTGGCTGTGCCTCTCCTCAGCGGTACATAGTGATGCCACACGACTCCGCAGCCCTGCTGCAACCCCCAAAGGTGCCAGTAACAGCCGACCATCATCAACGCCTGGATCCACGAGATCTCGTCACGACACAGGGCGATGCAATCTAAAGCCTCTGCAGGGTGCTGCATCTACTGATGACTATTCAGCGCAGCCGATGACCCGGTGGACGACAGTAGACACATGTCTTGTCGTGATCGTCGCGCAGTACGGGGCGCGTTGCTTCGACCGCATTCAGCGCCGGCAAAAGCCAAAAGCCAGAAAACCCCACACCATCACCAAACAAGCCCCACGAATATGTCGTGGCATTTGCGTCGGGGCTTTAGAAGTTAGTCCAAAAAGGCCGCTTCACTCGGGCTATCACAAGTGAAACAACTTCTAAATACCTGGACCGCTTGTGAACCACATTACAACCCAAGCATCAACATTCGAAACCCCACAGAGGCCATGTTGCGCACGTGGAATATACTGCAAGCATGAGGCTCCTCTTGCCGGATCGTCAGCCAAACAATATTTCGGAGTCCGTGGTCGGGTTGCACAATACCCACTACCACGGTTGCACCATGATTCCTGGTTATAAACAAACAAGAGCAGGCATCTTGATCAAAATCCACTTGCAATGCGCAGCAGTCTTGCGGAGACCCGCCATCAAAAAGTGACCGGCATTGCATTGATGTACATCAAGGACCGCATGCTCCGCGTGACACGGCCAGCCATGTTCAGAAGTCCAGGCAGATTCGAGTTAGTCTTGTTGGTGCCACGACTTTCGCAGATCACCGTCAGGTGTGGACTTGACGCCGTCAGTAATCGGATTGTTCCGGTCTGCTTCGCCGGATCGTCTGCAGGGGTGCGGCGGGACTGCGCTAGGCAAGACACCTCTTGCATACTTTGGGACTGTACTTCCAGGAAGACCCCTGCAAAGCAAAGCTCAGCTCCACGCCGTTGTCCGAACTTGGATCGTACCAGGTTCCTCTGCATGAACGCCCCGTGGGAGGGGCTGGCGAGCACATAATGTGAGTCTAGTGGCGATCAGGACCCATGCGGAAGTCTATGGACTGGGGGTGCTGTGGCCCTCAGCCCGATTAGTCCCCGGACCCTGTCAAGCCAAGTCTGAGCCAGGGAAGACCCTCACCTTCATGTACCCTTCGATGTAGTTGTCTAGCCTGTGTGATCAGGGCACCCCTGGCGCGGCCGTCTTGGCCCTTCTTGTCCTCTGCATTGTACCTTACACCCGGGAGCGCAGACTCGGGGCTGACCTGGCTGCATTGAGCCGGCCTAGCGTGCTTCCCAAACATGGCCGTACGAGTACATATCCCCCCGGGCCCTCGTTCGACGAGCGTCACGCAGCTGGCCTGTTGGTTTGGTTTTCTGTTGTCGTTTTCGGAATAGGACTTCAAGACTCACCACTGTCGACACTTGAAGGGCGCCTGCCCCAACTCTCAGCCATGTCCGCGCAGGATCCGACCGTCTCTACAGAGAGCAATGGCTCCGCTCTAGTAGTGACCGCCTGTGTCATGCTGAGCCTGACGTGGTTCTCTGTATCACTTCGCACTTATGTCAGAGGGTTCATGACGAATGGGTTTTTGGCCGATGACTTCTGGATGCTGGCATCTCAGGTAAGTCATTGCTCTATCTCGAAGCAGGACATCCCCCAGGGCGTGGCTTGCTGACAGTGGCTCTCATATCCAGGCGAACTTCACAGTGTCTTGTGCTTTCATCTTGCGTGGTTGCTACCACGGACTCGGAAGGCATAACAAGTCTCTCAGTGTCTACAATGAAATCAACTCTCTCAAGTGGCAGGCCCTTGCGACAGCGACATATATCCTCAATATGTGGCTCATCAAAATGAGCATTGGCTTATTCCTCCTCCGAATCGCGACCCAAAAAAGATATCGGTACACGTTGTACGGCGCTCTCGGTGTTGTCACAGTCTGGAGTCTGGTCCTCTTCTTCTGGAACATATTCCAATGCAATCCTGTGGAAGCTCAATGGGACCTGCAAATCCTTGCCAACGACCCAAACGCGCGCTGTGTTTCCCCCGAGGAAGTCGTCAAAGGGGCATACGCACTTAGCGTCATGACGATCCTGTCGGACTGGCTGTTTGCCCTGCTCCCTATACCGATGGTGTGGAGCGTCAAGATGTCATTGCAGGCCAAAGTCACCGTCATGGCTGTTCTCGGGGTCGGGGTTTTTGCTAGTATCGCGACCTTGGTGCGACTGAAGTTCTTGTCGGACCTGACGGACTTGGAGGACATCTTGTGTAAGTCATGCACGCTCTCCAGACTGACAACACTTCTCCAAATACACCCGGTCGTCGTTGTCGTTGTAGATGCTGACTTGATAATTTATGCGTGCAGTCGCTGGTACCGACGCCATGGTCTGGACACTTATCGAGCCTGGGTTGGCAATTGTCGCTTCAAGTCTTGCCACCATCCGCCCTCTACTCCGAGCCTTGGGGATCAAGGGATTCCAGCTTACCGAGCGAAGCCGCTCAGGGATGCGCAGTGGCAAGCAGCAATCGAGGACGGGCGGAACCGGCCAAAACCGAGGCATGGGCATGCCAGGGTTTGGCTCAGAAGATGTCACACTTGTAGATATGGAAGGTGGGCTGAGCCGATCAGATACCAACCGGAAAAGCAGGAGCGGCGGCAGCAGTGTTTACGACAACAACACTCTCAGCAACTCGACGTCAAGCAAGGGCCAGTCGCCCAAGACTGCGGTGGCCATGGTGACAGTCGAAGAGAGAGAGGAGAAGGACTCTGAGCGATGTGCAGCAATGTCGAGCCCGGCAGGACTGACACCTCTGGCCAAGACGCCTGCAACAACGGAAGCCCCTGCAAGTAACAAGAAGCCCAAGATGGTCGGCCACAAGAAGAAGCCGACGCCGGTCCGCGTCGAGCCTGGGCCACACAGGTTAGAGATTCAGCGGACGACCAGCATCACGCAGACTACCACCACAACGAGTTCAAGCTCGAGCCACCACTCGTTAGCACCGCCGGTCCTGACGAGCAAGTACAGCACCAGCATGATCAAGAACGGCCTGTCCGTGCAAGACCTGGAACAGGTGGACGCCAGGCAGAACGGGACGAGTATACAAGGCAGGACTTTCCTGGCGTCTGATCAGTCGTCTCTGAGCAGCATGGAGCTTGCGACGATGGAGCCGGAGCACAACGACGAGGAGTCGCCATTGCCGAACGGGTTGTCATCAAGGCGGAAGTGACAATGACAGACAGAAGTCTCTTCTTATGCTTTTTATTTTAATTTTATTCTCTGCTACAACAAAAAGTTGGGCGGACACATCCATTCATAAACCACACATTGTGGGTCCATCATCTGTCTAACTGGTGCAAGGCCGATATCATGTTCCTAATTTTTGAACCCGTGTTGGAATGGACAGCAAGCAACCTGACGGCACTTGTTGTTTTCACAACAACAATCAACATTGCTTGTCTCTTTCCCCAACGTGCTCTGAGCCATGTGATTCTTGTCTGCCTCAGTCCCAATGCCGACTCACCAACGCGCACAACGCAGAAGATGCACAGTGAAGACGCCCCGTGAGGTATCAAGTAGAGTAACTACCAGCCTGTGCGGACGGGAGCTCGCGCCGACAATCCCTGTCTCCGAGCCGAGCCCCTGGCGGCGTTGAAAGCTCAAGCTTGGCCCCAACCAGATCCCCCGCCCCCCCCTCGACAGCAGCTCAACCCCCAGGGGGGGCGGAATGGCAAGGAAGGGGTCCAGAACATGTGGGGCCGGGGAAAACGGAAGAAAGGGGGAGGACTCTTTTAGTGCTGAGCATCATCGCCTTGACCGAGCAAGGGGGTCCTCGAAAGTCGAGGTCGAGTTGAGTTGTTCCTGGGGCTTGGTGCAGATGCAGATGCTTGGTGCGGTGAAGGGCTTCATGTGGTACACAAAACACGGCACGGGTCCCTATGCTACTGCCCTTCCGCGTGGTCTCAAGGTATCGGCGCATGAAAACCGTCGTCGTCGCTGGGAATACCTTGACATGTTCAGTTTAGCTCTGTCAAGTCGGCCCACCATACCGGTCGGTGTGACGGGGGCTGGGGGGTTGAATGTGTTGCGATTGGCCAAGGACGCGATGCCGCAGGCTGTCCCGCGCCGGGGCAGGGCACACAACCACCTCCTTCCCGAAGTCGCGCCCCCGCCCGACCGCCACTCTCAACGCCCTTCAGAGCTGTCACACGGAGGGGTGGTTAGTTAGTTGGTTGGTTGGTCAGTGGTTGGTGGTTTGAAAGTGTGTCGTGCGTGTGATTGATGCAGGTACAGAGCGTTCTGGTTGGTGCGTGCTGTAGAGCCTTGTGTGTGTGTGTTGTGCTTATTGCAGGGGGGTTGGGCTGGAGAGCTTCCAAGCTTGATCCTTGTCGATGCTCAAACGTGTTTCTGTAGCTGTATTGGGCCGAAGTGACGACGCTTGGATTGTGCGCCCGAACCGAACTGCAGCATGCAGAACGCAGAACTTACACACGCCGCCCCGGTCTGGTCCATGCTGCTCGGGGGGAGGGAGGGGCCATCAATGCTCAGAAGGTGCCGTGCTGTAGTCATGTTGATACCTCAAGTCATCCCAGACGACAGACTGCTCAGCTTCAGAATGCCAATGGACGGCTATGCTCTCTCACGTCAGCATTCCACGGAACTCCAACATGCCAAGTAGCTGTCATATGTATGGACGATAGAGATAAGCAATACGCACGCTGGGCAGGGCTGGATCTAGGCAGGGCTGGGCTGTCAGCATCGTGGTGTGTTGCACCAGATCGTGATAACAAGCTGGACTGGTTGTCGAGGGCTGAGACGCACGCCTAGGAGACGTGATGTGAGTGGTTGCGTCAGCCCCAGCGACAAGGCGCGTCCACCGGTCGTCGTTGTGGCCAGGGGTCATTCTTTGAACCCTGGAGAAGGTCGCATTGATACCAGGCCCTGGTCTGGCAGCCCTGTGGTGGAAAATCACTGCCAGTCGAGGGACAACCAACTTTTACGGAAAGACATCTTTCCAGCCAATCGCTACTGCCTTACAAGTGTTGGCGGCGCAGCTAATTAGCACTTGAGACGGGGTTCGTCCGTGGTTTCTAGAAATCACGGCTCTGCGGGTTGCCTCAGGGACAGGCTCTTGTGCTCCCACCCTTGTCTGTCGATTGCTGGTTGTCAAGCATGTGCCAATACGACTCTTTCTCGCTGCATGTGACGAGTACCTCGAAAACTTCTTGATCTTGAAAGACAACTTGAGCCTCGTAAAGTCTTCCCCTTGCTGGGCTAGGTCAGGACCTCTCCTGTCCTAGGAGATGGCTACCACCGCGCTCACGGCTCTGCACAAGCGAGCTCCTCGATGATACAGTGAAGGCCCTGCGATATGGCGGTCTCTTCCACTTATGCGTCTTCTGCAAGACTCTAAAACAGTGGACAGAGCCTGTCCTGTACACCTGTGGCTTTCTACAGTGGCTTGGGGTATGAAGCGGCAGTGCCGCAACTCTGGCCAAACCATGTTGCTAGAGCGCAATCAGAAGAGCTCAATCTGGCGCAGTCGAAACAGCTGGGTATGGCCCAAACGACGAGCATGCCGTTCTTGACTTGGGTATACTTGTGCGACAACGCCGCTGGTATGAGCATCATATATCTATGGGATTGCAACTGGTGGGACGCGCCGGCACGTCTGCCCGTGCGGCATATCGCAATTGAGCAAGAGTCAAGCCGATATCGAGAGAGGCCGCCATACATGTGCATGGCCTTCATCGAGCATGTCTCCGATCTCCTAGATCCCTTGACTGAATCAAGTACATGCTCCAGCATCCTTGCAGGACACAGCATCATAGGGGACAAGCTATTACGACATCTGGCTTCACCTCGTGATCCGACATCAAGCTGCCCTGGCCAGCACATTTCAGCATCTCTTGAACCATGGCGCTTCGCCGTACCGAAGCCAGGCGACGGGACATGCAGCGACGATCCGGGAGTTCGGGCTGTCAGCCACGATTGGCTGGCCCTATTCGGGCTGCCACTGGCCCATGGAGCCCGTGTTCTTGGAAAATGCTTCTGTCGACGCAGGCACCGGATTCTCCACATTACCATATTCGCAGCAGCGGCTCGCATGGCGCCTGACGGCCCTCGCCTTGTGCTCGAATGCCTGGGCAAGGGCTTCATGGTAAACCATCCTGCTCATATTGTCGGCCAGGGCGGGCTGCGCTGGGCGATCGGGACTGGTTGCAAGGTCTGGTGCAGCCGTCAACATACACTAAGTAACCTTGTGGCTATTGCTATCTGGGATCTTCGTCCAGTAGAATCCAAGCTCGATCCTATCGATGGCGTCAAGTTCTGACTGGAGCACGGCGTGACCATCGCACAGGACCGTTTACCGGCCTTTGCTTGCGGGTCCTGCGCCTGTACGACATGTCATGACCTCGAGGTACGGCCACTCGTTTGTTTTGAGGGATCTACCAGCGGGGCTCCGGTGTCTTGGGAATGATGGCCTCGTCGCCTTTCTCAAGTTCCTTGTCAGAGAGCGATGGGATGCCTCCTCTCGATGCTGGACTGCGGTTGTGAAGCCTAGCTGCATACCGTATATCCTGGCGGCGCGAGAGTCTGAGGTACCTACGCATTTCAGAAGAGTTGGGGCTAGCCGAGCCCAGCTTCTGCTGACATCTGCTGGCATGCAGAGCTTCTAATCAACGTTGACTCGTGGAGAAGTGCACTGCATGGCGACGAGGCCGACAGCTTGGCGAACCTCGCGCATGCAGGTTTGTTGTGCACAACCAGATCGGGATCGTGCCTGGCATCCGACAGCCTAGTGCTCTTTAACTAACGTACCGAGTCGGGTCTAGCTGGCAGACAGGCAGGTACCCGGAACTCTATTGTGTTGGAGTTTCTTCTTCTCAAGATCTGAGATCAGATGACATCTGCTGGAGAAGGGCGGCTCACGTGGCTTGCCGTCTCCCGTCGCCAGAATGCAGCGCCACAGCAGGGCTTGGTCCTCCGTTTGTCAGGCACCGACCTCGTGAGGCTGGTGTGCGGCTTCCTTCCTTGCATCGTCGGCCGGACGCCTCGGCTGGCAGGTGCGTCACGGGCCTGGTGCTGCTGGATCCAACCAGGCGGTTCGGCGCATACCTGCGACCCACACAAGTGCTGGCGCAACGGCGGCCCATTGGCTGCGGCTCAGCTGCACTTTTTCGTCTTTAGCGGGCGGCGCACCCGCACTCGGCCGCTGCCAGCAGAAATTTCAGACACAGGGCCTCCCACCAACACCGCGCACCCTCGCTTGCTTTTGTTCCGGCGGCTCGAGCTCCAACTGACGACTAAGACAACGACGCAACTGCGTCTTACTCTGCTTGTGAGCACCGAAGGCACACTTCTCGGACAGGCGTCATCGTGTCTTTTTCGCCTCGTGGACGGTTTGCAGCCAGCCGACCGACAAGTTGCCAGACACAGGACCTCCGTCATCACCAGCTCTGCTGCTCGTCTCGCCTGGGCGCTTCTAGTCATCTGCAAGTGCCGCCGCCGCCGCCGGCCCACGAAGCTCCAGCTCCACCCCAGATTCCGGCAGGCCACCGATTTAACCCCGACCTCGCTGCCCCTGCCAGGCTAGCAAAAAGCTGCAATCTGGGAAATCCGGGGTGACCAAGTCGAAAATCACGCGTGCCCTGCCAGCTGCCCTCCTCTCCCTCGCTGCCCCTTCTCGAGCCCGCAACCCCTCCGGCCACCGACGTCGACAAACCCGCACGCCTCTTTCCCGCACGGACGAGCGCATTTCTCGACATCATGTCGTCCTCCAAAGCGGCCACCGTCTCCGAGGCGGTCAAGGACACCCTCCTCGGCACCGACGACTCCTCCAAGCTGTCCGCCCCCAACCGCGCCATCTTTGTCGCTAACGCCAAGCGCGATGACTCGGGCGAGCTCTACATGGGCCCAGAGGAGTTCATCGAGGCCATTGCGCCCAAGGACGAAGACTACGTGAGTCTTTTCCAGGCGCTGCCAATCTGTTCGCCGCCGCAAGAATGACGTGGGACCCCCCACTGACATGTCCTCTTCTCCCTCCCCCCCGCCATGTAGCACAAGATCCAGCGCGACCAGTACAGCATCCTCTTCACCGTCGCGGATCGCAAGGGTAACGGCAAGGTGACGCTCTCCGACTGGGCCGCCTTTGAGAACATCCTCAGCAAGCCCGATGCCGAGTACGAGATTGCCTTCCGCCTCTTCGACGTTGCGCGCAACGGCTCCGTCAAGTATGACGACTTCCGCCACCTTTACGAGCTCAACAAGGGTCCCGACAGCATCCCCTTTGACTGGGAGTGTCAGTGGGCCAAGCTCTACATTGGCGACAAGAGCAAGCGCCATGTCCTGACGTACCAGGAGTTCGCGCAGATGTTGCGCGGCCTGCAGGGCGAGCGCATCCGCCAGGCCTTCCTCCTCTGCGACAAGGACGGCGACGGCTACGTCGACCCCGAGGACTTTGCGAGGATCATCCGCGAGACCGCCAAGCACAAGCTGTCCGACCACGTCCTCGAGAATCTGACGACCCTGTGCAACATCTCCTTGAGCAGCAGGATCTCATACGCCAACGTTCGGGCGTTCCAGAACATGATCAAGGAGATGGACTTGGTAGAGCTCATCCTGCGTGGCGCCTGCCGCAAGAGCACAGACGGCAAGATCACCCGCTCGGAGTTCCTCAACGAGGCCGCCCGCATCACAAGATTCTCCCTCTTCACACCCATGGAAGCCGACATCCTCTTCCACTTTGCCAGTCTGGACGAGCCTTCAGGCCGTCTCGGTCTCTCCGATTTCGCCAAGGTTCTCGACCCATCCTGGACGAACAGAGGTGTGGCTGTCGAGGCGGACAGCAGCAGTGCGGTCCAAGTGGCCAAGTCTGCTTCCAAGTCTTTTGCCAAGAAGGCTGCCGAGTCGGCGTACAACTTTGGGCTCGGCAGCTTGGCTGGTGCATTCGGTGCCTTCATGGTGTACCCAATCGATCTTGTCAAGACCCGCCTGCAGAACCAGAGAGGTGCCGATCCTGGCCAGCGGCTCTACAAGAACTCGATTGATTGCTTCCGCAAGGTGGTTGCCAACGAGGGTTTCCGCGGTCTCTACTCTGGAGTGTTGCCACAGCTCGTTGGTGTCGCCCCGGAGAAGGCCATCAAGCTGACAGTGAACGACCTTGTGCGCGGCTACTTCACCGACAAGAAGTCTGGTCAGATCAAGCTGCCGTATGAGATTCTTGCCGGTGGTTCTGCAGGAGCCTGCCAAGTTGTGAGTTTGCGCCCCCCAGATTGAAATTCGCTACCCACCACCCGGGATCTGCTAATACGTGTGTCCAGGTCTTCACCAACCCTCTCGAGATTGTCAAAATTCGTCTGCAGGTACAAGGAGAGATGGCCAAGGTTGCTGGTGCCCAGAAGCGCTCTGCCATGTGGATCGTCAAGAACCTGGGTCTCGCTGGCCTGTACAAGGGCGCGTCGGCGTGTCTGCTGCGTGACGTGCCATTCTCTGCAATCTACTTCCCCGCCTACAGCCATCTCAAGAAGGACGTGTTTGGCGAGTCGCAGACTAAGAAGCTGGGCGTGCTGCAGCTGCTCACCGCCGGTGCCATCGCGGGTATGCCGGCCGCCTACCTGACGACGCCGTGTGATGTCATCAAGACCCGCCTCCAGGTCGAGGCCCGCAAGGGCGACACCAGCTACACGGGCCTGCGCCACTGCGCGCAGACCATCTGGAAGGAGGAGGGCTTCAGGGCGTTCTTCCGGGGTGGGCCCGCCCGTATCTTCCGGTCGTCGCCGCAGTTCGGCTTCACGCTCGCCGCGTACGAGGTGCTCCAGAGCGTCCTCCCGTTCCCCGGCAAGGCGCCGACAGAGCAGGTCCACACGGGCGTCGCGGAAGCCGTGGGCACGCTGACGCCCCGCGCCGACACGTCGTCGCCGCACTACCGGAGCCGCAACGCGCTCAAGCTCATCCTCGACATTGACGAGGACTTTGGCAAGGTCCGCATGCCCGACCAAGTCGCGTGGAAGGCCGTGCCCAAGTTTGCGAGTGCCTAAGATGTCGACATGCACTGGTCGATTGTGGGTGTGTCTGTGTGTCTGTGTGTGTGACTGTGACTGTGGAGGGGGCAGTTGTTGGTGTGTTGCGGGGGGTTTCTTTTCATGGTTGGCAAGAAGAGTTATGATGCATTCGGGATATACATGGCGTTCTTGCACGGCGATGATTTAATCCTTTTTTTTCTTGTACCTCCTTCACTTGGCTTTTGCTAGTTTTTCTTTTTTTTATCACGCTCGCTTGTTTATCAAGCTGCATGTACCATCATCCGATTTTCCCACCACCATCACCACATCTTCTCTTTGCGTGTCTGATCTATTCATAAAGAAGAGAAGAGAGGAGGAAGAAGAAGCAGAAAAAGACAACGAAGAAGAGTAGAAGTAGAAAAAGACGAGGAAAAGCCATGCCGCTGCTTCAATAGGAGGGATGGGTTGTCCCGAGAGGGCAATACCCACACATAGACCGCTTGCCATAGAAAAAGACGAGTCTTGCTTCTATTACTTGTGATGCCTTACTCCTTTATCCGTGTGTGCCCTGTCTTGTCTGCGCGCTTATTTACCTGCTTCATTGTTTCTTTCTTTCTTTTTTCTTTTCTTCAGCACGATGCCACCACACCCACCAATACATGGCCCCTTCCCACCGAGGACGATGACACCGTTGAGGACGAGGAGATAGACGATCCCCATGACGATGACAACGTCGAGCTCGCTCCCTTGTCTGACCCGGACCCGGACCCGGACCCTTGATCTAATGCAGCAGTAGCATCATCATCATCATCATCATCATCATCACCATGACCACGAGGAGAAGGATTATCAAACCCCAACTCCATGACCCCGTCATACCGCTCCACTCTCCGCCCCGGGGGGCCATCATGCTGTCCTCCAGCCACGCCGCGTACCCTTCGAACCCGCCCACGCTGCCCACGACCCTGGCGCGCTTGACCCCTCTGACCCGCTCGAACAGGCGAAGGTGGTCGGGGCCGACCCCGCGCCAGCAGGCCTGGCTGACCTCGAGGACCAGCTCGTCTTTGGCCGAGAAGTGGCGCGCCGCGTCGCGGGCCGTGAATTTCGGGTCCACGTCGAGCCGCAGGTGCAGCTTGTACCGGGTGATCAGGGACCGGAGCAAGGGGGAGTGCTCGGCGTGCTGGATGGGGCGGTGGGATGGGGAGAGGCGGGGGAAGTGTGTGAGTAAGGAACCCGGGTGGGCGAGGAAGATGTGGGATTTGTAGAGGATGGGCGTGGCCTCGGTGTGGATCTGGTGCGAGGTGCGGAGGATGGCGGTTGCGTGAGGGGCCGGGAAGGATGTTGTTGTTCGTTTTGTTGGCGTTGTTGTTGTTGTTATGGTTGTTGCTGCTGCTGCTGCTGCTGTCGTCGATGTCGTTGTTTGTTGCGATGGTGACGGTGGTTGTTGTTGTGCAGTGGTGGTCTCGCTCGAGGCTGTCAGTGTGGCTGCTGCTGGCCGTGGGGGCACTGCTCGCGATGCTGCTGCGTAGAGACGGGCTTGAGCTTCATGGGACGGCAAGGGGTGGCCAAAGGGGGTGTAGAACAAATGAAACTGGGCAGGGCTGGGGATGAAGGTCTGGCTGGTGCCAAGTGGCTGTTGCTGTTGCTGCGGATAACCAGGCGGGGAGCAAGGGGCAGAGCACATTGCCTTGACCGCAGTGGCCAGGGGCGGGGTCACGGGAGGAGGAGTACCATTGTACGGGTCGACAAGGAGGTACCGGTATACCTCGAGGCGCAGTTCCACGGGCAGGCCCAGGAAGCTGGCAGCGGCGACGACGGCGGGGGCGGGCTCCGGAGCGGAGGGCGAGGGCACGGAAAGAGTGGGGAGAACGGCGGCCATGTCGTCGGCGGGCCGGAGCGCGGCGGAGTACGGGCCGGGAAAGGGCTGAGGGACAATGGAGTAGTAAGACTATAGAAGGACCGGGCGGCTCCGCGCGTGGAAGGGTCCTGCCCCGGGTTTTGATGCTGCTCCTGTACCGATGATTATCGCGAGGTCGCAGCTCGAGTCAAGACGTGGATGACTGACGAGCTCTAGACACCCGCGGATGGCGCTTGTGAGGTCCAGTGTCGGGCGAGCGGCCCCACCTCTTGTCCAGATCTCCAAGCCGGGCCCAAAGAGAGACGGCGCAGTAAGTAGTGGTGGATCCCCTCACGTTCAGAGGGACTGGTTTTGTTGCCGCTGTATTTGTGTTGTATGTGTCCTTGCAAGCGAGCAAGGCAGAGCTGACCGGCAAGATAAACAGGTGTTACGGTGGCTATGTATGAGGCGAACAGAGTTGTCGTGCCAGCAAGTCTCTGTGATGCGGTGCTGTGCTTTTGGGGTCTTGATATGGGATTGCGGAACGTTAATGACGACCAGAGGTTGTGTGCCCGCGTGTGGTTCACAGGATGGCAGTGGACAAGTCGAAATCTTCTGGGGAGACAAGATCGAGTCTTGTGACAGATGAGAAGCTGGGGCACAGCTCTGGTTGTCGAGCTTGCGGCCGGTCAGGTTTTCTATAGCCTTTGATGTACTACCTCCGGGTACACCACACCTTGCCGCGTACGTAGGTGGCAGGATGTGAGATCTTGGCCGAAATAGGGCAACGCATCTCACCTGTGCGATTGCGGCTGACCGCTGGGGGTGATTCATGTACTCGAGCATCCTTCCAGCTGGTATGTGCTTGCAGCAACACGGCCGCCCAGTCATGCCATGCCTGCCCATGTTTGCCGTGCTGTGCGTGACGGGCATTCCGACCCCAAAGGCAGGGCTGGCGCGCTCCTATTTGGCAGCCGTGCCGTGGCCAGTCGCAGCCAATGGCTCCCCGTACGGGCGGGCCGGGACTGTGTATTGACGGACGGGGGCTTACATGGCCGCAGCTGATAGCCAACATTGCGGCAAAGGGGTCGCACCAATTAGAGGCCAAGATTCCTTACGATGATGACAATTTACTACCCAGGACGCCCACACGAATGGGTTCCACCCGGTCTTGTTGCGGAGGGGGGTTGGGCAGGAGATAATAAGGCGCTGCTGGAAGGAACAACAAATTGCGAGCTGGTGAGTCACTGGATTAATGTCTGGACACCATCCTCCTCCTATTCCACGAAGGCACGATAGTGGGGCTTCGAGATGCCGCGCCGTGCCGTCTCTCTCGTAACGGCCCACATTGAACCTGATGCACGCCGCACCCAGCATCATACAGGAGCCAGCAACTGGCCTTCCCATCTACCTACCATCTCTCTTGCTACTTCCTGGGCCGACAGTCGAATCGCGAGGCCAAACGACACACCACCCACTTGATGGGACTCCCTGGATTGGGTGTTCAGTTTCGCCTAGGGTCCGGTCGCGACGATGGTTGATGGCAGGTCCTTGCACAGAGTGAAGGGGACCATCAAGGGTTCAAGACAAAGCGTGGGTTGGGGATCTGAGCATGCGACCCACAATCACGTCAGCCCCATCAAGTGATGCCCCCTTAAGGTTGGCGTTCCTGTAGTCGCCGCCCCGCCTTGGCAGGCACGATCGCGACGACGACATTCAGCTTCACCAATCCAGCGCTGGCCAATCTCGCCTCTGTGCGCAACCACGTCCACCACCCATCACCACCACGATCTGCAGCATGCAAGTTCTGTCCGCGATCCGGTGACACACGCGTCTGCTCTCACTCCCGCCCCCGCTACCGCCGCCGTCATGAACTTCCTCGAGTTCCTTTCGGCCCTCTTTGGCTGGATCTACTTCCTCTGCTGGAGCGCCAGCTTCTACCCGCAGCCCGTCCTCAACTACCGGCGCAAGTCGACGGCCGGCTCCGTCATCGACTTCCCCTTCATCAACACGCTCGGTCAGTGCTTCATGCTCCTGCCTCCCAGTAAAGCCCAAGCCTAACCCGTGCGATTCCCGTGTCGCAGGCTTCCTCGCATACTTCATCTCCAACAGCGCCTTCTACTGGTCGCCCGTGATCCGCCACCAGTATGCCCTGCGCAACAAGGGCCTGACGCCCACCGTCGCCTTCAACGACATTGCCTTTGCCGTCCACGCGACCATCATCAGCTTCATCCTCGTCACTCAGTACATTGTGCCCGCCTGGTGGGGCTTCGAGCGCGCCCCTGGTACCAGACCCTCCCGCCTCATGCTGGGCATCTTCTTTGGCTCCTTTGTCGGCGTCGGCATCATGATTTTTGTCGTCGCCTCTGTCCCGCCGGATGCCGACCCGGCCACCAACTGGGCCTGGCTCGACGTCGTCTACACCATATCCTACGTCAAGCTGCTCATCACCATTGTCAAATATATGCCGCAGCTCGTCTACAACTTCCGAAACCGGAGCACAAAGGGCTGGGCTATCGGCGGCATGATCTTGGACTTTGTCGGTGGTATCCTCAGCATCGCACAGCTCGGCATCGACTCGTATCTGCAGCGCGACTGGTCGGGCATTACGGGCAACCCTGTCAAGTTTACCCTCGGCAACGTGTCCATGATCTACGACGTGTTTTTCATGCTGCAGCACTACTGCTGGTTTGCCGATGACAACGCGGACAAGGACTTAGAGCGCGCTGCGCTATTGGGTGGCGAGGATGACAGGAGAAGATTAGATTAGAGTAGGTAATAGCCTCCGAGCAATTGGATATTACCATCACTCATACACCGTCTTGTCGTGGATAATTCATGTGTACCCCCCATTCCGCTTGAGATCCTCTTGTTAGAGTGACACTGTCTACAAGCATCAGGGTGAACGATACGTGACGCATGACATGATATGGTGCAGACTTATTGAAGAGTCGAGGCAGCGCAGAAGTTCCACATCGAAAGTAAACCATAACCACCTCAGCAATACGGTCAGGAGCAGGAAGGTACGTCACCACCCGGCACCTGCAACCTTGGAAAGCTTCCGTAACGTGACGGCCTCATCGCTCCTGCCTCGAATGAGCTGCCAAAGGAAATGGATAAGCACCGTCCCGCACGCACTCGTTGCTCGTCCGCTGGCTCTCCGCCTTGCACAATAACACTGGAAGAGCAGCAGTGGGTTCTTGGACTGCTTAACATCGACAACACCATTCGCCTCAGCTCGATACACCCACATCATGGACAGCACTACACTTCATGCGTCATCGCCCAATATGCTTCCCCAATTACGCCTACCTGAGCAGCCTTCCCGCCGAGTGCAGCTCGAGTCACTTGGAAAGCAGCGGATGCGACTCCTGGAAAGTCACCGCAAAGGAGCTGTTGCCGCGCTCTCCCCACCGTCGACCATAGCCGCTCATGATGACGACCGTTCCATGCCTGCTGCAGAGTCCCCGTTCCACGAGGGGACGCCAGAGGAAGCCAGCCACTTCCCAGACACTTCCGACCGAGTCGTCTGGCTCAAGACAAACGACGGCAAAGTCTTCCGTGTCAGCGCAGATGTAGTCAAGGACTCCCTGCTCATTTCTGACCTCACCGGAGGGCACATGGCTATCGGCGGCGCTGATTACTCCATGGCCATCCCCCTCTACAGCGTCGACTCTTCTATTCTCTCAACCCTTCTTGAGCTCCTCAGCGGTCTGACCACCCTCCAACGTCTTGAGAGCGCAAAGCCTTCAACGTACCGGAAGAAAGTTCAACAAAGCCATCGCCAGCAGAGCAGCCGGAAGCCCTCCCCACAGCCTCGAGGTGCACGCCTCCGGCCCGCAACACGGGCATCCACACGGGCTCTCGTCAAGACAGCCATGCGACTTCGGCCCTTGAACACGCAAGACAGGAAACAGGTCGAGTCGTCGGATGATGATGTGATGGCAAAGTGGCTTGGCCGCATGGAGCAGCTTGATCTTGACACATTGTTTCGTCTGTTGTCTGCCGCGGACTACCTGGACATGGATCAATTCGTCTTTGAGTGCAACAAAGTGATTGACAGGAAGCTGCGCAGCAAATCTGAGGCAGTGAGTCTTGTGGCAGCTGGTGAGTATGGACTTCAAAGTCACTGATGCTTTACGGTAGACTGGGGCGTAAGCCGCATAACTCGTGGGACACGAAGCGTATGCACACAAGACAACGTATCGATGACCTGGCGAAAGAGGGGCCGACTCAAATACTGGGAAGACAGGTGCTTGTAGGACGAGGTAGTGGGATTCACTCGCTTTACAGAGCAGACACGTGCCTCGCGTTCACGTATAAATGATGGACAACAATAGAGGGACATATTCAACACAGCATGATTATGAGCCTGTTAGGGATCCTGAGCGTTATCGCGGGTCGTCTAGAACTGGGCACTAGCAGCACGCATCTTGCCTGCAACTTTTAATCAATGCTTCACAGAAAATGCTAGATCATATCTGCAGCGGGATGCATGTGGTGTGTTATGTACTTGCAGACGGTGCTGATTTGATATGTATGTACAAGCAAGGCATGAACGGAAGGTTCAAAGAGCAAGGCCCGTAGATCCGCTGCTCCATCGGTACAGCGAAAGCGCCCGCCGCCGAGCCTTGCTCTCCTCGACGTTGGACGTCCCTGCGCTCCTGACGCTGTAGAGTGTCGACCGGAGGACTTTGCGGAAGCGTTTCTGTGGCAGAAATAAGAAAGGCATGGTCAGCACATCGATTCCGTCACTCGAATAACAGTTATGCGGGAAAGGGGGGGGGGCGGTAGAGTGTCCCCCCCCCCCCCCCCCCTTTTCTCTCTCTCTCTCTCTCTCTCACACACACACACAGAGCTCAAACAACGACAGAAATGAAAGAGGGGAAAGGAAAGGAAAAGAAGTGAAATGGCAACATTGTAGAAGGGGGGGGGGGGGGGGGGAAACAAGAGAGACATACCTGAAACTCCGTACTCAGCGTGACGACACAGACCTCGTGGGCGCGGATGATGATCTCGCAGGCGCGCTCGACCGACTCGTTGAGGCCGATCTGGGGCATGCGGTCGGCAAAGAGGAGCAGGATGAAGCTGCCGTGGAGGAGGTATATGCCAAAGAGGTAGGGCATGAAGGAGAGCTCCGGGTCGCAGGCGAGGATGCGGGACACGGCGTCCGAGGCGGCCACGGCGTGCGACGCGCACTTGATGAACCCGACGCTGGGAATCCAGCCGTCCTTGTTGTCGAGCATGGAGACCGCGTCCCACTTGCCATGCAGCAGGACGTGGAGCACGTGCAGGATGAAGCTGCTGTACGCTGTCACCAGTTGGGCCTGGGCGTGGTGGCGGCGGCGGCGAGTCGTGTTTGTGCTCGAGTTTGGGTCCGTGGTGATGGAAGAGGCGGTGGTCAGAGGGGGCAGGGTTGTCGTGGTGGAAGAGGGCGGTGCTGGTGGTGGTGGTCTGCTGGCGTCTGGCGGGGAGAAGGCAGCGTAATGCTGCTGCTGCTGGTGTTGTTGTTGCTGATGTGCGAGCGGATCAGGCATCTCGCGCGGCGTCGGCGCGAGAGGCTGCCCGGATCCAGGAGTACGCACTTGGCTCGCGGGGATCGCGGCGCCGTTGAGCGTCTCGACCTCGTACCGCGCGGCCAGGTCCGCGATGCTCTGCTCGCACGACTCCATGACCTGTTCGACCACGGCGGTCGAGGCTTCGTGGCTGTCCGCCATGCTGTCGCTGCCGCTGAAGCGCGGGTGCGACTTGAGTCTGTGCAAGGTGATGACATCGCCCAGGATCGTCATGAGCGGGAGGAACCACTCGAAGAAGCCGATGCCGAGGACCCGTGTGGGTGCGCCAAAAGCCCGCCCAGCATATTGCTGGTGATGGCTATCGCCATCGTGGGACGTATCGAAGTAGGGCGATGCTAGAGATTCCCATGCGTCATCCGGAAGTGGAGCATATACTTGACATTCGTCGTCCAGAATTCGTAGAGGAGCATTGAATGACAGTGCCAAATGCCGATCAAGGCAGAATATCAACCAGAAGGCTCGCCGCCGCTCCTCTCGGACCTCGGCGATTGATACTCCTGCGCGGGTAGCGTCGCAGGCTCGGCACGGACATGTCGAGGCATCGCCAGTGCACATTGCAGAGGGCAGTGTCGATCCGTCTGGGGGTTCGTCCTCCCGGTTGAGACCCATACTGTGTGAAAGACGCAACGTCTTTGTCCACCATCGGAGGCAATCGATTTTGAAATCGCCACCTGACACCACGATGGTAAGCAGCAGATACACCAAGACATCATCGACCATCGGCACAGGTGGCAGCGCTTCACTCGCGGACCCGTTAGAGCACGATGCCGGGGCCACATGTTCCGCGTCACTCCCATTGGTATCTCTCAGCAAGGAGCCGTCTGGGATTGCGAGTCAGTATAGAGCATTTTCAACTAGGGCCTGGGATATTTCACACCTGTTATTCTGTGCCACGAGTCTCGGTCACGGTCGTTTGTTAGGCGGATCATGAGCTTTCTGAGCCCCTCGCACACTCTCGTCTTCTGTCCCGGGAGCAAGAAGAGCGAGCTGTCCGCCGTCTGCGCGCTAACCCACAGCATGGTGACCAAGAGTGCCGGTGTCGTCTTCCTTGGTGTATCGTGGCGGAGAAGCGACTCCTTCCGCAGCACATGCGTAAGAACGTATGGCGAGGAGCACTTGAAGAGCGAACCGCCAGGCTCGACGAAGTACATCTCGAGCAGTTCACATGCCAGATCCGCGTCTATGATACCCTGCAAGAGGGGCACGACGGGCTCGAGACATCGAAATCGGCACAGCCGTGCGCTCTCTGGCACCTCGCGTTGGCCAGATCTTGCAGCAGCAGGCGATGTTACTGCTTCAGGCGTGTTCAGAAGGGAAGGCACTGTGATCAGGTTCTGCTGTGTAAGCGCTCCGATGGAATCGGGTACCGAGGTACGCATGCTGTCTTGGTCATGTAGCGACTGAGGGTAGAGATTCAAGCTGGGCGAAGTCAGAGAATCATTGCCTGCAGGTCTCGATGAAGTACCGCGGTCAGTGGGGCCCTCGGATAAGTTGCTGTCATGACGAACGCGGTGACGGCTCAGTGGCGGTGACTGCGGCTGATGCAGGTCAAGGGCGGCGTCCTTCCAGTTCCCTACGGCATCGATCGAGATGTGGTGCCAGCCGCCGTTTGTTTCGTTGACCGTGGTTGGCGTCGAGACGTTGCTCATCGACTCCACGTCCCGGCTCAGTGTGTTCTCAAACTCATACCACTTGTCCTCACCAACCTGGCGCCGTGAGCCTCGTTGGACAGAATCGTGGTCAGCTTCTGACGAGTCGCCGTTCTGTGGCCCTGTGGAATGGCCTTGGTGCTTCTGTTCCTGCTGTTGTGCCTGTTTTTTCGAGCCCGGGCGGCGGCCACGTTTGCCGACGCTGCGAGCATAATGACAGCTCTGTTCGTACTCTGGCAAGTGGCAAGGACCGGCAGTCGTTAGCACACTCATACTTTAGTAGACGTGCTCGAGATGAACCCTGCGTCACTCACCCTGGCATCTCCGGCTACATGTCATACGAGGTCAGCTTCCAGCCCGCTTGCAACGGATGATGCTCTGGCCATGGCCAGTGACCAACTCACCATGGCTGTCGCCCATCGCAGCGCACGCGGAGCAGACTGCACCTGTCGCAAGCCCGGAGCGTCCTCTTGCGCGCACCCGCCGCCGTCTGTGCTTCCGTGGCTGCTACACGTGCAATCTCCTGGGTGACGTCCATTGTGCTTCGAGGACACCTTGTCGCCCGGATTCAAGGTTCGCTGACGAGGGATACCCCCTGGTGGAGGAAGATGTGCTCAGGCCGGTTACCTGTGGAGGATCATGGTCATGGCTATGGCCTGTTATGAATGGAAGCCGGGCGCCCGAGCATGGATGCAGCTCCTTGCGTGGAGGGTCCAGGATTGACGTTGGGATTTGGCATGTGGCTGGAGAGGAGGCAGATCTAGAACGAGCGGGTGATCAGTAACGGCGCGCGCGTCCCTTGCCAAGGGTTCCAAGGTTGGGCCTCTGGGTGACGAGGTTCCCCGCCGAGGGCGCGTTTTAGCCTTTGAGCCAAGCCGGGATGCATGCGGCTGGCTAGCGCCGGGCTCCGACCCGGTGGTGTGGCCGTGGAGGGAAAGCAACCATACGTCGATGCTCACGAAGGGTCCAGCCACGCGCAAGACATTGGCTTTAAGCTCACTCGGCTTGGTCCCCTGAAATTCCAGCTAGTTCTAGGCCTTGTTGTCCTGTGGAGCAAGACTGGCGCTCGGTTGAGTCCCGCCTCAACTTGCCCAAGCTGTGATTCTCCCGTCTGTAGCACTACTGGTCGTGGCTTGCGAGCCCACAGCTCTGAAGATCTCTTCATTGGTGGGATCCCCGAACTGCTGTACGTGGGGACTGTAGAAATTCACTGCATGCCGCGTGCTCAACGTCTTGTCATTAGCTCTAGTCGTTCAATTTTTCACTCATGACATTGCGAGATGTCCAGCACCGCTCCCGTGTCTTGTTTGTTTGAGAAACATCACATTTGGCCTATCTATTAAGCCCCCCCTCTCATTTCGTCCCCGTCTTGGTTGTAAAATCGTAATCAATCCAGTCGCCAAGGGTTGCTCTTATGCCGTCGAATATCGGCTCGTTCTTCTTCCACGCGCTCTCGTCAATGTCGCAATATTGCAGCAACGATGTGGGTTCCCCAGAATCCGCTGCAGGCCGCAGAATCTTCTTGGCAGCAGAAACGTTTTGCTCAAGCTCGGATATCGTGCTGATGCCAGTGATTGTGGAGACTGTGAATGAGGGCGAGCAGTTCTGTCTTGCCTTGCCGACCGCGTATTGTAGTGCGAACGACGAGAATGCCTCGCCATCGCCATGCTCCTCTGCCCACCTGCCTGCCTCTGCAGCCGCGGCCCGCAGACCTTTTGGCGCAGGGTGCCAGTCGCCCGTGAGCCCCACGGGGATCCCTCCAGTCCTGAGCAGCCCAACCGCCAAGGGACTTGAGCAGAAGACCGAGTTGACGCCAGCGGCACGGAATGCGTCGAAGCCCCTGGATTCGGCCTGCGTGTTCTGCAGCGTCAATTGAGCCCAGGTTTGAATGACATCTACAGGCTTTCCATAACGCTCTCGCGCCAGCTTTGCGATGTCTGCGAGGACCTGCATGTCGTATCCGGATATGCCGACACGGTGTATGGTGCCCTGGCGCTGGAAATCAAACAGCACGCCGACGGCGGTGACGGCCTCGTCCGTCGAGACATACTCGACATCGTGGCAGAAGACGACGTCAAGATACGAGGTCCGGAAGCGCTCCAGAGACCGCGAGACCGACGTGCGGATCCATTCCGGAGAGTAATTGAACTCATTCTCGGCGATGCGACCGACTTTGGTCATGAGCTGGTAGTCCTGACGCGCGTATTTGGAGGTGATTGGGGCCTGGGAGAGTGCGGCGCCCATGAGCTGCTCCGAGGGCTCGTAGTAAGGGGACGTGTCAATAGTGCACACGCCGAGCTCGAAAGCGCGCAGGAGGATGTCGACGATGGGCAGGGACTGAGGCTCTGGGTGCAGCTGGTAACTAAAGCCGGCCCCTCCCATGACCAGCGCGGGCACGTCGCTAGGGGTGGTTGAGACGCTGCCCATGACTACGTGCGTTTGGTGCGGTATGTGTGGAGAGCTGTGATCAATGTTGAGTGAATGTGCAACTGAGGAGCAGCAATTGTTTGTTTGAGACTGAGGAGTGACGACGATGTCTTCGCCCTCGCGGAGGGGAGCGGCAGGCGCCGGCTTTGATGGTGTTGAAGATGACCATGGGCGAGCGGGTGCCAATCAGCCGCCGGGCCATTTCGTGAGGGCGCCCGGCACTTGGGGCGGGCGAGTTGTTGGCAGGAGCAGGGGCTCGAAGCGTGGGGAAGGAGCGGCAACATGCCCCTTCCAGCGGGCTGGAGCGACGTGATTGGTTCCCCAATGGCGCGTCGGGTAATTCCAGCAGTCACCAGTCGGCCGCGCCGACTGCCCACCTGGGCATGCAGGACGGCAACCCCAACAACTGTACTTACGACACCAACGTCACGTCAAGAAGCCCGGGATTCACCATCTCGAGTATACATGCAACCCATCCATCAGTGCTGTCCAGACTCACATTGGGAAGGCGCAGCGCCCACTGGACGCGGGCAGCCAATTCGGCAGGAAATGATCTGGCCATCAGACTTGTCGACCAGCAACAATCAGCACACGAGAAAGAGGAAAAGACCACTGATGCATCTTCCCATATATAAATGTGTATATAAATATATAAAGCATCAAATACTATGGACGCGGTATTCCCCCTCTATCGACCAATCAGAATGCCAGATATGAAAACAATTGCTCTCCCCATACCACGATGAAGCCGACGACCGCCCCCCAGTCGTGGATCTATCTTCACGACCCACATCCTTGTTTTCTTTGACATCACCTAGGCCCAGGCTCATAACCTCTCCCTCTTGCGTTCATTATGCTGCCGGCTGAACCTTGCTATCCTTTTCCGGAGTCGCTGGACTTCACTTAAAAGAACTTCCGAGGCTTCCTTGCTCGAGTGCTCCGCCTGACAGGGGCAGGAGTCTCTTCCACGTGATCCTCCATCTGGACATCTTCCTTCTCCGCCTGCCCAGGCCCGTCCTGGGTTTCTGGAGCATCTACAAAAACCTCATTGCCGTCGCTGATTTGGTCATCATTTTCGGCGAACGGGCCGACAACACCCCCCTCAGCAGTGACACCCGACGAGGCGGACACATACTTCAAGGTGTAATCCCCGTTGAAGCCGTTTATGGGACCCGTCCGCACGAGAGCTGGGCACATCATGACATCGACGCCAGTCTTGCCCGTCGCATTGTTCGCCTTCTTGACCATCCACCAGCTGTCGAACTCCAGCCGGCCGCCGCGCGTTGCCGAGTCTTCAAACGGTGAGACACGCACGAGCTTGTAATGCGCTCTGGCTGTCGTAAGAACAACCATGACCTGGACAGCCTTGCCGACGAGGGCAGTGGCCTCCTTCTTGATGTCCAGCTTGAGGCTGCGCTTCTCCTTCGAGATCGATGACAGCAGACTGTTGACAGTACCGATCAAGGTGCTGTATGCCTTTGGCTCGGGCTCCCTATCGTGCAGCAGCTGCGTGAGAAGGGAGCGGCAGAAATTGGCCTTCGGGAACGAAGGGTCATGTTTCTCGATAAACTCATGGGGCTCGAGGCCTGTGGGGTCGGGTACCGTCACCTCTTTTGCCTCTTGGTCTGGAAATGGACCAGGTTAGTGTGTGAGGTCGACACATTCAAGCGGAACGGAATTCTACTTACGGGTGAGCATCTTTGTGAGATACGATTCGAACTGCTTGCCCCAGTACCTGAACGAGTTGTCGAACAAGTTGTCCTGCAGATGCTTCCAGAGTACTGCGTGGATGATGTTTTGCATGCGGCCGGCGTTGTGGAAGTCCTTCCAATCAGAGCAGACCTCTGCCGCGAGAGCTTGAAACTTCGGGCTGATACCGGCGCGGCGGTCCTCGTCGGCCAGGTCGAGCTTTGCGGCGAGGTGCTGAATCATTTGATCCAGATCCCGCAGCATGGCAAGCATCTGTTGTTCGCTGGGCTGCTCTCCGAGGATGTGCCTGAGGTGTCCAAGCTCGATGAATTCATCAGCCCCAGCGTGAACTTGGCCCTTGTACGCCACTGCACGTGCGACAGCGGCTGCTCTCTCCTGTTCGACGTTCTCAAGCTTCCTGCGGAGTTTGAGGACATTGATGACTAGCCGTCTCTGTGTCAGTTGCACAGTGCCGAGCTGAGCCTGTCGCGCTTCCTCTGACGTGATGGACACATCGTCGGCAATCTGTTCACCATCGCCACCATCTCCGTCGTCGCCATCATCGCCGTCATCATCACTGCCATCATCACCGCCACCAGGTGGACCACCGCCTCCGCGGCGACCATTGTCTCGGTCGTCGTCTTCATCGTCGTCGTCGTCATCGCCGCCGCCGGGAGGGGCACCGGGGCCCCCGTGACCCCCGTGGCCTCGGGGCTCGGGATCATCCCGGCCCTGGCTCCGGCCTTCGTCACTAGGGTGCGAGTGGTTCTCATCTGAGCTGCCATCTAGGTCCTCAAGCCCCGCCTCGGAGGTTGCTTGATCAAAGAAGGTTTCGCTCATGATCTCACTCTCCTCGGTGGGAAGTGGCTCGGTCCCGGTCTCCGCCTGCATTATTGCCACAACCGCTTGCAGGGGAGCATCCCGTTGACTTCCCATGGTGGGATCATCCCCAGGCGTGGCGAAGTCGCCGGGAAGTGGCTCGCTCCCAGTCTGCGCGTGCATCATTGCCACAAGCTCTTGCAGGTTAGCCTGCTGTCGTCTTTCCGCGGCAAGATCCTGTCTCAGCGTGGCCATCTCGGCCTTCAACCTCTCGATGTCATCTCTCTGTAGTTTGATAATCGCCTCGTCAGCAGCTTTAGACTCCTCTTCAGCCTCCTCAGCCTTGCGACGCTTGCGGTCCGCCTCCTCGGACTCATGGACCTTCTTCGAAAGCTCCTCCAGTTTCTCGTTGTTGGCCATGGCTGCAGCCCTTTCGATCCCATGGGTACTCTCGAGCTTTTTTCTCGCCTTCCTTTCTCTGGCGAGTTCTTCGCGCACATTTTTCAGCTCTTCGTGCGTTCTGGTGGCCTCCTCAAATAGGTCTCTGAAAGGATCCGAGTTTCTGGGAGCCTGGGCCGCGGCCTGGCCCTGTCTGCTCGAAGCAGCCGGTGCCGGGACGTTGTCGCGGACATTGTTGATGATGTTGTCGACGGATGTGTCCGGGCTTCCGGCGGCGGACGAGTCGTCGTTACTGGTGGCCCGGGGGGGCCGACGAGCCGGCGTAGACGCTGCTGCGGGGGAACTCAGCGCAGCAAACTCTCTAAGAAGAGTATCCTCGCCGGGCGTCGCGGGAGACCCCTGGGACGACGGCGGCGGGCGAGAGACCCGTTCTTGGGGGGTCTCTGTCAATGCGGTCGTCAAATTTGGACGAGTGGGCGTGCGCGCGCCGCCCCTTGAGCTGCCTCGTCCTCTACCACGCCTGGACGTATGACGTATCGCATTCTGTGCCTGCCGCTGTGCCGTCGCGTCGGGCCTACTTGGGATATACGGCGGCGGCGGGCTGTTGTCCTTGTCCGAGCTCTCCCCTTTGTCCTTGCTAGGAGACTTGCCGTCGTGGGACTTGGCGGACTCGTCGAAGCGGGCCTTTTTGCTCGACCTCTGAAGTGGCGGCGTGGCATCGTGAGAGTCCTCTCCCTCGGCATGGCCTTTGCCCTTGACGTCTTGGCTGCTGCCAGAGGCGGACTCGCTGCGTGGTCGCTTGGCGGCGGCGGAGGTAGACGGGGTGGTGGTGTTGGTGGTGGTGGTGGTCTGCGGTTGCTGCTCGACCTGACCAGATCGGCTTGGCTGGGGACCCAATGGGCTGTTTCTCAGAGGGGGCAGCGTCAGATCATTTGTCTGCTGGCTGGGCGGGTTACGCAGCTCGTTCCAGGGTGGGAAACGGGGTGGACGTCGAGGATCATCTGGGTTGAAGGGGGCCGGGCCTCTGTTCCCCTGCCAGGGAGTGGCGTACGGATCGACAACGGCTGCCTCGTTGTTGCTCGTGCTGGAGGGCGGCACGGTGAGCGATGCAGGCTGAGCAGGGGTGTTCGCCGTAGCAGGAGGAGGAGGAGGAGGAGGAGGAGGAGGAGGATGATGATGAGCAGTAGCAGAAGGAAGAGTGTTCTGGTCGGCGGGTTCCGGGAAGAAGTTCGCGTCTTCAGGCTGCGTGCCCCCATAGGCTGTGTCGGTGCTCTGGTACTGGGGCACTCTTTCGAGTCTCGTGGTCACGGTCCTGCTTTCCTTCTTCTCATTTTCTCTCTTCCTGCTGCTGTCACTGGCGACACCACCGCCACCGCCACCGCCGGGCCCGGTGTCGTCATCGTCACCGTTGCTCGGGGAGGGAGGAGAGGGAGAGGACAATTCAGACTTGTGCTCGACTTCGTCCTCGCCCTCCATGCGTGCACGCTTGGGCCTGGGCGTGGCTTTCTTCTTGGCTGGCGTCTGGCCGTCCTTGGTCTCGTCCAGCTTGCGCTTGCTGGCCCCGCTGCTGCGGGTGGTGCGCCCATTGCCGGGATCCATCTTTTGCGACGAGCGGCTGGAATAGTCCCTTGGCGATGGGGATCTTTTCAAAGAATGTATTTGGTTATGGTTCAAAGGGGCTGATGTGACCGGATGTGTAAGTGGTGTTGCTCATGAGACATGCAAATGAGTGACCTTCAGGGGGGACCCCTTCAGGGATGCACTTACCTCCTGAGTGGCTGGATGCTGTTAAAGATGTCGGGCAACTTGTAAAGTGTAGGTTCTAATGGATGAGAATGGAAGGGGGACGGTAGGGGGGTGTCGACGTTTTGAACGGGAAGAGTGCCAAAAGAAAAAGTGACCGAGTTCAGGACTTGTGGTGCTGAGATGCTGGACTGTCTATGAGTCCATGGTGCAGAGAACGATGGCAGATCTTTATATATAAATCTAGATATATCCAGCGGGTTCAACCTTTCCTCGGAGACAGCCGTGGAGTAGTCGGGCTGTCCGAACCCAGAATAGGAACCAAAGGGTTCGTTGTGCTGTTTCCGACTAACTGTAGAGACAAGGCGATTGAAGATGACAAGGAGTCCGTGACAAAGGGGAGTTTGGCTTGGGGGGTTGAGTTTGCAGAGTTGAGTGCTCGGGCAAACGGGTTTCGGGGGAATGGTTGGTGTGATCGGTTTGAAGTGTTGGGAGAAAACGGCTCGTTGTTCAGCTTTATTAAACATGCAAGTTTGGACAGAACAATGAACCTTGATTGAGCGTCTCGCTTTCATTGATTGAGTGATTTGATTGTTCTATATTGAGTTCCTTTCATTGAAGAATCTCATTTGGGCACAGGCAGCTTTTCGTCAGAATTGTCTTGTGTCTCAATTGTCTACAGCGTGTTTGCGCATTCTCAATGCACAATGATGTTCACAATGCGACAAAAAGAACAATGTGGGCCAATTGCCATTGTATCCTGTGCATTCGGCGAGAGCAAGCAAGAGAGAAAGACTTTGGCATTGCCAATTGAAGACTGAGCATTCATTGTCTCAATGACGAGTTGCGAATCATTCAGGCACGGAATTAGCTTGTGATCTGCTTGGGAAATGCAAAATCGCACTTTATTCAATTGCTGTGACGAGGTTTATAGTAGTTAGCCCTCGTCTATATCGAGCGTGATTATTTGCCTTGAAATGGCGCCGTTATGGCCCCTGCGCCAGATGGCTATACAATGAACGGTATTTTGCAAGGCAACTTCCTCCCAGGTCGCGGCATCAGTTCTGGTCCAAGTCGATGACCAGAAGGCACCTTTGCTTTTCTGCAGTCTGGATAATCTTGATGATCCTTCTGCTCGTTGAATACCATCCTAATTGACTCTGCATATATAGCGGTCGTTGAAAGGTCCTGTATCCTGTACTTCACCACCGTTCAAAACCAACTGTACTGTCTGCCAAGACTAGTGCCTTGAATACAACCAGCCGCTCCCGAAGACCTTCGCCACGGGGATGGCCGTAGGCGGCCACTCCTGGAGTCATGATAAGATCAACCCCTTTGTTGCTGCTGATGTTTGGCTGAACCTTTCCCATCCAGACTCCGTCAAAGTCGAGAGGCTCGGCCATGCTCCTGTCAGCTGGTGACCAAAGAATCTCCAGTGGCGATGCCGACTGCACCATGTCTTTTGCCAGGTTCAAAGACCGCTCCACAATCATGCCGGAGGATTCATTGATCGTGCTGTGGATGTTGTGATCAGATGGAGCTGGGCGCATGATTGAATTGAACAAGGAAGCCAGGCCTGTGGCGAGTTTTGCCTGCACTCTGGGAGGCAGGCGTAGCTGGGGAGTGTCGACATGAAACTGTCCAATCATTGCTCTGGCGTATCTGACCTTTTTCAGACCAGCATCTTCCGTTGTGTCAACTTCTGTAGAAAAGCCGTCAACATGCAGCGCGGAGAGATATGGTATGGCTGGGGTGGGGAGAAAGGGCAGGAACTAACTTCTGAGGATGTCGGTGATCGTCTGGTATTTTTTCTTTCCCCACAGCTCGAGAGGCCGTTCAAAGACGCGCTCAGACAGATAGCGCCATATGACACCCGTGATGAGGGCATATCGGGAGTCGTCGTGGTCGTACAAAGTTGACCATGACGAGCTCAACTTCTCCGCGAAAGACACGAATGCTGGTGCTTGCGCTGGCAACTCGGCGGCACTGTATACGCCAGTATCCACCAAGATGACATTGTCGGCAACCGAACGGACGTAGGCATTGATCCGCAACCAGGCCTCAGAGATCCCTGAGCACGAGATATGCCATTCACCCACGGCGCGCTGCAAGCCGTTGAACGCCTGAATCACTTTCTGTTGGGAATTTGTGAGAGTCGTGCACCTGTCTGTCAACCCTTTGATTTCGGCTCTCAAGGTCTCTTGGTCTTGGTTTGGCTCAACGACGAGTTCCTCGAGCCGAGTGTTCTTCTGCTCTTCTTCCGCGAGGTCCTCAGCCAGCTTCTTGTTCGAGCCGTTGACTGTCTGAAGCTCTTTCTTGAGCTTGCGGATTTCAGCAGCGTGCTTGGCCTTCAATTTCTTGAGCTCCTGCTCGTGAGCTGATTGAAGCTCTATTCTGCTGTGTTCAGCACTCTCGACTTGTGCACTGAGACCGCTGATGTGGGCATCACGCTCGACAATGGTAGCACGAAGGCGTCTGTTGTCCACTCTTGCCGCTTCACTTTGAGCTAGACGACGCTTCAGGTCCTCGAGCTCTGAGCTGATTGAGGCAGAGGAGAATAGCTTATCCTCTGCATGGTAGGATTTTGCCGCGTCCAGAGATATCTTGGGAGAGGCATTGCCATATGTCGGGAGTGTATCTTTTTGGGGTGAGGGTGAAGTGAGTTGAGGGTGGAAAGTTGCATTCAGTTGGTCTGGGATTGTGCCAATCGAGGAAGGACTGGAAGAAAGCAACTCGGGGCCTTCACTGATGGCGCGACGAGCTCGCTTGGAGGGACGCTCATCCTCCTCTGGCACCACGGGCACATTCTGAGAAACACTAGCGGCTCTCTTGCGGGTGATTCTCGTGTTCGGATCAGGCTCTTGGGGATGGTCAGTCAGAGCAACCGGGATCGGATTGAAAGAACGATAGTAATGTGCTTCAACTTACGCATCGCAGCCGGTGGCATCTTTGCAGATGCCTTCTTGCTTGTTGCTGTAGCTTTTGGCTGTGCCATGGCGTTGATGTCGTGAAGCAGATGGGTTGTGTGGTTGTGTGGTTTGTGCGTTTGTCTGGGTGTGCTCAGATGGAAGGAAGCGGATAGGTTCACAGGAATGAGTGAAGACTGTGCAAGGCCAGGTCTGATGTTGGTTGTTGCAGGCGAGATTCTGGATCGTGTGAGAAGGAAAGTCAGGTGGGAAGTCAGGAGGACGATGCGAGAAGGAGAAAGATGGTACTCGAGGCGGCTTGGGCGGCCGGGAACAAAGTCGTGTGCAGCTGGGCAGGTACCGTTTGTTTGCACATGCATTCAGATCCAGGTCCAGTCCAAACGGAACAATGAAAGTCCTCACGTGCAAGCAAGAGGTGTGCCGCCGTCTGTTAAACATCACCGGAGCAACCATTCGCGGCCTACACGCAGAGGTGCCTCAGGGACGCATCCTGCACAACTGCTCGCCCTTCTCACCACGAGCTCACATGAACGTGACCTTCCGGCTGGCCTCTCCCAGCAGGCTTTGAGTTCATCTCTTCTCCCAACACCATCGACCCTCCTCAATACGCAGAAATTATCTTCGTTCCACAAGTTGTACTTGAACCTTGGCTGTAAGTCACACGAGTGGAATTCTGATCTCTATGGTTCTTCTTGCTGTCAACTAGGACTGACAGAATCCGCATAGCCACCCATCATGGCGCTCGTCGTCTGCTTCGACTTCGGCACAACGTCTTCCGGGATTGCCTACCTCGAACACGTGGACAACGCCAACATCCTGTCTGAGGCAAGGAATGTCACCGTCATTGAGCATTTGCTGGGTTCGCGACATGTCCCGAAGGTCCCCTCCAAGATTGCCTACGGTCCCAATAAGACCATCAAATGGGGCTTTGATGCAGAGACTGAGCTCGGCGTCATCAGTCTGCTGAAACTGCTCCCCCTTGAGGAAGAGGATATCCGCGACTGCCTTCTCAATTTTGACGAGTACATTCTCAGCAAGAAACAGATGGACAAACTCAACAAAGACGCGATCGAAGTGGTCTCTGATTACCTCCGCCTTCTCTGGGCCAAATTTCTGGCAGACTGTGAACGCCACTCCCCTTTTGGTGATGAACTGGAGAAGAATTCTCTCAGAATTGTGTTCACCGTGCCAGCTATCTGGCCAGAATACTACCGCGTCCGTCTGCTCGAGGCTGCCCGACGTGCCGGTATCCTGAACACGCGGCCCGGACTTGCCAAGACCACTTTGGAGTTTGTCACCGAGCCAGAGGCAGCAGTATACAAGTTGCTTCATGACAGCAGCATTCGCAACGGGCTCAACATCGGCGACACAATGTTGACCTGCGATTGTGGTGGTGGCACGATTGATGTCATCACGTACGGATGTACCAGCACCACCCCTCTTCTCGTCAAGGAGGTCATTCCAGGAGATGGTAAGACACTCGATTGAGCCCCTCGTCAGAGTTTGATCTCATTAACATTTGGTGACGGCAAGGTGCTCTCTATGGTGGCATCATTTTAGACCAGAGCTTCTCCGAAGCACTCAAGACCAAGTTGACAGCACTTCATGGTTTTTCCCGGCCCAGAATGGAACAGGACAGAGCTGGATTTCGTGACACCATGATATTCGGCTGGGAGCACGGACTCAAACGTAGGTGCCCATCAACAGCCAAGCATAAACGCGAACACACATTTAACAGGGCCTTCTTCACAGCCAGCTTCGACGGCAGCAGGTCGGGCACTTTCCGACCATTCTGGTTGAATGCACCGCCTCTCTCATTCAGCATGTGAGTGCGCTCCCGACATAAGCAAGTCTGGATAAATTGACTAATACTCAAGCAGCGATGAGCTTGAGGACATCTATGACCCAGTTGTGGCAGGCATCCTCGACGTCGTGAACCGCCAGCTCGATTGCTTGCGGGCAAGGGGATTGCCCAAGCCAAGATTCATCATGCTGGCTGGTGGCTTTGGCCTGAGCCTTTATGTCCGCAACAAGCTGCGCCAGGAGTTTGCCGACAGTCAAGGCATCCATATTTTTCAAGAAGAGAGCGATTTGTCGTGAGTTGTCTGATCCAATCTGCGTGGTTGGCGACTATATGCACTAACGATGTTTGAGGTGGTCTACGGTCGCCCGCGGTGGCGCCCTCTTTGGTCTCTCTTCCCAGAGCCTGGTACGCAGCCGCGTCCTCCGTGACGGGTTCGCTCTGGTGCACAGCCCCGAGTGGGAAGAGGATATCCATGACGAAAGAGACTTCATCGTCGACCCCGTTCGCAAGACAGGGCTCGCTCGTGACCAACTGCTGTGGTTCTTCAAGAAGGTGCGTCAAGGAGAAACCTCTGAGAAGGGCACACACAAGGATACTGACATTCACGAAGGGCGAGGATGTCGACGTCGGCGGTTTCCGCGAGTACAAGTTGAACTTTGTTTGGAGTCGCGCGGACAGAGGCATCAAGAGATTCGAGCAGCCGCTTTACACCTCCAGCGCGGCGGTACCCCCGCACAGACTCAAGGACGCCAAAAAGGTCGATGTCACGTTCGCTGAGCATGCCAAGATGGCCTTTGAGACCCCGGTTCCTGTTCAACGCCTCCCCCTTGAGCGCGGACAGCGCAAGCTAAACTACAGCCTCCGGATTGAGGCCGTCTCTGGCCGTGCTGTCACTTTGACCGCCGTTTGGGACGAGAATGACCAGGTGATCGGACGCACCCGGATGAACATCAAGGACACTTGAGTTATTGCAGTCAACATGCGGGATCAGTGGCACGGCTGAAATGGAGGTGGTGTTGCATCTCAAGGAGCTGACACAACCGCATCGCGCATAGGGATTAGGCGCATATCGTGGTTGGCGCGACCAAGCATGTCAGCCATATCGTCTGGGATTAAAAACTGGCCATTTCTCATCGAATGTGGCACAACATGAGATCTCAAAGAGAAAGATTTGATGGACAACAAGGGTAGGATATCAGTGGACAGGTTTCTGAATGTCTTCACCGGGATTTTGGGAGATGGATTAATGTTACATACTTGTGTACCTGCCTTGCGACTTTGTCGAAAGACATAAGAAGCCTACCCGGCAGTAAAGATAAAGGCTCCAGGTTGTAGTGAGATGCGTGCGTAAACTGTGCAGCACGGCCTTGAGCACACTGTACCGCTTGTGCCCGGCCATGATTGCGTGCATGCAAGTGGTGGGCTCCACAAGGCTATCGCGAAACGCCGCCCGCTGTCAACACCACTACTGTGGCGGTCCCGCCTTGATCAAGCGGTCAACATTTAACAATTACGCTTACGAGCCACGATCACGACTGTTACGACCTACCTACCAACCAACCTCCCACGACCACGCCTTGACGACCACATAGGAACGGTGATCACAACCTCGAGCATCGAAGTTTTCCCCTCCCCCGTGCGCCGCCACCTGTGGATGGTCGCATACATCCAGTCTTCGTCGCTACGCCTCCGTTTCTCGACTCCGGCATGAGCGGACGGCTGATGGCGACGGCGGCCAGCCGACTCCCCGCCGCGGCGCGGGGAGCCAACTCGCAGGTCGCCGCCGCTCGTCAATATCACAAACTGCCCTCGGGCGGCCTCCTCCGCGCAGATGCGGCCATTCGGGCGACCCAGCGCCGCATGTGGTTCGGTTCCGGCAACTCGTTCCACAACGCCGTCGCTGTGCGGAACGCCTCGTTTGCTCGGTACCTGCCCAAGCTGGTCGTCAAGTTCATCCGCATACCGGCCATGGCCGGAGGCGTCATGATCGGCGGGTTTGCCTGGGTCCAATACAAAGCGCAGCGTAAGTGCAGGCAAGATGTCTTTGGAGGGGTTAAGAGCAGGGGGACTGTGGTGGGCACTCAACGACTAACATTTGTTGCAGAGGCTGGAACCTATGCGTGGGACGTCATGAACTCGGCCAAAGATGGCATCACGAATACAGCATCAGGGCTATTCGTCGGCTTCAAGGATATTGCCGACCAGACAATGAGGGGCCTGAACAACACGAAAGAAGAAATAGAGTCATCAGAATTCGTCCAAAACATCATGCGCTTGCAGGAACAGATTGGCATGGGCGGAAGCGGCGGCAAGGGCGGTCCTGGCGGCGAAGAGCCACCAAAGCAGAGCAGGACAGGCGTCGCGGCTGTGGGAGGAGCCTCGGCGGCGGCATACGGCTACGAACACGCCGACGATGACCCGAGGTCGGCCGATGAGGCTGCCAAAGACGACCAGATGATGGTGCTGACGAAGAAGATGATCGAGATCCGCAATATGCTCGCACGAGTAGGCCAGTCCAGCACCTTGACCCTGCCATCCATCGTGGTCATCGGCTCCCAGTCTTCCGGAAAGAGTTCCGTGCTCGAGGCCATCGTTGGACACGAATTCCTGCCCAAGGGCTCCAACATGGTCACGCGGCGGCCGATCGAGCTCACTCTGATCAACACGCCAAACTCGAACGCCGAGTACGGCGAATTCCCAGACCTCGGACTGGGCAGAATCTCGGACTTCTCATCGATACAACGGACTTTGACCGAGCTTAACATGGCCGTGCCCGATACGCAATGTGTGTCGGACGAGCCTATTCGCCTGACCATCTCTTCCCCAAACATTCCCGACCTGTCTCTTATCGATTTGCCTGGCTACATCCAGGTTGTTGGACACAACCAGCCGCTTGAGCTGAAGCAGAAGATCTCCGAGCTCTGCGACAAGTACATCCAGGCGCCGAACATTATTCTCGCTATTTCAGCTGCGGACGTGGATCTGGCCAACTCGACAGCTCTGCGCGCTAGCAGAAGAGTCGACCCAAGAGGCGAGCGGACGATTGGAGTCGTTACCAAGATGGACCTGGTCGACGCAACCCGCGGTTCTGCGATCCTGACTGACAAGCAGTACCCTCTTCGCCTTGGCTACGTTGGTGTCGTATCGCGCATGCCTTCGTCGACAGGACTGTTCAAGTCTGGCCGGACAAATCTCACCTCGGCCATCGCCAAGAACGAGAACGCCTACTTCTCTGCCCACCCGCTAGAGTTTGGTCCCGACGCTGACGTCCACGTTGGCACCACTACGCTGAGGAAGAAGCTCATGCAGACTCTTGAGCAGACCATGTCCGCCAGCTTGCAAAGCACCAGCGACGCGATCCGCCAGGAACTGGAGGAGGCGAGCTACGAGTTCAAGGTGCAGTACAACGACCGCCCTCTCTCTGCCGAGTCGTACCTCGCCGAGAGCTTGGACGCCTTCAAGCACTCCTTCAAGCGCTTCGCCGAAGAGTTTGGCCGGCCAGAGATGCACCAGATCCTCAAGAACGAGCTGGACCAGCGTGTCCTGGACCTGCTCGCGGCGAGATACTGGAACAAGCCGATCCATGACCTCTACGTGCCCATCCCGGAACCCAACAACCTCGTCGACCTGCCCAAGGCTGACCCAGACTCGCTCTACTGGCGCCGGCAACTGGACGCGTCCACGTCTTCCCTGACAAAGCTTGGCGTGGGCCGGCTCGCGACCAATGTGGTAGCCGGCGCGATCCAATCGCACATCAACTCGCTAATCAACCAGTCCACATTCGTCAACCACCCATTCGCACGCGATGCCATCACCAACGCGGCCTCCAGCATCCTTAACGAGCGGTTCTACAGCACTAGTGATCAGGTGGAGAACTGCATCAAGCCATTCAAATTCGACATTGACATGGAGGAGCGCGAGTGGGTTGCGGGCAGAGAGCACGTGCAAGGCGTGCTCAAGAAGGAGTTGACCGCGTGTGAGGGCGCGATGAAGGACCTCGAGAACACGGTCGGGGGCCGGAGAAAGCTGCGCGAGGTCATGGGCTTCGTGGACAAGGCTAGGCGAGGAGATGTCACCGTCGAGGGCGAGGTTGCGAGTGGTGCGGGTGGTTTCAGTGCTGCCTTGCTTGCCAAAGGTTTGTTTGTCCCTTTGCCTTTTCGGGCTGGTTGTTTTCCTTTTCCCCCCCCCTCCCTTTCCTTTTCCCCTGGCTTCCCCGTCACCTTCCACATTTTGGTGCAGACAAAAACTAACGGTAGCGGTGTCTTGTAGCACGCGAGGCGGTATTCCTTCGCGACCGCGCCGAGATTATCAAGATGCGCCTCTTGGCCGTCAAGAGCAAGCAATGCGCGAGCATGAAGAACAAGTACCACTGCCCTGAGGTGTTCCTCGATGCTGTGGCCACGAAGCTCGCCTCGACGGCGGTGCTGTTCCTCAACGTGGAGCTCCTGACCGAGTTCTACTACAACTTCCCGCGGGAGCTGGACCTGCGACTCGGCCGCCACATCTCGGATGAGGATGTGGAGAAGTTTGCCAAGGAGGACCCAAAGATCCGGAAGCACCTGGAGGTCATCCGACGCAAGGAGCTGTTGGAGTTGGTTCTGGAGAAGATGGAGAGCCTGCGGCACCTGGAAGGGCGGGACGCAACCAATCGCAACAACGGATCTGGTGGCAGGAAAGATGGAGAAAAGGAGAGAGGGCGATGGGGCCTGTTCTGAGCAAATCTTGGGTGGAGAAAAAGGGATGACATGGGAGGGCCCGGGCGCCCTGTTGCGTCCCACTCCCTCCGATGCCCGGGTTGATCTCCCATGGGGCGGCATCGACACGACTTTGTTTATACTTGATGACATATAATATCCCCCTCAGAAATCCATGTACTTATTTTGTTCACTACTAGCGACAGCCAAGAACATCCGGGAGCTGCAACGATGCCAACGGTCAACGGCGGGTGCTGGGAGATCCCCACTGTTCGCTTTGTCTTCAGCGTCATAGCTTCAAAGCACCGTGGGACCATGCCTCCTTGTTGCCGGAACGGATGTTCCCATGCTGGCGTTAGCACTTGTTGCGGTTGCTTCTGGGGACCAGGAAAACTATTTCGTGTCTGTCATGGTGTGTTCCGCAGCAAATAGAATTTCTCAATTACCTCGAAGAAGCCAGTCTCGTAGAATGTCACCTTGATGATCATGCAAGCGGTGCTCGCGCCTGCTCGTGTCCAGCCACGAGACAGTCTGATGTGCTCATTTTGCCAGTCAGCCTTACGTGCGGCCGGCCTGATTCAGCACAAAGTCGCATGAACGTTCTGATAGCATATACAATGAGTGCAAGTCGAGACTCACGATCGTCGTGGTTATAGCCGACGGCTGGCTCGCGACTGTTATGGTGATCAGCCCGTTAGGCTGTGGTTGGTGAAACAAGTCACGCCGAGCAGCGAGCACGCTAGAGTTGGTATGCACAGACAGTCCTTGACAGTCCGGAGCTCCGCCGGCCGAGACGACCATGACGACTTGCCTGAGGTTGGCCGGCTGGGATGGTCTTCGCCGTGTGTCGCCTTGCTAAGCGGTTGCTAAGCGGGTCAACAGCGTCGATCGCGACGTTTGCCTTGGTGGTCATAAAAAACGCTCGACGACCAAAGGGGGTATTCCGTCAGGTTGGATCGACAGCCGGGATAGCTCTGGGAGACGCACGGGCTTTCAAGGCTCCCCGGGGAGTTTTTTATGGTGCAGTAGAGCTGAGTGGAGTAGTAAGACCGGGAGCCGCCCCAGCGTCTGGGTGTGGAGTACAGCTTGGGATCAGCGATATGTTTTGCCAATGTTAGCATGGAAAATGCCAGCTGCAATATGCCAACTGCTTGATCGACACGCGGCAAGAGACTAGACAAGTGGTGAGCATCCATCTGTGCCCGTGAGGTGGAATTCGACCGAGTCAAGGAGCGAACCCGTGTGTTGATGGGGTCCACCATCGGGTGCCCGCTGATGTCGAAGTTTGCTTCCCAGGGCATCGGGAGGTTCACCCTGGTCCCCCGGTGTCTCCATCTTCTCCCCTGCCGTTGCTTGTTGGAAGACAGCGCGGGAGGGAGTTTCAGGTACCGCCCGCCGGTTGTGCCCCTGACGTGGGCGAAGATGGGGGGTGCGAGGGATAGGCGCGGTGCCCGAATAGCCTGTCGCTACGTGTTCTGTGTGCTGATGAGTCTGCGATATCTCGGACCTGCCAAGTCATTCTCGTCCGTCCCGCCGAGGTCAGAGTGCTGGTGAGCAGGATTCAATGAGGCGTCGGGTCTTTTGAACGTTGCAGAAAACAAATTTCGAGTTGACCAAAGGGGAAGCTGCGAACGCCTCGGCGGACACGTGGCTTACATGCGTGCATCGCGTGAGCTCCCGAGTTGCCCAGACCGTTCGTGGTTACTGAGGCAGCTTTGTACTGATTGTGCGATTCTGTGCCTCCTTGTACCAACTGAGCCACGTGGACAGAAGCTTCACTTCTGTATCGTCAGACGTCTTGACCTTTAGAATCGCCTAGCGCATGGAAAAGGGGAGCCGGCTGTCAACGCTTGCAGCTGTCAAGTTTCACCTGAACGTAACAAGACCCGGGGTCTGGTGGAGGAGGGAGGCGTACTTCACCGCCCCTCGCCTGCAAGTGCCCAGGTCATGCGAGTTGTCTTAATGCGCGGGAACCTGCATTCACTGCCGAGATCTGCCATGCTCTTCTCAGACCTCGAGTTGGGCCAACTTGGGGCTAAATGTTTCGAGGCTGGTGCAGACAATGGCAGACCAAGTACGCACAGCATCCATCACGACGCCCAGTCTGAAGTGCATGCTTTCCATGCTTGGGGCCGCGCTGCTGAGTCAAGGATAGCGTTTGATGTCTTCATTTGCCGCAGCTGCCGAGCTGTGATAGTAATGATTTATTTACTTGATCCTTGCGAGCAGGGATCCCGCTGCCATATTTAAGCCATGGTGCCAACAGCAACCGTTTAGGCTCTATTCTTGCAGCATGCTGACTCGTGGGTCTAAAAGCACACGCCGAATGGACACACGATCAATCTCGACAGAGTAGTCCCAAGGGCCTCCCGTAGGTGTTCATGTTGCTGTCCGTCTGATCGGTGTAGCAATGGCCATCAATACGCCGACCCGATCTGCCCATGCACGATCTGCCGTGCGGCACAGCAACACAACACCGCAACCGCCCACGCATTCTAGCGCCAGGCGCGCTAAACGGCACACTGTGAGGCACATTGTGAGACCGCCGCAGCCCCTGGACTAGCTTCTGGAAAGCCTGAGACCGGGAGGTCGGCCCAGCTAAGGTATGGTTAGAGCTTGAGCTAGACAATAGGCGATTGTCTTCGACAGCCGCTATGAGCGCTCCATCGTTAGCGCCGCCCCGGCGAGCGTTGCCGTTCTTGCAATCAAAGTCTCGACTCGGCTATGAGCACAGCTGAGAGCAGACCGCAGCTCGGACGAGGCGCGCACATTACACTCGTTGAAAGTACCTTGTAAGTTACTTAAAGTAGGTACTTAGGTATGCATAGCACCTCAAGGAATGCGCAAGCTTTTGCGCTGGCCGTGCCTGTTGTGACGCCAGGCGGTGATGAGCTCGGCAGTCCGTGGCCTGTTTTATACAGTAGCTGGAGGGCTAGACGCCTAGCGGTGGTGGCCAGCCAATGCCCAGGGGGCCACATATCAAGTGGTGCTGTAGGGCCGTGCCGGACCAGCATCTGACGTCGCATTGCCAGCCTCGACTCGCACCGTTCTTGATGCTCGGCACGGAACCTTCCCAAAGGTTGGTACGCTAACGTTTCTCGAGGGTAGCGTGCAGTGTACCTTTGGGTAAATTATGATGCTTCAAGTAAGCGTACGTACGCACGTACGTACCAGGTTCCGAAAGGTTAGCTGTATCCGCCGCTAGGACCGTGGCCCTGGGTCCAAAGTGAGTCGTTCTGCGTTCCCCCACTGCCCACTAATTTGGTTGCACTTGCGATGCAGGGTCCAGCGGTCGAGACAATCGGCGCAGGCGGCGTACGCAGCAATTGCGGGCCTGCCTGGCTGCTTGCAGCATGCCTTGTGAGAGGAGCCCTGGAACGGAGCCGACAGCAGGACCAGGACGGACGGACGAGCGTCAACGACAACGACAGGCCCCCTTCGGGGTCCAGCTGCTGGGGCGTTCCGGCTGGACCGCCAGGTCGTGCCCATGCTACCTCCCAAAGTACCTGAGCCACCTCAGGGATCATGGCGGGGGTGTTCAGCGGCCCAACTGAATGGTCCGTGACACGCCCGCCCGCCCGCTCAGCTTGGGGACAGCGTGGGAAACAAAAGAAGACACAAGAGACGACCTCGTCGGACTTCTCTGTTTGCGCCATCTCTCACGCCTCTTCCACCATCTCGAAGCAACTCACAGCTGTCTGCTGCTGCAAGGTGTGCCACCTACTGGTCCGCCGACCTCATTCGCCCACGCTGTGCCGCCGTTTACTGTTCCAGCGTCATTCCTGCTCCGCCCTGCTCGCCCGCCGCCCGTTGGCCTCACGCTATCCATCTCCCGCGCGCCTCCTTAGGCCGCGATTGCACCATCGCGCACCCTCCCAAACTCTCCTTCTAGTTCCTAGCTCGGGGCCACCGCCGGTCATCCTTCTCAACAACATTCTCTGGTCCCTGAATTAGAACCATTGATACCGTGCTTTTGCCCATCCAAAAGCACGCGACACCTGGCTTTCTCAAACGTCCCCCACCTCTGACTGACAGCTCGCCGACATCGCTCTCTGTCCTGTCTTGACGAAAGTAGCGTTGCCACCACGGCCTCGGAGTGGGCGGCGCTTTTTGCACAATCCCCCCCGGCTTTAGTCTTTGCACTCCCAAGACAGAGCTCAGCAGTCATGTGTCGGTTTCTGGTCTACCGCGGTAACGATGAGATCATTCTCTCCAAGCTCATTCTCGACCCCACGCACTCGATTCTTCGCCAGTCCTTTGATTCGCGCTTGCGACTAGTATGTTAGCCAACCCCTCGCATATGAATCGTCTTCTAACTCAACTCGCGTTGCAGGATACCCGCCGAGGACAGAACAATGCCGACGGCTTTGGCATTGGTTGGTATACTGAGCCCAAGCTTGGCTACGAGCCGTGCATCTTCAAGTCGACGACACCAGCCTGGAACTGCAGCAATCTTCCTCGTATCGCTTCCAAGACGGCGTCTCGCCTCATCTTTGCTCATGTCCGAGCCACGACTGAGGGCTCGCTCAGCGAAGACAACTGCCATCCTTTCTGCCACGGCAGTCTCATGTGGATGCACAACGGCGGCATTGGTGCCTGGAAATACGTCAAGAGGCGATTGGGCGAGAAGCTCGAGGACAAGTGGTATCTCGGCGTCACTGGCGGAACGGACAGCGAGTGGGCCTTCGCCCTATTCCTTGACCGACTCGAACGACTTGGAGTCGATCCTAGCTCTCAGCCCCCCAGAGGATTCAACCCTACACTGTTGAGGAGAGCCATGCTGCAGACTATCGAGGTCATCAACGAGCTCACTTCTCAGATCCCGGAACGCATCAAGCAGAACGAGGATCTCGACACACGAAGCCTACTCAACTTTGCAGTCAGCGACGGTCACAGCATAGTGTGCACTCGATATGTCAGCAGCAAGACAGACGAGGCAGCAAGCCTATTCTTTTCCTCTGGCACCCAATGGGACTTGAAGAAGACCACTTCGGCAGGCAGTGACTATCAGATGGACCGGCAAGACAAGGGAGCCGATGTGGTACTAGTTGCTAGCGAGCCGCTGACGTTTGAAAGAGGTATGTGCCTACACTGCATATCACTTGACCGTTTCGTTTCCCGTGTTCCAAGAGCTGACCACTTCGCTGCAGAGAAATGGGTCAACGTGCCTACCAACTCAATCCTCACTGTCCAAGGGCAGACAGTCATGATCAGCCCGATCTTGGACCAATACTCGCAAAAGGATCCTCACCACAAGCGATCTACGGCCTTCGCCGATACCAAGGGTCTTATCTCGACTGACAAAGCGGCACCGACCACTGCCACCCTCCCCGACGCTGCAAGCTCGGACCTGCGAAATAAGCTCACCGCGGCCAACATCATCCCCAACCACACGCCACGCAGTCAAACCCCAGATCGCTCCTCTCAAGCAATGCGCGCCTACCCGACCGCTGTACAGCGGATGCTGGCACCCGGCGATTTACCCATCCAGGGCAACATCAAGAGAAAGCGAAGGTCACTTGGCGTGGGGGAGTGGGCTCATCCGGCCGAATATATTGATGGCCAGGAACACTACGTGCCTGACAGCCCGGTGCTAAACCCGTCGCTCAGGGGCTCCGACCTCACTACCTCGGAGAAAGCTGCCCGTATCTTAGGCATGGCGCTGTAGAGTGCAGCATTAAATTCTCGGTGGACCGCATCTTCCGCCTGGCCGGCAAGTGTTGACACTCCAGCTTGCCATTATGACCATTTATGACATTTTGCATGGCGTTTCGGGCGTTGTGGGTTTTGGGGGACTGGGCAGCGCGTACATACTGGGATAGATTCATAGAAAATGAATGGCAGATGCTGCTGGGTTATTGATATCAGAAAGTGTATGAGAATTGTAGCCTGAATGTCTGGCTGGGCCCACCAAATTGAGCCGCATTTGCGCGTGCGCAACAACCACGACTGCTTTTGGCGGTTCTCCACATTCCCCAGCAACCACCACTACCAAATTGCCTGCCCTTTGCACGCGGCAACAACAAATTTCCCACCGCCTCGCCTTCAGACATTTTTACCCTTCTTTCTTCTCCTTCGTACACCAGGCGGCGACGGGCGACGGTCAGTCGGCGGGATTTTTCCCCTTCTCGTCAAACAGAACAATGCCCCCGCCGCGGCATCGGCAGCAGCTGCCAGGAGCTCCGCCTGCCTGAGGGCTTCTTGCCAGCGACAAAACGAGGCGTCGTTGTTGTTGCCTGCTCCGTGAGACACTGCACGCACGCACGCAACCCTCATTCTCGTCCTGTCTGGTTCTTGTTGTTGGGCGACTGCAAAGCAAGGCAACGGCATTTTGATGGGAGCAAGATCATTTGCTTCATAAGCACACGACGCAGTGCACGACCGTTTTTTTCCGTCAGCAACGGAAGCCAGAGGGTGGGACATATCTCGCAAGAAGAGAGAAAAAAGAAAGTCCCCGGCACATCACACCAGAGGGGTGGCAGCAGCTTGGCCGGGGCTTTTTGGGTGGGCTGATGTGCGCCCGTCGAGTGTGACGAAGTTTTTGTTTCCACATTTCCCACCGTGCTCAAACAGCTTCCCATCGCCGGAACGGGGTATCAACGATCAACCCGTTCTGCGGGCTGCTACTGGAGCGACCAGCTGTGAGAGACAGACAGCCGTCTCTTGTCTTCGCTCAGGGTTTACCTTGACGAGCCAGCCTAAGGGAAAACGCTGCTAGGATCCGACCATCAGTTGTGGGAGGATCAGAGAGCTCCCCACTGAGTCAAAGGTCTGGGGCGAGGCACCACCCAAACGGCAGCCAGATCCTGCAATACCACCTCTTTTAGGCGTGCAAGCAAACAACGAAATCAGGGATCTCTTCTTGCGGGAGGGAATCTGGCGAACCAATCTAGCCCAAAAACAGACTGCTGGCTGAACGAAAAACGTGCCTAAGTCCGCAGACTCCATCACAAACCAAGCAGACGACTGGTGGAGAATAGGCTGGAAAAGGGGGGACGGGGAGAAACGTAACAAAACAGAAGAGCCACAGAGATGGAGGCATTGCGCAAACAGCTCGGCGAGGCCGAGGGCCACCTGCAGGACCGCGACAAGAAGTACCGCGAGCTCAATGCCAACTTCAAGGCGAGCACGCGCGAGTGGGCGGACAGGGTGACTGAGCTGGAGGCTGCGGTCAAGGAGCTGCAAGGCAAGAATCAGGAGCTGAAGAGCCGGAATATCCAGCTCGAGCGACGAGATCAGGAGTACGAGGCCAGACTCCGGCAAGCTCGGCAGCAGCAACCGCTGGAGACGCAGAACGGAAAACAGCCGCCGGAACAACAAACGCCTCCTCCTGGCGGCCTGATCATCACGCCAGAGAACAAGAGGTATATGGAGGAGAAGTATCAAAAGGTCAAGGACAGGCTTGCCGAGGCGGAGAAGAAGGCCGAGAGGTTGGAAAGGCAGCTCTACTTTTACCGACAGAAGAAAAAGCCAGCACAAGACGCACTAGGCAAAAGTCAGCAACAAGGCGACGCAGAGACAGTCGTCAACGAGAAGGGCACGACCCCCGAGAACGAAGGGGATCTTGCACCAGTATCAGACGCCGACATGGTGGCCCAAAACGCGCTCATAGTCACGAAAGAGGACGTCCGGCACTACTACGACCTCGTGCGCGAGTGCATCGGCAACCTCACCAGGGAATACTTCAACGAGCCGCTGGATTCAAAAGCCCTGGACAGTGGAAGCGCGGTGCCGGCCCAACACGCCGCGATCCTCCAGAAGCTGACTCCCAGCTGGAAGAGCTTCCTCACCGACCAGGGTTACACGAGCTACATCTTCCGAGCGCTGATATGGCGGTACCTTGACGAGTTCATGTTCAAGAAGCCCGAGAGCGTCTGGGGTGCCGACATTCCACAGGCCCTAGCGCTGCTCACGAGCAAGATGGCATTATCCGCGAGGCCGGGCACCAACAGGGACGAGTTCAAGCGCTGGCGGGCACAAACGGTGGACCTCTTGCGCGGCAACAGGAGCATGTGCAAATTCGACGACGCGGTGATGAGTCATCTCACGCAGACAATTATGGGCTCGATAGAGTGGTACTTGACCAACAAACCACGAAATCACTCGCGCGTGACCACCCAGGTGAGCGAGATTGTTGCGCTAGGCGCGGAGCTGAGCGCCCTGGTCGCCCGCTCGCACTTTGCGGTCATGATGTCGCCGCGTCCCGGCAGCGACCTGATCCACGGCTTCCAGCCGTCATACGAGACCATGGAGTTGCGGCACCATCAGCTGCGTGGGGCAGGACCTGGCGAGGGGGGCGTGGTTGATCTTATGGTCACCCCGTGCTTGATTTCGACAGACGGCGAGGATTACATCGTGCTGGAAAAGGCCGAGGTCATGATGTGATGATGCTGTACCAGAGGAATAGATCCAAAATGCTTCTAAGAAGGGGTCTATATCATCATGTTCACAACATAGCAGACTCTGCTCGTCTTGGGATTGGAGTTCTGGACGTTCGTCATCTAGCAAAAACTGTGATAGGGGCTCAGACGGGAAATAAAATGACGACAGGGAACTGGAGCAGGAAAATTCAAAGAGCACGGAGGGGGTACCTCTGGTGCCAGACTTCATCAGCCTTTAAATGCATCATAACACATACGTGCAATGGTGAAAACGTGATGCCAGGCTTGGCTTCAAAATCGTGTCGCCGCATTTTCGACCACTACCACCGAAAACTGACAACTTTTGGAGAAATGTGGAGTCGGCTCACAGAAATCGACAACCTCCGAGTAGCCTCACGACGACAACTCAAGGCACAGGCGACCTGGACTTGAAACCGCAGCACACCAGATACGGCCGCACCCTTTTTTTTTGAAGAAAGAAAAAAGCGAAAGAATAATCGCTGTTTCTGAGGGTTTTTTTCTGGGCAGATCACCACTACCACCAGTGGACGCCCATAACCCAGATCCGCCAGCAACGCACCGTCCGCACCGCTTTCGGGAGCGAGGAAGACCTGGGAACTCAAAAGGCTAGCACAGCGGGACGAACCGCGACGGGCACAAAAGTCGTCATGGCTTTGTCGCACAGTAGCGACGAGGGTAGCGAGATGTGCTTGAGGCCAGCGGATCCGGGCCACCGCTGGGGACCGGGCCAAGGTGGTGGTGACCCGGTAGCAGCCCCAGTAGCATCAGCAACCGCACCAGCTGGTGTCACTGACGATGACAGTGATGACGGCCGAATACAATGGGATGAGGATGACGAGGATAGTGATGGTGTTGAAGATGGCCCCGCAGAGCAGTCTTCAGGCACTCGGTCAGTGGCTCAGAGGTCGAGCAACCAGCCACGACAAGCGAGAGGAGAAGCCAGGGAGAACAACAGCAGCAACAACAAGAACCGTAAAAAGAAAACACCCAAGCATCAGCAGCAGCAGCAGCAACCGTCGGCAGTATCAGACCTCATCTTCTCCTCGGCGCAGTCCGCGGGCCACCAGTTCAACCACATCCTCTCGGCCCTGAAAAAGTCCAACCTGAGCATGCACAACCGGCTGCGGTCCGTCCAGGCCGACGCGGCGTTCGTGCAGAGAGTGCAGAAGGCGTACTTTTATGACCCTCCGGCGGAGGCCGCCCCCCGTGATCCCCCGGCGTCTTCTGTGCTTGAACCACAAGTCATGCCACCGCGAACACGAGCGAAGGCTCGTCATCACCCACGGCCACTGATAGCCAACGAGCGCTGTGGGAGCTGGTACATCCCGCCCAGCCTGAAGCAAGGGTCTGCGTACTTCAAGAGCACGGACGGGCACTTTGGCATCTGGGGGTTCAGCACGAGGCGGCTGAACCTGCAGCTCCTGAAGCTCATCGGGGAGAATGACGGATGCATCATTGTCGACAGCACGCGCCGGGGCAAGAGGATGCCCGACGCGCTGAGCAAGACGGTGCCGATGTGGTGCTGCGTTGTCAACTGTGTGCTTCTCCCGGAGGGGATGCCGGCGAGGGAAGAAGGAGGAGGAGGACGAAGAGGAGAACGAAAGGATGTGGAGGATGAGCGAGCCGGTGGTGGTGGTGGCGGTGGCTGTCCACATAAGTTGTACACGCCGCCGAACGCGGTGTCCGAGTCTGAACACGCACAGATGGAGGCGAGGGTGCCTGAGCACGTCGAGGCTTTCAAGCGGCTGGGGCTTGATCTTGAGCCGTATAGGAAGATGCTGAAGAAGCCGCTGCGGCCGATGTGGGTTACTCAGGAGTCGCACCTCGACGTTGCCGATGAGGAGGAGCAGGAGGAGGACTGCGACACCGACGGCGAGAATAAGAGCTATGGAGATGACGAAAATGGAAGAGAGCAGACGCAGGAAGGGAGAACAAGCATAAAGGGCGTCACGGTATTTGAGGATTTCCACCCCGTCATCTGCTGCACAAGCTCGAGGAGGGTGGTAGGCGGTGAGATGAGCGAGGGCGGATACATCCAAGGCGCGGGCGACGACACGGAGAACTGGGCATTGTGAGTATTTGTCCTGGCTGTCGATTCTCAGTCGTCTATATCGGTCGTGATGGCTGTGCGGTCGACTCATGACTGCCTGTGTCGTTTCTCATGCTGACCTTCTACCTTACACAGCGGCCTGACGCCCCCCATCTTCTGGGCCAACGCCGACCTCCTGCTCTCCACGCCCGAGGCAGACCTGCCAGGCCTGGTCCGTCAACTCGTCGACCAGGCCAAAGCAACACCGACTCCCCAACCAGGACAGTCGAGCTCGTCACAGCCTTCTTCACCACCATCATCATCGCCACAAGCAGCCACATCCGCATCACTCCTATCAAAACACCAACAAGTCGCCCCAGGGATATTCGTCGCCCGGACAGCCGATATCGACGCCTCCATGATATCATCGTCACCGCCATTATCACAGGATACTCCGACACGGCAAGAAGTATGCACAATCATCATAAACCAGTCCACCGCCACAGACCCGAGCACATGGCCAAAGTCCTCCACGCACATGGACGTCGGGGTCGGCGGGAAGCAGAGCAAGATCGCGAGCCGGAACCTGCGCGCCGCGCTGCCGCAGATTGCCGAGTTCGTGGGCGCGCATCTCGAGCAGGCGCTGCTGGGGATGGAGAGCCCGGGACTGCCTCAGCCGCCGCCGACGCAGGGGGACGGAACAATGTCGCCAGTCGAGGCGGCCGCCGCCGCCGCGAGTACAGACAACAATAACAATAACCACAACAATAGCAGCAGCAGTAATGGACCAAATATCCTGATTGCCTGCGACTCGGGCAGAGATCTCTCCATCGGCGTCGCACTGGCCTTGGTCTGTCAGCACTGCTGCACCACCAGCACAAGCGGCGGCGGCGGCACCGGCACACTGACGTTCCGCCCGCGCAAGGACGCTCCCGACGGCGTCAACAAGACGCTCATAAAGTCCCGCCTGGGCCACATCATGGCTCTGTTCCCGGACGCGAACCCGAGCCGGGCGACCCTGCAGAGCGTGAACAGCTACCTGATGGGTTAGATTTGTCTGCCCACGCACGCTGGGGGTCACTTTGGACCTGTATGAGGCCAGGTCTTTTCTTGGAGAGCGGCACCGGCTTGATCCGGGGCGATTGAGAATTCCAGCCCCATCCGGTGCGTAGTATCGTGCTCGGCGCTTGTAAGAGTAAAGAAAGAAAAAGTATGGGAGGAAAGGTAGTCATGGACCGCAGCGAAGGCTTGTGTGGGGAGGGAGGTTATGCCTCTCCTCCAAAAGTGCTATCATTCATACATTTCCTTTTCGATATGCAACAAAGAACTGAGTGTCGAAACTGTAGTCCCATGACACATTACCATCTTGGGGAAAAAAAGCACTGCTGTCCTGTCACTGTTGTGCCACATGCATGTTCATTCACATGAGTAAAGAGAAGCGAAACAAAACAGAGGACTTTTATCTTTGATTTGCATTTGCGTCAATCACATTGATTATCAGAATGCTATTCTTTCTTCCACTCGCGGAACAGCGCTATTGTTCCGCCCTCCACCAAAAACAAACGAATAAACGCCGATTCTGAACGCCGGTTATGTACAAACGCGCAACATCACCTCTGTGTCCATAGTGAAAACGCCCAAAATCATGAATGTTTGTGTGCATGTCCTTGCACACGAATGAAGGAGGAAAAAAAGAAATATGCAATGACATAGGTCTTCGAGCCTCCGCTCGCCAGCTCAATTAATCATGTACAACAAATCAACCCCATTGTGCCCGTCGACCGGCATATACTGCTCGCTCAAAGGATTTCCCTGAGCTGCTGCTTCTGCTGGGCCGTCAGGGTCTTGGGGAATATGATGTTGTACTTGATGATAAAGTTGCCCCGCTCGCCAGGCTTCTTGGAGATGGGCATTCCCAGCCCCGGGTATGTATCTGATGAGCCGGGTCCGGTCGGGCCGGTCTTTTCGATGTTGATCTGTTTTGCGTCGATGGTTGTTACTGTGCGCTTCCACCCTGTCAGGGCCTCCTTAAGGGGTAGGTCGACGGTGTGAATCAGGTCGTCGCCCTCCCGGACGAACAGCGGGTGCGGTTTCTGTGGGAATCAATGGTTAGCAGTCTGGTCCCGAGTGAACAACGGCTTGGACATCCGGGGGGAAAGGGTTCTTACCTCCTCCACGATAAAGTGAAGATCCTGCTTGCCACCCTCCTCCTGATCACCAACTCCCTTAAACTTGATCTTGCTGCCCTTCTTCAGGCCGGCCTTGATCGGGACCTCGAGGACTTGGTCTGTCGTCGTCCTCTTGCCCGAGTCGTCGTACGTCTTGCGCTTAATCTTCATCTTCTTGGTTGTGCCGTTGAACAGCTCCTCAAGTGTGAGTGGCAGCGCCCGTTCGACAGTCGTGACTTCGGGTGTGGCCGCACGAGGAGGTCCACCAAAGGGGTCAGCGCCGCCAAACTGGCTGCGCATACGGCTGGACCGGGGGCCGGCTCGAGGCATGCCACCGCCAAACATGGAAGCGAAATCCTCCTCATCGCCCATGCCGCCGCCACCGCCGCTGCCGCGCATAAACTCGGCAAAAATGCTCTCGGGGTTGCTGAAGTTGAATCCGCCGGGGCCGCCGCCGCCGGTGCTAAAGTGGAAAGTCCGGGCACCGCCGCCGCCGCCGCCGGGCATGCCGCCAAAGTCGAAGCCGGGGGGCATACCACCACCCCCGGCGCCTGCGAAAGGGTTCTCGCCAGGAGGTGGCGCCGCGCCGCCGCGGAGGAGGAACTCGAGGCCGTATTGGTCGTATGTCTTGCGCTTCTCAGGATCCGAGAGGATCTCGTAGGCCTGTGAGCATTCCTTGAACTTCTCAGCGGCCTCGGGCTTGTCCTTGTTCTTGTCTGGATGCCATTTCAGCGCGGCTTTCCTGTTGTGAGCGTGGTGGTTAGCGTTGTACACGGCAGCGGAACGAATTCGAGATGAAAACAGGATGGGGGGTTTGCTTACCTGTAGCCCTTCTTGATCTCATCTTGTGTAGCGTCGGGCTTGACGCCGAGCTGGTCGTAGAGCTTGGTCTCGCGAACCATCGTAGTGGATGGGCGCTGGTTGCCTCGCCTTTTGGAGGGGTGGTTGTAGTAGACGATTGTTCGATTGCTGTTTTAAAGGTGTTTCTTGAGCAGAGCTCCAATTGAGCAGAGTGTCGATGAAGCTCGAAGTGATGTGCTTGTTCTTCGTCTGTGCGTAGGTGTGCGTCAAACCGAGTGCGCTTGTGTGTCTGGTATGTTCCTTCGTGAGTCGATTGTTACTAGTGAGTGCCTTGACAAGGCCAAGACTTTTGTGTTTTTCTTTTTGCTTCGTGGGGTGGGAATGAGGAAGAGAGGTAAAGAGGAAGGAAAAGAGACGGAAGCTGCAGAATTGGGTTTGTTGGAGGAATGGCGGCGGCCGGCAGCTACGACGGGCACGAGTGATAATATGCAACAGCAGGAAGCAGGGATTCTGGCTCTGGACAAGGTTGGCGGTGGTGTGGCATGCCTGCCAGAAAGCGTTGTGTGCTCGCTGTAGGCTGGTCGTTGGTGCTGCTCCTGTTGCTGCTCGATGCTGGAAGCTTCGGGAACGCCAATCCTCTCCCTCTCCCCCTCCGCCGCCGCCGCCGCCGGCGTGGGGTCCTCCTTGCTCCTCCTCCTCCTCCACCAAAGCTCCCTCGAGCCCCAGTGACGTTGACGTCGGTCGATTGCAATCCAAAAGTGGGGCAGACCACCACTCAGAATCAAAACCCCAGCTCCCGCAAATCACATTGGGCCGCCATCGCCAACACACCCCTGGTCGCTGCTTCTCCACTGCCGAACACCCATTGTTTCCTTGCTCGTGTGATTCTGCTTCTGAATCTGCTGCTGCTGCACAGGACGACTCCCGTCTCGAGCAGGAGCACCTGTAAAACCCCGGCAATCGATTTAATCCGTTAGACCATTCTGTGCTCTTTTCTTGCATCCCAGTCACTCAGTCCATCGACAACAGTGGCTCAACTCAGGATCATACTGAGCTCCCAAGCTGCCCCCCCCCCCGGCTCGGGCCCCCTCCAGGAGAGGAACCTTAAGCATGTGTCGTCAGGTCAGGCCTCCACAATCTGACTAGCCTGCTATCTCCAAGCGCACTACATACGTAAAGATTGCTTCAGTATCCTCTCAAGAACTTTAGCACCTGCATTAGGGTGGTGGCCCAGTCACCTTCAACAGGACTCACATCGAAAAAACAGATCCTCAAAAGCTCTTGCTGCTTCAAACATGCCCTATCATCGGGACGAGTCTGGATCGGGGCAGTGAGATACTGGACATGCCCAGTTTTGAAAAACTGAGACTTTGGCGTGGATAGAAGCTTCTAGAAGCTTCCACGACACTGGGCTGTACCTGCCTTGTGCTTTGTGGCGATGGAAAAGTGGAACTCTACTCGCACCCACCCCGATCACTTTGGTAGTGCATCGAGAAGGACCAAGGCAAGTGTTTGGGACAAAGACTCATTTGTGGTGGAATATATTGAACTGTTGGGAGGGAGATGGTGGTTCTTCATTTAGAGTTTCTCCGTTTTCAGATGAAGACGGCCCGTATAAGCCAAGGTTGGGCGCGGCAAGTCTTACGCAAATTCAATCGCAATGCAAGCCAAGATGGCTAATATCACGGGTGGTGCCCTCACACTTTGCTAAGGATGGTCTCCTAGCTTGAATCATTTTGGCATAGGCATTGGTTTCGCATACAAAACCCCGAAGACGGGCAGGTATCTGTCCAAGGTTGACAGCAATCCCACGTCGAGCTGCACAACACGCTCCTCGGTCCCGAGAGCTCGAGGCTCTACAACTTGCAATGCAGATAACTTTCCAAATGGATGGCATCCCCATCGCTTTGATTTCTCCCTGCCTCGCATTGTGTTTCCGACCCATCAGCCACCCTTGTACGGGGGATCAGCCTCCAGATCCATCAGGTCCGGCGGGCCCTGCCTTGAACTCCGCCCAGAGTGCTGCATCACAAAGCTCAGCCCGCCACTACTGCCACGCTCCTGCATCTCTGGCCCGTTACTAGAGGGCTCAGGCCCGAGTCCCTCCGGTCCTGTTTTTGAGTTGTCGTCCTCGACATGAGCAGCGGTTGCCTTGGACCAGTCAACCTCCTCGCCATATCCGCCTGCAGTCTGGTAAGAGTCTTCAAACTGCGATGGTCTCATATACTCGACGTGCAATGCCTCGCCCGGCGGCGGCGTGTCGAGCTCTACCCCGTCAGCATTACTGTCGGTAAAGGTCAGATCCACCTCGTCAAGCTCATCTCGAGTGCTTCCGTTGGTGGCTATCGACGAGCTGCCTGTGTGTTTCCGTTTAGAAAGGCCGTAGCCACCAGCCTGTTCGAGATTTCCGATTGTTGGACCCTGAACTATTGGCCGGGGAGGAGGGTGAGGAGGCTGCTCCTCCGACGCCTCACGAGACAGCTCAGCTTGGAAGGACCGATTGTCGAGTTTCACGAAGCGCTGCCAGTGGCGTCAGTATCAAGCCCTTTATAGACCGCATGTACAACATCAACTTACTCGAAGAGCATCTGATAGGGGCACAGGGGTGGCCTGCATTGCAGCCTCCGTTGCATAAATAAGCATGGGGTAGCGAGACTCTGTGCTCGCGGCATGCAACACTTCGTCAATGGTCGCTTTCTGAAAAAGGTGCCAGCGGAGATTAGTGGCAGTACTTTGATTGGGACGTATTGGCGCTTCAACAACATACCTCGACTGTGGCTGGAGTGTGATCCTGGGCGGGCGCGTGAATCTTCCACCACTGGTCCCGTTCCCCAGTTGAAGCATCATCATCAACCTGGATGAGGTCGTCTGGCTCCCGCACGCACACATACGACAACTCTGGGGTCAGCGCAACACCCCGGAGAAGATACTTCTGTTTCGGGTTCCAGTAAACCTCATTATAGGCTTGCGGATCCGAACTGAAGACGAACTGCGCATCGTCTGCGTCCTTCGCTTCGCAAGTCAGTCGCTTGCTCACTACTTGGAGAAGCCTAAAGTACTCCTCTCGTTTCTCCGTGCAGCCTGTGAGCACAACCAAGCCAGTCAGTACACAGAGCGCGTTGTTCAGAGTCGTGAATATGCAACTTACCCTTGAGGTCGTTTTCAAGCTGGTCGAGCCTGCCTTGTAGAGTCTGTATCAATGTCTCAAGCTCGATGCGCTTCTCCTCCTCCTCCTCTGTGTATTCGGCCGGCCCTGTACAGGTGTGGGCAAGCTTGATATCCTCGATTCTATAGGGCTCTTTGCCTTCACTCCACTGCTTCTGGAAATGCCGCCATTGCACGTCTTTTCGCAAGCGGTCCAGCAGATACTGTGCGTGTTTGATGGCTTTCTGATGGCAATCCTGGATGGAGTGAGGACTCTCCAGCCACTGATACTTTCGGCAGCCACCTTCGCCCTGGCAACGTGTCCGCTGGGCTTCCCACGCTGTCAGCTTTTGCAGCCCGTTTCTCTTAATTTCAAAGATCTGCTTCTGAAGGTGCAGCGCGGTCTCTTGGTGGCTCTCCATGTATCGATCTGCGTAGAACACTTCGGGAATCTCGATTGGTGCTGTGAGCCCAGTGCCCATGAGGCGCATCGTAAGCACTTCGGACGGCTTGACGAGAAGTGCCATCCTGGAATGGTCTGGGAACGCGTGGTCTGGCGACAACGCATGTGTCCACATGAGCTGGTCGAGCGCATCGTAGAGAGTCCTCACCCATGAGTATTGCTCCTGATCTATCCGGATCTCTAAAAGCGCAAAGTCTATGGTGTCGTCTGGATCGCTGCCGTCTGTGTCATCATCGTCCGGCTCCACGGGAATGATCCGCCCCCTGACCATCATGGGATCCATGTTCAAGTCAGGATTGTTCTCCGGATCCTCAGCCATGTTGGACAAGGCGATGAGCAGCCTCTCCTCCATGTCGTGCCATGTATAGCTCTGGTACGGCGGCGTCTCAAACAGCGCGTCAACGCGCGCGAATGCCCGATCGGAGCTGTCCAGGAAAGCCATGAGTCGATGTATCTCTTCATGAAATGCAGGTCGTGCTTCGTCTTCAGATAGTTGCTGTCCTACTTGCAGCTTCACAAGGGCCTCTGGCTGCAGTATTGGCCGTCCTTTCCACCATTCAGAGCTGTGGCCATAGTTTGGCGATTGCCGTCCACAGCTGAGGAGTATGTTCCGGACGAGCGGGATCTTGTGATATATCGAGAGCATGGCGCCCAAGCGGCAGTCGATGCGGGTGCACTCCCGCACGAATGAAGGAGCATTCGGCTGTCGTTTGCGTGCTGAAGGAGGCAGTGCGGGCTCGATTGCTGGTCCTGACGCACCCGTAGGGACCATCGCCCATTGTTCCACATCGTAATCTGGTCGCTTCGCTGGGCCGAACTGGGTCGTGTTGTTCGTGTAATCGACGATGCCGGCTTCCTGCGGCGCAATCCCTGACTCGGCAGCAGACTCGGCTAGGGCTCGCTGCAGGTCGTCGTCTTCTTGCGCAAGATTTGAAGGCGCCCCTGTGTTGAGCCGGCGTCGCATTAGCTCTGCGCAACCTTTGATACCTCGCTGTACTGTACTGCTATGGCGCAGCTTATGCTTGGGCTCACATACCATTCGGCGACCTGTTATTTGCCCGCGACGGCGGTCGTGTGGGAGCCGCGCTACCATGATCGAAGTAGCTGCCTACAGGGAGCTGATCGGGGCCCTGGATGTTGAACGCTCCACGGCGGTCGCAAGTCAGCGTGAAGCTAATGAGACGATATGCGGAAATCACAGCTCTCACATATGCCAGAGGTATTTCCGCCCTCTCCGTCTCTGTCTAACCCGAACTGCGACTCGTCGTATTTGTACTGCAGGAGAGTAGACATTAGCAACTCGGCTTGTTCTCCTCCTTTCGCCTTATAGGAAGTCCAAGTCGGGGGAAATAAGGACTACCTTTGTACTGTCCGGGTCGGTGAAATACTCGTCCGTCGCTCGCTCAGTGTCGTTGCCATTCGCCTGTGAAGATCGTGCGGTAAAGAGTCAGCGTCACGTCGTCATGTTGGGAATTGGTGGGGGTGGAGAGCCGCCCTCGGAAGCTTACCTTGAGACGGGCGACGGCTTCTGGTCGCGAAAGGCCAGTGACTTCGCGGAACAGCTCAATGAGGTCCTCGGTCGGCTCGCCGGCAGCCGCCATGTCGTTGCTGGTCGTCCTCGGGACGTGCGTGGTGACCAGCAACCAGGCGCTGCATTCATGGGAAGAAGTCGGCGCGAGCTTGGGTGCTTGCTTAGTGGGAGCCTTGAAGTTCGTGGAGCAAGCAGGGTTGGCGGGCAATGACACAAGACCTGAGGCTAGCGTGCATGGGGGGCTCTCCAAAGTGGTCACAGGCCACCCGAGCTGTGCGGTTGAGCTGCGCCGGATGATCAATATTGTTGTCTGGTGCGAAATCACGCAGAATGTTGGCTGCTTGTTCTCCCAGCTGTGTTTAGTGAAATACATAGAACGTTTGCCGTTTGTTCGTTGTTGGTGTGGCTCGCTGCTTGAGCACGAGTCCACTGGAGCGACCTCTTGGCAGATCGCCACAGCTCTCACAGCCCACGTGTGCCTGGTGCTGAGCCATCATCCCCAACAGGACACCATGCTTGGACACTGGATATTTTCCAATGGTGGTTTCTGCCTAGTCCCGCAGTCCGACAGCAGTGTGTTTTCCTGGCGGCATTTTGTTGTGACGAGCCATGGAAAACGCATGATGTCTTTTACAATTATTTGCATAACGTAGTGTCCTCATTCCTCTATATCGCAAGTATCGCCTCATACGGGCAAGCGAGTGCCTTGATGAAATCGACCATCGGAACATTTGTCCTGGTGCGAAGTGCTATAATCGCACCCTGTTATAGCCACGTGCTGTAGTAACAGCTAATGCTCAGTCTACACGCAGTTGTTGCAGGACGTGGAGTACATGACAAATGGCCAAGTCTATTCAAATGTAAGTGGCACGGAATCGCTAGAGTATACTAGATGCGGTCTAATTCAACCTCGTATACGCCAAGCCCATAAATCTGCCCTGTGTCTCGAATCCAGCGAATTCCCATGTGTAGCGCCATAAGCTCCCTTTGGAGGCGTACAGGTTTAGAAAACTCCCGCGAAAACACCAAACGAAAGCTGAGTGCTCCATCCAATACCTAACGACAGAACTCCAACCAATAATGCAATGACGAAATCAAAAAACGCCGTGATAGACGCTATGCAGGAGCACGCTGAGAAGTTCAGGAGATCGCCCATATGCGCCACGTGAGGATGAGAATGGGCATGCCATGACTGGCAATGAATTCTCTCCGGGAATGAAGGACCGTCTACCTGATATCGTCGTCGTCACTGTTATCCTCGGCATCGTCGTCGAAGTCCTCAGCATCGTCCGTGTCACTGCCACCAAAGTCGAGCTCCTCGTCGCTCTCGGCCCAGAATTCTGCATCGTCGTCGGCCGACTTGGGAGGCGGGGGTGGCTCTAGGCTGGTGGGCATTTCGAAGTCGGCGGGAATATCAGCCTTCGACTTCTCAACGGTTTCCCTGGCTCGTTTGTCGTAGACGGAACGCTCGTCTCGGTAGCACACACTGGCGTCGACGTTGGCTGGAGAGTTGATCTCGGGGTCGTCAAGCAAGAGAAGTACAGATCGCAATACGGATTCGACACCCTGCAATGGCGACCAGCGCTCGCTGGCCTGTTCGCCTGATGTGATGTCGTCACCAGGGTTGTGCAAGATGGAGATGCAGAGTTTGCCGTCGGGATAGATGTTTGGATGGTAGATCGGAAGCAGGAATCGGAACGTGGGCGGCTGGTAGGGGTACTCCTCGGTGAACGTCATCTCAGCCTGTGATGATTAGTATGCAAGTACAGGCATGAAGATGGCGTGTGGCGGAATGCTGGGTATCACTACACACCTTGAAGTATCCGCCATTGAAGACACTGTCAGAGTTGACGACAACCAGCCCAAGACGCCACTTGAGTATGTTGCCGTTCACGAGCTGGTGAGATGCATGTCAGCAAGCCGCTTATAGAGGGGAAAGAGCCAGGTTTCGAGATGGCTCTGACGACTGTGGAATGGACTGACATCGATGTTGACCCATTTCTCCTTTGCCAGATTCTGCATTTCTGACATGAGACGGTGCTTGGCACCACCCACAGCATGTCGGGAAGACATCTTGACCTCCAAGGGCTGGGCTATCTTCGGGACTGGGGATTCGGTTTCGATGCAGTCGGCGTGGTTCCTGATTGTCGCGAGGGTTGAGCAGGAAAGGAGTGGGCGGCCACGAAAATGCGCCTTGTTCTCGGCAGCCTCCAACTCCTGGGACTAAAAATCAGTTCTCCGCGGCAAGGCAAAGACCGACGGCGAGTGACGTGACGATCGGTGTGTTGGGAGGAAGAGGGGACCCAGGGCGGTGGACGGGAGGTGCGGGAGTGACGCCCTGTTATAGCGGGCACGCCGCTGGTGGTGGTCCGTTGGGCCCAGGGCCAGGGCCAGGGGGGTTGCCTGGCGTCGCACCTGCTTTGGGCCACCAAGTGGCGCCTATGTCGGCCAACATGACTAAGTTAGCACCGCTGGACGCCAGGGCGGGACCCAGTGGCGGTTCCTGGTCACGCTCTCCCGATGCGTCCCGCACGGATACAAGGACCCTGTGATGGACATTACACATTGCACCATGCTGGTCGACGTATCACTTCACAGGACCTCCACGATGGACGCCGTGCAGAGCAGTCGTCGTGTTCAGGCAGCCTACTACATAGCAACATGCGGCGCATATTCATCCAAGGCCACAGCCGGCACAGTCCCAGATGCGCTTATTACGCAGATAATCCAGGGTGAGTATCCCGCCGGTGAAGTGTTCAGTCACCTTAGGAGAAACTAGTCACGGCCAAAAACAAATATTGCGTGATCTTTCCCCATCCATTTTGCCCATATCTATAATCTCAATGAAACTTGAAGCTCAACCTCGCTTATTCAACATGGCCATTGGTGTCTGAGTCTCGGGGTCCGCTTCAGGGCGACGCCGCTCATGCAGACGACTCTTGCGCATCCCTCCTCTTCTCCTCTGCCAGTTCTGCCAAGATGCGCATGGCTTCGTCCTCCCTTCCCAACGGGACGAATAGGTGGTCGTGATAGAAAGCGCTGACGGGGTTGACTCCCATGTCGTAACTCGCCAGGCGAGTAGCGATGACAGCCATGAAGCCAACGGCATCGAGACTCGAATTCACATTGAGCGTGATCTTCTTGCACGGGAAGGCGTGCTCCAGATTGTGTGCCTCTGCGTCTTCACGAGTCAGGATGACGGTGACACCCTCGGACTCTGCCTCGCGAAAGAGCATCTGGAGTTTGGCGAGAGGCGGCAGTTTCGATTCATCTCGCACCACGGCGAAAACGTATGTCGAAGGGTGCAGTCTCGCAGTGAGTGTGGCGAGCAGCCTTTGGAGCGAGAGCTCTCCAGGGTGTTTGACCAGACCAGTCCCCGTCATGCTGCAGATCTTGTTGGAGGATGCGGGAAAGGTGGCTGGTGAGCTGGTTTGGATTTGACAAAGACGATTATGTCCTGGATACTACTGGTGTACTCGAGATCCTCTTCGCATTCTGATAATGATCGCGCTCTTCCTACTTGCTCCACAAAATGTCACTTAGAGGGCGCTCAATACTAACTCGCTTTCCCAAGTCTCTCTTTGACCTTTGATAGAGCAATTACTCATACTCGCGGATGCTACAACATGTACAAGATCACACACAGCGCTTGCACAAGCTGCAGGCTGCTGTTGTGGTCAAAATTCCCGGCACAAGGTCCTGGTTGGCGCTTTGCTGTCTTCGCATGCGGACTTAAGCGGCCAAGGTCATTGGGCGTCACGTCATTCATGGGTTAGTCCATCGGGTTCCAGTGGACTGCATTTTTTACGCATTCGCCCCCGTGCGTTTTCCTGACTAACGCTGACCGCCCATGACTGCAGCAGCACCGGTCTTCGCCTGCCAGCGAACGAGCCTGTCTTGGCGTTTGGGACTCGATTGAGAACAACAGAATCTGCCGAGTTGGTCGTTGGGCACGATGCGCCACTTGGCTCCTCCGCCATGGCGTGCGTGTCTGTAGGGAGAGCGCGTTGGCCATCCTCGTATCTCAATGACCACTTGTAGGTGTCCGAGTTGAGACGAAAGAGCGGTGCGAGGACATGCGGCGGCAGGAACCCGGGGCCAATGACATGGAGATCGGTGTGCCCGTCGCAGATTCACAGCATTGAGTGCAACCCTTGAGGTACATACAGTCAGCTGGCCCCAGCAGGGGCTCATATTGCGGGGTGGGGACAACGATCTCGCGTGAAACGAAAAGAGCTCAGTGATTGTTCCAAATGGCCATATATGGACAATGTCGTCGCCCTCAGGCAAGTATCAGCACCAAGCAGAGCGGCCTTCCAGCAGGTCAGCATTGCGCATTTCAGCAGGCGAGTGACACAACAACCTGGCTCGTACTGGTGAGCCACAAGGCAGGGTCGCTGGCTATCGGAAGGGGTCTATTGCGCAGGGCTCATCAGGCTGTGTCAAGATTGCGTCGTGCTTGACTGTGCCTAAAGTGTAGACGCAATGAGTGGTAGAAAGGACTGCCTTCAAGGCTGACGGCTGCGTTCGAGGTGTGATTGAGGATCACGCCGGTCTGGCGCCTGGCTCCTGTCTTACCTGGACAGAACCAATACGAAGTTGGCATCAGAGGGATGGATGAACCAGTCGTCCTCGCATCACACGCACGACTCCCAGTCGTAGGGCGACAGCCACGCACACCGGGGGGTGGGTCGACACGGCCGGGCGTCAAGGGGACACGGAGGAAGGACAGCACTGTGAAGGGCTCAGTCACCCTCTGTGACGCATAAGGACGCGCTCCTTTGCGCCCAGCGAGCGCGTGCTTTAATGGATGGCTTTGCCTGAGTATCGGATCGGCCGACGCCCCGGGTGCTGGCAGCCTGCCCCGGCCCGGTCCACCTGGCCCAGCCAGCTCAGGTGGAGAGCGAGGAGACGAGGAGTGCCCACACCCACCCGGCAGCACGCACGCACTGGGCTGGGCACGCATGCCTGGCTGGCTGGCTGGCCACGCCCACCCGGGCCCTCGCTGCCCGCCGCCCCCATCCGCTTCCCCCTTCTGCCTGCCAGCTCACCTCACCTGACTGCCACATGGTCGGGGCGTCTTTTCCATCTCTCCTGCAACTCCTCATCTCGCCCTGGCTGCTCACGACCATCGACGGCCAGCAGCTCATCCAAGACCTTCCAGCGCCAGCGAAGACGTCCTCCTCGACTTCGCCCTTCAGTCGCGCTCTAATCCGTCGGCCCTTTTCGTCCCGTCTCAATCGACCCGCCCGCCGCACGACCTTCTCCTGCATGCTGGCGGCCATTTCCGACCAAAACAGACCACCGCAGCCGGTCGGCGGTTTGGCGCGAGCCGCCACTCATTGAGACCATCACCCGCAAGCTTCTGCTTGCCACCTCGAGCTTAACGACTTCAGCCTCGACTTGATCGTCGTGGTGCTGTGACATCTCCGAGCCTTGTTCGCGGGCTGTTGCAAATACCAGTTTTTCCGACCCTTTTACTAGGTGCCAGAATCCGGTCTGCTTGATCGTCGCTCACATCTCGTCTCACACCACTGTGTTTTCCATCAGCAGCATCGTCACCGCCGCTACCACTGCTCCAACCTGCTTGTCTCATCCGCTGTTTGGGGATTATTTTTCTGTCTGTCCCTTGACAGCTCTCACTCGTTGAAACGAATCCAATCTATCCTTGCGCGGATTGACGCCGGCGGCAACCATGTCCTTCAATCCTCAGACACCACAAAGCCCGTCGCAATTCTCACCGAGTACTGCCGACCATTCACACAGCGTTAACTCGTCGATGGCGTCCAGTATGACCACGCTGCCTACTCCCGCTCACTCGATCAACGGCACTTCCGCCTCGGACCATCACGACTCCGCTATGCTCGACGACTTCACCCTCAAGCGAAAGCGCACAGATCACGATGCCGGGCTAGCAGGGAAGAAAGCCTACCTCGAGGATCCTCGCAACTCTGGTATCAAAGACCTGCATCTCGATGTTGGCGAGAAGTATCTCCTTTGCAGAACTCGTAAGGCTCCCTACTGCAACCTCCTTGTATCTGCAGCACGACATGTGTCTATCATCTGAGGCGAGGACGTCTTGTGCAGCGCGCGACGCTCTTATCACGCTATGTCTTGTTGTTTGGAGTGATTGTAGTCTTGTAGACCTCTTTTGGTTGACACTGCTCTTGTTTAGCTCATTCCGTGGCATACCCAAACATGTGCGACGATCTCTTTGAGATCTTCAACCTCACGGGTATCGCCGCCGACTACGCTCGTGTCAAACCCAACGGTGAGAAGAACGCACTGAGGAAGACGTACAAGGGACAAATGAAGCAGCTCGGCGTCAATGGTCACTTTGACAGCACGAGGAAGGAAGTCGACGATCCAGCGGGTTTCTTCGCCATGATCAATCTGCCCGAAACGGAATGGCACGCGTTCCAAGTGCAGGGCAAGGAAATCGAGAAGGGCTTCTCCGACATCATTCTGCAATCAGCACTCGGCAAGGCTACTCTGATGGCAAAGGGCCCTATTCCCAAGGGCGTCTGGGACAGCGCCGTCCTCGGCGATCTCGCTCCCAGCAATGTTCAGAAGAAACCCAGTGCCAAAGCCCCCACAACACCAGCAATGTCTGCCCAGCCTTCCGCCGCCAAGTCGTCTAGCATGGACGCTGCCCAGATTGAGCGACTGAGACGCAACGGCAAGAAGCGCAGCTACCAGGACAGCAGCTTTGAAGGTTACAGCGAATCGTTCCAGGACGATGAAGGCGGCTACTCTACAGGCGGCGACGATCGCTCGAATCTTCTTAAGCGGCGCAAGAAGGTATAGTTTACCACTCGCAGAAGTCGACCTTGATCATCCGATTCGACATGTCATTACCCTTGTCGGCGGTCGGCGATCGGTGATGCGCCTCCATTCACATTCGCTATGACATTCGCGCGGCGTACCATCGCCGCCCACCACGGACAGAGCCCATTTGGAGATGGCCATCTATCGGCACAATCTGTCCAAAAGCACTGGGCCATCGCGGCCCTGCCCAGCAACCAGAGATCTTGCGCACCGTTCCTGGTTATGGATATTATTATGTTTTACTTGATTTCAGCGAGGCGTTTTGGAGGGATCGGTCTGGAATTCGTTGATTACAAATGCATGCTTTACGAAGCACAGGATTGCCGCCCAAAAAGTCATTTGTTTCTGTATCACACTGAATAGTTGGGCGGGAGAAAAACACAAAGTATACTGTATACTTACCCTTGCGACATGATCTTAGTTTTGATACCACTACTACAATACAGCGAAGAGCATGCTTTAAATCATCGGTTACCACCATCTGTGTGCTTGTCTGATTCTAAGAGCATTTGCCTTGTCCAAGCATGGGAAGCTGCGTTGCTGGTGGGCGGGAAACCACCAAATGACTTCCAGCTCAGATGGTGCAATGGGCCGACACGGACAACCCCGCCAAGAGAAAGGCGTAGAGGTTAAGAGCCCTGTAGATTGCACACCTAGAGATACATCGCGGGTGCCTGGATTGTGGGTTGCGGCACGGCGCAGGACGACCCAAAGAGGCCTGCCTCACTGGCTGCGCCCAGAAAGCTTGCCCACCCTTCAGCTGCTGTCCACCTGGTGTGGGCCCCGCGTCGTCACTCCCATCCAGGGTGCACACCCCTCCTCAACCACCTGGGCAGGCTCAAGTTGAAGAAAGTTGATCGTTGCTTGGCAGTGATTTGTAGGATCTGCCTCGCACTTCCTTGCCCTACGTAAAACTTGCATCCATTTTCTCCGCTCCCTCGTCTAAGGGGACGAAGCTCGTGGTCCTGCGCGCCCCAGTCATCTCTGTCGAGGACAGGACATCACCCAGCTTCGGCTCCGCACTGCTCTTCGCAACTCCAAGAACCAGGCACCCCCGCAGAACGGGACCACACACCCTGACTCAACATTGCGTCGAGAACACAGCAGGACGCTCAGTATATAAGAGGCGTTGCGTCAGACAAGGCAATCCATCATCCCCATGCAACAAGCCTACAGCTGAGGCGCGCTGTCACGACCAGCGCCCCGTTATCCACGCCAAGGCACAATCCCCATTGTTCAGCCCACCAAGAGAGGACAATGGCAGGCGCCAATCCGTCAAGTCGCAGCTCGCTCGAGGCCCCCGATGGCCGCAATTCGACACAGCGGCCTGGAATCAGCACATTGCAGTCTCCAGAGCCCTACGGTGGTCATGGCCTTTACACCGTTTCCGACCCACGGGCGTCATCTGCACAGTCTCTCGTGCCCTCGCTCCCAGAATATGAGGAGTTTGCCAGGAGGAAGCTCCTCATCATATATATTCACGGCTTCATGGGGAACGACACATCTTTCCAGTCCTTCCCGCTTCACGTTCATCGCTATCTGAAGGATGCCCTGGCGGAAACCCATGTCATCCATTCCAAGATTTATCCCCGGTATAAGACGTACAAGGCCATCGACGTTGCTCGCGACAACTTTAGCCGTTGGCTCCAACCCCATGAGTCTCCCACCACCGACGTTATCCTGGTCGGGCATTCCATGGGCGGCCTTTTGGCTGCGGATGTCATCTTGATGGTAAGCATGCAAAGATGCCGCGCTTTTTCCAACCCGTGTGATGCAGTCCAAAAGGCTGACTAGGAGTGTCCAGCCTGGACAACAACCACAACAAACCTATTTGAGGCATCGCATTCTTGGCGCAGTACATCTTGATTCTCCCATCCTAGGCCTGCATCCAGGTATCGTCGTTTCTGGAATATCGAGTTTGTTTCGCGCCAAACCAGAGAAGCCTGGCTCGCCGACCAGCCCTGGTGCGCAACTTGGCGCAACTGGCAGCCAGAGTGATGTACTCTCACCCACGCAGTCTCTCTACTCGGAAAGCTCTTTCGATTCGCAAACCACAGCAGCTTCCAGCATACCGCCGCCTGGACCGGGCTTCGCGGGGGCAAGAACGATGGATCCAAACTTTGATCCGAGTTTCCCCAACGACGTGCGACTCAAGGATCGGAGCTGGTGGAAGAACGTTGTCCACTTCGCCAAGAAGCACAGCTCGGAAGGGCTGATCGATGCGGCCACAAAGCACCTCATGTCCCATCTTGAGTTCGGCAGTTGCCTGATGGACTTTGGCGGGCTTAAAGCTCGTTATGAGAACGTGCGCAAGCTCGAGGATGTTGACGATATCAAGAACTATGGATTCCCGCACGTCCCACCACAAGTCCGCTTCGTCCAATACTATACGGTCTGCTATGGGTTTCCCAAGGTGCCAAAGAGTCCAAAAGTGGAAGAGTCACAGCCCATGATAACACAGAGTTTGGACTCGGTAGTGGTGGCAGATTCGAAGCCAGCGACCGAATCTGCAGACAAGCGGGAAGCGCCAAAGGAGCTTGTTCAAGCCTCTGAGCACAGTACACTGAACGTGAACGCTTTGGGCCCTATCCCTAAGGAGGCCGGGTCACCGTCTCACCGCTCAGTTAGTGACTGGTCCGCGTCTGAGCTCGAGATGCTTGAGCCCGAGCCGATTCTTGATGACGAACCCCTTCCTTCAGAGAACAAGAATGAGAGCACAGGCCTGCAAACGACCACGTCTCAACCAGATGCTGGCAAGGAGGATGTTAACACCAGGGCTGAGAGTTCGGCTTCGTCCATACTCGAGAAGCCCAGTGAAGGGGCATCTGCCGTGGAGAAGCCGGACGGCGAAGCAACATCTCCCAGTCCGCCAAGGATAGTACAGGAGTCGGCTACAGGCACTCTGACCGACCTCATGACTGCGACTTCAGCACTGTCACTTGACTTGCCGGCCATCCCCGAGCCTCCGTCGCCACCAGAACTGCCGGACCTGGAGAAGTTCACAGACAAGGACGCGCGCAAGCTGGCAGAGAAGGAGTCCAAGCGCCTTCTAAAGGCCTATGAGCAGGCTGTCAAAGACCGTAACAAGGCCATCAAGGAGCGCGACAAGATCATCGAGAAACGCCAGAAGAAGCTCGCGCAGGAGGCCGAGAAGCGCGAGAAGGAGGCGCAGAAGCAGGCGAAGCAGGCCGAGAAGCAAATGCATAAGGACGAGGCAGAAGAGGCAAAGAGGCAGGCCGAGGCCAAAGCCGTCGCGGATGCCGAGAATATCGCTCAGAGTGCGGCGGCGGCAGCGACGCTGACTGACGAGCAACTGAGTCCGCAGAACTCGAACTCAGGAGCCGCCGAGTTGAGCACGGATCATTCTCAGGCAGTAGCTGAGGGGGCTAGGTCACCCCCAGCGGCGGAGCAAGAGAACAAACCGCCAAAGAAGCTCAAGGAGCGCAAGTTCATCAATATGCCTAGCAAGATCAACGGGCAGCCTGACCCGAAGTGGGTCAAGATCTTCATGAAGGACATGGACGAGACAGCGGCGCACACGAGCCTGTTCTTCCCTGGAGAGCACTACGAGAAGCTTGTCGGCGATGTTGGAGAGCTGATAATGCAGTGGGTGCAGTATGACTTGACCAAGAAGGCCATTATGGGATGGAGCGAGGGGTGAGCTCGGGGTTCGGGTATGAGGGGGAGAGGAGGGTACAGGTGCAGTGTCTCGTCTTTTCTTTGTCGTTGGTAGCGGCTATACCTTAGTATTATTGTGCTTGTTTCTTTTGTACATTTGCGTGTTTCCACGTTTTCATGAAAGCGCGATGTGGACGGCCCTGGTGGCCGCCGAGCTCGTGAAACTGGTGACGGGCATTGTTGAAGACTTCCTTCCGCAAGCGATGTATTCAATAGCATTATTGATCTCCTTGCCGAGTGGATTCCCCTGACATATTTCCTCACACTAGGCGACTTCTACTGTGACCTCAATCAGGTCTATGGGCAATCACGCATGAACTCCTACCGACGACAACGTGTGGCATTTTGTGTTTTTTCTTTCTCTCGTCCCCGCCTTACTCAGATCATATCAACGCGGCTTCTGAAGCGCTATACAATCCAGAATCTAAAGTTAACACAAATATGCATCCCCCCCCCCTTCTCTTCTCTCCCTTCCCTCCTTTACAGCCATCTACGCAAAGCCCTGCATGACGTCCCCCACGGCCTCGAATCCGCCGCCGCCCTCGGCACTGCTGCTGCTCCTCCTCCCGCCCCGGAGCTCCCTGTTCGTGACCTGCACCAGCACCCTGCGGTACGAGGTCAGCCGGGGCGACCCGTCGTCCACGACCTCCAACACGAGATGGAGCACCTGGCCCAGTTTCTGGGCCTGGCGGGTCATCATGTCGACTGCGCACTTCTCCGCGGGGGGGAGCGCCACGCTGACGATGCTGCCTTGCTTGTTCTCCGGCGTGATGGTCAGGTCGGCGACCTCGGCGTCGACCCACCACTGCGTGGCGCTCGGGTCCTTGTAGTGCCACCACTTGTACGTCAGGGTGTCGGCCGGGTCGGGGTCGTACGTACCCGAGGCGTCGAGGCGGATTGTGCTGCCTGCCTCGGCGGAGATTGTGATGGGGGCGCTGGTGCTGTCGTTATTGTTGTCGTCGTCGTTGTTTGGGTTATTGCTGCTGTTGCTGGTGCTGCTGGTGTCCGTACTGATGGAGATGACGGGATGGTGGTTCGCCTTGGACCGGTCCGGGGACAAGGTCCACTGCATGCGCGCGGCAAAGTCGTTCTGGAAGGCGTCGCGCCAGCGCCAGACGGTCGCGTGGTTGGACGTGTAGAGACGCCCGTCGGCGCCGGGGACCGAGGTGTCGACCGCGTCGCCGTAGTGCCGCGACCGGACGATGGTCGGCTGGGACACGGACGACGACGAAGGGGACGAGGGGGCTCCCGCGTCGCTCAGGACGTACCGCCCGCCCCAGGACCCGTACTCCGGGTGCTCAGGCACGCCGAGCCCGTTCTGGATCAGGTACAGGAACGTCGGGGTGTCGCCCTCGGGGATGAACATGTAGTCCGGGTACGCGGACCCCAGGGGCCCGATCTGAATGTTGGCCCTGATCCACTCCTTGGTCATCTTTGTGAAGTCGGGCCCGCCCTGGTCGAACCGGTAGTACTTGTCGCCCGAGATGCCCGTCCACGCCGCGAGGCCGTACTGGTTCCAGCCGTGCACCGAGGCAATGTAGAAGACGTCCGGGAACTGCGCGCGGATCCAGGCTCCCGTGTCGTCCTGGTCCGAGATGGCGTAGACGCGGATCCGCGAGCGGTAGGCGGCGGCCTCGGCGGGAGGGTAGGTGTTCTTGATGTACAGCAGGACCTGGGCGAGGACGTTTGTCCCGCCCCAGCACAGCACCCACAGCGGGGCATAGTCTGGGGCGGAGGAGGAGGAGGAGGAGGCAGTGATGCGCTCGAGGAGCAGCTCGCCGCCTTTGCTTAGCGGGATGTCGTCGCCCACGGCGGCCATGCCGTACACGGGCGGGCCAGAGCGGACGAGGCCCAACAGGTGGTCTGCGGAAGGGTACTGCATGTCCGGGTGCGCGTGGGCATTGAGGTTGTCGACGGCGCCGCGGTATGCGGTGATGATCTTGTCCATGTCCTGCGGGCACGTCTTTGTGCGCATCCAGGTCGACGTGCAGGCAATGATACCCTCGGTCGTGAACTGGTTCGCGTACAGCAGGTAGCGCACCAGCGACTCGGCATCGTCGGGCTCGTTGGATATGTCGGACAGGATGACGACCCGCGGCTTCGTGGGGAAGTGCTGGAGTCGAGAAGGGTCCGCCATGGCTGCTTTCTGTGTGCTCGTTCTGGGAGGGTGTACTTGACGGGAGAGGAGGCTTGGAATAAAGGGAAGAGTCAACACAGGCAGACGAGCATCATGATTGAGCGTTCTCAGAGTGTATTATGGCATTGACCAGCGGCCCGCGACCGGCCGCTCTTATCGACGTCTGCCGAGCACAGAGGCGGTTGGACTGTGGGTGCGGGGTGTCTGTCGTCTGGGGAAGCTTCCCACGATCGTCGTTGCGCTTGGTGGCTGGCCTTGCCCGATTTGGGCCCCGGCCGTGGCTCGTCCTCCTCTTTTGGGCAAGTGGGCATCCAGGAACAGAAGTCGGAGGCGTCTAGGGCGTCCCGTCGGCTTCCACTTTCGAGGTCCACATTTGCCCGACTTGGCGTCGCAGCAGCGCTCATGTCCAAGTCATGGGTGGCCTGGTCCAAGTTCTCAATGGGCTATGACGCAAAAGAAAATCATGACCACGAAATAGACCTCATCAAATACTGGCCCCAAGCAAGCAGTTCCCGCCAAATGATCACGCTCAAAACGCGTCCCACTCACCGATACTCCTGGGCCATCGTTCTTCAGATGTCGTATGCCAACACCTGTGCGTAAAAATGCCTTTTGGTACAAGGCAGTAGACAAGTATCGTTGTCATAGTTTCCCGAATTTCCTTCGATACCCGAGACAGCTACTACTACGACTTGGCGCCCTGCAAAGCATAAAGCTCCCTCGGCTTCCCGTTGGCACAACTCGAAAACTTCCACCAGTTGCCATGGAACACTCCACCGATATTCACAAGCCCCCACCGGATAGGCGCCGGCATGGGCGGCCAGTTCGCCCACATGCCATCCTCGGCGGTGCCGTCCAGGTTCTGCAGGAAGAACGGCACGACGTCCCACGTTCCGGCTTTTGAGACAGTGCTCTTGCCCCATGTCTTGAACGTGACTGCGGCCTCGGCCTCCTCGGGCGACCCAGGCGCCGGGGCGTTCGGGTGGTCTGCGAGCGCGGCGATGGTGCTGATCTCGGAGTGGAAGTGCTCGCCAAAGGGCTTTTCAAACGTCTTCATGATCCTCTGCAGCTCGGCGCCGGAGAAATCGGTGCTCGGGTTCTGGACGGACGCGAGGTACTGGCCGAACTGCGCCAGGCCGGCCAGGAAGGCCTCGTGCTCGGCGTGGGTCTCGGACCAGACGGTCTTGTCGTCGAGGAGCTCCTCGACCTTGGTGAAGAGGGTGGCCTCCTCGTCGTCGTGGTGCGAGGTGACAAACTTGTGCCAGGTCTTGCAGTAGCCGACAAAGTCGGCCTTGTCGGCCGGCTGGACGTGCGGGGCCTGGAGGTAGATCGAGTTGTAGCCGCGCAGGATAGAGTTGTGCAAGAGGGCCATGTGCGAGGCGCCGGCTGTGAACATGTCGGTCTGCGAGGGAGGGGTTAGGATATCGGGTCAGTCTGAGATGTTGGCGTTGAGAAGTGTGGCACTGTGAGCTTACCTTGCGAGTCTGGAACTGAGGCGTGGCGACGAGCTCGATGGGCGAGTCGGCCCAGACCTGGGTGGGCGCCATGGTGTGCGTCAAGAAGGGCGACCGCTTTGTGATGACGGTGAGGATCAGAGGCAGGCCGAGGAAGAGGAAGCGGCTGACGAGGCCGCGCTGCGGGGGTTGTGTTTGGGTAGGCATGGCGGCGATGTGGAGGGCTGTCAGACGGAGCGGTCGCTGTGTTTAATAAGGCAGGCGGATTGAGCCTGTGGTGCAAAGCACAAAACTACCAGAGCTACCTCGAGGTACGGGAGATACGGAGTACCTTACGATGATGGGGTGAGAGCTCGAGATGGTGGGGAGACGGCTGATTTATGTACCGCGCGTGATTGGCAGCCAGGGCGGGAGCAGGGGACCTCCCGCTCAGGGTCCAAGCTGGGGAGTTGCAGTTGCCAGGGTCTTGTTGGGGCCAAGCCGCAAGGTTCCTGGGCGTGCATGATGATGCAGTGTTGGGGACAGAGCTGGCTGCCCTCATTCCCTGCAGCAATGAGAGCCCTCTCCTTATGAGATCCCGATGAAGAGCCTGTACCTACGTCGGGGAGGACGCCTGGCAGAGAGGCAGTGAACTAGCTGTCACAACTGCCACTTGCCAATTAGCTGCCGTTAGTTGGCTCTCTGGGGCAGAGCCATTCTCGGCAGCAGCCGACGCCCACTTGCACCAACCACGTGCGTCCACGCCCCCAACACAATGGGACCTGCCAACAGACATCATCATCATCGTTACCTTTGCCAGCCCGGGGAAGATGCGCGGGCAGTCGTGGGGCGGCGTAGAATTCCACCTGGGCAGCTGGCCCATTCGTCTGCTGATCAAAAGCCACGTCCCAGACACAATGCCAACGCACAAGGACTCTGCTCTGCAAGAACAATAATAGTCCGCCCACCTCGCCGTCAAAGGGAGTGAGATGAGCAAGCCGTGGCTTCTTTGTCCCGCGCGGACCAGAACACCCAGAGCGTGGAGAGCATCTGACTGCTACCACAGGGCCTGCCTCTGCTGCACCTCGCAAACAAAGACGGCTGACCACATCTGACTGCGTCGAGCACACCGCGGTTTGCTCTCTTTGCCCACTCACGCCGCCGCCACGCTCCTCTACTTGACCTGCACCAAACCCACCGATTGATGCGTCGTCGTCTCCTGCTTCGTCTCCTCCCGATGCCTCAGATGGCTCGCAGCTGTGCCGTCTGCCTCGCCGTGACAGCGGCTCGGCCCAGTCATGGCCCACAAGGCACCCATCATGTCCGTCATATATGGCCGGCCGCCGTGGAATACTCATACACGACGGTTGTTGTTGTTGTCTTGACACGACTACACAACTTGCCTGGCTTGCAAACTCACGCAGTCAAAGGACTCAACGCCCTCTTCGGAACCGCTTCCCACGTTACTACTTATCTGACTACTGCATTCAAGAACGGCATCTCCCCACAACGAACTCAAGTTCAACGCGAGACCAAGTGGTTCCTGCACAACCCGCTCGAAACTCTCGGTTTTGTCGGTCCGACCAGCTCCAGAGTCTCCTCTCCTGGTCAGCATCATGGTTCGCAACATAAACTCCAAGGTTGACGACGCTCGAAACACCTACAGGGCAAGGAGAGGTTGGAACCCGCGGGCTCGCCCTGAGCCACGCTCTGCGCAGAAATGGCGTTCTGGCAGTGGAAGTCTCGGGCGCGGCCAAGACACGCGACGCTCACGACAACCTGCACGCGACTCTAGCTCAGGTTCAGGTAGACGGCCGAATGGCGTTTTGAAGGCACCCAACACCCGAAAGTCGAAGCGCGGCAAGAATTTCGTCGGCATGAGTGCCGAGCTCACAAGGGAGCTGAGGGACAGGGACGGCGATGTGTTGATGGAAAGGCCGGGGGATCTTGCAGACATCGTATGTAAGTCGAGCAATTCCCCCGGCCCTGTTCGCGATCCCCTTCCCTGGAGCTCCGTCATGTATGGCACGGCGGCTCGTCGTCTTCTGTGTTGCGTTCTGGCATTTATCATCCTCTTTGTTCTACAAGCATTGCAGAAGTAAGGCGGTGCCTTCTGCCGACCCCGGGGGAGTATACACAGTCTTGGAAACAGCAGGTCCAATAACTAGGAATACTTCAACATGCTCGCCCGCGTTATACTGGCCAACAATTGACTTATTCTTCCTCCGCTTATGGAGAAAAGGCTCGGACAAACGGGTAACAGCTCCCGCTCGCAAGACTCGGCGGCAATGCAGGAATGCCGCCCGTTTGAACCGCGCGTCCGCAGCGTCGGCACAAGCTCCAGGACACAGCGAGTCTGTTCCATCGAACATGGTGTTCGCAAGCTCAAACCTGTCTGGCGGACCGGCCGCCTCTTTTGCATCCACCTCGGCACCACAACTCGGCACCAACGATGACGAACTCCCGCCATACATCAGAGACCTCGAAGGCGACATCGTGATGTCCGACGCCGACAATCCGAGTCCAATACACGTTGTCCTCGGACATTTCCATCGCATCCGCGCGCAGATCCGGCTCCAGCAAAGCCAAAACAGCCAAAACAATAACAAGGCTAACAACAACAATAACCACAACAACCATCCACAAGCCCGCTCGCAGTTCTCCACGCTGCCAAGTCTGACTGCTGCCCCTTCACCCGGTTTCCTTGTCGACGACGCCGGCGATACGTACATGAAGAACGGGTACACTCCGCACCCATTCATCCCATATCTTCTTGCGCAAGGGGGAATCACCGCCGCGCTGGACGCGGTGCGCCACTGGGGAGACTGGCGAGCGTGGTTCTTGAGCCAACTGGAGCGTGCAAAGGACGACCTGTTCCGTTTATACTGAGCTGGTTTTGTTTTCTGTTTGAGGATGCATATATGCAGATGCTGAAAATTTCATATCTCGCGGGGGATGATGTGTAGTGGTTTTGCAGTATCTTTTTTCCCCTGACGAGAGAGAGGCCTCAATGGCCAGGGTTGGAAAAGGAGACAAATTACGAGACTAGAGGTGGCAGCGGGTGTGGTCTTCCCCATTCTGCTTCTCGTCTTTGGTCTAGCTTTCCCTCGGTCCGTTCTTTTCTTCTTGTCTTGCTTTCTGATACCCTTGTTTTTTGGTTTTGTTTCGTTTTGTTTTGTTTGGCTCACTGTGCTCTGCAGCGTCTTTCACATCTATGCTCATTTAACCAATACCCATTAATTTTGTTGTTTTTGCTCTCGGTCCTCTTATCTTTGCTATGTTATCCCATTCTTCTCTCAACCCACGAAACTATGCGGCATGGCTGTAGTTCAGTCCGTCGTGCTGGGGAACATCGGGATCGATCAACTTGAATTTCCAACTCAGTTTGCTTCCCACCACCGATACAAATTCTCAGTAAATCAGAATCCCAGGGCAGCAGTCTGGACAATTATGTCAGCCCATTTAAGGCCCACGTGTGGGGTGGTATTCTTGTTTCCTGATGGGTCACGCCATAAATTGCGTGGAAAATTTGTAAAAATATCCAGCAACAAGGCGCGGACAACAAGACATCATGGGATCCCCAAGTGATTGTGATGATGGACGCATGCTATTTCTACAAGAACCATGTAGCCAACACAAATGATTAATGATAATACAACCCCTTTTATCAGGTTCAATTTCTCCTTCTCTATACTCTACGCTCCAACGACTTCAGCCCACTGCATCGTGGACGCATCCATATTTCAAAAAGATGAATCCAACCTCCTCCGTCCTCTCCCCTTTCATCTGCGCCCACACCCCGAGTTCCTACCGAGTCTCTTTTCTTTCTTCTCGTAGCCCAGCACTCAGGCCCCTTACTGCGCCTTCTTCCCGGCCTGCACCTCCGCCCTGACCCTCAGCGCGTCGACGACATCCAGCCCCGCGACGAGGAGCACGTACGCAGGCACAAACACCCACAGCATGTTGAAGAACACGAGGTACAGCCAGAGGTACATCCAGTTGCTCGAGTCGAGGTACTGGTTGCCCGTGAGCCACTCCGGGCAGAAGGTGAGGAACCCGCCGTACAGCTCCATCGTGGCGACGACAATCATGAGGATGTTGGTCCGGGGGTCCTTGCGGGCGAGGCCGTAGCAGATCAGGCACGCCAGGGGCGCGGCGAGGAGGACCGTCAGGAGCTCGAGCGAGATTATGGTCTACGAATGGTCAGTCATTGGACATTGAGGGCGGCAACAAAAGACAACATAAAAGGGGGAGGGTGGGCGTAGGACAGAGGGTCAATTGGGAAGAAAAACCTTCCAATCCTCGGGCTGATGGATCACTCACCAAGTCGGCGCCTGCCCACCGCCAGTCTGCATTCGCATATACCATCCACAGCTGCGCAAACGCGTTGTCCCCGCCGGCCTGAGGCCCGTACGCCCGTCCTTGATATCCGAGGTAATTACTCGGCGAGGGGGCGAGGCTACTCGGGTCCGCGACATCCGCAATGTCGACCCACGAGAAGAAGCAGTGGTACAGAAACGAGCCCTCGAGGATGAAGTGTAGAAGCGCGTCAAATGCGTGCCAGATGAAGAGGAACCGCTGAGTGCCTGACGTTGTGGCGCGGTCAGGAAGTGCCCATAGCGACAACGCGTAGGCCACGGCCAGGATGGCCACCGTGGACGCGAGCGAGATGAGAGTTGTGGGGTCGAAGAGGTCGGCCGGGAGGGACTCGGTGAAGGAGGCCATGATTAGGTGTGGGTGCTGGTGAGTTGATGGGAGGTCTTGGCCCGGGTTGGAGAAGCCTGACGCGACTTATGGTCGTGATAGTTTTGGTGAGCCATTGTGGAGTTTTATTGCTGTCAAGCTGGTATGGGTCCACCAGGGTGGGTCAGTGTGAGACAGTGGAGTGGGTCGACAGGGGTACATGATCTGGGGATGTGGCTTGCAGAAAATCGATGTCTAGGTGAGAAAGCGATGAGTGCTTAGATCAGACAGTTTGAGCTCTGGAAGTGGTGCAGTACTTACCGATCAAACAACTCTCGCCTCCACCACTACCCAGGTGCGCCTGACTATTGAAATCAGCACAAAAAGAGCAACAGGATAATTAAGAGAAGCCTTCTCTCACACAGTATCACAACAGAGTCACAATGTAGGCGAGAAGATAGTTTGTAGATGGCAAGCGACTCAATTCTAAGACTAGGCCTAGTGGGGTATTTGTGAGATCGCTGGGATTCCAATGGGCTGTGCAGTCCTCCTTCATTCCATGCCGGTGTGTAATTATATTAGGAAAGGTGTCGTAGCGTCAAGTCGTGTCCCATCATCAAAGTCGTAGTGTTACAAGGGTGATGATTGCTCAGTGTGTCGAGGAGGGAATGGCTTAGTGCTTGGCAGCCTCCTTGTTGACATCGGCAGAGCGGTTGTGCTTCTGCTCGTCGAACTTGTCACCGACGGCATCCTTGGCGGCCGAGGCACTGGATGAAAGAATGCATGTTAGCGAGTGGTCGAGAGGAGATGATTGCCTGGGAATGAGCTTACCGAGTGCCGATGGAGGCGTTGTTGTCCTTGGCGACCTCCTTGTTGGCCTCCTTGGAGGTGGTGGAGAGAGCACCCTGAACGGTGTCAGAGACGTAGTTGGCGGCGTTGTTGATCTTGTCCATTGTGATGGTTGGGGGGGTTTGTTTGGATTGTGGGTGTTTGTGTGTTTGTGTGAAAGATGTGATTGTTGTGATGATGATGAGAGAAGAAGAAACTGTCGAGAGGGATGGGAGGATGGAGGTTTATATAATGGGATGGGCGGGCAGATGCCTGGCTGGGTGGAAGGCGTGCTCGTGCAGTAGCTCAGGCAAGCACCAGACAAGCGGGCTGTTGCTTGAGCCATGGGCAGGCAGGTAGGCAGGCACGACTGCTCCCGGCGTCGCGAAGCTCGTGTGAAGCTCTGTGGCAGGAGCTCATCATGTGGACTGACAGGTACGTCATCGGCGATCTGCACGGTGGGGCACGCCTCCCGCCGTGCTCAGGGTGGTCCCCCGGCACAGCACAGCACCGCAGTGCGAGGGAGCGTGCCTGGCTGGGTGTGGCTTGCGCAGGCCGCCGCAGCCTCTCTGCTAGAGGTGACGCCTGGACTCTGCGTGGCGTCAGATGGGCCTTGGAAGTTCTCCATGCTCAAGTGGGGTGCGATGTGCAGCTACTGACTGCTTGGGGCCTGCCTCCGCTGTCGCTGCCCTTGCTGGCCTCAGACATGCCGAGAGAGTCGAGTGCCACTTCATGATTACGATATAGCTGATGTACTGTTGACGCAGTTTCCCGCGCGGCGTTGCGTGCCCAGCACAAGTTCCCTCGACCTGCCCTCGACCTCGTCGTTTCTTTGACAGCCCGGGATTGCAATGCCCCACCAGGTCGTCCGTCCGTCCTTGCCCGCCCCTCGCCAGGCACAAACGTCAACGTGCGTGCTCCTCCCTCGCTCTACGCATCCGGCGGGGGCTCAGAGTGATGTCTCAATGTCGTCATTGCCCTCCGCGAGTGACCGCCCCCCGCGCTGCCTCGGCCAGCTGTTGACGTCGTTGCCTCTTTCCGTCCCGCCTGCGAGGTGGGGGAGGATCACACAGTGAATGGTGGTTTAGGGGTCGGAATGTGCTTGCTTCCCATCCCGAAGGCTGATGCTGAGAATGCGACCATGCAAGGCCGATCGCGCATGTGAAGGGGCCCTCGAATTCCGCCATCGGCATTGGGTTTTTGTCCATGTGCGGCCTGCCAACTGGCACCCCTAGGAATTGCAGAGATGTGCAGCCTGGATCATCGGCAAGGCCAAACTCTGTTCTGCTTTGAGCCCTGCCCTGGGCCTCCCCCCTCTCGATGCACAGCGCAGACATGTCCCGCCCATCGAGCCGTGGCCTCCTGGATCGAGGCCGCTAGGCGGGTGCTACTGAGGCAGCAGGCTCATGGGACCTCGCTGGCCCTTGCCGACTAATCCTGGAGCATCTTAGCCCAGAGGGAAAAAGACATCTCACCGCGCCGGGGAAGTTTGTTATGGACTGCGTGTTGGCGCTGGCCAACCGGCCTGCACTGGGCATCCCGGTCCCGTGCTTGGCGGATCTGGAGCCGCCCGCGCGGGCGACGCACTTCACGTGTCAGCTGGGGCCGTTTGCTGCAAGGGCGGGCGGGCGATACACGCTGCCGGCTCCACCATGACGACATGACTCTGGCTGCTCCTGCTCCCAAGCTTTGCGATGCACATGTCCAGCTTGAGACTCCCCAGGCCGTCGCTTGGCTGTGGCCGTGCCAACTGGCTGAGGATGGATTGGGCCCGGGCTGGTGTCCGCGGGCCGACAGTGCCCGGCCCTGCGCGCCATCGAGATCGTGGCTGGTAACCTTGGAAAGCTCGATGATGGCAGCGTGCGCCAGGGCTGCCCATCCCGTCCTTGTTGAGCGATCTGACACACGGCAGACCCGCACGCAGGACTCTACTCCGTACTTGCGTACAGTACTACGGTCGTCGTCGCAACCCGCGAGCCACAGACGAGCCAGCCTGCCAGCCGCCTCAGCCACGACTGCCTGCTGTTACAAAACGATACGTGAGTGACGAGAGGCCAGGCCAGGCCAGCCTCCCCCGCTTTGCGCGGAGCTAAATTTCCGCCCCTGACGTACGCCATCTTCGATCCCACCCACTCGGGCCTAGCTCAGCACAACACAACCTCCGGCGCCTGCACTCACCCTCACCCATGTTGCTCCAACCCGTGTGGGATTGGCTCATGCCCCTCGAGCCGCATCCAGCCGCATCCAGCCGCATCCAGCCCATCCCTGCCGTCCACTTTTTGATACTATCGTGATCTACCCCGTGCCTCACAATTGGTGCCCCGCCCGGCGTTTTTGTGCGTTTCCCTTCGCTCTGACGTCATGTCATGTCCTACCCTCAGCATTGCTCCTCCTCTGTCTCGCTCCCGGAGGTCGCCCGCCCACACGAGAGGGCAACCAGAACGACGACGACGACGCAATCCCCTGCACAATACCCAGTTGTGTCAGATGGGACACAAGCGGGCGCATAGTGCAACCATGTTTGCGTGTCATGTGGTCGTTTTCTCCCACTCTTTCGGACCATGCGGTGCAAAGTAATCTTCCGGTGCCACTGTCTTGCGTCACACAGTGGCCGGCCGGCCCCCTTGTCCTGCATCGCATCGCGTTGCGTTGCGTTACGTTGCTGCGTTGTGTGGCTCACAACCTATCACTTTTCCCCTTACGGCGGTTTCTCATGCCAGAACAAAGTCCCGGCGGCTTACAGACATGGCAATGACTGTCCGGGTTTGTGTTTCGAATCAGATCCAGACTCAGGCAAGACTTCAGGTGTTATGGAAGTCCGCTTTTCTCTTGGCATTCCCTCAATGGTGCGGCAGCAGCAGCTGCAGCAGCTGCAGCAGCTGTCCTAGATCCATCCTGTCTGTCTGTCTTGACAGGTTAAAGAAGCCTAGACGGTTCCTCCCAGCCGCAACGCCAGATGCTCAGCATCGTGATCGCCCTCTCTTTTTGTCTGATCCCTTTGCCGAAACCTCCCACCGCAGCCAAAGACATGTTCCGCACTCTGTTTTTGCACCATACAACCTCTGGTAGCCTCAAGCTATCTTAACCTTTCTTTCACGCTGTGCATTTTGGCAGGGGACTTGCGTGCGCGCGCGCGGCGGTCCTGCCTTGATTCGTGCAAAGACTACTCGAATGGCTTGTCTTGAACCAAAAAGATGCACCGGGAACGATCCCTCTACACAAGAGAGTCATTGCCGGTCAATGTAACGACACACGCATTACTTCCTGTCTGCCCTGTCTTGAATCATGTTGGCATTTCCTCGCCACTCCTACGGAGCCGAGAATGTAAAGATTTGAATAGGCCAGAAAGGACTAGGCTGGCCACTTCGCCATACTTACCATCGGCGGCCGTGAATAGGCGTGCCAATGGTACTCCCACATGCTGGTTTAATAGCTAGTGGTTGCCAGCTCTCTTCCCTCTTGCAACGTTCGCATCTATTGTCATGAAACGCGCAGGTATAAACCAGCCACACTTTTGGCCCGACTGTCAAGAAGACCACACAAGAGTATGAGACGGTCTCGCAGATGTGGTATCCGGCGCTTCGATGCGGGCAAGCTGCCCTGCCGGCGGGAGAGAACAAAAAGAAAAGAACCGGAAAATTCCTCTCCGGTGATGGTTTACCCCTGTGCCGGGTTCGACAAGAGCAAAACTCTACTTTCAGATCATGCTACATGTGACATGTTTGACTTCACAAGGACTTTCTTCAAAGGTCGCGCCTCAGCCGAAGCCAGGTATAACGACCCTGGGTTGCGCATAGAAATCTAAACATGTGTCTCATAGTAGTCAGCGGCAATGCGCAGTTGCGCGTGCTGCAGGAATGGCGACATCCGACATGCTTTTCAAAAAAAAAAAAAAAAAAAAAAAGTGTGGAGGAGCGGAGAGCAGATTGTCTATCACTACGAATGCCGATCGCTACATGCATCTACACCGTCCCGCCACGTTCCGCTGTCGAACAGCCCCTGCATACCGACCGTCAAGAGTGAGTGCAGAACATCCCACATCTCTTGACAAATCATCCCTCCACAGGTCACGCCCCGAGATCGTAATATATACACTTCGTCGTCCGAAAGTTGTACACAAAGGCATGTCGCTCGGCTGCCTGCCCGCCTTCCCAGGCCGCCCGCCACGACGACAGCATGTCGTGGATCTCCTGCACGTATTTGCGCTCGTTCTTGTCCACGGACTGCTCTGCACGGCGCCAGCCTTCCGCGTCTGACAGCGCCGTGCCCTGGATCAGGTCCAGTACCATGTCCGACGTCTCTACCGCTGCGATGGGCCCGTCGAGGAACGTCTGAAGCAGCGACGCCGCGTTGGCTTGGGCTTGCTCGATGACGATGCGTCGGTTGAACTTCTTGGAGCGCGTGCCTGCGATAAGTACCCGCACCTCCTGCTCTGGGTTGAGCATGGCGACACCTCCCGCACCACTGCTACCTCCACCTCCGCCGGCGCCACCTCCAGATGCGTAAGTCGACGTGCCCAGAGCCAGTGGGTTGTCTGGTCCGCGCAGGGACGAGCCCGCATGGCGTGAAGTGCGTTCGCGTATCGCAGCACGTAACCAGTTGAGCACCTGCGAGTTGGGTATTTCGACATCTGCTACGTCCTTGCGGTCCATTGTCCGGATCTTCAAAATCGAGTCTTGCTTGAGCATGATGATCCACGAGTACGACTCGTCGCGGTTGCGCGATACCAGCTCATCTGGAGAGCGCGCATCCCGGGCAAGCTCGGCGCTTACGTCGTGCGCCCACAGCAGCGACAAAAGCTCGAGTCCTGCTGTGCGAAGAATGTGAGCATCGAAGCTTGCCACGAGCACGTCACACTGCAGTCCGCGGTTAGTACATCGCAAGCTTTACGGCCGGCCTGATGGGGACACTTACTCGCTTGGTGTTGAAGATACCTTGGGGCTCCTCCTCGGCCTTCTTCAAGAATGTCTTCCCACCTGACTTGGGCAACCGAGCAAGCTTCTCCCAGGCCAGACTGAATCCGACAGCATGCAAACCTTTCGCTTGGTTGCCAATCTTGGGTCGATGTGCTCGGATCAGACTGTCGTAGCGCCCACCAGCAGCGAACACATCTCGAAACTTCTTGTCATAGATGCACTGGAACAAGATCCCCCCTCCGAAGAAATTCTCCTTCACACTGCTAAGCGGGTTGATGTAGATCTTGGACCGAATGCCGAGGCGTTTCGTGTACTCAATAACGTCCTTCAGGTGAGCAATTGTAGATTGCACCTTCTCGTACAGTGGACTGCCATCAAAGATCGTCTTCAGTTTGTTGAACGCCTTAGTGGGGGTATCTGCAGTGGCCTTGTTAGCATAGACGTCTTAGCGTAAAGGTGACAGGACTGGCTAGCTTACCTCGGAAGTCAAAACGCTTGAGATCTTCGATGCTTGTGGCTGATATTCCAATGAGCGGCGACCGTAACTCCGTTCGAATCTTTTGAAATGTAAACGAATGGATGTTGAGCTTGCTCAAAGACTCCGCCGTCAAGTGCCGCGCATTCAGATCGACATTGCAGAAATCGAAGATGAGCTGCAAAAGATCCGAGTGGCCCAGGTGGAAGCACATTGGCGACGGCGAAGGAAACGTCTCGATAATCTCGTCGAGAACCTTTATGACCTCAGCCTCCTTCAAGGCCAGATCGAGGTTGTCAGCAGAAACGACGTCGAAATCGACCTCGCCGATCATTAACGGCTGGCCACCGCTTTGCTTTTGGCGATATACGCGACCAAAGGTGTACGAGCGCTTAGCAATGGTCGAGCCGTCCTGTTTGGCCAAAGCCCTGGCATTGCCAAGCATCAGGTCAAAAGGCAGCTGCACGACACAACCGCTCTCGTCAAGAAGCTTCACGAGGTTCTGGTTGGCTGAATAGTGCGATGATCGTGGATAGAGTGAGCTTCGGTTGACCTCGACAGCCCCATGCTTGCGAAATATGCCTACAAGCTCTTCTTTCACAATGCCTTGATATAGAAGCTCCGTGACACTCTGAGTCTGTGCTGACATGTCCCAGGTGTAGTCTTTGGTGGGTTCCACTGGCTGAGAAAACAGGGTGGACACAACCTTCGGATAGTATGGCGACGCCGAATCGGTCAAACTGGCGAGTGCCCTACGTGTGGTCTCGTTCTCCAGTTGAACAGGCAACTTGCCGCTTCGGAGAAGTTCCGCACTACTGGGGCGCTGCTTGACGTCGTGTGTCACCAGCGACTGCACTATCTCCGTCGTTGTCCGGTCTGCAGGCTGGAAGTCGTCGGGAAGCTGTGACTGGGTACCGAGTTTTCCAAGCTTGTCTGCCCTCTCCATGCCTAACATAGAGTGGTAGTTCATCTCAAAGAACATGACGCCAAGCGAGTACATCTTTGGGGAGTTAGTATGAATGGACTGCATGAGAGCGAGAGAGAGAGGATGCTCGTGACTCACATCGACTTTGCTCGTGTACGAGCCCCCGCCTCTCCTGACCTCTGGTGCCACGTAGTATGAAGTGCCAATGCTTCTTGTCATGTCGCTGGAGTCCAGCGCTGAGGACTGCTTGTCAACTGCAAACTGCCCTGTGGTCGCAAGACCAAAGTCCCCAATCTTGACATTATTCAAACCGTCCGGACCCAGGCCTATAAAGATGTTGTCTGGTTTCAGATCACGATGCACGATGCTGAGTCCATGAATATACACTAAACCTTCAAGTATCTGTCGAAAGAGACGCCATATCTCATCGGTTTCCTTGTACAGGTTTCTCTGGATCAGGTCTCGCAGTGTCTATGCGCACTATTAGCTTAGTACTTGACCAGGGGATTGCACCAGCTCTTACCCTCTTGTCGCAATATTCCATGGATATGTACATGACGGTCCGAAAACCCCGCTGGTAGCTGCGAACTCGGCGTGGCGAAGGCATTGCCGCCAATGCCGAGTCCTCAACTGTAGAGTCGTCTTCCGACTCGGTCTCCTCATCATCAGAGTCAGATTCCTCATCCTCGCTTTCCGAATCGCGCGCATCGAATTCTATTGCGGGGAAGCCGGTTGAAGAAATAAAGTCGAGGCCGCCCGTGTCAGTCGCGAATTCGATGTTCAACCCATGTGAGTCTGTTTGTCTCGACATGTCGGTAGTTGCATTCTCTGTAGATGCGTCGTCGTCATTCTCCGGCAAGTCTGGCACCTCCTCGAGCCAGGTATTGTAATACCTCACCACTGCGGGATGACTGATCTGGGACAAGAGTCGGACCTCTTTCAAGACTTCAGAAAGACTAGCAGAAGACCTCTGTGAGATCTTTTTAATGGCATAGATCTGTCCATCAAGCTTCTTCCTCGCCTTGACCACCTCGCCAAAGCCTCCCTTGCCTAACCGACCTTCTTCCACGAAATCTTCTTTGTATCTGGAATGCATATGGTTCTGGGTCGTTGACTCTCTACGCACCCGGACAGGCAATTGATGATGTAGAGATAGGGTAGATTGAGATGGTGACAACATGGATGGAGTTTCGCTGATAAGGATGGGTGCATCTGTGGCGAGGAACTCGCTTGATCCAAGTTCGAATGCCCTTGGCCGCTTCTTGGGATCAGACTTGAAGAATCTTGCCACAAGCTCGTGGAGCGGGCCAGAAAGAGAGAGCGAGTCCATGAGCGAGCCAGGTGATTGGTATCTCTGGAATACATCAACGCCAAAGATCATCTGCAGGAAGACCACGCCGAGGTCCCATACATCTGTCTTCTGGGTGAAGTGAGGTTTTGAGTTTCCCGCAATCTCTGGCGGCAGCCAGTAGGCGGACCGCGCAGAGCTGGAGGAAGCCACGGCCCGGGACTTGCGACACAGATTCTGCAGTTGGCGCTCGTAGGCCATGTCGCATAACTTAGGAACCATATCTCCCATGGACTCTCTGAAGATGAGAACATTGTTTGTATGGATGTCTTGGTGAACGATTCCATGGTTGTGGAGATGCCCTACTGCGTTGAGCAAGTCTGCAGTCCAAGCGCGCACTTTCCCAACGTCAAGCTGTCCGGCTATTTCGAGAAGTTCTTGAAGCGAGCCTCGCTCTGCAAGTGGTGTGAGGACACGCACTGTCCAGCTCAACGATGCCGGCTCAGTGTCAACCGGTGATCTATCAATTCGATAGTTGAGGAGCGGCACGATGTTGCGATGCTTGATTTTCTTGACAGCTTCCAAATCGGCTTCGAGCGTTTGCACCTGGGTCTTGAACTGTGCAGACTCTTTCGAAGCTGCTCGCAGCTCGTACTCTTTCAAGGCGAGAGCCGAGCATGTGTAGCCTCCGGAGACGTTCGGCCAGGCACGGTAGGTGGTGGCGATCTGGCCAACACAGACTTCGCTCCTGCCAGTGACACTGTTGAAGAAAAATACGGCGCCGTTTGAGCTAGTCAGTTCGACTGCTTCATCAAACTCGACGGCATCTCCGTCTGCAGCCTGCGAGTCTTCGGTAACGTGATTCGATACACCCTGGCGGTTCCGCTTCTTTGACTCTTTGACTTTGAGCCGCTGACGATCGACCTCTTTCTGGATCATGTCTTGCATGACGCGCTCTTCTTCCTTGGTCGCGTCCTGCCTTTTACGCTCCTCCTCTTCACGTTGTTCCTGAGCTTGTCTTGCCAGTTCCGCCTCGTGTGCAGCACGCTCTTCTTCCAGAGACCTTTCAGTGCCCATGGCTTTAGCCAGTGCTGCATCTTCGAGAATGTCTTGCAGACCTTCGACAAGCTCATGAATCATTGGCTCGCCCGTGGCAGCCTGGACCAGAGCCTTGGGCTTGGCGGTGATGAAGTTCTGCACTTTGAACTGGGTCGACTTGCTCAAGCTGTCGTCGTCCTTGATGCTGAGCAACGGTGCAGACTTTGGATATGTTGCGGTCAGGACCACACTGAGCGTAAGCGCAATGTCTTCATTCGAAGAAGCCTTGATCCGCAGGTCAAAGGAGGGTTCTGCCTTCTTCCATGCCGTATTGGCTGCCTTGTGTTCGATGAAATCATCGCCATAGATTGCCTGGAGGGCAAAGACCTCTTCAGTCTGCGTCTCAATGTAGTGTGACCTGACGGTGCCGTCTGGGCTGGTGGGCAGCAAGCCCGGGTAGGTTGAGTCATCTTTGGACTGGTTTGGCTGGGTCTTCCACGCCATGTTGATGGTAATGTCACAGCATGCGTCTGTGCAGGCAAGGGCGTAAGCTGAAGGCTCTCTCACGGCCGAAGCCGCGAGCCCGTCTAGTGAGTGCAAGAACCCATGGCGGCGTGTCGGATCTGGTGTTGCGGGATTGTGAGGGTGAGGTTGAGTCTGAATGAGAAGAGGAAGACGGATTTCACATGACGGCCAGGAGGCTTGTGATTTAGCGTCGAGCAGGTCCCTGGACCGTGGTGCAGATTTACAGCCTCAGCTGGCCAGCGAGCGGCTGCCAGCGAATCATAGTGGGGTCAGTCGTGCCCAACTACAGGCAGCGTGCATTGCATTGCCGTGCTGTCGACTGCGGCTACGTAGCAGGTAAGTGTTGTTCTCTATGTCATCGCTTCACGCAAGTATCTGCGGTAATTTCCAAGCATGAGTTCCAAGTGATTGCGAGGACTGGGCCTTGAGGTACGCAGAAGGGGGCAAGGTGAGCTGGCACGAACTGCCTGCGCTCTACCTGCGAACATGTGTGTGGTGTGGTTGGCCTCGCCTTGCTGCTGCTTGCACACAGACATTGATGGTGGGGTTTCGCTCCCCTGCGGAACTGCCAGCGCCAGCCGCGGCCAGCCCCACACGCGCTTGCCTCTTCTGGAAAGTTGTTGACTTTTGGCGCCGCATTCGACCCTCGAAGTCGCGTCACTTGTCCTTGTGCATCGTGACATAACTGTCCTGCCACCAGCTCAATCACCGCAACGAGTCACCGTGGTCGTCGCCACTGGCTGGGTCTTTTCGAAAGAACCCCAATCTTCCCTTGCAGAAAAGACTCGTCTGCCACACCGCAAAACCCACGCCATTGTGTACGCGACCGCCCACAATGCTCGGCTGGGCAATCAAGAGGAGCTTCCAAGGCGCGACAGGCACAGCCGATGCGCCGCCAGCCGGTCAGTCTTTTTCAGAAGATCCAGTGAGAATACCAATGCCGGACTGTCCTCATGCTAATACGGTTCTGCTCCCTCAACAGAAGATACTACCCAACTAGAGGGACCTGATACCCCGGCGCCAGTGTTTGCCGCGCGCGCAATAAAAAACGCCATCTTCGGTGCCTCTGCCGATGAGCCTGCGGATCGCGAGACGATGGCGTCTACAGCAGCGCAGAAAACAAGCACTAAACCAGCATCCAATGCCGAGCCGAAGAACGAAGACACAGCCGCCTCCGAGTTCAGATCCCCAACCAAGCTCAATAGTATTTTGTTAACACCGGGAACCGGCACGGCGAGGCGGAAACGCGTGTCCTTTGGAGGCGACGTCAAGGCGTCAACAAGCGCGGAACCGAGTCCCTTCGAGATCAAGGCTGGAAGGCGTAGGAACACAGCCTTGCAACAGGCACTGGAGAACTCGCGAAAGAACAAGAAGCTAGCAGAACAGCCGCCCCCCGAGACCGTGGCCGATCCAAGCGAAGAGCTCGGAGCAGATTGGGAGGAAGAGGACTTTTGCAACCATGACGTGACTGTGGACCTTAACGAGCCACACTCAGGTTCTGGGAAGTACTGGAAATCGGAATTCGATCGCTACCATGAGGATGCCAAAGCCGAGATGACTGCGCTAGTCAAGTACAAGCACCTTGCGAAATCATACGCCAAGCAGAAGGACACAGAATCGGTGCAGCTAGCGCGACAACTGCGAGAAGAGCAAGAGAAGGTCGCCGCGTTGGAAAAGCTGCTGGGAACCATGAGCGACCCGTCTGCGGATAAGTCAACACGAAGCGACAAAGAACGGGACCAGACTGCCCTTGTCAAAGAGCTCAGCAAACAGACTTCTCTGGTGATGGAATACCGAGACCGCATTCGCGACCTGGAATCCACTCTGAAGGAAAAGGCTGGAGAGACAGACAGCGGGCGCAGGGCAGCACAAACGTCGCCACGTGATGAAAAGACTCTGCTCGAAGTGAATCGGGAACTACGTCGAGTCAAATCTGAGCTCAAGCAGATGGACGGTCTTCGAGCGGAAAACGAGCGACTGAAGGCAGCCTTGATTGCTGCCAAGGATCAAGCCACGAGGAACTCAGAAGCGGCCTCCTCGGATGGTGCATCCGACAGAGCCCAGGCCCGGGAGCTTGGAACACAGGTGCGCGAGCTGAAAGAAGAGCTGCGCAAGGAAAGGAGCGAGCTGCGCAAAGTGAAGAGAGAGTTTGAGACATTGAAGAAGGACGCAAAGATGCGGACCGTAGAGGCGATGCAGGTGCTTCAGGAAAAGAACGACAAGATCGCACAACTTGAAAACGAAATTCGTGCGGCTAAGAAGGAGCGGGAATCTGGACGACAGCAACGAGACCTCGACAGAGCACTTGCTGAACACCAAAGGATTACCCGCGATCTAGAATCCGACATGACCGCGAGAAGGAGGGTAACCAGAGAGAAGGAGACTGCGGCCACTCGGAGGCCACACCGATCGCTTTCAGCTGAGGACTTCACGCTCGACTTCACCTCGCAAGTCGGCAATCTGCACAATATACGAAGTCAGGTCAAGCATGATGAGCAGGAACACCGGACAGTCAAGGAGGATCTGGCCACACACCGACCAACCACGAATGCACGGGGCCTTGGCGAAAAGGAGGTATTTGAGGCCGACGATTGGACAACAAGTCGTCCTGCGCAAACGCGACACGATGGCAGGATTCGAGCAGTGAGGTCAGCTCAGGTCCTGGCAGACCTGCCTAACGATGCCGGGTCCAAAGGGAGAACCTCGATCGCGCATGATGCAATCTCCGACAAGTACGGCCAGAGCAGTCACTACAGGCCACCGGCTGCGGCAGACGACAATGTCTTTCACCGTAGGGGCACGTACGAGTCGTTGAGAGCACCAAAACCCGACGAATCAAGCACGCGCAGACATCTAGCGGCCTGCGATGATGAGCAGGGCATCGATCTGCTGCAGAACCGCTTCGCATCCTTGGGGAACGGTATATCTGGAGAAAAGCCTCCTATTGGCAATACATCGCGGTGCTCCTTGCCACCAGACCGGCTTGCTGCAGCTCGTGCCCGGCTTGAACAAAAGAAATTGGACAGAATGCGACCAGCAGCGCATCGCCTGCAGGAGGTGGGAAAGGAGAACTACGAGCCATGAGAGAGTCTTATGGTTAGGACGCGTGGTCAGCGGGAAAGGTGTCAGGAGAGCTGGTCGAAAATTGAATATACCCAGGCCATATGAGACTGGCTACTGATTTTGAGATTGAAGAATGGCATGGGCATCTGACTACAATTCCATCTTGTTCAACGATGTGGTTCATTGTCATCAAGTGCAAGAAAGGCTGGTGATATGTCCTCACTGATAGCGGGCCTTCCGTGGTTTCCACCACAAGTGGGCCACCTTGAGCAGCGAGCAACCACCTCACTTATCAAAACATCCACCACCACCACCATGAACCATGGTTCAGCAAACAGAACAGGCTGCTGCACGGACGCCAGCTGAGCTGCAAGATGAAGTGCTGGAGCTAGAAAGGCAGCTCGCCGCTGCCAAAAGAAGGCTCGATGCGCAGCAGCGGTCACAGCATCACGCAGACCTCGGTGCAGCTGATTTGCCGCTCCGACAGCGGCGGCGGCGGCGGCAGCAGAAGCACCAACAGCATCAACAAGGGGCAAAGCGGACTGTCGTAGACTCGAGTAGCTCGTCATTCGCCGAAAATCACCACCTGCTACTCCTCTCGGACTCTGCCTTGCCCCTGGGTTCATTCGCCTTTAGCTCCGGCCTCGAGTCTTATCGGGAGCACGCCCGCGCCGCGGCCGCTTTCGCAGCCAGCCAGGCCCAGAAGCAACAGCAGCAGCAGCAGCAGCAGCAGCAGCAGCAGCAGCAGCAGCAGCAGCAGCAGCAACAGCCAGAAAAAGGGAGGGAGCCGCCATCATTATCTTCGTCGCCGCAGCCGCAGCCGCCGCCAGCGAGGTCATGGTCCTTTGCAGAGTTCCTCCCGCTCTCGCTGTCGAGCTACGCCTCGACCACGCTGCCGTTTGTCCTCGCCGCGCACCGCGACCCAGCGCGGCTGGCGGAGCTCGACGACGCGCTGGATGCCGCCACCATCTGTACTGTCGGGCGGCGGGCGAGCTGTGCTCAGGGGCGGGCGCTGCTGGGCATCTGGGAGAAGAGCCTTGTCGGAGACTTGGTGGTGGGGGGCGCGCCGGGGAACGACTTGATCGACAACGACGACGACGAGGAAATGGGAAGTGACAGCGAAGGCTATGATGACGACTCGGACGTGGTGGAGGACGAGCGAGTCCGACAGCGCAATGTCGATATCCCCGCCGTCATCAAGGCGTTTGCCATGCTCCTCCGCCGCAGCGGCAGTCTCGCCGCCGCGAACAGCAGCAACACGACCACCACCACCACTACGCCCTCGGCCGCAATCCCGCCCGTGTCAGCACACCTTGCGCCGCTCTTCGGCGCCATCGCCCGTGCGCTGGGCCTCGACGCCCACCATACGGCGTACATCTTTATGCTCTCGCACGTCAAGGCCCTCGTCTCGGCCGCGATTCGCGCCGGCATGTTTGGTCCGTTCCAGGCGCAGAAGATTCTCGCCGGGAAGGAGGTCAGGGAGCTTCTGCCCGCTCTGATCAAGAGGGAGTGGGACACGCCAATCGAGAAGGCCGGGCAGAGCTCGCCGGTCGTGGATCTTTGGATCGGGAGGCATGAGATCTTGTACTCGAGGGTGTTTAATAGCTGAGCCCCATGGGAAAATGGACGTGGTCGCGATGACAGAGGGGGGGGGCGGGGGGGCATTGCAGATCTATCACACGACTACCAACCAATCACTGGTGACATGGGAGTGAAAACAAATTCAAATGAGCTTCGGTTGAGCCGGGTTTCTTTTATCCCACGGCTCGTCGGGTATTATTTTGCTCTATGTATGAAACGCTGAATGATGTGACATCGCCATGCTCATGATCCCTTTGCACCCAAATTTTTGTCCTCTCTATTACTCGTCATCGTCTTCGCTGTCGCTGCCATAGGCAACCAGCGGGCCTGAGGGCGCTGCTTTCGCCTTGGGTGCCGCTGTTGACACTTGTGCTGCTTGCAGAGCTTGTAATGTGCTTGAGGAGAATATGCCACCCGCCTGTTGTTCTTGTGGCGCCGGCGCCGCCTCAATCTGCCTTTGGGCCTGGTATTGCTCCTCCTCTCCCTGCTGACCGTCCACCTCGCCACTCTCAATCATCCGCCGCTGCTCCTGCTCGAGCTCATACCCCTGCCTGCCCACAGGGTTCACGGCATTCGCGCCACGGGCAAAGTACACCTCGTCGGGGGCCTCGTAGCCGTCGAGGCCAAACGAGCTCTCGATCTTGCGCCGCTTCCTGGCCTCGGGGTCCCGCCCCTCAATCTCTGCCACGAACGCCTCGGGCAGCGCCCTCCGGATCGCCTCGGCGGCCTGCTCCTCGATGGCCCTGGCCTCGCGCGCGCGCGCCATGGGGTTCGGGTCGGCCGTGGCCCAGCGGACGTTGAGGATCTCGCTGTGGTCAAGGGCCTGGTGGGCCATGGCCTCCTTGGCGAACTGGGCGTTGGCCTCGTTCGTGTACGTGATGAAGGCGACGCCGCGCGCGTTGAGCACGCGGATGCGCTCGACCTGGCCCCACTCGGCAAAGTGCCGGGCGACCACCTCCTCAATGTCGTCCGAGACGTGGATCCGGCCGACGTACACGGTGCGGTTCTGCCGCAGGAAGCTGCCCACGCCGCCCATGTCGTCGCGGTAGTCGCTGTGCTTGTCGCGCCCAAAGCAGTCGACATTGGGGTTGAAGTGGTCGTGGATGCCCGGCAGGCGGTGGAGGTAGTCGCAGTCCTGGCCCTTGGGGCAGATGCCGCGCGCGAAGAACAGGCAGAAGTAGGACCCGGGGATCTTGTCGGCCCGGGTGAAGCCGCTGTCCTTGGCGATGTTGCACCGCCCCTTGGCCGCTGTCTTTGACAGGTACTTGTCCTCGCGGTCGCCGCCGGACCACTTGTTGTACCAGATGTTGAAGATTGTGCCGGTCTGCGGCGGGGGCTCGGACGAGATGAAGGACGGGTCGACTTGTGGTCTCGCCGGGCGTTTCTTGCGGATGATCTTCTTGACTTTTTTCGGTGCCGGCGCGGCCACCTCGGTGGATTGCGCCACGAGGGCGGCGTCGTTCTCGTCGGCCATTTCGGGTGTGCTTTTTTATTCGTTGGAGGCGCGGGAGAGATGTCGTCGATCTGCTGTGGGAGAAGGTGTTGTGGTGGTAGAGACCAGCGGCTACAATGTCGCGCTGATACGTTATCGCGGTGCCGTGCGCAGCCAGTTGCTCCAGTGGTGGTTCTGAGTGTGATGCAAGGGTCAAGCTTCCAAGAATTTCCAGGTGGGGTCTAGATGCAATCCTCGCATAAGTGCATTTGGAACCCCAGATCCTCCTGTGTTAGGTAAGCGAGGTTTGAGACTAGCCGCGAAAGGTGCTGTGAGACGGCCCAATTTCCGCCCCTCAATTTCCCCTCAAATGTCTGTCTAGAGTTGGAGAAGCTGCTTCGAAATGACCTGACAAAGCTGCGAGATTTTCTCCGGTCTGGCAACCCTGCTCGCGCGGCACTGAGACTGCGAAGTGGCACCATGGCCGATGTGGCACGATCCCGGCTCAGACCACCCGACTTTGGGTGCCTGACACGGCAAACGGCGATGCCAGAGAGGCAATCCGTCCGTGTCGAACTGGGGAAATCGCGACCAGTTACTCATTGCTACCTTCACGATTGACGCATCTTGCTCTTTGCGTGCAACGGCGTGAGTCAAGTGCTTCCACACTGGTGCCATTGCAACATGAGGGGACTGTAAGACTTGGCGGCTAGGAGCTGAGGAGGTCCCAAGAAGTTGCGGGCTCAATGTTCTGCGCGATGTTGTGCTGGCACGCGGACCAATTCCGCGAGCAAGGTTACAATTGCCAGTACGAGTCTAGCTAAGCTGGCAGCCGCATCAACACGGCTGACCAACGCTACTTGTACGGTCATGCTCATGAGACAGGTTCTACCATGCAGGGCTTGGTGAAGCAAGCGAGTCCAACAAGGGATAAAAGTGGCCGGGCTGCTGGTTCCCCAGGTTTTGTGAGGGAGGGACGAGGCGGTTCCCCGGAGCTGGGCGGCGGCGATTGGCTGGGGACGCCGGGAGCGGCGAGCTGGCGGGCCCCAAGGCCCCACAGCGAGTGCGGGCGCTGAGGGCAGCCGTCCGTTGTGCCTCGGCCAAAGCCAGCATCCACGGCTCTGCCGCTCCACGCCCTCCAAAGCTCGCCCTGTGCCCCGGTCCAGTCCCTGAGCCTGGAGCTGCCCTTGCTGCCACAACCTCGTCTCTGGCAATCCGGGGAAGCTTCCACCACCACCACCTCCTCCTCCGCCTCCTCCTCCTTCTCTTCTCAACTTCTTGATCCTCTCCTTTGCCCAAAGAACCCAAGGATCACAGCATCCACCCATTGTGCAGCTTAACGGCAAACATCCCTCCAGCGCAGCACCTCCATTCAGCAGCTATGTCGGCCCAGATTCCCGACATCGTACGTCCTCTCTGCGAGGTCCCTTGGCTCTTGGTGATACCAGGACCTTTATGCTGACGTCTAACCATAGATTGCGCCTTTTGTCAGCGACAAGGCCCGCAAGACTATCGACATTGTCGCCAAGTTTGTAGAGGAGGACTGTATCCCGTAAGCACCACCACACGTCTGAAGACCAACAAAGGTGATCAACTCAAACTCACACGAAGCCTCATTATAGAGCAGACCCAGTCATCGACGCCCAGCTCGGCCAGGGCGATGCACGATGGGACGCCCACCCCCAACTGATCGAGGACCTCAAGGACAAGGCCCGCAAACTCGGCCTGTGGAACATGTTCCTCCCCGCCGGCCACTACAAGGAGTCTCCCGGCTTCACCAACGTTGAGTACGGCCTCATGGCTGAGTGGCTCGGCCGCTCCAAGATTGCTTCCGAGGCGACAAACTGCGCGGCTCCCGACACTGGCAACATGGAGGTCCTTGCCAAGTACGGCAACGAGGAGCAAAAGGCCGAGTGGCTCAAGCCCTTGATGGATGGCAAGATCCGTTCCGCTTTCCTCATGACCGAGCCCGGCGTCGCGTCTTCTGACGCCACCAACATTGAGCTGAACATCCGCCAGGAGGGCAATGAGTGGGTTCTGAACGGCAGGGTAAGTCTACTTGGTGAAATCAGCGACACCGACACGCAACGCGTCATCTAACAATGTCTGCAGAAATGGTGGTCGAGTGGTGCCGGAGACAAGCGCTGCAAGATCTACATTGTCATGGGCAAGAGCGACGCCAACAACAAGGACGTCTACAAGCAGCAGTCCATCATCCTCGTGCCCGCCAACACCCCTGGCATCAAGATCTGCCGCATGCTCAGCGTCTACGGCTACGACGACGCCCCCCACGGCCACGGCGAGATCAGCTTTGAGAACGTCCGCGTGCCGCTCAAGAACATTGTCCTTGGCCCCGGCCGCGGGTTTGAGATTGTCCAGGGTCGCCTCGGCCCCGGCCGCATCCACCACGCCATGCGCTCCATTGGTGCTGCTGAGCGCGCTCTTGACTGGATGCTGATGCGCATCAACGATCCCAAGAAGACACCCTTTGGCAAGAAGCTCAGGGAGCACGGCGTCATCCTGGAATGGGTGGCCAAGTCGCGGTTGGAGATTGACGCCGCCCGGCTGATCGTTCTCAACGCCGCCGTCCGCATGGACAAGCTCGGCCCCAAGGCGTCGCTCAAGGAGATTGCCGAGGCCAAGATCCTCGTACCCCAGATGGCCCTCACCGTCATCGACAGAGCCGTCCAGGCCTTCGGTGGCGCCGGCGTGAGCCAGGATACTCCTCTGCCCGCCTCATGGGCTGGCATCCGCACGCTCAGGCTGGCCGACGGCCCCGACGAGGTACACCTCCAGCAGATGGGCCGCAACGAGAACAAGAGGGGAGCCGAGGTCACCAAGCGGATCGAGGCGCAGAAGCTCAAGTCTGAGCAGATCTTCAAGCAGCTGGGTGTTGCCAAGGCCCAGCTCGGATCGAACATCAAGCCCAGACTGTAGAGGTCGTTGGGAAAAGAAAATGTGTTTAGCTTGCAAGTTTTGTATATTCTACCAGCTTCGTATCGATGATTATCGTGGAGATTGTCATGAATATGAGTGTCTTCCTTTGAAATCACTATACAGCTATGGCAGTGCGTCCTGAACTAGACTCACGCGCCAACATGGACACACCTCTGCGATTGGAAGAAAGCCCCTTTTGAGCACGTCCGCTAACTCACGTTGTGACGTGGCGAGCGTGAACGGTGCATTTGTGGATCGTGAACACTTGCGCACGGAGGTTTTGCCGGGGTTGCGTGAATGCAGGCACCAGATGAAGTTTCGAAGGCTAGTCGGGCACGAGCCAACGCACGAGCTGGTGTGACGATAAGTACACCATGGTGTTGCTAGTCGAGCGCTCGACAGACAGGCCATCGACTGGCAGTGACACATTGCTCATGATCTAGGCCATCTGCATGTTATGCATCAGCGGCTCCCTGGTCGCCAGGAAACGGTTCGCTGTAAGCGAAGGGGCAGGCCGGGTTCATGACGTGGTGTGTGGGGGCAGGGATGGTGGTGGTTTTGCACAGAAGACCAAGCAGGAAGGCACGGGCAGGGGACCCAAGACACCCACCCACACCAAGACATTCGGCGGTTGCCCCGCCGACGCGGACCACCTTTGTTGACTCAAGGCCAGATGGACCCTCCACCACCATTTTTCACGGCCATGCAGAGCAAGCAGGCCAGCAAGCACTGCTCACCCACACAACCCTGCCATCGCCCTTGCATGCCTCCCACGTCGGACAATAAAGAGCCCAGGCACCACCACCAAGTACAGACGCAGCCCGCAAGAGACAAAAACAACAAAAATCCAACCCCCTCGTTGCCCTCCTTCACATCCACATAGTACTCTGCAGACCACGCCCCATTGCATCTACACCTCTCTCCACGCCGCTACCATCTAGCTTTGCGCCCATACGCCTCGTCTCATCACAGCCGTATACCACATCAACAAGCTCAACTATCGCAATGGCGCCCACCAACGTGCTGTCCGACAAGGACGTCAACGCTGCCGTCGAGGTCTCCAAGCCAGACGTCAAGAGCATGGAGTATCACCGCCAGGTTCTCAAGTCCAAGATGGAGCAAGAGACGTATGTTCCCAATCCCACTTGCACACCACCTGGTGCTGTCACTGACCAATGATGCCACTTCTTCGATACAGCGCGCAGCAGTACATCTCGCCATCAGACAACATCATGAGCCCCTGCACAGCCAAGCTCAACAAGCTGCGCAACAAGAACGCTGGAAAGTGAGTCGACCCTCTCCACTCCTGGCTTGCGGCCACGAATGTCTGCCCCTATGATGATAGTTGACTCGTATGCTGACCCTCGCGCCTCGCTTCTTCCAGGGCCAAGCCCAAGTCTCTTTTCGCCCAGGCTTCAGCCAAGAAGTTTGGCAGCGAGAATGTCCTCGGCGTCAGGAATACCCCCGCCAACTCGGACGACGTATTCTGATCGCTGTGCCAATTCTCGTTGCCTTTTCCCATGCTTCTTGACTAAAGGGCCATGCGGCAGTCACTGACTCCGTGCCCTACTGGTCGCGGCTTTGCACACACAAAAGTCATAGGGCTCTGTATTACTTTTACTGTACCAGGCGTTTGGAGAACATGACTATTTGGGCTCACGTCAAGAGACGGATAGCCACTGTATGACGGCCAGGGTTCTTCTGTTTTGTGGTTCTAGGATAATGGCGGGTTTTGAATTGGGCGAGCGTACAGGCATGAAATGCTGTGGGCTCCGCATGAGGTTTCAACTTAGAATTTTCTTACGACACGACAATGCAATGACTGATTACCACATCGCCGTTCTTCAGAAGGCATGCTTGCAAACACATCAGCACTAACACGGCGGCAGCATGTCTGTAAAGTGCTTGTGCACATTCTTGTAGTTGGCCTCACCCAAAAGTTTTGTTTTGTTCGACTACGCCTTGTATCCACTGACGATATACACGACATCCTCGTCCGCCACCGGATGGCCCAACCCAACCCTCTGCGGGACATGCCGCGCGCTGGCGCCCCACACGAGGGCGTACTTGAACGTCTCCTTGAGCGTCCTGTGGATGCGGTCGCACACGTCCTCGACGGTGCTGTTGCTGCGCACGATGAGGGCCTCGCTAAAGTCCGGGTCCGAGCCCTTGCGCTTGGTGTAGATGCGGATGAGCTGGAGCTCCTTCCAGCAGCGGTCGACGACGTCCTGGATGCCCAGGTCGAGCTCGCAGCTCATGACGACCGTGTGGGGCTCGCGGGCGAGCTTGTCGAGGAAGTCGAGCGACACCGAGTCGATCTTGTTGTACACGTACAGGCACTTGATGTACTTGCGGTGGTCCCGCATGATGACGTCGATGAAGTCGTCGACCGTCACCTCGTCGTCGCGCACGAGCACCTCGACGTTGAGCATCTTGTAGTCGCGCAGGATGTTGAAGACCATCTTCTCGTCAATGTTCTTGGGCGGCGAGGAAAAGGTGATTTTCATGCCGCCTGCTTTTTTCGGCTTGAGGTAGATGTTTCTGTGTTGTTGTTGTTTTTTGGTCAGCCCTTTTTGTCACATGGTCCCGAACTTCACGATGGACAGGGAACGAAAAAAAAGGTCCTAGAGCAAAACATCTACTCACGGAGGCTCCCGGTTCAACCTGATCCCCACGGCCTCCAGCTCGGCCTCCAGCAGCGCCCGCTGCTCCGCGCGCTTCGTCGCGTCCAGCACCATCAGGATCAGGTCGCTCGTCTTGGCCGCGCTGATGACCTGCCGCCCTCTGCCCTTGCCCTCGGCAGCGCCCTCGATGATTCCCGGCAGGTCGAGCAGCTGGATCTCGGCGCCGCCGTACTCGAGCACGCCGGGGATCGCGGTGAGCGTGGTGAAGGCGTACGAGGCCACCTCGGACCGCGTCTTGGTCACCTTCGACAGGAAGGTCGACTTGCCGACCGAGGGAAAACCCACGAGGGCTATCCGCGCGTCGCCAGACTTGCTCACGTCAAAGCCCGCACCCGGGCCGCCGCCAGAGCCTGGCCCGGGCTCGAGGAGCTGGGCGCGGAGGCGTGCTAGTTTTCTGTGTGGTTTTGCCCACCGCTTTCGTCAGTAAAAGGATGGGAAACATTTCTTTTTGAGTAATTTGCTCATTTGCCGCAAGGTTGCTGAAGCTTTGTGTCCATGTATGTCACGGTGTTTGGGCCTTGATGTGCTCGAGCTGTATATGTGTTTTCTCATGAGAAAGGGAGTCAGGTCATGTGCGTACCCTTTTAATAGACCCAAGTGATATTCTGCATATTTTCCTCGTCAGCACATCCGCGTTCACTGCTTCTACCTTTTCGTTCATCTCATTTCCAAGCGAACCCTGCAGTGCTTACCTGTGGCCTTGTTCTCTGTAGAGATTCAAAGTAAATCAAAAGGTCAGTGCTCTGTTCGAAAAAAAAAAAAAAAAAACCTCCGCTATGCCTAATTCTCTCCCGATCATGAGATGCGTCTCAGTGTACGGAAATGCGGTGGTCTATCTCACTCTGCGTCTTTCTCATCTCATCCTCAATCCTGTAGCCCGGTTCAGTCTTGAGTTAGCCCAGTCCATATTTTATAATCCTTTGGCTGGAGCCTGCCTGGGGATGGATGCCTAGGGGAGCGTGGGCCATGTTCAATAAATACTGAAGCACTCACTCCTTGATCTTTTCCGTGATGTTGACCATCTTGTCGGTTCACTTTCGCGACGAGGGCGGGACCAGTAGGAACCCCTCTCTCTCAGTCTCTTCGGTGTTGAAATATCGATTTCTCGGTCAAAGATCCAAAGTATTACAGGCCGGGTTGAGATGCAGCACAAGTTGAGGTCTGGTTCTGCTAGGTCCAGGCTGTTGGCTGGGCACTTTGATGCCGTGGCGGCACGGGCTGTACGGTTTAGTGTGCGCTCGAATCCTGGTGGTGTTCGTTTCGCCCGGTCGAAATGCTGTACATTGACGTACCCCACTATCAGAAGCCGTAGGGTGCTTCCAGCTGCAGCACAAAAGCACCCGCGTCGGACGCCCGGCAGAATCTAAGTGGGACCGAGCTGTCCGGAATCTCAACCACTGAGCCAGAGCTTTGCAGCTGACCGCCTGCCCGATTTAATGTCAATACCGAGACTGGGCGATTTTGGGGTTTCGGGCAAATCGAAGGGACGCCCTCCAGAACAACAATCATAATATTCCACACACTGGAAGCAATTCGATGTCTGCGCTTGTTATGTCCACGATATTCATCCTACTATCTATGTACATCTATTCATCGTCTCTTTCAATGCCCTGGTAGGTAGCCCTCCTACACCAACTTCCACACACCGTCGCCGGAGATCTCGATCTTGATCTCCCGGTTCTCGTCGATGGCTCTCCGGCCGGCCTCCAGGATGGCCGTGGTGGCGATTGTGTTCTTGAGGGTGGGCAGGCCTCTCGCGTCGAGGTCCTCTGGCTTCAGCTTGCCAGAGTTGACGCCGGCGCAGCCGTCGATGAACTTCTCAAAGGACACGTATCCGTAGCCGCCCTGGCCAGCAAAGTTGCCCTCCTCGTCGGGCGCATACTTCATGTAGAACGGGTTGTACCACATGAGCTGGCCGGCCGAGTCGTCGGCAACGTCGTAGCCGCGCTTGGCCTGGTTGATGCGCACCTCGCCCTTCTCGGCCATGTAGTGGAAGTACTGGTTCGAGTGGACACCAGCCTTCTGGGGCGCCGTCCACGACGCCGTGTACACGCCCGTGGCAATCTTGCTCGGGTCGCTCCTCTTCTGCCAGGTCACCATGACGGTGATGGTGTCCTCGGTCGACTCGTGGCAGCCCAGGCCCGTGGCGATGCCCTTGGCCGAGGAACCAGAGACCTTGACGGGGACGAAGTCGAGCTGCGACACCATCGAGTCGCAGATGTCGACGTGGTGGCTGTTGAGGTAGTACGAAATGTCCGACTCGACGCCGGCCCACGCCTTGAACGTCTCGAGTTGCGACTTTGGCTGCGACATGTAGCTGTAGAAGTAGTTGAAGTCGCCGAGCTTCTGCGCCTTGTACTTGGCGTCGGCATATGCGGGGTCGAAGCGCTTGTGGTGCTCAATGTACACAAACACGTTGTGCTTGCGGGCGGCCTCCACCAGCGCGAGGTGGTGCTCGAGCGTCTTGACCGCCGGCTTGGTGATCATGACGTGGATCCCGCGCTCAATGGCATACAGCGCAATGGGGAAGTGCGTGGGGTCCGGGGTGAAGATGGTGATCGCATCGCCGGGCTTCAGGGCGTCGATGGCGGCCTTGTATGCCTCGGGATCCCGCGCGTCGTTGGCCGGGTACGACTCGAAAGAGGTGTCGAGGTTGTTGTAGACCTGGGTGATGTTGGTCTCCAGGTGCTGTCCTGTGGGTGGTTTGTCAGCCTCTGGGGTCTCCCTGGGCGGTTCGCGCGAGCCGATCGCAACAATTTGCTTGTAGCGCTTCTACTGCTCGCGGTGATCTGACTTACTGATGGCGGGGAACTTTGAGCCAGTGGTTCCAACCATGCTCAGCTTGCCGACCTTGCCTCGCCTCCTTAGGTCGAAAAGCGTCAAGCCGACGACGCCCACCTTCTTGTCGGAGCCGGACATGCCACCGCCGACGAAGCCGGTGGTGTACTCGCCGGTGCCGACCTGTGTAAATGTCGTGTCAGTCTACCACCCCAGAGCAGATGTACCGCCGCTCTCTTGACTCACCATCAGCACGCTGAGAGGTTCCGAAGACGCCATTCTGGATGGTTTCGGGTCGAATGCAGCAGAGAGGAACGATGCAGCAATTCTGATCACGAGTGCACGGCGTGAGAAAGTAGAACGAGGAGCTGTCGGTCAGGACTGGCACCGGAAGATGTAAGAGAAGGCTTGAGCAGCGAGACCAGAAGCTTGAGAGGAAGCAAGACAGAGGTCAAGGAGCGGCCCCGGGAGGTTTTGGCTGGCGCTAGGTGCCGGTCCGTGGCCGAGGTGCACCCACACATGCCATCTGGGCGCGTCTAGGCGATCATAGGCAAAACGGATCAATCCACCAAAGGGGAGGCACGACGCGGCAGAGCTACAGGCAGGGGCCAGCTCCCTTCCGTGAATTTTTCCATCCGGTCACGAGGGACGGCGCGAGCATGGAAGCTCAGCCGGGCGTGGCCCGAGAGCATCCAGGCACGATTCCTCCTGTCCAAGGCGGTACTCTAGCTTGTCACGCGTCCTCCGGGCCCAGGAAGCGAGGTCCATCCAGAGATTCTCGCTGGAGCAAAAGCGGGCTACTCGGCTCGGGACACGGAGGTCTGCCCAGGACCCTTGCGCGTGGCCTGGGGTTTCCAGAGGGTAATCGCGTGGGGGATATTTCCTGCCGCGCCAACCCCGCCCCCCACCCCCGCTGCCCTTCTCCAACTTTTGCCGGCCATTATTTCCCGGTGGTCGCCCATGGCGACATTGCTGCAGCTGGACAAGTGTGCACACGGCCCAGGAGGCGTATAAGAGGCAGTCAGCATATTCTGGTTCGAGTCCTGTGTGGCATCAGCTCTCCTCAGTCGCTGGTATCGCCACGGCAATCGCGCGCCCACCACACTCACCCATGAGGAACGCGGGGCTTGGCGTATTTGACATCTGTCTGGAAGTGGGGAGAAGTCGGAGTGGAAAATGTACGTCTTCGGTGCAGCAGGCCCCGGCACAAGTCTGATGCTTCTGATTGGGGGAATTACTTGCCCATTTGCCCTCCACCATTCACAGGTGCTTTCTCTCTCTTCCTTGACGTCTCCCCATGCCCGTCCCCCAGCACGGTTTCGTGAGGGTTGGCAGATCTCATCGCCATCGCGGAGTTTGAGCGGTGCGCTGTCGGCGCATTGGCTCAGCCTAAAGCCGCCAGTGCCATGTGCTTCTGCTCAATAGTAGCAGGTCAGGCGAACGCAAGATCGTCAGGGCAAGGTTCATGCCTGCGCATACGGTTTTCTCCGAGCGCGAGCAGCGATGCACCTTTGCCTGTTGAGGGGCAAGCGTTGAGCAGACACGATTGTAGCGCGGCGGCATCCTTGTTGGTGAAACACGGCAAATCACACAGACTCGCTTGGTAATATTTATGCCCGTGTGACAATTCTGTCCACGTCTCAGCCCGAAGGTATTTCAGCTGAAGGCCTCACGGCACGTATGCTGCTTGCAAGGCAAGGTCAAGCAGTTCGGCCGTCAATGTTTCTTTTCTCGGCCTGTAAATAGCCGTCGGTTTATTCTTCTTGTGCAGCCCGCCCCAGCACCATCAGTTAATGGAGATGCCGCTTTGAGACGGGCGCGAGAGACAGATGTCACCAGTACTGATACCGACCTTGGGGTTCTACGTCTGTACTTGCCTTTACTTAATCAGACCTGTCCCTGGGCGAGAGTCCACGGGTGGTCAGAAAGTGTCCCACCGTTGCGGCGCCCGCCCACCCCCGCGCCCCGCATCCTCCGCCCGGATTGGCAGAGGCGCGGAGCCCGTCCCTGGCCGGGCTTCAGGTTTCGACTACCGCTCCCTCACCCGCCCGCCTGCACTTTTCTTCTTCCCTTCCGAGGATGAGTAGGTCATGGGGCCATTCTGCGCCGGCCCTTGCTGAGCGGGACAAATTCCTTCTCGCGTGCTCCTGGCCCTCTTATGGGGTCCGCCTCTGGCCGTTGGGGGCCCGAACAAAAATGGCCACCGGCTATTGGGGGCACCTCTTCTTTCCTTGGCTGCCTTCTCCCCATGACGGCACGCTGTTCTTTCTCTCTTCTTCTTCTTCCTCTCTTGCTTCTGCTTCTCTGTCCTCCTCATCGACCTGTAGAGCACGACACCAAGAACATCACATTTCCGACTGCGAGTCCATCTATACGACTTGACCATCTAACCCCCCCAGGTCCTCGACTGACAGTCTCACCCTCATCATCCCCCCTCCTCCTCCTCGTTCAAAAACCCCTACCCCCTTCCAGCCATGACTGCGAACCCCAAGCGGCCGATGCCATGCGGCATCTACGCCCCAACAATGACCTTTTTTGACCCGGAGACCGAAGACCTCGACATCCCCACCATCAAGAAGCACGCGGTCCGGCTGATCCAGTCCGGGCTCGCGGGCCTGACGGTCATGGGCTCCAACGGCGAGGCGGTGCACTGCACGCGCGAGGAGAAGCTGGCCGCGGTCCGGGCGACCCGCGAGGCCCTCGACGAGGCCGGTTTCCCCAGCGTCCCCATCATGGTGGGCGCCACCGAGGGCTCGGTCAGGGGCACCATTGAGCTGTGCAAGCTCTCGGCCGAGGCGGGCGGCGACTACGTGCTCCTGCTCCCGCCAAGTTACTACCGGCCGCACATGGACGAGGCCGCCATCGAGGGTTACTTCACCGCCGTCGCCGACGCGAGCCCTCTACCCATCATCCTGTACAACTACCCGGGCGCCGTCTCGGGCATCGACATGGACTCGGACTTCCTCATCAAGCTCGCCCAGCACCCAAACATTGTCGGCACAAAGTTCACCTGCGGCAACACGGGCAAGCTCACGCGCGTGGCGCTCGCGACCGGCGCAAAGACCCCGTCCTCCGAGGGCAGCGGGTACATGGCCTTTGGCGGCATGTGCGACTTCACGGTGCAGACCCTCGCGTCCGGGGGCAGCGGCATCATCGCGGGCGGCGCAAACGTCATGCCCAAGCTGTGCGCAAAGGTCTGGAACACCTACGCCGAGGGCAAGGTCGACGAGGCCATCGCCCTCCAGAAGATCCTCTCAAAGGGCGACTGGCCCCTGACCAAGGCCGCCATCGCCGGCACAAAGCAGGCCATCCAGTCGTACTACGGCTACGGCGGGCACCCGCGCCGGCCGCTCAAGAGGCTCGAGCAGGCAAAGGTCGAGGCCATCTCCGAGGCAATTGCCGAGGCTATGAAGGTCGAGCAGTCATTATAGAAGAGAGGTGCGCAGTTGGAGGACATAATAATGGTCGTCATCATCATCATCATCATCATCAACAAGGCATTGCAGCTTATGGTAAGCAGAGCAGAAGGACATCGTGGCATTCGATGAGGTGATTGGCCGTGTCCTCAAGTCCGACGAGAATGACGCTGAGCGTTACCCAAACCCCACCCTCCAAGCGTTGGTGCAGCTCCGCACGCTAGTTCGGCTCCCATTGCCCCGAGTAGTGAGGCCATGCGAGGTGTGCGAGTAACGTAACCCGCTGCAGTTTTGCAAGTACGCTTTGCATGCCGAAAAGTTCGCATTGTCACTACATGGTTTGTCGTTGTCATTTTCTCACTCTAGAAATCATGCAAACTTTCTTGATCCGCACATTTCATAGCTCAGCAATCCACGCGTTAGCCATGATTCTTGTTTGGTCGTGATGACATCAGCCACCGTGCGCTAAAGTGGTATATTGTGACAAAGCTCCCTCTTCGTAGCATGTGCCATTGTGAGAGTGGTTCGTGGCACGGGCAAGCTATCTACTGGTTCGGACTTTTCCTTAGCCCAGTACTGCAATCGCATGCCGCAGCAGTCGAAACACGCTCGCACATAAGTAGTCTTTAGCTCAACTCGCTGAGGTAGTACGAGTTCCCACGTGCCACGTCAATTACTCGATGGCCGCCGCCACCTCAAACTGCGATCATGCCTTTGCATTGGCGTGGATCGAGGCTAGTGATATCTGCACTCTTGGCTTCGCCATCAAATATCAACTCGCTCATCAGCTTGCCGGTGCCTGGACCATTCTGTATGCCCCAGCACGTATGTCCAGCAGCGACCCATAGACCCTTGACTGATGTCGCGCCCACAAGTGGCCCACCCTCCTCGTCAGCACAAACGTGTTGCGGAATGTAGCAGGCCTGCTTCGCAGCTATGGGTGCTCGAGCAAGCACTGGGCTCACGGTGGCGATGTACGATATCATGTCGTCACATTGTAGATCATCGCAAGGGACGAGGTCCGCAGTCTCTGGCAGCTGCTCATCATAATCAGGCTCGCCGCAGGCGTACACTTCTCCATCGGGCCTCGCATAGAACTCGGGGTCTACTCTGCCCTTGTGAATTCGCTTCTGCCCCTTGGCCGCGCGGTGAGCAGGCACCCAGTCACCGGGAAGCGAGATGTTGGTGAAAACGGCGAATGGCGTGACGTCAGCCGAGTAGACGACGCTGTGTACTCTCAAAGGGTCGATCTTGACCTGTGGCACCAAGGAACTGGTCCATGGCCCAGCTGCCACAATAACGTCTGTTACTCCCAGTAATGTTCGTGTCTCATTGGTTATCCGATCCAGGTACTCGACATTGCTGATCGCGGTCTTGGCCGCGTTCAGCCCTATCCGTGTGACTTTGGCGTTGTTCCGAACCTGCACGCCGGCCTGCTGTGCTAGCTCCGCTATCGCTGTCGTGAATTTGTATGGATGCACTTGTGCTGTTTCTGTATAGCCGGGCATCCCCATCTCGGCGTATTCTAGCACCACCTTATGATCGATCCAGTCAAGATCGGGTGGGAGCACAGACTCGCGCAGCAGCTCGGCCGCAGCCGCATCTTGCTTCGGAAGCCTGTGCCATTCCTTGCGGTTTTCCTCTTCGCTTTGAAGCATTTTCAGGTCGAGACACCGATCTAAACTACCATCGGAATTGTCACTGCTGGAGGGCGTTAATGTTGGTATTGGTCCATGCTTGGGTGTGAGCAGCGGCTGTTTGGCCGAAGGAGTGACATTGCTCTTCCTCCGTGGCTGACGGTGCTTACTCTCCGGCGTCCCAACCCCGGCTCCGGCTCCGATGGCGGTGTCGGTCCGGCGACGGAGCTGATCGCGTTTGAGCTTGGCCGATATCTGGCCGCAGGTGACCCGCCGATAACCCCAGCGCTCGGCACCACCGTGCTCGGCTGCGAGATCAGCGTGCAGGCGGTAGGAGAGGTCCACGATGCACTGCGGGTATGCCCATAAGCCCAGCAGGCCGCCAGCCTTGCCGGAAGCGCCCGAGGCGACCGCAGTCGCCTCGAGTAGGGTGACGTGGTGGATGGAGGGGTTCCATGAAGGGTGGCGGGTCAAATAATATGCGGTTGTGGTGCCGATGATTCCACCCCCTGGGCAACAAGGTCAGCGGACGGGACGACGCAAAGTTGGGGAGTATATCGTGGGATATTTGGGGATGCGCGTACCGACAATGATGATATGCCGAGGCCGTGGCTCCATGCTTGAGCTGGCCAAGCGCGGGCACGCGCAAGGGAGATCAGGGCTGGCAGCAATGCGTCATGCTATGGCCAATGCTGTGAGAGACGTGGGCTCGCACCCACGGGCGATGGACTCGTGCAGGCGCCTCCGGGTCCAGGCGTCACATGCTCGGTGCTTTGATTGCTGGCCGTGTTCCGAAGAGGAGCTATCGTGTGGCGTGCCGCAGGTGGTTGAAGGGGACGCAAATCCTGCAGCAAGGCGCATAGGTACTGCGAATGCGGTTACTTTCACGTACTGCCACCGCTTGGGGGGCCGACAATGTCGTTGCGATGGTGGAAGCGCGTATCGAACGAGCAGCAAGGAGTTTGGGACAGCCCATTGTTACATCCAAGGCAGCGCCGCCACAAGGGCGTCCACGGGTTGACATGCAGCGGAGCTGGATCAGGGTGATGCAATTGGCTGGATGTGGGTGCATAAGTGGGTCGACCAAGTTGGCAGGTGCGACCAGCGAAATGCTCCTCTGGTGTTGCCACTCATGGTTCGGACACAACCTGGTCTATTACACCAAGTCAGCTGTGCTGATCAAATATTGTCAATTCTTCGTGCCCTCGAGGCCACGGATGCGGCGACGACAGAGAAAACGTCGTCGAATAATAAACAGTTGTTCAGTGTTGACTCTGGCTAGATGATTAGTCAGGGAAAGGTCTGTAGGTGCTAAAAAGGGCAATGGAGATGCCTAGTCGTCCTTAAGTAAGCCGTACTAACCCGCCGGGCCAGATTGCCAGGATTGGCAAATGACATGGAAGTCGTTGTACGTGAAAGTGTGCGCGGAGCGTCCGTCAAGAGCCACACGTCTTTGCAATCGGGACACCGGGCTAACGGGGAACCCGAAGTACGAAAGGGTACAGGTTGGTGTGCGGAACGGCACTTCAAAACAGCGCCGTGCGGAACGAGACCCCGTCGACTGCGAGAGCTGTCTACTGAAGCTTTGGGAGATGCAGAAACTTGAAGCTGAGCAGACGCAGCCGCCGCTAGTGGGCAGCTCTTTGGCGAGGCAACCGAGGCTTATCGCCGCCTTCATTATGGTCCTTGCACAAAACAGATAATTGCTCAAGCGGTGGAGGTCCTTCCGGGGCGATGCAGGTGCGGCAGCGGACTGGAGACTCGAAGTCCCCGGGGCCCTAGGCCGAGCTAGACAGTTGTATGGCGAGAATGTGTGCCAGCCAGCCCCCCTTGTTGTCATCCACTGAGCCCGTAGTGGGAGGAGGGGATCCCATGTCGACCGCCTGGAGGGGCTTCCAGTCGTCGCCGGCCGACCCTACTGCTTTCGGCAGTCTGCCCTCGATCCTCCCACGCTAGGTCACGTCTTTGCCCGTGCTGCTGCTTCCGTTCCTTTTCTTCTGCCACCTTCTACGTGGTGCAAGCAGGTACAGGGCTCCCGTGTTTGACCCTTGCTGTTCCGAGCCGAGCTCCTCCTGCTGCCATGCAGGCCCTCAAGCACGCGCAGAAGCTTGGCGCTTCGGCAGCACCTCATCGGATCGGCCCACCCGCCGCTGCCGCATCTGCTTTGTCGTCACGCCGCAGTATATTCCACACCTCTTCCCCAGCGACCACGCACACCTCGGCTTCCTCCATTGCTCCCATAACAAGAACAACGACCACTACCACTACCACTACCCAGCCTCACCCTCCTGCCCGGACATTCAGCACCACTGTCGCAAACATGGCCTCTGCTACCAGCTTCTACGACTTCAAGCCCGTCGACAGTATGTGCCACTCCTCCAGCTCTGGACTTTCTGCATAGTCTTGATCCTCTCCAATCACTATTGCTACCGAACTTCCGGGATGCAAGTACTGACATTGTCTCCCCATTCACCCTCAATAGAGAAGGGCGAAGCGAAGCCTCTGGCCGACTACAAGGGCAAGGTCGTCCTGATCGTCAACACGGCCTCCAAGTGCGGCTTCACCCCGCAGTACGCGGGGCTCGAGAAGCTGTGGAAGGACCTCAAGGCCAAGCACGCAGACGATTTTGTCATCCTCGGCTTCCCCTGCAACCAGTTCGGCGGCCAGGAGCCCGGCACCAACGACGACATCCAGGAGTTCTGCCAGCTCAACTACGGCGTCACCTTCCCCATCATGGGCAAGATCGACGTCAACGGCGACAAGGCCGATCCCTTGTTCGAGTGGCTCAAGAGCGAGCAGCCGGGCCTCCTCGGCATGAAGCGCGTCAAGTGGAACTTTGAAAAGTTCCTCGTCGGCCGCGACGGCAAGGTCAAGGGCCGCTGGGCCAGCACCACAAAGCCCGAGTCCCTCGAGAAGAACATCCTCGAGGAGCTCAACAAGCAGGCTTAAGTTTATGATTTGGCTCGCTTTTCCACCCAGGCCGATGGTTGGCGCGGACCGTGGGGTTTAGTGCGGATGAGCTCACCTCAACTCTCTGCGAAACCTTCTAGTCTCGCCCTATCACGTCTTGCCACGGTACTCGGGTACTCGACCCTGTCTCTTTTCACACCCAAAAACTCTTGTTTGTTTTCTCAGACGCGTTATCATGATATCCAGTCACTAGCTGTACCACAATTGTCAAGACGGCATCGGTCCGCTTGACAAAGTTTAAAGAATTCATTTCAAATCAGTCTGACTTGAAACCCCATGCCGATTGTGCCATGCAGAGCCATGTTGGACCATTTGGATGCGATGCTTGGAAATGTGTGTGCATCAGACCATTGCCAATACCGAAGAAAATGCTTGGAAACAAACAAATGTGTATCATTCATCCTATAACAATGCAAACCCCATGGACTTCCAAGCGCAACCAAAAAAGGCACAATAGGTCGGTGGTTTTTACAGGGTTTTTCCTTACCCGGGTTGGACCACCCTCTCACGCAAATCTATGTATATACTGCTTTTCGCGCGAGGCGCAGACCACTTTCCACATTCCCAAACAATCCACTCCCGAAGCCACCAAAGCCACCGACACCATTAGTGCAATGTCCGGTCGTAATTGGCAGCCGGGAACTTGGCGGGCCGGCCGTCGTCGTAGTCTTCCTCCGCGGTAGGCGGCGCATAGATCTGAGAGCCGCTAGCCTGGTGGCCGCCGCTGTAGGGGTTCGTGCCGCCATAGCTGTTGTCCGAGTATGTGCTGTGCGCACCACCGCCGCCATAGGAGGTATCGGCAAAGGGGTCGGTGTGGGTGCTCGCGGCGCCGCCGCCGCCGTAGGAGGTGCTGCTATCAAACAGGGTGTTGGAGTTGACGGAGCCGTAGGCGTCGGCGTTGTAGGGCACGTTGCTGTGGTGGTCGTCGTCGTGGTCGTTGCCGCTGATGGGCGCGTACGCCTCCTCGTCGTGCGGGGCCATCGAGAAGGCGGCCTTGTCCGGATCGATGTTTGTGTTGCTGCGGTCGAGGCGTTCGTAGCCGGGCAAGTCGCCGTTGGCGTGCCAGTATTTGAGCGTGAAGAAGCTGACCAGGGTGGACAGAATCCACAGGAGCCTGTTTTTGAGAAGCACGAATATCAGCGGCCATGTCGCATGTACCCAAACAAGGCTGGGGAAAATAGTTTTGTCCATAAGTCTTCCACGGGGGGAGAAGAAAAAAATAACGTACAGCTCGAAAAAGCACATGCCGACAATGGCCCTGCTCACTGCGCAGCCTTGGCCGCAGCTGTTTGCAGAGTTGTATGCGGCCTGGCTGGCAAACGCGGACAGCCAGAAAATGGCCCAGATGCAGTCAACCACTGTCATGGCGGCAGGCTGGGCGATTCTCCGCGTGCGCTCATATCGTGGGGCACCTGCGAGGTAAACCCATGCTGGTATGCTCAGGAAGCACTAGAGTCCAAGAAAAGAAAAAAAATTTAGCTGAGAGCTTCGATTGATGGAAACTGTCGTGTGAGAGGTCCGCGAGTTCTTACCAGTCCAAACACCCACCCATTGTGACCATTGATGATGGCGTCTTGAGCGCGGAATAGGACAATCTCGAGAATGAAGACGACCACGGCTAGAACGATCTGAGCGGAGTGGAGAGCAAGTTTGTATGTCGGCACCGAGTCCGGGTTGATGTCGAACTTGTCGGCGAAGCCCATCTCAGGCTGTTTCTAGGGGTCTCGGGCTGGATGTGTTGCTATTTGTCTGCCAAGACTCGTGTGTGGGGATATGCGGGAGAGTAGAACGCAAGTTGGAACCGTAAGCGGGCGGCGAGAGTGTCGCTCTGAGAAGAAATGGCGTGTCGAGGTGCTCCTCCTTGATTCTGCGTCGGGGGTTTCGTGAAGCCTTTGCGACAGTTGGCAGAATGAGAGCAGGTGTGGGAACGAGCGTAGGCTGCCGGGGTTGCTATGACGCTGGTCTGAAACTCGAGTCGAATAAGAAGCTCGTGCGGAGTGGTGGAGGTCCTTGATCGGCGGCGGGGAAGTGAGGAAGGGGGAGGAAGAAGATAGATGGAGAGAGAGAGGAGTGATGGAGGGAGAAGGGGGATTGAAAACAAAGCTGTCGGGCAAGAGCTGAGGCTGACGGCGGGAGGATGTGGAGGTGTTGTTGCTGCTGCCGCGCAGTCGGGTGGATGGCTACATGCATTGGCGTCTGTGAGTGCGTGTGCGCCTAGAGGCTGTCGTCTGCCATGTTATGTTGTGTGCTTGGGGGCCAGTCGCAGCCTCGAAGAGACCCCTGACGCCGCGTTGGCTGGGCGGCCCCAGTGAGGTGCTGCTGCTGCGACTCGCCAGCTGGGCTGTGCTGGCTTCAGCCCTGCCTGCCTCCACCAAGTCAATTCCGGGCCGCCTTTCACAGTTAGTGCTGATTATGCTCAAGCCGAAACCTTGGGCAGCTGGCGCAAGTAGGCAGTCTCCTGAAAGTCTGGTCTCGACTGGTCCTCAACAGCGCCCATTCATCGACTAGAGGCAAGCACAGAGCCTCGTCAGAGTCCTTGGAAGTGTGCCGTCCTGTCGTACTGTATTACTTTGTCCCCAGTCCTGTCTGGGCTCCCTCAGCAGAGGGGCAAGCATTACCTCATGGCACAGCTCAAGTGCCACTGCAGCCTGCCAGTCGAAGACGGAAGCCTGCCCCAGACCCTGGCTGGGCCTGGCGGGCGTGTGTTCTGCAGCGCTGGGCATGGCTGTGCATCTCCACCACCTGGGCACTCCACCACACAAAGCCTCGTCGTGGCAACGTTGACAGTGACAACTGACGGCGGCCGCTGATCAGCCGCGAGTGGAAACGTGGCGCACGCGGACGCTTACATAGCCAAATTACTCTTTCTGGCGACCTGTTTGCAACTTGACGGAGTGTCCCGCAGGAACGCCTCGAGCTCCACCTCAACTCAATTGCAATGTCTGTCGCCGTGTTCCATCAAAAGAACTGGACCACTGAGCGGGAAGGGAGCATCTGGTGGTGGGCTGCCGCTACAAGACCAAGCCCCATCAACCTTCGCCCCAGCTCTCAAAAGATTTGATTGTATTCAGGTCGTGCCCTGGTAGCGGCTCTCGAGACCAGGCCAGCATATTCGATCCAGCAGCTCTGTCCATGAGCCTCCCTGGTTTCGGTGCTATAATTAGCCCCGGGCACTACGAAGCGCGTTTTGGACCTGTCTTGGCCTGGCTCCTAATTATCCATTTCGACTTCGCTCCCCCTGCAGCCACGGAGCAGATCTCTAATTAAATCTTGGTTTCTTCAAGGCAAGCTCTTGCGGAAGCTGCACTTTGCAAACCTGTGCCTGTCGAGGTCCACGGCATGTATGTACTCAATCTCTCGACCTCCAACGGCTCTAGCAGCTGTGTGCTCTACAACGCTACGAAGCTTAACCACTGACCACCCGTGCCATGGTGCAAAGTGACACCACTGGATTTGAAAGAAAGGGACAGTGTCGCAGTGAGCTGGTTAGTAACCAGTCAAATGCCACATGCCTTTACGCTGGTACGATGGGCAGCCAGGTCCTCGTCGTAAACTTGCCTATTCAAGGCATCACAGTGAGCAATTCTTACACGTAGGAGTCTTGATGATGTCAGCAGTCACGAATTCCATCACGGTGTTGCGCGGCTCCAGGGCTCGGAGGGCGAACTTGAGTCACTACTGGTGCTGACACATTCTTGCGCTGACACAGTAGAGTCTGAGCTGGGGAGCTCGCCCGGGAGATAAGGGTCGACGCGATGCCCCCACCGGCCGGCTCCGGGGACCGGCGCCATTCCATGTCCCTGCTTCCGCGCCCGCCGTCGGCCATGATGCCGACAAGGACTTAAGTTGCTCACGGCAACATCACGCAGCGTGGTGTATCTCTCCTTTACACCTCCCTCGCCAGGCTCTGTTCCTCGAGCTTGTCTTGCCCGCTGCAATGGCCCACCCCACGCCTGCCAATGGACACGCCGCGCCTCACGCCAATGGCTCCGCAACCGAGCGGACGCCTCTGCTGAACGGCGACAACAGCGTACCTCAAGATGAGGAGCAGACCGTCGTCGTCGAAGAGATCAGGGGCTCCAAGCTCTATCTCATCCTGGGCACCTGCTATGTGGGCGTCTTCCTCGGCGCCATCGATGCGACAATCATCGCCACCTTGTCAGCCCCGATTGCCAGCGAGTTCAAGAGCCTCAGCCTCCTGTCCTGGCTCGCGACTGCATACCTCATCGCCAACGCCGCCTGCCAGCCCATCTCCGGCCGCCTCACAGACATCTTTGGTCGCGGACCTGGCCTCGTTTTCAGCAATGTCTTCTTCGCTGCCGGCAACCTGGTCTGTGGTCTGGCGCGGGACGAGGGCTCGATGATCGCTGGTCGCGTGATCGCCGGCATAGGCGGTGGTGGTCTCATGGCCATCTCGACCTTTACCGCCTCGGATCTCGTCCCGCTGCGCAATCGTGGTGTCATCCAGGGCGTCGGCAACATCTGCTACGCCGGCGGCGCCATGCTGGGCGGTCTGGTCGGCGGACTCATCAACGACCGCACCGAAATGGGCTGGAGGCTGGCGTTCTTGCTGCAGGTGCCCCCCGTCTTGGTGTCAGCGTGCCTCGTCGCATACCTCGTCCGCATCCCGCCCAAGATCTCCGACAAGGGTTACCTCGCCCGCATCGACTTTGTCGGCGTCTTCTCGCTCATCACCTTCCTGGTGCTGCTGCTTCTCGGCCTCAACGCGGGCGGCAACATCGTCCCCTGGAGCCATCCGCTGATCCTCGCAACATTGCCGCTCTCCGTCGTCGCCCTGCTCTGCTTCATCTTTTGGGAGTCGCGGCACAAGCAGCCCGTGATTCCCGTGCGTCTCCTGCTCGACAGGACCGTCGGCATGGCTTGCATGACCAACTTCCTCTGCACCATGGTCAACTTCTCCATCATGTTCTTCGTGCCTTACTATCTCCAGGTCAATGGCAACAGCGCGACGCAGGCGGGTCTCGTCCTCCTCTTCGGCCCGATCGGCGTGAGCTTCTCGTCTGTGGGCGCCGGGCTCATCATGAAGCGCACGGGCAAGTACCTCGCGCTGGGCATGATCTCGGTGTCGCTGCAGGTGATCGCGACCATCATCCTCGTCACCCTCGACGAGCACACTCCCAAGTGGCACCTCATGCTCGCGCACCTCCTGCTCGGCGCGGGCATGGGCGCGATGCTGACCGTCACGCTGCTCGCCTGCCTCGCGGCCGTCGACCACTCCCAGCAGGCCGTCATCACGAGCGCGACCTACGCCTTCCGCTCCGTCGGCAGCACGCTCGGCATCACCGTCTCGTCGGCCGTGTACCAGAACGTCCTGCTGCAGCAGCTCTGGGGCCGCTTCGGCGACCTCCCCGGCGCGGCCGACGAGATCCAGCGCATCCGCGACGACATTGGCGAGGTCAGGCACCTGCCGCCCGGCTGGCGGGACGGCGTCATCGCGTCGTACATGGAGGCGTTCCGCAGCGTGTGGTTTCTGGTCATGGCCCTTGCCGTGGCCGCGCTGGTCGCCGTCTCGCTCCTGAGGCAGCACAAGCTGCACTCGACCATGGCGCGGACCGACGAAGACGGGAACGATGTCGAGGAGGCTGCGCGGGAGTAAGCCATATAACGAAAAGCGCTTGAAAAGTGCATGAAAAGTGCGGGACGAAGGTCGGCGGCCTTACGGGACACCGATAACCTTTTTGTCCCCTAGGCTATGGATGTAACAGCAAGCCTCTTGTGTATCTGGGCTTGTCTGGCGAGAAAAGGGAGACTCAGGACACCTGAGCATTGGATTCGACCAACTTGAGAAAGTGTGGATAGATGTGGTAGTTGGAAGCTATGATCGCGTTCTAGTCAGTCCTTCGAGATTGAAGACTGGAACGCGATGTAAATGGGCAACAGCATGAATACATGGAGAGATATATAGGGTCGGAAGGAGACTCGCGAGGATAAAGAGTAGAAAAATCAAGACCATATATCCATTTGCCATTGCGCCGTTGGTGTAACTATGCATCGCACATCATTCCGTCGTCATCACAGCAGTCTTCATTCAGTATAGCAACAGCCTTGCAGGCCCGTTGAGTTGTTCTCAGCTTTGAAGATCTGGTCTAATCAAATTACATGCCCATATGATAAACGCCATGAGTGCAATAATGCTCAATGTGTCCCTTTGCCCGGTCTTGCCCGTGACTCGGCCCTCAATCACTCAAGTTCCCCCCCCCCCCCCCCACAACAATCCAATCGACTTCAGCTCAGATACTAACGCCCTCCTTGCGTAACTTCTTCAGCCGCCGCCCGATATCCGCCGCGGTCTGCTGCATCGGGTTGAGCTTGCGGTCCCGCGCCATGGCGGCGAGGTTGCTCCCGTGCTTGGCGACCAGGTCCTCGAGCCACTCGCGCTCGCGCGCGCTCTGGCCCCGCGGGACCTTGATCTGCGGCCGGTTCGCCTCCTCCTCGAGCTGCTTGATGATGTTGCCCTCGGGCAGCTCGGCCTCCTCCTGCTCCTCGATGCCGCCCCACTCCTCCCCGTCGACCTCGTCCTCCTCCCCTTCTTCGTCGTCGTCTGAGTCAAATGCGTTGAGCGGGTCGTTTAGCGGGTTCGGCTTCGTCTTGTTCTTCTTGCTCTTGCTGCTGCCAGAGGTAGTGTCGTCCAGGATCCGGATGATCTTGCCGTTCTCGTCGCGCTCGACGCGCACCTCGCTGACCACGGCGTCCGTGGCGAGGGCGATCGAGAAAGGGTCCGCGGATTTTGACGCTTTTGAGGAGGAGGCGGCGGCGCTGTTCAGTGGCGTGCTTCTGCTGGTCAAGACGGCTGTGGACTCGGACACCAGGCCGGACTGCTTGGTCTTGCGGTCGGGCTCGGACCCTCCCGTGGGCGCCTTGAGGCGGTTCACGAGGCCGAGGCGGCGGTAGTTTTGCGAGGCGGTTTGTTTCTTGTCCCTAAAGCGGTCGAGGAAAAAAGGGACCAAGGTCAGCCCTCTTGTATGTCGAAACCCCTCCCATGCAAGAGTATATATATGTATATATTCGGATATCAACGGGGTCTGCTCACCAGTTCTGCGCGACAATGCTGTTGCCCAGCGGGAACATGAGGCGCTTCGACTTGCTCGAAGGTTGCCGGACGGCGGCCCGGGAGGAGCGGCGCTTGCGCTTCTGGAGATCACGACCCATTGCTTCTTGATTCTTTCTGGGTTTTGTTCTTTGCTTCTCTTACGATCGGGATTGGTGGCTGAGTGTGTAGTATCGATTGGGCTTGGCTGGCTGGCTGGTGCTTGTTCTTTCGCACTTCGACTGTCGCTTTGTGAATGTGCTGCCGGCCAGCAAGTGCGGCTTGGCGATAAGAGTTGCGATAACAAAAAAGTTTCTGGGCCCAGCCTGGGAAGTTTGCGGCAGGGTGCAGCTTATCAGCACGATTAGGCAGAATAGCGGGGGCCAAGTTGCAGGGGTTGTTTGGGAAATGTGGGACTCGACCGCAACCTGTGTTGGACAAAGTAAAGAGGTTTCCACTTTCTGTCAACCTCGATTCAAGAGTCGACTATCTATGCCTCCACCGGTACTCTCGGGGCCCTTACGCTTGATTTAGGCCGCATGCTGTCAGGCTCGGCAGGAATACTGGTCCAGGATTGGCCACCAGCGCTCTCTCCTGCCAATATGCCGCTGACCATAAGAAGTGGCTGTCCAAGAGCGACATTGATGGCACCCTGGCTGTGACACTCTCGCGCTCTCGTCAGCAGTCAGCCATATCTCATAGTCGCGTGAAAATGCCCTCCTTTCTTGTCACTCTGTCTGCCTCTCAAGCTCCGGATATACCCCGTCTGAAGAGAGCGCTGGCTGCGAGCTCTAACGATATATCACGCCATTGACTCACCCACTTACAGGCCCTTGGTTTCCAGGCACCTCGGTGACAAGGGCTTCGAGAAAGGCTGACAAGAAACCAGCCACGTACAGACAGAGAGCTACAGGACCACACTGATCTCAGATCATGGCTCTGAGCGGGAGTTTCCGGACAGATGTGAACGCCAGCTTAAGCATCGTACCAGCGTGCAACAGCGTCCTGCTTTGAGGATGCTCGTTCGGCTTCCTTCCCTAGTACACCAGAGCATACCGCATACTCTTACTTACAGATCGTCACGACGGAAACTCTGCTGTGAATGGCAAAGTCCCTATGATTTTCTCTGCTCTGTAGGGCTGCTGAAGCGGAATGACACCGGCGCCGGTTAGCATATGCAGTACTGCGCTACTGAACCACACCCATAGTCATCACTGCACAGACCTTGCGGAAGCTTTGTAGAGCGCTGCGAGCGTCTTGTCCTGCTTGCCACCGTCCGATCTTTGCCTTGTTCGAGATCATCTGTAGAAAGACGGAGAGCAAGATGCCCCACGAACAAGGAGGAGGATACTTGTTAGGCTTTCTTGCATCCGACGACTCGGCCGTGTTATGCTCAGACCTGGGTGGCGGGGACTATTGTGACCAGGAATTGAGGCAAGATTGATGTGTCCCGGCACAAATTCCAGGCGCAGCTGAAGCCTCGTGCTCTTGCGGTTCAGTTTGCACGTCTCCTGCCATGCTTTGTTGCGTTCAGTACTTCTGCCCATCCTGTTTGTAGGCCTGCCATGCGGTATAAAACCAAGGCATAGTAAGGCCTTCTTTAGAGTCAGGTTCACCTCCTAGGCTGGTACGTAGCCAGCAGCCAGTAGCGCACGTGAAAGACTACTCGTCTCACCCCAGCGACTATGTGCTCATCCACAATGAGCGCACAAGTCCCACACTTCCGACGGTGTTACCTTGTAGTCAGTCATCAGCTAGTAAGAGATCTTCTTCTCTTCCCGTCAAAAAAGCACTGAGCCCCTCGGCTTCCTGAAGTACGACTCGACCGAGGCCGACACACTCAGAGGAATCCAACTCAACCAGAAGAGCAGGAAGCCGCCAGGTATATACAGGTCATACTTGCTGCATGTAATCTACATCTTGATACGTATAATCATCACCCGGGCCCTCCCCTCCCTCGCACAATCATGATCGCTATATGAACCGCGCACCGTATCGTTTGACGCACCCCTCCCCCCAACCCTCAGCTGGTACAACTTGCTAGTCCAGCATCAAGACCACATACCGTACACCACTCGTCTTGGCACTTGCACGGCGTGCACGGCCCGTTAACCATGATGCCACTCGTCCACGTCCGTCCCAGCGCACCCATTCACAAGGACAGTGTGTCGATCATGTCAGGACTGCAAACGCCAAGGAGACACCCACGCCCGATCGTGCTGCGAGACGCCTCGCCAACAGCCACCCCTGGCCTTAGTCCAGATACGGGTGAGGCTGAATCAGAGGTGCGTCAGAGGCGTATGTGGCATACACGCAGATCTGGTGCGGCTGAAAGCCAGAATCTGGGGAAGTGGATCCTGCGGGAGTCACATAACGACGACATGTATGGCAAGGTTGATGAATGTTGTCAAAGTGATCATGTATTGTTTCGTTGCTTGGTCTGCCCGACCAAAAAAACCATAAGCCAGCGCTCGCTGCTAATTATACAAGATTTTGTTCTCGTCAAGCATGCCCAGTTTGTGCGCCATGCTCCTGCCATTAACAATGCTCCCAAGCCCAAATATCATGTCTTCATTTATGCCCAGCCCAGAATGTAAAGTGATGACCCGCCATGCTCGACCCTTTTGAATACAAGGTACTTTTGGTGTAACCCAAAACATGAAAAAGAAAGAGAAAAAAAAAGCGCAAGATCGTAACAGTCAACGTAAGTTGAGCGCGAGCAATGCTCTTCTCAGAACATGATCCACTCGACGTCGGGGCCGCGTCCGCCAAGACATCTAGTCCAGCTGAAAGGACCGCGGGTCGGTCCGATATGCGCACCCGGAGCCATTTCGCTCGGGCGCAGGAACTCGCCCGCCCAGAGACGTTCGAGGACCTCAATGGCAGAGAGGTTGTTCATGTAGCCACTACGAGCCATGATGTCTCGGCACTTGTTGCGGACAATGTTCTGCTGGAGCTCGTTGACACACTCACTGCCAGCAACGAACATGGGCCAGAGCAGGAACTTCTCGGCGCTGCTGCCAGCTTCGAGCGAAGTAGCGTAGTACACAACCTGGCTGACAAGGTTGCGGAATGTGTTGTGGCTCGACGGCACATGGGGCGAGGCAAGACGCTCGGTGTAGAGAAGCGCAGCGTAGCGGAAGGCCTCCGAGAGGTGACCAAGGTCACGGAGAGTGCTAGGTGTCGCGGGCTCAGGGAGAGAGGCAGCAACTCGCTGGGCATCAAACTCCCAGCTCTGGAGGGCAGTGCGGGCCTCCTTCCACTCACGCCAAAAGTTGGAGCGGAGATCGTCGTAGTCAGGCGAAGACCCCACGCTCGAGGACAGCATCTGCTCGCTGTTGAGCTGGGTGCTGAAGCCATTGCCATCAAAGCGGCCTGTCGGAATGCTGAAGAAATCGCCAACAGGGGCCTTGAATGACTGTCCAAGTGGGGAGCCGATCGGCGATGTGGACCTCAGGCCCGCGAAGTCCATAGGGCTCTGCACGGGGCGGTGTTGAGAGAGAAGGTTGAGGCGGCCAAGCTTGCCAATGGTCTTGAACAGCTCGTGGTCGCACCCGACCCAGTTCTCGGCTCCGGCAGGAATCAAGGGGGCATCGAGCGAGAGACCAAAGAAACCATGGCTGAGCTGTGCCTCACGGTCGTTGATGCTCGCCGAGATCGAGTCAAAGTAGGTGAAAACAGCCTCCATCCAGGCGGAGGAGCTCGAGCCGTGGCCGCGCATGCTGAGGATCTTCTTGACACCAGCAAACTGAGTGTGGAACTTGGCAATACCAGACTCGACCATTCTGTAGTGGCACAGGAGCAGAATGGTGGCCAGGACGGAGTCGTGTGACGCCTTGGCGGGATCGTTGAGCTGCTCATTGAGCAGAGCGATGGCCAGGTTACGGTGCTGAAGCTCCTCGGACAGCGATGGGTCATCACCAGCAGCCAAGTCACCGTTGCCAATCTCGGCCAAGGAGAACTCCCGAGAGTGCTGGCCAAGGCTGAGTCTCCGCTTCATCCTCAAGTTGCAGGCGGCCAGGGCACAGATGGCGTGCTGCAGACTCCTCGAGCTCGAAGCCAGCTGCAGGATGTGGTTGCGGTACGGGTTTGTGGGGCCATCAATAAGGACCATGGACGGGCACATGGTCTTCTCATAGTAGTCGAGGAAGAAGGGGATCTTCGCGATGAGATCCGGGCTGACCTGCAGGTTGCTGGTCTCCAGGGGCAGGGCTGAGTGGGCTTGCATATGCTCGAGGGGGCGAAGGGGTTTGGTCTCCTCGCGCATAGATGAGGGCGGCCAGTATCCGCTGACGCTGGAGTGAGGACTTGTGCTGTAGGAGTCCAGCTCAGGAACACCTAAGGGGAACTGTAAGCATTTGCTGAGGCTGGAAGAACCAGTAGTGATCCTGCTTACTCAGTGTGTCATTGTCGGCCATCAGCCTGTGAGCCATGTGGGCATCAAAGGCGGCGTCGTGGTGCGAGCTGAGGCTGGAGCCGTGCTCGGAGGGCGCGTACACCAGGCTGGGACAAGACGGAGCAGCCGAGCGTTGGTTGTTGATCATGATGGCCGAGGCCGGGCTGTGCGGCGGCGGCGGGGAGCTGTGAGTGGCATAGCCTTCGTAGATGATGGTTGGGCTGCTCATGAAGTGTTGCTCCTCACGCGAGGGAAAGGTGTGGGCCATGGGCGACATGGTGTATTCGACGTCGCTCAGGGACTCGACCGATGCCGACATGGGCTCACCCATCATGGAGAAGTGGCTCATGGCTGTGTTGATCTTGTGGAACCTCGGGGGCTCCGGGTTGTAATGATCCGTGAAGGCGGGGAGGCTCGCCCACTGCGCCTGCGTCGAGACTGGGGCGTGCTCCGTGGGCAGAGGAAACCTGGGGTACTCGCCAAACTGCTGGTAAGGGGTGGTGGGCACGGAGGCAGACAGGTGTGAGGTCCTGACCTCGACACTATCCCGGCGGATGCTCTTTGGGCTGCGGTCTCCAGAGTCGTTGCTCCACTGGCTGGTGGCATTTGAGCTCGCCCGAGCACGCATGGAAGCCTTCTTGGGAACGGGCTGGACCGGGGGTGCCTTTGCGATGGGAAGTGAAAGACCACGAAGCTTGCCGCGAGAGGCGACGCCGACTCCCCATGTGAGCTGAGTCTTGTAGCCGGAGCACTCGTTGCCAAACTCTAGGCACTGGGAGCAGTAGGGACGCCTCCGGTCACACTTGGCACCAGTCTTGACGCAGGCAAAGCAGTCGTCGGCAGCACCGCCAGCGGGAGCCCTTCTCCGCCGCTTGCGGGCAGCCTGGAGGTCCTTGTTGGCCGGTATGGCCTGTGGTGGTGATACTGTCGTCATGTCGGCGGCTGTGTGGTTATGATCTGAGATTTTGCTGTTTGTGGTTGTGAATTTGCCACAGGAAGGAGTGGGAGGGAGGTAACGAGCTCTGAAGTAAGCTGTGCCTCGCGTGGTGGACTCCTGACAGGTATAACAAGCCTGGATGTGGCGTTGACCAAGACGTGTAACAGATTGTTGTTGATGAGTTGATAAGTGGCTGCGGTTATATGGGAAGAGACAGCAGGCTGTAAGAGGTGTTAGACGATGGCGAGAAGCACAATGGCATCACTGGATCTGGAGGGCGGCGAAAACGAGATCGGACGGGAGAGCGGGAATAGATATAAGTCGCGGTGGTGAGCCGGGCAGGTTGGTGGGAGCCGGGGTTGTCAGTGGTGGCATTTTGGCAGCAGTGGTGGGGAGGGCGGGCGTGGGTACAAGGCCGGTACTTTGCAGGGGCGCCGCCTAGCCTCCCGTGATTGAGCAGGGGGCCGCGATAGAGGAGGGACCCAGGGTCTCTGGCCTGGTGGAGGGCATGGATTTGGCATGGGGGGTCTCGACGGGCAGGGGGGCGTGCAACGAGAAGCAACACCCGCTCGACGGGGCCTGCCGAGGCGGACAGGGGTGCCATGGCCGGCGGTTGATTCGACAAGGCCGCTGGAGAGAAAGAGAGAGAGAGAGAGAGCCCGATAAGTGTGGCCCTGGTTGACTGTCATTGTTGTTGTTGCTGTGGACAAAGGCATGGACGGGGTCTGCTCTGTCTGGCCCTCGCCCGCTCCGCTGATTACTACTATTTGATTGTGTGCTGGCGGCTGCAATGGCCTTGGTGAAGACAGCTTCAGAGTTGACCTGTTGCTTGGAGATCATGCCGGAAGCCAGCGTGAAGGCAGACATGACTGACGGTGCCTGGCAAGCTGGTGTTGTGTGTTTTGTGGTAATACATGGCATTCGACGCGGCTTCGCTCGACTCGACTCGACTCGACTTTCTAGGCGGATGGCCCATTCTCACATGCACGCGGTGCTGCAGGCACGGCACCGGAGGAACTGGATTATGCTTTGGCAGGCTGCCGGGAGGATATTGGCAGGAGCAGGGCATGATGATGGGCGAGGGGGGGAGATGCAGCGCAGCGCAGAGCGTCGGCGCATAATCAGAAGCGAGCCGCATGCCAGGTGAGCGATGCTGCCAAGGCAGGCCGGCGACTTGCTGCCCGGGAGGGGTGCTGCTCTCGCTCTGGCAGGAGCACCCCGCAGTCTGCCCAAGGCCCGACGGTCGCCGGTCCACTGGCCCTCCACGCCCATCGACTCGCACAGCGGAGCTAAGCTGCCCTGCGTTAGGGCGCCCCTCCTCCGCCCTCTGCTGCCGCTGCCTCCCCCAAGCCTGCGCAAAATCATCCCATGCCACGCCACACGCTCCTCGCGACTCGTTGTGCCCGCGCGCAAAATCCACCATGCACCATGCACCATGTCATCGTCGTCTTCGTCCCTTTCGACAAGACCGACCGACCGACAGACAGACAGACAGACTCGGCTCGGCTAGCGCTAGCTGCTCCCAGCCAGCAACACCCTGATCGACGACGTCGTTGCGCACGCCATCCCGCCCACGGCAATCGTCTTCCTCTTTCTGGCCCTGGCCCCTCTGGTCCCCGACGTGTGTGTGTGTGCTGCCACTGCCGCCGCCCGCCATTTCTGCGCTGCCTCAAGTCCCTAAATTGCTGTCACGCAGGATGGGCAAATTCATGCCAGCCATGCAACTCTGCGACTCTGGATGGCGAGAACTTATGTCCCGATTGGGCCAAAAGCGCCGGGGCGGCATCTCCCAGTGCCGTGCTGTGCTGCGCCCTCGCCGTCGCAGAGCAAAACATCCAGGAGTCAGGCTGGATGGAGTATACCGTAATATGCCGCCGCCAGTTGTGCATGTGCTGTGAAGCAGAGGCAATGTCCCCATGCACTATGCGATGCGGCAAGGCCCCTTTGCGATCCACCCACTTGTCGCAGCGCTTGGCAGCCCTCTGTGGCACAACGACTGCCGGTCCGTCCCTGGGCATGACATGGCGAATGGGCAAGCAAGCCAAACATAGCACGTCTGCCGAGCCAACACACAGACCTCGACCCGGGGCGCTTGAGACGTCCAATCTCCCAGATGCGAAGCGAAACCATCTCAGCCATCGACGAGTTGCATCTCCAGAAAACCCACCCCTTGGCATCCCGGACTTTCAGATACGAACGGGGTTTGCCTCCGACGAGACGCCGTTGCCGGATCGGCGTCGTCTTCGCTGCAGCCTGCCCGGCGACGCCGCCCAAGAACGCTGTGCCAAGAGGCAAAAGCATGGTCATGGCCGACGATCGACGTCTTCTCATGCTCTGTCTGGAGGTTTGTCCGGGACCAAACTTGGGAAGGGTCTAGTTGGCCATCAGGAAGAGGTCCTGGTCAAGTGCCAGGTTGCTCGGATCTGGATCCAGGGATTGGTCAGATCGCCCCAGGAGCTATCTTGCAAGCCGCACGGAAGGCAGCCACTCAGCGAGCAGGAGCTCTGCTCAGCCCGAAGACGACAACGCCAACAGCTCAGGCACCACCACTACGAAGGCCAGCCAACCAGCCACAGAGGCCGGCACTCTCAGCCTCGATCAGCAATCGTGATGGACATTGACCACTTTTGCCTTTCCACAGGCCTGTGTTCAACCACAAACTATGCTCGCTTGCATCCTGTTCGACGAAAGGTCCTGTCACACCTTGTCTCACCGATAATCCTCAGCTGTCCCGAGCACGAGCCTCCTCAAAGAGTTACATTGGGACTACAAGCAAACTCGCGCGAACCCGCCGCCCCTCGGGGTCTTGCCATCGACACCTGTATGTGCTCCGCCGCACGTCGATCATGCTTATAGCGCGGCAGCGGCTCCGGCTCCAGCTCGTATGCAACTCTCCATTTTCGGGCCTTTCATATCGGTAGCCCACCACCGCCATATGCCAGGCACGCTTGTAGTCCGGGCATTACTCCGCGACGGCGCCCCCATGTGCAGTGAGCGTGGGACTGCGCGTGTGTGTGTGCCTGTATGTATCTGTGTCTCTGGTGTGACAGCTGCCCCACGACAGAGGCAACATCGCCCACTGTTGTCTTAATGGAAAGCGCAATAAACCTTGCCTCTGGCATGTGCGCTGAGATGCACGAGGCCTCGAGAGCAACATTATGCACTGCATGCACCACCACATGCTACAAAGCGCAAACGCATAAACCTGCCCAACGCACAATGACGGCTTTTGTGGATCGTGGGCGCTCCGCCGCTCCGATCTCGACTTCCTGCCATCGCCCTGACAGCGGCCGGGTGCATATATCCACAAAGGGGAAGGGGGGGCACAAGGGCATCATCATCGTCAGAACTCGACTTGCCGTCAGTCCCGAGAGTGCGTGTGTGTGAGAGAGAGCCTGTGTGGATTTGGTGTATCAACTGACCTTTCCATCTGCAAGATGCAAGCTTGACACATTTCAGGCACAAGGAGAGAGGTCATGCGCACGGGCGCGTGATCCAAGACGGAAAGGAGGTGAGGGGCGGAGATCAAACATCGAAGAAGCGTTATGTGCTGTGCTGTACTGGTGCTATTGTTCGATGAGATGAGATGAGATGAGATGGGGGCCCCAGCAGGGCGCGCAGATGAGACGAAACACGATCTCAAGCCGCTGTCTCTGCTTTTCGGGGGGCGTCCGTGTGGCGCCCGCGCCTGTTGGAATATGCATTATCCACATTCTGAATCGGAAAATGGCTTGCAGGGCTGGGATGGGCCTCCTCTCTCCGCTGTCATACTCCGCCGCCATACTTTGACGGAGCGGCACAGCAGCAAGCAAGCAAGCCAGCAATCAAGCAGCACACAGACATGGACAGAAAAGTGGAAAGGGCGATCGCCAGCTAGCAATAAACTATCCCGCAACAGTCGCCAGGTCGTTGCGCTTGGCACGTCCCGAGGTCGCCCCCAAGGGTAGGGAGGGTCGGTCGTCAGTCACTTCTCGGCTTCTCGAAACCGAACGTGGACCAAATTAGCACCCCCCAGGAAGAACAGGAGACCGGCGGACATAACGAACAACATGATTCACAAGATCTCACTAGCCATTTTCCATTCTCCATGATTGCGGAAGATTTAGGGAGGGAGGGCTAGTGTAGGAACCAAACCCTCTCGCTCGAAGCTCTCTCTGTGTGCGTGTGTGTGTGTCGTCTTGATTCGCGCCACGCTCCCGGCAGAGTCGTTCTAGCTCGACTTCTTCCCAGCCGGCTCTGGAGCGAATCAATTCTCGCAACTTCCTCAAGCACTGCTTTCCAACTACTACTGTCCGCTCCCAGAGTTGACGCCTTTCTGCCGCCCGACTCCCATGACTACGTATGGACACTAATTAAGCCACAGCAGTCTCTCACACACACGCGAGTAGATACCATGACAACAGCAACATGCTAAGAACTCTCATAGTCGGCGGGAGATGATGCAGCAGTTGGACAAGCAAAGACCCTAGACTAGTAATGATCAAGGGCCCCCCCCCCCCGGCTCTCTGGCTACGAGCAGCCCAGGGGTCTGCATTGTCAAACCCCACAGCCTTGGCAGAAGCCGTCTGTCCACTCGCAACTCTCGAGCCCGCGGACGCCCCCCACTTGTCTCCCGAGTGTCCGAACTGTCCCCCTGGTTTCCCCTTCAACATAACCGCAACAGTAATAGAGAGAGAGAGAGAGAGAGGGTGGAGAGTCGAGAAGCTCTGCTGCTCGTTGATCTCCACCCTGGCCCCTGCGACAGGCGGGCAAGCAAGCATCATTCTTCTCCACCAGAGTCTAACGGGAGGGCTGCTACCTGCAACCTGACAGCTTGCCTGAGTCGTGGCTCTGCGAGGAAAAAGTAGAAACGCATGATGTTGAGCTCACGAGACATGGTCTTAGGACCCGCGCTATGATTCATGCCCCCAGCCCCGATTTGGTTCAATGTGGCACGCACGAGGGCGAAACGGTGCACCAGCTCGTGGCAAGTGGATTTCAGACTTTCTTGGTCAACGAGGACTCATTTCCTGCCACGGATTTAAGGTTTCCCCATGTCCCAGCTAGTTCGACCAAGACATGCGAAGCGATGCCATTATGCCCATGCGGGAACGAGCCCACTGCCTCCAATCGAGGCGGTCAAGCTGAGTTTGGAGCATTCCATATCAACCTGGGTTCCCAACAGTCACTGATGGAACCCCTAGAGCCCCATTTTTCCCCGATTCACAACTAACTGTATTGGTCATCGGCAGTTGCCTTGCCCTGGCAGAGGCGACTGCGAAGGCGGCGAGACTGAGACACTAGGCTGGGTCAACCCTGATATGGCCCCGAGCCTAATAAATTGGCAGCTCTCTTTCTGCAGCCTTCGGGTCGGCTAGCTCTTTGCAGTCAAGGCATCGCGACAATGGTTGGTCTCCGTCAGCGGTCGGTCTCCGTCAGCCAGGGGTCGTTTGTAGAGTTGGGATTTCCCTGTGAGCTCTTTTCCGTGAGTGCATGCCTCTTTGCCGCCATGGATCGCTTGTTGCCAGTATCGGAGCAAAGACAGCGAAACACTAGCGCAAGAAGCTGGGTTGGAGCACGCCATCAGGGCACTCTCGCTAGTGAACGTTCCTCCGGTTCACGCAGCCGTTTATTGCGCAATGCAACATTGCCAACGTTTCCCATAGAACATCCCCGCAGGCTTCTCCCGACAGCATGGAATGATGACATACCGGAAACATAATATCTCTTTGTCAACAGACAGCAGGTGTATCTCCTACTGGGCCGGGCTAGAGAAGCATGTGAAAGCCCACGGATAGTTCCGCCGGGCACGTCATGCATGCTATGCGTGCCTGCGAATTTCGGCTGGTAGCCGAACAGCACTACTTTGATGGCTTCTATCAATAAGCCTTGCTCAAGTCGCCCACGACGTCGTCATTGTCAAAGAGGCAGTCTGTCGCAGCACCCCTTGGAGGGAAGGTCGATAGCAGTCCCAACAGCAGCCTTCCCCAACAAGAAAACATCGCGATGCTTCGCAGCGTCGCATCTAGATTGTGGTGCAAGAACGCCTGGAACGTGCCTGACGTTTCTATATCTCCGATCTGGTATCATTGAAGCGAGCCAGAATCCTGTTCGTTTCGGGAAGTTTGTGTCCTGCCCCATGTCTTTGTGTCTTCGGCAGTCTTGGAGGTACCCTACAGAGGAGGTGCTGTGATGTTGTACGCTGGGCGATGCATTAATACGCCGGCGGTGCTATAGGACGTGGATGTGCTGCCGCCTCATGGCGGCCCCCGCGCGCGCAAAATACACACGCACGATAATGGCCTGCGAGCCGGTGTGCACCTACGGTGAGTGCAGACTCGAGGGACATCGCAGCTAGGAGAGAGGGGTGGAAGTTAATATAATCATCGTGCATGGCCGGATCTCGGGTTTGGTGCTCTTGCTTATCGAAATGCCACTTTCCGCAAGGAGAGGAGCGAAGGGTCAGATGCTCCCGGTGCTTGCTGAAACGAGATGGCGCCGACGGTTTGTGCCATGTGCGGCCAAGAAGGTTCTCGGCTACGCGCACGTCGTTGATGCCGTGCAGATGTCGGTAGCACAGCACTCGCATGAGCTCGGGTGGTGGTGAGCAGAACAAGATCTCGGTAAAGCATGCGAGCTTAAACAGGGTCCCCGCCGCTCCCAGCTGTGGGGCCAAGGTGATCAAGGTGGAGCACCTCGGGAGCAGTAGGCAATGTCGTTTTTTGCGCATCCCCAGCCAAGCACTCGAGTTGAGCCGCGCAGCGTCCCCATGCCCACCATGCCCGCCATGCAGTCTGCGGCCTGTCACTTGGGTGCAAGGCCCACGGCGGGGCAACCTCGAGCCCTCCTGCTTGTGCTCCATATGTGTTACAACAACGCCCAAGACGACTGAGCCAGGCCAAATATGAGCCTCGTGCCTCTTATCGTCGTTCTGGGCAAATCCCGCATCCGCTGGAACTTACTTCCCCGCGTTTGGTGAACCGCACAGTCGCCGGCACTAGCACTGATTGCGCCGGCAAGTGGAGGCTTTCGCAAACAGAGTGCCATGAGCTTCCCATCACTGCCATGTCGAAGCCTGCCTCGCATCTTTCTTTATAGAATGATCCGAGCGGATATGCACAACGCGGAAAGCATCAACGACTGCCCAGAGCGCTGGCCTGTTGCATCATAGCAGCAAATCCGTGCCTATCAAGCTGCGAGAGAGACAAGTCTTCCTTCCTAGCCGTAGTCGTACGTCCTCGTCACCAGAGCCGCATGAACTGCACCGACGCGCTCAACGAGAGGGTCTCGGCCTCGGACCGCACCCCTGCCACCATTAATGGACAGGCTGGACAGAGACAGCCGACCAGGCATGGGTCCCGTACCCCGCAGCAATCCAGTCTTTGTCCAGTCCGATGCAATGGACAGAGTCGTTCAGATGTGATGCACTGTCTTGCCCCGGTTGCGGATGTTCATAAGCTGGGCAATGGGACTGCTGGGCTCCGTTCGACAGTGCTCAGTGTAAGCACATGGCTGGCGATACATCCCGCCATCCCCAGCGTGCAAACATACAGACAATGGGGAGTGCAGCTGAGTCCGCATTGGGGCAGGTGCGACTTGTATGAGACTTGTGTAATCTCGTTGACGACGGCGCCGACCCTGATTCGGAAAGCTGATGAGATGTGAATTTGTTGAGCTCGGAGTTTGTGCCCACGCTGAGAACTGGCCCTGGTAAATCCTGGGCCACTGTCGTTCGACAGGAAACTGCTCTTCACATGCCGAACAGCATCCTTGCCTGCCCTGGTCGATACAGGTTGATATGTAGAGACATCTGAGACGTCCGCCAGTAGCGTCTAATGCGCTGTGGCAAGTCCTGATTGGACTAGACGAGCTCCGCCTTGCCGTTCTGGGGCGACGGGGAGGTGAAAGCACCGGGCAGAACGCCCCCAAACCTGCCACCCAACCCCGTTCTGACTCCTCAAGGGCTTGCCGCATGCCGATCGAAAGGCAAGGGCAAAGGACGCCACTCCGAGATAAATGCCGGTAAGGAGGCTCCAGCGGATGACTTCATGCGATTGCACACTAGATCTCAAGGTCGTTTCCGTTCTGACGCTTCCCGCGCGCAATTTGGCATGCAGGAGCTCTTTGGACATTGTTGAATGGTGTGTCAGGGGGGGCCGGGCAATTGGGGTCTATCGGGTTGTTCCTGGTTATGTCCGCAACCGTGTGCTATTCACTTGAGGTTGATTGCGTGCCTTGAAAATGGCGCGCCATCTCCAGCAGCTTTCGTGCGCCAGTCGCTTTCGGGGAACCCTTGTTTCGTGGCCTTGTTCGTTGTTGAGGACGATGATCCTGCCTGTGCCTTGCGATTTGGAGTGGCATCTGGCCCAGCAAATGGGATGTGAATGCTCTGACAACTAGGCATCGTTGAGTAGCTCAAACTGACACTGCTGTGGCTGCTGTTCGTTCCTGTATTCTATCGACCGATTCCAAGCCAACATCCAGTGTTGCCAGGCATGATTTAGGCTTGCTGGAAGCTGAGCCGCCCAACGTAGGTTGTGCGAGCTGAAATGTAACCTGGATATCCTTGTGCCTGATACATTCAGGGCTCTGGTATTGTTGCTGCGCAAAATAGTGTTGATATCACAGAATGCTCTAGACTTTGGTAATATCGTAACACAGGCGTCCATGGATGCGAACGAGCTGCCGAGACCATGACAGCGCCTTTTTTTCTGTTTTTTTTCTTTTTCTTTAAGATCGCCAAATGCCAATAAGCCGCGACTTCGCCGCCTACGTGTGCATCAGCGGACGAGTGCGCATTCTGCAAGCTCGTTGTCGTGCCGGGAAAGCACTGTATCTGTAGCAAAAGTATGGGGTAGAACAATCAACTGTGAGCAAAGGTGGGGCACGTCAGCCTTGTCCCTGGACAAACAGGGTATGGAGGTTCGAGAGACTTGAAGGGTACCTAATTAACTCGCAATCGATTTGTGGCTCGAATTAGACCCTTGACGCCTACCCCAGTCGTGCAGAAGCCTCACGCGCTAGCCCGCAATTACCTGCAGGACACATCCGCAGAAGGATGAGTGGGGATGTTTTTGTGGGCAGACGTTCTTGCGGCCCTTGCTGCGCAAAAATTGGACTCCGCGATTTCCAAGGTGTAGCTCCGGTGGCTGCCGTGTGTGGTGTGTGTTGTCTGTAGCCGCCCAAACATGATCGCCCGCCAGACCCAGATGGATCTCTTGTACGGATGCCCAGCCTCCACTCTGCTCCTGGTCCACGTAAATGATAACTCTTGGGAGATAAGCGAAGGTGAAAAGGGCCCTGTCTTTCTGGATTACGTGAATCTTCAGTCGCATAGCAACTCGAGGGTGTTGTCTCGGTGGCACATGTGACGGCTTCCACGCCGACACGGAATTCAGTGTATGGTCCCAACAGGCCATCTTGCATCTGGTTTTACGTTCTGTGTGCGGCCATGACTCCCGCCGCTTGCACCAGCAACATGACCTCAGAGTTCGCGTACTGTCAGTACAACGACAAGGACATTACATAAGTCGAGCGAGTCACTTGCCACTGCGGCGATAGTCCTATCTGCAGTCGAGCTATCGCTTGTGGGTCGCGAAGTTCAAAGAGCCGTTTCCTAACGTAGTGCTGGTAGTCAAGCAGCTGGGCCCTGATCTTCTGATCGCCGCGTGGGTTCCTGCCTGCCGTGCGCTAGCTAGGCATGCGGTCAGTCGTAGGTGCAGATATACGACGAGCTTGATAGCAAGGTAGTTTTTGCGGCCCTTGATTTGGCGCGGTGCCTTGGAACGCGGTGCTGTCAGGGCCTGGCTCGTTGTCGGGGAGCGTCCACTTGGGATACTACCGTGGATCGCGGCAGGAGGACGGCAAGCCGCGGGGTGACAAGAGTAGCACTGCTGCAGGGTCGAGAGACACACTGGATGCAGTGCTACCGAGGCCCCTGAGCGCGAAGAAGTTCTCGAAGCATTGCCGTCGATGGCTGGTGTTGTGGTGGTCACAGCCGAGTGTGGCATTGGTAGTTGGCACGCCGCAGACAGGCGCCCAGGTTCATCTGGTGGTTGAGCTCAGGGTGCGTGCCCAATTGGGGTGGGTGGGCAGGTGCGTTGCTCTGGTAGTGCCAGCGACGCAATCGGGAAGGCGCGGCCTCGTGTATGGTATTGAGGGTTGGGCCATTCCACAACCTTGGACAGACCTTGGACTTCATGTGCTGCCGCCTACCACTTGAACAGAGAATCAAACACTATAGGCGATACCACATCCTCGAAACCCGGCCTTGGATAGAAGAAGGGTCCTGGCTCAACGCACGAGCTTACTGACAGATCCACGGCAGTGGATTAGTGCTGCAGCAAGCTCCGTCCAGCAGTCTGGGGAGTAGTTTTCGTGACTAAAGGATTCATGGGAAACGGCAGAAGCGACCACAACCCCGGACTGTCACACGCGGGGTATCTCGACCTCCAGCAAGACGGATCCTGGCGGGTCGTCAATGGTTGTCAATGTGAGAATATGCGATATGCTTGCCGCTGACGATGTCGAAAGCTGCCTGTCCTGCTTGCCCCTCACAGGGAGGGAGGTGCCCGTCTCACTGCCAGCCCGCCGCCCACCACTTGCTATCGTTACGCAAAAACCCCCAAAGGCACATGCCGCGAGCATGCGCGCTAGAAGCGCAGAAGGGTCAAGGAAGCATGCATCGAACTGCGCTAGCGGGAGACACACACCTTGGCTCGAATTGGGTGTGCTAGAGGCGCGCATCGCACGCTGGCGCCGCTGCCCAATGACCTGAGAGAACGCACAGCAGGCCCCACCCCGGCGCCGATAAGATAGTCCGGCGCGCACACCTCCCGTCGGGGAAATACGGCCCCTGGTCGCCAAGTTCTTCGCCCACCCCGGGTCACTGCAGTCATCCTGGTCCGTCCTGCTCAACGGCCAAGCCCACCGCTCCTTACCACCACAACCACAGCAGCAGAGGCACTCGGCACGGCGGCCAGAGCCAGGCCCGCCCATGCAATCGCAGGTGGAGGATTGCGCCATGGCGGTGCACGTATCAATCCTGAGCATCTTCCTCGTCGTCTCATCTCTCGAGCCGCCAGAGCGGGCTGGGGCCCCCACGGCCGCCGGCAGCCTCGCACCGCGTCGACACTGCTCTACGAGTATGAGGAAGTCCACCACCTCGCGGTCGTGCAACTCGGCGTGATTCCACCATGTGGCAAGGCCGTTGCTTCACATTGGATCATCATCCAAGAAGTTGGCAACATCGCTCAAGCCACAGCTCTCACCGGCTCTCCCATTGGCCACAGGCTAGTCGGGGAATTTGCACCCGCCGAAGAACCCGTCCTCCAGGCTATCCCTTATCGGTGCCATGGCCCGAGCAGGGGAGCGCTATCATTCGTGGGTCTTCAGCGTGCTATTTTAGAGGCCGTCTGGGGGCCTCGAGGTCTAGTGCTTGCTAAAGCACGCCCCCCAACCGCTGTTCTCTCGCACGGGCGACATCACGACCATGGTTGGTGTCGGTCACCCTCCGTGGTCTAGGTGCTGTACGTCACTAGAACATGGTCGGCCAATCATTCGTGCTCCCTCGCTCAAGGGAGGTGTGCTACTCTTTCCCAGAGTTCTGACGCTTGTCGGCACTCACAAAAACGAACGTTAGCTGGCTCAAATGAGACACAAACAGAGGCGACTGCCGCTAAGCCTGGATTTAGTGCATCCACAATGGGGATGTGCTGACTTCTGTTACTGGTTCGAAATGCACTTCGGGCGCAACGTAGCATCGCAGCCTCTTTTTAGCATTCCGCTAAGCGGCGTGGCAGGTAGATCATTAATCCCACCAGTTACTAGTGAGGTACGAGTTCTGGCTGTGGAGACGAAGCCTCAACAATGAAGCTGGCCGACAGTTGGAGACTGAAGCCGTTTGCGTTTCCGTCCACAAAGCCGTAAATAGCCTGCTGGCGGTTCCTCTTCTTTATGAATAACAAGTTCGTCTGCGCATTAGTCGATCGACACTGGACGTGGAGATGAGGCTGTGCCACAAAACAGAGCCGAGAGGGCTTGCGCGAACCTTAGGTCCGCCAGCAGCGTACACTATTCTCCAACAATGCCGAGGTTGATCTTAGTCAATCAGATAAATCAGATGCTTGGGCGAGCGTCGGCCGTTGATGAGTGGAAGCTGATGCTGAACGCGATGGTTGGAATATTATGTGCAAACGCAATGATCTGCCCACAACACTATGACTGTCGCCATTTCGCACATCAAACCATGGCAATTGCTCGCCACTCTAAGCTCGAGGGACATGAACCATGCCACAGTTTGACCAGAGTAGATACCGCCCTGCATATGAATTACAGCGTGAAGGCTTCTCATGGCTGTCAGAGGGCCTGCGAAAATATGTAATGAAATGAAGGCATAACAAAATTCTGAGTTAAATTCAGTCCCGCATGTTGTACCATAAGAGAAAAAAAGAACCCCAGACAACAGAAACCTCCTGTATAGAGAGGACCAGAATGATTGATCCGAGAGGCATCAAGCCAGACAATACCACCATTCATGTCTCCAGTTGAGTCTAGAATGAGCAATCACGACCAACTTCCTCCTTCAGGCAACAATTGGTGAGCACCAACGGCTCGCATGACGATCCCATGTAAGATTTTGCTCACACAGATGAAGTATCTGAAGGCGAGGTATCTCAGTCGTACCTACAAGCGCGGATGCCTTAATCAATCGAATACTTTCTCTACCGTGGATCACCTCGCGATCCGGTCCTAGATCATGATGGACATACAAATTGCAAATGTACCGCCATCGACAGACCAGAGACAGTGTCACAGACACTCTTCAAACCGCATATCAAAGCACAGCATGTTTGGTCAGGGAGGTGCAGAATTCCTGGTGGTTGGATGGGCTCGTTACACCAAGTGCGTCAGTGGCAAAAGTTGTCATATGAGCCTCCGGGGCCAGGCTGTCGGGGAGAGAAGGTGATGTTCCGCGGAGATACGGGAAATGTTGATCAGCGAGGTACTTCGTGACGATGCGTACACTTCGAGTCACGATATTCCTTCCAGTTTGCATAAATCTCCCACAGCGGGCATTCTAGTATTTTGTGGGATGAGTCGACATACGTCTACTGGCTTATTGTCGCATTGTCCGTGTGTCGTGAGAACTGGACGCCTGGCATCCAGTTGACGCGAGAAACAATTGTCCCAAAGTGCAAAGCTGCCCAATTGAATCGGCTGCGATCGAGATTGGCCTCTTCCACCACCACCACCATCATCATCATCATCATGCAGGCCAAGTTCTTCCATTTTATCCAGAATGGTGCAATCCCTGCCGGGAAGTACATGATCCCCTTGTCCAATTGGCGCACGGTTGTTGAGGTGCCCGGGAGCGTGTTGGAAGAGGCAAGGGTCCAGACACAAAGAACTCGCCTTCCTCGCCATCCCGCGCGGGGGTCCATGATCCTCCTCTCCTCCTCCTGCAGCTTCTGACCTGGCAGTCAGCGACCGAATTCATCGTGAAGGGTCTCGCTGCATTGGCGACCTGCAGCAGTTCTCTCGATCGAGGGTTTCCTCCAAGCGAGGGGCCAGGCAGGCAGGTAGGATACGCTGCAATGCCAACCCCCGGTCCGCGCATATTCTGTATGCATGCGGGCATGGATTGCGGCGAGCAAAGGACCCTTTCTCCTCTGGAATGTATGCGGATTGGCGCGCCCGCTCAAGCCAGGAAAAACCCCAAGGTTTCTTCAGCAAGATCCTTTGCTCATTGGGGGAAAAGTTGTCAAGTCTGATCGGCGAGCTGCTGGGACACCCCCTTGTCCAAGGACCCCGAAATCTGACAGCGTGTGGTTCGTGATGCCGGGTGGTGTTGTTCACAATATGCAAACGGCAACATGGATTAAAACGAATTGCGCAAGATGACTTCCGCCGTTGATGATAAGGAGGCATTTGGCAGTGCACACAGCATGCGAGTGATACCACGCAAAGGTGCGGCTTGCATTTGACAGAGTGATGAATTCTGTTCTCCCTGCCGTGGTGCACCTCGAAAGGCAATTTCAAGCACCTGCTGTCGTCAGTGCCATTTTGAACGGGCATTCTTTAACCATGGGGCTCCTTTGAGCTATAATTGCGAGCCCTAGAGCAGGCCGCACTGTATAGATCAAAAGTCTGCAGAGTCTTCGCGCAGGGAAACACTGTTGGCCGCAATGAGGGACAGCTCCTCGACCTGGGTTTGTTCAAAGCAGAACCCCCCAAAAGTTCATCTTGGATATTAGGTTTAGGAAACGGCATATGCACCAACCAAGTCCCAGAAACATAAATTGCGTAATTGCGTAATTGAAAGAAGAGACTTCACAATCGCTGCATAATTTCTTGGAGAGGAATTCCGGAAGATACGTGCTCGAGTAAATAAATTATTTAGAACAGCAAGAAATAGAGATGTGTGTAAGTCGCGACTCTATCAAGTTTCGTGGTGAACGGAGAACTATATCGTAGTGAAAGGAGCTCATCGAGATATCATGGCCCACAGCTGCACATGTCCTGTGGCGCCACCACGTCGTTCTGAACCGTAATCGCGCCTCCGACAAGAGGCATCAGCACTGCCATGTATCCGCAGAACAAGACGAAGAGCCCTTCTAGCGACAAGTCAAGATGTGCGCCACAAATGACAACGACGGTGCCCCCAAAGATCACCACACCCAGTGACTGGGCTCCTGAAAGATTGGGAATAAGGATGGCTGCGGCTGGGATCGTCAAGAGCAACCCGAAACCAATGACTACCAAGGCGGTCCATGTCCTGTGCAGATTCGATGGTGATAGTCTCAACTCTTTGCCGTTGTCGTTGTCGTCGTCGTCGGATCTCCTCCGGCAAAGAAAATGGAGCGCCAGCTGCCTTCCACGTTAGTCACTTCATCTTTATCACGGGGGAAGAAGGGGGAGGGGGGATGGTAGGGTCCGTCCAACCCAGCCGCTTCATGGCAGACTTGTGGAACAAGCACGCAGGCAATGGTTGTTGACAGAATGCCATCTCATAGACACCGACGTACAGTGAGATAATTCTTGTCATCCATGATGAAATCGAGACCGAATAATGACTTGCCCCGAGGATTCGTGACGAAGTCATCTATATAAAAGAGCCAAGCATTGTCTGCAGGGTTGAGCCGCCCTCGGTCAAGCATACTCTCCACTGTATTTTTCCAGACCTTGTGGGTAACTTTTGTCCAAGATCGATATTTCTCGATTGTTTCCACGAGCTTGTCTGTCACTAGTGTCAGCAGTTGCCACCGCTCTGTGGATCATCAGGCCATACCGTTCTTGTCGAGGAGTGCTGTCCCTTCCTCGAGACAATCGAGTCTCTGCTGCTCCAGATCGGAGAGCGACTGCTGCAGAGCCCGAAGCTTGATTTCGGCTCCGTCCTCCTCTGCTCCTTCACGCATATTGGGAGGGGAAGAAGGGTCACCGGCCGCCAAATCTTTGAGCTGGGATCTCATTCGGGCAGGATAGGACTGGACCAAAGCCCTGAACTTCGCTATGTTGTTCTCAATTGCCTCACGAGTCCTTCGATTATTGTGGATCTGGGCGCAGGAATGAACATAGGCCACTTTACGTTCGTGTAGGAATAACCGATAGATCAAGTCATTCGTCTCGTTCGCCTGGGATGCAATCGCACGGTCCCATCCCTCTTGTGCGTTTTCAACTAGTTACTTGTCAGCTGTGTTACGTTCGGATCACGTTCTTGAAAGAAAGTGGGGCTCATACGTATCTTCTTGTTCGTCATGAATAGTTCCGGGTCGAGGTGCAGGGTATCGTTGACCAGTCCATCTTTTGCATGGAACTCGGCACTTGAGTCCCGCACTGCATCAAGGTCGGTGGCCGTACTTTCTGGGTATGCCATATCAATGTGTACGCCCTCGAAGGGGGTCTGAGCCGGGCTAGTTAGTATCGTCGCCCAACGTGTGGACCAAACACAGGATGAAGGAGTGGCCTACTTCAGCGCCGCTCACAGAGCCTGCGCGGTCTTGGAACTCAGCCTGTGTCGCCATGTTGTACACTGTCGTCTGATTGCTGGCTGGGAACCTGATGGCACTGTCTGCACCCTCAAGACGGGACACGGCCATCCTTTGGCAGTTTTATACTCGCAAGACACGGCACTTTGGCCGCCGCTCCCTCTGCCTTGGACGACAGCAACAACCCATCATGCCACACAGATATTTACACCGCTAGATTGACAATGTAAAATGGTTGCATGCCAATGTGGGCGGACATTCACGCTGATACGGTCGGTGTCGTGGCCGTTGATGTGAAGGGCTCCTCCCAGATCACCGTCCAGCGTTGTTGTGGCATGGCCGGGCTGCATATCTTCTTCGACAGCCTCACTGGCACGCCATTTATGCCGGCCGCTGGGAGGGCCCGAGCCGCCAAGCGCGCCGTTGTTGGTTGCACCTTCGAGCCAATACCGGCTCAAGCGAGCTTCGAGATGGTGTGCGGACCAAGTAACCAGCGAACAGAATTATGCATGAAGCGGTCTTGTTGTTGGCCTTGGGCATAAAATGGTCAGGTGCTGGTGGCTGAGCTGGTAAGGCTGGGCTGTTGGTGCCCTACTTGAGCCGACCGGTCTAGCACGGCCGAGGCGCTGCCGTGTATCACTGAGAGCCGAGATTCTTGACGGAGAGAGTGTGAAAGAGCGTCTGCGATGGTTCTTGATGTTGCCGGTATCTGCCATAGTCTGTCTCTAAAAGGAGGAGAAGAGGAAGAAGAAGAGGAAGAAAATGGAACCCGCGCTAGCCATGCCACGGGCGCCTGAGACTCTGGCCAGGGCCACATATCTCGAGGCAGGCCCTGTACTTTGGAGAGAGGCTCGTTGTACTACCACCTCCCTCCATCAAGGACCGGTCAATCGCCGCCCCCAAAGGCAACAACCATCATGTATGGCAGCCACATTGGAAGAGAGGGCGGATGGGGGCCAAGAACACATTCGGTGAGTTCTGAGGGAGGGTTACATCTGCGAACAAGTGGGACCTGTCAGAGGTGGTGGGTACGGGGAATGTTCAGCACACATTCTCGAAGATGACGACGCCAGTCGGCGCACATCCATCAGGTGCCGTTGCGCGGCCCGACATGAACCATGCAGACCGGTTTTGGACATTCTCAACATGTGCTGGCGCGGGCGGAGTTCGCATCGAGTTCACGTGCACACGCCACCTCGTCAAATCATGCATTGCTGCAAGTCAAGCATCCCGATACCTCGACCTTGCTAGTGACGGTCATCAGTACGTTGCGCAGAGATTCGTCAAAAGTGAATCACAATCAATCAGTCGTCATTCCTCATTCTCATTACCCATAAGTCCCATTATCGCCACCAAAAAGAACCATCCAAACGCCTTCGCGTAATCACAGCCGCCATGGAAAGCCGGCCGAGGCCAGAGCCTTACATTGATCGCTGCCGCACCGCTTGCCATGCTTTTTTGAGACGCCTAAGAGTCGGAACACCAACCTGACTTTCCTGATAAATAATGAAAACGAAGCTTCGAAGTATGCAATAATGCCGAATGTCATGCATGACCGTAGAGCGCCAAAGCCAGGCTATGGATTATCCACGGCGATGTAGTTAGTTATGCCCACTTGGAAAAATCGACGCTGTCCACAACCGATTCCACAGCGCTGGCGTTGTTGAGCTCGGCAGTGTCAGAGTTGGTCGTAGACGCCAAAGACGATCGTTGGGATACATGCTGAGGCGGCTGTTCGCTGTTGTTTGAGAAGAACGTCGCTACGGACGACCGGCGCAGGGTGCTAAAGCTGTCTCGCATTGCATTGCCCACTCGCAGAGTGTCGTGCTGAGGCTGTGCCGTGGCTGACTTGAGACCAAACTTCTCCCGGAGACGTATAATTTCCCGTAAACGATTCCGCCACGGCGAAATGTTGTCACCACCACTGTCGCGTGTGGACCACACCAAGCAGAAAACAGACGCATTGAGAGCCAGCAGTCGGATGAATGCGGGCAAGGCTTTGAGGCTGACAATCTTGGTGTCCGATGCTGGTGATATCTCCGGGAAACCAGGCTTGCTCATAACTTGGACCTTGTAAAACGACGTCTGCTGGACCCCACTGGCTGCCTGCTGCCGGGTTGCCACAAAGGAACCCCTCGACTCAGGCGTGATGACGATGTTGACATAGTTGAAATCAGAAGGAAACGTGTCGAACTTGAAGGGGGACCCAGAGTCATTGAAGATGATGTTGACAAAGTCATTGCCGATATGTCGTTTCTTGAGGGTGCATCCTGGATCGTGCTCGATGTTTGTCGGCATTTGCGTAGTCACATGGAACACCATCTCGGTGACACGATCCCTCCAACAGAATGTGTACTCGCCATCAGTACCGTACTGCCGATCCAGCCCCTGCGTATTGAAGGAAGCCCCTTTCAACTTCGTCAGTGTACCTAGACGATTCAGGAACTCCACATAGTCGCTACTGCCGGACACATTTGCCAGTATCTCCGTCTCGTGAGTCTGATTCTCCCCAATGTATATAACGCCAACTTTGTGCCCATCGACAGTAGAGTTGTGATCAAACATGCGAATCGCGCGCTGCACCGCATCATCATCCGGCAGTGGAATCGGGCGAGTGTGATCATGCCCTTGCGGCAGGGACGTCAGAAGTGACACGAGAAGGTGGTTTGGAAGGATATCATTGGCAAGCGCCGCGTCTTCGTCTCTCCCGAGATCGCCCAGGCCTTTCTGGTGAGGAGGTGGCTGTTGGTAGTTTTCGCGGATCATATACGAGGAGGTACCGGACGGATGTCGTTTTGTGATTTGCGCCCAGCCTGACGCCGTTGCTTGCTCAATGGTGACGATACTATTGCCAACGAGCCAACGCCTCTTGTTGATCGGCCCGAACCGCTCGGAAGTGAAGAGCGGATCGGCTGCAGATTCCACGACGTCTGCATACGTGACTCGCTGCATGAAGTCGATGGTAGTTTGTGCTTGCTCATCGGACGCCTGAGATCCGTCCGCATCCATGAAAAGATTCTTCGCTATCCAGCCGACATGAGCTGCACGGTCCGGCAGCTTCAACGCCAGAAACCAGTACACGATGACATGGTATGCAAGAGCATACACATACTGAGGTAGGTCATCGGTTGCATTCGGAATCGGCCGAATGTCTGGATGGCCGGCTTCTGAGGCTTGTGTCTCGGCCTGCGTGTACGGTTTGTGGACTTGTCTCTTCTCGCGTGCGTATTGCAGATATCTGAAGCATATGCCGAACACGATCCGGAATTCCTCCTGGTGAAAGTTCGCGTATAGCTGCGGCAGCCGACTGAGACACGTCAGGAATTCAAGGATATGCATTGCGACGTATGGCTGTGTAATGATTTGGGACATCTTCGACAGCATGGTGACGAGCATTTTACTCGTCGAGGAGGGCAGCTCGTGGCAGCAGATTGAAAGAGCATGGATGCAAATCTTAGCGCTCCGCTCCCAGTGCGCGATGCCTTGCACGAAGGTCCGAACAATGTCATCTTCCTCAGCCTTCTGAAAATGGTGGTGATAGCTGAGGATCATGGTCAGGGATTGAAAGTAACAAATAGCAACGTCAGCACGCCGGAGTCCATGTGTACTAGGCGGTTCTGGCAGGCTGTTGTTTCGCAACTGCTCACAGACGAGTCGTCGAAGTTCCTGCATCTGTGGAATTGCCATTTTGAACAGTGCATGGTTGCTGAGCTGGGAGGGAAGATGCACAAGCATGAAGCTGTACACCTCCCAGTCAGACCCTTCTTTCAAGAGCTCCAAGACAGCTTCCAGCCATAGACTAGTCCGTAGCACACATACGTCGGTAGCAGCCGCTTGATCCTCGGACGCGGTACCTGGTTCTGGTGAGGTGGAGAAGAGGACTGGGCTTGCCAGCTGTGAGGTGTTTGGGGGTAGTGCTTCGGGGTCGGGTAAAATCCACATTGGTTGATTGTGCGCCTGAAGTGGTCGCACTCCGCTGGAAGATCTTGCTGTTGCTTGTAATCGATCTGAGGAATGCAGTTGCGAGAAGGATGTCCCACGACTCGGTCTTACTGGCCCTACACCGTCCGTCTTGCTGTGCCTGCTGCCTTGAGCAGCTTCTTCTGCCTGCTTCCGCACTAAGGCAGCTTCAGTCCGCACAAGCTTGGCAGCCATTGGGATCGACTCAGTGTCGTAGAGAAGGAAAATGCGGTTGGCCCAGTCTGCTCTCAGTCGGAATAGCATTTTCATGGCAGTCAGCCGGGCGTCGACTTCACACGTTTCCAGCTTCGACATAACCACGAGCGTCTCGAATAGGTGGATAGCCTTGGCGGAATCATGTCCCATGACATTTACGAACAGTCTGACATAGCCCTTCGCAACCACATTCGACGGTGTTGTTGACTGAAGTCCTCGCGTGGTGTCCTGAGTCGAGCTCGAAGCGGAGCTCGTGGTCTCAGGCTCCATTGGTGTGCGCAATCGCTCTCCGCCAATAACGCCTCGAAGAGTGTCCACGATGGTGCGGAACAATTCGTAGTTGGCCGTGGTGGCAACAGCACAAGAGAAGGCCATCAACTCTTCAAGAAGTAATACGTCTGTTTCCTCCGAGACTCCGACCAAGAGTCGTCGGATGAGTTCCGGCACGAAGCCGGGCTCAATGTGATCGTCTATTAGCTCAATCATGTCGTAAAGCTCCGTGACAATCTGCAGAGCTCTGGACCGGACTTCTGTCGATCGGCCCTTGTCGGAGAAAAAGTCGTGCAAAACGCTCTCAAGCTTCGTCTCCCAGTCCGCGTCTGATGGGAAACAGCACCGGAATTCCTTGTAGTAGTCTAGCACTGCCAGCGCTGCCGAGTCGGGAAGTAACTGATGCAGCTTAGCAAGAAAGTCGATACAGTCCTCCCGCTGAAGTAAGGGCGTGACCGATGTGTTGATGAGCATCTCGATGCGAGAGACCAACTTGAGAACCTCATCGGTGATGGTGATTTCTGGCGTGAGAAATTCCTCGCGTGCATTTGGAGATTTGACGACCTCTTCTCTGGTACTGTTCTGTCCAATAGCGATGCCTGCGCAGGCGACGGCGACCTGGAGCAATGGGGCCCAGTCCTCGTCGCTCAGGATCGTATTTACTTGCGTCCCTTCGTCTTCGAATAAGACGTTGAGCAGGCGCAGGACGTCAAGCTGGACACGCCAGCTCGACGTAGAGTCGACAGCCTTACTCAAGCCATCGACTAGTAACGTGAACGGTATCGCCGGGTAGCCCTTTTCAGAACTTTTCGCAACCAGCTTCTGGAGGATGGAAAGCGCGCCCCGGAGTTCTCGTACGTTTTGCTTCTTTGTCTCCTGCTTCTCTTCTCTTTCGGGCGTGGTGCTAAGCACTTCAATCAACTGTCTAACAGTTGCGGCCCCGTTGTGGGAACGGCACAACACACGGAACGTGTGCCACGACGCCTTCTCGAGTGACGGCACCAGAGAATGGATTGAGCTCAGCACATGCACGCAGTTCTTGTGTTTGGTCTGTGGGATCGCGCCGTAAGTCACGATTGACTCCAACACGTCAATACAAGCTCTTAGATCGTCTTCGACACTGGCTGTCATGCAGATCTTCAGTAGCGAATCAACGAGTGACTCCACCGCTTCTTCATTGGCTGCGCTGATGTTGAACTTGATGAGATCTCTGATGGATGCGAAGAGATTTATGAAGTTCTCCTCTTCAGGCAACAATATGGTCTTGCCTTTGAAGCGCAGTCCAGATCGCTTCGCAGCGCTCCGAGCGCTCTTGACGGCGTTGAATGCCTGCATGAGCCAGGTTGACAGGAGTGGGAACACCTCGTAGTCAAAGCCCGATATATTGCGACCGTTCCTAGTCAGCTCAGCAAGAGCTGCAAGCTGGAACTTGAAATCTTGAGGGCTTGTATTGGAAGAGATGGTCTGGAAAAATTCTTTCCTCTCCAGCCCGGTCGACGAGGGATGCCTGACACACGCCGTCAACAACTCCCAACCAGCAGCGCGCGTGCCCTCGGAGTTGGTTGAGTCTACAAGGTCCTTGGCGGCATACCATATGTCGAGCACCTTGTGTTGTCAAGTCAGTATACTGTCCGTTGCTTGGCATGGGACGATACTTACTGGATTCAAAGGGTAATCGATGACTGCCTGACGTAGAGCGGCTGCAGCCGCGACTCGCTCGCTCACAGTGGCACCATTGCGTAACTGGTTGAGCGCTTGGACGTGCTGCTGTGGCACTCCGTGAGTGATGGGTGCCGAGGCCTTGAGTTGCTGAGCAACCTGGGCACTCACAAATAACTCTGCCGGTTGGACAGGCGGCACGGGGCCGCCGCCCGGCAGTTTTGTGAGCTTTGTCGCTCCCGTCAGGCCTTTGAAAACGCTGGCAAAAGAGCCGGGAGCCCTGGCATCTTGTTGCGAAGCGCCCTCTTCCCCAGGCGATGAAGGCATTGGTGGGTCGGGTTCGTCATCAGTCTTCCGCACGTCCGCTATGCACTCAAGGGCATAGAAGTTGCTTAGGGCTTCTTCCGTGACTGATGGCTCTGCCGCCCGTAGCTATTGACAGGCTCTCAAGCTGCAAGCGCAGACAAGTGATCACTTCGGACGAGGTATCTGTCGCACAGGGCGATGTCCTGTGGATTCGAGCGTGGGATGGAATCTGGGAGTATCGACAGAATCGCAGAATTGCGCGCTTCGGGCCCAAGAGCTGCTCAAGCGGAACCGCTGGGGTGGACTCTTCTAGGATCACGAAAGCGCTCTGAGCGAAGTCGTCAGAAACGGGTGACCCGCGCGAGGCAGTGAGAATGGATACGATCCAAGGCCAGTGGCAGCTAGGCGTACCCTTCTGGGTGGCGACACGCTTTTGGATGTGCTGTGCGCCGAGCAGTACCGGTAGTCGTGGAGGTCAGATTGCAGACGCTCTGATGATGAGGACAGTGATGCTCCCTCCTTGGGGCAGCTTGCCATCAACTGCCGACCTTGGGTGGATTCTGGGCACACGGCGCTCGACGTATCTGCATGGCGAGCTTGGGTACCCGGCGTCCGAGCCTGGGCAGGAAGAGACTTGCGATAACGATAAGGTACTTTTCTTCGGTTTGTGAGGGTTCACTCTTTGAGCTGGGAGGGGCCGAGGCCGATGCAATCCGCGCCAGGCCAGCCCTGGAGAGGCCTAGCCTAGGGTCCAGCGCGCTGAGCTGGACAGCACCTAAGGTAGGCGGGCGGGCGGCAGCTCCAAGAGCTGTCCCTCTTCATGCTGTTGCGTTGCCCACGGCGCGGCGGGGCAGCGCAATGGGTGCCTGTCCAGGCGCCCGCCCACCTGGGCTCGTGCAGTGCAGCGCAGCTGTGCCTGTTGCCTCGACGGCGGTCCCGCTCGTGCAGGACCACAATGTCAATAAAAAACGACCCGCATTTGAGCTTGAGCTGGCCCGTCACCGCAATCCCCATACAAACAAAGCAAACAGCCCTTCTGCATCCAGTGCTGGTGCTCAACTTCCGCAAGCAGCCCCTCTGCACCATCATCGGCTGCCTCGTCGTTCATCCTGCCATTTCCCCTCGAGCTGCAGAGACCATGTCGTCAGATCTCGGCGAGATCGCCCAGCTGCTGGACGCCACCCTCGACCCGTCCAAGCACAAGAAAGGTGCCGCTACCCCTCGATCCATTGCTGCCCGCATTCTTTCCCCCATGCGTGTACTGGGCCAGGCTGCTGACTCTACTCTCTCTTCACAGCCGAGAGCGCTCTCAAGCTAGAAGAGAAGAAGCCGCAGTACTCTCTTCAGCTCCTCAAGATCGTCGCTAGCGATTCGTTCCCCCAAAAGATCCGACTTTCGGCGTCCCTGGCCTTCAAGAACTTCATCAGGCACAACTATGTGGTCAGTCTCCATCTTGCTCGCATACGCGCTTGGCGGGTACAAGAATGCAATAGCCGCTAAACCACATTGCTTTGTTTAGGACGACGAAGGACGATACAAGCTCCCCACGGATGAGGTCAACACGATAAAACAGGAGCTGATCGGCCTGATGATCGCATGCCCTGCCACCATTCAGACACAGCTGGGCGAGGCCATTAGCATCATTGCCGACTCCGACTTCTGGGAGCGATGGGACACACTCGTGGGGGACCTCGTCTCGAGATTCTCCGCAGACAACTACAAGGTCAACAATGGTGTTCTGGAGGTCGCCCATTCCATCTTTGTGCGATGGAGACCACTGTACCGATCCGATGACCTCTACCGCGAAATCAACCACGTTCTCAACACATTTGCCGGGCCATTCTTGAGTCTTCTGAGCATGACTGACCAGGCCATTGACGCCAATCAGAACAACAAGGAGAACTTGAAGGGATACTTTGACACCATGAGCCTTCTTATCAAGGTCTTCTACGATCTCTCGTGCCAGGACATGCCACCGCAGTTCGAGTCCAGCCTCCCACAGATCTCGGCACTTTTACACAAGTACTTGACGTATGAGAATCCTCTACTCGTGACGGACGACGACTCCGAGGCGGGTGTTCTGGAGAACGTCAAGGCCGACATTTGCGAGGCCCTCGAGCTGTACATCAACAAGTACGACGATGAGTTCAGCCAATATACGCAGACCTTCATTTCAAGCGCCTGGAATCTCCTGTCGGCGGTCGGTCCGGAGACCAAGTACGATAACCTAGTTTCCAGAGCTCTCCACTTCCTGACGGCGATCGCTGGTACCACGAAGCACGCCGGCGCTTTCCAAGACGAGAATGTGCTCAGTCAGGTGGTAGAAAAGGTTGTGTTGCCCAACGTGGCCCTGCGGGAGTCCGATATTGAAATGTTCGAGGACGAACCCATCGAGTTCATTCGCCGCGATCTCGAAGGCTCCGACAGCGACTCCAGGCGGAGGGCGGCCACAGACTTTCTCCGACAGCTACAGGTCAAGTTCGAGTCCCTGGTCACCAACGTCGCTGGCAAATACATCAACCACTACCTGGAGCAGGGCAAGTCGAACTGGAAGGACAAGGATACTGCTATTGCCCTCTTCCTGGCTGTTGCTGCCAAGGGTGCTGTCACCGCAGCTCAGGGTGTAAAGAGTGTCAACCCCCTGGTCAATGTGGTGGACTTTTTCCAGCAGCACATTGCCAATGACCTGATCTCAGACAGTGGGGTTCAGCCAATCTCGAAGGTCGACGCGATCAAGTATCTGTACACTTTCCGCAGCCATCTGACCAAGGATCAGTGGCAGGCCGCCTTCCAGCCTCTGATCCAAAACCTGGGCTCATCCGATTACGTTGTGTACACTTATGCTGCCATCGCCGTCGAGAGGCTGCTCTTCCTCAGTACGGATGATGGCGCCAAGGTGTTTGGCCGTGGCGACATTGAGCCTTTCGCGAAAGACCTTCTGAATCACCTGTTCACGCTGGTCGAGAAGGAGAAGTCGGCCGCTAAACTGCAGGAAAATGAGTATCTCATGCGCTGCATCATGCGTGTCCTGATTGTCATGAACAACGGCATGGCTCCTTTCGCGGACATGGTGCTCGATCATCTGATTGGCATTACCAACATCATCAAGGAGAACCCCAGCAACCCACGATTCTACTACTACCACTTCGAGGCTCTTGGCGCTGTGGTCAACTTCACTCCACAGGAGGGGATTTCTCTCCTCGAGGATCGTCTGTGGCAACCTTTGAACCTTATTCTTACCGAAGAGGTCACCGAGTTTATGCCATACGTCTTCCAGGTCTTCGCCAAGCTTCTGGAGAAGAAGCCTACCGGCGCATTGCCGACACATTACCAAGCGCTCATTGCGCCTCTGCTGATGCCCACCTTGTGGGAGACTCGCGGAAATGTGCCAGCTCTCACCCGCCTACTTGCGGCTATCATCCCCCGGTCAGCGGAGTCGATTGTTGCACAGAACCAGGTCGAGCCGATCTTGGGTATCTTTCAGCGACTTGTCAGCAACAAGCGCACCGAGATCGATGCTATGGACCTCCTTGACACTATTGTCAAGTCTCTACCAGCGTAAGTGCTACGCATGATCTCATGATACCAGCTATCGCTAACAGATTCCACAGTGACACGGTCAAGCAGTACCTCAAGGAGATTCTCACTCTCCTTTTCACGAAGCTCAACGCTACGCCATCAGACTCTTTCAAGCAGCGATTTGTCCGTTTCTACCACATCTGTTCTGCCAACTTGGAGTCTGGACTTGGTGCCGATGTTTTCATCCAGACCGCCGACCAGATTCAGCAGAAGATCTTTGTCCCAATCTACCTGACGATCATTCTCCCGGTGTCTGACCAGCTCGTGGCGAACGAGCGTCGCGTCGCGGTGATCTCGTTTGCAAAGACTCTTGGCGACAGCCAAGCCTTTGCCGTTCAGTATGCCAAGGGTTGGCGCTTCACGTGCGAGGCTATGCTGAAAATGCTTGCCAACGCACCAGCAGTGACCATGGGCACGGGTGACGAGGTTGTAGAGGCGGATGTCGACGACATTGGTTTTGGTCTCGGCTTCACCGCCTTACGTACGTGCAAGCAGGAGCGCCGGCTTGACTTCCCCGAGATTCAGGACCTGCAGCAATGGGTCCGTCAGTACATTACACAAGCAGATGCCCGGCATAATGGCGCGGTGGGTAAATATGTGCAAGAGCGGTTGGATGACCAGGGCAAGCAGGCCTTGGCGGCATACATGGGATAGATCTGATTGATACCAAAAGCGTTGAGCATAAGCAGACAATGGAGAATTTTGTTTATACACAAGCCGAGCATATGACGTTGCACAAATGTTGGATGACCGGGTTCTGGCAGAAGTCAGCAAGCGAGGGTCCCTGGGCTGAGGATACTTATGCAATTGCTTCTAGCAAGCAGAGCTTGCCCTCGTCCCGTTGGGTTCATTCGTGTCTCAAGAACCAGGTCCGTCCCGTGAAGCCACTACGCTACATCAGATACCTGCCACTTGAAGCCACGGACGGAGCCTCACACAATTTAGATCTAATTAGTCGTGGAAAAACCAGTCTCCCACCATCACCGCTCGCAAGGTTACAGGGTCCGTCATACGCTACTGCGCGTCTTACTCATCGCCCCCTTTTCCTTCTCTCTCGCTCTGTCTCACTCACTCTCTTCTTCTCGAGAAGCTTTCAGGGAATTAAGGGGGGGGGGGGGATGCTGAGCTCGGTAGTCAGCACCACCTACCACAGACCTGATCCGAACCTACATGCACGCACGCACCAGGGCAGCTGAGAGCGCGGTTTGCGTATGTGCGTGCGTGCAGGTGTGGAGAGGAGGAGGAGCCGTTTGCTTCCGTCCTTACAATGTGATTTTGTGCCTTGGTCCACTACGTACCTAGGTAAGCAGCAGATCTCTCTTGCGCTCTGGATGTGTATGGGTCATCTCTGTTTTTTGTCTTTTTTTTGTTTTTGTTTTTTTGGCTCCACTACACGTTACGTGTCTGGTTTCATGTAAGACGATGATGCTTGGTTCATAGAAGATGGCTGAGAAATCAAGTCGTCCCCGGGGGAGGGGCCATCCATCGGATATGCAACCAGGTGCCGTGTGGGTTTTGGCCAAGGCGTACGTTGCGGGACTACAGAGGATGGCCAGGCATGTGAACAAGAAGGGAGAAACTCATTACTACGTACTGTAGTCCCGGTTTTTCGGGGGGTTGCACGACATGCTGCAGGAACCTGGATGGTACTGTAGCGTCGCCGTTGTCAAACTCGGATGTTTTTGCGCCAAGTCCAACAAAAAAAAAAAAAAAAAAGCACTCCCACGACAAGCAGGTAAATCCGCAGGCATGCACAGCTTCAAGCAAGTCAGCCAACCGTCTTGTGCAAGAGGTAGTACTGGGTACTGTAGATCCGGTACGGAACTGCGAGTCTGCTCAACAGGTCCCGACCTTGCCCTCGACCTCGTCCTCCAAGAAACCACCCTGACGAGGAAACATGAAACCGGTCTGACAGGTAACTGACTCTGTCATGACGACAACCTGTACAGGCACAAGATTGACTCGACAGCACGAAATCTGACGGGATGCTTACTCATCCCATTGGCTGACTTGCCTGGGCAGCAGACCAAATCCCCGGTGAAAGCTTGAAGCAATTTCGAGCTAGGATTCAGCCCGGATGACTGTTCTTGTTCGACTTTCCAGGCCCTCTTACTAGTTCCGCTGGCCTGCTCTGCAGCCGACATCGTGTTTCAGCTGGAGGAGATGATGACATTGCCTGCCGCCTCGCAAAGCGCTCTGCGCACTTGCACCCCCAGCTACCACTGGGGCAATAGACTCTGACAAGCTGCACAAAGTACGACCTGACACAGCGGCTTGAAATTGTGGTTGCTGATCAAGGCAAGTCGCAGCATTTCGCCCATCCTGGCAAGCCCGGAAACTCTGCTTGGCTTCTCAACGAAGTCTGTGCATGCTTCTCAATCGTCCCCCCCCGCAGGTTTGCCCCCGGATTCTTGCAGGTGTGTCGTGCAGTAGTCGCCTGCAGCGTATTGTTCTTTTTGCGCGCGCGCAGGTCCGCCCTTCGCTCCGACCTGTCACACCCCCCTTCCACGCGATCCCCCAAAGTCCAGTCCCGTGTCTCCCCGTCTCGAGGTCCAACGGCTGAAGGGCAGAGCACGCATGCTTAGAGCGTTTCGAAAGCGGTTGTAGCTGCATAAGTGCTGTCCTGAACTAGACTGCTTCGAGCGTCGCCTGCAGTATTCTCTTTTCCTCTCCCTGTTTCTTTTTATTCTTGCTTCTTCTTCCTCGCTTTGGTTTCCTCTTCCTCTTTGCTTGGCTTGACTTTCGTCCGTCGTGGCGTGTCAGAAGAGGCTCGTTCGCCGGAGCCCAGCAACGCCCGTCCGCTTATGACTTTCCTAGCGTGCCGAGCTATGTAGGCTTGGTGCCAAACCTTCGCCATGGGCAAAATAGTCCTTTGTCCCAAGATCGACAAGTCCCCAGACTAGTCTGTTACGGGCCGCCTGCATTACGGCTTGGCTCGCGTGGCGGGCCTCGCCCTGACACCAACAGCCACGAGCCATCCTGCCGAGCCCGTATCCACGTCCGACCTGTCAGTACACGGACGCCCGGAGCTGAGGGCGATCACAAACTCTCCAGGCGCGTTGACACGGAGTCAAGGAACCTTCCAATTTAAAAATGTCTAATCGCGGGATTCGCACAATTTAGAGCGGGGTATCCCTGCTGCCTGCGGAATTATTTCGCTTTGTGGCACTAAGTAGGGGGTCGGTGATTGGCATCGATGTGACAAAATCGTCGTCCTTGCACACTTGATGCCGCGCTGGACTGATCCTGATGTTATGGAACTAGTGAGCATGTCCGGGCCCGGTTACCACCCACCGTCTTCAAGGAGTGGCATTGCCGATCTGACATACCAGAAAAGAGTGCCAAAGACGTATACGTCCAAAAGAGCAAGCTGCATGCCTCGAGCGAGGTGGAGCAATTGATTAATCATGGGACGCATAATCAATTCCATTATCAAGCCTGGCTTCAGGGGTGAATGCACAGTCCTGCGTCAGTGGCGGAAGTCGAATATGGGAGGGAAGGACATCGTTTCTAGACGGCCGTCAGGAGTAACGGATTAGATCTCCCTCAATCGCATTCATTGAGGATACAGAGCCTCATGCCCCGCAACCTTACGGCCGGCCCGTGTCCAGCCTTCGCATCCTGCTTGGGCCACACTCGGATCATATCATGCTGTTGCAATGCTTTGTGCTTAATTGTGCGTTAAACGCCACTGGTCGATCCTTACTGGGGCTTATTTGAGGCCCAACGAGGTCAGCCGATCGGAGCGAAGAGACGACTGTCGATCATCCCTGTTGTCGTCAGGGTTTTTTTTTTTTTTTTTTTTAATCTTTTAGTTGGGCCATCGTGTTCTTCGCCTGAATGGCAGGCAGTATCGAAACGGCGCTGGAGTTGTATCGCCGCCTCTACAGCAGGCCACCCCTATCTTGAGCACGTCGCTGCACACCAATCCAAGGTAAGTGCGGAAGAGCAGATATGTGCATGCCAACAGCATGCATTTGGCGGCACTATTACCCCTTCGCCTTGATTCGCTTGTCAGGTCCTGAATGGCACTGCTGCGCCAAGCTCAACTCCACTCTCGAGTTGATCATCGCTGATTTCCGCAGCCTGCATGCTTGCTCGGCGTAACTGACTGTAACACTTGTGGCCGGAATACTAGGGTTCTGCTCCACAGCATTTGTTGCTGCAACCTCTTAGTTCCATGCTTGTGTTGTAATGTATGGAGCGTCAGTGGACAATATTTCTCGCTGTGACCTCGCCTCGCCTGAAACAAGGCACGCTTCCTGGCAAAGCGAAAAGCGCGGTCTTACTTTGTCCAGTGCACAGAGTCGTGTGTCATCGTTGGGCATCTTGTATCTCGAGGCTTCAGGAGGGCTTAAGTCCGACGAGGCCGGACCTTTGCGAGCCCAGCCAGCGGCTGCATAGCTGCAAGGTTCCTGGGTGCTGCGGCGTAGTGCCCCTGTCCTGATCATCACCCGTCATGTGCCTGGGCCGGGGTGCTGAACCTGGCTCTTGGGCGGCCGAAGTGTCCGTGCCTGGGCAGAGCACGTTTTCGAGTCGCAGACAGCCCGGAAGCGAGGCGGCGTGTGAGAGAGGACATGACACGGTTATGTAGTATTGTTCGCGCACTGAGCATCGCGCAGGGTTTGCTGTGCTCCCTTGCCTGGGGAATGCCAACCAAGTACGGCTCACTCTTTGCTTGTTGGTTCTGCAACGCGCTCATGACGGTTGCCGTATAACTAGAGGGCGAGCGTTGCGACATTTTCGTTTCTGGAGCGGCCTGCTGACCATCCCGTCTCATCGCCAAGGGGTCCAGGGGTTGTGGTCTTTGCCGTGGGATGGATGGGCAGGCTGTGGTGAAGATTGCCGTGTGGAGCGTGGGAGGCGGGGGGCCTGGCGCAGAGCCCGGCGGCGGCGCGAATGCTGCTGGGAGCCCGCATGGACCCGATGCCAGGATGGGCTAGCCGCAGAACATTCGACCCACGTTCCATCCATCTGCAATTTCAGGCCGCAAGGGGCGCTCACGACAGCTGACAGTGAGCGCGGGTCGACTACTGCAGGCGAGCCAGCCACAGGCCGAAGGGCGCGCTGCCTCGCAGTTGCATAGCATGCGTAAGGTAGGTACCTCCTCAGAGCCGGGCCTGGGTGTGTTTCCGCTGAATGGCGCCAGGCAGGCATCGGGTGGGTGTGCTGGTCTGTTCTGGCCGGGCTAATTCGCGGCTAGGCTGGCTCGGGAGCGAGCGCTGAGCGGCAGGGTCCGAGGAGAAGCGCACCGCTGTGAGGCCCTGGTTTGTCGTCTTTGTTTGTGGCTTCCTCCTTGCCAGGCAGGCGGCTGGGCCAGAGACGAGTTTGCCAGCCATACAGACTACGCACGTACATACGTACACAAGTACGTACTTGACGTACCTCTGGCGGAGGCCACGGCAGGCGTGGGCGCACCGTGGCGAGGACACGGGCTCGTGTGCTTCCTGGGCCCGTGCCGGCGGCGTGTCGTCAGTGCTCTGCGTTGCGTTCCTTTTCCCTTTGTCGACGGACGGTGAGATTAAGATGCCAAGCCGTGCTGCAGGGCCATGCGGAGGGGCTGCTCAGGGGGAGGCATGCCTCAGTGCTAATAAGAGGTGTGTCTCCGTCTACAGGGAGAGAGTCGAGCGGAGCAACAAGTCCCCCCCCCCCCCCCGAAAATGCCCTCACCCTTGTAACCCTGGGACGGTTAGAAGTGCCTGCCAGAAGGCCACCCATCCGCGTGGGTACCTACACTGACTGACCTTGGGGCATGTTCGTTCCACTTCTTTGGCACCCGCCGCGCCACTTGACTTCCCCCCCCATCGTCACTGCTTCTCCTTTAAACTTTCAATCCTTCTGCCGTGCTCGCACCACCACCACCACCACTTTTCTTGCTTGCCACCAAGTTCCACAGCACAACCAGTCACAGCCGTGTCCTCGGTATATGATTTCACGGCCCCGCAAACAGTCACGACTCTCTGCCGAACCCGCCCTGCTCAGTGGTGCCCATAATAACCCTTGCGAATCTACCAAATCGTCAGCCGCTTTGCCATCGACAGGTTTCTCGCAATCATTGGCTCAACCCATAGCCTGCGACTGCCGTACCTGGCTCCCGCTCGAATGTATCGTTCCTTGGAAGCGCCGAGACTGTAGAGGTACCATCAGTCGGCCACATACTCGCTGCTCGCCGCTGCCGCCACCGTGCGACTTGGTTTGGGCAAGAGGACCAGAAAGCAATGGAGGGCTACCTCACCATCCCTCCGGATCGGGGAACCATCCTGGGCAGAGCACTTTGGAAGGTGAGTCGAGCCAGTATGGGCTGCGTGTTTGCGATCACGTTCTAACGACGCCATCAATATGCAGACTCGATATGTTGTCATTGGGGGGCCCCAACGAGATAGCACGCCGCACAATGGAGACCGGCCGGTGCGTGCAAAGGACGCGAGTGCTCGCACTCTCAAAGAGAAACCGTCTGTGCTGGCAGACCAGGCTAGCGGCACGTTCCTCTCTATATACAAGAACAAAGTATGTCGGAAGCTTCAAAAGGAAATTCCAGTTGGGTTTGCATTGGTATCTGACCTGTTCTGATGTTTAGGACGATACCGAGCCTGTACAACAGTACTCGCTCGCCAGCATTTCGGAATGCCATGTCCAGCTGCTAGCACATCGAAAGCAAGGCCCGATCTTGCCAACACTTGCTATCTGGATATCGCCTGATCCAGCTGCGGACAAATTGCGCAAGCGTCGATCCAGTCGCACCGCCGGCTTGACGAGCTCCAAAGAAACCGGCCCAACGACACTTTGGTTCAGGGTTTGCCCAGACGAGCAGACGCTTGCGCTATCAGACTGGTCGCGTTACATACAGAGTCTCATACAGCCAACTATACCTGATCGCCACCCAATCAGCCCCATCAGTCCAACATCGCCGTCCTTCATCAATCCCTTCAGCCCAGCAACACGCTCTTCCATGCACGCCCGGCCCGCAGGCTCCGCGCGACCAGCCCACACATCATACAGCTCGGAGTCGCCAAGTTTGCGATCGCGCCGTAGCGACATTTCTTCATCTCACAACAGCTCAAGCACCCAGAATGCATCGAGTGCCAACGACTATACGCCTGTCTACCCTAATGATATTCCTTCCCCCGCAATGACTGTCCCCGATTATCCTGACGAGTTTATCGAAGGTTGGACGTCCGCACAAGGCCGATCTTCGACTTTGGGCTCGCCCATTCGTGTTCGAGGGAGCATGGGTCCGTCACAGGTCACGATGCCGGTGGGAGCTGATTCGAGCTCACCTCCCGGCGCAAGGGAAACAATTCTGGACCGTGCGTTCTCGATGCGTTACATTCCTGGAGCGGATACGGCCATCCCAGGCGAAGAGAAGCTCTCTTCTTTGGCGAGATTTGATGCTCTCATGCGTGAAGCGGAAGAACGACGTGGTTCCCAACAGAGAGAATCTGCGGCAATCAAAGAGCCGGCTCGAAGCAACTGGGACGACGAGAGCGATGCAGATAGCATGGCTGGGGATCAGATTGCAGAGGAGGACAGCGACGGCGACAACTTTGCGCAGGACATGGACCAGACTCCTTACAGCCCTGTCGTGCCACCATCAAAGGTCCCCGCCTACGCCAACCATCGGCACAGCCTGAATCACGCTTCACGTGCTCGACACATCTCCAGGTCCTCTCTCAGCTTTCATGAGGCACAGCTGGCAGAAACCCCCTCCATCCTGCGTCCTCACACTGCGCAACCCAAGAACAGACCACCAATGAGCCCGCGCAGCTCAACTCAAACGTCCATTCCTGGATCACCTCTGCATGCGACTGTGCCGAACCATGCGACCCCGCGGGGTAATGAGGACAGAATGGTCAAACCACATTCCGAGGTCCGCGAAACCTCAACCAGCGTCAAGCGACTCAGTCTAAACGACTTCCCTAAGAGACTCAGCAGCAGTAGTAGCCTACTCATTGTGCAGACGAACGTCAGCGCGAGCAGCAACAGCACCTATGGAGATCATGAGCTGGAAAGCCAAGCCATATCACCACGCACAAATGTGCAGTCCCGGGGTACCCCAACTGAGCGCGACTCGAACTGTGGCTGGCGTGGGAGCCGCGTCTTTGGTAACAACGAGGGTGGCTACTTATGATCCGATTACTTTTTGATTCTCCACGATCTCTAAATGCTGTTCCAGCCAGCCTTTCACTTTCTTGAGCTCACCTATCCTTGGGCTTCTTTTAACGACCTTGCCGCATCATTTTCATCCAAGAACATCACGACTTACGACGATCACCATGGCATGCTTGATTATCATTTGTATTCGCCGCCAACACCTTCTTAACCTTCACTTGAATGATTAGAAGAGGCGAACGAGCAACGTTGGAAAGGGCTAGAGAAGACCCCCGAGAGGCGGGGGCGAACCGTCAAAGCAGCAGCATCAGCGACTTCTTTTGGCCATTTTCAACAGCATTGGTCTTCTGTCCATTTCTTCTACTTGACCTCCATGATAGATATATACCCACTCATCTTTGAATACAAACCAGATCTGCACTGCTCACTGCTTACTACCATGAGCATTTCTTACATAATTGCTTCTTGTGTGCTACTTGTTGACTTGGTGCAAGCTACAGGCAGTCCGTCCTTCCCAGAATGTACATAATTGATGGAATTCTCTTTGAGCTCCTCACTCGTCACTCTTTTCCTTTCTCTTCCCAACTCCTAGCTATTTGAGTTCAGGTTAGCATGCTTGGTCGTAACAATACATATGTTGTGTACAATTTTTTTACAATGATTTTACATGATGATACAGGCCATCCGCGTATAAAATACATGGCGGGGCCACAGGGTCCTATCCGCGAACCCTTCACGTCGATGCGTCTGGCTGTTGGGGACCAGCTGGAGCCGTTGCCGCTGCCGCCGCCGCCGCTGTCACCGGTGTTGCCGCTTCCGGTCCGGCTGGACCCATCACAGGTTCACCGTCCCAGTTCTTCTTGGTGCGCAGCCGCGGTGGCAAATTGGTGCCTCGTTGCTTCAGCGCGCTCCTGTCTCGCTTGCCGCGCTTCCTGCCACCGCGCATTGACTTGTTGCCACCAGCGGTCTTGATGGGGCTGCTACCACCACCACCACCACCACCACTGGCGCCGCCGGCTCCACGGCTTAGGTATCCAAAGACGTCGCGGTAGCGGTGCGCCTGGCGGCTGCCATAGATGTGCACAGGCTGGCGCTTGGCCCGCTGTGTCTCCTTCTGGCGGAACTCGCGTCCCTTGTTGGTGCTCCGCGCCAGCGCGCCGGCATACATGCTCTCAAAGGCGGCCTTGTCGCGGGCGCCCATGAAGACCGTCTTGCGCCGCATCAGGCATTGCTTGTAGAGCGTGTGCGCCCGGGCCTCGGGCAGCTCCTCGATGTTGTACTCGACGTCCCACTCGTCGTGCTTGGTCAGGTTCTCGGGCCGCTCGACGTACTCGCCGTTGACCTTGTTCTTGATCGTGAGGACCATGCCGAGGAGCTCAAAGTCGTCGTCCTCATCCACTTCGAGGCCTTCTTCGGCCGCGAGCTTTTCAAGCTCTGCCTCTTCAGCTCCCCATGGATCAAGAGGATCCGTGGACGTTTCAGGAGCGGCTGAGCCGTCATTTCCAGTGCCGATTGTGCTTGTCGAGTCGCTTGCGCTTTGCGGGTCACCGATGGTATCGCCAGCGGTACTCTGCTCGGCCTTCGCCTGCGAAATCATCCGGCCCAAGATCTCCTCAAACACTTTGAGCTTTTGCGAATCCTCGTCCGCTGCCTCAATCTCGGCCTCAGCTCCTGGGCGGTCGTGGAGGCGTTGTGCGCTGAGTGCTATCAGGTCCTTCAAAGGCGACAATGAAGTCTTGGTGGCCGTGCCCCGCTTTGTGTCTGTAGTGTCCTCCTCCGTGGACGTGGCCGGATCGTCACTAAACACATCGACATTTTGCGATGAGATGGTTTCGGGTGCTTCAGGAGCTTGACTGTCGACGACGGCGGGCTCAGTAGTACGCGTGACCACATCATCCTTGGCGACAGGTTTTAATGACTCGGCTGCCGTCTCCGCACTAGTGGCAGTATCACTTCCTTCGTGGTGAGCTTTTGCTGACTCGGTAAGTTCAGCACTCGAACTTGGTGGCGGAACGCCCGTGATTGCCGTAAGCAGAGCATCAATGTACTGTCGCGTCTCGGCCATGCTTTCGACTTCGAGGAGTGAGCTCTCCTCGAGAGCATTCTGAATGGCCTCTCTGACAGAGCTTATACCGACCTCCTCGTCGCTCATCGCGTCCTCAACGACCTGCTGCACCTCGTCCCACACAGCCAGCCGCTGCGCATCCGCCTCGGCTGTTGACTGTTCGGCCAGCTCGACATGCTCACCGGCCTGGCCGTTGGCTGTCGACTCGGCAGCCACCACAGAATCACCAGAAACCTCTTTCGAATCCCCTTCCGCGTCCTCTGGCTTCTTGAGCCCAAGGATGGTCCTCTCGAATTCTTCGACCTGCGCTTTGCCGGCGTTCTGAACAGCCTCAATGTCGCCCTTCTCGACAGGCCTGGCAAACACGTACATGAACGGTGCAACTATTGACTCTCGTGTCTCAAAGTGTATTCTGAGAGACTGTTCAGGCCACCGCTTCGAGGCGCGATCGAGCAGTTGGTTCAACAGTGTCAGACTGAGCTTGTATTCCCGGTCTCCCAACGTGGTGTTGTTCGTCCCATGGAGGGCAAGGTCCATCTCTGGAATTGGGATATACTGGAAGCCGAATATCCTCTCCGTATTGTGGTACGCCACATAGATGCCGTCCATGCGACCCATACGGACCTGGAGAGAGTACTTTAGAAAAGCAGATCGTATCATGTCAAAATATTCTCGCTCATAGGACTCCCATTGACCGAAGCGGTGGCGGATCTCGTAACCAAGCCCCTGGTGAAAGTTCCTGGCGTCCATACGAATCGAGACGACAGCCCGCGTCTTCAAATCGAACATTCCTGTACCGGGAACTCGCTTGTCGTATGCATCCAGCTGTGACCGCATCATGAAGTCTTGGAAACCGGTGTAATGGAATGCTTCGTCCGCGTTGCGTTCCTCCTCGGAAATCTGATCCGAGTTGGCATGTCGGTACTGCTCGAACTTGTGTTTAGGCAACGTCAAGAGTTTCTCCATCGACTTTCCCAGCATGCTCAAGATGTTGGCAGAGTCGTACTCCTTGTCAGCGTCTATGGCATAGCAGCCATCCTTCCAATGCAGGAAAGTCGCCGCCGGCGCTCGCATGATCCTCGTGAAACGCTTGGATTCGGGCTTGAACTCGGCGGACATCATAGCACTGTTGATGGGCCGCCACGAAGACAACAGGTAGTGAAAGTGGCTGAGCATAGCAGTCATGCTAGAAGTGGACCCGGTATATTTCTTGTTGTGCGCTTTGGCCTTGGAGATCAACGTCGTGTCCTTCGAGGACGTAATGTATTGTTTGAGAGCGTTGAAGTCGAATTCCTGGATCGGCATAATGTTTGCCAGGTAGGGGTCGAAGTTGAAGACTCGAGATCTCGGGTCTTGCAGGAAGTATACGCCAGGGTTGAACAGCACTCTGTCAAGACCATGCGCCAGCCGGGGTACTGGAATAGTAAGCTTGTCGATGGGGGTCAGCTCTAAGCTTTTGGACTTGACTGTCGAGATGGCCAGCTTCTTCTGGTCTTTTGAAGATGCGTTGCCATCGGCCTCGTCGTCGCCAAATGGTTTTCCTAGGGCGTGTTGCCGACTTCCGCCTATCCCCGCCTCCTCGCCTGGTTCTACTGGAAGGACCGGGCGGGTTCCCGTGGGTGCTGTCACCTGCTGTTCCAGGATCTGCGTTGCTGTCAATGCTTGTTTGGGCGGGTCGTTGAGGCCTGATTTGGAGTCGCTCGGAGGCGGGACAGCAGCTTTACGAGCTTCTTTCCGGGCTTTTCTCCTTAGCTTCCGCTCCTCGGCCTTCTTGTCCTCCATCTCCTTGGTTTCTGCCTTCTTATCTTTGGCTTTAGCGTCGCCATCTTTGAACGACTCTGCTGCTTTTTTGGTCTTGTCCTTGGCTTTTTCTTTCTCTTTTTTGCTCTTCTTGCTCTTTTTCGTGGCCGCAGGCTTCTGATCGAGTATCTGTGTCAAGTGCGCCAGGTCGATGTTCTGATCTGAGAGGACTTTTTTGAAGGTGTCGATTGCGCCTTGCAATGCGGGGGTCATCGTTGCCACTTCGCTTTTGCTTGGGCGAGGCTTGTTGTTTGCCGTCTTTTTTGAGGACGCAGCCTTCGGTTTTCCCTTGGCCGTGGCCGTCACACTGCTCTGGGGCGTCGTGGCATCGCCCTCGGTCTGGCTAGCTTCGGCCCCGACGTCATTACTGTCCGTCCCTGGCTCTGCAGCTTGTTGTTGAACACCGTCCCCTCGCCGAGCCGAGTTTGAGAGCAAGCGCGCATGCTGTATCCTGGCAAGCGGCCCGGACGGCCAACTCGGCAGTCGTTGTGCAGCATGTTGGGCTGCTATGCAAGCGGAGCAAACATATGCGGGAGACGCGCGCCGGGCGGATCTCGTGGTCAAACGGAGCATCGCATCGGTTCTGCTTGTACAGTAGCAAGATGTCGGAGGGTAGAGTGTACAGCCCAGTCAAAACAGTGAACGTCAGTCTGAGCTTCGTCGAGTCCGTGGGAGTTTGGCTGTCCAAGGTTGGTGGTCGAAAGCGTTTTGAGCTCATAGGAAAATAAGTGCCAGGGTTATCGTGGACAGGCGACCACGCCGATATCGTGACGAGGTGAGGTCCCTTAGCTTGGAAGCTCCAACGCCATAGATTTTTTTTTAGTCCCGGCATGGAGACGCCAAGCCCGCCCATTAAACGCGTTACACTTACCGCTTATGGCATGCTGGTCCAAAACAAGCATAGCGCCTCCACTTGCATCACTCTCTTCACATATCAACCCGCCTTCCCAGCTTCCCAGCTTCATCTGAACATAGACTGGCATTTTGAATGGGATAGCTCCACTGAGTTGCCAGGAGCAAAGGCACACAGAGTGCAGGACCGCCCTGCTTACTGGAGGCGAGCAACTGACATGGAGCGGGTTCGAGGCCAGCGACATGGCATTCCCTGACAAGCCCATATCACACCTCCTCGGTTCCAACGGTGAGGATGCCACGAGGTTTACTGAGTCTTGTCACAATCTCAGCTGACCCTTGATTCAGGTCCAATTCATGCTTTGGCGTACTCTGCCAGCCCCGGCACATATATCCTCACCGGCTCAGCCGACCGCTCCATTCGCCTGTACAACCCACTGCCAACCACATCAGTCCACCCGGCCACGGCTTATGTGACCAGGAAACCAGGCATCCAGCCCTACGACATCAAGGGCGGCATCGGCAGCCATGACCACCCAGCACCAGCACCGGCAGTCTCAGAAGGGCGTCTGATCCAGACCTACAGCGCGCACGGCTACGAGGTCTTGTCGCTCAGCATCTCGGCCGACAATGCGCGCTTTGCCTCGAGCGGCGGCGACCGCTCCGTCTTCCTTTGGGACGTGGCCACCGCGCAGACCCTGCGGCGCTTTGGCGGCACCCCGCAGTCGCACACGGCGCGCATCAACTGCGTGGCCTTTGCGGGCGAGGACGACATGCTCCTCGTGTCGGGCTCGCTCGATGCCACGGCGCGGATCTGGGACGCCAAGTCCAACGCTCTGAAGCCCGTGCAGGTCTTGTCCGAAGCCAAAGACGCCATCACCAGCGTCGCCGTCAGGGGTTCCGAGATAGTCACGGGCAGTGTGGACGGGCGCGTCCGGTCCTACGATGTCCGCATGGGTCGCTGCACTACGGATGTCATCGGCCCGCCTGTCACGAGCGTGTCCATGACGAAGGATGCCAAGGCCCTGCTGGTCGGCGGGCTCGATAACAAAGTCCGCTTGATGGACAGGGAGAACGGCAACTTGCTCAGAGCATACGAGGCGCCGGAGTTCAGGAACGAGAATCTGCGCGTGCAGAGCATTCTCGGTGGCAAGGAGCAATATGTGCTCTGCGGCGATGAGATGACGACGGAGAATCCTGCAGGACTAGCGTCTGCAGCGGGAGCTGGGAGGCTCTGGGCGTGGAATATTCTGACGGGCGAAGTCAAGGCCAAGATCAGTGTGCCATGGGGTCCTGCTGGCTATGAGCCGCGCAAGAAAGCAGTCGGGCGGGATGGCAAGGAGAAGGAGCGCGTCAACGTTGTTAGCTGCATTGCGTGGCGGGAGGACGGTTTCGGTGACCAGTTCTGCGTCGGCGGCACTTCTGGTGTGGTTACAGTATTCGGCTATCAATAGACCATGCCCGTGCTTGCCTGTGCAACAGCCTGCCGATTCCCGCCTTGTCAATCGGCTTGTGCTGCAGAATGATCGCCAGACCTTGGCTCGTAGCCATCGAACAGTGGCGAATCAGACAAGTTATATTGAATTTGTTTACAATGCCGAGAAGAACAAAACTGCATATTTTGTCAAGTTCTGACAACTTGCGCCACAGAAATATTGATCCCCTACGCCAGAACACCATTCTCAATCGTTATGTTGCTTCCAGCTTCAATGCACCCACACCCGAGCCGTGATTGTGGAAGCTTTCCTGTCTGGAGCGAACGACTATGCAGCACGCCAAACGTCTATGACAGCCAAAATATGAATGGCAGCCGTCTCATGCTCGCCCTTATGAAGTTTCCGATTTTGTCGTTTACGTCGTAACGCTCGATTGTCTCAAGACTGCCCTAGTCCATGCCAACATACTTGAACCACAGGGGACGGCAGTCTTCCTTGTTCAGCCACTTTTCGCCGTCTGTGAGCTGTCCCGTGACACAACCTCTGCATTTTGGCGAGTTGGGGCAATTGAAGAACGGGATGTGCTGATAGCCAATATCACGGAACCTGTAGCAGTGTGAGACTATGCGGTTAGGCTTATAAGTTGAGACGCGTGATGTACTTACCAGTGGATCTTGCTCTTGTCTTCGAAAAGACCCAACGCAATGCTGTGGACGGGTGCGTCGCCCCATCTTTCGTAGAAAAAGCCACCAGCCCTGTCGAGGTGGTTGAAATAGTCCTCATAAGCCTTGCTTCTCCAGAAGTTCAAGTCCGCGATCTCAAAGTTGCTCCAGAAGTGGCAGGTCGAATACCCGTTAGCCTGCGCATTATGAATAGGACGCCTCTGCGCATCGACAAGCCACTCCATGGCGTTGTTTGGGTGCAAATATTCGGGGTGCTCAGCAATGAACTTCTCAGTCTCAGGCCAGAGGGTAGGGATGGACTTTGGCGCATCGTACAGCGTGATGGTGAAGCCATAAGTCTTGTTGTTGTCCGCCATGTAGCGGAAGACATCGTAGTCGACGTCGCAAAAGAAGTGGACGTTGGGCTCAACTCGCCAGTAGTACTGCATATCGGCTAGGGCAGGGTGGTGGTAGAACATGCCGCTGTTCCACCTGCACATCTGATGGTACGATATCTTGTCGGCGTACTGGACGCCTTGCTGTTGCAGCAGGTTGACAGATTGCTGGTAAAGATCATCGTTGATCCAGGAGGGGACCGACCAGTGGTCCTTAGGAATGATTTCTGCAAGACGTCAGTCAAGTGTCAAATGTTGCGCCATCTGGAACCACCACATCACATCTTTAGGCCAGAGGGGGGGTTGGGCTGTACCATATCGGGTTTCGGCTTTGGTCGCAGCGCGCGTCTTGCGCTTGAACTCCTCGGTGAACGGGACGTCGTTGAAGAAGGTCCAAGGATAGTTGAACTTGTGATTCCACGTCGCCTCGAGGTCGGTCATCGACTGCAACATCTGATCCAGCTCTTCATTGCGGACCAGTGCGAGTAAGGTGGCGTTGATTCTTTCGGTGCCAGCGGCGCCGGGGGCGTATCCTGTGGCGCCAGCGCGCACAAGGTTACCGTCGGGTTCGCCGGTATCTGGGCAGAGGAGCAGTCAGTAACCGAGACCCAAGTACAATGCTGGAGAACAAGAGAACATACAGTCGAGATTGGGATCCCTCGGGATTGTGCCGTGGAAATCTTCAGAGCCTGCTATGCTCGGCTCCCGTGGCCAGAAGACTGTGTATAAGAAGAAGCACCACATAACAAGCGCCGCCAGGCCCAAGGCCCGGACCGGTCTTGCAATAGCCATGGTAGAGGGTCGACTTTTATTGTGCGAGATGCATGTGCGCCGGATCGAAGGGATGGTCGACAGCCGACAGGAGCAGGCCTGCGAGGCCAAGTGTCGTTAACGCAGGGGTAACTTGAGTGTCCGAGGATGACGACGACACAGTTGTACCACGGGTTGGGTCACAGAGACTGTGGTGGGTCGGGGGGTCGAGCTGCTTTCTCCGATGATGTCCGTATTGCTCGCCGAGGTCGTGGGCGTCGAGTGTGTTTGTATGCACTGATGGTGAGCGAGCGTGGTGGTGGACTGGTTTGACATCCACGACAACGGCGATGCTATCAGAGTTCGGTCCAGCTTCAATTAGGGGGGCCCCTGCTCCGTGCGTACACCGTGCTAGTCTTGCGGCTCAGCTGGCATCTGAGAGAAGTATCCGCACTGTGCATAAGGCGTCACCCTAATGGCCCGACCAGCAGTTGGCCCTGGACAAGTGGGCCATGATTCCTTCAATTGCCGATGGTTCAGAGCCGCGACGCGAAACACTCAACGCGAACAACACTGCATGCATACTCTGTACGTCTAGCTTTGTGTCCTTCAGGCAGCGAACCTGTCTTGTACTGCGTGTTCGACGCGAGACCCTCCCCTTTCAAACTTGGCTGACCAACTATAGCCCTGCAGAGTTGTTTGTGTTCTGACTCGTCTTGTGAAACCCTGCCTTCTGGACAAAACAGTGTCTGTCCATCCGCACATTTGCAAGCTTATGGCAAGGTGAAAACGGACTGCCAGCATGGCATACGCCGCGCAACTGAGCGCCCTCACAGATGAGCTCATTGGCACTATTGTCACGTCGACCTCAGACCAGGATCCTGCCCTCCTCCAGACCGTGCGAGAATCTAGTCTGCAGCGATTGCGGCATCACACCCGTCTCCGCACCAACCAGTTCGAGGTTTACAAGCAGCTAGAGGGGCTTGAGGAGCGCCTCCACGTTGTGAATCGAGATGGCCTCGCAGATGCGCTCGGCAGTCGCATGGCTCGCCTCTCGAGCCTCGATCTGAAATGGTTGCCTGATGCTCTCCACTTCCTGTTGGAGCTCTCGGACAAGCCTGTGGAGAAATCCAAGCTGGCAGACCTTGAGCTTTTGAAGCCCCCAGAGGTAGTCCCTGAACCAGGGCTGACATGGGACGAGATTGCCAAAGAGGACGGTTGGGCCGACGACCGCCATCTTTGGGACAGTGTCGACTTTGGCAACGATAGCTCCGACGAATACCTGGGGTCCGATAGTGCGTCTGACAATGAGGCAGACAAAGCGCAGGGTTCCGATGATACCACTGCCTCGGTTTCTGTCCAGAATCAATATTTCAGACGTCCAGACGATTTGATCATCCATATCCAAGATGAGCTTGGCCTGGAACGGGTTGTGCAGACACAGCAATGGCGAAAGGTTGCGTCAGATATGCGTACTGGCACACCACAGGCACACATGATGTCGGAGGCACAGGCCGTGCGAGAAGTGTTGTTCATGCTCAGAGGCCTGAAAACCTCAATCTTCGACCATGATGGCAGGCCAGTCCCTCATGTTCGCCTATCACATACGTCCGAACCAGTACTGAGAGAGGCACTTACGAACCTCGGCCAAATAGGACGACAGTTCTCCCTCCTGCGTGCCTTTGCGAAGGAGAAACACAAATTGCCGTTGATACAAGTTTTCCAGGATGCCGTAGACAGTCGACTCAAGGAGTTTGACAGCATGTCAGCAGACTATGAGCGTCGACTGGTAGATGTGTCGAACAGCATTGTTGTGAGCTTGACCAAGATTGTACACGATCTGGGCCCACGCATCCAGCCGCTATCTGCGCTGTCCGAGGTTGTTTCGCAGTTTCTCGAGGCAAAGTATCCTCATCCATTCCGATATCTTGAGCTTTTATTCGACTCTGCGGCCAATGCTCAGCTCGAGGGCAGGGCACAGGCTTATGAATTCCTCGCCACCATTTTTCTCACATGTTTCAAGGTGTATTTGCGACCGATACGCCTCTGGATGGAGTCTGGCGAGATCGACATAAGCGACAAGGTCTTCTTCATATCAAGTACTGCGGCTCGGCTGCCCTCCCATCAGGTCTGGCGCGATCAGTACAAGCTACGAGTCTCTCAGGACGGCACCTTGGTGGTTCCACGATTTCTCCATCCATCCATAGCAAACATCTTCAATGCAGGCAAGAGCATCGTAATGCTTAAGCTTTTGGGTAGGCATTACTCCTGCGATCATAGCCAGGAACCTTCATTGGACTTTGCGGCGATTACGGCAGGGGACATCGACAATTTCGCTCCATTCCCGGAAGTGTTCAGTGAGGCATTTGAAGCATGGATAGAGAGCAAACACCATGCGGCCTATGCGACTCTCCGTACGGTTCTCCTGGGGAGTTGCAGATTGATTGTTGAGATCGATTCATTGCACAGTGTCTTCCTGATGACTGACGGTTCTCGATCCGGCCTACTGGCTGTGTCCATTTTCCATAATCTGGACTTACTGAATGCCAACTGGCACGATCGACTCGCACTGAGCCAGGTCGCCCAGGAGGCATTTGAATCAAAAATAGACGCAAGCCGCCTGGCTGTGAGCGTGCCAGCGATGGAGCTCAAGAATGATGTAGCAAAGACGCGGACGTCCGTCCGCCTCGGCCTACCACTCGTTCGAGTAACCTACCATCTTCCATGGCCTCTACGGATTGTCATTACGGACACGTCGCTGGGTCACTACCAAGCCGTGTTCACGTTCCTCCTCCAGCTCCGCCGCGCCAGCTATGTCTTGCATCGGCACAAACCTCTGGCCGATGGAGTAGCAGACCTCTCGCAAGACCAGACGGCCTACTACCGTGTACGCATGCGTCTTCTGTGGTTCTGCAGCGTCATCGATACGTACATTACCACGCTGGTTATTGGGCCTCTGGCTGCACAGCTTCGCAGCGATCTCGAGCAGGCGAAAGATATCGACGCCATGATCAGTGTCCACTCCTCTTTCGCGAAACGGATGATCGACGAGGTATGCCTGGGCACAAGGCTTGACCCGATCAGGCAGTGCATCCTCGACGTTCTCGACCTGGCTATCAAGCTCGAGGACGCACGACAGTCCGAGGCTCAACGAGAAGCAGAGGCCACACAGGAACTCTCGCGACTCTCGACATACTCATCCCCCGCAAAGCCAAATAGGCCGCAGCGATACATGCAGGCCAGCGAGGAGGAAGACCAGACGTTCCTCGAGGAACAAGATAAGAGCAAACTCTACGAGCAAGACGACAGTGACGATGACGATGAGGCTGGGGCGAAGGATTATTATAGAACTCTGATGGACATGGCCGACGAGCTGGATAGACACATGAAGTTCTTGTGCAGCGGCCTCAGGGGAGTGGCCCGGGCAAGCACAAACTCGGCAGCTGCAAAGTGGGACACGCTGGCCGAGATGCTCGAGTTTGGCGTGCTGGAGCCGAGGTCTTTTGCCCTATAAAGTTGCAACAGGAGCCATGGAATGAGAAAATCGATCCTTCGTTAATCATGATATGTCTATCGGCTTGTTTCTACCCGTGGTATCTTTCGCGTGTGAAATGCTTGGGACTTGATGTCGACCGCAACACGCTCGTCAATCTGTTGCCACAAACCTTCCACCACCCATTGAATTATTGTTGCATGGCTACACATCAACATTTTCCAACATATCCTGTGTATCATAAGGCCTGTTCGCGCAGTCTACCTTTTCTTCCCGCTCGCCTCGATGATCCGCTTGTTTGCACGCTCGAGCCTGGCGCGCGCCTTCTCGTCCAGCAGACCATGCCACTCGCGCAGATAGTCCACATACACAGACTCCTTGGCGTCGTACTCGACCGGCGGACCCTTAACCTGCGGCGGCTCGCCCTCGCGGTCGAAGACGGCCCAGCTCGAGCCGTCCGGCTGCGTCCGGAGCCCGAAGCCCTTGTTCGTGAGGGACAGCACCTTGAAGCGGCGCAGGAGGACGACGTCGCCGGGCTTCACGACGGGCAGCGACTCCTTGTGCGGGCGGTAGAACTGCACCTCCATGACCGTGTTGGGGCCGATGCTGTGGTCCGTGATGGTGAACGACATGGCGTACTCGCGTGCCTTTGTGCGCTGCGGCTCTGCGGGCGACATCATCACGACCGCAATGACATTGGCAACCTGGTTGAGATGGTAACGCAGGCCCTCAAGGATGTAGCAGTCGCGCAATTCGTCGCGAAGGTGCCTGGCGAGGTGCAGCTTGATCGTAGCCATAGACTCCGAGTCGTCTTCGAGCTTAAGAGAGTCGTCCTTGACAGAACTGGCTGAAGATGCTGCTTGCTTCGGGGCCGACGCCCTAGCAAGGAGAACGCTGCGATCCTCGATCTCGGGCGACGAGTCGATCGGGATCTTTGGTGATCTCGAGTTTTGAGAGGTGGCTGAGGGCTGCGTGGGAGACGACTGAAGTTTCGTGGACGGTGGCTTTGGAGATGGTGTTCTCTGTGCATGGCGTCCTCTCGCCAGCAGTCTTTGAGCCCGTGGCGAAATGTCTGGCCGAGTAAATTCACTCTGTGCACGGTTGGCAGTTCTCACAAGCCGCGCCCCAGCGTCGACGTCAGGGGACTCATCCATCATTTGGGGCAACCGCGGAGGCGTGAACACTCTCGCGGGAGGTGTCGCCTCTTGGGCAGCTGATCCGCTGGGTGATTTCATCGCAAAATCTAGCTCCTGGCTGTACTCCTCCAACAGGCTTGCTTGCAATTCGTCGTCCAGGTCCGTGAAGAGAGGGCCTGGCAACGCTGGCTGAGCCGACACGGGAGCAGGCAGGGTTGAGCTAGCCAGATCCTCCACGGACGAGACAAGATGAGATGAATCGGTGGCCTGCGGTGAAGAAATCGTGATCTGGGTAGGTTCAATGGCATCCATAGAAGCTTGACGAGGAGACGTTGTAGTTGTGTCTGCCTTAAGGCTAGCTTGCGGGTGCCTTGTCTGTGTCGCGCTGTTTGCAGCTTCTACGGTTGATTCAGTCGTGATGGAAAGACCTTGTTGCTCAAGCGACATCACTTCTGGCTGGGATGGAGGACTTTGCGAAGCCATAACGTTCAAAGTGAACTTCTCTTCGAGATGGATGGTTTCCTGGGCGATCTGAGTGTCCATGGGCGTTGGAAGTTGCCGCGCAACGGCGCCACTCTCGACTTCCTGGGAGTGCTCCACCCGAACGTCCAAGGCATCGTCAGGTCCAGCATCAAGTGACTCGTCTTGTTGTGACTGAGACAACGCTGACCGGTTCTGCTCCTCATGTTCGGCATCGTGGAAAGCCGCTTGTTCGGGGCTGAGTCGTGGGGATGAAGACCTCGGTAGTCTATCATCTTCAGTGGGTGCTTCCCCGAACTGAACGTCTGTGTCCGCAACTATGTCGCCAGCCATGGAGGACGGCGACTGCGGCTTGTGTGTAGGCGCCTGGTCACTGATATCTTCTTTCGTAGACTGTGTTGCCGACGCTTCAGGCGCTCGAGCTTCGTGTGTCGCCACATCCCTCTCTGCCTCAACGTCTGGCATATCTACGTCTCCAGCCGTGAAATCAGTCTCAATGTTGTCGTCATTCTGGGCCGACTCCACGGGCATAGCCACTTCCGGCTGCTTGGTTTCGCTAGCATCGGAATCAAGTCGCAGCCGCTCTTTGAGATTATTTGTAGTGGCCAGCTGTGGCTGCTCGTCGGTGAGGCCGACCTGACCCGCCGCAGACAGGCTGGTCTTGCTTTCCGCGATTTGGACTTTGGACGGCTCCGGGGGAACAGGTGCTATTGAGGGCGTTTTCTCATCTCGCCCAGCACGTCCTTCATGTTCATAATCAGACTCCCACGCCTGATCTTCCTCGTCGGCTGAACCCGCGACACTACTGTTGTCGTCCTCGCCCTCTTCTTCCCCATCTTCCTCCTGCTCCTCTTCATCTTCGCTGTCCATCTCCTCTTCCTCTTCCTCCTCGTCCTCGTCTTCGTCTGCGAGATCTTCGCCACTCGCAATCTCCTCATCGACGCTCTCATTGTCGTGTTTGGTGGCGCTTCGATTTTGTTCTTGAACTGGAACAGGCACATCTTCGCCTTCCGCCTCGTCTTCTGATGATGATAAAAGATCTATGACCACAGGCTGGCTTGCAGCTTGTGGTCGACTAAATCTGGACGGTGGTGGCGGCGGCAGTGGCTCCTCCATTTCATCGTCTTCTTCCTCCTCTTCCTCCTCCCCTTCTTCTTCTTCCTCTTCCTCCTCAGAATACTGTTCCTCATCAACCCCGTCGTCATCTGCATCTTCGTCGTCCTCGTAAATTTCGGACTGCTCTTCTTCCTCGTCCTCTTCATCATATCCCTCCTCGTCCTCGACTTGTGGAGCTAGCGCATCCTGGTCTTCTTCTCCCTCTTCCTCATCCTCTTCCTCCTCGTCCCTGTGGACTAGATCTTGCATATTCTCATCGTATTCTTCCTCGACACTGCTGTCTTCCTCGCTGTCTGGAGCGTCAAACGCGGGTTCTGGCTCGTGTATTTGTAAGTCCTCATCATGGCTGTCGTCTTCGTCGTCAGCAGGTTCGATCCTGGTATCGTAGTCGCCACCTTCGTCATCGGGATCGTCTATGAGTTCCTCCTCATCTTCAGAATATTCCGCGTCCACTTCATCATCAACCTCGGCGTCCTCGTCGATGATATTGCTACCAGCGGCCTGCAGAGCTCTGCTGGCAACATCACGCTTGTCGTGAATATCTTCCTCCTCCTCGGATTCGTCATCGAGTACCACTGGCTGGTCGGAAGTCGAGCCAGGACTTGAACCGGGCTGGCTCTGAAACGCATCCTCTGATCCATGTCGTTCACCATGATGTGAAAGGAGCGCACCATTTGGGGCGGCCTGGTCCAGGAGTGGAGAGTGCGTTGTGAAGCCACTGCTGATGAACGTCCCTTGACTCGGCGGCATCTTGATTGCGCTCTCATCTCCCCTGATGGCCGGAATTTCAGGCTCCAGGGGAGGGTAGTCCGATTCATGATGGTCGTGAAGGCTTTCCGCTCGTCCGAATGGCTGCGGCATAAGGTTGCCAGTGTGCAGGGTGTGGTCCAGGGGTATCTCGCCTGTAACATGAAAGTGGCCGTCTTCTTGGAAGATAGGCCCAGCCGCATGAGTGATATCATGCAGAGGCACACCAAGATTATGTGGTATACCGCTAGCAATCATATCGGCGTGTATAGCATCCACATGCAAGTGCTGATCCGGCTCAGTACCATAGTTCATGGGCATCGCGCTCCAGCCTGGGATGGCTACTTCATCATTGCCGACCCCACTGTCCTGCGCACGCGTCGCCGAGTATCCCATCGCTTCGCCTGGGACATGACCCACAGCTTGGGCAGAGAACGTCTCGGTCCCAGTTTCGTGCATGTGAGCATCGCCGAGAGAGCTGCCATGAGCATGTGCTGGACTTTGCGAACGACTTCCCCTTCGGTGAGCACCAAGTTGGAAAGCTGGTGCCTGTGGTTCTATGATGGTTTCGTCTGCTGCCGAGGTGGCATGAAGTATATCGTCCTCACCACGGTTAGCTTGTATCTGCTCGGCAGTCTCATGGAATGGACTCGTTGTCGGCTTCGCCATTTGGCTCTCCTGGGTCGAGTCTGCGGCCGCGACCATTTTCGCGAGACTGGCCTTCTCCACTGGTGAGGCAGGTTCTTCGGGCTCAGGACTCGGGCTCTGGCTTGTATATCTCCATGACGTGCTGCTCCTGCCAAAGCGCGCGCGCTTGCGCCCACGATTCTTGGCACCGCCATCGTCCTCGAATATATCGTACCCGTCCTCGAAGAGAGAGCCATAGGAAGCCCTCGCTCTCTTGATGAACGCTGGCGATTCAAACTCATTTTCGCCGAGAGTGCTGACTCTGGCTGGCTTCGCCGGCGTCTGATATGGTTGAGGAGAGACTATCGGTACTGGTGCGTCGGGTACTTGCGCCGGTGTAGAGTCGATCTGCGCAGTGGCAAGTGCTTCGCTCGCGAGCTCGGGTTTGCTGGAAGTCGGAACATCCTTGGCAGAAATGAATTTAATTTCACCTGTCGCAGCCAATCTGACCTAGAGAGGCGGGTATTAGTGTTCAGTCAAGAGGAGCAACTCCGGAAACCAAGCACGATTACCTGCAAAGCGACTCTTTCCGAGAACGTGAGCTGCCAGTCGATATCGGCACCGGACACGCTCTGCCGCCTCTGTGCTACAGCCTGGGACCACTCGGCGCCGTCTAGTACAAGTGAAACCTCATCTTGACTTTCCAAACCACAACTGCCCACTGCTGCCGCTGCCGATCCAGTGAAGTTGACGCGGACCTGGCCCTTCTTGAGACGTAATCGGAAGTCTGGCTCGGCGAGAATAAACGCAAATGTCCCCTTGAAAGCACTGTAGGGCCAAATGATGGTGGCAATGCCCTTGGTTGAGGTCTTGGCTGGCAAATCTGGCGAGAGCGACGCAATAGGTGCCGGTAAGGCCGTGCTCAGTATGGAAGCGACGTCTTGACCATCTGCGAGGTCCATGATGGCAGCATGGCCATGATGTGAAAAGTGTCTGAATACTTTTCAAAGACGTTGTCGTCGGGCTGCAATACGTAATCCAAGCTGAAGGATGTGTTCGTTGTAGTTGTTATCGGATACTTCGTGTGAACGAGCAAGGATCGCGCGTGCTGGCCAGGGTGTCGCGAACCTGCTGCCCAAGGGCGACGACAGATTGAGAGTTGACTGTGACAGCGAGCTGCAGCCGTCGCGGCTCAAGGGAGATGGCGCTGTTGGAGGGACTATCGCGAAGCTCGCGCGGACGACAGGATCGCGGGCAGGTCTGCGCTTGTGTTTGCCTTCTGGGTTGTCGCAAACGGGAGCTCGCCTTTGAGGTGGGTGGGATGCACCGTGACGACGAGCTCCACACGTGAAGCTCCCAAGCTTCCAAGGTTACCCAGCTCGGGCTACAAATGGAAGCTCATGGGCCGTGTCGCACTGTACGCACACGTGGCCAAACGCGTTCAGCGCATACAACAAGATCGTGTGGACCTGTCCGGTTCTACTTGGACTTGTCAACAATGGGAGCCATAACCGGGACACAGGAGTCAAGACTACCCAGGTATGTACTGATGATGTCCCCACAGATTTGTCCATTCAAGGATTAGCAACTTGCCGTGAATCCGGCTCTTTCCTGAGACCGACCCAGCGATCGGAGGCTGAGAGAGAAATCAGACGTCGACCTCAGCCAGCACACCACACATTAACGTACTGTACTCTGCTTGCCAAAAGCCATGATTGGCTGTGCCAGGACGGAGGCTCACTGGTCCCGCTATGGTTAGTCAGAATGCCATGGTCATGGTTAATTACAGCGAGAACCAACTAAATGCAACACAAATTACCTAAGGTACGTACACTAAATACCTAACTTTAGGTACTTTAAGTATGTAACGCTAGCTCGCGAATCAGCGCTGGTTTCAGCTGTGCCCAATCTATGCAGACCAGGCTTAAGCCGACGACATCAAAGAGACTCGAGACAAACCAGCCAGTTCAATGAGCGCCATTGGGCGAGTAATAAATAGTCGAACTTCATTGTTCTCGAGGATCGTCAGCCTTCATGTTCTGTAGAGGCAGGATGAACAACACCGTCATTTGAACAAGCATGTCTCTGACCTGGGGGCTCAATGAGGGCTCAATTAGGGCAACCGAGCCCTGCCCGCGCCGTGCTGTTCTCAAGGTGCGTGCGTGGCCAAGAATTGGTGTTTTACACAATGCAGAGAAATGCAGTTTGCTGAAAAGTGCAGGACTTGCCGTTACTGCTGCAGAGCCAAGACATGGCCTACGAGACGCTCTAGCTCGGCATGTTTCGTCTCCATGGCAGCCTGCGTCCGGCAGGAATAGGCGGAAGGCGCTCGCAGGAAATGACCAAGAGATTCCTGGCAAAATTCGAACAGATCTGAGCCTCTTTCAGACACGAGTGCATGCATGAACCTGGACGCATTTGTCAGTTCGTGCGGCGGTGAAAGGGGGCCGTGTAACGCGTGGGTCCATCTGGACTCCCAAGGCAAGTGCACAGGCAGCCCTTCAGCAATCTCCCATGCGTCCAGCGCCAGGGTGACGTCCGATTGGGGAAGCTACGCTTGGACAGGACATCCCGCTTAGCTATCCGGGGTACACAAACACGGAGGTTTGAGGCTCTGCTCGCGGTACTGGTGCTGGGAGGACCAGTACCGCGTGAACAGAGATACTGACAACCCAGCCACGTCGTTTCTGCCTGGTGGAGTTGTCGTGTCACACAAGCTAGACCACGGTCGATCCTACGGTGAAGCCGAACTACAGTGTCTCACTGCCGGATAAGACATCTTGAGACCATACGGCAAGAGCCGCTAGATGGAAGAGAGCCTACCGGATGAAGCCCTTTTATCGCGAGTAATCCTTCAACTTGACCTGTTGCTCCGGGCAGAGGTCCAAGCTGGAGCATACCATAGTACTCTGCCTAGGTACACAGCATGGTGAGTCAGCGCTCGCCGCTCAAGTCTGCCAATCGTTGGCCTGGCAAACAGGCAGGCAGGGGTACCACGGTTTTGTTTGGAGGCTGGGATAGCTAGTGCCTTGCGGGTACCTCTGTACCGAACATAAGGACAAGTATCTTCCCCCTTGGCCACCCAGTGCCGCAGCGATCAGCCCTACATGGCCTGTTATGAGATAATGGTTGTCGATGTGGTCCAATCTCGGACTGCAGGACTAGGCTAGGGGGGCTACGTAAGAGTGGATCTTGTGAGGGTTTCCATCACTGGCAACCAATCCTTCTCGGAGACGAGAGCATCGTCAAAACATCACTGCGTAAGCGTAGAGGGGCGGAGATTGCAATGTCTGCTTGGAATCCCTGGGGGGGGGGGGGGAAGGAGAGCATGCCCCAGTACTTTGATGCCTGGTCGACAATCCGAGCTCGTTCGGGAGAGCAAATTTTCTCCCCCGTCAGCCATCCATATAACCCGGGCGAAGCATCCTTGTATGAGTTCAGGTCGCTTGAAATGCGGCCGACACGCACCAGGCGCCATCCACCTGAGCTAATCCAACAAGTTCTTCATGCGTCGTCCTCCGGCTGTACACTGCTGGTGGTCAGGGGCACAGGAGGAAGACACGGACGACACTAGGTCGAATACCTCGCAATTCGTCGGGACCGAGAGAGATTAAGGTTCCAGCATTGCCACTTACAAGGCCGAGGGAGCCTCATCTTGGACCGGGTATGGTTCCTCTCGGGTACGATGTCCGCCCTTGAAAACTGTCATAAATGACAACAGAGCACAATTATATCAGGGGCACTCAGTTAAAGTTTGCGGCCGCATTTGAAGAGGCTCCCTGATCCCTGAAACGTCCCGGGGGGGTTGTCAATGATGTAGTATCTTGAAGTCCTTAGTTTCTTGACATGATAGGAGCCATGAACACTTGGTCTAGAAGCACCAGCGGACTGTTGAGAATCACTTGGAACTTTGTCCGGTCCCACTCTGCCGAGTTCCGTGGTTTGTAGCTCGTGGACCGGCTGCAGCCCGACTGGCTCGTTGCTTACCTGGTTGCTGGGCGGTTGGTCGCCATTCACTCTGCTGTTTCTTGGCCGTCTTCTCGTAGACGTTTTCGTGCAATGACTCATTCAGGAAACGAATTTGTAAACAAACCTTTTTGATGTTATGAATCTGCATAACTGGGAAAATGACCTCATCGTCGCACGACTGCTTGTCCACAAAATAATGAATGGTGACTTGCCAAGGATAGCGATATTGACGCACTGAGCGAACCAAAACAAAGAGCAAAAAGTGAAAACTCTGCTCCTACGGTAGGCGAGTCGAAGTGAAGCATCGTCGTGAAACCTACAGGTCATGACGTTGGACTTGAGCTTCATTTTCACAAAGTCGAGCATCAAGTCGTGAGATAGAACACAACAGATGTCACAAAGATCTGTAAACTAATCGGAAACAAAGCTTTTCATAGTTGCTCGCCAACCTCCTTTTCGTAGATCCATGAGTTTAGCCTCCATTCATGATCGCAACCTGACTTTCTCCTCTCCGCGCCCACCCCCACGTTGTCTTTTGCTGGTTCTTTTTCACTTTTGGGTCTTCTTCTGCTTCTGCTCCCGTTTTTTTGCTGCCTTTGCTGCTGCCCTTGCTGCCCTTGCTTCCGCCTTTGCTGCTGCCTTTGCTGCCTCCTTTTTTTTGCCCTTTGGCTTTTTCCCGTGGACAACCAAGACGGGTTCCGGTTCCCTGGGCATGATCGTCAGAAAGACTCCTTGACCAGGTCCAACAAGGACCACACGCATGTCGCACTTGTGGCACGCGTGTCACCCACTTGATGGAATCCATGACTGCCCAGTAATCAGTGTTGCCTTTGTGAACGCTGAAGTAGCTCGTTTGGTGTGCCATGATGCTGTAGTGGCAGTGGTCGGTGCTGCGTGGTCCCAAGACTCAACACTTTTCGAGGACAAGAGGTCCTCGCCGTCCTTAAATGCTTGCCGGAGACGATTTCCCAAGGTGAGAGGACACACCATACCTACCGCTCCCCGCTTTCAAACCAATGTTATCGTAAGTGACGATTTCCCTAGCGCGTTGATCAGGGGCGGCCCCTTGACCATGCCATGTAAGCCGCTCAGAATGGCGACGGCATGTTCACCCCTGAGTGGGTTCTGGTACTTAAACCAGCTCCACCCGGTCTCTCTAGGCCCTGACAGGCGTTAGTCGACTCCCGGGGAAGAAAACCCGGGCAGCCCTTGCTCTAGATCTTTCCGGGGGTCCTTGCTCGCTGCGGGAGAAGGAGATACGGGGATTGTGAAAAGGTCTGTACGTCCCGCCTCCGGTATCGCACCTGCTACTCCCACATTGCTTGTGAAGAGAAAGGGAATATCAGTGAACTGTGGTGACAGGAGCGTGCTTGGCTGTCAGCGCTGCAAGCAAGGACCAGGCCCCCCAGTACGTGGCCGTGGTACTCAAAGCTGATCATCTGAAGGGCATTGAAGTGGGTGGCAACAGGTTTTGTGTCTGGCAAGATGAGGCAACGTCATGGCGGCAGAGTTCAGGTAACGGCCCAGATTGAATTGGTCTGTCTGTGAACTGTATTCGTCGAGGCTGCCTTCCGACGGGCCTAACCACGTTGCGTGTCGGAGCTGTGGCCGTTGTCAGCCTACGCTTATGGTTCATAGTGCGAGAGGGTGCCGCCCAGCCGACAACCACCCAGCAACGCGCTAGGCCTGCTCAGTCGTAGCTTACAGCGCCTCTCAGCACCTCCCAGCACCTCGCGCCGCCGTAGCTGTCCCTCTATACATCCCCCGCAAGGTTTTTATGTTTTGCCAGCCATAACGGGGGCAATTATTCTCATTCCCTGTAGATTCTTGAACTTGTATCAACATTGTTTGCCCAGTCGCGTTGAACGCGACACGCTCGCGTGTACCGCGAACAATTCTGTCCCTCGACCATGCGACTTTTGGGTTGGACATGAGTCATCAGCATCGAGAACGATATGTCCGTCGTCCAAAGGAGTAAACTTACGTACTTTCCTTGCCGCGTAACATGCCTAAGATAGTACACCCCGTCGTCCTCAAAGAGCTACCGGCTCGAAACCATCGACTACATCCTCTATCCTCGCCGCTACGGTCAGCTGTTCGACGATTCGAAACGCACAGTATAATATCATGAAGTCTTCCGGGTCATGTCGAACATCGCATGACTTCCCCAAGGTCGAGGCGTAACGCGATCTTGATGCTCATCACCGGCTATGTCTCGACAGCCATGGAAACGTCGACACCCTCATATCCCAACGATCTCAAAGCCTCGTGTCGGTCAAGACGCCAGAGTACGACAGCGTTCCAGAACCGGCAAGACTGTCTCATCGAGAGATGCCTTCCATGTTGACTGGCACCCAGCCGTCACCGCCCTCATGAGCGTCATTCACAACATCAGTGTTCTTCGTCTGTCTGCAAAGGCTGCCATGCTTCGCGGTAAGCACACCATTCTTGAAACCCTAGGCGCCAAAACGGTCAGTGGGATTTCGACTAACTGCTCCAGCATGTTGATGTCACGAATAGTGGTCGATCTCGTTCCGGCGCCAATGTCCCCGCGACCACATACCGAGTGCTTGATACGCGTCAAACCCCCCTCTGACACCGTCGAGAAAGACCCTCGCCATGCCTCGACGCTGGTGAATGGCGACGCACGTGTCGAGCAGTCGAATCATGATAGAGTCCCGTTGGATCTGCAGGGAGCCTGCTTGAACATCTATGCAGTTGGAACGGTTAGGATATCAGCGCTCTCGTCGTATTCATTGGTCCAACTTACCGGCAATGTACACGCAAGTTATCCCACCCACATCCGTGCCAATTGCACCCGCCCAAGGCAGGTTTCTTTCTAGCGTGGAGTCGTCATTGGGCTGATAGATGAGTGCCGTGGCAACGATAGTGCGCCCATGCATACCAACGATGATGTTGTCCAGTCGGCCAGTATCAATGGCAGCTGTGTATTGTTCAAGCCAGCCAGCGTGCTGAGGCATGACGAGACTTCGTTCCAATAATTCTCTTAGTGAAGAAAGATCGTCGGGCGTTGCTTGTCGGTATGATCGGCGGATTTCAATGTCCTCCGGCATCGCACTAGGCCATGCATCCGTCTCGAGGAGTAGATCTCGTATCTCGTTGCCAGGCATCCCGATATCCCATCCACGCTTCACGAACCAATGCTCCGAGTCGACAGAGGTCGGCAGCCCTCGAAGTAGGCGCGGGAAACTTGACCCCAACTGGATATGGCTCAACCCAACCATTCGTCTCAGCCAACTCAGGGCATGGTCGTGCAAAGCACGTCCAATCCCCTGGCCCCGATATCTTGGGTCGACAATAAGAGTGGCAAGGTAGCCAATAAGTTCATCGCTTTGCCGGGTCGCCTGTACCGTGTAGGTGGTACAGAGACCTATCACCAATGATGTCTGAGGCATACAGACGACGTGATAAAAAGCATCATCGCCTCTGGCGAGCACTGACCGCAGTTTGTTGGCGTCCATCTTGAACTGCGACGGGAGACATTCATTCCACAGCGCTGAAACGGCCCCCATGTCCTTAAGTGTATCCCAGACCTCAATTGACCAATTCGTTTCGGGTCGTCCATGAGCGGGCAGACTTCCTTCGCTGGCCAACGACTTTGTGTGCAACTCTCTCACAAAGAGTGACTCTGCAAGCGTCTGAAGATTTCTCTGGTTCATCTCAGTCACCTGGAGGGCTGTCGGAAAATCATCGTCAACTGGACTAGCGCTGAGAGTGGTGATCATGATGAAAGGCTTCCCTCTAGCCAGCCGCTGAACAGCCCGACCGAGCTCGACCTGATCGACCTGGCCGAGCCGAGGTGGTCCGCTAACGACGAATATGACTACTCTTGCCGCTCTGATGAAGGCCGCATGCGTGTTGGTGATACCATTGAGGGCCGTGTACGGAACATGTCTGACTCCAGCGTGCTTGGCGGCAACCGCTCTACCCAGGATCTCGAATGGATCGCGTCCGGGAGTCTCACCGCGCTCCCTGATCACGACGACTGGAGTCAACAGGAGTATGATCTCGCCCTTGTTGAGGATGCTCCCCAGCGGGATGTTGGAGTGATTGTTTCGTATCACCGTGATCGGCTGTGCGGGATCTGGAAACGGAGCAGACCCGGCAACACGCCTCTGAGCCTCTGAAAATGGCCCTTCGCCTGGATCAAGATCCATGACGGTTCCCGGCATGCCCCAGCAGGTGTCTGAGTCCTGAGACCTTTTGAGCCGGGTCGTTGATTACCTGGTAATTAAAACACGCAAACCTCACAACAACCAGAATGCCTAAACTTCCTTGCGATCCGGAGAATCTCCGGCAGCAGCGAGGTTCCCCGGAACCACATAGCACCAAATTGCAGTGGCCCGGGGGTAATGGCAAGACAGGGGCCGTTGCACGGGGAACGAACGGCTTGCACGAGCGTGCTCTGTCAAGCCAAACTTGTGGTCGGGCTTGCTGACGAAGCGGCACAGCCCCCACGACGACAGGTCCTGGCTGGCCGTGTTCTCGGCCTTGTTTCCCGTTCTGGGGGGGGGGGGGGGGGTTGACGAACAACGATGGGCGCTGCGTACGAAAGCTGGCTGGAGTGAAGATTACGACACCATGTCGACATGAAAACGAGGGTTTTACAGTCACGATGTGAACATCACGAAGTGCTCGAAAAAAAAAATGTATGGTCCAGATTGCCCTGGAGAATAGCAGCGAGAGAGAGGCGCCGTCGCCGTCGGCACCTGGCATGCCTAGCGAGCCCACAGCAGGCGACCAGACCCTTGCTCGAGGCTGGGGGGTCCCCATGAATTGTCGGGTTCCTCAACTTGCCTGCGGGAAAGTTTCCTATGCTGACCGGCCAGCCAAGCGAGTCGATGTGACGTGAGGCTATGCGTGCAACTCCAAAGCGCCACGCACTTGCCACATCAGGCAGCCCGACGGGCCTTCGGGACACAGGCAGTGAGCGATAGCCCGGCAGCGAGTGATGTTGGGTTGCTGGGACTCTTGTCGTGCGTTTCGCCGTCCACTCTGTCCGCATTGCAGAGTTGAGAGAGGTGCAACGACATGGCGTACGTAGCGGACCTACAGGCAGGCACAGGCAGGCACAGGCGACATCCCTGCACCGCTACTGTGGGTTGTGAACCCTGCATCAGTGAGCTGTCCCACTCTCCCGTTTCCGCGGGCTTTCCAGCCATAGGAATGCGCAGGGTGGCAAGGATTGGCGCGGTAAATCCCGCTCTGGCGTCTTCGATCGCAGGAGCAGCATGCGAGCCTGTGAATCGGTCATGTTTTGGTCGGACTGGCTGGATTTTGCCCATGCCGGGCATGGCTGACCTTGAGCCCGGGGGGGCTACACCGAGTCTAGGCGCTCCTATGGGGGCCTTGGCGATGACAAAGACCAGCTGGGCGAGGACCAGGAGTGCCAATGGCAGGCGTTGGTTCTCTCCGGAGGGACGGAGCTCATGGATTGGATCAATCAGCCAGCAGCAACAGGATGACCGCCTCCTCCGCCGGCACAATCCCCGCAGCCGGGCCTTTTGCTCGCCCCACACCCGGCCGTTGCCGTGGCCCCACAGCGGCGTGACCTCACTTGAATGTTGGTGGCAGTCGCGTACTCGAGGGCAACACGCGACTGCCACCCGGCTCAATATGCAAACACCACCGTCCGCCGGGAGCCCCACGCGACACGCCAGGCCCCGGGATACAAAGAACATTGTGTGAACCTGCAACGCGACAGTGCACTGTGACTCCTCCTGGTGTTGGTGCAGTCTGCAGCCTTTTCTGCGCGGCTTGCGCTGCCCTGCAGCCAACGTGGCTGGCCATGGCACCGCGAGGCACGGCTTCGCCGCTTCCCCACGGCGACTCGGACCCGGCCGCTCGCCGGCACATCGAAGCCATTGCCAAAGGTACCGCGTCCACGGCGGCAATATATCCCCCTCTGCTTCATCACGAGGCTAACTCTTATCTCACAGCATCAAAAGTGCTCCCGAGAAATCGAACAGAGGAGGTCAAGCCCTCCGTCGAGAAACTCAACACTCGAAACTACGAGCGGGGCGTGCTTCCTGGTGACCTGGATGACTTGATTGATGTCCTCACCACCCCCAACTTCCTCGACCAGGCCAGCCTGAACAGCATCCTCAGGTCCCTCTACCCAGCCTCAACCGTGTCGGGCGATGTCCTCGTCAAGGTGGTTGGCGCTCTCGGGCACGGGAAGCGCAAGCCATCCCTCGCCATACAGGGTGCCCTTCTGAGGTGGCTCATCATGATACACCATGTCATCGATAACTCCGGAGTCTTGTCACAGTCATACAGCCTTCTCTTCAACCTCCTCGACACCGCGGCCATCCGGTAAGGCCCAAGCGCTTGCTGTCTGGGTCATGTGTTAAAACTGACTTTGGCATAGCACACATATTTGCCATATTCTTGCACTCATCACTCGTCGGAGGCATGTTCGGCCCCATCGCATCCAGTCGTTGTAAGTGTCGGACCTTTGTCACCGCACGTGTTGGTACGAGTCATTGATGTGTCCGGAATAAGACTCTCCCTGGCGAGACAAACAGGCAACGATCAAGCTCTGACCGGACTCTTGCGCGTCTACAAGAACTACTACCCCGAGATTGTGGTTGGCGAGGCCGTTCGCGGAAAGGCATCGACATTCGCAGTATGTCCTCAATTCAAGCAAACCCTTCTCATGGATGGCCTCCATCGAGTCGCCCAGCGAACCTGTAATCTGACGCATACCTGGCACTAGCATCCGGACCCGCAGTGGCGAGACCGGCTTGCAGAAATCCAACAGGCGCACGCCGAGCGGACACGGCTGAGATCAGAGCAACCACTGTCGGCCTACCAGGTGTCCCGCAACAACGGGAAGTTGATCGTCCCCGAGGTGCACTCGTCACGTGCGACCGAGGTAGGGCTGTCTCGACATTGAAGCTTCTCACTGCCCTTCCACTGACGGCCGTGCACGCAGAACTCTGTCACGCTTGAGGAGATTGAGAGCGCAGACGGGCTCGTAGACAAGCTCGACAGGCTCGAGTTTCCTGACCAGCTGATAGCTGTGCTGGGTGACCCTCTGCTGCAGAAGCTCTTCCTCCTGAAGCCCGATGCCGAAGCTACGACGCGAGCGAGTTTATGGCTCGCCTCTTACGCGGAAGATGTGCTCAGAGGCGAAGCGAACAGTGGCATATTCCAGATCGTACAGTCCTATCTGGCTGCTACAAAGGTACGGTTGCAGAGATTGCCGCCTGGGCTGGCACGAGTTTACTGAACAGTCCGTTTTAGGTCATGCCGCCAGTCATACTGGCGTTCTTGAGTGACTATCTGCACATCTGGGATGGTCACGAGGACAGGGCGGAAATCCTCGACATTTTGACGTATCTGCCGATGCTCGACTTCCAGGGTGAGCAGAAGCCAAAATATCTGTCACATCACCCTCACAACTGCTGACGAGTACCCATTCCAGACCTTCTCTCGGCCGTCTTCCAGCCGCTTGAGGCTCGGATACTAGATGGCACGGTCGGCAGGCAGATCGACCTTCTCAACTACTACGGCGCCCTGTTCCGTCGCTGGCGCATCGCGCTGACGCTCAACACCCAGCAGAGCAACACGGAGCCGCAGAAGGCCGCCGCACTGATCGAGGCGATGGAGCGCCGGACGGGCATGCTGGCCCTGGCCGTCCTCCAGGCCGCGGCGGCGTCGTCATCGTCATCGGCCGCTGCCCTGTCATCGAGGCCCTCGGACTCGGCGACGAGAGCAGCAGACGCTGTCCTGAACTTCTACGAGGAGACCGCCTCGCTGGCAGTCGCAGCCAACAGCCCTGAGCAGCAGCAGCCGCCGGCCAACTCCCCCCTGCCGTTCCTGCGGATCGTCATCCCTCCAAAGCCGGTCGTCTACCTCCTGGCCTTCCTCCCCTGCCCGTCCGTGCTGTCCCGCATATGCGGCGTCCTAGCACAGTACAAGACGGCATTTTCCCACGCGCAGCAGCAGCGCAAGCTCAAACCCGGCAGTAGCAGCAAAGCATCCGCGGCGCAGCAGCAGCAGCAGTACCCGTCCGCGTACGTGGACGAGTTCAACGGCTTCCTGATGGACATGTGCAACCTGATCTGGCGGTCGCGCGCGTTCGGCACCGCCGACGCCAACGCGCACGGGTGCCTGCTCGATGCGGGCGTCGGCGCCGCGCTTGCGGGGTACATCCGGGATGTGAACAACGACGACCAACAGCAGCAGCAGCTCGCCCTCACCGCGCTCTACTCGTTCTCGTACTCGCCGGTGCTGGGCGGGTTCGCAGCCTCGAGAGTCGCGGAACTCGAGGACCAGGAGGCAGGCGAGGAAGTGATGGACGACGAGGCCAGGCACGCGGGGCCCGTGACCAAGGCCAGCCTGAGGGGCCTGGCGGGTCGCGGGGGCATGAACATCTCGTGGGAGGACTTCCGGGTCGAGGTCTTGGAGGATCTGACCGAGGCCAAGGGGATGGGAGGGATTGCGGAGTTGTTGTACAGCACCATGACGACCCTGGCGGGGAAGCGGCCATGAGCTGTTGGAAATTTGGAAGCACAATACATAATAATGACCAGGTGGGACGCAAGCCATGTCATGAACGGACTCGTCGGGGTTGGTGGTTACTTTGGGACAGCAGTGCAACAGCGGGAAGAGCGTCAGAGTATCCCATGTTAGCAAGAAAGGATGTTGACCTAACATGACAAGGATTTTATTGTGCTTATTGTCCCGTGCCCCATGCAAAGAGATAGACAGTCTTTGTCCACTTTCTATACTTTGACCCGCCTGACCAGGGTGGTGCATCATAACCAAAGACATGCGAGGCTTCTATTCTTAGTCCGTTATCCTTTGTTGAAAGGGGTATCTCTGAAAAGCTGTGTGTGTGTGTGTGTGTGAATCGTTAAAGAATCGTTAACAAGAACGGATGACGTCGTGCTCAGCCAGCTGGCTTTTGATTTCCTTCCCTGTTTTCTGGCCCTTTTTGGCTCTCTTGTTTCTGTGTTGAAGAAATTCCTCTCTCTCCTTCTGAAATCCCACGCTACCGTTGGCCCCATGTACAGTGAAGCGTCACGTAGGATCTCTCTCTCTCTCTCTCTCTCTCTCTCTCTCTGTCTCTTTCCCTCGCTTTCTATACATCCCCTCATTCTGGAAACCCTTCCACTTACTTGCCCGGCGGCGTGGCCTCGAGCCCATACCCGCCAAGCCCGCCGGTCGAGTACGTGAGCCCCTCGGTGCCCATCTTCTTCTGGTTGCGGGGCCCGCGGTCCCTCAGGTCCTCTCGCAGCCAGCCCAGCACGATCTCGCCGAGGCGCGAGTTGCCCGAGGAGAGGGCCTTCTCGTCCTGGGCGCCGAGGAACCTGTCGGTGGTGCCCCACTCGCGGACCTCGCCGAGGTGCATGTGGACGAGGTGGGTGGGCCAGCCGGCGAGGTTGTCGAGGATGTGGGTGGCGTAGACGATGGTGCACTCGCGGATCTCCGTCTCGTGCTTGAGCCAGCCGAGGAACTCTGCGCGCGAGAGCACGTCGAGGTCGACGGTGATCTCGTCGAGGAGGAGGATCGTCCAGGGCCGGATGAGGCCCATGGCGAGCTGGACGCGGCGCCGCTCGCCGTCCGACACGGCGTGCATCCGCCACTCGACGTCAATGTCGAGCACGCCCACCAGCTCGTCCCGCCGCGCCGGGTACGCGTCGCCGCCCACGGACCGCAGCAGCTCGCCCACCCCAATGTCGGTCCGCACAATCGGGTTCAGCACCCACTCCAGCCCCAGGTACGTCACCCCCTCGAGCCCCTGCTTGAACGGGTCCAGCCCGGCCACGTTGATCGTGCCCGCGGGGGCCAGCCGCTTGCCCGCCAGCAGCCGCAGCAGCGTCGTCTTGCCCGCCCCGTTGGCCCCGATGAGCAGCGTCCGCGAGCGCGGGGGCAGGGACTGCAGCGTCACGCCAGAGAGACCCGTCGCGTAGCCGGGGAACCGGTACGTCAGGTTGTTGACTGAGATCTCGGGGGCTTTTTGGGACGACATCCTGTGTATTTGTATAGAGGTGTGTGTGTGAATACCCAGTCTTTTTGTCTTGAACGGTTTGGTCAAGAAGGTGGTGGTGGTAGTGGTGGTGGTGATGGTTTGTAGTTGTGGTGATGACAGATGAACCCGGAGTGACGTCTTTCACTCCGTCCTGTCCGTCCGTGTGAAGGGCAGCTTGAGCAGACTGCGAGGCCCGGCTGGAGAGGCTAGTCCGGAGGGCTGATTCTAGAGGGCAACCTGTGGCAAGATATGAAATTTTGAAAAGGAGTTCCTGTAATCACGAGACTTCTGAACAAACAGCAAAGAAAAGGCAGGACCTGCTCACCTACAAATCAAAAAGTTCTTACGCCATCGGGCCCCGTCGGGGCCATATCCACGAGCGACCGGACTGACTGATGCCCACAGTACACGTACTGTCTACTTAGGTGGACAGTTTGCAGCACCACGTACAGTCTCTGAGATATATACACACGGCTGCTCCCCCAGTCGAGCCGGTCACTCTGGCGCCCTGCCCCGACCCAAGTGGGGCCTCTAGTTCGGCTCCAGCCGGTCCCAGAACGACGACGAGTGGGCTTCCCAAGGGTTGTCTATTTCCATCGTCGACGTCGCTGTCGATCAGGACGGCAAAAAGACATTGAGGAAGCCTGGCACTCGACCCGCAGAGGATTTGGCTGTCTTTTGACCACTCGTCAAGCAAAAGTGCTCCGCCTTGCTCGTTGATGAATCTAAATGAGGACCCCAAAGATGCGATCAACGCCTCTTGTCCCAATGTAAAAATACAGTCACACTTGCCACTGACTCTTTTAAGGAGCCAAACGTCAACAAAAGCCCAATCCCATACGGGAAGAGGAATTACACACATTTTGAGCTTGGTTTTCTTCTGTAATTCCTCTCTGCGAGATCATTGCGCCTGAGCAAAGGGTTGTTGTAACTCGACCCACCTCCTGCTGATTGATTGACTTTTGAGACGGCACTGCGAAACAACACTCCTCCATCGTGAGATCCTCACGTACGAGGCTTACTCATGGCCAAGACTAATGGCGGTGAACAGAAGTCTCCCAGGGCAAGAATATTCCCAACAAGAAGACATGAGACTTTGTCACTCGGGTGGGAATCGTGGGATATTGAACTTTACTGGCATAGACCGTGTCGTCAAGCTCTATGGGCTCTCGTATACAGACGCATCAAACGCGCAAGACTAATCATTTGACGCTGGACCAACCTATACCGGGACCATGCCATATCAGCTCAGAGAAGCCCAGGAGCAATTTCCTGGCTAAGCCATGATGTTATCTTCTGTCATCTGAGGTCGTGGAATGTCAGGTCGGCCGTGCCCGGCCATCTCGATCAGTCTCCAACTGTGAGATTGTGCAAACACCATCGCGAGAGGAAAGCCTGTCATCCCCTCAACATGATGACGTCCTGCATCAACAGGTTATTTGCCACGAATGGTTATATCCGCCACGTGACTTGTTCCTCAAAGATTACTTTGTGGCAGTTATCATAGCGCTCGAGCTCAATGTGGTCACTGGAGCTTTTGCACACCTCCGTGCGGATATGTGTGGCCAGCAACATCACCATCGCATATCGCGATGGTTTGATGGAGCGGTGAACCTCGGAAAATTTCGAGTATTTATGGATCGGTGACGCAGGGGCAACAAGATCTCGACCGCGGATATGGTGTTTTGTGGATTCGAAACACAGGCAACAACTAAAGGTGGGCTCGCGTGGCCGGAGATGTCCCGTTGGAGTTGTCGTGACGCCAGGCGCAGCGGTAGCATATGCCTCATAATCTCGATGGGGTCTTCTGCGCTCGGTGTGTGGATAGCAGGGCCGCTGTAGATGCATGGGGGCAGCTTCTGTTCGATGTGATAGCAAATGACAGTCGCCGTCGAAAGACCTGAGTGATGTTGGATTGCGTAGCGATCAGTGGTACACGGGATGGAGCCGGGTTCGTCAGGTAGGCTCGACCTCAATGTCTTGTCGAGGACGCGCTACGCACAAACGTCCTCCAGCCGGTCATGCACTTGTTCCTTTAGAAGTGCTTCGGCTTGTCGGTCCGGCCCTTGCAGAGCCCGTCCTCCTAGATACGAAGATCAAACGAGATCTCAACCAGCCGAGTATCTGAGCTTCCAAGTAGCACGCCGAGTCGTGGAGAAACTTTCCGCGCATAGCACCACCATCACAGTCGCAGTGTCTAGCCATGACGTGGATGTAAGATGGCAGCCTTACACGACTCCAAATGACGAATGTCCAGCCTCGCGTCATAACGCTTCTCGGACGGCATGCGCCGCGCCAGCCAACACGTGCGAGTGCAGCTACCACTGCAGGCACACGACCATCTCCTGCACAGGCCAGAGAGTACGTGGCCGTCTCGTTGGAGAAGACAATCGAGTAAGATGTGCTAGACCACACTGGGACGAGGCGGGATGAACATCCTTGGACAGCTGACGTCCTCATGGACCGGACCGTGAGCTCGAGCCACCCACGATCAAAGCATTGTCATGGCCATTCAAACTCGTGTTGCTGTGTTGCTGAAGCCGAACGACACAAGGCTGATTTCTTACCCACCTGTCGATGTCGATGATGGGCGTGCATATCTGGCCGATGACACTGCCAAGCCCACTTGGTAACAGTTGAGCTGCAAGCCTCCATCGACCCCTGTGTCAATGGAAAGCAGATGTCGTCAGGGGAGTCGCGGGCCAGCGGAGAATCATCCGGTGCACACACGTCTTTTGAACGCTTCCCTGTCAAGCCAATAGACTATGGCTAGACACTTCCAAGAACAGTCCACAGGACGACGTCCGCGTCACGCAAGCCTGGTTCTACGTTTGCCGCGGGCGGCAACGATGACATACTACAGGTTTATCATCAGAGATGAGTGTCGCCCGGCGAGCGCATTTGCCTCAACCTTATTGTTCGGCTTGAGAGTCGGCGTCGAGGTTGTCCGGGGCGGAGAAAAGGGCGTCTGTCGTCAGTGGCAAACAGGAGTGAAGATCCGGGTGCTGCCCTCCGCGGTGACAGCTGGGGTCTCCGGCCACCAACCCCTATCTTGGGCAGGGAGTAATTCCCAGCACGGAGCAGGCTGCTGGTCGGGGTGTCGACAGACGTCAGGATTGGCCGGCTGTGTGCCTGGGCTTGGTGTGTGGACAGGGTGTGTGGAGGCAAAAGGGCACAGTACTGCAAAGGTGTGTGGGTGTGGTGGAGCATGACGAGCAGAGCCGCCTCTGGGCCTCGAGCGTGCCCATGCGTTTTGACGTAGACGCAGCCACGAGGCAGCAAGATGACGGGATGGCCAGGGCTGGCCACCTTGTGCGCTCCCATACTATGGTACATACTCCGTAGTCAGCAGCCAGCATGCACCACGCAGCATCGAGAGCAAGCTCTTGTCGGAGTCGTGCGCGTCCCAGAGCGCTGCAGGCACACCCAATGACGGAGTTGACCCCGGACGGGCTGTCTGCCGTCCGTGCGAAATAACCTTAGTTTGTGTGCAGCTGTGGACGCACTGCGGGTTGTGACAGGACATCGTCTGCTTGTGTTGCTGACTGACATCACATGCCAGTCGCCCAAAGATGCCCACGAACATTCCAGTCCAGAATCACGCCCGGATACTCTGTCTCTTTTGCTCGCCGTGCCACGGACGGATACAGATCTTGTGTTCCAGCACTTGCCCAGAGCTGGCCGCGCCGGGATGATCTCAAGCTTTTGGCCGGGAGCATGTTGCTGCTTTGATGTCCTGGCGTGCCGATCTCGCTCGTTTGTGCTGCGTCTTGCCATGTTGGTGATGGGTGGTGCTGTTGTTGTAGTTGATGATCTGGCGCCATGTTGAGCCAAACAGAGGGATGCGGGCTAGTGGAGGTTGGGGTCGCAAGGGGGTGGACAGGGGGGGACCCAGAATGACCTCACGCGCTAAAGCTTAGGCCACAGGCGCCACCTGCCCAAGCAGGGGGTGAGCCCAGGACCCTTGCGCACGCACCCCTCCCAGCCTGGCCCATTGCATCATCTCCTTCTCCAAAAGGTACCACACGCACCACTTCACTGGACCACAGCACACACAGCCAAACCACACAAATCGCAACACATGAGAGCCCATCCAAACAACAACACACTGCACTGGCTTGGCGGCATATGGCCGACAGTAGTCTTCAATATCCTTGCTGCCCCCTTGATCGAGACCACCGCGCCAATTACAGGCTCTCCTTGCAACCGTAGCGAGAGGATAGCTCGCTCGCCCTGCGAAGGTCCGCTCGTCCAGCTCACTAATCCCCCGCTACCCTGACTTTGCTACGGAACGCCTTCCGGAGTCGCGTCAACTACATACAAACGGCGGCATACTCCGCTCCCGTCGGCAGACATGACATCGCGACTGCAAAAAGGCAGAAGCATTCATAGCAGCCACACAGGGATGCCACAAATGCCCGCTTTGCAGCTCGGGTTGCCCACCCTGTCTGCCTGCCTGCCTGCAAATCGGAAGTTGTTAAGCAACAGCCGTACACAGCATCTACGGAGACGATCACAGCATGGTCTTGGCAGGTGCGCCAGGTAGACGGAGGAGCAGCTGCTCCGCCCTGGTCGGCGCAGAATCCCATTGCACAGAGACGGGCGTTCTGCTGGCAAGTCCAACCACTTTCCCGTAGTTTCGCATCTTTTGCAGTCTATTGCGATGATGAATTGTATTAATCTCGCCTACCCACCCGGCACGCCACAGCGGGCACCACTGCCCGTCTTAAAAGTGGACGATGGCCGCAACGCCCATCAGTAGCGGTGATCGGGCCAACGGGAGGACATCGGTGACCTCAGCTGGCGGGTGACTAAGGCTCCGCACCTCCTCACAAGCATCGCGACCACTCTGACACACCCGCATATTTTTCATAATGTTCGCCTCTGGCCACTGGAGCAGCATGCGAAACGCGTCTGATTTGCGTGCTGGTTGAGTCCGGTCCCGCTAGGACGCGCAGATGGATCATTAGCAAGAAGGTCCTCGACGGTTCATAGGTGGTCGCTCAGGCAGCAAGCAGCAGATGAATTACCGCAGCACCTTTGCATAAGCTAGCTAAGGTCATCAGCTCGACTGGGAATACTTGAGCATGCGGGTGCAGAGTGTGCACCCATTGCCAGACCCCTGAAACAAGCCCGCTAGCATGGGCATATTGTCTGGTGGACACTTGGCTCGCCTGGCCTGGCCTGGCTCCGTTGTCCGGAGGTGTCCCCAGCCCTGTCACCGCGGCGTTAATGTCAAAGAGAGACATTGAGCTGCCTGCAATTAAGGTATTTATGATCCTTGTCATCTTTGGCTCTGCTCCTGGGGACTGACGCCACACCATATCTTGCCGCACTTGCGTCGCACCAAGGCGAGCACAACCGCTCGAGGCACTGGACTGGGAATAACGTACGTAGGTTGCCACCAATGGGAGCCTGGTGGGCGGATGACTTCAGCGGAGCCCAGCGATCTGCAGGGTCCTTCCAAAAGCGGACGGGGGGCGCACCTGTGCGGGGGTGGGCGTGGCCGGGGGGTGCAGCGAGTGACGCACGCAGGATGACATGGAGGCCCCACCCGCGACTGCCGATCCTACGCCATTGCCGACATGGGCTGCCCGTTGCTGCAGCTGCTGATCCCTCGCGCAACGGGTACGGCAACATGCACACACAGACGCAATAGCCGCCCAGGGCCGGAGGCGTCGTGACTGTGAAGTCACCCCATGCATGCCTGTGCCCGCACAAAGGCACGCCCATCCATGACACGCTCCAGTGCCACTCGCCAAGAGGCCGGCTGGCAAGGCCGCCTTTTTAGGGGTCCTCCCACACCAACCGCCTGGCCACCACTTGCATATAAGCCAGCACAATCGCCTCTTCGTTTCCGTCGTTCTATTCTCATCATCAACTCAACCAAACATCATCAAAGCAACAGCCCAGTCTTCCAGCTGTCCATCCATACACCACCGCCACCAGCCAAGCGAACCTCAAAAGGCGTCAGAACACCACATTCACATCAACCAAAACACATCATCAAACACCACTCAATCACCATCAATCATCATCATCATCATGCCTTCCCGCGAGTCTTTCATCCCCGTCTCCGTCTCGCCCCCCACAGACATCTCGAGCTACGCTCGCTTCATGCACCAGCACACCAAGAGACAGATGGAGGCGGCCTCGCGGTCCTCGCACCGCCGCACCGGACACATGAGCCCCGGCGGCACTCCCAGCATGCCCAACGGCGGTTCATCTTCGACATCCCCATCAAGCCTGAGCGGAGTGCACGAGTATCACGACTAAAGTCGCGGCCCAAATGTAGGGGTCCCATCCCCTCCCACAAATGGGTCCGCCCACAACCCAACTCATAAGTGCCTGGCCGACGGGTCACCCCGACAGGCACTGCTGTACTACAAACCATCATCTCCATTACTTGAGCGACTCTCCTGACTTCCATGGGAAAGCAACGGCGTTCCGGCAAAAAAGCATACGAAATTATACCGGTATCTTTTGGAAACTTTTACACAGAAGCGCTTTGGCGCGGGATTTGGCCGTGGTTGGCCAAGCCCTTTCATGATACACTCTTCTTTTTTTGGATAGCGAAAATACGAACCATTTCGCTGCCACTAATTCTTCTCCACGGATGGGTAAACCACGATACTGTGAAATACTGAAATACTGGTGCGATTTGTAAATGTGTGATACACAGCTCAGTTCCACTGCTTGAGAGAAAGTATGTGTGAAACATGCCTTCTCGTGCCTGGTATGCTACAGCCTTGCATCTGACGCCTTGCTCTCGGCGGTTATGTGATCTTGAAAATGTATGGTGGGAAAGAAGCCAGCTCTCCTGCTTCGGAACGTTAACGGCCAGATCATCACGGCAAGTCTAGAGCTGCCCAGACTAGGGAATGATCATGTGCAGGCAGGCTTCCAAGACTGATTGGTGTGCGCGAATCATGACCCGAGCTTACTGCGGTACGCAGGGGCCAAGGACGATTTAACCGCATTGAAGGCAATAGCACTGGGCACGTCTACAAGGGGACCAGAGCTCGGGCAACACAACGCTGGCATGGGGCTCTGACACGAGAGATGCCTGAATTCACACGGAACCCCCAGGTGGTCCCGGCTGTTTCCAGAATGCCGACCGTGGTCGTTGAGAGTTTTAGAGTTTGCCACGAAAACAAGGCACGAGGCGGAGGGGGGAGGGGGGGAAATGGGATGGATGTCTTGGTGTTGCTCCAGCGGCGGCGCAGCAAGTAGCCTGAGTCCTTTGGCTTGGCTTGGGCACTTATCATTTAGTGCCCGGCCCAGCCCTGCCTAGCCCACAGCCGCTCACCTCGTCTTTGATTCCCCATGGCTTGAGGCAGAAAGTGGAGCGCTTGGGGGGGATTGACTGGGGCATTCGCCCTTGACGACCAGGGGGTTCCTGGGTTGTGGTTCAGTCAACCGTCGTGCGCCTGGATGGAGAATCAGGTTTCTTGGTTTTAGAGTTTCCCAGGGTCTCTTGTGGTAGCATGCCGTCGGCTTGTATGCCTGCGAATTTATCGTGAGTCGCGGCTTTGTGGGAGAGGTGGAGATGGACCCTAACCTCGCCTGGCCTGGCCACATGCTCAAGACCAGCCGTCGGGCTTGTCAGATAGACTCCGTTCGTGCAGCGAGGTGCATGGCAGCCCAGACCTGGCAGACCAAGGTAGAGCCCCTGGCCTCTTACTACGAAAACATAATATACAATGGCCGTTTCAGGTGTCTTCCCGTCTTAGCCGTGGCGTTGTTGACTCTCAAGATGCTAATCGCAAACACGTGTGATGGCGTAATTGGCTTTTCGTCTGTTCTGAATACAAAGTACGGGCTCTCGACAACCAGAGAGACACATCGCATGCCTCCACCACGAGCGGTCGGAGCCACCGGCACCTGCGAGCCATTGACGCATTGTGCGTCCCTGGCCTGTGATATGTCTTGATAGTTTGTCATGTCTCGGAGCAACATGCCTGAATGGCCAGTCGGGACGTGAGTGTGTGGCACTTGAGACAAACCCACATGAAGAGGGATTAGTGCAGGCAAGACGCCACCAGTGACCAATGAATCGCTCCTCGTCGTTTTGCACATTCGTTCATGGTGTCGAGGACAGTGGCAGCGGAACGGGTCTGTTGAGCTCGGTCTTGGAAGTGGAGAGCTTGCAGAGCAGGGCAGGATTGATGCGAGTGGGTAAGCAAGTAAGCGTGGTCGAGAGGAAAGGAGGAAGACCCTGAGATCAGTTGACCTCGGTGCCGACGATGTGGGCATTCAGATTCAGACCAGGAAAGAGCATCCCAGAAGAGGGGAAGCGAGCAACGCCAATGCCATGTGACGATCCTCGTTTTCGCCCTGTGGGCCCGGACCCCTACTTTTTCCCACTCCTCACGACCATCCCCGGCGTGATCCAGCTCCCCAGCAACGATAAGAAAGACGATCACTGCCTGGTCTCGTCCTCTGCCGTGGTGTGCAAAACATGCACAATCTGGCCGGGATGGGGAAAAGCGACTCCGCTCATGAGAATCCAGATTCGGAGCGCCAATCCTGCCGCTCATTTACCTCTTCTGGCCACAACCAGTGCGGAAGCTGGCATTTCCATGCCCGCGCGTCCCATCCGCGACGAAAAACCCCGCTCCGGCAGGGCTGTGGACAGAATAGACTGGACAGTTGTAGATCCATGTTGTACAGCGCCTGCCCGGTTTATTCTGTCCACAGTTTCGTCTAGCAACAACGCAAACCCCACTGAAACCAAGATGCAGTTCGCCAGATTGTGATCGGCAGTTCTGCCTTGATGTGCCAGTCGTGTGAGGGCTGGTGCTGCCATCCGTCGTGTCCGCTCGACTCCGCTCCATCCAACTTGCAGCAAGCTTCGCGTCCCAAAACAAGGGTCTGATCGGCAGCAGTGGTGGGATTCTGGGGGACGGGCCTACGGCCAACCTCGCAGGACGCTCCGGCTCCCCGTCGCCACATACAGAACTCGAAATCCCCATCCTCGACATCAAAATTGGGCAATCATGGGGGTTTGGCTGGGCTGGAATGCGTTCCCGCATCTATGACGTCGTTGGCGGTTTAGTCACGGAGCCGGCCGTGGAGGCAGAGATCCATGTCGAGCGCCGCTAGCGCGCTTACAGGGGGGGGTTGTTTTTCTCACCCCCCACACCTCCAGCAGTCCCTCTGGACCCTGGCCAGACCTGACCTGGATGTCAGCCTACCATGCAAGCCATATCCTCCGGTGAACGGAAACTGCCGACGGGCTATGGGTAAACATAAACCTGCATGCCCATCTGGTGCAGTCCTGGGGCAGGAGAATTCCAGTTGGCAAGGATGACTCAGTACATAGCTTGCTGAGATTTCCGTTCAACCACCATACCAACTATTTTCCGAGATCGGCATGGACAGTTGATGTACAGGGAATGGGCCAGGTCCATGTTCATGGTTATTGGATGGCCACCCAGGCTTGGCTGTACAACCCCGAGCAAGCGGCTAGAGCTCCACATTCTCTAGTTGGTGTGCTATTGCGCAGCATGTGTTGAAAGCTGACCTACCTCTGTCAACATGTCCCTGTCTACGAGAGTCGCCAAAGGTGGGCGATCCAGCATCATCCGCGCACTAGGCATTACTCCAAATCCATCACAATTGCATGGTCGAAGCCCTTTACATGTGGAAGATGAGTTGAAGGAATGTCCTGAATGGACTGATGCGGCTGACGCCGCCATTTCATATCGTGTGAAACTAAACGCTATGCTACAGAACCAGTATACCGCATTGAGCCCAGAGACCGCGTAACCCTTTATACCAAGGACGGTTTCTTTTTGATGCCCAGCAAGGCAGAGTGGTCTTTCTTCTTCTTGACCACCCTCTTGAATGTTGGAGGGGGCATGTCTGTGGATGTCGTGGAAGCTGGCGCTGACGATGTTGACGTAGAAGCGTTATCCACTGTGCTGCTCGTTCCCGAATCCGCCGCCGGCTTCGATGCTGATGCCGACCTCGAAGGCCCAGCAGCTGGCGCGGCCGCGAAGCTGCGGCCATCGTCATCGATAATCTCCACCTCCATGGCCTCAGCCCTGCGAGCAAACTCAAACGCGCGCCTCGCAGCCTCGGCATCCTCCCGCTCCTGCCGCGCCGCCTCATCGTCCACGGGCGCCGCAACCGTGACCTCGGCGCCGTCCCGGTCCGCCCTCTCGAGCCTGGCGTTCCGGGTGCGGATCTCGTCGAGCGCGTCGGCGACGGCCATCTCGCGCTTGGCGTCGACCGTCTTGGCCTCGAGGTCGGCCATGGCGTTCCTCTCCTCCTCCCCTTCCTGCTCCTTCTCCTCGGCCTCGAGCCGGTCGAGGCGCTGCTCGTCCGTCTCGTCCTCGGTCACGACGCGCCAGGGCTCCGTGTTGCGCTTGGCGCCCCGCTCGCACTGGTAGTCCTGGTTCTTGGGGTCCGTCCGGAACGTAATCTCGGCGCTGCACCGCGTGCAGCGGATGTAGAACCGGAAGATCTGGATGCCCAGGTACTTGTCGCCCTCGGGCGTCTCCTTGCGCGCGTTGAACTTGCGCCCCTTGTAGATGTACTCGCCGCACGTCGTGCACTTCATGCTGAAGGGCGCCATGAGCCGCACCGTCTGGACTTTGGGCCCGGCCTTCTTGGGCGCGCGCACCCGGCCGAGCGCGCTCGGGTCGAAGTCGGGGGGGTAGTACTTTGTGAGGACTTTTCGCTCCGACATGGCGGGCTAGGTTTTGTTTGTTGTCGCGAAGGGGGTTTTGGTGGGATGCGGTGTTGTGTCAAGGTCGGGGTCTTGGTCGTGCTTGGGAGGATGCGGTCCCTCTGTCCGTCCGTCCGTCGGTTTGTGGGTTGCAAGTGTTTTGGATGATCGTCAAAGTTGTTGTGGCAGCCTTGTGATCAAACACTGCTCGATTAGTTGGAGGCCGGGTGGGTCCACAGCCTCGCCTGGCATGGAAGACTTAAAGGCTGACGCTGACTAATACTCATGCGCCAGACGACTCGTGAATAGCCCGGAAGCATCGAGTACAAACAAGTCTTGTTCACCTTGCAAGCGCGTATAATGTAGCCTCGGGGGGAACATTCTCAATTAACTCTTGATCCTCCGTCCGTGTGAATGGCTATATTGAATGAACGGAATTATCATAGAGGCACGCCCTGCCTGGATGCGAGAGCATGCAACGTCTCCGACCTAATGCGGGGCCCAGCCTGGTGCTTGGAAGTTGAAAACGCGGAAGCTCAAGATGAGCACGTCAACACAACACGCCTGGGGTATGGGGCCAGCAAATGTGACATTATATAGACGCGGCTCTGAGAATCAAGATACCGTCAAGGAGCTTTCATTTCATGCGTCGTGTTGATCTCAAAATGTTAGCAGCCATCTTCAACTGGGTCTCCCCCCATGAAGCCGTCCCCAAACCGGCGACGGGCCCCACCTGTAGATCCGAGAGCGTCATCCGAAGTCCCGAACTCTGGCTGTTGATACAACAACCACCTCACTCACTCACTTGCAGCATCATCGTCGTGACAACTTCTCACAAACCCTCTTGTTCTTCAAGAGCACGACTCACTTTGATCACTTCTGCCCCAGTTTCAGCAGCCATGGCATCCTCACTCGCTTACAAAGTTCACCACTACGCCCCGGACAAGGACCTTCAGCAGGTTGGCGTCTGGCCGCTAGACCTTGACGACAAGTCAAAGTACTGGGTCATGTAAGTCTTGCCCCGTTGATCCCTCTCACAGCCACTTCTCCCCAGCCAGATGATTGACATCTTGAAATTATAGCTATATCCATGGCGGGGCCTGGCGAGACCCGGCAATCCTCCACAAGACCTTCGTCCCCTCCATAGACAAGCTTCTCTCCAGCAGCACATCACCCGCAAGAGGCCGCATAGCAGCATTCGCCTCCATCGACTACCGCCTCTCCGCCCACCCAGACCACCCCCAGGACCCAAACACCACTCCCGCGTCCCAGATCCGCGACGCCCTCCACCCAGACCACGCCAACGACGTCGTCGCCGCCATCAGCTACCTCCAGGCCCAGTACGGCTTTGGCAGCCGGTACATCCTGCTCGGCCACTCTGCGGGCGCGACACTGACGTTCCAGGCCATCGCGGACTTGACCACCACCACCACCACTACCAAGAAATTCGTCCAGCCAGAAGCAGCCATCGGCCTCTGCGGGATCTACGACCTCAGCGCGCTATGGGACCGCACAGGCGGCACCTACGGCTTCATCCGCGCCGTCTTCGGCCCCGACAGGATAGCCTGGGACGCCGCATCCCCGGCCCGGTTTCCCCAGCACAACAACAACAAGCCCGGCGCCAGATACTCGGACATATGGCATCTGCCCGGTGACAACAAAACCGATAGCACCACTGGCGAGGATAGTAACAGGGAAACAGCCAAGACGACGAAGAAGCCAGTCGTGATCCTCGCCTCGTCCCCCGAAGACGAGCTTATCTCCGAGGAGGAAGTGCAAACCATGGCTGCCGCGGTCGAGGGAGACACGGGGCTGGATTACACCCTGGTCAAGGACATGCGGGGCAAGCATGACGATATCTGGCTCCAGGGCGACGAAGTCGCCAGGTTGGTCGCGCTCGCGCTCGACAGGTTGGCTTGAGGCGCGAACAACATGACGAAAAAAAAAAAGAAAATCCGGACAAAAAAACAAAAAGGAAAAACAAAAACAAGGTCTACTCGTGAAACGAACTGTTCAGCGGACAGGTAAAGCAGGAAAGGGTCGTAGCACTCTTGGCAAAAGGTCTCTGAAGAATGGCGTGTGAGCTTGTCAAGGTTTACACAGACCATGCAAAACAGGCGTCGCTTGGAAAAGCGGCAACTAGCTGCACAAGTTGTTCACACGTTGATTGCTTTCATCAAGATATCCTGATTCTGCCTACCGCTTTGATGACACCCACAGATTTGGCCATCGTCGCAAATCTTCCGACAGCTAGAACTATTTGCCGTCTGAACAGGGCGAAGTGACAGTCGTTCATTCCACGATCCCGTTGCGAGAATCGCGGTATCATCTGCAAGCAACGAGACACTACGCCGCAAAATAGGGTTGGTTCGAATAACCTCGTATTACAAGCCGCTTAGAATATCTCCGCGTGCTCCGACCTACAAATAGTGTAAATAATAAGACTCTACACCACCTCCGGTATCAAGAAACCCGACACAAAATTATTTACACTGCAAAGAATAAGGTCGATCATTTGCTTCTCTCATCCAAAGACAGCTCCCAGCAGGAAACAGAAAGCATCGCGCTCAGAGAACAACGCCATATGTCCCAGCCTCGCGCTCTATCAAAACAAAAGAAAATACCAAGAACAAAAGTCGCTCATCGTCGGTGATTGGTGAGGGGAGTATTTAGTCCTCAGACTTGCTATGCCAGCTCGTCTGCTGTCTATTTTGGTTGCAATGGATGCCAGAACGCCAGCTGAAAAAGAGAAATCCACCGGGTATGTGAACGCGAGTTGTGTCGCAAGCGGCAAAAGTAGAGAATTTGTTCGTAGTGTTCGTGATCTCGTGAGCGTCGTGAGGGCAAAGACTGCCATATTAGTGCTCTGCAAGGGGTGTAGCTTGGCTATGGCCAAGAACGAGTCCCACGAGAAGCAAGTCGTTTGTGTTCCGGGAAAGGCTGGAAACCCATATGCTGTGTGATGAGGATGGTGCGAAGTCAACCGCTCAAGGGCGAAGGGTCACAGCCCGAGAGTTCTACCCTTGAACTGGAATGGACATTTTCAGGGAGTGGCTATGACTCGTCGATTCCTGAAGAAGATCGAGTCCAGGAAATTCCTGGGAGGTCCGATATCCAATGCTTTGCTGGAACGGTAGCGTGAACCCCTTGTTCAGCTGAGTCTCGACGAACGTAGCCGCGCGTTTGTACCGTCTGTCTGAATACTTCTCGAAGACGGCGACGTGATGCTTGCGTGCGATACGGCAGCAGTCAAGGATTGTGGAGATCAAAGGCTTGAGTTGCGCAAAGGTATACTGCGAGTAGTACACGTGGGATTTCGTCTAGGTAGTTTGTCAGTACGGTACGGACATGGCAACAGCAATGCATCAGGATGAACAAGACTCACCCATTCACCCTTGCCCAGAATCAAGCGGGAAAGGCAGTGAGCGCCGGCAGCGAGATAACTCGCAGGGCTCGCGACGAAGCGCTCATCCATGATGGCAACTTCTAGCAGGTACTTGGATAGTGTGCGAGACTCGAGGTCGTAGTCATCTGCCTTGCTGATGCGCCGCAGGAAGCTCATCGGTCCAGGCCAGCCCATCTCGAAGTTGAGCATGCTAAGCATGAAACGTTCGGCCTTGAGAATTTCCTCGACAGTGTAGCCATGGTCGACCATGTAGGCAATCTCCTGCACAGAAGGGCAGTTGATCTCCTCATACTTGGCGGCAAGGAAGAGAGCAGTGGCCCCGACCAGCTGCAGCTTGCCGAGCGACACAATCTTGGCGGTCAGGAAGCGGTCGATATAATTGACGGTCAAGAACAATGTCTCTGGAAGAAGGCCGAACCGAGTATGGACTTGGATGACCCAGTCCATCAAGACAGAGCGCATCGACCACTGAATCTCGGTCTGGGTGTCCATGTAGTTTGCATTGGGAAGCATTTGCAGCTAGATCCTGACGTTAGTCCGGGATACATGATAAGCAATCAGAAATGTTGCACATACCTCAAGCTCTCTGCAGTACGCAAAGATGTCATCACCATACTCGGCAACCATGCTGACATCCCAGCATTCTTCGTCCTCTTCTTCCTTTGTCCTGTGAGCATCGACGTACTGCTTGGCAGCCTCGAGCTCTGCCTGACCTCTCCGGCCCAGCTTAGGAGGAAACATGACGGGGAAGGCTGTTGTGGTATTATCGCCGTGGGAACGGTAGGAGTGGGCTGTCATGTAGCCCTGATCGTCTCCGTAGGCCTCGTCGTCGTAATCAGAGACTTCAACGGCGTCGTCAGGATACGAAAGGATAGGGTGAGGCTCTGCGTCGACAAACTTGGCGTGCGGCTTTTCGTCGACCGCAATGGCGTGGTGCAACGTCGTGGCAATCGAGTCTGCGATGTGTACACGAACTTCTGCACTCCCGTGGGCCTCAGTCGCAGGCACAGCAGGGAATTCCTCGACGGCGTCGACGTAGAGTGCTTCCACCTGGTCATCTTCGGGACCGGCGTTGTCAACGAGTGGGTTGCTCTCGGGAGCTGTGTCTGACGACGAACCGGAGAAGTATGAGTTGTAGCTGACGTCTGGATGCTCATGGACGGCAGGTACGGCGTTTGATGTAGGAAATCTGAAGTCTTGCTCAAGTTCCGGATACACAGAGGCTGGTTCATCATAATGGCTTGCCGCCACATACTCGTCTAGAGGCACCAACTCGACATTGCTGGGCACCTCAGGCTTCTCCTCGATGACTGCCGCGGAGGGAAGTTCCCTCGCCACGACTTGCGACAGGTCTGATGTCCTCGTGGAAGAGACACCACTGAAACGGGCGTGGTGCCTGAGGTTGGCCGCCGAGGCGTACTTTTGAGGTTGCCGGTGAGCTGACTTGGCAGGCTGGTCCTTGTTCGAGTCGCGCGAACTCTGGTTTTCCTTGCCCTTGAGGACTGTGAAGGTGGCTGCGGACTTTTGCTTGATCAGGCCTTTACCCGACTCCGCCGGAGCTTGCCGATTGATGTTGCTGAAGTCTGCAAGGGCTGTGCGTTTCGCAGCCATGCGCAGACTGCCGGTGGTAGGCATGTTGAGGAGATTTCCAGTCGACTTGTGGCGATGATGGATGGTCTGCTTGGGCACGATGGAAAGGTTCTCGTTACCCAGGCTTGGGACAGCGCGAACGCGCCGTGCAGGCTGCGGGACAGGTGAACGGCAATGATCAGCGGCGTTGTTCTCTGGATTTGCAGAGGGAATCGAGAGTACGGATAACAGGTGGCATGTATTGCTAGATGTGTGCGAAAGGAAGACAACGGAGAGGCAATGAAAGGCAGGGCGCGTCCAAGTATGTTGGGCGGTGGATTGAGTTGGGACGACACGATGGGCTCGGCCATCGCAGCCGTGCACAAGCTCGACGGGACGGTCCTTTTGGTGGGTACGACTTACCTTAGCGTCCATGACTGCTCAATTGCAAGGCGAAAGAAAGGCCCAGTTCGGGGAGGCCGCAGCCGGTAGTTCTCGAGAGCGAGGGTGTAGCTGCTGCCGCCTTGGGACAGAATGCTGTGCGGATCAGGGAGGCGCTGGGCGAGCTGGGCGTTGCTGTCTGGGGATTGAGTCCCGCGACGGGACAGAGTGACCAAGGACCGAGCTGCCGCAACTGCTGTGACAATGTCGCGTGGGGAAAGTCGTGAAGAGACGCGCCAGTGAGGTCCTTCTCGTCTGGTCGTACAAGGGCGATGTTAGAAAGAGCTCAACTGCCTGACGTATTCAGGCTGCATGTGCGACGCACGCCATGAACGATGCGAAGGAAACGACAGATGGACCGGCAGGGGAGGACGGCGCATGCGGTCCGGGACGTGCAACGGCGCATAAGGAATGACAAAAGGAGAGTGAACAGTGCTCAGAAATGAGGCCAATGCTGGATGCGCGTCGCTGCGCCGGAAGCTCGATCATCTGAAATTAGATGTTGCCCGGGTGGATACGTACCTGGTCTCCCTTGGCTGGAGTGCTCAGGGGTGTGGATACTGGTACGTACCCTTCCAAGGCACCTGAGGTAGCGCTGTGTGTCGGGTCGTCGGCCTGCGCCGAGGCTGTGGCTGTGGCTGGAGACTGATGATGGCTGTAAAGCGTTCCAATCCCGTATGTAAGTACGTAGTCTTTGGGATAAAAGGACTTGCAACCGAGATTGGAGCTACTGTCGAATAGTCCCCGATGTCCAAGCAAGGAGTTGTCGACAGGCGCTTGGTGTGAAGGTATTCTGGTCGTGTCAACAAGCCGGAACAAGTGGTCGAGCATGCGTGTGCTGGCGATGCAAGAAAACAAAGATGCTCTACGAGGGTGTGCCAGGACATGCGATTGTTTTGATGCCAGCATATGGATCCTGTTGTTGACTGGAATTCCTGGCCGTCGTAGCAGGAACCCCATTCGCAGCATCAACAAACAAGCCAAAACAAAGCACCAGCCGGGGGCCCACCTGGAGCCCGCTCTCCACCACAGGCAAGGCCCACGACGCCCCGTTGGCTGGCAGAGCCCGCGGCGCTGCAGGAACAGGGATCCAGGGCTCAGTTGATTGGCTGTAGCTGCTCGCTTTGCGTTGCTGAGGATTCGCTGTGCCGGGCAACGGGAGTTCACGCACCTCCATCTCACACTGACCAGAGGCCGGGCCCACAGCTCTGGGATTCCAGGGTAGGGCCCCTCCCGCGGGTCTGTCCGGATGACTCAGCTGAAAGGCAGAATGGCCTGGCCCACCACATTCATGCCAGTCATTCCGTCCCGATTTGGCACGGTACGTCATGCGCTTGCGTTCCACCTTCCTGTCGCGTGTTCCGAAACAACCGCCACGACACTCATTGCTGCCAAACACAGCACCCGCGAGACCGATCCTTGACACAATCACACTGGAAAGTACAAGGTAGATTTCTCTCAGTATGGAGATTGTTTCTGCTCATTTAAATCTCAGTTCCAGTCATCCAATGTGCGAAAACAGGCCGCATTGACTTTCACGCGTCTTGACAAAGTGGGCTGCGCGACTGCGACACGAGGTCATGTGACCGAGATATAGTGCTTTGGCCGCACCAAAACCGGCACCAAACACCCGCGACTCCTTAGCGAGCAGCTGAGCACACCTCCCAGCAAGCGATGCGATCGCGCACTCAACAACCCGTCAGCCTCCATCCCTGGGACGCCCTTTGTGCAACATTCGCAAACAGAGAATCGAGGAAACCCTTTGCAAGCAAATCTCACTCGCGCGCGGTCTCGGCAAAACCTCTGGTGCTCCCAATTACCTACTGTTCTGGACAGGATCTCGGCGGCTCCCGGGATGAAACTGACGCCCTTGAGAGGCGCCACTCGAGGCCAATCAAGGTCCAGGATGCGTCGACCAACTTTCCGCGTCAGCCGGCCGGCGAGCCATTTCCTTTTGAGACAACAAGTCGCGCAAGCGCCCCAACTCCCGTTTTAGACATTGAAGACTGCCTGCGTGAGTGTCGGGCGAATTAAGGCAGCCTCCTTCGTCAGCAAGTGATCAGATGGTCCCCTACCCTGGCTGGTGGCCACGATCGCTCCGGCATTGAGGCGACAAACCACTTGCTGCTCGATTCCTCGCGCCAGCTCAGCCAAATTACCATGGCGGCGGCCCAGCCGCTGCCAATGCAGCTGCGACTTTGACCTTGGCCTAGCCTCCGACACGGGGGCAACTCTATCGAAGACGGTCGGCCAATAATGACCATGAGAAGAGGCCCGACACAATTCAGCCTGGCTCTTGCGCAAAAGCGTCAGGGATTGGAGAACCCTAAGCAGTGAAGAAGCCAGAACTGAGCACAGCATTGTTGCTTGCTCGACTTGCTAGTGCCCCTCTGCTGCTGCTGCTTTGCTCGTGCAATAGATGTTGATCTTTTCTCGAGACCGTTTCAAGCCAGACGAAAGACCCCGCGCGCAGGTGCGGCAGCGGCAACAGGAGGATCGCAAGTGTCGGCGTGGTTGCGACAGGGGCGACCACTCGCGATAGGGCATTGCCGTCTGCCACAACAAGATTGCAGGCTTGCCAACCATGAATGTCGCGGCGCTTGATGAGACGAGACAATCTTCCGATCCCAGCGTCAATTGACCTGCGCGGCATTGCTCCCAAGCCGGTCTTTGCGAGCGGCGCGATTCCCCGCGATTCCAGCCTGGGTGGCCGTCAGACCCCTCGTCCACCGTGTGCGCTCCCGGGGGCGCATACGGTGTCCACGGGAGATCGGGCGGGCCATTGCATGCCATGGCGGTGGCCAGTCGAGGCTCAGGCGCATGCGCATTGCATTTCAAACCCACAAACGCGCATTTGCGACGAGAGAAGTAGCCCAGCCCAGCTCAGCCAGCGCACCGCTTCTGCCATATCGCAAATCTGCATTGTTTCAAAATCGGGTTATACTGATGATTAGGCCTATCTGAAGAGGCATTGTGTGGAAATGGCGTTGTCTCGTCCGGCGAATGGCCGTGGTCTTTTCGCCGATCGTGCCTCGTAGCTGGACACAGACCTGCGACAAAACCCGCTTACTATCACCATCACCAGTGGCTGCCGTGTGATTAAGACGCGCGATACCAGGGTCCTGCATAGTGGTTGCGACGGCGCGTGGCCTTGATGCCCATGTGCCAGCGACAGCCTCAGACAAACTGCCACACACATGCCTGCATCCCCGTAGGCAGGTCACGGGGCCGTCGGCAGCAGTTTCCAAAGGTCTGGTCAGGCAGAGAGGGGGGAGAGGGACCTACGAGACGAAATTTCTTCACCGTTTCTTGCGACAAGTTCAGCTTGTTCCCTGCAGATGACCATCAGGACGCCTCGGACGGTTGTATCAGATCCGTCGCCCGCCGCAAGAAAGGACCGGGACAGAGTGGAGAGGCGATTTACACCAGAAACCACTAAAGCACGAAATATGCCGAAAGATGGGGTCACCTCTGACTCTGACAAGGAGGGGTCCCCTTCTCTTCCAGCAATCGCCCCTCCCCGAATGCGCCAGGCAATCATGTCGTCGTTTACGCCTTGGTGGACAATGCATGCGCAGGCGAGCAAACAACAGGCGAGAAAACCGAGCCGTGAACATCAAAGAGATCCTGGGCCAGCCGTCTTCCTCGCAACAGGCCTCACCGCAAATCGCCCTTCTGTGTGCAGCAGGGTTGAGCATGCACTCCAATGACGCCCAACAGTCTGCGAGCAAGCTGCAAGTCGGGGTTTCTCGAACGCGATTGAGCCAGTGACGGATGAGCAGAAAGACAAAGAGGATCGCCCTGACTTTGACAATGCCCGCTGCACCCATGCGGTGGCGTGAGTAGGGTACACACAGGACTTTACAGTACCGGCCGACGCAATGCAGGCAAGGGTCCGCAATGCAACGATACTCTGCTTAGATGGTGGCCCGGTCGTCGTCGTTGTCGTTGACATCGATACCTGACCTGCCGGGTTGTCCACACGACGGGCGTCACGTGCAGGTCCCCGTTATCTTCTGTGCGCAGCCGGGTCTCGATGGAGTCACGCAAGTGCGTCCGTGTGCGCGCGCCCTTGGTTGTTGTTGAGCGGGATGAGAGAACGAACAACAGCCAGCACGTCTGTCGCGCTGGCTGGACTCCTCTGTCCCGCAGCAGTGCCTGGGGAGGCAGGGATGGTGATCGACCTGCATCTTGCCAACCAACGCACTGACTTGGCTTTGTCCTTTCGTGCAGGGCCCGAGTCGTATGCGAGTGAGTCTGTGAAGACTATTTGCGCCGTCGTTCGGTCCAGGAACAGAGGCGACTGGAATGCGACGCTCACTCTTCCCATGGCTGTGTAAGATCCCAATGGTTTCCACGTGATACTGGTCGAGGATACATGGCTCTAACCAGCTTCATTTCTTATTGAAAGGAGGGACCAGCACTGCTGTCAGTCGACGATTTCCAGCTTACCTATGCAATGGTATCACAACTGCGACCAGACTAGTGCCCACGCACCCAAAAAGCGCCGGGTTTCACGTTCAGGAAGCGCACGAAAAGCCACTTGCCAGCGCATACCTGCTAGGCCGGGTCTAGGCAATCGGGATCTCCAAGACCCAAGGGTCTTTCAGACTTATCTGCTCCACTTTTGAGTCCATGTTGCTGCGATGGATTTGCTTGGCGATGGCGGGCGGCTGACGGGCGGACTGGTGGCGGGATGGGACTTTCGAAAAGACGATTCTGACGTGTTGAGCATCATGGAGGGCCTTCTCATGTCCATGGGAATATACCCAAGTCGCGAACTACACTAGAAGTGTGATCTGGTGTGGTTGAGGATATCAATTAGACCGTCAGCATCCGCCGCCGGCGCCGTCTTTCGAGGAACGATAGCCTACCTCGGCGGCTTGGGTCGTGATTGATTTGTGCGCAAGTCGATCTGCCAATGGCGGGATGGTCGGGCGTGTCCTTGACTGCCCAAGTGCTGTTTCGCGATTGTTTTTTTGTTGTTGTTATTGTTACTAACCCGCACAGCCTTCTCTCCACGTCTCCGCGAATCAGGTCGTGACCATGAAACACAACAACACGACATGCCGCAAAGGGCTGGGACCATTGGAAAACAATAGACAAGGTGCCGGTCAATGAAGTATGAGTCGTGGCCAGCTTTGACGGGCATTGCTGGCCGCCACCGCGACCTCCACCGCCCGACTACCTAACTACCCCTGGCTGACGACCCCTGGTCCAGGCAGGTCCTGAGAGGGAAGAGGAGGTTGTGTGCAAGGGCTGGGCTACACCGCAAAGGCGGCGGGAGTGACACAATTGGTCAGCGAGTGGCCGTGGAGCCACGTCGGGAAACCAAGAATCCACCCACACTTGACACCGACACACGCCTTGTGGACAAGTCGAGATAAGTCGACGCTCGAGGTTTGGCCGCGAAAGCCGGCCTTGCATGTTTTGGTCCAAGCAGGGACGCACGCCAAACGGCTCCAAAACCTTTTTTGCGAGACCTTGTTGGCGCTCGCTCGCTCGCTCGCGCAGCCCACGACTATGGATGGCGCCGACATATCGAAAGCGACCCCACACGCACAGCCAGCACAGCTGAGAAGTAGCCCCCCGCCCCCCAGTCAGTCCATGGCAGTACAGATCAGCGTACTCTTGCTTGGCCAGTCCATCCCCGCCAAAGTCTAATCAAGCCATTGTCTCGAAGCTTGCCTGGCCGGCTTGGTGGTGCAGCCCTGAACTGTAGCAGCAAGGCAGGCGCTCGGATCTCGCCAGGCCATCTCAAGGGTGGGTATGAAGAACATTGCGAGCTGAGCGGCGTCTTGTCATGTGGGAGCTGTAGGTATGTGGGAGGATAGGCGGCCTTGCGCAACGGGCGCCGCCGCGAACCCGGAGACTGAATCCCTGCGCGCGTGAACTCGGCGCATAGCATGCTCGAGTGCCTATTGGCTGGGCCTGCCCCTCAGGGTTGTGGTCAGGCGCATCCAGCAGCTCAACGCCCTTGGGCTTGACTTCAAACGGCACGTCGACGTTGATATGATGGGGACGGCGGATTGGACCGTGTCGCTTCTACTGGCCAGGTGCCGCGCGACAGTGATTCAGTAGTAGTGCTGTCGAACCTTGCCGACCTGGAGGGCCAGCCCATCTCTCTTATGGGCAAGTGGGCGGGCGCGGCAAGGGCCGGAAGGGTCGTCGCAATCTGGCCATGCTGTGAGGGATCACGTTGTGCTCAGCGCATTGGGCAAGTAACTGCGGACAGGCAGCGAGCGCCGAGCCCCGTGGTTTGACCATTGTTTGTGCGTGCGTGCGGCCCAGTATGACCTACGTAATACGGCCCAGCTCAAGAGCAGACACAACTTCACACTGGCTGGCTAGCTGGCTGGCTGGGGCCCGGCCCGGCTGAGCTGGCTGGTCTATTCCCGCTGCTGTCGCCCCTCCCCACTGGCGCAAACTTGGCGAGGGGCGACGTCAACTGTCGCAATCAAGGAGATGTCGCTGGCCAGAATGCGCCGGTCGCCAGCAAGACTCGACGGCTCGCCGGTTCTTCCTCGCACCCCTTGAATACTTGTCGCCCTGACTGCCAGGACAAGCTTGAGTGGTTACAGGGTGACTATCCACCGGCGTGGACGGCAGGGAAACAGGATGACACAATTGCGTCGCAGAAGCGAGCGCCTCTTTTCTGGCAGATCGGCGAGGCAGGACGCACGTCAAGGCTGGCTCCGTAACGGGTCTAGGGCTGGCCACGGCGGTGCAGAAGAGGAGTTAGACTAACACCATGCACACACACACACACTCACCACACCGTGGGAGGTGGGTTTGTGAGCACGCTGCCCATCGCACATGGTGTGCTCACGTCGCAATGCGACACAGAGGCCAGGATCATGGGCCATTGCTGCTCTCTGCGTGGCCGTACTCGAGGCCGACTAACGGCTATCTCGCCGGCCGCTCTTCGTGTTTCCCCACGGCTGACAAGTGCACCGAGGAGCAAGGCGATCACTCATCGCCGCCGCCGCCGTTTTCCATGCTGGACGTAGGGGCACGGGGCAGCACCGATAGGCGCGAGATTGGCGGGTGACAAGCCCGGCGCTCGTGGCATGCCCGACCTGGAAACGAACGGAGGGCGGGCAGGCATAGCATAGGCGCGGGCGCATCGGCCCACTGTGAATCGATAGTTTGCAACGACTGAACACAAGCCTCCCGAGGCGGACTCGATGCAAGGAATGTACGAGGAGATGGCCCAGGGACGTCGAGGAGGAGGGCAGGCAGGTCCAGTCTGCGGCTCTTGTTGCGCCGCACCTACAGCCGATCATGGCAGCATCATGGACCTGTGCTGTGGCCCACGCGCGCTCCTTCCCCCCCTCGTCAATGAGGGTTGCTTGATATTCGTCAATCACGGCCGCCTTCCGCTCTGGCGATCCATCTCTCAAGCAGGAGCCAGGTGGTCAGAGACGGCGACCCTGGTTCGCACCAGCCAGTTCCCATGTCGAGTTCGATTGGGGGCGGCCCGGTGCTGCCACTCCGAGAGATGGGCAATTTGGCATTCCAGCCAGCACATGGCCTGTGACGCTGCCTCGTGTACCCACACACCACGTTTGAAGACAAGGACGCTGGACAGCCAGGCTTGGCTGTTGAGTCCAGGCGGAAGGGTCGCCATGGGGAGGGGAACCTGTGAAGAGATGAACATGCGCTCTCTCAGATATGCTTCCGTGCTGTGACATGACATGACATGACATGATGGAGTTTTCTGCAAAGGGAAACACACCTGTGCGCAGCAAGCTGGCTGAGAGCAAAGGGCGCCCGTGACAGCGCAGCAGCCACTCGATTTGCGCCAGCGAGTGGTTGACCCAGCTGGGGGGGTGGCTCACATCAGGCACGGGCGCCTGTAGCGCTGGGCGGGAGCGCCCTGGGGGCCGGCCTGATGGAGGCCGGCGGCGAGGGCTGTGTGCGGCACTGTGGGCTGTCTCGGGTCGCCGTAAAACCTCTTGTGTCCGGCCCTGGGGCTTCTCCTCTTTCCACTGCCAGGCCACTCGAGCGTCAAGCGAGCGACTCCTCCTCCTCCTTGCCGTTGCTGCTCCATCGCCTCTTGTCCAAAAGGCCCTCAACTCTCTTCATATCCCTCCTGGAGAGCCCCTTGCACCATTCTGGAATCTCATCGCAGCACCCTCTTGAGCAATCCAGTCCTTCGTTGTCCATCTCCCACGACGACCAGATAGGCGCAGCCGCCCAGCGCCGCCCACCACCAGACAAGTCGTCTGAGCTTCTCAGCATCCTACAGCAACACCACCTCATCCATTCTGATCTCTGGTGAGTTTGCCTGGATACGGGACCATATGCGATCGTGTCTTGCTCCATATTCGTCCTCCAAGACCGTTCAGGCGTCTCGTGCAGCCATGCTCGTGTTGCGCAATGAAGTTCGCCTGAGGCGCTGCGCAGTGCGCACCCGAGACCGCTTCTCTGCGCTCCTCCACAGGCGGTTCGCATTCACACAACAATCAGCCCTCACCCCATCTGTTCCTGTCGAATCGCTGGCACGTCTTTGGTAACGAGGAGACTTGAGAACTGACCCCATCAATTTTCTTTTGCAGAGCAGTCGTTCGAGTTGCCGCTAGATTACTCGAAGCCCCCTTCCAACCCAATTCGAGCCGCCCACCCACCCGGTAGCGACCACGACATTCTCTGAACCACCCCAGCGACCGTGCATCCCGATACCACGACCAAGGCGTTGAATTCAACGCAGCGACCAGTGTCAACCTGTCAAAGTGTCCCGGCACTGAAGATTTGGTCAACTCAAGTCTCTTGTCCGAACGCTGTGACAACACTGTTCCCAGCCGCACCCCACCAAACTCTGTTGCATGAAGCATCCTCGGACGACCGGCACCACAATCGCTCGCACGTACTCCAAGTCTACTAAAACTTCACATATACACCTGCTCTTGAGCTGCTTAGACACCAATCCCCTGCTGGATCTGTCGTGTCGGCAGTCATCATGACGTCCGCTTCGCCCATTGACACATTGGCTGGTGCGGCGGCGGCTTCCGCTCATGGAAGTCCCCAGCCACTACAGCCCGTCAAGCCTAAGCACGTCCAGTTTGAGCTCATGTTCCCAGAGTCGCCTCAATATCGCGCGAGGCTCCCTTTGCGGGTGCAAATCTATCCACACGATAGTACGGAGTCCATTGTGACCACCGTCAAGAACTTCTACGGGCTATATCCCGGCCCGGCGACATCCAAGGGTGTCAGCTTCGAGGATGATAGAGGCAACACCTTGATTGCCAGATACGAGAACTTCAGCAACAACATGGTTGTCTATGTCAGAGTTTTCGAGGAAGCAGTGCAGCCGACTGCCCCATATAGCGCAAGCCCGTACCTGCCGAGCTCGACTTCTGGCGCACCTCCATATATGCCCAACGAGTTCGGCCCGCCCCTTGCACAGCAGTACGAGCAACCCCACAAGCCAGAGTCGCACAGCAACTCGAGAAGGCGAAGCCTCTCTCGCGACTCTGGCAATGGTCGCCGGAGCGAGTCTGTCGGACAGCCGGGTTCCAAGAAGGCACGGTCAAAGTCTGCAAGAGCCCCTGGTTCTGATACCGAGCACAATGGCTATAGTAGTGGCGACGGTGCTTCGGGCTCGGTGTCCAGCAGAGCGAAAGAGCAGATGGGTAACACAGACATCAGCCTGGAGAATATTGTCGAAGGAGGCCGTCGCAAGCGAGCCAAGTTTGAGAGCTCAGTAAGTTCCTGCCCGAGCTGTTCTAGTCAGCGAGGCGAGCTCCAGTTCTAACCAGCCTGCCACTTCTTTTAGGAACTGCCACTGTTTGCTCCTCCCCAGATGCCTGCTGCCACCTCCAACTCGTCCGTGTCCCCTGCCCGCCGCATCGAACATCAAAGGCCGTCCATCCCCTTTGCCCATCCCGGCCAGCATCCCTTCACCCACCCTCGACCCCTGCAGTCGCCACAGAGCTATACCAATCCCTATGGTGCTGTTGGTGCTTTTGCCACACCTGTGCATGACTCTCGCAGACATCGTGGCAGCATCAGCTATGGTTCAGGCTCTGGCATCCTGCCGACCCCTGACCCCACTGTCGGTAGTGCCATGTCAGAAGAAGACAAGGACGTGGCGATGCAGCTCATGAGGCTGGGCGACATGTCCAACATATCTCATGGAAGAACATCTGCTTCGACTCTTGACGACACTTTCAGCGGCAAGGCCGACGCCGCCTCATCCACGGGCGCCACAAGTGACAGCGATAGTGATAGTGAGGAGCACCTCCATGCCGCCCGTCGTCAAAAGCTCGACTTCATGGGTGCTAGTCGCAAGGTCTACCAGACCACCGAAAGCCATTTTGTCCCATCGCGTGGCAACGTGGACGTCAGCAGCGATGATGCAGATTACGAGGACTCCAAGTCGAATGCCCAGAGCATGGGCAAGCCTCGTCTGCCAAGCTCGAAGATGAGCAAGCCAAAGTCCAATAAGCCTCTCAAGCCGGGCTCCAGCTCAAAGGTCAAGAAGGCCAGCACTGGCGCGCCAAGCGGGCCCATGTCGCCCAACTCGCTACCCGCGCATTCTCGGAAGCCATCCGTCGCCTCTACTCTGACTGGGTTCACGGGCGAAGATGACCAGCCTGATCTTTCGAGCAAGCCTCGCTGTCAACGATGCCGCAAGAGCAAGAAGGGCTGTGATCGCCAGAGGCCTTGTGGTCGCTGCCGTGATGCTGGTCTCGGCGCTGACCAATGTGTCAGCGAGGACGAGGGCAACGGGCGCAAAGGCCGCTATGGTCGCCACATGGGAGTCCCCGTCAAGACCACCGGCGAGCCCATCGGCCCCCCAGCGCTTCTCCCTGCCGCGCCTATTGCTCCCGTTCCGATCCTAGCCAATGACAAGAACAAGAAGCGAAAGAGGTGATGGCCGTCGACAGAGACGGTAGCAGTGTCACGCCACACATCGGTTGGCACTCTCACTTGTCGATGGCCGACAGCGGCACGAGTACCGGCGCTGGCGGTATGTGTAGCACAACCTGCCATTTATCAATATGCGCTCTAGCAGCGCTATGACTATACGAGAAGGCTCGATGCCTCGATGATTTACGACTATATGCTGTTTTGTGCGCCAGCAGAATTACTACCGCAGAATCACACAGTGTACGGCAGACGCAAGGGGGCTCATTGGCGCCTCGGCCGGAAACTCAAAAAATACCAAAAACAAAGGGGCAGACAGGACGAAATAGATTTCGATAGAGGCACTTCCGGTTACTTTTTGGGACGGCGATCCTTCGGTTTGGGCGGTCAGACCAGCAGGAGGGTAGGGGTCTGGGAGTTTTGGAGTTGGCTTTGGGATGCCTGCTTGCGCATGCACAGCTACAAGCCCTGCTGCATCAGAGGGGTTTGTTCTCTGTCTTTTTTTTGGCACATTTCTTAATGTCGAACGGTTTCTGCGAATCTCCCCTGACGATTGAGTATTTACCTGTCAGCCAGCCACAAAAACAAAATCGCAAAATCATGGGCTTCTTTTCGTGTATGTGTGCATGTGCTCATGTCTGGCGTAAGCAGGATATTTTCCCCGTTAGGTAAATACTCTTCTTCTGCAAACACCACGAAGTACAGGCATAGCATATCACGAGGCGTTGCGCTTTTCAGTCGTGGGCATAAGCTTTTTAGGTCGGTGGGAGACGGACGCAGCGTGATCGCGCAACTACTTATACGCAACGTATCTCGCGATTCAAACTCCCTGCCGCAGCATGATGCTGCGGCAATGAGATTTCCACCATCTTTCCTGGAAATGCGCGAGCGCAAGTACCAGGGTTTTACGCTTGTGCGCGCGTGCGCGCGCGCATAGTAAGGTGGTGCCACCTTTGTAGACATTGACTTTTTGAACGCGCCCCCCCCCCCTTTAGTAGTTATCCAGCCGCAGTGCAGTGCATTGCACTTACGATGCGGTGTGCTGGTTTTGGGAGGGGGGGGGCTGCCTGATGCGCGCGCGCGTTCTGCAGCCGTCGCGGCCTGGTGTCAATTGCGTCGTGTTGTGTGCGTGCGTGTGTTTGTGTGTCTCGGATAAAATGCATAAACACGATTCGTTTCTTTTTTGGACGGTGCGACAGCGACAGCGGCTGGGATTTGAATGTACATGCGCATGTAAAGTATGTACATATGTATGTATTATTTACCCCGCCATCGGGGGGAGAGGCGGGCGCGGCGCGGCGCGCGAAAGTAAACAAGCTCCGGGAACGGCGCTGGTGGCATGGTGGGGTAAAAACAGCTGTTTGACACTTTGTGGGTGCATTTGGGAAGAGGAGCTGGATTATGTAATGCAATGTTTTTCGGGACAGAGGGCGCCGGAGTCGGCGGCGGCGGGGGCGGCGGAAGCCCTTCTTTCTGGATTTGGATGGGGAGTGGAGCAGGTGGTCCGAGCCGTGCTGGCGGGTACTGGGGCTAAGCTATATGTGGGCTAGCGGCTTGGCCTTCTTCCAGTTAAGCTTAGGGATCTGGGTTTTTGGGGATTTGGCGGGTTCGATGGCAGGTTGTGGGGCCGGTTGAACGGAGCTGATTGGTTGCTCGTGAGTTGGGAGTTGGGGTTTCACGGGCGGTGATTCAAGGTGAGGTGCAGTAGTCTAGTGAATTGGTGCGAGAGAGACAAGAGAACTGGATATCAAGACTCTCAGGGGCGTAGAGACATTTGGCAGAAAATCAGAAATGCATGGGGCGGTCATCCTACAGCTTGAGATGAAAAGAGGTTTGGAATTTCGACTGTAAAGTCTAGACTAGCCTTGATGCCGGGACCTGCTGCACACAAAGACCAACAACCCGCAGCGCTGTCAAAGAGCGCGGCTTTCTTCAAAGAGATCCTGTTAAGAACGATCTCCTTCCCTTGTAACCCTCTGGTGGAGATTCTCGATTGGCATATCAAGCTCCGCAAAACAAATGTGTTGAACAACTTATCTTCATAACGTCCTTACTCCTTCCCAAGCCACTGACCACGTCAGATGCCCAACCGGGGTCTTACGCAATGTAGCGGAATTCCGGGTGTCTGTAACCCAGATCCGCCTGCTCCGCCTCGGTCAGCCCAGTGAGTCTGTGGTCACGCCCGCCCCTGGCGCGGACCTTGTTCTCCCACAGGCAGTAGAGGATGCCGCCTATTGAGAGGGCCAAAACGATGAACTGCGCAGTAAGGTTGATCGAGTGGCCGATAGGGAAGTTGGGCCCGTCGTTGGGCAGGTAGGCCCAAACAGCCAGGATACCACCCATCGTACCCAGCGTAACGATCCATCCACTGGCGACCGCACGGATGGCCGGGCCCGAGGCGTTGTTGAGTCCCCACGACAAGAAACCAGGACCACCAGGGAAGACGCCAATGGCGGACAGGTAGACGGCGGCGTACTTGACGGAAGTGCCTGAGCCCCAACGGAGCATAGAGAATCCAGTGATGCCGAGAATTGTGAAGCCCGCGAGGAAGATACCACGCTTTCCGGTCCAATCACTGGCGAAGCTGACGGCGATGGCCACGAGCGAGGCGAGGACGTAGACAGGGACGGTGTACAGCTGGGCAGTGATGGAGGTATAACCCAAGTCGCGGATAATGGTCGGCATGAACACGGACAATCCCTGGACGCTGATGTTGATGCAGAAAAAGCCCGCGGCACAGATGTAGTTGTTGATGTTGAGCATCGCGCGCTTGACGTGGCGGGGCTTGACTTGTTCGCTGGCGTGAACCCGGAACTCGCGGACCAGGCGCTCGGTGGCGATGTACTTCTCGCGCTCGGTCAGACGTTTCGAAGATCCTGGGGTCTGAGGCAGAAGGATCGGAGCGAGGCATCCTGCAATCATCGTAATGAGGCCTTCGAAGAAGAAGATATTGCGCCATTCAGCAATTCTCATGCTGGCAACTCCCCACGCCGGAATTTGCGACAAGCCAGCAGCCAAAAGACCGCCGAAAGCACCAGCCATGGAAGCAGCAGAGACGTAAATGCCCACGCGGAAATAGAGTTCCTCTCGCTTGTAGAAAGAGGAGAGGTAGAATGCGATTCCGGGCATGGCGCCACCCTCGAAAATTCCCAGCAATGCGCGAAGAGCACACAGCTGGCTGAAGGTATGGACGAAAGCAGTGCATAGCGACATAAGGCCAAAGCCTACGACGAGAGCGGGGATATAAAATCGGCCACCAATGCGCTTCAGGAGGATGTTCGACGGAACCTCTGTAAGAAATATTAGAAACCACTTTCGTTCAACTCGACGGCTCTAAAAGCCAGAAATGAGGTGTACTAGCCGACGGTTAAGTAGATTATGTAGAAGATTGATGTAGCGATGTTAAATCGGTATCCGTATTGTAGTTCGAGATCTCTTTCGAGTCCGAGGATCCTGGCGTTGCCGATGTTGGCGCTGGGGGTGATTTTGGTCAGCACAACCACAACCGCGCAACTTCCGCGCAATTTCCTAGCAGTTGAGATGCCTTACCGATCCAGGAAGCAAAGAAGGTACAAAAAAGTCACAAGGGGGACAATTTGGAAGTCCAGTTTCCGGCGCACGGTCGCCTCTTCGGCCTCAGTCCAAGGGGCGGTTTCATTGTCGCTCTCGGGCACGCCCTCCACATAATCGTGCTTCTCGTCCTTGGTCGACATCTTTCGGCAGCAGAGTCTACTACTGTCTTGGTCGATTTTATTATTGTAGGCGGGAAGGGTGGTTGCGCAAGGAAAGTGGAAGAAGGAGCCGGGTGGAGGAGTCTGGGTATGAAATAGCCAGGTGGGGGGGGATACGGCAAAAGGCAAGAAGACCCCTGGAGATGCAATATGTCGAATCCCTGTCGTAAAGATCAGGCTTTTGCTCACCCCCGTGCTGAAAACGACTTACTCGAGCGGTGTCGACGAATTGGAAGAGGCGGGCGCTCTCCATATTATAGTGTGGAACATCCTTGCACAACGCAGCAAGGGCGCACAGGCTCGCAGACAAACTCGGCCTCCAAACTGCTGCCATGACTGGCACCAAGCCGGATCCTGGCCAGGATTGAGCGGGTCATTAGGGCTTGGCGTCCACAGAGGTTGCCAGCCTGCCCGGATGAGATGGCCCCTTTCCCCATGGGCACAGCGCCTTGGCTCATCGCCGGTCCCGTCTCCCACGCTGCCAGCACGCACGCCGCGCGAGGAGGTGGCGTCCAGGCCACCATTGTCGGCAATGAGGAGAGGTGACAACTGCCGTGATCCTCAGCCTCGAGTCTTGGTGGCAAGGGAGCTGATGTGGTGAGGCAAGCTGAGCGCGCAGGACGCCAAGCTGTAAACAGCCGCGGCAACGAGACCCGACGCGCTACTCTTGGGGGTGCGAAAAGTCTGTCAGAATAGGGCGTCTTGGCACGAGCAGGCCACGAGTCGGGAACTGGATCAAAGACAGAATAGACGCAATGGTGATGGGACTCGTGGAGACTTTGTGGATGCTGGTCCCCACCACCCTCCCTAGCTAGCTCAGAGACCAAAGACTCTGGCCTAGAGGTCTAGGGTCTAGAGTCTCGAAGGCCTGGCCAGGCTAAATGGGCCGCCGGCTTGAACATCCAACCATGTGGCGCATTGTTTACTCGTGCGACCACCCTGCTGGGCACATGGCCTGTGTCGCTGGAACTGGAAGGGCGAGACTCAAATCAGCGGCTTCGGGCTTGTCGATGATTCATTGAACTCCCTTCCAAGATGCGTTGCCGTGAATTGGTTTGGGATCGCAGCACAGGGTTGGCCCGGAGCCGGTCAGTCGGCACGGAGAGCCCACTTTCGCTGAAAAATCAGTGCGTCAGCACATACGGAGTGGTCACACGGCCCAGGAGCATACGCATGGCTATCAAGGCACTCCGACTGGGGAAGTTCAGCTTCCCCGCGTTTGGTTCCGTGCTTGGCATCCCACAACGTGGCTTGGAGGCTGGGCATTCCAGATGAAAGTGTGGGGGACGGCGATGACAAGACAACTACGGCAGCTAAGCCGGCTCTTAGCTGGGATTTGCCACGGGCCGCAACTGGATGATGGATGTCGCAATCGGCAGTTGTAGGTCTGATTGCCGAGACTTGTGGCAGATCGGGTGAAAGGACGACAATATGAGGAAAGAAGGCAACTCTTCCTTTCAAGGTGCGCTCAGCTTTGTATACCCTATCGTCAAGAGATGCTTGCCTCGCCTGCCTCCTATGCATACCAAGATGCGAGGATACAGCAGAGGGATCCATCACAGCGACATTCCAACTTCAGCTGTGGAGGGAGGATCACGCATCAGGCGGAGATGGATCGGCTATTTGGAGTTTTCTATGCGCTGCACGTGGACCCAAGCAGCTGCTACATATTAGCCCCCAGCTTATCCTGCAGGTGATAAAAAATCCCGTGCAGACTGCCATTGGGGCAGATTTTGGCTTGTAGCACCCCGTGCGTGTCCAAGACAACTGGCCGTTATGCCGACAGGAAACGGCGGTCGTGAAGAGAAACAAGGGACGGCCGATCTCCGATGCTTGCCTGCCCCTTAAAGTAATGATTCTCTGCCACGTGCTAGACATGCAGGTAGTGTCTGACTGTGACACGGCTGTCCCCGAGGTATCTCTGGCACTACCCACTCAGAAGTCTTCATGGGTAGAGCATGAAGTTCCAAACTCCAGCCTCTCTGAAATGGCCAGACCTACTATTCTGGCCATTGTAGAACTCTGCACCTCTGCACCTCTGACCCTCTGACCCTCTCTACCTCTGACACTCTGGCCCTCTGACTCTCTGGCCCTCTGACCCTCTTGCCCTCTCTACCTCTGGCCCTGTATGCCTAACCGTCGGCACCGCTATACCTTGCAACTCATTGAAACATCTCAATCGGAGTTTCGAAAGGCTCAACAGGCACGAACATGTATGACTGCAGAGGGACAGCAAACAGTTGTCTCTTGAATGGCGAGCGATAACATGTTCGGCTGGGGAGCTCCACAGCCAATCCCAATTGAGAATGCGACCCACTTATTAACCTACGTGGGCCCGGGAAGCAACGCGTTGCGACCTCTTCAGAACGCGTCTCCCAGGCACCTTCCAGGTTTTGAGTGTTTGTGCACAAGAAAACTTTCAAGAACAAGAATAAGAACAACTGATCAAGAAGTCAGATTACACACTCTTTCACGGACGACCACCCAGGTAGATTCAGCTTCTCATTCTCCAATTGAGCTCGCGAAAAGTCACTAACACAAAATCAAGGTCGTCATCTCACCTGGGATTCATCTCAGCGCGCCCAGCCCAGCCAGGATCATCACTTTCTCTTTGGGATGGCTCCTCGCAGATCCTCCGCTGCTGCAGCGGTCAGCACAGCGGCCACCAGTGCCAGCGACACGCCCGTGAAACGTGGTCGCGGTCGTCCACCTAAGAGCGGCGTGTCCAACGCCGTATCCAGCGCACCTGCTACCGACGCCGGCGACATGCCCGTGAAACGCGGTCGTGGTCGTCCACCCAAGAGCGGCGTGTCCAACGCTGGCGTCTCCAAGGCCACAAAGCCTGTTTCAGCTCGTCCGCGCACACGGCCACAGCGCGTTCAACCCGCCAGGCAAGCAGCAACCACTGCTCCTTCGACGGCGACAACAACGACCAAGCCGACACCTGCCACCACGGGTCGTGGTAGAAAGACCAAGGAGGCGACACTCGCTGCTGCTGCAGATGCCGCTGCTCCAAAGCGGCGTGGTCGTCCTCCTGGCTCAAAGAACAAATCCACGACTGCTACTGCGACAACGACCACGGCCCCAAAGCGCGTGGGCAGACCGCCCGGTTCCAAGAACAAACCCCAGTCCGCACCCCTCAAGCGCTTAGGCAGACCTCCAGGAGCGAAGAACAAGCCCAAGCCCGTCGGTACTGCCACCCCAGCGAAGGCTGACGACAGCACTGCAGCTACACCGAAGCGCGTTGGCAGGCCCCCCGGATCCGGTAACAAGGCCAAGACTCCTGCCACGGCCGAGAACGCCACCCCCAAGCGACGTGGTAGGCCACCGGGATCCGCAAACAAGGTCAAGGCTGCCATTACCCAAAGCACAGTCAAGTCTGCTACTCCCAGTGGTCGTGGACGTGGCAGACCTCGCAAGAGCGATGCTGCCTCAGCCAAGAAGGCCGCCAAAGAGGAGGCCACCGAGGTGAACGAAGATATCCCGGCTTCTGGAACGCTTGAGGCGGAAGAGCCAAATCCAGACGACGACGACGACGACGCGGCGGCGGCGGCGGCTGCGGCTGTAGCTGCGGCTGCAGCGGCAGGTGCTGAAGATGACGTCAAGGACGAGGCAGAACCCACCCAAGGTATGTGATGACGATGCCGAGTTGTTACTCCTTCTAAGCGCTACGAATCCAGAGACTAACACAAACGTGCCCCAGCTACCGAGCAGGATGCTGATGATGCTGACGATGCTGCGGCGACTGCCCCAGATGGCGAGAACAAGGATAGTGAGAATCCCGAGGTCAGTCGTCATTCCACCGCCACGCTGTGCCATGCTGGTAGTCAAGAGATTATTGTCTAATGTCTTGTCCATTTCATTCTGAAGTGATTCTTGACCTTCAAGTTCCTTACGCGGGGATTCCAGCGAACGGCCAATCCGCGCAACAGTCTGAACTGCCATCTGAGAACAGCATAGAGGCCATTCTGTATCCGCATGTCGTGGTATGGCTTAACCCGGTTTTTCGAGCACACTTAGTTGCGGTCACCATTACGGTCACAAGCTTTTGCAGCTTGAGCCTTTGTTTGTACAAAATATCTGAGGCGTTGGGCACAGGCGTTGGGCCATTAGGATCGGCTCACGCCATATTGCAGCTTTTGTTCATTGGGGCGGACATTACATTTGCAATTAGCGGGCGTGCTCCTGGTTTACGAATAACTAATAACAAGGTCAAAGTTGCCGTATGCGGGATCTGATGTGACCAGCACTCCCTGTCTGCCTTGCCAGTGCATTACTAACATCATTCACTCCCTCTTCCACGCCTCAAACTCCTCGGCAAGATGCTCCTTGAGCTGCTTGAACTTGTTCCCGAAATTCCTCCCACACCTCCAGCACCGCAGATCACTGTCCATGAACCCCGCTGCGCCGGGGTGCAGCCTCTTGTCGTCTTCTGCCAGCGGGAAATCCGCCACGTCAATCAGGAAGCCCGTGTTGAACGAGTTGTAATGCTTCCGGTGGCGGAGACACTCGGAGAACATGTCGCGCGAGAGCACGTGCACGTGCAGGTGGTTCATGGACGGGCGGGCGTGGATGCCCACCAGGACCTCCTTCTCCCAGTCCCGGCCCTGGGGCAGGGGCGTCTGCGCGTCCCACTCGGTCTCCCCGTTGAGTATGGACTCGCGGAGGGAGTCTTGGGCGGAGAACTTGCCGAACTTGCGCTGGAGTTCCTTTGCGACTAGCTGCTTGAGCCTGAGGGCCTCGGTCTGGACGCTGGCGAGGAAGTCTGCCCTAGCTTTCGCTGTGCCGTCATTGTCATTGTCATTGTCATTGTTGTTCTCGGTAGCACGGCTTGCAAAGGCGTCAAAGGGGTGGAGCCTGTTCCATTTCGCCGATCGGGGGAGGAGGAGCGTGTGGACGGATGACTTTGGGTACATGTCGTTGATCGCGACAAAGTCGTCGTTGTGGTAGATCACCCGGGACGCCGGGAATGAGGCTGGGTCTGCGATGTAGACACCTAGCCCGTCGCGGCTGTTGAGTGACGTGAGTTTGATGGAGGGACGAGAGTAAAAGTTTGCTGTTGCTGGAGAGCGTGCTGGGACTTTGGTCTTGGGAGACATCAGTTCTGTGACTTTGAAGGCCCGGCCGGCCCTTGAGTATTAGCAGGGCTCATGCCAGCAGAAGGGTATGTGTATAGCTTGGTATGCAACCGTACGCGGGCTCACTCACAGGCATTTCTCTTGGTGCTCTGACTTACGCCAGGCGTGGATGTAGTTGGTGCTGGCGCGGTGCCCTCAATCTCCTCTTGTGTCATTGCCTCCTCCGCATCGGAGTCGTGAGAAGCCATGTTGAACTACGTGCTTGCAGGACGCTACCGTGCAGAATGTAGCCGAGTCGACAGGCTGGCTGACGATTGTAAAGACCTGTCCTTTTGTTACTGAATGAAATCTTTACGCATGAGACTGCCCCCGAAAAATGGCGGCGTCGATGAGATCACGAAATGGGGGACTTACACGGCGACGATGAGACCTCGACGTCAGTGGTGGGGGCGGGGCACGAGCAAATGTCTCTACAAACTCATGAGGACTCGAAGTTCGGTGCTCTGGCTCCTGGAAAGCGCTTGTGTGAACTATGGACTCGAATCTCTGACCAGAAGCAAATCATTTCAGTCCATGGCCTGAAAAACATGATTTCATCCTAGGTGGACCATCATTGTGAGGAGCGTGCAGGCGTCAAGGAGCCCCGAGCCCCACTTGTCATCAACTACGACATCTTCATTCGCGCGGAAGCACCAAAGAATTCGAGAATATGGGGCACTTTGCCTCGTACCTCGCTGTCTCTTCAGAAAACAAGCAGTCTGCTCGCCAGTAGCCCGGAGCTCTCCATGGATCGCTGAAAAGCACAAGAGCAACATCCGTTCGACGCCATGGGCAACAAGGGCAAGGGCAAGGCCGCCGCGGCGCCGCCTGCACCCGCAGCGGCGGCTAGTGCCAGCACTTCCAAAAAGTCTGCAAAGACGACTGCTGGCGCCCCCAAGAAGCCTGCCGACGACGACTTCATCGTCTTCACCAACTCGACAAAGGACAAGCCCAAGAACAAGAGAGGCGGCGGCCAGGGCAGTGCGGCAGCCGACCAGGATGAGCCTGGGGCCCTCGGGCCGCCCAAGCCCACGGTCAAGCAGATCATCGGCGGCGCCAGCTGGACCGGCAAGCTCCCGGTGAACCTGCTGTCTGAGCACTGTCAGAAGCAGAAGTGGAATAGGCCAGACTACCAACCTGTGAGCACAACCCCGTGAGCGAACATATAAGTGTATGATCCTGAGTAGATCAGTCATGTTAATGCCAGAGATTTTACCGAAATCAGATCAGAGGGTCTGAAGGCTTTTCGTACTTTGTCTCGTTCAGCTCCAAGAACCCCAAGACACAGGAGACACAGAAACTGCCACCCTTCAAGATCCCGCCAGACCACAAGCATCTCGTGACCATGCCCACAGAGCTGGAAGGCCGGCATGCCGCCGCTACCTATGCGCTCTTCCGCGTCTGCAGCATGAAGAACATCCACACCACGCTCCCGCCCGTGTACAAGGCGCTGTGGAAGGAGTTTGAGGCTCTCAAGAAAGAGGACGTCAAGAGAGGACTCGGGTGGATGTACGACGCCGACCCCTTTGCGACCATGAAGCAGCGCGAGGATGAGAAGGCTGCCGCCGAGAAGAAGCGCAAGGAACAGGAGGCCATCAAGGAGAAGGCCAAGAACATGCCTGGTGCTGCCGGCCTGGTGCTGCGCAGTAATGCTGCGGTCGCGGGTGGTGGGGGCGCAAATCTTATGAAAGGCTGGACTTCTGTTCCCAAGATCGAGATGGGTAGGAAAACTCGATCGCAGCTGGAAGATCTGCTTCGCAGGGAAGTCATCTGGAACCCTCGTGGCGTCAAGATGTCCAAAGACCAGAAGGACCGCATTGCTAAGGAGTTGACTGGTTCCGGCTTCCGCCGGAGCCACGTGGAGGAGGCTGTCGACGAGTGCAAAGACCGCGAGGAGACGCTCGAGTGGCTGCTGATTCACGTTCCCGAGGACGACTTGCCTCGCTGGGCCATGCCCGAGAACTACAGCGCAGGCGTCTCCGTGGCCAATACTTCAGATCTGAAGCGGGAAGCGGCCATCAAACGTCTTTCCGAGTCGGGCTACTCGGTCGAGCTCTGCCGGAAGACATATGAGGAGTGCGACGGGAACGAAGCACGAACGGCAGAAGCCCTACAACACTTCCTCGTGTCGAGTGGAGACGGTGCAGAACCACCCAAGATCGATGAAGATGCCATTCTCACCTTGGACGAGCCAGAGGACTTATGGAAGGACGAGATGTCGAGCTTGAGTTCCGTCTTTGGCGACCACTTTAAGCAGCTTTCAGAGGACTTATGCCAGATCCGCGTCGATTCTGTCAAGAATGGTGGCAAGACTGTCGAGACTTTTGCACAGTTTCGGCGGTCGTCGCGGTATCCGTTCGAGATTGTCGTTACGCTCGTATCTGAGCTGCCGTCCTATATCCGCCTGAGTGTCATCAAGAAGACACTAAGCTACATCAGCCAGGACCTGCCGGAGGAGCCTATGAAGATCTTCTTTGCAGTCGATTGGATCCAGCAAAACATCAATGACATAATAGAAGCGCCTGGCAAGCTGCGCGACATTTCGGGCGCAGCATCCACAGCCTCAGAGCTTCGAGTCAGCCATGGCCGCAAGCAGACGGCCCGCCATCCGAAGCCTATCGCTTGGATTGAGGATCAGCGCAGCAAGCAAGAGTGGCAGAAAAGACAGCAGAGCCCCCAGTACAAAGACATGCTGGCCCAACGAGCAAAGCTCCCTGCCTGGCAGGTCCGCGATGTTGTCGTCAACACTGTCGCCCAGAACCAGATCACGATCATTGCTGGTGAAACTGGTTCCGGCAAGTCTACACAGTCTGTACAATTCGTACTTGACGACCTGTACAGCAAAGGATATGGCAACGCTGCGAACATTATCTGCACACAACCACGAAGAATCTCAGCTCTGGGTCTCGCCGACCGCGTGAGTGACGAGCGCTGCTCCCAAGTCGGCAAGGAAGTCGGATACACTATCCGCGGCGAGAACAAGACCAGTGCCCAGACAAAGATCACCTTCGTCACGACTGGTGTGCTGCTTCGACGCTTGCAGACGTCTGGAGGGCGCACAGAAGACGTCGTGGCTTCACTGGCGGACGTGAGCCATGTTGTCATTGACGAAGTTCACGAGCGGAGTCTCGATACTGATTTCCTGCTGAGTATTATCCGCGATGTGCTTAAGCGAAGAAAAGATCTCAAGCTCATTCTCATGAGTGCCACGCTCGACGCAGCCACTTTCAAGAACTATTTCACGTCAGAAGGTCTGGGTGTCGGCATGGTAGAGATTTCTGGACGAACATACCCAGTCGAGGATTTCTATCTGGATGACATTATCCAAATGACCAACTTCCAGCCACGAAACGACAGATATGACAGATACCGCGACGACGACTTCGTGGAAGAGTCAGCATCCAAGTCTTCTCAGGATCCAATCAACAAAATCATCCAGAAACTGGGCTCGAGGATTAACTACTCTCTCATATTGGAGACAGCAAAGGAGATCGACCAAGATCTCTACCACTACAGCAAGAAGGGCGGAATCCTTATTTTCTTGCCAGGTGTGGCCGAAATTAATCGTGCATGTAATGAGCTGAGGAACGTCTCTTCGTTCCACGTGCTTCCACTCCACGCATCACTAGAGACAAGAGAGCAGAGGCGGGTTTTCGTTCCCGCACCCTCGGGGAAGCGCAAGATTGTCGTTGCCACCAATGTCGCCGAGACCTCAATTACAATCGACGACATTGTGGCGGTCATTGACACAGGCAGGGTCAAGGAGACAAGCTTTGATCCACAGAACAACATGCGCAAGCTCGAAGAGACCTGGGCATCGAGGGCGGCCTGCAAACAGCGCCGCGGCCGTGCCGGTCGTGTGCAGGCGGGCAAATGTTACAAGCTCTACACCCGGAACCTGGAGCAGCAGATGCCAGAAAGACCTGATCCCGAAATCCGCCGAGTGCCTCTTGAGCAGCTCTGTCTTTCCGTTCGCGCCATGGGCACGGCTGATGTGGGCGGCTTCCTGCGAAGAACACCCACGCCTCCCGAGACGGCAGCGATCGAGGGTGCACTCAAGATGCTGCGAAAGATGGGTGCTATGGATGGCGAGGACCTGACCTCCCTTGGCCAGCAGCTCGCCATGATCCCTGCGGACCTGCGCTGTGGCAAACTTATGGTCTACGGCGCTATTTTTGGCTGTCTTGAGGAGGCAGTGACAATTGCCGCCATGCTCAGCACAAAGAGCCCCTTTGTGAGCCCGGCCGAGAAGAGAGAGGAGGCCAGGCAGGCCAGGGCACGCTACGCCAGAGGCGATGGCGATTTGCTCACTGACCTTCGAGCTGTCCAGGAATGGGACAGCATGATGGACCAGCGTATGCCTCAGAGTCAGGTTCGCAACTACTGCAGCGACAACTTCCTCAACTACCAGGTCCTTTCAGACATCGCGGCCACAAGAGCACAATACTACTCTGCTCTAGCCGAGATCGGCATCGTTCTTCCTTCGTCTCCTTCTGGTGGGGACGGCCGAGCAGGGGCAGGCAACCACAAGTCCAGATCAGGCACGAGCACGCCGCAGTCGTCCGGACTATCAGCGACAACGACGGCCTCGATGGCCCTCGTCCGCGCGGTCACAGCCGCGGCCTTTACTCCGCAAATCGCGCGGATCCAGTTCCCCGACAAGAAGTTTGCCTCGTCCGTGTCCGGTGCCGTTGAGCTCGACCCGGAGGCCAAGACGATCAAGTACTTCACTCAGGAGAATGGCCGCGTCTTCATCCACCCGAGCAGCACACTGTTCGATAACCAGGGCTTCTCCGGAAACGCGGCTTTTGTATCGTACTTTACCATGATCGCGACCAGCAAGATCTTTGTGAGAGATCTTACTCGTGAGTACTTTGTCCCTATCTATGGCATTTTCTGCTTCAAGACGTGAACCATTTCGAGGGAATCGAGACGTTTGTCGATCCGAAATGCACGTATACTGACATGACTCTCCCGCCATGCAGCGTTCAACGCCTTCACTCTGCTCCTCTTCGCCGGCTCAATCGAGCTGGACACCATGGGCCGCGGTCTGGTTGTGGACGACTGGCTCCGGTAAGCACTTCCCTCCCTGGCATTGTACTCGGCACCTCAGTGCAGTGCCCCTTGATGAGCTAGAAGAAGAGAGCCAACAACTAACCTGTGTTCTCTTCCTTTGTACCACCACTAGCCTCCGTGGCTGGGCAAGAATAGGCGTCCTCGTATCCCGCCTGCGCGGGATGGTCGACAACACCATCGCCATGAAGGTCGCCAACCCGCAGATGGACACGCGCGAGAGTGAGGTGATTCGCCTCGTCACGAAGCTCATCGAGCTCGACGGGCTGGACGCTTGAATCTTTTTTTCTTTCTTTCTTTTCAAATGGCAAGAGCAGACGATGGAATCCAAGCAATTATACTAGAGTCAAATACACTACACACAGCGCCACGATTGAATGACAAGGCCGTTGAGAGAGGGAGGAGTGGGACACATGCTGCGGATTTGGGGACATTTTCTCATCTAGCTTAGTGGTACGACAGGAAATAAGGAGGACTACCATGGATAAGCCAAGACTGGCCAGGTATTCGGAGAAGATAGCATCCAGCAAGCAGATGCTGAAGTGGGTTACGCATATCGAGATTGTTAGGAACGTTGTGCAGGTCGAGTGAGCTGGGCCTTGGGTTGAACGAGAGCAATCATGTTGCTCGCCGCAGTCGATCTAGGTCGGTGCTTTTGCAGGTGTCAACTATTTGGATAGCCACAGCTTAAAGAATCGAAGTGCCGTAAGCCACAAAACCGAGAAGCATAACTCTTGGATATTATGCAAGATTGCATCACATAGAAACTGCACAGTAGCAAGTCACGGGTCAAAGCAATATGGGGAAAGAAGCTGTCAACATTGTGCTGCTGATGCTATCTGTCGCTGAACTGGGACGATGAATTCCGCAGCGGCCCGAGCCACTTGGTCGAGGCACGCCACATCATGTTGTTCAGTTGGTCGGGTTGAGGCTGCGACATTGCTGCCACTTGGCAGGTATCAGCAACTGGCGGTATGTGCGATCCAAGGTCTTCTGTCGGCAGAGGGCGACGTGCTCCTCTCGTTGACGACCGTTTCACGTGCCGCTCAAAACGCAATGGAGGGTTGGAGCTTTCAAGCAACCATTCAAGACCCTCCCTCCTTGTGTGCTTCTATGCACCTTCTCGGTGTATCGTCAGGCTGGAGCTTTCAAGCTACCAAAGTACCTGTCATCGTTAAATGCGAATTTTCCATGCGCTATCCATTGAAACCAGGAGAACGCCTGTTGTGTGTTGCAATTGTGCTGTGTGGGGAAATTATAGGGTGTAGGGGGGGTATTTTGTGCTGTGGTGATGCTGAAGGCGAAACAAGTAGGGTTGGGATCCAAGCACACAAGCTCGGGGCAGGCGACAACAATAGCCAGTCCACTCGAGAATGGCGTGCTTCACGATACACCTTTATGCGGCTGACTCTAAAGCTTCGTGTCGTGAACACAACGGCTGCAGGGCTGTAGTGCTTTACATGTCCATCGAGTCGGCGCCATTGGCAAAGTTGAAGCCACCCTGAGCGCCAGCGTTGGAGGCGCCGAAGCCGAACTGGCCATTGGCACCCTGAGGCGCAGCACCCATGCCCTCGTCGGCATTCTCGTCCTCGTCAGAGAAGTACTTCTCGATGATGTTGTAAGACTTCATGTAGATCTCCTCGTTCTGGTTGGTCTGGCAATCGTGGATCTTCTCCATGCCACCGCACTCCTCAATGAACAGAGCGTATCGGTTGATGGACTCCGGGCCTTCGCCAGCAGCCTGCTTGTCGAGATCGCCGACCTTCAAGATGTTCTCAAGGCCATCCAGAGCAACCTGGATGATCTTGTTGTCTGGGCAGCTGAGCAGGTCGCACAGAGGCTTGATGCAGCCCTGAGCAACGAGGTAGCGGATCTGCTCAGGCTTCTGGAGACCACCGCTGGTAGCGTTGCTAATAGCCCAGCAGGCCTCCTTGCGCGTCTTGAGGTCGCCGTTGGAGAGGAGGTGAATCAGCGGGGGAATGATGTTGGCATCGATGACACCCTGGATCTGTTGCGAGTTGCCAGCAGTGATGTTCGAGATGGTCCAGCAGGCCTCCTTGCGAATGCCATCCTTATTGGAGCTGAGCAGAGACAGAAGGCAAGGCAGCGCTCCTTGGTTGATGATGATCTGGGTCTGGACGTCGTCGCCAGTCACAATGTTTCCGACTGAGCGAAGAGCAGGGGTCTGCACAGAGGTCGAAGCGTGCATGAGGAGTTCGACCAAGCGACGAGGGATGCCGGCCTCGATGACGGCCTGGATCTTGTCGTTGGAGCCATCCGACAAGTAGGAAATGGCCCAGCAGGCATCGATCAATACTTCATCATCGAGCGAGTAGACCAGCTTGGCGAGGACAGGAAGAGCGGGGGCAATCTGTAGTGCGCTGATGTCAGTAAAGTGATAAAATGTAAAGAGGAAATGTGTTCACAACTTACGGTAGCCCAGTCTGGCTGGGGAGTCTTGCCACGGCAGAAGTTGCTGAGGGTCCAGGTGGCGTTACGGAGCATGCTCAGCTTACGGCTATCGCCCAAGAGGTTGAGCAGAGGCTTGAGAGCACCACAGCTGAGGACGTAGTCTCTGCATGTGGGGCTGTCACCAGCAATGTTACCAAGAGCCCACACAGCCTGTTCCCGGACATCAGGCTCGGGGCTGGCAAGAAGCTCAACGAAGATCGGCACGGCACCAGCCTCGATGACGACCTGGGTCTGTGTCGCGCTGCCAGACGCAATGTTGGTCAGGGCCCAGGCAGCCTCGAACTGGACGAGAGTGTGGGGCGACCGCAGAAACTCGACGAAGCGTGAGACAACGCCAGTCTTGATGACTTCTTCGATCGGGGGGTTGCGCTCCTTGGACAGAAGTTTCCGGAACTTTGTAGTCGCCTGGATTTGCTGGTCGATCTGCTCGGAGAAGACACCCTGCACCATCTGGGGGAGGTCCTCGTTCAACTACATGGGCATGTTAGAACCGACCAGTAGTTATGTGCAAGCTGCGGACAAGATCGCGACATTCATGTCTCGGGGAGGGGATGCAAGGGGGGGCTAAAAGGATGAAGCAAAGGATGCCGGCGCAGCACGCATGTGACTCGAAGCTAGCAACGATCCCGTTGGGGCCGCCGCCAATAAGAGGCGCAGGCGTGGGGGTGAGCAGGAAGGAGACTGTGGGAATGTGGGAGATGCTTTGTTACTCACCTGGCTCTCGGTGGGAGCGGTGTCATCGTCGCTGTCGGGAGCGGCACCAAGGGCGGCACCGGGACGGTCCGCACCTGTGCCGATACCTCTTCTCTTTGCGAGGTTCTCCTCACGCTTGGCCTTGCGGATCTCTACCTGCTGCTCCTCGCGGCGGCGGCGGAGCTCCTCAGGCTTGAAGGCATTCTTGGCCTTGAACTGAGTGCGACGGTGCTCGGGAATGTACCGGTCGGACATGGTGGCGGCGGTGGTGGAATGAGGGGATGGGAGAAGGGGAAAGAAGGAAGAAGGGGTGGAGGGGCAAGATGGACGATTGTTTTTGTTTTGATGGCAGCGGGAAGGGGCAGCAGCAGCAGCTTGACAGGAGCGGCCAGCAGCAGCAATTCCAGTGGGTGGGGATCAGACTTAGCGCAGGGCGGTGATGAGCTACAGCGCCAACCCACTTGCTGGCGAGAACGATGGCAAAAGGCGGGGGCAAGGTTCCTCGTTCTGCCTGCGCCGAGGGCGGAGCCAGCGACCAGTTCCAGATGCGAAAAGAGGCGATGAGGGGGGAGGGAGTGCGCCTGCGTCGGGGAGAGGAGGAGTCTTAGCCTTGTGAAGGTGGGGGTTTGCTGTGACACGGGATCAGACGGTTGCGGGCAGGAACTCCTTGCTGGGCCTGGCTTGGGGAGTGGTAAAGAAGAAATGGAACCGCAAGTTGCCAGAAAACTCTATCCAGTCGTCTGAGACCGGCCTCAGGCATCTCAACTTGTCATGGCCGGCTCCTCGGCCGATCTTAGTGCACATCTGGCTTTGAGGGAGGGAACCCCTTGCAGGGAGAACGCCGACAATTGTCGTCGGTTTCGCTTGTATGCACAACTCAGTCTGGGAGGTGTTCTCGGGCCACAGCGACTGATTTCGGCACATGAAACAAACGAGGAGTCAGACACGAACCTCGATTGCATGGTTTCCAGGCCAAACACTTGACGTGATTGCCTGGCAAATTACACAACCGCACCAGCGTTTGCTGACTTCCAGCCATGTTGGCGCAGAAGTTGTATAAACTCAAGCAATCAAGGGCAGTGCAATGCTTTAGAGACTGCCTCATCCTGAAGACCTCGCTGGTCTTCTACCTACCCTATGTACACTTTCATCTCAGCACCTATGTCCGCGACGTGGAGCCCCATGTCATGAGCATCAGCTCGTGGACATCCATGGATGTCTTGGTGGTTGAGTGAGTCTCCCGCACAGACCACCCCCTGAAAATTGCCCCTCCAACGAAGAGTTCTGAAGGCAAACATGGTGGGGCTCCAAATTGCTTGCATATCAGCCACATGTCAGAAGCTCTTTGGGACGAATGCATTCTCCCATCGCTGACTGCTGTGCAGCGGCATCATGCAGCTGTAGGCTTCTCTGGGAACACTTAGCAGTGGCTTGTTCGATCAAAGCTTTGGACAAGTGTTCCGCCGCCCGGCAGGCTTTCTCCCCGATACATTCCTGCCGACTGGCTGTGCCCCGCCCCCACACTGCCATCAATACTTTGCGGCGAATGCCGCTTCCGTGTAAGTTGCATCATCCATGTTGCCGGTCATCCTGCGCCACAGGGACGAGAAACGCATGAAAGAGGAGTCGGGTGGCTTATCTTGCTGCAACCTGGCTTGATTTTTCGTGATATGTAATCCTCGGCCATCATTGGGCCTGGCGCACAAACGATGCGGCCAGGGCCAAAGTGCTGTCACGTGACGTCGCGGCATGGCAACTGCACCACTCTAGCGCGGGCGACTCCGCCAGACGCGTAAAGCGCGTCACTCTCCACGTGCGGCTGTCAACTCTGATTTACACCCTCTTGCATGAGCCAAGTGCACGACTTCACGGAGGGCTCGCTTCATACTTGATGATCCCTATCACCAAGGCTCGTTCTTGAGGCGAGCGAGGGCTCACGTCTGAGAAATGGCGCTATATGGCGACGGCAATGGCGAGGCCCCCGAGCTCCCATTGCCAAAGCATCTCACTAAGATCTCAGACGTCCTGAGCGAGGAAGTGCGCGTGAATAGTTTTGTCAATGTGCTCGGTGTCATTCGGGACTACCGTCCGCCGATGCGAAGTCGTGGCAAAGGCAAGTTTCCCAGGTCCTTCTCCCGTATGGGACAGTGAAGATGAGCTATTTCCTTAGCTGACACACCCGCAGACTTCAAATCAGCCCTTGCGTTTTTTGATAAGTCGACGGAGCCCGAAGGAGGCTCGACGTTGACGATCAATATTTTCCAGCGAACAGATGAGATGCCAGAGATATCCTCAGGAGATGTAGTCCTCATCCTTGGCGCCAAAGTCCAAAATTGGGGCGGGCCAAGCCTGATCACCAGCTTCCAGACTGCCATCTATATCTACTCGGCATCTCGCATCCCAAAACCGCCAGCAATTGCAGCGCTCGCCTTCTCGGGCCCCATCGGTGGCAAAACAGGCGTCAAGAAGCCGACGGACACGGATCATGCCTATGTTTCATGGCTGTATCACAATGTTGAGAGTTATCTGATTCCTGCTGCGGAGGAGTTCAGAGTACAAGTTGAGCGCGCGATGGTCACGACTGACAAGTTCAAGCTCCTCAAGGATGCAAAAGACTACACCTTCTGTAATGCCATCGTCCAAGTCGTCTTGAGCCCGTACGTTGACGGCGACCGCGCGACATTATGGGTCACAGACTACACTTCCAACGACGGATTCAAACGCTTCTCACATGAAGCTCGGCCTGAAGTCGAGTCGTCAGATGGTGATCCATACGGGTACATCAAGACTGGCCAGAAAGACTGGCCCGGGCCATATGGGCAACGTGCAATGCAAGTTACGGCTTGGGGAGTGCATGCCGAGACGATCGGAGCAAATGTGGCTCAGGGCTCATGGCTCATGCTGCGCAACATGCAAATCAAGTTCGGCCACGATGCCCTCCACCTGGAAGGCTTCCTTCGTGAGGAACGCGGGTCCAGAGACCCCAAACTGCTGGTCGAGGTTCTTTCCCTGCATGACGACATTGACGAGCGGCTGAAAGATGCTCTCAAACGGAAGCTGAGCTATGAGAAGTCTAAGCAGAAGCTATTGCAGGAACAAGGGCAGGGCACCAGCAGTCAAGTTCGGAAGTCTCAGAAAAAGCCATCAAGTGACCAGCCAGAGAGAGAAAATCGAAAAACTAAAAGGCAAAAATTGCATGCGAAGCTTCAACAGCAAGAAGCTGAAAAACAGGCTGCGGACAAGACAAAGCTCGACCAGACGAGTCAGGCCGGAGCAAAACCGGAGCAAGTGGTTCGCGGCCCTCGCCTGAACAGGTCCAGTACGTAGCGACAAATCTGTGTGAACTCTGCCCTTGGAGACTTGTAACTGACAATACCGACAGTAAAATGCCAGAGCATCGAGCGGCCTGCAACCCGTTTGTCTGCGATTCTTCCACTACAAATGCGGAAGGTAGGCATTGAAGGCGAAGAAACGTCTATCACTCTACCCTTCGTGAATTCGAAGCATCGGGTCATTGTGAGAGTCGTGGACTTTGCGCCACGGAAACTGCAAGACTTTGCTCGCTGGCGACAGAAGACTGAGTTTGATATTTTATCCGAACACAGTGGTGCCGAGTCGGACTCCGATGATGACATGAACAGGAGCACGCTAGAAGCTTATAGGGGCAAAAAGCTGTGGGAATGGCGGTTTGCGCTTCAACTTGAAGAGGTGAACCTGGACGAAGAAGAGAAAGAGCCTCTTCGGATCTGGGTTGTCGTGGACAATATCGAGGGTCAGCAGTTGACTAACCTGAATGCTTGCGAGTGAGTTTTCCTCGACCCTGGGTCAACTGGCTGATACTGACTTCTGCTCGAAAGCCTCCGCGCCGAGGAAGACCAGCTCAATCTTCTCAAGGAACAGATGTTTAGGTTATGGGGCAACCTCGAAGAGATCAGGTCCGCCCAAGCTCAGAGCAATGCGGCCCGTAGGAAACGTATTGATGCAGGAAAGCCCCCAGACAGCTCGCCTCCAAAAGCACCTACGACTGGAAGAGACGCCATGGACCACAGCCTGAAGTTGTCAAACACCCCGTTTTCTTGTTGCATACGCCAGTACGGGGTCAAAGTGCCCGAGGGCGACCAGGACAAGGCAGATGCAGGATCTAATCAGCGATGGCAGCGACTTTTCGGGATATTTGGGACGAGGATCGTCTCCGGGATCGCTGAATAGGTCTTATTGACACACGACAAGCGGGAACGATGTATGACCGTCATTTTGCTTTCCAATTATATACCCAGTCTGAGCTAGATGCTTCGACCGTTATCAAATTATATTGCAATAAATGAGAACGAGAGTGCTTCTTGTGTCTATGATTTGCTGCATCTGAAATCAACGCAAGCACATCAGGGCTTGCGCTCCAAACGCGGACTCAACACTCCCTTCATGCAGGAGCATTGCTCCTATCCACTCCCTTCCAGCTTCGACACTGGCCGCGCCAAATTTGACCACGACGCACCCACGAACTCTTGCCGCTGACCACAGCACGGCGTTCAGTTTCTCGTGCTGCAAGCGTCTCACCCGCCAATGCTCGAGATCTGTAGTAATCGCCTTCTTCCTCTCAAAATCTCGAGATCCCAGCCTTGGCAAGAGCTCAAACTCTTTGAGGAAGAATTCTCCAAGTGCGCTGGTCAGGGGACCTCTCAACACCAGAGTTCCTATCACAGCGTTTCCGTGCAATTGATTCTTGAGCGTCTGCCCCTGCGCAGGTCCAGGGACACCGTCGAGCGTGATGGAGTCCCTGACAAGAAGCCTCTCTGTGGGGACATGACTGCCATCGGCAGTCCCGGTAGGATTCAGGTCATCCGCGGCGATCCAGACCTCGTTCCTCCCGGACCAGTGCGTCAGACTCCAGTCCTCGCCCCTAGCCAGGCGGCCCTGCGTGACCCAGTCGAGAAGCACGAGCGAGGCACCTTCTCCTTTCAGCCGGAAGATCTGTGTCTGCTCGTACACGCTGCGCTCAAAAGGTTGCACGGGGTCCGGCAGGAGGCACAGCGCGGCACCGGCGCGGATCTCTACGGTCATAGACTGCCGCGTCACGATCTCCGGCTTGATCGAGTTGAACACCTTGGTGTGGCCTTGTGTGACGATGCTCAGGCGTGCTTTCTCATGCACGGTCACCGAAAGGTCGACCTGGTCGCCGCCGACGAGCCCGCCGCCATAGGAGAGCAGGAAGACGAGGACGCTGGGCTGGTTTGCGCCAGCCGAGGTCGGATGCGGCGAAATGAGTTTCAGCGGATACTGGTATGTGATGCTCTCAAGGGCAGAGATGCGGTGCGGGAGGAGCTTGACGGTGATGTGGCCCCTGCCGGGGCTCGAGGAGGACTTGGGAAATGGCGAGGACATGCCGGTGACTTGGCCATGTCACTGAGGATGCCTGAGATGGAATCAAAATGGTGTCGACACCTTTTGTCTTCTGCACGACATAGCTTGTCAATGTTATTATGCGAGCCACTCTCACGGGCTGGAGTTGGATTCGAGGTTGGAATTGATAAGTGTCATTTCTTATCATTCTTGATTGGTGTTATGCTATTGTCATTGGAAATGGACGTGACAGAATCAGAGCCAGAGGTGATATCAACGAGTGCTGACCTGCAACCTCTCAAGAGGGGCACTATCACCACAGACTATCACACAAAATGTTCAGGAAGAGACAACGGAGGGCAGTTCGTGATGGCTACATGACGGGGAGAGGCCGTTGCGGTTGTGCCTACCCTGCACCAGAGCCCAGTTCGAAGCTGGTGTGGGTCTGCTCCGGACAGGGGGCAGGAGGGGCCGCGACCAGTCGCGCAACTGCAGCTCAATCCAAACACACCCGACGCGCTCTCAAGCCCGACTAATTAGAGGTGGCACCTTCCCACATTACCCCAGCGCATGCGTCTCGATCACATTTGGGACGCGCCAACCACCATCTTTACAGGGGACAATTCCTGACGTCGCCGTTCAGAAAATGGTTGCGACGGTCTAGAAAGAAAGAACAATCACACATCTTTTGCTCCATGTCACCATCACGAATGCCCCTCATGGACGCAGACGATAACGCGACGACATCGCCTGCACCCGCGACGCAGCAGCGACGATCTGGACGCGCCGTGCGTGCTGTGCAAAAATACTCGCCAGAGCCGTCGTCGCAAAACAACGCGAAGCGCAAGCGCGGACACGACCAGGAGGACGGCGACGAGGAGAATGACGCGCCGGACGCCGAGGACGAAGAAGGCAGTGGTGCCGAGGAGGAGGCGGAGGAGGACGATGGTGGCGCAGATGATGCCGAAGACAGCGACGAGCCGACACCGCGGCCCAGGAAGACAAAGTCCAAACCCAAGGCGAGCCAGCAACAGTCCCGAGCAAAGAAGCCTGCCGTCAAACGGCCGAAGGTGAATGGCTCAGCGCCTGAAGGCGTCGCATCCGCTGCCGCGCCCATTCGTCTGCCTAGCAGGACCAAGAAGAATGTGAAACTGGCTGTCGCGGAGGGCGACGATGGTCTCTATGGTAAGCTGAGTCTACAGGATCGCACATTGGACAAATGCGACAGGTCGAGGCTGACTAAAATACCACCCCCTAGGCGAAATCTTTGCCTCCGGCGACTCGTCCGATGACGTGGCCGGCCAATGGTTCCAGCGATACCAGAACAACGACGCTGAGGCGATGGCTGAGTTGGTCAACTGCGTTCTCCGCGCCGCCGGCTGTGAGCACAAGCTAAATGAGGACGACATTCGGGATCCCGATAATTCGGCCGCCAGACTGACAGAGCTGGAGGAAGCTTTTGAATCGGTACGTGAAACCGATCACATCAACCTTGAATCGCGAAACTAACTTGTTTTGCGATAGACTGCGATCACCGACTATCCCCTGATCTCACGAACGAAAGGCACCAAGGACTTCCGCAGCCTGCTCTTGGGTTTCTTTGAATCCCTGATTAGTCTACTACACCAGACCGAAGTGCTTTACACGGACGAGGAGCTTCTCGACAACATCCAGCGTTGGATCGGCACAATGTCATCTTCTGCCTTGCGACCGTTTCGACACACCGCCACGACTGTGGGCTTAGCTATGCTCTCAGCCCTCATCGAGGTTACGAAGCAGCTGGACGAGCGGATCACAAAGTCCAACCAAGCCATCCAAGCCGAGTCAAACCGCAAGGGAAAAAACAAGACGCTCGTCGAGAACACAAAAATTGCCCTTGAGAGCGCGATCGCCAATCGCAGCATGGTCGACGCCAAGTCAAAAGATTTGTTCGATATTGTGTTTGTCCACCGCTACCGAGATATCGACCCGAAAATTCGCGCAGAGTGCATCGAAGCTCTTGGCACGTGGATTTGCACGCTTCCGACTGTATACATGTCACCAGAATACCTGCGCTACCTCGGCTGGCTCCTTTCGGATGTTTCGGTCACCACGCGACAGGAAGTGCTAAAGCAGCTTGGACGGGTCTTGAAACGAGACGCGGACAGTCTTGCACACTTCATTGACAGATTCCGGCCGCGGCTCGTCGAGATGGCGACCCGCGATGCAGATGTCTCTGTGCGCGTGGCGGCAGTCTCTGTTGTCGACGTTTTGCGTGCATCTGGCATGCTGGAGCCGGAAGAAATCGACTCGGTCAGCAGGCTATTGTTTGACTTCGAGCCTCGAGTCCGGAGGGCTGTTGTTGGCTTCTTCACCGAGCTCGTACAAGAAGTGATTGAGTCCAAAATAGACGACATTGGTGGTAGCGATGCACTTGACGAAGCGCTCGGAGACGACGACGATAATGAGAACTACGAGGCGATTCGGAAAGACTGGATCAACATCAAGGCGCTCGCAGAAAACCTGGCTGTCTATGACTCGCAGCTTGATGGCGAGCAAGACGATCTGCGGCATGGTCTTGATGTTGCAGCAGATGTTGTCAACGCCAACACGCCAGACTCGCGGATCGCACTGGCAGCGCAAGCTCTTTACGAAAAGGTGCCGGAGATCAACAATTGGCAGATTCTAGCCGGTTACCTCCTGTTTGATCACACGACGAGCTCCAGGTCGAACTCCAGGTCAAAGAAGTCGAACACGATCGAGGCAGCACTGAAAAAGGTCGTCGCACCCGAACCTCGTGAAGAAGCCATCCTGCTCGAGGTCCTTGCAACCGCTGTGAAGGAGAGTCTGAGCTCTGGGTCCGATGGCCACGACCGGAGCAGAAGGAAGGCAGCACGGCCGGATGCCGATGCGCAAGAGGAAGCCAGCCTTCAGCTAGCCGAGATGATTCCACAGCTGCTGAACAAGTTCGGACCAGACCCGGCGATGGCTGCTACTATTCTGCGTCTTGAGCATTACCTCGATCTGGATATCTTCCAACATCTGCGTCAAAACTCGATTACATATGAAAAGATCCTGGACGAGATCACGATCCAGTTCAACCGCCATGTCGACCAGGTTGTCCTCAACGAGACGGCTGCCTCTTTGATTCACGCAAGACAGTACGAAGAGTTTGAAGAGGCTGTCGATGGCAAGCTGTCAGGTTTGTGGGATACATCGATCAATGCGCTCCGCGCCTTTGACAAGACCTGCGAGCTGTCGACCCGTGGCAACCTTGATCGCGCCAAGCTCTCGGAGCTATCCCATACCCTGATGAAGATCAGCAAACTCTGCACAGTCGCCAACTGCACCGATGTCCTAGAGGCTCCTGGCACGTCTATTGACTCGGACTCGCCGACCATCAAGCTGCTCATTGGAACAGTGCACCGCGGCAAGTTGGTTGAGTCCAATGAGAATCTCGATGATCCCGAGGATGAGCTGGTCGGTTTTGCCATCAAGGCGTCGCAGTTCTATTTCATGTGGAAAGTCACAAAGCTCCGAAGCATAATAGCCAAGGGTGAAGACATCTCAAACGATGAGGTAGACCGGCTAGTATTGTGGCGCAAGGAGTTTATCACGAACCTGATCCACACTTTCTCGTCTCGAGGCTTCAATGACGACCTGCGTCTCATGGCTGTTGGCAGTGCCTGCGATGTGTGTGGCATATTCGTATTCCTGCGCGACGCAATCAATGGTCCTCAGGCGTCAAAGTACGGAAAGCTCAAGCCACTCCTCGAGGAGATGCCACATGCACTGATCACCAAGGAAATCATCCCGATCTTTGACTCGGCCGAACGAGCATATGCCAAGAAGGCGAACAAAACTCTCAACGAGTCTTCTGCGGACGACGACTTGCTGGACCTCGACGATGAGCTGCCGCCAGAGGACGATGAGGATGAGGAACTCACAGAGCAAGAACGTGTCGCCGCGGAATTGAAAGCCGAGAAGATTCTCTGCGAGCTGGCTGGCAAGCTTGTTATGGCTGTGCTAGCCAAGGTTCTTGATAACAGCGGGCCCCATGCAGGCATGCTGAGGAAGCGGATGACGAGAAACAAGACGAAATTGGGTCCTACATTCAAGGAGGTCATTTCGTACCTTGACGAGGATCACCTGCGGGAGCTGCGAAGCAGCAAGAAGAAGGCGAGTGGGGCCAAGGGATCCAAGCCCAAGGAGGCAAGCAAGAGGCCGGCCTTGTCCACCGAGCTTGTCATTGACGACGACGATGATGACGAAGCTGCTGCTCCTCGGGCAGAGGAGGATCCCTTCAACGACGACGATGTAGAGGAGCCAGAGGAGGGCACAGTAGAAGATCTTAGAAGGCGAGAGCTGCTGGATGATCCGATCGAGGATGATGACGAGGCGGACGAGCCTGCTGCAGACCGCATGGAGGAAGACTCGGTCATTGGCGATTGAAGACCTGGCAGAGCAGGGCATCAAAGAGATACAGAGTTCTGGTCTTGGAAGGTGTTACATGAGGCTGGGCAGGTGTATAATGACGGATAGCAATTGTTTTGATCTCCAGGTTTCTACTGGCAAATGACGAGAAGAGCGAATCATCTTTCCGGAACAACGAAGAAAAAAATATAGTGTCTTGAGAATCCAGCGATGGGTGCAGCACAAGTACTACACAGCATGACTTGACCAACTCGATGATAGGCCCCGCAGAGCAGTCACGCAAGCTCGTGTAACTAACTAGATGGCTCGGCTGGACCTCCATGATGCGTCATGTCCCGAGTACAAAATGTCGGTTGACCGACCGAGTCGTGTTTGATGCCCATAGGCACGACGACATGTCGGACGACCGTCCGTCCCGTGGACGCACTTGGCGAACGACGAGCTCTGATTGGCTCGCGCGCCCCAGAGCATGTCACTACATCCTCCGCTGCACGCCAAAGCTGGGCATGCAGGTACCTCGCCCTTAGCTGTGACTCGTCTCCGCCCCACCATAAACTTTTTCTACAACCTGCTAGATCTTCAGAGCCGCACTCAACAACAGACTAACAAGCAATATCGCGACAGGGAACAATCTCATAAAAGGTCCCGTGCCCAACTGTCCAGGACCAGCCAGTCTACTTGGAACTCACATTTTCGGACCCCACCAGCCACAACTGCCAAGTGCGACCAGGACATCCATCCGGTCAGAACCCCAAATCCGGCGTCCCGCTTTCCTTACGAAAGGCACTTTCCATATCGCATATGGCCAGGTGACGCGATTCCCCGCCAGGACCACGATAGCTTGACCGCCCCGTCTCAGCGTCACGGTCTCTGACCTCTGACCACCCACCCACCTCCCTTTCCAGAATGCCTGCGCCTCGCGGCTCTCGCGGTGCCGCGCGAGGTGCCCGCGGCGGTAGTGCCAGAGGCGGGCGAGCGGCGGCGGCGGCAGCAGCAGCAGCAGCTGAGTCTAGAGAAGGAAATGATGGCAACGGCCCGGCCTCAGCAACAGTCATAGACTCAACGCCAGAGTCAAGCGCGGCAAACACGCCAGTAACATCACGGCCATCGACACCCAGCATAGCAGCAGCAGCAGCGGGTAGTGCTGGTGCTGGTGGGCCGGCTTCAGGGACGAGCATACCGGCGACCAGAGGCGGCCTCTCGCGCTTCCGGCCCAAGAATGTCCGCCGCGACGCCGACGAGCGCAAGAAGCTCGAGGAGCAGAGGAACCGGGACCTGGCGGCCAAGATCAAGGTCGAGGAGCGGGAGCTGGCCAAGGAGGAGCGCAGGGCGCGCAGAGGGCGCGGCAGAGGCGATGCCATGAGCCAGCGTGGCACTATGCGGAGAAACGGTGCTGCTAGTGGGCCGTTCTCCGCGATGCCTCAGGGTGAGTCTTCCTGTTCTTTCCTCGTCTTGTGCGGGCATCTTGGCCCAGATCACGACTGGGGTCCTTTCTTGCATTGTCTTTTCTTTTCACTGGCATGAGCTTTTGCTAAATCTTTGAAACTTTAGAAAACATCAAAGGCGGCGGCTCGAGCGCCTGGGGATGGAGCGGTGCTCCAGGTGGCGGACGGGGTGGTGGCAGGGGCGGATTCGGCGGACGTGGCGGGTTCGGAGGCGAGCGCACTGACGAGCAGCGGTACAGGCCTCGGCGCGAGCACGAGGCTCGCGTCAACGTCGAGGTGCTCAGCGGCTTTTTCGAGGACGACGAGGGAAAGACTGTGTACTACGAGTCGCGCTCGAACGGGGCGCACCCGGTCGGCCTGTTCCGCACGGAGCACGAGGAAGAGATTGTCAAGGTCGCCACGACGGCCGAGCTCGAGGCCGAGGAGCAGGAGTCTGACGACGATGGCGACTTGTTTGTGCCCGGCGCAGTGCCCACCAGCGGCGAGGCTGGTATTGGAATGGCGGACGACAATGAAGTCTGGCATGCCGCACCAACGGGGGCGGCAGCAGGCTCGTCATCAGCAGTGGCTGTCAAACCTGAGCCCGGCACCGAGGCAGAGGCGATGGACGTCGACATGGCCGACATTCCCGAGGCGACGGCGGCACAGATCAAGCCCCCGCCATCGCCAGAACTCGCCAAGAAGAAGGCCGCGCTTGCAACCATGACAGACCCGAGCAAGGAGAAGAAGCGCGAAAAGGCGCTACAGGACCCAGAGGTGCAGCACCAGATGTACGACATGCAGACGTTACTGCACGAGCTCAGCTTCCACGATCCCACCGTTTCCTCCAGCGACGATGACAACAACGGCGAAGAGGAAGGACAAGAAGGCGGTGGCGGCGAGGACACAAAGCCCAACGGCCAGGACAAGGAAGGCAGGCTGTACCTGTTCCAGTTCCCGCCGGTCTTGCCGCCGCTCGTCAAGCCCAACGCCGACGGCACCATCGACACAGCACCAATCGACGTGGACCACAGCAACGCAGCCACCCCTTCGTCATCATCAACAACGCCGGCAAAGGTCAAGACCGAGGACGGTGGCGGCGACGAGGCCAACCCGCCGGAGGCCGAGCAGCCCTTCCCGCCCGAGGGCGGTTACATCGGCAAGCTCGTCGTGCGCAAGAGCGGCAAGGTCTCGCTCGACTGGGGCGGCACGCGCCTCGACCTGGGCATGGCGACCGAGACCGACTTCCTCACGTCGTCCATCATGCTCGAGACCAAGGACCACCCGGAGCAGGCCGACATGGTTGTCGGGCACGCCGCGGGCATGGGCCAGGTCATGGGCAAGTTTGTCCTCACGCCCGTGTGGGATGAGGAGGATGACTGGAATCCGAGCCTCGAGGGGATCATGGATGTGGCTGAGGGCGGAGCGGGACACTATGATGATGACAATGGCGTCGACGTAGAGCAAAGGTAGATGAGAGAACATGTGGATGTAAGATTGTCGGGTAGTGGTGAACAAAAGCCGTTCAGCTTATCAGCTCTTCAGGTCTCAGGTGCTCAATTAATAGCAATACCAGCAGGAGTCGAAACGATTCAGTGGATGGCACATCTAGTAGTCGCGCTGAGACCTCAGATTGGGGAATGGCAGGACTGAACAACATCGTATTTGAAGCCCGGCGTTTAGTGCAAGCTATCTACCTAGCTAGCAACCGTCAGATCTTAAAAGCCTGCGAAATTCAACCGAAACAACAACCCGTGACAAAACATACTTAGCACTAGCTCAAAAGCAGATTGCGTATTATTCCAGATATGCTGGGTATCATATGTGATAGATATAACAACAACAAAAAAGCATCCCATGTAATTCCAAGAAATGACGAGCAGACGACGTCTGATTCGTCTGTAGCAGCGGAAAGCAAATTGCAATAAATGATACACGAGGCGTTGCGAACGCCATGCTTTTGTGGATGAGGTGGAACCACAGTGTAAATGCGACCATAACTCCGTGTGATGATGCTACAGCGCCCGTGAGCGGCATGTGCGTTGTGCAATATACAGCAAATTGGCTCAGCTTGCCGAACTAAACAATGCAGAGCTATAAAAATTTAATCAAGAAATTTGACGACCATGTGGACCATGTGGACTTATGTCCTTCGGGATGTCACTGTCGCTTAGTGGAACTGCCTCATTGTCTGCCGGTGAGGGACCTGGGAGAGAACCAGGACAAATAGTCGGATGTTGGTGTGGCCGAGTCCGAGGCTGGCTCATGCGGATGGCTATATGGGATTTTCCATGCCTGCGGGCGGCACCGCAGTTGCCACGCTCTCCGAGGTGGCTTGCGGGGCTGGGCTTGGACCTGTGCTTCGCGACGTCTTCTGCGTGCCGAGTCCGCGCTTCATCATCTTGCCCAGTACTGTGACCAGCTCGCAAGCATCGCTGAACATGTCATCGTCCATCCCCTCAGTCGCTTCATAGACCTCTGCGATCGTCTTCTTTGCGACTCTCCGGCTTGCTTCGTGGTCGTGCACGCACTCATACAGGAAGGCCGCATATTCCGTCTTGAGTGATAATCTGAGCGAGTGCGAGCCCCATAGCAGGCTGTCGGCGATGGCGATCGCTTCCTTGAAGTATCCGTGCGCGGTAGGCAGGTAGTCTACAGATGGCAGGAGAAAGGACGCAAGCTGTTCCGAATCCTGCAGATCGAACCCGGGAGGTGGACCAACAGGCCCTCCCTCTAGCGACATGTTGGCATATCCGGAAGTCATATCGATGCCCCCACGGTCGACGCCCTTCCCCTTGTCAAGCTTATGTGGCTCGGGCGATCGTCCCATGGTTGGCGCCGAGTTGACCTCTGGTGTGGAGATGCCCATTGGTGAAACCTGAGGGTTGTTGTGGAAAAGGACAAAGATGTGATAAAACGAGGCTCGCAGTTTGTGGGCGAGAACTTTGAGCTCAACATGATCGCCCACCATAGGCAGCACATACTGCTCTAGCATAACCAATCCTTCGCGGGAAAGCCATATGATATGGAAGTAGAGCTCCCATGAGTGTGTTGACTTGGAAGAATCGAGCCGTCGTTGCTTTCTTGCCTTGACCAGCTGACCCGAGAGGTTGATCGACAGTCCAAGGATTTTGAAGAGCATCTGGCTCAGGTGGGAGTTGTTTGGCTCGACATCTCGAGCAAGCCTGCCGAGGAACTTCTGGTCAACCTCGGAAGAGGCCATCGATCTGGGTGTGTGAAACCAAGTGAATCCGTCGCGCTATCAGGACCCCAGGAGGGAGATCAATTGACAAGTCGCAAGGAGCAACCTCATCAACGGTGATGACGAGACGATGCAGCGGTGATTGAATGATTGGAGCTCCCGAGCCTCATCAGGCGATTTGCGAAGAACGAAGAGCAGCTACAAGCTGATTGGCAGGGGTGCCAAATAAATTTTGGGCTCAATGTAGGTCAAGGCTCCTTATTCTGGCCATAAAATAGGCACAGATTAACGTTTCGATTATGCTGGCGTTGCGCGAAGAAACCGATAGCTTGGACGAACTGGGCGATCGAGCGAAAGCTGTTCTCTCGTGGGTTGGTGGTATCCCGAATGGAAAACAGTTCTTGGACTCGGCAACTCGTCCGATTGAAAGACTCTGGGAAATAAGCTTGCGGACTTGTTGTGCCAAGAGAGCTGCGAATTGCTCCTGGTCCTGGTGAAGCTATCGCGGAGGCCTATGATACAATGCGTCTGGGTCCGAGGATCATTGCGCGTGAAGCTCCTTCATACCCCAAGGGACTTGGATATCTTTATTAGTTAAGCCGCTGCAGGTTGGGACCGCGCCAATGGACCAGGGAACCGCGTAGGCCGTGGCACGGATTGGTCGCGAGGTGGAAACCAGCAAGCCAATGGCGGTGTGAGATCAGGGGAGACCCTGAGGTAGACTGATGGTGCCGGCCGATGTGGAGCCAGAGAGTGCGCCAGAAGCACTGAGGGATCCAGGGGCAGTGACGTTGGAGGCCTTTTCGACGCCAAACGTTGGCCAAGTCGTTAGCAACGGACGATCCGTCGAAGTGATGAACCGTTGGCGTTTCTGAGCACTCGTTCCTCCAGCCGAAGATGACGCTTCCCAGTGATGACACAAGTCGAGTCGAAAGGAAGAGAACAGGAAGGCGTCAAAGAGGCAGACAAAGAGCTCGTCGTGAATTGCGGCGGGATCGGGAAGCCTGGACGGACCAGTCTGCGACGAGATGATGCTGTGCTGAAGCACGGCGCGAAATTCGAGGAGATAGTCGATGAGGAGAGCTGCATAAACGAAGGTGTGGGCCTGAAGGAGGCGAGTCGCGTTGCTGACTAGCAGCTGACGTCCGTTCAGGAGGCCAATGTCTCCAGGCGGCCCAAGAAGGAGGCCACTGGGGCAGAACGGGTCCTGGCGGCGAGAGGAGTCGCGATGGCACTGGAGGCGCAGAGGGTGGGCGAGCGAGCGAATGGGTGAGGCGTGGGTCGGAGCAAGAGAGCGAGTGGTTGAAGACGCGTAGAGCTAGGTTTGCGCGAACCAGGGTCTCGTCATGCAGGGTGAGTTGTCCTCGAGGCGGCGTTGACGTCTGCCAGGCGCGAGCCACTGCAGATCTGCTGGCGAGGCTGGGCCTGAAGCCGCGGATGCGCTGTCGCGGGGGGGTTGACGAGCCAATTGGCCTCGACAGGGCGAAGACAAGGCGATGCTGCGCTCTGGATGGATGGCTGGATGAATGGACGGATGGCGGCGCAGTGCAAAGCTGAGGGCGCAACCCAGTGCCCGTGAAAGCGCGCGGCTGGCGGCGAGGCAGGCGCGCGACCGAGCTCCTGCCTGCGGCTTCAAATCAACCAGGCCTGGCCCGACGGGGTTAGGGCCGGGCCGCCTCCTGGTACTGTAATGCAAATCCCTTTTGCGTCCTGCTCTCTGGGCGTTGTTGTCGCTCAGCCATCGCCGACCAACCGATCGACCGACCGACCTGTCAATCCTGATGACCAGTAGCAGTGGATTGAGGCCGGCCGAGTCGCTGTGAAACCTCGGCCACGGCCTTGAAGGCTCGCGGGCGGCTACGGTCGATCCGTCACAGCGGACCACGCCCGTGGGTGCGCCGCCACTCGGGCATGACGGACGCAGTGCCACATTCCGTCAATGGACGCTTCAAACAGGAAAAGCACCCCTGTCTCCTTTGGTCCATGGACAGGGGTTGGAGGACGCCGCCTTGGTCGCCACAGCAGCTTGTCTTGTTCCAGCTCCGTGACTGAGGCACACCGGCGACCGGCACGCACTTTGGAGGTTCGAGGCGCATCGCCTCGTGCCGCTACAAACAGTCAAAAACAGAGTGCCAGCCAGCCTTCCTTCGCCGTTGCAAGACCTTGGCCTGGCTGCCCTGCGTTCCGCTGCTGCGTCCGAGCCGGCTTCCCGGGACGACCCTTTTGTTCCCGGTCATGTCTGAGACAAAACAACGTGCTTTTTAGATGCCACGCGGGAGGCAACATTGTGCGCTCCGCCACGTTTCTGGACACGCCTGTTCATTCTTGTCAGGCAAAGGGTTGCTGCATCATCGCGTGGGAAATGACATGACATAAGCAGGGCCGATGACGACGCGGTGGAGTTCGACCAGCAAGAGACCTGCGGCGGCTCGACCCTCATTTTCAAGGCACAGGACAGTAATACCACTATTAAACCAGCCCCTCGAATTAGAGCCTGTTGGTGCTAGAAATATCTTCAACGACTACGCCTTTTTGGCCGTTGCTTGAGCAGAGCCTTGGGCATCCACCATTGCCAAGCCGACAATGCTGGCAGGATACATCAAGCACTGCCCTCACCAACACAGAAAGCACACAGATGAATGAGGAATGTCGGAAATGCCACCGGCCACCGCGCAGGGTTCACCCCTACAAAGTTATGCGACGCCTCGTGGACAGCCAGTGTTGTGAACTCGTGATCGACTTCCTGTGGCACGGACGGTTCAGGCGGTGAGTCGCAGGAGTCGTGCTTCAGATGCCGTGACTCGCCTCCAAGCTGGTGAAACAAGCGCCCACCAAATTGAGCGTGTCAACGAGGGGACATCTGGCTCCTTCAGGCAGCTCACTGTGAGACCCGGCGATCTTGACCACAGGGTGCGGAGGAGGATAGACCAGCAATCCCTGCGAAGCGGAATCGCAATTTCGCAGGGTCCTCAAACTAGTAGCGTCGTTCCAGAACACCTAACTCATCCACGGAGATCTTGCCTGCGGAGTACGACTTGAGCCGGTGCCAGGCACTCCGAGGACCTTGCTGCATGGCATGGCCGCGGTTCTGCCAAGTCGTCCTGTAGTCTGCCTTATCCACAAAAGCACATGTCTCCAGCGATCGTCCAAGGACCCTTCACACGTGCTAGTCTGCAGGGGTCCTCTAGCTTCACAACACCCACATGTCGAGCAAAATAGGCAGAATAAAGATTGTCGCCCATCGTGACGGATACGACTTTATGCAGCGAACGCAGTAAGGAGCCCGGCTCTGTTGTGCGCGGAAGCCAGCTTCATCGCGGCCCGTGCGACACTGCAAGACTGAGCATCCCTTGCACCATGCCGCCTGCGATTGGCCGTGCTTTATGAGGTGTCGTTGTCCATGTCTCTCGCGGATGCACGTTGGCGACACTTGCAGCTCAGGCTGAGGTCATCCAAAACATTCAAAAAGAAGGGGCCCCTCCATGGCAGGATTTCGGCGAGCCATGGTGCCCAGCGCTCTGTCTAATATATTGAGTCAAAAAAGCAACGATCGGGCGAGCAGGCATCAGGCAACTCAGCCCGTCTGTGACAGCTCCGTCCCATGCACGGATGGAGGGTCATTCTTCCTGGTGATGCATGCTGACCTACGTTCATCGGCGAGAAGGCGCATTTCATCTTGTTGCCACGGCCTGTGTAGGATCGAGAAGGATCTCTCTTGCTGTGACTCAGACGGCTGAAGAGACAAGACCCCGGGCCAATCGTGCCCTCGCGGATCGTCATCCCTCCTTTCCGGGCTCACATCCGAGACCTGGTGCAGTGGCTGACATCTGGCCCTCCACTTCGAGCCAGAGCCAAGGAACCAACGTTTGCTCTAACTACAGCCTTTTCGTATAAACGTCGCGCCCTCGGGTCGTAAGAGTTGTCAGCCCAGGGTCCAAGTCTGCCATTGTTGCCAAATGGTCCATGTTCTGATCTTCTTGAACAGCACATAGGTTGAGAAAGACAACCCCGCCACAACTTTTTTTTGGCGTCCTTCCACAGACCTTCCAAAGCTTCACCGCCTCCCTGAAAGGACCGCATCGGACTTCCTCGGCAGCAGCCGGTGCATAAACTGGGCCGTTGCCGACAGCTGCGACAGGTCCCGCCGTGGTGCTGCAAGCGAGGCCCATCTGGGAGCATAATAACCTGCCTGTGTTGGGCTGCCGCCAGGGGTCCCAGGTTGGGCTGGGGTTTCGAACTACCAGACCGAACTCCACACCCAGCAACTTTGGGCAGGTCGGGCTTTCTCGCGGAACTTGAGCGTTCCTGAAGCCGGCACACGACAATAATAATCGAGTTTCACTGTGCTGGCCTGCCGGGCGGGCGGACCAGCTCCAGATTGGTTTTCAACGGTCTCGGGCCATTTAGCCGTTGTTCATATACCCGGATATTTCACCTTCCAGGTCCCGATCCCACATCAACTCCAAGCCGGACAACACAAAACCTCGCGGTCTTCCTGGCCCCCAAGCGCTGACCATTACCGCACGGCGATAAGGCCTAATTTGTACTTGGCTACGGCATTTACACGTGCTCGGGTGCTCACGAGAGAGCCTCACCGCCAGCACTCGAAACAGCTGCACACGACGTTTCTGACACCCAATTTGTCCGTGCGAAATTGTGCTTGGCTCGATAACTCCGGCGGACCTGCTTCATTTACAAAACCTCCAGCTTCGCAGCTATATAGACCTCAGGACGCCTGTGTCGCGTGCTTGTTCGACAACGACAACAAAGCCAGACTCCCAAGCTTGAAGTTTTCTGGACGCCACCAGGGCATCCCACAGTAGTTCAACGGGGCACTTACACGGCAGTGCATCACCATACTAGGAGCCACACTTTACGAGTTGTGCACTCGGAATCTGCAACCACAAGCACCGAGACGAGACGAGAGCTCTACAAAAGAAAACAAAACAGTCGACAAAATGTGCCAATATTACATGCACTCGTTCTTGTGCAAGCACACGTCCTATTCATTCGCCCGCTTCTGCGACAAAGCCAATCTGATCCAGACGCCATGCGGGAGTAAGCAAGTGTGGCATACAATCTGCATGGACGATGCCTGCGACGAATGCCTCACGTGGTTTCCCGACAAGTGTTATCCTCGGCCAACGAATACAACGAGACGTGCTGCAGCGGCGGCGATCGGCAAGGCATGATTGTATGCTATCCGACCACCATGCTCTGACGATTTACAACCGCACCAACCCGGTACGAGCATTAGCGAACGGACAAATCAACCGTCTTCTTCATCATCCTTCCTTTTATCGGGGTCTGCGATCTACGGCGTGTCCTTCTGGTGGCTCCTTTGTCTTTTTTTTCGGCCCGGCTCGGCGTTATCTCGTTTCACTGCACGGCGCAATAATTTGCCTGACATTCCCGCCCTCACCGGCCTCCATTTCTTCCGTTGAGCATGGCGGGTTCGCGTTATACATTTGTCTTTTTCACACGTCTTTCCGGCTTCCCGCGCCCACCTGTTATGGCGTCGTGTGCTCTGTGTCAAGGGAATCATATTGGGAGCATGTAGACTTCAAAGGCGCGAAGCTGGCGATGTCCCAAAGCGATTGTATCTTTCCTCTCCTGGTTTTCTTTTCTCCCTCCTGATACCCTATTCGTCTGTTTTTGCTCTTTTCACAGTACCACTTCGCCATCGAAGTGACCATAGATTTCTCAATTCTTTTTGTTTCGTGTGTTTCCAGAGTTCTGCAATTCATGAGCCTCGGCATCTAGACTTTTTGTTTTTCGTCATGTATCGTGGTCTTTTGTTTTTTTTCTACCACTTTTTCGTTTCTCCTTTCGGCGCGGCTCTGTCTCTCTCTCGTTTCCTCCCCTGTTGCAAGGGACTGGACTTTCGACTCTCCATGGGTTTTTTTCCCCCGCTCGTTGTCTATGGGGCCATAGCAAAAAAGTCTTGTCGTCAGAGTTTGAAGACTCGGATTAGAGAGAAAACAATGCCGGGCATGATACACATAAACCATAGAGACTCCCCCCCCCCTCCCCCCCAAACCCAGCTACGCTAGCTAGGCACGACAATTCGAAAATTATGACTCGATATATACAAACACTCAAAGCACACACCGTCCGGTCCTCACTGCTTTCCTGGCACACTGGTACAAAAAGCAAACATTGTCCAGATCATGACTGTGAAGTGGGAAGAAATGAGTCCGATATCGCAGGCTGCCCATTTTGTGATTTCGTTTCTGAGCAAAACACTGCCCCACACTTTCGCTCGGCTCAACCATGCTTGTTCACACAAAAACCATTTGGGCAACGGCTAGCTGCAGCAAGATGAGGAGGAAAAGTGGACTATGCATACATGACTTCGTGCATCGTGAATATATTGGGTATATAACGTATAACATGTGCGGTGGGTCCGTATGAGCAAGAAGCAAAGGGACCAGATTCTAGTCTAAATAAAGGGTGGTCGTACATTTCAGGTCAGGCAGAGCGAAACAAGGCCTCGGCTGCAATGGTGGTTCGTGTGCGTGAGCCTGCGACTCCTCCCACCGCTGCTCTCCTCCGACGTCCATTCACCGAAACCATCCCGTCGCCGAAAGTGCTCACGTCGTTTTGCTGGAAACGCTCCTGGCCGACGGAGATCACCTTGATAGCGGTGCCGAGGCCGATGGCAATGCTCTGGCTGCCAACGCGGGCAACCGGCCCCAGGTTTGTGACAAAAAGGCGGCTGTCGTCTTCGTCATCTGAGCAGAGGGATGCCGTCTCCGCCAACTCCTGTCTTCCGAGGTAGGAGAGCGCCCAAACTTCCCACTTGTCTTGTACTGGGGGATGGCCCGGGGGTTGGTGGAGGCTGCCGCGTCTCCGCCGTAGACCGTCCGCGCCGCCTCGGTAGCTGTGCTGCCCGGGGCATGGTTTCGTGGGTGCTTGCCGGCGAACGCCAGCGAGTAGACCTGAGGGCAACAGGTCCCATATACCAGGGTCCTTGACGAGTTTTCTCGACTCCCGGACTAGATCCCAATTACAACACTGACTTTCTGCAGAGGGTTGAGTAGCCTTGATGCAGAGAAGGTCGCCGTCTCGTGGTGGTAAATATGTATGCACAACGAGGTCTCGCGTATAGGCGTGTATATACGCCACAGTGAGACTGGTCAATCCCCTCGCGCCACACGCTGTCCTCCTCGCGCGTGGGAAATAGCTCTTGAGTGATTTGGGATAGACCGGATCGAGCTTGAATGAATGGATGGCCACATTCGTCTTCGCATGTACTAGGTCTGCTGATCGCGACCTGGCGACAAAGAATGCCGTGGCGTCCGACAGCGGAGTAATTGATAGCAGCTCTTGTTCATTACCTGGTGGCAAATTGATGCGCTGCGAGACCCACTGCGATCCCGACTTGCGAGCGCTATAGAGATGGCCCTTCCGAGTTGACATCATAAGGTACAGCACGTCTAAGATGAACCGTTAGCATACTTCGCCCAAAAGTGACAGCAATAATACTAGACTTACTGTCGTCGACCAGGGTGGCGACAGACGCTAACGTGCTGTCCTCTGTCAACATGAAACGGCCTGAGATCGCTTGCTCGCCTACCAGAATGGTTAAAGACCCATCTCGGCGGATCAGAAGCAGGGGCGGAATCCCGTCAGTCTCAGTCGTGCAGAAGAAGAACGCTTCTGGCTTGTGTCTGCAATCGTCAAGGTCGAGCGGTAACGCCCAGGTCTTATCGACTAGATTCCACAAAAGAACTCGAGTCGGGGTGAGCAGAGCTAGCCAATGAGACTCGTCATCTATGCACATGGACAAGACTTGAAAAGGTAGTCCTGCAGTATCGTTATTCTCAAGCAAGAGGGGATAGCTTGTGCCACCCTCCTTGACATCCCACACCCGTATCGCCCGGTCGAGCCCCATTGAAACAATTAGGCCATCGGTCGATGCGGTCAGCAGAGCAACATCCAGGACGTGGCCGCGATCAAGAGTCCGAACATGAAGCAGTCTGTCATATTCCTTGACATCGGTTCCGTTTTCTGCTAGCTCGTCGAAGAGCAGATAGTTCATGAGCAAGCGAACAGCAGCAGTGAGTAGCAAGACTGTGGCGACAAAGGGCGAGGATTGGTGGCGTGCGAAATCGTAGACGGCTGGGGGGAAGGGGCGCTCTTTGATAGAAGGCATGCGATCGGAGCCCTTCAGCACAAAGACCAGTGGCTCGTAGACCTTGGCAATATAACTGTGTGCGTGCGGTTTCACCACGTGAATAACCTCGCGAGCGGTCTCGTGGTCCTGTAGCCGCAGCCATGATGTTGGGCTTCTCGCCTGGTGGATGTCGACATGTAAGGAAGACTTCGACAGGACGGAATCTTGGTACTTGGAAGAAAAACGGCTGATGCGACCAAGCGTTTGGAGGATGGATTCGTTCTCGAAGAAGTGCCACTGTGCGATCAAGACGAAGCCAATCATAACGACAGTGCCCGCGATGCGAGTCGACATGGCAATCTTGCCCTGCAAAAGAGCATCGAACCAATTTTGGCGAGGCTGAGCATCGACCGATTGTCGACGTGTCTGTATCGAGGCCTTTGCAAGTGCATCACTGAGTTCCGTACGCCGCACATCCACACTAAGAACCGCAAGGAAGAAGGTCGATAGATAAAAAAAGTCAAAGATCAGCGCGATCGCAGCAAAGGTGCAAAAAGCTGACACTCCTGGTGATACGATCTGGGAGAGACCCCAAAGAATGAGCAAGTTCTGTATGACGCTGGCAAGAGCGACGTGGCTCGTTTCGCCGAAAGCGTGACCAATGCGGGCGCTGGTGCTGTCCTCAGAAGGGGTCATGATGACAGCGTTGATGAGTCTGAATATATTCTCCAGGCTGATAGAGAATACGACGACGGGATACGCCATGCGAGGTATCCTGGACAGGTCAATCTTGAATACCGCACAAACGGTAAAGCTTGAGACGATGGCAAGTACAATCTGGGCAATGACTGTGACCATCAGGCCAATTCTCGACTTGACGGCACGGAGTTTCGACAGACTGACGAGGAAGTAGATGAGCACGATGACATGTGTGATGCCCAGCATCACGGTGTCTTGTAACGACATCGGCCGGAACTGGAATTCGTAGAGCTGGCCGGCCTCGCTGCCAGGATAGACATGCCACTTGGTGGCCAACCGCTTTGTGATGGCGGCGGCCTGTTGCTGCCAGATACGAGCAATAGGTGAATCTCGCAGATGAATGAGGGTTATGACAAGCGCATCTGCCGCGACCAACCGGCGGTCCTCGAAGCGCTTGCCAGCAAAGACAATTGAGTGCCTCAGTGTTACGTTGACCGAGGTCGCCTGGGTTTTCCTCTCGTTCACAGTCGTAACGATATCACGGTCGTCCTGCACGTTCTGTGCCACTCCTGACCAGTACTGCAAAGGCGAGTGAAAGAACCATGATTGGTTCGTCAGCCCATTGACGATGTGGAACGAGTCGCGTTGCAGAGGCGTTAGTGAAGCAGCCATTGGATCCGGTCGCTCAATGACGTCTGCACCTAGTCGTGGGTTGAAGTGCTCGGTCGTGCCCAGAAGCTCGTTCTGTAATTCAAGCGCCCCGAGCAGCACATCCTTCTCCAAAGCTTGCATATAACTGCCGTGGACCCATATCGACCGCATGAAGACGTCTGGCTGCACGGAGGCCTTCCCTTGAAGTGGATGCGCATCGGTCCAGACATGGTGCGGCAGGTTCGAAGCGCCGTTGGTGTAGTCGTTTGTGTAGAGGAAAAAGATGGGGTATATCAGCACCGCCGCGACGGCGACTGATATCAACAGGATGGAGACGACATGACGGGCGACATATCTGCCATAGCGAGTGAAAGCCGCATGAAGCGGATGGGCCGGCGAGAGGACGGGCGCTTCGGTCGTACTAAAAGGAAAGGCAATGCAGTGTCAGCCTTGAGTCTCCATGCGTCGCAAAGACAGGCGGGTAGGGCTCAGCGAGGCGAAGACTTACCCTCTGAAGGGATAGAGGAGGTACCAAATCATTCTCTGAGCACTAGACCAGCTCGGGGTCTGCGCAGGACCCTTGAGCAAGGGTCTTGTGCCGGGCTGCGGCTATTCAGCGGGCGCGAGGGCGGTGGTGAACGGCAAGCCGGCTATGGCTCTGACGATGGGCAGAGCATGGCATGATATTCTTCGAGAGGTGCAGATGGCGCAGGACGGGGTGCGTGCGTGCGGGAGGGGAGCGAACTGGGCATTGTCGGCAGTCAAACGTGGGAGGATCTCCAACATTTAACCAGCGGCGGTGCAGGTGGCCCAGTCGCGGGCACTCAGCCAGGAGGACAGCTTTGACTGGGTCGCCGGCTGGGGCTATCGAGCGCGCCAAGTTTAAACGCTAGTTAGAGCGATGCGAGCAATGCTAGCCCGCAGACCCAGGCACACCACAGGGTCGGCCGAGACGTGCAGCCAGCGGCGACCGAAACCTGTCCCGCTGGAGGGCACTGCCGAGCACTATTGGCGCAGATTGTTGAGAGACCGGGCTGGGCGCAAAGGGGAGGGCCGTCGTTGGTGAACAAGCCGCTCGAGGAGGTGTGCAAAGCAAGCCCACGGGTTGTCAGACCGACATGACAAGAGACTGACGTTCTGACACGGGCGGGCTGGGCAGGACCCGCCGAACCTTAGGCATGTCAGCGCAGGCACGGGAAGCCGCGCTACAGGCGGCATCCCAAGCCGGGCGGCCAACCCTTGGGAAAGGAGGGGTTCGTCTCTCTTGCCAGGCCCTAGATCAGCGCCAGGACATGATTCCCCTGCAGTCCACCTTCTGGATTGTGTGGCTTGCATCTCGGGTCCGTGTTCGAGGCATGTGTGCGACACAGACCCCGACATTTGCAGATCCGCACGAGAGCCGACAACCCAGGACGAAATCGGACAGTCATGCACTGCAGCGCCCATAGTGTTTGTGGCGCCCAGCCGCGCAAAGTCTGTCAGGCCTAGGTCGCTGGGATGGCCGTGTCTCGATGTACTCAGCCAGGTCTGAGACTCGACTGCCACCACATTGGGGCGTTGCCGCCTCGCGCCTGTCATGTCTAAGAGCAGGCTCGTGCTTGCGACCAACCGGCAGTTCCTCGCGAGGCCCGACCATTTGGCGAGACTTGCATTCATGTCTCTGAGCCACGCGACACGCTAGCCTCAAGACATCGGCAGCTGTCTTCACATCCGCTTCGAAACCCTGGGTTATGCGGAGGCGCCACCATTTCTAGCCTGGATTCGCACCCATCCGCCGCCCAATGGCATCTACGACCTCGGGGAGGCGGCGGCGGCGCATGCCAGGCAGTCCCGACGCACGGGAAACGTGGCCCCCTTGTCCATGTCTCTGCCGTAGGTCCGACTTCCCAAAGCGGATCGGAACAGAGTGATTTTGTGTCGCGATCGTGACGCTGTTCTTCATCATGGATGCTCAGGAGAAGAAAGCATATCAATGGTTTGTTTCAGGCACATGTCAGTGGCTGCACGATCCCTGGGCCCCTAGCGACAGTCTGTTCATCAACTCCTATTCACGCCGCCTGTACTCAGATGACGATTGCCCCCCAGGCAGCACGGGTGGGAGATAATGTACTAGTCAGACCCGTGCCTGACAGAACGAAGGTTTGGAGCCTGGTTGACTCCAAAACGGCGGGCAAAGGGCCAGGTGCCGCCATCTCTAGGGTGATCCTGTCTTGTTAATCACAGCTCTGTGACTAGCTGCGCTATATGACTTTCGTGGGACATCACAATGTGCAGCCCCCAGCCTGGACCTCGCCTAGGCGACTGCATCCGCCCGTCGCGCGCCCTCAGCCTGCATCAGTCGGGACTGGGAATCCGATCCCGGTAGTGGTAGGATGGGTGATTAATATGCGCAGGCACGAGGATATGCTCTGCAGTAAATACTGGAGGGGGGTGCATGTGCGGGAGGAGCCGCCGCACGTTATTGACGACCATTGCCCGCACTAACGACACTGGCCGGGCCGGGCCTATCAAGTGACAGGTCGGACCGGTCTGAGGTCGCATTGAGGCTAACCTTGCGAGACTCTCCAGCTCTTCCACATACACTTTGACAACCGTGCGGGCCATGGCAGATCCGATAGCAGAGCTCATTGCCACCTACCATGAGCTCAACTCTAATGTCGTCCAAGAGCTCACAGAAGAGCCGAGCCCGCTCGAGTTCATGCGCCATGTAGCACGCAACACACCCTTCGTCGTGCGGCAGGGCGCGAGCAGTTGGCCCGCCGTAAAACAGTGGTCTGCAGCCTACCTCCGTGAAGCACTGGCAGGCCATCCCGTCAATGTCGCCGTCACCCCGTGCGGCAACGCCGATGCACCTACAGTGCTCGTCGGCGAAGATGGGAAGGACAGGCTGGTATTTGCAAAACCTCTGGAGGAGACTCAACCGTTTGAACAGCTCCTCGACTATGTAGCGGGGCAGCAGCTGGACCCGGAGAATGTCGAATTTGACGAGATCCGATATGCACAGACTCGTGAGTCGCCCTGCTGATGATGATGCACTACGGTCGAGGGCCAGGGCTTCGACATGCCACAGCTGGCTGACAACCTGCCTGCCACTGGACCGGACCACACAGAGAACGACAACCTTCGCCACGAGTATGTCTCCCTCTTTTCTCAAGTCCAGCGGGCCGTCCCCTTCGCCCGCATCGCCCTGCAGAACGACCCAGACGCCATAAACATGTGGGTGGGCAATTCACGATCTGTGACGGCCATGCACAAGGACAACTATGAGAACATCTATGTCCAGATTCGCGGGCAGAAGCACTTTGTCCTGCTTCCGCCACTCTGCCAGCCTTGTGTCAACGAGCAGGAGCTCGTGCCGGCCACATACGTGCGCGACCAGGCTACAACGACGGGGACAGAGGGTCAGTCTGCAGCCCCGCTGAGACTTGAAGTTGAAGAAGACGGGGACAAGGTGCCATTCGCGATATGGGACCCAGATCAGCCGGCGGACCACGCCACTACTTATTCTGGGCTCGCGGCGCCAATGAGAGTCACCTTGGACCCGGGGGATATGCTGTATCTGCCTGCAATGTGGTACGTGATGGCTGCGTCCCTCCAAATGGGCATGCCTTCTGTGTTTCAAGCCACTGACCAAACTCGATCACTATCAGGTACCACAAAGTATCTCAGTCCTGCGCTGAAGATGGCATATGCGTGGCCGTGAATTACTGGTCAGTACCATTTGCAAAGGGCCGCCCGTCATGCTCTGAGCCGCCCCATCCCTTCTGCACCCGAGAAACTCATCATCCGATGAGCTTGAGACACTGAACATTTGTTTCTCTCCAACAGGTATGACATGGAGTTCAGCGGCCCACAGTACCCGCTTGCCTCGTTTGTGCGTAATGTAAACCACCAGAGTATTAGGAGCACATCTGCGTAACGAGCAAGAGGTCAAAGTTTTTCTTTACTTTGGCCGTGCCTAGACAACGACTCTCCGACCCTTTGAATGCTATTGCAGCAATATCCCTTCGGTATTCAGACATCATGCAGTGAATGGATAGGAGTTCCTTCAAAGGCCCACGACAAAGATTGTCGAATATTCACATCATGAGCGAGGCTTCCACATTTCCGTCCGAGGAAAATCTCGATCGATTGAAAGCCTTAACCCTCGGGCCATGGACCTCTATAGCTATCATCCCGTACTCTGCGGACTTCATACAAGCCAGGAACTCCCGACAAAGACGAAAAGACGCATAACTTGAAGCATATAATTCAGAGTAATTCTCCGATCTTGAGTCTAACCACCCACCAAAATCATTCTACTCTAAGTGTGCCTTCCTCGCTTGCAAATCCGAATTCAAATACATTAATCAAACCTCCCGTATCCTGAGAGATCGCCGTCCGGCATCACTTCCGCGCAAGTCCCTTTCCGAGCAACTCACTCCCCACTTCTTGCACGAGTTTCTCCTCAGGGAACAACTTCTTCTTCGCCGTGACCGTGCCCTGCGCGTCCATCGCCCGCAGCAAATCCACAAGCTCGCCCTCCACAGGCATGCAGTACACGAGGTACCCCAGCGCGAGCAGCATCCCGTGCAGTGCCTCTTTGGACGACTCTTCCTGGCCAATGGCCTCGAGGACCGATGCCGCAAGCTCGACCTGGTCATCGTCGGGCAGTCCCGTCGGCGCGCCGCCCTCGCGAACATGCTGGTTGGCGGCCACGGCAATGTTGAACAACAGCGACGCGGACGCCACACGCACATTGTTGTGGCCATCGTCCAAGAAGCTCGTGGAGACGAGCTGCGTAAGTGCGCCGCGCAGCTTGGCATGCTGCATGATCTGGCTCGCGTACAGGTGGCTCGAGAACAGATTGCACGCCATCTGTAACGCCACAAGCCGTAGAGCGTACGGGCACTCGGCAGAGGAGGTGTCGTTGACAGTGTTAAGGATGGCCAGGACCGTCGCGTGCTCGGCCTCTTCAGCGAAATAACCGCTGAATCGTGGATCCACGAGGGCGCAGCGGAAAAGGTCCACAACGGTAAACAGCAGGTCTCGTGGCAGGTCAGTCGGAGCGCTCTGCATAAACTTCGAGAATGCCGGCATGTCCGGGAGGGTAGCCTCTGCGGGACCTTCTGCTGCCCGAGCGTCGATGAAGTGCTTGACGCCCTGGATCGCCGGGTCCTCGGCCCTCGCGCCCAGCTTTCCAAGGAGTTTCGACAGAGGTGGGATCTTGGTGTATAACTGTGGCTTGACACTGCTGTTTCCCGCGAAACTGGGCAGGTTCAGTGACTCGTGAGGATGCTTGGGGTGAGCCATGTGGGCGAGCAGCGGAATCGTGTCACGCAACCGGGAGGCATCGGCGCCAGACCATCTCTCTTGCTCTTTGCCATGGAGGAATGTGACGAAGGTCGGCGTGCCTCGGATTGAATATGCTTGTCCAATGTCCATTGCCTGCGAGACGTCGGTTTTAATCAAGGACACCTTGCTGCCCCATTGTGCGGCCAGCTCGTCATATAGCGGGTACATGGCCTTGCAGGGAGGGCATGTTACCGATGTGAAGAACACGACCGCGCTGCTCCTGCTTGCTTGCTGGAGAGCCTCGCTGAGTTCCTTCATGTTGCTGACAATTCGCACGGCTGGTGTAGGAGCATGACTTGCCCCGTTTGACACTGGAGCTACTCGTGATGGTCCGCCGTTGCTCTGTATGCCGAGGAGGCCGCCTTGCTGAGCTTTCCGAGCTTCAACCATTTGTGTCAACTGTGGCTGGAGCATTCGTCCAAACGGTGAGTCCAGCACCGCCTGTGGCATGTTGGCAATATGAGCGGGGATGCCTTTGCCCACGAGGAACGTAGAGAAGTCGTTGCTAAAGTTGTTGCAGTTGTGCCGGAAGAGGTCGTATGCTTGTGGCGTGAATATCTCTCTGAGTGACTCGAGATACTCGTTGATAACGTCCATGGGCAGATCCGTGCGACCAAGATGGATCCGCTCGAGAGGACGGCCCAGGTGCGAGGAGCCAGGTCTTATCACGTTGATACCGCCATCGTAGACGTATTCCTGGCCGCCCAACTCGATGGATGTGTGATATATGGCGTCGAGCTGGAACCCTAAGAAGCTCATCGACATCTGGCGGGCGAGACCGCCAGAGAGGTCGTACACGAGCAGATGGACATCCATCTGGTCACGTTGATGGCGCCTGCTTGTGAGTCCCTGCTATCGGAGAGTGATCCCAGTTGATCTGGACTGATGCGGCACCGGGTCAAACTACCAATAGGTGGGTGGGGCTACTGTTCGGCGGGATTGATGGACAGAATATGAGGGCGAATTTGAATGTGGTAAGTCTTTCAAGTGATCGACCGTAACTGCGCAGAGATAACATCAAAAGGAGGAGACGTGGATGTGCCCGAGGAAGGCGAGTGTGTATTTACTGTCTATGTCTGTGCGGATTCTGCAATATTCCAACAAGGCAGCGATGTGTCGTCAGCGGGAAGTCGGCGTATTAGCGGACTTAATATGCTGGGACGAGTTGCACTGACACTGAGACAGGAGGGAGGCAAGCACCTAGCTCACATGGTTGGTGGCGGAACGCCTCACGTGGCTGGCGCGCACTTCCACGCAGCCTCCCAGGGCTGGCAGTGACGAGACCGTGCGTAAAAGTACTGTGCTACCACATTAGACACTGTGTACTGGTATAATCCAGACAAGGATGCGGCCTACTTTTTGGCCACTTGAGTAAAGGGGGCTCGGCTTCCAGGACAGGGATTGGCCTTGGTTGCGGCTCGCATTTCAGAAGCCCAAGATTGCTGCGATCTGTTACTTGCCGGCTCGAATTTCGTGGACACTCCCAATTTCCATCTCGCCCTTGTTACGCCTCTCCTGTCGACAATTGTTTTCTGTCACCCGGGTCCTGTCTCACCTGAACCCTCTTGACCCACGCCGCATTCCCTCGCTTCGACTCGTCGTCTGCTATCCAGACTTTCCGCCCTTTACGACCGACACCTGCCCAAGCCAGAAACCTTAATCCGCAGCACTCTCCAGGAGTGTTCCCCCACTGCGAAAACACACCCACACTTGTGATACCCGATCGATGCGGCGCGTCTAGGGGTTATGAGGAGAACATCGGTATCGCTCCCTACGAAGCAAGTCCATCGCGACCCGTACGAGAAGCGCAACCGCTACGGCTCCGGCCAGAACACAGGCATCCTGGAGAAACTACAGGCCAGCTGGATGAATCAGTCCCAGAAGGCCAGGTGGCTGAAGACCACGTCCATCGTGGTCTTCCTGGTCTTCCTCTTCTACTTCCTGTCGCCGAAAGGTGCAACTGTCTACTCTGGAGGTACGTCGTCCCGCTTGGCGTCCTGCCACGGGCGAAGAGCTCGTGTGTGGACGAGGCTGTCGTGGCTAACGTGTTCTGTGACCTTGTGCAGGCGGTCAAGTCCCATCGGACTCGAGCTATGGAACAACCAAGTGCCAGAAGTCATACTCGCGTGACAAGCCGATTGTCCAGTATGTCTTGATGGTTGATGCGGGCAGCACCGGCTCTCGCATCCATGTCTACAAGTTCAACAACTGCGGTCCCACCCCTGAACTCGAGCATGAAGAATTCAAGATGACGGAGAAGAGTGTTGGAGGGCTCAGTGCGTACAAGAACGACCCCATCGCTGCGGCCAAGACCCTCGACCCGCTCATGGCAGTCGCCATGAGCACTGTCCCGGACGCCCTCAAGGGCTGCTCGCCTATTGCTGTCAAGGCCACGGCCGGTCTCCGCATGGTTGGTAACGAAGCAAGCATCAAGATCCTTGATGCTGTTCGTTCTCATCTTGAAAACGACTATCCTTTCCCCGTGGTCTCCAAGGAGGAGAACGGCGTGGCGATCATGGACGGCTCCGATGAGGGTGTCTTTGCCTGGATCACGACAAACTACCTCCTCGGCAAGATTGGCGGTCCGGATCAGAGCCCGACTGCTGCCACTTTTGACCTCGGCGGCGGCTCTACCCAGATTGTTTTCGAACCCACCTTCCCGAACCTGGCAGGCGGTGGCATGCCCGAGAAGCTGGCTGACGGCGACCACAAGTTCAACCTCAAGTTCGGTGGCCGCGAGTTTGTCCTCTATCAACACTCGCATCTCGGATACGGCCTCATGGCCGCCCGCAATGCGATCCACTTGACTCTTCTCCAGGATATCTACTCCGAAACCAAGAGCAAGGCTTTCCTGGACAAGCCCATTGTGAACCCCTGTATCAATGCTGGACAGAGTGCCAAGGTCAAGGTCGATCTTGGCGAAGGGGACAGCCCTCTCGGTAGCGGCAAGGTCGAACTGACTATGAAAGGCCCGGCCACTCCCGCTCCGGCTCAGTGCCGTGCTCTTGCCGAGCGGATTCTGTACAAGGATGCCGAGTGCAAGCTCGCTCCTTGCTCGTTCAATGGTGTCCACCAGCCCTCGCTCGCAAAGACTTTTGCAAGGGAGGACCTCTACATTTTCTCCTTCTTCTTCGACCGTACCAAGGAGCTTGGCATGCCTGACTCCTTCACCCTCCGGGAGCTGCACGACCTCGCCAATACCGTCTGCAGCGGAGAGGAGGCTTGGGGAGTCTTTGGTTCTGTGCCAGGTGCGCTCTCAGCGCTCAAGGACCGTGGCGAGTACTGCCTTGATCTCAACTTCATGGTTGGTCTTCTGCACACTGGCTACGACATGCCCATTGAGCGTGAGGTCAAGATTGCCAAGAAGATCAAGGGCAACGAGCTTGGCTGGTGTCTTGGTGCCAGGTAAGAATTGCTCTCATCCAACTTTTGCCGCTCTCACTTGCTGACCATTAATTTGCACAGTCTGCCTCTCCTAGCTAAGAACTCTGGATGGTCGTGCAAGGTGTCGGAGATCCACTAGACGACAGCCCGGCCATTTCACGAGGGATGAAAAGAACAAACGACGCATTTGCATTGACTTATTTACAAGACATGATAGAGCTTTGGTAATAGATGTCGCGATTCTGACATTGACAAGGTTGGGAGTGGGTGCCCAGGTGGCAGGCGTTCCGGATCGGTTCTGCACCGGCATCAGATTCTTGGGCATGGGAAACGAGCATTTCCAGTGGCGATGGATTCACCCTGGGTACAAACATTTTGGGGGATTCGGCAGGCACGTTGAAAGGTGCTGTACCAATAAATATTTTCCATCAGGCCATTATGAGCCCGATATCATTTCTGGCATACTCTAGATACAATGACTTGACTTGAAGTCGAAAATGACGTGTGAGTTGGTGGTGTACTATGAATTGGGTTGTGCAGGCTGAGACATGCTAGGCTACCAGTCTAGACATCGGGACAACCGATCATGCAACATACAAGTCCAACCAACCCAGGCACAACCGCGCTTCGATTCGCACCACATGAAGCCGAGTGAGAGCATCACCAACTCGTCGCGACAAATCGGACAGGAAATGCAACACGCTCGAGATCGTCTTCGCTCAGACTCGGCCAATGAATGGATCTGGCGGTGGCCCCCCTGCCCCGGCCTGTCTGTGTTGGGCCCATGATTGAGTTGCACTGGTTGCCAGCTCAACGTGCTGGTGCCAGCGCAGAGTAAACACGATGCCCCACTCTGATTGGCCAGCGCCGTCCACGATCCTCCGCTTCGGCATCGACCACCACTACCAGCGTTACCGCTACATCATTGACGACATCTGCTCTGATCTGCTCGATCTGGGACTGGCAATCCTTGTGCAGAACCGCCAGCTTCCCTCGTGTCCGCAGAGATCCTCAGTGGCAGTACTGCTCTCCCACCAGACAACAGCACAGACCCCGCGTCCACCGCCGCTGCGTACGAGCAGCAACGCAACCATGCACGCTATCATGCGCTCGTCGGCGTCGACGCCGTCCCTTCGCTCGCGAGATGGGACACTGCCGCAGCACCTGAGGGTGGACAATGGAGGCAATGTCAGAGTCGTCGTTCGTGTGCGGGCTTTTCTACCCAGGGGTGAGTACATTGACGCCCGCCTCGCTCGCTCGGAGCAGCTCCCAAGTTTGCAGGCATGCGGAACAAACAAAAGCATTTGCTGACATGTCGGCCAACACGGGAACAGAGACCAAAAGAGACGCAGAGTGCCTCATCAGCATGGACCCAATCACACAAAAGACGACACTCCACGTCCCCGACGACAACGATCCAGCCAATGCTCGTGCGAAGAGCAGAAAAGTGATCGAGGAGAAGTCATTCACATTTGACAATTCGTTTTGGAGCCACGACACAAAGGACAAGCACTATGCTCACCAGGAAGACGTCTACAACAGCCTGGGCGAGGAATTCCTCGACCACAACTTTGAAGGCTACCACACGTGCATCTTCGCCTACGGCCAGACTGGCTCGGGAAAGTCGTACACCATGATGGGCACGCCAGACCAGCCAGGACTGATCCCCAGGACCTGCGAGGACTTGTTCCAGCGGATCGAGCAGGCGCAGGACGAGACGCCAAACATTTCCTACCACGTCCGCGCCTCGTACTTTGAGGTCTACAACGAACACGTCCGGGACCTCCTCGTGCCGGTGGTGCCCAACCAGCCGCCGTACTACTTGAAGATCCGCGAGTCCCCGACCGAGGGGCCCTACGTCAAGGACCTGACTGACGTACCCGTGAGGAATCTCAACGAGATCTTGCGGTACATGAAGGCTGGCGATGCGAACCGGACAGTGGCGAGCACGAAGATGAACGACACCAGTAGTCGAAGTCATGCCGTCTTCACCATCATGCTGAAGCAGATCCACCACGACATGGAGACGGACGAGACTACCGAGAGAAGTTCTCGCATCCGGCTGGTCGATCTTGCAGGAAGCGAGCGTGCAAAGTCGACCGAGGCAACGGGGGCGAGACTCAGAGAAGGTAGCAACATCAACAAGTCTCTGACCACACTGGGGCGAGTCATTGCCGCGTTGGCGGATCCCAAGGCCAGCCGGCCCGGCAAACGCAGCAGGGATATCGTCCCGTACAGAGACTCCATCTTGACGTGGCTGCTGAAGGACTCCCTGGGCGGCAACAGCAAGACAGCCATGATTGCATGCATCTCGCCATCAGATTACGAGGAGACGCTGTCCACGCTGCGCTACGCGGACCAGGCCAAGCGCATCCGCACCCGTGCCGTGGTCAACCAGGATCACATCAGCACGGCCGAGCGCGATGCCCAGATTGCTGCCATGGCCGAGGAGATCCGGATCCTGCAGCTGTCCGTGTCTGATTCGCGCCGGAGGGAGAAGGAGACGCTCGAAAGCGAGGAGCGGCTCGAGGAGTACCAGAACCGCGTCGTCGCGATGCAGCGCAAGATGGAGGAGCGCAGCCTCGTCGCTGAAGGCAAAATCCGGTCCCTGCAAACGGAGAATGAGGCGCTCCGGCTGCATCTCAAGCTCGCGCTCGACAGCCTCAAGAACCCGATTCCAGCAGTCCGCTTTGCGCCGTCCACGACGGCTGGAGATGACAGTGGACTCGAGGAAGGCGATCCTGACCAGGCTGACGCCGACAAGGAGAATGCCCAGGAAGCCGGCATGGATGGGCTCGTGAACAAGAAAGCGCGCGGCACCAGCGACAGCGACCCCGCCGCTGGCATGCAACATGACAAGGAGAATATCCAGGCAGCAGAAGATGAGGACCACGACGACGGGTACTCGTCCGGCGGCTACGACGACGACGACAACGACGACCACCACAATGACATGCAGGACTACATGCAGGAACTGCTCAGCGACCTGACCATGTTCCGGCGCAAGATTGGTGACGACAAAGGGCGGTTCCTGGTGAGCAGGGAGGACAGCACGGCACGAACACCACTTGCTGAGCGGAAGAGCCTAGTCAATATCTGAGGCAGACCCTCTCAATCTCCCTCTCGACAGGTCTTTGTGTCGGTTTCACCAGACGACTGCGAGTCTAGGAAGCACGGCAGAAACTTCCTGTTCCTGGGCTGCAGGATTTCTCGACCCAGCGTAGTTAGTCCTGCCACTGTGTGTGTGTCAAAGTTCTGCTGACGAGTACGACCAAGCCCTGCCTGGACTGTTCTTGGTTGGCGCGAAATTTTCTTTCTTGTTCTTTTTCTCATAGTGTTTGCAAGCGGGCAGGGAGGCGTTTGGTATTATGATGGGGGCCTCTGACCTTATTTCATTTCGGAGGGTTCTTAGTTGCTCGACAAGTATAGCAAACTGAATGACATGCCTCCTTTCCGAGCGTCGCTCTTCCTGTGTGACTTTGCAATGCGCCACCTTGGGTCCTGACTTGAGAGATTTTATGACTCTTGCATAGGCAGCCCTGGTTATACATGAGCGAGATATGTAGTACAGCGATATGCGAAAGGCGACGATGCAACAACGTATCACAACGTGAGATCTGGATGAAGCTCGCGTTGCCCGTTCTTAGAATAATGAATACTAACTATTATGAAAGTCGCCGACCATTATGCCAATACTCGTTCCGAGGACCAGATCGTGCTTTGCGGCGTCACACTGAGCCAATGTACATGCAAGATGTTCTAGAGTAAGCACATTACCGCCCAGCCGTCAAGCTCAACCAGGACTTGCCCGGGAATCGGAGCAACATTCTAATCATACAGGCGGGCTGACCATGCCCAACACATCCTCAATTACATCCTCAGGGCCAACGCCGTCAAGCAGTGCCGTGACGGCGGACAGGTCACTGCCCCACTGCATGCTGCGCTCGTCCTCGGGCGCCACGATGTGGATGCGGTGCAGGTATATCTTCCTCGCGGCGAGCGCGACAATGGCGGGCGTGGCGTAGTCGAGCCCGTGCAAGCTGGCGAGGCTGCGCACGAGCATGTCAAAGTGCTGCGTAGCTTGCGGCTGGACGCCCCCGCTCACAGCACGGTGCATGCGCAGGAACGAGATGATGTTCATCTGGTAGCGCAGCACCTCGATGTCGACGCTGACGGTGGCGGCTCTCCCGGCCAAGGCGGCGATGTCGTGGCTCCCGAAGAGCGGTGTGTGTGCTGGCGTCCGTGGCACCAAGTACTTTCGGGGCATTGTTCCGTGGCGCCTAGTGCCGACGGAGCTGCGGCGTCTGACCACGCTGTCTTCGCTCGCGAGACTGTGCGTGTCGCTTGTGGTGAATGAATCGGACCGGTCGTCTATATCCGGTTCGGTCCGTCCTCGATCTTGCTGTGAGAACCGAGAGTCGTCATCCTCGGTCACTTCATCGTCCTCGGTGTCCTCCGCCTCTTCGAGTCGAGGGAACCCATCTTCCGCATCATGCCAGTGCGCAATGTAGAAGTAGTTGTTCAGGTGTGGTGTGAGCCGCGCAGCGCCACCGCTCTCAGCACCAAGCACGGCGATCAGCAGGAACACTTTGGGTGCAGCCTGGACACTAGTGTGTGTGAAGATGCGGCGGGTTCGCAGGAGCTCGAGGCACTGAATCTGGACGGCCTTGGGGGCGTGATCAAGATCCTTGGCAAGGATCACATTCGCTATGCCTAACGGTGGTTGACCTGGTGTGGACGGACTAACCGGGCCGTGCCTTGCGGCATCAGTGCCAGATGGCTGCGAGAAGTGTGAGGGCACGCCCTGTTGTCGGTGGTTGGTGCGATGGCTCGAAAAGTATGAGTCGCTGGCCGCAGCAGCTGTTCGTGAGGTGACGGGCGAGTTGGCGTGCGAAGCAGGGGCGGCATCGGTAGGCTGGGGAACGAGGAGCGCGGCTGCGAGATCGTCGAGGGTGGTCCGTGGGGTGCAGTGGACAACGGCCGAGGTCAAGCCAAACGCGTCGGCGGCGACGAGCTGCAGCTCTGCGACGAGGTCGTCGAGGGCGTCTGGCTCGGTGCTGACGATGCAGTGTTGGCGGTCGACGAGGCAGAGGAGAGCGGCAAGGTCGAGGTCGCCTAGCTGGTGGACCTTGTGCAGGAGCTCCTCATCCGCCATTGAAACCTGCTTCTGCTCGCTGGGCCATCAGGGAAACATCTGGGCGTGTCGGCGGTGGTGTGGGCCTGTGGTTGTGCAAGATGAAGGAACGAGGTTGTTGTTGGTGTTGTTTTTGTTGGCGGTGGTGGTGGTGCATCATCATCGACAGGGGCAAGTGCAACATGATGAGCACGAGGACCCACACTCCAGTCGAGGCCACAATCTGGAGAACCGGACAGGGGGGCTGCCGCTTGCCTCTATCAGCGACTTCACCACCACCAATTCAGTCTTTCTACCGAGCATGAATGTATACGTTATCAACACATTGCAGGCGTCAATCACAGTAAGGCGTGCATCCTTCCATGCAGTAGAACTCAAAAGCCAAGCTCACTGGTAACTACTATACACAGGCGAAACGAAAAGCTTTTCAGGTCCTGGGTCTCAAGCTCCATCAATGTCCAGGCTGAAAGGAGCTCCCTCCCCATGACAAGCATTCCTACTCCAGCGCCTTGATCAAATAATCCTTGAGGGGATTGTGGTCACTGATTTGTGCCAGCTGAGCGTTCCGGACCACGTCGAGATGGGCATCGCGATATGCGGCAGCAAACTCATGGCTGCTCTCAAGGTCTGGCAAGCCAAGTACGGCTTGTAGCAGACGAGCCTCGCCATCACCACTGCCACTGCCAGCGAGTGGATTGCCCCAGGGTGTAGCCTCGCAGATACACTTCGCCCAATCGCCACTGTCTGGGGTCTTGAACTTGGGCGGCGGCGGCAAGACGCCGTCGAGCAGATATGCCCGGATATGTGCCACCGTGCAGCTCGACACGCATGATATGGTACAGTGTCCCTCAGCCCACTGCTCGACAATGCTAGCATTGGCAAACCTGCGCGTCATCTTCAGAGCCGCGTGCAAGGGAGTTACCGGATCAAGCATGTTGGAGAGGAACAGCAGCGGAAACGACGTCACAATCGGCTTCGGCTTATGGGCCGGATGGTCGTCCCAACGCATGGGCGGGTCCTTGGCATCAATAGGCCAGTGATTGCAACCCATCATGATCCCAAGCCACTGCCACGATTTAATTCGGTCAGTAAGGCGTGCTTATACCAGCGGAAAAGCGAGCTGCTTGGAGACGTTGACGGAATCTGGTTCACAGAGAGCAACTTACAACATCAGAGAATTTCGAATACGACGACATTTCTTCAAATCGCTTCTGAAGCTCAGGGACAGTCTCGTTCAGCTGATGTGCAGCGATCCTTGTCAGCATACATGATGAACAACACGAGCAACGCCTCAGAGTAGCGATACACTCATTAGGGCCGCAGCAACCCACCTTGTATCTTTTGTCACTGCACATAACGGCCTTCTGTGCATCATTTACCGCAATCGGTATATCCTCTGCGTGGCAAAAAGCAGGCAGTCCGATGCCTGTCCCAGGAAAGAAGAGCTCGCGCTCCTGCATCAAGCTGTCAAGCATTTGTGCGATGAGCGGAAACATGGCGTTGGGCGAGTAAAGCGCCACGAAGAGGATCTGCTTGACGTCTCCGCTGCTTATCAAAATGGGCATACCGCCATCGTCGCCTGTTGGTATGGCCACTCGCGGCTCCTCGGCAAGCTCAGCAAGAAAGCTGTCCATACGGTTCCTGATGTCCTTGGCGCTAGTGTCACCGCGGCGAAACAAGGCGCACGACACGCCAGCTCTCAGACAGTAAGTGTAGAACGACTCGTAGATCTGATCAGCATCGCGGAGACTATCTGTCCACGCAGGAGCGACATAATGGTCTGCGTCAACGACGCCGTCAAGCATGACACGCCCGACTTTGTCAGGAAACATGGAGGCGAAGGTGGCGCCGAGCAGGGTGCCGTAGCTGAAACCCCAGTATACCAGCTTACCCTTTGTGCTCGACGGATCTTGATTGTCGCCGCCGTCATGGCTTGCATGGTTCTCGTTCTGCGCGATCTCGTCATCGGTCTGGCTACCACTTCGCCACTCATCCCATGCATGAATTATGGAGAGCATATCCCTTGCCACGTTTGGCGTATTTGCATACTTGAAGATGCTGTCGTCGCCATCATACTCCGCAGCCTTGCCGCAAAGCCGACCCACTGCCTTCGCGCGCACATTGTGTTTGCCAAGCGCAGCATTTGTAGAGTTGATGATTCCGATCTCATGGCCAGAAAGATCCCATGCAATGCGGTTCAGCAAGCCTTGGTTGCGGCGAGTAACAGCACCGCCATTGTCCGTGTGGACTTCGAAGCAGTCCGCTCCCGGCGTGGTTGCGCCAACGCCGCGAGGGTCGCTGAGTTTGCGGTGATTAGCAAGGGACTTCTTAGTGATCAACAACCCTGAGAAGCGAGAACTCACAACCCAATGACGTCGTGCTTTCCACCGATCAAGCCTCGAATGACGCCCCCAAAAGGTCCCGCGGCAAACGAAGCGCCACTTCCGCCCGGACCACCAGGGTTGATCAGCATAGGCGACTCCGAAAACGAAGCAGGGTCGTCGAGATCACGGTCTTCCGAAGATGGCACCATAACCATGGCAATATGAACTTTGGGATGATCCTTGGAGGCAGCTATCGGGGATTCCAACGACGACTTCAGAGGGCGATGATAGTCCATCGGCACCGTCAACCGAGTGCAGAAGTATGCTGGGTCGATTGAGGTCGGGCACCGGTGCCACTTCAGTTTCTCGCTCGGAGTGATCTGATTCTGGGTTAGATAAATCGACATGAAATCCAGTTATGCAGAGAAATGTGATTGCCGAATGGCTGAGCTGGAAGGGAATTGTGCCTACATCATCCCAATCAATGTTCGTGCCATTCTGCTTGGCCACGCTGCCACTGTGCTCACTGCCACCATCCCCGCTTGAGGCTCGAAAATATCCATGGCGGCCAAGCAGGTCACCACCGCCGCGTGCCGCAAATTGAATTGACAAGACAACAGCAATCATGCCCAGCGCGAACCAGAACCGAGCCGCTTGTGGCGCGAACCGCGGCCCCCAGGAACAAGCGTATGCATCTGAACGGCGTTCAGGGACGAACAAGGCTGTGTCCTTGTCGTGCTCCGGCTGCAGGCACCGGAGTTGTCGTTTCTCCTCATGTTCGATCAAGGTCGAAGGGGGATGTTGTTCTTCTACCGGAGCAGGAGGAGCTGGCGAGGCAGCCGCTGGTGGGGGCGGCGTCATCCATGCCTCAGTGTTGTGTGGCGACAGAGGCGAGTGCTCCATTGTTGCGATGCATCAAGCCAGCTGGGAGTTTTATGGCGTCAGAAATGCAGCTCAATGAAGTTGACGGGCATTAGGAGAAGGTGAATATGCTGGCCGTTGTCCTACGAGTCCGCAATGGAGACGAGGCGTGTTCTGTCGCAGTAAAGGCTTTGAGAGTGAAGCAGACGATTAGACTGGACCATTGACTTCAAGTGGAACACCCTTCTCGTCGTTTGAAGCTGGGGAACGAGGTCATGAGCGCTTTATCCTGGTCAAATTGCATTTTCAACAAGGACCTGCTGTTGCCTGCCGGCCTGCCTCCCTGCCTTCCTCCGCTGGCCCTTTCCCCTCAGTCTCCGCACCTACCTTCCTTCCTGCCTGATGCAGGTCGCTGACCAGCAGGGTTTCTCTCCAAGACATTGTGTTGGCTTAGCCCTGCTGTAGCCCGGATCGTTTGAGCCGGGCCGGCGCCAAGCGGCCGCTGGACAAGGATGATTGGGGGACCTGACGACACTGGCTGTGAGCCTGCGGGTGCCAGCCTCTCCCCGCATGCGGCCAGTCAATCAGAACTCGGTGCTGATGGATTAAATGTGCGCCAGCTCTAGTCTTAGTGGCCCGTTGTAAAGTCAGAAATGTGACGGCTACTCTAAGTGCTCGAGGTGTAAATACTTACACAAGTACTGGATGGCTGCACATGCACATGCACAAACCCCGCCTCTAGAGTCTGAACTAGAGAGTGACGCCATACGGTCCGTCGTGTGTATGGCAGATGCCGCTTGTCCGACAATCTAGTCTGTATGCAAGGCAAAGTGGGATCATTTTTCACGGGCAATGCCGAGTCAGGTTTGGATTCACTACACTGTGTAGTACTCAGCTGTCCCACTTCGCGAACCCCTCATTCTTCTGCTTCTGCCGCGTGTTCCAGCCCAGCTTGCCACTAATGCTGTTGATCCAGTCCTCGCTCCTCCGGCCGTGCGGCTGCACTGTCGCAAAGGGAAACCGGCTGGCGCTGATGGTCACGTAGTCGCCGGGCTTGAGCTCGATGCGCTCGCGTCCATCAAAGCTCGCCCAACTGTTCGTCCGCGCGTCGTACGGAACGCCAATCCGCAGCACGATCGTGTCGGGCAGAATGATGGGGCGGAAGGATAAAGTGTGGGGGCAGATGGACGTCACAAGCATCACGGGGTTCTCGGGATGGCACAGAGAGCCTCCTGCTGCCAGGTTGTATGCCGTAGAGCCTGTTGGTGTGGAAACGCAGACACCGTCGGCAAGAACGGATGTGAAGTGCTCGTCATCTCCAAAGATCTCAGTGTACGACATTGCTGTGTGAAGAGAGTAAATGGTTAGCATGGGAACCGGTTGAGGTAGTAGCGATTTTTCCTCAAGCAGAAAAGCGTAGACTTACTCGCATTCGGCCCCCGATCGACCACAATCTCGTTGAGGATCTCATATGTACCGTCGGGTTTGTGGGTATGCTCATCATCCTTCTCCTCGCCGATGAGCTCTTCGACGAGATCCCGCTTCACGTGCCCGTCTTCATCATCGTCATCGTCATGACTTGACGCAGACCCAACATTTCCGTTGCTGGCGCCGCTGTTATTCCCTGCTTCGACGGCTTTGCGCTTCGCCTGGCTTCTCATCACAGTCCCTTCAAATCTCAGGCGCAAACTGACGGTAACCCCCTGGGTGAATGATGTTGTCAGGATATCCTCATAGTCGCTAAAGTCGAATTTTGTCAAGAACCCCAAGCTCCCCAGCGCAAAGCTGAGCACCGGCGGGACAATGCGCTGGAAGAGCCAGCTCGCATAGAGCACCGTCCCATCGCCTCCGAGGGACAGTACAAAGTCAAACATGTGAGGCCGCGTGCGGCACATGTCCTCGGTCCAGAAGCGCAGCCGGCGGTCCAGCACGTCCCTGGGCGTGTCCTCGTCCATCTCGCCAGCCTCGATGTACTCGCGCCGCAGCTCGTCCAGCAGGCCCGACATGTCAAACTTCTTGTTGCCCTTGACGCTGTGCTCCACGTAGACGGTGTAGCGCACGTCCCGGTCCTTGCTGAGCAGCCACCGAGCCAGCTCGCGCGTCTTGTGCAGCAACTCCTGATCGTAGAGCTTGGTCAGGATGAACACGGTCCGCACCTTGAACTTGAGGCGCATGCTGCCCAGCCTCCTGCTGAGCTCGCGCACGCCCCACGCCATCTCGCTGAGCTGCTTCTTGGTCAGGAGTCGGCTGTGTAAGCCATCATGGTTCTTGGAAGCCGCGAGATCTAGCTCCGAACGGGATTTTGCGAGCTCGTTCTTCCACGAGCTCTGGTCGATCTGGCCGCCAGCCTCGTCCATGCTACTGCTCTCTGACCCCTCGCGATGAAGGCTGGACGGCCCCTTGTTTGTGCCCTTGGGCTCGACATAGCGGTTCAGGCCAAGATCTGCCGTAGCATCTTGCGGCTCGGTGTCGCGACCTGGAGCTTGCCGATTGTTCTTTGCGTGGTGGGGGAAGTGGGGTTTCTCGCTATCTGATGGTGGTCTATGGCTCTCGAGGAACTGGTGGACTAGACATTGTGTCTTCTTTGTAGTAGTAGGGATCTGTGGCATGACGGCGGTGGCTGCGGCGAGCGAGCTCTTGCGGCGATGAGGGTTGTTGGACTCAAAGGTGACCTGTGGTTGTGGTTCGAGTTAGTGACGGAGGCGGGGAGGATCAGGAACAAGAGGACTGGCGGGTCAGGCTTATATACGCACTTCGAACGGCTTCGTATCCTCGTCGCTTGCGCTCTCTGGCTGGTCTTCATAGTGGACATGCTTCTCGGCACGATCGTCGGCACGCTCGTCTGCGCTCGGGGCGCCGTTGGCTGCCATGGTGATGCGCCGTGCTTCGTGGTTCGCCGGCAGAGGCTGTGTGAGGGTCGCAATGGGTCGACGATGCGCTATGACATTCGATGGGAGCGAGTGAGTTTCCGCAGATCTCGAGCAGTCTATGTCTTCAGCATGCCACGCCTGCGCAGCAAGTTGATCTTGGAAGTACGTGATAATGACGATCGATGGTGGGGGTTTTGGTCGCTGCCCTCTGCGAGCTCTGTGGGGCAGATATGGCGGGAGTGGAGCTGCCTCAGTCAGCAACAAGGCCAAACCGCGAGTTCGCACTGCAACAAAGTCTGTTTTGCCGAGAGCCTAGGCGTCTGTGAAGAGGACACGTAGTTCTCAGCTCGGCAGATCCGTCTTCACCACTTCGTCCCCCAAAGTGTCACATTGCGAGACTCGCATCGTAGACGCCCGCCGAGTGTGGGGCCGCTCCGACTCCGGTCCGGCCGTGTGGGTCCTGGTTCCGGCACCGTTGAGCATCTGCTCCGACACGGCAGGGAATGAAAACAGGCATTGCTCTGGCAGTATGTCCTGCCAAGCGTATGGATTCTGTTACAAGGGTACATCCTCGGGCAGCCCCCTTGACGAGGCCCTAGAGATGTCCTCTCCATCGCCTCGTCAACCCTGGTCAATTGGTCGTACATGAGTCCTGCATCTGAGAACACCATCAGAGGGCAAAGGCGGGGTTGCGAGATAAGGACCAGTCTGAGCCAGTGAAGGTGCATTGCTTATAACCTTGAGCCACCAACAACGCAACGGTGTACGTCATGCAAGCAATGTCCGTTGGAGAATGAACCAGATACAAAAGTATACGGGGCACACGCCCGCGCGTGGGAGTTTTTCCCTCTCTACTATATATGTGTTACCTGCACCAAAACCAAAGTGCTCCTGAGGCATACCTACTAGATCATCAGAAGGGAACAACTGGGATAGCTGGTGCTACCAATATTCGCTGCGGTCACCCCTGACACTACGAGGCAACCAAACACGACTATCAAGACCTGACATCATACACACCTCCGCAATGTCTCCCAAGCAGACTCGGGTCGCTGTCGTAGACGTGGGCCCCCTCAGAATTTCATGTCACATTCCTGGATGAATCCACGCTGATACTTCACTCGCGCAGTCCAGCTCCGGCGACCGCCTACCAGACTACGCCAGAATGCTCTTCAAGGCCAAGGCCGACAAACAACTCACCTTTGAGCAGATCGGCAGCGAGCTGGGACGCAACGAGGTCTCCGTGGCCGCTCTTTTCTACGGGCAAGCGCAAGCATCCTCGGAGGACGCGCAGAAACTATCTGCATTGCTGGACATCCCTCACGCGGCTCTCGCCAGCTCGCCACTGTGCAGTGGCTTCCCCGACCGCGGGAGTGCAGGTCCGATGCCCCCCGTCGAGCCGCTCATATACCGACTGTACGAGATTGTGCAGAACTACGGTTACGCGTTCAAGGCGGTCTTGAATGAGAAGTTTGGAGACGGAATCATGAGTGCAATAGCGTTCTCCACGAAAGTGGACAAGGAGGTTGATGGAGACGGCGTGACGTAAGTCCAACTCCCCCGTGTTCATAGTCCGAAAGTGGATGGAAAGACACACTTCTCCAACACAAGATCTTGCAGCTGACCTCTCGAAACCACAGGTGGGCCGTCATCACTCTTCGTGGCAAGTGGTTGCCATATACTCGATTCTGAGCGTCGAGGGGCGAACATTGTGTGCCTGGTGGCGTTTCTTTTTAGTACACAAAAAGTAATCTCAGTTTAGTCATTGACAGGCACGATGTAATAGCTGTTTCATAATTGCTGAGAATGCTTCGAGGTTGTCCGCACCGAATTTCTCACCGTCTCTAGAACCGTCTTCCGACGGTCTCCAAATAATTATGAGTTGGACACCCGGATCAGTGGAAACACAAGATTCCGGTCGGCAATCAAGCTTTTCTACCAGCAACCAGAAACACAGATTCTGAATTTCCACCCAATCTCAGCGGTGTAACCATCCTTTGTGGTTCGGCACATACCCCCTCTGCTCCAGGGTCGCAACCTCCGTCTGACCATGCTCCCTCCAGAAGCGCTGGACCTCTGGCATTCTCAAGTACCGTTCGAGATCTTCACTCGAGCGGAACCGCGAGTACACCCTGATCTCCTTGTCGTCGTCGTTTAGCCGGCAGACCAGCCAGGTGTAAACACCGTCGTCCTCCTTGCTCACCGCAGGCTCGACCTGCTCGCGGAGGGCCTTCTCGACGACATCGCGGCCTGCGGGAGTGGTGCAGTGGATCCGCATGTCGTGCATCACGCCGCACTCGCGCTTGTCGCCGGGCTTGTCCAGAAAGCCGGCGGCGTAGCTGTAGTACAGCAAGTCCAGACCCGTGGTCATGCAGGGCAGAGCGGTCTTGAGAAAGGTCCCCATAGTGGACGACTTGAGGTGGACATCCGTGAGTGCCTGTATTTATTATTGTCAGCACGAGGGATCCCGGCTTGCGAGTTGTGCACAGGAGAAATCGCGAGATGAGTGAAGCGTGAAATCGCTGCAGGTGAAGTTTAGGAGGGATGGATATCTAGACTTATGGCCAAGCGCACACATACCGCCATGTTCTCGTACACCTCGAACGCAAACATGAGCGTCGTGTTGGACACGTCGCTGGCATAGTCGAACGGGATGCCAAAGTAGTACGTTTTCGTGCTCTTCTCCTCGCTCCAGACGTACTCGGCCAGCTTGTCGTAGGCTGCCTGCCAATCGCCGTAGTGGCCGGGCACGAAGTTGACGTTCGCGAAAAGGTACATATCCGACATGATTACGGTTTGCTTCAAACACCCTGAGAACTCTCGGAGGACTGTCTTTCGATGAGCAAGGTCGACTATGAGATAGGCGAAGAAGGATTCTCAGGAGGAGTTCCGGTGGCGTGCTCTACTTGTCCCGGATAAACATCAACCTGAGCTGCATTGATCTCTCTTCTGAAAGACATCCAGAGGGCACTCAAAGGACTTGAAGACAAACATTCGCGCTAGTCAATTTATATCTCTGTCTCCCATGACCTTTGCGTAAACGTCTGTGCCAAGGGGGTAAAGCCAAAGCCGAGTATGAACCGACGTGCACCTGCGCCTAAGAACTAAAAGACAACATGCATGTAGACGAGGCCAGAGCTAGCTACCAAGACAATCCTTTCCATGGTGTCGTGATCAGAATTGCACAAAAGACCCCTCTCGAGTCCGCGGCTGTCTATATCCGCACGCATCGCAGAACAGTGCCCATGCAGATCTTCCCCTGCTAGACCCTGAGACGGGGAGCTGGTAAAGCGTGATTGATGTGCGAAGAAGCTACAAGAGACGCTAGAGCTTAAACACAACCACAGACGCAAGCAAGCAAGTGCGGCAGGCTGGACAGCTGACCCCAGAACGGGAAGGACGGTGCAAACTATCGTGGCACAAACTCCGCACACAGGGCGTTTCCTTGCCCTTAAACCCGCGCCATGTCCTATAGTCCAGAAGCACATCCGGATGATCGATAATAGACCAATTGGTAGTTGAAAGATGGTGATGGACTCGAGAGGTTGAGCATCAAAAGGCCAGGACAACGAATTGATTGTACCGAACCAAGTCACCAACGAAGGTACACTAAGTAGGACACCCAGTTGTGACCATCTCATGAAGCGCGCAACTAGCGTTTCCTGGTCTAAGACTCGCCAGCCTCCTCCTCAGTGAAAGAACGTCTTGCCCTCGAAATCAGCCAATCACCAACGAGCCCGCATGGTCCCTAATAGCTCCCGGGTTTTGCATGTCACACTCTCCACACGCATGTCTTCCCCCACAACGCCTCGTACCCGCAGTCACACACACCCGCCTGGAGCCTTCGCAAGGAACAAGACTTCCGATACCTGGGCCACACACTTATGGACACATCACATTCTGGAGGTGTTGTCCCTCCGAACTAGCGGCTGGGAAAAAGAGACTACGGAAGACGGTCACCGGGCCGAGAAACACACAGGCTGCACCCCAGATAGATGACGAGGCTTATCAACCTGGCAGTTGTTAGTGAACGCCAGGGCCCGGGTCTGGCTTGCCGGACTCCGAGGATCCCAGCTCATACACGGGGATTTTCTCCGCACTCGTCAGCATGGTCCTCAGGGGTAGAACCATCTCCTCCTCACTGAATGGTTGGCGTATTTTGTGCTTGGGAGTGTGCATTCGTCTGCGCGAGCCAAAAAAGGGCGAAGTCGAGAGCTCAATGCTTCCTGCCTCCCTCCTCCCCACATACTACTCCGCCCCTTCTTTGCTTGTGGGATGGCTCGGAAGCTATGTTTGCCATTGCGAATGGTTGTCGACCGGTCAAACGCCGAGCTTTCTGTTGCTCCGTTGTCAGTTCTACATAGATTCAGTCATCGCAGAACGTTTCCCGGGGGGCATTCGTGTTGTGGCAACCCCTTTCGTCCAAATTTGACAAGGACTTCTCGCAGAGAAATGAGTGACATTCTCCACATCTAACCCCTGGGCATAAGCGGGATGTGTGTCTTGTATTATTGCGGTGTAAGGATCACGCATTCAGGGCATGGCCGTGTCCGGACGCAGGGTGCCAGTTGTAACAGAGGCACGAATTGGGCCAAATAGAGAGCATTTTCAAGACGGACAATAAACTCGAGGTCGGAGAACAAGCAAAGTCCTAATTAAATCACTTATACTAAGTGGCAGCTTCCATGCGTGGGATATCTTTCCGTTTCCGTTCCGAGAACTCCAAACAGAAAGACAGGTTTACAACAACAAAAAAAGTTCATGTCCACTTAACACCCATGTTCGCCAACCTCATTTTCTTTATCCAACAAGCATCTTTCCTTCTTCTTTGGGGGGTCCGTGATCAGATCAATATGGATTACCGTGTGTGCCGCGTCCGACACCTTCTTGCATGATCTTAGTGGAACTCGTTCCGGTCGGCGTGGACATCGTTCTCGAGGTAAATCTCGATCTTGTTGTTCATCTTGTGGTCGATATCCTCGCAGCATATGCAGGCTGTGAGTTTTCAAATCAATATCAGCACTCACGTTTCTTCAATCTCAACAGTGCGGGGCCCATTCCATCTAGAGGATCCTCCAAGACTTACCAATGATCCCAAGGATACCAAAGGACAACGACGACAAAGCAGTCGTCCGCAGTCCCCTGACGTAACTCTGCTGCAGCGCAGCGCCTCCAGCGGCAATGATTTCGGGGGTGACGCCGGGGACATTGGCCAGCGCGCCAGCACCGAGCGGCAGGGCCAGCAGGAACGCCGAGACGGAGCTCTGGGGCAGGCCGGCCGCCGTGGCAGCTGCAGGGATGAGCTCTGCGGCAGCTTTGCTCTGCACATTGCCCAGGATTGTCTGGTAGACGGCGACTGCGACGGCACCGCCAGCGAAGCGGGCCACGCCACTGTCATGGTAATGTTGTTGTTAATGACTGCTATTGGTTCTAGGCTTTCAAGAGTTGAAGGGACAGAATGTGGGAAAAAGAAGTAAAAGGAGACTCACGCAAGACCACCAGCAATTCCGAGTTCTTTCTGATCTGTGCCGAACTGCACATAGGCAATGGATAGATATTGGGCCCAGCCGAAGCCGGTCATGGCGAGGAACGTAAAGGCGATCATCATGCCCTTGTTGTCCGGGGTGCCGAGGGCCAGCAGAGCACCGAAGATGACCATGATGGCGACCGAGCCAGTGAGTGTCCAGCGCCAATGTCCCACCTTGGTGCCAAACAGACTCAGCAGGACCGCGCCGAATGTCAGGCCCAAGTTCTGCGGCAGGGTCAGGATGACACCCTCTCGCACGTCACCCGACGTCACGTAGAAGACGGCGAGCATCGTCGGGTAGATGATATTAATAGCATAGTAGAACATAGTAACGACAAAGGCGGCGATGAAGGGGGCCGTCAGAGCACGGCCCTTACCCGCCGTAAAGACGTGCGTCGGGGTCAGTGGCTGCTTCAAGGGGGCAAAGATCTCGTAGAGAATGAAGCCGACCATGGTTGCGAAACCGGCGACAAGTGTACCAATGACCTTGGGGTCGTTGGACGGAAGAGTTGCCGTATAGACCAGGCCAGTCAAGATGAGGGTCGTGGCGATGATGAACAGCAGACCGCCACCATAGTCGAGCTCGCGGATGGCCCGCTTGAATGGAAGACCGCGCGGGTGAGCAGGCGGGTAGTAGTACATGACGAGTCCGCCGAAAGAGAACACGGCCAGGATGGCAGGGACGTAGAACAACCATCGCCACTGGTGCGTAGCGGTCAAATGTCAGCCTCGCGAGGACACTATCAAAAGCATCACTACCACACTGTGAGGTGGGGCTGTTCTTGACTTACAGCTTCGCTGGTCAGGTCGACCACACTATATCTGCCGGCGATAGGACCTATAACAACTGCGATGAGGACCACCGCATCTGCCAGAACGACGGCAATATGTCTCCATTTGTTGGGGAGGAGCTCGGGCAGGGCGAATGCCGCGAGTTGAGTGTTGCCAGCAGCAAAGCCAGTGATAGCCATGGCTGCCCACATTTGTGTGTTGCTCTTGGCTGTGCCGCCAATGATGAGACCGACAAAGAGTAGGGCATTGCCAAAGACGAGGAACCATCGCCGCCCGAAAAGATCCGAGTTTGCTGGCACGGAGAAGGGTCTCGTCAATATGGGTACCAAGGAAGGTGCTGGAGACAAGCTCACCTCCGCAGATCATGAAGGCAATTGTGATGGTCATCAGATATAATGCAAGATACCATGTCTGGCCCGTCACGTCGCCGAGCTGTGTCGCCACGACTGCCTGGCAGGAAGCCAAGGCTGGCACGATCCAGAATGAGAGACCATAGCTGGCTGACAAGATGCCAACGACAATCCAGGTTTTGAAGGTGACTTCGTAGTCCTCGTTGCTCTGGGGAATATAGGAGCCACGCCTTTCTCCTTTTTCCGAGTCAGAGTGTCGCTCGACATGGTCCACGCCAGGATTAGCTTGAGCGTCGCTCTTGGCAGTGTCGTCGACCGCCATGGTAATTGTTTGTGCCGAGTTTCTGTACCTGCTGTTTAGAATTTGATTTGTGAGACCGGGCGATCAGATATCTCTCGAGTCCCGTCCGTCACTCCCAGCGGTGCGGACGGCGTCCGCCGCTTTATGTATCACATGCCGTGCTCCCAAGCTTGCGCCATCAAGCGGAGCAAAGCTCCAGAGAGAGCCTGAGCTCGTCTGAGCAACGACCAACCACGGGGGCAGAAGCTGCCACCAAGCTTCACGACTAGCCTCGGATGTTTGCGTGCCACAGCGACCGTCGTGGACCCTGCATGCTGCGTGGAGAGTCAGGTGTCCCTGGCCCGGAAAACAATAGCCATGGGCAAGCTCGAGCGATAAGCATCCATCTAGCAAAAGTTCTGAGCTGCGGCAAGATTGGCTAGCACGGGCGTTTGCGGCCGCCGATCTGGGGAAGTGGAGCGGGGGTGGGGCGCGCGGCATTTGAGCCCTGCCCTGTCAAGTCATGCTGTTGTTCCTCCTCGTGGCCCATGGCTGCCATGACTGCCATGACTCGGGCGACCACGTATCAGAGATGATGGGATGGGTGTCGAGATGATTCAGGAATCAAGCAATTGAAGCAGCAATTTGATCACAAGAGACATGAAGATTGCAGCAGAGGTGTCGTACTGAAGAGGGCTCGCTGCGTCTTGCCAGGAAGTTGAGCACGGTAGCTCAGACTTCTCCTGGTCATGCAAGTGAGCCGCCCTACCAACACGAAGTGCTCTCTTGCCTGTCCTCGTACTACCTTGGCGCACGGTCAGCGGAATGCATGATGCATCTGTCGCCACCATGTGAGGCGGGCTTCGTTTCTGCATAAGCAGTTTGTCTGACTCCCAGCCAGATCATGACAGATTGCAAAGCAGCGCTCCTGCCTCACTTGCACCAGTATCAAGCGGCACGAGACAAGTCAATGTGGAGACTAGGGGTCTTTGATATTGAACAACAGAGAGTATGCGAGGGGCAAGGTGTGGAGATGCGGAGGCGTAGGAATGGGAAGTTGCTGCTGCTAGCCAGGCTTAGCCAAGCTCAGGCGAAGCCGCTGGCAGGCTGGGGGACTGGTTCCTCTCTAGCACGCGGGGTACAAGGTTGACACTTCCTAGGGGGTTGGGCAGGAATCGCAGCTGGCAGGCCGGATGAGGGTATCCTCATGGGGGGTCAGACATATGCGGACTAGATCTCTTGTGGCCGTGCGCGAGCCGGACATGTTGTGGGCTAGCTAGAGCAATGCAGGTCTCAATAGCTTGGCTGGCTGTCCCCTTCCTGCAAGCCTGTAAGGCGCCCGGAGGGTAGACGAAAAGGTCACATGTGTCGAGCGTGTTTTGTGCTGCCCTGTAATGTGCTTCAGTATATGGTTCCCCAGTGGCCGACAAGAATAAGAAAATAATGACATGGATCATCCAGAGGCTCCCAGCCTACCTCAAGGTACTTACCTCGAAGCGTGGGCAGTGTGCGTAGTGGCAGCCCAGCAGTCTCACACAAGTCTAATGTGGAGAGAGAACAAGGGCTGTTGATCTTGAATATGTAGTGGATCAATGCATCGTGCACAGAAACGCATAGCACTTTTGGTCAGGTTTCCGACTCGTACCTAGCATGTCGAGGCAGGCATGCATGCTCAACTGCTCGTCATGTTAGAACACCCGTAATGCTCATGATAGGGAGACCCACCTGTAGGGTGCACCACCCGCTGCGAGCTCCCGAGGCTCCACTCAGTCCCTGCCTGAAAAGGTACGTACTCCATAGACTCTGCCAGGCAGAAAATCTTATCGGCCTTATCAGAGCGACCCACCCTGAAAAAAGTTGGGTTGGTACGCTGAACAGTCGCCGCGCGCGCTCTCTGCAGAACAGAAGACTTGCTAGACCCATCAACGCCATTTTCTTTGCAGCAAGAACAACAAGTCCGCGCAAAAATGGTCACGAAAAGCAGACTCAAGATGGCCCTTGCGGCCGAGAGGGGTGTGGATTTCAAAAAGTTCCACGACAAGAAGCAGCGCAAGGAGGCCGAGAAGAAGAAGCAGGTGAAGGGCAAGTCGCAACCCGCAGGCGAAGACCAGGACGATGAGGAGTGGGAAGATGACGAGGAGGACGTCGAGGAGGGTGGCGCTCTCGTGGAAGACGACGACGATGACGATGATGACGACGAGGACGACGAGGAAGTTCAATACGACCTGGCCGCCCTCGACGAGAGCGACAGCGACGAGTCCGAGGTCGAGATGGAGGAGAAGATTGCGAGAAAGCCCAAGACCATTCTCAAGGCAAAGAACGCCAAGCCCGAACCCAAGGCTGCCGGCGAGGACGAGGACGATGAGGAAGAAGACCCCGAAGAGGATGATATCCCCATGTCCGATCTCGAGGACCTCGACGAGGAAGAGAAGGAGGATCTCGTGCCGCACCAGCGCCTCACCATTAACAACACATCAGCCCTCCTCGCCGCCCTCCACCGCATATCGATACCCACAGACAAGTCCGTTGCCTTCGCCACCCACCAGACCGTCGTCAGCAGCGAGCCGACAGCCAGCATGATTGAAGACATACAAGATGACCTCAAGAGAGAATTGGCCTTCTACGCGCAGAGCTTGGAGGCCGCCAAGCGCGGCCGTGCTCTGCTCAAGGCCGAGGGTGTCCCCTTTGCCCGCCCGACCGACTACTTTGCCGAGATGGTCAAAGACGATGATCACATGGGGAAGGTCAAGGCCAAAATGGTCGAGGAGGCATCTGCCAAGAAGGCCTCCGCCGAGGCCCGCAAGCAGCGCGAGCTCAAGAAGTTTGGCAAGCAGGTGCAGCAGGCGAAACTGCAAGAGCGCAACAAGGCGAAGAAGGAGACTCTCGAGAAGATCCAATCCCTCAAGCGGAGTAAGTATAGCACTTTTCAGGACGAATGCAGTTGAAGGCGCGTCTCACTAACGAGAAATGTCTCTCCACAGAACGGACTGAGAATAGCGGTGATGTCGGCGCCACCGAGGCCGACCTCTTTGACGTCGGTGTCGACGCCGAGCTCAACAAGCACAAGTCGCAGCGGGCATTTTCGCGCGGCAAGGACGGCGACGCGAAGACGCAGCATGTGCCCAACGCCAAGCGGCAGAAGAAGAATGAGAAGTATGGCTTCGGCGGCAAGAAGAAGCACTCCAAGAGCGGCGATGCCATCAGCTCCGGCGACATGAGCGGCTTCAGCGCCAAGCGTATGAAGACCGGCGCGAAGGGCAAGATCCCCAAGACCGCCCGCCTCGGCAAGAACCGCAGAAAGGCGGTCGCTGGAAAGAGGTAGTGAGCTTTGATTGTACATACACTATGGTTTCTGTAGACAAAAATACCAGGCATCGGCGCTTAATGTTGCACTGTATCATCACTCGCATGCGTTTCGCAATCAGTTCCTGTGAATGTGCTTGCCTCCAAACCGAATGCCACTTCAGGCTGGTTGCAACCACAGACTTGGAATTCACAAGAGTGTACAAAACATGAGTCCAGATTTGTCCCGCTGTCTAAATGCTAACAATGCCGAGTATATCACTTCTTTTTGTTGACTCTCTTCATCGCCCGCAACTCCTTCTTCATGCGAGGATCCACAATCTTGTAGCGACCCTTAACACCCTTAGGCCGGCCCTTGATACCCCTGTTGAGGCCGCGGGCGACAACCAGCTTGGGTTGTACTCTGGGCTTCTTCTTGGCCGCCTTGGCCAGGAGCTTCGTGATGCTGTCGGCCTTCTCCTTCTCCGTCATGCCTTCTTCGTTGGCCAGCATGTCTGACTTCTTCTTGAGCTTCTCGAGACGTTGCGCGGCCTTGAACTTCTTGCGTGCCTTGGCCTCGCGCACCTTCTTGATCGGCCGGGCATTGTAGGCGCGCAGCTTCTCTTTGATTGCGTCCGCTGCAGCCTTCGTGATGGGCTTGTGTGGCTTATCGTGCTTGCCCTCGTCGTCAACGAACCACTCAGGCAGCCCGTCGCGGTCGCGGAAGGCGTGCTTGTTGAAGCCGTCGTCCATCAGGTCATAGTTCGACTTCTGACCAGTGGCAAGCTGGTGCGCTAGCGTCATGGCTTCTGCCGTGATGATATCGATGTCTTGAAAGTGTGAGCGGTGTAATTCTCAGTTGTGCGGGCACCGTGAAAAGTTTGCTTCTTACCGAGTGTGCCGTCCTCCTTTCTCTTTCCCTCATCCTCCCAATCGTCCACGTCTTCCTTGACGGTTTCGAAACCGCCCTCCTCGTCATCTGAATCCAGCTCAGGCGCATCACTCGCTTCCTTCTTGGACTTTGTGGACTTCGACTTCTTCTCGCTGACTGTCGGCTTGGGTGCCTTCTTCGGCGCAAGGCGGTCCAGATCTTCCATGATCTCATCGTCATCGTCGTCATCCTCCGGCTCTTCTTCGGCCTCGTCAAGGATACCTTCCATACCTTTGAAGATGTCCTGGTTGAAGAAATTCTTGGCGCGCTTCGACAACCCGTCTGGGCCATTTGCTGTGCCGTCAAGGTCTGTGACCAGCGGCCTCCCAGAAGACTCGTCGTCCTCGTCATCATCTGAGTCGTCGCTGCTATCCTGCTCGAGCTCCTCGTCGTCATCACTCGACTGTTGCTCGTCGCCGGATACACCCTCCCATTCATCGTCTTTGTGCTCTTGGCGGGCCTTCTTGGCCCGGTATTTTGTGTCGGCCTCGGCTTTCCTCTCCCTGTACTGGTCGAACATGTTGTCGAGCTCGCGCTCAAGACGGTCCTCCTCGTCATCCGACTCGTCTTCGGCGTCCAACGAGGAACCGATGCCACTGTCCTGATCTTTTTGGTCGTTTTGCTTGAGCAAAGCCATCTTGCCCTTGGCAATCTTATTCGTAGCTCCGTGCTTATCGACTTGCTTGAGGTTGAACATGGAGTCCTGGCCCTGAGGCCCGACCTGTTCCAGACCAATGTCCATGGGCGCCGTCATATGCAGCTGCATGCGGACAATTTCCTTCTGTTTCTTCTCGTTCTCCCTTCTCCTCTCGCGTCTCTTCTTCGCACTCTCCTTGTCTTTCATGGCCTGCAGCTCTTCTTGAATCTTGAGCTCCTCATCCATTGATTCGACTTCTGCTTGCTCGCCCTCATCGGTAGCCGACTTCGCAGCCGCTGTAGTCTTCTTTGTTGGGAGGCCGAAAGCCTCGCGAGCCTTCAGGCGCCACTTGAGCAGCATCTTGAACTCTTTCCGGCCAAGAACCTTGAGATCTTTACAGGCTAACCTGATGTCCTCGGTAGTCTCAGGCATCTTGTCCAGGGCGGCAAGAGCCACATTTCCGTTCTTGGGCTGTTCGAAAGACAACTTGTTGTAGCTACCCAGGATGGCAATGGGGTCTATCGTTTCGATGAAGTCGCTGGCTGGCAGCTCCTTGAACTGTGTGTAGTCTCCCTCCTCGTAACCATCTCTCTTTCTCTTCTTGACCTCGGGGTTGAAGACCTTGGCCTCGTTGTTGGGTGCAGCATCTGCAAGTTCGGCAAAGACAGCCCTGGGGTCGAGGAATCTGGGATCGAGGTGCTTTGGCGCCTTGAAACCACGGCACACGACGAAGATTTCGGCAGACACATTTCGGGACGATGGTGGCTTCGTAGCCTCGACCTTTGCGAAGAGCTGGTTGAACACCCAGAGAAGCTTGTTGTACTCCTTGGAGCGGAAAACCTTGGTAACAAAAGTTCCGCCCTCGATCAGGAATTCGGTCGCGAGTTTCATGGACTGGAGGGCGAGCTCGGCCTGGTTGAACGAGTCCTGTACCCACGAGGTACCGACGTTGGGAGCGCCATCGTGGAGGACGGTGTCGGCTTTCCATGTCTTGAGGTGGGAGCGGATGGTGGCACGGCACTTCTCGGTCGTGATGTCGCTCTGGAAGGTGATGACCCGAGGAATTGGCTTGATGGGGGCGAGATCGACTCCGACAATCAGAGAGTTCTGCGGCATCGTCTCTGCGGCGACCTGGCACCACGAGCCGGGCGCGGCGCAGAGATCGAGCAGGACCTTGCTCTTCTCGAGGAAGCCATACTTCTTGTTGAGCTGGATGAGCTTGAAGGCGGCACGGGCACGGTATCCCTTCTCCTTGGCAAGCTTGTACCACTTATCCAAACGCCCCTTTCCGTGCTTCTTCTGGATCGCCATGCTGCTACGTCGTCGGCAGGTACTGTGCCGGGGCCGTGCTGGAAGTTGTCGGGCAAACGTGCGATACACCAGGCGGAGGGGTGCTGGGCGATTGTTTTGCGCCGCTGCGCTACTGGGCGCCCGAATTTTTTCTGTAATCGATACTGAGCGGCTGCCAGGGTCCGGGAAGCCAGTGGGGCGCCGAGCGCCGGGTGGTGTTTAGTGAGTGAGTGCCCAGGTGGGCCACCTGGGTAGGCATTTAAGTCACAGTGATTGGTCACTGTCTGTATGTTGTAGACACACTGTGGGCCAGGATCGTGTGTAAGTGCCTGCAGAGGGAGCGCGTTCAACCGCGTGCTAGACGCGGCACCTCCACCACTTTGGCGACCACACGAGACCCATGACAGCTCCAGTCCACTTAATGAGACCTGACCTGGTAACCGTCCGGGCCCGCCACCTGAGCACTGCCCTCCAGACCTCTGAATCTCCATCTTCCCTGGCCATCACCCGAACAACCATCGCAACAGGGGGCCAAAGAACTTCATTACGAGAATGACCGACTAGACCAAAACACTTTGCAGCTTGTCTTGGACTCATACAGCACAGCACGCCTCCAGCATTGATATTCCTCATGATGACGTTTGCTCCCACACCTGCACCCAGCTGATCGTTCTTCTCTCGACCTTCTCGACGCACGGAAACCTTAACACGAGGTCTCAGCAAAATCAGGCCACATAGAAGTCTCTTCATCAAACCATACCGAGCACGATGAGCCCCCGCCGGCCCGTTGTTGACTTCGTGGTCAGCTCGCCACCTTCTGTGACGAGCTCGACGATTCCTTCGTCTCCGCCTCGACCAGACTCCCGCAAGGAGCGGAGAAACCCATCCATCACCCCCAGGAAGTTTAGGCGGTTCTTCACTCCTCGCTCGCGTGTCCCATCCCAGACCAGTCCTGCACGAAGAGCTCTACGCGAACTAGGAGCTCCGGAGATCAACCACAGATATCAGACGCCAGCCCCTTCTAGTCCGATAAAGCCGACAGAAGACGACGAAGCTGCTGCATTACAGGAAGGAAGTCTCGGAAGCTATAACACTCGATCAGCCAAACGTCGAAAGCGTGACCACACACCCGAATCATCACCCTGTGGACCAAGTGCAGCATGCTCGAGGGATAGACTCACCCTGAAGGCTCCTCCACAACACCTGCAGCCCGGACTATTGAGCCCAATCGCATCCTTGCCTTCTTCCAGCCAGGAAACATTGGATGACTCGGAGCAGGAAGATAGCGAAGATGATTTACCTGGGCTGCCTCGCCGGCCCATCCGACGCCTGGCACCCTTGACAACGCGCGGGTTTGCTGGGAAACTCGTGCAGAGAGAGCTAGGCGGTATGCCAAGGGCAGGACGTGCATACATGTCATTTCCCACTGCAGACTGGCGGACAGACACCGCCCCATTCTACAGCAGACCGGATGATGTTCATAGTTGCACAAGTCAAGACGGACCTGGACGATGCATACCGTTCTGTGTTGCTGCGTGCCACTCGAACAGCTTGACGGCGGTCGGCGATGAAGAGGGCAGAATTTGCCTCCTCGAGTCATCGGGCGATGCCTCTCAGCCATTCAGCAAACTTCATCTCACATTCCAGGCTCACAGCAATGCTATCATCGACCTGGCATTTTCTGACGACGACTACCTGCTGGCGACCGCGTCAGGCGACCAGACTGGACGAGTCATCGACATGATGACGCAGACGCCTATTGCCAACCTGCAACAGCACACAGCATCACTCAAGCAGGTCCGCTTCCAGCCTGGCAAGGCCAACAGCAGTGTGCTGGCCACCTCGTCACGAGACGGCAGCGTCCAAATCTGGGATCTCCGATGCACGGGAGGGCCAGTACAAGAAATTCCAATAATAGAACGAGAAAACGGTCTGAGCTTCAGACGACCAGCGCCCAAGCAAGGATGTGCTGTCAACAGCATCTACCATGCTCACGCACGCACGCTCAATCAGGCGAAACAAGCAGCATCCATAGGACCAGGCGACACGCCTTCCCGAGGCGAGCTGCCCGGCCGCATTGGCGACGTCTCTGTCACAGCCATGCAATTCCTGCCGCCTGGCAAGGAGCACCTGCTGGTTACAGCATGCGAGGCTGATGCCTCGATCAAGGTCTGGGACGTCCGCTCGATCCACACGTCTCGCAGCAAGACCGCAACACCACTATCCACAACTGCGCCGCCCTCATCTCACTCACGCTGGCGGCCTTTCGGTATTTCATCCCTCTCGCTGGGCTCTGATGCTTCAAGGCTATATGCCATGTGCAAGGACAATACTGTCTATGCCTACTCAACGGCCCACTTGATCCTCGGGCATGCCCCAGAGATGGAGACTCGCAATGGAGAGGCTCCGCGACGCAGACATGGCATTGTGTCACAGCAGGGCCTGGGGCCTCTATACGGCTTCAGACACCCTTCGTTCCATGCGACAAGCTTCTACGTCAAATGTGCGGTACGTCCAGCCCGCGAGGGCCGCAGCGAACTTCTCGCCGTCGGTAGTAACGACAGCTGCGCGGTCCTCTTCCCGACAGACGAGCGGTACTTCCGAGACGATCTCGCCGGCTCGATGGGTTCACTGAACCTGGGAAATTCCACCATTGCCACGTCGAACAAGGACGGCCCGCTCGGGAACACACGCAGACCACTGTTCCGCTCCAGCCTCTCGACGAATCTAGCTTCAAGGGTGCAGGATGACATCCCCATCGTGCGCGTAGGCACGCCGCTGGTCCGTGGTCACGATCGCGAGGTCGGTGCCCTCGCATGGACGAACCAGGGAAAGCTCGTCACCGTGGGCGACGATTACCTGGTGCGTTGCTGGAGCGAGGATCCGGCACAGGCAGCCGACCTGCGAACCGGAGGCGAGACCGAGGGTCGCCGGTGGGGCTGTGGCTGGGCGGACGTTGGTGAGGACTGGGACGTGCCAGACGATGACAGTGATATGGGTGACGACGAGTAGGAGTGTGCAAAGATCCTACTGCCAAGCAAGGATGTCTGGCAGGAAAACGAATTTGTTTTGAGCAAGCGATGTGCCTGAAGGAGGTTATGGCCTTTTGATTCTGTAGAGTTTACAGTGCTCACCTACACGATACCCCAGCACGAGTACATATACTATCTCCAGAAATCGTAGTCAAACAGATACATCAAACAGGGCTATCTGACACTGGTCCTTTGGTTGAGAAATTCGATCTCTTCACTTGATCCATTATTTGGTGACCCAACTTTAGCCACATTTGCTTGCCAGTCAAAGTGCACATTAGTCATGGTGATCACAGGACTCCAAGCAGGCCGACTTTGATAGGAGCCCATGTGCTGGTGTAAGCTTCCAATGATAAGTCAACTCTGAACGAGCCGCGGATATCTCAGAGGGCCTGCCGGGCGACTCCGCATAGGGCCCGCAGGCCCGTGTGGCCTGGCCGGATGATAAGGAACACCGCGACTTGTGTGGCATCCGGCGGAGACAGGTATCGGCCAATCGGGCCCATTGTGCGTGGGAGACCCCACATCGGCGTCGGCCGCTGATAGGGGTCCCCGTCCGTATCTCATTGGTGGTCAGTGAGGTGGCATTTCCCCAGATTCTTGCAAAGTTGAAGCAAGCCTCGCCCGAGGAGAGTTGGAGATTCGCTCCAAAATCTCTGTCAGATCATTGGCTGTGCGGGATGTAATCGGTGGTGGCATGCACAAAAGATATAAAGCCACGATGACCACCCCGCTGTCGTGTTGCAGTCCAGCATATCGCTTTTTGCTGTGCCCCCTCTAGTTGCTACCATAATACCATTGATTGCCGGACGTCTTTAGCCACTAGAACCTCTTCGACAAGAATCATTGAGCTGAAAATTCACATCGACGCACAATGGCCGACTCCACAAAGTATTCGGACCGGTCGATCCCGAAAATCTCGTTGCACGATTTCGAGAGCCGCATCGACGAGATCACAGCCGAGCTTGTCGCGGCTGCCGAGAGCGACGGCTTCTTTGCCGTGACCAACCATGGCATCTCTGTGGACGAGGTCGAGCAACAATTCGCTGCCGCCGAGCAGTTCTTCAGCCTGCCAGACGACATCAAGAGTACAGTACCATTTACCCACAAGAACACTGGCTGGGAGAAGGCTGCGCAGATTCGGCCGAGCACGGGTAAAGCCGACCAGAAGGAGAGCTACCAGATGCAGTACGGCAGTAACATGGATGGCAAGTGGCTGTCCGAGGAGACGATACCCGGCTTCAAAAAGCAGAGCCTCGAGTTCATGCACAAGTGCCAGGGCGTCTCTGCGAAGCTCATGACGTGCTTTGCAAGGGGTCTCGGCTTTGACGACGAATACTTCATCCGCGCTCACAACGTAGAGAGGTCGAATGTGCAGACGGTCCTGAGGATGCTGCACTACTTCGCCATGGACCCTATGGTGCCTGTGCCCGAGGGATACTACCGTGCGGGTGCGCATGCCGATTGGGACTTCTTGACCTTGTTGTTCCAGCGGCCAGGTCAAAGTGGTCTCGAGATCTGTCCCGGCCGGGAGGCTTTCACAGAATTTGGCCTGGGTGACACCTGGACAAAGGTCGAGCCTGTTGCTGGCGAAATTGTCTGCAATATGTGAGTTGACTCGAACCCGCCTGCCCGCGGGGTTTTGAGAAGGAGATCGATATGCTGACCGGAGCCTCTGATGTTTACTAGTGGCGACCTCCTCATGTCATGGAGCGACGATAGATTCAAGTCGACCTTCCACAGAGTCAAGACCCCGGCGGATCCAGCGACCGACTATTTTGGTCCTCGGTACAGCATGGCGTACTTCAACCAGCCCAACACAGACTGTGAGATTCAGGGCCCGCTCAAGAAATACCCAATGGTGACAGGACAGCAATTCAACGAGGCGGCCATGAAGCGCAACTACGCAGCCCTCGAGGCCAAGAAGGCAAGCATGGCCGTGGGGACGGCGCAACCAGTGGCTGTTGCGTGAGATGCCTGACCAAGGAAGTCTTCTGTATAGCTGAGACGAGAAAAGAGACGAAAGATTCAAGGTTGACCTTTACGATGACCGAAGATTGACTGCGCAGTGACAAGTGATTTACGCGACCATGAGTTGGTCCTGGAAGTGGGTACACCAAGTACGTATTTTGGGGAAGGCGGGGATGGGCTTGCAAGCTCCAAATGAGCTGGCCGGGTGTGGCCCTGCTTGCCGGGGCAGGCACGCCACACGCACAGCATACATACTGTATGTATTGCAGCAGCAGCAGCAGGGTCCGCACTCAATTGAGACCACATTGCACCACCACCACCACCTGCCTGCATTTCGCCGCCCGCGCGAGCTCCAGCTCCTCCGGCTCTTCCATTGCCTCCCGCCCTCCATCCCTCACCTCTCTCTGCTTCTTTCTTCCCTCCCCCGTCCCGCCCCTTCTCGTCATCTGCCCGACTCAATTGGGCTCGCCTCTCTCCCGACTCTCACCATGGTTGCCTTCAAGTACTCTGTCCTGGCCGCGCTGGCTCTGCGCGTCGCCTCCGTCTTCGCCCAGGCCGACACCTCTGTAAGTCCCTCGTCCTCAACCCCTTTCAGCACCTCTTTGCGGCCGGCACGCGAAGCTCTTGCTGCGCCTGTTTCGGCCACGCCCAGAGAGACGGGTCTCTACCCAACTGAGCAATGTGGCTGACCTTGGCTTGCTCATCTGTATAGCCTCTCGATGATAATGCCGCCAGCCCTCCCGACGTCGAACTCAAGGCCGACATCATTACCACCTTCCCCGACACAGACATCTTCGGTGTCAAGCTTGTCAACGGTCGTCCCACCAAGGCTGTCGTCGACATCACCAACAATGAGAAGGCGCCCATCACTGTTGCGTTCATGGGAGGCCAGCTCTTCCACACCAAGGAGCTCTCCCCCGAGTCCCAGCCCAGCGATGCCATCATCCGCAACCTGAGCACCGTCCGTTACGATGCGACCATTGCTCCCGGCGAGAAGCAGTCCCTGCCGTTCTCCTTCGTCCTCGACATGCACCCTCAGGAGACTCGCCTCCAGATCGTCGGTGTCGTCACCAACCAGGAGAACCGCATCTTCCAGGTCGAGGCCTACAACGGCATTGTCGACATTGTTGATGCTCCTGCCAGCATCTTTGACCCTCAAATGTAAGTGTCCGGGATGTGCTCGCTCTGAAAAATGATTCTCAAGGTGGCGCGTTGCTAATGGTTTCGTGCGCAAACAGCATCTTCCTCTACCTCTTCCTGACGGCTGCCTTCGGTGGCGTTTCCTACTTCGTTTACAAGACCTACATCGAGGCATTCTTCCCCAAGGCCAAGAAGCCCCGTGCCGCCCCCGTCAAGAAGGAGAAGGCGATCGAGCGCGAGCCCCTGGTTGGTGACGCCGGTACTGGTGGTGGTTTTGACGAGACCTGGATCCCCAAGGACCACCTCAACCGCCCCGTCGCCAGACGCGTCAAGAGCAGCGCCAGTGCCAGCGCCAAGAAGCGGGCCGACTAGATGTCGAGATCTGGTGCGAAGCTCGGACGCCTGTAAAGCAGCATCGGCAAGCCGCATAAGCGCACTTGCCGTTGAGCTGACGGGTTTCAAGAACGGCGCACTTGTGAAAAGTGGCCGTGACTGTTCATCAGGGCTGGCATGAGACACGTACGAACACTTCCGGTCGGATTGAGAGGCTCTTGAGGGGGCTTCACAAAACTGGCGTTTGGTATAGTGTACGATGATCACACGATCAAGAAGTGATCCGGTATCTATATAGTTGTATAAAACAAAAGTTTCTGCTTGGAGCAAAGCACCAGCTATGGTATGACGGCCCTCGGCATCTATACCCTCGAGCTCGAACTCGACAATACGCCATTACGGATCTTTGAGTGGCAGTGTGCACATGGCGGGAAATCTTTAAAAAACAAACGATTCGGCTTGTCTTGGATTCTGCTTTTCTTAACATCATGCGAAAAGTGACAAAGGATGACTTGGCTTCAAGACGCCCGCTGTCTCTCAGGAGAAGTCCATGCCATCCCAGCCCTGTAGCAAATCAGCACTGCTCCCAACGCCCTCGAGCCCGCTAAAGATGTCATCATCCGTTCCGCCAAGGTCCATCCCGCCACCTCCAGCTCCGCCACCTCCGACGCCGGTGCCATCTAGACCATCCAGCCCGCCCAGCCCGCCGAGATCACCGGCGTCCCCGAGATCGCCGAGCCCGTCGAAAGCATTATCCAGCCCGCCCGCGGCCCCTGCTCCCTGGTCCTGTCCGGCGTTTCCAGCCCCGGCAACACCGAATGCATCAGCTGCGGCGGCAGTAGCGTCATCCCCGTCTACACCACCACCGCCGCCGCCTCCATCTGCACCCGGCAGGCCCAGGGTCGAGAGCTCCGCGGCCGCCGCGGCATCGAGCATCTCGTTGACCGCGGCGGCCTCGGCCTCGGCGGCTGCCATGGCGTTGGCGACGGGCTCGGGCACGTGGAGCTGCGCCTCGACCCGGCGGTACAGGCGCACGATGATGTCGGCGAGGAGGGCGTCGGTCTTCTGGATGGTCTTGAAGTCCTCGGCTTCTGCCTTCAGGACGGCGCGCAGGGAGAGCGACGTCTGTGGCGGGATCGGATATTGCGGTTGTTGTTGTTGCTGCTGCTGCTGCTGCTGGCCTGACGGCTCGCTGGGGTGCGCGGCGAGGATGGCCATCATCGTTGGCGGGGGCACGTTGGATACATCGGGCGCGCAGATGAGGGCGAGGGCGACGTCGTGGACCACGCTCGCGCTCGTGGTGGCCGCGGTGTTGTTTGCGTCCGTGCTGTTGGCATTGTTGGCGGCGGTAGCCATGGCTGTCTCGGTCTGCTGTTTTACCTCGTCCAGGATGATGTATAACAGCCTCTTTGCTCCGAGCATGCGGCTCGCCGCGAGCATCTGGCGGTGCGTGTAGGACGTGGGTGCGATGTTCGGGCCAGGATGCGTGGCCCACTGGACGAGCGCCTGGATGGTGTGGCGCACTGCGGCGGCGAGGCCGCCACCGGGCGTGCTCGCCCAGGACTCGAGGTCGTTGTGCCCGGCGCCCGCGGTGCGGCGGGACAGCCGGATGTTCTCCTTGATCGCATTGAGCAGAGGGTCGACTTCCTGGCTCTGCGGGTCTTGCCTCTGATACAAGCGCAGAGCGTTCTCGAGTGGCTTGGCGACCACGTTGAGGACGGCAGAGAGCATGGTCTGGGCCTCGTTGGAACCATGCTTGGTGAGGAGGATGAGCTGGAGGATCCGGATTGCGGCCTTGCGCTCGTCCTTACGGTCGTTCCAGAGTTGTGTGGCCATGTAGTTGATCGCCATGACGAGACAGGGCAGGAGGAAAGTATCGACCAGGTACTCCATGCCAGTCTTGAGGCTCTCCTCCTGCAGGTAGCCCACGCTGAAGGCGAGCACCATGTTGTGGAAGAGACTAGGGACGAGCATGTAGAAGTCTTGGGGCGGACAACTCGACATGAGCTCGTCGCCGAGGCCGCCAGCTTCGTTATCGAAGAGTCCTTGGATCCACCCACCAAGATGCCCTTTCTCCTGCTCACTCAACTCGTCGAGGCTTCTATGCCACTGGCCCTTATTGAGCAGATTGGCCACGAAAGACTGTGGTGCCTGAATACCAAGATCTGCAGCCGTGAGGTTGTATCGGTAGGCAAACGCCAGGACGAGCAGAAGGATCGATCCAAATTCCTCGTACACGGGCTGGTACTCGCCCTGGTCCTCGTCGTAGTGCCAGTTATCTAGGAGCTCGCAGAGTGGGTGCAGAAACGTTGCAGGCTTGTCGAAGAGCAGCATGACGTCCATAGAGAGGGGCTTCTTCGCCAGTTGTCCGCAAATATTCTTGAGAGTCATTGTTTCTTTCTCGTTGCAAAGACGACCGATAACCTTTATGATTATGGCCAGAATTAGCATTACATTCACGCCAGCTATAACAAGAGAAAGGATGGCAGCCTACCTCAGTCACGGCCTGGCACGCAGCGCCGACGTTGCCATCGTAGTTCTCCATCTCACCTATCAGTTTCTGCACCCTCTCGGGGTCCGTCATGCACTCGGCCACTAAAGCCTCCTTGACGTACCGGCCCCCGGCAGGTAACGTCTGGTAATGCATGTCGCCAATCAACGAGTTGATGCTGTCTTCTGAGATGAGACCGTGCAAACAGCACGCAAAGCAGAAATCAGCGCGGACGTTCTCCGTCACAGAGTCCCGGTTGTCGTTGGACAGGTCAAACATTTCCGACATGGAGGGGAACGCGTTCGTGTCCACTTGATTCATGGCTTCTGCTATGCAGAACTGTGGCGTGAGAGGGGGGAACATCGATGTGGCGAGGTTGGCGAGGAGCAAAGGGACCTTGTTGATGAGATATGACCGGAGGAGGTAACCGGTCTTGTGTGTCTCGCGCCGAAATACGGCGTTGGCTAGAATGTCAAAAGATGCTAAAATCAAATCTATCGCCGTCGCTTGAATGTCCCCCTTTATAACCATTGCGTCAGCAACAGTTCTCGTTGCCAGCATTCCCTTAGGAGATCTTGACGTACCTGGTATCTGTTATGCAAGTAACTAAGAAAGGTGTGGTCGTCCAAGAGTGGTCGACCAACAAGCTATCGGTAGAGCAAAAGTTAGCCAATAAGCCGCTTTGCTTTTCGAAATTTGCGAAGTCATCAACTTACAGCCGCATTAAGGTAAACATATAGGCCCGCGCGAGAGTTCATCACCGGCATGTCCGGCACCACGAAACTCTCAAGTCCAATCGTCGAGTCGAGCAACTCGTCCATGTCCGACTTTACTATGTCCTTGTCCTTCTCCACCGGGTCAAACGAGGCCAGAGTCTCGGTTCGGAACTGCTCCAGCCGGCCCGCAATCTGCGAGGCACTCTGCAGAATCGACGGGACGAACGTCGCAAAGCTTGCCGAGAGCGCTTTGCGCACATCTACAGGTATCAAAATTCCCTTGGTCAGCTACTCTTCACGGTTCCCCGCCCCGACTTTAGTGTCAGAGCAGCAGCTCTCGCCGAGGTCTCGAGGATATCTCACCCTTCGCATAAGGCTGCGCCAGTGCGTTCAACACAGTCGGGTTCTCGCACACGCTGAGCAACAGCATGACAAAAGCGGCGCGCGCGGCCTCCATCTCGTCGCGCGACTGCGCAGTCAGGAGCACCTGAGCACCTGCCCCGCCCATGCCCGTCCCAGCCATCATGAGGTCCTGCTGCGCAAATGCCGACGACGCCGACGTGAACAGCGTCATCCACCGCGCCATGATGCCACACACCTGGATTGCATCACCGGCATTCTTGATCCCAGACCCGAGCCCGACAGCCTTGGTGAGCCGGTAGAAGATGACCTCCTCGGCGGCGTACGAGCTACGCCAGAGCAGCTTCTGTTGCTGCTGTTGCTTCTGTCCTCCTCCTCCAGCACCGTTCGAGGCACCCAGATTATCCTGTCCGGCATTGTTCTGCTGCTGCTGCTGCTGCTGGTCCGCCAGCGCCTGGGAGCTCGAGTACTTGTACAGCGCCGTGAGGATCGAGGGCGTGTTGATGAGCCCGCGCTGCACGAGCACCTGCACGTATCGCGGTATTCTCGGATCGAGGCTCTCGTGGTTCGACGCCTGTGGGCGCAGACAGATGTCGGCTATGGCCGGGATCGGCAGAGGGTGCTTGGACTGCAGCAGCACCACATACGAGTCGAACGTCTCCGGGTCGAGGCGCGAGGATATGCAGCGCGACATGAAGTCGCGCCACTGCGCGAGCGATTGGCCATGGTCCGCAACGCGAGGACCTTGTTGGCGGTGACGGGAGTTGTCATTGTCTTTGGAAAGCTGTCCTCGTGGTGCCGAGTCCTGCGCTCCTGCCATCGCCTCCGCCGTCGGCGCAGTCGAGCTGCTCATTGTGAATCGCAACGATCGTCCCAATGGACTTTGCGCCGGGGTTGGACTACCTGTGCATTGGGCGGAGGTTGTTGAAAATGAAGAAGACACGTCTTGTCGCGCGGCTAGCTGGGATTCGTATCGCGTTCGCGCGCTTCCCAGCTGTTTTAGCGATCTAAAATCGTGGAAGAGTCAAGATTCAAGTGTATGCTGCCAAGGAGCTTGATTCCCAATTCCTGGTAAGCTAGCGTACGGTCGCCCACCACTCCACCACCACTGTGCACCCAGACAGGGGACAGCTAGTATATCGATAAGTTCCCACTGCGCCCAAAGAGGGAGGGGAAGCCAACGGGAACGGCCAACTTGCATCGCACAACCACAACCCGTCTTTTGGTATGAACATGATGGTATGCCATTCATTAATCCCACAATCAGCCAAAAGTCTAATTCGGCTAGTCAGCTCAGTTGTGTGTATATCTGTTCGTTGTCGACACAGTAGCGTCTCAAAATCAAAGTCCTTCCAGAACAGCACCTCCCATTCGGCCATGGAATAATATGGCCTGCTGCGACCCGCTGGAAAATCCCTTCTACGAGATGAGACATCCTCGCGGATATTGACACGATAACTCCCTGATTTGAGAGATGCACCGTTATACACGGTGTGCCGACCCCCTCCATAATCGCACATGATGCCATCTTGGTCGGCTTCAAGCTGAGATGTTGTCCAAAGTGTTAACACGGCGTCTACCGAGTCTGAACAGGCTACGGCAGGCTGCGAATTCCCCCATCATGTACACTCACCAGGTGAAAAATAGAATAAGCGCTTCCCATGCTAATCGTATCGGCACAGCTAGTAATACAGCTTGTTGTAGAACGATCTTGGCCCGCCGGATCGTACCACAACAACCCTCCCGGGCTTGAGAACTCACCGCAGTTCGCAGTTGGTGGTATCGAAAACGACTGCATTAGTCTCAGTGCGTCTCAGTCGGATAAAGCGGCTTAGATTGTAATGCATGGCACGAGTGTTGGGTGGCTGCATCGTGCCGCGCTCGCTGAACAGCGACATCGGCGACGATTCGGTCCCGCTATCGAGTGTTCCTGGCCTACCATCCCAAGGTATCAAGGTAGTCATTGTGAGCCGCTGTTCCATGTCTGGTCCCAGAAGGACAAGGGCTTTGTGTTGGCGAGGTACCAACATGTATTGTACCCTAGACCTCCTCTGTCTTGATGATGACGGGAGCAGATTCTTGTGCTACGTCCGGTGACCGGGGCCCAACCATCCAGTCCTGCATCGCCAGCCATTCGCTCCACTGTGCCTCTGCATCGATGATCTCTCTCTCCGAGACATTGTGAAGTGGTTTCAGAAAGGGTACGAGTTGTCCGTCAGGCATGTCATATTGAGTCTTGACCTCAATCCAGCTCCCGCTTTTCGCTGCGAATAGATAATTGCGCCTCTCGGTTTGGTGGAGCGGGCCAACCCCAGCCTCCCAATCGTCTCCGAAGAATCCGTGCAGTATCTCAGCCGTATCAAAACCCGTGGCTACGAGTCTTCGAATGTATGGTATGAGAGTTGGGGCGTTTGGGGGAGTGTGTGGAGGCATGGCGGCGGCGCCTGGTAGACCGCGGGAAGTTGTGACATGTGCTGATGACGGAGTTGTGCTCGATCTATACGTGAAGATCGGATTCTGCGGTCGCTGGCATGGCAGTTGAATATTTACGAAGGCGGCCAGCGATTGTACTGCGATTCCGTGCTGTGAATGGTCCAGGAAATATCGAATGCAGGAGTGGAGGCGAGGGTGCCAGTCAAAGATCTCGAAAGCAGGCGCTTCGCTTGGTCGCCGCGCAGCACCATTGCGCTGAAATACGTTTGAAGTTGAGCCTGAGGAGCCGGCGAAGCTGGGGTGCAACGAAGGGGCCATCATGGACCCCCCCTAGGTAACGGCACAGCTGAATGGCGTTTCTCTCAAAAAGTCTGGACTGCTTATCCCCGGGAATGCTGACAAGTACGAAGACGAAGCCGAGTGGTCGTTCTGAAGCTGTCGCGTTGCGAGCAAGTAGCCTATGATCGACTGCGAAACGGATTGAAATTATCAGAACACTTGCTCAAAGTTTTTGGGCTCGAGATGTCCTGCATGGAATGAAAATCAGCGAGAATGGAAACGATAATCGACAGTCCCTCACCTTGCACCAAGCACCGCCAACAACATGCCAAGATTGATGGATGGAAGCTTTGAATAGGTTGTCCGGAGAATGCCGCTAGCGTCGAATGGCAACCTTGTTCTCCCCTAACAAGCCCTCGGGTGTGAGACCGGGCAACAGATCCGCCAGAAGGTGAATTGTACCGACAAAGGCGAACAGCCAAAAGCGAAACGAAATGTACTTACCGCTGTAAAGAGAGGGAAGAGTCAGACCAGATACTTTGAAAGCGGAGGGTCGACAGCCAGCTATGCGCTTGGGAGGGAACAGAGGTGTAGTCCACTTGTAGCGATTCGTCAGTTGACGAACGTGTGACCAAGATTTAGTCACGATAGGGGATGTCAAAGTTGAGATGGAGGTCGAAGTTGAAGTTGTGAGGCCATGGGGTCCAATGTAAATTCGCAGGCTGATGTCCTAAATTATGCAGTGGGACGTGCTGTTGATGAATGAGGGCTGGTGGCGGTCATTGGTTAGGTAGGGGTCGAGCCACCCAGGCTCCAATGGGCATTCCAACCGTGCTGGAGAGCCTTAGTGGCATTACGACTTTCTTATTTTATGGGGATGCGTCGACGACTGGGCACAGTGTCGTATGGTGTAGCTGGGAAGGCAGCTGGGAGCGGCGGCCAGAACAAGTGAACCAGGTGACCATGCCGCCTGGACAGGGCCGAGAATAGGATGGTGGTTCACGAAACTGGATGCCCAAGCCTGATGGTGTCACTGGCGACCGCCCGCGCTAGTTGATGGCCGGCTAGCCAGCCATGGGCATAGGTATGTAAACACTTGGAGCATCCAGGCCGAGCCGACCAGCGCCAGACCGGGATGACGCCTGGCCGGGGATCTGCAGATGATGTTTCCCAAGACGATAGCGCACGGCTAGTGGGCAGCGGAGCGGAGCAGGAGGAGCCCGCCGGACTCCTGGTCAGCTCGCTGCCACCTGGGCAGGCCCGGAGTCCGCGAGAGGCAGGACCTTGGACCACGTTACACGACCACCGTGGCTGACCAGAGGCCAAGGTCGCAACAGCCACAAGGGTCGCACATGCGCAGCTGCACGTCGTGGCGGCACGACATCCGTCCTCTGGCCATATACCAGGTCGCTGGGAAATTTCATGCTTTGTTCGTGCAGCGCCGTCTCGTCTCCTGCGCGGGTGCCGTGTGCCGCAGCAGGTGCGGGCGTGGGCGAGCTCCACCGCACCAGGATCCCCTGCAGCCAGCCAGTCCAGGTGCGGGAGACCCCTGGGGACCCTTCCGCTCGTGGCCGCGCTGGCGCTCCAGCATTCTGCCACTAGTTGTTACGTACTAGCTGAGCCGCGTCGATTCGGTCATTTGGTCGACTCCGGCCGCTGTGAGGCCGCCGCCTTGTCGTCCCTATTGCCCAGGGCGGGTGACGGTGGATCACGGTTCATTGGCGAGGCCAGAGACCATTGCGTCGTGGATGCAATTAGCGAAAGCTGCCATCGTTTTCATAAGTACAGAGCCACGAGGTGTCGGGGAGTCTGAGGAACTTTCCAGCTCAAGGCCAACGCACGACAGGGAGTGGTACGTCAGCTTACCTAGCTCTGGACCCTTGTGTCTCGGAACAACGAGGCGGGCGCTACGCATGGGTCTCTGCGAACCCTCAGGGCTGTGCCCAGGCATTGTTGCTAGGGTCGTCCGGCTGACAATCAACCACGGGTGGCTTTTGTTCTTGGAGCCAGACGTGCGCAGGTGTCCATCCCAGGGTCCTTGTTCCAGTATAGAGTTCGTCCCGGCGTCACGTTATCGTCCTGCTCCGCGGGGCAATGGAGTACGTGATAGGAATCGTCGATCTGCAAGGCTGTGAATGTGCATTGAGGACCGACAACAAGACTTGCAGGATTGCAGGAGGGTCAATGGAGTACGTGATGGCGAGACCTCTGGAGTGCCGGTTTGGCGATGCAGGCAGGCCCGCAATACGTACACCAAGTCGATGGATGGTTCGCTCCTGCCGCTCTTCAACGTGCTTGTAGAGACTCCAGGGCTGCCTGGAATCCAGTTTAACATCAGGTACCAGTCAAGCAGCCAAACCTCTGCTAAGCATTGCCGACACAAGTGTCCGTCGCGTGGGATCAATCGTCATCTCGCCACTTTTGCCGCGGGAACTGGCTGGGGCCAAGAAGGACCGTGGGCCTCCCCTGCCGTCCCAGGCGGAGCGGACCCCAACAGGCGGCCTGGCCTTGTCTGGTGAGGCACCTGGAAACCATCGAGGCTTGTCATCAATGGTCATGTATTCCTTCTCCATACTCGAGCCCAAGCTTTCCGCAAGAGAACCGGCAGTGTCCACGGCGAACTCAAGGCGCGCTCTGGCCTGCGCCAGAGGATCCGTGCGCCGTGACGGCGGCAGCCGATGCATCAGACGAGGGACTTGTGTTGTGCTTGCAGGGTGCCCTGAACACCAGACCTCCAGACCCCCCTCACGGTCTCCATTCGGCGGCATGGCTCGCCCCGAGTCTGGACCGGCCCTAATATAGAGTGGCGTGCGCTTGATCAGCAGTGCCGAGTCTTTCTCCGCGTGCCGCACCACTATGCACTGGTGAGGACCAGTCCAAGGACTCATCTGTCAATCCTATGTCCACTGTGGACGATCATGCTTCTCCGTAAGGAAGAAAGTCGCCGGCCTCATTTTTCGCGGTGCTCGTGTCACGGCGTGGATAAATGGAAGCGGGACCTTTTGGACCAACTCGTCTTCAAAGCACTTCATTTCCAAGTGCAAGACTATTGCGCTGTTCCAACGACGTTTGGGGGCATGATCTGAAGAGCTAAGTTGACCCGTCGGCATGCAGGTGACTGAGCCGGCGAGTTGACCATCAAGCTTTAGTTCAGGCTCCGTCCCAGCCCAGTTTGCTACCACTGAGGGGCGTGCGGCAATTTTTCCGTTCGTCTTGCATGGCCTAGATTGAGTCTAGCAGAACAATGTGCGCCTTAGTCGCGCCCTAAGGTTACACATCAGGGCGCCTTTAGAGTCTCCATTGCAGTCTTGAATGTAAGCAAGTCAGCATGCCAATTGGGCAAACGGCAACAAACTAATCACACATTAGTGCGCCTTGACTCCTAGGTAAGTGTAACTACGCTAAGTATGCATCATGCAGAAGAACTCTGGCAAGATGATTGCGCACGGATCACCCTTCCGGCATTCGAGATGTTCCTCACGTCGCTCTGAGCAGGACACGCCTGTGATCAGACTATGTGATTGACTCACTGCCTGAGCATTAGCACCGTCTTGATAGCTGCAGCGATGATTCTTTCGTCCTCGCTTTCGATCTCAGACACTGCCTTTGCTTCCTGCTCCGCTTTTCTCCTCGCATCCTCGTTGCGACAACTCTTTTCACCATCCAACTTGTCGATTTTCTTCTTCTCCTTTTTCTGCGTCTCTCGCTTCGCTTCCTTCACCTCTTCTGCTCTGTGTGCCCGTGCTATATCAGCCTCAAACTTCTCCTGGATCTCGCCCGCAGATACCATCTTTCCCGTGATGTTATAAAACTCGGCCTGCAGGTCGAGCCACTTGAGCGCACGCTGTCGGGCTTCGAGCATGGAAAGACAATCACAGTCTTCCTGCGTCCACACTGAACTCGATGCCCCTTCGTGCGTGGTGGCTGCAGTGCTCATGGGAATCGTGGCACCGGGAAAACGAGGGGAGCAAGTAGGATAGAGCACCACCCGATCTGGGTACAGACCCGCATAAACCGCGGTGAAGCTGTGCGGTGTGGCGGTTTGCGTATTCTCGGGGTCGTTGTCGTCTCGCAAGATGCCGGCATGCTCCAGGGGCGGTGGCAGGGTCTTCTTGAGCGAGGACTTGAGTGCGATGGGCTTCTTCGGTGATTGCGTCCCGTTGTCAGAGCTAGACGATGTCGAGGAAGATGAGGAGGTGTCGTCCTGATCACTGCCTCCTCCATCTGATGATGATGATGACGACGACGAGGCCGAACTGCCATCCTCAGAGGACACGAGCTTTAGCAGCATGGCGAGTGTCTGAGCGTTGAGCCTGTTGGTCGTTCTCTTGGCCCCGTCTTCCTTTTGGTCGAACACATCATCTTTCTTCCTGTCGATGTTCCCATTTTTGTTGTTCTTGCCGGCTTTGTCCTTGATTGAGTCACCAGGCGTCTCACCGTTTTTGGCGAACGATTCGACCGGCTCGCTAATTGTCACAATCGGACTGGAAAGCTTCACTTTCTTCTCACCGGCCGTGATGCCGGATTTGTTCTTTGTTTTGGCCATGGTTCTCCAACGTGACAGCTGTGGTGAGTCTGCGTTGGCTGTGCTGCTGAGGTTAGATCGATGTCTCGGGAAGTCTTGCAGGTGCCAGATTGCCTTTGTTACATCCTGCACATGTAGACTGACGACAACCGCTGGGTATTGTAGGAACAACTGTGTACTGATTGTGGTCTACGTAAGGCGCATTACTTGGTGAGTGAAAATAACAACTTGTCAGTGGACCGCGCCAAAGACGATTTTCAATGAGCCGGCCATAGGTTGTGTACAATTATATCGGACCATTGTTCTTCGTTTGTGACCCCATTATTCTAATTGGCCTGAAACACAATGTTCGAAACGCCGAGGCAGAGGAAGAGCTCCTATGTGAGCTACGATGGCTCGTAATCTCCTGACAGAAAGACTGCCATTCAACCATATGTGTAGGCCATATCTGACGATTCACGGCGACAGCATGTATAGTCTCATGCTCATGTCGAAGCACTCCTCAAACGTGACTTTGCCTTTTGCTCAATGTTCACCTCACAACCGCGACTTTGGCGACCATTTTGCGTAGGGGTGTTCTTCGCCTTGGGGAACGAGGTGGTCGATTGCGCCCGTGTGCAGCAGGCCAGGATGACACTGATCGACCCTGGTGATGCCGCACATCTGCATCGTCGTCTGTAGTTCGTCGTTGAGGACTGTAATTAACACCGTAAGGTCAGCCATGTCATCCGGAGCCACAAGAACGTGTGTCTCTAGCAGGATATACGCACTGCTCACAAACTTCTCGATCCCTTCCTGGCCGTAGTTCAGCCCGTACAGGAACCCTCTCCCGATGCCTACCGCCTTGGCTCCGAGGCACAGCGCCTTGAACACATCGGTGCCGCGCCAGATGCCGCCGTCCACGAAGACCTCCATCCGGTCAAACACCTGTGGGCAGCACCGCTGCAGCTCCAGGAGCACCAGTACCGTGGCGGGGCTCGTGTCCAGGCTCCTCCCGCCGTGGTTACTAATGTAGACAGCATCACACCCGGCTTCCATGGCCCGGACCGCGTCGGCGGCTGTCTGCACCCCCTTGACCGCAATCGCCACGTCGTCCCCGACGATGCTCCGGATCCAGGGGACCGCATCCCAGGTCATGCTCGCGTCGATGAACCCGCCCATCAGCCTGCCCACGCCGCCGCCCTTCTTGTCCAGGGCCTTGGGCTTGATCCCCGTCATGGGCATGCGCAGGTGCGCGTCGTTCTGCACCCGCTCGTCGGCCTCGCGCTTGCCGATGACGGGGGCGTCGACGGTCAGGAATATCCCCCTGGCGCCCCGGGCCACCACCTCGCGCAGCAGCTTCTCCGACTTGGAGCGGTCCTTGTCCATGTACAGCTGGAAGAAGACGGGGACTCGAGGTATCGACACCTGCCTCCCGCTGCCACCGCCGCCACCGGCATCTTCCATCATCATCAACATCTCCTCCTCATGAGCATCCGCAACCTCGCCAAACGGGAACGAGCAACTCGTGCTCACGCACTGCGGCACCCCGGCCCTCCTGCAGCCCCTGGCAATCTCCCGCTCGCCCTGCGGGTGGATCATCCGGCCCATGCTCGTGGGCGCGCAGAACAGCGGGCTCGCGACCTCGTGCCCGAGCATCGTGGTGCCGGTGTTGGGGCGGGACACGTCGCGCAGCACGCGCGGGCGCAGGGTGATGCCGGCGTAGCACGACGCGTTGCGCGCGTGGGTCAGGCAGTCCGTCGCCGCGGAGGACACGAACGCCCAGGCCTTTGGGGTGAAGGAGGCCTGGGCGGCGTGGGCAAAGTCGTGCGTGTTGATGAGGGAGGCGAGAGGGGGTTTGGTGGTTGGTGCGGACGGGGGAGCCTGGGCCGATGTGCTGGAGCTGGAGACGGAGAAGGAGGATGAGGAGGATGAGTCTGGCATTGTGGTTGCTGGTGTAGCTGGTGTTGCTAGGGAGGGTGTCCTGGTGGTCCAGTCGTCCGTCACAGAAGCCTCGTCAAGTCTCCCAACGAGACTACTCTCGGGCAGTGCTGTCTTTATCAGTGAGGGCGCGTGGACCTCCGAGTACGCAGCGGTACCGTCCCGGCCTGCGTGCTGGAGGAGCACCCCAGGTCCTCCGGGGTGTGTGGGTGCGAAGGCAGTCAAGTCGTACACTAAGCCGTCAATCACCATCCAGAGGTCGTCGGGGCTCTGGTGCTTGGATATCTCTGAGGCTGTAATGAGTGGTTGTTGGCTGGGATTGGTGGTCATGTCGCTACTGTTGTCGTCGCTACGGGTCCTGCTCAGCTCGAGAAACGCTGCAATCCTTGTTGTCCCAGTTTCGTAGAGTGAGAATGTGAGGAAAGTGGCAGGTTTGAGGGTGGTTTGTTTCCCTCAACAGACGGTGAATCAGTAAGTGCTGGAGTCGACAACCGACTTTAAGAAGCAACAAGGTTTCCATATTCGGGACCCGATCCACCGATGGCCGAGCACGCCGGGGGCAAATCTGGGGGACCCTGTGGGGTTATGCATCCCCGGTGCTGTTGTCCCGGGGTGGCTCCAGTTGTAAAGAGGCCCTCAACGTCTTACTTTTTTTTGTTAGATATGAGAAGGAAACTGCCGCACTTAGACGGCTGACTAGTCAAACAGTCATGTATATACCTAGAAAGGCCGTTAAATCAGAGTTTTCTACTATACGTTAGAGACAATAAGCACGCGCCACGATTTTGTGAGCCATCTCCATCATCACGCTGCAGCGCATGTCCTGGGGACTCATTGTCGGAATGACTTGACGATTCAATCGTGTACTCACAGTACGTCTTCTAGGTATATATATCATAAGCGTGTGCAAAACTAAGCCGGACTCCGTCAATCACTCAACGCCTTAGCAACAAGCTCCCTCGCCCGCTCACTAAGCTCCATCCCTAGCGCGAGCTTCTGCCCATCGGCACTCATCTTGCCCCATGTCTTGCGAAGGAGTCCCACCATCTTGTCCTCGTCCACCTTGGCCGCGGACTCAAAGTCGTCGAACTGGTCGTCCAGAAAGACCAGGCACGCCACGTCCTCGAGCACCTGGGTCTCGTCGCTGTCCTCGCGGCCCAGGCCCTCCTTGCGAATCAGCGCGGCGATCCGGTCGATATCGGACTGCGGCAGGGCGTCCCCGGCAGGGTCTTGCTGGTGTTGTTGTTGTAGCAGCTCGGTGACTTTCTGCGCTGCTTGTGACTTTTGCTTGGCCCGCCAGGTCAGGTAGCCTGGGCGGGTTTTGGGGAATGTGTCCCGGGGCATCTCCCATCTGCGATGTCTTGTGTGAGCCAGACGCGACCGAGCAAAATGAGTGATACAATCTCCGGGTTTTGTCTGGGGTATACATATATATGCCCCCCGAAATTGCTCCCTTGGATCAAGTCTTTCCCTAACACACGATAGAGGCGCGCAATGTTCTTTCGAACCAGGACAGAGAGTCGTTGCCAACAAAACATCCGTCCTTATCATGGACCATCATAGTCACGAAGAATTCTTGATTTTTCAGACCAAAAAGAAAACCAAAAAAGAGAGAACTGACCTCCGAAAATGCTGCGCCCGGCACGCAACCTGCAACACCGGCGACGCCTCAGGACACCTCAGCCTAAGCCAGCGCGTCATCTTCTGCGCATAGTGCAGCTCATACGGCACCTCCTTCTCCTTCTCCTTCTCCTCCTCGTCGCCGTCTTGCCCCCCCTTCCCTGCCGACGATGCCGCGGCCGACCCGACAGACGACCCGGCCGCCGCCGAGAAGATGCTCGTCTCCTGGACGACCTTGCCGCTCGCGTCGAGCCGGATGCGCCGCGGGTCCTCGGCGTGCGCCTGGTCGATCAGCCTGAGCGCGCGCTCGTAGGCCGGCGGCAGGTCCGTGAGAAGGCCTGCTGCCATTGTCGTTGCCGGATTACACAAGCGGGCGTCTCTTTGGGGCGGTTTCAGGTTCTGCTGGACGGGGCCCAGTGGAATGGGGGAATCCGATACACAAAGAGAACGTCGAAAGGATACCTGGAAATATGCCCTTCTCCACTAGGAGTGGCACGGAGAGTTAAGATGGCGCTATGGCTTGAGCGGCCCGCGATTGACAGAGACCAAGAAATGCCTCAAGTCGATGGATGGGCTTGCCCCGTTGTCCGGTGTCTCAGTAGAAGACTGTCTTGGTGGTGTCACGCTGAAACGCAGGTGCGTCTTGGGCCACCTGAGGTTGAGAACGAGAGAAAGCAAGGACGCCGTGGAGCGGAACGGCTTGCTGAGTGTGGGGGTCTCGCACGCTAGCGAATGCTATAGCACGGCGTGTGCAGATAACGAAAGCGATGAGCTGTCGGGATGTGATGTGGCGAGTGAGTGAGTGGGCCGGTTGATAGACACCTGTGAGTTTTGAGACAGATTGCCCGGCCTGCGCTAGTACTCAATCCGCTGGCACGCCTCAACTCACCAGCAGCCTCTTGGTACTCGAAAGGTCAAATGTCAAAGGCTATGGAGTTCCCTCACTCACGGCCCCATAATGTGTGCAAGGTGGTGTAAAACTTTAGCGCATGAGCGTTCATCATGATGAGCATTTGGCAATAACTATATGAATATAAATGATGGAAATTGCTGGCAGGCAATTTGGAAGAAAGGGGGTATGCGCTCAAAGATGGTTGCGAAAATGGAGAGGGTGGCAATGATCTACCGGTTGACCATGTCCGTCTCAACATCCAAAACTGTGTGAATGACACATCATTGTACAAGAAAAGAACACGCAGTAACCCGAAGCGCTGAAGCAGGTACTGCCACAAACACATCCCCTCACGTGCCTTCATATGGCTTGTAGGCACGAAAGTGTTCCGGTGGCGGCGGGTTGAACCGGTTGTAAGCCTGAGGCGGAGAGACCGGCCGCACAGCTGACAGCCTGCTGGGAATTGGCGAGTTGAGCGGACTGACGGGTGATGTATCCACCGGAGAGACCGCAGTGTCATCCATTGTCTTGCCGTAGAACGCACTGCCCGCGTCGTGCCGTGAAGAGTAGCTCCTGTCGTAAGGACTTGAAGCTGCGGCGGCGGCCACCCCGGTTCCAAACGCGCCAGTACCTGCTGCTGCTGCAGGCCCATATCCTGCACCGCTGCCGGCCGTGTTCTGTGGGCTACCTCCCATACCACGCACCGATCCGTAGTCTCCCTGGGAACCACGAGCTCCGTACGTGGCAGCTCCTTGTTGCTGAGCACTACCGAGGGGTGGTTGTGAGTAAAAGGCACTGTCGTTCGTGTAGCCCATGGCTGGGAGATAACTGTTCTCCTGTTCCCTCTTCTTGCGGTACCAGAGGAAGTACAAGAAGGCACCAATGCCTATAGCCACAACCGCAAGACCGCCAAGCACGCCGCCGACAATGGCGCCGACGTTGTTGCCCTGAGGAACCGTAGATCCATCAGCCGCTGCCGCAGTAGGGGTGGGTGACCGAGACGATGTAGCAGCCGCGCCCGTATTAGTGGCCTGTGTAACACCACCAACACCGTTTGTGGTTGTGGGGGGAACATTCGCGGCTGTGGAAGGATCATCCGTCGTTGTGCTGCTGCTGTTGTCATCATCATCATCGCTAGCTGTCGTCGGAGTCGTCGTTGCTGGCCGTGTTGATGTCCTGGTAACCGAAGTAGTTGGCCTGGGACGAGTCGTGGTGGAGCTAGTTGTGGTCTTGCTGGACGGCGGATCTGGATCTGAGTCCAGGGCCTCTGGCATATTGATTGTTTGCGAAGAGGACACCCAGTCGCACGAATACATGTGATAGCCATTGTATGGACCGCCGGAATAAGTATAAGTCACACAAGAATTCAAGATTAGGCCCGAGCTGATAGTCGTCAGTACGTTGCGCTCCCATATTTGATACGGCCACCAGGCCAGCAGGAATGTTGTACGCACCAAGTAATTGGCTTCGCATTGTCGCCATCGGCACGCTTGAAACGACCAAAAAAGCTGTCACCCCCAAACCCTTTGCATGACGTGGGGATGTCGCATTGTGGGTTGGATCTCGGACAACAGCCGATAGACTGGGTGTCATGGTCGACTGAGCAGACCTGGCCTGATGGGCATTTCTGGTCCACTGGAGTCGCAGGCGTAAAAGTCAGTATGTGGACATCAAACATCGTCAAAAAGCTAGACGAACCTCCGCCGATGGTACCGCAGAAATTTGCGGCAGCTCTTGCCCGTAGGTCCTGACCCATGAGCGACTCCAAGGATTCCGAGCCGAGAACATCAGCCCCCAGCGTGTCATCGATATTGGCACTGCTTGACCAGAAGCTCTCGGCATGGACATAAGTCGTCGCGAAGCTGACCAGCAGCGCGAGCCTGCGCATGACCGGCGCCATTGTCGAGGATGACTGCCGACAAAGTCGTGAGGCCCGAATCAGGGGTCCCAAAGCAGACCAAATAGAGGAGAGCCGAATCGAGAGAGTTTCGAGAAACAAGCAAGCCAACAGCGAGCAGGATTAAGTAAAATTGGAAACAAACATCGGCTAAAACGGGGGCTTGCGGGGGTCCAGGGTCTTACATAGCGCAACAGCGCATCAGCACCGCACGAGCCCACAACCAGGTCCGTCTTCAGGTGCGAATGGGGACCAGGCTTGGAGAGATTCGGACAACTAGTTCCAGAGATTCCAGGGCGCGCGGGAGCCGTCATCCAACCAGAGTCCGCCGCCATGCACCTCTCGTGGCAGATGGAGGGCGGACAAGGGGGGGCTGGCCAGTGCTCATCAGCCGTGCCTGCCAATAGGGCGGCGCGCCACCGAGGTAGCTGAGCGGCCAAGAACGGCGCCATCTCTGGCGCCGCCTAGCAGTACCAGCTTCGATCTGAGGCCGCCAGCCCTGGTCTTTGGGGTCAAGGATGTCTCGATGGCCTTGGGAAACCTGTCGGCCCTTTCTGCCTTCGCTTGGCCGGGGTCTGCCCATCTATGGCGACATTCTTCATCACGGCCGGGTCGTGGTGGCTGGGCCCGTCTGTGCATCCAGGCGCCGGGAATGACAGGACACGGCGGCTGTAACATGACGTGGGGGCGGGAAGACGAGAGAGACTCGCAACAAATTGAGTGGTACGGCGCTGGACGCTGAAAGACGCGATGCCAACGGTGACGAGTGGCGGGTGACACAGCCTGGAGATGGAATTTGGCCCACACCAGATTCATTGAAGGGGCGTTTAGAGGCCTGCCGGTACCAGACGGTATGACCCCCGCACTGCCGAATCCAGAAGGCGCCGGGGCTCTCTAGCTTGAAACACGACCCCTGTAATCTCACTGCATGGCTACATTCACAGCTGTCAAAGGTCTCCAGCGCTTTCCTCCCTTGTCCAGCCTCGCTAACGGCATGCATTCAATGGCAGCAATGTGCCAAGCACACGGCTCTGGAATAGCTTTGCCTCATGAACCTCCCGCAAGCAGAGATCACTGCGGCTATTCGGTCACAATTTGTTCGATTGAGATCTTACTATTACAACGAGTAGTGCATGCCCTTCGCCGTCGCCATCGCCTTAAGCATTCCAGTCGGTTTCGGTGCCGTCACGTTTCGGGCCAGCGCTGCAGAACGCCATTAAGTTAGTCTGATAATGGGGACTTGAACAGCACATCTGCCCAGGACGGACCACCGCACAAGGAACGCAGCACGACTTACTCTCCTTGCCAGAACTTCTTATCCACCAGGTCGTCAGGAGCCTGGCCGCCGCGGTCATGGCGCTTGTCAAAGTCGACGTTGTGGTTCTCGACCTCACGCTTCTGCTCTTCCGTCAGTCCGGGCTTCGCACCTGGAATCGACTGGTTCCGGACGGAGGGCTGCGGAGTGCCGTCACCCTGGGGCCCCTTCAGTCCCTCCCCGCCTCTCTCCGTCGCCACGGGGCTGCCATCACCTTTGTTTGCACCACCGTCGCGGATTGAGCCGCCCGTCGGGCTTGAACCGGTCTCGGCAGCCTCCTTGGAACGACTTCCGCCCGACGCGGCGCTCGCGTCCTCGGGAGTCTTGCTGCCACCACTGCTACCCTTTTTGCCTTGACCAACATCCGGCGGTGCGGGCCCGGGGTGCTCTGACGACTCCTGAGCCTTGTTGGACTCGGGCTGCTTTTGGGGATTCTCGGCAATGGGGTTGCCCGTAGAGTCGCCGTAGCCTTCCTGACCAGACAGGCGGGGGCCGATTGTGAAGCTGCGGTAGGTCGGATGAGGGCGGATGAGCCTCGGGGTACAGGTGGCGCGGAGCGCACGACCTAAGCGCATGGGAGTGACCATGATTCTGGTTTGTGTAAGTCGACGGTGATATTGACTGGTAGGGACTGAGACTGAGAATGAGTTTCGGCCAATAAGATGGAGATCAATGGCAGGTGACGGCTGAATGTCTGTGGGATGTAATAGCTTTTGAGCTTTCTGGAAGCTCTCGGAGTTTGGGAATGCTGTGTTTGCATCATTTAGAATGATGATGTTATGACATCATGATACTGCTGGGCTAAGATGGACAGCTCGAGTAGCTTGGCGCGACTGCAGTGGGAGCTCCAAGTACTCTGTTGTGGATTTGGGTATTCGCCTCAAGGTGGATTGATGTGTCATGATTGGAAACCGTCATGGCGTCGTGTTGTGACTTTGCAGAATGGCGCAGAGCCTTTACTCCTCGGGTCCATGACCATATGCCATGTAGTTGATGTGCCTGCTGCCTCGAACACAACAGACTTGTACCACCATTGACCCGGTGCCTGTGTCTGGCGGTGCAAGAGGTTGAGAAGGTGCTAAGATCATCGGTTCAAGCTAAACGATACGGTGGCAGAGCTCCACGAGACGGAGTGTTTGATTGTTTCTCTATCTTGGGCTACAGCCAAGTTGAGCGAATGCCTTATCGTGGGTCTACCAGGGGTATGGTACAAGGCGGGCTTCGCTACAACATGTGGAAGGCTCCAAGATTGCAAGAAATTAACGACTCGCGAGTTGCTTATCTTGATGCCTTTTTGGATCGTCGCGTTGCGCAAAATGATCCCAGGCAGAAGCAACTTTCATGGTCATTCGCAGCGCCATTACTGACAGGGCCAGGCCCATGGGCAGTCGGGAGTCGCATGCCAAGCCCCCAGCTGCTCATATGACGGACTGCCTGATGCAGGCAGTGGGTGCAGCAGCAAGCGCAACAGCTCCAAGCTTCGCTGGCGCGCAGCGACCCCACAGCAACTCGGGGTGAGCTCAGCCTGCCCCCAAGGCTGCTAGCCTCGTCCATGCATCACCCGCCGTCACCGTTATCCACAAACACAACAACACTGCCAATCTCTGCTCCATACCCCGACCCACGACACCTCACGACACGCAACGGCTGGGGCATTCCGATTCAAGCACTCCGCCGCGACTGCACAGAGCTCGAAAGCAGCGCCTACGTTCCCCTAGCACGAATCTGCGCCGCCTGAAAACCCCTCTCGGCAGCGCTTCGCTTCTCCGCACCAACGCACACGACTCTTTGACCGCCAGGTCCAGCGAGCTACCATGGCCTCCCGGAAGAAGGTTCTGCTCAAGGTGCGCTCAAGACCCGGCGTCGTGCCGCCTAGTCGAACAGTGGTTCTAACGCTGCCATCTCCTCATAGGTCATCATCCTTGGCGACAGCGGTGTCGGCAAGACCAGCTTGATGAACCAATATGTACGTGCCGGTCCAAGCCAGTCCGCAGCAGAAGCGCCCGCCGAACTCGGCTCTCCCTGTTCCGCACACTTGAGTATCGGACAAATATTGACTGGAATCACGTGTCGCAGGTCAACAAGAAGTTCAGCGCCAGCTACAAAGCCACCATCGGCGCCGACTTCCTCACTAGGGAAGTGCTCGTTGACGACAGACAAGTGACCATGCAGGTACGACACCAACATTCTCATACTCGCCTCTCATGTTCACGGAGCATTTCCGCCTGTGCGGCTTGAGACTGACGCTTGCCAAACTCGCTATAGCTCTGGGATACAGCCGGCCAGGAGCGCTTCCAGTCACTCGGCGTGGCGTTCTACCGTGGCGCCGACTGCTGCGTGCTCGTCTACGATGTCAACAACTCCAAGAGCTTCGACGCCCTCGACAGCTGGCGGGATGAGTTCTTGATACAAGCCTCGCCTCGCGATCCTGAGAACTTCCCCTTCGTAAGCCCGGCCACCCCACGGATATCTGCCGTCCCGCGCAGGAACTAATGTCATGTACAGGTCGTCCTTGGCAACAAGATTGACGTCGAGGAGAGCAAGCGTATTGTGAGTCCATCAAACAAAAACATGGAGGTGGCGTGAGACAGCCTGCTGACAGCAAGTCCAGATCTCGACCAAGAGGGCTGCTACTTTCTGCCAGTCCAAGGGCGACATTCCCTACTTTGAGACCAGTGCCAAGGAGGCCATCAACGTCGAGCAGGCATTTGAAGGTATGTTGCATGAGGACTGCCGCGCTCCGTTTCGCCATCATCTTCTGACGTGTACATGTCTTTCAGTGATCGCTCGCAACGCCCTTGCCCAGGAAGAGTCTGAGGAGTTCAGCGGCGACTTCCAGGACCCGATCAACATCCACATCGAGAACCCCCGCGATGGCTGCTCCTGCTAAGCGCGCCCAACTCGCACCACTAGTCTGATTCACGGCGTTGAGGGGTTTTGATGTTCAGTCTGCTTCGTGCATTCCTTGAAATGAGAGTTGGAAATGTTGACACATGAGTACGACTTGGGGTTCTGCAAATGACATCAGCATGATAATGAGCCGAGCTGGGTTCCAACGTCCCGCTTGGCCTCAATGCGGTGGCACTCACCACAGCTCCCACAGCCAGGCCGTGCTTGGAGTGGCACGCATGCATAGACCATCGGAAAGCACCGTTGCTTGGTTTTTTTTTAGTTGTTGATGTTCCGTCTTTCTACAATTGGTAGACACCTTATATACAGTGGCTCGCTTTACATATCATTCCTCATTTTCCCCCTTGAAGATCACAAGCTCCACGCACTCAAGTCAAGCTACGATATCGAGTGCTGAAGTAGGGCCACACGTCGATGCGGCCTGCGATGCATCAACAGTAAAACCTCAAGTTGCTCACATCTGCATTATCTAGCAACGGCACGCTCAAGCCTAACGTATGAGCGGTGGTTGGCTATATCGATCACTCGTTGGGATGTCGCAGCATAGACGGAAAATCGTCATGACCAATTGGCCCTGCCAGGGACTGAAAATAGCCCGTGACGCAGCTCGGCTGACGCTGCGCTGCTGCACGTAGGGAGGGACGCGCGTTTCAGGTTTAGCTCGTGAGCGGCCCGTATTCCCCCCCAAACTCTTGACCACGACACATTAGCGTCGCCTACCGACGAGGAGGAGTAAGCCTTCCCTTCCTTTGCTGGCTGCGTGAGCAATCCTTCCCCATCCCTCTCTTGCCATTGTTATTCCTCGTTACACGTCTGCTTGCGTCTGTGCGAATATTCTCGCGACTTCGAGGTGTCCGCACGGCAAAAATGGAATGCGCAGGACAATTGCCGGAGTCGAATTCCAAACACTGACGTGACTGGACTACCTGTTCCCTGAACCCGACAGACAGGCAGGCAGACAGGCAGGGGTCCTTGCCCTGCTTCGGACGTGCGCCAAGCACTGCCCGCTTCTCCGACAAAGTACATTCAGTCAGTCACTACAGCGCTTGTCCACCTTTTGTGTTCATTCCTCTAGGGACGTCGACTGCTCTGGCTGCTGTATTACTGCGTAGTGTGATACTCGTCTCTGGCGGGACGATTCAGCTCTCTGACCCACGCGCGCGCGCGCCCAACACCACCACTCCCGCATGGAAACAACGACGGTACGCCTGATGATTGCGGTTCGATCCCGGGGCGACCCTTGAACGACACCGACTCCGAGCAGCAGCACCAGGTGTCATACCTATACCAATAAAGACGACGTAACAGCAGGACAGCCGAGCTCAACGCGACAAGCTCGGGAACACGCTCAAGCCAACGGCGGCTCCTTTGCCGAAACATAGTCCGTGGGGAGAGGCGACACGCCAGGTCCGGGCGGAAAGGGCATCGAAACATGGCCGCCCAGCAGATGACGTCGCCGGCGCCGGCGCCGGCTGAGACGAACCCAGGGCGCGGCCGCAGGCTTTCCGAGATGTCGACGTACTCGGCCGACGTCGCAGATTCTTTCACGTCGGGCCTGTCGAGCATGTCGGTCCGGAAGCGCTTCGGCCTCGGCCAGCTGGGCCGGCGGGCCCTGGGGTTGTTCTGTCTGATGGTCACGGTGTGCCTTTGGACCGTGTCTAATTTCCTGGCTAGTGTATGTTGCCCCTCTCTACTTGTCTTGTTCGTGTGCCGCATCCTCAGCATGTGTGCTTGGGAGAACGAGGTGCGGATATGATGGTGTTTCGACCTGGCCCGCTGACTGCTCCTCGCCGTGGCTTTGCACAGTCCATATTTTCCGACAGCACGTACAGCAAGCCGTTTTTTGTGGTATACATCAACAGCTCAATGTTTGCCATCTCATTAATACCCATAGCGATACGATATATCTTGCGGAACGGCGGGTTTGGCCAGGTGCGGAGCCTCGCATTGCAGGCGTGGAAGGAGCGACACCACTCGTCGTCCGCGGGGACAAAAACGTTCAATGAGGAAGAGGCGGCGTTCATGGCGGACGACCAGCTTACGATAGACGACGAGGCGAGCCTCGAGGGTTTCGAGACCCAAGGCCCTCGCAACAGCAGCAGCAGCCACACCCGCAGCAAAAGCATAGCTTCGGACGCAAAGCTGACACTATGGGAAACGGCGGGGCTGAGCCTCGAGTTTAGCATCCTCTGGGTGCTCGCCAACTACTTTGCGTCGGCATGCCTTGAGTACACGAGCGTCGCAAGCAGCACGATCCTCACGTCGACCAGTAGCATATGGACACTGATCTTCTGCGCCGTCCTCAAGATCGAATCCTTTAGCATTCGCAAACTGCTTGCGGTCCTGGGCTCGCTCGTTGGCGTGATTCTCATCTCGAGCATCGACCTCTCGGGAAAGGACAATGACGACGGAAGAGGCGACTTTCCGCACAAGAGCCAGCGCGAAATTGCCATTGGCGATACCATGGCGTTCATTAGCGCTCTCGTGTACGGCGTGTACGTCGTCGTCATGAAGGTCCGCATCGGTAACGAGAGCCGCGTCAACATGCCAGTGTTCTTTGGCCTCGTGGGAACTTTCAACATTTGCCTGCTCTGGCCCGTCTTCTTCATCCTGCACATGACTGGAATAGAGCCCGTGAGTGCTTCCGGCCCGCTCAGTGCGTTGTCCTAGTTGCCAGATATGCTGACCCGCTGTCATGTAGTTTGAGCTACCCCCTGCAGCGCATATTTGGGGCATCATCCTCGTGAGTCGCCTTCGAAGCACACAGACCCTTATACTCAAGATTGCGTACTGACTGAGCCTGCTCGCACATGTAGTTCAACTCCGTAGCCAGCTTCGTCGCCGACATGTCGTGGGCCTATGCCATGCTGCTGACCACGCCGCTAGTTGTGACCGTGGGCCTGTCGTTGACGATCCCGCTATCACTCGTCGGCGAGATGATCCAGTACGGGCAGTACTCGAGCTTCTTATACTGGGTCGGCGCCGTGATTGTGGTCCTCAGCTTCATCTTTGTGAACCATGAGAGCCACGACGATGAGGCTGAGAGCCATGCGACAAAGGATGTTGCGGATACTGGGGTGGATGGTCTAAGAATGGAGGATGCGGCAGCGACTCCACGAGCGACTTGATGCGCCTCGAGAAGCAAGTGTCTGTATTTGAACAGGCTCGCATGTATGGCGTTGTTCTGATGTTTTATTTGGCGTTAAGTGGGTGTATAAGCGATTGGATATAGCGTCATGATTACGGAGGCAATCTCTGATAGAAAAGCGATAGAGTGAACTTTGCTATACAGCACAAGGCCCGCAGTCTTCTGCTCTTTGCGATTCATATGCTTGACTTTCACGACAGGATCCTGGCAGTCCAGTGCCCAGGACTCTTGGTCAGTAAGCAGCAAATGTCAAATCCAAAGACAATGTTACGTTTGGCCCTGAACGACCAGAGGGGGCTGGCAGTGCGCAGGCCCGTACCCTCGACTTTGACTCGTCAACCTGCGGGCATCGTAGAGTGCTTCTGATGAGCTGCGGCAGAATGGTCACCTGTAGTCCTGATCACGGGGCATGCATGACCCGAGCAGTCGGGATGTGGGACACGCACTCCATCGGGCTTGGCGGAGTAGTTGACCCCAGAGAGGCAGTTAGGCGCCGCCCGTCCGATGTCCAGTGTGTCGTTAGCACGGGATCTTAGGCCCTGCATGCGCGCGGCGCACGACAAGCCACAGCGTGGTTTTGACATGCGCTGGTACGCTCAGATGCAAGCTGGAGATCGTGGCGCGGTATACACATCGGCCGATCCCCATGGTATATCGCTGAATGTTCGAGACCGACCCCCAGTCGGAGATATTTCCCTGCCGCGTCGAGTCTCGGAATTTGCCCATCCCCGTCAACATGGGCAATTCTGACAGATGCCGTGGTCTAGACCGGTCTTGTGGGTTGTTCGATTGCTGGTTGTCTGAATGTTTGCGGGATCGATGGGTTTAGAGTTTGGACAGGGACAGGGGAGGGCGAATTCCAAGCTCGTGCTGATACCACGGCTCTTTTTGAGTCTGCCATGTTCCTGGCGATCCTTTGTCGGGCAGTAGCAATAAACCAACGGGCGAAGTACAAGGCCATAGTTGGGTACTCGGGGCTACTGGGTTTTCCAGAATATGCGCTCTGTGCTGCTCTCATGCCTCTTGCGAAAAGGGGTGAGATGCAAATGATTTCCAATGGTTATCCTGGAGGAGCAAGACCTCGGGGATCGACCGATGCTCGTGGGGTCGAGCAGCAAGACCCCGCAGTTCTTTAGTCGCAAGCCCTCTGTCGCCTGGAGAGTGCTGATTGCGTGCTCAAGGGACTGGTCGCAGTGCCTTGGTCAGCGTTATCAGTAGAGGCCGCCATGGTTTGTGATCCTGCAAATGTGAAGGGTCGGTCGTGGCGGGCGTCGGGGGACTCTGTCCGCATGTGAGAGATCGAATCTGGGCCGCGCACGCCACCACCGGGGCCCCCACCATGTGAGTCCGCCTGGGCCGACTTTTCGATGTCCCCGTCTTTGGCAGAGCAGAGCCAGAATACAGGGCAGACCCGCTTGTGACGGAGCCATGCTCTGCAACTCCGTCACCTTGCCACATGGGTGCTGCCCTCTGACGGCGACCCGACAACCAGAAAAGGCTGTCGAGTTCCCTTCGTCGCGGGTGTCCAGGCCGGCCATCTGGTTCATGTCGTTGTGCCTTCTGCTAGTCATGAATTTGACCCCGACCCGAGCAATCTTGATCTACTGCAAGCGCCTGTTAGCGTCCGCCTCGTAACTCCGCCGCCGCCAACTTACATCATCAGCCTCCTGTCGCCTCCGGGCCAGCCGCATCCTTCTTTTGTCCCCTTTGGTAGCCACGAACAACCACAGGATCGTTCCAAGCAAACATCCCAGGAGCAACTGCCCAAGCCGGCCAGCCTGGTAGCGCGATCACTAGATCCACTGGCATCGCACCCTACCACAGTCGCTGCCTGGTGGCCACGAGGCCTCACCCGGTGCCCCGGGCACCCGCGTGCTTGTGGTTGATCCTTGGAGCAAGTCCCATAGGTTAATCGCCTTGCGGTGCTGCATCAACATTGCGCATCCTCTGCCTTTGATCTGCGACATCACAGAGAGCACTTGTCCCAAGGAGCAAAGTGCCATATCTTCCTCAACGGGAAACTGCCCCGCGGCGGCCGTGCTTTCCTTTGCTTGTCAACAAGGCAATTTCGTTCAGTGGACAAGCTTGTGAGGTGGCTCTGCCTTCAGGGTCGCTTCACCAGCAGTCCGTTGTCGCCTGCATCCTTAACAACCCAAGTCAACCACTCCTGGTGACAACTTTCCTACCATCTTCACGACCAACAGCATTCCTAGTTGGCCTCATTCCCTAGCAAACCACTTATACCTATATTGACAACCCCCAACCGTCACTGCCACATTCGACAACCAATCTTCAGCCACTTGGGCTTGCTTTCAAAATGCCTTCAAAGATGGACGAGGCAGCTGCCCGCTCTCTCTCACAGTCTATCAACATTGCAACCCGTTCCGTTCACACCAAGCTTAACAAGCTCATCATATTCCGCCTCCCTTTGGCTCTTCCACCGCAGACCGATGACGGCTCCAACTACGTTTCAGGACTGCTCCACGTAGCACCAATCTACATCGCTTTCGAGTCGTTGTGGGAGAAGATTGTGCACTCTGCACCGTCTCAATCGCCTTCACCAGAGCCCGACACCAGAGCGTCTGGAGGGCATGTCTGCTCAACGTGTGCGGTCAAGACGGCCGAGACAGACGCCCCCGATCTCCACACGCTACCAGAAGTCCTCGAGGCATCACACGTCCCAGCTGTCAGCTCTCGCATACGCACCATTCTTTCAGATCTGGCCTTCCCAGAAATGAGACGTACAGGTCCTCTTCAGAATGATCTCATGACCCTGACCGGCTGGTCCAGTTGTACCCTTGCCGAGCATCTGAATCATGCTGTCGAAGCACCCGTCCTCAGCTCCTTCCTCCACCACGTCCGACATGCAGTTGAGACCCGACCGCATGTGCTCCTGGCCTATGGTTGGGTTTTATACATGGCCCTTTTTTCTGGGGGTCGCTTCATACGAGCCGCTCTCGAGGCCGCCGGACCAGCCTTCTGGGCCGTGCCGGCAGATATTTCGCCGTCGCCTTTGGCCTCCCCAAACGTAAGACCCGAGACCAAGGAGCGAAATGACGTCGGGCCTTTACAGTTCTTTCGCTTCAACACCTCAGACGACGGCGAAGGGCTTAAACAGATGTTCAAAGACCGCCTCATGGAGCTCGAAGTGCTTCTGAGCGATACAGAGCGCGAGGAAATTGTGCAAGAAGCCCAGAACATTTTCGACTTCATGGTCAAGATGGTGATGGAGCTGGATGATGTTTGCGGCACAGATCAAGGTGCTGGTAGCAAGCTGCTTAGTTTGCGCAGCCGAGACAGCGTGGTGGTGGAGAAGGAGCGCCGACAGCAGAAGACGGAACAGGGCCGGTCGTCAAAGTCAGTCGCTGCCTCTGGGAAATCAGGTGACGGTAGGCGAGGATGGCTCCGATTCCTTTGAGCATGATTGTGAACCGTTAGCGGCACATTTTCAGCGTGGCATTCGTGTTTTCGGCTTTAGACTGGCATTATCAGGCGCAGGGAGTTCGGGTTGTGGAGGCGGCAGCCAGACAAGAGATGATACCCCATGGTAGACCGTGAGATAAGAATGCAACGTACGAGCAATACTAGAGGCTGCTTGAACGATGGGTTGATTTCGGTCCGCAACCATGGTCAGATGTGTGTTGTTTGGATAATGACAAACATGTCACAAACGGCATGACTACAATGAGCAGCTTTGCTCTGAGCCTTGGCCTCGGAAGACTCGCCCGGAAAATGAGTTTACAGAGCCATGTCACATTCTTGACTGCACCCTGCCTCGGAGAACCCCAAAACTGGCCAGTGCGATCCGCCTGAGCTACAATGTGAGCCGTCGAGAACAATGGCTCCGTGGGTTTTGGAATCTGATCTGCCAAGTTGGCACCCTGGAGGTCTTCCTGAAATCAAGACAAGACACAAGCAAGTCCCGAGTGAACAACATCGACGGGTCAGGTGGTGGAGAGCTCCGCCGAAAGAGCTCCAGCATGCCGGCCGCGCACGCAAGGTGCTGTACCCGACCCAGAAAACCACGGCTTCTGACCACTCATGACGAGGTATTTCGTGGGGCTCAATTTTTTGCTGGCGGGCATGCGCCCCGTCCCAGAGAAAGAACCTCAACCCGCACTCGTCTCCATCATCACCGCCGGTTGCCATCACCAAACAACCTCTCTTTTCTAATTCTCAGCCTAGAATTCGTTGTGCGTGTCGAGCTCCCACCGGCAAAGGTACATTGGCGCTGCGTCCCGACAATTCCTCTTCTCGGTGCAGGCAGTCCCTTGTAGTTGGGCTTCTTCTGTCCGCTTCTTGATTTCTCTCCCCGAAGTCCTTTCTAGCAACAAAAGCCCGAAAACATGCCTGCCGCCATACGGACCCTCGCGCCATTCCTGCGCGCGTCGCGCCAGTCCCTCAGATCCGGTAGCTCTGCCAGCTCGCTCTTCACAGCGGGCCGCCAGCAGGCTGTCGCTTCGGCGTTTGTCCGGTACGCCTCGTACGAGCGGACAAAGCCTCACGTCAACATTGGTACCATTGGCCACGTTGATCACGGCAAGGTGAGTTGATGTGGCCCCCTTCCTCCAGCTCGAGAAACCAGCCAGCAAAATCAGAAGTAGAAAGAGAGACCTGTTTCATGAGAAGACAACAAGGACTAACTCGACTTCTCCCTTGGTCGTACTCGTCATAGACCACACTCTCTGCCGCCATCACCAAGAGGCAGGCCGAGAAGGGCCTGGCCAGCTTCCTCGACTATGGCTCGATCGACAAGGCTCCCGAGGAGCGCAAGCGCGGCATCACCATCTCGACGGCCCACATCGAGTACTCGACCGAGAACCGCCACTACTCGCACGTCGACTGCCCTGGCCACGCCGATTACATCAAGAACATGATCACCGGTGCCGCCAACATGGACGGCGCCATCATTGTCGTCGCCGCCTCGGACGGCCAGATGCCGCAGACCCGCGAGCACCTGCTGCTCGCGCGGCAGGTCGGCGTGCAGAAGATTGTCGTCTTTGTCAACAAGGTCGACGCCATCGACGACCCGGAGATGCTGGAGCTCGTCGAGATGGAGATGCGTGAGCTGCTGAGCACCTACGGCTTCGAGGGCGACGACACCCCCGTCATCATGGGCTCCGCGCTCATGGCCATGGAGGGCAAGCGGCCCGAGATTGGCGAGACCAAGATTGACGAGCTGCTCGCCGCCGTCGACTCGTGGATCCCCACCCCCGAGCGCGACCTCGACAAGCCCTTCCTCATGTCCGTCGAGGACGTCTTCTCCATTGCCGGCCGTGGCACCGTCGCCTCCGGCCGCGTCGAGCGCGGCACGCTCAAGCGTGATGCCGAGGTCGAGCTCGTCGGCAAGTCCGGCGAGATCATCAAGACCAAGGTCACCGACATTGAGACGTTCAAGAAGTCTTGCGACGAGTCCCGCGCCGGCGACAACTCTGGCCTGCTCCTCCGTGGTGTCCGCCGTGAGGACATCCGCCGCGGCATGGTCGTCGTCAAGCCCGGCTCCGTCAAGGCCCACAAGAAGTTCATGATCTCCCTCTACGTCCTCACCAAGGAGGAAGGTGGCCGCCACACCGGCTTCCACGAGAACTACCGCCCGCAAATGTTCATCCGCACCGCCGACGAGTCGTGCGCGCTCACCTTCCCCGACGATGTCGAGGACAAGTCCCGCATCATCATGCCCGGTGACAACGTCGAGATGGTAGCCGAGCTGCACAACCCTATCGCCATCGAGTCCGGCCAGCGTGTCAACATCCGTGAAGGTGGCCGCACTGTTGCCACCGGCCTGATCACCCAGATCATTGAATAAAGCGATCACTGGTGGTTTGTGTGTTATGAAAGAGATGGAGATCCCGCGAGGAGCGCCTTTGGTACTGATGCCGATGCGGACTCCCGGAGAATCCTGATCAATGTATGAAAGATCTGTTCGGACGATGTAGATGAAAGGAAAAAAGGGACTAGATGATCGCGGAGTTTGCTCGGTTGGTTTAGTCCTCTGTTCACTGTATATGGTAGCCATCCCACACGAATTGTACAACATATCTCCAATCTCTCCACACCACAAAGGCGTTGATGTTGGCGAAGTGCAGACATTCTCATGACTCCGTGCATGCCACATATTCAAGGTCCTGGGCAGACTTCGCGTAATCTTGCGGATACAGCCTTAAGTTGAGTCCTCATGCCCAAGAACAAACGACCACCTCAACTGCGGTACTATGGGTAACATGAAATCATGGGACTTTAAGTCTATTAATTTATAGTGGTAACCTCGTTTTACAGTGTCCACTGTCACACATGCGTGATGAGTCAGCTCGTTTTGTTTGTTAGGATCAGCCTGCCGTAGACCCCTCAGTTTCTGTCAGAATTGCCTCAAGCAGTCGTAGCATTCAAGTTCCCTTGATTCGCAAGGAACTCAAAGATCCGGCTGAAAGTGTATTGACGATGACGCTCCTAATATTTGGTGTTAGTTTGCCGTCCACGACATGCGGGGGTGGAGCACCCGTCAAAGCTTACAAAGTTCAATGCATGACCACCCTCGGGCACAATGTATAGCTGGAAATCCTTGGAGCGGCTCAGGAATTGGTTCATCTCGACCTTGATCTGCTCCTCCGTCACGCGGCCATTGTCGAAGCAGTCTCCCTCACAGAACAGTACGTCACGCTGGCCGACAATGTTGAAGACTGGGCCTTCGAAAAGGTTGTCATGTTCTGGGAAGCTGGAGCCAAGCGTGAGTAACTTGCCCATCGGAATCGGCCGGATGATCCTGTCGATGACCTCGATCATTTCATGGTCAAGATAACTCGGCGAGAAGTACATGGCTTGGATGGCTCGCAGGCTATTGTGACGGATCCAGCCAGGGTGATCATCACGTCTGAAGGCAGAGGGGTCTAGTGAGTGAGGAAGCGCAGCCATGGAATTGTTTGTCTTGAGGAAGCCGGTGAGGATAATGGCATCTGAGTCGTCGGGATACTTGGACACAAGGTCGTAGATGTACTGAGCACCAGCGGAGTGCCCGCCATGGACCACCTTGTCATATTTACCGACTTCGTTGATGGTTCCGTTGCGTACCATTGTAGTCAGCATGTGTAGGGCTTCTATCTCGAGGTCAGACTGTACGAGAAAGCCGTCCTTGAGTGAAGCTGGGTCTTGGTCGACGCCGTCCCAGGTCAAAGTGGCGAAGTTGTGCTCGTCGTTGGCAACGGCCACGTAGCTGTAGCTGTAGTTGTCATGAGGAGGATCCCAATATGTGCGGTCCCATTCGTAACCGGCGGTCAAGATCTGGATGAACTTGCCCGGCCCATCATCTGGGCGGCAAAACGTTGCATCGAAGCTGAACACTTCAATTTCAACCTTGGAGGCATCGCCATCACGCTGTGATGTGCTTTAGCACTATACTCATAACTTGGAGCAAAGCATGCATACTGACCTCGGGCACCGGACGGATCAGTTCGGCACCGTAGTTGTGACCACGCCGTGTCAGGTCCAGCATGAAGTTTGTCACGTCAATGTCCGACTGCGGATGCACAAGCCAGAATCGATTTTTGGGCACGTTGAGAGGAATGGAGACTTGAAACTGCTGACAGTTATGAGCCGAACCAAGAGATGCAAGGCCGGTCAAGGCCACAGCCATGATTGCCGGATGGAACATGTTGGCTATAGGCTGGAGGAGATGTACGAAGTCGATTTAACGAAGCCAGTTGAAGTATGGCAGAGGCACGCGTTAATGGATAGATGTGAGCGAAGATACAAGAAGAGGAGCAAGTGTAGTGATGGTGGTTCGCGATGGTTGGGATGATGCATGGGTGTGCGAAGAGGAGACAGGAGAAGTCAAAAGATGGCATGGCATGGTGGGAGAGGTCACGCAATCAACAAAATGCTGCAAGTGCTTCTGATGGAAGGAGCGACATCCTCAAAAGTCCAGATGTCGTAGTTGAGGTTGCAGTTGCTTCCAGATGGCTTTGGAAGTCACGATCTTGGGGCGAGCGCCAGTTCTACCAGACAGGCTCCCGACCAGGAAGGAACCATAGCCGGCCCAGTCAGGCCATATACCCGATCGACTCCTCCTAAGGATGCTGTTCTGGAAGCCAAACAGGTTGCGAGTCACAATCGAACGCGAGACGAGCCATGTTTGCAACTGAGCTTGGGATGTTGGGATCGTCGTCCGCCGTTAAGCCTACTGAAGTCAACCCATGCTGCGTATTGGCTGTCGTTGAGCTGCCATCAGCTCAAAGTCAATTGACCTTACGTAAGCAAGAGCCTAGTAATGGACGGTCGCCAAGAGGACTCCTGTTCCAGATCGCTAAGTGAGCACGGACCACATCAAACCCTGACCCACCCCGCCCACACACCGGTGCCAGATTGTGCAGAAATTTAGGATACGACGAAATGTGGGTGGAGTGCTCGAAATTTTGGAGTGGGAGCGCCTTGTTGCGACGCCTGGTGATAGTTTCTTCCGCCAACCACTCGACCAACGCCCATCGCCCGTCGCCCAGCGCCCAATTCGACAATCACGATGGCCTCCCGCCCGACCGTCACCATCATCGGCAAGGATGGCTCTGCCTCCGGAGCCACCCACACCCTGCCCGCCGTCTTCTCGGCTCCCATCCGCCCCGACATTGTCCAGAAGGTGCACACTGGTATCGCCAAGAACAAGCGCCAGCCTTACTCCGTGAGCGAGAAGGCCGGTCACCAGACCTCTGCTGAGTCTTGGGGTACTGGTCGTGCCGTCGCCCGTATCCCCCGTGTCTCTGGTGGTGGTACTCACCGTGCCGGTCAGGCCGCCTTCGGTAACATGTGCCGTTCCGGTCGCATGTTCGCCCCTACCAAGGTCTGGCGCAAGTGGCACGTCAAGGTCAACCAGGGCCAGAGGTGAGTTACAAGAGAGCGAGATTGGACTCCCGATGGAGTACTAGGAGACGAAATCTTGGAGTGCAAGGGACTAACAGCGACACCACAATAGACGTTTCGCTACTGCCTCTGCTCTGGCTGCCTCCGCCGTCGCTCCCCTTCTGCTCGCCCGTGGCCACCAGATCTCGACCGTCCCCGAGGTTCCCCTTGTCGTCGACTCTGCTGTCTTCGCCAACGGTGCTGCCGCCAAGACCGCCGCTGCTTTCGCCATCCTGACCGCTGCCGGTGCCTCCGTCGACGTTGCCAAGTCCAAGGCCTCCAAGAAGCTCCGTGCCGGCAAGGGTAAGCTCCGTGGCCGCCGCCACCGCCAGCGCCGCGGTCCTCTGGTCATCTACGACCCCGAGGTCGATGGCCGTGAGCTCGTCAAGGGCTTCCGCAACCTGCCCGGTGTTGAGACCAGCGACGTCTACGCCCTGAACCTGCTCCAGCTCGCCCCTGGTGGCCACCTCGGCCGCTTCATCGTCTGGACCTCTGCCGCCTTCAAGGCCCTTGACACCATCTACGGCTCCACCACCGAGCCCTCGGCTCTCAAGAAGGACTTCCTCCTCCCCTCCAACGTCGTCAGCCAGGCCGACCTTACCCGCCTGATCAACAGCTCCGAAATCCAGAGCGTCCTCCGCGCCCCCAAGGGCACCTCGCTCACCAAGCGTGCCTCGGTCCAGAAGAAGAACCCTCTGCGCAACAAGCAGGTCATGCTCCGCCTCAACCCCTACCACGCCACCTTCGTCAAGGACAAGGTTGGTCAGCAGACCGCTGAGGACGGCAAGCCCAAGAAGACCCCCAAGGCCTTCCTGGACATTGTCCACGAGGACTAAGCGGGTTTTGTTTTGGCGACGAACCACACACCAAAAAATTGATTCCTTGCTGAGTGAGCAGCACCGAGTCGACCCAGGGGACGAAACAGGAACAGAGGATGACCTTGATGAATTAGCAAAAAATTTTGTTACTTTTCGCGGCGTAATTGGGCTTGGGAAGGTACCACCTTATGATATGAGAAACCACACAACCATTATCATTGCAAAAAATCCGGACTTCTCACTTCGAGCGTCTCTGTTCCACCCCTCTGCACCAGAAATGTTCTCTTACTTGTTCCCGAGTGACGCGTGCCGCTTTCTATGTACCTGTGTCAAATGTGTGAAATGTCCAGCCTTGTCCCAATCGTGTCCATCTCAGCACTTGAGTGATCCTACAGCGTCGTCATATTTGCGTGGCGAGAGGGTGCTACCTGCGTCTCCCCCAGATCTATGGATAATCCGTCCGAGCCTCCGGCCGACCGCTCGGACGTTTAGAGGGTCAGAGACACCTCTAGACCTCTGGACCTCTGGACCTTTGGCACGCTGGACCTCTGGCACGCTGGCTGCCTCGCATGTAACATACTAGAAGTACACCACGCGCCCATGCACAGTTTGCTCGGAATGCGGTCAATCATTAGGCGCATCGCTGGCTCCTGCACACTCCGTGCATAGACCTCATTGAATAGTCATATTGTTGTTGTTGTTGTTGTATTTCATAAAACTCGTGTCAGCAAAGGCAACACCCCATCAGCATGGACTTGTACTGCCGATGGCACTCTAGTCTGTACCTCCATCTATATAACGCCCCTCCCATTTAGCAGCCCATCCAGGCACTCAAATTAGTCAGACCCTCGCCCTCAGCAGCGACAGCGGCGTCGCTGTTCGCTTCGTTGATCAGGTCCTCGAGCTCGCGGACGCTCTTGATCCGCCAGAACCGGTGCACGCCCTCGACGAAGCGGCGCGAGCAGAGCTCAATGTTCTCCGTGCTCTCGGCGGCAAAGCACAGCCGGTAGTAGGCCCAGCCGGTCTCGGCGCGGATCTCGTCCGTCGCGCTGAAGATGGCCCCCGGGCTGACCAGGACGAGGTGCGGCTTGTGCGTGAGGTAGACCATCAGCGCGGTCGACAGCGTCGGGCCGTCGATGAGGGCGATACCGCCGCCGCCGTGGCTGGCTGGGCTGGACGACTTGCGCGGCGCCTTCCACAGCGGGTGCGTCTCGAACCGCATGTGCAGCCACAGGAACATGCCTCCCCGTGGCCAGGCAAAGTCGTAGAGCTGCGTCTTGGTGATGACACCCCAGTCGGCTTCCGAGTCTCGCGTCGGGGTCGACTGCTTGAGCTGCCAGCATCCGTCTTCCAGAATGCCGGCCATTGTCATCATCCGCCGCTCGTACTCGCCGCGCAGACCGGCGACCCACCGCACCCAGCCGTCCGTACGCCACCCGGAGAAGGTCAGTTGCTCCTTGGCGGACTTGGCCGCGAAGGATTTGGTGGTCGCTTCGGGCTGGCGGCCCATGAGTGCCTGGGCGATGAAGACCTGCACGAAGCCCGACGGCGCTGCGGTCGAGGCCTCAGCGATCCGGAGGATTCTGTCGACGATGGCCGGCGCCGCGGTGATGAAGCCCAACCGGCAGCCTGGTGCAATTGTCTTTGAGAAGGTGTCGAGGCGCACGACACGCCCGTCCGTATCGACACTGAGATACGACGGCACGAGGGAGTCCACAAAGTCGTAGCCGGACTTCTTCTGGAAAGGATTGACCAGCTTGGATTCCGGGATCGGCCGGCGCCGAGCCGTGGCTTCCGCGACCTCGGCAGAGGGGTACTGCAGGTACCAATAAGGATCATCCTCGATGATGATGATGTCGAATCTGCTAGCCAAGGCATAGAGCTGCTTCCTTCTAGCAACCGACAGTACACCGCCTGTGGGGTTGTGACCCATCCTGTTGTCGTATTTGTCAGTCATCCGGCTCAACTGTGGACAGGCAGAAAACCGTGAACACAACTTACGTCACCGAGTACATGAGGTGTGGCCGCCTGCCCTTGGAGTAGTCCCAGTTCGACATGACATCCTCCAAGCCTCCTGGGCCGTAAGGCAGCATGCCCTCGTCGTCCATGGCGACGGCGACAACGTTCACACCACGAGGCCGGGCCTGAGACAGGACCGAAGAGTACATGAAGGTCTCGGTCACAAGGCCTGGTCGGTCACGGATGTCGTTCTTGCCCTCTACCCAGTTGTTGACAAACAGCTCCAGGACCTTGCTATTGCCGTCGGTCGAGCCCACCGTAAGGATGACCTCGGGGCCGCCCTTGTATGGAACATTGGGGTGGAGCACCTCGCGCGCGAACTGCCGGACGAAGGACAGGAGAGGCGGATAGCCGGTGGCCTGGCCATACTGAAGCGCAGTGGCAAGATCTATCCTCTTGAAGGGATCCGTCACTGAATCGTCATGGGGCACAATCAGATGAGCAGCGGCGGGAGCGTCCTCCTTGGCGGCAGGCTTGGGCGAGACGTGTGCGCGTGAGAACTGGCTCTGAAGAACCTCGAAGTCATCCAGACCGTCTTTGCCGGGCATCGGATCGTTCGGAACAGGCTTCCATCGCTGAGGCTCTGCGGTCTGTGCTTCGAGAGTGTCGAAAGGGAAATATGAAGAGTGTGGAAGGCCTTTTGTGATGCGACAATGGTCAGCAATGGCTGCCGTCGCAGGCGGGCCGAGAGTTGTGGTTGGTGCGAGAACTTGACTTACCTCCAGCGAGCTGTCCAATACCGGGAATGAAGAAGTACTTGTAGAGCTGCTTGAGCTGGTTGGGGATCCTGGCCTTAGAGACGTCCGAGTAGAGGTGGCTCAGGTCCTTGGGAGGAGGCCGGTTGTCCTCGGCAGAACCGGGCTGTGTGGAGGGCGACGACATGGCGATGGCAAGAATAGAGCGGCGACGGGCTGCTCCTGTGCGTGCTCGAAGTTGCAACGGTTGTTGGAAAGAGTCCAAGATTGTTCCCCGGCAGGTCCACGCCCCGGCGGCAGCATCGCGGAGGGTGGAGCCGTGGAGGCTTATAAATCGGCGGTCGTGGCGGGATAGGCCCTGGAGATAGCCCTGGCCAGAAAAGTGACATCCCTACGCCCTTCCTGACGCTTGCCAGAGGCCAAACGCGGAGCGGACAGCACGCGATAAGCTCCAGCCTGCCCCAGCCTAGCTTGTTTGGGCTGCCGCGGCCTTCCTGATTGGGCCCTGGCCAGGATGCAGCTGTAAGACGGCTTCGGGCCCGTACGCAGCGTCGGGGGCGGCTGTCGGGTGCCTAAAACAAAAGAAGAGCACGCTCTCCTCCCACGTCGAAGCCATTGTTCTTGTCTGCATGGGTACTTAGCGTATGTAGTGCTAGACCGCCCAAGGTCGTATCGCTGACCTCGCTACCAAGCCTTTTGGGATGCATGACAAGGGGATGCATGCCGCTGCCATCGATGTGTGGGGAGGATGATACGCGAATGCCGCCTTTGCAGCCGTCTGGTGGCCTGAAGGCTCACTATCACATACCGAGGCGATGGTGGGTGGAATCTCGCAATTCATCTTCCGACCACCAATCCTCGCCCATTCGAACATGCCGGCATGAGCACTGGACGAGCACAGGACCCCGTGCAAGCGAGACACGACAGGGTGATGTGATTCTGTTATCAGCCGTGGGCGGAGCTCGCCAACTCACCAGCCGCCGGCATCGGCGCCCTTGCAGGGAAAGTGCAAGGGACCTTTCAGTCAGAGGGTGGCCTGCGTCTCATCGCAGCAGCTCAAGTGAGCAAATCGCGGAGCTGGCCACAGATGCCATTCGAGCCGGCTTGCACGACTCGTCGAGGCACAGCCCACGATGGCCCGGCACCTCAGGGCGTGGGACTGCACGACATTAGAGTGTGCCGTCTGCGGCTCATCTGCCGAGCCACTGCCGCGATCTCCAGCCCACTCATGTCCACCATCCTAGTATTGGAGTGCGCACCCCGCCTTGGGCCCGTCGCCATGCCCCTCCGTTCTTAGGCCGATCCGCGCCGCCAATTTTCTCGACTGTTCCTGAGCTCGGCCGTCCATTGTGCTCCCCACGAGACCATTGCAATCGGGCCGTGTCGTCTCCTCTTTGGCCTTCAGTCATCTTCTCCTCCTCAATTGACAACTCAAGGGACAAGCTTTGACCTCGTTGGGGCTGCTTGCGGTTGGCTCGAGGCCACAGAAAAGAGTTTGCGTTTGCGTTGCCACCAGCATCACAGCCCGTCTCCATCGCGACAGCGAGCTCGCCAGCAGCTCTTTCCCAGCCTCGAGCTGATCGATACACGGCACGCAAGCCAGTCAGCTCCGCGACGACTTCGTCATCATGGAGAGAATCACGGACAAGATCGCGGCGCTGCCCGCCGATGCGAGCTACTTCTCCCTCGAGTTTTTCCCGCCCAAGACGGCAATGGGTTTCTCCAACCTCCGCGACCGTCTCGACCGCATGGCACGCGCCCTCCGGCCTCTCTTTGTCAATGTCACCTGGGGTGCTGGCGGCTCGACAGCGACAAAGTCTCTGGAACTCGCCGAAATCTGCCAGAGAGAGCTCAACCTAACGACATGCCTGCACCTCACCTGCACCAACATGAGCCGCCGGATGATCGATCGTGCTCTCGAGGACGCCAAAGTCCTGGGCATCCGCAACATACTTGCCCTGCGCGGTGACCCTCCCAGAGCTTCCGAGTACCAAGATGCGAACGAAGATCCAGAAAACGCGATCGACGAGGATTTCAAGTGGGCGGCGGACCTGATTCGGTACATCAAAAAGACACACGGAGACTATTTCTGCATCGGCGTGGCCGCATACCCCGAGGGCCATGCCGACGAGAGCCACCCACTGGGTCAAAGCCTGGAGCATGATCTCCAGTACCTCGTCGAGAAGACCCAGGCAGGCGCAGACTTCATCATGACACAGCTGTTCTTCGACACCGCTGCCTATGACAAGTTTGAGCGGACCCTTCGAGAACATCCGACTGGCACATTCAAGACGATACCCATAATTCCCGGACTGATGCCGATCCAAAGCTACCAAATGATCAAGAGGACTACGAAGCTCAGCCACGCCAACATCCCCGCGGATATCATGGCTCGGTTGGACGAAGTCAGGAAAGATGATGAGAAAGTCAAGAGTCTCGGTGTAGACATCCTTGGTGAGATTGTCGATCGGGTGAAGAGTATTCAGAGCAGGACACCTGGGCCAAATGGCTTCCACTTTTACACCCTCAACCTCGAAAAGGCCGTGTCATTCATCCTCGAGAGGGCAAACCTGATACCACCCGAGGACGCGGAGGATGAGGACGCCATCATAGACGAGGCAGCAGTGCCTGCGATCCACGTTAACGGCAACTCGTCCCAGGATAACCTGCTGCGCGTCCGCGAGCAGTCTTCCCGTTCGAGGCGGCAGTCAACTGTCGGCTCCGACCCGAGGAACCGAGTCATTGTGTCTGGTGGCCGGACGCCGTCGTTCCCAGACTACGAGGCGTCCCAGGCCGAGGCTAGTATCCCAGCGGGGGCGATCAACACTCGTGCCAATACGTTAGCAATCTCCGAGGGAGAAGGCGTACTCGGAAGGGAAGCGACCTGGGACGACTTCCCTAACGGCAGATGGGGTGATGCCCGCTCTCCTGCATACGGTGAGATTGACGGCTACGGACCTACATTACACGTGACGAGATCGCAAGCCATCGACCTCTGGGGCCACCCGAAGAGCACCGAGGACGTTAACCAGCTGTTTGTAAGGCATCTCCAGGGCACACTCAAGGCCATCCCGTGGAGCGAGGAGGACTTCAACGCCGAGACGGGCACGATCACGGAGCTCCTGATCAAACTCAACTCCAAGGGCTGGTGGACGGTCGCATCTCAGCCGGCCGTCAACGGCCTACGCTCGTCAGACCCGACCTTTGGCTGGGGCCCGCAGCACGGTTTCGTCTTCCAGAAGGCGTTTGTCGAGTTCTTCATCCCCTCTGCGGACTGGAAGGTGCTACTGGAGAAGCTGCAGAGCCCTGAGATCCAGGGTTCCGTGTGCTTCTATGCCGCCAACGCGGCAGGCGACTTTGTCTCGTCCGACTCGACGGGCGGCGAGTCCCTCTCGGACGAGGCGAGCACCAATGCGGTGACGTGGGGCGTCTTCCCCGGCAAGGAGATCGTCACGCCCACCATCATCGAGGAGATGAGCTTCCGCGCCTGGAGCGAAGAGGCGTTTGGCATCTTTGGCGAGTGGGCCAAGGTATATCCCAAGGGATCTGAGAGCGACCGCTTCCTCGAGAAGGTCAGGCAGGACTCGTGGCTCGTCAACATTATACACCACGCATATGTGGAGAAGGATGCGCTGTGGGATCTGCTTCTCAAGTAAGCGGGAGACGTGGAACGAGGGAGGTAGAATAGTAATCAAAAGCTCACAAACAACGGCATAATGTGCCAGAAGTGCGGGTGACGTCGTGGGAGACACGAGTGCTTGCATTTTCATATCTGTTGGTGTGGGAAGTGAAGTGGAACAAGGGGTTTCCTTGGGAGTTTTTGACCCTATGTTGTGGTGCCATAATCCTGGTGCTGCAGAAGCATACTGAGCAATGGCGACTATTGCCCATATGATCGCCTGATGCTCGAGGCCGTCTTTCTACACACACACACACGACGTGAGCACATCAACAATTACCAACATTTAAGCAAATCAGTGTGGCTGCCATCTCATGAAGCATGCAAAACTACAATTCGTCACTGGTGCTGGGAACAATTAACTCGCCACAGGGCACCGATTGCATGCGCAACCGGAAATCACCGGCGTCATCATCATCATCATCATCGTCGTCGTCGTCGTCGTCGTCATCAATATCGTTACCGGCACATCCTTAATTCAATATCTTGATTTCAAGTCGTCACAATCGTTGACACTGATCTGCCATGAATCTCGAATATATGAGAAAGGGGACGCAAGAAAGAAAGGGAAAAAGAAATTAAAGAATTCGGGGCACAAAATCGAAGAGGCAACCACATCACAAAGCCTATATCCTACACACCAAGACCAAGACCAACAACAACGTCATTGAGCAGAACGAGCACACACACATACACACAGCCAGGACAACAGCTGCCGCCTGCTTTCGCGGGCCCCTGGGGCGCGCGGAAGCACACTTTATCTTAAGTCCATGTAGGAAGGAACGAGAACGAGAATGAGAAAAACGTCGCATCGAATTGTATCTAGCTCTTTTGCCGTCTCGGAGAAAAAACCCGCGTGTGTATGGTGAAGCTCACCCGGGGTTTTTTTTTGTTTACCCTTGAGCGCACGGCGCGGGCGTGTTAACATCATGCGCAATCACGAAAGCTGTAAGACAGACCACGCTCGGGTTTGTTAAACCCCCTGAGTTTTCGAAGGTCTGACTGGGATGGAACACGCCAGGATCACAGTAGCCAGGCGCGGAACCCTGGGGGCGCAAAAGCTGTGTGCTTTCATGGCATCGCTTTTGCTTGGTTGGGGGCGATGTCGGCTGGCTGCCTGCCTGTCTATCTGCAAAAAAGTCCTTCCGCAGTGATAAAGGTGGTTTCATTGCTGCTGCTGGGTTTTTGATGTGACGCATTCCTCACTTTGCTCTACACTGTGTAGAAAGAGCGCAGGTAGACTTCCGCACGTGGGGAGACCACGAGCTGTGGGCGTGCTGTTGTTCCAGAAACGCAGACGAGGGCTCTCTTCGCCGCCACCGAGGGTTGGGCTGCCTTGAGATGAACATTTGTCCATTGTCCACCATCGCGGCGTGGACGAGCCGAACCAGCGCCATGGGAATTGTTGACACAAATACGGGAAAAAGTCATCGCATTGCTGTATATTTCTGTCGTACATGAGAGCCCAGTCGGCCTCGTAATATGGTGTGATGCAGACAAGGGTATTGTGGTGTCATCTAAGTCAAAACGCTGTACCAAGTAGGGAAATGGTTGAGTAGAGTAATCATCGCCCATCAGTGAACGATTCTGCCGTGCTGAGAGGCCATCGCGCGAGTACTGAGTCTCGATTGGCGCAGATGGCGCCTTCGTATGAAGGAATCAAGTCGAGGTTGACTTGATCCTTAACATTCATCGTCTGATGTGGGTTGGCCATACCCGTCATGGTACCCGTCCTCGAACGCATGGCTCACGAACGAGGCGTGATCCCGGGCTGTGCTGAAGCCGCTGGGCGGCGCGTAGCCGTCGTGTCCAGCGAACGGATCGTCACCATCGCCAGCGCCATCAAAGCTGAACGCTGCGGCACCGGCAGCGTGGCTGGAAGTGTGGCTGCTGGTGAACCCGTTTGTGCTGTCCTGGGTATTGGCATTGTGGACGGGCAACTTGGCCTTGATGGTATGCGGATGCGGCTGTTGGTGCTGGACATGTGACATGCCTGCCATTGGCATCGTAGAAACGGCGTCGGGAGAACCACCGGAGAGGTCGATGACCTCGTGCGGCACGGGGATGTCCTTGCGGGGCGAAACGTTAAGATGCGCAGGAATCCGAGCCTGAGGAGCACGGGGAGAGCCGGCCGCGATAGAATCGACGGGGTCCTGCTGTTGCGGCTGGGCAGCAAAGAGCTGAGCGCCGTTACCGACAGGCAAGTTGCTGACTCTCGGCGTTCCGTTGCTGGTACCTCCCATAGCAGCAGCCGGGTTGCCGTTGCCGAGCTGCCTGTTCCGTTTGCGGCTCGGTGTGGCTTCCAGGTCGACGTCCTTGGCCGAGTAGTCGCTGTCCTCGTCCGAGACTTCGTTAGAGTCCTCGGCGAGGTTGTAGTTGGCCTTTGCTTTGCGCTTGCGGGCGCTGCTCGCCGCCGTGCCCATAGTGATGGTCGACGCGCGGCTGCCCGGAGTCGGAGCGGCGGCGTGCTTGCTGGCTCTGCCACTTGGGGTAGACACTGCTGAGCCGGCACCTCGCTTGCCCATGACCTCGCCCATGACATTGACGGGCGACTCGCCCTTGCTTACGGCCGCCTGCTGCGCCTTGCCGAGCTTCTTGATGTCTCGAAACTGCCATTCGAGGCCAGCTGGAGTGGACTCGCCAAAGAGCTTTTGGATGGCTGGGAAGAACAAACACGTCAGTGACCTATCTCGAGTGGTAAGTTGCGCATGGGGACAATATTCGCAGAAGTCGTCAAGATCGCAAAGTTGCGCTCGGTTCGAGGATCAAGACAGGAACAAGTATTACCTGCTTTCTCCGTCGGCAAGTCTGCCGGGTCTTTGCCAGCGGCAAGCCAAGTCCTCTGCAGCTGTGCAAGCTGCTTGAGAGGGCGCAGGCGGTGGTCAATGGAGGATGGAGTGCAGTTGCTGCCGGCATGCTTGGCCAGTTCTGGGACAGCCAATCAGCCACTGCTCAGGACCAAATATAAGCACTGCAGCAGACTCTGCAGCAAAGTGCCCGGGCATGTGGAAGTGATGGATCGCTGTGAGGGGAGGCTCGAAAAGCGCAAAGAAAACCCGACTTAGCCGGCTCCAGGAAGACGTGTTCATACAAGCGAATGAGGCACTTACCATTGAAGTCGAGCTTTGGGTTGGCCGTCGCAATGACGGCGGCCAAGAGGCGAGTCTGGGCCTCATAGGTCCTGAAGTTTGTTGACTTGCTGGGCGCCATGATGGAGTCGCTGTGCAGAAGGTCAGCCCCGAAAACTCGGCTTTGTGATGCTCGAAGTTGTGAAACCCAAGGGTGACAAAGCGGGCAAACGAAAAGCTTGACTGGCGAGGATGGCAGGAGTGTGCTCACAATATGAGTTGAGTTGGGGAGTTGGGGAGTTGGGGATTGTTGGTGGGTCGACTATCTCGGGGTGTCGAGTTGAGTCCTGTTTGCACCAAGTCAGTCTTGACTACCCGGGTAAAACCTTTGGGAGGTTGGGATGGCAGCTTTGAGGAGGCAGTTGCCCTTGTTGCCTTTAGACTGTGTTTGCGGCTTGTATCTGCAGTTGAAACGCAGTGAGGTGACTGTGAATCGGGAACAAGTTTTCACCCAGAGTCACTGCACAAGTGCCTTGTGTGGCATCCGGGTGCTTGAACGACCAGGAGAAATGATGGAGCAACTTACCCAAAGCAAGTTGTTGGCTTGAGAACAATAGTTGCATACGCGAGCTGAGTGTTGCAAGCCAGAACCCACCCCCAGGAATACCAAGTTGTAATTGGCAAATAGATCGCCCCCTGAACGCCTGGAGAATTATTCTGCTCTTTGTCGCGAACGCTGTCTTGGCAAAATAGGTCCGTAGCTGGCAAGGCGTAGATCTGCAAACAGTGCGATAGCGCTGTAGATTGGTGCTGCTGAAGTGTTTTGCGGGCGTCAACTGTTCCTTGTGAGGTTGTTGTCAGGCTCAAGGGCTAGGTTGCTGGGGGGATCTCTGGGGAGGTCTGGTGTGCCAAAGCGGTCTCTAGCAGTCAGTGCTTTCGAGTCTACCGGCCAGGAAGACAAGTCGGCGTTTGACAGAACCGACGGGCGAGTGGATTGCCGTGGAGCTGCGAAATAAACCCAGAAGGACGGCGACATACAACGATGTCGTGGTTGCGAGGTTGCGACAGTTATGCTGAGCTACCCTCGCCTGTGTGATGTGGTTGGCTGGTAGTTGGACCAGGCGGGAGCATCCGCCGCCGTCGAGTTTACTTGGCGGTGGTTGTAGTGGTGGTGGTACCTCGAGTACAGGCTGCCCAAGCTGAACCTTTTAAGGAGCCCAAACGCTGGTTTTTGCCTGGCACCTCACACCACTTGATTATCGTGTGTAGTTGACGTTTCTGGTGGCTCAATTGACGCCGCACGCAAGTCACACAATGCTTCTGCTGGCGGCGGTGATCTTTGATGGTGGGACAATAGTGCACAGGTCCAGATAGCATGCAGTGCGGATATTCCAGGTGGCTGGGGCTCGGCCGCTGCGCACGCTCCAATGCGCAAGTGAAACCTGGTGACAATCTGCTAAGGAATGACTTTGAAGGGAAATTCACAATCCCTACATCCGTACGCGCTCTTGCATGCGAGCGTCATCTGCTCAGATCTGGAGTATCTCACAAGTAGAAAAGCCTTGGGGACTATGTCTGAGACCCAATTGGACTTTGTGTGGTGCCTGTGTGACTGACACGATCCAGGCTTACAAGTACTGCCTAGCACTTGTTCACGGTCACTCCCACACTCTGACGAGTCCCACCGGCGCAATCCATTGCTGTCTCTACCCCTGCTTTCCTTGACCTCCGCGAATGCTTTTATTCACATCGCGTGCATTGGTCTCTTGGTGATGATCCCTTTGTAACTTTTTCCCTTCATGTACACAGCCAATCATCATCATAAATGGCATCGCTGGCCACGTAACTTTCTAGATTGAAGAGCAAGGCTTTCGCTTCAACTCAGTCTGCCCGGTGTACGCTCTAATGGACCACCATCAAACAGCACCTGTCTATACGCTCAAACAAAAGATTATATAGGCAAGGACACGGATAGCTTCTAATCAAGCTTCACCTGCATCTTGCGACGCAGAGGCTCAAAGTGCGTCGGCGAGTAACCTGCATCCTTCTTCCGTGGTGCTTGGTGCAAAGGCTGGTCATGAGAGATACTCTCCGCCTCTATCTCAAACGCCATCCGGTTGAAAAAATTGAAAATCTGTCAGGTCGGTGTTAGCCCAATGGCCATTGGCTAGGCGAAAGCTTCGCATTCGACTTACCGGCTTCGCGTGCCAACGTCCGCCTCCAAGCTCGAACCAGCCAATGTGGCCACCAAGTGACGTGGTGCAAAGGACAGTGTACGGGTTCTGCGCCGCCTCGGTCCGGGGCAGTCCCCATTTGCTGGCAATCGGGTCGTCCTCAGCGTTGAGACACAGCAGAGGGATGCGGACTGCGAGAAGCGAATCGTTGCTTGAGGCATCCCGATAGTACGCATCCTCAGTTGGGTAACCCCAGGTCGGGCACTGGTAGGCACGGTCAAACTCATGCAAGTAGGTGAGCGTGGTCAAAGTCTCGTAGTCCACATTGGTATACTTGATGATTTCCTCCTTGTGGTCGGCAGCCAGTTTGCGCATTGCGGCTGCATAGTCATGTATTAGCAGCCATAAACGTAATGAGACTTCAACGTCATCACTTACTTCCAAGCACTCGCTGGTACAGGTGGTGACCAATGAACGAGCTGCTCAGCATCTTGTGTGAGATGTCGAGGCTCCAAGGGTTTGCGCAGACGATGGCCGCCTTGAAATTGCACGATGCACCTTCCTCGGCAATGTACTAATAATCCCAAACGTCAGCGGTTTTCACACAATGATGTCTGTGCATATTCAGGGGGGAGGGGGGCTCACATTCGTCAAAATACAGGCGCCCAGGGAGAATCCCAGCCCAAACAGCGGCCGGTTGGGGTACGTCTTGCGAAGCCATTTAACGGTCTGTCTCACGTCCCACGTCGCGCGCGCATTGTACAGAATCCCGGTGGTGATTTTGCTGTTGGCACACCCTCGGGAATTGACAACACAGACCTCCCACTCTCCGCTGTCAGCCAATGGTGCGATGGCGTGGCGCAGGTAGACCTCGTGCGAGCCTCCAGAGAGGCCGTGAAGTACGACCAGCATCGGCCGCGAGTCTTCGGACCCCATCGCGGCTTTCTCCTCGTCGGAAAAATACGCGGTCCGAGGAGGCAGCGAGGGGTCCACGGGTTCTTCTGGGCCCCGGTTCACAAAGTCGACGGCATAGCTGCCGTTGAACTCTGCGTGATCCGCCTCAAAGATGCGCCGCTTGTAGTGTGTAGCAGGAGCTGCCCTGCCGAAAGCGGTCCAGCAGGTCTGGAGGTGGCCATTGAAGAGGAGCGGGTTGAGATTGCAGGGCGGGACTGTCTCCTTGACCACCGTGAGCAGGTCTGTCTTGGCACCGTCTTTGCCCGTGAGCTGAAGCGACTCGGGTGCCGTTGTGAAGTTGAGATATGCTCTGCCTAGCCAGTCCATGTTGGTGACTGGCTTGTGATCAATGCGACGATGATGGCTTGCCGGGAGAACGAAGTCTAGTTGGACAATGTGCAAGGTGTCGGCTTGCTGAAGATGACGAGGCTAGCAAGCATTGCAGAAGCAAGTCTACTGGGCGAAGATATCACAGGATTCTACGGCCGTGAAATACGATGGCTTGAGTTCAGAAGTCGAGAGGCAACGACGACGACGAAGGAGATTCCAAGGTCTTGAAACGACGTGGAAGGTGCGGAATTGCCGCCGCACTACGAGATGCGGGCCCCCACTCTTTCTTTCGTTGGGCCCTCCATGGAGTGCCTCGGGAGTGCATCTGGCGGGCAAGGCACGCCGGGGAACAGGCGCCGGCACTTCTAGCATGTGGCACGAGCTAATAGGGATGCGGTACTAAGGGTCCGCCATTGCGCCCTCTGGCTAGTGGCGATGGATGTTGACTTTTTGGCAGAGTGTGCACCTTGCCTGCTGTACCGCAGACGTAGTACATGGCCCATGTCCAGTCCTACACACTAGGGAGCACCCATTCCAAGCGCTTCGTCTCACTCACCCGCATGTGGTGATGCGAGTACTAGTCAGAATGTTGGTGGCAAGTGAAGAAGGCGATGATGTCTGTTCGTTGAACGAGAGCACGCTCGATGGTTGGCTGGCTGTCTGTGGAAATGAGTGCACAGCTGGCACCAGGTGGGCCATGTGCCTGAGGCACCCGGGAGTGCGGCTCTGTGACGGACCCCACCCACTCTGGGCCAGGGCCCCGACTCTCCAGGCTTGGCGGCTGGATTGTGCTCAGCGCAAGCGGAGACGCGCCCGACATCGCGATGCGCCTCGTCTGTCTGTCCATGCTCAACCATCGCCCAGGCGCAGATCGTCAGCCCACGCCGCGCCACGCTATGCTCTCGCCAGTCAGCTTCACGACGACACTCCAGAATCCAACGCGCCCATGACGACGAGACCGTAGCCGCGCGCGAGTCGACCAGCATCACAGGCGCCCCGGCGTGATGTGAAGTATGAACTATCGCGGATCCATGCCTCCGGGCCACGGGTCGCCGGGCTACAACATCCCCCAGAACCCTTACGCCCAGCAGCAGCACCACCAGCAGGGTCAGCCATTCCAACACCAGCAACACCAGCAGCACCATTTGCAGCAACAGCCTCAACACTTCCAACATCAGCTCCAGCAGCAGTACCATGGCCAGGCTCTCCCGGGCGACTTTGGCGCCTCCTATGGCCAGCCTCAGTTCCAGCAGTCGCAACAGCAATACCCGCAAGCTCAGTTCGCCGCCTATGGATATAATCCCCAGGCGCAACCTCAGGCACACCAGGTCCAGAATCCACTCCCACGACAGCAGCATGGACGCCCCCAACACCAGCATGTCCAACTGCAGCATATCCAGGCCTCGGGCTTAGATTACTCGGCTGCATTCGGCCAGCACGGTGGTCAGTTCCAGGCCTTCGACACACCATACTCTCAATCTCCAGTCCAGTCGACACAACATATCCAGCCCCAATATAACCATGCCGAGCGGGCATTGCAGTCACCACAGCCTCTGCAACAACAGCAGCAGCCGCCTCCACAGGTACAACAGCGACAACAATATGTCCAGCAAATGGATTGGCAACAAATGCCGCCGCCCATGACGAGCTCAGTGTCGTCTACCTCGTTCCAGAGCGCGAGCCCGCAACTGCAACAAGACCCTCATATACCGCTGGCGAGACCGCCATACCAACAATCGCAAGACCAGGGACAGCAAAGGGCACAACAGTCGCAACAGCGAAGGTTATCACAGGCTCAGTCTCATTCGCCTCAGATCCAGCAACAATCACAGGGTGGTCAACAGAAAGCACCGCAGCGTCAACACTCTCTGCCACAGATGACTAGCTCACCCTCGATCGGACAATCGCCAAAGCTCCCACAGCAAAACAATATCAAGAGACTATCGAGCGCCGGCGCGCGAATCGACCAGCCAGCGCGAGTGTCTGCCAGCCCACGCCTGCCGGCTCACGCTGGTCCAACCAGAAGCTCCAGCGTCAGCTCTACGCGGTCACCTGCCCCTACTCCGGGCCTTATTCCGCATCATGCAGATACAAACGCCCTGCTTATCAGTGTTGCTGAGGAGCTGTTTGAGAACGCGCGAGAGTCGGCGGCTGCACTAGCTGATTCCATGGACGCTCCCAGCCTCAAGGAATACCAGAAGATGATGGCGACCGGTCTAGGCTGCCTCGAAGTCGTTTTGGGCAGCCATAAGCTTGCACCAAGGGTGGAAGCGCGATTGCAGCTTCGTTATGCAAGCATACTTGCAGAAGAAACGAATAATGTCATGGAGGCGGAAACGGCACTTACCAAGGGAATCACGCTCTGCGAACGGGTAGGAACCACTCCCTTATCTTTAGAGTTCAAACTGTTGTGATGGCTGACGTACGCCCGCTCTAACAGAACCGTTTCGCCGACCTGAAATACGCCATGCAGTTTCTGCAAATCAAAATGCTCTCGCAGCGCCGTGGGAAGGCTGCCATGATCTCTGTGGACGCACGAATCAAAGACTCCGAAGTGTAAGCATGGGAACTGTCTTTGTTTGACTGACGGCATCGCTGACAATCGCTCCATAGGATGAAACATTCACACTGGACGTATGCGTTCCGCTTCCTCAAAGCATCGTTGTACTTGCAGTCGGCAAACCCCGCAGAAGCACCAGCAATGGAGAATCTCAAAGCGTTGTCGGCGCTGGCTGCTCAGAAGGGCGATCGCGCCGTCTTCGTCGTGGCGACTTTGCTCGAAGGCTTGAGCCTTTTGAAGACGATGAAAGAGGATGCCATCGTCCGCATTCAGGGATGCCTTGCCCAGGTGGCCAAGTACCAGCTCGAAGACTCTGTACATCTCATGCAGACGGACATTTTGATGCTTATGCTTGATCTTGCCTGCAGTCTCCATCAGAAATCGCCTCATATAATTGCCCAGAAGTACGGGGCGCTGCAGGAGCGTCTCGATGTGTACCTCAACAATAATGACTGGGGGTTGTCGGACACAGAAATGCTTGTCCCTATTCGCAAGCACTCGACCAGTCAATATGTGATCAGCGAGGACACCGCTGCGATATTGAGGCCAGGCTCGGCCAAAGAAGATTGTGATTACTTGGCAATGTCGTTTTGGAGCAAGCTAGAGGCATTCACCATTACGTGAGTTGATTGGGTTACCAGCCAGACGGAAGCAATGCAGACTGACAAGATGGGCGCAGATACACGTACAGCGGGCTGGGCAATCTTTACAAGAGCTCCAGAAATGATAAGAAGATCTCTGAGCTCTGGGGGGAAGCGCATAATCAGTTGGAGAACAGTGAGTTGGGGACCTCTTGGAGATCATCCTGCAGGACTGACGCAGGACCACAGATGCCTATAAGATACGCGGAGTTCCGACATCGTTACCAGATGCAGTTTCAAAGGCGAACTGGAGACGAGAGCTCAAAGCTTACTTGAACATTCTTCGAGGGCTGCATCTGGCTACTCACAGTAAATGGAAGGAGGTACGGAAGTGCATTGATGAGCTGAAAGTGCTTGTCAAGCCTCCGCTCGGGGGTCTTTTGTCTCAATACCTGCTGTACTTGTCGGGCGTATATGCGCAGGGCACGGGAGACCTCAAGCAGGCCATCAGCCTGTATAGCCATGCGAGCTTTGACTTGGAAGCGTACGTCACAACAGTGGGTGGCTCGAAGCAGTCCGAGCTCGAAGTGTCCATGCTGGCCATCTTCAACCGCATATGGATCATGCAGCACCCATCGTACCGGGACGAGTACGCGACGCAAGAGCTGCTCGAACAGCTGCGCCCTCTGTGCGCCGACAACCCAAACCTGGAGATCCGGACGACATACAACCTCCTCCTGGCCGCGATCCAGACGAACCCACCGATCCCGATGACGGCCGTGAAGTCGCACATCTCGGCGGCGCTCAACGGGTCTAAGATGCTCGGGGACGTGCAGACGCTGTCGATTGCGCTGTGCCTGATGCAGGCCAAGCTCTTTCAGGGCATTGTGGGCGAGCAGGCGCTCAAGAGCGCGCGGGCGGCGTCGCAGCAGGCGAAGAAGTGCGGCAACATGCTCTGGATGAGCGTCGCGGACGGCATGCTCGCCGTGAGCCTCGAGACGCAGGGCCAAATCGCAGAGGCGAGCAGTGTCCATGCCGAGGCGTCGAGGCAGGCCGCTACAGTTCAGGCCGTCATGTCAGGCCGTGAAGCTGTGTGAAGGGGGGGGGGGCCTTCGATGTAGGAAAGAAGCTCTCGCACTCGCCGGATGAGGAAGAAGTGGCGACATGGACCGCGCGTGTGTAAGGCTGAGATATCCTTGACATTGAGCATTGCGCCGATAAAATATACATACACGTGCTAGTGTGGGCTGAGGACAAATTCTATGACATATTTGAGGCATACGGCACTGGTTCACTTTTGACGTAACCAGGCTCGTCCCAGGACCATGATATGTCGTCCTGAAGCCTGAGTGTTAGTTGTGATCACAATGAATCGTGCCCCTTGGAGACGAAAGCGCAGCTTATCAACAGGTGGTGTAGCTATCTATGTGGTTGCGCTCCAGCAGGCAAGACTCCCGACGCCACTCTACACGGCACTCCCGAGAGTGTACGCGAAGAAAAAAATATGGTCCGAGTTGTCTACTTTGCCTTGTGCTCGCCCCCCAAAACTTCCAGAATGGTAGGCCGCAGCTAATTACACTATGCACAGGTGAAAGTTGTCCGAGCAAGGTCGTAAACTACTATAGTTGAGCACATGACAAAAAGATCAGGGAGAGAGAGAGAGAGCAGAACAGATAGACAGCAACGCCAGCCCGCAACTGCCCGGTTTCTTCTTTTTTTGCGCCATGTCGCATGCGCCGCCCCAAGTCGCCTTTTTGAGGGGGACTTGAGCGAGAGTGATAAGGAGGGCACCTGCCGACTGGACCTGCCACACACACGGGGACAGAGAGGTCAGACTTGGGTAAAAGAAGCCCAAGATGGAAATTGCATGTAGCTTGTACTTGTACAACAGTCATATACCACTCTCAGCACAGGACAACACGACACGACATGGTATACTTCAGCACTCAGTAGGACACGGACAGTCCACTAGAGCCTCTGGTTTGTTGTGGGGAATTGGTTGTTGGATAAAACTCACAATTCCAGGTAGGAAATCTGAATGATATGCATCCCTGCTGGTGGTCTCGTCTGGAACCCAGCGGAGAGTTGTGCAAAGCGTAGTACCACCACCACCGTCACAATCACCATCACAGCCCTCATGAGTGGAAGCATCAACTACACGCGTGGCCCCGCGCAGCACGTACATACGAAACCAAAGAAAAAGTTCCAACTTTTCCATGGCCCTCTCGCTCCAACCGCGGACGAATAGGCAACAAGACATATCCAATCAGGCTCGTTTCGCCCGCCGCGCAAGAAAACCATGGAGAAAGAGTGCGTTCCGACGGCTTTGGGGGAGAGCAGCAGCTGATAGAGACATGCAGGACCTAGCCAGCCCACACGACGCAAGAAACACATACACACAAAAACTTCTTGCGCGCGATGGATACTGCTGGCCAGGCGTTGTCTGAACGAACCAACCAACCACGCCACTCCACCGACCAACAAAGTGTCACTCTCAAAAGAGACCCAACATCAATCAAATCACCCATCTTGTTGTGCCCAAAGGTTACTTTGCAGCATACCTGCCGACGCTGCTGACCAAGTCCCAAGTCTCCACCATACGGAGCTCGCACGTCAAGACCCTCTCGCCTCCACTCTCGGCCCTACCTAAACGTATGTGTGTACGCCAGCCAGTGGGCCCGGATTGGCTTTCCGGTGGCCAGGCAGGCAGGCAGGTAGAGGCAAGGCAGGTAGCAGGGTCCAGAGACGGAGCACGATGCAGTTTACAGAAACACGGAGTGCAGATAACATCACAGGCCTGCCGCCGTGGGAAGTAGCGCCGGCCGCCCCCGGAGTACCTCCAGGCTACAGTGCAACAGACAAAACTCTGCCCAGTAGTGAATACGAAGCACTGGCTGGTCTTTGTACGATCCCGCGGCAAGCACAGACAGGAAGCGAGAGAGAACCCTGGCGAAGCCGGCAGTCCCACATGCTCCATGGAGGTAAGCTTTGAAAAGGGTCGGCCTGGGGGAGGCGGGCGGTCCCGCTTAGACGGCGCGAAGTGCCGGCTCAGCTGAGAGCGCACCCTGGGCGTTGTCCTTTGCCCTCTCCACGATGGCCCGTGTCAGGTTGGGAACATCTCGCGTGTTTGCAGGTTGCGACTCGTCCTAGGGGTTTCTTTTGAAACTTTGCGTCCCCTGCGAGGTGAATTCCAGAATTGGCAGTCAATTCAGACGCACAACTTTGCCGGTGAGCATCAGGTTTTCCATGGTCGGGTTCCCCGCCATAACAAAGTGTCTGGATTGTGTTTCAAGAGTGTTAATGCCAAGACCGACGGTCCCCGTGGTGCTCAGAGGGTTATTGTGAGTCCATCATCAACATTTATTGTAGCACCAGGCACGTTGATTGTCTCTTCAAGTTTTGCACGGGAGAAGAAGATGGAGAAGGAGCAACTATGACGGCCATAGACTGCCACACGCCAAAGGCGCTGCTAGGAAAAATTCGGCAGGGTTCCGAAGCGTATGGTGTCTTGGGCCTGGACGGAGCCGCCCCATCCCTGGCCAATCGCTGGCATCGAATCGTATCATCTGGAGGAGACTGGCTGTAATGGTACTCCGTACGCCTTGCGCCGAGGACCAGGGCTGGCAGAAGAAGCTTGACGATGCCAGTGCAGAGCATGGACTCTGGTCCGAGACGGTCGCATCTGGATCCTGCGAAGCTGGCCTGACCTGACTTTGCCAGCCCTGCCATGCCCTGCCACGTTCGAGATGGCGCTAGGGAGGGGTGCCCATGCTCCTGAGCAGCGACGCATGTGTCGATGATGCCGGCAGGTATGAGCCGACGTGGTACTGCCCCGGCAGCTAATAGCATCCACGGGATATTGTTGATCACGGCTGCGTCTCTCCATGCCCGCAGCAGGCGTGCATGACGCTGTAATGTCCCTCTGGCAGGGCACGGGTATCAGCTGGGCCATCCGGTGCAACTCTGGAGTTGCAGCCTGCTCGTTTAAGACTGCCTGCCACTGCAACGTCAGGCTGGTTCTATTTTGCGTTGCCCGCCTCCAAGCTGACAAGCACACGGACCTGGATGTTAAGTGGGACTCGTGGCCCCAGGAATCCAGGAAGTCGGATTCTGTCTGCTCTTCCCCTTCCACACCACTCGTGGATCAACTCCTTGATATGGGCACGCCCCTTTCCCAATGTGGCCTTGTTTCTCCAACTCCTCGTCATCTTTATTTCTTCCCCGTTTCGATCGACGGACCCGCATCTCGGACTTGCACTTCATCCAGGCTGCGAAGGCGCTCACACACACACTCTCTCTCAGAGTGCGTAATAGCCGAGACGGCCCCCAAGTGGCATCGCAGCAGACACGATGCAACCAAGAGACAAAAGACAGCACAAGCGCCAGGGCACAGTGAGTCGATTTCGTCTCATACACTGTGAACTCCAGTCGGCGTCGAACCAATGCAGCATGCGATCTGGGTCGACCGGGGTCGCGCAGCAGAGGATCAAGCTGAACGTTATGCATGGAGGTGGCGACCGCGTGTCGCTGCTGAGAAGCGGGCACAGTGTGCTTTGATATTCGTGGAACCTGCCCAGCATCCAATGAAGCTGCCCTAGTGATTTGAGCAATGTTGCCAAACCCGTATGTACGCCGATAGCACGTCGAGTCAAATCAGGCAAAAGCGCATTTGCCGAGGGGAGCTGGCATGTCCCACGCTTGCCAGGGTGCGGCATGTACCGGGATTCAGCAATTCATCCACCACCGAACGATCTCATTCGGAATGAGCGCAAGTTTCCTTCACTAGCCAACATCTAGGCTCGTCCGTGGGGGAAGTGATTGAGGGGAAAGGTGACGTTGCCTTTCACCGGAACCAGAATGCTAGCATGAGATCGCCCCTTTCCTGGGCTGCAGAGTCACGCACATGGCCGCGATTGACGTGCCACTGCCATGTGTGTTTTAGCGTCTGCCGAGTGCATCTTAATATCGCTCATCGGTTGACTTCCTGACGATGCTGTGATGCTGCCGTTCGCGAGTGCAGATGCTTATGCTGGCCGTGGGCCCCAACCAATAGGCCAATAGCTCGTCGTCTGTTCACAGGACTTTGGATATCACTGCGCAAGTAGACGACATATGGAACATGTCCTCTACCCTTGGCCCGTTGTCCCACTGTCGTCGTTCGGACCCGTGACGCAACTCGTGCGAATGGTCATTGTGACTGGCCATGCCAGGGTCGGAATGCATGCACTACCCGCCTATGGCGCCTTAGGAGCCGAGCCCTCGTCATTGATTCTGGTGGAGTGCAACACCTCAGATTTTCTGCTGTTCCCTCTGGCCAATCATGGGGGCAAGGCTCTTTCAGCTCTGGAGGAATGCATATCCGCTGTCAGCAATAAGCAGGCCTGCCACAATCTGCATCCTGGTGACCCTTGCCTACTGCCACACTGGGCAACGAATGCCATTCCAAGACCCATGCAGCCACAGCGACCCTGGCTGGCCGGAGACGATGCGTTCCGATGCGTGGCGCTTGCACTCCGGCCGGCATTTGGGGACTGCAGACCTCTCGGAGGCTCACTGCAGGTGCTCGCATGGCCGGGGATTCCACACCACACCAGCTCGCTTTCACTCAATCCCGAGAGAAATACCGGCCAAGAACGGAGCCACCTTTGACAACTGCCTGCCGGCCACTGCGGAATAGTCGTGCACGGGTTTTCGAGCGCTTTTGGCTGTGCAAGAAACTGTGACTCGGCGTGGTCGCGGACCCGCATGGGCAGAAAGATGGTTCGGCAAGAGCACCTGCTCCTCGCATCTTGCTGAGATCGTGCAAGTGCCGAGAGAACAACGGTGCTGTGCTAAGCCGGGCTTGGCTGCCGCTTCTGGAACGATACCTAAATGTGTGACCACGCATAACCAACAAGTGTGCCAAAGTTCCGAAAGTCCTTTCTTGCACAAGCTGGCTGATCTTCTGGCTGGTCTTCGAACCCCGGAGTACTCACTGGGCACAGCAGCAGCAGAAAACTGCCGCAATGAAAGCTCACCCTCGCCGCTATCAGGCCATGGACAGATCCATACGGGTGACAACAGGGCCTTGGGTGGAGCACAATCTTGGAAGTGACTGCCGGTAGACGAGACGGGTTTTGGATCCTTTGGGCGTAGATCTCGGCTTTTGGGCGAATAGTGACCGACAACTGCCAGCTTCACCTGAGCATTGTGGGCTAGGGTGTTTTCTGGGCGGGCATGTTGGTCCATCTGGAAGCAGGCTAATCCCTGGAAACTGGATCTCTGACAGGCCAAACGATGGACTGCCGGGGCCGGGAGACACATGGTAGCCAGGGCCCCCATGGCGCTTAGCCTGGCCTGATAAGCCGGGTAATAGCTGCAGGGGCTCTGGAGTGCTCGGGACCGTACGTGGGCTGGAGGACTGCTTGCCAGCACCCGGCTGCCAGGTCCTTGTCGTCAGCCAGATCAGGAAATAGACCTTTGCAACGGTGTGGAGTGCTCACTACCATGTCAGACGGTGGGCTGACGCCTTGCTGCGCAGTGCTGGGCTTGATGGCAGCACGGCTCTTGGCTCCCAGTCAATCGGCCGAGCGCTTCTCCAGCCATTCGCATCGCGACGGAGCAAGCGCGGCGACTGCCATGATGGCTGCTGGCGGTCTCGCGGCAACTGAGCTGGAGGCTGCTCTTGTGATGCTATGCCCCGTCGAACCTGCCCCGGTCCTGTCCAGATGGCCAGCTGCTGCCGTGGACACCGTCTGCTCGAGGATGAGCCGAGATAATTGATGAATTCCTGGCAGGAAACGCCTGCAAGCTTCACGACCTAGGCCGCCGCCATCGGCTAACGGGCCTCACCAAATCGGGGCTCTGGTCCGTTCTGATAGATCCGGATCAGTCTCCGTCTGCCGTGCCAAGCGCCTGTCCGGTTTACGCTCTAGGGAGCAAGGTGCAAGGTCGCAGAGCAATCTGCAATGTGGCAGTGCCAGATGGCCAGATGCTGCTGCTGATGTTGCTGCCTGGTGCAACTCCCAGGCTTGTCGTGGTACCCAGGCTCTTGTCGCCCGAACCCTTCCAGAAGCCCGGGCGTTCCCGTGGCAGGTTGTAGTCAGCAAACCGGCTATGCGTAGTGAACCATGGATGCGCCTTGCCCCTGCAGTGTGACAAGCGAACAGGCTGGTGGCCAAGGCCTCAGGCATGTAGTTCGTATGGAGTAAGCGGCAGGGGTCTACAACGGTGGGCTCGCGGCCGTTGTGGTGGAGGGGGTTCCAGCGTGGTATTTTGAGGCTGGGCGAGGCGTCCGGAGACACAGCCGGTGGAACATGGCCGGCCGATAGAGCGTTGTCTCGCACGGGAGCAGGACGGATCGCATGGCATCTGATTCGTGGCATTAAGCCCTGCCCGGTCGGTCTGTGGCAGGTGGTCAGCCATGGGTTGTTATCTGAAGCCGTGCAACGGAGGCAACTAGGAGCTTGAGGTCCGAATGAACACGAACCCCGGATGGGATTGGCCTAGAAAGTCCATTGCATGTAACATGATCACCGTACCCCATGCCTGCGTTCTCCGCAGTGGACGCCTGCCAGACGTTGAGCTTCCGGGACGAGGCTTGAAGTTCGCTCGTATGTTCGTGGGAGCCAAACGAGTCGTGCCTGCTCCGACAAGCCAGCTCGCGACTGGGCACCAACGTTGCACTGCTGTGCCGCCGCGCTGGAGATCAGACGATTGTGCATGGGTTGGAGGCACAAGCATCCACCCGTGAACGTTGAGGAGAACAGGTCAGGTCAGCGATGCGCTAGCGGCTTGTAGTTACTCCAGGGACTTCACAGGAACGGCAAGTGCCCAGGTGGATTCATTGCCTAAAGGAGCTCCCTGTTCGCCAGCCCCACTCTTTTCCCATGCTTGTGGTTCGCAGTCATGGACCGAGCTGGATCAGATCAGTACACACCATCGTATCTGCCATGGACCATACATGGGCGCTGGGGTTTTGATCACTGTTAGTAACACGACGTATAGCTGCAAAACTAAAGTCGAAACTCCGACTCTCCTGTATTTCGATGGTGCTTGTGTAGGCTGTATTGCTGTCCGCCAGACACGGTGTAGTAGTATGTACATGAACTCTTGTGTAATGGGGGAGGAGACCCCTCCGGATGAAACGCGATAGTGTATATCCTCCAAGTTCGCCCGCGACCCATGCTGAACGCCGTTGAAATGCAAATAGCTACTAAAGTCCAATAATAATGAAAGATTGAAGCCCTGAATTTAGGCTGGCGTTGAGCTCGGATCCTTCACTGCTACCATGGCCGCCGTCGTAATATGTCGTCCGGGAGGCGAGGCAGCTCCTGACTTGTTTCTACCCTGGTCTCGCCCCTCACCTGCTCAGGCCAAGGTGCGGTAGGCCTTGGAAGTTCCCGAGTCTTGCTGAGAGGGGACATGTGCTCTCCTGCAGGCTGTGCATATCGCTCATACTCCAGCACCACTCGCTTGGCCGGTTGTGTCTCGCCAAGCTCGGCCGAACTCGCGACCCGCTTCAGTGAGCTTGTCTTTGGCGAGACTGATTCGAGAGAGACGCTCCTCCGTCGCCGGGCGACGTCTAGCTGCGAACTAGGCGGTGCGGGAGCTCTCATTTCCTCGGCTTCACGAGCAGGAGATGTTCCAGGAGAGGTGTTGTGACCTCCGCGGGGTCTGTGTAATACCAACGTCAGTTATGGTGTACTCCCATGCTTGAGACTGTTGGTCCACTCACGCATTTTTGAACCTGCACACCCTACCGAACTTTTCACACTGAACACAGCGGGGGAAGTCGGGATCACACTTGATCTTCTTCTCGCGGCACGTCAGGCACGCGATTGCCAGCCGCTTACGCGGCTTTCCGGCCTTGGTGACTCCCCAGTGGGCATTGACCTGCTCGCCATCGATGATTGCCTTGCAATGGGTTCCATCATCATAAAAGTAACACAGACCTTCGCCCGGGACTTCGCTCTGCCGTAAAAATCGTGGCAGAAAATGTGTCCCAGTCCAGATCTTTGGGCCCAGGCCGTCCTTGACTGGCAGACCTTCCGAGGCAGCTGGACCTCCGACCTCGAGAGAAGCCTGTGGCCTCTCGCTCGGCGGTGGCGGCTGGTGTGCAATCGTCTGCTCTCTGAAGTTGGTAGCCCCAGATTCGAAATTGACCCTAGAACTCGGCCCGGGGAATGGAAGTCTGTCCGAGCTAGTTCTGTAGAAGGTGGGAGCCTCGCTCGTGCTCAGTACATAGTCGGGACGTCTCGCCTCAGACTGGCTAGAGTACGACCAGCGGCCGGTGGAGAGTGAGTCATGACGACTGTCATGTTGGCTTGATATTGAATCACGGCCTCTGCCAGGGGACAAGGGTCCTGGAAAGTGGAGGAGGCCCGTCGTGTGCCTGTCGCCGTCAGATCGGTTAGAGGCAGCGTAATTACTCCTGGGCGTAACCGTAGACGGGAAATAAGAGGTCGACAAAGACCGCTGTGAGCTTGTAGTAGATGGTTGATGATCTAAAGGTGAGCGAGAAGGCCCAGCCAAGGGACTGGGGCGCTCCAAGAGAGGAGCGTGCAGCGGCCGAATCTGACTTGGAGGTCGACCGAAGAGGCTGTTTAGAGAGGGCAGCCGCTGGATGGCGGCTGCAGTGGAGTCGTCTCTGGGTTTAAGATAGGGCTCATTCGTCCTCGAGGACATGTCAGTCCTGGTACTGGGAGCATAGTTGGTCATGGGAGGCGACACCGGCGCGCGCGAAGCCCAGAGGCGATCCTCCGATGCCTTGGCTGCGTGTGTTGGGACGTAGGTGCCCATGTGCTCGGGAGAAGGAGTGTCGTGAGAAGCAGATGCTTGGGAGCCAGAGGAGTGTAGATATATCCCCATTGAGCGGATACTGGAACAAGTATGTTCAAGCTTGTCGTACAGCCATGCCCTGGTCAGCCAGGCAAATGGTTCCGCCGAGAGCGATTCCGAGATGGTAAGCCCTCTTCAAACACCGTCGATATTGTTGCTGGCAGTGAGGTCCGAAGATGTGGAGATGGGAGAGCCGCCTGATGTTTGGTCGACGAGGGCGCAAGAAGTCGTGGTGGTCGTCTTTCTGCAAAGCTCGCGGTCACTGTTGCAAGCGACCAGCCGTTCCGAGATGAGGAGAGAATGAAGGAGCTGCAATAGGAAGGGGCCGCCTCTGAGTGAAGTAGTGGCTCGAATAGAGATAGCACTAGCACCACCACTACCGGAGACTATCATGTGGGAAAGACACCTGGACGTGCCGCCTTGGCGGCTGGGGGCAAGTCGTTCGGCCATGTGCAGGGCCTGCGCTTGGGAGCAGGGGGAGCAAAGTCACTGTGGTAGGGGGTAAGGGGGGTGCGTCGAGGCGTCGTTTTTAGGCGCGCACACCCCCAACTTGACAGCCCTGGAGAGCCCGCAGCTGAGGGCAGGGCCCCTGCAGGCCCATCGATGCACAATGACAGGATGGTGCCAGTTAGCCAGGCAAAGTTCCTGCGGCCCTTGTGGGGACTACGGTACTGCTCGCCGAGTGGCGCATGGGGGACAGGTCGGGTAGGTCGTAAATCCTGGGCTTCTGGGCTAGATCCGTGCCATCCTGGTGGTCTGGAGAACCGGGAGAGGCCCGCCGCGCCTCCGAACTGGCTGGCTGCGCTTCGGCACTCGAATGTCTCGACGCCGCCTCGTCCTGGCTCCATTCTCAACGGTGTGTTTGCACCCCGTGTGTATGTGTGTGTGTGTGTGTGTGTGCCACCATCCCCCTCCACCATTGCAGCTTTTGTCAGAGCCATGGTCGTGTCTGGCCTTCCGAGCCGCCCCTCAAACTGCAGATGAGCGATGCTGGCCGTGCGTGTGGCTCTGGTCCCTTGGACGCTGGAGGAAAGCTCTGGCTGGCATTAGCAGGACTCTCCCATCACATCTAATTAGAGGTATACGGCACTGTGGCACAGTCGTGCCAGTAGCGCAGGCGCCCTTTTCAGACGAGTCTGTCGGTCCTAGCGGCATATGCAGCTATCTCAGATGTATCTGCACCCCCCGGCAGCGCGCCCTGGTCCCCGGAGCAGGCGGACAGTGGGCACCGGTTCTATGTGAACAGGCTCCGAGAAAGAGACCAGCAGAGGGACCTGCAATCGTCAACAATGGCTTCTGGCAGGCGAATCGCTTTCAGACCGTCCCACGCGCAGATAGGGGATGGTCCTGCTTGTAGCAGGTTTGCAGGCACACACGCGAGGCCGCGACGCCAAGATCTGGGAGTTAATAGCACGGCTCGAAGTCGTAAATTAGCGCCATGCCCTGCGGACGGTCAACCTTTTGATCGCTGAATTCTGATTGCCGCCGCTGGTACCGCGCCGCGCAGATGGTTGGCATAACTGCCAAGACCAGCGACGAGTAATCTGGCAGGTGGTTGGGCAAGGACGCAGCATCTAGGCTCGGGCCTCGAGTTGTGGTTCAGCTGACAAGTTGGCAGTCCCTTCGCGAGGCATCCAGTGCATCCATCAACTACCGCAGCTTGGACTCCCGGTACCAGTAGGCCGATTGACCCGCACAGGCTCTGCCGAAGAAGTGGGACAAGAGCGACCTCGAGAGGCGCTTTGGTTTCTGTGTATAGGCTGTGGGAAGCCCAGTGTTGCTCGCACTCCAGACAACCTTGGAAGTGTGTGATGCTATGTATCAGCGTCGCGCTTCGCCTCCCATCCAAGACACCCCGTGTTGGCCACGCCTTCCGTGCCTTGTGTGAAACTGTGCACAAAGTGTGCACCGCATGGGCCAGCTATACGACCCCTTCTACTAAAGGCGTACTCCGTGACATTTGTAGCCAGGCTCCGCCACAGCTCAGGCTTTCGAGCTCCCTGACGTCGAGGTCGAGGCCATCCTGGACGTGCTACTGTGACATCAGGGCAGATGATATCGTGGCCGTGTTAGATGCCAAACGTGGGCTCCAGCTGTGGGTCATGGTGTTGCGCCGCTAGTGCCCGCAGATTCTGAAGTCGAGCAAGGAGCTGCTGCTCCTGAGGGTTCCAGAACTCGAGGACCTCCAGAGCCCAGCAGCACGAAGGCTTGGCTTGCGTGCCAGTGGTTTTCAGAGACTCCAGAATGCCATAGGTCGTGGAATCTCCCGGAGTTGGACCGCTGTACCCCAATTCCAGCCGGCCGGGCTCACACAACCGCCATTGTCGAGACACGCCCACAACGTTCGCTGCGCAGCACCGAGCATTGGAGATCCCCTTGCCTGCATGAGGCTGTAATAGAATGCAGATTGGAACCACCCACCACAAGGAACTCTGGGCGGGTCCTCTGCAACACTGCGACCTAATTGATTGCAGGTACATACTGTTTTCGCTCCGTTGAGCGACAAGTCTGGGGTCATGGATCCGCGGCGGGTGCGTATTAGCCATGGGGCCACTTGTTGGTCCCCGCTGTCGAGCCTGAGGTCAAGCCGGACTCAGGCGGTTCTCATTGGCTGGGGAACGGACGATGGTCCATTAGCTTTGGGCTACAGTACCGCTGGATGGCCCTCTCCGACAACACTTGCCACAGGCTCCATTTGTCAGTGGCCTGGTCTGTTCTGCAGGGGCCGGGAAGGTATGGCGGCACTTTGCGTTGCTCCGAGCCGACGGCATGGCCTGGGAATGCGGCTATCCGGACAACTGGAGCCTTGGGCGGTGCTGCGCACGTGTAAGGACCAGTGTTGGCGAGTGCCCGCGAAACCGGCACGCACCAGGTCGTCCTTCGTGAACATCAACACCAGCCTATGTCGGCTCGTGTAAGACCTTGCGAGCCTAGTGTACGCAACCTAGCATCTGCCGGTGCGCGGCAGACGCCCTGCACTCACCACGAACCTTGAAAGCCGTAGAGCTGGGGTACCCGCCAGGGCCCGCAGGAGATGACAGATCATGCTCCTGAACCATAGCACACGGGCGCGCACCTGAAGAAGATCGCCAGCGATGGATGCCGGCTGCCAACTAGTCGCGACAAAGGCTCACAAGCCGTGCACGCGTGTCCCATGGTATCTGTCGACAACAAGGCGCCTAAAGGGGTGGGAGGAGCAGCGGGCCCCTGCTTCCTGTCAGCGGCCCAAGCAATGCGCAAGGTTTGGCTCACTTGGGGGAGACGGCCGTCCAAAGCACGCTCGCTGCATCTGCATCTCGTCGGACCGCTTGGCGCTGCAGAGTTTGTTCCTGCCATGCGCCTGCCGTCTGCCACCTGGCTGGAAACGGGCAGGCACCCACCCCGCATTCCTCCTCATTGCCTGCGTCAAGAGCCCTGGAGCACCTTTTCCAAACAGCAAATCTTGCCAAACCTCCCCAGGCACCATGCGAATCGAATTGCGTGCCCGGCATGATTGTATTCCGTTGTGCGCGGCCCGATGCTCCTCGGAGATGCCGCCTGCCTGGGACTATTCCAACTGGCGTCGCCCGGAAGTCCCCGCTAGCAGCGCTCCAGCGATCTTTGAATCTCGCATTCGCCAACCATGCCTGTCTCCATCTCCACACCTCCCTTTCGGCAGTGCCAAAGCCGAACTTGCGTCAATTGCCTAGCGTTGGCCCGCCGCGATTTGACGTCCTCCCAATGGCGAAAGAACTCAGCTGATAGGTATGCTTGTAGCCGATCTTAACTCGCTGGAGGCTAGGTCCCGCTTCTGACCATTAGCCTTCGTCCAAGGACAACGCCATCAAGCCCCCAAAAGCCTCGGGACCACTTGTTGCGAACCTGCCATATGCGGCACACCTTCCTGTTCACTCCGAGACCACCAACAATTTGGTGCCACAAGATGATCATCCAAAGCAGCGCGTCGTGCCATTCGGACAGAATTGTGCAATGGCTGTCCCACACCGCCCGGCTAAGAGTAATAATAGAAAAGACGCATCCTGGTCCTCTCTGCGATCCACATCTTGTGGTTGGCGGTCCGCCATTTTATGTTTTTGAGAGATATTGGGGTCGCTGAGCTCCAAAAACGCTCGCCAACCTGACGGCACCGGTCTAATCAACTCAATGTGCATCATCCATAGCACCATAGAATATTGGGCCACTCGATTACCGCCGCCAGGAGGTTTGGCTCTCGAAGTCAAGTGCTAGTCTGAGATGAGGAGACCCAACGCGCTTGGAGCCGTGCTGAAACCACACTTGATCGATTGTTCCTCTGGAGCTGCCGCATTGGCTTCTCGCTACCATACTCACGACGCCGCCACGCTGGTCGGAGAAATCAGCGCACTTTGTGGTGGCTACAATATCGTTTCTCTCCCGACGAAACTTACCCGAGAAGTCGATCATAGACCATGTGCACAATGAGTAATTGCTGGGGACGGACTGTTTGCTAACAGCGAGTTTTAGCGACGGCCGATATAGTCCTAATCGCTTTATGGAAACCCCGAAACTGCTCTCTAGGCTTCATACAGTTCCTAGAGCACATCGCCGACGTTTGTATCGATGCCCAAACGCAGAAGAGAGCCATGCTGGTCATTACATGCTTTGGAGGAACCTTAGACTCTGTATCGCATGATGTGCTTATCCCAGCTCTGGGGTCAGGCACACAGACCATAAAGCGCAATGAAGCCTTGCGCAGGGGTGGTTTCCCAGGGTCTCAAGCCATGAACACGGGTCGATTAACCCTTGAGTTGCGGCCTGTCTTGACACCGCCCACTCAAGATCCAGGGTCTTGGTGCTTCGGGTGCAGCCCCACGCATACGACGATATCCTAGGTATTGCTGTGCCACGTGATAGTTCTGCGTGTGCCACACTATCGCGACATGTAAGTCTGACTGAGACCATGAATGTCTTGCCGACGGCGATTTGATCTACGGCGATTTCCGTGAATCTGAACGTACCATGTGGCCAGCGCCTCACGCCATTGCAAAACCAAATCCCAGTTCTGCGACGGAACTCTTTGTACGGGTTTGATCGCTCGTGCCAGGATGGGCCCTTGAGCTTTCATCACACATTTCGCACGTCCTTACACAGCCACCTTTACCACGAACCTCTACTGATTTAAAGTTCAAATTTGACTGCCGGGAACGACTAGGCTTGCTTCCATTCTGGACCGACACAAAGAGATCTTGGATCAATGGTTTGGTTGCGGGCAGGATGCCAAATTTGTGTCTGTGTTCATCAAGGACAGGCCTTCTACAACGCTGAGCGACCATCCGGCATCTCGTGAGGAGGATCAGCAATTACCTAGTGTAGGATTCTCGACAGGCTATTTTCGGAGTTTGAGGCGAGGATCTCATGCCCGTCGCTCCGACGCGTACGAATGCTCATTCAACTTCGTGGGCCGATGAGCATTGATGCGGAAAGTGGGCACTGCCTTGATACGATGGTGCACGCGCTTCAGCGATGAAGGTTACTGATGAGATTCAACTGGAAACAGAGGCACAATGTGACGACAATTCTCCATCCACGGTCCCATCCCAACCCCGGTTCCCAGGAAGTACTTTGTGCCCTCGTAAGGGCTCGGAAGCACTAACACATCCCTGTCTTGGCCCGCCCGCTTACATACATTACTACATACCTGACACAAGCGAAACTCGCACACTTGGAGCATCCCGTGCTGAACGCAGGTAAGGAGCTCACTGAGCCAATCGCGTCCGGCTAAGCCACAGCACGACCTCGACCCTCTGTGCGGAGTAGCATCTCCGCTCGCCGATGCCAACATGCCGGAGCAAAATCGCGGCACCACGCCAATCCAACAACTTGCCAGATCTCAGCCCTCGGAGGTAGGCCTAGCCAGCTGGTTAACCGCCAGAAGCAAGCCTCCCTGCCGCCACAGACACCAACGGTGCTCGGGAATTTTCTTCTCCCGATTCCTCTGATCGATGAGCTGCTCCGAAGCGGCTCCAGTGGGGGAAGCAAAGCCCCCATTCATAGTTGACCCTTGTCGGGCCGCCTGATTGTGCAATATTTAGCGAGGCCCGCGCGCCCGGCTTTCAAGATGCGGCGCTAGTGATGGATAGGGGCGTCGATCAGACTGGAACTTGTGGCTCGCGAGTCTTGCCGAAAAGAGGGATAGCCTTATGGCAAGTCTCTGGGCCCGGCTGTGTCGTCGTCGCTGTGTAAGCGCTACGCATCGGTAGTTGTAACGTGCTGGCTAATGCCGAGACAGTCAAAAGTCTTTCGGAATTGTCTTAGCTGCTTTTCGATCAACGAGCCCCCCTCGGGGAAGCGAAGGAAAGTCCCATGTCCTAAACCGGCTTAAGGTAGATTGCATTTCTGTGCACCCCACGGGCGATGACTTGTCAGGCAGGTCTTGGGTGAACTACTTTCCCCTGACAAGCGCAGATCGTGACGAAAAGGATCGGCCGCCCATACCGCCAGGCTGGCACGCGGCGGGCGCATAGACACTTGACCTTTGTTTTTTTTTGGAGAGAGAGGGAGAGAGAGCGAGAGAGAGAGAGCCACCCCGACGTGGGCGCAGTTCTTTTGGCGGGTCGCCCGCTGCCGGGGAGAGGGGTCTCACGGATTTGCCGCGCGCGCGGAAGCTGGCCCTCTTTGAGCCGCCCGGGCGATGCAAATTTGCTGGCGGCACTTGGCCATTCCATTAGACGGAGCACTGGTGCAGCCACAAGTGCTTCTCGAGCAGTGCGGGAATCCGGTTGAATGCGTGGTAATTACAAACTGGCCGAGGCCGAGAGCCTGGGGAGGAGGGGGTCCGCCCTGCCAGGCACGTGTGAAGGCATACGGAACTCTCGTCACGATTGCCGTCAAGCTGAGCTCGATCCGCGCGCACGCATCAGTCGCAAGGCCGCCGCCGCCGCCGCCGCCTGTAGCCCGGAGCAGACTGACTGCCGGCTTTGGGGGGAACAGGCGCACAGCAAGTGCTGCCACCACCCGAGCGATTTGGGCCACGCCACAGTGGGGAGCCACGATGCCGGGGCCGCACCCCTGGCACGGTACTTGCCATGGTGTTTCAATTTCGGTCCCGAGGAGGGGAGCAGGCTGGGCGGATCTCTGGGCTGGGGCGCGTGCCAAGAGAGGCCGCAGCACCGCATTACCTTCCCAAAGGGTGCGAACTGACGACTGCAGCCCTCGCATCTTGTGGAGCTGTGGGTGTGTGGGCGTGCGTTGTTGCCAGGAGGAGGGCATGGCAGGGCAGGGCAGGGCAGGGGACAGGCAGGAGGGCAAGGAAGGACTTCACCGGCCGGCAGGGGCTCGGGCTTTTGCTTCCTCCAGCAACCAAGCTCCAGGATCCGGCTGTTGGCGCGCACCCTTTAGGAACAGTTGCCCGTGGCTCCTCTCTGCGCAATAATGGAATGACTGACTGTGTGACTGACGTCGTCGAGGGCCAACACATGTAATGTCCGACGGGAGCTGTCTTAAACGGGGGCGGCCCTGGCCTCGTGGAAGGCCGCGCGTGGTACGCGTGCCACCCAGCAGAGCCGTCCACGATTGAAGACGAGGACAGGCAGCCAAGTCCAGATGACCAATTGCAACTGCCGGGACGCCAGCACATTCAGCAGGACGGAACGACGTCGGCAGATGGAAATGCGTGCGCACGGCTGGGACAGGGCTCGGGCTGGCTCTTGGGGGGGCTGCGTCTGGGAGAGTTTGACGCCCGCCATGTCCCTGTTTGGAGGCAGGGGTGGTCCTTGCAATCCGCCGTCCTCTGGGAGGTGTCGAGATGATTTCGGCCGAGCTTGTGCAGGAGGACGGGCGGGAGTACCACCCGACAAACAGGGCTGGGCCCAGGGAACGAGATCCGTCAAGCCGCCACCTGCTGCCGTCGCCGCCGTCAATCCGCCGCCTGCCGATCCAGATGGGGGTGCCTGGGATAGTCATCATCACCGCCGACTTGGGCCAGCCCAGCCCGGCCGGGGCAAGGCATGTGCGCTATTCTTAGCACGCTCATCTTTTGCGAGATTACGTTCCCAGCACATCCCATCGCAGCGCGTGCGTGCGTGCCTTGGGCTGGGGCCTTATTATCAATTTCATCAGAGAGCACACAAACCAGTCCAATGTCGTCATTGCTCGCCTCAGGACTGCTGCCGCTGCGTGTTCGCCGAGAAGGTTCGGCTTTTGTGGTCCAATATCCTGTCCCTGGTATGCGTCGTCATCGCCCTGTGCTCGGGAAGGAGGGAGGGGGAGACACGGGACAGGCGTGCGGCGTAGCGTGCGTGTAAGTGTGTGTGGCGCGTAGCTAAGTCGTGTCTTCCAGCCCAAAGTCCATCTGAAATCACCTGCAGTAACCCGCCGCCGACGCCACGGGAAGGAGAAGGGGGCATGGCTGGTGTGCACTGGCGTCGCGTGGGGTGGGCTGGCTAGTCGGTTGCAGGTAGTCAGGCAGGCAGGCAGGCAGGCACAGAGACCTGGCAGGCTCGACAGGTTATTGTCCTCATTCGGAAAGGAGCGAGAGAACGAAGCGAGGAGGGGGTGTGCTCTGTGTCCACACAACTGGACAGTACCAGCTTGGAAGTGTTCTCTTCATATTTGAGGGTAAGTAATCAGGCTGAATTGGAAAATGGACGACGCCGGGCACCAGGCGGACAGTGGCCGAGGCTAGCAAGTCACAGACAGACACGCGCGCACACACCTGGCAACTTTGTCCTTTGGGAACGCCATGAGGACGCCTTGGTGTCCGGACTAACCTTTAGTTTGCTTTGGGATTGGGCGGCCGATTTAAAATGCGCCTCGTAAGGTGCGATGGCACCATGGGGCAGGGGCTCTGAGTCGAGTTGGGTCCCGGTGGACGTGGCCTCGAGTCGGGCAAGGAGCTGAGCGGACGAGAGCCGAGGGCTATGGGGATCGCGGCACTGGGCAGCGCGGCAGCGATCTCGGTGAGGGCGGCCGGGGGAGAGGACCGGTCGTCGTTCCGCGCGAAACGTGCTGTGGTGCTGTATCTGGCTGTTAGTCGTCGGGGAAGGGAGAGAAGGGGGCCGGATGTGGTCCCGCGAGATCGTCGCAATTTTGCCATGGGAGACGAAGAATAGAGAAGGAGGGGGGAAAACAAGCATTGGGATCAACATGGGGAATGAACACTCCGGTCAGAAACCTCCGTTGCGCTTTGTCGACGGGAGCGCACGGCAGGCACCGTGAAACATCTCCCAGGTGGTGTCTCGGAGGACGAGCAGATTGCAGCCGTGCTCTCGATCGTGAATCACAAGGTGCAGCCCAGCTAGCTGTCTATGTAGATCTGTCTTGCGGAGCTGAGCTCCGCAAGCGACCCAGCACGGTGGAACCTTGCAATGCAGCTGGGTGCCTTTGCGTTCCGACGATGAGCTTCATGTTGCTGATCACGGCCTCGTGGCTGAGCCGTACCTGCTTTCGACATCATGCTGCGTTTGTCGCCTCTTTGATGCACGCGAGACGTTACGTCCCCCGGTAGGTTTCCTTTACGCTCAGCCCGTGTCTGAGACTCCTGACGTGACTTCTCGACAGCACGTGCTCAACCCCGTTTCACTGGCGTGTTGCCCGCCATGTTGCAAGCAGCCAGGGCCGCGTTGCTGCCGTAACACATGCTTCGCATTGGAAGTGCGGGCTTGCCTGTTCTCGGTGCAGATCGAGGTCTCCGAAACTCGAAAGAACGTTGTGGGACTGCAAAGTTTGGTCTCCCGTGTTGATATTGCCATAGCTGTTCTGGAGGCTGGAGTCACACAACGAGAATGGCCCTTGGTACATCTGTTGCCGATCCCGTGGACTACAACCATTTGGCTTGTGGATATATGTAGTTTCCTCATTGTAGCAGGATTATCAAGCCGACAAACTGGGCTGAGTAGTTTCAATTGTTTGCTCTTAAAAATGGCCCCGGTATCCTTGATGCAGGCTGTCTGCGTGAATGATGACGTGTACTCGATAGCTGGTCTCTCGGAGACGAGCTCGCATGAGCCCTTCCCGCGCACTGGTGGTCATGTAGGACGCCGTAGGATGTGATGAAGCGACACAGGTATAAGACACCAAAGTTACATAGGTAGATCATATGTCGTGATACCAACCGTCAGCATAGCTTGGACTGTAGGTTAATGTTCGCGGTTCTGTAGTCCCAAGTCGCTGAGGAGTTGAGGAAGTCTGGTCACAACATACAGACTGCCAAGTGAATTTTTAATCACGAGCGACTCGTCACAGGTCGGTTTGGGCTTGAGGAGGTCGAGAATGTCTGCCATCTCAAGGTTGCTTCCATGCCTTCCGGAGCTGTGAAGGTCAACAAAGGGTGCCGTCTTTCGTCTCGAAGGGTGCTCCGACCAATCTGCCATCCGATCCCGCCATGATCGCAGGGCGGTCGGCGATATCCGATGTAGTAAACGGCGACATGTGCGACGGTGGTGGAGCTGGAAGTGATTGCAGCTGGATGTGCTCGAGGTCACGAGGAGCCCTCCAAATGATTGCTTGAAACCCAAGGAAAGTACCTTAAGGTACACAGAGCGCGACAGCCTAACTTGTCCTTGATTCCTTCCATTTGATTATCCGTGGCGCGCATTCCATTTTATTTATCATGGCTGACCTACCAATTGAGCATAATGATCAATTGATGTCAATTACGGCATTTGCCAAATGTACAAAGCAAGGTAGCTGAGTGATGTGGCGAGTATCTCGAGTGGTCCTTCGTGACCACATCAGCATGCAGTTGGTCAGTTTGGGAGTCGATCCATTCGACTCGTCTGAGAAATCCGACCAGTGGCTCGCGTGTATAAATTTTACACCTCAAGATAGCCACGTTCCGTATGTAAGTACGGCCACACGAGTTTGTTCATCATCCGCGTATATAGTTGTGCTTGCTCATGCAGAGCGAAGGACCTCAACACTGGTAGTCGATCAAAGAGATTCGCGAGCAATGCATAAAATAAGAACAGCACAACATGGCAGGCAAGGCAACCTCTTGACCCAAGTGTATGTCATCGCTTGCTGGGTGTGCTGCTTTACTGTCGACTATATCATCACAACTCGGTGGAATCAAGCAAGATGCAATCGCCACTTTGAACTTCTACGACGCGAGAAATTCTTTGAGCTTGTATCTTGGGTTGATTGATTATGTGCAAATTCTTAGTCATCGCGAGGCACAGCAGGTTTTTCGAAGCACATTGACAACGATGCCGGAAGATGGACATGTTTTGAGGGACAACCCGAGACTAGATCAAAGAGCTCGCACAACAAGGAAAGACTCCTCAGATGCTGGTTTTTCGATATGGCTGCAACATCGGGTCATATGTGCTCCAGATCATGCTTCGCTGGCCTGGCTCTGAGCTGCACTAAAGCCTGCCGTTTGGAGACCATCGTCACCCGTAGTTGCCAAGCTCGTTCGTCAAGCTGGAAACGACGTGTGTTGTTGAAACTACAGGGACGTGATCGTCAGGCACCCTACCTTAAGGTATGCGCAGGAGGGCTGGCCAAGTGGGGCAACGCCAGAGCTCCCAAGCTGTGACCGCGTGGCGCTTCCGGCGATGCCATGTGGCATGCAACACCAAACACCAAACACCATCCGCACGCGACCAGTAACATCGTCAATCGACCTCAATTGACCTGCTGCACACAAGCATTCATCACATGTGCCACAGCGCACCGCCCGCCGACTCGGAAAGCTCCAGCCAAGCGGCGACGACATGAAGAGCGCGAAGCAGTGACATCACAATTCAGTACACACAAGGCCACGAGACGGAGCCTCGACACCTCACTCACGCCTGACCACATCACCAAAACCCGCCGAGAGTGCCTTGGCGCCCACAATGGGCTTCTTCGCCGCTGTCACCGCCTACGCGGCGCCAGTCTTCCTCATCGCGTCTCCCATCCTCACATACACGGACCAAGCAATGGCCATGTATCGCAGCAAGTCGAGCGCAGGCTTCTCACTCGACATACCCCTAATCATGCTCGTCTCCTCAATCTGCAGGTCAGTCGAGAACCACAAAGGGCTGGCAGGAAGCTAGCGCCCTCTGGACACGGAAAGACTGACACTTTGGGGGATTACCGGTCACGCAACAGACTATTCTACTGGCCCGGCGCCCGCTTCGACACGGCCCTCCTCATCCAGGCCTTCTGCAACATCTTCATCCAGCTCATCGTCCTCAAAATCGCCCTCGACTACCGGCCCGGCCACTCGTCCAAGGGTGGTGAGGCTGCGATGCCCTTTGCCGGCGCCCGCGACGGCTCCTGGGGTGCCTCCCAGCGCCCCTTCAACTTCTGGCGCTGGCGCTCCGACAAGCCCTACTGGAAAACCCTCCTGTACCTCTTCATCACGCTGCTCGCGCTCGAGCTGCTCCTCGAGCCGATTACCCCGATCTACGCCAAATACTCGGACCTCGTCGGCTACGTCGGGCTCGCGGTCGAGGCAACCCTGCCCCTGCCGCAGCTCTACTCGAACGCGCGCACCCGCTCGTGCAAAGGGTTCCGCCTCTCCGTGCTCGTCAACTGGCTCCTCGGCGACTCGATGAAGATGTTCTGGTTCTTCACATCGAAGACGGCCATCCCTTGGTCTTTCAAGCTTTGCGGCATGTTCCAGGCCGCCTGCGACTTGTTCATCGGCGTGCAGTACTTGCTCTATGGGGATGGGGAGTCGGCGCCAGCGATACCCCGCGGGCATGGCAGCCCATTGCTGCTGCGACCAAGTCACATGCCGCGAATCTGCCTTCTTGGCTACCGTCACCGGCGAGGGGAGAGAAGGACAACTGAGCTCCGGCGAATGAGAGCTCGTTTTTTTTTGGATAGAATACAAAAGTTGGGGGTATAGAAGTATGCTATCTCGCCCTTTGAATGGTAATAGACACAAAGCGTTGTACACTTGATCTGTCGGCTGAGATTGTCCAATCCGCTGCAAAGAGTCAAGAGAGTGGTGTCAAGAGCTGCTCCTGCTGCTGGTGCCCTGAAGCCCCAGCTTGATCCGCCAGTTGATAAAGTCGTCGGGCAGGATGTTGCCATGGCCCGTCTCCTCAACTCGGAAGACCTCGATCGCATGTGAATGTGGCGCTCGACGGATCCTCCATACTCCCTCGTCGTTGATTGCTTGTTTGAGCCCTATACGGCATTGCATTGGTCAGCCACATACTGAAAAAATAGCAGGGAGCCCAGGTTTCTGCTGTGGTGAGATGACCAAGGTCGTCCCATTTGGCAGTACCCTACAAAGTTGGAAGACATGAGAACCGCATGGGCACTCCTAGGCTAGAGACCGACTCACAGTCCAGAAAAGCACTCGCAAAGTTGATGCACATGTTGGCATCCCAACTGCGCACGCCTCTGCGCGCCGCGGTCTCGGGGATCGTGACGGTCTTGATCTCCTCGAGCTTGGCGAGGATCCCGTCCTGCGTGCGGAACCCGACGATGATCTTGGGCACGCCCAGCAGGAACGACTGGATCCAGAACTTCATGAGCTTGCGCTCAAAATTGGCCATCCCGCGCTCGTCGCGGATCTCGGCGCTCGTCTTGAGCTCGACCCAGTTGATGGGCTTGCCCTGCTCGGCGGGCTTGGAATCCCATACTGAGTTCGATGTTGTCCAATGGTCAGCCATGTGTTACAATGTGTTTTGGTATTTGAGGTGACAACATCTGGAATCAAAAGGCGTGTGCGAAAGGACGAGACAAAACTCACTGGCGTCAACCTCTCCGCCGAGACACAGGATGCTTTTCCCGATGCCCGTCCGAACCACAGAGCAGTACTGGGCCTTGTTGCTGACGACGTGGTCCTCCCGAGTCTCGATGTATTCTCTTGATACCTCACCCCATGGCCGAGGCAGGCAGCTGAGCGCCTCGAACTTGTACCCTATTTGCAGACTCAGCAAGTGGCATAACAGGTCACACAATGCAGAACCGCCCTCTTACCCCAGAACGTCATGACATCAGGAGAGAATTGTTGCGGCCGGCGGCCCCGTTGCTGGTTCTGTTGTTCTTGCCTGCTCGCTTGCTTGTACTCGTGGTTTTCTTCTATGAAGCTGGGCACAGGACGGGCGAGGTCAATGACAAACCCACATTTCCTAGTCGAGGGGCCCGAGGGTTTTCTCACATGCAGTCCTGGTCACATCTCGTCAGCTGCTGTCAGGATACCGGCCACGTGCCGCTGGCTAACATACTTGGTACAGTGTCGCGTTCATCTCGAAGCTAAACGATAAAACCGTCATCAGCGGCAAAACGAGCTGGCTGTGAGACTTGCATATGTTCATACCCGTCTCTGTCTTCAAAAGGCGCAGACATCAGCTAGAACGGTGTGAGCCCGGGTACGTTTATTAGACGTTCAGATAATTGAGTGGATGCTCAACTTGCCTTGGTCATCATGCCACGCCACGTCACGAACTGGGCATCAATCTTGGCTCCCGTCTGCTGCTCATGAGCCATAATGGTCCTGAGTAAGCTGTCGAGATGCTCATCTCCAGAGTCGTCATGCTTGTCAAAGGTGTCGAACCCCTTAGAAAGGTCTGCTCCGAGCCGTGGGGGATAGTACCACTGCATAGACCGGTCGTCCAGGTGGAACTCATGTTTGTCATCGTAGGAGAAGCAGGCGAATTCCTGCACCACAATCAGCAAGCTGGGACTTCAAGACGGAGGAGCGGGTCTTGTTGGCGGCAGCGGCGGCGGCGATATCTTACTCTTGGGCGCTTGACGCTTGCACATTCGCCGGAGAAGCGGCCAATTGGCTGGATGTTGAATGAACTACCGGTGCTCATCGTGCATGTCGTTTGCAGGGTTTGGGGAGTTGCTGCAGCAGGGCAAGGCTGCGAGAATGAATATTTTCACTTGAAGGCTCATGTACCTGAGAAGTAGCTGGCTGTCGTTTGTATGGCGGGTGGTGGGAAATGTACAAGCTTCATGCAGTCTGTTGTTGTCCTTGGTGTGCAATGTCTTGCAGCCGTGGCGCCTGTTGGTGGACGTGGGTACTGCCCTAGCTCCCTTGAAAGATCACTGCCGATCGTCGGTGCTTGGGTGCTTGGGCGCTTGAGCACCACTACTACACCACACCACATACAACAAACCTACAACAACTGGACCTTTGAAAATAAAAACTCCATGCGCTGTCGGCGCAGAGAACATCTTTTATCGGCAAGCCTGCCTCAATCCCCACAGAGTACATCCCACCGTATCATTACGAATCATCATTAAGAGGACTGGCCAGTCCGAAATATACCGGTCCCCAGCAGGCCCTCGAAGGTTCGTGTGCCCCCGCCAACCGCGCAAGACAACAAAAACAAAACGAGCACATGATGGCCAACCGACCAGCGCCACACCTGCGGCCAACCGCACAGAGAGGCGTACCGCGACCAAACCTAGGCCATCACGGCAGCAGCAACCTTAGCAACAACAGCAATAGCCAGATCAACGGTCACGGCGGACATTCACACGCGCAAGGGCCAACGGCACCCACAACAGCAGCAACAACAACAGCCACCAACGCCACGACGACGACGACGACGACAAACGCCGGGGTCCGGCGCAACCTCTTCCAGAGCCAGCTCACGCGCCGCCCCACGCCCACGTCGTCTGCCTCGGCCGAGACGCTGCGCCTGGATGTCGACGTGCTCTCAGACACCTCGGACATTGTCGTCCGCGACAAGAACGGCGAGTTCGACGTCGGCGATCCACCCACGCCGCCGCTCGAGGACCCCGAAGACGCGGGGCTAGACGAGGCGCAAGAGAACGAACGTAGGTGCTGGAGTTTTGGGGAAGGCACTAGAGATGTCACATGGTCACGGCTGTTGTTCTGATTGTCGACTGATCATTTCGCACCGGACCGCAGAAGAAAGACGGAGGCTCGCTGATGCTGTCAAGCACCATCAAATCAACTTGGGTCGTATGCCGGCACAGCCCGAAGGTAGGTCGCCGCTTTCTATTATTTTTTTTGAATTACATGTATGCGCCAAACTGACTTGAAACTCGCGCGAAGAGGTCATTGAGACTCTCCGAGCGAGCATGCGGGCACAAGTAGCGTCCCTCGCCGAGGACAACTGGATGTATGAGGCTGAGGAGCTGCAACGCATGCAGTGAGGCCCCTTCCGCAGAGCTTCTTCCATGCGAGGCACAGTCCCGCTGGTGGAGTCTCCCCGTATTGTGCCTGGGCCCTTACTCTCAGCTCAGCGGGCTTAGTCCAGTCCCTCCGCAGCTGGCATAGAGCTGCCTATCGCCGGCCTACGAGGTGTTGCACTGGGCGCACCACCGGCACCGCCACCGAAGAAGCCACTCATCATGTCCATGAGGGGATTGCTCTGTCTCGGCCGCTGGATCTGGAAGTACATCTCGCCGATGAGCTCTAGATCCTCTTGCCATGAGCTGACCTCCTTGAGATGTGTTGCATACTTGGTCGTGAGCTGTTTGTACACGTCCGGGCTTCCCCGCTGCACACTGAGCAGCAGGAGTCCGAGGAAGTTGAGCAGCGGTATGCTGGGATAGATGCGGATGTCGGCCGTATTGCTGCTGACGTCCTGGGCGTTGAGCTGGGCCCCCTTGTCTTGACTCAGGGCGCTCGTGAAGGCGCGATATGAGGCGTTGGCAGACCGCACGTTGGCTGTGATGAGGTAAGGAAGGACGGCGCGGGCAGCGTAGTGGGCTGCCAGGTGCGACTCGTCCTCCTTGAACCACTCGTACTCCATACGGGCGAGAACTTCGGGCGACTCCTTTGTGCCTAGTACCAAATGTCGCTCGGCATCGTAGGCGGAATGCTCTTCTGCATACAGAGACCCTATCACGTGGTGTAGTTCAGGGTCGCCTGCTGGGTATTCGCCGAATTTTGATGACCACCTGGCGGGAAGATGTCCGTCATCGTTAGCAAATATTTCAATTCACAAACTCCTCGAGGCGCCTGCCGCGAGTATTGAACATGGGTCGGTGTCTCCGCCCACTTACGCAATCATTTCATTAATGTACTTCTTCCTCGTGGGCTCCTCGCTCTGGAACAGCCGCAGGCACGTCAGCAGCCTGCCCTTTGCTGTGGGATCGGGCTTGAGCTGGGCCTGCTTGTAGGTGTCGACGAGGAGGATGCTGAGGTCGCCGCCGCTGCCGCCCTGGCCGGCCTTGAGCAGGGACTGCGCGACATTGTACAGGATGTCAATGGCGGCGGGCCAGTTGGCGGCCTTTGTGTAGCGCGCCGCGACGACCCGGGTCTGCTGCTGCGCTTCGTAGTACTGCCCCTCGGCGATGCGCGCCTGGAGCCGGGCAATGATTTTGTCGATCTTGTCGCCCTTGGCGGTGGCCATCGTGTTGCGCGGGGGGAAACAAAAAGGGCGGAGTTCGCTTATGTCGGAGCGTCGGCGGCGGGTGACGAAGACGGATGCACGAGTGTTGGCGCACACTATCACTGTCGACTTTCCAATCTGGAGGCAGCGTGGAGGGTTGCCTCTCTCCGTTCAGGCTTGGGATGCTGCAGTGGAGTGGTCACCAGGTGGTGGTCAATGGTGGGGTTGTGCCAATGTGGGTGGACTGTCGTCACTGATTCCGGCGACTTGGGGAGCCCAGAGCTTTGGCAATTGCGAATTCACGTACGCCACGCCACAATCATCCATCTCATGCGTGAAAGATCTCTCCACAACCGAAAGTGTGCCATTGTTCTCTGTTCTGAGAGTCTTTTCTCCAGAAAACAGTACTGGTTGGGTCATGTCTGTTCACGTTCTGGTGCCTGAAGCAACAGCGGGCATCCGAGCTTCAGAAAGTCACCCCGAACGTTCACCAATCATATTTCCTCCTGCCGCTCGAGTGGAGCTTTGGGCCCAAGCTCCCATAAAGGTGGGGGTAATGGGAGCTTTCCCCGCACAGGTGAGACGTGGCCAATATGTACCGCATTACCCGCCCCTTACCTTCATCGACTACCACAAACAAGCATCTCTGGTGTAGGGGTAGCATGTAGGTTTCCCACCGTCGAAAGTGGACTTGTTGTCTGACAACATGGCCCGCGTATTAAACGTACGTGGAAAATACCTGCGATCCGAGTTCGAGTCTCGGGAGATGCATTTTTGCTTCCATTCTCCCTTCCCTATGCAATGCAGTCATGAACATCCTCTGTCTCGTTGGAAGGCAAGTGATGGGTTCCTTTTTGCTGGACTTGTCCACTCTGCCCGCGGAGAGCGTTGACCTGGCTGCCTTGCTGGTGCTGCAAGTGTCTCCTGGCATCGTCCAGGAGATGCTATGTTGTTCCGCCTGGTGCACCACCGGCTTTGTTAGCATTACTCTTCATAACCCCAACTCGCATCGGTCTCCGCGTGATTGTTTCCTTATACCTGTTTGCACAATAATCCCTCCGTCTTCATTTAGTTCATAAAACTTGAAGTGCCCAGCCCTGTGCTCTGGCCGTGGCAATGTTTGCCAGATTCCCGATCGGGCATGGTCGTCAGTCAGCTTCTATTAGAGGAACATACACCACGTGAGAAACGTGACTCACTTGAGCGGTTAACGATCGTAGCTCCTAGGTGCACATGTTCGCCGTTGATATTCTGCTAGATACAAAGAAGCCAGTATCTTCTGTTCTATCTGTGCTTCGGCTAGTGATCTAAGGAAGCTGCATAACTTCCTCCAAGTCCTCTCATTGCTGCTCGAGGACATTTCATTGCAGGGATTCAGAGATTCAAACCCGAAGGAAATCAGCCATGGCAAGAACTGTCCGACTCCTAGATTGCATGATGGCGACAAGGACTCGTGCAAGTCGGCCCGCTTGGCTAAGGAGCACCTCAGCGCCGCCCATCCCGGTGGTACATCTTCGACGCTATTCCGAGTCACTGCGACCATCAAGTCAGACAAGATACTTCCAAACAACGTCACGCACCTGTTCACCACCACGTACCCCAAATACCACGGGCACATCCTCATCGCCCAAAGACGACAGCACCACCACGACGAAACTTGGGCAAGGCAGCAGCAGCAGCAGCAATAGCAGCACCCCACCGCCCATAGACAACACGTTCTCCCTCGCAGACCTCGGCCTGACCCGCACCACGCGCCTGGCGGTGCTCCTCATCGTGGGCATCCTCGGCACCATCGAGACCGTGTTCTGGGTCCAGGCCGGGTGGCGCTGGTATCAGTCCCGCTTCCTCTCGCCGTCGCCGCCATCGGGCAGCAGCGGCCAAGAGCGGGCAGGCGGGTATCATCATCAGCATGGAGGAGCAGAGCCGGGGAGATAAGATGACCGTCCCGTGGATTGGTCACGGTTACTACCGTGTATGAGTAGTGTACTATCACGTTGGTTTTTAGAATAAGAACCCCCTCAGACTGTTTATTTGCCCAGCAATGAGATTGTACAAGCGGATGGATCTGCATCCTGCTTGTCGATGCTACGAGCACGGCGAGGATCGATAGGTTTAGCCGTGCAAAGCAGATGTATGATTACTACATGTGGTATCATGGTGCAAATGAGCAGAACAGGATCACAACCCTCCGGCGCCGTGTCGCAGAAGTTAGAGAGACAAAGAAAAGCCTTCCCGAGAAAGTCGAACCCAGAGGTTGAAAGGTGAAAGTCGTCTGTATCCAGTCGTGTATTGGTGGTTGCGATGTCCTCTAGGAAAGACAACAAGTATGAGATCGTGTTTGTTCCTCCCTGCTCACAGTCGGAGAGATCCGTTCAAGCCGGCATTGCGCCCTTGCCATTCACCAACTCGGCGGCGCTGGCGCTCGCGGTGTTCGTCTGCACCTGCACCTGCCTCTGCCCCTTCCTGTACTCATTCATGGCGCGGATGAGCTTGTTGATAGGGAACATCGAGTTGCACATGAGCCAGTCGGTCCACGTTGCCGAGAGCAGGGTGTAACCCGCCCAGGTTATGGCCGCGCTGCTCCCGAGCCAGATGTTCTTGCGCGGCCACCAGCTCATCGTGTTGCTGACGACCTCGCGCGCGTACTTCTCCGCCGTGTAGTCCTGCATGGAGCTCGCGTGCTTGCCCGTCACGCCGGACTCCATGACCTCACGAACCGGGGCGTACATGCTGTCGGAGGGTAGCTTGCAGCCCTCGGCGTTGGCGTAGAACTTGGTCTTGATGCCGCCCGTGACGACGTGAAGGACGCCAATGTTGAAGGGCAGCAGCTCGACGCGGAGCGTGTCGTTGAGCATGGACAGCGCCGCCTTGCTGGCGTTGTAGATGCCCTGCCACGGGACATTGGCGCGGCTCACCACGGAGCCAATGTTGAGGATGCGAGGCTTGCCACCACGATCGGCACAGGCGGCGAGCAGCGGGACGAAGCGCTGGCTGACGGCCAACACACCCCACAAGTTGACGTCAAAGAGCTTGCGGGCTGTTTCCATGTCCACGTCGAGGAGCGGCATCTGGTAGCCGATACCTGAGTTGTTGACCAGGTAGTCGAGGGTGCCGCCGGTGAGCTTAGTGACCGTCTGTACGGCGGCATCAATCGAGCTGCTGTCGACGACATCAAGGGCAATGGTCTCAATCCCCATGTCCGCGAGATGCTGGATCTTGTTGAGGTTGCGGGCTGTTGCAAAGACACGAAGACCACGGCGGTGGAACTCGAGGCAGAGCGCATCGCCGATGCCGCCTTCGCTGCACCCCGTGATGAGGACTGTCTGCTGTGTCGACGCCATAGTAACCAGCCTGGACCTTTCCCCCGGATGCAGATTGTCGTTGTCGTTGTCGCCAGAGTTTATGCTGCTGAACTGCCAGCGTCCGAGAGAATGGGGCGGCGGTGAGCGGTGGTGATGGCGTCAGCGAACAGTTGCTCGTCTCAAGTCACCAAAATCGCAGACAGTAGGACTCCATCGTTATGAACCAGCCTTGAGGGGTTCGGAAGACGTGGCTGATATATTCGGGAGGACATCCGACCCGCACAGACTTTTTCAAGCTAGCCTCCCGGCATCCGCCTCCCCAGTCTTGAACACCGCGATAGCTTCCCCATGACCGACCCCTCTGATATCCAAATGGGGAAAGATATGCTCAGATAGCCGTACTGAAGACCAGGGGATGTGATGCAGATTGTGTTAGAGCGGCAGGCAGAGATGCAGGATCCAGCCTGGGATAGAGACAGAGTGCTGTTCACGATCGTGGGCAGAGTGGGCGGGCTTTTTGCTAGATGCAGTGGCGGCCCCTCACTTGCATCGAGGCCGAGGCAGTTTATCGGTGATCCTCATTACGATTTGCTGGATCGGCCGTGCTCTTGGGAAGTAGCTGGACCAGGATGACCACTCACGATAGGCTCTAGAACTAGTCAGGTGGCGGTCGAATGGTATGAATTGGGGAAACGAGGCAGGGGTAACAATGCTAAGTGCCAGCGCTGGAGCCGTTGGTCGGCTTGGCACAGGGGCCCTTCGGGTTGCTCCCTCTTGGCGTCCTTACTCAAAGCAGTGAAAGTGTCCGGTTGGATGCTCATCTTGTTCCTGTGCTCGTTTACGCGACGAGAACACGTGTCTCTGGAGCATTACATAGGATAGTGTTGTCCAATTCAACTTGTTGTTCAGGGCGCGCAGGCTGTCTGTCATCGACATCTCTATGCTATGATGGCTTTAAGGGCCGGAACCTTTGCCGATACTCGCCCATTTCTGCTGCGACTGAAGAGCCCCACGACAGGCCCGTCGCAGCCTCCAGATTGACGTCTAGATGTTCTGCGTAGAGCGATTCTGGCAAGGCGGGGTTGCGATCTGCCGAAAATGATGGTGGGATGGCTTGCACTAGGCTCACCAACAACGTCGTTTTTTCTTCTTCCTTCAACCGTCTAAGCGTTCACTTTGGTGGAGGCAGGATGGCGCGATTTCGGGGCAAGCCGACGGCTGGGCAATGAAGACCCCTTTTCCCCGAAAGCACGTGTCTGGACTGGAGGAAAACATCTGGCCCCACGCTAGACTACCTAGCCATGGTACAGTACTGGCCGCGTGCGCATTGCCGCTTGTGTTCGCCCACCAGTTTGACATTGCCATTGTGCGCGTGGATCTTCCGAGCTTCGTTGTATGTACATGCCGACGCATCGTCGATTAATAAGAGGGGTGTCATATTCACCATTGACCAGGCTGTTGCCCTTTTGAGGCCCGCAACCGTCAGGGTCTCATTGTGTGCACCGGTCACGGTGCGGTCCTCACCTGAGCCAGGGGGAGATGTCGTCAATGCCATGTCGCCTTGTGGCTCTGTGCCGCGTCGAGGTTGCTTTGTCTGGTCTGGACCATCTCATTTAATTACGTGTAGGAGCGTATGCAGCGTCTTGTTGAGCATCCATTTGCTGGCCGATGTGAGTAAGCGTCGAGCAGGCGACGCCACAGGGCAGGAGGCCGCCCAAGACGTTGCCACACAGGCCGCGCGAGGATCGCTGTGGCTCAGGACTGGCACATGCCGGTCTTCCTCAGGATGGGGTTTTGGGGGTGAGACAGGGGCGGGATGGGCATGTGCTGGCGCAATGCTGGCCGACCCGGGCGTTTCACACATGCTCGAAACAGGATTCTGGGCCTGCACCAGCAGCGCGCTAGGCCCAGGAGGGGCCCAGCCACAGTGGCGCCGGCACACCTGTGTGGTGGCTTGCGTGTGCGTGTGTGTGCTGGCAGGCGCACCCGAGGACCCTTGGGCGTGCCGGGCCCGCGACGGCCCTGCAGATGAACGGGGCAACCGTGATCCGCAGGGTCCCGTCCCTGCCAACCCTGCCAACTTTCACGCGCCCGCCAGGCGTCGCCGCAAAAACCAGGTCGTCGCCGTCCATGGGTCGCTTCCAAGGAAGTTATATTACCATGGCGGGCTCGCGCAATGCGCGGCCTCGTGCCCGCTGCCCGTGGCCACGCTGGGCCCGAGTCATAACAATACCATAATAGAACCCTTCAGGGTCCTCTGCTCGGTCGCGTCGCCCTCCCTCCGTCTCTGTTGACGCCATCCTCTGATACCCTTTCTTCTTGGGGCCTGGAATCGCCTTGGGGTCAGCGTCGATCATCGCTGCCGATCTGCTCTGCGCAATTGCTGGCACGTCATCTCTCTTCGTCCCTCCGGCTCCAGACAACATCTACTAGGATAAGTCTGCGTCTGTGTGAAGAAGAGCACCTCACTCATTTGTAAATTCGAAAAACACCTCGTCGATTCTCGCACAGCTTCTCCGCCTCGTCGCCATTAAAGGATTGATTGTCCAACGGGTTAACACTTACATGGCACCGCTGCGGTGAATGTCGATCATGGCCCCTGCAGCTGACGCCGCTGTGGCTCCTGGTGGCGCGGACGCCGTCAAGCCCTACAAGATCCGTGTAAGTGAACCATCACAGCCTCCCTCAGTCATAGTTGTCCTCTGCGGCAGGTACAACATTCTTGCAGCCCGCAGCCGCTGATACTTGATTACGACAGGTTTCTTCGCGGTACATCGATCTCACCCGCCAGAAACTCGAGCTCGCACGGCTCCCGCACGAAGGCCTCGTGGCCAAGTCAAGCTCATGGTGGGAGCCCAAGGCCGAGGTCGAAGCCCTCATCGACTTTTGGCTGGAACAATATTCATGGCGGGCGCAGGAGGACGCCTACAATACGCAGCTCGACAACACACAGTTCCGCACTGCCTTCGCCAACCCGGCCGCAGATCCCGACGCCTCTGCTATTCGTCTGCACTTTATTCACGTTCGCTCATCGCAGGCCACTGCTGTGCCTCTGCTTCTGATTCCGCCGTTTCCCTTTACGAACATCTCGCTGGCGCACCTGTTGGAGTCGCTCGTCAATCCTGGGGTTGGTGGCAATGCTTCCACTCAACAGGCGTTCCACGTGGTCATTCCAGCTTTGCCGGGCCTGGGCTTCAGCGACGCGCTCCCAAACAACGTCCCAGCCATTTCCTCAACAGCAGACCTGTTTAATTCACTCATGCTTCGCCTTGGATACGACCACTATCTCGTCACCAACACCGCGCCTGGCTCGACGTCCCCGGCACAGATTGACCACAAACTGGTCGACTTCCTGGCCTCCTGCTACTCAGATCACTGCGTTGGCGCTCACTTGATTGCACCGCCGCTGGCACAACCAACACTCAAGCAGAACCCGGTGGAGTGGGCAAAATGGTCGATGGCTAGCGTCCTCCGGCGGGATCTGTTTGGATACAAAACGACCGATTTTTTACATAAGACGCGCTTGTGGCCAATTTCACAAGCGGCCACGCCTGCGACAGCAGGTTCTCCGCTCAGCCTGCACTCCGTAGGACTACGAGAGCCAAATACGCTTGCGTATGCCTTGTGCGACTCGCCGACTGGTCTGCTCGTGCAGGTCATGAAAAACTTACGGATACGTGGGCCGAGGAAGGAATTCACGCAGACGGAGGTGCTCAACTTTACACAACTGTCGTGGCTTCCTGGTCCGGAGGCCGGCCTGCGGTACTGGGCTTCTTGTTCTGAAAACCCAGAGGAGGCGAAGAGTACAATGGGTACGAAGCCACGGGTTACCATTACAGTCTTCCAGGATACCGAGAGCAGCACATCTTCATCACCTGAACAGGCCGCAACGGATGCTACCGCCCTCAGAAACCCCGCCTTGGTTCCATCGTACACATGTCCGGCATGGGCAAATGCCAAGTACCACGTCCTCCACACAACACGAGCGACTGGCGCTCCAGGGCTCCTAGCTTGGGAACGGCCTGAGATCATTGCCGAAGGTGCCAGGAATTTGGCAGGCAGTGTTTCTAGGATCGACAAGCGCCTCTTGAACGCCGAGACTGGTTCTAGTACGGCGGCCCTTGCTGGCGTCGTTGTGGATGGAGACCATTCCACCGCTGCCTCCTCCTCCGATGGCGGTCGACCGGCCATCGCGTCTGCAGATGCCACCAGCAGTAATAACAGGACTCCTCAGCCACCGCCTCTAACACAATCACCATCAGGTCATCTTGCCCCGCCAGCAACCATTGCTCCTGCCGATCAGCGAGGACAGCCACAACGCGAGCTTAGCGACGAGACGATGGTCAGCAGCAGCACAGAGCTGTCCGATCTATCCGACAAGAAGCTTTCGATTGACGAGCGGATACAGCCCTCCCGCCATTTGAGCGACGAGACCGCGGTCTCGGGGCTGTCCTCAACTGGTAATCTCTCAGCCATCACTGCCACGGGGAGCGGGCCAGTCTCACCTGTCCCCACAAAACCGAGCTCGGCGGGCTCACTGCCGATATCACCGCCTGTCGTGGATGGCGCTGACAAGGGCGAGGCGGAAAGGAAGTCTAATGAAAGCGCCGTGCCCACGGCGATCGTGGTCACTGCGGCCGACGAGGACGCAGCTGGAACCGCGCCTCCTACCAAGGCTGCTACAGTCCAGTCATGATTCCCCATCAACACACCCGTCCTTATTGGGTCCCGTGTCGTCCCAGACTTATTCCCCAAGCTGATGTGACTCTACGGAAGCTTGGCGCGGTCCCCAGGGAGTGGCCGAGTGAATGCCCAGCTGTTCAGCAAGAAACACTGGCTACATGCATAAATAATAACGTCCTCATCACGACGAAAAACGAACATCACGTTTACTTTGGGCAGGACGACATTTTCTTCATTTTTCTGGCATATTTCATCACAGATACCAATACCAATTTCATGTCTCCTCGAATACATGAGGCTCTCCACATAGTTCTCAATTTCTCATATTACAAGGCGTTGCGGTCTCTAGGGATGGGACGGCAGGAGCGCATATTGTACTTACTGGGAATGAACGCGGTCTATGCGGACATGCCCGATACAATATAATTCAAGTAAAGACATCGTGACGGCATGACATTTCCGCGCGAATGGCATATACAGAATCGTGGATGCGCATGAGACGAAATCAGAATTATGATGAGCGAAGCGTGATGTGTCTGTCCTTGCTTAGGAACATGCTCTCTCGTTGTATGTTGGTACGACGTATGTGGTCCTGCTCCTGGCTATGTATATACTCTACAGCTCCATGCTCATATGTTCGTCTCCTGATTTCATTGGACCGAACTTGTACTTGTAGAACCGTCTACTCCGACCGTGGCAGAGGATCGCGCCCCGCAGCCGTCGTCGCGGGCGGCGGCGCATTCATCCCTGGCGACCCGATCGGCAGGGCCTGGAGCTGCGGAGCCGCCGGGCCGCGGAGGTTGATCGACCCGATGCGGGAGACGATGTTGCTGCCGACGGCATCAACAGCACCACGGGGGGAGGTCAGCGTGGGGCCCTCGGCGGCCGTCTCCTGCACGCGGAAGAGCTTGATGGCCGTGCCGTTCCAGATGCCCACGGTGCCCCGGGCGACCTGCATCTCGCTGGCAAAGACGAAGCTCCAGAGAAGCGACTCGTACCAGCCGAGCGCGAGGGGTGACCACTCGAAGGAGTGGACGCGCACCGGGGACGGTTCCACGCCGTACAGCTCTGCTTCTTGTATCGTCTTGAGGGTCGATGCAGATGGAACATCGCCTGCAAGGCCCTGCTTGCTTACTAGTGCCGATTGCTGTTGGATGACGGTGAGGATGGTGTGCAGAGGCAGTTCCGGAAGCCAGCTCTCGATCCATTGTGCGGACGGTTCAAACCCACCAGTCACGGATTGGTAGGTGACAGACCGTCCTGCCAGGCTGGTTGTGCTATTCTGTCGCGAGAAGGAAGGGAAGCCAGCGGGCATCTTTCCTCTTGCTTTCTCCGACATGCCCCTCAACTGCATGGGCACGGCGTCCTCGACATCTGCTACAGACGATGCGCGTGAAGGGTTTTCGCTAGGACTCGACTGAGCAGGCGTTGGCTCTCCGGGCTCCTCGTCGTCGTCATCATCGCTATCGTCTTCATCGTCATCATCGTCATCATCATCACCGATAGCGAAAGCGGAGTCCTCCTCTGGGACGTTGCTCAATGTGGGCGTTCTGGGGTGTGTGGACGTGGGACTGAGTATGCTGTCAACTGAGCTTCGGCGCGAGCTGACGTCCATGGGGTCGACTGGCTGACCGTCTTCCTTTCTGTAGCGACTCCTGCGCTCTATCTCCGCCTGGCCACTCTCTAATGTGAACGAACGCAACGCTTCGAAGCGCTTCTTGTTCTTCAGAAGAGCGAATATGAACAGAGGATTTTCTTCGTCATTGTTATTATGGTAAGCTTCACTTCGGCCAAGGGGAAGCGATCCTAACTTACTTGAGTATTTGTGCTCCACAATGGCATTCATGGACTCGAGTAAGGACCTAAGGAGGTCGTGGTTGCTGTCGTTGGCGAGCAGGAACGATGGCGATGACATGGATGTGTACAGCTGCATTAGCTTTGTGCAAGTCGTGGTGTTGATGTTCTCGACGTGGGCCGAAACATTGTTGATCACGGCGAGGAGTGCAGGGTACACCGCTGAAAGCTTGCCCTGGCTGGTCGAAATGAGATTGTAGATGGACTACGCCAGTGTTAGCGCGACGGGTTGAGAAGTGTCGACAGCACGAAGCAGCATACCTGAATTAGGAAATCGGCATAAGTGCCCCTGAAGCCGGGAATCCTGATGACCTGCGGAAGCGTGTCCTGGCCGTCAAACTTCTTGTTGAGGTTCACGCCAAAGTTGTTTTCCACACTGAGAGTCTGCAACAAGAAGGCGCACATTCGCACTACGCCTTGCTTCGACGCGTCCGCCTTGTACTCAGTCGCGTAGAACAGAATCAGTATGACAAAATCATGCGCCCGATCGGTGTCGATCATGAATGAGCGGAAGCGTTTATTGCATTGCGTGACCTCCCAGAACAGCATGATCATCTCTGGCGAGAACTTTGTGGTCGCCTGCGTACCAGGAATGTGAAAGGATGTGGCTTGAATAGGCTGGTTGAGGATTCTTGTCATGCCATCAACAATGAACTGGAAATCTTGAGGCCGATGTAATCTACCGACGAAATGACGGTAGTAGTTTTTCGGTGCCGATCCTGTTTCGGGATCGGGGATAGGATAAAGAAGCAGCACCAACAGGAGCTGGAGCGTGTATGTAACCAGAATCTCCTTTGGATCTCGGAACACCAACGTGTTGTATGGTACTTTCCAGCTTGCAGGGTTGTATTTCAGGGTCTAGGTCGTGGTCAGCGACATGTGTGTAGCAGAGATTTAAAAACAGCAAAGATTGCACAGCCGTTTGTTCACTCACAGTGTTGAGCAATGAACACAGGACCGACAGCACGACCTGCTTGTCAGGACATGTGCAAATATATGTAAGTGCTCGCGTGCCTTTTGTCGGGAGCAGATTCGGCGACATGTACATGCTCTGGCCAGCCATGGTCAGGAGCAGCCGGAGGATCTCGCATCGGTTCGACTCGAACTCTTTGGTCGTGGCTACAGTGGTGTTGCAGCCCACGCCACTCTGCCAGATGGCATATGTCACTTTGGACTTCCCTTGTGCCTGCCGGGGTGTTGTGAAGTCAGAGAAGAAGAGGAGGTCGATGAGGGTGTCTATGAGCTCTTCTGCAAGAGGTTTGGCGTCCTCAAACTCGTCCACTGGTGGCGGCTCGTGCTTCTTGTCCTGCTCGGCTTCGTCAAAGAGCACCTCGTTTGCCAGGGCAGAGCGTCTCGTCCGCTTCCGCCTCGAGCTCCAGAAAAAGTTGGTCTCCCATGGCTCAAGCCGGTCGGCCTCGTAGAGGAAAGGGAACAGTCGCGTCAGCACACGGATACAGTTGAGCGCATCTCGCTCGGGTGCGAGCTCGGGGTCGGGAAAGGATGGGTGGTGGCGTAGTGAGAAGAGACGCGAGGTGACTGCCAGTATCAAGGTTTCTATGTTCTCGAGGGCTCGGTCGCGGGTCCGGCGGACATCGGCAGGGGCGAAGAGGCTGAAGATGTCTTCGGGAGACTCGGGCAGCTCCCAGAAGGAAGTCCAGTACGGGTCGTCGGCGGGGATGTGCCTCTCCTCGGAGAGCCTGAAGATGCCCTTCTTGAAGACGAGCTTGGAGTCGCTGGCGCCCATGCTTGCAGACTCACGCGACCATCCCGCGGCAGGGAGGGAGGCCGCACAGGAGAGATCGAGGTCAGCAAGGCGGAAGCAGCCGGTCGAGCGATGCGATGGGGAGGGTGGTCAAGCCGAAATGCGGCAGGCGAGCGGGTGCAATGCTGATTGTGGGTTTCGAAGCTGGCCGGGGCTGGCGGGCCGAGGATGTGGATGTGGACGAGGTGCGGCCGTTGATTCTGGCCCTGGGAAGCTCGATCGGGTCGACGGCAAAGGCCGGCAGCGACTGGTCAATGGATGGGATCTTGAGATGAGCAGCAGTGACCTGGAAAACGGGATGCGCTGGAGCAGACGATCGAAGCTGTCCTCGGTGGCCCTGGATGATGTAGCGTGTCCCACCTCGACCTCCACACCTCCCCGCGCTGCTGTCTGGCTGCCTGCTCCACACTGGCAGCGCAGCCAAACACTCGACTCGTGGCATGGCATGGCACGGTAATTACAGTACACCCGGTCTGGGAGCACGGACGGCATCGCATCACGCCCTTCACGTTCCGCGCCCGGCAGAATGACACAGGATCACCAGCTGGCGCTGGCACAAGCCATGCACCCTCTTGTCTGCACGTCATGCGCTTCGGTCCTGGAAGGCAGCAGGCGGAACCTAGCTCCAGGAACACCGGCCCGGGATCTGCAACTCCAGCTCGACCTGGTCGTCTTATAGCCGAACTTCTGCCAGCTTGGATGCCGGGGCATCGCTACATCAACGGCGGCCCTCGCCAGTCTCTCCAGTGACCTCAGATGATGCAACTACAGGCACCGCTACCACGGCTTGGTCTCAGGACTGCCGTCGACCATGTCTACAACCACTACCCAGACCATCCAAGGCGAGGTCCAGTCTATCCCGCTCGCGTACTTGCAGCCTGCCAAGGACAGTGAGGCCCCAGCCCAGCCGTCCTCGCCCGCACCAGACGCCGTGTCCGTCGAGCAGGTCGCAACACCCGTGGCCAAGCTCTTGGTCGCTGGCTTCAGCTTCTTCTGTGCCGGTGCCAACGATGGCACTCTCGGCCCTTTAATCCCATACATCATCGCCAGCTTCCGCATCGGTACTGGAGAGGTCGCCATCATGTAAGTCGCCTTCTCGAATCGAAACCTGTTCCAGCTCTGACCCTCTCAGTTATGCCACGACTTTTGCCGGATGGCTCCTCGCTGGCATCACGAACCCAGTCCTCACCGCTCACCTGACTCTCGGCCAGCTGCTTGCCATCGGTGCTGCTCTCCAGCTTGCCGCGCAATGCTTGCGCCCTGACGGCTCACTTGCCCTCTTCTGCGTCAGTTTTTTCCTCCAGACGCTCGGCATGGCTTATCAGGACTCGCACTCCAATACCTTTGTCAGCGGGCTCAAGAATGTGCCCCATCGCTGGCTCAGCTTCATCCATGCTTGCTACGCCGGCGGCTGTCTCGTCGGACCTCTGATCGCCACAGCAATTGCCAATGCGCCGAACTCGATGGCCATTCCCGGCTGGAGAAGAGTCTATCTCGTCATGATTGGCTTTAGCTTCGTCAATGTTGTAGGCGTGTTTGTTGCCTTCCACGACACCCTGTGGACTCGGCTCAATGGACCGAGCAACAACGAGGGTAGCCCCGAACAGCAATTCGATGGTGCTCCCGAGCCGGGACTACGTCCGCATCGCAACAGGGCCGCATTCCAAGAGCTCGGCTCAATCATGAAGAGCAGATGCCTGTGGACCATCAGCATGTTCTACTTCTTCTACCTCGGCGCCGCCTTTACCGCCAGTGGCTGGGTCGTCGAGTTTCTCACGACTGTGCGTGGTGGCGATCTTGCCAACATGGGTTACATCCCAACCGGCTTCTACGCCGGCACCTTTGCTGGCCGGATCCTGCTGTCAGAACCGACGTTTCGCTGGGGCGAGCGGAGGATGATACTCATATATAGCATTCTCTGTGTCGGGCTGCAGCTTGTCTTCTGGTTGCAACCCAACATCATCGGCAGTGCTGTAGCCCTCAGTTTGATAGGCTTCTTCTTTGGACCGTTCTTTCCCACTGTAAGCCGCCCTTCCCACCTGTGGCTTGGGATCTGCCACAGTATTGTCCCAAGAACATCGCAACTAACATGACTCTGGCTTAGGGCATGTCGCTTGCTTCGAAGCTCTTTTCCAAGAAGTCACAGCCAGCCGCTCTTGGTAAGTACTTGATGACGCCCTGCTGACAGCCGAATCTCGGCATGCTGGAAAGTCCACTTTTGCTGACACCATACGGTACAATCACAGGCTTCATCTTTGTCATCGCACAAGCCGGTGCAGCCATCTTTCCGTCCATCACCGGCATCATCGCAACACGCGTGGGCGTAGCGGTCCTCCAGCCGATTGTATTGGCGCTGGTAGTGCTGTCGGGAGTCTGTTGGTGGTTTGTCCCTAGGGTTGCGGGCCGCAAAGAGTGATGGTAGTAGATGGTTCGGGGAGCGTCGTCGGGCGACAGCTAGGATCTAGCACAACCATCTCGTCACAACCTCAGGCGGAGATTTCGAGTGGCATCTGCCACGCCCGACAATTTGGAAAATGCGTGCAGGCAAGTGAGCTTGTATTTATTAGGATAAAAACCGCTGCCCGTGACATGCTGGCAGTGGTGGGTTCGGATCGTTCCGTCGTGGGCCGGGCTGGGCGGACAGCTGTGCACACCTGCAAGTATAAGTGGAGTTGGCCCATTACCCGCATCCAAATCTCTGCACCTCATATATATCGTCCACGGGCAGGCGCGTAATCTTTGTCTTCTTCCTCACCACATCCTCACACCTGAGGACGAACAACAACAAACCATGTCGATCCAATGACAAGGCACACACACACACACACACACACATTCTGTTCCCTCCAAGGCCGCAACATGGCGCCCGCATACTCAATGCTACCTGGGCGGATCGCAGGCGTGGCAGCATTGTCCACGCGGCAGTGCACGCGCGCTTGCAGGTATCTGCTTCCGCGCACGAGAGACATAGAAAAAACTTGAGCGCGATGCGCCGTCGCGCAGAGGTAGGTCTTTTGCTCAGTGGTCTGCAAGCACATGGCGCAGGTGTCATCACCTCCCTCCCGCTGACCAGCCGGTTCCCTGCCTACGACTTGAGGTGTTTCGTTTCCGATTCAATCGGCATTACACCCTTGGTTACTCTGCAAAGTGATTCACGCTTCTTCCTCCGAACCTCATTTTGTTACCAACCCCATTCCTCATTCTCCCTGTTCCCTCTGCCATCATACGTACTTCCCCCCAAAACACACACACGTCGCTTCTAAAAATGCTAGAGCTTCTCGCCTCGAATATCTATATACGTCACAGCGAGCAAGTGTGGACAGTGAAGCAAGAGCAAAACAACCCATTCTTCTCCCTCGACGGAGAAGCTTGGCCAAGGGTCATCTGGTAGATTCATTTTTGGTCCCCGTCTGGCTTCCGTCACGGAGGTTGGGGGGACTCAGTGGCTCATGGAGACATTTCTTTTTTTTATGGCCCCCCTTTTCTTTCCCCCTTTCGTTGCCCTGCTCGCAATGCTTGTGACATGGTCTGTCGTGATTTTCGTGTGTCTGGATGGGTCATATAAGGCTCGCTCTTCAGATGTCGAACTTGATTGTCTGGAAGTCGTGCGAATCACAGACGAGACGTGAAGAATCCACCCGGCATCCTCCAGCAGACGCGAAACGGCAATCGGTATATCCTGTGACGGGATACCACAAGGATGGCATAGAGCTCTTGTCGGCAGGGGATCCTCCGACGTGTTGCTCTTTTAAGCCATATCCTAAGCGGCATCCCACCCAGATAAAATGACACTCTGGTATCTTGATTGAAAACCACAAACACGGGGAGTCTTAGGCCCGGCACTCGAGTCTTGTTGCAAGCAAGCGAAGAAGGACTCCCGTTTCACCACTCATGTATAACGTTGCTTGCGTGGCTCGAGCATGGCAGGCAGTAAACGTCGAATTGAACTGTCCACAACAGAGGAGTCGTCGTCGTCATCATTGTGATTGATGCGGTTTGCCTGCAGCTCGGCTGAATACCAGTTTACCTTCTGTCTAGATCGTCGGACGTGACGGCCCCAACAAAACAGCAGATCAATAGTCACTCGGCTCCCCGTGTGTACAAGTAGGAATACCCACGCGCCTTGGGAGGAGGACAGACCTTGGTTGCATGACGCCAAATCTGTTATTCACACGGGTATTCCGAAATATGTCTTGACTTTGACATCCAATAATTCCTTCGAGGCTGTACTCAAAAGCGACCTCTTCGGGCTGACATATCAAATTTGGTTTTCATGTTTTTGAAATGCCGATATAAAGGCGGAAGCCAAGGTGCGGAACAACACGGCCAAGTCGACATATATCCTCCAGGCTCGGACGCATCGATGATCTACGTCCGTATTGAAGCCGTGGGAGCATTCTCATTCTTGAATATTCCTGCCGTCCCCGACGTGTCTCCATTAACGAGTGCTGGGTTACTAGGCACGAGTGGCTTCCCTTCCGCTTCTTGCACGGTCCAGGAGCATGTGTCACGACTTCACGTCCGTCCAGGCACAGCCTCATTAGGGCGATTCCGTGGAGTTCCGCGGCTCAGACAGCATGGCCGTGTTCCGAAACTGACCAGTCTGGGACTCAGCAAGCGATCATCATCACATGAAGGCACGGCCTCGCGTCCAATATCCGGGACACATCAGAGTACGGGAAATCTGCAAGAAGCGCCGCGGCCGCCAGATACCGTGCTGTGATATCTGCAACCAGCGCCGCGTAGATCACGTCAGGCGACAAATCAAATTTGATGGGGAGTCAAGGGGCCGGGGTGATTCCAATCCAGCGCCAAAGTCCGAACCCCGAATCATGCTCTTGGCCAAACCACGCGAAAACAGGATGGGAGACCTGTCCCAGTGAGCTGAGAGAGTCGTCTAAAACCAAGGACTGGACAGGTATATGGGCCAAGCGCGCCTAGGTTGGCAGCACGCCACGCTCTAATCACACCACAAACCGAAGTGCTCCTTTGCGGCAGAGGCGTGCGCTTTGTGTCGTGTTCAGTCCAGGTCCCTCTTCGAAGTTGGTGGCATGCGCAAAGCTTTCAAGCGTCATGATCTGATCGGATGTGGCACCATGTCTTGTCTTGTCAGCGTGCGCCTGGCGACCCGTGAGCAGCCGAGATTATGCTCGTTGGTTAGCATTAAAGGGGGTCAGCACCACTGTCCTCCTGTGTGTCGTGGATAACGTGAGCGAGGCGCCTTTCGCAGGTCTGGACCAGCGCCAAGTCCGTCCCGACACCGCTACCCGTGGTACGCCCAACGGAACTAAAATCTGGGTTGACACGTAGGCAGAGCGCGAAAGCTAAGTCGGCAAACGCGAGCAGAGTGCACCAAAACGCCGCGCGCGTGCCAGTCCCCATGCGGCATCCTTAGCGCTGCCCCTTTGGAAGACGGGGGCTGCCTGTGGTTGGGAATTGGTGACTAAAATCGCCGTGGTCCACGATTCAGGAGGTGATGTGTGAGCATAGGCGTACTATGTTCTCGATGGTTGTTAGCGGCCAAGGTAGGCGGACCAGACCTTGGCAGCCTGGCCTGGTCCAGGGACCTTTGGAGCCCTGTGTGCGTGCTGTATGACTTATTGCTTTTGTCTCGGAGGCTTGCTGCAGGCTGAGGGGATTTCGGACCGGGTTTCTGTGGTTTAGGTCTGCATAGTGACATCCGTTTCGACACCCGGATGCCAGGGATCGAATGTGGAGAAGATGAAGGGATACGTACATGTCGAGTTCTCGCTGACAAGACGGCGGCGGGAGGATGGAGGGGCGCTTACTCCTGCTTTGCGCTACGTCGTGGCGAGCACATGGCCTCGCAGCTGTACATACTCCGTCATGATGGAACATATTCCGCAGCGACGAAAGTGGAGGCAATAGGAGAAAGGAAGGGCCTGACGACATGGGTGAGCCTGGACATCAAAGCCTTGTACGCCGCTGTGGGGCTTCCGGACGGAGGAGCCAAAAGCCAGAGTGGACTGAGTGAGACGAGGATATCTTCAGGGCGCGAACAGGCGCGCCCGGCCGTTGGTTCGTTCAGGTGTCTGGATCCCAAAACCCCTGCCGTCGTCCCAAAAGGATCGTCCTTGAGACAGTTTCGCTCGCCCGTCGACTATTGGCACCAGCCAACGAGCCCAACCTAAGCAGGAAAAGGCAACAAGCCAGGGCATCCTCTGGGGACGGCGGCGCTTCGTGGTTCGAGCTGCAAAGGATCGCAAGCTTGTCTTCTGCGGCGCATGTGCGTGGCTGTTTGTGGTGAATGAGCTGCTAGAAACCCAACAACCATGCTGAGCAATCACAGACTGGACTTTGTTAGCCCGATTGTCAAGGACCTTGCTTCTCATCGGCCGGCCTCTCATGTGTCCACATCCAGTCCCTCCAGAAAGTGGGACGCCATGGACGCTCGCACAGGCTGGGGTGAAAGAGGAGGAAGGAGAAAAAAAAAAAAGAGAGCCGTGGGCGCCATGCTGGAGCTGTGGACACCGCAGGGGCTACCCTAATTGGCTGCCCAATTTATGACCTCCCGGCAACGTCGCGCCCCGCGCGCATACAGAATACACGTAACTTGGACAGACACTTCTGCACCCTCGGCAGCAGGCCTGGAGCAGGGGAAAAAAGCTAATTTGTCTGGGGGTGTCAGCAATGAAGTGGTTGGGATACGTCCTACGAGCAAAACCTCAAGTTGCATGGAGCCAAGGCTGCTTGTCTGGCGGAATGCGGCCTGGATTCATTGCCCTCGGTCGGCGTTCAAGGACGGCAAGGGGGGCTGCGAGGCGAGAAGAGAGGCGGCGAGCCAGCCGATGTGCCTAGAGACACCCTGCTCAGGTTCAATGAACAGAAGGGGGTGTGGATGGAAAGGGACAGCCGCGGGGTTTTGGATGGAAAACGAGGAGGACAACCCATGCCAGCCGTGGTCGGCTTGGGCGATGTCATTCGCATTGACCGATGAGATGCCAAAGTGGATGATGTGTGACTGGCGCCGTTGCTGTCGCGGTGGTGGTGGTGGTGGTCGTCAGAGTGCCCAGGACGGGTGGGCTGGCTTGCAAGCCACCCCGGACCACAAATTTGTACGGGGGAGATACATGGTAGGCAGGCCTTGTTGGCTGCAGGAGTCTGGTTGCCATGCATGTACCTTGCAACGACATGCCTGGCAGTACTGGCGCCTTGGCCCGTCTGCCCCCCCGACAGCCTCCCTGCGTCGTGTATGGGCCGGCTCAAAGGCAAGGCCTCGAGAGCTGCGCATGCTCTCGGGAGCACGAGCAAGAATGTTGCAGCTTCCTGCCTCGTCTTTGACGGCTTGACGACGCTTATCTGGAAAGAGAGCAGACCGAGGCAAGGACGCGGTGAGTTGCATTCCTATATCAGACACTGGGCAAACAGCGCAGCGCAGCAGTGCGAGTATCCGCAGTCGGTGGCTGATCATCCACGTTGCCTTGGTGAGTGACGAAACAAAGCGAAGCGACAGGTCTGTGTCAATATAGGCCGAACATGCTGCCGGGTGCGGGCGGGCTGCATGCTTTGCAGACCGGAGGGGGTGGGCAACGGTGATCTGGGAGTGCGGTTACTCTGGTGAGCGGGAGCTGGAGGTTGAGGTTGCAGGTAAAGAGCGAGGCGTAGCGTGGGGTCGGCTGAGGGCAGGCGTGACTCTAGCAGCCCACCCGCTCCCTGGGTAAAAGGTGGTGTGCGATCTGCCGCCTGCCTCAGCCAGCCAGGCCGGGATCCTCAACCGGGACTGCTGGGAAGCAAAAGCCATGGCACCAAGAACATCAAGTCAAGTCCTAGGCCGGGTCGAGCAAGGTACTTGGCACCACCTCCAACACGACCTCGGGACGCATCCACACCTGCCAGCTTGGTACGTTCCTCAGGCACGTTAGTGAGCAAGCCTGCGTGAGCAGGATGGTGAGGGTGGCGCCGCTGCACTAAGCTTCGAGACAGCTCTCTCCTTGGCTGACGGGGGCAAAATGGCCGCCGACAAAAGGCACGAACACAGGAGACAGCTCTCGGGCCCGCAGCCCACGCATACACACGCACAACCGGAAGCCACAAGCCCAGCCGCCAAGGGGGTTCATCGGCTCATTTGCCTCCCCCACATCGACCAAGAGCGGTGGCCGGGCGGCGCGGACGCGGCCCAGCGGCAGCAGCAGCAGCGGCAGAGACAGACAAAAAAGTCACGCCTTGCACTCTGCACGCCTCACGATCGAGGCGGAGACCGCCGCGTGCCCGACACATGTTTGCCGTCCAAGCCCCGAGATGGAAAATTTCATGGAGCGCCTCGCAATCTTGAACAAGGGACATTCAAGCACGCTGTATCACCCAGCAGACAGAACCCCGGCCATCACACCAAACGTTTCACTCACGCTGAAGTAGACAAACTAGGCAGAGCGCGACGAGAAAACTAACGACTGATGATGAAAATCGAAGACGGCAAAGTTGCTCGCTCCACCACGAAAAACCGAGACAGGGCCACCCCAGCAGACAAAGGCGGGGCTTCACGGGGTGGCATTCACCAAAGCTTTCTCAGAACTTTTCTGGGCTCGGCAGCAAGAACCGGCTTCATGGTTGGCTGGGGACAGCCACTCACAAAGCGGAGGAGTCTTTGAGCCTCAAGGAAGAAGGAGAAGCCAAATGCACGGTCATGCAGACCCTATCGTTTGAAAGACCCCCCTCCCTTATATGCAGCTCACACCCTTGTCCCCTGCAAGAAGACGTGAAAGGAACAGAACGTGGAAGGGCTAGAAGTGGGGGGTGTCGGGAGGGGAGGGATGGGGCGTGGGTGTGTCTCACGCTCACTCTTTTGAGCTGTCTGCAAGAGGGTGGGGGCAGAAAGGGGCGACTTACATGTCTCTCTCTGGCTGGGCAGACGCAGCCGGGTGCTCTGCGGAGTCGGACGACGACGACGACACCAATGACACTACCATCAACCGCGTCCCATGATTAGGGGGGCGGTGATCATGACGAGAATGGATGAGCAAGGTACACAAAGGGCATCGGGCGAACTTTTGGGAATCTGGGCTGTGCCGTCACGCTCCCTCGTGATCGGCGCAAGTTCCTGGCTCCATCTCGTCAACTCCGATGGGCGCCAAAGTCGAGACTTATTACTAGTCTGACGGCAGGCAGCCCTTTCCCAAACTAACGGCATCGGACCTTGCCATTTGCTTAGCGCTGCCAGGGCCGAGCAACCCCCGACTTTGGCCTTACCATAGTAACTCAGAACATGCGCGTGCATTGGGTCTCGGCGAGGCACAGCCGTAATTCTTGGATGCATGAGGTGTGCCAACAGACTCGTGCAGCTTTGGCGGTGCAGTTTCGTTCATTTTGCATGCATTGCAGCTGCTTGACCACTGAGTCAAGTAGCACCCAGCGTCTGTTAGATGCTCACCCACCAGGGCTCTGTGCACTTGCAAACAGCATATTCCAATGCATATCACCGCCGCGAACCCCGGAAGTGCAAAACGTGTTCTTGTAACCAGTCAGATTGAGATATTATGATTCGTATTCGGGGATCTATTTTGCTCTTTGCCCTCGGTGAGGTCTTGCAGGAAACAGCGCTATCAATATATGCAATGGTGACGTTCCTGCGTCCTCGCTTTTGGGGGGTATCATGTAAACGTCTTTTCATATCATGTCTTGTACATTGGATGCCCAAGCCAGGCACAGCGAAGGTTCTTCTCATGGAGACCAGCCTGAACCCGTCATCTAAATCCAAGTCTGTGTCTCCTCGGGGCTGGCGGCAGTGTCCTGCTCCTCTCCGTCTGCGTCTCTGTCGCTGCTGCTGTCATCGCCATCGTTCTCATCGTCAGAAGCAGGGGGCTCCCACGACTCCTCTAGCTTCAAGCCTTGGCCTACTCGACGGTATGTTGTGCCAAGGAGCTCAGATGTTGTTATCCGGTAGTTGTCCAGCCATGGGTCATCTTCCGTCTTTTCCGGGTCTTCGTACAGTCCCATGCCGACAAGTATCTCTCCCTCGTCTTCGGAAGCCTGGAGGGGCTCATATGGTATTGACTCTTCTGGCGTGACAGCAACGGCCTCGTGATGCTGAGAAGACTGGGTGTCCTGGGGGGTGGGAGGTGTAATTCCACCATAAAACCTCTCTGGCTGCGAGGGCTGATCCCACGTCGAAGTCGAGGTGACAGGCAAAGGAGGAAAGGACTCCAGCGCCTCGGGGCTGGCTTCATAGCCTGTGGCATCTGTATAGGGCTGCGTTTGGCTCCATATCGCGGGAGCAAAGTAGTGTGAAGGGCTCCCGTTTCCTTCCGCAGGATTGATGGAGGTAAAATCCGACGGTATGTAACCTGATATTGGCGAGTTTTGAGCTGAAAATTGTATAGGTGTTGGGGGCATGTTCTGGAAGCGCGTGTAGTGGTCCTCTTCCAGGTACCCCGAGGTCGAAGGCACAGTGTATGTTGAGCCAGTCTGCCTTTGTGTATAGGTGTTTTGGTATAGCCCATTCTGGTGTAATAAATGCTGCTGCTGCTCGAGTTGTTGCTGAAGCTTGGCAGTATATTGCTGCTGCTGTTGTGCTTGTGAACTGGAGCCAGGGTGCCAGCTGAGTGGTCTGCTTGTTCGTTTTATGGGTTCCTCTACACTGGCTGAGACGTATGGAGAGTGCTGGAAATGCTGATGAATGGTGTTGTGATCAAGTGGCTGGCCCCTCCGACGAGCGATATTGGTGTCCGCCATCATAGTTCTCCTGCGAGCCGCTCTCGCCTGAGGGCTACTACTTGTGCTGCTTGGTTTCACCACACGCATAGCTCCGGTAGGTCGTTGGACACTTGAGGCCCGGGGCAGTCGAGAGACAGTCTCCATGTAGGGAATATACTGAAGTGTCTGGTCCGGTGTCGAGACAGCGGGATATGAAACGGGTGGCCGATCTGCCATGGGCAAGCCAAAAGTCGACTGCATCATCGTGGTATGCTTGTGGTGTAGCGATGTCCTCGTGATATGCTGGAAGAAATTGCTGGTTGGGAGCAGATGCAAGTGGCAGGGCCGATTATATGAATGTATCCAGAACCCGCGGGTATGTGACCTTAGCGCAGCCACAGATCCGCCAGCGTTTTCGCAACAAGGGGAAAGGCTAAGTGAGTGTCACCCGCACAAGTATCACGGTGGAGGCGACGCATGGGTGTGCGCAACCTGTGGAAACCCAAGGGTGAAGCAGCGCCGAGCGTGGAGGCGGTACATGCGACATGGTCCCGAGGAAGGGTGGCATATGCGCCGTATTAGAGCTATGGGGCCGAGAAACAATAGCAAGTCAATCAGAGACACGATTGGGTTTGGCATGTGTTTGCGGACATGTCTGGCGGGCTAATCTTGTGTTGGGCGGGTCGTCTGGCATGCAGTGGGTTGTGCTACGGAATCTGCGTCATATGGAGCTGTCCAGGGTCAGCCTAGCCGTCCAGAGGAAATCTGCAGTGCGTGCTGCGCCTGGGGAGCGAGAACCGCATGTTCCGTGTGCGCGAGCGCAACATGCAGCCTATGAGCGGCCGGGCCTGCAGTGGCTGGGGTAGGCGGAGGGATTGCTCGATGTGGGCTCGATAGACTCCAGGGCTACGGGCTGGGGCTGCAGGCTATGGGGCCCCTGCACGTTGAAGGGTGTCGCTCGACTCTGTTTTACCTGGCCACATGGGGGCAGGGGCGGAGACTTCCTTGTTGACTGATCACCCTGGCCTGGCTCTCTCGGCGGGAAGAACTAGGTACACGATAGCGTCCCCGAGTGTGGTTTCTCTGCTGACCCACATCTGGGGAGTAACGAGCGGCACCGCTAACGAGGCAGTGGCGGCATCATGCATCCATGCATCCATCCACCACCCATGGACGGCTTTGGCTGGTTGTGTTGTGGGCAGCTTCGACGGCCGCTGACGTGAAATCAGCTGGTGTTTCTCGTCTCGGCCGCAGGACTCAGTCACCATCTCCATTGTGAGACGGGCGACTATAGCACAGGTCATGATGAACGGGAGCCTGGAGGATGTGCCAACCACTACTTGCCCTTCGAGCGCCGCACGAGAGTCGTATCCTGCAGTTTGGCCGAGTCGTTGTGCAGAGCTTGTGGCTCGGGCGAAGGTGTTGTGCGTACCATCAAATCCGCTTTGCACTCAGCAACCTCGAAGACCTGCTTGGGCAAGGAATAGGCCCCCTGCTGGGATGATCGTCTGGTGGGCGGGGTGCATATAGATGAGCCGCCGGGGTGAGTGTATTCGAACTCAAGCAGAATGACTTTGCGTTGATCAAGATTGGCAGCGCTCAGAATAGTGTCGCGGATGGTGGAGCATGCGGCATGTTGTGCTGAGAGCAGGGCCCACTAAGCGCCAGGAGCCTAAGGGAAGGGCGGCGTCGTCCGTTTCCCTTTTGCTTCTAGGCGGGCCAACAGCGGCTTGTGGGCCACACGGCCAGCAACACAATGAGCCCGTCCTCGGCGTCGACAACGGTAGCGGCAACACCGCGCAGGGAACCCCAACGACGCAGAGTGCCCGCCTGACTGGCATCCACGCAATGCACTGGCATGGTCTCTGGCCCCGCCGGCCGTTGTGCAGCACTCCGAACCCGTCAGTGCCACCCTTCTTGTGACCTCTCACCCAGGAAAACGCAGTGGCATTCGCGTTCCGCTAACACGAGCCTGGAGACGGACAGTGCCGACATGAGTATGAATCCATCGCAGGTGTGTCTGGAGAAACCGAGGCGGCACTGCCATTTTGGACAACCTCGCTTTCAATCTCGAATCCACCGCTGGCAAAGCCATCCATTCGAGTTCTGACGTCCAGATTGACGTCTCCAGAGCTTCGTGAGCAAGCAGGCGCAAGCGCAAGGTTTCGCCCGTGCTCTGCCTTCAAGGTGGTCCTGGACCGCGCAAGCTGCGTGGCGGACTATCGATCATTTGCCCAGTCACAAACAAGCACAGTTGCCCTAATGTTCAGGCATCCGGGGGGGTTACAAAGGTGCCTGCCATGTGTCGGGGTTTCCGCTCCCTGAGCCTGCCCTGTGTGCCTGCCGAGGGGGGAGCTCAGTGGAAGGATGTCGGCCGAGGATAGTCACGGGAGAGACTGGCGCTGGTGGCGTCGCCCAAGACAATGGAGCAAGCGAGGAGCGGATGCGCCGCATCCGCTGACTCGAGACCGTGGACGGCTGACTTGTTTGCTGGCTGATGAATGCTGGGTGAACCAGATGGTGGTTCCAGGCTCCCAACTCATGGCAAGGTTGGCTGGTTGCCCTGGGTGTCGGCCACTTTGTAAACCTGGCTGGTGTGGGGCCGGGCGAGCAGGTACAGTACATCGGTGAGGGCAGGCCCCCTTGCTGGCGAGGGGCGCTCCTCCAGGCAGGCCTCCCGTCCCTCCTGCTCTGGCAAATTGGCCGCCCTTGGTGCGTAACCTTGGAGAGGGAAGGTGCACTCGAGCCCTGGGGCTACCCATGGCTCCTGCAAGGCAAGGCAAGGCCTGGTGGGAGGCAATAGGATTGGCTGGCCGGGCCTCGTCAGTTGCACAGCTCCTCGTTCTCCGAAGCGGGCTGCATAATAATTATCAGATCTATGCATCCGCCGCCACATCAAGCATAGCAGATGCGCCGACTTTCGCCAGACCGCCGCTCCGCGCTGGCGGCCGCCACTGGGCTGCCTGACGCAAACCCAACCAGCAAAGACAGTTTCTGCTCACTGGCGTCTGGCCATGCGCCCAATCCCACTTCGCCCAAGATCGCCGCGTCATGAAACAGCTCCACGCTCAATACACCATTACCACCAGTGGGTGCCGTCTGTTCCCGTCGTCCAGCCAGCCCGTCACACACGAGGTGGCCTCGCAGCGGCCTCGACCGCTTCACCTGGCGGCATAATAGCCTCTGCGTCGGCCGCCGCCTGGCCTTGTTGGACACAGCACCAGCACCATCAGCACTATCCACAGCCGTGAGCATTCTCCGCCACGCTGCAGGCAGGCAGGAGGACGATACCCCTGCTTCCTTGCCGACGACACTCGCCCACACACAGCCCGAGCGAGCTAGCAGGCGAGGAACCCTGAAACGAGTCGCCGAGCGTAATGCCGCACGCCTAGTGCATGCAACGCAGGTGATATCACCACCTGCGTGGGCTCCCGACAGGCTTTCTTTCCCTGCTTGCGACATGGACCGCTTTCCAGCACCCACATGACCCTTTCCATGGTGGGGGCTTCTGGGCCTGCTGCGTTGTTCGCAATACGACATCGACTTCCTCGACAGTCGGCCAAGGCCTGCCGATTCCTCGCTGGCCAAAGCCAAAGCACAGGTACGAATTGCCGCACCTTCCAAATTAGCGGCGCGCCGCTCGTTCCGCGTGGGCTGGATGAAGCTTCGAAGACTTGAAACTGTCGACGAAACACCCAATCTGCCGTTGCCCGCGCAAATGGATGTGTTCAGCGCGCCACTTGTCGAAACGTCGCATTGAGACGACTGTCGATGTGCAGGTCGTGCAACCATACCCTGCCAGCATGGTATTTGACCCGCGCGCTCTCTTGTGGAGTTGACGAGCAAATTGACTCCGTCCTATATCAAAACCCAACTGTAGATACACCCAGAGCCACTGGTCGTGAAAAGAGCTTTTGTACGGCTGAATAAACTACACTTTTCGAGCACATCCTAGAGACTCTGGTTCACAGTAACGCCGCCTTACGAAACATTCCTGACTCAACCTTTCACGGCATCGCTAAAAGCCGACAAGCTGGACTGGTGCATGGTTCAAGCCGCAAGCCCTGTAGCCCCCGTACCAGCGCAGATTATTCTGTCCCGTACGGGCCCACCCCCCGATCACAACACATCATCCCGGGCCACGTTCATTCCCCTTTGCTGAAACACTGCTAACATCTATCTCCATGAAGGGAATCCGCTGTTGGAGAGATGACTGGGTGCTCATAAACGATTGAGCGTCCTCAAGTGAGCGCCCACCCTACACGGCTGCCCTTAGAAGTATGGACCAGCTCCCATCCCAGCAAATGCCCGAACATTGGAACACTCGGTGTGTTCCGAGGATGGTATGGTGAAAGTCTACGGTTCTCCATGTCAGCAGCCCCTTGGGACGGGGATGCATGCTGCGAGTCAGAGATTGTTCTCTGCCTAGCCTCTGCTAAATCGAAGCGCCGCCCGCGTGCTCAGCGAGCCTTGATAATTGCACCCCTCTCATTCGGTGTTATGACACCATCTCGACACTGGCTCCGTGGGCAGCATCCGCACGATGTGAGGGCGATCGCCGTCCATTACGAAGCGGACGCCTACATTCCAGACAATCTTCACACATGGTTCAAATCTGTCCGCTTGAGATCCTGCTCATGTTGCTGTCGAAACCGTAAGCTCACCAACCATATTCAGTGGGCACAAGCCAGGTATATATTGCTTCGTGTAGCATTTCTGCTCACAAAGTCTCAGATGCCATCGCTTCGCTGTTCTAACCACGACTTGACCAGAGCTGTGCACGCGCCAGAGCGCATACATCATCGTCCTCGTGGGAGTCAGACCATGCCTTGCCGGGCTAGGTATGGTCTCCGTTCAGCCAACGGTACACAACTTGAAAAAGAAAACTGGGGCCGGTACCGATCAGTGCCATTTGCAGACTTCGAGGGGTGAAACTATATAATGTTTGGCATCAGCCATGCGCTCGGCTGGCGGCATGACGCTACAGAGTCCTGCCATGACAAGCATCTTTCCCCCATCGTCCAGGGTTCTTAATTACCTGGACCTGACGAACCATTACTCCGCAGAGGCGGAGCAACTGGAGACCGCGTGAAGAACCCACGCGACTGCACAATACACAGTCACATCTAACAGGCCAGTTGTCGTCTCCAACAGCACACCACCGGCATGGACGAGCGTGCGTGCGTGTGTCGAGTCGACGTGGCAAAGAGTGTGAGTACCGCAATTCTCGTAGCCGCTGATCGTGACGTGGTTAGCACAGGGAAGGCCTGGTCTCCCTCACGATTCGCATGCAGCTCACTTCCGTTCGCCTGAAGGCCAACCTTTGCTCTGAGTCACGACGAGGACGACCACATGCGGTGGCTGGCCGACGGCTCCGACTGCAAAGTACCGTCCACTTACTTGGACGTGAGTTTGGACGAGTCTCAATGAGTGGATGGCAGGAAGTCGCGCAGACTCAATGCACCCGACGGAAGCCACTACGGTTTGCAAGTTTTGATTGGCTTACTGATCCTTGTCTCGGCACTAATCAGGCAAAGCCTGCGGGTTGTCCCATTCAGCCTCGAATCTCAGCACGCGCACCCAGGCCAAGCCTAAAGTGGTACCTTCTCTTCTGAGCTGCAGTCATAAGAGTACAGGGTTTCACTTCCATTTCAGGATGGTTGCTGACCACAATGCTCACCCCAATGCGAGGGACGTTGGCTGTACTCTATCAGTGGCCGACCTCTCTTTGATCTTTACGCTTGCCTGACATGAGTGACCCGGCAACTTTGACGCTGTTCTGGCTTTAAACGCCCCCTTTCAGTGTATCGAACCGTCACCAAGTGATTCTGCACTGCAGTACCACCACAGTAAGACACTAATGTGGTGGGAATGCGCAGTCCACCAGTCAGAAGGGGGTTCCAGGGTGTTGGTGTGATGGGGACAACCCCCATTCATGGTAATTTTTCATGCTTGAGGTGGACTGCCAGGCACCTAGCCTAGACCTTGTGCTCAGGCGTAGGACCAGCTCGGATCGGCGCATGCTTTGAGGGCTGGATCGGCGCAGTTGCCTGCGGTGCCGGGACCCGGGTGCGGCACAGGCGACATCTGTACGCCACTACCACTCGGTAGGTTATGATCAAAGCCGAATGGTGATTTGCCTCGAATCGACGTTCACTACCTGATTGTAGCTAGTTCTGGATGCTCAATCCATCGTGGATCTTTGGATGGCTCTAGCTCATGGCGCAATCAGCAGTAGTCGAGGGGTCTCATCTCACCTGCCTCACCTGCCTCACCCACCACTGGTTGTCCTCGTGCACATCTAGTTTCTCGTGTCGTGGGGTATTGAGGCGCATGCGACCTCAGACATGGTGACAAGGAATGGGGTTTAGGAGGAGCGGTGAGTTAGTCTCAATGGGGACGACGCTTTCCTCCTCCACTACGCTAACGTGCTTCCAGGTTGTGGCCAAGCGTGCGCTTGAGTGCTCGAACCCGGTACGTACAGTAATTTACTGGTCCCCGCCGTAGAGACCGACCCTCTAATTATGGCTTGTCGAGGACCCTAGAGCGTCGCACGCCTGGGGGATGAGCAAGCACAGCTCCCTATCTCCAGCGTGAAAAAGTCCCTGCGAGGTAGCTACGTCTCACTCCGGTAGGTCGAAATGGGGTCCCGGCCTTTGGCTTGAAAAGCGACCCCCCTTGGTGTCTCAGTGCTGGAGTTCTCCTAAACGCAACTTATTTATTTTTTGTGCTGCTATACTTTCCGCCCCAGCCGCGTTTCGCTCCAGCGAGATTCCCGCCCAAGAAAGTCAGAACCCGGTCCTTGCTCGGTTGCGAGGCGGTCACGCGTCATTGTGCTTGCGAGCACTTTGGAGCCACTCTTTAGGTATCCAGGCCAGGCAACCAAGCGCGGGCTACTCGCGGGTTCCCGAGAGCTCATTCAGCCAGCAGACACTTCTTATGGCTTGTGGAGGAGCATAAGCAGCAAGCGCTGTGCTCAACAAAACCTGGTTGCGGCGCCTTGCTTCCGTCAGCACCGTAGGCATGGACCTATCAATAAGCCATGCGCGCGCGCGCGCAGAGCAAGGTACTTGTGCCCAAAGGCTGTGCAGCTCCGCAAGGCACGGATTCCCTGTCCCTTTGCTCCGTTGTTGCCACTCCCGACGACCGTGACCCATGCATGCCCTGGGATCGGTTTGCCTGTGTGTGTGTGCCCTGTCTGTCTATTGACGCAGGGGGGCAGCACGGAGTTGAGTTATCAATGAGCAGCGGACATTGCACACACAAACATGATCCCCCGAGGCTCAGCAGGAGCCGAAGCCCCTAGTTTATGCGCGTGATGACAAAAAGAATCCGAGGTGCTGAGCAGGAACCACGAAAAAGAAAAAGAAGGAGGGTCGACACCATCCATGCTCGAGGACGGCAGCAAGCGTATTTCGGAACAGGTCACCAGGAAGGGCAACGCTCTCGCCGCCAGGACGGGATGATTTGTGCGGCCTGGAACATGCACTTTCCCTTGGCCTTGGCTAGTCGGTCGCAGAGAGAGATCCTGACGGGTTGGTGGCTTCCATTGATTCGCAACATCCATCATTGACATTCCCACCTCGTGGCGCGTTTTGAGCCGAGCCGCGACTCGGGGTGCGTGCCAAACCAAGATATTGCACGCCTCTGGATGGAAGAACACTGCACGAAACTCTTCCGCATCGTGCACCAAAGTCCGGTGGCCAGACCAGTGTCTCTGCTCACAAGAACAGCAGTTTCCAGATACTTTCCCACAAGCAGTTGGCACACCTCTTGGACGAAGCAGGAACATGGCTTGCGGGCGGGAGAAGGGAGCTCCCGCTTCGGGGTGCCCCACCTTCATCTGCGCACTCTGGTTGGCTCGCTGGATCATCGAAAATTCACTTCTCGAAATGCCAAAACGAGCATCTCCCTCGAGTGAGACAGCAAACTCGTCACCGCCGACGCTTGGGAAGGAAAAAAAAGCTTGAGACATTGCCCTGATCCGAGGTGCACGGGAACGCGTCGGCACTTGTGCGCCACCCCTGGCTGGCCGCGACAGACGCATTGTGTGTTGTTGCCTCACACCACACACACACACACACACATTTCAGTCACACAACCCTCGCCGTCCCTCCCTTTGCGGAGAAGCAAAGCAATAGCCGGGACAGCCCATACCAAGCCGCCATGGTTCAATATATCGTCACGCCGTGGCGCGACCACAACGAGCTCATCACCGCCCGGACACAGCTCTACCCAGGTGGCGGGCCCCCTTCAGACGACACCCCGGATAACCTCCCCTGGGCCGCGGTCTACGCGTCCTCGGCCACGAGACCAACAGACCAGCAGCGCTCCGAGGATGATGGCCTGTCCTCGGCCGTTTCCCGCGTCGAGGCAGACCAGCGGCTCGCCGTGGGCAGGGTGCAGATGTGGGCGCACCGGGGTAACTGCCCTCACCTCGTCGAATCTACGGGCCTGCTCGTAGCTGTCGTTCTCGACGATGTCGACCAGAGCCGGCGGCGGCGGCAGCAGCAGCGGGAGCGGCTTGCGGCCTCGGCACAGGCTTCTTCGTTGTCGTTGTCAGACTTTGCGGTTCGCGCGGCGTACGCGACTGCTTTCAGCCGGTAAGTCCTTTTTGGCCGGACTTCATTTTCGGTCTTTGGAGCTATGGAGCGACTGGGTCTTTTTGAGTCCTCACTCGGTTTGGCATTCTTGTTTCAAAACATCGGAAATGGTTACCTTGTGAGACATGAAATTTGCCTTTTCCACCCCTACACTCCTCCGAGGATAATACTTTGTCAGCCCCCAAGAAACACGGCCCAGAGGTCAATAAGCTGATTAGTCCGTCCACCGCGTTGTTCACATGCGGCACAGATTCGTCACGGGCCTGTTAGATAGTCAGCAGGACAAGCAGAAGAAGCAGAGCATGTATTCGCTCGCCAAGACCATCGGCCTGCCGGCGACGTTTGTCGAGCTGCGGCACCAGGCCACGCACGAGCAGCTGCCGTCCTTGCTCAAGCTGCGCAGCGCGGCCAAGAAGGCGCTCAGTTGGATCTGGGACTTCTACTGGAAAGGTCTGCCGCCTGCCGACCCGTCCAGGGGAGAGATGCTGCAAGACGGCGACCGGGTGGGTTTCCCCCTCCTTGCTGGCGTGACTGCCGGTGGTGACTCGAGAGACGAGGGCTCTGCGGAACTCCAGCTGGGGACTGTGCTGCCGGTCATGTCGTGCGAGCAAGTCCTCCTCGCGTACCTGCAGGGCAAGCTCGACGAGGCGACTGCGCGGCACCAGCTGGCGCAGTACGATGCCGCCTTCATTGTCAAGACGACGGATGATATTGGCAACTCGACAAAGGACATCAGAACCATGACGCGCGCACTGCGGCTCGTGGGGGATATGATTGAGGGGACGTGTCCGCTGATCACGAACCGGCCGCCAACCTCTGCTGGGGATGCATCGTCATCTTTGGGCGGAGAGGCGGCGAGAGGGGGGCAGCAACAGCAACAGCAGAGAAGTAGGGGATGGGTCAGGCGGTCGAAGGAATCATGGAAACCGAAGCCCATTGGGACGGTCTGAAGCTGATTCTGTATCTTGCGGGCCAGGATCTGATTACTTAGAGGTCGATGCCCCGGGGCATGTCAGCGTGTAGGACAGGCATATGATACCCTTTGGATTTTTATACGAGCATGGCTTTTCAAGCACGACTTTGGGAACTCTGCACACTGCAACATGGCACAGCCACTTGTTTTCAGGACTGTGTGTTGTGGCAGTAGATGTCGATACGCATGGTGGCCCCGGAGGTGCAGTCCCGCTGTCGGCCCGCCGGGCAGTTGGAGCTCTCGACGTCATCCGGGCAGTTGGAGCTCCCCCAACTCCACTCTCGAGACGCAGCATGGCGGGGAAGGCGGCCGAGCTACCGGCGAGCTTCACTGGAGCTCCAGCTGAGCTCCGATATGGTCAGTGACAGCATCGTCCGCGACTTCCGTGACTTCCAAAAATCTCCCAAGCTTCGTTTGAGCTGCCCTGCGTACCACTGCCGCCTTGTATCCATGAACATCATCGCCAGGACAGCGAAGCCGTTTTCCGCTCAGTCCGCCAGGTTCTTCTCGCCGTCCCGCAAGATGCATATCCAGTCGATCCCCATGTGTACGTGCCTGACAATGGTCATGAAGTGCACAAAGCCTCACACGATGTCCACGACAATATCCAGAATGCTAACAGCACACCACTTCGACGAACAGGGACTGGCAAGTCGGACAACTATGCCTACATCCTCAAGGACGACAGGACCAAGGACGCCGTGGTCATCGACCCGGCGAACCCAGATGAGTGAGTCTGCCTCTTGCCAAGGCCACGCTCTCAGGAGGACTCTGGCTGTTGCTTCCAAGGAAAGCTCGCGTGCTCACGTCATGGTGATTTAGAGTCGCCCCAGTGCTCAAGAAGGCCATCGATAGCGGCGAGATCAACCTGACAGCAATTGTCAACACTCACCAGTCAGTCCCAACTCGTCAAACCGACAATGGCAGATTTCTTTTCACATCACGGCAACAACTGACGCTCCTCGTAATTCCAGCCACTGGGACCACGCCGGCGGTAACAAGAAGCTGGTATGTGCACGAACCCCAAATAAAACAATAATCCTCACGTGGCCGCTAACACAGCCATCATCGCGGCCCCCCCCACCCAAAGCGGGCAGCTCTCGGCAAGGAAGACCTGCCCATCATCGGCGGCAAGGACTGCGAGGCCGCGACCCGCACGCCGCCCGACGGCGAGGGGTTCAAGCTCGGCAGCATCTCAGTCACGGGCCTGTACACGCCCTGCCATACCCAGGACAGCATCTGCTGGTTCGCGCAGGACGGGCAAGAAAAGGTCGTCTTCACTGGCGACACGCTTTTCCATGGCGGTAAGAAAACCCCTCCAGAAAGCGGGCTGCTCGATTTATTCAAACAATGTCGAATGCCGTCGTGGTCGGAAGGGATGCTGATGTATGTATACAAACAGGCTGTGGCCGCTTCTTCGAGGGCAACGCGGCCGAGATGCACATGGCGCTGAACACGACCCTTGCTAACCTGCCAGACGATACAAAGGTCTACGTATGTATCAATCCTGATCCCCCTTTTGCTTTTCTTGTTGCATGCTTGCCTGCTGGCCATCCGGCGTGGTGGCGGGCACCTACCCTTTTATTATTCCCTTACAGAAGCATTGGGCTTGAGTGAGCTAATAAGTGGGCAAACATCTGGCGACGCACCATAGCCCGGCCACGAGTACACAAAGTCCAACGTCAAGTTCTGCCTCTCGGTCCTGCAGAGTGAGCCGGTCAAGAAGCTCCAGGCGTTCGCGGATCAGAACAAGGAGACTCAGGGCAAATTCACGATTGGCGATGAGAAGGTGAGCTCTCGCTTTGTACCAACTCTTTTACCCCCTCTCACCTCCCTCCTCCCTCTTCCTTTCTTATTGGCCGATCCTCACGGAAAACTGCGAGATGTCACTCGGGGCGAATGCCCGAAAAACAAAAACCAATCGATTGGACCCAAAGATCGATGTACTGACTGGCACGATGTCCACTTCATTGTTAAAATAGCAACACAACGTCTTTATGCGCGTAGATGTAAGTCTTGTCACCTAGCCCATCTCCTCTCCTCCACACAAGATACAGATCCTCAGTGTTTCCCACAATGCCATTCACTAACGGTGGGAACAACCAGGACCCCGAAATCCAGAAAGCCACGGGCAAGACCGATCCTGTCGAGGTCATGGCCAAACTGCGCGAGATGAAGAACAACTTCTAGCTCGGGATCTACTCCACCTCCTCCTGCTCCTCCTCCTGCGCAGCTGCGCAGCAGTCGGAAGATTGGAACTTCATAGCTGGACACCCCTGACAAACCAAGCTGTCTCACGTTTTTCGTTTGGCTCTGTTGGACAGACAGGCACAACCCGTATGGGTTATAGCTGGTATTATATCGTGTTCCGCGGGTGATTGTTGAGGGAAAAAGCCTGGGGATTTTACCAACATCTGCTTGGTTGCGGCAGATTTACTCAGTCGGTCCAATCAATGGGTTTGACGTCCTTAGTACACCTCAGTGCCGGTTGTGATTTCCATGCGGCCTCTTTTTGATACATGCAGGATTTGAGCCATGTGCTCTTGCCAAAAGTTTCCACCGATCATGGCTCTGATACCAGAACGATGATGTGCTATCCAGTTCTGCGTGACAACTTTCATGTGCATGCAGAATATTCCCCCTTATATACGTCGAAGCCCTATGTCTCTACAGTCCGGTCCGTTCATTTCGCTCGCTCGTCTAAAAACTGATGCCCCTGCTCGTCTTGACCAGAACGCTCCTCATGACCCCATCTGTAGTGTCACTTCCCAGCGCAGACTCCCGCCCTTGCCGTATCCTTCGCCAAGACGATTCTGGATCAATGTCGCGACGCGCATCCGCAGCCTGCTAAGAGTGGCCTCGTCAGCCCCCTTTGCGACGCACAGTTTGAGGTTGGCCATGCACAGTCCGTAGTGCACCTGCCAGAACTGGGCTTCCTCCACCCGCTCGACCGCGCTCTCGGCCTCGATCTCGCGTAGGACATCGGAGACGGTCACGTCTCCAGACCCGTCCGTCCCTGCTTTGCCGCCGTAGCTCATGAGCAGCATCAGCCCCTGGGCGGCGGCAAGCTGGAAGCCAAGGGCAAACATTGCCACAGCAACAATGGCACACAAGCCGCTGTCGATGTAAATGTTGATGTTGATGGACAGTAGTGGCAGAATGAGCATAAGGCCCGATGTGGACAAGGTCAGGAAGTGAAAGGGATTTGAGAGTACGCTGGGCAGGCTCGCAAGGTAGCTGAGACGCATGAACTTGCTGATACGAGCATGGTTCTTGAGCCCAAACGCGCTCACCAAGGTCGCCGCCATGACAGCGATACTGGCGAGATTCAGCCGACCAAGAGCAGCCCCGGACTCTGTGTGGTCATGCGCGTCATGAGGATCCGGATGATGCGCCTCATGGCCGCCTTGGCCTTCCATGACATGTTTGACGTTATGGCTCACGAGGTCAAAGCCACCGAAAATGAGGAACACGCTCATAGCGAAACCCGCAAGCACCTCTGCGCGTTCCAATCCAAAAGGATGCCGGATACTGCTGCGCTTCCACACCTCGAAATTGCCAAGGACGTCGACGCCCACGCAGATTAGGGCCGAACCTGCGTCGAAGAAGACCAGGTGAGAAAGAGCCGTCATTGCGAGCGAGCCGTGCGCATGAAGAAAGACAAAGACGGCCACGAGCAGATGGCAGAAGCACCAGTACAGGCGGCGCCGCTGGTCCTTGGACATGGACTTCCAGGCCTCCTTTGTGGTAGGCACGGGTAGATCGCGGGGGAGTGCAAGAGGAGCACGGTGCCGGGGCTCCTGGAAGATCTGATGCTGCGCACTGATGCTCGAGTGCTTGTATTTGTGGCCGCGACGCTGACCAACAGCGGGCTTTACTGGCGAGGTCGAGATGACCTGCGTCTGGAAGTTGAAGGGATTGGAGGCGCCAGCCCCGGCGCCTGGGATATCCATGGGGGCTGTAGCATCGCGCGAGCTCCCGTCAAACCCCCCCGAGGAAGTGGTGGACATGTCTGGTGTTCGTCCTTGGGGTGGCGGGGAGAGGAATCTCTGAGCAGGCGATTGACGGCCAGGTACGAGCAAAAAGCTTGACGGGGGGCTCGGTGTGAGGAAGGGAGAAGCAGCGCGGGCGTCGCGGTCGGGGCGGTCTTGGTGGTGATGTGCTGGGTCTTTGTCTAGGGCGTGCCAGTCGGAGTCGTGGTGGTGGTGGTGGTGGTGGTCGCTGCTGCTCTCGCCGCTGCTGCTGTGGCTATCGTCGTTGTCGTCGTCGTCTCCGGTGGGGTGAAGTGCAAAGGAGAAGATTGGGGGCTGTGGTCGTGAAGTGCCGCGGGAGCGCGAAGCCATTGAGGGAGGGGAGGGGACGAGGAGAGGCGTGAGGCTGGGGTCGTGTCGACACAAGGCAAGGCCACCTTGGGCGCCAAGGAGTCTGGCACTGTTGCTGAGCAGGACCAAGAAGGCGTGCAATGGCGGGCGGTGTGCCGAAGTTGTCTTGTCGGGTGCTGTTGACAAGTGGTCTTCGCTGGCGACACGACACGACACGACGCTGTTCTCAAAGCACCTGCCGAGCTCGTTGGATGCACCTTCCGACCTAAGCCTAAGCCAAGGCGGGCGGCTGTTTGGGGGGATGAGGTGGCTCCTTTCTAGGCCAGTACTCTGGGGCACATCTGGGCAAAGTGCTCACACAGTGTGAACTGGCAATATTTAGCCATCCCATACTATGGATAATGCTCTCGTGGGCACTAACTGCGGCCTTCATGGCAGATAATAGTACAGTGTGTACACTCCTATCTGCACCTCGAGACGACTTTGTGCACATACCTCAGCATGTACCGCAACACCCTCTTTCCCATCCCCCCTGAACTCCTTCCACCCTTGGAACCTGGAAGCAGCAGCCACCCTCTGATTGCACAGGCTCGCCTGGGTGGTGCCAAACATCAACTCGACCGACAACACATCGCCAACCGAGCACTCCCACATCAACTGCGACCGCCGTCATGCCACCTCGACAACGCCGCATAATATAGACTGCGTGCCCCTACGCCTGCAAATCACGCTATTATGCCCTCTCCACCATCCGACCTACCTCGACCGACTGCCAGCAAGCCGCCCCTCCCATGACGCCAACACATCCCCACGAGCAGTCCACTTTCCATCTCCCAAGTCCCGCCGATCGCCCACCACCTTCGACGGCAGCCGTGCTGGGTGCCGACGCCATCCAGCGATGGACAACATCCCTCCCAAACCCACGGCGGCACCCGCTGCAGACGAGCCCCCAGACCATCTCGCTGCCCACTCCTCCGGCCGGAAGCGCAGCGGTTCTGGCGGCAGCATCCTCTCCAAGTTTCCCTTCATGCGCACCTCCGACAGTCGTGCCAGTGCCCAGGAAGCCAAGCTTCAGCAACAGGGCCTGTCCCAGCAACAAGCGGAATCGCCAAAGGACGCCGTCCAGGGCTCCAGAACCTCGCCCCGTGCCCTGGCAGCTGCCATCTCCCAGCAACAACACAGCGGGCGTCGCAGAAAGGGCTCCTTGCGCAAGGTCGCACTACTTGGGCGTGGTGCTGCCCGCGACCGGCGCGAGAGGGAAGCAGAGGCTGCCACTGGCGTTGCCGCCGCAGCTGCTGTAGAAGGGGATAGCCAGGCGCAAGCGCCGGCTGCTCAGAACGCCATACCGATTGATGTACCTGGTCGTACATCAGCGACTACCTCACCCGTCCATGGTTTGGGCATCACGGGTATCCCCTCACCTTCCACAGTTTCCAGCATCGCTGGCAGTGACGTCGTTCCAGCTGCCCATGGCACGTCTTCATGCCCGACAGCCCACCCTCAAGTACCTAGTCCATCACGATCTCCGACCTCCACCACAGACGACGACGACGTCCTCGTGATGCCCAGCCGGGATCAGTCTCCGGCCCACCTCTCATCCACGTCACTCGCATCCATGTCCAATGCATTCTTCGCGAAACACTCGCGAACACCCTCTATACAGCGACGCCGGTCGAACCGCACGGCAACCTCACCACTGTCCCTGCAAGGCCTGACCACGAGCCCTCTGCCACAGTCTGTCGAGGACCACGACTACAGTGAGACAGAGTGGTGGGGCTGGGTCATCCTCATTGTGACATGGTTCGTCTTTGTCATTGGCATGGGCTCCTGCCTCAACATATGGAGCTGGGCCTGGGACGTCGGCACGACGCCCTATGCCCCGCCAGAGCTCGAAGATGACCCGACGCTGCCTATCGTGGGCTACTACCCGGCGCTCATGATACTGACGACCATCATGGCCTGGGTCTGGGTCATTGTGGCCTGGGTTGGCATGAAGTACTTCAGGCACGCCAAGATGACTGGCGATTGACGACCTCTTTGTTTGCATGCTTGGGCTCATGGCACGATATCAAGATGATATAACGCGGGGTCGAGGCTGAGGAGGAATAGATGAAGAGTAGTGTATGTGTACATGTAGCTTAGGATACCCCTTGTTTGCGTTCTATCTTGCATTTCCAACTAGTGCCTGGCATATTGTGTGACTCTTCTCGGGATCTGGGGATTGCAGACAATGATTTGATGACTTGCAATGTCCAACTGGTTGCTCAATGATACTGGCCGATGCCAGGCGACCGTCGATCTAAATTGGATTTGGAAATCACGTCACTTTCCTCACAAAAGGCGGCGCATACAGCCACGCATGGGAATCCATCACACATGCGTCCAAGGGGACGCCGGTAGTTTTACTTGAAACGTCGTATTTTGTCATTCAGCTATATAAGGATACAGTCATATAAAGGGTGGTTTCGGTGCAGCCCTGCAGCTGCCAGGATGGCTGGTGCTTCTCGGCATCTGCAGCGTAATGTCCTATGGCATTCTGAATACTCTTGATTCGTTCTTGGAGGACGCAGAGAAACGTTCTGCGCGATTCCCAAAATACACCAGAGTCGCCGTGTCATGACCCAATGTCCTTCGCACGTTTGGATTGACTTTCACGAACGTCAAAACTGTGTGAGAGTGCATCGCGTTGTAAGTCAGCATCGAAAAACAGGCGTAACCCGATGGCTGGTCCATCTCGATAATGTTCGCGGCCGACATCTGTGGCCGGGTGGAACTGATCTGGACCTCACACCTTGGCGAATGCAGGAAACCGTCCTCTGCCGCGCAAAGGTGAGAAATTAGGCGGGTACCGCCACCGTTCATCAAGAGAACGCCGTGTCAGAAAGCAAAGATGAAACAAAGGAAATCCGTTTGATGCAATGAATACAGGCAGTGGTATCGAAGGAAAAGACGCCGTGATCGTGTGAATGCTTGCTTCGCCATGCAGTTTGATGGGTACCAATGGAATCGTACCCAGACCCTACGGGGAGTCCCGTCGGGCAGATAAAAGTCTCAAAGTCTCAAAGCCTAGTGTCGAGGGAGAATTTGACACTCAAGATGCAGCGACACACCAGTGACGGTGGAAGGCCCATGCGCTCTTCTGGCACTCCTTGCTGCAGTACTTGGTGCGGCGGCACCGTCGGCACTTAGCGAATTGCCGTGTGAACTCCTCCCACTTTCCGCACTGATAGTATGCGCATTGGCGGATTCCGCCCCTGGCATCATCCTTGCGGCAGAGGTTGCGCATGACGACGCCCGCCCAGTATTGCATGTCACTGCTGTGATAGCGTACGGTGAACTTTTCGACAAGGGGGAAGATGTTGAAATCGTTCGGTAGCAGGTACTCCTCCTCGTGCTCCGTTGTGCTGGTTGGTGATTCGGGCATGATGTCGGAGTCGAGTAAATCCAGCTCCTTCCCAATCTTGAGTTTGGGGACCAGGTGGCTCTTCTGGAAGTACGAGCGAAGGTTGCAGTACTTGGAGACGTACGCGAGGAGTTGGAGGGACATAAGTACGTCCTCCTCCCGAGGCAATGCTGCCAAGATCTGAGGACTTGGCGGGAGTGGTCGGTCGAGTAGATACCGGGAAACGTTCGTTTGGCTAGGAAGCTGAGGCTGGGGAGTTCCGCCAAGAGGTTGGTTCGGGGACAATCCGAGTGTAGGTCCTGGGGCCGGAATAGCATTTGGGATGCTGCCATCCACAGATGGTCGATGCGTGATATTGAACGTTCCAGTTTCGGGAATGCCTGACACAGTCTGAGCATTCAAGTCAATCGTCTCATTGACCAAGGCAGTCTCTCCCTCGTCCATGGCAATATCCTGGATATCGACAGCAGTCTGGATCTCTGCTGTGCCAGACATCTCTGCGTCGCCAGACTCGTCCGACTGCGCACCTTCCGTGGTCAAATCGTCTGCATCGCTGGTAGAGACCTGGTGACGAATGGAAGGCCGCCTGCGCGCACGACTATTCTGGTTGAGGACCGAGGCTGGTCGTACAGTTGGGGAGCGAACTTGAGGAAGCGGTAGTGGAGTTGTTGGAGACGCGGGTTGCGAGGTCAGTGTCTGAGGAAAAACTGGTGCCATGGACGGCAGCCGATCAATGTCGCGAACTGGACGAATGAAGCCATCGACAGCCTCCATCGTGGGAGCAGCAGTCGCCAATGGCTGAATGCTTGGCCGTGACGGCGAAATCACGCTGCCTCTGGCATCGTGTCGGTGGTGGTGGTGATGATGATGGTGGTGGTGGTGATGGCGATGGCTCGAGCCTGAGGCACGCTCAGGAGGAGCTGTGGAAGGGCCAGCATGGACAGCGGTGCTAGACTCTGCCTGGCTAGACTCAGAAACAGCTGACGTGCTACCGTATGTCGCCGACACGTCAATGGAAGGTGGAGGCGCTTGACGCCTGAACGGTCGGGAGTCGATCTCGAGTCGGGAGGTTCGGTTTGAGAATGATGTCGACTTTTCCCTGTGGCCGCGCTGCCGGGAATGATGGTCCGCGAGCTGCTTCTGTTTGGCCTCCTCGGCCTTCTCCCGGGACTTCTCGATATATTTGATGTAGTTGTCCAGTAGTGTGCCGATGACAGGGACCATATCTGCTTCAACGACTCTAGTACGGACCGTCTCTGTGCCACGTACTCCAATGTTGACAACGCACTGGAAAGCGAGATTCCACTTCCAAAGATCCATCATGTCCTTGGTGCGTCCTTGCTTCAGGATGCAAACCAGCCTCTCGATCCCGCCATCGACCGTGAGGATATCGCGAATGCGGGCAGAAGATGTTGTGAGGTATGCGAGATGGTTCAATGAGTTGATAAGTGGCAATGTTGATGTGCAGTCCAACGCCCGACGGTCGTACAGGGCAGTGGTGATGCCCACTGATGCCTTGTTGACATTGGGAATGCTGAAATTGACTTCCCTCATCGCGGCGGCTGGGACAATGAATCTCGAGAAAAAACAATGATGTGTGCAATGGGCAGACACGGTTAAACTGCCCAGTGAGGTGGCGTCAAGCCTGCAAACAACCCGGAGCAGATTTGGGGATGCGTCGAAATTTTGAAAGCAGGTTGTAGGTGAAACCGGATGAAGCAGGATGAAGAGGAAGAGGATCTTATGAAAATATGCACTGTTGACAGCAGTGGCGAGGTCGTGATTTGGTTCGTCTCCAACGCCTTGGCCGGAAATGTGCTCAATGAACAAGTGCCTACACAGCGAACCCGAAACGTCTTGGGGAGCGTGGCAATCAAAAGATCAGAAGGTTCTTGCTCAGATCTTGACACTCTTGAGGGGTGAGCAGAGACAAAGACGCTCAGTGCTGATTGTTTTGACCCTGTGTTGATGATACTCGCGAGGCAAACTGCTTGTGCGGGTGGTTGAGAGCAGGCAGGCGAGTGGAATGTACGAATCGATATCGGAGTAATCGAGGGGCGAAAGGACAGGAACAGCGACGACTCGATGTGAGGAAGCTGACCTGTTGGATGTCGAAGGTCTCGTGTGAGCGTCGATTGCTGACGGAAGGGGGTGGATTGCAGAGACCAAGAGAAAGTCAGCAGCAAGCGCGGAGGCCCGACTCTCCAGCGACTCCAAAGGCGTCTACTCTAGTCTGAACGCAGAGCCTCCATCCAGACTGACGGAGAGATGGCGCAGATGACGATCCTGATGAGCTGACGGGGTGAACGCTGATGGCGAGCAGTAGGTGTCGTGATGGGGAGGATGGGATAGAGGGAGAAGTCGAGGCGGCCGGCGATGGAGCCGGCAGGGGCTTTGGTGTTGGGCGCCGCTGGGCGTGGAGCGGCGCTACAGGAGGTGCCGTGCACCAGGACTGTTGCGGGAGGGCTGGGGCTGCTTCCTCAGCACGACAGAACAGGACGGACGGCCAGCCACTGCACCCGAGCTGGGCACGCACCCTGAGATGAGGAAGGGGGCCCACCTGGCCACCCGGGTGGCGTGCCCTCATTTTGGCCCGGCCCTGACAACCGCCTCCTTCCTTCGTCGGCCATCGCCATCGTGCCATCAACCAGCCAGCATTCACTGCAGCAGCTTACGATTCTCAGTGCCGGTTGGACGCCTCGGGGGGGCGGTTTAAATGGCTACCTCTTCGTTCTGCAATAACTCTTGCTTATGCTCGTGCCAACGTACGCTGAGTATCTCACGACCCGGCCGGTAGGTCGGCCACTCTGATCGACCATCGGCCATCTTCCATGTTGTTTTGTCAGCAATACAGAAACACCGATTGCAGGTGGCCACGGCTACAACGCAGCATCAGACAGCTGTTTCATCAGCCGTCATCAGTTATTTTGTGGACGTTTTGCCTTCGAGAGCTCATGTCGTGAGACCTCGAGATATTCACACGTGCTGTCAAGCACCACAGTGACGACGACGATGGCAACATCACCGTTCTCGAGAGGGAACGTGCGTGCGTTGCTGCTCAATACTGGGCTGTAGATGCTGCCAAACTTGACATGTTTCCGCTGCCAGCTCCTTTGTGGAGCACGTCCACGATTCCCTTGCCAGCCACTTAGTCCATGGCATCGCGGGACAAATCAAATTAGAGGAGGTCGCATTCCGGCACGACAGGCTTCCAAGCGCACGGTCGCCCACTAGTGAGGTGCCGAAAACAGAGACACTGATCTGCCTGACGCACCATGTATTTCCGACTCGACCACCCTTGTCCAGCAGGAGCATTGGTCAGATTTTGTGTTATCTCGATTTCAGGCCTACAGCAGGAACACCTCCGATATCGTGGTGCAACGGCAGTGAGGGGAGAGGGGAGAGGGAAGAAGAGGAGTCTTGGCCACCACTCGCCGGCCAGTCATTCAGGCGGGAGGTGCAAGATGCATTGCGGGTGCCGCATGCTTCGAAACGCAGGGATCCTCGCAAGCTCTGACAAGGGCGGTACTCTGCCGACGACCCAAGCCCTACTCCACCGGGAAATGGCCGGCCGGCTGGCGATCTTCCTTGCGGAACTGCGTCGGGCGAGCGACAAGGTCCTTCTAACGAATGCCACAAGCGATGTTTCCTAACAGGAGCTGGTCAGGAGCTGGTCATCTGTTGTGCATGCCAGCTTCCTGACATTAGAAGACTGGCAGGACGTCTAGCTGCCTTCGGCAATCGTCTCGGGGCCGGCGTTTCGAGCCGGAGCTGACCAAGGTGTTGGCGAACCATGAAGAGTCACAACCAGTATTATGACATCAGGGCAGCTCTTGGTTGTCGCTGTCGGCCAAGGTTTGCTCTCCAGGCCTAGGCGACGTTGGACTCGACTCTTGGGACAGCCATGCTAACTCTAATCACCGGGCACTTCTGGTCTGGTCCTGACACTTCGCCGCACTGGACTAGGCTCAACCAGTGCTGAACAGGGCTGGAATACTGCGATAGTCATCCATCCTTCACCGCCAGAAGGCCTTGGGGCGGCGAGGGCGGCTGCCGGACACACCAGATGCGCACCCTGGGATGCGCTGGCCCACCCCAGCTCCCTCCACACAGTCATGTGCCCGTCTTGGCCCGTCAAGAGTCAATGCATGCAGGTGGTTGCAGCAACGGCAGCCTCGTGTTGGTATCGCGCTGGGTCGACTCTTGCACGTGAGCAGCGCAGCGAAGTTGTTCGCGCATCACGGATCGCGGGGAGCCGCTCAAAGAAAGCATCAAACAATGAATCACGCGAAGTTGGCGACTCGAGCGCGGCTTTCTAGCCACTTTTGGGACACGCGCGACTTGCGGCAGTCTCTCGTTGCATACGAAGGACTGGCTGTAGTTTCGCATCTTGCTTGCTATTCTTCAGTTCCCTGTCGAACCCCATCGCTCACGGCGTGGCGCTAATGCAGCCTGCAGACAACGTGACGCCGAAGCACGACGGCGAAGCGGCGAAGAGAGCATGTGCTCGATTTGCTGCTGCCTCGTCTTTTTGACGGTCATAGCTGCATACCACCTGGAAGCAAATCTTCGCGGGGTCTTCGTTTCCGTCGTTCGATACAGCTCAACTGCGTGATGGCCCATTGCGTCTGGTGGGGTCTAGATCATGCATCCGTCCTGCAACCCCTTCGATGCGAGCCCACTGAGGCAGGCCCGCCGCAATGGGCGAGGCGGTTGAATCACTGCCGCGGGCGCCAAGCGGCTCCAGTTGCCACACCCTCCCACGATAGAGTTCGGCACTTGCAGGAGACTAGAAGGCATTGCTCGATACAGTATTGGCGCCGCATCCCTTCCAGCAGTCGAGCCTTTGATGAAAAGGGGCAAACGCCGTCTCATTTATTGCTGAATCCGTCCTTGTGGTATCGAGTCCTTCCTGGTTGGGATGATGAATGGAAGTGGCTATTGTTCAACCGACAGTCAGGGACGCAGCGCCGCCTTAATCTCAGCAGTCAAGCATACCAGCCAGCACCCACGACTAGAACTACTTCCGACGAATACGTCAAGATGCAGGTACCGGCACGCCAATTTACTGACCACGCAACCGTGACCCTCGCTGCACCTGTATTGTGACACCATCCAACGAGCGATTGAGTTTGGCAAGCCGCTTCCAGCACGGCGTTCCAGGCTATGACCTCACCTACCGGGATATCCAGGTGAGTCGTCCCAACGGGCAGATTGGCGACCCCGACCATGGGTGGAAGCGACGCCGTCGACGCTGTCGACGCCGTTCCTGATGGACTTTGCAGAATTACATGTCTTGATGAAGCATGTGGCCACCCATGACCAATCATTTTTCTGGCTGTAGATTCCCAGAGAGCAGAACAATCTTTCTGGCCAATCAGGGTTCGCCAGTAAGCGCCCGCGCGGCTACGCGCGCTTCTGACGATGCTTTTTGCAGCGTTGCCGCAAATCCGAACAGCTCCTGGGCACTGCTGGACCAACGCTTCGAAGGGATGCTGCCATGTACCAATGGATTCAACGCTGGTTTTGATCAATCAAGTCTATTCTTGACGTGCTTAGGCGCAGACGCAAGCAGCCATCATGCATGCATGCATCACCAGCTCACAGTCCAATAAGTGGATGGGCTGGTTTTGTAGGGGCTGTGAGGGAAGAACTCATTTCTTCCTCTGGTAGCAACCCCTCGCTCGAATACTGGGTGCGTCCATTGTGTGGAGGCCAGTATCCATCGTGCCGTACCTATGTCAGGCGTTAAATCTGGTGGGAATCTTTGCCAGGCAAAGTCTCTCCAGCAGGCGAGATAACAACCACTTAAGACGGCATTTCCGGGCCCGCATGGGTAGCTCAAGATTGAACTCTCCGGCGACACTTGCCCCTTGGGCACCTGTGCCTGTGACAAAATGGGGTGGGGCCTATTGTGAGATGTTGTCATGATACCGGACAGCCTGTATGTGCAGACTGGCCTGTGGTTTCTCCCCTCAGATTCAGGTGCCGTCCAACGCCACAGAACTGCAGTCATGAGCTACCAATGCCCAGATCTCCCCAGGCGGACAATCCAGGTGTTTGAGTACCTCCGCCCTCATCGCTAAGCGTCGATGACGACCGAATTACTTGATGTCTTGCCGCTTAACTTTATGCGATACACAGGAACGACACAAGACCGCCTTATGTCTCAGTCCCTTTCTGTCAGCTTGTGCCTGTGGACTGCACGCCAGCACCGCTGCAGGCAGGTCGCGGGAAAGCCGGTGGGCGAATCAGTGGCAGCCGGGAAATCCGGACATGATCCAGTCTTGTTGGTCCGTAGAGAGCGACGAAGAGAATCACGTGCCCTGTTTCTGGTGACCGAATAACTGAACGTGATGTGTTGGGATAAAAGGCATGCGACGGATGGCGGCCTCGATCGCTCTTCTGACATTCATATTTTCTGTTCCTGGGAGAAGACCTATCACTGAGCTTTTATTACCTTCCGAACACATAGGACCTGAGAGGGCCAAAGCACCTGAAGGGACGGATGGCGTCCTGCGTGCTGAGATAGCTCCAACTTGCCACTCGGAGATATGCAGAGCTGGTCGTTCAAAGACATTGACCGCTGACAATAGTATTGCAAGACTTGACGGAAGATATACAACACTGTGCTTCCGAGCATGAGCTAGCTCATGCCCAGATCATGGAATGGGGGGTCCATCAACGATCCAACACAAACCCGTCAAATTCGGTGCCTTATCATGCCTGAGGTTCAAGCAGGACCAACACACACAGAGCGCTTAGAAGCGATTCCCAGGCCCGGTGCTTACGCATGGGTGGCCCAAACTCATGCTGTGATGGCTTCCTGAAGATGGACACCCCCGGCACACATCGGACGCCAAGAACGGCAGTGGGAGCACAGCGCCCCCACCTCGATGCTAAGATCGTCCGGGGGTCTGGTTTCAGGCACCGGGGTCGGTCCCTCTAGTAGCGTAAACCTTGCCCTGGCAGTAAGGAGCACCATCTCCATTCTCGAAGGCATATGCTGCCAAGGAACTTTGAGAAGGCAGCATTGAGAGTTCGGAGTGCTTTTGTTCGTGCCGCTTTGTGCTTCTGTGGTCTCAACTGCGAAAGCGACCTTTCAGCCTCGGGCATTCTGGATGTGATTCCTATGTGGGGATGCAACACAAGCTGGATGCTTTACTGGTTTCCAGGGCTGGTATTGTCCGTTCACAAGACTACAAGTACCTGCGACGGCCAGTGCAGTTGCAACATGCCCAGGGCATATTCGTTGCAGGTATCTGGCGACCCGGGCGCCTACCAGCGCATCCTTGGACGATTCCCAGCCTCTGTTTCAGCAGCTTGAAACGAGGCGACGACCCCTGAGGCGCGGGGCTAGGGGCCTTGTGGAGCCCTCCAGGGACGAAGTGAATCCGTCCACTGGCCCTGGAAGCCTCCCGACCCGACCCCACCATTGGATGGGCCTCCCCTAATGCTCCAGGGGAGCTCTCGACAACATCAGCTTCTGAGCAACAGCTTGTTGCTCGCCAGCAATACAACTCTTCATTACTCCCCAAAGCCCAAAGATTGTCCCCGTTCGTCACACAGCTTCAGCGACGACTGCTCTTTGTCACCTCTTCTGAGCATTAGACGGCACCACCACATCCACACACACACACATTTACACACACGCCATGGCCAGCAGACCCAGCCTGTTCACAAGGGGGCTCTCGTCGCTCTCCCAGAGCGTCGATCCCAGCTCGCCAAACGTCAGCTCGCCCGCCGAGCAACGCGATGATGCTAAGCGCAACCTCTTCAAGACGATGCGGGCGTTGCCGACGCAACACTACTGGCAGTTCTGGTTCGACAAGTAAGTGATCCCGGCCGTTGTATACAGATACCCCCCCTTTCATGACATCGTCACATCTCTCCCTTCGACCCTGTCAGGCTCGGCTCAGGCCAATAAGCCTTGAACCTTACTACTTCCATTCTTACCCAAATTCAAGAAGAAGTCTTGTGCTGACAGTCAGCTTTCCCTTTTCCCCCTGTGGAACAGAGGCGCAAAGGAGAACGAGAAGCCCGAAGACGGCGACTACCAGGCGACGATCGAGACCTTTGGCGAGCTGATCGAGTCGGTCCAGGACTTCTGGCGCATCGCCAACAACACCCCGATAGACAAGATCAAGATGCGCGAGTCCATCTACCTGTTCAAGCAGGGGTTCAAGCCCATCTGGGAGGACCGCCGCAACTTCCAGGGCGGCAGCTGGACGTTCCGCATCCCCAAGGCCAACGGCCCGGACTTCTGGACCCGCGTCCAGCTCATGGCCATCGGCGAGAAGCTGCAGGAGAGCTTGGAGGAAGGTTCGTTTGATATAACCCCCCCCCCCCCCAGCGTCCAGCCCCGTTTGTCTTGGGTTGTGATGGGACTTTTACCAATCCCCCTCACCACCGAGAAGCCGCACAAACGGGGGCAGAAGCATACTTGTTGTTGTACACACACAATGGCTAACATTCTTTGCTCGCCTTACATAGGTGACCAGCTCTGCGGCGTCGGCCTGTCCGTGCGCTTCAACTCGCACCTCATCACGATCTGGCACCGCGACGCCTCCAAGCAGAAGTCAATCGACGGCATGCTCAAGGCCGTGCTCGAGGAGATCCCGCCCGAGCTCACCCCCAAGGCGGACAACTACTTTTACAAGAAGCACGCCGAGCACGCCGGCTTCAACCCGCCGCCCGAGCTCCAGGCCGTGCTGGACTCGCAGAAGCGCGCGCAAGAGGCGGCTGCTGCCAAGGACGCTACCACGGACGAGGCTCAGCCAGCGAAGTGAGGGAAAGGAGGATGAGGAGGACGATGACGACGGCGGAGCGTGTCGACATAAGTTGAAGCACGGAGAAGTGGTGGAGGAAGACCCAGAAAAAAACAAAGATCTACCGAGGCTTGGCGAACACATTCGACAGATATCATAGACAAGAAGAGAGGAAAGCAGGCGGAAGATCTGGATCCTCATGTGGCATTTCATTAAGCGGCGTTGTTTATTTTTTTACCCCACAGTTTTATCATGAGCTCCTGGTGGTTATCGAATATAGAGAGCATGATCTCTTTTCTGCTTGCTCAAAGCGCGTGGTTCCATCGCGCTTGCATTTTTATGTGGAAGCATGGTCTACGCATTTCAGTGCTGAGGACTGGGCACATGCCGCACACAGCTAGTACATCTTTCTCATGATCTGAATCGTAAAGTAGACCAGCGACCATCTGCAAAAGACGTGTTTATGCTGGTCAAGCCTGAGCCGATCTTCATGACTACCAGTTTGCATCCGTCTGATATGACGCAGCGCAATGGAAGTCCTCATGCCGACCTTCCGAGTTTCCACAATGTCTGAATCAGGGGGTACGCCAGACTTGTTTGTGCAGGCGGTGATGGTGCGGACATGTTCGTTAGATGGCATTAGCCTTCATCCGCTGTTTGCCGCGGAGTCCAACACCTCAACAGCTTCTGGATCTGGCATGTCGGGAGGATGGGGTAAAAGTCCCGACACGTAACGAGTATCGTTGTGTAGTGGCGGCGAACTGGTCGAGACTGGGGGTCGTTGGAATATCGAGCAATCGTGGACCCATCCAGAAGTAGGGTAGCGTGAAACGATGCATTTGTCCTGTCCGGCCAGGCTCCTAGAATGTCCCTGTACCGTGACGAGCCATACGTGTGTCCTCATTAATCGCAAGACCCGCGGCATAGCCAACCAGGCTGTCCAAGTAGACAATGAGACTCATCCAGCCCGACCCACAGCATGTTGACTTTGAGCCATCTTTCTCGCGACGAAATGTCCCATATTACGGGACATGGCTTTGTTCACTTCCACGCCCCGGCGCGCCGCATCACCTCCTCAAACTCGTCCCTCCGGACACCCTTGCCCACGCCGGCACCAGAGTTGGCCTCGAGGATCATGTCTTTGAGCAGCGCCTCGTCGACGTCCTGCTTGAGGGTCATGGCCACTCGCTTAAGGTGCGCAAGTGTGAGGATCGGCTGCTGCTGCTGCTCATGCCCGCCGCCACCGCCGCCGCCACTGCTGCTGCTGTTGTTGGGGCTGGTGAAGAGCCGGAACGCCTCGTCGACTTCCTGCCTGTGCGCATCGGACTCGGGCCCTTCAAAGTCGTCCTCCTTGGCGTGCAGCTTGAGCGCGCAGATGGCGAGGAACGGCTCGTACGAGGCGTAGCCTTCCTCCTCGGGGTCCAGGATCTCGCGGAATTCTTTGAGTTCTGGCTTCGTAGGCGGGACGCCGAGAGCTCTGCGTGACGGGTGTTAGTAACGATACGTCCATGTGTGTGTCTCTCTCTCTCTTGTGGGTGAAGAAAGACCACCATCGGGCGGGAGCTGGAAACGTGTCCACGATGGTTGGTCCACCGTGAGAAAAAGGAAACGTACACCATGGCACGCCGCACGTCGTCGATCGGGATGACGCCCTCCTTCTCGCCGTCCATGGGCTCCGCGAAGAGGGCAAACGCCTCCTTGATCTCGCGCTCCTGCCGGGCCGAGATGTTGTGCTCCTTGGCGAGCTTCGACTGGCGCTCTTTGGGGAGCGACGTTGCAGACGCAGCTGAAGCAGCGGCGGCGCCGCCGCCGCCGCCTGCGGCCCTGCGCTTTGGAGGCTACATGACCGCGTCAGTCGGAGAAGCTTTGGGCTGTATCGCTGGGATATCGTACCATTCGAAACGACTCTGCGTCTTTGAGCCCAGTGTTGATGCACCTGGCCTCTCGTCCTTCCTCTAGACCGATAACCCGAGTAGACCTGGCCGGGTCTTGCCAAGATTGCAAGAGCCCAACTTCCAATGTGTCACGTGGAGCAAGCGATGGCACCTCGTCTTGGCATCCCAGTCCACGATCGAAGGTGTATTAAAGTGTTGAAGCTCTAGGTAGGAGCCAGGAACCAATGACGTTCTCCGCGTGCATAATGGCCCACCTGCACAGTGCTGAGGGTGGTGCGGACGCCCCACGCCGCATGGCCGCCGGCCAGCGTGTGGACTCTCTCTCTCTTTGGTGCCTGGACGCCTAGACGTGTCAGCCTGTCAGACAGCTACAACTCTCCACTAACACATCTCCAGCTGAGACTAAAGACGCCACGAGGATCCAGATCCAGCCCTGGCAAGTCTCGAGTCATTGCCATCATCCCCGGTCCCCAGCCTGAGCTCAGGAGCACATGTTCGGACAGTCTCGTGTCAGATCGCAAGCGTATTCCAGACTCTGGAGCTAGAACCTCAAGCAGAAGCCATGACGATGAAGGTGTGACTCAGATGCATCACTCGCAAGATCATGCCTCGAGCATTGCAAGTGGCTATAAAGTTCTTTTTAAAAATCTATCTCTGTTTGAATTGCTTCGCCATACTAGATGTTGGCTTTGGTATCATTGAAATCGCTTAAAAACAGGGCAGATGACGCCCACCCAGCATAGCTTGAGCCGTAAGGCAGTCGTGTACGTCGTCCCCGGTGAGTGGCCGACTTATTTCACGCCTCGAAAGGGATCATTTATAAAAACAAAAAGGAAACGAAGACGCATACACCCGCGATCGCTGGCCACGCGACCATTTCAAACAGAGATCCAGACGACTCATCAAAACCCGTGCCTCCAGGACCATCTATCATTCATGTCTTGGAGTGCTTTGCTTTCGAATCATCCACAAATATACTCTGTTGGCTCTCATTCCTATCCGTGGAACGAGCGACGCCAATCTCGTGATCTGAATGTTCGTTGTCGTGGTCAGGAAAGCCCGGCTGGCTCGACGAGGTACCGCGGCGGGACGGACCCGTTGCGGTGCTGGTGCCCCCATATTTGCTATTTTTCGCGGCGCGGGTGGACTGCAGATAGACGTCGTCTGGCTGGATGTGCCTGGAACTGCGGCCGCCTGTGCTGCCAAAGAAACGCCGGAATAAAGGTCTATAGGCGATCAGAGAACCCGTAACGAGGGCCAGGGCGAGTTCAATGACAGTCCATAAAACGATTGGACCAAGGCCGACTGGTGCGGACGTTAGCGACCGAGAATGAATTCTGGAAACGACCTTTCTCTTACACAAATAGTCCGACACGTTGGTGAAGTTGGTCAAGGTCTGCAGTCTCACCAGTGTCGCCGTTGAGGCAAAGATGCCAAGCGCGAGCACGGCCATTACTGGCAGCTTTTGAGCCCAACGCATTTGCACTTTCCAGAGTAGAAAGATAGGCAGAAGCGCAACAGTCCAGTCGATGAGGATGTTGATTGCCGAATAGGCATTGCCCAGAGCCACGGTCCCTTCAGCTGGCCGACACACGGCGCCGAGGACCGTCTTATCCCAGTTGGCCTCAAATGGCTTGCAGTCGGTCAAAAGGTAGATATTGGTGACAAGGGAGACGATGACCAGGATCACGATGATACTGTACAGCGTCCACTTGATCCAGCGAATATCTGAGGCGATGCGGATGATTGTAAGGCAGAGCGAGGTCTTGATTGGGATATTGGCCCAAACATAAAAATGTTGGAACAAGAAAAAGTACTTGTTCGCCTGAACCCCCTGATCGGTCGTGTAACGGCCATTGTGGGCGCCAAGTCCGTTCCAGCACGCTGGTATTACGAACGCTGTCGATACAATCCAGAGGATCTGTCATAACAACCAACAGAGTCAGCCATATTGAGCCAACATTGTGTCACTACGACGAAATCAGTTGGTTTGGGGAGCAGACGGGTAGACCTACCAAGCCAAAAACAAACAGATAGTCGTCAATCCCGCTGGCTCCCATTGTCCATCGCAAATACATCCGCAATGATACGAGGACTGTACATGTCGCAATGAAGAAGGCACACACAGACACGAGTGTCGATGAGTCGTCGTACAGCTGGTCCATTATCGCGGCCGGAACTATGGTGCGAAGTTCTCAGAGAAAAAAGACGTTGCCGCGAACCACCAGCCTCAGGAACCCGTGTCAAGAGGACCCGCGCCGGGCCTGAGACATATAAGCCATCCCGCCCTCCCCAGGAACACACGTCCCCGCGGTTCGGTACGAGCAGCAGGTCACCGATCTGAGACTAGCGACTAGCTCCATCGTGTTGGTTCGATCAGGAGATTGCCGGCCATCCTTGACTTGCAAGGAGACCCTCGCGAGCGGGAGCGTCGAGCCATGGTCCAAAGCACTCTAGATCAAGCTGCCCAGCCAATCTACTAGGGCTCGCATTGAGCTGCATTGGCTGATCCTCGTAAGCTTTGCTGTATCCAGTATAACCAGCTCATTCGCCCGCCAAGCTAGACCACACAGCCGACGGTTTCGAGGCCAAGTAGTCCCATCACTAGCGCATCTTTGCTGTGCGAGATGGGAATCCTACAATTGTGTCCAAAGCAGTAGCGGACGCCACCGTCGTTGTCTATCCACCTTGTCGGGCAGCAATTCTTTCCGACCTGCCGTCACCCGTCAACTCCTGCGCGATCGGCTTCTGTGCCTAGCCCAGAACTAGTGCTGTCGGTGGCGCCGGCTGGAACCTGGGTCGGGACAATGTCGTTTGTCTGAGCGCACGGCTTACGAACCACCTCAAGTACTCGAGCAGCCAACCCTAGCGTCTTGGTGCAGATGCCAAAACAACTAGCGTACCCGACCGTTGCCCGCCTCCGACTTCACGGCACGGTCGCTTGTTGATGAGGGGTGCTTGTACTGGACTGGTTCATTTCCTGACCTGTTGATGTTCCAAACGAGCAGCAGAAGGCCGGATGAGCGTACTAGCGTAGGTGACTTTGCACCGTTACCGGCGGAGTTGCCGAAGAGGTCATTGCTCCAGGGTCAGAGGAGCTTTGCGAAGATCGCCAAAGTCCGGGACTCCTCAAGGCGCCCTCGGTTACATGCCATTGCGTTGTGACACGAGCTGATGGTACCCTAGGTAAAACATCGTTGGCACATGTTTACCCCTGGGAAGGGAACACTGGTCGTCGACCGCGGGGAAGCATGATTTGTGCAATGCATGACCATTCCGTGGTTACAATCAGCAAATCATCACCCACCTATGAAAGCAGATGTAAACTGCAGCACGGGCGCAGGCATGCATCGAAGAACTCCCGTGGCCGCCTGCCAACAATTGACCTGCTGTTAAAGAGGACACTGGCAGGCGGCGCTTTGGCTTCTCATGACCGCATGCACAACCCGACTGAGCTTGCCGCCTCACTCTCTAAGTGGCCCACTGGGTCTGACCGTACAAGTCAGCCGGGCTGCACGTGGCCACGATAGGGTTGATGTTCAGGAGCATTGCTCGTGAACGTTTCTTCTCATATGACTCCCCAGACCTCTCGACGAACTCTCATCTGGTTGAGTCTTGGCAAGAGAACTTCGACCTTTGGACGCCATTCTGGTGGCAGTGCCGCGTAGATGCCATTGATCTGCCGCTCTCCGGCTTTCCCAATAAGCCAAACAGACTCGTAATCAAGCCATAATGCCATGAAATGTGCCATGACAACCATGGCTCTTGGTTTGCGCTCGCTGAGCAGCGCGATGAAGCGATGATGACACCAACAGGAAAATGCACCGAGCAGTCGAATGATGCCGTACTCGGGATCTCGCCTGTTGATAGCCAGCTGTATACAACACGTGTATGAGAGCGCTTGTGTGTAAGCCGCAAACACTTCTGGGTCCTCCAACTCGTGGTCATTGGCAAGTTCGGCGTGTCCTGAGACGCTTGGAGGCTCCAGCAGCCAGGCGAGAGCACTGTAGTCCGCTTGTATCATCTGGGCGCCGTCTCGTACTGACGGAGGACTGTCCACAAAAGCCCTCATGCGGCTGTTCTCATCAAGCAGATCTCGAGCTGCTCTCAGAGCCCCATACGTGCGCTTGCCCAGGCCCATCCACACAAGTGGTGGTTCCCAAGGATCAACGGGCACGGTCTGTACCTGTGCCATGACGTGGGCCAGGATCTTGAGACCTGTCAGACACACTCGATCGGCGTTGCCTGGTCCCAGTGACTCGAAATCTCGCTTAAAGAGACGCAAGCCCGCGTCAAGGTACTGGCTCTGGTATTGGAAATACTTCTCCCGCTCCTTTGGATCATCGCTTCGCAGGGCAATGTCCAAGGCAGAATGTGCCATGTATATGCGGTGCAAGGCGCCGTCCTCCGCGATAGCCATGGATGGAACCTGCTCCTGCCACAGTTTCTGCAGTGCACCAACTTCCGGAGTCGGGATTGGCTCCTTCATGCGCTGCTGTTGGTTGAGCAACAGCGCGAGCTCCAGGAGGCGTCGCTCGCGCGTCTCTGGCATGTCGCCATCGGCTTCGGGCTCCGAGGCTGCGTGCGAATCCGGAGTTGGCTGTGAAAGAGATGGCGAAGGATACGACTTTGACATGCCTGATTCTTCCGGAGGACTGAGGGTCACGACGCTGTGCCAGTTTGCGATGTGGGCAAGCTTTCCTGAGCCCGAGACGGCAGACGGTGGTGAGGGTTCAGACTTTGTCGACGCAGCTCCGCTCGTCGTGCTCACGGCGGGATACACGCACGACACCATGTGCTTCGCGCACTGCGTGCATTTCGGTTTGGCCTCGTCGCACTGGCGCCAAGGCATCGTCAACCCTCTGTCCCTGTAGCAAGATGCCAAGGACGGAACCCACCTTGACTCGCCTCTGCTTGCAGCGCTCGCAGCCAAAACGGCTCTTCTTGTGGTAGAGGCGAGGGCCTCGCCTTTGCGGAGGCTGTTGCTCCTGCTGAGGCTGGGTGTCCTCCATGGTGTTTTGGTGATGCCCAGGCTGCGCCGGAGCTCACTGAGTGTGTCTCGGCGTGACAATGGAGTCGGTGGCGCCTCGCGTGGATTGGGTGACAACGGGCGGGTGTCCGTCGAGGCGCATCGGAAGTTTACCAAGACGGCATGGAGGCTGAAGGTGCAATGGCTGGCTGCAGCGGCTGCACGTTGCCAGTGCGCAGAGTTGTGCATGTCAGCCCTCCACCTTCCAAGGTTGCTCAGCGTGCAGCAGCTCGCTCATCCTATTTTGATGTGGCTGTACGTCATGCGCCAACCCAATGAACTCCACGGTGGCCAGCAAAGGTAAAAGAGCGAGCCCGCGGCTGTGCAGCGAGCCTGGTCCAAGTGTGCCGACTGAGGAAGCTGCCATACGAGCCAAAGGCGGCAGACTTCCCCAAACTCTCTGCAAGCCCAGAAGCAGCCAGGCTGCCTCTCCCCGTTGGTGATGCAGCGACACACTATGGTGGCCGCCCGTTGGATGGCGCCATGACCCCCACTGGAGGGAGGATACTTTATAACTTTGCCATGACTTGGCGCTGTGGTGTATGTGCCCGTTCTCACACAATCGTGGAGAGCCAAGCTGCCGAGCATCTTGAAGAAGTATGCAGGACACAAGAGGATCTGCTCGCAACACGGGACCCCCGTAGCTCAAATACTTTCCCAACTTGTGCCTCGCATTCTTGTTCATCCATGTTCCTGCTTGGCAAAGACCATGCTTACTACACCCCGGTGTGCATGGCCTCTTGTGAGTTTTGTTTCCAGATGACTGTTCCAGGACGATAATATCGGCTGGACATGATGACTTCACATCTCTACCACATGCCTCGAAGATCACCGCAGCTGCGTCGCGATCAAGAAGAGGAGGAATGAGAATTGAGGCACCTCGTCGAATCGCTGTGGGGCTGCTTGTGAGAGGCTGGCCTTGGGACGGGTTCTCAGCCTGGATGGACCCTGGGCTGGGGGCATGACGGTGCCTGGACAGAGGCTCCGCGGGCCTCCGAGGGGCTGGGCCCGCACCTCCTCCAGACTGCCCAGGCGTCTCAGCTTCGAGATACGCCCTCCATCTTCTCTTCAGCAACACCACGCCTTCTCGACAACAAAAGCACGCCGATCCTGAGCTTGGCCTAGCTGAGCCACCACAGCCGACTTGAGCGCTCTCCTTCCACGAATTCTCGCTGCTTGCGCTGCTCTGCGGAATTGCATCGACTCCCACGCTTGCTCGAGGCCTGTAGGCTACAACAGCAATGATTAGTAGACGATAGCGCCCTCTTCGCCCCTTGCCTCGATTCGTTGATTCGGAACGCCAGCCGGAGCGGCCTCCGCGTCACCAGAGGTGCAGCGTTGACCTGCGCACCAAGTCATCACCATGTCGCTTAGTCCGCTTCAGTCCCGACTGGCAGCCTCGCTGCTTGCATCATTGCTCGTATTCGTCCTCTACTTCCTCGTTGCCTCACCCCAGTTAGCTGCCGCGCAAGAGCTGGATGCTCACAAAATCACGTACAACGATATCTCGCTCGAGGTCCAAGGACAACTGTATGAGCCCGACTTTCCTCAATTCGACCGGAGCATAATTGGGCGAGCACCCTCATCTTTCACAAGCCTCATCAACAATGTCGCGAGCGACACGAATGTCCAGATCAACAACACGGCTCTATTCGTCTTTGAAATATCTTCAGTGTCTGTCCGGACAGAGCAAGAGACTGCCGAACTACGCCGGGCTGCACTCCCAGAAGAAGACGCAAGTGAAGCTGCAATCGAGCGGCGCCAGAGCCCGCGCACTCTGTATATTTCGGCAAATACTTGCCAACAACCCAAGCGCATAGGCGACAACAACAACGCCGAGGTTCCCCAGCTTGTCCTTTATATATCCAACTCGACAGACAACACATCCCCAGGCCCCGATCAATCTGCTGGTAAGCAGCAGCGCCTGGTGTTCAAGGAGGGTGCAATCGTCTACAATACCACTCTCAGAGGCGACGTATACTTTAGCGTTTTCGCGCCGAATGTGGCAGCAGACAAATTTGATGCCACAGCATCGCCATACAGTGTTCAAGTTGCAGCATCCATCGACGAGCCGTACCATTCGTACTCCAACGTGCGGAGAGCCGAATTGGTCTGGATCGACAGCGACGCTTCTGCCACGCTGCTCACGACGAAGAACGTCACAAGTAGTCCTTCAGAGCTCTTGAGCACGCCTCCATACATCATGTTCGCGCAAAACCGCGATGACATGACGATCAATGGAATGCGCAATTCCTACTGTGGTCTGAGCAAGTGGGCACAAATGCGGCAACTCTATGATGGGAAGAGCAGGATAAAGACTGGCCTGCGAGTTGATTCGCTCACAAACATGACGAGGCAAGAGTTTTATCTGGACGGCTTGAACTCCAGCTCAAGATATATGGGCTTTTTGGCTTCCTACCAGGAGCCAGGATCCAAGAGAGACGTGCCTGGCGGTGGTGGAGTGGTGCTTCGGCAGACTGACTTTGAAACAAAGCCAGGTAAGTATTGAACAGTCTGCTTCTCTGGCGCGACCTTTTGGATTAACATGACACAGATGGAGCTTGTACTGTCATTTTCAATTTGACATTGTGTGATGGCCTTCAGTACGCGGCGCCCGGAAATACAACTCTATTCCCGGATTCACAATCTCTCGCCGCGTTCTACGACAACTATACCCAGACCATGTACTCCAACTTTGACAAGGCACTGCAGCAAGTCGCCTGTGATGCACCACCAGAAGGCCAATGGTCTCTGGTAAGGAATTGTACGGACTGTCGTAGGGCGTACAAGGACTGGCTGTGCTCGGTGGCCATCCCACGCTGCGAAGATTTCTCTAGCACTGATCGTCCCAACTTGCAGATGCGCAACATCAAGGCGCCTTTTGCCAATGGCAGTTTCGTCGACCAGGCCCTACTGGATAAATACGGCGACCAGCTTGCGTATACGTCTTCGCGAAACCCTGCCATTGATCTACAGGTGCAACCAGGCCCGTACAAGGAACTCCTGCCCTGCGATGACGTCTGCTACAACCTCTACCAGAGCTGTCCTGCCGCACTTGGCTTTGGCTGTCCCGTCCCTGGCAGCATCGGCTTCGACACGAGTTATGGCAAGCGGAATCCGGATGGCAGTTTGTCCTGCAATTACCAAGGGTCTGCGAACAACATTCCAAGCGCGGCGCCTGTGTCATTGTTACCACCCCACGGGATATTTTGTTTCGTCTTGGTTGTGCTGGCGGCCGTGCTCGCTTGAAGACCTCTCTGAATTACCAGCAGGCGCGCACAGCAGCCTCGTCACTTTTTCCATTTCCATCTTTTACGTGCCGAGATACCATGATTTATGAGCGAGCGAACTACAGAAGACGGGAACAAAGAAACGGGAGCAAGGGAGCATTTCAATGGCGTTGCGTTTGGTTTGGGTATTTCTAGCCATTAGAGTTACAGCTTGAAAGACTTGTTCTACCGCTGCATGCAGCGTAACGGGCCGACCTGTCGGATGTGGCCGTGAAGTCTCATGTTGCGAAGCATGTTTCCATGGATCCAAAAGCCGATTGTGTTTATTCCCCTGGCTTATGCAGGTAACACGGAAGTTCACAGCATGCCTTCGTCTGCTTCATCAAGAGATGTTCCATACTAATGCGTGGACTCAGGTCGTGATCCCCCGGTCGCTACTACAGTTCTTCATGGTCGAGCGTCGACTGGTCGTAAAACCTCATGACTTCCTTCCATTGGTGATTTCGAGCTCGCTTATCCGTGCCTCGAGCTCGGATATCGTTGCTGCGGAGAGAAAAAAAAAAACCTCTCGTCAGTTATCAACCGCCTCTTTCTCCCCCTTCTCCTTCCACATCGTTCGTCTGCTGTCACGGAGACGCAGAATGTACGAGGCTGCTGGCCAGTCAGGAAGGGTGCTCACCTTGCAACTCGCGCTTCATCTCGTCCTGCTCCAGGCGCACCCAGAAGTAGTATGCGACCTGGTATGTGAAGACGGCGAGGAGGAATACTTTTGCGATTGGTCGGCCGAAGGTCTTGTAGAACTCTGACTGTATTATTTTTGAGCCCGACATGGTCAGCCATGGCGCGCTTGGGCCGGGGGGTTTTGTTTGGTCTTGTTCTTCCTCCTTCTCCTTCATGGTTGGACGCTTGTCGCATCAAAGAGTGGGAAAAGACTTGCGCTTGGTGACTTTGGCCGCTGTTCTGAGGAGTAGGATCGCCGGGCGGCGGGGGTTGTTCTCGTGAGTGCTGCTGCAATGGCGGCAGATGGTGTTGCCGGTGCTGGTATTGTTCGCCGTGCGACAGCAGAGACTGAGACTGAGGCCGTGCCGTGCGCTGCGGCAGCGAACCGGCGGCAGGTGGAATGCAAGGCGCCCGACATTGTGTTGGAAAGGAAGATGGTTGCTGAAGCAGTCGGCGTAGACGGACGGTTGTGTTGCGGGGACTGCGCTGCTGGAGTAGGTTTCTGGTCGCACCTGCCTCGGGCACGCTTCCGTCATTGACGTCGGGCGCGGAACGGAGCTGTTACAGTGCGGCCAACTGGGAGCTTGGAGAGCTTTCGCACCTCGACTCGACAGGCAGGGCCCCACAAGGAGAGACCCCTGATCAGCCCCCAATTGAGCAGGCCCCAGCAGGGCGCTGGTACCTGAGAGGCCACATCTCCAGCTCGGCCAAGGAGGTACTGCTTCCGCCCTGAGGCTGGCCAGTGGGGAGCGAGCCGAGGCGGGGCGGCTGGACGCTCCAATTGTCGATGGTGCACAGCATCGGAGCGGGAGTCCCTGGACACATGTCCAGATCCACCGCGGCCCTGCTCTAGCTGTGCTCTGCTCGTTGCCAGATCCCGCCGCGATCAGAACAGGTAAGCCCGTTCGCGACCTTTGCGCACACTACCGCCTTCCACCTCTCTTCCCAGTCCTGCCTGTACTCGGGACAGCCTGTCATCTGTCCAGTGTTGCCAACAATAGCCGGCCACCTCTGTGTCATAGGAACCGACTGGAAGGCAGCCGAACGCCATCACCAGCCATATAACACCACCGACAATCGATCACAATACAATACGGTGCTTCTGCGACCATATCACAGCATCGTTCGTCTTCACTTCCGACACGAATACTCCCAATATACATACAATGGTACGTTGCTCAGCTTGCGCAAGCATCGGCCCCCTTCTGCGTACACGGTCGCGAAGCTGCCCCCCACGGACAATCTGGCTGACCGTGTGCCTCTTTCGCAGGCGCAAACACTCGAGCAGCGCAGGCGAAATGCCAAGTTCGTCAAGGACCAGGAGGCTCGCCGCGGCAAGTCGGAGAACGACATCAAGCAGCGTACAAAGATCGTACAAAAGTCGCCCATCTCTCCTTTCTGGCTGGGTAAGCAGGGCTCCTGTCCACAACAATCAGAACCGCGGTATCTGAGCAATCGGCTGTCGAGTGCTGCGGCATTGCTGTGCTGCGTTACGGAATTGATCATGCTGACTCTCTTGTTCTTTAGGCGTCCTGGGCTTTGTTGTCTTTGGCGGTCTGGTCTTCGAGACTCTCACCCGCCTCTTTGGCAAATAACTGCGCCTCTGTACCCCTGAGTGGCACTGTCAACAATCCGAGCGGGGAAATGCACGGCACGCGAGCGGGTTGTACCAAGAACGAATCAACCACGACGCGGCTCGACCTCCAAAGGAGAGAGGGGATCGACCTTGAAAACGGCGACGCGCAACGTTGATGTGGACCGACAAGAGCCAACAGTTTCACGGTGGTGCTACGAGTCACGCTCTGACATCCCTCGACGCGAGTCGCGAAAAACATCTGGAACAGGATCCAAATCTGGAATCCGGTGCTTTCTTCTATCAGCCATTTTATTTTGTGCATTCCGGCGTTGAGAATGGGTATATAGTCCCTAAATATTGCTTCAATGGACTTGATCATGCAGGCCTTTGGTTTCTAGTCAAATAATGGTGTGAATTGGGTCATCCACTCCACGGCTGAGAACAAGCCGCGCTAGTTGCGTCCATACTGTGTTGCTGACTTAGCGGTGCTCTTTCGCAACACTGACTTCAAGCCCCAAGTCCCCTCCGGCGACTGACGCCGGCTTCTTTGGCCTGCATGCCTGCATTGAACTGCTTCTCGAGGCTAGACTGCATGCGAGCAATCTCGGCCTTGGATTTGGACGCGCTGGACTCCACTGTGGCCGCATCATCACCGCCCTTCTTGCCTCCTCCGAGGAGCTTGAGGAACTTCGCCTGTCTCTGGGCGCCACCGTCGAGGGCCTGGACGTTCCACTGCTCGCCTCCAGCGGCTTTCTGGCTCGTCACCTCAGCCTCCTTCTTGTTCTTTCTGGCCTTCTTCTCGCTCTGCTCCGTTGACGCTTCGCTCGTCTCGTTGCGTTTCCGCTTCTTCAGGTCCTTGGGCTCCTCCTTGTCAACCTCCATGGCATCCGCCTTTTTGCTTTTCTTCGACTTCGCTTTGGGCTTCTCTTCCTCTTCTGATTCTTCGTCGGAGGACGTGTCTTCGGAGCTTGAGTCTGATTCTTCTTCTACTATGTTAGTACTCAGGGACTACGGGGAGTCTTCAAACTGAGTTGGGTTACCTTTGGTCTTCTTCTCAGCGGGTTTCTCAGCGGGTTTCTCATCCTCGGATTCGTCGGAGCTGGAGCTGTCAGAGTCGCTCGATGTGTCCTCTTTCGCGGGAGCAGGGACATCCTGTAGCAGAAAGTAAATGTCAGCACTGCAAAACCCAGGGAACTCGGGCAATACTGACCTTGATCTGCTTCGCCAGAGACGCCGCCTGCGCCCTAGCCTTCTTGGCGTTCTCTACCAGCTCGGCCGCCTTCGCCTCGAGCTTGTCGGCCCTCCGGTGCAGCCGCTTGACCTGCTTCTCCTTGGTATCTGGGGTCGCGGCGATGGTCTTATTCTTGGGCTTGCCGCCTTCCTTGTGCTCGCCCGACCACTGGGACGCCCGCTTCATATTGGCTTTGCGCTCTCGCTTCACCTCCGCCTTGACCTGTTTCTTCTCTTTCCGGGCGGCCGCGCGCGCCACGCGCGTAGCCTGCTTGCGGGAGGCCTTGGACTCTGTTGGAGAATCCAATTGTCAGTATCCCAACTTGCGGGAGAGTGCATATGTAGAGCCTCGTCTCGTTCAAAGTGTGATTACCTTTGCGCGAGGCCTTGAGGTCGACCTCGTCGACGCCTACACCTCTCTCGGGGTCCATGGTAACTCCAGTAACTAGAAAATTCGTCCAATAATGTTTCCAGAGGATTTCTCTGGTGCAATGATTGATCTTTGACCAACGCGAGTTCGGATTTGGTATTTTGTTGCAGAGGCTGGTGTCGACCGGTCCCTCGGCGCTGGGAACTTTTTTGGACTTTCTGCCGGCAAGGGTGCGGCTTGGCTTTCGCGATACAGCTATCCAGGGTGATATGGCAGGCGGTCAGACAGTCTGCGTGGGGCCGTGCCTGTCTCACCGATGCCGTGTGCTAAAGTTAGCCCAGGAGCTGGGGCTGCAGGGACGGCGGCGGCAGCGGCGGGCTCGGAGCGGGCGACTCGTCACTCCCCTCAAGTTACAAGTTACGGGGTCCGGTCCGTTCATGTATCCCACCTCCCTCCCTAACCAGCATCCATTAGCAACTCGAACAGCAACCGCAAGCCTCCAAGCCGAGTTCCTATTCATACAATCGACTCTTGAGACGTGCCCAAGCCAGTAATGGCGGGCATCTATAAACTCCTGCCCACGTTCTGAGGAGCAGCAGCCTGCCTGCCCCGCAGCGAGGACACTTATAAATCTAGCTGCCAGACACGACCGCATATCCCACGCCGCCGTCTCGCGCGGCTGACACCAAGCCATGTCAAACTTCAAGCGACAGATGCCGCCTGGCCCTACCGTGCCGGGCGGCGGCCTCGGCATTCTCAGCAAGCTCCAAGCTACCTCGATGATCGACTCGCGAGCCAGCCTGCCAGCCGAGATCATCGCATCGATACTCGACTACCTGCCGATCCCCGACCTCCTCCGCTTCGCCAGGACGTCCCGGCGGATGTGCGAGATGGTGTACGACGACACGAGATGGGTGGCGCGGCTCAAGAGCATGGGGCTGTGGAACGAGGCCGAGGCGAGACAACGGCTCGAGGACGCTATGCGCAGGCGTCGCGAGGCAGCTGAGCGGGCACAAGCAGCAGCTGCCGCCGCCGCCGCCGCCGTGGGCACGAACTCGGCTCAGGGGCATGTTGCAGGCCGGCAAGCCTCGACGACACTTTTCGATGCCTCGGTGGAGGAGGAGCGGCAGAAGAAGCTGGCTGAGAGCACGGCGAAGCTGGCTGACGGGTTCGAGACCATGAACATGGCTTCGAGCCCCTCGAGGACTTCGTTCAACGACCCCTCTGAGATATTGGATGTCCTCAAACGCGTAAAGAGTGTCAGGGGCCACGCACGGGAAGAGTTTGGCAAGGTATACGGAGCGCTGGCACCCTTCTACTTTGATCTGGCGCGCGCAAAGTCGCATACAGAGCCGATTGTCTTCAAAGCCTTCCGCGACCCCGAGGGCCAGGCCCGCATGTTGTCAAATCTCAACACGTTTCGGCACAGTGACTGGTCATCAGGGTGGCTGGAGCGAGAGGAGCGGCTGCGGAACATGATTGTCCTCTTCGAGAGCGCCGTGCTGCGCGAGTTTGAGCAGGGATACGAATTTTGGGACGTGGATGGCAGGATGAAGCGGTATGCGCACGTGTTGCACAGCCTGAACGGCGGCAACGCGGCGATGGAGCTGTTCATCGCCAAGCACCCGACGTTCGACGAGCGCGAGTCATTCGGAAACCCGATAGACTGTATCAACGGCGCGTCATCACGAGACGACGTCACCTTGGAGCCGTCACGAATATTCTTTGAGAGACTCTCCAAGAAAGTCAACGAACAGAGCGACATAATAACCCGAATTTTCCCGGGGGCGCCGGCTGTATTCTGGGAATATGTCGACAAAGTGCGCGAGGACGTCGTCATGGATTACACAAATGCCGTGCTGGATGAGACACACGATAGAAGCCTCCAAGCCTACTTGAAAGCCGCATCTGGGCTTTTCGAACAGTGTATGGCATTCGTCCGCTCTTTGCAACCGCCGAAAGGATCCCCAGGGACTATCGAAGATCATGCCAAGGAAGTGTCTTTGAGGGTATTCGAGCCACACTTGGATCTCTATCTCCAAGAAGAACTCGATAGCTTCACCAAACATGTAGAGCGCGAGGTCACAAATTGGGACCAGAAACTCTCTGAGCAGGATGCATCTACCGAGTCCTTCTACATGGCGAACTTCACAAGGCGAGCAGACAAGAACGACTTTTTGAGCTCGTTCAAAAAAGTGGTCATGATGCCCGTGACGGTGCTTCCAAGCATACCACTCTCGTCACCGTTCGGCGGAGGTACGAAACAAGCGAATGCTGCAGCAGCTAATGGGAGTGCGCTCAAAACATCAACACTTGCCACTCCCAGCCAGTCACGTCCAGACAGTCCTGGGCCTGGTGGACGTACAGGCACGCCATTACCTGCGGAGGCTCCAACAGATGAGCTCAAAGCCAAGGCGGCTCTCATGGCCAGCCGGCTCGAGGGCATAAAGAGCTTATTCAGCATCGAGGTCGCCCTAAGTCTTGTACACACGGCAAAATCAAGTCTCGGAAGAGCCGCCAAGTTCACCAAGCTAGGTGGACAAGCTGGCGAAGAAGCCCGTGAGCAGTGTGAGGCCATCTTCGTGGTTCTGCTTCGAGTTCTTGGCCAGACGCATGTCAAGAACGGGTTCACGAAAGCAGTCGATCATCTTTCGAGATATAATCCCCGAGAAATCAGCAATCATGATCAAGCAGGAGTCGCACCGCTCGTCACGTTCATCGAGCTGGTAAACGTGGGCGACCTCATCTCGCAAATGATTGACGTGTTCTATGAGCAACAGCTGGCTGCCCCCAAAATTGCAGACCGAAATGACTTTCTAGACCCTGCAGGACTGGCCAAGAAGAAGTTTGAGCAAATGCTGGACGAGAATGTGGCTGCTGGCCTCAACAAGGGTATTGACGTGCTCATGGACGAAGTCGAATATCTGTGCGCAACGACCCAGCTTCCGACCGACTACAATCCCCCCACCGTGCAGGAAAACGGCAAGGCTCGCGTCGACTTTGACATTGGACCGACAACAACGGCCAAGCGTGTGGTTGAGCTTGTATCCTCACATACCAACATGCTGATTGGCAGTACCGAGAAGACGATGCTTGATGTCTTTAACGGCGAAGTCGGGCTACGCCTCTTTACGGCGTTGTGCAAACATCTCAAGCGCCAGCGCATCAGCACGGATGGCGCTATCAAGCTCATTGCCGATGTGAACCTATATTTCGAGTACATCCGCACATTGAAGAACAAGGACCTGCTGGAGTACTTCAAGGCCCTGCGAGAGCTCAGCCAGATCTACCTCATCGACCCGCGGCACTCCAAGGAGATGGCCAAGATAATAGCCGATGGTGACAAATTTGGCGGCATCTTCCGGCCGGAAGAGGCCTACGAATTCGCGGAGAGGCGGGCGGACTGGTTCCAGGTCAAGAAGCACGTCGAAAAGGCCATGTATGGGCTCGAATGCCTGGTCATGTAGATACCAGTACTGTCCAGACCAATGGACCAAATACAAGCATCTTGGATTACGCAGAGAAGCGGAATATTCGTTGAATACGCTGCACAGAGTGCGGTGTGGAAATGCAGTTTGTGTGAGGTGCGGCCAACAGATTGTGGCGGTTGTGACTGCCAAACCCGGCGAGGGCCTCTGGGCACTTGAGCACCCACTACGCTTAGTAGCCAACGGCAAAGGCGTTCGCTAGTGCTGTCATCCTCGTCTACCCTTCCATCTCGTCTCCAGGCACGCCCGCACCTTCGGCCATTTTGTCATCGTTGACTAAGTCTTGACATCCACTTCAGGACCACGACCCAACCCTCCGTGGCGTTGTATCCCAAGAACCCGGATCCCAGAGTCGATCTCAGGGAGCGATCACTCACGCCATGCAAGCAATCCAGATGCCGTACAGGGCTGCAGCCACGTCATGTCCATCTCTGTATCGGCAGTGCTGTAGCACCGAAGAAGGGCCGTTAACCGCGTAGCCATGTGGCAATCTGGGATGATGAAGACCGCATGTCACTATACTGGACCCCGTTGGAGATTATCACTCGCACAAAGAACAGGCAGCGACACTACCCAGCACATTCGCAATGATTGCTCGCTTTCGTCGCATTTTCTGGTTCAAGGAGGACAGCATTGGTCTCCCACCCACGCTGCCAGGCCAGTTTTTCCAGGCAGCAACGAATTGGAACCGGGCGGCGCCCTTCAATTGAGACTTGAACGGTGGCGAGAAATTATGATGCTCGACATCGCCGGAAAGCTCAAAAGGACAGCCCCCGATGCGACACACCCACACACACACACACACACACACACACACACACACACACTCTTACACTTTCAGGACCTTTGTGGCGTTCGCGGCTGGACTGCTTATGCTTGACCCTGCCAGGATTTTCCGTCCAATCGCTGCCACAGGAAACGTGAAAGTCGAGTTACTTGGTCAGGGTGAACCCTGCGTTGCTTTGAAATGACAGGTCGACGGTAGGGGCATGAGAGACCATGCGAAGTTGGAACTTTCATCATCACCCCGGCCCCGCATCGGATCCGGTACCCGCCAGCGTACGGGGTCTCGTAAGCCTGGTTTCCGCCCTGGATTCTCTTCGAGTCAACTCCGAACGCGTTCGCCGTTCTATTGGAGAAGCAATCAGTCGGTCGGGTATAGATGAGCTTTTCCAAGTGCCGCCAGTGGTTAGCTTGCAATCTTGGTCCTTTTTTTAGAAATGTTCGGATCTGTGGTTGTCATGCATCATTTGACGGCATGACCAGGCGGACTGCAACAAGCATTATCTGTCCCAAGTCGCTCCAGCAAGGCAGATTCCGCTCACCGATCATAGGTTCCGTGGACAACATCGGTAGGACACACATGCCCGAAATGGTCCTTGCAGGTGACTGGGGTCAGATGCATCAGCTAGCGGAGCCTGAAGCCGGATAACATCCCATGCATAGACTATCGTCACAAGGCTGGGTGAAGTGAAACCCTTCGGTCATGTTCACGGACACGGGCTCGGCCGTGATGTCTATTGGGTCCTCATCAATTGCTCTGCTGGCTCTAATCGAGCATGACCGGAAATTCGGGTCAGTGATTGAGCCCCGGGGGAGTCGAGGAGGTCGAAAACGTGTCTATGAGGAGGCGGCGGACCTGCTGATATGAGCTGCGCAGGGTCGTCTGTTGTTTCAAGGCAACAAATCTTGACCAATGGTCTGGAGGGTGCTCCGTGGAGATGTTCATTTCAACATTTCAGCCACGGTTTGGCCGCCGGGTCTGAACCTCGTGGGGGCCGTTGGAGACTGTGGGCAAGAATGTACTATGGTGCTACATTGTTCTCGTCACCGACAGCAGCCAGCCGGACTGGATCGTCACTGCATGGCGTGAAGGCAGTGTCTGCCTGGGCGCTCCGGCAGACGTCACTGCACAGCCCAAGGCAGCCTGTGAAGGATGCAGGCAGGGTCAGGGATGCCTTGGACAACGCCCACCACAGCCGGGACCTGGTGGGGACAGCCAGGGTCAACCTTAATTCTGTCTTACACCGTTACACCAAACCCGCGGCCCACTTCCCCGATCCAGCAGCTTGGGAGCCGTCTCCCGATGGTCATTTCTCAGCATCAACCAAGTCCAACAGCAGCCATCGATTTGTCATCTCGACGAGTCTCGCGGCTGATAAATCTTCCAGTGCCACACCTGAAGAAGATCATGGGCAGCACGTCGGAATTCGGCCCATCGCAGAATCACCCGTTGAGAGCATCTCAGGTTGACTCAGACGGCCCTGTCAGTGCCTCGAGACACCCGGGGTCACGGGCAAGCGCACCAAGGGAGACAGGTCATATCATCCGCAGGTCTCTGGTCAGTGTCGCTCGTATAGACTCACGGTCCTGCAGCCTACCCGACGCAACCCCCCATCGAGCAAATGAGGTCTGGCACGGCTTGCAAGTGTACCTCGGATTCCTTGTCGCGTGCGTGCCTGTGATGGCGTTGTGGCTAAGGCTTCCCTCCATCATGATTCACAATGACTCCGAACAAGGGTGGCTGGCCACGCTGTAACGGGCTAGCGGGACCTATCGCATCCATCAGCAGCATAGAGGACCCTCGTGAATACTTTGGTCTCTCGACCATCCCGCCCGTGCCATGGCTATGCTCTTGGTCCCTGGCGGCAGCACCTTAACCTCATGTGCTCTCAATCCGGGAAGTTTAGGTTGGTTTTCATACCCCAACTGCGCTGACCGCCGTCACCGCAATAACTCCCGTCTCGCCCAGCGTGCTAGCAGGTGAATTCGAACATTCTTGTTATGAATCGCCTTGACCGCGTCGGGTTGATAACCTTACACCTGGCAGCGCAACGATCGGGACGCGACCGCAACACGTCATTTGCAGCCTATGCTCCTATTTTGGACAAATGTTGACGAACCCCTGCATTGAAATCGCAAAAGTACATGCACTACTAGCCCTACATCACGCCAAGACTAGCCATGCCCGGCGCGTGTGCTTCCCCCTCAGTCGCGGCATAGCCGAGCCGGTGATCTTGTGTCCACTGCTGCCGGCATATACCGATCGTCTTACCGAGAGGCCTTTTATCCTGTTTCGACCTTCCTCGTCCAAAAGGCCACGTCTGGCGCCCTGCGATACACATCACGTCCCAGGCAGTCGTTGAGCCCTCAGGCAGATAGGGCTGCTCGTCAAGGGGCTTAGACTGTGCGCGATCTCAATGCCCCGTGTACTATCAGTGGAGCCTGAAATAGATGCTCAGGAAGGCTACGGATCTTGACCCTGCATATGGCACAGAGGTCTGGTGTCGTGCAAACTTGTGTTAGGCGAGCTGGGTTCGAGACCGTTCTCTCCCGATAAGCATTCCAGACCAGGCTTGTAGGACTTGTAGTCCTTTCATGAGTTCCCGTGCTTCGTACAAGCATAGAAACAAGATATAAGAGTTGGAGCTTCTGCACTTGAGTCGTCTGCTCGAGAAAGATATCATCAGAGCACGACTCGATTCTTGCAATAGTGATCTCTTTTTGACCACTTTGCAAGTCGTCCAATATAGAAACGTCTCTCCCACGGGACACGCCGTCTCGGTTCTACTCAAACAACAATATCAGTAAACTTTGTCGAACAGGGAGATCAACGAGCAATGGCTTCGCGGTCAAGTGGGAAGCACTCTTCTGCGTCCTCGTCCTCCTCGAGTTCAAGACGCACAAAGGAGTCCAAGAGCGACGACTGGAGCGACGTCATGGACCCAGAGCAGAGACGACGCATCCAGAACCGTATTGCTCAGAGAAAGTTCCGTGAGTAATTTTCCTTGGCCGAATCATTCGAACTCGTCAAAGTTTCTTCTATATCAGAGGGACGTCCACGACACTAACGCCGCGCTGTTCTTGTCTACCCCTATATCCAGGTGAGAGAACACGAGACCAAAAGGAACAGTCGGAGAGGGACACGCGCAACAAAAAGTACGCACACGTCTCATACCTTACCCCGGACCCCAACGACCTCGGCAGTGTTGAGGACGAGAGTCTCGAGGGTGTGCCTTGGGGCGGCCCGAGCATGAGACATATCCTCTCCCGTGGCTACGCCCACGAGCGGCGACGCAATGGCGCCGGTGCTGCCGGTGGCGGTTTCGACGACGACGACGGCAGCAGCTACAGCCACCATCACGACAGCGGCAACAACAGCAGCGGCGGCAGTGTGGCCCAGTGCTACCAGGTCGACGATCACGACGACCGCGAGTATCACGACTACGACGATGAAGAGACCGTCGTGCCGGGCCCCATGACGAGCGGCCCTGTCATGCCTGCTGCGTCGGTATACTACGCTGATCCGTACGTTGCGCAAGGAGGCTATCCGACCACGACGTACGGACATCCAGCAACCGCAATCCCGAGTTACGTCGTCACGAGCAGCGACGAGTATAGTCAGCAGGCTGACTACTCGCAAAACTATGACTATGCGTTCCCCGCGAACGATTACAGTAGAGGTCACTGAAATATCTCTAATCTTTGTTTCAATTCTTCTGTGTGTGTTTGGCCGCGGGGAACTCTCATGCGTGTTGTACTCAGGCGCAGCTTCAGGTGGTGGAGGTGAAGTGGCGAGATTGTATATTTTCCTCTCCATCCAGTGTTTGTACTCCTGGTTCTCCTTGACGCACGAAACATGACCTCTTCTTAATAGTCTGACGAAACCGTTTCCCCTAATAATCATAAAAGCATTTGAACAAGCACGCCCAGTACCTACCAAGAATGTTGTGGCAACTCAAGACTTCTAGCTCAAGACTTCTAGAGTAATGCTCCCAAATAGTCTAGAGCAAAACCAAAATCTCAGTTCCACAGAGCTAGTTTTGATATCAAATCGACGCCCAAAACCTCCTACCCTTCTGTCATCGTCGTTCTGGAAGTCTAGACAAGCATCTTCGCAGATGCCTCGAGATGGTAAGACCGTGATTGATGATGAATTGATGCCAAGCCACGTGCAGAGAGCAGTACCTCGGTACAGGTTGCGCGAAAGAACGCTGGAGGTAGCGAGGCGACCTCGAAAACGATGACCCGACTAAAGTTTCCTTCCTCGCGTAGGCTTGGAGCCGGAGCGGGTAATCCTGGGTCGAGCATGCTCGTGTCCACAAGTCAGTGTCCAAGTCGATTGTGAGTCGTGTCGGCATGTCGTTGGTGTCCAGGTCACAAGATCATTCACTGCCCGATACACAACCCTTGTCACCCGCGCTGTCCGCACACGCATGCATACTTGCAGGGCCCCCCGTCCAGTCCGTCAAAGAGCCCTGCTTACTCTGATTCTTAGCCAGGTGTGTTTCAGCCGCAGCGGCTGTGACGGCAGAATTGCACTTTTGCCTTGGGGTTTGGGGCCAACCGTATGACTTGGCCCCCAAATCATGGCAGAACTTCGGCTCTCGGGGAAGCCAATGATTCGAAGTGCCGACATGCGGATTTCGGGTCAAGAGCGTATGTTGCTCCGAGTCCAGCTGTAATTACTGATGGACCTCGGTGGTGACGATGCGAGGGTCCAAGCTATCGACCGATTTTGTCACGCAGCTCCTCCTCATGCTGACCATGGGCTGTTACTGACCCAAGCCCGATATCAGCAATGTTCGTGGCCGCCTCGGTATCACCTTCCATTTACCCGTCAGTATCACCTGCTCAGCTTCAGGGGCCAGTTTGCTATTCAAGCCGTCTAGCCTCGGCAGACTCGGCGGCAAGAAAGCTCAAGACTGCTGGGTTGCTGAACCTGTCATCATTGCCGGGGTTGGTGTTCCCACTCGTCTTGCCCGAGAGATGCCCGAAAAGACATTCCCATATATCGTCCTTTTCGACAACCTCTCCCAGTTGCTTATCTTTGCTCATGAGCTTCGTCAATGCTGCCTGCTGGAGTTCCAAAGAGTTCGCAGCCTCAATGGTCAAATCAGTGACCTCCGGAGTTGCGTCTCCCGACTTTGCTACTGTCCCATTGCTGCCCATGTGAGCCATCCTGCGCCGTACTGAGATGTTGTAGATTGACTCCTCCACGGTGCCCTCAACCAGGTAGAGCCAGACTGTCGTCTCGTGTTCCTGCCCAATACGATCGACGCGGGCAATCGCCTGCAGCTCCAGTGCTGTATTGAGAAGAGGCTCGCAGAGGAAGACGTGGCTGGCATTAACCAAGTTCAAGCCGCTGGCATGCGCTCTGGCATCCATGAGGAAGCACTCGATGCCTGGGTCTTCTTTGAACTTCGTGATGCCGTCCTTCTTGTCGAATGATGTGAAGCCGACCCGAAATCGCTCAAAGGCTCGAGCCAAGACATCCAGGAAGTCTTTGAACTGCGAGAAGATGATTGCTTTTGCACCGGGATCTTCTTCGCGAAGCCACAAGAGATGTCGGATCAAAGTGTCGATCTTGGTGGCGAAAGATGGCCCGTTCAGCTCAACCTCCATGATTCTCTTGAGCTTCTCTTCGTTGAATGAAGTGTATATACCCGCTCTCTTAGACTTCGAGCGCTGCTCCTGCCCGTTAGGAAGCTGGTGCGATTGGTCCTTATGTAGTCTGAGCTCCTGCTTGCGGAACGTGATGTCGTGGAGCATTGCTGCGGTCAAGTGTTTCTTGCAGACAGGACAATTGTGATGAGCTTTGAACCAAAGCATCATACATTCCTTGCAGAACTGATGGCCACAGACTGTGAGGACACCTAGGGTGAAGCTGGCTTGGCAGATTACACAAAATTTTGATTCGCTGGCATCTTTTCCGGCGTCCTTGAGGTGCATGACTGTACAGTGCATTAGACAAGGTCAAGTCACTAAGAATGAAATTGTACTCACGGTAGCGATGCTTGGACTGCGCAGCGGAGACGTTGCTCTGGAGACTCGCCTCCGCCGCTATCATACCTGATAGTCTCGCATCCACGTCCTCATTCTCCTCCCGTTCTAACGGAGCGACAGTATCCGAAACGGCCTGCAGTTGTCGATAATATTCGATGCGGGCGTTCATCGCCGCGGTGAAAATGTCCAGCTCCTTTTCCATGGCGGTAGCTGCTTTCGTCTGCTCATTGATCTGTTCTTGGGTCAAATGCAGCTGCTTTTGCACGATCACCAGCTCGTTTCGGGCTCGAGTACTGCCATTGGCCGCGTCGTGGCGTAGTTTTGTGGCCAATTCTCGCAGGTCTGTGATGACCCCACGAAGAGAGCCCTCGTCAGGCTTGGGCTTAATCTCGTTTCGTTGCTGCAAGAGGGCTAAAGTCCTCTCTGGTGCAGGACCTTCGCCATCCTTCGCCTGTCGCTCGGCGAACTGGGTTTCGTAACGTACGCGGTCATTCTGAAGTCCGGATAGAGCATCTTGCCTGTCGGCAATGGCTGCCCGAAGTACCAGTGTATATGCCATAAGGTCATCCTGGATCTGTGTAGAGTCTTGGTATTCCTCACCCGTCACCTCTGCTTCTGCTTCCTCATCTACAAGTGGACGTAGGAGGAGCTGAATGACGTTCTCTCTCCACTCATCGACGAGATTGGCTTGTTCATCAAGAGCTCCACCCAGTTGCTCCAGGTTGCTGAGCGTGCGTCTGCTTTCGATGCCTTGCAACGCGGATGCCTTGAACTCGGGGATTTCGATAAAGTTCTGCGAGGCTGCATCCTCTGCGATATCGCGCATCAATCTGGTGGCTTTGGCATGTGCCTAACGACATATGTTAGAACCACAACTCCTTTCAAGGCGTCTTAAGCGGGCGTACCTCATGCAATATCTCCTTACGGATATCCTTAGCCTCTTCGTAGCCTTTGATTTCTAATTCCTCCAAGCTCTTGAATTCCTCCGATTCAGGTTGCGTCATGTCTTCGTTCGTCTTTATCTGGAAGTGCGCGCTGGCAATAAAGAACACAGCACGATGAAATATGTCTAGTGCAGATCGAAGTTTTCTGCGACACTCTCCGACTCGCCGCCTGATGGCTTTCGTAACTCTGCTCCAATGTCAGCTGATTGAGGGCACCGTCAAGACCAGAAACGTGTACTCACTCGTCCTCATCTATGTCATCTTCGGAATCACTATCACCGATGCTTGAACCATCGTCTACTCCAGCCTTCCGGGCGGCATCCTTGGCCTCTTTCAGCTGACGGCGACACTCCAAGACAATAGTCTCAGACTCTTGCCGGACCTCTTGCCAGATTGATAGAGCTTCCTTGACTCGTGGCGAGTTCTCAAGCAGCTGACCCCTTTTGAGCTTGCTAGCAAGGTATGCCCTTTGCTCTGTTTTTATTGTTGTCTCAGCTTGATCAATCATGACATCCAAGACTTCCTCGATTGTGCGAAGTGGCTTATTCCTTTGTCCTACTGTTCGGAGACGACCAGGGCCGACTTCGGGATGCAAGACGCTCTGCCTCAGTTGTGCCAATGCACGTTTCATCAGGTCAATGACGTATGGGTCCTCAGGGTCCCAATCTTGCTCGATGGGGTTACCTTGCTCGTCGAGGCCGAAGCCACGAGCTAGCGACTGGAACTGGGATTGGTAGTGTTGCTCTTCCACAGCAGTAAAAGGCATGGTGATGACATAACGCTTTTGAGGAGGCAGCTCTAGCTCATTTCGCACAGCACGTTTCGTGTGACGGAGCGCAATAGAGTTGAAGAGGGGTTTGAAGAGGTCTTTGCGTGAGCTTGTGAGCCTGTCCCATATCAAGGACGATGAAGCAAAGGGTTCGTATCGGAGGAAGAGTAGGAGACCCCAGAGATCCTTGATGTTCTCCTTGACGGGTGTTCCTGTGATGCCCCACGCATTAACACGCGGAATGAGCCGAGCAACCTTCGCCGCAGCACTGACACCACTCTCGATCTGCTGAGCCTCGTCTAAACAGACTCGCCACCATGAGAGCTGGACGAGTGGGGACTTGGGCCGGTGATACTTTCGTTCCCGGCGCATGGCTCGGTCTGGTGGATCTTCTGCAAAGTGAATCTCGGCTTGGAGGACATTGTACGTGACAATAACCACATCGTGAGCTTTGAACTGCTCAATAATGTCTTTCTCGGATGCCTTAGTTTTCTTCATCCCTTCGTATGTCATGACGCGCAGGCCTGGGGCGTGTCTTTCAAACTCTGACAGCCACTGCCTTTTCAAGGTCGTCGGAGTGACAATAAGTGTCGCTGGCGTAGGCTCAACCACCTGTCCAGTATAGATGTCGTCAAAGGTGTTTGGCATGTCTGTGCGAGTGTGCAAAGCGATCAGTGAGATCGTCTCCACAGTCTTGCCCAGACCCATTTCTTCCGCGAGAATGCCACCTCGAACGCTTGCGATTCGCTGCTGATAAGGAGCAATTTCGCGACAAACGACATGATACAAGCTGCTAACGTAGTAGCGGTTTCCCTCGACGTCGGTTGAGGTGATGAAGGATAGAGGCAGGTCCGTTGCATGTGTTGTATGCGGCTGCAGTCCGGACCTGCCAGACTCCTCGTCCTCCTGCCAAGCTTGACCCTCGCGTTGTAAGAGCCATTGGACAGCCCGTCTTTGGAAAGGGTACAGGCGAGAGACTACGCCCGGTATTGATTGAGATAGAATATCTGTCCTCGATGGGTCCGGCACAAATGCCGCATCGTAGAATGCTTGAGGTAGCAGATCACCGTCCGTGTCCGTGGTGATATAATTTTCTCCGCAAAATCGATCCAGAACACATTGGCTAACAAGGCGCTGGGCCGGGATTCGAAGACTATCTTCGGAGGGATTCCAGTTGACCGTAAAGTCCAGAACCAAATGAACCAAATGAGCCTCATGGGTATCACAGCTGAGATCCATGCCAATATCCGCCCATAAAGCGCCATGAGAGGCAGGGTCGTCGCGACCATGGGTCGCAACGTATAGGATAGCTTCGAGATCCAAGGAGACTTGTTCGGGGCGTAGGCGCAAGGTTGTCTGCACAACAGCGGACCGAGAACGAGGGATAGATCTGATTCTCAGCTCTCGCTGCGAAGGCTCGTATTCGATTCTGAGACTCTTCCCAACCTCTGATCGCTGCAGCCCTTTGAAGGACACCGGCGTGGAGATCGACCCTAGAGGCCGGGTTATCCGTAATGAGTTCTGCGCAACTTGAATGGGTTTGGTTGTAATTGCTTTCAGCCTCTTTGCAGGACGTTCTGTAGCATCACTATGTGATGGAAGCGAATGTAAGAATTCCAAGAGGGATGTAGGGAAGGGATCTATCCATATGATTAGTATCTTTCTTCAAACAGACGACACGCTCCAAACAAGTAAAGAAAGGCAAAGTAGAGCAACCGTACCATCTTCGCTACAGACTTGCGACACTGGATGTGCCCTGTGGGGTAAAGGCTTGACAGACATTGAGATATCTGGCCGGCCCATCGTATAAGTCCGATCAAGTGGACCAGGTAATGCCTCTGGTGCTTCGCAAGCGTTCAGCCAAGCTCGGCGGAGATGGCACAGTGATGCAGGTGGCTTCAGGACGACACAAGTGATGAATACCGCAGGAAAGAGTGTGACGAGAAGAAGAAGGAGGGCCGGGTAGCCCAGGCAGGAAGTGACTGGGGGGAGGACGTATAAGACCAGGAGTGCCACCTTATGTAAGCCAGTTGCCTACATGGGGTGAATGGGCGTTGCAGGGCTACTGCACATGTCGATGCTGGTCTCTAGGGACTGCTGGCAGTTGGTCTGGCTGAAGGTCGTTTCTTACGTGGCTTCCCTGCTATCTGTAATCGACACGCCGAGTATCTCGGCTGCTGTTCCGTTTTCAAGAAGTCTGGCAGGGAACAAGTTTGCATGCAGAGGCGAACATCCTGTCGCGAGCGGCCGTCGAGCGCCTGGTGTGTGTGTGTGTCTGGAGCTTGTCGGAGTTAAGCATCCGGCAGGGGTCTCCAGCAGCCCGATCCCCATGCATGTACCGGGTAGTGGCCAGCCGCACGCTCATTGGCTGCTGTAATTTTCCAGCGCCTGACCAGCACCACCATGGCACAGCGATGCAACTTTTGAAGCTGTTGTAGAGACATCACCACGACAAAGTGCAGGCGTGCCCACCCACCGACCTAGCCACGACGACCCAACCGACAAAGTGCCCGTGTGCACCTTTCCCAACGGAACCACAAGTTCACATCGCCAAGTCTGAGCACGACAACCCGCTCCAAGCGGGCTCCCTTGCCTGCAAATGGCTTCTCTCCGGGTACGTCGTCAACTATCACGAGCCGCACATGGCGACCTTGCACAAGTGACACTCCTGCTAATCTATGACGGCAGTCGCTCTTCCTCCGGTCACAACACCTCCGACCATCAGCATCTTCACATCTCACCACCGCCGCCTCTGCGGTGGTAGTACCCGCTCGACCATCAGCAAAGTTCAGCACATCCCGTCCCTCCACATCTTCAGCAACAACAACAACAACGACGACATCACCACAAAAGCGGCAACCCCCGCTCGTGCCCCAGCCAACCCCCTTCATCCCGGACGTCGAGACCTTCCTGACCGTCATCGGGCGCGGGTTGAAGCAGCACGTCTCAAAGTTCCCGACCTGGGAGTCCCTCTTCTCCCTGTCCTCGCAGCAGATGCGCGACCTGGGCGTCGAGCCGCCCCGCACGCGCAAGTACCTGCTGCGCTGGCGCCAGCGCTTCCGGCTCGGCCTGTACGGCATCGGCGGCGACCTGCAGCACGTGCGGGACGGCGCGGCCGAACTGCGCGTCCTCGAAATTGAGCGTGCCGCCGCCAACGCCGCCGCCAACGAAACAGCAGCAGCAGCAGTAGTCAGCCTGCCCAAGAAGATGCGGTTCGTCGTCAATGTCCCCCCCGGAACCCGCGTGGAGGACGTGGTCGGCACGCCGGCCGCCGCGGAGCACATGTCCCGCGTCCGCGGCTACAAGGTGGAAGGGCTCAAGACCATCGTGGGCCCTTACGCGATCCCGCTCAAGGGTCAGGCCGGCGCCAAGGTCACCGTCACCGAGGGCATGTGGGAGGACAAGCTGGGCCGCAAGATCGACGGTGGTGAGCGCCGCCGGACCGAGGTGCGGTACAAGAAGCGCATCCAGGAGCGCCGGCAGGAGAGGGAGAAGGCCATGTCGCAGAAGTAAAAAAAAAGTCGTCTCGGGCGTGCGTGCGTGCGTGGTCGGCCATTCCTGCGACGTGCTAGAAAAGGGTGGGCGACAGGATGGATGCCTTCGTGGACACAGTCGTGTTGGTGGCGCGGGGTTTCTAAACACGCATAAAAAGATGTCGGTGGTGCTTCACATGTACAAAGTGGTCGAAAACTGTAGCATTACTCAACTGGCCGCCAGGCAGTCTCTGGAAGAGAGACGGTACTATGTAAGCCAATGTTGTAACAATATAAACCTTGAAGCAAAGTGGACAATCCCGTAGATAATCCAATTACCGCAACGACTAGACTGCATGTAGTTATTCAAACACACCTGTCTAGATAGATACCTGCGTCTACGATGTCTCTAGAATAGACTGCTTCGACTTTTTGATCTAAATTAGCCCAATAAATGATAAATCCATACTGAGCCCAGTTCCTCGATCCAGTTCCCAAAACACCGTAACTCCCCAGCGCCGTGTTATGATAGGCCGCATTTGTGGCGGTGTATGATGTATGTAAAAGCCAGGATTTCTACGATCCCCTCATCCCCTGCAATCATCAGCTCGTCCGGAACCATCACAGTGCCCCACCAAAATCCAGCTTTCGTGCAACCTTGTTTCCCCTATTCTCCTCGTCGACCACACCTGGCCTCCTCTTGAGGTCGGCCGCGAGCTTCTCCTCGCCGCCCTGCTTGCGCGGCAAGTCGCGTTTGCGTGTTGGCCTAGGCTCCCGATGCCACCACTCATGCTCAAGCATCTGCCTCGCCGTAATGCGCTTCTTTGGGTCCAGCGCAAGTGTCTTCATCAGCAGGTCAACACCCTCGCTGCCGATGGTGGGGAACATTTCCATGTACGACGAGCGTGTTCGCACCGGGTAGACCTCCTTGTCAACGGTGTATTCTGGCAATTTCGACACCCCTGGCCAGTTATCGTCCGTGGGCGTACCGATAGCTTTACAGATGAGACTGATCTGCTGCATCTCTGTCTCGCCCGCCAGGAAGGGTGTGCGCAGGACCAGCTCGGCAAAGACGCAGCCCACGGACCAAACGTCGACGGCGCCCGAGTAGTGTCGCGCACCAAAGAGCAGCTCAGGTGGACGGTACCACCGAGTGATTACATTGGAGGTCATGGCAATGTAAGGGTCGGAGAAGCTGCGTGCGAGACCGAAATCGGCGAGCTTGACCTCGCCGTCGCCGGCGATGAGCAAGTTGTTTGGCTTGATATCACGATGAAGGACGAAATTGTCGTGGCAGAACCAGACGGCACGGGTCAGCATGCCCATCCAGGCCTTGATATCTGCAGAACCGTAGCGGATGCCGGCGTCGTCGCGGATGAGCATCTCGAGGTCGCCAAGGGGCAAGTATTCGAGGACGAGGTTGAGATTCTGGTCTTTAGAGGAGAAGACGGAGAGGAGGGAGATGATGTTTGGGTGCTTGAGCTCCTGGAGATGCTTGATTTCGCGGACGGCGTCGGGAGCCATGCCCTCTGTGTACTCCTTTTGGATCTTGATTTTCTTGATGGCGACGAGCTGGGAGGGGTCGCTGCGGACATAGCCAAAGTAGACGTTGGCATAGGTACCCTCGCCGAGCTTCTTGCCCTTGAAGTACTTGCGTTTCTCCTCCTCGTTGAGCTGCTCCGAAAGGTCGAGGGTCGCGGCGGCGAGCGAGGGCGCAGAGGTCGGCGCAGAGCCCTGCTGCTGCTGTACGGGGGCGGTGGGCACGGGTGTGCCGTTGGACGAGGCCTGGGCGGAGGTGAGTTGCTTCAAGGGCGACGGGATGCCGGTGGCGTGCTGGGTGGGCTGCGGGTGCAGCGCATCCGAAGGATACGCGACGATGGGCGAGACAGCCATGGTGCAGACGGACCGTGGACGAGGTCGTCGTGGTCGGGAGGCTGGGTGTCGACAGTCACGACGTTCAGCAACGGGCAGTCGTGTCGGCAGGTAGTTGGAGGTTGAGGTCGCGCGGCAAGAACGCGGGCGGCAGGAGAGTGGGGCGGTTCCAGCTGCCAGCCCAGGGTCCACCCAGCCAGCCTTCCAGGGCAGGATCCCCACACGGCGAGCATCCCTCTAATATCTATTGCCCATCAACATTGGGGAGCCTGAAACATATCTCTGGAGCTGCATGTTTTCCATGTAGGTAGGGTTAGCATCATCAAAGTCCCCAGCAGGTCACTGAAGGTCGTGTCGGGCCTGACCATGGTGCGAGGCACGCCCCGCGGTGAGAGAGAGGCATTCGAGTAGAGGCAGACTGGTCAACCAGCCATGGGAAAGAACCAAAGGGTTGCTTGCGTCTGGGAGGACAGAGGCCAGGGGGTGTCCCGCACCATCTCGCAATCGATGGCTTGTTCCTGACGGCAGAGTGATGAGCCGGGCCCCTTGTTTGGTGATGCCCAGAAATCCGGATGCCCGCCCAGCGACCATCAAGCGATGGATGTTTTGAGGTAGCAGGTGTGCCCCACTGCCGGACGCTTCGGAGCGCCGGGGCCTTGACACCACCGGGAATGACGTCAGTCACAGCTTGCACAGAAACACAGACACACAGCCAGCCCCAGCCTCACTCCTCGTCAACAGCCGACGCGGCCCATGCGTGGTCTGCAGAAAATGACCATCCAAGAACATTGTGGCTTTCGGGGACTCGAGAAGGGATTGAGTGATGAGGATGTGCCGATTCGCGTCCGCGCGCAAGTCTAACCCCCCCCAAAGAGACACGTCTGCCTCCGCATCGAGTGCGCCACGGCGACGATGCTGCAATGACGCAAAACCACGACCTCGAGGCTGGCTAAGGGTGCGTACTAAGGCCATCTTAGCTCTTCCCGTGCCAAGCTCAAGACCACACCAAGACAAGCCCTCCCATTTTTAGCCCCATCGCGCTGCGATCCCGCATCCATGCCGAGCGGGTTTCTCAACTAATTAGACTCGGGCTGCAATTAGACTACTCGGCACCCTGCAGCGCAATTATGGGGGCTGCGGACGTCAGGCCCTGCCGCGCAATGCTTGGCCTCGACAAGTGAAGTCATCAGCCCACCCTCCCTCCTGGTTGGCCCTCCCTGCTCTGTCGATCCCGCGCGGCCGCGATCTGACCAGGGCCCTCGCTCTCTGTCTGTCTGTCTCAGTCGCCTTTTAGTAGACTTGCGTCCCCAGTCCTGCCGACCTGTCGCACCTGTCTCTGTTTCCAAGCACACGTAGAATAATCAACGGCGGTGGTTGCAAAGAGTTTTGGTGCCTGGGCTCGTCTCTTAATTCTGTATTCCTTGGCGCTCCTCCTCCTCCCTGCCTCCACGGTCTCACGACTTCACGACTTCACACTACACACCACGACACCTTGCGGGCCATAGACAAACAAAAGCCGCCAAGATGAAGGTCATCTCATACTGGGTAGGTCCCTCCTAAGCATGTACACACCTCTACGACCGCCCAATCGCTAACCACCTCCTCCCTCCCTCCGCCAGATATTCCCCGTGATATCCGCCATATTCTGGCTCGCGACCCTGCTCGGCCTGCTCCTCTACTGGGTCGTCACCACCTCGCTGGCCATCCTGCCCGCCATGAAGGACACGGACGGCAAGCAGCAGACGATAGCCTACATCTCGGACGTTGGCGCGACCAACACCATGAAGCCCTGGTTCATCGTGGGGTCCATCTTCACCACCGTCTTCCTGGACCTGGGCTTCTTCGCGGACCGCTGGCTGCGGCACAAGGGCCGGCTCGCGCCCAACGTCTCCGTCTCGGAAAAGGTCCTGTCGGCGCTGTGCATGCTCTTCGCCGTCGTCGGCACCGTCGGGCTCTGCTGCCTCTCCGGCTTCGACACGTACCACTACCCCCAGCTCCACGACATCTTCCTCGTCTGCTTCATCGGCGGCTACTGGCTCTCGGCCATCTTCATCTGCGCAGAGTACCAGCGCCTCGGCAAGAAATACCGCCAGCACCGCTCCCTCCGCATCAGCTTCTGGGTAAAGCTCGCCTTCATCTTTGCCGAGCTCGGCCTCGTCGTCGTCTTCGGCGTCATGAACTTCCGCGGCAGCTACAACCTCGCCGCCATCTTCGAGTGGATCGTCGCCTTCGTCTTCACCTTCTACGTCCTCTCCTTTGTCATCGACCTCTGGCCCGCCGTGCACTCCACCCGCGACCGCAGGTACAGCCTCCGGCCCATGCGCACCCTCGAGATGGACGAGGAGTACCACCGCACCCACGCGCCCAACGGCCTGCCCAGGGACACCATCGACAGCGAGCGCACGCTGACTGGTGCCAACAACAACGGTCACGCCGCCCCCGGCGGGGCGGGCAGGAAGTTCATGCCCAAGAAGAACGGGCACTCGGAATTTTGAGAGAGGCAAAGGTCTCAAAAACCCCGTTGACTTGCCGGTAGCACACAGGGAAATTAGTGAGACTGAAGGAGTAATGTGGGAGAGCATAGGTCACCGCATTCCCAGTGGTGGTGTGTACAAGTGAAAGGAAGTTGAAAGAGGGGTATGATGAAGCCCCGGCCATACGAGTTAATATTCTTCGCAATGTCTGTTTCAGTAATGATCTTTGTACATAAATGACGGTTCACGACATATATAAGAGCGATACTTACGCTCAGACTTGATGGTCTACACGGAGCATGGGGCAGAAAGATTATTTAACGAGCATTCTAGCATAATTTGGGACAGGGACATGGCTACCACATGACAAGAGCCTTGGGCATTCAGGACCACAAATCAGTATATATGCCAAAACGTTCTTAGCATATTCACAAACTTCTACACACCTTGTGATCTGCATCTTGGCATTGACAAATGTGCGAACGAGGCGCGAAGCTCAATTTTAACAGGGCAGGTACTTGGTGGCCTGGATCTACATTATTCAGCTTGTCCCCTTTGCGGTACAGCTAATGATATACCATGGTCATGGGGGCTCCAGACGAATTCTGAGTGGTATCCAATCGCTAATTATTTCATTATCCAGTACTAACGCAAAATGAGATTGCTCGTCATCGTTCAAGAAGCACTTTAAGCCAACTATAACCAAAAAATACCGCCCACAAACGCCACCGCCAAGAGGCAATATCCCTATATACGCCTAAATTATCTCTCTGAACTTAGATGCACGGTCAGGGCTTTGGCTCCCCACTGACCCGTGGTCCCGGATTGGCTTGGGGGGAGTGAGTGCAGTCGCTGGCTCACTCGGGGCGTCCCGGAAGAACTCCTCGTCGCTGGAGCTGGAAAGCGGCGAGACAACTTCCTCCTCATCTTCATCCGGGTGCCCAGTGCGGCCACGACCAGCCATGGCTACGGCGTGCATGCTTGCGCTCCGGTTGTCAAGACTGACCGTGCTGTCATTGGCTTCCATGCCAGTCAAAGCAGCACCACCAACAAAAGTTTTACTGTTCCTGTCTTGGCTCCGCTCCCGAGACTTGGAGTCTGTCTTTGCGAATCTGGACTTGAACCAGCTGCGGACGCGACCTCGAGACTTTTCTGATGGCGACTTTGGACTCTCGGGAGATCGATCACCCTCGTTGGCCGCTGGCTCGCGGATTGGGCTGTGAGGAACATTGGCTAGCTGCTCGTTGCTGTTCAGGGCAACTGGCGAACCGGGCACATCCGCTTCAGTGTTGTCCTCGACTGCAGGTGCAGTGGTCGCCTGCTGCTTTTCGATGCGCGAGAGACGCTTCTGCTCAGCCTTGGCGGCCTTCTCTTCCTCCTTCCTCGCTCGTTCTTCCTCCTTCTTGGCCTTTGCCTCTGCCTTCTCTTCCGCCTTGCGCTCTCTCTGTTCCTGTTTGTCTTGTTCTGTGTGTTCCGAGGTGTCAGTCTTTCAAAGTCCATTCCGTTGTGAGGACAAATCTACTCACCTTTGAGCTTCCTGTTGATATCATCAACCTCTTTTTTGCGTGCTTTTTCCAACTCCTGTTCCTCCTTCTGTCTCTCCTCTTCAAGACGCAACTCTGTCAACCTGGCGTGCTCCTTTGCGGCCTTCTCGTTGATTTCGTCCAAGACAGGCTGCACACGGCGAGCGGCGATGGCATCAATGGCATCCTGATCCATGCGCAGGCCAGCACCAATGTCCACCTTGCCCTTGTCGCGGTCAGCCCGTCCCTCGCTCCGCAGGAGCGCCGCAGCATGAGCCTTGTGCTCCCAATGACTCGTGGGTTGAACCATGCCAGTCTCAGCAGTGATCTTGGCGTCCATGCCCTTCAATTTCGCCTGGACATTTCTGTGTGCGGCAGCAAGAAGGGCTTCTTGATCTTTCTGCCTCTTCTTGTCGTCAACTGTTTGGAGGGTCTTGGAGAATATGGACATCTCGTGTCTAATCTGCTGCGATCGAAGATTGTCCTCAGTGAGTGCACCATCACTAGAAGCTCGCCGGCGAAGTCTGTCCCGGATCGTGCCTCGCCGCGAGCTTGGGGTAACACCATAGTACTCCTGGGAGTCACGGGTCCCACGCAACTTCTTGTTGTCCTCGTGAATTTTCGCAAGGCGCGCTTGCGCCTGCCTGTAGGCAGCTTCCTGCAAGCTGTTGAAGACCATTGGCTGTGGCTCATCATCATCACTGTCGCCGTCTCGGAACGATGAGGTCTCCGCTTTTGCCAATCGAGCCTCCACCGTCTTCTGCTGCTGATTGTACATCTTCTTCGCCATGGCCACAGCGGAAGCATGAAGGACATCGGCACGGTTCTGATCAGTGGTCTCAACCTTGACGGGGGGATTTGAGGTGAACATCTGCCTGTTCATGGTCGTGTAGGGAACGGCCCCACCGACTGGAGTCGCAGTTGGTGTCCCATTTGGCTTGTGTGCCCGAGTAGCAGCAGCCAGGGCATTGGAGGCCGCATTGGCCTCATCAGGATAGTTCGGGCGCGGGGACGGTGTCGAGATTGCCCGCTGCCGATTCGCAATCGCACCTTGCGCAGCATGCAGGGAGCCGTGCCGCTGCATGTTATCTGTCTGCATGTGTCGCGGGATGCTCGCATTTGAGTTGAAGGCCATGGTTGCTGCGGATTGGCCATCCGCGGTCGCCGCGGGTTTCCAAGCGTCTGTGGACTTTGCGCCCTGAGCTGCAAGCAGCGCAGCCTTTGCGCCATGGTTGCTCGCTTGAGGTTCCCAAAGGGGCGCCATCTTGTAATTCTTCGCGAGGACCGCAGCGGCTGAGGCGGAGGCAGAGCTATCTGGCTTCCACGGTTCCGGAGACTTCTGGTTCGCCCAGCCTAATGTGGCAGCTGCGCTGGCGGCAGCACCGTTTTTGTCTAGGCCTACAGAAGGGAAGCTAGGGAGGTCCTGGGGCTTGGCGTAGACAAGCCTGCTTGCGCGAACTGTATTGAATGTTAGCAGATGTCGACAACGGCATCTCAGGTTTGGGACATGTCCCGTGGGGAAGAACTTCAAAGGCGTTGTATCAGATGAGGTGAGGCGGTTGTGTCGGGGCTGACTTGCCTGTGTCCATGTCGAGGCTGGGGGTGTCGTCATCTGGCATGTGGGCTGGATCTCGTGGGGAGCCCGAAACCCTGTCGTGGGCTGTGCCGGGATGCTGGACCGTGGCCTGCATGGTGCGTGTTGAGGCTGTGTCTGTCTGTGGCACTGCAGGAGCTCCAATTCGTGCGCAGAAGGACAAACGGCGGCAGGTCGGGTCGCTGCTGTATGGAAGCTTGTAGACGGAGAGCTCGGGCGCGGCCGAGCAGGAGGTGCGTGGGCGCCAGGTTATGAAAGATAGAGCGAGTGATAGCCAGCGAAATCCCTGCACGGGGAGCACACAAGAGTTGTAGGCCGGGGTTTCTCGGTACAGTAGATTGATCAAGGAGGATTCCGGTAGCTGGTTGGCCTCTCGTTGCTTTGTGGTCCCAGAGAAGACGAAAGAAGGGGAAAAGAGGAGCAGCCGTGACGATGCCGGCAGCCGGACGAGGAGGAGCAGAGCTGCGAGAGTTTATGCACGAAGCTACTGTCCCTGCTTGGGAGCTAAGGGGACTTTGTTCTTGGTAAAGCACATAACCTAGTGGCAGTGGCAGTGGCAGTTGCGTCTGTCTGTCGCCGCAACGAGGGCAGGCACGACGACGGGCGTGGCGCCGCACTGACGCAGGTCGGACGCCAGCGACCGACGGCCCCGGGGCCTCTGAGCTGCCGGGCGACGAGACCAAGCTCTCTGCGGTGCGCAATTGCAGGTCATACCTCAAGACAGACACGGGGCTAAGCGGTTCGAGAGCGTCTGCGAGGACTAGCGCCGCGCATCTCAATACATCGGCATCATCAGACATCATGGCGTCTGCCGTCCATGCGTGCGGGCTGTGGGGTGGGCAGCCCTGCTGACGTCACTGGCGCGCCTCGGTCCCTCGCTAGCGTCTTGTCTCACCGCATGGCCCGCACCAGCTTCCATACGTACTGAGTGTAAGGTATGTACGTTGACGATCGTCTGTTCCTCGTAGCCAGAGGATCTCGCATGCATCGCCCATTAGTGATTGCATTCGCTCGAGGTTGGGCCATCGTCCATGAACCACATGGCATACGGTCGTGGCAATATATCTCAATCGTCTTGCAGGCTGAGGACTCTGTGAACGGCAGGGTCGCAACGAGAACCGGGACCCCTGCCTGGTGGCCGATGGCCAGCACCGCGGGGGTGAACCCTGATCGTCATAGCTCTGTCACTATCGGCGCCCAGGGTTGTCCGCTCATCCAGATCGTGCATGTCATTCCATCCCGGGTGATACTTGTCGAAGAGAGCCCAACTCATCAGCCTGTGCGCGAATGCTGAAGCAGGCGTGTCAGCATCATATCTTTTGTGATTGGGTCGTAGCCCACAACTCCAATAGCGTGCGTGATTGAAAGCTGGCGGTGGTGTCCCTGGCAAGCAGGACACAGAAAGTTCGCGATTGAGTGTTCCGCTGTTGCTGGCCACATCCAGGTCCTAATCGTGGCATCTGCAGATTCCCATCCTGTCGTGCCTCGTGCCTCCAAATTCTCATCCGTGCTCTTGTCGAGCCTGAGAAGGAGAGGTCAGCCTTACCCATGGCTGGTGTGAGGCAAGATCTTGACGGCTGGGACACCACATGGATAACCAGAACTCCCAGTATGCTGGGGAGCACTTATGCGAGATCTGGCATTGAAGATCTAGGCTTTGGCAAAATATAGATTTCCGGGGATCATGAACGAGCCCCGGCGATCCCTGCCATATTGTACATACCTCGATAAGCACACTCCACCTCGTACTCCAATTTCCTACCCCACCAACAAGTCCTGTTTTCATAGCATAGAGCATTGGTTGCCGCATAGGCTCAACCAAGTCGCTTCTTGGCACGCACCAGAAGCCACGGAATCGCCTTGATCGCCCAGAACTTGACGGGTGTAACCAGAAGACAGCAAGCAAGGCTCCCAGGGGGATTGAAATTCACAGGATGAGTGTCCGTTTCGACAACGTGCTCAACTGCAGGGACGTTGGCGCCACTGTCAACCAGTATACCGGACGCAGGTAACCGCGCATCTCTCTTGATGATAATTCCTGGACTTTTCCTTCTCGGCATGGCCCACCGTGCTTCGCAAAAGTTCATGGATTGACAAAAATGCTCTCAGGATCGTCAAAGAAGGCTTAATATTCCGCTCTGCTCGGCCAGGTCTGTTAATTCTTTGTTAACTCTTGATTCTCACACCGCCCTTGACATATTCTGTTTCAGACGGTTCCATATGTGCTAACTCCATATTTCCCCAGACGATGCCTCCCTCAAAGATAGAGAAGTCCTCCGGACAGAAATCGGCATCAAGACAGTCATGGATCTGCGGACAAAGTAAGTCTTTAGTCAGGGATCTCCTAACCCCCAGAAAACAACAGCAAAGAAACGACCATTCTATATATTCAACATCGAGGTTCCCCACTGTACACAACATCCCTGACTAAGAGAGCAGGACTGAGCACCTCAAGCAAGCTGAGAAACGCCAGGCCGACCGCAAGATCCCCGCGCTACTCGCCTCCAATGCTGCCCTCGCGGAGCCCGTCCAGATCCCGGGGCTCAGGTATCTCGAGATCAAACTCACCGGCCGCAAGTTTGAACGCTATCTCCTGAGCCAGCTGTCGTGGCTGCAGTTCTTGTAAGCCCCAGGCCACCTCTCTTTCCTTCCCAGACCCTATCTCTGCACAGAATGGCACGACCTGATGCCTGGACTACCTTCTGGTCATGTGGCCAAGTGCTCTATCATCGTCGCCGTTGACAATGTTGACCTGTGCCCATAGCAAATTCCTCTTTCTCTTCCTGTTCGGCTTCCGCATGCAGGCAATCAGTGTGATTGGCCGAGAAGTCATGCTTCCCCGAGGCTTGATCGGGTTGGGGATACTCACCATGGAACAGTCTGGCGCCGAAGTGGCCGAGGTAAGCAGGAGTCCCGAGATCTCATCCCGTTACAGTCACCATGCCACGCAACAACCAACCACACCACACACGTCTTGCCTGCTTGCCAGCCTGCCAGACTCAGGCCAGACAAGCTCGAACCCAGCATGCTATCCATACCGCTCATTGCTTTGACCACCGCTTGTTCTCGCACCACACAACCATGAATCCGCAGAGCTCTACCAAGCGTAAAAACGAGTGACTGACTGATAAAAATCACAACCGAATTTAGGCTCTCCGCGCATTCCTCCAGCCCGGGGCCGTCCCGCTACTCGTCCACTGCACCCAGGGCAAAGACCGCACGGGACTGATCATAGCCCTGGTACTCACGATCCTCGGCGTCCCCACCGAGGCAGTCGCGCACGACTACCTCCTCTCGAACCCGGGGCTCGAAGCAGAGAAGGAGATCCGGCTCGCGGAGATCAGGGCCATAGGGCTGACGCCGGAGTGGGGCGAGTGTCCTGATGGGTTCATCGAGGAGGTCGAGGCGTACCTGCGGCGAGAGTATGGTGGTGTGGAGGGCTACCTGGATGGGATTGGGTTTGGAAAGGGGGAGAGGCAGATGTTGATTGACGTCTTGGGTGCTTGAGCTCGCAGCGTTGGGCACGCGTGGCTGGCGGCTTGACGATGTTGTCCACCTATGCGTAGGTACGCAGGCAGTCATCTGGGCACCAGAACTCAACTTGTGAGGCCACACCTTTAGAGCACCACACATGTCCGGCATCGCTCAACACATATACAGTTAAACCATAGACACCATGATCGTTGGCAACGAAAATCTATTGCTTCTTTCTAAATCTGGCTTGCAGCCAGCATCTATACATCTTGAGCTTCTTTGCTCTGTTGACGAGCATCTTCCTGTCAAAGTGGATCTCTTCCACGTCGAACAGGGTAGTCGCCGCAGTCTCAGACTTCTCGACAGGCTGCCGCTCCTCCTCGGCAGACTTCTGTCCTTCACCAGGAGGAGTCGCCCCCGGCTCAGCAGACAGGGATGCGGGAGCAGGCGCGCCGCTCCAAATCTCGGACAGCTCGTCCTTCTCAAAGAAGTACACTCTTGTGCCGTCACCGCGAATGTAAAAGTTCTCTTCCATGTAGCGGCCCTTCTTGAAGCGGACTTGCGCGAGGTCACCTCTACCATAGTCACGGAAGCAGACCTCGCCGCCGGGCCTGAGCAGCCGGTGGATGTTTGACACGCACTGTTTCCACTGGAGCGGTGAGAGAGCAGAGAAAATGAAAATCATCAGCACCACGTCCACGGAGCCCTCCTCGAGCCCCGGCGGCAGCTCCTGGCCCGCAGCATCCCACACGTCAGCTTGCATGAACTTTGTGTCATATTCCGCGTGCCCACGCATGACCTGCACGGCCTGTTTGGAAAAGTCACAAGCGTGGAGCTTCAGGCCCGGGTTCTCATTGCTGCCCAGGATGGGGAATGCCGTGTTGCCCGCGCCAGCGCCGACTTCAAGGACTGTCACGGGACCATAGTCTGCCCTCGTGACCTTTTCGAGAATGGGGAACTCCATCTTCAACCACTTGCGATTCTTGAAGAAATTTGCAGTGTTGTTCTTGTAGAAGTTGTTCCACCACTTCGCAGGGTCGGCATTGAATCTGTCTGAAAAAAGGGAAGCCAGGTCAGCATGGAAACTCATGATAAAATGGTTTCTATAGTCAGGAGTGACGGAGAATGAACATGAAGGTTTGGCTTGTTGAATCAGATGGGAGCGAAAGACTTTTGTGCTACATTTTGTCATCATAGAATAACTCAGATGAACTATGCGAATTGGTGTATCATCACCTCAACGGAAGCCAGGTTGTTGTCGTTGTTGGACGACATGTGATTGAGTTTTGAAGAAAGGAAAAAGTTGTGGACTCACTCTTGTCAAAGTCCGAGACTGGCGACTCGCGCTGCATGGCATACTGCTGCTCCGCAAACTCCTTGAAGGTGTCGTCAGTCTCGACATGGTCCCAGGCATTGAACTCGAAGACGTCGTCTTCCTCTTTGAGAAAGCGAGATCCGAACTGAAACGGGTCGCTCCTCTTCTGGTTGAACTGGGGATCATGGCTGCGGTGCGACGGGATCGCAGGCGCGGCGCTTGACGGCTCCGCGTCCACCTGGGCGGCATTGACATCCAGCTGAGCTGTCTGACTGGCAAGCTCCTCCACGGCGGCAGCGGCAGCAGCATCAGCTGGCTGCGAGAGGGCGGCGGAGGCCATGGCTTGACGAAGACGAGGTAATGTCTTGACGCTGCTTTCTGTTACCGAAAGGCTTAGCCTGGCGAGCATTGCCAGCAGGAACGAGCCCTGGGTATTGTGCTGGCGGTCGTCCACGGAAAGTAGAAGTGGGCGCGGGAGAAGAAAGAATTTCAAAAGCGCAAATTGGGAGCACGAAGTGAGTTGAAGAAAAGTCCACACGATAGATGGTGTGGCTTGGGCGATAACGGGCTGTGGCTGGTGCTGGCCCCCTGTCAAAATAATAACGGAGCGCGCCGTCACAAGCCTCGGGCGAGGACCGCTGGTGGGGCTTCCTGCGGGCAAGCTTAATTCCCGTTCGGATAGCTCAGGTACGATCTCGGACGTCACTGTCGACCTGTGTCGCACAACCAGGCCTGGAGCTCCACGAACCTTTTCTCAACTCTTTTCTTAGGCATCGGCTGGGGACGAATCTTTCATCATAAGCGGTTGTACTCATACATGTCTCACAATACTTTTTCGTCATATAATATCCCAGTCTCGCTCAGATACAGTACACTCCAGAGACACCAAAAGTTCTCGAAACATCTCTACAACCTTTACAAAACACAATGTCGATCAGATCACCGCTCCGAATAATACCAACCCGCCTGCACGGGACCATAACAACAACAGCGGCAACACGGACCGCCACCCGCCACACCCGACGAAACTTCTTCTCCTCGCCACCTCCACAGACTCTCACAGCCGAACGAACCCTGCCATACCCAGCAGCTCGCGTGTACGACCTAATAGCCGACGTGGACAGCTACACACAGTTCCTACCATACTGCAAAGTGGCCCGCGTGACAGCCTGGACAGACCCACGGCCATACCCGAATAGTAGTAGCAGCACCACCGACAAAAATAACGACGGCACAGCAACAGCAACAGCAACAGCAAACACAACAACAGCCTCAGGTTCGCTAGACCCGACCCTCGCGGCCCAGCATCGCCGCTGGCCCACCCGCGCCGACCTGACCGCCGGCTGGGGAGGCTTCGAGGAGACCTACACGAGCCGTCTTTTCTGCATCCCAGGGCGATACGTCGAGGCCATCAGCGGGGACGCCCGGACCGAGATCCCCGCCTCGCTGCTGCGCGAGCACGGGCTCGTCGACCCGGGCCCGCTGCCTGACTCCAGGAACAACAGCTCGTCCTCCGCACAGAACAGCAGCAACGCAGGGGTCTTCAAGAGCCTCGTCACCCGCTGGACCGTGACGCCGGACGAGGCCCGCACCAAGAGGGACATGTACCAGCACGAGTGGACCAACGTGCGGCTCGACATCAGGTTCGCGTTTGCCAACCCGCTCTACGCAGCCGTCAGCTCGGCCGTGGCAGACAAGGTTGCGCCCATTATGATTGATGCTTTCGACAAGAGGGCTAGGGCTATACTGGGCCATCCGAGTCGCAAGTAGTGTGGAAGCAGACGCCTCGTGTATTCTGCTGTACTGCATATGTAATACTCGCATTGAAGTCACGGTTGAATTAGAGCAATGTCAATCTCTGATACAAAGTCTGTCTAAACTCTGCCAAACGATGCATAAGCGTATCTACATGGACCAGTTGCCCTATGAGACACTAGTCGCCTATAACACATGGCATCGTTGCTGTGGCCAACCCTCCAACGTATCCGTTTCCGAAACTAAACATCCAAAATGGTAAAATCGTACCCAAATAGCATCTTCCTTCATAAATGTCATAATTCAATAAATCCCCCCGAAACGAAAGACGCCCCAAACGTTCTCTCCCCGCCTCCCTGTCTGACTTTCGTAATTCTCCCAATAGCCGAAATTTCCGTGACGTCTATACTTGTCCTATAACTTGACGTCGCTCCTGCGTCCTTCAAGGGGTCAATGCCAAATGCAGGCTGGAAGAGAAAATAAGAGTGCACAGGTCGCCTCCACATGACATGTATCTTCCGTTCTCGCAGTCAACATGACTGCACGTATAATGGTACTCCAGGGTATAATGCGAAGACCAAGGTGGAAAGAAAATGACGCCAATGAACTGTTGAGCAGGGTTTTCACCCGAACAGCGCTATGAAGCATTTGATGCGGAATCGTTCAGACGACTCTAGCAAAAGCAGTGCTGATTAGATGCTCATATAAAGCTTGGTGCGATGAAATGATGCATGATGATTCGAAATGGTCCATCATTTTTTGCCTCTGTGGAGGTTGTGTCAGCAACGTCTACCTCGTATCATGATCTTGTGAACAGCGAGGACTCACTTCTTCTTGACTGGCTTGCTGGGGCCAAAGAAGCTCCCAAACACGGCTCCGCTGCTCTTGGATTTGTGACCCTTCTTTTCTTTCACGGGCACGACGCCTGGCGTCATACCCGGTCGGCTCATCGGGTGAGGCGGTCCGCCAGGAGCATATCCATGTGGCGGGGGTGGAGGTCCGCCTGCCATGGGGGCACCAGGTGGGCCGCCAGGACGCATGCCCGGCCGTTGACCAGCAGCTGCTTGCTGGCGTCGCCGCAGCTGCTCGACTATATGCGGCGGCAGCGGTCTGCCATCTGGTCCGACCATTTGTGCTGCCGCAGGTCGTTCCATCGGCCACATCTGCATCGTGATGCTCCAGTCTGGCTCCACCACCTTCTCCCATACAGCTGGGAGGATGATCTCGCCGTCGGGACCAATGAGATCATAGTGGCCCTGTTGAACCTGCCTGCCAATGCCATCAACATGGACAAAGGCTTGCTTGATGAGTTCCTCCATGCCCTATACATGCAATTAGTGATGGGTGTAACGGAACGTGATGGAGGACAACAACTTACCGCCCATGTCTGGCAGAGGTGGAATGGGAAGTTGAATTTGCGTCCCACAGCGTCCTTGAATTTGATAGGTGCCTTATCCTTCCCAAGCGACTTCTTGTTCGCCTCCTCCGCCTTGATCTTGGCCTCCTCTAGGGCTTGTTTCTTGAACGCCTCATCTGCCTTCTTCTTGGCTTCCTCGGCCGCCTTGTCTGCGGCGGCCTTGGCCGCCTCTTCTTCAAGCTTCTTGCGGGCAGCGATTTCGGCCTTGAGTGTGGCTTCTTCAGCCAGTCGCTTCTTGAATTCCTCCTCTTCCTTGACTTTGGCTTCCGCGGCAGCCTTGGCCTCTGCCTCGGCTCGTAGTTTGGCCTCGACTCTGGCTTGTGCCGCCGCCTCAGCAGCCTTGGCAGCTTCAGCGGCTTGCGCCTTCGCCTCCTCAGCAGCTTTCAATGCGGCTTCCAGCTTGATCTTGGCGGCCAATTCCGCAGCGGCGGCAGCCTCGGCAGCTTTCTTGTCGCGCTCTTCCTGTGCCTTGCGCTCCGCTTCCATCTTGTCGCGAGCATTTTGCTCAGCCCGCGCGATGGCTGCGGCCTCGCGCTCCTTGCGATCGGCTTCGGCTCGGCGCTCTGCCTCGATTGCGTCCCTCGCTGCTCGCTCGGCATCCCTTCTCGCGTCCTCGATCTCCTTCTTCGCCCTCTCAAGTGCTGCTTTCCTCTCTTCAGCTCGTACTTCCTCCTCTTTGCGGATAGCGGCTAATCTCGCTTGAAGGGCATCCTCGGCCTCCTTGCGAATCTTGGCCTCGAGCTCCTTCTGCTTGGCCTCCGCAAGAGCCTTCTCCTTTTCCGCCTCGATCGCGGCCAATCTCGCCTTCATGGCTTCCTTTTCCGGATCAGGCGGTGGCGGTTCAACCGCGGCAGGCGTTTTCGTCCGCACCGCAAGCTCTGTCGCTGGTGGGGGAGGAGTCCACTGGTGGTACGCCTGCATGGCCGGCGGCACCGGGTACTGGGGGTGATTGAAGTAGTGCTGGTTATGGCTAGGACCATAGGGGGCCATCTCGTTGCCCCAGCCTCCTCTATGGTCGCCGTTGAAGTATGCGCCACCGGGACCTCCGCCAGGAGCAAAGGGATTGTTGTAGCCATTGGGCCCGCCACCTGGCCCGCCACCTGGCCCGTACGGTACCATGGATTGATGGCCGTAACCACCCTGTCCGTAACCACCAGCAGGACTCTGGGGATACCCTCCCTGGTGTCCTTGGTGGCCACCTCTTCCGTAATAGTGACTCATGTTTGTAGGCGGAGCATAAGGACCTCCGCGGCCCTGAGCGTAAGTATAGTCGTCCGAGGAATCAAGGCTGTCCGCTGGCGGTTGATGATACTGATTTCCTGCGTAAGTCATAGACTGCTGATGAGCAGCCCGATAGGGGGGCTTGGGGTAACCACGGGTCTGCCTCGGGGGACCGTAACCAGACGCGGAATCTGATGGGTCAAGATCGTCGTCGTCTGCAAGATCTTCGTCCTCGTCCTCCCACGACTCACTCGGGGAGACGCCTTCCCAGCTTGATTCTGTTGACTGGTGGGCGTGTTCCCGAGACCTAGAATATGACCGGTTCCGGTACTGGCCGGTGACGCTCCTTCGGCTTTATCTTGGATGTCAGTAGCGATGCTGGCGGAATCTTGGTGCGACTGCTTAGACTGACTGGCTCATTGGGAATGAATCCGCTTGGACGTCTGGCGTGAACTGGTGAAGTCCTCAGCTGGACGGGCGCATCCAGGTGGTGAACTGGAGGCGGGGTTTCGCAGTTAGGTATGAGGACGGGCGGAGGCACAGGCTGCGCAATGGGCACGGTGATGGTTACGCCCGAATTGGCGATCGTGCAGGTGTTGAGGTGTGTCCGCAGAGCCTTGCAGGCGAAAAGAATTGTGCGATGGCAAAAGAAAAACCCCGGGACAGGATTGCAGCTGAGGTGAAGTGGGTGGAATTGCCAGTGCCGTCGCGCCGTGTCTTACGCCCAAGAGAGAAGGCGGCAGGTTGGGCAGATGGGCACGCCTGGGGGGCTTGTGCAAGCCTGGCTAACGCTGGGCCCTGACCTGTGACGATGCCTTCGGCCTGCTCACGGTCTGGCCTTGCTAGGGAACCCTTGTCTAGAGGCAGGCTGGGTCCAGTTGGGCGCGAAGGAAGAGTCGGATTGGGTTGCGGATGGAGCCAGTCCTGAGTCCACGGGTCCTGGCGGGTGCTTCTGCGGTGAGGACCAGGCGAGAGAGGGCGGCTGCCCGAGTCGACAGTCCAGTCGGAAGAGGCGGGGGCGGGGAGGGGCGGCGAACCAGGGCTCCTGGGCAGGCGGCCGTCCAACGAGATTCTATGGAGCTGGAGATGTTGAGACGGGTGCTCGTGGGAATTATTGAATAAAGCGGTGTTGTCAAACAGGCGGCCACCGGAGTGTGTCCAGTCCTTCTGTGTGGCTGCTGGCCTAGGCTTTGTGCAGATGCAACTGCTACAGGCAGGAGCAGGCGGATCGAGCGCTCGAGGATGGCTCGGTGGGTTTGGCCACTGACAGACACCCCAGCACAATCTTGCAGGAGCGCAGGCAGGGTAAGACAAAGCAAGCGCTGGTGGTGGAAATGCGCTGGCCCGCTGCTGCCCTTGCGGTGATTCTCGTCTCCTGCCCGTGGTGGGTTTCAGCCGCGAGACAGAGTCGACAAAGGCACGAGCGACGCGCCCAGCACAAATTGCGCGTTCTCTCAAGCTCGGGTGTGTTGTTTGGACGGTGCTGGTGCCTCCGATGTCGTCGCGATGTCAAGGTAGCAGAGGGTTATGTACAATGGCGGTGGTGGGGTGGGCTTGGGAGGGGGGCCAGCATTTATATCTACAGTTGTCGCGCGACCTGGACAAGACAAGGGAGGGCCAGGCTTATGATGGCTGAGGAGATGTGCCCGGCAGACTGGAGAGGGCTGCCGAGGAGGCTGTCCTAGACAACGGCAATGGCACGCGTTTGTGGTTTGCAGCCAACTGAGTACACGGTACCGTCATCCGTGGAGAGCAAGTGTCGCTGGAGGCGGGAGGGGGGAGGCGACGAAACAACGCGCAAGACCCCGGCTAGCACAGGCAGGCAAGCAAGGGCACCGGACACCGAGCAGCACATGCAGGCAGGGCTGGGGCTTAAGGAGACTAAAGCGAGACAGGCCTGTCAATAGTACAACCAGACTGCACCACAGCGTGCGGCATGATGGTCATCATCACCACAGCCTGGAGGGCGCCACTACTGCTCCCAAGAAAGGACCTAGCTGCGGGTCAGGAGTCCCTGATCTGCAGTGGTTGCACAAGGATTGCATACACCTCGACAGCTACCGTCGAGCAGGGCAAAGAGTAACTCAGCTCGTTGTCCTCCTACCTAGTATTCATGGTACACCAGGTATGTGATGTGTGGTTTTGGAGTTTGAGGGGGGGGGCTGCCTTGTTTGGCGCTGGGCGGAGGGGCAATGACACAAAGGGCCTTGTCTCTGACGGCAGGGCCATGTGGGCGCTCCACAAGGACGGTGCCAAGGTGATTTTAGCAGCGTGGCCCATGTCAGCGGGCTGTCTGGACCGGCATTGTTTTGTCCACTCGAGTGCGGGCGAGGCGGCCTGGCGCGCAAGCGACTCCAAACCTAGAGCGCTTGTCAGATTTCCCAGCGGGTCGGAGCCCACACAGCCCACCTCCCCTCGCTCCTCCCTCGGCCCAGCAAATGGTAGCGATCGCGTGCCTGCCCACTGGGCAAGCAACACCAAAACTAGACCGTTAGAGCTGGCCTCTATTAATTAGCTTGAGATTCGGTCAGGCCCAGCGCGGCGGGTCGCGAACTTTGAAGTGGTGGAGGGCATCTGCTGACAATGGCACGGGGCACGCTAGGAGAACGCAATCTTGCACGCCCGGCAGGCAGTGAGATCCAGCAACGGCATCCGTAAGTGGGCGGCACAACAATTGTTCCCGTCGCTCAAGCGGTCAACGCCCCACTTCCTCACAGGCACTTACTTCAACCACAACAAGCTCCGATGACCACTCCAATTGTTGCAGGCAGAGCCATCCTTCGAGCAACCTCGTTGCATGCTTTGGCACTGTGGTGGCTCCTTTCGGTGTACTTTCCCGCTTGGCACCTTGTCTTCATCGTCGCTCAGGATTGTAACTTTCTGGAGCGGCATGTCGTTGATACACTGCCCACCAACCACGGGAGCAAAGCATGGCGGGAATCCTCGGATGCTGGGCGGCATCGACAACAGCACATACTACATAGTAGCCTGCACCTGTGGGGCCCATTGTGGCCAGCCTGGACAAGGTCGCCCTCGCCGATACGTCGACATTGCCAGCATGGATGACTCTGAGCACGCTGGCAGATGGATGTCGGGGTGCCGTACCCTTTGCCAGTAAGCCCACGCAGCCTGCGGGTGGCTGTGGCACTGCCAACGCGACACGACACCACAGACCTGTAAAATACTGCATCGTCAGTGGACTCGCATGACGCTTGCGCAGCCTGCAGACTTCTCTAGCCTGTGGCCTGTCTATGCAGGCTCCGAAGGTTTCCTCTCGGATCTGGTACTGTGTCTGGTGATCGCTGCGGCCAACTGCCTGTGTTGATTGACACCACCACCACCAAGGGGGAGTGCCCTGGATTGGTAATTACGACGGCCGGTGCTCTAGCTCAGAGCTGAAATGGACTGGTCCGGGTCGACCGTTTTCACCAAGTCCTTTCTGAATCATGATATTGCGACTTGATATCGCCAAAGACGGGCCAGACCGCCCATCCCCATGTTGGGTAGAGCGTTTGACGAAAGCAGCACCTGGGGTACCTAGGTATCTTCCGTGAAGTACACTCAATCGAACCTGTGGAGCGTTCGCAGGTGACACCAATTCGAGAGCTGCCATGCGGGTAGCCGCGCACGATCTGAGATACGTTAACTCAAGGTAACACCCCTGGGGACCTGGTCCGGCGAGCTGCTGGACGAATCGTTCGTTCCTTGACATGGTTTCGACAACGATGTGCTGGTGGGTCCGTGAAATCCCGACGTGGTTTTGATCGAGCTCGGAGCCTGTTGGCGCTGACGTTTGCTTGCAGGCACTGCCCAGGAGCGTCATCGCCAGCAGTGCCCAATGCGTTGGTTCTCGGCTAGACCTGGACATCTTGGTTCGACCAGCCTCCGGGAAAAAAAGCCTCGGTCATGGTTGGAACCACGTTCCTCATGACAGAGTCTATGGGTGCAAGTCGTGAAACTTGTAACAACGTATAACGGACTCCAGAGCAGCAGCCGAGTTCTCCGATAATCGAGGTCGTCAGGTCATTCCCCTTCAAGTCGGCATATAGGCCTAAGGGCGAGCTCGGTTTGCCACACGGGCTTGACTGGCCTTTATGTTCCACAGAGTGTTGGCGCCTGACGTGACTCTGCCCCAGGATTTCACGATCTTCGCTGGCAACCGTTGGGCTCCAACACCTCAGTGGGAGAGATCGTACCGTGCCCCGGCGAGCTGTGATTGGGCAGTCTAGTCACGACATATGTCTTCCCCACGTATTCGCACCACATTGGGCGGGAAGAAGAAGTCCACATTAAAGGTTACAAGTCACGGCCTACTCAAGCTTCTTCTTCTAGGAAAGCCAGCATCCAGGGTCCGAGCTCGACTCGTTGATCGAGGTCGCGCAATTCAACGAATGTCTTTTGCGGCAAAATACCGTAGACTCGTAAGCTTTGCAAGTGAATTGAGTACCACACTCTGTGCTTGGTTAAGAAAGCTCGTGGGAGATCCCGTCTGAATGTTGCCAGCCAAGTCAGGTTTCCAGAGAAGCAATATAACCTGCGAGCATCCAGCTCAACTACCGACGTTCTTCATACAAGACCGAGCAAATCCTCTCATCCCCTAACCAGAGGATGGTTATTATAAGAGATGTTCATGGTTGTGGGCACACACGCATCATGGCAACACAGCTTGCATATGTATCATTAGACTAACGAACACGCCTCCATCTGCTCTACTTTGGTGGCACAGGCGCAGCTTCGCCCAGCAATTCCCTAGCAGCGGTGATCTCGTCGGTATCATACCCAAGCCAGCCGCGCTCCTTTGCGGAATTGCGTCGCACAATCTCAGCCAGCTTCTCCGTCGCGCGGGCGTCGAGCTTCTGGATTGTCGCCGTGTCAGGAAGGTTGAAGCCGTCATCCTCATTGTTGGAATTGTGCTTCTTGGCATTTGACGACAGCGGGGCTGCCACCGAGGGCTCGTTGAGGAGCAAAGTTGTGACGAGCTTCAGGCCGTAGTAGCCCCGCAGGTAGTCGTCGCAGAGCTCGATGCTGCGGCAGAAACGCTTCATGGCCTCGGCTAGTTGCCTGGCAGGTGATGATGTACTGGAAGCCTGTGATGAGGTTCCTTGCGCGGCGCCGGACTTGCCCGAGATGTAGAGAAGTTCACCGAGCCGAGCGTGGATCTTATCATCGAAAGGTTAGCTGCGTGCTCAAGACAGGTAATACGCGAGGGGCGGATGATTGAACAGCAATATGACGTACATTCCACGCGTTGGGCTGTAGCACAATGACCTCCTCGAGGGCAAAGATTGCCTGGGAGTAGAGGCCCTGCGAAAAGTACAGGTCTGAGAGTTCGGCCCAGGACTCTGCATCGGTAGGACAAAAGTCCAGGAGCGCCATGAGGGCCAGGACAGCGTCTGGTGTCCTGCCCATGGACTTGAGCAGGCCGACCCGTCGCTTGGCTATGGGCTGTATAGATGAACACATGAGTCAGCGACCATAGCTTGGAGCACACGATGATGGTTTCCATGCCTCCGCTGAGAGCTTACAATATTGGTGGGCGTGTCGCGGAGGATCTGGTCATACTCCTCGAGAACAATCTCGAGCGTGGCCTTGTCCTTGGCCTCGGCCTCCTTGACGAGCCCGATGAGCGCCTGGATGCGCTCGTGCTTGTCGCCGAAGCGGTTGACCAGCCGGCCCAGGCACTGGTGCGCTGCCTTGTCATCCTCGGTCCGCAGACATGAGAGAAGCAGGTTCTCATAGGTGGTCCATAGCTCTGCCGTCTCGGGAGCTGCGAGGAGCGACCCAATGAGTGACGGCGATATTGAGCCTGCTGAGTTGTCTAGGATGGCAGGCGCCTGCTGTGCGTTTTGAAGCGCCGTGGCCGGAGGTAGGTGGCTCGGCGGATGTAAGAGATATGACGAAGCCATAGTTGAGCTTCGGAGGTGAAGCTGCGTCACACGGGTGGCGCAATTGTTGAAGGTGATATGGCCCGAGGAAACGTGTTTCAGGGCACTTGCTGCCGGCTGAGTACGGTCTCGGAGTAGAGCCAGTGATGATCAAGGGATGAAAAAGTCCCTAGATGGCAACTTTGATGTTCAACACCTTCAGGTAAGCTGTAGTTGACGGTTCCACGTGGAATGATGCGGCAGGCTTGGGGATTGGCCAGCACCATAGGTGGACCACGTTGGGAGCTTTCCCCCAAGCTGCGGCCCTTGTAGGTCTGCCATTTGGGGGGTTTTGCCGCACGACACCGCTGCTTTCCGTGCGCATTACGTCTGTGTCGGAGATCCCGCTGCTGTCCCCAGGCCCTCTCCAGGTCCGGCGCGGGGCACACGCAGCAGAGCAGCATCCGCATGCTGCACAGCTCTGCTCACTTCACTTCACATCAAAGTCGCGCCGTTCATGCGCTCCCTTTCGCCAGGACCAGTACGATCCGCCAGAGTCCCTCAACGACTACAACGGCGTCCTCGGTCTCGCCACCAGAACAACCACGACAGCCTGTGGTTTCAGCCCACCGTGCGACAGGAGCCGCCTCGATCGACAGGCACACGACCATCCACCCCCTCGACGCGCTACCCGTACTCGATGCCGTTCTGAGACACTTGAGAAGATCGAGTCGCAGACGTGCCAAGATGGTCGGCTTGCTCGAAGCACCACAGAGACTGCCATCATCCGTCGACGCTTAGAAACAATCATCTCTTTCTGCGGCTCAGCAGCACCGAAATAGTCGTGTGCCCCGGCAGGGTGGCACCGCACAACTTGTCACCATGTGCGTCGCCTCGCCCCTTTCGAGCATCAAGCCTGAAGCTGCGGTCCCAGACTGACCCATGAAGCAGGTTCGAGAAATCGCTTTACGACCTCATCCGGGGGATGCGGAATCACAAAGGCAAAGAGAAGGAGTACATCCAGAACTGCCTGAAAGAATGCAGGGCGGAAATACGCGGCCAGGATATGGGTCAGTCTCGCATTGGTCGTGATCACGGGTTGTTATCGTAGTGCTTGACAACTTGCTGACCCGGGGGTTTGGCAACAGACCTGAAGGCGACTGCCTTGCTGAAGCTCGTCTACCTCGAAATGTTTGGCAATGACATGTCATGGGCGTCTTTTCACGTTCTCGAGGTCATGTCCTCGCCAAAGTATCACCAGAAACGCATAGGCTATCTGGGTGCCGTCCAGACGTTCCGGGCCGATACCGAAGTTCTCATGCTAGCTACGAATCTTCTGAAAAAGGTGAGCTGACATTTGGCCTTGGAGTGTTTGGCAGACTGTTGCTTACTGACACGATCCCGTGTAGGATCTTGTCGCCTCTTCTACCACCACCATTGGTTTGCCCATTGTCACGCTTCCGCACGTCATAACACCATCTCTTGCACTCTCAGTACTGCCAGACCTGCTCCCACGCCTGAGTCATACACATCCCAATGTTCGTAAAAAGACCATAGTGACGCTTTACCGAATGGCACTTGTCTACCCGGAGACACTGCGTGCCGCGTGGCCCAAGATCAAGGAGAGGTTGATGGACAAGTCCGAGGATTCGAGTGTCACAGCCGCCATTGTCAATGTGGTCTGTGAGCTCGGCTGGCGTCGGCCCCGGGACTTTCTGCCTCTTGCGCCACGACTATTCGAGCTGCTGGTGGATAGCGGGAACAACTGGATGGCAATAAAATTGATCAAGCTGGTCAGTGGTTTCTGTCTCTTCCGGACTGGCCCAAGTTACTGACAACTGAACAGTTCGCTACACTGACTCCACTAGAGCCAAGACTGGTTCGGAAGCTGCTGCCACCATTGACCGAGATAATCCGTACCACCCCTGCCATGTCGTTGCTGTATGAGTGCATCAACGGCATAATACAAGGCGGCATTCTAGGCGATGGCGATAGCGCAGATGGGCAGGAGGAGATTGCCCAATTATGTGTGAGCAAACTGCGGAGCATGATAATGGTGGACGGCGATGCCAATTGTAAGCGTTTCTTGTTTACTACACACGATACACAAACTCACTATTCTGGCAGTGAAATATGTTGCTCTTCTCGCTTTCAACAAGATCGTGGTCACCCATCCTTGGCTGGTTGCTCAGCAAGAAGACGTAATTCTCGAGTGCATCGACAGTACCGACATCTCCATTCGTGTCAACGCCCTCGACCTTGTACAAGGCATGGTCAACAGCGACAACCTTGTGTCAATAGTCAGCAGGCTCATGCGTCAACTCAAGTCGTCTTCGGCTGACCAGAATGATGGACCGCGAATTGCCAATATGGACGGCTATGATGAAGACGACGATGATTCCCGGTCTACACCCCGGAGAAGCGAGAAAACGCAAGACCCTCCTATTCCTAACGAGTACAAATTCGATGTCATCAATCGAATATTGGCAATGTGCAGCCAGAACAACTACAGCAACCTCACGGACTTCGAATGGTACATCGATGTCCTTACGCAGCTCGTGCGTATGGTGCCAAATTCACAAGATCCCTTCTCCCAGTCAACCTCTGGGCGTCCTGCCCAGAATGACGTTTCCGAAAAGGTTGGCAACGAGCTGCGTACTATTGCCGTAAAAGTGCAAGCAGTCCGCTCGGCCTGTGTCCAGGCGGCTGAATCTACAGTACTGTTGCTGGCACGTGATGCTAGCTCAGGTCTTGCCAACGTGCCTGGAGCCCTGGCCGCAATCGCGTGGATCCTTGGCGAGTTCTCGACGGAATTGTCCTCGCCTGACGACACATTGGGGCAACTTCTCCAACTGATGTCCAAGGCACAGGCACCAGAGACCGTCGCATCGTGCATACAGGCGACAATGAAAATCTTCTCGCTAATCACCGGAGATGAATCCTCATTGTGGACTCCTGAACGCAAGTCGAAGACATTGCTGCTGATGGCGCGAGTCGTCGATGCTTTTGAGAAGCTTGCGCTACATCCAAACCTGGAGGTGCAGGAGCGCGCTGTAGAGTTCACAGAGCTTCTCAAGCTTACAACAGAAGCTGCCACTAGTCAAGAAGTCTCAAGTGAGACGGTCGCTCAGGATGCTCCGCTGCTCCTGACACAGGCTATTCCATCGTTGTTCACAGGGTGGACTCTGCATTCTGTGGCAATGGGCGCGCAAAAGAACGTCCCACCCCTCGATGGACTCGATCTTGATGAGCCAATCAACCCCAATCTGAGCCGGTTGCTCGCTTCGGCCGATAATTCGGATGTGGGCACCGAGGACGCTGACGAGTTTGACGCGTACTACCATCAAAAGCCAGCTCCGACGAGCATCATGTCGGAGCCGGCAATCAACAGGCTTGCCGACAAAAATGAGGAGTCCATCAGCTCGTACCAACAACCGACCGAAGATATGTATCTCGACCCAGATATCGTTGCAAGGCGAAAGGCTGAGCGCATGGACAAGAACCGCGACGACCCATTCTACATTGGAGCCGGGGCCGATACACAAAGGTCATCTACGCCAATCCACAACATCCTGCAAAACTCGAACGGGCCGGATCTTGATGTCGACTCGATTCCGATCATGAAGCTTGACTTGGACAACATTGGTGGTGCAGGTGGCGGCACAACAAACAACAAGAGGCCAACGAAGCCTAGGATACGCCAAAAGATAGAGATTGCAGCAGACGAGAACTTGGCGAGCAGTGGCGTGAACACCCCGAGAAGCTTCGACTCTGACGGGAACAATGTCGAGGCGAACGCAAGAGCCAGGGCGCGCAACCGCAAGCTCCTAGGTGTCGACTCGGCCAATATCGGCTCCCTGTCACTCGAAGGAGACCCGTCAGGGGTTGCCGGCCCGGGCTCGACATTACATCTCGACCCGGAAGCGCAGCAGCGCGAAGAGGCCGAGATGGCAAAGGCCATGAAGGAGGTGGAGCGCCTCCGCCTCGAGATGCAGCGTGCCAACGAGCGCATCCATGTCGCCCAGGGAGTTGATGCCGAGGGCGTCGTGGTCAAGAAGAAGAAGAAGACGACGACGACGACGACGTCGGCAAAAAAGTCAAGCGCCAGCTCGACACCAGTCTCCTCGCAGCAGCAGCAGCAGCAGCAGGCAGACGGCAATGATGAGGCTGCTGGCGTCGTAAAGCCCAAGAAGAAGAAGAAGAAGGTTGCCGCACAGCCCGCGAATTCTGCTGCCGATGCAGAAGCCGAAGAGGCAGGCACGTCCTCTGCCGCCAAGCCGAAAAAGAAAAAGAAGAAAGTCGCAAGGACTGTCGATATGCAAGGTGGAGGGGAAGAGTAGTAGAGTTGATCAAGTAAAGGCAACCGGTCTATGGTGAAGCATATAGAGATATCCACCCAATATACAGGGAGAAAAGTCTTGCCTGCATTGGCTCTTTACGACCGAAGAAACATGTATGCAGAATGTTGAAAATGATGTTAATCCTTTTATAATCTGCAAAGAAAGTATCATGGCAGGCGTAGCTACATGTATCACGTTCCCCGCCGGTTCCAACCTTCCGTCTTCCGATCATCCACCACCTGTTTTGTACATGCATACAAATGAGAATAGACAAATGGGGTATACCATCTTCTCACAATCGTAGTTCATTTTCCGAACCTGCTCATAACGCAAAACGCCCTGTTGTACTCGAACTGCCCTCCACCAGACTCTACGCCTACGGATTCGAGAAGGAAGTAAGTCTCTGTCTGCAAGCTGTGCCACCAAGGCACACGTGGCGCCGTGGATGTATCATTCGTTACTGGCCATCTAGTCGTCCATGGGCCTGTCACTCAGAGTCACGCCACGGTCGTCGCCGGAGGGTGGCGTGCTGGGAGCTGCTGGCGTCACCTTGCGACCAGGAAGACGACCTCCAGGGCCGAGACTGTCACGTTTCGAGAGGCCGTTGGGGTCACCGTTGGAGTAATCGAGCGCGCTAGGACCTGACCCGTCGGGAACCTCGAGAGAGTTACGGTGCAATGTCGCGCCGAGGCTGCTGCGATGCCTGTCGCTATTCGAGGTCGGACTCATTTGCACGGCAACAGGAAATCGTGTCTCAGGGCCACCTGTGCTCCTCTCACGACGGTGACGAGGGCTTGGGGCGGGGCTCCGGTCTCGGCCCCGTGTGCTGGTGGTTGTGCCTGCTTTCTCCAATAGAGCTCTCTGGCGCTCTTCCATGTGGGCTCTTCTGTTGCTCTCATCGGTACTAATGGCTCGAGGACGATTGCCGCTGCCGCCAATGGAGCTCGAGTGCGATAAGCTGGACATACGCTTCAGTTCGCTGAAAATGGCTTCCTTGTGAGCAAACAAGTCTCTGACAAGCCTGTAGGCGTGCTTCTCCTCCATTGTCAAAGACGTGTCGACGCGGGGCCGCAGAATGCAAGGCGCAAGAGATGTCGCAATTTCTTGAACGTATTGTTCATCGGCAGAGGTAAGCTCAATCAGCCTAGTAAAGTGATTCATGCAAGCGTCGAGGGTGGCGATGTTAGTCAAGCGCAACTGGGAAAGAGTCTGCTGCAGGACGCTGACACGCGCTTCGTCCGTCGAGTCGCCTTGAGTGGTGTAGATTGTGCGAACAATCTCGTACACATGAGAAGATACAAGCGAATCTGTTGTCCCCGTCAGTAAGTAGGCTTCATAAACAAGCTCAGCAGTGAATACACACCAGGCAGTTCTAGGAGGTATAGTTTCAGGAGATTGGCCACAGTGGGAACGTCAAAGTCGTTGAAGACCTCCATAGTAAATGCTCTGCCGTTGTTGACCCTGCTGCGAAGTCTGTGCACTTGGGCGAGAGGTACATCCGCCAGCCACACACCACGTCGAGCCTCGTCGCCCTCAAGATCTGGGTAGTGATGATCGAGGTATGTCAAGAGAGATGTGATGATGATGGGCACGCGCTTCTTGTCTGCCCTCGCTCTCGCCTCAAGGTCAACACCGAAAGTCTGCTCATCGACGCGGTTGTAGTAGTTCTCATATGTCACCACCTTCGGGGCAAATCGTCCAGTGCGATAGTTCTCGAGCAGGTAGCGGAGATCGCCTGCGGGCTGGACAGTCTCCTGGTACAGGATCATCTGGTCCACGGTAGACTGGAGGGATGGAATGACATTGCCAATCGTGCCCGAGAAGTCGAGGATGACCGTCTTGATGGCCTTGAGTCTGTCGAGCTCGCACCTCTCGAGAAACTTGAGGTGCATAAAGATCGCCTCCTCCAGGTCGCAACGGATCTCGTCCAACTTGCGGACAGCGGCCTTGTACTTGTCGTCTGCTTCCCGAGCCTCACGTCGCAGACGTTCTGGTGCAGTCTCGTTGGGGTAAGGGTTGTTGAGAGGGTTCCAGTTTGCCAGATACTCGCCGACGGTGCCAACAGGTGAGTCGGTCTCGCTACCAGGCGACGTGGGCATTGAGAAGGTCCGCGCAATGGTTGCTTTGCGCTCCGGTACACCAGAGACCTTGTAGGCCTTGGGTCGCCATTGATAGAAAAGCTTGGAGCTGTTGGCAAAGTTGTTGCCGACGTTGCCGACCAGACGCAGGAACCCATGGTTGACCAGGTCCTGCCCGATGCGCTCAGCGTAGCTGACGCTGCTTGAGCCCATGTTCTTCTGTAGATATTCCACAATGTCGGCACCTGAGGACGTGTTGATGTAGGTTCCCAGAATTGGGACCTTGGTCTCCCCAATCTTGATAGTGTTGAGCATATGAGACAAGATCTTCTTGACTTGCTCGGCAGAGTATGTCTCGTCTCCGATCTCAAAGACTTCCTCTTCCTCCTCCTCTTCCTTGTTTGCTGAAACCTTGATCTCGGGAATAGCGGCCGTTGTTGGTTGTTGTGGGCTCGTTTCAGGATCCTGAAAGGCCAGCTTGTTCTCTTCCTCGATGTCCTCGAGGAGGCGACACTTGTTGAAGTAGTTACTCCGGAGCTTCTTGACAATTTCGGCCTGCTTGTCATGGGCTTTGATTCTTGTCTGTAGCTCATCCTGCGAGTCCTGGACTCGTGCCTCGTGAGCATCGCACCAGCGCGAGAATGGATTCACCACTAGGTCGCGGATGCCTTGGGCGATTTTCTTGTGGTTTCGAGCTGCATCTTCCATTTCGCTTCGTACGCCGTCGTAAGCCTATCCAGATTGATATCAGTAAGATGATTGCGGACAATACCATTGCCAGTCTCTGCTGGAACTCGAAGCTCACCTTGCGGACACTGGCTCCGTCATCGCGAGAGAAACCATTGGCAATCTTGTTTGCAGTGGGCGCAATATCTCCAAGGCGCTGACCATAAACCTCTTCGGCTTCAGCACGCATGCGGGCGAGGGTCAGGATTTGCCGGTTCTCTTGAACACCTTGCTGGAGCTTGCCAAACAAAACACCGAGGCCTAGCGATGTGGACAGTTAGCTCGGAGTCGTCCTGTCTGTGAGCCTTGCGATGACTGGGCAGGATATGCACTAACCTGCGGCATAGTCTGCCGACCAGAAGGAATCTGCGAATCCAGGCATGATGGTGGCAGTAGTCTGGAACTAGAACTGAAACCCAAGTACTTCCACAGGTAGGTTGTGAAGTTTGATGCGACAATATCTCAACTCGATGGCAGTCGGCGCGGCGCAGGCATATCAGAGGCGAGGTTCGATTGGGGGTGAGTGTCACGAGCCCGGGGAGCTCAACAGGCGACAGCGAGAGATGTGGAAAGCTGTGAGCCGGATCGCTGCGTCTGTGACACGATGCGTATGGGAGGGAGGGTGAGACGGGGGCCGAAGGAAGAGGGGAGCGGTCGTGAGCGGCGGGTGGGGGCTGGTTCGCAGAGGCTGTCGTGAATCGTGAAAGACGACACTGAGTGGTCGTGTGGATGCCGGGCCGCTGTGCTGTGTCTGGAGAGTGCAAATGGCAAAGCTGGGGCCTGACGGAGAAAAACGCTGAGTTGGCGAGGCTTGTCGAGGCTGAAGCGGCACGCCCGAATGCGGTTGCCAATGGCGTCCACGGGTGGGCGTCGCAAGTGCTGACTTGCCTGTCCGAAGCTCGCAGGGTGCAAGGCCCGCTACAGACAGCCCTGGCACCTCCGCACTGACGTACCCAGCAGCAAGCTTCGTCACTACAAAGTGACCTACCACCCTTTTGCAACTAGGACACGCACTCGAACATGTTCTATTTGTAGACTAGTGGTGCACATTTGCTCTGAGCATTCGAAGGCGGCGTTTTCATCACCATGTTCCAAATCAGAACCCGAGCCCTGTCTGAGTGAGTGAGCGAGCCAGACTAGTTGCTTTTGCCATGATCAATCACACATGCATGAGGGCTGGCTGGGTAAGCGCGTCAGAACAGCCCTTGGGGGGGAGGCTCCCACGGAACTGACTGGAGGCCTGAGAATACCGAGAGCAGGGGTTCCGGCTGCTGACGCTGCCAGTTGGACCCCTGGAGGCCGTAGAAGCACAGACGACGCTAGTCAAGGTGTTGGGTTCGAGACGTCTTCCTGCAGACTGCCTGCTCGCCAACCCTGGCGGGCATTCCTCTGATTCAGGAACAGGCTCTTCTTGTTCATGCAATCGCGTAAGCTTCCACCGGATGCACTACAAAGAGACCAGGCACCGTGTCCAGCTGGACAGCCCCTGGATCCTACACAGAAGCGAAGACCCAGCGGCCGTATGTACAGCACAACGCAACACGCGAACTCTGAAAGATGGAGACTGAGCCAGCCCCTGGATCGTCGCGTTTCATCTGAAGCAGGCCACCAATACGAGTCGTCGATCCCACTGAGCCCAGTTGGCATCATCGCCTTTTCCGGACGCATTGGTGCGCAACATCCAGCTTGCCATGTGCTTGGACGCGGACTCGGCTCACTCCAGAGTCAGAGTGTTACGGCAAGCTTAAATCTTGAGCACGACCACGGCGCCGTGCCGAAGTTGAAGTAATTGCATGGTTCGGATCCGCGGCATGGGCCGCTCCTCCGTCTGTCCCTGCGGCACAGAAGCCGAGTCAGGCCGCCTTGACAACCACTGAGTGAGCACTCAGGATGCTGGATACATCGTCGGATTGGCACAAGTAGCAAGAGTTGTAACCACATCAGCAAATAACCGTAGTGCGCCGTGGACCTATGTGTGGTGGTGCAAGCCTCGGTCGAAGCACGACTTGTTGTTCACACGGTTGTGCAACCCAGCAAAAAATAGAAACCGACATTGAGTAGATATCCATGCTCAACGAAGCTGTCTCCCCCCTGTCGTTTGAGAGTTTTGGGGACTCCCATGGCCCAATTGCAAGGTGGTTGTAAGGGTGGCATTCGAGGAGGAGCTTATCGCTCCGGGCCCTGGTGCTGACGTTTACGACGGATGCACTGCCAATCGAATGGCCCGGATGCTCCGTGGGGAGTAGCTCCATCTCTATCTACAGCCCCCCGAGGGCCAAGAGAACATCAACAACAACACTCCAGATTGCGGACCTAGAACACCGCCTCGTCAGCCCGGCTCAATGGACAAGCATCAGCCAGCAGAGCTGCCTCTGAGCAGGAGCCACAACGAGAGGGAGCGCCCTGCGCCACGCGGCCGGGGAATCTTCCTCTCCTTCGTGGCCTTCATCTTCTTCAGCTCGCTGCTGCACCCAACCACAAGATGCTACCATCCGGCCCAAAAGCTGTACGATCACTGTCGCCCACGGACCATTGAGCAGAGGGTCACCACCATTCTGACCACGACGCCCCTGATAGGTACGTATGCACTTAATGCCCGCCTGCGATCATCAATCCTGCCCAGCCTCAAGAGCGACCGGTAAGCAACGGATCAGTCACTAACATGAGCTCTCACGCAGACGGGCACAATGATCTCGCAATTCTCCTGCGGGTGCTCTACAACAACCAGATCTATGGCAAGAACTTCACGGAGCCCTTTGAGAAAGGAGGCATGGCCGGGCACGTAGACTTGCCCAGGCTCCGAGACGGCCTTAATGGCGGCGCCTTCTGGAGTGTCTTTACGCCTTGCCCAGCCAACGGCACCAACTGGTCTGACGAGAACTACGCAGCCAGTAAGTGCCACGGGCGCCCAGCGATGTCATGAGCACTACTAACGATCCCCCGTGTTAAGGCGTCCAATTCACGCTGCACCAGGTAGATTTGATGACCAGGCTCCAGCAGGCCTACCCGCGCGACTTCTCAGGCATCCCCCTGGACTCGAACGCTGCGTGGTCGGCGTTCCACCAAGGCAAATTCGTCTCCCCACTGGGCATTGAGGGATTGCACCAAATCGGCAACTCTGTGTCCAACCTCCGCCGCTTCCACGCCATGGGAGTCCGCTATGCGACCCTGACGCACAATTGCGGCAACATCTATGCCGATGCCGCCCTCCAGGAGAACCCGGTGCGTGTGGCACCGCCTCACTGGGGCGGCGTTTCGCCCGAAGGAAAGCTCCTCATCAACGAGATGAACCGCATCGGTATGCTCGTTGATCTCTCTCATGTGAGCGCGGACACAATGAGACACGTACTCGGTGGTCGCAAGGAGTGGGCTGGCAGCAAGGCGCCCGTCATGTTTAGCCACAGCTCTGCCCACGCCATCTGCCCGCATCCCCGCAACGTCCCGGATGATGTGCTGCAGCTGGTCAAGAAGACCAATTCTGTAGTCATGGGTAAGTTTTTTTTACCACCGCGACTGCCACGAAAGAAACGCCCTGCTCACTACATGCCCTGACACAGTGAACTTTGCCCCGGATTTTGTCAGCTGCACCAAGTCCGATAATGAGAATGGCATGCCGGATTTCTTCCCTGCCAACAGCACTCTAGCTCACGTCGCTGACCACATAACCTACATTGGCAACCTCATTGGCTATGACCACGTCGGCTTGGGCAGCGATTTCGACGGCATCGAGTCCACCCCTGAGGGCCTGGACGACGTGTCCAAGTATCCAAACTTATTCGCCGAGCTTCTGGCCCGTGGTGTGTCTGACACAGATGCGGCCAAGATTGCTGGCGGTAACATTCTGCGGGTGTGGAAAGATGTTGAGGAGGTGGCCGCAAAGATGCAAGCAGATGGCGAGCCGGTGCTTGAGGATAAGCTGCCGAGCTTGGGGTTTGGGGCGCTGGCAAGCTATATGTAGTAAGAGTCGATGCGAGACTGCGGGATACGATCAGCACTTTTGGACAGGAGTGGGACGTGTCCCCAATTTGTGAATCCCCGCGGTGATTGATGCGGAGAAACTCGAAGAATTTGAGCTGCAATGTGGTTCACTGGACATTGTGCCAAACTTCACGATCGTGATTGTGTTCTCCCTGATGTATTTCTGGTCAAGGCGCCCGGTCATGGCTCATTCTCTCTATATGTTACACTCTGGGACATTGTTCGTTCGCCCAGATACATGATCATTCATAATACACCAGTGTCCCGGTCTCTGCGGCAACACATGAAGGAGTATTGGCAGTTCGGTGAGCAGCCGAAGCTTTGCCATTGCCACTGATGGCCTGTCCCTCAGCCGGCCCTGCTCGAGCAGCTCTTTTCACCATCAAAGTCCCAAGTCTCGTTGACTGACGAGCTCCCTGGGTATCGATTTGAGCTGCAATCTCCTTGATCCAGTTCAAGTAGTCCGCAGTATCACGGAGCTGCGTGTTCTGCTTGCCCGGCCTAAACGTGTGTTGCTTTCACATTCCCTCAACTCCGAACGCCAACTATCCCTTCCCTTCTTTATCGGCCACCACCCCTGACATGGGGCGGCGGCTTGCCAACATACGTTCCCGTGCGCTCTCCACGCTCCAGGATGTTGAGCTTCCGCGCCGTCTCGATCTGCGTGCGCGTCTTCTGGCCACGGACAGGCAAGTTCATGGCGTGCCGCCTGCCACGGTAGGTGCCCATGTCTCTGAGGCGGCGGATGTTCTCCTGCACGAGGCGCTTGGCGTCGCTCTCGAGCGTCATGTTGGAGAGTTCGGCGGTCAGGGCTTGGACCGTCTTGCCGGAGATGTTCTCGAGCCGGGCGAGCGGGAAGATGCTGTGCTTCGCCATGATGCGCGCGGACGCGGTGGGGCCGAGGCCGTAGAAGGACTCGAGGGCTTTCTAAAAATTTTGGACGAGAAGAGTCAGCGATGGTTCGGTCCGTGGCCGGCGAGGCGCACGCATTCTGCGGTCGCCAAACGTGGTCATGGGTTGGTCGTTGTCGTCGGGCTTGATGGGCATACCTTGACGAACTTGCGCTCGTGGAAGTTGACTCCTAGTATGAACACCTGCGGATACACAATTAGCATTTCGAATATCCTCCGTGGCATACACAATTTCATCCATACCATCTTGGCGGTGTTGTGCCTGTGTCCCGGCTCCGGATGTTCTGCGCTTCTCAAGCCGTCTGCTCACGATGCTGGAGTGACGGACTGTTCGTCAACTTTTGGACCACGCCCGGACCAAGCCTTGACCCTCCTGCACGCCGGTGGGGTGGCTCCAGCACTGATCCCACTATCGATAAACCCGAGAGCTACCCAGTCGTGGCAATCAGGAGGCATGACCCCCGCTTCCCTTGGTCTCTTCCAGCGGCGATTGGCTGGACCCTGCAGGAGAGGTCAAGGTGTCCACCAGTTAACCACTGAAACACATAGCTTGCTGTCCTTTCCCCTCCTATAAGACCCGCTGCCTTTCCCACGCCTCGAGCCTCGAGGGAGCTCTCTCTGAGCCTCACAAACCGTCAATTGAGTTACAAACCACAATTCCATCGCATCACAAGGCAGCCATGTTCAACTTGCGCCGCCTCATCGCCGGCCTCTTGCTGGCCCTGGGAGTCAGCATGCTCTGCTTCTCCCAGGTCGCTGCCGCCACCAAGGGTCCCAAGATCACCCACAAGGTCTACTTCGACATCACCCACGGCGACGAGCCCCTTGGCCGCATCGTCATGGGTCTCTACGGCAAGACCGTCCCCAAGACTGCCGACAACTTCCGCGCCCTGGCTACTGGCGAGAAGGGCTTCGGCTACGAGGGCTCCAGCTTCCACCGCGTCATCAAGCAGTTCATGATCCAGGGTGGTGACTTTACTCGTGGCGATGGCACTGGTGGCAAGTCCAGTATGTTGAGCCTGCTCCAGAATGCGTGTTTCGCTCATTGCGATTCATGAACGACGACAATGGCGAGCTTTTGTTTGCTAACCGGACTTTTCCTCTCTAGTCTACGGCGAGAAGTTCCCCGACGAGAACTTCAAGCTGAAGCACACCAAGCCTGGCTTGCTCTCCATGGCCAACGCCGGCAAGGACACCAACGGCTCCCAGTTCTTCATCACCACCGTCGTCACCTCGTAAGTCAACCCTCATACAAAGCTGCCGTGCTTCCTGAGAACTTTCGCTGATCCGTTTCGAACAGGTGGCTCGATGGCAAGCACGTCGTCTTCGGCGAGATTCTCGAGGGCATGGACATTGTCACCAAGATCGAGAATGTCAAGACCAGCCGTGGCGACAAGCCCGAGGCTGATGTCAAGATCGCCAAGAGTGGAGAGCTGGAGGTTCCCCCCGAAGGTATCCACGTGGAGCTATAGATGCACCAGAGAAGCACATTGCCCCCTTCTTCACGAAGTCTATCCCTTGATCCTCCCCCATTGTCGTCCGTTGCGTACACACACCATTCGTCAAGTCAAAAAAAAGTCGCTATCGTACTGTCACACCTCTGTACTGATTCAGGCTCCCGGATCGTGTCGCTCGCAGAGAAAACAAACCTTTACGGCACCGCTGGCTGGCGGGATGGATTCTCCGATGAGGAGCCCGCCGCCCCTCACATCGTCCCTGCCGAGACTGTTGCTATTGCCTCTTCGTCTGAGGGCTCTTCCGTCATGCAGAAGGCCTTCTTCTTCGCCGCCATTGTTGCCGTCATTGCCATCTTTGTCCGCGTGACCGGACGCGGCAAGTCGTCCGTAGACCAGGGTTACGAGAAGTCCTTGGCCTAGAGGAGATGCAGTCGCTTTCTCGGCGTGGGATGTCACATACGACAATCACGCAGTACATGAAAGCAAAAATAAACCACGATCTTTTATCCACCTCAAGGGCATGACGTACTCTATTCAATTCAGTAACATGTGAACCAACATTGATGCAGTGCCCACCGCCAAAGATGATTTGTGCAGGTCCAGCAGGATTTTACCATGGCCGTTGTTGCGAATCTGCCACTTGATGCCAACTTGGCACGCGATACATTGGACCTACTGTGTTAGTGGTTGCCAAACTGACCAGTCACGACGCCGGACCCATTAAAAATTTGGGAGACGGGCGGCTTCAACACCACGCAAGACGACGAGCCCCACGTTCCCTCACTTTGAAGAATTGATACCATGCATAAACCACGAATCGCACATACCGCCAAACACCAGCAGTATCTATACCCAGGCCCGCAGCAAGCATTCTTTTGATTGGAAAGTCCCGCCCCGAATCGCTTCAGGAAACCCCCGCGGAGTATTCTCAACAATGAAGGTTCTCAGCCTCAACTTCCTCACATGCGCCGTCAAGGCATGCAAGAGCTCATCCGCCTCGTACCCGTTGCACCCCAAGGACGCCGAGCTCGTGCAGGATGACATCGAGATCAACCCCGACTTGCTCGTCAACGTGCTGCCGCGGCTTGACTGGGCTGCCCTGTCGACCACGGCGACAGAGGTGAGTGTACTTTGTTGTCTTTGCTGTCTCGTATTGGGCGTCGCAAGAGTGGTGGTCCTTGGCTGTTGTAGGAACTTGTTTATGCCACCTGAAGTTGTCTTGAGGGGTTTTTGAAAGGGGCTTTTTTTTCTCTCTCTCTCTCGCGGCGAGTCAATCTTCACCACCGGCATTCTTTGCCATTCATACAGTCAAGTGGCATGAACGAAGATGGGAAAGGGAATGAAAAGCATCCAAGGTGCCACCTCCAATGAATATTCTTTTTTTTCGTTCGCTCAAGCCATACACAAACGGACAGCTTCATCTCCCCGCCTCCCCCAAAAGTTTATACGTACGACGCGAACAAGACTCATCTAGACGGACACTAACCAAATCACACAGCTCGGCTTCCCCGCCCTCCCTCCACAACCACCCACAGCAGAGGAGCTCCTCGAAGGGGCTTCAGCCGAGGGCGACGAGGCGCCAGTGTACAGCAAGACGCTGACAGACCTGCACCGCCTGCTCATGGAGACGCAGATGATGGAGGGCAAGCTCGTGTGCGCCAACTGCGGGCACGAGTACGCCGTGCGCGAGGGGATCGCCAATTTCCTGTTGCCCAGCCACTTGGTCTGAGAGTCCTCCCCTCCCTTCCCCCTTCGCTCGGAAAATTTTCACGTCGAAGGGACTGGGTGGTTTTGAAAGCAAGCCGGAAAGCGCGGTGCTTGGAGAGCCGGAGGAGGAGAGGAGTCTGGGGCTTTCAGCAAGACAGAGACCTTTCTGCACCACTTTGATGGTTACTGCCTTGGAAAAAAAAAAGTGCCCATGACAGGAACAGGCGTCAAGGGGCGCCGGCCGGGACTGAAAGGGATGGAGGGACAGGAACAGCATGAGATCTGGAGTTTGTGGAGTATTTGACCTTCTGTTTGACGGCAAGAGGAGCCTTTCCTTGATAGCCAAAGAAGAAAAGCATGAATCCTCGATCTACAACCACCGACTACGAGTAAAAATGGTCAAGTCGTGAGACAGCCCCGGCATCTTGGGCTACTAATCTGCGCGGGAACCTATATTACATTCATCGTGCACCCGCATTGGCCAAGGGCAAAACACATTGTCCATACATATGACTCTCGTCCCTGCTCGCCTGTCGGATGAACCCCACACCCACACACAACTCCTTGATCTACTGCTTCTTCTGCGCCGAGGGACCCATGTCCTTGTCAAAGGCGCCATACGGTACCTTCAGGCTGGCGACAGCGGAGACACCAACAAACAGGATGGAGCCGAGGATGAGGATGACGAAGAAAGCCATAAAGATACCTGTACGGTACGAGTTAGCATAGATTTGCACATCAGCAAGACGCAAACAATCTCGACGTACCAGGCGTGAAGAATTGGTACTTCTCAAACAGAGGCAGGTTCTCGAAGGTCGAGTTCAACTTCCGGGCCGGGTGCTGCACCTGGCGCTTCAGCTCTGTCCGCATGCTGTCGGTAAACTCGGGAGTGTAGCCCTGCGGCTCCTCGGTTCTCGAGCCGGCCGTGTATAGGACAGTGTAGTCGCCGGCCATGTCGTACTGGTCGATGACCATGCCGAAGTTTTTGTCTGACATAGCAAAAGTCAGTTCTGGTTGTCCTTTGCGAGGGGGTGGTCGTGCGCAGGGTGGCTCATACCATTCTCGCCGAGAGTGGCGCTGTTGATGCTGGACAATGCGGTCAAGTGGACCTCGTCGACGAGGACAGGCTTGCCGTCGCATGCCTTGTTGATGTAGTCGTACAGCTGCTTGACGTCAACGGTGCCGGCGACCTCGGCGATGCTGAAGGAGCTCTTCGACTTCTGGAGCGAGCTGTACAGCTTGGGCACAGCCTCGGCGTTTCTCAGATGGCCAGCATTGAGGTTGGGCTGCGTGACGAGCAGATACCGATCCGTTGGACACGAAGAGAGGATGTTCTTGGCGGAGAACACGACCTCGTCGCTCGACTGGAGTTGCCGTGTGCTGTCGGGAGCTGTGAATCTACAAGGAGTCAGCAAGGACTCTCGGTAGGCGCAAATGAGCTGAGCGCCCTGCGCATCCAGAGCAGAGCCAGTAACGCGAATCAAGGGTCGGTGGATGGTGCTCAAGATGGGGTCGTCGCATACTTGGCTGTTGAGAAGAGGATGAATGGCGTCGAGTCGGAGAATGCCTGCGCGGACGCACAGCACGCCGCAAGGGCGGCTGTCACGGAGAAACGCATGACGAATTTGGTCGTAAGCTCTTCGACAATAGGCGTAAATGGGATAGGCGAGCGACGATGGCGACAACGACAGCGAGAAACAGAGGTTGATGGTGGAGAGCTGCAGGTGAATGACCTCAAAGGAGCATTGTGGTACACCCCAGCAGCACGGTGGGTGGTGTAGCTCTGTCCAGGCGCTGCGCGACCAAGGTTACGTCGATGCCTGGTGGAGCATGTCCCAAGCCACGCTGGCACAGTCAGAACTTCCCGTCTACACTCAGTATCGCACTGTACATCCAATTAACCTAGCCTGACCAGATTCTATCATATCCGGCATATGGGAGCCCCTCTGTTTGCATTTCATGTGACCATAATGCACCGGATCCCCCAGCTCGCAATCCTAATCCAGGGATAGGATAAGCTCTGCCATTATTTCAAGTTTGGTCATACGCTGTGAGAGGATCCCACACGCAATTTTCATGATATGGTTCCTAGCCAGCGGGGATGGCTGATAAGGTCGTACAGGATCCCGTCTATTCACTTGCAGCCGTTTACTTGCAATCAGAGAGTATTGCCAATTAGCTTGCGGGTGCTTAGATGGACCCTGATACCAACTATCTGTCACTGTTCAAGAAACTCGACCTGGATCTTCGTGCATGTCAGAGTGGGTCCTCGGACCCCAAATCCACCTAAACACATGCAAGTCGGAGGTCATTGGCGCCGCCAGGGCGCGGAGGCCCAGAGAAATTTCAAAGTCGCAGCTCCCAAGGCCAAAAGACCCTGGCACAAAGAACAACCCCAAACCACCATACATCTATCTGCCTAGCCACAATCTTCGAGCTGTCACCCATCCCACGGCAGACGTTCGACTCGACAGAAAAGCAATACTCTTGAGGCCTCCGACACTTTTTCTTTTGTCGTCCAGGACCAAGCTCCCCACACCGAGGCACACAAGAGCCGCATCACAATGACGATGCTCGGCAACCGCCCGAGAGTCAAGAAGAGCACGTTCGTGCCGCCACCCAAGAAGCGCAAGGCGACACACTCGCTCGAGGAGATCAAGTTTGACTTTGACGCGCGGTCCGAGTATCTCACGGGTTTCCACAAGCGCAAGCTCCAGCGGGTCAAAAACGCCCAGGAAGAAGCGGCCAAGAGAGCACGCCAAGAGAAGATTGAGCTGAGAAAGCAGGTACGTAGCTTTTCAGGCAGTATTCTGGCCTTCCAGCAGCAGTGTGCATGGTCTGCCTTGGTCAATACTAGTCACTAACTGACCCCTTCTCCTGTTGTGCAGCTACGGGATGATCGCAAGCGCGAAGTCGAAGAACACGTCTCCAGCGTCAAGACAATTCTGAGAGAAGCAGAGCGTGCGGGCAACCTCGACGCTGAGGATGGCACAGACTCAGAGGACGCTGGCGACGACGAAGGCGAGGGCAAGGAAGCTTGGGGCGGCTTTGAAGACCCAGTCACGACTACGACCGACATAATCGACCAGGAGGATGAGTACATAGACGAGGATCGATACACCACAGTGACAGTCGAATCCGTTACGGTATCAAAGGATGGCTTGAACAAGCCGGCACCAGAAGAAGACTCGGACGAAGAAAAGGCCAAGAGGATACAAGAGGCCGCCCGCACAAACGAGACGAAGGGGAAGGCGCGGCCGCCGAAGAAGAAAAAGCCAAAGTTCCGATATGAGACCAAGATAGAGAGGCAGATCAGTCGGCGGAAACAGAGCGCCAAGAAACGTGGCAAGGCAGAAAAGTAACACAACTGCCACCCTCATTAATAAACGAGCCCCTGGCTGGCGAGCAAGGGCATCCACAACGAAACCCTTCAAGCAACTGACCGCTCTTCGCCCATCACGAAGCACTGACCACGACACGCTGTAGCAATTGTCCCGCCGTGTATGTTCGAATGAATGAGATTTGTTCCTAATTAGACCCATCGAAAAGCTGCCCTTGGTACTAGTCCTCACTTCACAACTTGCTACTTTCAAGGTGGCTGTGGTAGAATAGCGTCGCGCTGCGTCGATAATTCGTGAGATGGCGCTGATCGTCGCAGGTATGGCCTTGCTCCATCGTCGCTGGCACCTTAGATACCCGCGATCTCGTTCTGCAGGTCCTCCAGCTCCTTCTGCAAAGACAGGTGCTTCTTGCTCATCTCCTCGTACTTGGTCTCCCACTGGTCGCGCTCGCTCTCCAAGGCCTGGACCTTGCGCTCGAAGTGACCGGCTTTTACGTCAGTTTGGCGAAGCCTGGTGGCCAGTTAGCATCAGGGTCATGCTGCCACATTGTGGCGATTGACAGGGTGGCGGTCTGCACTTACTTCTCATTGGTTTCACGAAGAGTCTTGTCCGCCTCCTCAGCCTCTTCCTCGAGGAGCTGGAGTCTTCGTTGCAAGGTCTCGTTGTGCGTACCATGTTGCTCGCCATCAGTGGCAGCCTTCTTGAGCTCCCTCACACTGGCATCCAGCTTCTCGTTCTCCGCCTCGAGGACACCATTCTTGTGCGTGAGAGAGGTGATCTCCTGCTCCTTGGCGAGGTTCTCTTGCTCGAGAGCCTTGACCTTGTTCTGAAGCTCCTCGACCTTGTTGGCAGCGTCGTCGGCCTCGACGCGAAGCTGGTTCATTCTCTGTGGATGGCGGCATGGTCAGCAACAATTTGAGGCGAAAATCACATGAAGAATCGCGGTTCTGAACTCCCGAAACCGAGAAAGCCCGTCCAGCTATTTCTGATGCGATGGTGCTGGGACTTTTGTTGCTGGGAGCCAGCATGGTGGGGTAGGAAATAAGGGTTGCCTGTCGGGTGACTGACCTCTCTGATGCGGTCCATGATGAAGGGATGTAGCGGAGTCGACGATTTACAAAGGCGTAGTTGTTGAAAGAAGAGTTGTCAAGGAGGGCCTGATGACGGCTGGATATGCTGAGCGTGAAATGGGAGAGTGTCGACAACGAAGCAGAGGAAAGTGGAAAGGAGCGAAAGGGGCAAGCTGGTGATGGTGCTGTGGTGGCAGCTCCGCAGGCGGGTCCTGACTGCACTGGCAGTCCACGCAACGCCCGCAGCATCAGCAAGCCTTGGGCTCACACTCAGGCCCCAGCCCAGGGTTGGTTGGAGCTGCCATTGCGTGGAACTTCAAAGCCCAGGCAGGGCAGGGCCCGCCCACCTACCCCTCCGTCCCAAACCGGTCTAGTGCTTGTGACCATCTCAACGCTTAGAACCTTACAGGCAACCGGTTTGCAGGTCTCTGTTTGCTGTCGCAACGGCCACACGGGCAACGGATGTCTGCCAAATGCCACTTCCGCGTTCGCAGGCAAGCACCACCGCACTGCGCGTCGCGGGCCAGATAAGCACCTGGCCGCCCTGCAAGATTGATTGTGTTTGCTAGCTTATGTGAACGGGCGCATACCTGGGTAGTGGTGACTGGCGATCCTCAAGGCTCAGAGTGGCGCTTCTTCACGTTAGGCGGTAGGTTGGCTGAAACTTGCAGGTACAAGACACAATCACTAGACAAGAGTTGTGCCGTGATAATCGAAGCAGGCCGGCCTTGAAGTTGACCTACTTGTGGGCAACCTCGATATCACTGCTTTGTTAAAGCATCCCCGAGGCCATCGCGAGCAGCGGAAGAGTGGATCCACATGCATCACCGAAAGTCCATCGTTGCTCGGTCAACAGGACCTTGACCGGGGACGAGATGAGCTCACCTGGAGCCATCCATGGCCTGGCTCGAGCATGACTCCATCCAATTCATGCCTCGCCATCAGGCTTTGACCACACGAAGGACACCATACCTCTAATTAGCCGGTCGTTCTGTGCAATCACGCGAGCCCACCCCTAATCAACAGTCACTGCCGCGCATTTCTCCGCAAAACAAAACAAGACACCTGGGGGCCGCATGCGCCAGAGTACTGAAAGACGACATCTGAGCGCTGGCCATCTCTCCTATCCAGCCTACAGCCGCAAAGTACATCACTCACTACGGGCCCTCGTATCAGTTCTGCGCCCCATCTATTGTTGAAAATTTCGCCAATCCAGTTCAACGCCAATCACAATGTTTGCGGCACGGGACCAAGAGAATCTCGCCTTCCACCGGCAGAACAATGCCGCCATGAAGCAGCTCCAGAAGACGCCCGGTGCCCAATATCCCAAGACACCGATCAGAGTCCCTCTGAACGACGAGAATGCTGCCCACGCCATTAAGGGTGCTAAGAGCATCGCTGGTCCGCGCAATGGCAACGAGAATGTCCTGACCTCCAAGGCCAACAAGGGTCTTAACAAGTCGCAATTCATGACACCCATGGGTAAGCAAGCTCGACATCCTGACCCCCAAAGGGATCATACACTGACAGGTCGGCAGAGCCTCGCTCACGAGCTGTCCTTGGCGACAAGACGACAAACGCCAAAGCGAAGGGCTTGCAGTCCGTGAACGTCAAGGGCGCTGTCCGCCAAATCGAACAGACTGCTTCAAAACCCCCGGCTACAGCGCGACCTAAGCAGAAGCAGCCCCAGGCTGAGACACAGAGGCTCCAGGTCCACACTGAAGCAGATGATCCGCTTAGTGAGGACGAACCCGAGTACTGCCCGCCGAGGCCTGTAGACCTTCCGTACGAATCCGATGTGTTTCCGGACGGAGTCCTCACCTTTGAGGCCCTCAAGCCAGAGAACATGTTCAAAGGTTACTATCAGCACTACTTCAATCCTATCGGTGAAGATGGTATTTCATTATCCGACAAACGCCTGGCCGAGAGCACGAGGAGGGCGCTCGAGGAGGGAGAGAAACGGATCATAGACGATATGGACAGCTTTGAGTGGGCCACAGAGAGAGAACTTCGCGAGGACGATGCAGCCTCCCGAGCAACGGTGGTAAAGTCGCCAATCCCCAAAGCTGGGCCGGTCAAGCGAGTCACCACAAGGGGCCCTGCCTTGCGCGAATCGGCCTCAAACACGATGGCAAGGAGAGCAGCGTCCTCACTGTCAATCGATGATGCCACAAAATCGCTGCAGCGTCGTACAGCCGTCCCAGTCAAGCAGGCCACTGTTGCCCCTAAACGGACGGGCTTTGTCATCCCGCGATTGGCTTCCACAAAAGCCGTTACCGCCAAGCCGGTCACCGCGGCATCGAGGACGACTTTGGAGCGGAAAGGCATTGAGGCAGCATCACGATGTACTATCGGTTTCAACAAGGGGAGGACTACGGCATCCATGCTCAATCGTGGTCCAGCACCTCCTATCAGCACCAGGCCACGTGCTCCCATTGCTCGTGTCGGCTCCGCAGTCTCTCGTGACTCCGACAAGACCGTGACGCCAGCCCGCTTTGCTAAACTCAATTCTGCCAGCGCAGCTGCCAGCGCTGCAGCCGTAGAGGATGCAGAGTGGAAGGAGCGCGTCCCGTTCTTGTCAATCTTTGCGCACGACGACGACGGGGTCGATGACGACTTTGACTTGCTCGGAGGCCAGCCGATGCCGACCTTGGACGCCTCTGATGACGAGGACTTTGAGATCAGGATTCTGGAGTGATTGTAGGACATCTGGAATCAACACGTTTTCTTGGCGTTTATGGGCAGGCCGATGATTTGGGACACGAGGAGACAAACGAAGTTATTGGTGCACGGCCTGGTGATGATTATGCCTGTGCAATACAATCATAGGTAGCACTTCTGAGCATGCGATAAATGGGCTCTTACAGGAATTACTAGTCACTGAACCATCCGGGCCGGAGACGAGACTGCAACAGTGTAAGGCGCTGCGAGACGTGCATTGCACGGGAAACAGGACGGGCAGCTGCTGTGGAATGGTTTCTGCGCGGCAGGAACATTCTTTGTGCTTGGTGCTAATAAAGAACTGTTGGCGGCGCTTTGAACAACAGATGGCCAGCGGGATTCTCGTCACGTCTCACCGCAGTTGCAGTCAAAGACGTGCAAACACCCTTTGTTTGGTGCCAGATAAAGAACTGGCTCCAGACCAACAGCCATCCATGTACCATACCAGGCAAGCATTCATGCGCACCCGGTGAAGTCCAAGTCTTACGGCAGGGTCTCCATGTGCACGTGAGTAAGAGTTGCATGTGTCTCGTAACTGGTAAATTGTTTATTAAGAGCGAGAGCTCCCCAATTCCCAAAGTCTGATGGATGTGGCTCAGCCAACAGGGACGATCAGCCTCGTGGGTAAGTAGTGAGATTGTGGCGCACCCCCGGAGCTTCCTCCCAGAGCGCTGGCAAGGGAAAGGTGGAAAGTTCTTTGGGCTCCACCAGCCAACTTTCGCGCTCGAGCAAGCGCCTGGATCCCTGGCCCAACCTGGCTAACTTTCCGATCCTCTGTCGGTAGTGGGCTTTGGTCGTGACCTTGCGCATCCTCACCCTTCAATTCGTGCCAACACCACCATCGTCTTCGCAGAACGACCATTGCCGGTCCCGGCCTCGCCTCCTGCCTCACAGGCGCTCCCGACGTTGCAGTTTTCCTCATCCCGAGTCTGCTCGCGACTGCCCGACCTGCTTGCAACCTGCGCGGTGTGACGTATTCTCCACACGCTCCAGCCTCCTGTCGCGTGGCCGCTCTCCTTTCGCGTTGGCGATTCCCTCCATTGCCATCGCCATCAGCATCCACCTTGCGCCACCACACCGCGCGTTGCCCTTGTGTTCACGCTGCATCGTGTTGCGGGGACCTGACTGCCCAGCGCTTACGCCTATGCACACTCTCGACGTCGTCGCCTGCCCATGAGAATGATGGTCAGCGGATAGGACCAAGTCCCGTTCACGACCTGATAGCCTCCGGCCATGGCTCCGAGCGCAGGCTTCAACGAGTATTTCCCCAATGCTCCTCGCTCATCTAGAGATCGCGCACACGAGCGCGACCGCGATCGGCTCAGCACAGAGGGCTCCAGGACAGCCACCCCGTCCCGCGATACAAATCCTCACAAACCCGAGTCGTTCGTGACGAATCCTGATGCATCGCAACCACCCCTCGATGATGCCGAAATCGTACCCGGGGACATTCTGAACGCTCTTGGGTCTACCAGCTCTCACGAGAGCACAACTTCCTCCATCTTCAGCACACACAATAATAATAATACCTCTCTTGCCGCCGCCACTGGAGTGCCTGCTCCGAATAGCGCACTCACTCCACTGACCAACATCGGATCGCCGATATCCTCATCTCGTCCTACACACCATAGGCGCGACGCAGAAGCATCGACCTCCGTGGGCGCAATGCTGTCCCCGCTGACGGGGACTGAGCGCCCGCCAGCTCGTGATCCTGCCCGCCACGTGCTTGGCCAGAGATTGATTCACGACCATCCTTCCGACAAATCCATGTCGTCGACCGATCGAAAGAACGTCAAGCCCAGATACAAAGAGTTCGGTGCGGTATGTACACAATACAGTAATCCTTGTTGGTGGGGGTGGGAGCGTCATCTTTATATCTTGCAAATTGAACCGAGGAAAAATGCATATGGCTAATACTATTTTGCTGAACAGAAAGATGACGCTCCCCCCTCAGATCCCCGACTCAGGAATGGTCGGACACGGATCGAATACATCAATGTCGACTTCAACATGCCCAAGTCCAGGCTGCGACAGACTCCCTACAACATCAGGCCGTACCAGTATGATCCCGCGACTTCGATAGGCCCTGGGCCGCCAACGCAGATTGTGGTGAGCGGCTTCAACCCTCTGCTGGCATTCTCCAAAGTCACAAACACGTTCGCCTCGTTTGGTGAGATCGCCGAAAGCAGCAACAAGATGCACCCCAACACTGGTAGCTACCTGGGCTTTGCGACTTTCCGCTATCGGGATTCCAAGCGGCGGACGCCGTTCGTGTCTGCCATAGATGCAGCAAAGAAGGCCGTTCGCTGCATGCATGGCCAGCGTTTTGAGGCGAAGCAGATTGTGGTTCAGTTCGATCGCGATGGCAGGCGCAGCCGACAGATGCTTGAGAATGTCCTGCAGAGGGAGGAGGAAGCGGAACGGGCCAGGGCACCATCTGTGGTCCCGCCACCTACCAATGCCATTCCCACGGGACCCAGATCAAGAGCTGCGGATGCTACTGGCCGCGGGTTCTTCCTTTCACCCAAAGGACCTGCCGCTGATCGATCAGCTTCGACAAGTAGCGAACCAACCCGAGCATTTCCGACGAAACCCAAGGGCTATTCGACGATTGAGCCGGTCGTGATTGCGACTATTCTCAAGAGCGAACCTTACATTTTCATAGCGGATGCGAGCGTGCCAGTCATGCCAGCAACGATTCCGCACATGAAGAAGAGGTTAAAGTCGTTCCAGTTCGACGACATCCGTGCCGACCGCACCGGATACTACATCATCTTTCCCGATACGTCATACGGCAGGGATGAAGCTTTCAGGTGCTACCGGTCAGCCAATGCAAGCTCGTTCTTCACATATACTATGGCCATGACGCTGGTTCCCGGCGCAAAGGCGGACAGGCCCGCGGAGGCGGACAAGACGGCTCCTCATCCGCCCGAGCGGGAGAGCGGGCCGGCAGTGGGGAGTCGGACGCGTGATGATCAGCAGAAACGCCAGAACGAACGACGCAGGGACGAAGAAGCTGTGCTGGAGGAAGAGAAGAAGCAGCGTGCCAAGAACTTTGACCCTGTGATGGAGGCTGTCGAGGCTATTCGTCGGGAGATGACAGAGCACCTCATCAGCCACATTCGGACCAAGGTAGCTGTTCCGGTTCTTTTTGACTACTTGGACCCAGCAAACCATGTCGCGAAGCGGCGGAAGCTGAATCTGGAGAGCACAACCATTTCTTCACGCTTATCCAAGACGATTGAGGACCGCGAGATCACGCCTGTCAGCACCCCGAATTCTAGAGCGGATCCTATTGAGCGGCGTACTGCACGCCTCGAGGTGGCTGCTCTACCACGAATACGGAAAGCAAAGGGTCAAAATGTCACGCAGCGCAATGCTTTCACTGATCCATTTGCACGCAAACGAACAGCCACTGGTCGCAACGCCTTCCGCTCGCTACACTACCGCTTGCAATCACCTGACAGCGATGAGGAGTCTGACAACGAGGCGGCGAATCGGGGTTCGATGGTGCGGGACACCGAAGAGCCCGAATCGCGACCACGCAGTCGTATGAGCACAGATGAGGATGCCTTTGATGATGCCTTTGGAGACGAGGACTCTACAACCGAGGCTGGCTTTGCGACTCCGGACCGTTTTGGTCGGACCAAGAAGCGGAAACTTGATCTTCAAGTTGAAGCAGCGATCAAGAGACAGAAGAAGTCGGATGAAGAGCTCTTTGGTGTCACCATCGATACTCTTGAGCACGAACTCCCTAGTCCTGTTGAAAGCACAGCGGTCCCATCCCTGAATGTACAAGATGAGAGAACACCCGAGCCAACTCAATTGCCGACGCCGACCGAAAAATCGTCAAAGCTGAAGAAGAAGGCCGTCCCCGCAAAGCCGAAGAAGAAAACCAAGAAGCAGATTTTGGAAGAGGAGGAGCTGCAAAAAGAACAGCAGCGCCAAGAACAACAGCAAGAAACTCCTGCAGAGGAGTTGCCTGAGCGTGTAGGCGAGAAGCCCGAAATCGAAGATGACGAGGACAGCAAGGCGGAGCGCACACCTGCGCCTCAGGCAGAGCCTGTGCAAGCTGATGATCGATTCTCCGACAAGGTGGAAGCTGCATGGTCCTTACCAAAGCACTGGCGACTTAATATCAAGACTCTCAACGACCTGCCACTCAGTCCACAAGACCTTCCCAATCTCGAGAGGCTCAAGAAGAAGTTCAAGGTCGGAGAGATTGGTGACCCCAGGCTTTGGGCATGGAAGCATAGCCGCATACACGATCTCAATGCCATGGACTCTGACGCTGATGCGCCTTTGAGCATCGAGGGCTACTATGTGCCAAACCCGACTGGCTGCGCACGGACGGAAGGCGTCAAGAAGATACTCAACTCTGAGAAATCTAAATACCTGCCACATCATCTCAAGGTGCAGAAGGCGCGGGAGGAGCGGCAGCTCAAGGCAGCTCGGAAGGATGGCAAAGACCCCGTCACCTCGGCCACAGAGGCCGCACGTCTGGCAGCCGAAAAGCTGGTGGCCAAGGGTAACTCGAGAGCGAATCGTGTCAACAACCGTCGGTTCGTGGCCGACCTCAACGACCAGAAGAAGACCCTGGGGCAGGACTCGGATGTGCTTCGCTTCAACCAACTGAAGAAGCGCAAGAAGCCGGTCAAGTTTGCCCGATCCGCCATCCACAACTGGGGTTTGTATGCCATGGAGAACATCAACAAGGACGACATGATCATCGAGTATGTCGGCGAGGAGGTCCGCCAGCAAATCGCCGAGCTCCGCGAGAACCGATACCTCAAGAGCGGCATCGGCAGCAGTTACCTCTTCCGCATCGACGAGAACACGGTTATTGACGCGACCAAGAAAGGCGGCATTGCGCGCTTCATCAACCACAGCTGCATGCCAAACTGCACGGCCAAGATTATCAAGGTGGAGTCCACCAAGCGCATCGTCATCTATGCGTTGAGGGATATCGCTCAGAGTAAGTTTTTCTCCCCTGGTTGAAGTTGACCTCGCGATCATGAATCTCGCAAGCTAACAATCTGGGGCAGACGAGGAGTTGACCTACGACTACAAGTTTGAGCGCGAGATTGGCAGTCTCGACCGTATTCCTTGCCTTTGCGGCACCGCTGCCTGCAAGGGTTTCCTCAACTAAGATGACGAGTGCGCACATACTTCTTTGGTGGATAGACACATTGATTAGACAATTTTCTCCGTGCAGGCAACGAAGACGCAGGAAGCCTCGTTATGCCTCCCATGGTTTTTTGGATCACGTATAGCGTCGTGTCCGTAGAGGGGTGTTGTCCTTGCTGCAGGAGGAGGAAAGTAATGATTACGCCAGCGCAAAGATAGAGAGGCCTGTGTATTACCAAGATTCATAACAAATGCCAAAAAAAAACAGAGCGAACCCGCAACGGAGCAAGTTGCGGCTGACAGAACATTTCACACAATCTGCCTCCGTATTCATGGGTGATGCATTTGCTCAGTATGACTGTGGTGATTAATATAACCAGTCATTGTAAAGTTGTGCAGGTCTAGCTTGTACGTCGGCCATATCACCCAAAATACATGTTTGCATTCAGTGCAGCCAACATATCTGTGTGCACTCAATGTGAGATATATGTTCCTTGGTAGATTAAACCAGATGATTTTCCCCGTTTGATCCCAAGCTTTAGAACGCCATTCTGACCAAAAATAGAATAAAAAGAAAAGCGTGCAACACATGAAAATGCCTGATGATTTATGGAAGACCACCAAAAACCCAGCGAACCGCCACGTCAGACAACTTTGAAAAAGGCATTCGAGATTTCCACACCACCTCCCCCATCCCCTTTCCCCCAGATATTCATTTATTTGTTTGTTTTGATTTTTATAATGTTAATGATGAGCGTCTGGGAGTCTCTCGATGACGTATTTTCCTCTGGCGACGTTCATGATGGGCACACCGGGGACTTTGCGTATGCGCCTGCAGAGGTCTTTGTCGTTTGTGGCGACGCTGGGAAACGGGTAAAAGTCATACATGGTTAGTCTGTTCGTTCCCATTTGTGTGTGTGTGTGTGTAACACGTATTCTTTTGGTGATTTGAAAAGAACCAAGGGGAGGGGTGAGTGATGGTGGCGGGAGAAGGCAGGAAGGAAGGAAATCTCACATGTACACGCGGTGCTTGACGACGCGGTCTACGATGCAGTCATCCGCGTAGACGCCCTTGTGGTCGCACTTGACCCTGGTCCAGCGCTCATCCCTGGCTATCCGCAGGGCGATGCGGTATTTGGGGCCCAGCTTCTCGAGCTCGGCCATGACGCAGTCGGTGATGATGGGGTTGCACTTGGCGTACAGGCAGTCCATCATGGACTCGAGCAGGGGCAGCTTGCGCTGGACCGTGTGCGAGAGGAAGTTTGTGTCGACGAGGACCGAGTACGGCGGCTTGAGGGCCTCGTTGTGCTGGAAGAACATGGACGTCGGGGCCTGGGGGATCTCGCGGATGATGTCGGGCGCGGCCTGCTTGGCCTTGACGGCGTTGGCGGCGTCGGCCTTGCCCGCGTTCTCCTTGAGCCGGTTGTCGCGCTTCGAGATGATGCGCTTGACCTGCCCGAACTTTCTCGTGCGCTTCGCTACACCCATCTTGGGCGGGGGTTCTGTAGAGGCGGCTGTGTTTTGACTTGCGGCGGCGGTGGCAGGCAGGCAGGCGGGCGGCGCGCAGGTGGTCTCGAGGTGGTTCGCAGAAAAGAGGCCGTCCGGTCGGTCGGTCGGCAGAGGGCGGGTTTCTGTTGTAGTTTTTTATCACGCGGCTAGGGGGTGTCCCGGAATGTCGTCGCAAGCCTCACGGATTGTCGAGAGCGAGGTCTGCCGGCGGGGATATCGTCAATTAGGAATTGCGCGAGAGGAAGCTGTCGTGGTGGGCTGTTTTCCAGAGCGAGCGCCGTCGCCGATTGAGAGACGGAGCATGAGCATGCTCGGAGGAGGGTCAGGAAATTTTAGTGGGGCGCCGGGCAGGATAAGGGGGCGATAAGGAACGTTCAGCTGGGCTCTACGGTGTGCAGACACTGTGCTGGGGAGAGCGGGGCACTGTATCCAGCTGCGAGGAAACATGGAGGGAAGACGCTAAAAATGTGCCTAGAAGTGGCCCCAGGGGACCACCTGGGCCCCAGAACTGCACTCAGGGTGCCCTGACGCTCAGGCCGGCGGGCCACGGGCGCATTAGCTTGCAGCAGGCTGTTCGCGGCTGAGCTGTGGGTGGGACAGTTTGTGATTGCGTCGCGACAGTTGTGCGGCGCGCACGAAACGGGCAGAGATGAGACGAGACGAGACGAGATGCGAGCGGCGAGGGCTACAGTAATCCGTACATGACGTTGATGGTCACGTTACCTGCCAGGCACAGGACTTTTGCTCTGCCTGCGCATGGAATGCAGCAGCACGCATCCGCATAATTAGGCATAGGCACAGGCATAGGGGGGGGTGGCGCCCCGTTATTACGAGATGACGCACGGTTGGCATGCCGGGCGCCAGCACTGTACAGCCTGGTGTGGGCGGGCGCGGCAGAGACAGTGCGATTGGCCGTGCGCGGCAGGCTCGAGGCGTGGGTGCCCCTGCTGGCGATCTGCTCAGCCAGGCGAGAAAACACGAACGCAGCCAACGGGGGGCGACGCACCCGCCTTGGCCTGCCACGCTTGTCTCTGCTCTCGCCCTTGGTGTCCTCGTCCTCCTCTGTGGCCTCCGTCAATCAATCACTCAATTCACTCGCTCTTTTCGTCCTCCACGCCCAACGACTGTCGCCAACTCGATCGACCCGCGCTCCTCGCTCGCTCGTGCGCCTCTCATCTTGTCTTGTCCTGCCCTTGTCCCGGCCCGACGACAACTTCTCCTTTTCCTCCGCCTCGCCCACATTCCTTCTCGACACTCACGCACGCACGCACGCGCCCGGCTGCCCACATCAGAGAACCCCCCCTTTCCTTCGTCCACCCGCCCGGCGCTCTGCCGTGTCACAGCCATGGCTCCCAAGCAGCTCTCAATCAAGCGCACAATGCTGCTCTCCTGCAGCGCCCTCGTCCTCCTCGCGTCCCTCGCCGCCGCCCAGAACAACAACAACCCCAGCCCGACCAACGCCGCGCCCACAACCGGCAACACTGGCACGCCCTCAGGCTCGCCAACCGGCGGCGTCACCAACACAAACACCAACACCCGCACCACGAGCACCGCGCGCCCGACAGAGACTGTCCCCAACCTCAGCCAGGCCACACAGATCTCCTCGAGCAAGACCAGCGCCGCCTCGTCCCCTTCTGCTCCCGCTGGCAACAACGGCGACCACCCCCCGCCGCTGCCTACCCTGCCAGGCTCGTACAACTACCCGCCGCCCGCCGTCCCCCCGACCAACAACGCCCCGTACATGAAGCCCAACTCGGTCCCCGAGGGCACCTTCTTCATTGCCGTCGGTGCCATCCTCGGCGCTGTCGGTGCCGCCATTCTTGTCTGGCGTGCCATCATTGCCTGCCTCCTCCACCGCTCTGTCAAGAAGGCCGCTCTCGCCCAGACGGCCATCAACGACAAGGCCACCTTCCCAGCGCCGCCTGCGCCTTTCTACAAGTACACCGACCACGAGTCTTCACTGTCCCTCGGCCAGGCAGGTGCTGCAGGCCGTGGTGTCCGCCGCACCCAGCGTGGTCCTGTCCCGTCCTCGACTCCCAGCCAGGCCAACCTCTTCTTCTCCCCGACGGCCCCCGGAGCCAACATGAACGGCAACCGCGAATCCCGCTTCTTGCCTTCGGGCTTCTACGCTGCTGGTTCCGGTGCCCAGCAGATCGGCACGCAAACTTCCATCAGTCTCTCCAACTTGCGGCCCGATTCTCGCGGCCACGCTCGTGCCGTTGGCCACAGCCCGCCTGAGTCCCCCGGTCTTATGCCACACCATGCCAACAACTCGAGAAGAAACCTCAGCACAAGTACTCTCAACCTGAACCGGCCAGTCAGCGGTCGTGCGCCTAGTGCCTACCTGGAGGATCTGCTGGATGACCAGCCAGAGCAGTTCCCTCCTCCCCACATTGGCCAACAACAACCAGGCCGCCTACAGTAGAGGCCGAGACTCAAGTCATAATCATGGTCTGGCAGCCAGGGGCGTCGACATGAGTATCATATCATATGCATTTTAATTTTCCACTACCATTATCGACATGACGGTACATTACCTCTTCTCAGTCACTCTTTTTTGGACGACGTGCCCTCGGCATTCCGGTTACTGTGGTCAGGCAAGGTAACTTCGGACTTTACAGACATCGCGAGCAAAAAGTATGGTGGTTTTCGTGCAGAAGGGACGGCGTTCAAGGCGAATCCAAAGGAGGGTTTTTTTTCTTTTTTCTTCCCCCTCCAGTGTGACATCGGACAGCCCCTACAACGGAGGACATCTGGCCCGGCTTTCCAGCTTTGCATATATAATTTCTTTTCAGCGGTAGACTCTCAATTACACACCGACAATTCTCTCTGGCATATATACGTATATGTTTACCTACTAGTTTCGCATGCACGATTTGTGAGAACCACTGTGTAGACCGATTCCGCCCTTCTTAATTCCTAGTTCGCAAGCCCTGAGCAGACAATGTTTCATCAAGTCATAAGGAAGGTTAGGCAAATTGAGAGGGCCGTGCTTGCTGCGTCTCCTGCGTACAATGCATGCCGCGCATGCATGTTGCATGTGCATATGCGTGTGTGTGTGTACGTGTTCCGCCCTATGGCAAAAAGTCGTGGCGATATCATCATGCAGAACCTTGTCCTTTTGAAACCATCTGATGCCAGAGGTCGAGAGGCGATAAAAGCTGCCAGGCACACACAGACACAGACACACGCACACGCACTCGCTCTATATATATATATATATATATGTATATACATATCTTTCTCTACATCTCTACATCCATCCAACAGACACACTCCCCCCCACACGCCAGCCCAGAAGCCCAACCTTCACGGCGGGCGCATTCATAAACGTCTTAAAGGACAGACCACCAAAAAAAAAGTAATGTGAATTTGTTATATAAAAGAGGAAAACCCGCCCCTGATTTCTAGAGATGAACTCTGAACCCCCCGCCCTTGTACTATTCCTCTCCCTCTCCTTGTATTGTAGATTTCTTTATTCTACTTCACTTGGATTTTTTTTTAATTGGAATAAAATGCCTTTGATAACCTGACTGGGCCACATTCTTCTACCTGAAAGGGCCGGCTGCAGCGCCAGGTGATGCGATTGACATGTGGAATTTCCCCAGACATAACATGCGATAAAAAAGACAATGTAGCAAGTAAAACGCAGATTGGTGAACTCCAACTTTTTGCTTGGCCAAGAATTCCGCTATGTTCATGCAATGTCCTGTATGTACTTTTTGTTTGGAAAAAAAATCGCAATCAGTAGATGATCTGTGTATATATTCCCCCGTTTTTGATTTCTTTTGGTGCCCTCTTCGAGAGGTAAGCTAGATGATTAAATGTGACAATATGATGTGCGTAATCAAAGGCTAAAATGATCATGAATGGATGCTACCGCCGCCGGACCAACCGAGTCTGACGAACTGCCCCCCCCCCCCCCCCCATCCTCTACTGCTTCTCAGAGATCTCGAGAGCTTGTTTCTCCTCGTCCACAACCGCACCACTGGTCATGGCAGCGTCACCAGCACCGACGGCCAAAGCAGCGGACGCGTTCATAATGTCTTCCGCCCGGATCCCGCTGCGGTCGCACATGCTCCTGAATATGCCGCCCTGCTTCCACAGGTTGATTGGCTCGTCCATTTCGGCAATCTGCCCGGCGTCCATCACGCAGATCCGGTCGTACCCGATGATCGTGCGGAGCCGGTGGGCGATGCACAGCAGTGTCTTGCCTCGGAATCCAGTCGCCATGGTGGCCTGGATCTTTTCATCCGTCTCCATGTCCACTGATGAGGTCGCCTCGTCGCAGATGATGATCTGGCTTCCACGCACGAGCGCGCGAGCCAGAGCCATCATTTGTCGCTGGCCAAGGGAGAAGTTGAGCCCGTCTTCCTCGACTTGGCTGTCCAGGTGAATCCTGGATGGGTCCTTGTCGTCGATGTTGGCGTCCGCGGGGACTAAGTCGGACTGGCGGAGGGCTGACCACAGCGCGAGGTCTGTGTGCTCGTTGAACGGATCGAGGTTGCTGCGAACAGTGCCGCGGAATAGCGTAGGGTCCTGCGGGATAATGGCCAGGCGGGATCGCAGGTCGTGGAGACCAAGAGTGGAGATGTCGAGTCCGTCGATGGTGATGTGGCCTCCCGAGATCTCAACCAGTCGAAACAATGTCGACATGATGGAGCTCTTGCCAGCACCCGTGCGACCAACGATACCAATGCGCTCGCCGCCCTTGATGTGCATCGTCAAGCCCTGCAGGACCAGGGGGAGTCCAGCTCGGTACCGCATTTCGACATTGTCAAAGACAATCTCACCCTTCTCGGGCCACGAGGGCCGGACCTCGACAGTGTGCTCAGGTGCCTCCTCCTCCAGCGAATTGCCATAGTAGAGGATGCGCTCGACAGCGTTCATGCCGTTCTCGACTTCAGCCAGCTGCCGCACCGTGAATTGGATCATCTGCACAATGGCCAAGATGTAACTCAGCACCAGACCACCGATAGAAGGATCGACGCTGAATCTCGAGTTTACGACAAGAATCGCCGTGGTGAAGACAAGAAGGTTACCAATCAGATCGAGGCGCATCGACAGCCAGCGTTGGTTGCTGAATGTCAAGTAGTATGCAGCGTTCATCTCGTCAATGGCGACCCGAAGATCATCCACAAACTTGTCCTTCAGACCGTACGCTCGAATAGAGGCAACTCCATTGAGACCCTCGGCAAACTTGGCAAAGACAACGGATCTAAGGACGGACTCGAAGCGCTTCACTTCGCGAGCGGAGGACCGGTAGTAGGATGAAGCCAGAAGGAAGATGATCACCAAGGGAACTAGCGCCACAGTGAACCAGTGGAAGAAGGCGATGATGAGTGCAAAGACGGAAATGATCATGGCCAGCGTAAAGAAGTACATGCGCATGGCATCCGTCAGGTTGTTGTCCATGACATCAACGTCCCTCGAGAAGCGGTTCGTGATACGCCCAAGTGGTGTGGTATCGAAGAACGACATTGGTGCCCGCAGCGTCCTTTGCACAGCCTTGCCGAGAAGTGTCCTGCTCGCTCTTGTGCCAAGCATGGTGAGGTAGATTGAGAAGCAGAACATCAGTAAGCACTGGATCGTGCCGAGCGCGACGTAGCCTGCAATGTAAATGTTTTCCTCGAACCCAAACTTGTTCGAGGTCCAGTATGAGAGCCACAGACTTGTGACAATGTTGGCGCCTTGGGAGAGAATGAGGACCAGGAGGGTCATGGGAGCGTTGAGCAGAGTACCAGACGCCCGGACATAGGCTCTGTAAGTCGACCATGGAACACTTGCGACTGCACGTTCCTCGGCCTGCATAAGGCCAGGGGTGCGCTTCTTCTTGGCCTTGGGCTTGTCGTCACTCTGGGGTTTCTCCACGGCAGCATCCTCTTTCTCCTCCTCCTTCTCGACAGCAGTCGATTCCATGAGCTGTCGGAAGCCAGCATGGTTTGCCCTAAGGTTGTCAAAGGTATCCACGGCCTGGATCTTGCCGCCCTCCATCCAGACGATCCTGTCGACGCGATTCAGAACCCAAAGCTGGTGTGTCGCGAGAATGCGACACTTGTCCTTGAGCAGTCCCAGAATAGCGTTGTCAAAGATGTGACGCCCAACATGGGCATCCACAGCACTGAGCGGGTCGTCCATGAGGACAATATCGGCATCGAAGTAGATGGCTCGGGCAATGTTCAGGCGTTGCTTCTGGCCACCAGAAATGGTGATGCCTCTTTCGCCGATCTCGGTAGCATCCCCATTGGGGAGCATGTCGAGATCTTGTTGCAAAGCGCAGCTGCAGATCCATGTTAGTGAAATGGTTAAATGGAGAAAGCAATGATGGACACTTACGCCTTGATGACTTCTTTGTACCATGCCCGATCCATGTCCTTTCCGAAAAGGATGTTCTCCCGAAGTGTGGCGTTCTGAATCCAGGCGTATTGGGGGCAAAAGGCCCGAGACGCTCCCAAGACAATCTCTCCCTCAGTCTTGCGCATGTCACCTGCGAGTGCGGCAAGAAGCGAGGTCTTTCCACTGCCGACGCTGCCAATCACCGCAATCAACTCCTTGCGTCCAACGGCAAGGTTCAGGTCCTGAATCTTGAAGGGCTCGCGCTCTTCCACCAGCGTGCTAGCAGTATCGCTTTCGTCTGCCGTGCTGGGCCCCTTCAACGGTTTGGCGTTGTTAGCAGCCTTCCCGGCCTTGGGCCCTTTGCCTGCCGCCGCAGCATTTTTATCACTGCCAACAGGCACCGGTGAAGCTGTGGGGTCCTGAGTCGTGGCTCGTTCCCAGGTGAAGCTGGCGTTATTGAGCTCGACGGCATGAGAGTTCCCGGGGTCGTGAACTGCAACATCTCCTAGTTCCTCGGCGAGGAGGAATTCCTGGATACGCTGAATGGATTGCCAGGCATCTGTCACCTGGCCAATAACCAGGGGAAGCAGGTTGAGTGGCATACGAAGTCCGTTAAACAAGGCTAGAGATGAAAAGACTTGAGCGGGGGCAAGAGCGTTGTTAGTCTTCGAGTATGTGACGAAAGTCAACATGGACGCGTAGATGGGCAGAGACATGGACACGGCGTTGATGGCGTTTCGAATGGCGAGAAGGACCTGAATCGCCCGGATCTCGCTGTTGCGGATCGTGTTCAGGCGCTCCATGAACGCGGTCTCCCAGCCGAAATACTTGACGAATCTGACAGACTGCAGAATCTCCTGTGTGAGGCCAACACGCTGATCCGTGATTTTGTTGATCCGTGCTCGGCGGCGGAACAGGCTCTTGATGGCCTGTGTCAGAGCGGGAACACCGAGCACGAGCAGGGCGAAACCGGCAAGCGCGCTATACGACAAGTTGACAAGCAGAAGAGCGAGAGTGATGATGCACTGAATAGGAGACGTCCAGATCATGTGGAAGAGGGCCGAGGCCTGGTCGACACGATACGTATCCACGCTCATCAGGTTGACCACGCGGCCATTACCCCAGCCTTGGCCTTCCCCGATCACGCCCTTCTTGCCCGTCTCAGCCTTGCCTTTGGATGCTTTGCTCGCGGGAGCAGTTGTGCTCTTGCCCTTTTCGTCCTTGTCCTCGGCGCTTTCTGCTTCCGTGAGCGCCTTGCCACCGGCCCTGGCTCGGCCCGAGATGACCATGGACTTCTCAAAGACCATGCTGATGAGTACAGCACGCACCTGACCACCAATCATCATGCCGTGGTAGATGAAGTGGTTGATACCGAGACTCTGACAGATCTGCATGAGGGTGACACCAAAGGCAAGACCGATGCCAGGACCAATGGCAGGCGGAGGCGAACCCGTCTGAGCTGCATTCCAAGCCTGGGTGGCGAACTGAATGAGAAATCGCAACGTGAAGGGCGAGACGACCTGGAAGATGGACGAGACGAGCTGGCACAAACCACCGAACCAAAACTCCCAGAAGAACGACTCGTGGAGAGCCCAGAGGAGAGGGTACTTGTCGCCGGCGGCGACATGCTTCTCAAAGGCTTTGCGGGTGCGCTCGGTCATGAGCTCTGCCTTGCGGTCCGGATTGACTGTCCACAGGTCATCCTGTGTGAGAGGCCGCTTGTAGCCCACGTTCATGATTGGTGCCATCCACTGGAAAGTCAACTTGCTCCAGAAGCCGGCCGTGTACTCCCTGCTGACCTGACGCTCGTCGGGGATCGGAGGCACCTTGCCCCAGCGCAAGGGGTTTGGCGTCTTGTACCATGGCTTGTCTGAGCCCGGGTGGACGTTGAGCTGGCGGGTGGTTGTGCGGGTGAGGGCGCTGGTGTCGGTTGCGTAGCTCTGGGTCCGGAACATCTCCTCGCGAGCTGCTTGTTTCTCTACGGGCTCGGCACGCTTGCGAGCTTCGGCATCCTGATCGATGCTGTCGTCATCGACCTGGTCTGAAGCTGAGGAAGAAGGCGAGCCCGGTGCTGGGGATGCAGGTTCTGGAGATACTGGGGCATTGACCTGTGTGATGGGGTCGGCGAGCGAGGCAGCGGGCTGCTCATCGCTCTTGTCGTGGGCCATGGCGAAGCTGGGGGTGGGCGGATGCCCAGCCTAGTATTAGGGGCCGAGAGCCGGCGGATGACCCAAGCTGAAGCAGGACCCGATGTCCAAGCAGAACGTGACAAGAGAGGTCTTGTTCGATGTCTTGCTCAGGTGTAAGTGTAAGGATGTTTATCTGAGCTGTTGATAAGTTATGCTCGTATGCCAAGACGTGCGGCCAGGATCTACGCAGGAGGTGGCTGATAGGTGGAGGCTTAACCGTTGCCCCGGAGCGCGATGTGGAAGACGTCACAAGCACGCAAGTGGGCTTGGCTCCTTTTATCAGATCAGATGTTGCAGGTGGTCCGCGTGGGTGCGTGTGTGTGTGTGTGTGTGTCCAAGTCTTGAAAGCGAGGGCGGGAATGCGCGGCGAGGAGATATGCAAGACCAGAGAGCCAGCGGAACGGGCCACGGATAATTCGAAGCTGGGGGGGAAGAGTCGACCGAGCAGGGTCCCGGAAGGAAATGATTAGCAATCGCGGAAGTGCAGAGCGAGAACCAGGCAGGCAGGCAGGCAGAACGACAGGGCCGCCGACGGGGGATCCGAGCCGAAAAACGAGACGGAGTGGGGGCAGGCGGCGCGGGTCTAGGTTAAGCGGCCGGGCTCTGGGTCCAGCGGAGAAGAAGCCTGGTTCACGATGATGGGAAAGAGGAACAAGAGCAGCAGCCGGGGGGTCATGTCAATGCTTGTCCCGCCCTGCATGTCGGCCTGGGGGAGCAGACGTCGGCCAGTGGTGGCCTGGCCTTAGCTAATCTACGATGCTGGCAGGCAAGCAAGTGGTGGTGAGGCAGGACGGCGGTGATGATGCCGTGACTCTCGGCCTAGTCATGTTATGCTGCCCCTGTCATGGCCGACATGCACAACAGAAAAACAGAAACCACGGCCGGGGTTTAGACGAGCCCGAGGCCGGCCAGCCTGATCCGAGGCCGCCTTCGGGCTCGTCTGCTGCACGACACCCACCCACCACTTTGGATGGTCAAGTGTGTTGGTGACTGAGCAGGGCCAAGGATGGCAATTGCTGGGACCGCCCGCTCACTCAACTCAGACTTGTCTACTTTAAGTTAAAAACCTTAGGCAGTGAGGCACGTACTTGACATTGAGGGGAACACCGGCTGTAGGCCCGGAGTTAACCAATGTGCGCCTTCCTCTTTGGACCTCGCGCCCACATTTTTTTCTTCTGGCGATTCAAAGACTTTGATACGACGAAGTGCATGTCCTCCTCGCATGTTTCTCTCTCAACGTCGAGCCGCCCAAGAGCACTGGCAGCCGCATCCCGGGCCCGCCGCGGACAGACATGTGGCCGGCCGCAGCCTGCTGCACGACACCGCAACGGCGCTGGTGGAACAACTCTGTGGGCGACAGGCCACAGCCGCAACAGCGGACGCCCCCCGACGCCCGGGGAATCTCTCCGCGGCTCCGCACAGAAAAGCTTGGCCTGCCGTCGTGGCTCTAGTTAGTTGATAATAGCTACCACACGCCACTCACTCTTGATTGTACCGTGGTAGCCCGGCGGCAGCGTGGCAACAGTGCAGAGAGTCCAGTAACCCCTTGGGACGGTTATCTCCGTGCGCACAGGTCTCACAGCACACACCACGCCAGACAAAGGCCCGCCAGGACGCGTACACCTCACACACATGGCGCAAACGAGGAGTCATTCCCAGCTGCTCCCTCCACCTGTCCCGAAACTCTCTCTATGTAGCACCGATGCCAATCCCAGCCAGCGCCCGTCAAGGTGCCCTTTGTGACTGCCTTCCTCAAGGCACGTCCACCAAGTAGTCTCTTGTCCTGACTCCTTGTGGCAATGGCAGCCTGCTGGGCAGTTGTGGGAGTCACTCCCAAGGTCAGAAGCCGCCAATGTTGTCACCACCGGGGCCAAATGCAACATGCATGACCAGTCCGGCAACGCATGCAGTCATCTTCTTGGTCTCCCTCCCCCCCCCCCCCCCCCCATCCCCAGAGTCCAAGTGAATCATTCAATTTCCCCGCAACCCAACAACCAACGAACCGGATTTCGACACACACAACTCCGGCGCCGAACTCCGAACTGCTCCTCTCCACACCCACCCCTAGTCCTTTTTCCGCTCCGCTTCGCACTCCTAGCCCGCTTGGGCAGCCTACGTACGTCAACCGGCTGACGGTGCACCCCCAAATGTGACAAATTCAACCCCCAGCGAACCATAGCTAGGCCTCATCAAGCAATCAGCTCCTCATCTCATTTCACCCCTAAAGCTACATACGCACGTCCTTCACACAACAGGGGACAAGTCTGCAACCCCCCTTGCCATGAAGAAAACTCGCCTCAAGCTTACAAACCTTGGGTCAACCACAAACCCCTCTGGCCAAGGGGAACGAAACCTTGATTAAACCCCAAAGTCACCAAACTATGCTCACAGAGTGGAAATTATCTAATAATCTGACACGGCCCCTTGTTCTTCTCGCGGGGCAAAAGGGTTAACTCCCATAAAGAAAGAAAAAGATAAAATAAATTAAGGCAAAGCATAAGGCCCCTTTATGCGGTCTTAAAGTCTAACCATATAATTAATGTGCACGAGGCAGGTTGACTGCTCCTCCTCGTCTGTCTGTGCAATGCAAGACAAGAGACCTTCCCTTGTATAACCCATATCAGATTACTCACCATTATGGCTCTGCCCATCCGCTGTTCGAATACTTGCCGAACATGTGCTGCTTCAATAGTACCATTAACACGAGAGAAACCCCCCCAAAAAGGCTTCCCATAATCAACGCAAAACTCCCCCGGAAAGATAACATCCAGCGCTTATGTGTTGTTAAGAAATGAATTTCCGGTTCTGCCTCCATCTATGGAATTCTTCCGCACCGACCCACTAGAACCTGATGGGTTGACTCAAGAGGAGCAACCACTTCAAGAGTGACCTTCTGTCTACGTGTTCGGCTTTTTCTCCCTAACGCCTTGCAGCAAAAAAAAGTCCCTAGTACAATAAGATGAAATGAAAGAACAAGAACAACGAAAAAAATTTGGAAGACGATGTTCGTGTTCCATGTCCCGCATGCATTGCCGGTAGTTTTGAACGCCTCGCGTTATCCATCAGCCCCCCTGTGCAGTGATGAGGATGGGCAACAGCAGGTCTTGTTGCGAGAGTACAACTACCACTACACCGTCGCGTCCGAGTCGTACTCGGGAGGGTCATGGTGAGGTAGCATCTGGGACTCTTCAAACTGGTCACCGTCCTCATCATCCTCGAGCTCCTCGTCCTCATCCTCGGCGCCGCTGGCAAGCCCAAGTAGTTCCTTGTCCATGTCGTCGAGATCGTCCGCATCCTCCATCGCCACGTCGCCACTGTCCTTGCTGTTGCCGTTGAGCCTGGTCTTGCCATTCTCGGTGCCATTATCCTTGGCGCCGTGCTGGCCGGCGTCCCGACCATCGTGCTTGCCGCCACCGCCTTGGCTGTGCTCATGCTCGTTGTGCTTCTTGGCCGGCTGCACAACACCTTGCTTCCCCTGGGAAGCCCAGCGGGCAAACCGGCGGTTCACTCTTCGCAACGAGGCGGCATATGTGCTGAACTCCTCGCCAAAGTCGTCGTCTTCTGTCCGGAGCGGACAGAGACCACCGAAGCCCTTGTCTCGGAAGTCGCCACGGAGGGCATGGTGCAGGCGGTATTCCTCCTGGTCGCTGTCCAGGAAGGGATCGTCCATGCTCTCCAGGCGCTTCCGCGCTCGGATAAACACGCCTTCTTGGCGTCGAGCCTTGCGCGCCTTGTGGTACTCTCGTCTCAGGCCACGATCGAGAATGTGCTCGACGCGCTGGTTCCGGTTTCTCTCAACGGCTAGCTGGTGCGCCGTCGGCGGTCTCGGCTTGCGTGGCATGATGCCGTCGCCACCATGATGGGGAGCTGGCGAGGAGCCCTCAAAGACCTGGTACTTGAGCGATGCACCGCCTCGGCGTCCGCCCAAACCGCTCAGTCGGCCAAGACCTCGGGGCGGAGTGGGCGAGCGGAGACTATCCATGTCTGACTCGTGCTTCGGAGGCCGGATCCGCGGGAGGATCGCGGCACTGAGGCTGTCGTCTGCAGAGTTCTTGGCCCTGGCTCCTCGCTTTGACTGGTGCTCAGCCATATATGCTTGGTCGGCTGCAATGATCCGGGCTCGGTGGGCTTGCTTCTCGTGGCCGAAATCAACCTCTTCTTGAGGGTCAATGTTCTCTTGCTTCTCCTGCTCCTCGGTCATCTCCTCGAGACGCGGGATGCCCTGGTTCGCCACGTCGGTGCCATAGTCGACGCCTGCTCCGAACGGGTTCTCCTCACAGCCTTCCTCGGTGAAGTCAGACTCAAGGTAGAACCACACCACCCAGAGGAAGGCATTCGCGCGGGACTGGCTGGTGTATTTGGTCTTCATGATGAGATCGTGGAACTCGAAACCGGGAGGGAAATGGAGCTCGGCAACATGCGCCGCCTGGTTACAGAGGAGAAAGATGAGGTTGACCGGGTTCGTGCGAGGCGGATCAATTTCCTTGAACTCGCTGAGGTCGTTAGGCTCGATCCGGTCTTCGGCAGCACCCTTGAGGATGGACTTGAGACGAGGCGCATCCTGAAGCTGCTTGTAAGCCGAGGCATCTTGGCGCGCCTGCAACGACGGAATCGCGTGGTAGGTTCGCAGTTGGGCTCGCATTTCTGGGAAGACTGTCGCGATAATAACAAAAGTCAGCGACGATGACGAAACACCACCATCCGGGCAGGGGGGACATACAGTTGAGCGTTGTGTTCATCCGACCGACGTTGACAAGCAAGCAGACCATGGCCATGCTCTTCGCGGCTTCTCGATCACTAAGCAGTTTGTCGCGAAGGACCTTGCTGGTCTTGCTGCTCCGCGCCATCGTGTCAATGTAGAGGTCGGCAAAGTTCTGCTTGGTCGACTTGTCACCCTCGTAGTTGTTGGTGAAGACTGGCCGCTCGTCGTCGAAGACGGCCTTGAGGAAGTCGTACTGGATGTCTCGTCTCCAGAGCGGCTCGCCGTCCTCCTTCTTGAGGTGCCTGATCTTGCCCGGCGCACTTCCGGAGAACGAGCCGTCATTCGCGCCGGCCGCGCCTCTCGATTTGCGCTTGCCGCGCTGCGTGGTTTCCGGCTCCATGACGACGCTGTTCTCGTAGTTGTGTTCTGGCGACGCCCGCGCGGCTTCCGGGGAGGATGGCGCCGGTGACGAGCGGGCTGGCTCGGGAGACGCAGTCATTTTGAAAGAGAGGCAGCTGCTGCTGAGCCGCCTGAGACGTCGAGGCTGGCAAGGGACAGGCTGTGTGTTAGGATGAAAGATGTTGTGTGGCGCTGCGACACGGCAGGGACAGCCCAACTGTGTGCCAGTAGACTTTCGCACTTGCTGATGCTCAAGTGACGACTGCTGCAATTGAAATGGCGATGGTCGCTCCCTAGATGTTGTGGCGATGGCACGGAATAACTCCAGGAGGAGATGGGTGCCGTGGGATTGCTGCAAAGTGTGTCGGCTGGAGGGTTGGGTGATGGCTCCAGCAGGCAGGATTTCCAAGGTTGCGCGGCTCGGCGGGATCAATGCCAATTAGTCGCGAGCCACTGGCACCACATCATGAGCCCTCGTTCAACGCTCGCGTCCAAGGCTGCCGCGCCTCGAGAGCCGTCCCTTGCAGCAGCCCAGGTGCGTGCTCCACAGGGGCTGCAATCGCAGCTGAGGTGCTGCAGCCGCGCTTACCCGGCAGGCCCTCCCCATGGATCAGCCAGAGACCCCAGTTGGGCCACCACCACCACCACCAACTGCAACATAACGTGTCTATCGGTCAATGCGCATCAGTCGTCTGAGGCCTTCTTCCTCTTTCGCAGGCAGGCAGGCGAGTCAGACATGTCTCTGTATACTATGTCGGTGCATCAAATGCAAAACCTTTCGTTGACCCTAGGATACAATACTCCAAGCCTGCTTGCTCAAAGTCATGCTCATCAGCAAGCAACTGACGATAAAACGGAAAAAGCCATCTCTTTGATGCTACAGATTAGACCCAAGGATTTTCAGTTGACGAGCATGGCACAACGAATGGAGAACAGAACATGTGTTGCAAAATGATTAACTTTATTTTTGTTCGGGAGATCTCAATTCGTCCACTGAGGACTTCTGAGACTTGCGCACTTAAGTGGAAAATGTCCACTCATGCGTCAATATTTGCTATGAGTGCCAGGCATAATTGTTGCCCGAGAGTGAGCATGGGGCAGAAATGACACTGCCAATGCTCTCCTTCTGAGAGGGGGGTAAGCCTTCCAAGGCAAGCCCTCTAAAGCCCTGAGAGTGCTGATGGCGACACAGTATTGTCAACCACCAAATGGGCACCCATGTGAAAATACCATTTCTATGCTCGTTGATCCTCCGTTTCCAGGCTTTGTTCCCGCTGACAGCCCGTCAGAAGAACGCCATGCCTGAATGAGAATCGAGATATCCGCTTTTGTCTATGGTGCTTGTCATCAATCAACCTGCAGCTGAACGGTTGGAAAACGCATCGCCGTGGTCTATCAAAACAGTGAAAACATTCCGAGACCCCTCCCGAGGGGGCAAAATCGAGTACATCGAAACAGAGACCGTGATCGTCGTAAAAGTCGTTCAGTGAGTGTGGACAAGACCACCAACTTTTCTGTAGATAAAAGTCTCCGGGAAGTATCTGCCAGTCGAGGTACCGTCTTTTCTGACCTCCGCGCGTCTCAGGCAGCCGCTCGCATCTATAATCCCCCGTTTACTTCTATTGGGTATCAAGTTTGGGAGATGCGCAGCTGAAACAAAAGACACAATGCCGTCTATCGTGCCAGAGCTCTATCGTCGTAGAACTCGAACCTGTCGATTCTGGGTGAAGGCTGGATGTCGTGTCTGCCGCTGCGGAGAGGTTCGGAAAATGTCGAAATGCCAAAATCGCGTGCCAGGAGATGATGAGCGTAAAATGCAATGGAGAAAAAAGGGAAAAGCATTGACGTCTGCTCAATGATGATACATCCGGCGGATGTATGGGGCTGCATGGCATGCCGCAAGGAATCATGCAGTCCATGTCCCCGTGGGATGGCAGGAGGATGCCATCTACCACCAGGAGGCCTGGCCGGCACCGCTGGGGTTGCCGTAGCTGCCGCCGCCGTAGCCGCCGCCGCCACCGCCACCACCACCGCCGTAGCCGCCGCCGTAGCCACCACTCGGGGGAGCACCGCCGTAGCCGCCGCCAAAGCCGCCTCCCTGGGGAGCACCGCCGTTGAAACCGCCGCCGCCGCCAGGACCTCCGAAGCCGCCACCGCCGACCTTACGGAAGTCGCGGTTGGCACCAGCACCGCGGCCACGGCCGCCGCCACCACGACCACCACGGCCACCGCCACCGAAGGAGCTCTCGCGGGCAATGGTCTCGAGGAAAGCAGGAACCTCCTGGTTGGCCTCCTTGAGGAGGTCAAGGAGCTCACGGACAACACCACGGTTGCCACGGTTGAAGAAGGCGGTCGAGTGACCAGTGTTACCAGCACGGCCGGTACGACCAATGCGGTGAACGTAGTCGTCGATGTCGGTCGGCAGATCGTAGTTGACGACGTGTGTGACGTTGGGGATATCCAAACCACGAGCAGCAACAGCTGTGGCGACCAGAATGGGGCAACGACCGTTGCGGAACATCTCCAGGGCACGCTCACGCTCGCGCTGAGTGCGGTCGCCGTGGATGGATGTGGCCGGGAAGTTCTGGTTGATGAGGAAGTCGGACAAGGAGTCTGCCATGCGCTTCGTCTCGACGAAGATCAAGGTGAGACCACCAGCGTGGGTGTGGAGGATATCCAGGAGAACGGAGCGCTTGTCAATGTCCTCGACGTACTCAACCTTCTGAGTGATGTTCTCAGAAGTCGAACCAACACGACCGACGGACAGGAAGATGTAGTCCTTCAGGAAGTCGCGAGCGAGCATCTGAATGTCGCGGGGGAAGGTCGCGGAGAACATGAGAGTCTGACGGTTCTGGACGTTGGGCATGTCCTCGCCCTCGACGATACGGCGAATCTGGGGCTCGAAACCCATGTCAAGCATGCGATCAGCCTCGTCAAGAACGAGGTACTTGATGTTCTGGAGCGAAATGCGGCCACGCTCAATCAGATCGACAAGACGACCGGGGGTGGCAACGAGCAAATCGCAACCACGCTCAATCTGGCGGAGCTGGGAGCCAATGTCGGCACCACCGTAGACGACGCAAGGGCGAACCCAAGAGCGGTAGGCAAACTTGCGAGACTCGTCGTAAATCTGCGAGACCAGCTCACGAGTCGGGGCGAGAATGAGAGAAGTGGGGTAGGCCTTGCGCTGGCGGCCGTAGCCACCACCGCCAGCCTGGGGGGGAACAGCAGAAGGACCAGTTTGGAAGGCCTGGGACAGAATAGGGAAAAGGAAACCACCAGTCTTTCCGGAACCGGTCTGGGCACAAGCCATCAGATCGCGGCCGCCCATGACAATGGGAATCGAGTACTTCTGGACAGGAGTGGGAATCTTGTAGCGGGAGAGCCCGATATTCTGGATAAGGTGGTCATCCAAAGGAGGGTTGGTGAACGTGAGCACGGGCTCGGGGACATCGTGTCCGGAAGCCTCGACTGGGATGTCGTCGTACTTCTCGAAGTTGATACCGGTGTGCTGCTTGGAAGGATCATCGGGGGTACCGTAAAGCTCACGCTCAACACGCGGGTTGGCGGGACCGGGGATGTGCTTTCCGTCGCGCCACTGACCGTCGCCAGAGCCTCTAGCTGTGCCGCCGCCACCAGAGCCGCCGCCGTATGAGTTGCGGTCAAAATGACCACCACCGCCGCCACGGTTGAAGTTGCCGCCGCCGCGGGGAGGACCATTGAAGCCAGGACCAGAGGCATCGGGGCCGTTGGACCAGTTACCGGCGGGGGCTGGGCGTCCTTCGAAGTTGCCGCCGTTGCTGTAAATGACACCAGTTAGCACGCGATTCGGTAGATGTGCACATAGACAGGAGCATGATGAGACTTACCCAGCCCAGGCGCTGTTGTTGATGCCGGCGTTCATAGGGGGAGCACCACCCGGAGGAGGGCCACCGGCAGCAGGACCAGGCATAGCAGGTCCGCCTCCCATCTTGTTACGCATGTGAGGGGGAATGTAGGAGCGGCCTCCAGCCGGAGGGTGCTGGTCGTTGAGGTTAAGACCTCCCATGTTGATCTGATCAGCCATGATTGCGAGGTGAGTGGATGCTGACAAGGTTGTAAAGTCGAAGTATTGGTGTCGGGGTGTTGTTTGTATATTGGTGGAGAGACCGGTCTCAAGTTCTCAGAGAAACAAAAGAGCGGACTGGTTGTGTGATGCTTCCGTCACCGAAGGAGATGGAAAATGACAGATGGCTTGAGGGAAAAGGGCGAAACGTTCGCGCTCTTCTCGGCAAGACTATTATGTAGCGCGTGGAAGGGTGCACGCAGACGTGTAGTTGTGGATGTGCCGTCTCCGAGATCCTCTAGAAAAGAAAGACAACTTTTCAAAAGGAACAAAACGAAGACCCTGTGGTGGGGAAAATGCAGAGAGTTTGTGTGTTGGGCAGAGGAATGATAAGGGGGAGGGGAGGAGGCAGTGGTTTTAAAGCGAGAGGGTGGAGCGCCGGCGAAAAAAATTGCCAGGCAGTGGCAGCCACCACCGTGGGTGGGCATGGCCATGTTTGGGCAGGAAGCAGGCAGTCTCGCCCCCCAGGGAAAAATCGATGGGGCCTAGCGTGCTGGGGGCCGGGATACATCAGCGGGTACACCCACAATCCTCGCCTCCTGGGTGAGCGACGCCACCACATTTTGCAGCAGCTGGGCGTGCGGGCGATAAGAGTCAGGCCAGAGGTACCCCGTCATGTACCATCTCGTTCTCGAACCGTCTTACCGCCTATCGCTCCCCTTGCGCGGGCGGCGCGACGTGTCTGCGCCTTGCCAGCCCAGGTTCTGCGTCACGCCCAAGTTGTGTTCAGGTTTTTTTTCTTTCTTTCCTTTCCCCGAGGCACTTTCCCCAGCTACCAGGCTACGTCGTCTTCCACAAGGAGATGCAAGACTACGGAGGGGTCTGCAGACTCAAGCTATTGGAGTAGGAGAGAGGCTCGATACGTCCTTCGACCCCTATTTGCTTTGCAACCCATGCACAGACTGGCTGCCAACAGCTCGGTAGGCCTGGCTGGCCTGGTGGAACAGGGAAGAAATACAGCACAAGCCAGTCACAGGCAGATCGCTCCCCGGATCCGATCACACCCAGGATGGAGAGAAGGGAAGGGTCCCCTTGGCCTGACGGGGAGGCACGGGGGCCTGGTCCCGCGCTAGACACGGCCCCCGCGTGGGTGTGTGTGGCACAGCTGACTCTTTCACCTCTTTTTGCCACCTGACTGTGTCGTAACCGCATCCTCATGTCATTTTTGGCGCAATGGCTGGCACACGTTCTGTCTCGAGCCAGCGAGACTATTGGCGGATGGCTAGACGTCGCGTCAGTCGCTCCCACAGTTTGCCTTTCGCCTAAGAGCGAGCCTAGTACGGCAGACTGTTCTAGCGTTCTGTCGAAAACTCGGAGTGCCCTAGAACTTTTCGGAACGATATGTTCAGCGCCCAATGAAATCTTCTGAGGCTCTCACAGCATGGTCTACTTGTGGGTCTTCGGGTGCACAGTTATCTTTCTCGAACAAACATCCGCGAGCATTCTCTGCTCGCGGTGCCCGACCCGAGTGTCCAGACAAGACGGGTGGCTTATTCATCAACACGTGGAGTTGAGCAACGTCATCGCTCGACTTTCATATTCCCACCATGTTCCAGGTGCCGGAGAGTGTCAATGGTACTTCTCAGTGGACAGACTGGTGGTGCTTTGCAGCGTGCTTGCCAGACCAGAGGACTGTGATGTTCAGCAAGCCGAAACCTATCTCATGGGATTCCTTGGCTATTCTGGTAAGTTCCATAGGTAAATGTTATTGTTCGAACGCATGAACTCAATATTGTTTGGCCGACGAAGTCTGGTCGTTAGACAGCTTGGGCAACCTGTACCACCGTTGTGCGGCCATATCAAACGAGGTCTCCAAAACCTGCACCACGAGCCACACCTTGGCTGTCATCGTTTACCGGAGCTTGTAATTCTTCTTGACTGCGTAGTCCTTGCGGCGAGCCGAAGATCATGCACGTGTTCGCAAACAGCACAGCAAAATGCACGTTCAATCATCATGCGAAGGGAAGTGGCATTTCGTTGATCTAAGCCCCCTAAGCACACCTCAAAACACGATGATGCTGATTGTGGCTCTGCTTTTCCAGCCATCCATTGTTCAACTACCACATGCTCACGCACTCTTTACGATCTTGTCGTCGTTGAACTCTATCTCCCGTACGCCGTCCTTGGTGATCGCCTTGACCGTCATGCCCTTGAAGTCTACAGGCATTCTCCGCTTGAGCTCGTCTGTGCAAAGCTCGAGCAGCTTCATGCCCTGCACGAGCGTGATATCTGGGTGGTGGTGCTTGTCGAGGATAGACAGGCAGTAGTACTGCGCGTAGCCGTGGGCAGCATACGGTACAGGCGCCAAGGACGCGAGGTAGTCGATCCAGAACAGGCTGGGCTTGTGAGTAATGGGATCGACGCCGCCTAGCAGCAGGTTGACGTTGTACGGCTTGCGAGAACGTAAACTTGTGGCGAGCTCGCCGCGGACAAAGTGTGCCAGTGCTGTTGGGGAGAGATCGGTCTCGTTGCGCATCGAGTAGAGCTGGGCGTTCGCCTGGATGTATTCTGTGAATTGGACTAGATATTGGCAGGTGGTGAGCTTGGTGTCCTGTTTGAGTGGAGGCCGTATCATGAATGTCACTGACTGGTGTCGCCGGCCTCTCCAGAGAAGGCCAGCAGTGTGTGCTTGTTTAGCGACCGTGTCTTGTCATCAGAGGCTTTGAGGATGGTGGCGCCGCGCATGGCAGCCTTCGAGGCGGCAATCAAGGTAAAGTCCTTGCCCGTGATACCCAAGAGAACCTCCCTAGAAGATGCATTAGCAGTGCTGAGTGAGGGGTTCGTGGAGAGCTGGCTGCACACATGATGGGCTTGAGGCTCTATCGTTCCTGGTATGCAGACTGATGTCGCTGCGATCAAGCCGAAGACGGATAAATAATCACGGCTAGCGAATACAGAGATGTTGTCCTGAAGCGTGGGAGTCGTCAATGGTCAGTGGTGATGAGGTTCGCTAGGCTCGGCCATGGGGGGGGGAGCTGCTTTCCAGCCAGCAACCTCACAGCGGGCAGACGCGCAGGCAAGCTACAGCCTGCGGTGACAGCATCGGAGGTCGGAGCTTCAGCCACTCTTACTTTCGAGGCTGCTGAGCCAGCCACACTTGTTCCAGCGGTAGAGTGCTGTGGCGCAGCTTGCCTGGGAGTGTCAGCGCCGCCTTGGAAATGCAGCCGTGCCTGCAGTTGAGAGCACCCCACTGCCGCATCAATTACAGTGGGTCTGAATGGAGACCCCTGCACGGAGCGCCAGGCTTATCCGCCAGGCTCGAACTTTTTTTTCAAGATAGCGATGCCATACTGCAGGCTAGCATCACGAGTCCAGACACTGCACTGCACTGCATCTCCAGCCAGCTGCACAACGAGACCTGGACAGGCAGCGGCACTCCGAACAAACGTGCTGCAAAGGAGAACCTCGTCTGACCAACTCGGACCGCGGTGCCCCCCAGCAGCCCGGCCATGTCGTCTTTCTTCACAGTCCCGGGTGCCCAGAAGAAGAGGAAGAGGGCTCCCGGTGCTGAGAACCCCAAGAAGAAGGCGGCGCCCAGCAGAGCGCCACGCGGTGGTCAGCCCAAAGTCTCTGCACCATCGCGCAGGCAAGCCGAGCGAGACGACGAATCCATCTCCGGCAGCGACGACGATAGCGACGATGGCCCCGTAGACAACGACCAGGTCATGGGCGACGGCCCTGGCTCAGACTCCGAAAACGAGGGCGAGACAGCCGCCGAGAAACGCCTGAGACTTGCCGAGCGTTATCTCGAGAACGTAAGGCAGGAGGTGGACGAGGCAGGCTTCGACGCTGCCGACATTGACCGCGACATCATCGCCGAGCGCCTGCAAGAAGACGTCGCAGAGTCAAAGGGCAAGGTCTACCGGCAGCTTGCCCACCGCCTAGCCTTTGAACAGGCCTCCCACAGTCTCTTCCGAGCCAACACACACACCACAACCTCCGTCGCGACGTGCGCGCCGCACGCTTACACCGTCTCGAAAGACCGAACTCTCATAAAATGGAAGCTGCAGGACCTGCCTCACAAGCAATGGCCGCAGACCACAAAGAAGAAGCCAAAGAAGCCCGACGCGCCCCCCAAGCGCAAGCCAGAAAAGCTCGCCATGACGAGGGGCCAGACCAACAAGGCCAAGGACAAGGACTACAAGGGACACACCGGCGACATTCTGTCCGTCGTGGCTTCGCAGGACGGCAAGTTTGTTGTCACGGCCGGCGCGGACAAGCGTCTCATTGTGCACGACGCCAAGACACTGAGACCTCTCAGAGTCTTCACACACCACAGAGATGCTGTCACAGGACTCGCCTTCCGGCGCGGCACCAATCAGCTGTACTCGGCGTCCAAGGATCGGACCGTCAAGGTCTGGAGCTTGGACGAGCTCGCCTACATCGAAACCCTGTTCGGCCACCAAGACCACGTTGTGGATATCGACTCACTTGCACAGGAGCGTTGTCTCAGCGTCGGCTCGCGCGACCGCACCGCCCGCTTATGGAAGGTCGTCGAGGAGACGCAGCTCGTCTTCCGCGGTGGCGCGATCGACAGGAAGAACAAGCCCGACGTCGACCCTCGCTCTCTCGCCCACGAGGGCAGCATGGACCGGGTGTCGATGATCGACGAGGAGCTTTTCGTCACGGGCAGCGACAACGGCTCGATAGCGCTCTGGAGCACACAGAAAAAGAAGCCGCTGCACGTCCTGCCACTGGCGCACGGGCTCGACCCGCCGTTGGCACCAACGCAGGCGTCGGCCGAGAAGAACCCCGATCCGAAGAAAGTAGTCCCCCCGCCGCAGCCTCGGTGGATCACCGCGCTGCGCACATTGCCGTACTCGGACGTCATCCTGAGCGGGAGCTGGGACGGCCAGGTCCGCGTTTGGCAACTCAGCGAGGACAAGAAGAAGATCGAGCCTGTCGGCGTTCTCGGCGGAGGATCACCCAAGGGTTCGGTCAACGGCACGCACAATCACAACGGTGTCGACGACGACGACAACAGCGATGACGGCGAAGAAGATGTGGCTGGCAGCAGCAGCAAAGCATCCAAACCGTCATCCTCGTCGTCAACACCATCCTGGTCCCTCAAAGGCGTGGTCAATGACATATCCCTCTTCGAGCGCGGCAAGCGTGGCAAGGACGGACTCTGCGTCGTCGTGGCCGTCGGCAAGGAGCACCGTCTCGGAAACTGGAAAAAGATCAAGAACGGCAAAAACGGCGCCGTCGTGTTCGAGATCCCCCGCCGACCAGAGGCTCCCGGGGACGAGGGAGAGGATGGGGAGTCTGATGTTGACGACGTGCTGCCCAGGCAGTAGAATTTGTCCGATCCCCTTGTAGTTCAAGACCCCAAAAAGAACATAGCATAGCATGGCATTGGCATTGATATGGCCGGGCTTGACTTCAAGCCTGATGTTGCCACACGTAAATATACCTTGTACATATCTACTTTTGCATTGTTGGTAAATGGCGATAGCTGCCCCAACATGATGTCGACCTCTCGCCTTTGGCTCCCGGATGCTGAAAATGTATTTGAAATCCAAGTATATCTATGTATATATATTGTCTTCTATTTAGAGGTTCCAGCCCATGAAAGATGTGAGCGACCTAGTTTGGCTATATGCGGTTCTTGTGCCTTTGCAGCCCTCGGACTATACCACAACTGCCAATAACACCACGTTCTGAAGCATTTGGCAAGCACCACTTGACCCTCCCATACTTTGATGCCACCCTCCAATAGGCTCGGCTGCGCATTGCCAGCTATCATGTCCTCATCTTCTCCGCAATGACCTTGTACTGCTTTCTCGTCTTTGGCTTTCCGCTGATCGTGAGCTTCATCCAGCCCACGAACCTCGCGAGGCTTTGGAACACATATTGCTCGCCGAACCACGCAAGGAACAGATATGCAGCGCCAAGGCCGAGTATGGTAGCCTTGAACGACCCCGAGATTGGTGTGAACTGCATGACCTTGGCAACATAGTGGCTGGGTGTTACGACGAGATAAACGGATATGCCGAGCGCGGCGGCTATGGTGGCCATGAAGGGCCCTGCTACTGCGTCAGCTCAACGTCCTGAGAGGTAGGGTGTAGAAGAATCGGCAGAAGTGGGTATCAGTGTGAATGAAAGGGATTACTTACAGTTCTGGTACATCGGCTGCCGGAATGGTCGCCCGGCACTGAGGACCACCCCAATAAGGATGTACTCGAAGCACGACGTCAAGAACAATGCAGTGTTCTCTGAGTTCTTAATGTTGGATTTCTCATGCTTTACGCGCGGTGGAATATACCTATAATTCTCTTATCAGTCCTACAAGTCCTGGGCGCGCCTGCATTATCTGGGGTTCTCACCAAGGTTGTTCGCGAACAAGAAGCCACGCTGCAGCTTGAACGACTATACAGATGGCGACCTGCCCCAAAAGAGGAGTGAGGACTTTCCGTGATACGAGGTTGGCAGTTGGTCGTTTTTTGCTAAGCACGGGATACGGTCCAGACCAGCCCACTGCGAGGCACAGTTAGCAGGGAGTTTCGGAGGACAAAGAACACAATAAGGCTCAAGGCCGAGTCGACTTACTGAAAATCGCAATAGGCAGAATCAGAAGTACGTCGATGAACAGGAACTATATGGTCAGCATGATGCGAATGCAAAAACCCTTGCAAAGTAAGCATACCTGGAAGTCTCCCAAGTTCGATGCAGAGGCATAGAGGAAGCTGACAGAGGTGAATTGGATGGCAGAGTACAAGCTCATATAACGGAAGCAACTGAAGCTTGTCACCAGCGCAGCGCGGCCCTCACTATACTGTTATCAGCACTCAATATATCAGAGCATGGGCATCATGTGCAGCAACGTACCGAATTACGTCAGGAACGCATCGAATATCGAAGACACGAGATGTAAAGGGCGCGGCGACTGAAGCTTCGGCTTCCGACAGTGAGATACCGACATCAGCAGCTTTCAATGCACCACAATCGTTGGCGCCGTCTCCGCAGAAGCCACAGCAATAGTCGATACTTTGAAGCTTCTCGACCAGCTCATGCTTCTCGTCTGGCGACATTCTAGCAAAGACGCTGCCCCGGATGAGCATCTATTTCCTGTCAGTAAGCTCCGGGCCAGGTTCGATCAATCCACCATCTGATCACATACCCGTTGCAGTACATCGTTAGGAGCGTAGTCTACGATCCAGCGAAACACGTCACCCGTTACTGCAAGAGTGTAATTGCTGAGGTTTGTTATCGTATTCGGAAGGGACGCATCTCTATCGTTTGGCACGGGCAGTGGCTGGAAGCACGATTAGCACCTGAGCGGCCGGGCTTTGTCTTCAATACTTACAAGAAGGGTTCGGTTGTCCAACTGGAAGGCAGAGTCATCAATGCTCTCCCACTGTAGCACCGAATTTGGGTTCGTTAAGTCGCCTAACATGGAACATTAGTATGCCGTGCCTGGCTCATGGCTCATATATCCCTTAGATCAAGCGCATACATACCCTCCAGGAAGCGTGGAACGAAGCAGTGTGCATCTTTGTCCATCAGGCTGCAGTTCCGAGCTACACTGATGGCGGTGAGGATGTTGTCGCCCGTGACCATGATTGAACGAATATTGGACTCCGTCAGCTCCTTGAGAACTCCAGCCGTAGTGGGCTTAAGCTTGTTCTCAAAAATGATAAAGCCCACAAAGTCGAGCTCGCTCTCAGCTTCGTGCCGCTTCATCTTCTGACACTTGACCCATGATAGCTTCTTAAGGTGCTTGGTTGCACAAGCAATCACACGGTAACCTTTGTGGGTGTAGTACGCTAGCAGCTCGTCGTAATCATCGGGAACTGCGGGACTATTAGGAAGGAGGCATGCGTTGAAAATGGCTTGGACAACTTACATGATTCCGCGCGGCAAATGTCTTTCATTGCCTCAGGTGCGCCCTTGACAAAGATATCCCCGCTTTGTTGGCCGAACACGCGTACAATCACGCTGGCTCTGCGAAGTTGTGAGACGAACTCGAATGACTTCAGAACGCCAAGCTCAGTAGATGCCTGTTAGAAGCATTAGTACTGCCAACATCTAGTAAATATCTGCTTCAAGGCCAAGCCAGCACTTACGTTACGGCCGTGCGAATTACCATATTCATCGACATCATAAAGCGGTGCCACTGGCGGACGGGCTACGGAAGGAGACAAGCCACCCTGTTCCTCGTCTTCCACGTCGACACCACCACTTCCTTCTTGAAACGACCACTTGGTGAACTCAAACATTTTGAGGTCGAGTGGGTCACCGACGAGTTCGTTGTCGACGCTGCGAAGAGAGTGGCAGGTAGCCATGGTAAATAAAGCTGCCCTGCTTGTGGCATGCTGGTCGTCATTTGAGCCCTCGAGCATGTGGTGCGGTACCATGTCGGCAGCTTTGCTGACCACATCATCGAATCGTTTGGTCGTTCGAGAAACCAAACGAACTCCTAGAATATCGAGACCTTCCTCGGTCAAAGTGCCCGTCTTGTCGAAGCACATGACATCCAATTTGCCACCCACATTGACACGTTGTGGACTTATGCAGAAGATCTGCTTGTTCTTGAGTCGACTCAGAGCAAAGTTTGTGCCAATGGTGAGAGTGGCTGGCAGAGCCGGAGGGACAACGATGGTGATCAGGTCCAAGGCTCTCACGATGATGAGATGCCATGCGAGACCAAGGCGGAGGAAGTTTACGAAGGAAACGACGAAACCAAGGAGAGCCACGCCCGCCATGACCGCAATATACCTGAACGAGTCCCGGTAGAATTTGAACCCTGAGGGCTTAGGGAACAACATTGACCGTACCAACGAGCCCTTTGTGGTGTTGAACCCAGTTCTTGTGACCATCGCAAGCGCGACAGCCTCATTGTCCCCATCATCTTGCGGACGACGAGCACGGATAATTTTTGTCCCACAGAACAGGAAGTGGCGAGCCGTTTCCGCAGAGATCGTCGACGCGGATAGATTCATGTTGTGTAGGATCTCATCGGTGACTGGGATCTTCGAAACGGGGACAGATTCTCCTGTAAGCATACTTTCGTTCACGATACAATCGCCACTCAGTAGCAAACTATCGCTGGGAAATTGGGCCAAGCTTGGATCCGAGACTTCGTAGACATCACCCGGGACGAGGTCGCTTGATGGTATATTATCCCCTGCAGGCAGATTAGGTAAGGAATCTTCGCGGAAGACACAAGGTGTCAAGAGTGCACCCAAAAGCAACGGGAGAGCTTACAGAATCCGTCGCGAAGAACTCTGACATCACACTCGAATCGTGATATCTCCTTCAAGCGCTGCATGGTCTGTGATAAAGTCAGTTCGATTTGCTATCAGCTTTGGAGATTCGGCTCGGCCTTACAGCTCTAGTCTCGACCAGAGTAGCAATGATACTGCCCGCCGACATGACGAAAATGCAGACAGCATAGTAATAATATTCATCCAGGGACCAGAGGACCAGACTGGCGATCTGGAAAACATAGAACGGGTGCAATACCTAAAATGGTGTCAGTATAAGCGCTACTTCACATGCAAACACTGCAACTCACCTCATCAACAAGAAGCTGAGGTATTGACTTTTGCTCAATGTCAATCAAGTTCCGCCCGAAAACGCTCTCGCGTGCCTCTTTCTCCTCGTCGTCTATTCCCGAGCGCAGACGACGGACATCCGTCCATGTCGGATCCTTCCAGCCGTTGCAGATGACGAACTTGTCCTTCAGCGGGTGAAAAAAAAACCGTACGTAGCGGTAATTGATTATACGCAGACTCGACAGGATCGGATCCGCATCCTCCTCCAAAAGTTGCGCAAACATCTTCTCCGGCGCGCCAAACACTGATGACAACGGTCTGTCATATGCCTGCTTGTGTATGTCGAGTACGCTCATCTCTCCCCATTGATTCTGCCTTGACGTCAGTCTCCTGTGCTAACTAATCCCATCTCACCACGAACATGCGACTTACCTCGAGGACAACCCATTGACTCTCTGCTAGCGGAGACGGCTGGCCAATCATGCGAACCAGCCAGCGAGGAACCCAACGAAGCAGTAAGTACGCCAAGCCAAATGTCGAAACACATAGAAAGATGTACGCAACGTATCCAACGGAGCTGGTGCGGAATCCGGCAATGACAATCGTCAGGTCCTCGTTAACCATGTGGAGCTTTTGGCTGAGCCTGCTATGACCGCGGCTGCTGGTGTGCGTTCCGTCACTCGTCGTTCGCAAGAGGCGCGCATGGACCGAGCTGCGTGAGTACGTGGACGAGCGCCTGCGCATCGCGTAATCTGTGTGGCCATTGCCGTTTTCGAGCTCTGCGCCAGAACTTTCTTCTTCTTCCTCCACCGGCTCATCGTCAAAATCAGCTTCGAGGCCGAAAGGAATGTCATCCACATCGGGTGTCGCGCCATCGAGTCCATATCCCATTACTGATTCTGCTTCGTCCTCGTCCGCCTCGTCCTCATCGACATTGTAGTACGTAAAGCTCGCGGCCGAGTCCGCGCGCTGTCGGCGATGCGAGAATGCAGAGAGACTTGTCGGAAGACTCTCCGCGACCGGGCCGGAAAAGAGCTGCGGGGCGCAAAAGGCGTTAGCGGTCGGCATGAGTAGGTGATTTCGAGAATGGCGATGTTCTAAGGGGACAAACCTCGTCCTGCGCCATTTCGACATCCTCAAAGATGCTCGAACTGCTTGGGTTCGAATTGAGCCTATACAGAGTGGTCGGCCGCTCGCTCTGCCGCCATGATCGGGGCGCGGACGATTCTTGTGAGTCGTCCATAGCTGGTTGGCAGCTTGCAATCCGAGCACCTTCAATTGTGCATTCTGTGTGCGGCAAAGGAGAGTAGTGCAAGATCCGGAGGCAATTGTTCGGGCACGGGATCCGTTGGCCGATCAGAGCTAATAGGAGGACAGCGAGTGTGGTGGCGTGCGACGACGGGATTGTACAGCTGCACACGACCAATCTCCAGCCGTGAAGACGACGAAGGGAGCCGGCGTATCGAACATATGGGGAATTTGTCTAGGCGCGGCTGATGGACGATGACGCACCGGCAAGTTCTCCAAGATGACATAAGCATCGACCTTTTCTGAAGCCGTGGGGCACCTTGGCTTCCTGGGGCTAGCCAGAGCCGTCGAACGTCTGTGGCACAGAGCTGTATGGGGCACTGACGAGCGTCTCCGGAATCTAAGCCGGCAAGCTCGTGGATGGGAGGCATCATGATCGTGGCCTGCCTGAGGCTGCCTGTGTCGAAGACTGTAAAGCACAGGAGAGTTGCTTTGTGGTTGCAAGCCAGACAGACGCTGAGGATGATATGATACACGGCTACAGGAAGCATGGGTCCACCAAGCAACGACTGAAAAAGTAAAAGAGCTGAAAACCTGGGGTCCTGCACAGCCAAACACCCGCGGCTGACGGAAACATTCTTTGCTAATCGTTGAGAGTTGGATACTCTTCACGTGCGTCACTCCAGAAGCTACAATGTGAAGGCTAACAAGGGCACATATATCGGGGAGGTTCGGGGCCTAGCTCGTCACAAGTGCTGATGCTGTCTGCACCATCCACCAAGGCGAGGGCATCAGATGAGATGTAACCCCCAGGCAAAAGAGGCTTGCTTATCCTCGAAGCAGTGCGCTGCCTTGCATGGGCGATAAGAGCGAGCAGAGGCATTGGGCGTGACGATTCGCCGGGCGTTCGGGAGCTGTTCTGGCATGCTCCAGGCGCAGACGGAATACTGCCGATCGCGTCTCGACGCGCCTGATCTTATCATAGCGACGTCGCCGTGTGGTGGTCAGGCCGGGCGTGGCCGGAGGGAGTGGCTCGAGCCTGGCATGTCTCCAGAGGGCTGGCGGGCGGGTGGGCGCCCGGCGGACGAGTCGCAAGGGCGAAAACTCTGTGAAATGCAGCGAGCCCAACGGAAATTTCAACATGTTTTGGCTTTGGACGGGGGATCTGTCGCTCGAGTCGCGACTAGGATGCCCGCCCCCCCACTTGGCCAGGTGCCGCCCAGGCGAGCGGAGCGGAGCCCCACCAAATTCCCCCCTTCACTGCTGCGAGTCCTCGAGGGCGGCTCACCACTTACAGCAAGCCGTGGCTGGCCCCTCGCCTACGCGCCCGCCCACTGGTGAGAGGCGAGAGAGGCGTGCGTGTGCGTGGAGTGCTCTCTGCCTGCCTGGCTGACCTTGTTGCTAGTCAGGCCCAGAGCTAGTGCGCTTTCGTCCGCTGCCTTGCAACTTTTTTCTTGCCTCCCGCGGCCCCAATCCTGCGCCGCCAGTCGCTCTCCCCCCTTCACCGCCCGCACGGCCGCTCCCCCCGCCAGGCCCTTCAGAGTGCCAACAACTGCCCTCGCCTCACCACTTGGTACCAGCGGCTGGCTGCTTCTCTCCGCCATCAATCCTCATTCTCTGCCCAAAGCCCCGAGACGGCCGGCTACTCTGACCTGCTCGCTCGATCCTGCGTCATCTCCTTCTCTCCTCTCCTCACCCTCTCAAACCTCCCTACCCCTCTGTGCGCCATCCCAGGGATCTGCTTCCCCAGCAAATCTCCGTCACCAACAACTACCCCTCCACTTCTCACCACACCCCTCCTCTCGACATCCAGCGTCGACTCACAAAACATTCACAATGGCCGAGCCCATCAAGAACAGACGGCCTGACACCGCCCCGTATGTCTCTCCTCATCTCATCTCAGCTCGTCCTCTCTGCTGCCCTTTCCCATCCATCCTCGACCACGACTGCATCGTCGCTGCATCTTGCACACTAACACACCATGTCGTCTAGCACGCCGCAAAACACCCCCCTCAACAATGCTCCCATCTCTTCGCATGCCCAACAGCCTGGCGTTGCCAGCATCAAGGAAGGTGAGTGCACCCGCAACAGCATGCAACTTCAAGTTCAACTTGTGTGAATCGTAAAAAAAAATTCATTTCCCCGTTTGTGCTGACCGTTGCTTTCTCTTCACACTATAGAGGACCTCGACCGTGCTGCGGCCGCTTCCATCTTCGCACAGAACCCTGCCCTTGTCCAGATGATCCAGGGCAGACTCGGCTCTCTTGTCGGCAGGTCATCCGGCTACATCGAGTCTCTTCCCCAGCCTGTCCGCCAGCGTGTTTCAGGTCTCAAGGGCATCCAGCAACAGCACTCTAAGCTCGAGGCCGAGTTCCAGGAGGAGGTTCTCCAGCTCGAGAAGAAGTACTTCGCCAAGTTCACTCCCCTGTACGAGAAGCGTGCTCAGATCATCAACGGCAAGACTGAGCCCACGGAAGAGGAGATCCAGGCTGGCAAGTCGCAGGACGAGGAAGATGAGGAAGCTCCCAAGCCAGCCGAGAAGGAGACGACCGAGGCCGTCAACGTCACTGGTATCCCCGAGTTCTGGCTGTCGGCCATGAAGAACTCCATCTCCCTGGCTGAGATGATCACCGACCGCGACGAGGAGGCCCTCCGCTCCTTGACCGACATCCGCATGGAGTACCTCGACAAGCCTGGTTTCCGCCTCATCTTCGAGTTTGCCGAGAACGAATTTTTCACCAACAAGACCATCACCAAGACCTACTTCTACCAGACAGAGAACGGCTACGGTGGCGACTTCATCTATGACCACGCTGAGGGCGACAAGATTGACTGGAAGGATGGCCGTGACCTGACTGTGCGCATTGAGAGCAAGAAGCAGAGAAACAAGAGTGAGGATATAACCACGGAGCTTATCACAGTCGCCTCAACATTGCTAACTTTTTTTTTCTCACTCAGACACGAAACAGACCCGCATTGTCAAGAAGACTGTGCCCACGGAGTCATTTTTCAACTTCTTCTCGCCACCCAAGCCCCCCAAGCCGGAAGAGGAAGAAGAGGAGGACGATGGCGCCTCCGACATCGAGGAGCGCTTGGAGCTTGACTACCAGCTCGGTGAGGACATCAAGGAAAAGCTCATTCCTCGCGCCATCGACTGGTTCACTGGCGAGGCCCTCGCCTTTGAGGAGCTCGATGACTTTGAGGATGAGGATGGCTACGATGATGAGGACGATGAGGATGATGACCTTAGCGAGGACCGTGACGATGACGATGAGGAGGAGTCCGACGACGAAGTGAGTTCCAGCGGCGCACCTGACCTGGTTCCTAGTTTTGACTGACAATCGGTTGCAGGATGACACCGGCAAGCCCAAGCAGGAGGCTGCTGAATGCAAGCAGAGCTAAATTGTTCGTATCTCGTCAACGACACTCCGGCAGCGGTCTCTCCCCTGTGAGGACACAAGGGCTACTCCCTGCGCCGATCTGGTGTGTTGGCAGTCTCACGCGTCTCAACCAGTAGTGACTACAGATGACGGTGGCTGGAGGCAGTGCGCAAGATCCAGCATCACGAGTCGATCTGATATAGAACGGCAATTCCTCTAGGAGGGAGACGAGCGCCGCGATCTATGCGTCGTGCCGTTGTGCTTTACTTCCGCGGTGTTCTCTGTCATTTTTAGCCGAGCTTCACAATAGGAGGAGTGGCTCAAGCTGCGTAACATGGGAATCAGTCCAGTAGTGTTCAGCAAAGTGCATACTCTGGTCAATCATCACAAAAAGCCACGCGCTGCTACTTTGGCGGCTGAAGTCTGTTTACTTTGACATTTTTCCATACTCACGACTGCTTGTACGCATAATCATAATCTACTCAATAGACGAACGACATGTTTCCAAGGCGACCCCAGTATCACTCGATCGACAATTCCAGCCCCGGCAGTAGCTTTCAATATTCCTCCCCGTGGAAGCAATCTCCATATACTGGAGAGGCCACGCCACGCCTTGAGAGCATTGGAGATTCTTTTCACAAGCTCTTTTCGGAGAGCTCCACTGCTGGCAAATCCTTCACAAGATTGTCATGCAGGCACAACTCATGGTTGCTGCAAACAGTGACCGCCCGCCTGAGGCAAGCTGAAGCTGATTTGAGATCATCTTAATATTTAGACGTGCGGACACTATGAGGCAACCAATACCTTCGTGGGACCACTGGATGGCTTTGTCCGAGTACTGTGGAGGCACATCGTCAGTTGCACTGACTGCACTGACTGCACTGACAGAGGGCGACATCGGACGAGGGAGAAATTTTTACGGGGACGTGTCCGACTACCGTCCATCCCACTTGGTTCACCGGATTGTAGGCATGCCTCTATTCCAGTCCGGAAACGGGTGCATCTATTGTCAGGGCATAATTGCCTTTTCACCAAATCATGCATGTACAGAAGAATAAAGATAGAATGCACGGCACGAGTTTTTAAGTCTTGGTATCCAGAGTCAGCACGGTCTAACTTGCAAAAGAACCATTCAAGTGGTGTGCCAATTCCGGGGGTCCTGAGGATCTTTTTTTGACCGGGGCTATGAGGTGGTGGGCTGGCGATGGCGCAATAGGTCTTAGTGAGTCGAAGCCTGCGGCTCTCTGGCGAGCATGGGTCCCCAACACGGCTAAGGGAGCGGGCGAAGGAAAGATGCCATCGATGTCGGATGTCGGAACGCCCACGACGAGCTCGTTGCGGATTCGTCATTGCCGCCCTGCACGTGGCCGACAAATTGCAGCACGGACGGGTCGGTGAGGTTGTCAAGCCGCAAGCTTGCTACGGCTGCGGGCAGGACACCCGTCTCCGAACACGCATGGCAATATGCGTCAGAGGACCCCACGTTTTGTCGTGCGAGGGATGAGACAAGCATCTTGAGAAAGATGCGGGACGTGTTTATAAGTGCCCTTGCGCCGTGTCTTCAACAAAGGAGGCTGTATTCTTGTCTTTTCTTCTCCCCCGCAATTAAGCAGAGCCTCGATCCTAACTCGGCCGATCACACTGCCCGTGCGTGTGTCCTGCTTGAAGCTGCACCAGACCATAGCTTGAGACAGAGCACCAACCGCCCGTCCACTTGTCCTGTCCCGCCCGAAGCCTTCGCTCCCGCCCGAGCTCGGCGCCGTGGATATTTTGCAACCTTCTACAACAACCCTTTCCAGACACACACACTCTTCGCCTGAGACCGTCAGCCATGGCAACCCCTTCGAGCATACAGATCCCCGGCCGCGCCGTCGAGGCCAGCAATCGGCAACTCAGCTTCTCGACCTCCCCCACCGCAACCTTCCAGTCCCCGCCGTCGAGCTTCCCCGGCTCCCTTGCGAACCGCCCGAAGCAGCAGGAGAAGGTGCTGCAGCCTTTCGAGACCCAGAACATCAAGATCCTCCTCCTCGAGAACGTCAATCAGAGCGGCAGGGACATCCTCACCGGCGAGGGCTACCAGGTCGAAGTCCACAAGAGCTCGCTGCCTGAGGAGGAGCTCATTGAGAAGATCAGGCACGTCACCACTGGCCGTCGATGCGTTCCTGCATCAGCCAACCCCTCCAACCCCGCCAAAAAAATGTCAAAGAGATCGCAGCATGTGAAACCATGGAGGACTCTCGGCACAGCACCAAACCCACGTCAATCGGCTTCGTTATAATACGAATTCTATTGCTAACACACAGTATTCTATTAGAGATGTCCACGTCATTGGCATTCGCTCCAAGACCAGGCTCAGCGAGAAGGTCCTGAAGGAGGCCAAGAACCTGCTGGTCATTGGCTGCTTCTGCATCGGTACAAACCAGGTCGACCTTGAGTTTGCCGCCACTAATGGCATCGCCGTCTTCAACTCTCCCTTTGCCAACTCTCGCAGTGTGGCTGAGCTAGTCATCTGCGAGATCATCACTCTTGCGCGCCAGCTTGGTGACCGTTCCAATGAGATGCACAGGGGCACATGGAACAAGGTCAGCAACAAGTGCTGGGAGATCCGTGGAAAGACACTTGGTATGTCTCGGTCCGTCCGTTGAGAGCCTGGCTGGCGGCCCAGAGAGTAAACACTGACCGAGTTTCGCAGGCATTGTCGGTTACGGCCACATTGGCTCGCAACTTTCCGTGCTGGCTGAGGCCATGGGCATGTCCGTCATCTACTACGACGTCGTCAACTTGATGGCTCTGGGTACCGCTCACCAGGTCCCGACGCTCGAGGCCCTCCTGAATGAGGCCGACTTCGTGACCCTCCACGTTCCCGAACTCCCAGAGACCAAGAACATGATCTCGGCCCCGCAATTTGAGCAGATGAAGCAGGGCGCCTACCTCATCAACGCCAGCCGTGGCACTGTTGTCGACATCCCGGCCTTGATCAACGCCATGCGCGGTGGAAAGGTGGCCGGTGCCGCTCTCGATGTGTACCCTGGCGAGCCGCGCGCGAACGGCGACTACTTCACCAACGACCTCAATGGCTGGGAGGAGGAACTCCGCAGCCTCAACAACATCATCCTCACTCCTCACATCGGTGGCAGCACAGAGGAGGCGCAAAGAGCGATTGGCGTGGAAGGTAGGTCTACCCGCTGATTCGGATGCAAGTACCTGTCGGCTGACAAAGACGACCCTGTACAGTGGCCGATAGTCTCGTGCGATACATCAACCAGGGTTCCACGCTCGGCAGTGTCAACATGCCCGAATGCAACCTTCGCTCTTTGACGCTTGACGAGTCTAAGCACGCCCGTGTAAGTACTCTTTTCTTTGCCAAATTGAGCATGAGGAGTAATCAGGACGCTAACAAGAGCAATAGGTCATCTACATCCACAAGAACGTGCCCGGTGTGCTGCGTAAAGGTAAGCAGAGGCAACATATCACGGAAAGACTAGGCAGAGGCTGACTTGTATTCCAGTCAACGAGGTCTTGATGAACCACAACGTCGACAAGCAAATTTCAGACAGCAGAGGCGAGGTGGCGTACCTCATGGCAGACGTTAGCGACGTCCAGCTCTCTGATATCAAGGAGATCCACGATGGCCTCGAGGCCCTGAGCTGTAAGCCATGTCGTATCCTTCCCGATATTGCGTATCCAATGCTAACGACGCCCCAGCCCGGATCCTGGTCCGTGTGCTCTACTAAAGGAGTGAGCTTGGTTTGCCAACGAAACATGTTTCAACCACGAAGAATAACAGGCGGGGGCAAGTTGAGAAGTTCAGGGAGATTCCAGGCACCGCTCCAATCATGCCCAGGGGGGGCTCAGGAACAAACCCCTGACACGAAAGCAAAATCAAATCAAAATGTATACCCTGGTAAAAGATAAAAAAGACGGCAAAATATGGGATATTTTTCGTCGAGGAGTTTCAACACACAAAATAGCGAGAGAACATAACTGGGCATTTGGGCCAAACCAATAGAATTTTCTTGGGATACTGAGATACCATGCACGTTTTAGGAGGTTGGGAAACAAAGCCACACGAGCCGCACACACGCATAAATTGTTTCCACCACGGGCGCGGTGACGTGCCCCCTTTTCGGGCATTGGCAGGGTTCATGGGTGAGCGCGGCGCGGGCGCGCGGAGGCGGCTTCCGTGGTCGTGATTAATGTCGGGGAGTATAATGATTGCATATTGCAGGGCCAGGCGCGAGGTTTTGTCATTTCTTGCGTCCACGGGAAGAGCACGGCTACCATGAGTCTCCGTGCGAAAAAGCCAAAAGGAAGCACGCAATGCCGCCGGGTGGGATCGGCAGAGGTTACGCATTACGATGTAGGTAGGCATGTTCGACATGGCATGGAAGAAAAGGAAGAAGCGCATGGATCGTGGAAGGCCAAGCATGGGTTTTCGGTTCGATGTGTTTTTTAATTTGATCTCTCGTTCCGGGGTACCGGGAATGAGATGCATGTCCAAGCCAAGGGTTCCGAAGCTGCGCTTGATGCGAAAAAGGAAGGACTCGCGGGTGGCATTGTCACCACCTGCACACCAGTGTCCTCCTGGCTTCAGCAGCCGTTGGAACTTGAGACTCTAGGTCGTGCCTGCAATCCTCATGTCGACGTAGGCAAGGTACCTTGAGTGGCTGCATGCAAGCCCGGATCTTCGACGGCCGATTTGTTGAATGCAGCTGCAGGACTGTGTGTTAGTGCGTACTCTCCAGAGCCCTCCTCTGACAACCTAAGAAGTCTTGGAACAGCCCTGGAGTGGCCGAGCGTGTGGGTGTGCGGGTGTGGGTGGCTGCAAGGCACAAAAAAGGGGTTCGCTCTGCGAACCTATTTTCAGGGCGCTGGGGATGGCAAGGTACACCCACAGGAGGTTCCCCCGTCCGCAGCTGCCACTGTTTCCTGCGGTTGACCATCCTGGAATCAGTACTCTGCTCCAAAGTTTAGCAGTAGCATCCCCCGTCCGCGTCCGCCGTCTTGCGGGAGAGAGACGTCCAGTGTGCCAAATGCCTCCGGGCGGGTGGCCGCGATTTGGCGGTAGCCATAATGGGTCTAGCTGGGAGGGACCCCCCCTTCGATGGGGAGTCCCCTTCTTTTTGGTTTACCCCTGTTTCCAATCTGTCCGCTTGCTGGCAACATTCAGCAACATGAGAGGGTGAGTTTCTCCTTTCTGTGTGCAGACCTGCGCGCGCAGATCACCTCGAGGCGACGAGGGAAAAGTTTACTGGACCAACGGGGAACGACTAAGCAGGGCTGAGAAGCTTGCTGACATGCTGAGCTGTAGTTAGCGGATTGTCGCAAGCCACGGTCCAAGCAGCAGTTGGCTCCCTTTGTGCCCCGCCATCGACGGAGATCAGAAGAAGGTTGGATGGAGGCTGGTGGCTTGTGAGCGGGAATCTGCCACGACAACCTGTAGACTTTTTGTTAGTCTGAAGCTTTGTTTCCGAGAATTGATGGGGCAGCAGAGAGCACAGAGCACAATGCTCACCCACCCTGCCAGAGCGAGTGAGCGGGCGTGCGTGCGTGCCCGGATGCCCTGCCTGAGGGAGTTGTGACTGGCGTGAACCCCTGTGCCCACATGGGTGTGTGTGGTGCGGCATGGACAATGGCCGCCGCCGCCCACCGCTGCCCCAGTTGCTGCTGTCCCGGCCCCCGTTATCGATCCTAGAAAGTCGGAGCGGCCAGCTCGACCTCGAGAGCACACAACCCGCCCCTTGGACACCAGCCTCTTTCCTCCTCCAGGGCACCAGACTCAAGCACCCGCTGCATTCCCCAGATCCAGGCGTCCACCTGCAGGATCCTCGTGGGCTTGCTTGCTCGCCTATCCTCCTGTCCTTCTTACTGCAGCACCCGGCTTGCATCGTTGTACCACCTCGTTCTCCGCCCGCATCAGCCAGCCAGCTCAGCACTGCCCGCTGCCGCTGCCACAACCCTGTCGCGGATACGGATGCTTCGTGCTCCTGCCATCGTCCTAATTCCATCGAAAAGAGCTCGCACGTCTGCTCTTCACGATTCTGCACACCAAACACTTTCCCCCTTAGCGAAGGGCACGAGCGGTCTCCGTCCTGACCCATGACCCTAGCTTAAGAGGCACCCGAGCCCACACCGCAACGACGTTACGAACATTTTCCCTCTCAATACTATTAGAAGAAAACGCTCACTTGTGAGCAAACCGGCCCGTCCCCATGTCGCATAGCTACGATGTCGGGACGCGAGTCTGGCAGCCCGATGCCACCGAGGGCTGGGTGGCATCCGAGGTTATCAGCAAGACCGTCAACGGCGACAAGGTGATCCTGGAGTTCCAGCTCGAGAACGACGAGGTGAGTGCAGAGACAAGTCCCATTCTTGCAAGGTCTCTCGGCGGTTTCGGAGTACTTGCTTGAGGCCAAAGTCGGCCGTTTGTTCGCACCGCAAGCACTGCTTGACTAACACGGCTTTTCGTCCTTACAGGTCAAAACAGCCGAGATCTCGCTCGAAGCTCTTCAGAATGGCAAAGATGCCTCGCTGCCGCCACTCATGAACCCTTCCATGCTGGAAGCCAGCGATGATTTGACGAACCTTTCGCACTTGAACGAGCCTGCCGGTACGCAATCTATATTCTGCCAAAGCCAGCGGACGACCGAAAAGGAGGGGTGATGCTAACAACAGCTTCTTTTTTCTTTCCTCACAGTTCTGCAGGCGATTCGTCTGCGATATGCGCAAAAGGAGATCTACACTTACAGTGGTATCGTCCTCATTGCGACGAACCCGTTTGCCCGAGTCGACTCGCTCTACGTGCCCGGCATGGTCCAGGTTTACGCCGGCAAGCAGAGAGAGACTCAGGCGCCTCACTTGTTCGCCATTGCTGAGGAGGCTTTTATGTGATTAACCCCCTCAGTATCAAGTTCTGGTCGATTTGGTGCTGCAATACTGACGCCTCTACTTGTAGAAAAATGATCAAGGACAGCAAGAACCAGACTGTGGTTGTCTCTGGAGAGTCCGGTGCCGGAAAGACAGTCAGCGCCAAATACATCATGCGGTACTTCGCGACAAGAGAATCGCCGAGCGAGACTGGTTCGCGGTCAAGAAAGGGGGGCGACTCCATGAGTGAGACGGAAGAGCAGATTCTGGCGACAAATCCCATCATGGAAGCTTTCGGAAACGCCAAGACCACGAGAAACGACAATTCTTCGCGCTTTGGAAAGTACATTGAGATCATGTTTGACAAGAAGACCAACATCATTGGTGCAAAGATTCGAACGTATCTTCTTGAGCGGTCAAGACTCGTGTTCCAGCCGCTCAAGGAGCGAAACTACCACATTTTCTACCAGCTGCTGGCAGGCGCGACCGAGCAAGAGCGCGAGGAGCTCAACCTGCTTCCGGTCGAGCAATTCGACTATCTCAACCAGGGCAATGCACCCATCATTGATGGTGTGGACGACAAGGCGGAATTCATCGCGACAAAGAGCTCTTTGAGCACTATTGGTGTAAATGAAGCAAAACAGTCTGGCATCTTCCATTTGCTGGCCGGTCTGCTGCATCTTGGAAACGTCAAGATCACTGCCTCCAGAAACGACAGCGTGCTCGCCCCTGATGAGCCCAGCTTGGTCAAGGCCTGCGCCCTTTTGGGAATCGATGCGACGACCTTCGCCAAGTGGATTGTCAAGAAGCAGCTCGTCACCCGCGGTGAGAAGATCGTCTCCAACCTCACCCAGCAGCAAGCTGTTGTCGTTCGTGACTCGGTTGCCAAGTACATCTACTCGAGTTTGTTTGACTGGCTCGTCGAGGTCATCAACAAGAGCTTGGCTACTGACGAGGTCCTGAGCCGTGTCACTTCATTCATTGGTGTTCTTGATATTTATGGTTTCGAGCACTTCGCCAAGAACTCCTTTGAGCAGTTCTGCATCAACTACGCCAACGAGAAGCTTCAACAGCAATTCAACTCCCACGTCTTCAGACTTGAGCAAGAGGAGTACGTTCGCGAACAAATCGACTGGACATTCATCGATTTCTCAGACAACCAGCCTTGCATCGACCTTATCGAAGGCAAGCTCGGTGTATTGTCTCTGTTGGACGAGGAGTCGAGGTTGCCCATGGGCTCTGACGAGCAGTTCGTCACAAAGCTCCACCACCACTTTGCCGCCGACAAGAACAAGTTTTACAAGAAGCCAAGATTCGGCAAGTCTTCGTTCACAGTCTGCCACTATGCTGTTGACGTCACTTATGAGTCCGAGGGCTTCATCGAGAAGAACAGAGACACTGTCCCCGACGAGCACATGGAGGTCATGCGTGCTTCGTCCAACGATTTCCTTGGCGACGTTCTTGCGGCCGCGTCTGCTGCCCGCGAGAAGGACGTTGCTTCCAGTGGCTCGGCGGTTGCCAAGCCAGCAGCTGGCAGGAAGATTGGAGTTGCTGTGAACCGCAAGCCCACTCTCGGTGGCATCTTCCGCTCCTCGCTCATTGAGCTCATGGCCACAATTGGCAACACCAACGTCCATTACATCCGTTGTATCAAGCCCAACGAAGCCAAGGTGGCCTGGAAGTTCGAAGGCCCCATGGTTCTCAGCCAGCTCAGAGCCTGCGGTGTCTTGGAGACCATCCGCATTAGTACCGCTGGTTATCCTGGTCGCTGGACTTATGAGGAGTTTGCACTCCGGTACTACCTGCTTGTGCCGTCGACGGAGTGGCAGACCGAGATTCGGCAACTTGTCAAGCAGATCTTGGCCAAAGCCCTGGGCACCCTTACTGGTACCGGCTCTGACAACTACCAGCTGGGTCTGACCAAGATCTTCTTCCGCGCTGGTATGCTCGCTCACTTGGAGAACCTCCGCCAGACTCGGATGACCGAGGCGGCTACCATGATCCAGAAGAACCTCAAGGCCAAGTACTACCGCCGCAAGTACCTCGAGGCACGAGAGTCTGTCGTTGCTCTTCAGTCCCTCTTCCGTGGCTACACGACAAGGCGGAAAGCCCAAGACCTTCGCATCACAAAGGCTGCCACGACCATCCAGCGAGTATGGAAGGGCCAGAAGCAGCGGAAGCAGTTCTTGCGCATCCGCAATGACATCATCCTTGCTCAGGCTGCTGCCAAAGGTTACCTCCGCCGCAGGGAGATCATGGAGACTCGTGTCGGCAATGCTGTTCTGCTCATCCAGCGTGTCTGGCGTGCGAGGAGACAGCTCCGCTCTTGGCGCCAGTATCGTAAGAAGGTCGTCCTCGTCCAGAGCTTGTGGCGTGGTAAGCAGGCGAGAAAGGGATACAAGAAGGTCCGCGAGGAGGCTCGTGACCTGAAGCAGATCTCGTACAAGCTCGAGAACAAGGTTGTCGAGCTCACACAGTCGTTGGGAACCATGAAGTCCCAGAACAAGACCCTCGTCTCGCAGGTCGAGAACTACGAGAATCAAATCAAGTCCTGGAAGACTCGCCATGCTGCTCTTGAGACAAGGACCAAGGAACTGCAGGCCGAGGCCAACCAGGCCGGTATTGCCGTTGCCAAGCTGCAAGCGATGGAGGAGGAGATGAAGAAGCTCCAGACGAACTTTGATGACTCAACCCACAACGTCAAGCGGATGCAAGAAGAGGAGCGCAAGCTTAAGGAATCCCTCAGGACTGCTACTTCGGAGCTGGAGCGTGTACGCCAGGAGACCACGCAGCACGAGAACGAGAAGATCTCGCTGCGCGAGCAACTGGCTCACATGTCTGAAGAGCTTGAGCTTGCACGTCGGTCGGCTCCTGTCAACGGCGAGGCGACCAATGGCTCGAATGTTGCGCCGCCTATCAGCGGACTTATCAACTTGGTCACTTCCAAGAAGCCCAAGCGGCGGAGTGCTGGCGCGGAGCTTCGGGATGCCGACCGCTTCAGCGCGGCATACAACCCGAGACCTGTCTCGATGGCTGTTACTGGCGGTGCCAGCAGACAGCTGGGAGGCGGTGCTTTCGCGCCTGCTGACTCGATCGAGATGGAGCTCGAGGATCTGCTCGCAGATGAGGATGGCTTGAACGAGGAGGTTACCATGGGCTTGATCCGGAACCTCAAGATCCCATCGCCCAACACAACTCCTCCTCCCTCCGACAAGGAGGTTCTGTTCCCGTCGTACCTGATCAACCTTGTCACTTCCGAGATGTGGAACAATGGTTTTGTCAAGGAGTCAGAAAGATTCCTCGCCAATGTCATGCAGTCTATCCAGCAGGAGGTCATGCAGCACGACAGCGACGATGCTATCAACCCTGGCGCTTTCTGGCTGTCCAATGTTCACGAGATGCTCTCCTTCGTCTTCCTTGCTGAGGACTGGTACGAAGCTCAGAAGACCGACAACTACGAGTACGATCGGCTCCTAGAGATTGTCAAGCACGACCTTGAGAGCTTGGAGTTCAACATCTATCACACCTGGATGAAGATCATCAAGAAGAAGCTCAACAAGATGATTATTCCTGCTATCATCGAGTCTCAGTCTCTGCCCGGCTTTGTCACGAACGAAAGTAACAGATTCCTCGGCAAACTGCTGCAGACCAACTCCCAGCCTGCGTACAGCATGGATAACCTGCTCAGCCTGCTCAACAACGTCTTCCGGGCGATGAAGTCATACTACCTCGAAGACTCGTACATTATGCAGACCATCACTGAGCTGCTCCGCCTCGTTGGTGTCACTGCTTTCAACGATTTGCTCATGCGTCGCAACTTCCTCTCCTGGAAGCGTGGTCTCCAGATCAACTACAACATTACTCGTATTGAGGAGTGGTGTAAGAGCCACGACATGCCTGAGGGCACTCTACAGCTCGAGCACTTGATGGTGAGTCATGACCGCTGTGGGCGTTGTGTTTGGTAATGCGATATTGTGCTAACCCTCTTGAACAGCAAGCGACAAAGCTTCTGCAGCTGAAGAAGGCTACCCTGAACGACATTGAGATCATTCAGGATATCTGCTGGATGTAAGTGATGCCACCTCGGTCCAGGAAACAGTGAAAATGCTGACATTTTTGCAACAGGTTGTCACCCAACCAGATCCAGAAGCTGCTGAACCAGTACCTTGTTGCTGATTACGAGCAGCCTATCAATGGCGAGATTATGAAGGCCGTCGCCTCAAGAGTCACGGAGAAGAGCGATGTTCTGCTGCTGCAGGCTGTCGACATGGACGACAGTGGCCCGTACGAGATCGCCGAGCCGAGATCCATCACTGCTTTGGAGACTTACACACCATCATGTGAGTTTGACCTTGTCTCCGAACTTGTACGAGCTGAAACTAATGTGCATCAATAGGGCTGCAAACTCCCCGCCTCAAGCGCCTTGCCGAGATTGTGTCTGCTCAGGCTGTCGCTCAGCAGGAGAAGTACGATCCGGAGGCCTATGGTGAGCACGCCGATTCTTTCCCTGAGGAAGACGAGGACGACGAGGAAGCCCCTGTCACCACTGCGTAGAGCGGAGTTGTGACAAGGTGGCGGACCGTTTCACCCGCCATGTCTATACGAAGTGCTTGAGACGCGAAATAGAGGCGAGTCTTTTTTGTCGCGAAGCAAGAGGTGTAAAACATACCAGTGCAATATAGAGGAGCAGTACGTCATAACGAGTTCACGGGAATGGATATATCATAACCAGGTCGTGGAGGAAAATACTACGGGGAGGCAACAAGGGCAATGTCAGGCAAGGGAGTGTGGATGTCTGACTATAGGATTGCTGCCTGCATGCCAACAGGAATCGATCGAATGCATTTGACGAGCGTGGACGAGTTTATCGAGAAAAGGAGCCATTCTGTCAATGTGAAGCTGTACGTCAAAGTTGGGGCCTGTGGGCAATGGTGAGTAGCGTGGCCGCCGCGCTCTGTGATTGGCTTTGGCCGTGACCCACTTGCGTAGAAGGCTGCGGCGTGGTGGGATTTGAAGATTTGCCGTGATTTTCGTTCTAAGTGGATGACCCTCTGGATCCTGGGGCCAAGTACAGTCTGTCAGTATCAACAACACAGCATAGACAGTCTCAAAAGCAGTACAACGCGGACAAATCATCCCTCAAGCAATAGACGAGCACACTCACACCTTTTCCGCCCCGCTAGGTTGTGAAACTGCCATCGACTCACCAGTAAGAGTCTCACTCTCGCAAATTTCTCTACATTGGTATGGTGCATGCGATTCTGGGTCTCCTGCTTAATCTGACGTGCTTGTCCACGTCCTGTCCATGAAAATCTCTTCACCCCTAGTCATTCACTTCTTGTAGTCTTGATTCGCTCTATTTCTAGCATGGGACTAATCAGTGGTGGCAGAATCGCATAGAGTGCCAGGCTTCAGGGCCATTCTCAAAAGTCATCGGTGACCAGGAGCGACGTGTTCTAAACCCCTAGAACCTTACTGGTTTTAAAAGAAGCTCGCTCTTGGGCGTTCCCATAGACGGAAAACAGCGGCTCATAGCCCAAGGCGACTGTTGCTGGACTGCACAGTTTCGAGTCCACAGAGGGGAATTCCTTTTGCACCCCGCATATCGCCGCAGTTTTCCTCTGCTGCTTTGTCTTCAGGGATTTCTGAATTTTTATTCCATCTGCACAGCGAATAGGGACGGATCGAGGCTGCACGGCAGGGCGAATAGCGAGAATCAACCGTAGAGGATAGAAGCAGGATATTTCCCGAACCATGGCGACCACATCAACACGGAAACTGCCCAACATCATCATCACGGGGACTCCCGGGGTGGGCAAGACGTCGCACTGCGAGGCGCTCGCGGAGCGGAGCGGGCTCAAGCACATGTCGGTCAACCAGGTCGTCAAGGACAAGCAGTGTCATGAAGGATGGGACGAGGAGTACCAGAGCTGGGTCGTGGATGAGGACAAGGTGAGTGATAAACCCCCCGCCCCTCCTTTTTTTCTCCTTTTTCTTTTGATTCCTTCTCACTTTTCCTTTCTTCTCTTCCGCAATTACGCCTGTTTCCTAATGGTCGAGATTGCTCTGTAATATGGAAATTCGTACTTGGTATCTGCGGGACTGACGTTGCATACTTAAGCTCTTGGACGCGATCGAGGACGAGGCCAAGCAGGGCGGGTGCATCATAGACTGGCACGCGTGCGACCTGTTCCCGCAGAGCTGGATTGACCTGGTCGTCGTGCTGCGCGCGGACTCGACGACACTGTACGACCGGCTCAAGGCGAGGTAAGTCATACCCTTCCCACTCACCCCCCTTTTTGCGCCTTGCAAGTCCGCTTGCTCACTCGAAATGGAACGTGCTCCCCCAAACGTGCAGAAACTACCCCGAGGTCAAGCTCCAGGAGAACCTCGACTCTGAGATCATGGAGGTGCTCCTGCAGGAGGCGCGGGACTCGTACGACGAGGAGATTGTCATTGAGCTGCAGAGCAACGACACGGACGAGATGGAGAGCAACGTAGACCGCATCATGGGCTGGCTGGAGCAGTGGAAGAAGGACAACGAGTGACGAGTGCAAGGGCAAGGGGAAAAAAAAGGATAGATATCATGATGTTTTTTGCTCGTCAATTTGCCTTTCATTTGACTTTCGCTCTTTCAGTTTCTTCTGTTTGGTTTCTGGATTTCTGGATTTCTGGATTTCGTGGTAGGCGTTTTTCTGGGGGGAAAAAAAGAAAAAGGTCTTTCCTTAGATGGCAATAGACAAAAAATGGTTCATTGCACTGATCGCTTCCCAGGGCAGGATATGCTCCCGGACACAGATAACATGTTGACCCATGTCTTCAGACCACACCAAAAGAAACTAGATGCATTCTGTAGCAGCGGACAAAACCAAAGAAATGCTCGGCTGTATGGTAGAGCCGAGCGCGGGGACTACTGTCTCAACTTCTTGAATCTGCTGTCTCCGATGTCAGGATCTGCAACAGCGCCTTCGACTGGGACATCAAACCAGATCGAATGTGACGTTTCAATTCGCCGGTTGCTCAAGCTGAATCGAGGCTGAGTTTAAGAAAGCTGGAAAGTCCAACTCGGCCTCCAACCCCCCTCCCTAAATGGTGTGTGAGACCGGCATCGGCCATTGCATAGCCCCACCACCACGGCAGCCGCCGGCCGGATGTGTCACGACGGCCAGACAACCCAGACATGCAGCATCCGACTGACTACCCACCTCAGGGGTTGGAAAAGAACCACGAGATACTACGGCGGGGGGAAAGGTCTATATTTTGTATATATGCATTCGCGTTGATCCAGAGTAGATTATCCAGGAACGAGATCTGAACCTTTCAACCTCTGCACAACAAGAGAAACTTTGCGAGACCATCACTGCTATCTGGCCCTTAAGTCTCCTTATCAATCCGTACATTGCGGGCCCAAGCCTCTTTTGTCACAACCAACAACCCGAATCAACAGTCTCTGGAAAAACACACCCACTTGCCTATATATCGCAACCACAACCTACGACAAGTAGAGACGGGAGCCAATAAGGAAAGAAAAAAAGATCTGCAGCCTCACCACCTGTCTTTTTTCTGACCCCAGTACACCACCAACAACAACAACAATCACAAATACACACATACACATACCATAGAAAAAAATGGCGACAAGCAGCAGCACCGCCCCCCCAGTGGTCAACTTCATCACCGGCAACGCCAACAAGCTGGCCGAGGTCAAGGCCATCCTCGAGCCCGCGGGCATCACCGTCAACAACCAGAGCCTCGACCTACCCGAGATCCAGGGCACCGTCGAGGAGGTGACGCTCGAAAAGTGCCGCGTCGCCGCCGACCTCGTCAAGGGGCCCGTCCTCGTCGAGGACACGTGCCTGTGCTTCAACGCCCTCGGCGGCCTGCCGGGGCCTTACATGTCAGTCTCTCTCTCTCTCTCTTATTTCTTTCTTTTCCTTTGCAGAATCCGCTGCCGCTGGTTTCTGTCTAAACCTTTGTGCCCCCCCTCCCCTGGGACTTTGAGATTATCTCCGGAGGGAAGAAAGGGGGGATCTCTTTGAGAAGAGGTGGTTCCGAAAAGTGCTCTGGGTTTCATATCTGTAGGAAATTTGTTGCGAGCAGGATCAGTTCATGTTCCCCCGGAAGCAAGTCGATGCTCATAAAGAACGAACGTTCAGACGCTGACATTTCGATGGCAAAATAAATGCAGCAAATGGTTCATGAAGTCCATCGGCCACGAGGGTCTCAACAACCTCCTCGCCGCGTACGACGACAAGTCTGCCGAGGCTGTCGCCACGTTCGGCTTCTCAAAGGGGCCTGGACACCCGCCGCTGCTCTTCCAGGGCCGCACTGACGTGAGTCCCCCTCGCCCCAAATCTCGACCAGCCATGTGCCCGTGTAGCCGAGTGGTTTTCTGACCCTGGGCCCCCCCTTATGGGCGTTTGTATAACAGGGCAAGATCGTTCCTGCTAGAGGACCTACTTTCTTTGGTGTGTTTGGTATGGCCCTTTGATTTCCAACGTGTGCACAAGTGACCATTTTCAAGACTGCTGCGGCGGGATCACTCGTGATCCTCCAACGCAGCGACTTGAACACGACACTATACCCCCAGAACAAAATCAGCAACCGGGTTGGTGTAGCTCGTGCACAACATGATTCAGTTCACTAACATCACACGTTGCTCAGGCTGGGATCCAGTTTTCGAGTACGAGGGACAAACGTAAGTATTTCCTTTTCCGCTTCTGTATTCATGATCTCTCGGAGCAACCCTCTACTAGTAAGCCGAATCGCTAACATCGCTCCGCCACAATAGCTACGCTGAAATGGACAAGGCTGCCAAGAACAAAATTTCCCACAGGTATAAGGCTCTGGAGAAGCTGCGGGTGTGGATTGAGGGCGGCATGAAGGAAGAATCAACCTGAATCAAGTAGCCATACCACGTACTGCTTCGATCACCTAACCGGCCGGAAGCATCAACTGTTCGCCACCCCACGAAGGCGATGCCGTGTGAGAAGTGGACAAGCACTGGAAGAGCATAGAGAGCCGTGGTTTGATGGTCCAAGGTCGAGAATTGTTGTGCCGCGCCCAAAATGCTGGCACTAGGATGTTCTCGTCCGTTGGTTATAATACATGTTCTGTGCAGTGTCTTCTTGTGGTCCGAGAAGCCTAGTCAACTTCGTTAGACTAATACTCGTTGAGCAATGCATTGCGGCAGCTACTCACGCTAACACTTCGAACTCATGATACTTCTTAAGATAATTATGACCACGGCGGTAGAATTTCAGTCCTGCCTGGGAGTTGCGGCTAGGGGTCCTGCGGAGCGGATCAGGCCCCGTCAGGTACGCCGGATCGTGGAACATCGGGTCAAACACCAAGAGCTGGAGCTCTCCGGATGTTCGCCTCTCCAGTCCGATGATAGTCATGGAGTGTCCTGAAATATAGCTAGGATGTCAGTGATGTGTATGGTGCTGAAGAATGGGTCCATGACCGACCTCGGTGCTGGAAATAAATCGGGGGCAGATCCGTCAACCGCACTTTTTGATCAGGATCGAAAAGTGCCGTCGAGAAGTAGTCCTGGACATAGTGCAACAGGGCGGTTTCCGCAACACTAGCTTCTGGATTCTTGAAACCTTGCGCCTCACAACTGTAGCAAGTCAGCTTGATATCAACCCTTGTGAGATTGCGCCCAACTTACTGGATCCCAAGACTAACGAGCATCGCTTGTGCCTGCCTGATGTTAACCCGCCGCCGGCCAGCGTCCGTCTTGCACACTAACGTACCTCGGGTGTGCCAATGTACTTCCTCGACCCTTTCACTCCACCAGTCTCCGCCCTCCCATTTTCGTTTATGCCCAGATCCCATGCATCCTCAATGTGGTCTTGTATGCGGAATATGCTGGGGATCTTGCCACGGAAGACAGCCGAATCGGGAGTCTCGACCCCGATCATGTACGAACACAGCATTTGGATATTCCGATATCCGCAGAAACCGCCTACGGGTAATTAGTGCATGTCCTGCTGAGCGGCGAGACCGGGGAGCATCCTACCTTCTCTTCGTAACTTTGAGATGTGCTGCACACACGGATGACAGAGAAAAGCCCATTCTGTAGAAGAGCTGTGGGCCAATAATTGTTCCAAGACAAAGATCATGCCTATGTGATAGTTAGGCCAGGCTCACACACATGTAGCATCATATGTGCTGTTGTCTCACCTTCAGACTTGACATATTTGCCTTTCTTGAGCAGTGCCACGAGCCAATCCGGCATCTTGTCCTCGTGGGCATATTTGCCCAATTCCGACTTCTGAGGTGATGTTTAGGATCTATCAAGTCGACATTGTTTTGTTCGGCTTAGAACTTACTCCGAGACGTTTCCTAATGCCTGGTGGCGAAGAGGAGTGATTGCGAGAGCCAGAGTCCTTAACAGTAGATGGCACATGGAACAGCCGCTTCCAGGCCTCGATGGCGTGAGACTGCTTTGCGCTTTTGATGTGCTTGCGGCTTCGCACACGGCGTGACTCGGAAGATCTTGCCGTGTCCGTGCTGGTAGGTCGCGAGTCGTTTCGTGGGGGGCTTGAGACAGTGGTAGGGATGCTGGCAGAGTCCGACTGCGTCTCCTCGCTGTGGAGCTGGACGTGGTCCTCCAGCTCGGCAAGGGTGATAAACTCGCCGCAGTCTTCTATGGGACACTCAACAAACTCGTCATCCTCATTTTCGTCTGGGTCGTGAGTGGCTTGGCTCTCTTTGGGCTCATGAGTTGGTGGCGGTGAGGGTTTCCGTGACGGGTACGTCATGATGGGTTTCTTCATCAAAAGTTAGACTCGGTGCGAGATCTCCAGGCCAGGATTGCTGGAGAGGGGGCTGGACAATGGGATCTTACAAGCTGGATGTCCCGGGCCTTGGGACAAAATCTCAACGGCTCGGGATGGCTTCGACACTAATTCTTTCGTATAGCTGTATACTTCTCTTCGTAGTACCGTTTGCAGACTTGATGCGACTCCAGCTGGCCAGGCTTCACAGGCGAGGCGCCTGCCTAATGCTCAGTGATTTATGCCTGGTGCAATGTGATGCTACCGCAGCGTCGGGTTTGACGGCAGGTTTGTCTGTCTATCATGGAAACCGTTCAAAGAAGGGCGAACGAAGTCGTTGCCAAGGGGTCTAGCTCGCGTTGCGGGAAGGTACGACCGAGCTTTGTCTCAATGCAGGTAGGAGCAGGATCAGCACCCCTTCCAGTCGGGATGCTTACTTTCAAATCGTCGTTTTATGTGGGATGGCCGGAGCAGTGCATTATACTTTCGGCAGGGCTGGGCAGCGACCTTCAAAAACGAGCTGCCTGACGTGTTTGATGTGCGAACCGTGCAAACGGCCCATGGCACTTTTGTGGGCCTCTGGTCGGTGGTGATGAGAGCGCTCAAAGATCTCAGGCAAGAAAAGTGCTAGCCGAAGGGCCACGCCAGTGTCGACGAGCAGTCAGCTGCTTCGAGCAACGAAATTCCGCACAAATACTGGAGTCCGAAGGAGGGTTGCTGGTGTGGGTGTCAGCGGGTAGAGGCAAGGGTCGTGGGGTCGATCCAGGCCGGGGTCTGCCACTCATGGACCCCTGAAACCCCCGGCCACGGCGGAGGCGGAGGCCCGCAGGGCCTGACGTAGTTTCACGCAGCCACTCTGGCAGAGGGCGCCTAGTCGATGAAGAGTGGCACTCCAAAAGCTTATCTGCATACTTTCTCGTGACGTGCCAAGTGTCCAACTCCTTTGTATCACTTGGGAGTCGAGCCAGCTTCACATGGGAATCTGTAATCGCTTTTGTTGTCTATCTGCACTCTGCTAACATTTAGACAGCAAGGTTCTTGACCTTCTCCGCAGCATCAGACACGGCAGCTGCAGCGGCCTGTCCAGCCTCCACAACCTTCTGCTTGACCGGTGCACCCTCCGCGGGCTTGGCCTTGGCGGCATTCTTGTCCTTGACACCCTTCTTGGCGACAGTCTCCTTGGGCAGCTCCTTACTGAAGGGAATGAACTCGGGTGCGCCTGGGAGATACTTGCGCAGCGGCTCGGGGACACGCAAACCCTGGAGGGAAGGTTAGCATTCCTCAACATACATAGGAATAGCTTCGCAGGTTTCAATTACCTCTTCGGTCTGGTAGTTCTCGAGGATGCAGCACAGGGCTCTCTCGGTGGCGCAAAGCGTCGAGTTGAGCGCATGAACATACTTCTTCTTGATGTCGGTCTGCGTCTTGGTGCCAAAGCGGATCTCAAGAGCGCGGGACTGGTAGTCTGTGCAGTTTGAGCACGAGACAAGCTCCTTGTATTCGCCCTGGAAAGGGAACCAGGCCTCAAGATCGTACTTCTTGGCAGCGGCGTTGTTGAGCGCGCCTGAGACAATGGCGACGACCTGGTAAGGAATGCCCAAGGACTGGTAGAATCCTTCAGATGCCGCAATCATCTCATCAAACATCTCCCAAGACTTCTCGGGGTCAGTCAAGACGAATTGTTCAACCTGCACTGCGTTAGCAAGACAAAGGTTGGCTACGGAGCGCCCACTGTGCACGTACCTTCTCGAACTGGTGGACACGGAAGATACCCCAGGCGTCACGACCGTGGGAGCCAGCCTCTCTCCGGAAGCATGTGCTGAAACCGGCATACTTGAGAGGGAGATCCTTGGCAACGAGCCACTCATCGGCGTGGAAGGCAGAAATGGGTTGTTCTGAGGTGGCAATCAGGTACTTGTCGTTTTGCGGCTCGCCATCGACAACCTTGTAAAGCTCCTCGTCGAATTGCTCCAGCTGGGCGGTCTTGGCCATGTAGTCCTTGAGCATGAACTGAGGAGTCTGCAGAGGGACGAAGCCCTTGCCGCTGAGGTATTCGAGGCCATAATTGATGAGCGCCTGGTTGAGAAAGACGCCCCATTGGCGGAGGAAGTAGCCCCTGTGTCCAACAACCTTCACACCACGGTCGGGGTCGTAGCCATCGAGCCGGAGGAGGACCTCGTGGTGCGAGAGAACGCCCTCCTTCTTCTCCACCGTGACGCCGGGAGGACACCACGTCCTTTGCACAGTGTTGTTATCCTCGTTGTCGCTGACGGGAACGGAGTTGTCGACAATGTTGCCAATGGTGTTGATCTTGGCCTTGAGCGCAATGTCCTTTTGGCTGGCAAGGTCGAGCAGGGCTTTCTTCTCCGTCTCAAAGTTGGCCTTCAGTTGGAGGAGCTCAGTGGCGTCTTCCTTGGCCTAAGCGCCGATATCCATGTTAGTAGGTTGGTCGAATCGACAAAACATGGATCGCGAGGCTCGAAATGGGAGTATGACCTTCTTCTTTGCGCCGATCTGCTTTTGGGTATCGTTGATCTTGCTGTTGATCTGAGTCGCTTCGTACTGTGCTGTTCTCGCGCGCAGACGTTAGCTTTTGCTTCCGTGACACGTTTGGGCGCTTGGTTGCCGCTGGATTCTGACTCTTGCGGTGGTCCTCCCACATGGCAATGACCTCGTCGACGACCTCCACGGGTGCGTACCGACGGCGCTGGGACTCCCTGATCAGCTCAGGGTTGCCACCGCGCTCGGTGATGAAATCCTGGACGTCGAGCATGTTTTCCGCGTTCGACGTAGTCGATTCTTGAAGATGTTGTAGTCACGGACGGTTTCGACAGCCGGGGAGTCACTACCAAAAAATGCCCCTCGTGTGACTCGACGAGAAATGGCGGGGCACAGGCACGGAGCGCGCAGTGCCTGACCAGGGTCGTGGTGGGGCACGACCTAGTGGAGGGAAGCTGTTGCGTCGGGCGTATCTGCTCTGAGCCTACAGCAAGAAGGTTCCGGGACCTGTATTGTAGAGTTTTGGTTTTCTGAGGAGATGTCAACCAGTGATGTTGGACTATGCTGAAGGTACACTATACGTCACCACAAACACGGTGCAGCTCAAGTACTCGTGATTGCCGAAGATTCAGCAACCGTACTTCCGGACGACATTCATGCGTTTCCAATTAGGTACATTGATGGGTGCCAGGATAATATCGTACTACCAAGTACTGGAGCCTTTGCGGTCCTGGCCCGACATTAGTTGCCTTCTGGTGCAATGCCATGTATACTTTGACAAATTGAAGGTCAACCTCCACGTCTTGTAGGCCAATACTCAGAAGAAGGATGAGGAGAGACGACGGACTCAGAGCTTAAGACCGAGATCGAGAAGGCTCTAGCGATTCGTGTGAGAGCAGATGAGGCAGCGTGTTTTTAGATGAAATATTTATAAGAGGTGGAGCCGAGTAGCTGTACTGTCCAGCAACCGAGTCCCATGGCATCAACTGGCGAGCAGCTAGAAGAGCAAGGGCTTCGTTGATACTATGCTTTGGAGAAGCGCCTACAGCCGCATTATCATGATGTGACGAAGGTAAAAAAGACTTGCTCCAGCATTGCGAAATAAAAATTGGTTACGGGAGAAATGAGCCAATCGTGTTTAAGGAGCTTCGCGATGAGTAAAAACTCGAGGACATACACTAGTGAACGTAAGCAGCATCGCCTGAATCACGCAAGGTCTGGATTCGCATAACACGTCATTGTGGCATTGCGTGTAGTTCCAGTCCTTATCATGATGCATACAGATATAAGTCATAGAGAGTAACCACGAGCTCTGCGGTTTTTCACGTCAGAAAATGACCTTGTTGTGGATGGCATGTATGTATCAAGCTTCGACTTACATGGCTGGCCGCACATGGACTGGACCCCTGCCCCGACGGCACAGGCGGCGACCCATGCTCGATTTGGGAGCTTGGGGCCCCCCCTGGCACCACATGGCCTTTTGCTCGCCTAGACTACGCTACGTACTTACGTTCTTGCTGCCACCGTCACGCTAAGCTTCACCAGCTCCAGCTCCGTCACGACACTCCGTGCGCTCTCCGGCGCAACAGCAACCACCGCTTCCTCGTGCGCCGCCGCCTCTCCCACGAAGCACGAGGGCTGTCGCGAGTCCACCGTCGTATATACAGCCTGTTCTGCCCGCTGCGCAACCCTCGCCAAAACCGTCCAGCATGCACTGAAGCCTCCCCCTTTCCAACCTGCCAGATTCACCGCCCGCCCTCCAACGCCTCGAAGTGGTGCCCTTGCACATTGCACGAGCACAAACTCAATGGCTGGACCATGCGCCATCACAAAGACATAAACGCGAAACCGAGCATACGTCGATGCTAGGATGGGTATCGAGTCTCTGGCTCCCCTCGCTCCGGCGAAGGTGAGGGCGCTGGTCCTCCCCGCGGGACGCATACACAAGGATCGATTTGCCGTCTTCCTCGAACGTCTCAACGAACAACATGTGGTCCACCTGCGAGACATCAGTCCTGATAGCCGACCGAACCGAAGTCAGTCATAGTCATAGTGGGCAACCTCTCGCGAACCTAGCACGAGCAGAAATACTGACTCTCAACTTCCTCCACAGCCATGTTCTCGCCCCTGGGATTCCCAGCTGGTGCTATGATGTACGATCTCGTGACCCACGTACCACCGCCGTCACATGTCGCGCTCTCTCCTTTCGACTTTTACCGAGAACCGCTCGCAGTAATTGCTGTTGCAGATGGCAAGGAGCTGCAGAGTTCGGCGTTCAACAAGCGCCAGTCGGCCAATGGCCACGCTCCGACAATGGCGGAACGAAATATTAGAGCCCTGTACCAGGAACTGGAGAGTCTTCGCGACAGCTTTCCGAAAGTTCTTACGCACCACATTCTCATCTTCGACTTTGAGCATCCAGAGGGGCAAGAGATACCAATCCCCGAAGGTATAAAAGTCATACCACCTATTGACACGGCGCCGACAACTGCCATGAAAACGGTCATGTGCGATATGTCCTCGTTAATTCTCGCCGAGATGACAACTCTCGCGAAATCGTTTGAAGCAATGACAACAGTAGACTCGCCCGGTCAAGCACCATCTCGTCCAGGGCTGAATGGCTCTTCGCTGGCTTCGGAAGATGCGAGCATGGCTGCACGGCGCAACTCGCAATTTGCGCTCCCTACAAGGTCGGCCTCAACCGGCGGTACCTCTGACAGGAGCCAATCCCGCATGTCGATGCCTGTTGGCCTTAAATCATTGCCATTTGGCTCTGGCAGCACATCACCAAGTCCTCGCCCATCAACCCCCCTCGTAGTGGGCTGTCAAATCCCCCGACAACATTCGACGAGCTTGCCAGCTCGGCCACAAACGAGGGAGCTGCCTCGGCCCCGGGCTCTAGACCGTCCTCTACTATAGGCATTCCAGAAGAGCCGAGATCGCATAGTAGCCAAGACAAAGTCTCCGTACAAGGGTTTGGACCAGGAGGTCTCAATGAGAGATGGAGGGCCAAGGGTCGGGGGCGAATCACGATCCTCGTCGGCTCGCTCTACCTGCAGGCAGGCCGCTGGACGGATGCCCTGAAAGAGCTTGCCGAGGGTGCGACCGTGGCTAAGGCAATGAACGATCATTTGTGGCACGGGAAAGCTCTAGATCTGATCGTGGTGTGCCTCATGCTTCTCGGGTGGGCAAATATCGAGTTTCAGGTGCCATCAGTCTGTCTGAATCCCAACGAAAAATCACTGAGCAACGTAGCGAAAGGCCTACTTCCCGAAGGCGAAGATGCAAGTCAGCCCAGGCATCTGAGAAACTTTCAGGTGATCCTCCCAGATTTGCTTGAGAGGATCATCGGCCATTATTCGCGAGTCACGGGCGAGCAGCTGCCACCCCTGCCAGTCTCGGAGACCATAATCCGATATTCTCATATCCTGACCACACTGCACCTTTATCATGGACGATTTGACACCAACACCTTCGAGGATATTGTCTTCGGCAGTCCTGCCGCCATGCGACTCACAACATCGCCACGCCTATCGATCACGCCATCTCGAGCATTCATCACGAACTTTCTTTTCAAAGCCTTCCCTTCATCCGCGCCTGAGCTTCTGACCAATGTGGACCGCGCCATAATTTTGAGTGGCATTGCTTCGATATTGGGCATGCTGGGCTTTCAGCGGAAGAAGGCGATGGTCTTGCGAGAGCTTGTTTCAGTCCTGATCGGCGGTTTGATTGAGGCTCGGACTCGGGGTGCTGCCGATGTCGGTATACATCCGGCTGCGGGACTGGCCGCCCTGAATGCTGTAAGTGGTCACGGGAATGGCTCGGCTGCACTCGACCTAGGCGAGGGGGACATTGAACACGGCATCGATGCATTCCTCGGCATCCTGTGCAAGATATATGGTGTGGTGGAATTCGACCCCACTGGGGACATGTCCACGAAGGAGGGCGATTTGAAAGACTCCGATGACCAGATTCGAAAGAGAATCGAGAGTCAAGCTGCCTCACGGAGCTTCGGTTTCCAGCATGTGAAACTGAACATCCTGAGAGCTTGTATCAACTTTTCGGAAGCTTTGCCAGATTTTGACGGCGTCCTTCGATACTCGAGCGACCTGCTCCGTACTGCGGGCAGCGGGATTGCTCCAGGGCCCCGCCAGGAGGATGCTGCCCCGATGATCACCAGAGACGAGCAGACTCGCCTCGTTATGAACATCACGAAGACAGCAGATCTCTCGCAGCGGCTAGGTCTGGGCCACCTCGCCGCAGAATACTGGGACGAGTTCTTAATACGGGGCATAACCATGGACCCTTTACCGCCTGCAAAGATTCCCATCCCCCACTCGAAATCCGTCTTACCCGGAGTGGCGATGGCTCGGACCTCGCAAGATGTCAATCCCTTCATCTACAACCCCTTTTTGCGAGCCTCGGACAAGGCTGCAGATGCCAGAACTCTGGTCGCGAACGAGCCCGCCACTTTCCGAGTCACGATTCAGAATCCTTACGAGGTCGATCTCGAAATAGTCAGCATCAAGCTCGACACACAAGGGGCCGACTTCGAGTCGAATACAACTAGCACGGTAGTCGGGCCATATCGCACGCAAATCCTGAAACTCATTGGCACTCCCAAGGCTGCTGGTGCTATCACGGTAGTTGGCGCCATTGTGCAGATTCGCGGCTGTCGGGAGAGGCGATTCTCGATATTCTCAAATCCATGGGCACCCAACACGGAGATCAAGATCAAAGGCATCGGCCTGTCGGCTCTGGAACAGTCCAAGTCCCTGCCTGCACCTGGGCCACCACTCAAATGCGACAGCGTCGGCTTCACGGCAGTGGCAGCACAACCTGTGATTGCGGTGAAGTCCACATCTTTGTCGCAATCTGCACTTATGATCTTGGAAGGCGAGCGCAAAGTCTTTACGATCACGCTGCAGAATCTCTCCGACACAACGCCGGCCGACTTGCTGCTCTTCTCCTTCCAAGACTCGACGCAAGCTCCTCTCCAATCTGCCATGGGAAAGCGAGATGCCACAGCCGCAGAGCTGTACGAGTACGAACTTGTTCTGTCTCGGAAGCAGGCCATAAGGTTGCGCAAACTCGAGGACTCGAAGCGATTTATTGCGCCTGGGGGCTTGTCGACTTTCGAGTTTGAGATACTGGGCAAGCCGGGACTCACAACCGCGGTTGTACAGATCGACTACGCATATCTCGGCGTACCACAGGAGGAGGTGACCGAGCAGTTTCACACGCGTCAGGTCTGTGTTGATCTGACAGTCACGGTCAATGCCAGTGTCGAACTGGCACGATTGGACATCTTGCCCATACAAGGAAGTATTGTGATGCCTGCCCCGAAGTCGCCAAATTCTGCTGCAGCTAGCATACAGACCCTGTCTGGTGAAAAGAACTGCTTGCTTATGCTCGATTTCCGCAACGCCTGGCCAAGCGACGTCGAGGTTCAATTGGACTCTGATGATGAAGGCACTCTTCTGACAGAGCGGGTCCTTCCTGGTAACACCAACCGAGTCATCCTCCCGATACCGCGGGTCTACATTGATGACCCTCATGCCCCCATACCAGCACTGAACCCGTCGCGCCAGCGACAGTTCGTCGTCAGCACGAGCAAGATTACACCAGAGACAGAGCGCGCTAATCGCGAGGCATTCTGGTTCCGGGAGAAGATCCTCCAGGGTCTGCGGGGTACGTGGAAGACCATGTCTGGGGCGTCGAGGTCGGGAGTCATCGAGCTGCGCGGGTTGCGTCTCGCTCCGAGGATGATCGACGTTGTCAAGATTGACGAAGTCGGCATTGACATCTTCGTTGAGAAACTTGGCCAGCCTGACTCTTCGACTGCATCGTCGCCACGTCATCAAGCAAGCCGAGTCCTCGTAGACGACTTCCTTCAGGTCCGGGTCCGTGTGAGCAACCGCTCCAGCAAGCCGGTCTACCCCCTCGTCCGACTGTTGCCTTCACTGCGCAACCGCCCCGCGAACGTGGCTCTGGACTTCACGCGCAAGTTCGCATGGAACGGCACCCTGCAGCAGGCTCTACCCGTGCTCGAGGGCAACACGAGCACAGAGCTAGTCATCGGTGCGACGGCGCTGTGCAGGGGCGAGTTTGAGATCGCGGCTTCTGTGGAGGAGACACAGCTCTGGGTCGAGGCAGAAGAAGGTGCGGGTTCTGCCACGCAGAAGCCTACTACGGACTCATCCTCTGGCACAGGCGGAGCTGCTGCAACCGCTGCAGCGACGGTCACTACCAGGCCTCGGTCCGGCACAGATCTTGTCATGGCAAATATGCTTGGAGCGCAGGAGCGGCGGATCTGGCACACGAGGCAGCCATGTCTAGTCACGGTCTGCGATGACTGAACTGAGTATAAGGTCACTTACAGGGTTAGAGCTCAGGCAGGCAAAATAGGAAGCTGGGTACTTTTGCGCGCTTGCAGCGTATAGACATGGTGGTGGTAGAGCATAATGAAGCGTTTTTGTACATGTAGAGTCGTGCATCCTCCGACAGTTAGAACGAATGATCACCACATCATTACAGTTGGTAATGGCCAATTGGCCAAGCCAAGAGACTCTGAAATACTTTTTGCCTCTGGCGCATCTTCGACTTTGGATGGCTGGAGGATGGTCACATGAGGCATCCATCTACCTTCGCCGGGACTGCGTTACGTCTTCGCTTATATTAACTCAGTCGTGCACATGTTTGACCTCTCCTCGGCCATGGCCTGTGCTGGTCTTAAGATGCCGAGAAAGTTTCTCGATCCGGCTAGCTGTTCCGCAGCTCGCGGCGGTGTCACTCAGAAAAGCAAGACATTTTTGTCTTCCGCGGCGCGCTCGGGCTCGAGCACTTTGGATGCTCGTCTCGGTTGAGGTATTTCTTGTTTCTACTGTTTTTATTCTTATGGCATGTAGATTTTATTGAATCCCCATCTTCTGGCAGACAAGGCCCTTGGTTCACATCCCACTAGAAGTGTGGAACAGCATCGTCTTTGGCTCTCGTCGTCCGCATGCGCCCCCTTTCACGACGAAGCACGTCTACCTCAGGTGAGCGTTCGAAGGCTCGTCCGTGATATTGACAGCTCCCAGGGTGCCCCAGGACAAGTTATACTGGTCCTTTGAGACCTTGTAGTTGCCGAGGGCGTCGATGGCGCCCTGCGCCGTGGTGGCCGTGACCATGATGTCGGCATTCTCCTTGCGCACGAAGCCCTCCCTGACGGCCGTCTTGATCCAGGCGAGCAGGCCGTCGTAGAAGCCGTCGACGTTGAGCACGCAGACGCCCATCTGGTGGATGTTGAGCTGGTTCCAGGTGACCGTCTCCATGAGCTCCTCCATGGTGCCGTAGCCGCCGCTGAGGGCGACGAAGCCCGAGCCGGGCGCCGCGTCGGCAATCTCCTTGGCCATCAGGTACTTGCGCGTGTGCATGTCCTTGACCACCGTCGTGCGCCCGTACACGGCCGCGTCGGGCACGTAGTAGCCCCTCTCGCGGTCGTACGTGGCGTACGTGGCGTCGTCGCGCTCCCACTTGACCAGCGCCTCGGGGATGATGCCGTGCACGGCGTCGGGCCCGTTGATGGCCACTATCGTCCGGGCGACTTCGCCCATGAGGCCGACTGTGCCGCCGCCGTAGACTATTTTTGGGGGGAGGGGGTTGGTCTCGGTGTTAGTCAAAAAACCATTGGGTGCTTGTATACATTGAATATGTGAGTTTCTAAGGGACCCCTTCCCCGGGGGAGACTCACCGAGGTTGATGTTCTTCTTGGCCATGAGGGTGCCGAGCTCGCGGGCCGCCTCGAGATGAGCCGGGTTCTTGCCGCCCGAGGAGCCGCAGTAGACGCAGATCTTCATGGGCTTGCTGTTCGTGGCGGCGGCGGCACCGGTGCCGTTGGGCCGCGCCGAGGGCGTGGCCGTCCGGGACACTCCTCCTGACTCCATGATGCTTTCCCCTTTTGCTTCGTTATGGGTGTGTGTGTGTGTAAGTGTGTGTTCTGGCAGTTCTAGGACGATGGCGGCTCAAAGTTGGATGAATCAGCCGTGGAAAGGGCTTGTTGGTGGCTGCTTGCTTATGTTGGGCCGTGGACCCTGACTACTTTGTGAGTCTAATGGACTTGGGATGGCTGCTTGCGTCTGAGTGACGTGCAACGTGGGGAATCTCGTGGTGTAATTGGTGGGGCGGGATAGACTTGACAGGTGCCAACCTACTCAGTACAAAGGGAGAGAGAGTCTGGTGTTGTTGGGGGATGGTCAGGCGCAGGCTCAGCTCAGGGAAAGAAGCAGTTTCAAGGTCCTGTAGAAGACAGCGATGGTCTGTAGTCCTTCTTATGCATCCCGGCCTCGCTTCGTAAGGATCACAGAGCCAGTAGAGCGGTGGACGGCGGCCGTGTTCGTCGCTGGTGATGGAGTGGAGCGGCTGTGTGAAGGAGTCACACGGGCAGGCGGCCGTGTCCAAGACATGTCTGGTCGTGGGGACCAGAAACACGATCCAGGTCCGCACTACGGAGCACGTCCCGTCTCTGCGGTACGTGTCGAGCTGTCGGTTGCGCAGATGTCGAACCTTGGTCCAGCTTATGCAAGCACGTAGGGCGCCAAGTGACCTCCGTTGTCGCCTTGGGCCCCTTGTGACACAGCAGCCGTGGACCAACCAGGCCCAAGTATGGCCCTGACTGTTCAGGGCAACCTTGAAAGTCAGTCCAGACGTCCAGACATCCAGACGTTACCCATATGCAAGGTCACAGCCACCCGCTCGGTTCGTCAAGCCGCTCTCATGCAGAGCAGGCCAGGGTCCGAGACATGGCAGCGGGCATCTTGATTACATGTCCCAACCGGAGCTGGCGATCCTCGGCCAGAGACTATTCGAGCAATGCCCGGATCACCAACATTGTGATTTGAGCGGAGTTAATGACGACCACTTCCGAGTACAAGAAGGATCAGCTACAAGCGCTACGGGGGGTCAACCCCAATGACGTCCTTGTTCCAACTGCGACTGGGTCATGGCAAAGCAGCACATCTGGTTGTTCCTGCTCTTGCTGGCCACGAAAACATGGCCCCCTAAATCCACGATTGGACAATTGACGAAGCAGGAACTCCCGCCGCCGGCGGCTTCTATCGTTGGACGGGCCCAAGTTGCGCGATTTCATGCCCTTCGATGACTTTCGTTCTCGACCTCGAAGCTGCTGCCCCAGAATGTGGGGTATTTGTGGATCCCTTCAGGGTCTCCGACTTGCGAGCTCCGGCGCTCCCTGGAAATCGAAGCTCACCTGCCCAACCGTGCGCTTATGTAACGGCCAACTCCAATTCCCACAATCTGGCTCCAGCTCCTGCACTCCACCCCGCCACCTCCATCCTCACCAGCTCCTCAGCAGTTGCGCCCACAAGACAAGACGGCAGGTTCCAGCCGTTCATTCTTTTCAATTGTTGTCTTGCGAGGCAGCTTGTGCTCTTGAGAACTCCCAGTCCACCCGACCCGACCCGAGTGCAAGACCTCCATCCGCCGCCAGCATGCCCGAAGGACCGGGTGCTGCGGCTCCGGCGCCGCGCGCTGCCGCCGAGCAGGGCAACAACTCGATGATGTACAAGATGGTCCAGGGCCTCGTCATGTACTTTGGCATCAACCTCGTCATGAAGCAGTTCCTCGGTGGCAACAAGCAGACAACCATCACTACCGACGCCGACGGAAAGGCCATCCAGGTCCCTGTCGTGACAGCCGACTCCATCCCAGCGTTCCACGACAGACCTCTCCAGCTCGATGAGGGTGCCGTCTACAGTCAGATTCCGCAGCGCGTAGCACCCATCTGGCCGACCGACAGCAACATCGACATCCTCGTCACCCTCTCTGACACCTTCCGCCCCATCAAGATCGCCAGTATCCCCGAGCAGTATGTCGCCCTCAAGGAGTCCAACTTCAAGCTTGGCGACCTGAAGGAGTCCCGCACGGCCGAGATCGAGTTCGAGGTCCCCAAGGCAGTCCAGAACAACGGCACTCTCTGGGGCCATTTCTACATTGGACAGACAGGAGCCAACCTCGACCCAATGGAGCCCAACTTTGACCCGGCCACTGCTGCTCACTTCGCCTTTCCCCTGACTCAGTACTTCCCCAAGAAGAAGATCGCCAAGACCCGCAATCTTCTAGACGAAAAGGTTGAGGAGGAAGAGCCGGAAGAGGAGGAGCCTAGCGGTCCCGTCATTGCCAACTATTACCACCCAAACACGACCCTGAGCTTCGTCGACCTTGGCGTTGTGCAGTACCCATCCATGCACCCTGCCACCCGGCGCTTCATTCACCTCGAAGCCACTGGTGCCAGAGACGGATCTGGCCAGAACTCTTGGTATTGTACGTTGACAAGGTGGTTACCGTTTCTCTGACACGAATTTGCTAATCCCGGCATAGACCCCGCCCTCTTTGTCAACACTTTCTGGCAGATGCGCTCGCAGATGACGTTGCTCAACGACACTGTCACAACCCTGCCGCTGCGCCTGGATCTCAACAACCTGCGTGGATGGCAGTTCCATCTGATGGCCTCTATCGATGCCTCTGCGAAGCAACAAGCCCACCAAGCTGCCTTTGCCGGCCCGTTGCAGGGCGGCAGCGACGGCAGTGAGATTGAGATGGTCAAGGAGGTTCTCTTTGATTCTAACCCATACCTTCTTGGCATCACGGTCGTCGTGAGCATCGCTCATATCTTTCTGGAGATGCTGGCCTTTGGCTCCGATATCGCCCACTACCGCAAGAAGAAGGACAATGTCGGCATCTCGGTGCGGTCCATCTTGGCCAACGTCTTCATGCAGACTGTCATCTTCCTCTATCTGGTGGACAACTCGCAGAACACTAGCTGGATGATTCTGGGATCCCAGGCCGTGGGTATTCTCATTGAGTTCTGGAAGATCACGACAGTGGTCAACGTGAAGTTTGGTCCCTCACCGCCGGGCTCACTCTTGCCATACACGGTCACGTTCGAGGACAAGGGTACGCTTACCGAGACCGAGGAAAAGACCAAGGAGTACGATGAAATTGCCTTCAGGTACATGTACATGGCTGGTGTGCCTCTTCTACTGGCTTACGCTGCCTACTCTCTCATCTACGAGTCACACAAGTCATGGTACTCGTACATCATTACCACTCTGGTCGGCTCGGTTTACGCGTACGGCTTCCTGCTCATGGTCCCATCTTTGTACATCAACTATCGCCTCAAGAGCGTGGCGCACATGCCCGGCAAGGCCATGATGTACAAGTTCCTCAACACCTTTATCGATGATCTGTTTGCGTTCACCATCAAGATGCCCATCCTGCATCGCCTGGCCACCTTCCGCGACGACATCATCTTCTTCATCTACATCTACCAGCGCTGGGCTTACAAGGTCGACCACACCCGTGTCAACGAGTTTGGGCAGGGCGGCGAGGACGAGGAGCCTGAGCCTCGTCCCAAATCGCTCCCTGCAGTTGACGCTGCTGGTGAAAAGGTTGAGGATGCGGCCAAGTCGACGGGTGTCAGCACGTCGGCCGAGGTCAAGAAGAGAAAGTAGAGTCGCCGAGCCATGCTGCAAAGCAAACGTGGGTAAGCATGAGCCTGCCGGCTGGTTCGTTAGATATTTCTCGCCATAGTTGCTGCAAAGTGTAGTGGTGTGCCGCCACTACAGATGAAGCCCGAATCATACTCGAAGCAGCATGACGCACTCGAAGAGATGCCACCGCCACGATTCTCATTGACGCCCATTGCTTGTATCCTGCAGTGCATGTCGTGAACGGACAGTGTGTGCTTGTGTGCTTGTGTGCTTGTGCGCTTGTGCCCCAATACCCAAGCTGAGTCCAAGCTGAAATGCGGCTGTTGAGCTTTGGAAGTCTGACAATCGCAGCTGCTCAGCCGCCCGGTGGGAATATGCAACGCCACCATGTCTCTGATTTGGGCCGCGTCCACGCACGCCACAGCCGTCGGATTCAGCCCTATTGGAATGCGATGAACAGGGGAGCCCCCTGGCTGAAGGAAGGTGGGATTTGCAACGCTGCATGTCGCAAAGGTGCCGGGCGGCGTGTGCACCGAGCAGGTGTTCTGCATTGTACCGGCGGTTAATACCGCCGTTGCACCGAGCTCTGCGCGTACAGGTCCTATATGTAGATGACATCCCGTGCTGACACCAATGTCTTCGGTAGCTGCCACTGAGCTGAGTTTGGCCCCCCACCCACGAACTTCGAATTCTGGGGCTGTCGCTGCTTGCCGCCGGCACATGGGAAACAAGGACCTGACCTGGCCTGGCCCGGCCCCCAAAAAGCTACCTGTCCACGCCCTGAACTTAAATGTATCATCCCCACCACCCCTCGTCAGCCGCAGTCTTACGGAATCGGTTTTGCACCCTCTCGCTCTTCTCTGCTTCGGGGATCGTGCTTCTGCGCACATTCTCAACCAAATCACCAGCTCCCCAAGCAGGGTGCTCCTCCTGTCGCGGGCACCCTCCTCACGACCACCACCCCGTCCGTTGCTTGAGAGATGCCAAGTCGGCCCGCTCGGAGAGCCCCGCCACTAAAATAGAGCACACGCGGCCACTAGATTACAGGGTCCCGCACTCCCGCGCCGAGCCCGGTGCATTTAGCTGACACCGGCTCTTTGCGTCACTGGGGCCTGTCGATCAACCTGATTTCTTCGTCTTTTCCTCGAAACAACAGAAGATTGCAGTTGTCCGAGTTACTAGGCTTGGCTTCAGGAGCCCGCGACATCCACCGAGAGTTCTAGTTGTCGAGCCCAGCGACATTGGGCTAATCACCGCAAAGCACGAGCGAGACACGCACGGATCAGTACACAGAGCTCCAACGAAGCTCGTGAGCAAAGCTCTTCTTGTCACACGCCGACAACCTAGCTGAACACCCCTACGAATACTCCAGCAGGCCCGAAAGAGCGTCCCTCAGTCGAGCGAGCGAGCAGCGCGCGGCGACCGAAACGCGACAACGAGAAGGAGCATGAGTCACGAGACGGTCGGCACCTTGCTGGCCGTCATCGCCAACAGCCTCAATGACGCCCTACGGGCCATGATGCTTGCCGACAAGCGCGCCTGGGCCCGCGACGAGTTTGAGCAGCTCCGCCAGCTCGAGGAAACGCTCGACCTTGCCAAGAAGGACTTCCAGGAGCTACCCGCGCTGGTCAATGGGCAGCTGTACTACGAGAATGACCGGACAGGTGAGTTTACAGAACCCCCGAACTGCAGACTCGACAGGAACAAACCGCTGACCATCTCGCTTTGCTTCCCCTCACGTTAGGCGAATCGCTCGAGGACCTGCGCGTGCTGTGCACACGATTCGAGCTGCACGCTCGCACATTCAAGGATTGGCTGAGGATGGGAGGCCCCGTGGACCCGACATGGGCGATCGAGACGAAGAAGCTGCGGCGAGAGCTGCACCGCGCGCAGTGCCGGGCCGTCAAGCGGATACACGCAACACAACAACAGACGAGGGGCCGCTGTCTGGGGGCGCAGCACGTGTACAAGATCCAGCAGCAGCAGAAGCGGCAACCTTTAGATGCCGTGGACCAGCAGCAAAGGGAGCAGCAGCGGTTGGAGGAGACTGCGGCGTGCAACCAGACGGGCGCTTTTGAGCGGTTCGGCGACACGGACGTGGCATTTGTGTGCGACTTCTGTGATGGGTACATTGTCTGGGAGGACCTGCGCGAGATGCCGGCCACGAGAACGTACCTCGACGATGCTAGTGCGTATCAGGGACCTGGAGGCGGGGATGAGCTAGAGCCAATGAGTGCGACGGCGATCGGTCACCTCGCCCCGGCGTCGACATGGCCGAGTCAAACGATGCCCTTTGGTGCAGGCATGGGCCTGGACTCACTGGCCAACGGCACACCCTCCCGGAAATCCACCGGGACGGCAACCATAACGGACGTGTCGCCGCGCGACAGCACAGACGACAGCTACGCCGCAGCCCAGCGACAATGGCAGGCTCTAGGCTACTCAAAGATCACCGGAGCAGAGAAGCCCATCGTGTTCGCCCCGCTCGCCATCGCGAACCACATCCCGCCCGACTCGCGGGACTGGCAGGCCGGCCTGCTCTGCCCGTTCTGCGACGACTACTACTACGTCGAGCAGGGGGACCCGGACGCGGACCAGATCAAGTACGTCCAGAACGAGAACGGATTCGAGGACCTCGGTGCGCTCAAGGAGCATCTCGAGTGGTACCACGCGCCCATGGTGTCAACGGGGAGCTCGAGCTGCAGCGTCATGTGAAAACTTTCCCACTCCCCCGGGGAGGGGGGAGGTCACGCATTCAGGTGTTCTCTCTGCTTTGCATGGATCACTGGGCCTCACGCAGGTTTCTTATTGACAAGTTGGTCGGATTTAGAAGGGGGAGATGGCTGTGGGCTGTTCTGATGGCAGGCTCTGACGACAGTCCCCTACCTCATGTTTCTTTTTCGTCTTTGATGTGGGCAAAGCGCGGCGTTACGGTATAGTGCTACCTTGAATATAGTTTATGATAATGAGACTGAGACTGTCTCCCGGTTCAAGATTTGAGCTCAGTTCAGGCCTTCAAGAGCATGGTACCACATCGATGTTAAAGGAGGTGATGAAGTCTTTTTCGTCTTCACCAATGCTCACTTAGACTACGAAGCAGACTTGACCGGTGACAGCCGTGCGGAGGGAGAATCGTTCGTATTATTGGATTTGTGTGTATATGTGCCAGGGTTTATCTGCAAAGCGTCGTGTGTGTGTATACTATGTACCCAGTACTCCCTCAATGTGTGTCTGGCATCCGGTGCACACTGTTTATGCGCGACCCCACGAGCTCCTGAACGTGCATCAAACACCTCAAATGATTACTTCGCCAAGCGAGCAGAAATGCCCACCAATGAAACTCGGGCGCATTCGCCCTCGGAAATATGTCTTGTACTTTCCCAGACTTGACCCAGCAACCTTAGCATCTTCAGGTTTCTAGTGTCAGATGTGCCAATGGTCGTGCCGTCACGGCAATCCGACGTGAAATTGTGTCAATGGCCGCAGCGTGCTCACTTGTCTCGTCTTCTCCGGATTTTTGAGACCACATTTGTTGGCGATCTCCCTCTAAGACCCTGACCACCGCGATCGTCACGCCCAAGCGCGGGCTGTTCAGGCTTCGCTGTCTTCTTTCCTAGAACTCCATCCTTTCCGGTCCTGAATCCAAACGTGGCTAGTTACCTGGCCCAGGAGCCTTGTTCGCGTCCACAGACATGATCTAGAAGAACCGGAAGTACACGAATAGTATGACAATAAGGCCGAACACGCCGATTGGCGCATACTGCTTAATGAGAAGATCCCAATTGATTTTGACGGCCGCCCGGCGGTACTTCTTGCTGTCGTCCCGAAGCCGGCTAGAGATCTCGCCCATGCGATCAAGGGAATCGCCTCTGTATAGAAGGTCCTCGATGTTCTTGGTCATGACCTTTGTGACGTCGCGCAGCTCGTCGTTGAGCTTGTCGAGGTTCTGCGTCGCTCTGGTATCGGCATAGGTCGCCTTGGTCCGGCTTATGAATGTGTCGAACTCCATGAACGCGTATGGCCGCAGCTGTGGAGAGTGCAGTTGTTGTTGGGAGTAAGAGTTGGCAAACTCGGTTGAGAGGTCGGACAAATATGTAAAGGCAAGCTTCCGAGGGTATGATCGCTCACTGATGCAGACATAGACAATGTCCTGCGCGATGAGGTAGCTATATGGCTACATGTGTCAGCCTCAGTGCACAAATCTTGCGACAGTCTTGGGGTGCATGTGCTGTCATTCAAAACATGGAAGCAGCTGGGCGATCGTACTGTAGTGTGTAGTTGCCGCTCTCGATGCTGGCCTGCGGCTCGGCGTTGCGGTTCAGCCTCCGAAGAATGAGCTTGATCTGAGACTTGACCTCGGAGAGGGACGACTCGGTCTGCTCGTCATCGACGGAAGCGCAGAGCATGAGGCCTGGGGGCGCGCAGGGTTAGCTGTGGGTTCCTTGGCATGGGCTGACGGTTCAGGGCAGTTACCATCGTTGAGACGGGCGATTTGTGTTGATCGGATCATCTTGTGATGTGGTATTGGCAGTGCTGTACTCGAATCGAAAGTTGCCGTATAACGGGGGGAACGAGAAGCGAGGGTGGAATCGCGTGGGTGTCGCAGCGCGGGACAGGGTCCGACCACGACTGCTCTGCTGGGGACTTTATCCAATGACGGGGAGGTGACCTGGGCGTGAGGGTCGTTCAAGGGGATAGCGGCTTGTTCGCTGGTGCTGTGGTTGCGGTTTTGCTGGTGAGATGAGGACAGCTCTCTGCCTCGTCGAGAGCTGGAGTTGCCAGATAACTCGGCCAACCCTGGCCACCACCAGAGGTCGCATGCCTAGATGGGCCCGCTAGTGACCCATGGGAGACACGACTGCCAACGGTCTTTTCCCCCTGGCCGCAGGTACAGCGGGGGTCCCCCCCCGGACTCCACCCGCGCGATTGCTCTTCCCCATCCCGGCCCATAGCTCCTTCCTGATCCCTTTCCAGATCACGAATGGTTGGCTGCGACCTCATCTTGCGCTGCCCGTGCCTGGGTGACCCGCCCCCGTATATGACACTTCCACAAGCCGCAGTTCAAAATCCCAATAGTTCGAAATGGCAACCGCCGCTGGCAAGATCTGTGATCTTACACCTACTTGTGTCACAACGGCACAAATCACTTCATGAGACATACCTCTGAGGGACATCTCCGACGGCATCGATCTTGCTGCAAACACCTCCTTCGGTCATGGCGGCGACCACAGGACAGAAGCAACAGCTCGCTGAGGACTGTCCTCCCAAGGCTGCAGATCTCGACAGCAAACACCAGCATGAGCAAGTGGCACGGCGGTCCACCCGAGGTTTGTTGGGCGAGGAGATACCACCAACTGTTGTGGTAGCCGGTCACGATCAGGCTCAAGACCAAGACCAAGACCAAGACCAAGAGTCTGTCCAGCTGGAGGATATGTCACCAGCTGCCGATGGTGTGCGCAGTGACAATGATCGCTTGAGCGAGCCAGCCATGAAGAGGACCAGGACCATCACGGACAGCAAAGAGAGCTTGCCGGTTCGCCGCAAGAGCCGTTCAAAGTGGGACAATCCAATCGAGATGCTCACAAACCAGCGGTCGCCTCTTGGTACGGCCATGCTCCGGGTAAGCTGCTCCAGTACCCTCGAATTTGCGTATGCAGGAAAAATTGACCACATCCCAGGATCTACTTTGCACGCCTCGTGCGTGGGACATTCTCTCTGATGAAGAGAAGAAACAAGTGCTCAAGGAGTTCCCCTTGGAAGCTGACATTCTCGACTTCGGCACGGATCGCGCAAGGCCCAACATTGTCTCGTTGCGCAACAATAACAATTTCAGGCACGACATATCGCGATACCAAGAGAACCTGCGCGAGGGTCGGCATGATCCCGAGTGGATATCCCAGGCACAGGCCGCACATAGGAAGCGCGGACTGGGACTCTATGATGAGTTCCTCGCAAGCAAATTTGAGGAGGACTGGGGGATTCCTATGCTGGTCGCGGACAAGGACGAACCTCACTGCGACTCTGATACCAGCGCTTCCCCAAGCGCGAAGTCGGAGGTCCCCTCCGCGAATGATCGAGGCATCGAACTGTCACAGAATCACAGCGCAGATCTGCAGCCTATGATCGAGACAGACCTTGTGGGCGACAGCGCATGCGGTACAGGCACAGCTACGAACGGCGACCATCCAAATGGTGTCTCAGCGAGCGGAACGTGCAGAGACTCTGGGAAAGAGTCAGTGCCTGAGAATGAGCTTAGCAGGCCAGAGCCGCTCTCGTAGTGTTTTTGAGCGAACAGGTCCAGATACCCGTGTTCCTAGCGAACGGCGATGGTGCATGTTCCCACAGGACCCGACCCAGTCTGAGCAGAGTCTTGTCTTTTGAAGAGCTTTGACGATGCTGAGCGCGAGCCAAAAAGACAATTTGGTGAACACGCTTTTAGTATTATGGGCAGGCTACTCGGCCGATGTCTGCAACTGCTACGGCTTGCTTATTTATTGTCGGAGATAAACAGATTCTTAGGCAAGAACTCAAAGTCATTTCGAAGGAGCTAAGTGGTTGAGCCTAGTGCTGCTGTACAGTCGTCCGCGTGTTAGTCGTCCCTGTTGCGGGCCGCAACCACAATGCAGGAAGCCCCACTGTATAAAAGTTGACGTCGATCCCCCACTGGCAGCGGCATCAATCATGTCGACTCCGAGTAAAACTTCCCTACGTACTTTGGGTACTCATACCACCAACCTAGCATTATTGTAAAACCACGATATCTGAGTGCTAGGTTTGAGGCCTCCTTGCTCGAAGCTTGACTGGTGTACCGACTGGAAGCACTCCGTCGCGGATTAAGGGCATTCCGCCTCCAGAACATCGACATGCCCCCCGTCGCACAGTCACATGCGCGATCGCATGCGCTCCTCCTCCTCCAGAAACTGCTCAACCTCAGGGACAATGCTAGTCCGCTGACGCTCGTCCTTGACACGCTCGAGCAGAGCGGCAAGCCGGTCGTCCGGGAGTTTCTGCTTCGAGCAAAGGTACGAGGCACTTTTCAGCCAGTCTTGCCATGCAATCTTTGGCAGTTGTCGCCCGATTCGTCTCTATTGGCTCACAACAAACGCAAAACCAAGTCTTGTATCGACTTTGGGAGTCGGCGATTTCATGATTGCCTGAGTGAATACTGATCTTTGAAAAAAACCGAACATAGATCGCCAAGAGCAAGACGATATTCGTGTCGTTCGAGTCCCTGAGAAAGCCAGCACATGCAGACGTCCTAGTCAAAGCCCGCGGCAAATCGCCCGAGGCTCTATGTGCGGAAATCGTATCTCATTACGGTGCCACACCCGCTGCTGCTGGTGCAGACGGCGCGGGGGAAAATAGTAAGTCTCCTTGTATTCACTTACGTTCCCCGTCACCCATAGACGACCAGCTTTTGTTCTAGAATAACCATCAGCCTGCCGCCTTTGTTTTCTACTTGACGCCCCGCGAAGTCAGAGACGCAATAGCCTTGACTCGACTGCTGATGCCCTGACTGACATGAACACGCAACGGCAGAAATCCTCGTGGTGATGGACACCCTCAACCCGTTGTCGGCAGCATACTCGTCCTCCCTGTCCGCCATCCTGGGTTCCCTCCTCCGGACGCCAGCAGTCAGCATAGTCGGCGTGTACCACACCGACGTACCCCTGTCACCATCATCCTCCTCTTTCAGCCCAGAGAGCCACTACTACGAGCCCCAGCCCCTTGCGGTGCTCACACACCTCGCCACAGCGGTCCTCACGCCGAGCAGCCTGCACCAGGCGCTCGAGCGCAAGCGCGCCAGGGACAGGAGCCTGCAGGCGCCCGAGTGGGGCATCCACGAGGCGCGGGAGGGCGTGCTCGTCGGCTTGCGGCCCAGGAGACATCATCATCATTATCACCATCAGAGCGCGGGAGCAGAGAGGGGCCCACAGGATGAGGCTGGACTACGGAGCAGTCGACAAGGCGGGCTCGTGCTGGACATGGAGCTGCGTCGGCGGAGCGGGCGGTCGGTCAGCGAGAGGTTCGTCTTTGTCCCTGGTGCGTCGACTTCGGCTTCGACTTCGACTTTGACGAACAAGAGCGACGGCACCACTCCGGGCATCACGCCGCCGAGCACAAGGGGTAATGACAACAACGCGACATCGCTACTACTGTCTGCGGCTGGCAAGATCATGCTTCTCGCCGATCATCCGTTGTTCACCACCAGGGCTGGCGGGGAAGGTGGGCTGGACGGCGGCGGCGGCGGCGAGACTGGTGCCGCGGACGAGCAGCCCGAGTCGACTTTCAACCTGGGCCTCACCGAGAAGCAGCGGCGAGACAGGGAAGGGATCGTGCTGCCGTACTTTGACGCACAGACGGATATAGGCGCGGGTGAAGGGGGCCGGATCCTGTACGAGATGGGCAGGGAGGACGATTTCGATGACGAGGAGGATGAGATATAGGGTCTCGACAAGACAGAAGACTGTGTGTGTCGTGGTGCAGAGAATTGATACGAAACAAAGAACATAATGGGATGCATCCCCCGCATCTCGGCAGTACTAATGGTCTCGAGCATAGGTATCGGTCGCGAATGTGTCACCTCCCTCCGGGGTTTGTCACTCGCACAGTTCCTAGAAAGCATTAAACCACGGGTTCCACAAAGTTCTCGCGCTCCAAAGGCAAGGCGCTGCTGGCGTCAAGGGTACCTCTGATCTGTCCCAGAATCATGATCTAGAGCTCTGGATCTATTCGTCGTCCACCTGCATGCCCTCGCCTTCCCCCGCGTCGTCCGCTACGCTGTTGATCCAGTCCTTGACCTCATTGCCATCGTACACTGTAAAGTACTCCAGGCCCTTCTTACCAGGCTCCTTGATGCCGACCACACCAACACTCGTGTTCTCCACCGTCAGCTCGCGATCTTGCACGAGCGTCTCCTTGAGCGCACGGAGGCCGTGCTGGATGAGGGCTTCCCGGCCGCAGTCGGCAAACTTGTCGAGGTTCTTCTCCAGGTATGTCCGCGCCATCTGAGACCGGGCGCCGATGGCGCAAGCAAGCATCTCCTGCGTCATGCCGCTGGGCTGGAACTCGAACAGGTGGGGGCCGGTCTCGTCGATGCCGGCCACGAGGAGGCCGACACCATATGGCCGCTTGCCGTAGTGCTGGGTGTTGAGCTGCGCCTTGTCGCCAATCAAGGAGACGAGGGTCTCGACGGGCATGTCGCGGTCGTATGTGAGCCTTTGCGAGAGGCATTGTTGCTTCATAAAGTTTGACAGGACCCGGGCGTCTGATGTGAGGCCGGCGATGGCGAGACCTACGTGCTCGTCGATGGCGAACAGCTTCTTCTGGTATGATGATAGTTCCTCGGCATTTCTCTGCAGCAGGAGCAAAGGTTGTCAGTCCCAGCTATGCGGTGTTATGGTCATACGACCGCAATCTCATGTGCTCGGCAACGTACCTTGATGGCGACCAGAACGGCGTGGGTCTTGCTGGTCAGCCCGACAACCACGGAACCCTGCTTGACGGCCTCGCCAGCATATTCGACCTGGAATATTCTTCCTTGCGGAGAGCTGTAGAGAGGAGCAGGCGACGCATTAGCTTGGGCATGTAGACGGGTTTCGCGGAGGTGAAGGCGGAGCTCACAATGTGACCGAGTCGTTGTCATAGTTGTTTCTGAACATGGCTGCGACGACCGGGGCTTATACCGGACAGTGCCGCACAGGGAGGGAGGGAGGTGGCGGGCTCGAAGGAGGACCAGGTGACTTTGCTGCAAGCCTGGACGGTGTGCGGTCGCTTTGGTCGTGGTGTTTGTGCCTGTGAGCTTCGTGGGGTCTTGTGGTGAGGGTGTGATGATGCTGGTACCAGGAGGAGGATCCAGGCTGGACGGAGCTGGCGTAGCGGGCTGGGCGTATCTAGCAGCAGCACAAACGCAGGCAGCTCTGAAGCTTTCGTCAACCGTCTCCACGGCAGGTGTACCTGGGCGCGGTGTTTGGCGGGGTCCCTTGCTCATGTAATCGGCCGGGGTCGTCCCAGCTTGAGCCTCAGTGCACCAGCCACACCCGGCGCCTGCAGGCGGCAGGTGCTCCTCTAGGTACAGTCGGGTTGACAGGTGTGGCTGAAGCTCTTGCCGGCCTAGGCAGCCTTGACGGAGCTCCCTTGGCTGTTCCTTCTCTGTGCTGGGCCCCAGGCTGAGCCGAACCCGCTGACGAAACCCGGCGACCGCGATCGCCAGCCCGCCATCCACTCCGTGCCAGCCTCGCCGACGACCAACGTCACACCTGATTGCGTGCCATCATCACCACCACCCAGACAAACCCGCCGCCGCGCCTACGCAGCTCAGATCATCGCTACGCCTCACCATCCTCGCGTAGTTCCGCAATCGCACCCACTTGCGCGCGCGCACCGCAACCACAACAAGCAACCGGTCCGGCGCTGCCTTGTGCCCACCAACGAAACCCGTACGACAACAATCCCCAAACCACACCTCCACGAAGCGCCGCCCGCACACCGAACCGCCCAAGATGCCGGCCGCCGGGCTCAAGACCATCATTGCCCTCTCCTTCGTCCTCGCCGTCGGCTTCCTCCTCGTCATCCTCTCCTGCGCGCTCTGGAAGGTCTACTACCCGCTCCTCGTGGTCGCGACCTATGTGATTGCGCCCATACCAAACTGGATCTGCAGCCGCGTCTCCAACCCGGACGACTTTGTCGAGAGCTCCGGCAATGCCGTCCTCGACCTCGGCCGCTTCATCACGGGCTTCTTCGTGGTCATGGGTATTGGTACGTCCCCTGGGTCTTTTCTTTGTTGTTGCCGTTACGCTCGGCTCTGCAATTGCGGCATGTCATCATGAAACTGTATCATCGTCCGCTGACCAATGTCCTTCTTGGATCGCACAGCTCTCCCTGCCGTCCTCGCCCACTCGCAGCTCATCGAAATGGGCGCCATGATCATGTGCATCGTCGGAGGCCTGCTCATCTACGGAACCATAATCAGCTTTGGCATGTTCTTCCAGGAGGACCAGGAATTTTAAGCAAGCGCGACCTTTTAAACGCGAGCTCCAGGCATCGCTTTTTGTATCATTTCAGGCTGCAGGGAAGAGCAGAAAGCAGATGGCAGATATCAGCAGGAGCGTTGAGACGGAAGGGGATCCGCGCTGAAGCGTTGTGTTACGTAGCGCACGCCACTTCGAAGGCGCGACGGCGTTCCGGCTCTGCACTTTTTCTTTTGGCATAGTCACTCAACCAAACATGTTTTTTTCAAACGTCTCAGTGGCATGCTCTCACCACAACTGAGCTCGACGGAGTGTGTTTTGGGCCTCATCCCTCAGATCCCAGCATCGTATTGGCAACTACGCAGGGACAAGCAACGAGATCATTTTCTGGACGGCGTTGTCAGAGGCCCTGTGGACCCCTAAAGGACATTCGTGTCGGTGCATGGGTGGTGCTGACTATATCTCCAGCCGTTCACAATACCGCTGAATTCCACCACCTGGTATGCGGCAGCAGAATCACCGCGAGGCAAGTCAGTCCAAGGACATCAATGAAAATAACAAGTTCTTTTCGAATCTTGCCATGGTGATGAAATGATGCGATCGCCGGTCTACCCTATGCGTTGGTATATGTGGTTGAAACCCAAATGCCCCTCCCCAGTCGTGCGGATCATTCTCTTACTACATGCATGCTTCCTATAACGCCTGACCCTCTCTGAAGCGAGGGGAACCCTCCCGTGGTACGTTGAGTACCTGTCCAAGATATAAATGTATCTAGTAAGCAAAGAAGCCAGAAAAAATGTGCAGTCAGGCCGTTCCCAAGGCGTAGGAAGAAAAAAAAAGAAAAAGAAAAAGCCCCGCTATACTTGGTGCTCAAACACTCCGAGAGGCCCCTTGAGCTTTGTGAACATCTCGTCGCGCTCGCCATGGGGCGTCGAAAGCGCCGTCACGGCGCCGCCGGCACCGATATGCCACACCTCGAGTGCAGAATGCTGGTGCTGCTGGTGCTGCTCATCGTTTTCGTGCTCTCCGAGCACAACAACAACGTCCTCCTCATCGTCCCATCGGAACAGGCTCCGGATCGTGACGCTCCAGTCGCTGTGGCCGCGGACGTCCATGTACCCCACGACGCCCGAGTACAGAGACCGCTCGGCGCTTGGACCTTCCAAGTGCTGCAGGATCTCACAACTGCGCTTCTTGGGCGCGCCGGTCATGCTGCCAGGGGGCAGGGTGGCGGCGAGGACGTCCAGGCCATTCGGGCGCGGAGGCAGCTGCTGCTGGCTGTCGCCCTGGGGATGATGACGACGATGGTGATAGCCAGCCACAGGCAAGGGCGGGGATGGGGGCAGCTGTCCCTCCACAACACTGATCATCTGGAAGACGCTCGCATACTCCTCGACCTTGAGCAGCTGCGGCACCGCCACGGCCTCCTTGCCCACGCCGCAGACCGAGTGCAGGTCGTGCCGCACCAGGTCCACGATCATCAGGTTCTCGGCCTCCTCCTTGGGCACGTGCAGGATCTCCTCTGCCTGCGCGAGGGTGCAGACCGTGCTCGACTTCTTGACGGTGCCCTTCATGGGCCGCATCGAGCATGTCCCCGTGCTGCCGGAGACCTGGAGGAAGCGCTCGGGGGAGCTCGAGACGAGGGTCGCACCGCTGAGGCGGATGTATGAGCCGAACGGGGCGGGGTTGCGGGTTCGCAGCGTGCGGTACAAAGACCACGAAGAGGGAGAGGAGGAGGAGGAGGACAAGGAAGCGCAGGCGGTGGAATCGATCGCTTGTTGTGGGCGTTTGCTGCCATTGTGGTATGGTCCATGATGCTGCTGGGTTCCAGGCACAAGGCCAACAATGCCCGGACTCTTCGGCCTGGTGATAAGTGTTTGATCCGTCAGGCACAGCTCGTACGAGTCCCCAGCCGCAATGTACTCCTGACACTGGCGGACTTTGGCCTCATACTCGTCCGCGTCCGGGATCTGGATGTGCGTCCGAGCAGATCGCTTCTCGTCAGGCGTGAGCGGCGGCGTGGGCTGCGCTTGGACCGTGTTGGCAGCGTGGAGAAGCCTCCTGTCGAGGTCACCCCCGGCAGTCTTTTTGCTGAAGTCCGCCCCAAGCCCATCTGTCCATACCGGCGAGGCTTGCAATGTCTGGGCGGCCTGCTCGAGCCATGCAGCCGCGGAGTGCTCGTCTGAGGACAGTGTCTGCAGGCATATCGTGCCCTCCATGTGATCCACAACAGCGCTGCGTGTGACCCAAGCAAAACTGAGATCTGGTCTCGAGTGCCTGTCGTGGTTCAGCGGTTTGACTTGGATACCCTCGAGACCCAGCTCGTATGTCGTGAAACCCATGAATCCGCCGAGGAAAGGGTGTGTGGTGTCATCGTTGGCAGGGATTGGGTGCTCCCGTCTCGACCAGAACGACGCCAGAACGCTCCAGATTGTGTGCTCCTCGTCAAATCCGATCAGCTCGACATCGTACTGATCATTTACTTCGCCACTCTCACGGTCTCCGGCAGCACTGGTTCCACTGTCAGTTCTCCTCCTCCGCAGTGTGACTTGCCTCGACCCCGTGCGGTACTCGAGCTGCAGAGCCTTGTCCACATCGAGCGCAATGATGCTGTACCGCCCTTTGACATCCAGCCCGGTTCGGGAGGTCTTGGCGCTGGCCGAGTCAAGCACGACAAAATCCCTCCGGCCCGCTTGCAGGGACTCGACGATATCCGGGACCTCGACGTGATTCGGCAGCTCCAGCGATGTTGAGAAGTATTCGCAGCCGAGATCCTGATCCCAAAGCGAAGGCTGGGGATTTGGGTGTGACAGCGGTGCTGCGAGGCTTCCTGGCGGTGATCTTGGCTGCAGTGTTGGAAGGAATGGTCTCGACGCTTTCTCGGACTTCTTGGGCAGATTGTACGTCAGACCCTCCAAGGAACCATCAACCTCGCTCTTTGCGATCCTGCCTCGGGCCCGGTTCCACCTTGCAGCCTGGGCAAACCAGTTCTTGATGACCTGATGCCCGGTACTCTCGGTGCAGACAGACTCTGGGTGGTACTGCAGCCCCCAAAAGGGCTTCCTTCGATGCTTGACGCCCATGAGTATCCGCTCGTCGAAGCCCTCGTCCCGGCGCTCTGTCACCCACGCCAGGGGCACGACGTCGGGGAGATGCGCTGGGCTGTTCCACTTCGCATTCCCCCGCGCCCATTCCTGCTCCGAGCCTGCCTCTAGCCGCCCCTGTTGCTGACCAATGTCCGCAAACAGGCTGTGGTAAAGCGTGGCCTTGAACTCGGGCACGCCGGCAAAGATGTTGCCCTCGCTGAGGGGCAACACGTCGTTGTCCGCGTGGTCGATGGGCCGGATCATCCCGTGCAAGCCCGTGCTGAGCTTGCGGACCACGCCGCCGCAGTGGACGACCAGGCTCTGGAAGCCCAAGCAGATTCCCAGCACGGGCAGGAGGCTGTCGTCATCGTCGCCAAGGTCCCAGACGTGCTTCATGAGCCCGACGTCCTGGTCGCAGTCGGGCGCGCCGGGGCCGGGCCCGCAGACGACGGCATCGTAGTGCGCGACGAGGCGCCGCAGGGCTTGCCTCTTTTTCTTCTTGTCGTCGTCGTCGTCGTTGCTCGGGCGGTTGGCTGTCGAGGAGAAGAGCAGTTGAGGGTGGTCGATAGGGAGGATGTCGACGCGCGCGCAGAGGACGTCGGCGAGCAGGGAGACGATGTTGTTGCTGAAGGAGTCGTAGGCGTCGAGGAACAAGATCCGGGGCGGTTGTGGCTGCTGTTGCTGGTAGTGGTCGTCGCCTCCTTCTTGGGGCATCGTCACGCAGCGGGGTGCGGGCAGGCAGGGAGGTAATGATGAGCAGGCCGGCTGATCCGAGCTGATCTGGTCTTGCACCCCGTGGTCCAGTCAGTGCCCAGCGGTGATGATGGATGGTGCGGTGGCCAGTATATCGCTGTCCCTTGTCTGTCCTGAGGCTGCCTCAAATCACATGCAAGAAAGCGGCAGTTGTATGCACAAGGGCACTACTACCCCGGGGCCCGGCAGAAGGAGGAGGACCCTTTTCTTTCTTCGCCGCGTCCCGCCCGCCTCTCCCCCAGAAAATTTAACCCGAGGCCGATCCCGGAATCGGCCTCGCTCGGGTAGAAGTGGAGCCCTAGTGAGGGCCGGGACATGCCGCTTCTTTCCAACGGCCGACTCATGATGTTGGAAAACTGTCTCCTACTTTTTGTTCTCTTGCGATCGGCAGCATTTCAGCTTGGTGGACGGCCGTCTACCTTTTCAAGCGGGATTACCTCGTTCGCCGTCATCTGTGCCTACATACGCCGTGTCTTGTATGCGCCTCCACCTGTTCGCCCCATGTCTGAAGACCAGACAACTAACTGGCAAAAGAGAAAAGAAAATCTGCCCTTACATGATGTTTCAACTCACGCCAACCAGTGTCTGACAAAACTTTCAACTAGACCCGTGTGCTATGGCGAGGCCCATCACTGCATTCATGAAGAAACATTCTTTCCTGCACATTGTAGCTCTCTTCAGGACCAGATCCTGTTTTCAATTGGTTGATCCCTTCAAGTTCACCGAGCGGCACTAACCGCACGTCTTCGACACCGGCAAGCCTACGAACCTAGCTTGATTTTCCGTACCACTAGGCTCCTTCCTGCTACTGCTGTCGTCTATGCCAATATCTTAGCGACGACCGTGAGCAGCAACCTGGTCCCTGGGCCAGCGGAACAACTTGCAGTCGGGGAGGAAAGCTCTGTGCAGAGAGTTTGCGAGCACGAGTCCTCACGGCAGGTGATAGTTGACTATATTTCCAAGATAATAGCACAATGAGAAGAAACAGTGCAAGCGGAGGGCATTTGCACAAGTACGCGAAAGCGCAACGCGTTCCATGACAAGGGAGCGTCGACACCAGGGCAAGGAGAGGAGTATGCTGCTCCAACCATTGATGAGCAATATGAGCGCGAATACAGGGTTGAGCAAAGCGCTAACGATGAGATGACACCATTCTCGCCATTTGGCTCCAGCATGATGCCCCTCGAAAGTGCCTGCTGTTATGACGGTCTGCTTCAGAGTACACATATACATCTCTGCTGAGTCCTTCTACAATCATGTCGCAGGAAAGTGGCAGGTATCAAACATTGCTCACGTCAACTTGACACCGGATACAATCACAAGCGCGCTTGGAAATACTGTAAAGGTAGAGGAAGAGGAGCATATATGAAATGCTCGCTCCTGGCTTGGTGATTGCTCTTCTATCGTGTATGAATGTCCCATTTTGTGGGACGAGACCGTATAATACCACGGCACGCTGGCTGGAGCAGCAATTCCGGAGAAGCCTCCCTCAGATAGTGAATTGTAGGCAAATGTATATATATGCCGTGATGACACACTCGCTCGCTAGTGAATGAAGTGACAATAAGATGATGGTTCAGCCATAGTCTCGTTGTTGCAAAAGAGACGACTTGAAACTCCGTAAACGCCGTCCGCGGTCTGCCCAGCTTCTAATAGAAGTGATGATATATGTGCTCCTAGCCCGCATGAAACGGCAGGCATTGCTTTTTATGTACACGAAGCAAAACCGATGTGGGTATCGATGCAAATTCAAGACAGTCGAGATGATGCGACGTGTGTCGGGTCCGCTGTGTTGAGCCAGGCTCGGATGACGAGTGCCAGCGTTGCAGTCATATTGTGTGTTGTTTTGTTAAGTCGGTTGGCTGCTCTGCCACTTCAAGAGTCTTTGGGCTTCCAGATGCCAGCGCCGAGGGGCTTGCTCACGCCAAAGCCAACTCCGACCGCGATGCCGATGATCAGGAAGATGATGAGAATCTTGAGGATGATCCGTGTCCGTCTACTGTAGCCAGCCATGCAGTTGCAAGTGCGGTTCTTGCGCTTCTGGGCTTTTGCCTTTTGCCTCCAATGCTCCTGGCCGGGCCAGACGGTGCAGTTGGGGTTTGGCAATGTCCGACCGGTGTATGTGGTCTTGAGCTGGTTGAGGTTGTCGCATGATCTTGACAAGGCGGCAGCCTCAATGTCGGTGTCGAAGGGGTTGCCATTGTGGACGGAGCTGGGTGCCGATACACTCGAATTGCGGTGGAGCTCACTGCTCACCACATCCTTCTTTTCGTTCGTGGTCGACGTGGTGGTAGGCGTGATGGCGTACAACTGCTCGGTTGCCGTCACCGTGGGCTGCAGGCCCGCGGCCTTGTCGTCTTTGATGATGCTGGCCATTGCGAGCTGGCGCTGCTTCTGCAGACGAGTAACGTCTGGTGCGACGAGAAGCCGTTCGTGGTAAGGCAATTCAACCTGTTGGGGACGTCGAGGTGGTGGATGGACGGGCGAGATGTATGTCCTTTGGAATTTATGACCGTTGACAGGGCAGCAAAAGGGATGGAAGCTGCAACACATGATGCCTTTTGTCAGTCGACATTCTCCATGAACTCCAAGCTGTGCTTTGTCTCAGGTGAAACAGCCCAGTGCCACGCCTTGCCACCTCTGAAGACACCGTCTGGGAACACAGCCAGCTTGCAAGAGAGAGAAACCACTAACCTGGTCTGAGTACAGTACCGTGATATCAATGGGGTTCACAAAGCACACTCCTCCTTTGTTGTTTTCTTAGACCGATAGAGCACCAAAATTTGGTCAAGGCGACTAGGCCAAACAGGTCAAAGAGCTTCGACTGGAGAGCGATATCTGTGGGCGGCGCTAGGACAAGGAGAATGCAGTGAAGCACTCCGATGTGTAATGTCGTGTCAGGGGGGACACTGGGCGACCACGATGAGAGAATCTAGCAGTGACGCGAATACTGCTGGTGGGATTGTCGACGCGACGGGAGTCCTCCAACTCTTGTCGAAGAAGAGAAGGCAGTGTCGATGTCCGACGGAAGGTTCAGCGGCAAGTGAAGAACGTCCAAGACAGAGAAGGGGGAGGGAGCCGGTACGAGAAGCGGAACCCTTGGGGGGGCCTGCCAGTGGTGAAATAAGGTAGCAGGGTGGCCTGGGGCTTGGTGGTGCGACTTGGAAGTGGCACCAAGACGAACGCGAGTGGGCCTCTTGCTGGACGGCGATCAGAGAGCCGGGTGACCAGACATGGGCATTGCCTGGGAGTGCAGTTGGTACGAGCGCCACAACGGGTCAGGACGACGACTTTAGGGGCCCGTCTGCGTGCCTGTACTTGTAGGAATGAGTTCCAGACCACGCGAAAGGCTCATCGCATGCCACTATCTGGTGTGCGAAGGGGCGACACGCCGGGCGAGAATGGCCAGAACGGGCAGCTCACGAGCGCACAGGAGAATAGGAGACGGCGAGGAGCAGCCCAGGCCATTGTCGAGTCTAACCACCTGAGCGCGTTGGCTGTGGTGGTGCATGCAAGGAACAGGCCCCCCCAGGCCTGCCCTTGCACCCTCCACACACCAGGCCTCCACTTGGCGCCGCGCGAGCTGCAGTCCCCCCTGATGGGTGCCTTCTCTGCGTGAGCCTGGCCGGGCCGGCTCAGGATCAGGCCAGGGAGAACAGGACGCCCTCAAACTGTTACTAACACGAACTACGCCTGCAGCCCTTTGAACCCTAGCTCCCCGTCGCACTGCTTCCATGACATCGTCCACGACTGCGAGGTGAACAGACATGGTCCGTCGTGCGGTCGCCGACAGCTGCTGATGCGGATGGGCACAGTGGAAAGATTCGATGGTGTGACTCGTCCACATGGAGTGGTCATGCCGCTGCTGCTGAGCCAATGGGGACATGGGTTATTGAATGCCTTTGAAACGCGCATGCACGAGATTGCGGCTTTGGCTTGTGCGCTCAGGCGTATATTGCTGGTTATGTCAAGCTTTTTCCTGCCTGCTTTCGTTGCTTGTAATGTGACGGGTAAAGACTGCGAGTTATTTCGCGATATTGCCTTTGGTCAAGTGTACTGCGTACTGTACTGCACTGGCAGCATCCATCACTAGCGCCGTCGAATCAGCATCCTGGCAATCAGCCGGCATTTTCCACGGCTGCGGTGCCTCCTCGCCATGGCTTAGCCCGGCTTGGTGAGGACTATGCGTGCCGTTGGCCGGTGCCGTGACCGTAGTGCTGCTCAGCTCACACAAAAACTCCTGTTGTTGGCGTGCAAGCGCTCAGACGCTACAGGCAAGCTGCCCGCCCGCGGCGCTGCGCCTAGCCCCTTAGAGTACTCGTAGCGCTGGAGACCAAAGACTAGTCCCGCCCAGCCTAGAGTTCGGGCAGTGTCACGCATGGCGCAGTCCCTCGTAGTGCTGGGGCGCGATAACAGACGATTGTGATCGGGGGCTTCGTGTCGTGCACCATAGCTGACGTTTCTCGGTGGTGGACTGACGTATTTTGTCGTCGTGGCCGTCGCCATGGTCCTGCCCCCGCTAATGCGTGCCGCCCACGACGACGCATCGCAAGCCAGAATGGGCATGGAGTGCGAATCAGGACGACTATGATGGGGAAAATAACTATTGCGCGCAGAAACCAAGAACAGGTTCGGTGCAAGGGTGGCCATCCCTCGCCGCCCTCTGAGTGCTGCATACGCGGCTGGCCGACGTGGCAGTCTGTACTTCCACGCCAGCTTCTCGCTAATTGCCTGTAGGTCGCATGCAACCATTCGGCCTCGTCTGTCGACATGATGCTTGCTTTTCAGCTCGGCTCAGCCCAGCTCAGCAAGGACCGTGCCATGACATTGCCTGGGCTTGCCAAACTGCCCAGGCTCATCGTTGCATTCGCAGTCATTGTGACATCTCTTCTCACATGCGCTCGACTGTGCCGGTCTGCAATGCGCTTGTGAAAGTCAATATTAATGCAGTCTTATCTGGGTCGCGACGTCAGAAACAATGTGCAGGAGCAAACAACAGCCAACACTGCCCAGTGCACCTTCCTCTTCGCCGCACGAGGCGCACAGCACTTTGCCCGCAATCGCACCGTCCAAAATCGCTCAGTTGCCAAGCACCTCAATCATGCAGCCGCTTCAAAGCCAAGGCAAGCCAGCAACCTCTACGGATTACGGTGGTTTTCCACCCTGACCAGACAGGCCAGGCGCCCGCCTGACAGGCCTTGCCTGTGTGCGATCCCTTGCACCCGACGGCGACTTGCCACTCGCCTGTCCCACCGGATAAGAGTATTTGACCAGAATGCGGAGCCAATCCGTCCTCAACCACGAGCCCAATGGAACACCGGGGGACCGGTCCGGATCCTGACGGGACGGAGATCTTGGAACCACATCAATCAGATATCTGTAACGGTGCGGTAATATTCCAGACACAGCTTGTCTGAGCTCACGTGCCGATCAAGCGCTCGAGATCCACAGGCTCTTCTCAAACAAAACACGGCTTCAGATGTTCTTGCGCTTTGGATGATGGGGCTTCATGTTTCAACGACGAGTCGGGTTTTATTTGGCTCAGCCCTGCAAAGGTAAGCTGCGTTATGGACAAGACCTGAGGCCCGGTTATATCCAAGGAGGAACACGATCATGCTCAGAAGCAAGCTAGGTATTAAGCTCGTCCGGATCCTCGTTGCAAGCCTGCCGCTTCCCGAGACATTGAGCAGGGAAGGAGCACACTGCCCACGTTGGCACCAGCTGAAGAACGAGTTGATGCCATCAGGGTGGCAACACCGAAATTCTGCTAGAATGGCATCGCTCGTTTGTCCAAAACCCAGAGGCGCACAATCTGCATCCACGCCGTCTTGGAAGAAAGCTTGGAGGTTCTTGGACACGGCACAGGCGTCGCCACCACCACCTCCAAATGTCTGCTTTGGGCACACGTGCTCGTCGTGCCCGCCGGCTAGATGGCACCACAAAGCCCACGCCAAGACCGCTGGAGCAGCCAAGCTCGCCCAGCCTGCTTGGTGCGCATACTCACTGGCGCCAGCAGAAGAACTTGTCCGCCGCTAGTCCTGCAATGCAAGATCCCCCAGGGATCTAGATCAGGGGCACCCTGACGAACCAACGAGCGAGCGCGGCCGAATGGAGCCCACTCCTGGGCCACGAGATAAGAACCTTGTTCTTGAGCCTCTTTCGGGCGAGTCGAGACGGCGCCCCAGCTATGAGCTCTAGCCGCAGCCTTTGCAGCCCACGAGTCAAGCTTGACGGGTCCGTGGCTTGCAGCAGTTTCCTCAGTGAGACAAATTCGCAGTCTCCAGGTAGTCTATGACAGACAGTCCGGACGACCACTGCCACTTACAGACATGCGGGGTTTGTTTCTTCTTTGCACGAGGATGTAATCATGGCGGCAGCAACGAAGAATCATGGAATGACTTGGATTGTCCTTCTCTGTGTGACGGCTCAACAGTCCCATGATCATCAGCTCGAGACAGATACCAGTTCGCTGGCTCATGTGCCATCACATTTAGGCTAGCAAAATTGGAGATGCGCCACCAACCGTACGCAGTATGGACTCCAGAGGCGCTCTACTGTCAACCAACATTCACCACCGCCAGCCCTGAGGCAGGCAGGGCAGGTCAACCCCGCAGATCGTTGCTCCTCAATTGCTGCTGCCCTTGCGCAACCTCTCCAGATAATAGCGCCGAGTTGTTCCAGTCTCGTGCACAGGTGACCTCCTGTCGAGCCAGCGAGCAAGCATACACTGCCTGTTGAGACGCACCGAAACGGGAACCCTACACCAACTATGTCGCACCGGTGCCACATGCTTGAAAGACTTCAGGCCAGGCGGGCGACTGAGCCGGAGCACCGCCGGGGAGATCGCTCTGCATCCTGACCCTTGGCATTGATTGTGCTTGGGGCGGACCAGCGTTTGTGGCCGCTGGAGCCTCTGCCCCAGATGACGGCATTATTCCACAGCAGGTGGAGCAGAGGTACTCTCTCACAAGTCACAGGTAAATGAGGTGGTTTAGATCGTTGTACCCTAGTCCTTGTCTCAACCCGTAGTCAAGCTTTGTCGCAATGACAAGGACCTACTAATGGCCGTTGACGCTCAAGTTAGTGAGTGACGCTAGAAAAGTCAAAGGGTTTTGCTGGCGAGAGCTGCAAGAACCGCTCAGCTGCCGCGCGAAGTTGCTTGTGTCTTACCCGTCGGGGAACCCCTCCCCTCTTGGTGCATGTCGGATACTGCACATGCAGGTCAGCATTGAGTAACGCATGCATGATCGACTTCCTCTTCGCCTGGATTGGCTGATGCTACGCAGACGGCGGAAGAGGAAGGAGTACGGCCGCTAGACGCAATTGGTCCAGAGTCTCTCGTCATTGACTTTCGAGAACTTTTCGACAACGACTAGAAGACATCCCATTGTGATTTAACCTGGTTGCTTAGGGAGTCTGGCCGAATCCCCGTCCGCACCCCAGATTGTGCTCAGTTTGTTACCATGGCGAAGTTGACGGCGCAGTGCATAGCAGTCAAAATCAGCTACTATGTACATCAGCGACAGGTAGCTGAGCTTGGGTGCTGACAGCACCTCCGCGATCCTGTCTGTGATAAGCGGCGGAAACCTCACCATCACTTGGCTGTGTAATTGCATATTATAGGCACATCAGCATCAAACGCAAGTCAGTGCCACCTGTAACTGCTGTTACTGAGTCGTCCTGCACCACTCGGATTCTGCCGATGTTCGGGAAGTCAAGCAACGACACCAGCACGAACTTTATGCAGGCCGGCGCGTTGGAAATATAGTACGGATGAACTCTCGTTGGCAAAAGTGCGCAACGCTCGCGAGATGAAGCATGATAGTAATGCGAGCTTTGCAAGGGCTGTAACTCGAGAAGAACAAGTAGAATCTCAGGTGATTCCTGTCATTCAAGTGCTAAGACCGATCGGAATGCAATAACTTTGGCCTGGAGACGGTCAAGATAGTTCCAGCGACTCTAACCTAAGTGCACCCAGTTTTCTGCGGATTCCACGAATCTGTCCAAGAGAGGTAGGAACAGAGGAGAAATAGTCATCTCACAATGCGGTGGAAATCCCGGCCATGTTCCAAAATACATTGCGTTCGTTGTGTGCTCACGAGCATTTCATGTACAGACACCATCTCGAATCCATCGTTGTCACTAGTAGGGCTGCAATCTCGCGCTCCGATGTCCTCTGCCATCGACTTCCCGCAATGAGCGGGTATTTCGTGGTACTGTCACCATGCACTTGCCGATTGTGCGCCTGACTCCTGAGACAGACTGTGCTAACTAGATCCGCTCCCGATGTCTTGGTTGAACATGGTGATACGAGATGCCACCTGTTGGCCTGCCGGTGCGCTTTACCCTCGGGCGGGATCAAGCTGGCTTCAGGCAAACTCCACCAGTTCCTCTCAGCTGTTCTCGCCTCCGCCGAACGTCAATTGCCCGAGGTGACGTATCTTCCTAGCAATCCACCTAGTCATCAACTATCGTGGTGTTATAGAGCCCATACGAGTTACTCGAGACGCCCCGCCGTCGTTCCCCCGGCGATGAAGCCAATGACCTCACTCATCCATCTGGTCATTGCGGCAGTGCAGAATACGGCAGCACCAGCAGCCGCCGTACCGACGATGGCGGATGTGACTTGTCAACCTAGGTTGCATGCTCGAGACGCGTACACGTGCTATGGGGTTTGTGGTTTCTGTGTCTCCTCTCGACCCTTCAAAAACACCGTACATCATCACAATCGCCCTCCTTTCCTTAGTACTGGGCAGCTCGAGGGAAACCCCTGTGAGCTTTGCACAGAACATCGAATCAATGAGTAGTAGTACGTGTCTGCGTATCATCTGACCAATGCGATTAGGAGTACACGGGCTCTCCTTCAGACTGCCGGCTCGTGATCCGCGAGATCCGGTCACAGCCCAAAGACCGCATCTTCTCGCTGTACTCTGGACTCTGCGTTGTCTTCACGCATGGGGCATGCCAGGCAAAGCTGTGCGCGGTCGAGTACCTCCCGCGACCTGTGAACCAGAGTGCGCGGTGGATGGCTGATGTCTTGGAGGTGCCGCTACTTGGAGAGTGCATCGAGCATAGCAGGGAGGGTGTTGCGGGTGACAGCGATGTCATTAATGGGGACAGTGGGAGCTACCGGCTGTGGATAGGCAGCGTGTCTTGATGAAAAGTCGAGCAGCTCGACGGGGCATGAAGTTTTCGTGAGTGAATATATGTGGTACCTTGTGAGATATCTGTGAGCCGGTGATGAGATTGTAATGAAATGACATGGGCATCGACGCCATCTTCTGGCCATGTTGACATGAATGACGCTTCGGTCCTCTGATCGTTGAAAACCGAGACAGTATGGAGGCAATCCCACACTTGATTGAAGCCGCGTTTTGTAGGTATTTGTGGCGTGCAATAATCAGCAAGAACGAGTGAATGCCTGGATGCCTTCTGCTTCTGCTTGATGGCAGGCAAGCACAACAACGGATGTCACTAGGAGTATCACGAGCAGAATATCAAGGTGTAACTCCGGATGAACTTCCAGCGGCAGACCTTCTTGCCAGATCACAAGAAGTCGTCATGCTGTTCGCCAACTTTCTCAGCACAAGTAAATGATCAGAGGTGACGGGTTGACCCGAATCGACCATGGTCGAGGCCTGCGTATGAGAACCGACGCTCGATACTTGTCTTGACGATTTGATGGAGAAAAAGCCGCAGGGCTTTCTTATCAACGAACGGTCTGGACTGCGAGTTTTGATCCCCCACGGTACCCAGTCGAAGGTACTGCTGGACTTGTCATCACCACGGTGATTAGCACCAGCCACCGCGTTTGCAATCACGACTACGCGACTTTGGGTGAGGCTGCTGCTCGACCCCTCACTCCTTCCTCTGTCAGAGGACATCAAAGCACAAGCACATCTTCTCATCGACATCTTCTTCTTTTCAGAACAACACCAACAGATTCCTGAAGCCCTTCCAAATCAGTCAACGTCGTTCCCAAGACATCTTACATCATTGAGCAGTCTGTTCCTACTGCGCACAAGCACAGTCACTCCCTGGACAAGCAAGCCTGTTCGACTTCACCACTTACGTTGTCTTTTGACTCGTCTTTCAAGGAACCCTCTCCCACCCACAGTCAAGCCAGTATGAGAAGTCTTGTCTCTATCTGTTTCTTGGCCCAGCTCGGTCTGGGCATGGCTCAGGACACCAGCCTCAAGCAGTCCAGCATGCGAGAATACCGAGCCAATCTCGTCAATCACACTCGCGTTGACGAGTCTGCCGGTTTTCGCTGGAGATGCACCGAGTCTCACATCAAGGTAAGTGCTCAAACATGGACCCTGGCGCGTCTCGAAGCTTATGCCTACTGCTCTCCAGGACATCGACAGCCCTCTCTTGAAGGACTGCCTCGATGTCATTGCTCAGTACAAAGCCATCCCTGGCGAAGCTACCATTGAATGGACCACAGGCTGCTACAAGATCACGTCAGGAACGTGCACTGGCTCCATCTGCCCCCAGAAGTCTGGCCCGATCGTCATCTCACCCTCCGCTCTAGCGCAGCGCTTTGAATCGCCAGTGGTTGATGAGTGCATCAGCAATGGATTTCGTGGCTGGTGGAGCGACAGCGAGGGGAATGGAATTGGTATTTACCTCGCCTGAGGTGAGACTCCATCCACACGGAGACATGAACTGGGGGAGCATCCTTGAGGAATATATGAGCAGGAGTGCCGTGAGCAAGTGACGAGGTCAGCTATCTCATATTGCTGCAAATTTCTGGAGTTGACAACGCATCTGGCGGTTTCGTGTGCCATCATGTTGACACAATGGCGTTTTGATGTTTTTGATGTTTCAAAGGAAAATGCTCTGTCCTGTATCTCGGTGGCTCAAGAAAAAAATGTTGTTTGAATCAAAGCATGTATTGCCTGCGAGACCGGGTGGCAGTTGAATGTGTATTGTATGATAGCCCTCGATACTGCCGTATTCCAGCTGGGTTTATTAGCTTGCTTGGACCTTGGGAACAAAACAAAGGTGTACTTCAGCACAATGCCTGCCTGCTCAGTCAGATCACTTACATCATATGGTATAAGCCAAGTGAATGTCGGGAGGCGATAGTCAACAAAGGGTGACTTCACTGTGGATCATGTAGAGTAGTGCTTCTGTGACTGCTTCAGAGATGACAGCACACTGCATGTCAGGAATCATCTGACCACTGCAGCTTCATCATATTCACTAGTCTCGAGAAGTGTGAGTCTTCATGGTGCAGAAGCTTGTGCGGAAGCTGCAAAGTTCCTGGACAGTGCGGCGCACGGCCACAACCATCAGCGAGGCCCACATGCCACTTTCGGGAACCTGACGACTTCCATCCACGACTGCACGCGAGACCTGTCAAGTTGTCTGACTTTGAAAACATCTACAGCTTCTTACGACCCACGGCCGAAGCGGCCAACTTTCCCTGGGATTTCTGCGGCACCCGGACAGAAGCCGTATTCCATGTGACCATAACGAGGGCCCACTGCCCAGAATTGCCCATCATGGTGAGTTGCATCATCCACACGCCCCAGCTCCTTGTTTACTGGGGTGCAGCTCGCTCAAATGCTCCTCCTCCTGAGCAGTACATGAGGCTAGCTCAACTCCATCACAACAAAGGACAACGCTGACCACGTCTCCCTGCAGAATAAGGACGGTTGCTACACATATATCCACATGCAGCGCCCACGCGACGCAGACCTGTTTGAGGACTTCTGCAAGGACAAGCTGCCCGACGACGAGATCTACGTCGCGGCGCAGCACCAGCCCATCAACCCGGAGGACGAGGACGACGTGGTGCCCGACCAGCACGCGGCGTTTGGCATCCAGAAGGCCACGCAGCGCAGCAAGGAGTCCGCGTGGAAGGATCTCGGGCTCGGCGAGCTCATGAGCAGAGGTCCGCCTGCTGGCGGGAGCGGCGCCGGGGCAGGTACCAGGAGTGGTGCAGGAGGCACGGGCTTTGGTGTTGGAGGGAAGAAGACTGGCCGCAGCGGCTTGCCGAGGTAAGGGGTCGGGCGTCTCTCGACTTCTCGAGTCAGGCTCTTAAGGCGATGTGTCGAAGAACCTAGGATGGGGGATTGCGGTTATATCAGGGGTCCTCAAGGCGGCAGCACTTTTATGCTTGCCACCTCGACCTGCGAGGGAAAATGACCTTTGTGCAGGAAATTTTACGCACACAGGCGATAGAAACGGTCGAGCTCGACGAGTGTTATGTGGAATCACGAAGAGAATATCACCAAACGAATGAAACTGGTTGTCATTAGCGTTTTGAGGCACGACCCATCGTTCGACAACCGGATGGAATTGGGAGAAGTATCTCCTCACAGCCGACGCAGGCATCATATCTGGAATAAGTGTTTGGTCCAAGTGGTCTGAGGCACACGCCAACTGTCTTCCACAGATCCGTATCATTGTGCCGAGTGCTAGGTCGACACCTCAGGTATCCATCCACTCGTACGCGCCACAGCTGGAAACCACGGCAACCACTGCTCGCATTCAAGGCCATATGGTCCCCAATAAGGGACCGTCTTAGTACAGACAAGCCAAAGCCAGGGCAGAGGGTTCAAAGCCATGTTGCAATTCTCGTCTGGCCTAGTGGTTGGAATTAAGTCACAACACACTGATCTAGTCGGAGGGCCGAGTCCGGCATTTCGAGTCGCCAAGTGTGTAAGGCAATACCCTCACTAGGTTCTGCACCCCCCCTTTTTTCTCTTTTTTCTCTCCCGATCTTCTTCATTCTTTGTACCTTGTGCATTTCCACAGCAGGGCACTTAACTTTGTGGAGCACGCTGCCATGACTTATGCGCATCTGTTTGATCTCGTCCGGCTTGAAGCCACCCAGTACAACAGACGATCGACGCACCCACTTCATGAACAATCAAGATCGAAGGAACAAGCCATTGATGCCATCCAAGTTGAACGCTATTCACAGCCAAATGGTACCTGCAAATCTTCATGTCCTAAAACCAGCAAGTCTACCAAAACGCCACGCGACGCCATCCTGACATGTCCGCTGAACGCCGTTTCAATGCACGACTCTCCTCTCCCTCGAGGAATCTCTGTTCACTTCTGACTTTGAAGCTGTCCTTGCCTCTGCCATTTCGTCAGACTAGCCTTTGCCCAAGAAGCCCTCCCTCTCCATCACCTCCGGCGCAAACTTGACCAGGAACACAGTCCGGCCAGGCCACATCTCGCCTTCCTCCTGCTTGCCCACGCTATGCGCAGTGACCTTGGCGGGGAACGCCGAGCCGTCGCAAACGCCCTCTATGATGCCCGCCACGAACGCCGCGCAGTTGAGCTGGCTCATCTCCTTGGGCACGCTGATGTAGCGGTTCACCAGCGGCTCATTGTCAATGATCATGTACTCGTCGGGCTTGGTCGCGTCGCTGCTCTTCTCGAGCCCGTCGGCCGCCCGGCCGAAAAGGTGCTGCCAGACATTGAGCTTGATAAAGTGCAGCAGGGTGATGATGTTTAGCGGCCGGGTCTGTGACCGCGTGGGTTCTCGGTGCAGGAGCAGGTCGAGGAGTTTGACGCCTATTGGGTGGCCTTGGATATTAAGTCTGTCCACGCGGGCAAGAAGGATTAGTTTAATTATCCCTATTGTCTCGTATATATATGTAGACTGTGATCGTGGCCGCATAGGGCTTTCATGGAAGGGGGGTGAAACGCACCGCTTCTCCAGGTCCTGAATGCTCTGGATTCCCTTGCGCGCATAGCCGACCATCTCGGCAAACAGGTATGCAAACGCCGACCCGCTGAGTTCGCCTGCTTTTGTCCGGTTCAGCGGCCGGTGGTAGATGGTCTTGCCGTTCGAGGGGTATCGCAGACCCGGCTGCTCTGCTCCGCCAGGCGCCGGCTTGCCTGCCTGCTGCAGGCTTGACATTATGTCACGTGTGTGTGTCGCGCGGCGCACAAGCCCGTCTACAAAGTCGGTTGGCGTGTCTCTGGGTGCTCCTGGATGTCAAAAATGGGCTGGCCGCTCGTCGGCGCGGTCGGGTCTCGGCGTCGTCGAGTGTGCTGCTTGATGAAATGGGGTACACCTGCTCTGCTGCAGCTTGTGAGATTGGGGTTCGGATGGGGTCTGTGAGCTTGGAGACCCCGCACAGTGCCCGCCTCACCTCGATTTTACTGCGGTACCTGGCCGACCTCCATACATGAAACTTAAACTCCAACTTGTATGCAACCTTGGAAGGCTCAAGCCGAGCTTAATGATTGAGAAATATCTCCATGTTGTGATGTTGAGATGCCAGATGTCTGTGACAGCATTGAACACTCCTCGGCCGCCATGTAGAGTAGTCAAAAAGTATTACGTTGTCCGTTGATCTTGGAAATTCTACGAAGTGTCTTTGATGAAACCATCGTCTATGCGGGCCCCAGAAACCAACGAAGAGCTGCGTAGGGTATCCTGAAGCTTCATTCATATGCACATGTCCTCCTGTTGCCGACCAAAGCACCGATACTATGGCGCTCAAGCGTCCTTGCCACGAAGGTAGTCCTCGGACTCGCCAATCTGCTTGCCGCGGGCCTCCCATCTCTTCATCTGCTCAGCGCGCCTCTCCCGGGACAGTTTCTCCAGCGCAGGCCAGTAGACCGAGTGGTCATAGTCGATCTCGGCCTCGCCACCAGGGAACTCCGTCCACAGCTGCTCTTTGGGCACGTACTGCGTCATGTCCTCGTTGAACTTGAGCTTCTCCCGGGTCAGGGGGTCGATGAAGGGCGTGATGAGCTTGAAGAAGCCCCAGACAACCCAAGGGACTGTTAGACTTAGTTAGCATCGTCGTGAATCCAATGTACGTTTGTGAAAGGGGAGGCTCACCATTGATGATCAATGCTTTGCCCAGTCTCTCCGGGTAATGTGTCTGCAGGACGTGGAGCACCTCGCGACCCTGGGACAGCGGCGGCGACGTGGAGGACCGGCTCTTGCTCTGCTTGAAATTAATCAGCAGAGCCAAGGTCTCCTGCCCAACGGGCATGTTGTCGACCAGGCGCTCGATCATGAAGAAGAGGTGCTGGTTCTGTCTAGGGGACTGCTCCGTGTTCTGGCGACCAGGGTTGAGGTAGTGGCAGGGCCGGCCCTGCTTGTCGAAACCGAATGAGATTTGCTTGCCAGTTTCGTTCTCTGGCGAGATGTGCTCAAATGTCAGCTCCTCGATGCCGTACTCTCTACGCCACTTCAACGTGTCGAGCAGACGCTTCTCAGACACATTCTCGTCCCACTTGGTGGCGCGGAGGTATCGCAGCAGGCACTCGCGGCTAAGCCACATCTTCTCGCTGTCGGTGAGAGGGCCGGCCTTGTCTGCTTCCGCGGGGACATCTGTCCAGGACTTTGCCTTTTCGAGCAGCCAGTCATATTTGGTTTGCTGCTCAGCTGTCAAGGCCGGCCGCTCGGGGACAACCACACTGGGCAGAGGTGACAGAGCGGGAGTCTTGTAGGGACCAACGGCAGATGCCTTCTCCTGGACGACGGGGTCCGTGGGCTGGGCACTCGCAGTCGCCATTGCTACAACCAGAAGATGGTGCTAAAGTGAACACGAATGCAATGAACTGCGATGAATTGGTAACGACGCCCGCTTGGATGATCGCTCGAGACGCTACTGAAAGGTAGATAGGGGAAGAGTCAGAAAAGTTGCTGGTCTGACAAGGCTCAACGATGTTTAGTGATGAGATGCGGTGACAGGCCGGGCTAGGACCCCGATGGTCCCCTAAACCCTTGCAATCTCGTCCCAATGCCTGGATCACACCAAGCCTGATTGGGAGCTCAATCGCTAGAACAACGCCCTCCCATACATTTGGCAACACCCTGCGGCAGCCCCACCTTCAACTTCATCCCACTTTACGCGACTTGACGCGTCTTCATTGAGCCTATCGAGAACAAATTCGACGACAAGCCGGACAGGCCAGGCCAACAGTACGACAGCAATTCTTGTGACACGCATCAACCTCGCACTTTGCACCACAGCATTGCAGAGCACACCATGGCGGACCCTGAGATTGAGGAACTGAACGACAAGTTCGGCACCGGCCATGCGGAGCTGGAGCCAGACGTTGTCGCCGAGCTCAAGTCGATCATGAACATGCACTCGCTCTCGGTACAGGACCTCTTTTTCAAGTGGGAGTCGTACTGTCTCAAGATGGAGACGGCCGACATGAAACCGTCCTTGACGACCATTAGAGCACTGAAGCAGGATATCCAAGATGCTCTAGAACGGAGCAACCGGGCTCACGGCTCGCACATCAAGCAAGAGAAGCGCCCCGGTGCCACGCCGCGGACAGCTGTAAAGAGTACTGGCGACGTCTTTGGCATGTAGGTCTTGTCTCGAGATTTCTGGACCGCTGGGTCAGGTGCTGATAACCGCACTAGGCTGGACGGACTCGTCCCAAACACACCCGGCGCGGCGAAGCTGAACAGGAGTGCGGGCCCGAAGCGAGAAAAGTTCGAGTCGCCTTCGGTGTCTAGGTTAAAGGGAAATGCACCGGCCAGTTCGCCGGACGCCAGGACGCCGGTCAAGACGGAGGATTTGGATTCCATGAATGCTGCGCAGTAAGTCCCCCCGGACATTCCTTCATGAGCTTGGAAGCTGACTCTCTCGGAGTGCTCCTGCGTTCAACGAGAGGCCAAATGCAGGCGAATTGGTTGAAGTACTGAATAGCCAACTGGATGCCCCCGAACCTCCCATTGCTCCCTACGGAGAAAGCCGAGTCAAGCTCACCGCGGCATCTGATCAGAAGAAGCTCGCCTACAAAACGATGGCTATGAAGCTCTCAGAGTCCTCGGAAATCCTGGACGAGAGGATAGAGCAGTTTATGGGTGTCGTCAAGGAGCACCACAGGCTAGACGAGGATGCGTTTGGGAGTGCTGCGGCGCAAGGGACCACAGAGATTGTTGCTGTCGGCCGAATCGCCTCAGACTCTCCCGAGGGCAAGCTCAATATTGCTTCACTAGTCCTGGAGACATCAAGACGAACTGGTAGTGGTCGACGAGTACCACTAGATCTGAAAAAGCTCAATGGTCGCTTCCAGTTCTTCCCTGGGCAGATCGTTGCTTTCAAAGGCACCAACACCAAAGGTGACGAGTTTACCGTCAACCAGGTCCTCGAGATCCCGCCTCTGCCAAGTGCAGGTTCAACGCCAGCGGCTCTTGATGCTCACAAGCAGAGACTTCGGGGCGGTCCGGACGCCATGGATGCAGACGACGAGCCGGCTCCGCTGAACGTGATTTTCGCCTCTGGACCATATTCTGCCGACGACAATCTCGACTTCGAACCACTGCACGCCATCTGCGAACAAGCAGCGGATTCATATGCAGACGCCCTGGTCTTGAATGGGCCCTTCATCGACGTCGACCACCCACTGATTGCCACTGGCGACTTTGACCTCCCAGAGGAAGCAAACGTCGACCCAGACACGGCAACCATGACTACTGTTTTCAAGTACATGATCTCTCCAGCACTGAATCGCCTAGTGGCTGCAAATCCAAACATCACAATTCTGCTAGTGCCTTCGGTCCGAGATGTGATCGAACGACACGTCTCGTGGCCACAAGAGCCCTTTCCCAAGAAAGAACTCGGCTTGCCAAAGTCTGCCAAGATTATTGGCAATCCAATGACTCTGTCCATAAATGAGATGGTCCTTGGTATCTCATCTCAAGATGCTTTATGGGATTTGCGGCACGAAGAAGTCGTTGGCCCACGAGCAACTGAGCCGAACCTGCTCGCGCGAGTGGCCAAGTACCTGATCGAGCAACGTCATTTCTTCCCCGTTTTCCCACCTGCGGACAGGTCTAAGCTGCCAAAAACCGGCACGGCTGAAGGTATCGCCACTGGTGCTATGCTGGACTTAAGCTACCTCAAGCTCGGTGAGATGGTCAGCGTCCGGCCGGATGTTGTAGTTGTGCCCAGTGCTCTACCGCCGTTTGTGAAGGTAAGTCTCGACGAAGTTCTCCTGTATTGATGGGTTTCCCACACGTGATCACTGACGCCGCCGCGCTATGCATCAGGTCATTGAGAGTGTTGTGTTCATCAACCCGGGTTATCTTTCAAAACGACGAGGAGCCGGCACCTATGCGAGGTTGACGCTCTATCCGCCCAAGCTCTCGGACGAAGAAGTCACCGAAGGTGCCGTGGTTAGTCACAAGGTCTTCGAACGTGCGAGGGTGGAAATTACAAGGATATAGGCTTCAAGCATAGCTTTAGACAATGACGAATGCGTCAAACGGAGCACTTTCCAGTGCGCGATACAAGAGTTGGGCAAGGAGAGATGTGACGTGCCTCATTGGATGCGAAAGGATCATGTTCTTGCCGGCCGGCAAGCAATGCACGCCATTCTCATTAACCATGGGACTACCTGGAATCAATCCTCCGCCTCTTGTCACTCTCAATGCGAGCTCCTTCCCGTGACGAGTCCCGTTTCCTCCTGCTGCTATCCCTGTCGTGGTCGCGACGCGGGGATCTTGACCTCGATCTCGATTGCCGTCTTGAGTCGTGTCGTCTGTCACTATCCCGCGGGCTCCTGTCTCGGCGCCGATCATCTCTGCGCTCGCCAAGGGGTATAGCATTGGCACCACCAGGTCCAGACCGCTCCCTTTCCCTATCCGACTTGAATCGCTCGTCGACATTGCCGAAGCGATCAAACGAGTCCTTTCCTGGCCTCCAGTCACGCGAGGTGTCATAACCCCACGTGCCGGTATCTTCAGACTTGAGATCCCGGTACTTGGTTGCGCCCTTCTTGCCGAGCTTGGTCATGTCCCGCATCTGCAGTGCCTTGGGCAGAAGCTCGCGATTCTTGACGTCATCTGCGAAGCGGGCGCCCATAATGTCGCGGTTCGCGAGGCCCTCCGCCTCCGCGTCGTCGCGATAGAACGCACCCTTGTGGAAGTACTTTTGCATGTAGCCCATCTTGCCCTTTCCGTCCTTCTCCTCCTGCTGCTTCGCCAGGAACGCCTCGTCCTCGGCTCGGCGCTCCTCCTCGGTCAAATTCCGCCGCCGTTCGACCTCCTCGCGTTCCTTTTCTCGCGCCTCGATGGCTTCCCGCTCGCGCTTGATGCGCTTGAGTTCCCGCAGCTTCCACGCCGCGAGCTCTGTCTCTGGGTCCTTGTCGTCCTCAGTGTCGACGTCCTCTTCCTCGTCCACCACGTCGTCCCAGTGCTTCTTGCCTGCAGCCTTGGCCGCAGCGTCTTTGCGCAACTGCTCCTCGACCAGCTCGTCCATGGCCTTCTTCTTGCGTTCCTCTTCCTCGGCCAACCGCGCCGCCTCCTCGGCCTCCGTAGTGCGGGATGAGCCACCTGCACCGCTCGTGTCGGCGCCATTGCCCGTGCGTTGTGATTTTGGTATGAATTTTGGCCGGAACATGAGGCGCGGTTTGATCTGTTCCTCTTCGTCCGAGCTCTCTTCCTCGCTGCTCTCCTCCTCCTCCTCGTCAGACCCAGACCCATCTTCGTCGTCATCCCCGTCTTTCTCGTCCGAGCTCTTCTCCGACTCGGTCACGAACCCAGCCTCCGCGGCGTCGCGCTCTAGCTTGCGCGCCGCTGCGCGCCGCTCCTCGGCTTCCGCATCGAGCTGCCGCCTGCGCTCGTTGAGGTCGACTTTGCCGAGACTGCTGACGATTTTGCCCGCGGAGGGGGCCTTGGGGGGGGCGCGACGGGCTTCTTCTGCTGCGCCTGTGCGGTGGTCGTCGTGGTGTCGTTGTCGGAGTCTGAGTCGGACGAGTCTGATGAGGCGCCTGTCGGCTTGCCGGCGCGGTGGCGCGCAGGCCGCACCGGGTTGGCCGTCATGCGCTTGGGCGGCATTGTGGGCGTTCACGATGGGATGTCTCACGACCTGATGAGAGGCACACAGAGAGACCCGCAGACAGCGAAGCGGTCAATGTCAAAAGGCAATCGCAAGGCCAAAAGTCGGAAGGAATTTGAGTTGTGATCGAAGATGGGCTCGTACTGGTTCAAGCTCCAGAGGCAAGCAGGGCAGCGCAGGCTAGCTCTAGTTGCTTCACCCCCGGTCTGAGCTAAACTTTGGGTGGATCAGCGCATGCAAGGCGCGCTCTGCAGGGCACTAATCGATAACGGCGCAACATGGCAATGCTTCAGCGCTGCATTTGGGATGAGAGTTGGTATCACGACATGGCAAAACAACTTGTTGGTGTGGCAAATAAAGTCTCCCAAGGGGTACGATAGGTGGTATCTTTTCGTGGCTGACCGCCATGCTAGTCTCAGAACGCCCAACGCCATATAAATCCCAGAGCAAAGCCCCTCATGTCTATTTTCCCCAGGTGCACACCCGTGTCTCACAGGATATTGTCATCGATGTCCTCCATTTCCGCAGGCAATGGCACTTTTGACGCCTCAGTAGAGGAAACCGCCGTGGCACCGGGTTTGGCCGCACCGCTCTTCTTCTGGCCGGCCTCCTCCGAGCTGTCGTCACTCTCCCACTCGTCCTCGTCCCCGGGCATCGCCGAGTTCGCAAAGTCCGGAATGGATTTGTTGATGTCGTCCCAGGTCTTTCTGCGCGTCTCGACTGTACGGCCACGGTTCTTGCTCTGGACCACCTTGTGCTCCGTCCTCTCCATGATGGCCGCGGCGCGATCCATGCTCTTCTCCTGCCTCTTGCGCGCCTTGGAGCTCAGGTTACGGCCCTTCTTGGCCTTCTTTGTTACGCCGGCATTCTGGTGGATTGCGAGGATGGACGGCCGGTGGTCGACGGACTCTGAGGGGGGGCGAACCTCCTTTAGAGACTTGTCGGTGTCAATGTCGAGGTCCGTGGCCCGCCGAGCTGCTCGCGAGTGGACAGACGGTGCTGGGCAATGTTAGTCTGGGTTTCGACAATCGCAATAGCAATCTCTGGGACTGGAAAACGAGTGGCGACATACTCCTGTTCTTCTTGATGACACCCTTGCCCATGGTAACTTGCTTTGGAATGGGTGCTTTACTGGCAAAAATATGTCCAAGAGCAGGCCGGATTGCGGTGTGCGAGCTGGATGCTAAGCTCCCTCCTCCCTGGGACAAAAAATCCGGGATGGTCTGCCTGCCCCGCGGCGCTGCAGCACGATAAGCCGATAAGTGAACTTTTAGCTGGGGACTTTTCCACGTTTCTTGATTTGTCTGCCTCCTACAACTCCCCAGCTTTGGGTTGATTTTTCGCTTGCACGGAAAGCCAAGAAAATCGCCATGCTTCTGTGACGGAAATGTACAGCTTTGGTACATGGTAAATCTGCACACGAGCTTCGCAGCCACGAGAACGTTGCCCGTAGCGATATTCTGGGCTGTAAGCTTGATGCACAGCTCAAAACAGGGGTCCTGGGCGAAGCTCCACCGACAGGGCAGCAAGTCAGGTGTGGTGGCGCCTTGCTGGGGTTGGCTTGTGACAGCTCCCTCGCTCGTCTCATGTGCTGCTGCTCTGTCGCATCCTCCTCCAACGTGACGCCTCCCTTCTCCCTCTGCGAGTCTGGACTGCACTCTGTGCTGCAAAGCAGCTGACGCCTCACGTGTTTGTTTGGCCTCCCAGAAACAATCGCCTCCGACAAGCACGTCCTTGCAATCGACCGCAGCTCGTCGTCATTGCCCGGCGCGGGTCTGTTCAACCTGCACTTTAGCTGGCGACGAAACACATCTCCCTTGCCCGAGCCACGGACACAAACACACAGACAGTCTCGACAGCTTCGCGTAGGTCTCGTCCAGTCTACGGTCATGGCTGGTTGCGCGCCGTGAGGCCCCCGACTGCGCAAACCCTCGGCGACGCCGCGCCCGCCCTCGATTCTCACAAACCGTTGTCCTCTCGCGCTTGCCTGCTCGTTTGTCGCTCGCGCGCTTCTTGGCCAGCATGAGCGGCTACGCCCCTCAGAGGCATCAAGACCGCGCCGTCCTGTCTCGTACTTATTATCGCGAGGACGCCATCGCCTCAGCTTCGGTATGGGATCGACTTCAGCAGCCAAGCGTCCTCGTCCCGCTCATCCTCTTTATCCTCGGCATCTTTTACAACTCGCTACACAAGTCTCCCCTGCATCGGCATCGCCATCCAGGCGAAGTCCTCTGGGACTTTATCGTCACCGCCACGCCCGCCTCGCTGCTCTATTCTCTCGACGACTGGCTCCACCCGCCCCTCGCTCCGGCCCTGAAGCCTTCGACCACGGCTGCGCGGTCCCAGACATACACCGCAAAGAGCGATGCCCTGCGGCGCATCCTCGGGCTGGACAAACCCGGAAGCATCATCAAGACCGTCGCTAGTGCTGGCCTCAAAGGCATGAACACCTTGTCAACTGCCTCATTCATGGGCAAACATACCGGGTCGAAGTCGCCGCCCGGCTTGACGAACATCAGCCAGTCTTGCTTCCAAAATAGTATTCTCCAAGGGCTTTCGACCTCCAGCTTCTTGCCCGACTACCTTGAGAAGGCTTCGTCATGCATCGCTGGAACTTCAGTTGACGGGGCCAGTGGTCCTACGACAACCCTGCGGATATTCCTCGCGAGCCTGGTCGACCCCGGGAACAACGGCAGGTCCCTCACAGCGCCCGAAGCACTGAGGAGTCTGAACATATGGGATCAACAGGATGCGCAAGAGTACTTCAGTAAACTGCTGGAAGGCATAGACAACGAAGTCAAAGAAGCAGCCCATGTCCTCAGCAGACACAAGTACCCGGATCTGGCATTGCCTGCTGTCAGAGACGATACTGGAGGCAGCAGCCGACGTAGTATCGATAGTGGTTATCAGTCGCTGTCCGCCGCACCCAGGACAGCTACTGCAGACCAACTGCCAGTCAACCCCTTGGAAGGTTTGGAGGCACACCGCCTCGCGTGTGTCGAATGTGGCTTTTCTGAAGGCCTGACTCTACAACCGTCGAACTGTCTCACGCTAAACCTCGGCCATGCAAGCGAGTACGATATTTTCAGGGGACTCGACTCGCATGTCCAGGTGGAGGCCATCGAGGGGGTTCAATGTCCTAAATGCACGCTGCTCAAGCTGCAGCGACTCCTCAAGTTGATTGTGACGCGGGGAGTAGACGCTGGCCTGTCGGACGAAGCCTTAAGGGAACCTCGGACCCGCTTGGCCGCAGTTGAGACGGCTTTGGAAGAGGATGACTTCGAGGACGAGACTCTCACCGAGAAGTGCAAGATCACTTCAGAGCACCGGGTCCGTACGACAAAGATGAAGCAGACCGTGTTTGCGCGACCGCCTCAAACTCTTGCGCTACATATGAACCGGTCCGTCTACAGCGAGCGGGCCACTCTCAAGAATCCCGCCCCCGTGCGCTTCCCCAGCATCCTTGATCTTGGACCATGGGTACTTGGCAGTGGCGGCGATTCATTGCCTGACCCTCAGGGTTCGGGCAGCGACGACAGCTCGCGAAGTCCCCCGCCAGCCAGCGACGTAGAGTATTGGACGTGTCGTCCGAAGTTCTCCATCGTTCCTGGTTCTAGGGGGCGTTCGAAGATGTCCGGTCCAATATATGAATTGCGCGCTGTCGTTATCCATCAAGGCCACCATTCGAATGGCCACTACGTGTGTTACAAGAAGCACACCGGCCGCTCCGCAGGGGCTGACCAAGATGGTGCTGCGGAGAGCAGTGTTTCCCAGCCTTCCGGTGGCACACTCTCCACGGCCTCCACCAAGGAGTCTTCCGCTCTTCCGCTAGACGACGATAATGACGACGACGACGACGCCGCCGAGGGCAACATGACGAAGTGGTGGAGGATCAGCGACGAGAACGTCTGGGAAGTTGAGGAAGCCGATGTGCTGAACCAGTCTGGAGTCTTTATGCTCTTCTATGACTGTGTAGATTCCAAGACAGTCTTCATCTCAGAAACCGAGACAGGGGAAGGGGAGTCCAAAGACCAGGTCCCGTGCGCACCTGAAGAGCCTACAGAAAGGCCGTCCGCGCCGCCGCACTCCAGCAGCAGCGTGCGGCCTTCATCTTTACTGCCGCTACTTGCTGAAGACGAGAACGTGGATTCCAGCATCCCGCTTGGCCGCCCCAATAGCTAAATCAGGCTCTGGGTCCACACCAGGCCGCAGCCTCCCCGGCGGCCACTTCTTTGATATTTCACAGCTGGGCCTGATGGCAGAGGCGTTGTCGTGCGCGGGCAGGATAAAGCTCACAATTGTCGTAGACAGGCGCGTCTCGGGACATAGGGAGGCCCAGAGACGCCACCGGGGCACATGCCTCGACCTAATGCAGTATGCATGAGGTCGCGCGCACAGATACAACTCATATGCACACATAGCGGTTTAAAGCACGAATGGAGTTTTTGACTGGGTAGCATCTGCATTTCCCCCAATTTCTCCACGGAGCCACGGGTAGTCATCATTCATAATAGACCAATATCCTTGAACAAGTTAGCCGCCATCGAAGGTGCTAAATTGTTCATTTGGGCCACGGTGGCGGCCGAGCTTTTGACTGCTCATCCAGAGCGTTTGCGTCTTGTCTTGTCTTGTCTTGTCTTGTCTGTTGTTGTTGTACACGAGGGTTTTGTATGTTACAATGACCTTATTTCCTTGGGCACCTTGCCACGTCTTTCGACATCTTTTTGGGGTTGTCCCTCCCACAGTCCAGTACACGTAACTTCGTACTCTTCCCTCTATCATTCCCCTTCCATGCATCATCCCACACGACGAGCAAGACCACAAGGATGATTTTACATATTCACATATATATACAACATATTGCCTCAGCAAGCTTAGCCCGGATGGGGGCCGAGCATCTTCCACAAGAGGTCTGCCAGACCTTCTTGAATTCCACGTGGCAAACACCAGGGCACGCAGCACCACCATCGCCACCATCGCCACCATCTCACGGAACAGAACGTCACAATCTCTACCGGCGGCCGTTCTTGAGGCCGTGGATGCGCTTCGAGTACTTCCAAAGGCTGCGGTACTTTGGCTTCTGGCGCTTGGCCTCCCAGCCGCGCTGCTTTTTCTCGCCCTTGAGCGAGTAGACGCGCTTATGCTTGAACTCGATGTCGGCTCCGGGCATGCCGGCGCGCTCCATGACGGCGGCCGTGTTCTCATCCCACACGGAGCGGAACAGGTTGAACCCGACGGGCGTGAGGGAGAACTTGTCGCGGAAGGACTTGAGGCTGAACCCGTCGCGGGTCGCGTACAGCTCGCGCAGCTTGGCAATGTCGAGCGCCTCGCCGGGCTTCTGCTCCAGGATGAAAACCGACATGCGGTGGTAGGGCGCGCCCTTCTGGGAGAATGCCGGCAGCCACGGCACAGCGAGCTGGGTCTCCTTGTTGACCTGGCCGAGGGGCAGGGACTGCTGGGTCGGCGAGAGGGGGATGTTGGCGGCCAGGTAGTGGCACCGCCTGTCGAAGCTGTCGGTCTCGGCGTTGGGGACGTCAGAGTCCATGACCACGACCGAGACGAGGCGCTCGCCCTTGTCGAATGCCTGCACTCTCAAGCGGGGTGGTACTTCTGACACGAGAGAGTTGATGATGTCACCGGGTTCGACCTTGACGCGGCGGAAGTACAGTTGCACGTCCATGGTCGGCTCAAACTTGGGCAGCACATCGGGCACAATGTTGAACTGCTCAATGCGCTGTGTGATGATTTTGTAGGGCATGCCGCGCCATTTGAGCTCGGCAAGGTGGCGGTAGATGGGCTTGCTCATGTCACCTATAGATATGGTTAGGGACAAGGTCCATGGGTGCAAATTAGGGTGCTTTGTGTGGAAGATGTGGCACGCCAAGGGGGGGAAATGACAGTAGGGAAGTCCGTACCGAGGCCATCTTCAAACTTGCGCTTGACCAACGGGTCGTTGATGTCGGCAAGGATCTTGAGCTCCTCCACGTGTTTCCTCAAACTCGTGAGGCGCAGGTTCTTCTTGGCCTGGCCGCCATTGTACTTCTCCGCGGGCACCTCCTCCAACCTCTTGATCTTGTCGAGCTCGGCCGCGATGGCCTTGATCTTCTCGGCACGGTCCGCCTGCAGGATCTTGCGAGCCTCCTGGAAGCACTGGTAGGGCAGCTGCTCGAAGGGCACGTTCTCCGAGGTGCGAATGGCCGCTCTGCGACGCCGGGAGCCGATGGGGTGTGTGCCCTTTTGGTACAGCCGCTTCTCGGCCCACCCAGCTGTCGTCGTGTTGCGGTCCAGCAAGGCTTTAGTCGCACTCACGGTGTCGGCCTTGGCAGCTTGTGCATCTCCCTTGCTCGGACTAGTTGCCGTGCTGCCCTGGGCAGCCCTTTCCGGCACCAGAGCCGTCTTTGTTGTGGTCTCTACATTATCGCTCTGGGTGCTAGTTTGTGTGAAGGGTCGGGAGGATCGCACGCAGAGCTGTGCCTGGTGTACCGACCGGAGGGCGGGCCGGGCGACTCTCTGACAGCTCGCCATGCTTGGCGATGTGCGATCGAGGTCGAGGTCGAGCGCGTGGTGTCGATTGCCTCGATGTGCACGACTGCAGAGGCGTGGCGGGCTGGTCGTCGTCAATGTCGATGGGGAATATGTTTCGAGCCTCCAACCCGCAACTTTTCTCGAGGGCACGCCAATGCTGTCGGGTGCCCTCCGGGGGCGAGCTCTGTCCAATGAGACTCAAGAATGCCCAAGATGTGGGGGTCCAATGGAGTGCTGGCTTTGTGCATTGAACCAGTCTCGACGTGCACAATAAACCACCTGGCCAATCACAAGCCTGGGAGACCCCCAGGACCGCAATACTTTATGCACGCACCCCAAGTCGCAATTTTTCGGACCTCGAGCCCGCTGGTCGTGGGTGCATGGACGACGAGCTGCGATTGACATCTCGCCCGTCTGCAGGCAGTGTCCGCCACCAAACCTCCAACCCAACGCTCCTACGACCCGGCCTCACTCGCCGGCGCAATTCTAGGGACCTGCACAGCTGTCGAGGAGTCCTTGTGCCCTACGACGGCCATGGCATCCAAAGGCGCCAGAAGCCTCAATGAGGCCATGAAAGGCCTGTCCCTCACCTCCCAGATTTGCAGAGATGCGACATCGGTACGGCTCCTTCAACCCTTTGTGCTGCATCCTCGCTCGCCGTCCGTACTAACAGCCCTCTGCGCAGCATCGGATACCATCTCTCACACGGTCCATGGCCACCGAGGCTGGCGTCCCAAAGCCTGGGGTCACCGAATACTACCGCCCGCCCACCACGGTCCCTGTCACAATCTTTGGCTTCCCCTCCTACGAACCGCGGCGGCTCGAAGCCTGGTCCACGAAGCACCTCAGCCTTCCGCTTCGGAGGGACATTCTCCACCTCGCCGTCGTCCACGAGGGCGACAACACCCGGCAAGGCACGGCGAGCTCAAAGACCCGCTACGAGATCCGCGGCTCGAACCGCAAGCTGTACGCGCAGAAGGGCACCGGACGGGCGCGTGTCGGCGACAAGAAGTCCCCTCTCCGCCGCGGAGGCGGCAAGTCCTTCGGCCCCAAGCCACGCGACTTTGGCACCAACCTGAACCGCAAGGTGTACGACCTGGCTTGGCGCACGGCGCTGAGCTACCGCTACCGCCGCGGCGAGCTCATTGTCTGCGAGGATGGCATGGAGCTTCCCATGCCTGACGTGTACGAGCAGCTGCTCCAGCAGGAGACCTTTACCGACGAGCTCGCGCTCGCCTTCCAGGCGCGGTGGGCGCGTGAGGTGCTGGAGAGGAACGACTGGGGCAAGCAGGCTGGCAGGAGCACATTCATCACCACAGACTACCGGCCGAACCTCTTTGACGCGATAGATGAGATCCCCCGGTATGGCAGGGCGCTGGACACTGAGGACCTCGATGTCAAGGACCTACTCGAGTCTAGCCGCATCATCATCGAGCGGTCAGCACTACAGGAGCTCATCGAGAAGCACCAGAGCGATCTGGTCAGCTCTGTGTATGTTGTCAACGGGTCATTGCCCAAGGGCCCCGAGAGCGGCAAGGTTCTGGTGCAATGAGGGGTCAAAGACGGCCCATTCGCGCATGGTACTGGCCATGACAACGTCAGAAGAAGGCTCTGTACCAGTTCATCAAATCAAGCGGTCTAGTTGGAATCGGTGCCCTGAAGGCGCGACTGGGAGCACTGGGAAACCGCCCTTTCGAGTGTAAGATATCATGCTTCTTGCACCCTGTGTTCTGTATATGATGAGACCATGTAGAACAAAGCACTTGTAAAATATACGTAGCGCAGAGTCTAAGAACTACCATGCGTTCATAACTCATCATGCCGTGGGTCGAGAGCTAGGTTGGATGGGCAGAAGCAAGATCGGGGCACGCCCCCTGGAATTACTGCGTAATGGCCGCGCATCGAGGGCACGCCACTGTACATCTCTTGAACGAGAACCTGCATTTACCACGGAAGTCCATTACGCTAAAGGCCGACCACATCGCGAAACGAAACCATGCGACCATATCTTTACTCTCGAAAAAGTGCTGCTTCACTATTGTAAAAGGGAGCTAGAGTGTATTTGCACTGGAAGTGCTGTATATTTCGGCAGAGCTCCTCCACAAGCTTAGCTCGTGACCGACCGAGCACCTTAGGCCAGAAGACGGGCATGGCTCTGTTCTCTTTTCCCTCGTCAAAGTCCGCTGGTGGGCATCCATCAGCATCGACGAGCAGACGTGCTCTTCCCACCCCCAGCCGCCTGCCCTTTAACCCCAAAATGGCAAATTGCCATCTCAACCTCGGAACATGAACAGGTCGGGATACCGATGCGTGACATCAATCACGCTCTGAACTCCGTTGGCATCTAGGCATGAAGCCGTGTCAGCAACACAGGACGTCTCCTTGTGGCAGGTTTATGAAAACCACCGGTCTTGACCTCGCTTTTGGCCCATGTGCCTGGCGTCTACGTGGGATACTTACCGACGTTGGTTCCCAGGTCGAGCGAGTTGAGCACCTTGACTGACAGGTCCGGGTTTACCTTGCCGATGACTTGGGCATAGTTACCCGGAGTGAGATGCGCTTCCTGTGTTTCATCGAGACGAAAAGTTAGCGATCCATTCCTGGCTCTTTTTTTTTTTTTCGTTCAACGGAATCTGGGAGAGGAGGCTTTGTCTGAGCCGCCAGAATGAGCTATGGCCTGCCACATCATACCGCATGCCAAAACCAACATCTGCCTCTCCAAACCCAGCTTCTCCATGAAGCTCAAAGAAAACGAACCATCATCTTCTCTTCCCCGGCCGCATGCTACCATGCCACTCGAAGAAGAAGAAGAGGGGGGGATTTCAAAATACGAGGCATGATGGAGAACTCACCCGGTTCAGCAAGCAGGTGACCTGCCCGTCCGTCTCCAGCAGGGCCGTCTCGCCGCGGAGCTGGATGACCTGCCCCACCACGAGGACGTTCTTGCCAACAAAGGTGTCCAGGTGGCGGCACGAGACGCGCGGTGTCGATATCGGCTCCATTGTGCTTCTCTCCGTCTGTCTTGGGTTTGCGTTTTCCTTCGATGTCCTCCGGGGGCGAAGGAATGAATGTGGGGAGGGGGTTTTGGTGTGCGAGGGTGATATTTGATGTTTGGTCTGCACGCGACGCCCTGGCGGAGACGATCTATCAGAGAGGGCAGTCGGCCTTTCGTCAGGCTGATCTCTGCGAGACTATCTCTTGAAGATCAGATCGATACTGGCCTTGAGGATGTATTTCTGCTTGCTCACGGCGACGACACTGTCAATGTTCAACTGACGGTTTGGCCCAATTCATGGTGGGGTTCCCTCTTGGGCTTAATTGAGACGCGTCTCGATGGCGCGTGCGCGGTGTCAGGTGACCGACCGTGGTTGGGACATTCCGGACCGTGATTCAAAAAAAAACACTTGTCACAGCACTGGCCTACGAAGCAGCGATATCTCATATTCATTACGTCAAAACACCATAATGATCGAGTTTGCCCTTTGGTGTCCTCATCCCCCATGATCCCGATTGTGGCTTCTGCATGGCTTGGGAGACCGAGGCACATCTCTCTGCAGCAAACGATGACAAAAGGTTCTGGACACTGCAGACTCTGCCACGCTGTCCGATTTTCCCGTTGCAGGAATCCATCTCCCCCCTCGTCTTTTCCCTCTTCCATACATACGGACGAGCGTACCTACTTAGCGTACCTAATCTTCTATTTCCCGACACTCCGTTGTGATTGAGACAGTAACAGAGAGCCCCTCCCGACCTTGCCGGAGCACACTTCTCGATCGAGCTCACACCGATCGGACTCTGCCAGTTCCGCGGAATGCTGACAGGTAGGGAGCCGGCGGGCAAGAGTTCGCGAAGCCAAGCAACAGTGCATCGGGGTCAAAAGGGCAAAGGGACTGTCTGCCGCCGTGCGCAGGAGCAGGGGACAGACAGACATGGGAGCACGCACCAGGCAGCAACGGCCGCGCCCGGGGTGAGGAACCCTGAGGCTGCCATCTGTGACCTCAGACTTGACCTGGCCCGGCGAGCCTGAGGGAGGCAGGGAGTGCGTTTCAACCACTGGCTCGTCATCGTGTTCGTTGCCAGGCCAAGGCGCCCCGAGATGCAAGAACCCCGGCTCGTCCGCTTCAGGCTCGTCGCTCCGTCTCATGTCGGCAGACGGCTCCGGAGGAGTGGGTGCCAAGCATACGCCGTGTGCATATGCACACGCGAGGGGGGTGTGGGTGTGTGGTGGGATGTGCTGGCGTCGACTTACCTACCTGGTCCCTCTCTTGCGTCACGATTTCGTCTCGTCCATCTTTGCGAATGTGGTTGACCTGCTCTTGTCTTGGGTGGATGGCCAATCGCGGCCAAAGAGCCTCGCCGCGAGCTAGCGCACTACTTTGGGGAGACAAGTGGATCGCATCGCCCCCATGTAGACTGCCTGTTCGTCGACACAGCCAGGATGGGGCAAGCAAGTATCTGGACGCGGCCGCGTGGATGCAGGTACTACGTGTCGCTGGGGGCGAGCCGTGCAACGTCAAGCGGCTGCGCCAGGCGGCAGGAGGGCTTCCCATGAGCACGCTACGTTCTTACCCCCGGCTTTCCGCTCATGCTAGCGAGCCCCGCGCGGTCCCAGAGACAGCAAGACTAGTGCATCATGATGCTATTCATGTCCGTCTGGCCATGTCAGAGCCGCCAGGCCTTGGCGTGCTGTGACTCAGGTTGCAGAGTGGAGGTTCGCGAGTCGGCAAACTGGCTGCCGCGCAAACATTCCGGCTGACTCAATGCTCCCTGCTTGATCTCGCGTTGGTGCCAAATCGCATGCCAAATGGACTGAGCTGGCGCTGAATGAGTAACAGCCAAACGCAGCTTGGGCGCCGGTTTGTGCGCCAGGTTGTTACGCTGTGCTATGGTGCCACGGTTAATGACATTGTCTAGCGACGGGTGTGTTTGCAAAGGTTCTCTTGTGGCACTCAGACCTTCTGGGTGAGTGTTACTACAAGACAGCGAATGCATCCTCGAACTTAGAACCTGCCAAACCTCGAATTTGCCTAATCCGGCAATCTCAGCCCGGGGTCTGAGCGTGTCCACCAACCACGACAAGAGACCCCGATTCTGCCCCAAATCAACTGGTGCAACCTTGCAAACTCGTCGTGTTGGGTCGTCTTATTTCTTTCCGTGTTGGGATGAGACCGCCCGTCCCACAGGGGAGCCGAAGCATTGCCGAAGCCGGAAGACCACGTGCCCCAGCTTGTACACAGGGGTTGGCGCGTGGATAATTTTAGACCTCGCTGATCGCCAGGCAGTTTAGAGAGTGACTGATTCAAAGCCTGAGAGACCCAGTTGTTGCTCGATATCTAGCCCATTTTACCTAAGCTTAAATGCGACCATGAATATGTGCATCTAAGGCCTCCCCCCTCCTTTCGTACGACACCCTTGTCGAGGAAGTCGAAGATTTGGTGTTCGATTCGAATATCCCACTGAAAGTGGTGCCATCGATCGATTGATACTGTTGAGAGTAATCTCGTATCGAGCTCAGGCGTGGTTCTGCCCAGAAAACCTGGGTGGGTGGACGTTGGAGTGCAAGGGATTCGGGCAACCAATCTGTGCTTTCCAGAAACTAGTTCTTGGATCACAGAGTCGTGAATGCCAATATGCATTCATATCTGCCTCGGGCTGACTCGCGCAGCCTGCGTCGTGCGATTCTCCTGGCCTCCATCAACAGAAATTGTGCTTCCATATCATCTATTCATCCGCGGAGCTTGTAACAATACTGATGAATGTCTCGGCCCGGGATATAGATCGAGAATCCGAAGAGCCCGACCGACTGGACGCAGCCAATCAGCTGCGGCGGGCACTCGGAGCGGTATTCAATGTGATGCTTGACGTTATACCAGCATTTGCTGTTGGTTTCCGAGATCGACCTGCATACCGGCCGCGGGAAGTCATTGCCAAGTCATGGCTGCCGATCCTGCAGATATTTGCGCTGCCGGTATATGGTGCGGCGCCTATCTACTCAACGAGCCTCCCTGAAATTCGGGCCAGACCTGGCAAGGGTGGAATGCTGTTGAGAACGCCAGAGGAGCAATTGGCCAATCATATACCTGGGACATGGTACATTCACTTGCCGACATGGGGAATGCATACAAGACGACAGTCGACAACGTTTGCGCATGGTCGTCCGCGCTTCGCGATCGGTTTCCTAGACGACAAGGCAGTATGGACTTTTGTTCCTGGGTCTACCCTTGACGACCAGCTGCTTTCTGCTCATGGCACTTGAGGCCCACTCGATTGGCTCAGCAAGTCTCATATACCAAATCAAACAAGAAAAGCTTGGTGTCATGATTGGCAACAGACAGCCAGAGACCAATGCGACGAAATCCGAGAAGACGGGCACATGGTATCAGAATAGTGGAGTCGACTGTAGAGAGCTGTCGGCACGGATGCGATGCTGGAATTGTGTGTCGAGATTGTCTGGCCATGCCTACGCCAGCCAGGCATGCCAATCGGGAGAAGAATGAGGCACTGCAACAGTGGCGACACGTCTTAAAACAGAAGGGGAAACTACTTGATGGGTTGCCTTGCGGCTAGATGTGGTCCGGGGGCGCTGTGAGGTCGTTTAGATCGCGAGCAATGCTGGCGACACCGGCGCGCACGAGGCGCAGGGCTGGATGATCTCGCCTCCAAGGCTGAAAAGAGATCCAAGCCCTGCACGCAAGTGCATGGCGCACTGCGGGTGAGGCGGCAGTAGGATTGAGCAGCGCTGGTGTATGGACGGGAAACGACACGGAGGCGAAGAAGCGGCAGGTGTGGTGCTGCAGGGTTGAGGCCGGGCGGCGATCATAGACAGACACGGAAGGGGCCGGCAGCAAGGCGCAGGGCCGGCCGCCGATCCGGAAGGTGGGGCGCGCTGGGTAAGCGGCCCCGGGGAGTGGGGCAAGCAACTGCCCCCCGTGGCAGCCACGACCCTGGCCGGGTTACATGCCACCATCCTGCCTGCCCCAGTCTGCACACGCCTTGTACGCCTGCAGCCTCCCTGCCTGCCTGCAGCGCGCGCAATGGTGCCAAGCGTGTGTGGACGCACAAACGCCTGCGCTTTCGTTGGCGGGCGGGCCTGGCCCTTCACTGCCGCGATCGTCGTCGACTTCTGGCTGACATCAACACAACCATTCCCGCGCCTCGCACCCTACCCAAGGAGAGCCGCGGAATTATTACCAAAGCTCCAAACCTTGATCTCGACTTCGACCTCTCTTGTCTGGTTGGTCCAATCACGAGCTTGCCACCGTTAGGGCTGCATGCCAGCATACCAGGGTCTCATGGTGTGGCACGACGTGACCCAACACGCTGCATTGTACTCTGAGTTGCGTCTCTCGTCCGTGGCTGTCACCATGTCGACTCCACCGGCATACCTTGGCTTGGTACCAGCTTGCAGCTCAACCTGGTGGTGTTCTGGCCCATCTTTTCCTATCCGCCCCGGTCTGCCACAAGGCTGAATCCTCCCCCCGTCCCCCCGTTCATCTCGACATCAGGGTCAGCTGCCCTCGCCTCATCTCCACCGCCTCTACATCTGTGTATCTACACCTGTGTACTCTCTGAGCCCCCATAACACATTCCAAGATATGGGGAAACGCACGGCTCGTATTCTGGCCTCTTGCGGCACTGAGGACGGCGGGCTCCGTGCTCACATAGACTCGCGAGATCAGCATCTCGGAATCAGATCCACTTCTTGTCGGATTAGCGGCGAGAATCGATGAAACACTTTTCTGAGAGCGCTTCTGGTCATTGTTGCACCATCCGGGCTCTGCAAAGGCCAATTATCAGGAATTGGCACTGCGCCTACCCTTGGCCTCAGGGATGCCTCACGCTGACACGCCGTTCAGGCCACGCAACATCCAATCAAGAGACAAAGGCCAGTATTGATCAAGTCATTCATTTGACTCGCCGATGAAATATCAGAAGACATGCTGTGCTTCAAGGGAGGCATGCAAGTCGCTCGTGCATGAACCACCAATTGAAGCTGGCGCTGTGGCGATGTCGAAATATCTCGCTCCATCCCCTTGGCACCACACGAATCCAGGAGCAAGACAGGCTGCGCCACGAACCGTTCTCTTTTCAAAGAACTATCACTCACACTGGCCATCGCGATACAGTCGTGTTAGCCAAGTGGCAAATAGATCCTGCTGGGACTTGGTCTGTTGAGGTCAAAGAATGCCTTGCACGGTCGAGACCTGTAAGCATGCTCTTATTTCGGTCATCTGCCTGGGCGGTTCATCAAGACAGCATTCGCCCGATTCTTTTGCGAGACGTTGCAACACTAATGTTTCCTGTAATCTCGTCGCTATCAAATCGCTCCTTGCCATCACTCGACAGTTCTGCTTTCAATACGATCCAGACCACTCATTTACCGATATACGACAGACAATCCTTCCCTCATCCTCGAATCGAGCCGACGAAAACACGACAAAATATAAATCGAATCCAAGTCCAAATCCAAACAGGCAGCCCCAAAAGGCAACCGCACCTGTTCATTCCTTCGAGTATAGGATCCCAACCCGCCATTTCCGGTCCCAGGCATCGTCCCCGGCCCCTCAAGCCACCCGTAATCCTTGGCCCCCAAACCCCCAACTCTCTGCTGCACCGAACCCTACCAAATCGAGCCTGTCTGCCGGTGTACTCCCACTTCAAGTGCACTGAGACAGAAACACAGAAATAGCGATACGACCGTCGTTATACATGTTAAGAGAAGGGGACATACCAAAATCTGCCGAAGTTGACAAGAGCCGGAGCTGGGGTTGGGGTGCGCTTAGAGCACACCGACCTTGTCATAGCGCTTGGTGCACGCCTCCCGCCAGCCTTGACTACTATTCCCTTGTATGCAGTGCGGGCTTGTTCCCGGTTTTGGCAGGGACTCCCGTATACAAGCACACCAGCATCGCTGCTGGCTCAACTACAAGGTCTCTTGGCTAGCACTCTCTGGTACTGCCACTTGCACACTCATCTCGAGGTCCTCATCTGCCCTGTCTTCACAGCCTCAACAGAACAGCACAAGTGTCATAGGTGTCTCGAACACATCACTCCACCCAACACCCTCAACTCCTCCCACCCAACCTCTCGTTGTATTATTCTTCATCCTCCCACAGCTTGTTCTCACTTGCAGCATTCATCCTCCTCCCCGCCACTACAGTCCACACCTTAAGAACATCCCCAGTCAACCCTTTTGTGTTTTGATCACCAGCCTGGCCGCACTCTAGTTGGCACATAATTCAAAGCCAACACCAACAAGCCTATCCCTCCCTGTGCGGGCTGTCTCAGACGTGACGATCCTGTTCTCTCGGCGTCGGAGCCATCGGAATACCCCAGCCAAGACTCGGCAACTCCAGCCTAGACTGAGTGCATACTGAGGTCTCCGGCTGTGCCCAGGATTGTTGATTCGTTCCCCTCAGGATGGCAACCAAGGCGCAGTTCTACTATGACCCATCGGAGGTTAACACCGGCAATTTGGTCTTGTTCGATGGACGGGATGTGCAGGCACCAGATGCGATGACTTCGGAAACTCACCTGCCCGATTTCCACCCTGGCATGGACGGCACTTTTGTTCTGGACCTTTCTTCTTCGTCCTCTTTCCATTTGGCATCGAATCGTCGCAGACAGTCAAGCAGCGTGACGGCGATGTCCTCCCGTAGTCTTGGCTCCGAGTCCCAGTCTTCGCGAGGTCTTACGGGTACTCCAGAAGCCACCTCGTCGGGGAAAACCACGACTTCTGACGGGGCATGGCCAATCCTGAATCCCAAGCCATCGAGGCCTGAGAGCAGCGGAAGCTCCTTCAATCCCATTCAGAACTCCTACAGCCTACCTCCTAGGAGGCCAAGACGTGCAACCAACAAGCCCAAACCTGAACCTTCCCAGCAAGAGAAGGAAGCGAGGAAGATTCACAACCGTGAGAAGAACAAGGACGCCGCAGACCGTGCCAGAAGGAAGAAGAAGAAGTACGCTAATTACCTTGAAGAGTCCAAGTCTGAGTTAGAAACTCAGAACTCGACGCTCAAGATGGAACTGGAGACACTCACCGATGAAGCTGCTCGGATCAAAGCAGAGTTGATGGGCCACTCCGACTGCCACGACCCAAACATTGGCCAGTGGTTGGATACCGAAGCCAATCGATACCTCAATCACGACGGTGACCGGTACAACAAGGCATTGGCCAACCTGAGTTCATGCGCACCCCTTCCGTACCAGACATGCCAGAGCATTGGGCCGCGCGCCAGTTCGTCTACCTTGCATCAGGAAAGCCCAAGCCCTCCACTGTACGGTGATGTGGTTTATCAGCAGGACTCCGGATTTACACACAGCCCAGGTCTGTATGGAGACGACCTTGACCCGGCCTTTGTGCCAGATATGCATGGATCAATGCTTGCGGAACCCGACTTCGTGTCTGATCTCTTCAACGATCAGTACACTGACTTTCAGACTAGCTTCGACTACATACCGGTATCAGACGGTATTTATCAATGAATGGAGATATTCGATCATCTAAGGCTCAAGACGACCACGAAGCTGCGTGGATGGGTTACACCACAAGCCATCAGAGAACAGGGGCGCCCAATGACGTGCATTCCATCACAAGTTCAGGGTTGGGAAATTCGAAATGGCTGGGCCATGTACCTCCGATTTTACTCTTCAAGTCGTGCGGGGACGGCGTGCAAGTTGCCGATACTTAATGTTGAAATTAGCAAGAGCAGTGCCTCTGGGCAGAACCCGACGTTGCAACGTCAAGACATATTATACCAATTCATGGATGTTACCACTTGCCACCGGTTCACAGAGCATACAACACTGGCAGCTTACAAAGACCAGGCTAACCTCGCAGCTTCTTTTGCCTCAATATCGCTGATTCATCTCGCAGATCATCTACATGCAGGGATCTAAAGCGGAGATTTCGCCAGGAACCATTCATCATAAGAAACCTCGATTTCTCACTTGTCAGGGTATTACTGGCACTGCACAGGGTCTTGTATGAGAAGTCAGGTTCTTGGTTAGCCTGCTTGTCTGGTCTGAGATTCTAGAAAAGTTTGCCATCAAGCCGCCTTTGAAGTCAAGGTTCCTGCCTGCTAGCCAGCAACACTTCTGCCAAATGTATGCTTAACTTGCCCAGGTCGACTTGTTGTCTTCGAACCGAATTTAGGAACTTTCTCAGCAGTTTGGAGAAGCCGTGCCAGACATTACCAAACACCCGCGGAATTAACCAATTGCAGGAACCACAAGGACGAAGACAAAGACTATCTCATTGCTCTGCCGAATACATGCAATGACATCGGCCAGGGCCCAGGCAGCATGGGTCGTTACTGCTCGACAGGCCTTTGGGCAGGTGAAGTCGAAGTTGCAGGAGGCCTCTTGCACAGCATTGCCCAGACACAAGACTGCAAATGTGGCGCGCTCTCGCGCAGCGACAGACACCCCTTTGATGGCATGTTGTACGCGTCGTTCTCACCAGTGGTCGGCCAGACGCTTGCTCCTCTACTCGCCCCACAGTGCAAAGACCACAGCAGCCCTGCAAGAAGATGCAACCCCATCCCCCGGAAGCTCTCGGAGACTATCTGGCAGGGCGGATGTCGCACCCAGCGTATCAGAAACGTGGCAACCTTGATGGACGGCCGACATCAGCATTCGATGCTAAGATGATGGAGCAATGTAAACGCACGTCTGTGCTGTGCTGAACCTCGGCCGCCCTACCCTCGCGTGAGGATTCTCGGCCAGTCGAGCCCAGCAAGGCAGCAATTTACCAGCTCGAGGCAATGACACAAGACCGCAGGTCTAGGCGCGGACGTTCCGCCATTGCTGTGGTCTTGGCAGGCCTCATCACGCGTCGCCGGGGGTCGCAGAGAACGCCACAGCGGAGATGAAGCGGCCGCGTCGGCCCCCAAGGAGACCGCCAGAGCCCTCGGAAACCCGGTGTTACCTGGGCCGTTACGTGACATCGGGGCGGGATCCCGCGCATAGTCCTTCAGCCCGACGACGGTGTGTTCCGGTAAGGCGACCCAGCCCATTTCATGATGTGCACTTGTGGGACCGCACGCGGGGAGTGGCCAGGGCCAGCTATAGATAGCCGCCGTCAGGGATCGTCCCTCGCACTCCGTCGACAAATCAGCAGCACCAGCGTGCGTCCGGCCGGAGCTCTTGCTCTCTTGGTCTTTGGGACCGACAAGGAATGGACTAGCGACGCGCGAGATGGTCGCCGTGCAGGAAATCACCCGCCCGACGACCGCTCTGGCGTGAACCGCTCACCGGATCGACGGGACGGACTTTGCAGTCGCGCGCTTGGCCCACACGGCTCGTTTCTATAATTGTGTTGCCTAGCACGCCGGCACGCCTTTCTTGGTTTCTCCCCGGGGCCCGGACGATCTGATGCATCCTCACCAAGGATCTCACTTAGAGTTGGGCGTGCTGTGATTAGCAAAGCAGCAGAGCAGGGATCACTTCCCCATGGCCCACCCCCTTGACACAGGCGCTGCATGCATGGTTTTGTCCGTTTTGGTCATGCTCCGACGAATCATGATCGCCCCTCGCCAGAGCGGACGTCATGTCATGGCCGGTCACACAGGTCTCAATCAGAGTCATTAGCACGCCCATTACCTGCGCAAGTCCCACAGTCCAAGAGGGGGGGTTCATTTATAGTGAATGGTACTAGGAGTGGGAGAGAATCATTACCTACTACTCCCCTTGCATAACGGCCGTTTGGTGGCCGTGACTGGTGTGGCTACATTAGTCCGTTGCCGCGAGTACGTGGTTCCTCGTATTGATTCGACTCGTTGCGATTCCGCAACAAGTAAGATCGAGTGGCTTCGTACCGCCAAGCACACAAAGAGCCGAAGGGGGTGATAAGTCCACCAATCACCAGTCCTGGACAGCCTCCCAGTCCTATGCGCCTGCATACATCTTTTCAGAAAAGACGAAACATCGTGCGATGCAAGCAACCAGGGCCATCCCCGGTCCGAACCCTTACCTAATCATGTAGCGGACAAGCTGACAAGGCGGAGCAGGGATGAGACATGGGCGGGTTCGTTGTTCGACGACGACGACGACGGCACAATGCGCGAGGGGAAGTGCCGAGGCTGGTCGGAAGATGAGAGATGCTACCACCCATCCTGCGAAATGCGACGTGGTCGACGACGCGCTCTAGGGGGAACAAAAATCAAAATCCAATGATAGTAATCATTGTGTTGGCCTCGGATAGCGCACACGTCATTGGGCCGGGAACGAGGATTCTGACAGGTGCCATGCAGCCACCACCTGGCTTCCCGCAGAGTAGTCATCACGTTCCCGTGGGCGAAATAGCGTCATTGTCGACTGTTTGAAGCTGCCTGAAAGATGCTCCGACCGGCGGGTGGCTGGCCGGGTGGCGTGGTCTTCCCCTAACCCGCAAGCCTACGTAATTGTCCGAAGATGATACACACACACACACACACCAATACGAAACCTTCCGGCCAACACACAGGTGCAGCTGCCTAATACCGACTCGAGTGCAAGGGCAACGCCCACTGTATCACATCATTGCGATTCGCTTGATTTGAACACTTACTCATCGCGTGGTTAGTCAGCGGGGCTATCTATCAAGAAGTCGGGTATCCTTTGATAATCTTTTCAAAGTAGCGTTTCTGAAGCTGACTCATCCCATCCCCGTTCTGAGCAGAGTAGTAAGTGCGGTTGATGGCTGCCACTACCACTCGTCCGGGCTTGCGAGCGTAGCTACAGCATTTGCACTTTACACTCTCGCATCAAGATAACAGGTTGGGCAATGAAGGCAGAATAATGATTAAGATTCAGTTCGAAAGGCAAAATGCTCCGAAAACGAGTTCAAACAGTCGGCTATGCTGAGTGGGCATGTAAATGAAGACAAAAGTACCTCCGGCGCAGAGATGCGGATTGACCGTGGTCGAGACGCGCGACCAAAACAGCAAGATGCGAAACAAACAAGCAGCAACCCGTATGCACCTGGGATTATAGCTGCCAAAGTGACCATGGGTCTGTGTGAATATCAAACAGGCCACCTAGGAAGTGCCATAATCACGCTTTTATATCACTGCTTCTCGGCGTCTTCCTGGCCCGGAATGTGGCCCCAGATATTCGCATTCGTGTCTTCGTAAGTCAGGCTGCCTCCAAAGGACACCATAGACGTGCCGCCATGGCGTAAAATAGGTGGCGAGCTGGGCATCGGCGCATCAGTGCTCAAAAGCGCGCTGAAGTCAAAATGGGCGTCGACCGTGAGGGTCGCGTCATCGCTGTTTAGCATGCTCAAGTCAAGCTCGCCATCGAAGCCATTGGCCTCTGACAGCATCTGATTGATCGACTTGGTCATGGGGGAATCAAAGACAAAGGTGTCTAAGTTGTGCGCAGCAGCCTGCGTCCGCCTGCGACCCGAAGACCGGGGAGTCTTGGTCGCGCTCCGTGTCGGAGTTCGCTCTAGCATCAGTGCAGGGTTGGGAGATTTGAGCGATCGCCCAGAACGAAGCACCGAGTGCGTGACGCTCCGAGTCACTGGCCGGTGAGAGGGTGGCCGCGTAGGCGTCTTGAATGGCATTGACTCTGCAGACTTGGGGGGCGGTGTCGAAGGTCGTGCGGGCGTTGGGCCAAAAAGATCCGCAAAGTCGTCATTAGCGACCCGGCTCGCGCTTGACGGCTGGTTTTCCTTCTCATCCTCGCCATCCCGCATCTTGTCGCCGAGATACTCCGGTGAGGTTTGCACGATGTTAACGGCAACTTCGCCTAGAGTTTTGGTTTCTCCATCTTTCCGGGGCGAGGGAAAGAGCAGTCGTCTCGTCGGACCAAGACCGTCGTCCAGGTCGATCGGGCTGTTCGCCCGACCACTGCCTCGAGAATGAGTCGAGATGCACTTTGTCTCTCCATCAGATCTTTGCCTCGTCCTCTCAGAGCCTGTGTCTGAGCCGTTGCTGCTTTGTTGCTCGCTGTTGGCCGACTTGCTCCGCTGGATATGCTCTTTGGGGGATGTCGGTGCTTCGAGGGGACCAAGAGGATCCGTGGGTAAACAGGCGTCCGAAGTCAGGCCCATTTGCCCATCGCTCTTGGTCCTTGGCTTCTTGCTCCTGGCTGGAGCACTGCCGGCACTACGCTTCTTCCGCGTCTGGTTGAGGCGAGACTCATCCTTCTCCCATTTTTCCGCAGGCCGGTGCTTCTTCCACTTTGAGAACCAGATGCCGCAAGCTACGATTGTTGTGAGCATATGCAGGCGAAATGCAAAATATGTCAAGCAGGGTAACTTACGATTGCAAAGACTGATCTCGGTCCATTCGGATTTGTCATCCGTCGGTCCCAGGGCTTTCTTGATCATCTCGTACGAAGTGGACACGTTGTTCTCGTCTCGAGTCAAAATGTTGATTGCTGTGACGCAACCTGCCTTCTCGGAGTACTCGTGGTACGCGGGAATACCTTTATGTGTCTGCTTCCAAATCTTGCGCCACGTCGGTGTCTGGAGCGCGCCGCAGTTGCGGCAGAATGTCGGCATTTGTCCTAGAAGAATGGCCTCCTCCAGCTTCTGCTTGATAGCCTGCCGCTTGACATAGTTCTTATTCGAGCGTCCGTCCGCTTCAGGCGCATCGGTGCGCGGGTGAGCAGATTCCGAAGCCGGCATTGGCAGAGAGAGTTGTCCGAAAACTGGATCGCTGGCCGGGATCACCGGGAGCTCGAGTTCTGGGGCTGACTTCTCGCTTTTGGCTGCAGTTGGAACTGGCTGAGGCTTTGCTGTAGGGGCGCTCGGAAATGGCAGCTGCTGGGTGGCCTGGGGAGTATCGTCGGCCAATGGCGTAAAGGTCTCGTCCCCAAAGTGGAAACTGTCGAGATGATGCTGAGCCTCGGTACGATCTCCGAATCCACCTTCAAGCGACTGCATGAGATTCAGTAGATCTGCCTGCGACATCATAGCAGTCTCTGGAGACCAGGCCTGCGAGCCTGCGTCATCTGGTGACATAATCTGCGAAGCCTGCTCATCCGGGGACATGACGGCCACACTGTCTGCTATCTGCGCGGTTGCAACCGGCCGAGGAGGTGGCAGGTCCACAGGTGACATCGCCGATGGCTGGCACTTTCCAGCCGCCGTGTCCCCTGACGCCTCGGGGCCAGCAAGCGCATTGGGTTTCTGCGAGGCCTTGCGCTGTGACTGCGCTCGATTGGCAACTGAGTGCGGAGGGTTGTAGATGGAGGTCTGAGGCAGTAACTCAGGCGGCCCAGGAGTTTCCGCGTGAATGACGAGTGAGCCGCCAGTTTGTACCTTGTTCTGTTCAGACATCTCAATCTGCTTTGATACGGGCTGTTTCTTGGAGCGGCTGCGCTTTGGCTTCGGCTTCGCGATAACAGGCGGCTGCGCATCGGTAGTGGGGGGCAACTTGCTAAGCTCGTCATCCTCCACTCGACCATCGTCAATGCCACCGCTCATAAAACCAGAGTCAACCTGCTGCATGGACGCGGGCATCGGTGGCAGGATGGGGCTGGATGGCGCTGGACTTGAACGCATACTGTACATTGCTGAGCGAGGTACTGGCGGCGAAGAACCAATCTCGGCAGGGCTTGGCTCGTCACTGTGGATCTGGAATGGCGAAGGCGCAGCCGACTCGGGAGAGCGGCCATCTTGATTCTGTGTAGCGGAGCGATTGACGTCGAGATATGAGGTCGTAAATGGTCTTTCAGCTGTCGAGCCAGAAGTAGACTCCCGCCTTAGACTGCTCGTGGGCGCCAGCTTTCTATTGGGTAATCTTGGAATTGGCACCGGTGTTGGTGCTCTCGGAATTTCCTGTAGATGACCGCCACTCTGCGCCTCGCCTCCGAGGACAATAGGCCGAAAGTTTCTGATCGAACCAGAAGTGCTCGCAGCTACACGAAGTGAGTCCGGGGCCGAACCGAACGTGGCCGTGTTACTGCGCTCAACCTTCGTAGTCGTTGCTCTCTTTTTGGTTGGTGGACCATCGTCGGCATCTGTGCCATCTTCGTACCCGGATGTGTGTCCCTCTACAGGTTGTGGCTTCTTCCGTGGGCGTCCTCTTGGCCGGCCGGTCGGCGCGCGACTCGAGGCTCGTGAAGAAGGTCTTGATTGAGGCTTCGCAGGTTTGACTAGTGACTGGATCGGCGCAGCCTCCTCAGGAAGGCCAGGGCGGCTCTGATTCATATGCGGAGGCGCCGCCTGGATGGGAACGAGTTCTCTTGTAGGGCCAACCGAGGATGGCCGGCTCGAAGGACCCACGTGGGAAATTTGTGGCACAGGTGCCATTGGTTCATTACGAGCATCAAAGCTGTTGTTATATGGCCGAGCTGGTGCCAGGGCAGGAGAATGTGTAGCAGATCCCGTGGATGGTTGACCAAGATTGGGGTTCGAGTGGATGAACGAGTTCCATTCACTGGCTTCGGACATGGTGGACATTGAGCGGTGCAAGCCCGGGTTCGGCCGCTGTTCTGGCAGAGAGTGACCACGGATGACCTGGGCTGCATGTGCAGGCCGACTGACTGCTGTCAGTTTGAGGCGTACCTCGAGTGTCTCGCGGACACCATTGCCGAATATCGCGAGCAGGTTCCGCGTGACCCGTCCTGTAACAAGCTGTGGCTGCGAATTCGACCCCTCAAAACCCTGGTTGAGTGCTCTCGACAACATGCCCTGCCCGACAAGTGGTGTGTCTGGTTCCGAATAGTCAAAGGCATATACTGTATAATCCACGTCTCCATCCCCCATAATCTCCGGACTGCACTGGGCCACGGCTTGAAGACATGTTCGCAGGTCAACGACACCAATTGAGTTGCGCTCGTCTACCGGGACTGTCTGGATGTTCAGAGTATGAGGCCACCGGGCTAGACAGCGTTCTTGGCTGTCCTTGTCGAATGTATAATGAACCTTGACTGTTGGGTAATAGCTATGTCAGCAAGAACACGACTTCCACTAGAGGGAGGCAAAGCGTACGGCCCATCGGCTGGGATTGGACTCCAGCCTCATTATCACCACTGGGACTAGCTGCCCACGCCCCGTTGTTGTTGTGGTAGTGAGCCATGTCCAAAGACGTTCCTGATCTCCAACAAAGGCGGTAATGCGCGGTTTTCGACCGGCCCCAGAAACCTTAGGGGGAGTAAGTGGACATGCACCTCGGGCGACACGCCCGGGCCGGAGGGCTTGGCGCGATGAATTATGTTCGAGAGGCTCGTATGGTCGTGCTTGTTGGGAGCTTGTATGTCACAAAGATATCGATGTGAGGATATTGAGTTCCGGAGTCGACGAGAAGGGAGGTATGGAGCCGTTCAAGAGGAGTCGAGAGTCAATCGAGATTTGATGCCTGTGCACGATAAGACAGGCACAAGGTCCCAGACCGGGGTATCGTGTATGTGTCTGGACGAGGGAAGTCGTGAAAATACAGATGCGCTCGCTGGCGATGCAAGAGTACGAAAAAGAAAAGGCCGCAAGGATCGTTGGAGCGGCAAGCTGCCCTGGTGAACCAGGCGTGTTTGGAGAATGAGGAGAGCGTGGGAGAAGCAAGGAAAAGAAGTCGGAAGGATGGGATCGCAGAGCGGGTGAGCTGGGTCCAGGGTACAAGGTTGGCGGGTGGATTCGCTAGCAAGCTCAGGTACCACGCGCGCGAGGCACGCGCGTTGGACGTGGTTGTTGCTGGTGGCCGGCGTTGCAGCAGGCCCGGGGCGCGCTAGCTGGGCTGGGAGGCGCGTCCAGGCTTGAGAGCACCTGCAGCAAGCAGGTCGGGGCGGATACGTCAGGGGCCCTTGGCGCTGGGTTTCAAGCTACGGGCCCGTGCGGGGCGCTCGCCGCTCTCGAGCAGCAACGCACGCGTCAGGAGTGGGGCTTGGAGCTCCGGGCGCTTGGGCCAACGCCCGGCCGGTCTTACAAGCTCGCAGACCGCGGCGGACTCAACTTGATCTCTGGCCTTGTGCCCGGCGAGCCTCTTGTCGACGCAGTACGGGGGCCGGATGTGCCTGCGGAAGCAACGGCTTTGCAATCTGTTTTGACAGAGCAAGCTCTGCCCCGTTTCGCACCCCACGAGGGGAGCCGGCTCCTTTATATACTCCGGGCTCTGTCCTCCGACGCTCAAGTGACCCCACTCCACCTTGCCCATCCTCCATCCCAAGCTTTCTCAAACAGATGACTCAGTCAGCCTAGCTCTACAGCCTTTTGCCCAGGTTGCCATTCGTGCAACTGGTGCATGGCACTTTTCCAGCTCCAAAGCCTGCTGACCTGGTGTTTTGCTGCAGCCAGCATCCTGCCCCGCCAAAAGTGCAAGGTGCCCGTAATGTGGCGAGGTCCATACATCCACTCCCACATTGACCAGGCAACAATGCGCCATCTCCACGATGCTGCGTCAGCTTCGTGCTCAACGTGTCAAAAAATCCAAGAACTCGTCACCAAAGCAAGTGGCGCAAGCATCAATCCTCCGTGCAGAAAATTGCCTCCTAGACCGCGCGACGTTGATAGGTAATGAGGCAATGAATTTTTATTCGGGTAATGTACAGTTCTTTTTCTTTCGTTTCGTTTTTCCCCCTTGAGTGATAGCATTGTCCACGTCGAGGAGCGCTATAAGCTATCCTTCCAGACGAGCTGTCCGTCACCCCCAACAGTTGTCTTGCGAGCGAGCACCTCATCCACGACCACATTGACACCGAGCTTGCCCTGCTGCAGGTCCACAAAGTGTTGTATGATCTCTTTCCGGCCCCTCGGCTTTGACTTGACGTATTGCTCCACCGCTTCTTCGGTAGGCAGGCCTAGCCATGCGTATGGGTAAGCCCCCTCAAAGTCTTGTTCGCTCAACAGCTCCAGTTCGGGCGCCAGCTTGCTGTTGAAGAATGCATCAACCTGGGCGGGCTTGACATCCTCGAGAGTGGCAGGCTGCCACTGTGGCTTTGGTCGGGGCTTCTCCTTGGAGATGAGCTGGCATGTCACACCCTCGACGAAATCGGGGTGCGCCATGAACTGGGCGGCAATCTGGTGTTCCCGCTTGAATGTCTCCGCAATGCTCCAAGTCTTGCCAACCTGCATTTGCTTGTGTGTCACGTGAACAGCAATAGGCGACCGCTGACGGAGGGTGGCCAAAGTCTGTTCAGCCCATGCCTGGGTGGACCCGGTCTCTTGCTTCAAAGCCTTCAGAATCTTGGGCACGGTCGGTTGGCCAAAACACCTGTCAATAGCGTTCCGCAGCTCTCCACCAATGTGGATAGGAACGTCGTGGGGGAGGCCAGTCGAGAATTCGTTGATAGTACGATTGATGATGTCGAGTCTGTACTTGATGTCCTCGTAGTCGTGGAATTGGAGCTCAGCCAACCGAGACTCAAGACTGGGCAGACTCGTAGAGTGTAGGTAGTGCGTGGCGATGCCGGAGTAGAAGACGTTCGCTCCAGTCAGTCGGTCACTGGTCAAAGCAAGATACGTGCCGACCGCACCTGGCATCTTCGGCAAGAAGAACGAAGCGCCCACATCGGGGAAGAACCCAATCGTCGTCTCAGGCATGGCGAACACTGTCCTCTCTGTGGCGATCCTGAATGGGGCGTGGATGCTAAGACCGACGCCTCCGCCCATGGTGATGCCATCCATGAATGCGATATACGGCTTGTTGTATGTGGCGATGTAGTGGTCGAGCTTATACTCGAGGGCAAAGTATCTTGAGGAAGCTTGCTGCCCCTTGCTTCCCTCTTTGTTCTGAATAGCGAGCTCAGCGACGTCACCTCCGGCACAGAACGCCTTATTGCCTGCTCCCTTCATGACGATGAGATTGGCCAGATCCGATTTCGACCATTCCTGCAGCCGGGGAAGGATCTTCTTGGCCATGGATCCATTGAGAGAGTTGAGCTTTCCTGGCCTGTTGAGCTCAATGGTGCGCAAACCGTACAGGTTGTTGAACAAGACATCGTTTGGGTCGCTGGCCGAGCGCTTCTTGCTCGACTGGTCGGGACTCGTGGACATCTATAGCGGTAAAGCGGCTCACGTATCAGTAGTTGTGGCGTGGCATGAGCGAATTGAAGAATAGGGCCACCATACTTGCGCGCGTTGTGACCCGCTCGGGTCGAGGATTTTCGCCTTGAGAGGCATGGTAGCTGTGATGGCGCCTCGGGAGCAGGGGGAGGCCACAGAGGCAGCCGCTGGAGCCCCGGATCGACTGAGAAGGGCTCTAAAAGACATCTAGACGTAGTTGTGGCTCGATGCGCGGGGAGGTGACAGGGGCCGCATCGAGGGACCTCCAAGGCTCGTCTTCATTGATATCTGCAAGTCGACGTCGATTCGGGTATGCTTTGCCAGCACGGAGTGGAGCTCGACCTCGGTCTTGCACCCCAAACTTTTTATGGGGCCAGCGGGCGTTTGCAGAGCGCCGTGTGCAAAGTCCCAGGGTGGCGGGAGTGGTGCATGCCTACCTGCCGGGTAACCAAGAAGTACCAGCTTATCGCACACCGATAACACAAAAGGTGGGCCGGCTTCCAGCCAATCACTAGCAGCTGCACCTCACCGCGATGGTGCCTGGGACGCTGGTGCGAGTGAAGTTACGGGCAGTCTAGCTTTCAGGGCTGCTTGCGATCCAGCATTCGGACGACCGACGACTTGAGAATAGCCTGGTGAACAGCACCACTCCCGACACGACATCGTTCCCTCCAGTGTCGCGACCGAACTCGTCCAATATGGCGGACAACAAGATCCAGTATGGCCCGCGCCCAATGTGCTCATCAATACCGACTCCTGCTAATTTGACATCTGTAGAGAGCTTCTAACGAAGCCGCGAAATGAATTGACGTAGGCTCCCACCCCATATCGACCGCCAAGGGGGCAAGTCATATGCTAATTCTTGCGTCCTCACGACAGAGAGTATGAGATCTCGCTCCTCGAAGAGCACGAATTCAATGCAGGGCCTCTTTCCATACTCCAGACAGCCGTGCGCAGCCATACGCAAGTCCTCATCTCGATTCGCAACAACCGCAAGCTTCTCGCCCGAGTCAAGGCCTTCGACAGACACTGCAATATGGTACTAGAGAACGTCAAGGAGATGTGGACGGAGACGCCAAGACTAGCGGGAGGAAAGAAGGGCAGGCCGGTCAACAAGGATCGCTTCATCAGCAAGATGTATGATTTAATCCCGGCATTCATTGCTTTCGCATTGTACTGACCGAATTTTCGCAGGTTCCTGAGAGGAGACTCAGTCATTCTTGTTCTCCTCAGCTAGACAGAGATATATACGGATGCATTTGGACAGCCCAGCTTATGGACTTGGAGGATAAGGGTCACGAGACAACGAAGCTCGTCGTGCGAACTGGCCATCAGAGATGGGGCAGGCAGATAGTGCTGTAAGCAAAGGGCAGCAAAAATCAGACGTCTTCTGCGCGAGCTATGATGACAGCTCGTACCAGCCAAAAGCCATATGGCCAAGAAGGGGGCATAGGCACAAATACTCTTCGCAATAGATACCACTGATGTCAAAAGAAGCATTACAGAAATCTCCCAATCTGCTTTGGTACCTTCGATATCGACGTTCCTGGGTCACTGCCGTTCACCATTCGGCTTAGATAGCCTCCCACCCATCGTCCTCATTCAGTTGCAGCCCGGCTAGTCCAAGAAAGAAAGCCGCCAGTCCCCAGGCCCCAGGATCTGGGACTTCGTCATAGCGTGATTCACCCACATATACAGCTCGGCCGAGAACTGCGTGCATGCCTTTCGTCTTCAAAGCGCCTTGCTTCGCAGCGTCCGCCGCGTTTACAAGATCCCCCGTCTTCTCGAGTGATTCGACAAACGGGTACAGGCTGTCGACCAGGGTGCGATCTCCTGGGCGGGCGGGAGTATATTTCGACAACGCTTCGCAGCTGTGCTTGAGTGCAGTAGCCCATGTCTGCGCAGTGGCCTCGCCTGGGTTAGCTGAGCGGAGGGAATGCACCAGCGCGTTCAGAAGGATGGCGAACAGCGCCCCCGATGTGCCGTCCATCGAGTCCTCTACCACCGTGACAATCTTCTCCACTTCGGCAACCACATCGCTGGTTGGCGTGTTCTTCTGAATATGGCGGAGAACAGCTGCGACATGGATCGTTAGCGGACTGGCAACAACTCAGACCTCTATAGAGGGAATAGGCCTTACCATCAGCACCACGCTTGAGGCCGATTCCGCAGTCTCCATCACCAACGACCGTGTCGTATCTGGTAACCTCTGGCTCCGCTGCAATGACTGCCTTGAGGCCCGATGTGAGACTGGCAGCGAAACTCTCTGCATCCGTTGTGAGGTCGCTCTTCTTCATCTCTGTCGACTCGTCTTGTGGTGCATCGTCCCGAGTTGCGGTGTTATGAGTCTCCCAGGTCTCTTTGACAATCGGGGCCGCCCAGCCAGTGGCTTCGCAGGGGTAGTCCAACAGCTGTATCATGCTTGGGCCCCCGATGTCGGTGTTGACAACGTTCAGAAGTGAGATGCTGAAGCCAAGGCCGTTCAGACTGGTCATATAGGTGCCGCTCAGGATTCGGACCGGAGAAATGCCCCAACCACTTCCCAGCTGCTTCACGACCTCGGTTGTGATGCCACCCAGCTCGAGCACACTAACACCCCCGAGATTGTTGACAAGCAAGACCACCTCGTTTGAGTTGACATTGACGAAGGCCCGGTCTTTGTCGTTCTGGTCAAGCAGCTGGGCGAGCATCTTCTTGACCAGTTGCGGCAGATCAAGCTTTGCCTGCTCGGAGCCAGCCTCGTTGTGAATGCCCATGCCAATCTCCACCTCGCCGTCGTCGAGATGCTGCTTCGACGAGACCTGTCTACCAGGTACATGAACATGATCCAGGCTGGCCCCGACGCTGACAAGATTTTCAGCGGTCAACTTGGCCACTTTCTGTACCTGCTCCAAGCTCGCACCCTGGGCTGCCAGTGCTCCAGCTATCTTGTGCACTAGGACTGTGCCGGCAATGCCTCGCCTGCCGACTTTGCCGCCCTTGGCCCTACCGACACCAACATCGTCGCCGACCACGACCATCTCTGCAGCCACGCCTGCCGCCTTGGCCTTCTCCACCGCCATGCCGAAGTTGAGTATATCACCAGTGTAGTTCATGACAGTCACCAGCACTCCGCGCTCCGTGTCGACTCTCGAGGTGATTGCGGCGCGCACCTGCTCCGCGCTCGGGGAAGCGAAGATGGACCCCGCGACAGCAGCTGATAGCAAGCCATTGCCCACGAAGGCGCCGAAGCTGGGTTCGTGGCCAGAGCCGCCGCCACTGATGATGCTCACTTGGTGCTTGGCCGAGGGCGAGGGTCGGCGATATATTATCTTGTTCTTGCTGTCGAGTGCTACGGACGGATTCGTCAGGGTAAGGCTCTCCAGTGCCGAGTTCACCAGGAGTGTAGGGTCATTGATGAAGTGCTTCGCAGCCATGATGGCTGGCTCTTGGCCGAAAGGAAATGTTCCTTGTTGATATTGTTGGATAATAGCAAAGTAAGAAGGTGTGGCTAGAAGCAGCGTCCTAGGTATTGATGACAAAAGTCTGTGTATTGGGCTACTAATCTATCTGAAGAGGACCATGCCAAAGCGTACTTACAACCTGCAGCCAAGATAACGGTCGCAGAAGGGAGAGGCGACGCAACCCACCAAATGACGTTGTTGGGCGAGCGGGGAAATAGCCTGGGGGGTCCGGAGCTCACCAGAAACACATGTGTGGCTCGAAGGTGACAGCTGTGTCAATGCAGTAGATGGGGGAAAGGTTATTTATTGCTGAAGGAAGACATACAGCCATGGACTTGTTCCAATCGGCAGTAGGCAGGCACCTGGGCATTTCTGGGGGGAGAGGGCATATGACGTAGCCGTCTCATTGCGTGTAGCAGCATCACTATCGCGAGGTGAAAATGCCGTAAACACGACCGCATATCCATCGCGGGGCAAAACGACTGTACGTAGAACACGAAAGCTGAAGATGATTTGCAGAAGCGCAACTCGGAGCTCGCAGCAGGTGTCATAACACAAGCTTCGCCCAAGCAGCCGGAGCTCCAGGATTGGGTGCGTCCGCCCCACCTCGAAATTTCCCCATGTGCGACAGGCACGCTTTTTCTGTGACTCAAGCACTACTCAATACCACCCCCTCCAGCGTTGTTCTTCAAAACAAGAAAGGCTCGCGCCCCGAGAAGCCTGTCCTCCGCCCGTTGGGCCCATTATCACGAAGGCGCAGACTCTCACCCAGTGGCCAGTCATTCTAGAGGACCACCGCAAACATCAAGAGACACCAAGCCACAACAGCAGAGGGGTGTTTCGAGCCCTGTCCCTCATTCACCCCACTATCGCAACAGCGATCCTACCAATGGCGACCGAACAGAACGAAGCGCCCGCGGCCATTTCGGCTCCGATTCCCTCCGAGTCGCAGCCAGAGGCCAACCCTGCGAAGGTCGAGGCTCCAGGAAAGAGCGAGAAAGGCGAGAAGAACGAGAAGAAGAAGGACAGCGCAAAGACCGATGGCGCGGCAGACCCATCAGGCACACCGAAGCTCACAGGAGCCGAGCTGAAGGCCAAGGCCAAGGCTGAGAAGGCCGCTCGTAGAGCGCAGGCGAAATCGTCCAAAGATCAAGCCAAAGGCGAAGCTGCCGTCTCTTCAAATCCGGTGCAGCTCGGCCCTTCTGCAGCGGAGGTCAAGGCGGGCAAGGGCAAGGGAAGGCAAGATGGCAGTGCGACTGGGGGTTCTGGCACCAGGGCCGCTGGACCCAGAACTTTTGTGGCTGCGGCTCCTGTTGAGCCGAAGAACATCATCCCAGAGTGCTTTAGCCACCTCTCCATGGCTAGAAGGATACCCATGACACAGGCCGACAAGGATGTGCATCCGACTGTCCTTGCTCTTGGTCAGCAGATGGCCACATTCGCGATTGACGAGAGCATTTTGAGGCTAAAGGCGACGCTTCTCGCCTTCAAGAAGGTTAGTACCGTTATCGATTCATGTGAACCGACACAGTGGACGTTAACATGCAATAGGTCATCACCTCATACAACACGCCACCAGGAAACACACTGGCTAGGCATCTCACACCCCATGTGCTCAACCCACAAATCGAATATCTGACGGCGTGTCGGCCAATGTGCTTTTCTATGGGAAACGCCATTCGGTGGCTGAAGCTGCAGGTCAGCAAGATCGACCCTGATGTCGCCGAGCATGAGGCCAAGAAGCTGCTATGCGAGAGCATAGACAATTTTATCCAAGAGCGCATCACCATGGCGGATGTGGTCATCATGGAACAGGCAGGCAAGAAGATCAGGGATGGCGATGTTGTCTTGACCCACGGACGCAGCACACTTGTGGAGCGCACCCTTCTTCGGGCATTTGAGGAGGGAAAGAAGTTTAGTGTGTTTGTGGTTGACGACCCGTATGCGAGGACAGGCCAGCAACTTGCAAAGACACTTACAGGAGCGGGTATCAAGGTAACATACTGCGGCGACTTCGGCGGCTTGAGATCACACATACATGAATCTTCCAAGATTATCCTTTCCGCAGAATCCATGTTCAACAACGGCTCCATGTACGGCCGATCTGGATTCTGCGATGTCGCCATTGCCGCCAAGGAGGTCGGCAGACCAGTCATTGCCCTGTGCGAGACGATCAACATTACCGAGCGTGTGACGACTGACTCGGTCACGTACAACGAGATCGACCCAGAGAGGAGCTCAGCAGCTGCATTCAGGTTGTTGTTCGACACAACTCCAGCACAATTCCTTTCAATGGTCATCACAGAACTTGGATCCGTCCAGCCCACCTCCGTGTCAGATCTGCTGCGCAAGCTGGAAGAGTCCAATTAGATGGTCCGAAAACTGTTGATTGCACTGGAGTCGTGCTGGTGACAGGACAAAACTGGGGCCTTAGACGTAGATGTACCAGCATAGAACAAGAACTCATACCCAATGTTCGCAATTCCAGCAGCGAATGGTGCAGGACAGTGACAGTTGACAGTGCTACAATATCACATCGACTCGATGCATATACATTCAGGATACTGTCTCGATTGGTGTATCAGAGAATAGCCATCTTCTGAGCTTGGCGCTGCAGAAACGCAACTGCTTGTGGACTTCCATATGTACAAACCGCTAATCTCTTTTTGATAGCAGATATTTTTCGGCGCCTCTTGTTCTCCTGTGCCACAGACAGCATACTGTATCAATGCCACTATCTTGATGTGCCTTCTCGATTTGGCTCTTTGTTGTCGCCCACTGCTCGGCCCGCCGCCCGTCTGCCTGTCTTTCTAAGCAGTGGCTTGCTCGGCATCGCGCGCAGCCTTGCGCGCCCGCTTCTCCAAAATAGCCTGTTTCCGCTCGGCGAGCACGGCAGTCTGCCTCTCGTCCACGCCCTGCAGCCAGTATCCGAAACTGCCACCAACGCCGGCGAATACGGGCCAAGCCCACAGAGAGCCCCTGTTGAAGAAAGGCCGCATCTCGAGGCCGAGCTGCCAGAAGCGCACGGCGACACCTAGATCGAGGGGAATGGGTTCAATGGTTAGTAGCTGGTATCAGAAGAAGCAGATGCGCGGGTGAGCTGATGGCGGCGATTGAGCTGCACCACGAAGATCAGGCGTGGCTGTGCGGTCTCAATTGCCCTTCCCTCGTTGTCTCTCTTTGCGCTCTGCCGGATCTGCGCGCTTGCGCAATGCCACGTACCGAAGCCGGACCAGAACAGAACTCGGTGCACCATTGTGATTGATTCGTTGATTTCGAGGTGGGTTGAAGATGGTGTGAGCTTTGCAGCAGCGTCTGCCGGGGGCGAGTGGACCTTGTCACACAGTCGTCTATAGTCTTCGCGAGTCGCTGCTCAAGGGAATCGAAGTACTCTGCTTTGATGGCTGTCGCGCCCCGTCTCTGTCTCGATGCCGATATGACAAGCTGCCGCGCGGGATGGCTTGGAGGTTGCAAGTGCTTGGTCCTGTCTGGATGGGGGGAGCTTTGGTGGTCCATACCGGGGTTTTCCCGCACCACGGACCTGAAGTACCTTGCTGCAGACGCCTAGGCACAAAGATACCTTCTGGCGGTGGGCCCAGGTCATGAATTTCCTGACTCGCTGGTTGGTCATACCCCTGTCACACGCTCGGCTTTGAGTGGGGCCAAGATTTCTCGAGGACGCGGTCCCTAACCGTGTCCCTGTCCAAGTTGGTCGAGGTCGAATTTCCAGCAGCTCCAAACTGGTAATCAGGTCATCCACGATTCCAGTTCTGCCCAGGGTGCTTTGCGCTCTCCACCATCGCATCAAGTTCCGGCGACCCTCGCGACCACCAGGCATTCGCGACAAGTCAACTTCCCCATCTCGCGTACGCTACGAATCACAGGATCGATAAGCGACATCACCACACCATCACGTCCCCATTGCACACTCGTAGTGCTTTCAACATCGTCCCGAACCGGCCGCCAATGTGTTCCAGCTAAGCATCCTACTTCGCCAGAGGCCTGATGGCTTCATCCGTGGTAGCGCCTGCGCCAGTGTCGGCCGACGAGTCCAGTGCAACTGCTGCCAACAGGCCAGCCTCGATCGCGCCGCGCAAGTTCAAGGCGTCAGATCTGCCGTTGACCTCGGCCACGAGGTCCGCGATCGAGAGTCTTGCCCACAGCTTCAAGAAGAAGGGCGGCTATGATGCAATTCGCAAGGAAGTGTGGGAGAAGTTCGAGGCCAGCGTACGTGCTTCAGCTTGCGCCCTACTCTCGAGAAGCCAATGATCCCTCGTCGCGGTATACTAACCAGCTTGTGGTTTCTGAGCACAGGATTTCGAAGCAGAGATCAAGAAGTCAATCTTGCAAGTCGCCGAGAAGGAAGTCGAACGAAACCCATCACAGCTCCTAACCCTCAACCAGCGCAAGGCGGCCGCGCTGATTGACGGCGCACTCGTATTCTCGGGCATCTACCAAAATGCCGAGGCTGTGATTGGACAGCTCATCGACGACAAAGCCATCGAGGCACGGATACGACAACTGCGTGCCGCAGAGATTGGCGAAGAGGCCGCGGAAGACGAGCGCGTACGTGGCTCCAAGACAGACGAGGACTATGCCGCAGAGTCTACCGCCCGCTTGAACGAGCGTGAACGTGTCAGACGTGAGCTCAGGGAGAAAGAAGAACAGATCCTTGAGGAGAAACGCAAGATCGAGCGAGAGGAGCAGAAACAGCGCGACCGCGAGGCAGAAAAAGCCGAAATTAAGCGTAAAGAAGAGCGTGATGCGCGCCGTCGCGAGCGAGAAAGAAAGGAAGAGGAACGCGAGGAGCAGAGGAAGAAGGAGAGAGAAGAACGCCGCCGGGCTCGCGAAGAGCGGGAGCGTGAACGGGAAAAGGAGCGCGAACTCGAACGCAGCCGACGAAGCTCAAGATCCAGGGATAGATCACATCGCCATGACCGGGACCGGAGTCGGCGCCGCGACAGCCGCGACAGAAGCCGACATCGCCATGACAGTAGGCGCCCTGACAGCAGAGATCGGCGCCGCCGGAGCGATCGATCACGGGAGGATGATGGCAGTCGCAGGCGAGAGACGAGCAGGAAGCAGCTCTCAAAGGAGGATATCGAACGGCTCGAGCAGGAAGCCTTGGCTGACCTGCTGCGCGAAAGCACAAAGACTGACGCCGTCAAGGAGCCCGAAGAAGAGGAAGATGCTGACGAGAAGCTGCCACCGCCTCCACCTAGGCGAACGAAGCCCGCTTCTGCTATTCAGCCTATCCGTCGCGAGTCTTCCAAGGCTTCTGAATCCAAGAAGACACAAGTACCTGTGAAAACGGACTCGAAGGACTCAGCGCGAGATGTGTCGAAGGATGCGAGCGACCGTCAGGAGAGCAAGCTTGCCAAGCCCGCAGAGCCAACGCCCAGCAAGGAACCAAAGATTGCAGTCAAACTCAAGTCTCAGGATTTGACGGCGTCTACGACCGCACCTCAGCCAGCAAAAGTAGCGTCTAAGGTTGCAGCTGTCCAGGGTGGGACGACAAAAGAACGGAGAGACCGCAGTGCCTCCCGTCACACTAGACCCGAGCGCGGCAGGACTAGGAGCATCTCGCGATCACGTCCAGAGCGGAAAGATCGCAGCCGTTCCCGTGCACGAGATGACAGGGACCGCAGTCGGGACCGTGACAGAGACCGAGAGAGGGAACGGGAGCGTGACCGGGATCGCGACCGGGATCGCGACCGTGATAGAGATCGGGATCGTGAACGGGACAGGGATCGCGACCGGCCCGTCATCCAGACGGATTGCTACAGACCAAACGAGCAACTCAGGTCACCTGTTCGCAATGCTCGAGACGGCAAAGCAGACCGGAGTCGGTCCAGAGGAAGGGCTGAGCGCAGCAGATCGAGAGGCCGCTATAAGCCAGCCGAGACACGAACAGCAGCACGCAGCAGGTCGCGCAGGAGAGACGACCACCGAGATGACAGATCCCGCTCGCCCCGTCCGAGGGCGGCAGAGCGCCGCGACAGGAGCCGGTCCACTACAGCACGAAGAGACAGGGGTCGCGACGATAGAAGGGACGACAGAAGGGACTACAGACGACAGAGTCGTTCACGCTCGCGGCGAAGAGGTGGAGTCTCGTCCACGACTGAGCTCAACGACGCTGAGACGTGGAAGCAAGGCGAGATCAAGAAACGCGAGCAGGAAGCCAAGGCTTATTTGGCCGCACAGCGAGAAGCTCGGGAAAAAGGTCTTCCCATTCCCGGCATCGACGACAAGAGACCTGCTGGGGACGACCACGATAGGCGAGGAGGCTCACCAGATGTCAAGCGCCGGGGTCTTGGTGAGGACATTGATCGATACCGCCCTGGAGAGCGGGACGCAGATCGCGCTGCAGACCGGGACAGGGACAGAGACAGGGAGCGAGACCGGGACCGGGACCGGGAGCGTGACAGAGAACGGGACAGGGAGCGGCGGGCACCACCACCACCACCGCCTCGCGACCGTAGTGCTGAGTCGCGAAAAGATCGTGACCGTCGTCCGGCGGCTGCATTGCGAGATCGGAGTACAGAGTCACGACGTGACGGAAACAGGCGCGACAGGAGCACGGAATCTCGGCGGGACCGTGACCGGACGGAGCGGCGAGATCGCGACCACCGTGATGCTGAGAGGGACAGGGTCCGAGATGACCGCCGCGAACGTCGGCGCAGCCGTACACGAAGTCCAGCAGTTCGGCGGCGCTCGCGTTCTCGGTCACGGGACAGGGAGAGCCGAACATATCGGCCCCGTGATGATCGAGACCGTGACCGGGACCGGGACCGAGACGACCGCGATAGGGCTCGAGACCGGGACCGGGACCGGGATAGAGAGAGGGATCGCAGCAGGGACCGCGAAAGAGATAGGCGGTCGCGCCGCGATAGGAGCACGGATTCCCGGCGTGATACTCATCGTCGCGACAGGAGCCGGAGCCGCAGACGGAGCAGAAGCCCAAGGTAGAGCCAAGGGCGGCTCCCAAGCCATCTACGCGACGCACGGGATCTTTCAGCAGCAACGAGGACGGTGTTGCCAGGAGCGCCGGCTACCACCGAGTCAGTCAGTAGTAGGAAGCAGGTTTACGTTCCGCCGTATTCCTTGCTCAGGCGGACTGCTGTGCGTGCGGTCGAGGCACACAGAGCCGCACATCGGTCTATGTATCCATTTAGTAATCAGATGCCATGACATCCTTTTGAGTGATGACCAGGGGCTGTTGCAGACAAGAGAATTGGCATTGAAAAGCCCGTGCATCGAGTGCGAGGACGTCTTCGTGCATTTTCCAGAGGAAGACGGTATCTCATGCCTTCAAGTAGGCTAGATATACATGTACAATGGCATTGTCAGAAAGAGCATACTTGAAAGACGCATAAATCACACAGTTTGTCACGCAAGGCATTGAGAGGCTTTCCTCTGTGGAACATCAGTGCTTCGATAAAGAAGGTTGTGGTAGGAGCCACTGTTGACTGGCATGCAAGCTGGTCGACTAGACGGCAAAGTCGTTGCATCCAGCCCTGATCTGTCTGCTTGGACGTTGGCACGCGGTGCGCGATTGAGTAGGGTGGGGGAATGGAGGGTGATGAGGTCATCTGGATGGGCTTGGAGTAAGTACCTAGTGGTATGATGAATGCGAGCTCAGCGTTTTTCTTTACGCAAATGGTGCATTAATTACTCGAGGATTTTAGGTTTATCGTCCGGGCAGAAATGGGCTCAGGCCACCATGGAGGCTACTTTCGCCCGCCGTTTACCCAGATCCTTAACTGATCCTCAGGGGATTTCAGCAGGGCAACGGCCAATCTTGTGAACGGAGAGAGTCTGGTGCCTCTGATGCCAAAGATAGTGAAAGCGGACCAAGGCTCCAGCCAGCCAGGCTGGGCGAACAGTCGCAGGCCGGGGGCGGGCACGGTGCGGTGCGGTGCGGGTCGGCCGGGAGAGTCTGCTCCATTCCTTGCCAAGCGGCTCCGTGGCGACGGAGATAGGCGCTGATACGCAGCCGCAGCCTGCAGCCAGGCTGGTTTCAGCGTTGGTACTGATGTCGGGTCGACCCCATCATGGGCCTTTAGAGAGGCACAATACGGGGCTGCCTGGCACCACGGCACAGGCAACCTGGAGAGCGGAAACCGTCACGTTCTACATGGTAGAAGAAAAGAGACTGGCGGTGGAGGGCTGAGCTGGCGGGGACGGGACGTGTGCTTGCTTTGGCTCCATGGTCGAGTGTCCAGGCCCAGGCAAGGCAAGGCAGACCCTGCTTGCAGCCGCGACGGCATCGTGCCCAAGCCGTGGTGGGTTGTGCCGCTGCACATCTTTGCCTGCCCGGTTACTGGGGCGGAAGTGGCGCCGAGGGAGGAGAAAAGAAAGCAGAAGGGCGGCACTATTCACACCAACTACAACGAATGCCCTTCCTTGCCGGGGAGATTGCGGTCGAAGGGGGAGGTGTTGAGTACTCTGTACGTAGGTAGACACGCAACGCAGCAGCAGCAAGGGCGCGGGCCAAGCTGACGACACAGATGGAGCGTCAGCGGCAGCCCCGTCTCCACCCACCGAGCGTGCGTGCCTTCCCAGATAGACCGTCCCGCCCTGCGTCTGCCTCTGGTCTGCTCTGGTCTGGTCTGGTCTCTCTCTGCCTGCTCTGCCTCTAACTTACCTCACCTTCCACCTCCACACCCACCGGGCTCGGCCAGGCGCTAACCCAACCAACTCGCTCCTCTTCGTCACCTGCCTCTCCAAGCCGCCCGTCTTTGTTCCCGCACCGCTTCTTCCTCGTGCGTCTCTTTTGTCCATTTCCCCTGCCTTCCGCATCTTGACCTTGCCGCGCACTTGACCCGCTGCATCGCGCGCGCCTTATCAGCAGGCATCAAACAATCGCCACTCGAGTACTCATGCGAGAGGTGCGACGGTGACGGAAACGTCCCAGCGCCTCCGGCCCCCGCCGCCAACACCACCCGCTGTCCGGATACAGCCCGCTTCTCTTCGCCGCGTCGACACGTCTCATTTACCGCATACTGCCTGTGCGCCGGCGCTCGCGAGTCCCGTCGTTCGTATCTGCCGTCTTCTGCAGAACGCCCAAAACAGACCTCACCCACAGCAGTCATGCTCCCCGACAACATGAACAGCGTCATCATCGGCCTCCTCTCCTCTTTCGGCTCCGCCATCATCATCGCCCTCATCTTCCTTGTCATCTACTTCTTCCGCTACACATCATCCGGCCGCATCTTCCTCGACCGTATCGGTCGTCCCGGCGAATATGACGACGAACAGGCATTCCTCCGCGAGGAGGCTGACGCCCTTGAGACGATGGACGATCTCCAGAGAACAGAATACTTAAGAGCAAAGGGTGTGTAGCGCTGACGAACGTGCAACCCCAAGCGTGACCCTCTTTACTGATTTGCCATGGATGTCTAGCCTTTATTCAGGGAAATCCACCAGAGTCGATACAGACCGATATTTCGCTATCACAGTATCTTGCGATCCAGGAGAAGGGTGTTTCTGCCTGGCAGTTCGAGCCAGAACTCGAGATCGCCAATTGCTTCGTCGAAGCCAGGACCGAGATTGAGTTCTTCGACTCTGAATGCACGGTCATGAGCAATCTGCCAGTCCCTAAGCAGAACGAAGTCTATTACTGGGAAGCCAAGATCTACGACAAACCCGAAAACACTCTTCTTAGCATTGGCATGTCCACAAAACCGTATCCCTTGTTCCGCCTGCCTGGTATGTGTCAAATCTGTTCCACATCTCCATGTGCCGCTGCAGCTAACTTTTGCTGCTAAACGCAGGCTATCACAAATACTCGATTGCGTACACCTCTACGGGCGCCCGCAGATACAATCAGCCGTTTCACGGGACACCCTACGGCCCAGCGCTTGTTCAGGGCGATGTCGTTGGTGTTGGCTACCGCCCGCGTACTGGCTCAATCTTCTTCACTCGCAACGGCAAGCGTCTTGAAGACATTTGCCAGGGCTTAAAGTCGCAGAACTTCTTCCCCTCAGTTGGCGCCAATGGTCCATGCATTGTGCACGTCAACTTTGGTCAAGCTGGATTCGTCTTCTTGGAAGCAAATGTGAAGAAATGGGGTCTTGCTCCCATGACTGGCAGCCTAGCTCCTCCTCCTCCATATGGCAGTGAGCAAGGAAGCATTTTGTTGGAGACTGGTAGGCGGAAGGACGAGTATACTCCTGGCTCGCCGGCTAGAGGTCACAGCTACACGAACTCCCTCCAAATGTACACCGGCCGCGGCCCAATCTTGGACCCAGGCCATTCGCGCACCAGGAGTGGTAACTTCAGAGTACTTCCGCCCACCAGCCCAGGCCCCCAAAGGAGCCCTACTGATATCTCCCTGGCGCAGCTGGTGCCTACAGACGAACCTGGCGAGGCCAGCGGCAGTAATGCTCTGGATTCGGGTGATCACGTGGTAGATGTCACTGGTCTCGGCCTGCACGAGTCATCACATCCCCCGCCCGAATACACAAGCCCGGACCAGTCAGAGAATGACTCTGGAAGCAGCTCCGACAGCGATGACGTCCCGCTGATGCGGCCAGGACGCAGTCGTGGTGCGTCCGCAGCAACCTTGCGGCCCCACAACCCGCCCATCCCGAGCTACAGCGATGCTGTTCGCCAAGGCGCCGGTAGAGACAGGAGCCGAAGCGACACCAGTGCGATGACGTCCAGGGGAAGCGGCCACAGTCGACGCTGAGACAATAACCTCGTCATGTGCTTCGGCCGTTGAGCATGAGAGCCGTGCGAGACCATCGAATTCACCTTACATTTGGGGCTTGGAGTTTGGAGCAAAGTTTACATCATTCACTTGAAAGGAGCGGCCGTTTGTTGTACTTTTGGATAGTGCGTGGCTTCACAATGACGATTTGTCATTAGTACCAAAGCCTAGGAGAGCAAGCATGGCGAGGCGGAGTTGTTGCCGAAGCGTGAGCTGGGGTCGTTGTCAACGACGCTCGGCCGCTTATTCGCATTTTCACCACCACCAAGCCATTTTCTGTGGTCTGCCAGATCTGCGGACAGCAGGCACCGCCACATACATGATACCACTCGTCTGATCATACCTTGCAAGCAGATGTTATGAAGAAATAGAGATATCCCCTTTTTTTTGTCAGCTTGATTCTACGAAACGGCCATGAGCAGTGATATGTGCACAACTAATGGTCACCAGTGCTTCGCTTGCATAACTGACCCTCCCTCATCGTGGTCTAATATGCAAATTCATCCAGCTGGGTCAGCAGCGGGGCGGCCGAGAAGCCACGTAGGCAGCCAAGCAGTAGGCGGTGTTCCACCTCGATCTTTTGCGGGTGTCGAAGGCAATCCTGAGACAGGATCAGAAGATTCCAGCCCGAACCAAGGCACCAAGGACGACATCCAGTGCATCAAGGGCAATGTTTGAGCCGAGACAGGCAGTGGCGGTTGCTGTTGTTGCTGATTGTGTTGCCAGGCGAACACGAGACAAGTTGCCGCCAGGCACGCGATGCCGCCCACGGCGACAATCCTTCTGTTCACTCTTCTCCGCCATAATATCCGAATACTGGCGATGCTGGTGGAGCTGGGCATCCCGGCCGCGGCGAGGCGTCGGAGGTCATGCCACCCAGCCTGGTATATCACCAAGCCGAGCAATGCGGTGGCGTAGCCCAGGGCCTGTGAGATGGTGATGCGTTCGCCTGTAAACACTACGGCAAAAGCAACGAGGAGGATATTCTTGAGAATGCCGGTCAGGACGAGGACCAGCCCTGAGGTCTTGCCGATCTGCATCAGGCGGGTCGATATGAGTATATGTTTGCATGTCTCCCAGTTTGACCCAGCTGAAAGCCGCAAGGACGATACGAGGCCAAGCCTGGAAATTTGAGGCACTTACCAGGAGTACACTCGAGACGTTGAGCAGAAATGCCACCAATGCGTTCAGGAGGAGCGTGATGGGCCCAACATCGATAACGTGCTGCCAATGGAAAGAGCCACCTTCCCACACGATGGAAAGGATGAAGTTGGTCGCGGCGCACACCGGCGCATAATAGTACAGCCCGACTAGAGGATCCATCTTTCGCAGTTGGGTTTCGTTTATCTGAGTCGCTCCCCTCATCGCTGGCTTCTCCTCATCCTTCCCTTCGCTGGCCAGTGATGTGGTGCTTGGGCAGTCGTTTGACTCTTCCGGCGCGCTGTTCGTTCCTTGGTTCTTGGTGAAGAGGGCTTGTATCATGATAACCCTCAGAGACTCAAACACAAGCCCGCCGAGCTGGTACAGAAAGCCCGTCCAGGAGAAATGAATCTCGCCCGCGCTAGCGACGATGACGCCAACGATGATACCTGCAATGTTGAGGATTGTCTTAGGCGTCGGGGATTCGACTCCCCAAATCCAGCCCACGAAAAGAACGACGGCAGGGGCAGCAGCCTGAGAGAAACGTCAGTGGAAGCTGGCAGGCTAAGCGTGTTCTGACGGGTATTCAAGGACCGTCCGGGGTGGCGTGATGTCCGTTCAATCCGGCATAGTGAACCTACCTTGAGCATCTGGATGAAGGGCACACTGAGGTAGAGGTAAACGAGGGTGCTGCAGACCATGCTGACGCTGTACATGACCCCGATAGGCACGACGGCACGGAGGTATGTGTGCCGCGTCATCTGGACAGCATGCCGGCTGTCGAGCACGCGCGTTGTGCGGGCGAGGGTCTGTGTCGCAGCTGTGGCGAATACCATGTGCCAGCAGGTGAGGATGACGGCTGTCTGGTGTTAGAAAAGAACGGCAGATCAGGCTGAATTGCAGATTGGTCTTGAGCAGACGGGCATGGGACCATTCGGTTGAATATCAGGTGTATAGAGGCGGACGGCCGGGGAGAAACGCACGATAGGCTGCTGCGTATTAGTCCTACTGTTGCCTTAGCCGGTTGTGGCCTTCGTATGAGAACTTACGAAAGCCAGCAGCGTCAATGAGCCACTTGTTGAAGAGGATTGTGAGGTTGGAGAAGAAGACCCAGCTTCTGCGCTTCCGTTAGTACAACTGGGCGGCTCAAGACGTGGCCATGTGTCATCCTACAGGACAAATAAGGCCGGGTGGGCCAGAGCCAGGCTGGTCGGGCCCATTTTCGTGGCGTGCTGAGGGTGTCCGGGCGGTAGGAGAGGAGAAGGAATCTCGTGATGGCCATGGAGGTGAGTGGTGTCTGTAAGGACCTCTGAGAAGGCAGTCGCGACTGAGTTTAGGAGCACAGTGCTGAGACGCCCCTTGCCAAACCGACGCGCGCACGTATTTGCACACCCGCTCGGTCTGGACAGGCCGCTAGACAGTCTTATTATGCCATGGGGATAAAAAGTAAAGATTGCCTTCTGGAGAGCTGTGCTGAGCTCCAGGAATGTCTCTGGATACGAGGGATCGACGTAAGGGGCCCGGTGCGGTGCAGCGCTCGCCTGCTGTCCTCAGGCACTGCGCCCTAACCCGATCGGGCAGGGCACACTCGGCGGCGACCGTGCACGAGCCGGCCCGCCGCCGGGCATCCCGGGACCCGGCATCTCAGGCCCACCCGGCTCCGGAGCCTCGTCCAGGTCGGCTTAGTCGGGCCTCTCTCTGGTGCTGCACAGCAGCAAGATATACATAGTCTTGGACGGGAATTTCCTCTGTAAAAGTGACAAGTCTGTGATCATGGCCATTACTCAACTCAACTCTGGACCCCAGACTTGCATCCGGAACTCATTGAGCTTCAAACCCAGTTTCTGGGCTGGGCTCTACCCGGCAGCTGTGCGACTCCTCTCTGTCGATATCCTCAGTGAGTCTCGGTAATGCAATATCCATGGACGCCGATACCTCGTACTTTTGATGGAATTCTAAGGAAAGGAGCCACAGGCTCGACGAGGCCGATGGAGAAAAAACACTGCCTCGGCGATGGGCATCTTCATTTGTCTTTCTTCTGTGGCACTTCCACCTAAAACCTATCAAACTCTGCTTGGGTAACATGATGTGGCAGTGTCGATTCATCACACTGGCCTTGTGTGACACGGTCTAGCTCAGCAGAAGAGCGCCGCGCCTTCTGGACCATCGAGCCTGTTGCATTTTCAAGTAATCCACAGACCAAGACTACCTCGGTCAGCTCAAACATCATTTTGGCCATCGTTTTCAAGTGTAACTTAGACAAGTGGCGTCTTAGCTGGACGTGCAAAACGACCCGAGCGCTGGAATATTCAAGCCCTTGAGAAACTGCTCGGGACCAACAATGATGAGTAGAAGCCCTGAGTTGCACTGAAGCAATTTTCTCCGCAGACCTTTGTAACGCGGGCAAGACAACTGTAGAGACTAAGCCTAGGCAACGGCAAACCAGAAACCACGAGCTATTTGAAAAGTATGCCGGCCAATTTCTGCAGGCCTTTCAATCGTCTACAGCCAGGCAATATGATTGTTAACCCTCGTGTTGCGTGACAGTCTTCCCACAACACCAAATACGTTGAGAAGATATTGATTGTTGCTGGAAATTTATTTCACCCCATTACACAAGTGAAGACGAATAGGGTGCCCAGGTCCAAAGGCATTGCCACACGGATCTTCTCCGAAGTTCTGCGCCAAGCCGCTCCTCTTTTGCGCGTCTTGATACGGAACCTTTTAGCCCCATTGTCAGTCAACGTCAGTAAGTCCTTATCTCCCGTTCCGACCCATTAGGCTCGCAGCAATGAGCATACGCATCACCCACCTCGAAACGAGCAAGAGACGACGTCGCCCCGCTAAGCCACAGAGTGAAGTCGATCCTCACAGCCCGAGGAAGGATTCAAATCCCTGAGGACCCTACCAAAATGCAGGCTGACGGGGATTTCCCGAACAGGGCAACACTAAAGGCCCCATGTCCTGATCTAGTCTGCAAATTGATGCCGGCTTCGCGCATAAAAAAGGTCTTGGCTGCAAGACTTGGTTAAGTTGCTGCCTGGAAGTCCAGCTTTCAGGGTCCTTGTTTAGATATGGACCCCTGCAAGCATATGGTGGTGGCTTGGACAGGCACATGCTCTACACTGAAACATGGCTTCTACGCAGCGTAGACACGAGAAGGGAATTGCTCCTTGAACTCGGCTTGTTCCTGGCCCGAACAGCGAGACTACGAGGGATTCCTCGATACCTGCAAAGTGCGGCACCTGGACTCATCTGCATATTACTTGGCTGAGCCAGGTTTTATCATCATACTTCATGCTGTACACAACAGCTTGATGCGCGGGAACTAAAAAAAAAGGGGCGTCAAAACTAGCTTCGGTGAGCACGTTGCAAGATGAAGACCGCACCAAGCCCACGGCACCATAACCACAGAGCTCTGCAGGTATCATCAACTTCAGTCCCCCTTCCCCATTCCCGCCTGACTCGAATATTCAGCAAATGAGAAAGGGCCAAAGATAGCTATTGCCACTACTGTCACGTTTTCTGCGCACAGGTCTTGACCACGCCAGAATCATCCAGTCAAGTTGTCATCCATGACCAATCTCGCCCCCGGAGGCCCTTGGACTGATGGCCGTCTCTGATGAAGCCAAAGTCCCCACAGTGCTTTGACACTTACTAAGAGCTTTCACGATATCGAACGGTCCCTTCTTTTCCAATGATCACTCAGCGCCTCTGCCCCCACCCGGGCCGACGACCCAGGACTTGGGGACAAAGTCGGGCTGTCATGCAAGCTCTTTGTCATCCGCGAAACCCACGGCCCTGGGATCCCAAAGATCCCAACAGCTCCATGCAGCAGCAACCAGACCAGGGTATGTCTATTATCTCCACGGCGGAACCTTTTGCTTCCTTTTCCGTTCTCAAGTATTACTAATTGCAGCAAGGATCGCTGTAATCCCTCCTCCTAATACTCCTCCTCCTCCTCCTTCCCCCGGCGAAGCCTTTCATTCCCTGCAGGCAAGGAGCGCAGATACCCCCTGGCCGGGGTGGGCGGAGATTCACCCTTCCTCCCTCCGCTCTCCACGCGCCCTCCCCTGACCCCCCCCCCGGACCGCGGATGAAGTCCGACATGGGGAATACTGATGGATAGATAGAGAATCCCAAGGGTCCATCCTATCCTGCACCCACGATGCGTAGCCTGTCCACCTCCCTGCCTGCATATACCCTTGCGCCATTTTGTGATTTCTGCAAGTACGCAGTAAGAACCATCCGACGACGTGGCAGGCTTGCTGGTTGACATGCCCCCCCTCCCCCTTTAATCATGGGACCAGAGCAAGGAAGGTGACTAAGGGGCGAACAGGCGGCGGAGAAGTCCTTCCCATCTCCGCCAGCAACGGCTTCGCAGCTGCAGCAGCAGTGGAAGCTTGACAGGGGTACTCTGGCAGTGCTCTCCCCCACGAATCGCCATCAGCACTTCCGACGGAGAAGCAACAAGGAGGGAGGGGGGGGTTTCCATTCCCCTGCCGGTTTCTGTTTGGGCAAGTTCGAGTCGCGAGTGTCGGGCCTCGAGGGTAGAGGGCATATTGTTCAAGTGAATGGCTCTCGCCAGATCTCTTTTGATTCGGAAAGTCCGCCATCACGACAGGAGGCAACCCTTGTAGAGATGCCAGCCAGATGTGCAACCGTGCGGTCGTGGTTCATCTTTGCAACACAAGAAGCCGGCACGTAGCCATAGGTCACCCTTTCAGTGAGGCGGAATATCAAGTGGAAACTCTTCACCGGATAGCGTCTGCGCTTGCAGAAGTCATTTCAAAGATTAGTTTTTTTTTATTAATGCCCCCCTCGAGAGTTCGACCACACAGCACCTCCCGACAAAGTTGCGAGCGCTGTTCCACTTCTCGAAATTGTAGGGGCAGGCGTCTAATAACCATTGCTGCGCTTTGTTCGCATGCATGCACATCCGAAGCGTTCATGTACCTACGTCTGAGCGAGGTAGAATGGCTCGCCTTCTGCCATACCACGCAAGAGCGTCCATACGAGGAGGTGGGAGCGAATGCTCAATACCAGTCAAATCAAATAAATCGGAAGCCTGTCCGGGCGAGCCAGGGTCTGCTGTAATAATTCATGTCCACCTCCCTCGCACACCAAGGCATTGAGTTTCAGTCATCGTCCGGACGATGCAATATTTCGCGATGACCGAGTCCCTTCATTTCCCCAGCGAATCCCCGCTTCCAAATCCCATGTTCTCGCGGGATACTGTACCCTAAGCGGAGGACTCGCGGAGACGGGCTCGGGGCTTTTCTTTGGCGTGCCCGAGTGCCAAGGGTGCATGCCCGTGCGGCAATGTCAGATGGTTTGGCGTGACTCGTTGCATTTTCCCCAAGGGGAGCATCAAAGGGTCACGCCCCGTCCTCAATCAAACTCCCTCCCCTCGAGCACCATGTCTAGTGCATCAACTGCCGAGATCCACCGATCAAAGCGTTTGGGAAGCATCACGCCTCCGGGACGGGACCTCTGGTGCCGCCCGTGCTGTTAGACAGGTAATTGCACCAAGGGTCCGGCAAATTGACACTGCAGATCAGACACCTTTCGGGGGGGTTGAAGCGCGGGAGCGACGCGGACCCTGAGCGTCGACCACATGTGCTAAGTGCTGTTGCATGGCTCAACCAGCCGCCTGGGCTTGCGTAGACAAATGTTGTTGCATACCGCCTTGCCCGTGCTGTAGCGCAAGGCACTATTTCCTAGCGCCAAGCGAAGGCCAGGCGAAGACGTCACCCTGTCAGGGCATGGCAATCCGACATGTCGCACGATACGCCTCATTCAGCGGTGTCCTCCTCTGTCCCAGCTCCAGAAGTTGTTGCGGCGGTGGGGGCCGGGCACCAGCGCGCCATGCGCCCGGACCTCGCAACGGCTTGTCTGTCCACTGGCTGGCCGACTTGCTAGCCGCGTCGAGCAAGCCATCGCGACTGGCAGGGTAACCCCCGCAATCCAGGCATGGTTACATCGCGCTAGGACAGGGTGGGAAATCAACCAAGAATAGACCAAGACTATTGTGTCATAAGGCCTGAGTCGGGCGGCAGGGGTCTCAGGGCTGTTTCCTTTTTTCTAGCGTTGTTCGAAAGCTTCTTTTCGTTACTCCACCCAATGTTTCATACCCTTCGCGAAGATAGCCCGGGCCATCCAAGCCAACAGTGGCCGAGCACGCCAATATTACCCACCTGCTTCGAGGTTTGCGATGCTTCCCCTGTCGCTGTCGTGTTTTCGTGTCCTGTCAACTTTCCGTGGGTGCAGATGACCACTGAGCTCCCATGACGCGCGGGTGTGGCAGGAGCAGGTTGAGTGGTACTGGACGCATCCAGTCTCGAGCGGCACGTTCTGACAAGACGAGACAATCAGGTCTCATGACATTACCAAGCAATAGGCCGGCTTATCTGATTGACCCTTGAAGCGTGTACGGCGGCAGATGCCGGTCGCTAATCTGGCTCTTAGACCTGCGTTTGGGACGATTGGGAGGTCCGACCCAACTGCACGCTGACGAGCTGTTTGCTAGTGGGCATGTGCCGGTGCCAAGCATGAGCGATGAGCCCGTGTTGCGCCAGATCGTCGCTGCGTGCGCGTGACCGAGCGTCTCTGGTGTCCGCCACCTGCAAGATCTCCATGTTTGACGCGGATTGTCCACAGGGAAAGCGCATCCGCAAGCACGAGCAGTTGGCATCAGTGAAAAGGCATGACCGGCAAATGTACCGCTGTATTCCTTGCCGTGTTTCGTTTCGTCGGGCTGGAAGGTTCATTGCGCCATGCCCTTGATGGAGCGAGACGTGCCCTTCACCGCCTGACGAGGATGCAGAAGTTGCACCCGCGACTGGCTGAACCTAGTGCTAGCCCTAACTGCGACCAGTGCAAAAGGGCCTTGTCGGCGTGGCCAGACAGGATGAACGTGACTTATGGAGTTCCAAAGTTCGAGGGCTACCACCACACCGATGATCGCGGCGTCCAAGAGTCGATAGTCACATTGACAACGTCTACCTCATGGCATATGCACGAGATCTGCTCATGCCAATAGTCAGCGTGATATCCCTTGACAGGTCCAGGATTACATGGAGAATTGAGCAGGCGCCTTGCGCATAAAACCCATCGGTATTGAGCTGCGCAGTATTTTGGGAGTGCACAGCCAGGAGCATTCGAGGAACATGACTGATCGTCAAAGCTCCTGATTGGTGGAACGTGCATTTCTTGCGCCGCCGTGGATAGCAGAGTCCGCCCCCTGCGGCAACGTACGATGGACGATGCAATGGTCAACAGCCCAACGTTGACTAGCTGTCCAAACCCCTGCTGGCCATCCCGTTCGAGTCAAGACTGCGGATAGAGACTGCCCACCGTGCGCCAAATCAGCACTAGGACTGTCTTGCAGACAAGGGTCCGTTTGCAGTGAGGTCATGACCAGAGACACTAGCGCTTTTCGTCGCTTGCTGTGCATTGACCCGAGCTGCCGGCCGAGCGAGCCACTTGGACGGAAGACGGACCAGGTCGAAAGGATGAATGGCGCAAGCGAGCGTATGGGAGTATTGCGCGTGCGTGCCACGGCCGTAGATCTGTCTTTCAGGGTCCTCCTGTCGAGGTCGGCAATTGTCGAAGAGTATTACGGCGTGGGTGTCTGCACAGCCAGGTTGATCATGGAACGTTGTATCTGATGGTGAGATGCGGCTGCAGATCGAAGCCGACATCCTGGCCGCCCGGCAACAGATGTCATGCACAATGAAGAGCACGGGAGAGCAACGTCAGGAACCCTTGGGAAAAGGGCCAAAGTGCCACACGAGCGTGCTGGCGCGCAGGGTGGGTGGCAGTGCTGTCGGCGGCGAGCGAATCCAATGCGCAAGTAGGGATGCTGCTTTGGTGCCCTGCAGTGCAGCGCAGGCCGACCCTGGCACCACCGAGCGGCCGAGCACGGCCTGGGAAGAAAGCCGTCCAGTCGCAAGACCAGCTGAGAATATGCATTGATCGGGGGTCGCGCAGGCGTATGCGAGTATCGAGGCGCTTGCACCAATTGCAGGTGCGTCTGGGACTCGTGCCAAAAATAGCAGCGTGGGAAAATCCAATCAGTGGCTGCCACCACGTGGGCCCTGTAATTGAAGCGACAAGTGGCTGCATCATGCAGACATGCACAACTTTGAGAGTGCCGAATCATCTTCATCAGCTTGGCCTGCTTCCCTGCCATGTCCAGTCAGCGTGCTGTTGATGGTGGATCGGGGCGTTCAAGCGACCAGGTCTCCTCGCATGCATGCCTCTCTGTGCAACATTCGTGATATGGTCCTCGCGGACTGAAGGACCGGCTTTCCTACCACTGTGGCTTTTGCGCGTGCCACCTCCCTGGTTGTAGGCACCTGATGCACCGAGCACCTGGGTCGGGATGCGAGGCGAGTTCCACGGGGCTGGCTCCTACTGTAGTCCGAGCCTGAAGGGGCCCGGGCGATCTGATCGCATCTTTGCTCGTCCCTCCCGAGGACAGAGTTTCCGTCTCCCCGCGGCCCCACGCAATGGGTGGTCCCCCTGCCTGGTCGCCTGGTCCGAGGAGGAGACTTTGAGGAAGTGCCGAGTGCTTAGGTAATGGCTCCGTCTACATCCGGCTCTCCGGCACGATGACGACACATGCTGAGAGACCCTAATGCCCCTGAAGTCTAGGGTGATTTGACATGGTCTGATCTTTTGCAGAGAAACGGTCCTGCGGGACTGAATCTAGTGCTGTGGATGTCAGCACTGTCTCTACTCCTGGATCACAGTACACGAGGGTCTTTCAGGGCATTGCGGCAGAGCATGGTCGGGCAATTACGCGCGGGCGCTCACACACTCCCGCACGGGTCTCGGGACATCAAGGCTCGGACGGCGTGAGCCACTTACTACACATGGGCGGCAGAAAGACCGGACACGCACGTACGTCCTCCTGACTGGACGCGTACAGTTGGTACAGGAGGCACCAGCGAGCGCAGAACTTCCCTGTGGTGGTCTAGTCCGAAGCCCAGGGCAGGTCTGGTGTGCTTGCTGGTGGACCCTTTACTGCACGTGCTTGCTCAGTGGTGGCACGCGGCTTGGAACACGGCGTACAGAGGCAGAGACGAGAATGTCGGGACAATCCTGAAAGCAAGACACCACCACTCCTTTTGCCCAGTCCAAATCTTGGAATGTCCACCGTCTGATGACCTGGTATCGCTTGACCCCGCTAAACAAGCACCACAGAGCCTCGTCTTGACACCATGACCTCCCGCAAGTCATGGTCTTTTCGCATTTCTTTGACGATGCCACCATCTCCTGAGGCCGTCCCAAGGATAAGACTTCGCGCTGTGATCAAGTCGATGCTAGACATGCTCTACTACAACTCTACAAAAGAAGATTAGTGGCTACGCAAGTCCGTCATCAAGTGGTCGCGCAATAAACTATAACCACGCATGTGGAGATTCGTGGATTTCAACGAATACCATAGTATCCACGCACCAGAACCTCGGCCACAACAGGAAAACCCCGCTTGAGCTCGCCCTAAAAATAGGCCGAAGCGGTGGTTGACGATACCAACCGTTCTGAGAGGCAAACCTTTCGACGTTGTCCGTGTTGTTGTGCTACTCTAGCCTCTGGCGACACGTAGCGTGGCACTTTACGACTGCGTGCATTGCGATCATGCTTGCGCTGTGGCGGCTTGTAATGTTGCATGCGCATCCCTCATGCTTCGCCCCATGGAGATGGCGACAACTTCAAACAGTCCATCGCGGTCTAGACACGCCACAAGCAGAACTGCAAAGCTTCTGAGCCTGCGGTCGGCGTCAGTACTTTGGCAACTAGGACCTCTTCAGGGCGATCGTCGAGGTAGTTTGCTCAGCCCACTTGCCCACAACCAAGGGTCCTATGAAATGTGGAACACAATATCGCGGATCTCTTGGGATCACTCCACGAAGTCGTGATTATCTTTGGGCTAGATGTATCGCCAAAGCTCATATGAGCGTCGACAACATGAAAACTGATGTCCATGGCAACTCTGCGATGCATGTGAACTGGGTATAATTATCTTCTCACAAGGATTCCATCGGAGACCGTCCATGATCTTGGGTGACGCGCGGGTGGAGATGCCGTCGCAGCCGGCAGAGACAATATACAGTTTTTGCACACTCGCTATCTGGCTGGCCCTTGCCACCGATCTCCTTCAGCCTCGAGCGAGGCAAGAGCTGTGTCTTCCATTTGCTATTCCAGTGTCTTTGCGCGAAGCCCCGTGGCGCTTGGCGGTACGTGTCGTGTGCAATCCCGCTCAGTGAGACCTGACTCTCCGCGGTGTTAAAGGGGCCAGCCATTCATCGTGGCAGGCGGCCTATGACAGCGCAATCATGCCAACTTTAATGACGAAACGAGGCTGTGACACACCAAGAAAGGAGCACTTTTGCGCAGCATTTGTCTAAGCTCGGGTGACCGTCACGGCGCTAGCAAATCTTAAGCGGCATTCTGGCAGCGCGCGGCCCGAGGACAGTTGTTGTTGCTTGCCGGCTAGCCGCCAGCAAAGCACCCGCAGCATAGTCTGGCTTGCAGCCACTCAAGGTCGAACCAGGCTATCCTGGTGGCGTCTGCGTCTGCTTGGGGTCCTGTCGTTAATCTTTCAACGTCGTTGCATATTAAGCAAACTTTGTTGGCATGAGCATGGTGGTCTGAGGTTTTGAGCGCCTCTTCGGGCCGTTCGTGCAGAGAAGCGCCGTGGAAGTGCCATGGGACGGTTTCGCCGCAGCCACCGTGAGCTTCGCCGTCGTGATGAATGCAGGTCAAAGGGATTGTTACAGTCCTGGTGACGACGACGGCCAACGCACCCTCCGATTCAGCCCTAAGCGGGTCTCCCAGCTTCACACGCCACCGTGGCGGCGAACCCGCAGTACACGCAATGAACGAGACTGACGCTTCTGGATGGATGCACCTCGACAGGCTGTTTCGTGATACCGCCATCGAATCGCTGCCAGGGCGAGAAGAGCATCAGCGACGACGGGCAGCGTGGGAATGTCCCTGGGAACAATACCGGCTAATTTGCTGACGACCTCCAACGCCACCTGCACCAGCTCTGCGCGCAGTGTGTCTCTATCAGGCCGGCAATCGTTCGGGCAAAACAGCCGCAGGGCAGTCGGCTTCCGCTCCAAGGGATTGGGTGTCGAAAGTCTGCCAAGTTGACCCAGAGGGAGAGAAGTCAACATGCTCCACCTAGACCCCTCCGACTCCTGAAGCCTAGTCGAAGAAGCCCTGCAGATAGGGCCTCATCCAGTCAGCATCACCGCCCATAGCTGGGAAATGCAAAAGCGCGACTTGTCGTGCCGCGAGAAGATAGCACAGCGAGTGCCCGGAGCAAAACCGTCGTCCGAGGTAGGGATGCTCCCTCACGGGCGGGGCGGGGCCGTCGAAGCAGGCATTGCTGAGCGAGCTGTGAAAGGGTCTCAACAACCACCAGGGCGGACTCGGGGCGACGACACTGACGATGTGGCAGCCGCATACGTCGACAATGGAGGTGGGGACCTCATGATGTGCCTGTTGTTGCGACAGGGCGAGCTCTCACTAAGACACTGACTGGGACTACAGCAGCAGCCGTGGGAACGTAGCCTACCATTTCCCCCGTCCAGCCTAGGGCCAGCGCTCGGCCCCACCTCCAGACCGACCCGACCGTGTTTCTGCATTTCTGACGACCCGGGCAGGTCTGCAGCTGCTATGCACATATCGGGGAGAGATGCAGATAGACGAACACACCACGCATTCGTGCCACCCTGAGGTCCTGCGCAGCTGTCGACCAGACTGTGCCAGAAAGCACTGTGCCCGTGGCTGTCACACCGCCGACGACAAGGTGATCATCACAGTGCTGGACGTCAGTGCGCGCCGGTGTGGTGCTGACGCTTAGTGCGTACCTTAGGAGCACAGCCCACCAAGCGTCGGCGCTTTTCCGCCGGTTCCCAGCTGGGGAAGGTCTGCCACACCCTGCCCGTCTGTCGCCCTCGACTGCGCGCACGCCCTCCTAGCATCACAACCTTGGAAGACACGGCTGCAGCGGCGCAACCACACCCTGCCTGCAGGCCGGCGCACACGCCCCAGCCAGTCTCTGCTGTCGACGCTGTCTGTCGTTGAGCACCAGAGCACCC